CCCCGCTTCTCCCCCTCATACATCACCACCTCGTTCGTCCCCTCCATCACCACCCTATACACCCGCACGGGCTTCGTCTGCCCAAACCGAAACGCCCGACCCACCGCCTGCTCCACCACCGCTTTGCGCCGAAACGCGTCGCGCTGCACGTATGGCGCCGGAAACACAACGTGGCTGCATACCTGCAGATTCCAACCCGCAGCGTCCTCGCTGTCCAGCATCAGCAGCAGAACGCGAGGACGATTGGCAGTGGCAGCGACAGCGTCCTCGGCGGTCTTGTCGGTGTAGAACGGGCGCGGAAGACCAGGGTCGCGGGAACGGGAGTCCACCTGGCGGAAGTTGTACGCCATATTGACGCGTTTAAACTTCGTGATGGCCTCCCGAGCAGCATCCTGCGCCGTGGCGCCACCACCGGGGCGTATACACCCGTTCTGGTACCGGATGCCATGGACCTCGAGAGCGCGAGTGAGCTCTTGCACCTGCGGATAGTACTGCAGGAACACGAGAACGCAATCTGTAGGATCGCGGTTCTGTTTCCCAACAATCCCGCCGATGAGGTTGGCGATCGCGACGCCACGCGAGCCGCAGACTTGCTGGGCGCGGGAGGAAGGAGGCGCAAAGAACGAGGAGGCCTTCAAGACGTTGTCGCGCGAGAGAGGCATGGCGCAGTCGGGAGCGGAACAGGAGCCGAGGAGGGAACCAGAATCGTCGTTGCAGCACTCTGTGCACAAGATGTGGCCGCATTGTGAGACTATACGGACGCTGGAGTACGTCTTGTAGGTGTGCAGGGCGCCACAGGAGTCGCAGAGGACGGGAAGAGACACGGAAACCATGTGGACCGACTGGACGAAGCGGTGCATGCGGACAGACGCGACGAGACGCGTAGAGGACTCCCGGAGGTCTGATGTGCGGCGGGTGAGCTCCTTGTTCCGAACATCGGAGTCCTTTGAGTCGAATTGGGTGAATTTTGGGTAGGAAAGCTCGCCATCGTCGTTGACTTCATCGAGGTGCTCCCTATTCTTCAGCACGTTCTCTACGCCTTCTCCGGGAGGCTCGGAGGGTCTCAAGTCAGCGTATCCCAGTACGTCGTCCACGAGCAAAGTGACGTCTCTGTCCCCCAGCAGGCCGGTTTGTAGCACGGAATCACTCCAAGAAGCCAGATCGTCATTTTCCTTGGCTCGCTGTGCGGTTCCAACCTCCAACCAGTACCACACGGCTTCGCGGGCCATTTGAAGCAGATATGTGGTCTCGCCCTGGACCTCGTTGTGCAGCATAAGTCTAAGCTTCTCAATTGTGACGAGCTCGTTCTCGAAGTCTGATCCGTACATAGCTAGCTCGTGGCAGCAGATCAAAGCCATTTCCTGAGAAGAGCAACGCTGTGCAACCTCAATCGCTGCTTTGGAGGAGCTGGGGAACTGAACGTCAGCGTGTGCCAGATCTGTACGTTGCTTGTATGCCAGTGCTCGTGCCGCTCGCCAGGTGATCGGTTTGAGTTTCGGACTAAATCTGATCGTCGTGTAGTTAATGACATTGAAGAACAGATGGTAAACGGCCAGCTCGAGTGGATTTGGCTTGACAGAAATGAGGATCTCTGCTTCAACATGTTTCTCCTGGTTCTCGTAGTTTCTGCGGACGAATTTGGACAGGAATTGTGTAGCCTGTTGCTGATGGAGACTGACTGTGTCGATCGAGGTTGGATTGCTGTACTCCTCGAATTCCTCAACGTAAGACGTCTCCGACACCTTCCTCTCCTGCGCCTTGTCGAAGAAGCCTCTGATGACAGCTTCGTCGGAACTGCATGTGATACTCGTGCCGATCAATCGAGCAATCTGATCGACGTCGTTGACAAGACTGATAGGCGGCGTGCCGGACAAAAGCCATCTCGACTCCGGAGCCAGAGCCATTGCTGCTGCAGCCATGCGAGGATTGAGGTATTGAAACTCGTCAATAATGAGTCGGCGGAAGGCGAATAGGTGTAAGAGAGGCACTATAGTGATCGCGGACTTGGCCTTCTTGGGTCTGACGGGTTTCCCCTGAGCAGCTTCGAGTTTTACCTGCCTCCTCGCAGCAGCTCTTATTATGGGAAGTCCTTTCTCCTTCCTATCTTCGTTTTCTTCATAGAAACTTGGATCCTTGTGCGATCTCTTGGGCTTGGCGGGTCTGGCAACTACTCTCACGGTTCCAGTCAACGGAAGCTTTGGAAGTTTCTCATCCGGGCGTGCTATCGTCTCTTGTGCCTCGGGGTACACCGACATGATTTTTTCGGCCTTTCCGGTGCCATGGAAGTCGATCTTCTTCATGTCTTTTTTGGAGTTCCAGCCTCCAAACTGCGCGCGTACCTGGTCTCGGTTCGCCCAGAGATCGTCTCGCGCGTCGTTGAGCTTGTCGAGGTCGTCAAAGGATGAAGTGTCCTCGCACAGCTTTTTGATGTTTTCCATGGCTTTGTTGAGCCACTGCATCGTAGCTCGGCCGCTAGCGTCTGGCACGTACGGCATGCCGCAAAGTGATTTGAGCGCTTCCCAGTATTCTGCTGTGTCAAAGATACCGTAGTTCACCAACAGGATATGTGCACGGTCGATGTCTTCGATGGTGAGCTCGACCAATTCTTCCATGGAGGATATCTTCAGCACAAAGATGTCCTTGGGATCTGCTGGCTTCGTGTACTTGCCAGGCCAAGCATCTCGGACCTGCTCAAAACAGAGAACTGCTTGCCCATACCACTGCTCAATCAAGTTCTTGGGCATGAGAATAACCGTTGCTCTCAAACCGCGTCGACCTTCATGAGGCACCGGCTTCGAACGACGATCGATATCATCGCCTACGATAGCAAGGGCTACCGTCGTCTTGCCTGTGCCGATGCCGTCAGCGATGACGCCACCTTTGACTGCAGTCTTGCGAGAGGCTGTAGCAACGACTTTGCAAGCTAATGCTTTGATAGTATGAGCGTAGGTGTTCTGTTCGTGCCACTCAACCTGGCCCTTTTCAACTTCTCTCATCCAGTGAAGCGACAATTTCTGAGAGCCCAGTAGCCTACGCTGAAAGCAAACCGGCGGTGAGCTAGACCCATCCGCTTCAGTCAGCGGCATCAGCTCGGGTACTTTGTAGCTAGGTGCGGTAGCATTGATGTCGTACTTCATGATCTTCCAAGAGGTTGTTACTGGGGCTCCACGAGGGCCGCTTCTCTGCAGAGGACCAGCTGTGCGATCAACCAGGGATTTGATGTTAAAATGGAAGGTCATCTGGACTTTGCCTCCAATAGCGTTAAGGTGCAGTTCTGATAGGAGCGGGCGATTCTTCAGCTTCCTCTGGCGCTCAGCAGCGTCCGTGTTACCCTCGAACGGCATCAGTGCATAGCCTTTCATCCGAGAGCGCCTAGCCCATTTCCAATCAATCCTCGCACCCTCGGGCGAGCATTGTGCGCAGGGATTCTGGGCAGCCTTATCCGACTGGCCTTCAACTAGATCCGGGATTGGGAGAGCGTGCAGGAGCCAGGCTAGAGAAGTCAACTTGCCTCGTCGATCTTGCAGATCGATGACGAGACTCTGGTCTGCCAGGGCACCAGCATGATTCCCGAATGACTCCATGATCTCCCAGGATGTCGCCGTCTCCAGAGCAAAGAGTGGCTTTGACGCGTCCTCGCACAACGGGTGGTACAGCGGATAGTCTGTACCTTGCGAATACCATATGCTGACCTTACTGTCGTTCGCATCAGCTCCAAGGACCGCATCAACGAGCTGTGGGCCATTCTCCATGGGACCACACGCGACTTCCCAGTGCTGCGAGTCCTGAAACTGTGGAACTACCGGTCGCCAGCCCGATGCAAACTTGATGATAACCGATCGCTCGTCGTTGATTGGCAGTCGGGAGTGATCTTTCGCCATGACCATGCTGTCGAATTTCTGATCCTGCAGATGCCATGGGTCGAGGAACAGATAGACTGGATCAGTATCACCGGCTTTGTACAGTAGACTGTGTGCTGTTCCACACTTGGGAAGGTACTTGAAATTGTACTTCTTCATGCCAAAGACTGGCATGCGATCACCTGCCGTGCCTGCAAAGGTAAACGAGACCTCCAAATCGTCAAATACGGTGATCTCTTTGTATCCATCAGCATTCAGACCTATTACAGACTGAATGGCTGGCTGTGGATTGGAGCCCTTGACAGTAGCAACAAATTTGTTATGCTGCGGCAGACACAGCTGCCAATCGCCATCGAAGAGAGTCTTCTGTGGGCGCATCTTTGCGACAGGATGGCGAAGGTGTTCACGCAGTCTACCGCCAAGAGGTTCGTTGGACGGACACTTCGCATAGAGAAACCACTGACAGACCGAAGTATTTTCCGCATCCGAGAAGCGCAACTCCAGCTTACCAGCAACTGACTCGAATTCAACCTTCCAAGCAGGGCCTCGCTTGATCTGGCGGAAATGGAAGGGTGCACGGAAGGCGCCTGTGATACAAGCACGTAGTGCGTTTTGTAGGGCTTCCTCGGGAACACGCGGCTTCTTCACTCGTATCACATCTTTCCCGGATCTGTCCTCAACAGTCTGAAGATGTTGTGCCCAACTTCCGTTTCCCCACTGCACTGAGTCCACCAGTCCAGTGCGAGCCGAGTCTGGAGGAGAGATGGAAGCCTTCTTGACTAGGTCCAAGACACTCTCCGGGAACGTGATGAAGGATATGGACCTCGGCAGCCCTGTCTCCATCCGTGAAATGAAGGCGTTCGGCCGACGATCGCTGGTGACAACCGGGTTACCCACGTAGCTGTGAACGGGGTTCCCGCGACAGTTCTCGCAAGCCGTATGACCACACTGGTCGCAAGAGAAGAAGTTGACGTTCTTGCCCAGGCTGGTGCCGCCTGTAACGCCTTCACACGCGCAGAGCTGTCGAGTGAGATAAGCCTGCTTGCACAGCGCCGTGAAGAATTCGGCTGCGTCATTTTCCGAAAACGACCCTCCAATGGCGATAGTGTCGTTCAGAAGTCCAGCAGTCTGCCACGACTTGATGACCTCGTCGTATTGCAGAGGCGTGGTTGGCTCAATGACGGGTGCTTTATTGAACAGGCTCCTATGCTTAGGCTTTGCAAAAAGTGTCTTGGTCCCCTGGGTGCATGCAGCAATGGCAGCAAGGGTGATTGCACCAACAGTGGTCGTAGTCATTGCGTTGCCAGCTAGGTCGATCATTTGTCGCATGCTCAGATTCCCAAGGTGCAAATCATCAGTCGAAATACCCTGCAATTTGAGAGCTTCCACGCCATTGATGACGCCACCTTGAGCAGTATCGTACAGCATTCCAGCAGCAGTCAGGCAACCAACGATACCATGATGTTTGGAATCGGCCTCTCGATCGATGTTCTGGGACAGGTCGATCGTACGCGATTTGTACGTCATGTCGAAGTCTCGTTCGAGCATGTATCTGAGGAAGGCAATGTCGAGAGTATCGAGGACTCGATCACGTTGCTTCTTGCCCCATTCGTGGTGAATCAGCTCATGCAAGGTTGACAGTCCATTTTCATTCCAATTTGTGTATGGTCGGAGACTGCCGAAACAAGATGTGCTCCGCAAGTGGGCATAGCGATGAGCACACAGCGTCCAAGCCTGGCTCATGGGGACTTTCGATGGGATTGTAGCCATCATTGCGCGGCTGCGCTCGCTCTCGATGGAGTCGTTGCCATAGATGATGTCGGTGTAAGGGCTAGAAGCACGGTATTGGAGGGCCTGTACGTTCTCTACGAAGTCTTTGAGGGCTGTTACGATGTCAATACCAGCTTCCTCTGCTCGTGAACGATTAATAGCGACCATGTAGCCTCTCGTACGAGTCTGCGGCAGGTAGAAGTCTTTAGTATCTACGAATATCGCCTGGACTTCGTAGCCACAGTAGTCGTGCCAGAACTTGCAGATCTTCTTCCATGGTGCGCCTTTGATGTTCTCCAGGATGACGATTGGGACCCGATTCTTGAGACAATAGTGCGCAACCCCCCACATCGTTGACCAAGACTCGCCTTGCTGACCAAAGCCCTTTCCATTCTTGTTGAGGTTGGAGTAGTCAACGCATGCGGATCCAGCGACAACAATGTGGCAGTTGTTAGGGACTGCAACTTGGGCACCATATGCTGTATTTGCTACACCATCGTCTTTGGTGAAGTCTGTGACGTCGCGGAAAAGCAGCGGTGGGTCAAAGTTGAGCTCAATGTAGCCCTGCTTGTATGGCTCAATCTCGGCGCTGGCAACATGCTTGTAGTTGAAAGACATTCCTCGTCGCTGCAAGGCTTCTTGAATCATGTCCAAGGCCAGTATGGGTGCCTCAGTGCCAGAGCACATAGTGAAAATGCGCAGGCCGAAGTCGTTGTACATGGTCGCACCGTTAAGGAAGCTTTGGCTGAGCTTATCCCCATTGAGTAGACGCTGCGCCATATGATCCATCATACTGGACAGGTCGGAGAGCGGAGGCTGATCATAATTCATGTGTTTATGAGTCGCTTCCCCTCTGTTGCCTTCGTTCTTCGGAGAGCGCTTGTCGCGAGCGTGGATTTGGCTCTTGTTGAGTAGCGTGAGAAACGATAGTCGACGTGTGAGTAGAGAGCCTTGCGGATTGAGTTTTTGCACAGCGGCGTTGAATAGGTCTACGTATCCACGTTTCCGCGGTGTGATATGGCATTGGAACAGCTTTCGGGCCGCATCGGTGGTTCTGCTGGGCGCTGACCCCGTTGCGGTACCGGCAGGCAGCTGTGAAGGTAGACTTGCTGGATCTTCTTTGGGCAGCAGGAGCTGAGGAAATTGGCGATCTTCACGGCGAGGCTGGACCCGTAAGCCAGGTCCTTTGGCCAACTTTGGATTCAGCGTAGGTGGTGTGAAGTTGTCCAGCTTTCGCTGGACAGGCGCCTTCTCAGCTGGTCGAAAGGTAGAAGGAAGATTCATGCTTGATGGGTCTAATTCAGCCTCATCCGGTGTATCCTCGTCATCTGTATCGCTGGAATCGCTGGAATCGCTGCCAGAGGGACTGTCGGCTGCTTTCCGTCGAGGTTTGGTGGCCTTCTGGGCAGGTTTCCGAGCAGAAGCTTTCGATGTTGAAGCCTGACCCGCATCTTTGCTGGGCTTTGACTTCTTCTTGGGCTTGGCTTTGGACGCTGCTGGGGCTGTTGGTTGCTCTACGTCCTCCCACTCGTCGTCTGAATCGCGCGCGCGCTTGCCACCTTTCCGTGGCTCTGCCATGGTAGTTGGACGTCGCGGAGGCCTCCCCACTCAGTAGCAGGAGGATATGTAAGTGGAAACAAAGCAGTAGCAACTCTGGAGAGCAGAAAACTAAGAGTAACTGTTTGATTGAGAGTATCAAAGGCTGTGCAATGAGTGGGAGGACGATTCTTCGTGGAATTGTGTATTGCCAAGCCCACTAGGCAAGAAGGGAGATAAGACTGCCTACCTTTCGTCACGCGTCTCGTTCCGGTAGCCCAAGCGAAAGCGATATAGGATGTGGTGTCCAGAATGAGCCTCATACGCAATACCTAGTCCTCACGATCCTTCGAGTCCGCCTGGCAGAGTCCTCCCGACGTTAGTACACACCGCAATATTCCACGAAATCGCTGCCAACTTGCGCAAATCAGAGGAAACACAGTCACAAGGCGTTCCAGCTGCCAACACTCCTTTCTCAACATGCAGCGTGCAATCCAAGAAGCCAAGCAGCGATATGGCCTGTCCGGCAATGTCCAGCAACTGCCGCAGCCCCAACTCGTCAAGATCCAGCAAATAGCTGCACATGCTGCGAAGCAAGAACTCGAAACGCGCCGCCAACAGATGCAGGCTCAGTTCCAGATGCAACGCGCCCAACAAGCCGCCCAGGCGCAGGCACAGGCTCATGGTGAAATGGTCGATGGCCAGGGTGGTGCCGGCATGGATAGAGTTGTGGGTGGCGGTGTGAGAGGGGAAGGAGAAGGTCAGTGGGATCCAGAGGAGGCTGCAGCGGAGTTCTCGCGGGAAGTTTCTCCTCCTCCTGTGGGAGCACGTCTGTTTCCCTTCGGCAGACAAGGCAATGCTGTCCAGGGGGTAGTGGAGAGCCTCGAACAGGAGGTGGAAGAGAAGGTCAAGAACGGGCTGGAGCTGGAAGCCACACAGGAGCGAAGCACCTAAGCTTCCATACAATGTCTCACTTCAGCCTTGAGGCGAGACTTACCTGAGTTTCTAGGACGGACTCGCTTGAGCTCCGAGCTCGCCTCACATGAGCTTCTAGGATTAATTCGTTTGAGCTTCGAGCCCGCCTCACACGAGCCTCAAAATCCCCTCCGCCCACAAACATTCTGTTTCGTTGTTTCATCACAGGGGAGGCCTTTGCTGTGCTCGCGAGAGGTTGCCGAGATCTGACGCCCATGTTCTTGCATTTTGCAGGTCAGCTACATTCCGGCCTTACTAACGAGTCAGCTGTCCAATTCAGAAGCCGCCTGAGCCAGTGCCTTACCTTCACGATCGCCGTAGCTTCTATCGCGCTGGCAGTCGCGTCACTGTTGAACGGGAAGCGCGACCAGCGTTGAGCCAGCAGCGAAATTCAGCCCATTCTGGCCTGTATTTTCCTTCAGCGACCTCACTGGCGAGAGTTCAGACATTTGCGAAGATGACAATGATAATCTACAGATGCAAAAGGCTACGATTTACACGCTTTGGAAGAAAGCAGGTGGAATTAGGATTTCGTGTGGCCGATCCCGAAGCTAACGCTGTAAGGAAGGTTAGCCGTGGCACTTGTCTTAGCGCGTCTTGGCTCCCCATGAACTATTCTGACACCTATCATGCCATCTGCTGAAGCAGGGAAAGCAGGAATTACAGCAAGAAGTGCAGCAGGGTGTTTCCTTTGAGTGCACTTCTGATAGTCTGCAGGGCATGAAGCCTTTGTGCGGTGTGGGTGAAAAAGGATGCAGCAGGAAACAAAGCAACAAGAGCAGTAGCTGTCTTCTCTGGCTGCATATCTGACTCCAGCGTGAACCCTGTTCAATGAAGCACAACAGACCAATGGATATGTCTGTAAGCTGTAGGTGCCTGTGTAAATGAGAGCAAAGCAAAATACAGCAGAAATGCTTCCGATATTTAGGCTAGGTGTATACTAGACATATACTAGCTAACGTTCAGGCCTAGGATAGACATGTAATAGCCATTTGCTAGCCAACGTTGAGGTATATACTAGGTATCCTTGAACTGCATCGTGAAGGGACTACAGCCGCACACAGAGGCCTCCTTCGCATATGTGTGCCTGATTTGAGGAGAAGCGTGGATTTGATCGAACTGCGAAGACAACGGTTGGGAAGAGACTTCAAAAGACAATGTGGCCGACCAGTCAGCATGAGCGAAGTGTGATATTGATCAAGGAATCGCTAATTCGATCGAAGGCAACTTTTCCACGCCCGTCCCCATGTCGATATTTTCACTAATTGTACAATCGTGCCCCACCTACTTTTGCCCGCGGCTCTCTGAACCCTCGTACACATTCAGGCCTAAGCCTCAGAGTCGAGGTACAATTTGTTCTTGCCACCACTCTCAGCCAGCAGCGTGGAGATCTGGCGGGCGTTCTCAATCTTCCGTAGCTCCAGATAACTCCGCGACTTCTTGATAGCATCACCAACCAACTCAGCAGATCGGGCCTCACCCTGAGCACGGACGACAGTGGCCTGCTTCTCTTGTCTGGCACGGTCGACGACGAAAGCGGCCCTCTGCGCTTCCTGTTGAGCGACCTGCTTGGCCTCGACAGCGGCGGTGAATTCTGGGGAGAAGGCCAGATGGGTCAGTGACACATCATCCAGCAGGATGTTGAAGCGAGCGGCGCGACGTGAGAGGTTCTCGCGAACCAGACGGGCGACACTCTCACGCTGAGTAATCAGCTGGCTGGCGTTGAACTGAGCAACCACAGCCTTCAGGACTTCGTTGACGATCGAAGGAAGCACACGCTCGTCATAGTCTTGGCCAAGAGTACGGTAGATTTGAGGTAGGTTTGGGACGTTTGGTCTTGACAGGACTCTGCATGAAATGTTGACCTGATGACTGTCAGCCAGTTCTTGGGGTTACATAATCCGGTCCTACGCACCATCTGCAGATCTTTTGTTCCGGTGAGCGAAGAGATGATTCTCGGCCTTGCGCGTACATCGTAGTCGATGGGTGTTTCGAACCAAGGTATCCGGATGTGTGTGCCTGCCCGGATCAGTATCACTATGTCATAGATTTTCCAACAACGACGAACCTTCGGCGTAGATGTCGGGCTTGACGCCACCTAACCTCGTATACTTGATAGCTCTGTGACCACCATCGACTGCGCACGTTAGATTTGAGATCAAGCTTCCATTGCGCCGTTGAATGTACCGTTGAAAAGCGCATTCGAACCTATGACAGCTGCAGCTCCCAGAAGCAGCAGACCGCCGATAGCTCTTCCTCCGGGGGCGCCTCCTGCACCGCCGCCGAAACCGCGGCCACCATTCTGCAAGCTTCGCTGTATCCGCTGAAACTGCTCTCGGGGATCCATCGCGTTGGTCTGCGGTCGCTCTTGGGAAGTTTCGCCTGCTACACCAACACCTAGCGGTCGAAGACTGTAGCTGGCGTGGATTTGTCGCAGTGCCAAGCAACTTCAGGTGATGGAAAGACTGGCTGTCCAGTGTGAATGCTTGAAGAAGGCCGCAGTTCGAGTGGTCATGCACTTTCCCAAAGAAGCAGGTTAGCCGACCGAAAGTTAACATTGAACAAAGACGGCGAACCTGAATCTATAGTACATCACACACCGACTCTGCACTCACTCTCCTTATCCAGCCTAGACCTCCTCTCCTCCGTATTCGGTGTCTCCTGATCACGTCAGGCTCACAATATCTTCAAGAGCTTACGTAGGAATCGGCCAAAATGGCACCTGGCCAGGGCTCGTCGGTCTTCGTGGGCAACATCGCTTTCTCCATCACAGAAGAGCAATTGGTCAAAATCTTCGAGTCCGTTGGTCCAGTCGTCAGATTCCGTCTGATCACGGACAAGGACAGTGGCCGGTCAAAAGGCTTCGGCTTCCTCGACTTCGCCGATCCAGATGCCGCAGAGAGTGCGATCAGTGAGTCTCGCCAACAATCGTTCGCCGCAGACTGCAGCTGACCCGATAATAGGAAATCTAGATGGCTACGAGATCGAGCGCCGAAAGCTACGAGTTGCATGGCCTAGCGGGAACGACGATAAGCCCTCCGTACCGGACGCTCCCACACATCAACCACCTCCAGCCGTCCCACCAATGCCCCAAGGCGTCGACCTCCCACCCAATCTCAAAGCCAGCGATGCCATCTCACAGACACTCAACTCTCTACAACCCTCCCAACTTCTGGACGTTCTCACCCAACTGAAAGCCATGGCCATCTCCGACCCCAACCGCATCACCGAGATCCTCAAATCCGCACCACAACTCTCCTACGCCATTTTCCAGGCTCTGATCCTGATGAACCTAGTCGACCCCAAGATCCTCGCGCAAGTCGTAGACCAGGCCTCACAGCAAGCCCCAGCGCCAGTACCACAACAAGTACCTCCGCCTCAGCAGTATGCGGGCTATCCACCACCACCACAGGCTATGGCGGGCATGCCTCCTAGGCCGCCACCTCAAGCATATCCACCACAGCCGCCTCCACAACAAGCAACCGCGCAACTGTCCCAGGAGCAGTTAATACAGCAGGTTCTTGCAATGGATCAGAGAACGATCGATAGTCTGCCGCCAACAGAGAGGGCACAAATTATCGCTTTGCGGCAATCAATGGGCGTGCGGTAGATTTCTGGCAAGCATCAATTCAGTGCTTGCTTCGAAGCGTTCCAAGCATGGCGTTCAGGGAATGGGCACTATTCGCATTCACATGGCATCAGCACGGAGGATGGATTCAACAAGGGAGCTCTTGAACAGTATAGGTAGCTAGCCCAAGATCCTCTACCTTTCTCTCTATGTGGTAATCATGACAGTATAGCGAATGTCTTGTGAGATCACTAGAAACTTTGTAGCCACAAACGAGAAGTGCGCGACGTTCAATGCCTTCAGATTTTGCTACGAAACTTGTCTACACAAATCTACATGAAGCCGGTTGACATAGCTTTCGGCGGGATCTGCTACAAGCGCTGAATTGTTGCTAGCCTCGTGTCATGGCTCGTCATGATAGAAGAAGACAGGTTCATTCGTAACATAATCGGCCAGTTCATACCTCATATCCTCTGCTTGGCACGCAGTACCGATGACAGCCAAACCATTGAAAGCCAATCGTTGGTGCGTTGAATTTACCCTCGAGCGAAGGCGACGCAGAGGCAACAGCAAGCTCCAGGATCCGAGCCCGAGCATTCGCAACATCTCCACTAATGACTACCGCCGATATATTCGTCTGCCGAGGGAGAGCTTCATCGTATATGACTCGCCACAACTCCCGCCCGTTCCTACGGGCTGTGCGAGTATCATATGCGACAGGACCAGAATGTGCGACGTAGCACACAGAGACGGCGGTAAGTCCGTAGGACACCTCCAAGCCTAGCACGTACTTTTAGCTCGCAAGTCCATGATAACACTCGTGGAAACAGTCGTGATCTGTGTACGTGAGCAGAGCTGTGGCGAAGCAAGGTGAAAGCGCAATTGATGCTAGAAGAGACGGCGGACGGTCGGTCTTTAAAGTAAAGGCCTTGCAATGGCTGAAAGAGATGGATCTCCACCTACCTGGGTCTCTAGCGCTAGTCGTGGCTATCAGAGATAGACATGACATTGACGCTGCCAGTAGCAGTGTAGCTGCTCTTCGAATCATGTTGGTGTCGCAATGCCAGTATTCAGACACAATCTGGAGAAGTGTCAGAGAGAAAGGAAGCGCGATTTGTCAAATGGCACATTCAGAAAGTAGCAAGACCTGTAATGGACGATGAATGGGCGTTGTGTCACGTTGACATCAAGCCTGCCTTGATGCAAGCTGTAGCAGTTGTCGACTCGATCTTCCCTTTACACGGATCATGCCTTGACCGTGACTTCACCTTCTCGCCTCGCCGCATTCATCAGTGCCTCAAACCAAGCACGGTAGACGAGGGACGTATTATATCGACACGTTATATTGGTTCGTGTTTACTGTCTCATAGTCTTTGGGTGCTTTCTCAGAAGCGCTGCAAAAATTGGCCGGCTAATGTGATGTCCGAGGAGCCACATCTGACAAGAGAAGCGAGCAGTTGTAGCCAACCTGAAGCAGCAGCATGGCAAATGAAGCATCGCGGTTATGGGAGGCACCTTTTCCGACCCAGTAGCATATTCAGTGCAGGGCGGGCTCCATCGAGATTTGACCGTCCACATGTCCGCATAACCTTATCCAACGAATACCGCAGAATTCGGCAATGTGGCACTGTTGCAGATAGTACGGATTCTCAACATAGCAAAGTCGCGGCGACGAGGTCCTCCCTGGCAGATGGTCGGTAAGATGTCTTGGCAAGGCTAGTCCCGATGTGGAGCAGCGGCGGACTTGCAGCTGGTGGTGTTCGTTTGGGAATCAATCAATTTATTATTCTACAACATCTTCGTTTGCCCATAATTTGAACTACGCTCTTTGCCCGCACCGCGACAGTCAAGAGGCAGCATAACCTACATAATTCCTCGAGACTTGTAGCAGTACTCCGCAGTGAAGCAATTGAGACTTTCACTACGACACACGCGACCCCCAAAACTTGAGCCGCACCTTCTACTCTCATGGCTTCTGTAAGTCGCTCGTCCCTTCCTCATTGACATAGTCCTCGCTGGAGCACACGTTGAAGTCCTCCCGATGGCCTCGAACGGTTTCACGCCGCCGACACACCCTCGCGCATGGAAGCCTCATCGAGAATCATCACTAATGCAGTTTCATCGTCAGCCTCGTCCGTACCCTCCTCAAGGTCCCGGCTCGTACCTGCAGAATGGCAATGCCGGTCCTGTGCCAGGCGCTCGACCTCTTCTACCAGATAACGGTCGAATCATCCAAGCCGGTCCAACCAGAGTTCTCTGCATAGCTGATGTTCGAGGTAAGATGCCGCCACATTCTCACAAACTTGACTGACCACAGACACAGGCAACTTGCGCTCTCTCAATGACCTTGCAAAGACCGCAAACGCCGACTACATCCTTCACACTGGAGACTTCGGTTTCTACGACAATACCTCATTGGAGAGAATAGCCGACAAGTACGAATGCCACACTTGTAAAGAGACGGCTCTGACTGACAACACATAGGACTCTGAAGCATGTCGCGCAGTATTCTCCCCTCATCTCTGACCAAGTCAAGCGTCAAATCAATCAGCCAAACCAAGGTCCAGGCTCGAAACCAATCAAGACCACCTTCTCGCCTGACCAGCTACCTTTGTCCGAGCTGCCACAACTACTGAACAAGACATTCACACTCGATGTTCCCGTGTACACCGTATGGGGTGCTTGCGAGGACGTCAGAGTACTTGAGCGCTTCAGATCAGGCGAGTACAAGGTCGACAACCTGCACATCATCGATGAGGTCAACTCGCGATTGCTGGAGGTTGGTGGCGTCAAATTGCGGCTGCTGGGTCTGGGTGGCGCTGTCGTTATACACAAGCTATTCGACAATGGAGAGGGCAAGACGTACATTGCCGGTGGTCAGGGCACCATGTGGACGACACTGCTGCAGATCGGCGCTCTGATTGATACTGCCAACCGTGTCTACGACCCATCAGAGACCCGCATCTTCCTCACACACGCCTCGCCCGCACGTGATGGCATACTTAACCAGCTGTCGGTCACACTCAAGGCCGACTTCTCCATCTCTGCTGGTCTGCACTTCCGATATGGGTCATCTTACAACGAGTTCAGTGTCAATCCTTCCCTTGACCACTACCGAGGCAAGCTAGCCGCCTCCAAGGCATCCTTCAACGATGTATGGGAGACTGTCCGCCAGGACGTCGAGGCTGCTATCGAGACCAACCTCAGTCACAAAGCACTTCTCAATCAGGCCATCGAGATCATCGAGAAGATGCCACAATCCGCGAATAGCGGAAATCCATTTGGCGGTGGCCCGGTTGGTGGCAATGCTGGTGCCGGCCAAGTTGATGAGTCAGCGTTCAAGAACATGTGGAACTTCAACCTGGCTGATGCGGCGTTCGGCTACTTGGTCCTGGAGGTTGATTCCGGTCGCATCGGGACTGAGATGCGTGCTCAGGCTTCAACTTCGCCCACCGTGGAGGCAAGCCAACTCAGCCAGTCCCACAACAGCCTGCCGCTCCACCTGCTGCAGTTGCCAATGCACCTCCCACTGGTCCTGCTCAAGGTCGTCCACAGTTCACCGCACCGACTCAGCCATTCCCGCAAGCTGCTCGCAATCAGCAGCCGCGCGCAGGACCTCAGGGGGCCCCCCAGCCTGGTGCAAAGAACCCGACCCCTCCTACAACCCGCTCTCCTGCTCCGCCGGTGACACAGGCCAAGCCTATGACACCCCAGCCGTCAGCCACTGCAGTTCCGACTACCAGTACGCCTGCCACCAACGGTCATGGCGACAAGGCTGCTGCTGAGAAGAAGCCCACACCATCCCCAGCTTTCGAGCGCAAACCTCCTACAGCTCTTTTCACCTTTGGCGAGACTGAAGAGCAGGTCAAGGAATTCATTCCAGAGCCCCACAAGAGCAAGATACAATCTTTCTCTCGCGCCGGCAATAAGTTCCACAACGGATGGAAGATCCAATACGAGTCTGCGGAAGACGCCAACGCTGCTCTAAAGGCCATTCAGGAAGAGAACAAGAACCGACCGAAGGATGCAACCCCTAAGCCTCCGAGGTTCTCTCACTACATGGACAAGAGTGAACATTACAACCGCGACTCGCCCATCACTGGCCGAGGTGGAGGTCAAGCAGGTGTAACTCCTCGTCCAGGATATCAGAGCGGTGCTAGCGACTCCGAAGGCGGTTCCCGAGGTCGTGGCGGCTTCCGCGGTGGACGTGGACGCGGCGGAAGAGAAGATCGAGGTGGTCGAGGTGGACGTGGTGGTCGGGGCGGGCTCCAAGGCAAATCTGACGCCGACAAGCCTTCAACTGAGTCCAAGCCCGCTACCGAGCCAAAGCCTGCAGATTCTTAGGCAGAACCTGCAGGGAGGCCTCTGCCTAGGTTCCTGGAGGTAGGCAGCAAAGTTCCTGCGGTGTCCGGCCCAAATGTCGGAACTCTGAACGGCTCCGCCAGTACATCCGATCGCCGCAGCAAGAGTCCACCGAACAACCACAAAGCCCGCCCGACGCCTGAGAAAGCAAAAGGTGCCCAGACCGAGCGGCGAGCCAAAAGTGCGTCCAGGGCAGGTACAGCAACGCCCGATGCGTTCCGGCGCAGAACAAACAACGTGAGCAACTAGGCACAAAGGCCTGCCCAGATATGGTTGGTACGTTGCAATTCCTCTGGCGTTCTGGAGGACGCTGCGGAGGAAAATGTCGTTGGCCCGTCTCGTCAAGGCAGCAAGACGACACTTCGGACATTCATGTATTTTAGACAATTCCCCATGAGCTCGGTCACGCTCAACAGGTAGAGAGATAGCATGAGCGAGTCAGAAAATATGATACCAAAAGTAAACACCCAGCCGCGGCATCACTTTTCCACGCACGGTGACCCTTGATATTCGCATCCGCACCCACCGCGGCTGCCACCTCCGTCGTCACCTCCTCTACAGCCACCATCTCCGCTGTCGACCCCACCACCACCGAAGAAAGCACCACCATGATGGCCATGAACACCTTCACTACTGAGTCCTCTGCCGCTGATATAGCCCACACCTGTGTATACTCTAGCATTGGTACCACTATAGTGCTTTTAACACTGCTTTATTGCCAGATGATCACTGTACTAACGAGCTTGTCAAGACATTCCTTACTAGTCTATGGTGTCCTAGGGTTTCTTTTTTCTGAAGAGCCTCTTGAAACGACCTTTGCGTAGAGCTTCATGCTCTGACTGTAGCCTAGGTGCTGTAGTGTGTACCCTTGAATAGATCGCTGTTATCTACTGAGAGTAATTTCTTGATCGTGCCATCCCTGGCAAGGACCCAAGGTTGGATTGACCTGTTTGAAGACATCTTCCTGTTGCTCGAATGGCCGGCTGCAGAGAAGATCGATTCAGTAGAGGTGGTCACTGAAGGAGCAGCGGCCGCAGACGCACAGTTATCTTGATTCACGACGCCACAACGACGTTCACCACAGTGGCTCTCGTAGGCGCGAGCAGCATTGCGTTCAATCAAGTGAGGCTCATCTGCGATCCACCGATTTGATTAGCGAACTGGGAGCCAGACCTTCAGCGCCCTCTCCTTGCTCAGAACATCATCAGCAGCACTCTAGACACCGTGTCGCGATTATCGGCAGCCCTGGAGACCGGTTGACTGCTGACGCACCTGCCTCTCGCCACATACTTCCCTGCAGCAGGAGCGAACGCCTGACAGCGGTTGCACCTGCCTTGCAGCTGGACAGTTTCAGTGGCAGGAGCTACCGGCCACCGACGCCCGTGCCTGCCTGCCAGCTAAATAGTCTCTGCGGCAGGAGCGAGTGGGTGAGGGCGTTCGTACCTACCTCCCAAGATGACTGTCTGCGGCAGGAGCGATTGGGTAAGAGTAATAGCACCTGCCCATTGAGATACTGTGCGCGGCAGGACCGACTGGGTCACGGCGGTCGTACCTGCTCCGCAGCTAGACAATTTCTACGGCAGGAGTGAGAGGGTGACCGCGATCCCACCTACCTCTCGAGGCGCCGTCTGCTGCGGGAGGAGCGGCTAGGCGGCGACGTCCGCACCTGCCTCGCTGGATGACACTTTCTACGGAAGGACCGATCGATGGGGAGTGTGTTGACCAGCGATGGAAAGCCCCACAGAGCGAGCGACGAACCTCTGCAAAAGAACGACGCGGTGCAAGAAATGCATGCAGGGCAGTCCTGGCTCTCTGCGAGTCGAGCTTTGGCAGAGATCGAAAGGGTTTTAGTCTTCAGCGCAAGTCACGGTTTATAGCCGGGTCGTTGAATTTGGAAGGATGTTATTTCGTCATCAAGGACGGTGGACCAGTCTGTGACATAAGGGCGTTTTCCAGCAGGTTCACGAACCAGTAGCTATCTTTTGTTGCTTCCTGGCCCAAGATGTCTTGCTCATAAGTGCAGCTTGGGCATAGTCCAAGCCGCGACGTAGCCGCCAGGGAGCACATCACCAGATTGCCCGTAATCCCTAGATGTGCCGACATTCAGCGTCCCAGCATCCACACGGACCTGGCACATATACACTTGGAACGACACTGTTGTCGATCTCGCGGACTCTACTGGTAGAAGCGGACGGCTGTTGGGGTATGGTGCGCCACACAGTATCGTTGCTGTCCACGCTGTCGCCATCACTCTCGTTCTCACTCTCGCCGGAACCGGAGACCCCAACGCTCGCTACGTCGAGGCTTTCACTGCTGGCAGCACTTGCATTGCTCCAGCTGTCTCCGTCGGCGGCAGATGCAGGATAGACACTGGGAGACTCGGAGTCCCACGAGCAGTCGCTGGCGTATTCAACGTGCTGGAAGTCTCCATCTAACGAGCAGCTGCGGGACTCTGAAGCCTCGTAGGGGCTGTCGTCTTCTGTAGCCGGTGCACTTCCAGCAGCATTGCAGACTGGTCGAGCTTCAGGCTTGTTCGCGGCCGCATCGTCGGCAGCATCTGAATTGTGATCTTTGCTGTCTTCCTCTTTCTGCTCCTTCTGATCCTCCTTCTCCTTCTCATCTGCCTCTCCCTCCTTCTCCGTCCCGGCCTTATTTTTCGCCACATCGTTCTCTACCACTAGCTTATCGAGCGCGTTCCAAAACTGTTGCGCACTTGCCAACGAGCTGATCTCTCCCATATGGACATCCCAGTCAACCAAGGAAGGACATGAATCCGAATCCGAATCCGAGTCCGATCTCGACTCCGAACTGGTGTCGCGAGACCACTCCAGGGGAGGCGGACTGGAACGGTAGAAATCGTCAATGTCTGCGTCGATCTTTGGAGCTGTTGACCTGGGGCCAAGCGTATCAAGGCGCGTATTCAACTTGAGATCTGGATGGCGGGCGCTGGCTAGGACTTCCAACCACGGACGCGTGGTTGGGGCTGCTGGGTACGGGTCAAAGGTGTTGTTCTGTAAGTTGCTGGTAAGCCTCAGCCAGTTCGCTTCGCTTTGAGCTGTGAGCCAGGGTCCGCTGGGATCCCTTGTAGTGGTTGTCTGTTGCTCTCGGCTATTATCTGTGCTTGTATCGTCAGGCTTCATAGATGTGGAGTCCGCCTGCACGGACGGACGTGGGCAGAAGTCGTCGATTCGCATCGGGTTGTCATGTTGCCAGATATCACCTGTGCTTAGCCCGTCAATTTGTGAAGGTGTCGGTTTGGTGACCATCGGCCGCGGGTAGGGGGTCGGGGGCCTTGCGGTAGTTGGCTGCTGGTGCATATAATATGCGTTCGTGTCGTAAAGCTTCGCGGGTGGTACTTGAACGACTGCGGGCGACGGACGAAGCATATCGGCTCGCGTGAGCATTTGATGTTGCTCTGTATCCGTGCGTGTCTCATGATGAGTCAAAGGCGCCGGCGTCGCCAGAACTGCCGGCCACGGGCAGAATGTGTCGATGCGCGTTGGGATTTGATGGTTGCGGGTCTCATATGGGATCACCGACCGCAAGCCAGTGTCAGTCGCGTTGCTGGCATTACTGCTGGACTCTTTGATGGCGGCAATATTGTCTGGGACGCTTGGTAACGGTCTCTCAGCTTTGGAGTCCAGCTGCCCATGAACGGTATCTTCATTCGTTGCCTTCGCATCATCCTCCACCAGCTCGGCCTTGAGTTTGATCGACTCTGCTGCAAATTCGGCTTGACTCTCTGCAGCAGCTCTTACGGCGGTGATTGCCTGGTCGATACCCTCAACTGTCAATCTAATGTTCGCAGTCACGATGTTGGTCCTGTGATCCGGCCATGACCCAGCCATATTGTCTGCTGCTTGCTCAAGTCTTGACATTTTCCGGCCCCTGGTTTCCCGATACGGTCTCCAGGAGCCCGTGGATTCCGCAGCGGCATTGCCTTGTCCGGTAGAGAGCTTCGGCTTGTCGGCCACCTTGACAGGCCCTTTCGTCGCTGATCTGGCAGGAGTGCCCGGAGCCTCTTCAGCCTTCTGCTTTTTGCCGACGCTGGCATCATTGATCTTAGTTCTTGCCTCGCTCAATGCTTCGATCGCGCTACTGGTCAAGTGGACCTCTCGGCCCTTTCTACGCTCATGGTAAACACCATGCTCACGCATAGATTGCACCTTAGCTCTTTGGATGTCGTTGATTAAATGAAGAACCTTCACGTGGCTTTCCCCAGCCTTTGCGGCTTGATCGCCATAGTGAATTGTACTGTGTCTGGTCAATTTCGCATGGCTCGCGGTTAAAGGCATGGGTTGCACACTCTGAGTGGCTAGCTTCTCAACACTCTCCACGAGATGCCATGGGAGGCAGATCAGCCGCCCAACCGCCGGATCCGAAGGGTCAAAGCACGGTTGGCTGGGGTCTTCGAGTAAGTTGGCGACCTGTGTGACGGTGTCCTTGACCTTATCGTTGAACGAGGACGCTTTAGAAGTTGAAGACTGGGTCATGACATTCTTGACCGTGCTGTCGACCGAGACGGCCGCAGAATTTGGAGACTTGACGACGGTGTCCTTGACTCTGCCGTCGAACGAAGCAACTTCAGGGTTTGGAACGTGCTTCATCTGGGTCAAAGGAGTGAGTCCTCGGAGAACTTCCCGCGTAGTCGGGTGTCCTGTTTCCGCTGGGACTTTAGTGGAGTGATTGGCCGAACTCAGCCCTTGGGAAAGCGTCGAACTTTCGGCAGAGGCTGTAGGAGACGGCTTGGGTTGATGTTGCGTCGTGGTAACAGTGACTGTGGGACAATGACGTTTCGTGGCCTGCGAGGGCTGCGACTGGTCTCGCTTTGCCTCCAGTGGCGTACTTTTATGCTGGTTCGGCGAGGCATGGTTGTCTGCGGATAGTACTGCATCAATTACGATGGGCCAACACGGACGCGCGCTTTCTTCCTGGGCCTTCGAAGCAACGCTGCCTGCGGACGACGACAGACCGATCGCAACGGGATCGAACACTTCATCGAGGGCCTTTGGACGGTGGCGTTTCAGGTAACGGGCGTTACAGCAGCCCGCACAGCCGTTAGCAGCACATGCAGACTCTTCTCCTTGCAGCTCTGGCTTTCCGTGCACTGAACATTGAGGTTCATACGGAACGAACGCGATGCCGAACGCCGGTTGATCGCACAGCCCAGGACTGTGCGTACGGACAATTGACCCTTCAGATGTGGTCTTGTCCAGGACTTTGTGTTCTGGTCGCTCGCAAGCCCGGACCGGTTTGGCGTACACTTTGCGATCTGCTTCTTTGTGCTCGTTGGCCGATTTGTCGTTCAGTATCCTCATCAACAAAAACGTACAGGCTAGCCACACTGCGTAGCCTGGTAGAAGGATTTTGAAGATGCTAGGATGGTCATCAGATGGTGTGTCAACAACTGCGTTGACAGTCTCTTTCTCGTCAATTGCGTTCTGTCGACTCACTAGCTCGCCCACGGCCCTTACCCTTTGATCCATTGCTTCCATTTCTTCGCTGCGACGCATCTTCTCAGGATCCCTCTTGATCCACTCGACGCACTCAGCGTAGACAGATGATGTATTGCAGACTCTGTGCAGCGTCCCTGTACCGTACTCTCCAGTGCTCCCTCCGCCTGGCACCCAGATACACGAGTCTCCCGGAACTGAGGGCTGTGGAGAGGAGGATGTGACGACACATTGAGGTGGCGCCTCCTGGGCGACTTTCGAGGTCACGTCGGCGTGCCTAGTATGGCCAGATTTCCCAGAACCACCAATGGTTCGCGCGAGTTGCAAATGCCTGACCTCGTTCAGCATCAGTGACGCGAATATCGCCGCCAGGGCATATGCGAAGGCCAACAACATTGTTGCCACTGACGAGGGTCTCCGATTCAGTTGACTGAGTAGACCGAAAGCTGTTGAGTCGTTACAGTTGAGCGAGAACTGTTTTCGAGAATGAATTTTGAGGACCAAAGCGCTTGTGGACACGTTTTTCTCTGTGTGGGATCGCAGCTGAACCAAGGTACTCCTTGAAGTCTATTACCTGGACCGCGTCACATTCAGATAGAGCACATTATTGACTCTTTCCTGTTCTGTTGCGCAGCCCGTGTTTATGGTTCCGTGCCTGAAGTACCGGAAGCAACCAGAAAGTGTAAAGCTATTCGAGCTTTCGAGATCTTGTGGTGCCAAAAGCTACAGCTGTGATGTATGATGCGTTGCATTCGTCTGTCTCTGCGTAAGGGCAAGGGTAGTGTTCGAGGCTGAATCGAAGCAAGAAAGCGGTCTTGATACACAAAGCCATCGAGCGGAAACACAGACAAAGTGGTGATGACATTCGCGCGTATCTCCTATTATCTGTCACATTGAGACCCATACTATTGCGTAGGTAGTGTCGTCAAATCGTCCTCTCAGTAGCGCTTGATGACTGTCGATGCTTCAACGGTGCCTGGTGAACTCGCCATCGCGACATCCTTCGGTCTTGCAGACCTCGCATCCTTCGTAGATGGTCGCATGCTGTGCTCTGCGATGAGTGATAGGCATGCCCGTGCCTGTGTTCTGCGACAGCTCTGACAGCTACTGAGCAGACTTGATGGCGAAGTCCTTCTCTCAGTGTCGGCTTTCAAGGCCCTGGAGCCCTTGACATGGTGGCATAAACCGGCAAGGGTGAATCTTCCAATGCTCTGACGTCTCTGACGATCTCCATCAGATATCCATACTGAATAACGACACCTTTGGCCAGGAGAAGACCAATGATGGCCAGGATCATAGCAGTCAGGCAGGCGACACCAAGACCAAGGGGAAAGCCGATAAAAATCATCGCCCAGATCTCGAAAAGTTTATCAGCGACTTGTTGTAGATTGTTGACTCCTATCTGCAAACTGACGTGGTACAGCAACGCAGGAATAACGGGGATACCGATGTAGAGGAAGATCACGAAGATGGACCAGATCCCTTCATCTCCATCACTTCTTGCAGGTTTCAATTCCTTCTGTCGGCGTTTTCTTTGGGATTTGACAGTGCGGTCGGCTTGGTCGTCCAGAGGCGGAGCGGCAGTGGCTATGTTCTGGCGTGCCATTGATGATGATCTGGATCCCCGGGGTCTCAAGGTGTGTGTTCGGGCAAGGTGTAAGGGGTGACGAGTGTTATCGATGTTAATGTCTGAGAAGCCAGATTGCAGGATGTTTGTGTGCGCCTGTCGCGCACAGGGACACCTGTACCCGCAAGGAGCCATCCTGACTTTTCCATAACCTTGGAATGATAGCTGAATCGGCTGATATATGTATGATCCACCCAGCTGATGATGGCGTCCTCAACAAGGCTCACTGATCAGCACTTTATTCAATCATCTGGTATCAGGCTGGAGTTCGTATAGTCCTTGGGCTTTCTTGTTGGCTTGTAGAGAGCAGCCAACCGTAACTCCAGTACTTCGGCTCGCAATTCACCAGCAGTTCCGTCCCAATCGACTCGAACATCTACCACGGCTGTGTGCAACGGAACATTCGTCGTAGTACCTGGCTCATTGTTGCGCAAGCAGGTGTTCAATCAGAATCCAAGCGCCTTGACCAGCGATCCGAGCATTGACGTGATGCCAAGGAGCAATAAGATGACAAAGAACAAGCAGATAAGGCAGCCGATGCAAGCTAGAAGGCCAAGAACCACTCGTCGCAGGATGTCCAGTTCCTTGTACGGGAGAGGAACGAACTCGAAGGCAGTATTGGCTGATGTCGTATTCGGAGGCATGGTGCGCGTCGGTGACTGAGATTCGACGTCAAGGAATGTAGATGTTGCTGCGACCATGTTCGTCGAACGTGAGATGATATATGAAGAAGTTGAGAGTACGAAAGAAAGATAACACCGCACTAATGAACATGTCCGGTCTTTTGGTGGGTATGCTTTTCTGACTTGACGGACTCCACTCACACTCAAATCGCAGCGAGATACCGCAGACCAGCGTCAGCCTGAACCTTGGACGACTCAATAGAGCTGCAAAATAGTCGCAACGGCGAGGCGGAATCGCAATAGTGGACAAACTTGCCATTTGGAGGCCTCACACGCAGCCACTGGTGTCTTGATGAGCCACGGCCTATAGCACATACCGAGCAGATTCCTCCTTTCGGTACATTCATAGATCCCACCAGCTCTCATGATAATCCCTGAGATCCAATTTCCCGTCCACAGCTTCGGGCTTCAAATACGACGAGAAGTCTACCTCCCGTTCGCCGTCTTCGCCCGTTGTCTCTTGCTTACTTGTGGCCAGTTCTGCTGCTTGAATGTCCTTTACGCTCCATCCGTTTCCAAAGTAGCCAAAACGATTGCCTTGGCGATTTAAGTACGTGTATTCGTAATCTTCCCATCGGACCTGGCGCCTCACAATGTTCAGATGACTACCGCTACCAGGCCATATTCCATGTATGCGGCCGCCGTTGATTCCGCCGTTGTACCATGAGCTGCAATTCTCGCTCATCACCGTCCTTGGGAAAAAGCTTTCGCAGTAGGCGCGGAAATCTCTCGTTGCCGCTTCCGTTGGCTGAATGGTACGTATGCGCTGGCTGCTGACCTTGCGTAGCACTTTCGCGATATAGGTCACACTGTTCTCTAGGCTATGTGGAAGCGTGCCACCGGGCCCGGTGCTATTGGGACCAAGAAGGAAGAACAAGTTGGGGTAACCGGGAGTAGCAATGCTAGGTAGCTGTCAGGGAAGCCCGGCGGTCGCCAACGAGACTGCAGATTAGTGGTAGAACCCGGATCACTTTTCTGGAGCGCAATGTCCGCTGGGCCGTAGATAGGAAATGCTGTGCTGAAGGAGATGTCGGCTCCAGTGGCACAGAAGATTGCGTCCACTTCGCGCTTGATGCCATCGGCTGTGACTATGCCAGTAGGAATGATCTGCACGATCCGTTCCCGGATGTAGTTCACGTTGGCTGAGTTAAGGCTTCAAGGTACCCAGGGCCGGGTGTCAAGCGTCGGCAGTTGGGGGAGAACGACGGAGTCACTGCATCGAGCAGCTCGTCTCGCTTGTCGCCCAGACGTGCTGCCATGAGTCCTTGGAAAGTTTCACGGGCTTTCTTGTTCGGCAGCTGGTCTTTGAAGATGATGCTGAAGCGATCAAAGGACTTGTTCTCGATGGATTTGCGAAACTGCGTGTAGCCTTGCGCATCTTGAGGAGCAAGCTCTCGTGAGTCTGATGTGGACGGGGGGATCTTCTCACCACCAAATGAGCCAGCAATCCATGTTGGAGACCTTGCATAATGGTCCAACGACTTGGCGACCTTCTGCAGCTGGGGCAATACCTGGATACCGCTAGCACCGTTGCCGATGACTGCCACCCTCTTACCCGCTGCGTCAAATGCTGGGTCGTAGTTTGATGTATGCCTAAGGTGTCCCTGAAAAGTCTCGATGCCTGGATATGACGGCAGCCTGGGGTCGCTGAAATGACCTGTGGCGGTGATCAGGAAGTCAGCCTCCTCGACTCTGACGGCACCCAAGTGTTCGACACGTATCTGCCACTTGGCGAGTGCCTCCGACCAGCGAGCTTCTAGTACCCGATGCGAGAGCTGGATCGTGTTGCCAAGATTGTATTTGGCAACGAGACCTTTCCAGTACGCCTTGATCTCAGCTCCACGTCCGTAATTCGCAGACCAGTCAGTCTTAGGCGAGAATGTCGTTTGGTAGACATCAGATGGCACGTCACAACGGACACCAGGATAGATGTTGGAATTCCACACGCCACCGACGTCCGAGTTGCGTTCCAGTATTGTCAGATCGAGACCAGGAACCTTGTGTTGAAGTAAGATTCCAGCTGTGATTCCTGCTGGACCAGCACCAACAACAATAGCTCGACGGCTTTCGTGCTCGTCCACAGCATGCTCCTCGAGCTCAAGAGCTGGGAATACTGTTCTCAAAGGGGCGCGTTCCGGCTCGTGGCGTTCGTTGTCTTCGAAGATACCTGGGGAGACAGTCTTTGAGTCTGCGACACCGTCCGGTCTCTTCTCTGATTGAGGTGATGGTGGGGTGACCCTGGGTGTATCCTTAGCTTGGTGACGATGGACAGTCGCCGTGCCGTTCTCTTCTAGGTACGGTGACATGTTCGCTGTGATCGTTGGTGACAGCTTTGGAAGACCTCCCAAAATATCGCCTCAGACGCACAGATCTGGAGGCTCAACAGATGAGCTGACGCGAGGTTGAGGGCGACATGCTCAGGAGCTCGTCGCAACATACTGAAGATGCCCGCGTGGTGCGCGGCTATGAGCCCGACCTGCTGACGGTGAGTTTATCAGCGTTGCTCCACAAGCTCCTCATGTCGACTTGCCGGCGACTCGCTAGTGTGTATCGCGCAATAAGGGTGGCATGCCGCGCAATCGCGATTCCGCGCTGGCGGCTACGACTAGTGTTTCATTGCATGCTGTTTCGGTCTTATCGACGTGGGCATCAAGAGTCCATACATGTTCTTGAGCCATTTGGACTGCGTGTATGCCGGGTCAGATCAGATGTCGTGATCCCTTGGCAGAGCACGTGCGGCTGCAAGCGCGGTTCACGTCCCCACCCAAACGCCAAGGATAGCCGCCGATAGTTGGGCAAACAACCACAACAGACGAGCACTATCTGGCCCTCCTAGCGTGCAAGGGCTACATGCCCATGGCAGAATGATCTGCTGAGAGGCCCTTCTCCGATTTAGGCGCGTGGCGCAGAAATGACCGCCATGTACTTTCTTTTGGGCGAAGCAGCGAGCTTAGGTAGGGGTCTGCTACCAGCGCATCACGATGGCGAACGACGTTGAGCAGAAGAATGGTGCAACGGCGGATACAGCGACGACAAAACGCCGCATTTTGCTCAATGGCTTCGACATGTTCACCGTCGGCCACTTGTCATTTGGTCAATGGAGGGCTCCAGGGGATCGATCTGCTACGAAAAGACGGGATCTCACTTACTGGACTGACTTGGCCCGCTTGCTCGAGAAAGGCGACTTCAATGCTTTGTTCCTCGCTGATACGTACGGGCAGTACGATGTCTATAGAGGCAGTGCTGAGCCATGCATCCGCACTGCTGCACAATTTCCGATGGGTGATCCTGCAGTTGTGAGTCTGAGCGCCGGTAAACACTTGCGCAGCTCTAACATGCCAAGCCCATCACCGCCATGGCAGCAGTAACGAAGAATCTGGGATTCGCGATTACGACATCGACATCGTACGAAGCACCATACACCGTCGCAAAGCGATTTTCGACACTTGATCACCTCACTCAAGGTCGCTTTGGCTGGAACATCGTCACTTCCTTCAAGGAGTCGGGCTCGAAAGCACTGGGCACAACTCCCATTGAGCACGACAAACGCTACGAGGTCGCCGAGGAGTTTCTCACTGTCCTATACAAGCTCTGGGAAGGTTCCTGGGCTGATGATGCGCTGCGTGAGGATCGGGAGCACGAGATTTATGCCGACCCTAGTCGAATCAGAACTGTCCAGCATGACGGCGAGCATTACAAGGTGGAAGCACCACACATTCTCGACCCGAGTCCTCAACGCACACCTTTTCTGTTCCAAGCAGGCACCTCACCAGCCGGGATAGCCTTCGGCGCCAAACATAGCGAAGGCATTTTTGTTTCTGCGTTATCGCCTCACATTCTGGCGCCTCGAGTCGCGAAACTACGTGCTGCGGCGGCCTCTGCTGGTCGAGACCCACGTGCGCTAAAAGTCTTTGCTGTTATCACTCCAATCATAGGCCGCACGGAGCAAGAAGCAAAGGACAAGTACGATGAAGCGCGAAAGTACACGAGCTATGAAGCTGGCCTCACCTTTTGGTCCGGTAACGCAGGTATCGACTTGAGCAAATTCGACCTCGACACAGAAATCTCTGCCTTTGATGTGGGCACAGATCATCGCGTACAATCTCTCGTGGCGTCTCTATCGTATCATGGAAGCGATCTGCCACGTGGACGCCACGAAACATCGGCAAGCAGATTTCCCTGGGTGGCAATGGACCAGTGCCGGTAGGAACAGCGGCTCAGGTGGCGGATGTATTTGAGTACTGGGCAGACACAGCCGACTTGGACGGGTTCAATGTTGGATATGTGACGACGCCGGAGACCTTCGAAAATTGCGTGGAGTTACTTGTGCCAGAGCTAAGGCGTCGTGGACGATATTCACCAGTCGCGAAGCCGGGACAATGAGGGAGAGAGTCTATGGACAAGGCCAGAAGCGTCTGAGGGACGACCACCCGGGTAGCCGATTCCAGTATGAGCTGTATGATGGACACTAGCATGGCAAAGTCCGTGGCGCGGCAGCACCTGCATCTCGCTGGACGGGTTAGAGGCTCTAGCTCCCTTGTCTTTGAGCCGTGCGTCAAGGCCCACGAGGAGGTTCCCATCCGCAAACGCGGTACAGGCAGCGAATCAGGACCAAGATATCGGCTTCGTATCGTGAGAAATGCGCCTCTCAACAGTCGCATATGCCGAGTCAGTCTCAGTGACACGACGCCACCAAACACGTCCTTCAAGGAAGTGCCCACGCGCAAGAGCATGGCATGGCATTCTACCGAAGCTGATAGGAGCCCAAGGTCTTGGAGCCCATGTGCAGCAGACATTAGTCGCGATGCCAGAATTCGCCATGTAGACTATCATGTCGTGCTTGATCTAGTATATCAATTGTGGAGACATGTATTGACGAACCAAGCTTGGCGATATCGGACATGGGTCCTTCAGAAAACCATAAGTATAACTTCAAAATTCTGATGCACCAGAACTTGGATCTGTCCAGGCCTACGCACAATTCAGCTCTCATGGCAGTACTGCAGGAGAGTCACGTCGATGCCTCGGCTACTGTCCCAAAAACAAGATGGCAAAAGGTCCAGGAAATCATCTGGGATGGGCCACGGCCCAAAGAGGAAAGAAAACTGATACAACGTCTTGACTTGTTTCTGATGTGAGTTTCACCACCGCAACTTCAGCACTTCTGACTAGAAACAGGAGTTGGGCAACCTATGGGTACTTTATCAGGCTGCTCGACTCAACAAACATCAGTATGTTTTTACCCATAGCCCATGGCTTTGCTGACGGGTCGCAAGCGAATGCATATGTTTCGGGTATGAGAGATGATCTCAACTTCAAAGGACGCGAATACAACCTGTTGTTCACGTTCTTCACTTCCGGTTACCTGGTCGGGCAAATCCCGTCTCAGCTTCTGCTCACAAGAATTCGACCATCGTGGTACCTCCCAACTCTGGAACTCCTCTGGTCATGCCTCACCTTCACCTTCGCCGCCGTCCAACACGTCCGCCACGTCTTTGCACTTCGCTTCCTGATCGGCGTTCTCGAGTCCGGTTTTGCAGTCGGCATCATCACAATCATGGGCTCATGGTACACGCCGCGCGAACTCGCAAAACGCATCGCCATCTTCTACTCCGCGAGCTACGCAGCCAGCATGTTCAGCGGCTACCTCCAAGCTGGCATCTACCGTGGCATGGACGGACACCTCGGCTTGGCGGGATGGAGATGGCTCTTCATCTTCTGTGGGATCATCTCGCTTCCTGGCGCATTCTGGGGCTTTTATGCTGCTCCGGACAATCCTTACGACTGTAAAGTGAGGTGGCTGTCCGCGGAACAGAAGCAGTGGTTCGTCGCGAGAGCGGAGAGATTCGAGAAGGGTCGTCCTGTTGGGCTCTCCTGGGCCAAGATCCGCAAGATCTTTTCGGGCTGGCGGATCTATGTCGTTACTCTGACGCTTATGTAAGTCGTCTGCGGCCGCGGTAACCGGAGACTAATTCGCGGCAGATCGCACTGTATCGTCACTCAGCCATTGAACTATTTCGCCGTCTGGCTGCAGTCGCTTGATCGGTTCTCGGTCTACCAGATGAACCTGTTCCCTACCGCTGCGCAAGCCTTAGGGCTAGTCACAACGCTTGCGTATGGATGGATCTCTGATGGCCTTGGAGGCAAGCGATGGCAGATCCTTGTTGTTCCAGCAGTGAGACACCCTCAAACTTGTGCTGGCCTACACTGACACCAACAGACTATCAACTTTGTGGGCATGGTTGTCGTTGCTACCTACCCAAACTACGGCGCCGTCTTCTTCGGATTCGTCATCAACGCAGCGTCGTGGGGCTTCTGGCCAGTCCTCTATGTACGTGCTACATCATCGGCCGCTTGGGAATTGTACTGACACCTTGCAGGCCTGGGTCAACGAGTTCTGCCGCGACGATGCCGAGGAGAGAGCGATCGTCATAGGTGTCGCACAGACCTTTGGACAAGCGTTCATAGCGTGGGTGCCCTTGCTGATACTCAACGTCGGCAAGTACGCTCCTAGATTCCATCTCGGATTCAGCGTTATGAGTGGCATCTCCGTACTCGAATTCGCGATGATCTTCGTTCTGAGATACTTCGTCAAGCGTGACGGTGAGCAGAAACAGGCGGCAGAGAACTCAGCGAGTCTCACAGAGGACGCGGTGAAGCACGAGAGCGCTGGCGACACACATGCAAAGACCGCTGTTGATGTTGACACCCGCGAGACATCTTTGTATGGACGGACTAGCAGGTAGCAATATCAGTAGTGATGATGGCCTTGGATAGATACAAAAGTTGGGATCTGATAATCCCTATTCCCACTATCGGAGAGACCTGGGAGAGGAAAGCTCGCCGTGGGCTAGGAAAGTAACGCTTACTTGTAGCAGTGTCATGCTGCTTCGAGGCCCCAGGGAGCGAAAGTACGAAAGTACACCTGTGGCTCGGCTCTAGGCGCCAAGGCACAGATTGAGGCAAGGCGGAACCCCCTTTTTGCCTGGTGTATCAGTACTACTTCTGCGATTCTCAGTTGCAGATCTTGAACGCACGCTTGGCGTGAACATCAAGTAGGAGTATGAAGGTATATTAGTAGATGTCTAGTATGTTCATAAGATCATATAACCCGAACGCTCGCGTGAGGTGTTCAGGGCAAGTATGTGCAGCCTTGGCTTTCAGTACAGCCGGTCAACGCTGGTCCATCCCAAACTCTGGTCAAAGCACTGTCCAAGTATCGCTTGCGAAGGAAAAGCCGACCCATCCCTGCCAGTTTCGGACTCTCAGTACCGATAATTTGGCGTATTGTAGTTGAAATCATCCCGATATGGCTGACTGTTGCCATTCCCAAAATCCAGTGCGGGCAGCGTCGGCTCTCTGACACTGCTCTCGCTCCTGTTGACAGAGTGGTAGCCGCCCTTGCCGAGAGGAGCCGCGTTACCTAGCAGTCCCCTCTCTTGGCTTTGCTCTCTCTCATACGCAGGTCGCATCGGCTCGTACGCCTTATCGCTCTGGCTCATCTGCTTCCTATGCCTCGGCGGAGAATTGCTGTATGGCTGAGGCTCCATGAGGAACGCATCACCCTCGATCTCGCGCTGTTGATCAGACAGCTTAGCGGCCTCCTTTCTGCGCTTCCTGTGCGGGTTCTCCTTGCAGCAGGTGATGATGCTGTTCACCAGGATCAAAATCGCAAGGACGCCCGTGAGGACGGATTGCACAACGATGAGGACGACGCCAGTGATCGTAGACGTGGTCTGCGCAATACCGAGTTCCTGGACGAATACCAAGATACAGATCACGGAGAGCACGCGGACGACTTGGATGATGATGTTGATCCAGTTGCCTGAACGGCGATTGTAGGGTCGGCTCCAGAGCAGGATGACGAGCATTAGACTCTCAACGATCAGCTGGCCAGCGGATTGGACGAGTCCATGGCCTGTTCCGGCGGCCAAGATGCAGCCTTTGGCGAACATGTAGATGATGAAGGGGATGAAGAGCCACCAGTATGCGGTGCGGTAGTTGGAGTAGAAGATGTAGTATTTCTTCCACGTTGGCTTGTCGTCGAAGAGATTCTGCGCTGAGCCGGTGGTTTTCTTCATCTTGCGGACGACGGAAAGGATCTTCCAGACGTAAAATGCCAGAATTGCCGTGAACAGTCCGAGGACAACTCCAGCCAATAGTTTCGCAGCCCATGAGTCGCCGTGCGTGAACTGGAATATGCAATAAAGTGTCCAAACGCCGTAGAGCAGTAGAATAAGGTTGACTAGGGTTTGTCCCAGAACGCGCCAGTATTCCTTGCGAAACGTTGTGAGTGACTTGGGAAACTTTCCCCAAAGAGCCCAGGCCTCGAGAATGACCTTGAACAGAAGGATGCCAACCACACAGGCAGCGACAACGATTGCGAACACAAGCAGCACGGTCATGAAGGTATTCTCCTCAGGTACAGAGTACTGCTCGACATAGGCGGAAATTCCATCCACGAATTTCTTATCCTCGCCATCATCGCGGCGCATGAGCATGGCGCGCTTGATGAGACCGCTTGACGTTTGGAGTGTCGAGTTGTCCGGCAGTACGAGCGTAGCATTCTTGAGGAAATCGTAATTCGCGTCTGTGGTGTTGCCGCCGGTCTTCTCCCGGAACGAATCAATGGTCCTCTGCATTGCTGGCCACGAAATCAATCCAGTAGAGAATGCGAAGTTGCGGGTGAAGCTGCGGTATACACTCGGGTAGTTGACAGAGTGCATGCCGTTCATCGCAATACCTTGGAACCACCACATCACCTCAAAGAAGCCAGGACTCGGACCAGACGAGCCTGCACCCGAGGCTGCAGCTCCCACTGCGGATGCGACCAGAGCACCCGCGGCGATCGCAGCTGCGACGTATGACACTGCAGGGAGTTCGACTGTCTTGCCGTTCGAAATGTTAGATTGGATGCATGCAACCTGAGCGCCGCCATCTCTCGCCTTGAGCACGAGCTTGGCGTCCCCGTCCAGATCAGGGATGCTGAACGCGATGCTGGGGATCTGCTTTACTTGTTCGGAGGGAATTTCGATTGAGTCTTTGGCACCGAATGAGCCCGACGGTACTATTGAAGTCAGTATGCTATCCGGACCTGGTGGAGAAATATGCCTTACAAGGACACAGCTGCTCAACTTTGGTTGCATCGTCACATGGGTCGAAGTCTTTGCTGAACACGTTGATGCCATATGCCGTCACGGTGAGCGTAGCAGTGACCTCCTGCTCCTTCTCACTGTCACCCTGCACGTCGAAATTGACCTTATTTGTCTCCTTATCGAATGAAATATCGACCTTGTTCACCTTGATAGAGTTGTCCCCACCGCAATCACTGAAGCCATCGGTCGAGAGTGTTGTGTCGGCGATGACAGTGTTGAGGAATACACTTGATGCTAATAATGCTAGTGTCGATGTCCGCCACATTGTGTATGTATAGAGTATATATAGTGTGCTGAACCGCACAGCAGTGTTGGAGGGCTGCCCCTCAGTAGAACGTGTGCCTACTCGATAGAAATTTTGGGGTAGAAGAGGAAGTCGAGTACGTAAGTCGTCGAATCGTCGAATTGTTGATGGAACGAATGTACAGCGCGAATCGAAACTGCAAGCGAATGTGGTTTTGTCGTCGTAAGGTGAATGAACAGTGGTGTATAGAAAGCAGACATCAAAAGCGGATGTAGCAGAACTGCTGATCTTCAAGTCTCGCCTGTTGCAAAAGATCATCGCCGCGTCGTCAGTAGCCGGGGATGCATGCCCGTGGAAAAGACCGCACCGCAAATCGGGCTAGTCTGGTGGTTACCGCCAGGGGAAAAGCAGAGCCCCAACGAATCGACAAGCCTCAGGGGCGTTATTCTGGAGCGAAACAGTCTTCTAGCGGCAAGTCAGTGGTGGCTTTGACCGTATGGTGGAGTTGGTTGGTTTCAGCGGGCACAACTCTGTTTTTGTGCATCGCGGTTCTGTGGTTGCTCGATCTCACCAACGAGCAGACGACCATCACGGCGAAGACCAAAGACTGCGAGAGACCTGACCGTCGGATCACGAGCTATCCAGTACAGAGTGCTGGCAGACTACGTTGGTGACATCTCGCACCAACGACCAGAACGTCGTCGTTGGGGGCACCATCGAAGACTCGAGAGAACTATCCGAGGCGCAGCAAGCCAACCGAGACATCAAGAACCCCATCTTTAGGCTTTTGGTGCCTGTGCCACGCGGACGGCGCCGAAGAGTTCAACATCGCTCGTGGTCTCTTTGATCGCGTGCTTACCTACACATCCCTCGGATGGGGACCTGACTGTGTATTCGATTTCAAGTTGTCCGGTAGGCCTTGCTCTCTCGAGCTGCGATGCTGCAGCGGATTGCAGTCACTACTGCAACACTTGTGGTTGTTGATGGCATGCTGAGCATTTGGGCAGCCCAAGCTTTCTGGCGGGTTCGGTGGCGCCTGCCATGCCAAAAATAGGCCGTCGAATTCTTCTCGAAATCGAAAATTCACTAGACTGGATTAAGCGCACCCAACCGGCAGCACTGAGGTCGCTGCATGTGAGATAGAAGGCACATTGGAACTAGTGACCATTATCTAGCCTGCATCGATCGTGAGCACGTTTAGACACACTGCGTTGGAAGGTAGCTGCGATGTAGATCTCCTCGATGCCAAGCAGTTGGGTAATGATGCTAAACGTGTCTTCTATCCACTGTAGATAGTGTTACGATAGAGGAGTTTCTCTCCATTCTCGATCAAATGCTGATGTACATAAGCTTGTGTAGGCCTAAACGAAGGCTGTAGTCGCCCGACTGATCTGCTCGACCCATCTGTGTCTTCTAACACGAACGCCCTCCGGTCTGGAGCTTCCGGTCACTGCTACCAGTCCACCCCAAACAGGAAACGGCGATGAGTGAGAAGACAGCCGCCCAACAGAGTGATGATAATCACAACCACGGCCACCACCAACATGAGCGGCGGCCCTGGCTGCACCACTAAGCCATCATCCCTGCCCTCATTGGTCCCTGCCGCGGATGCTGCTAGGGCAGAATAATCAAGCCATGACGCCGCAACGAGCAGCCACTTGTCATGAAAACGTCCCTAACGTCCATAAGGATGAAAGCGACCACCTCCACGTCCCCTGCCCCATCCACCACGTCCACCGCCACCACCAGCGCTCTTCGGACCCGTCGGCGCATTCGCAGGAGCATTGCTCGGACCAGTCGGGGCGTTCTTCGGAGCCTTCGTGTTCGGGGTGCCACTCCGCATCGGACCAGCAGACGACCTTCCACCCTGACTTCCGCCCGCACCCTCCGGCTGCGGCACATCATCGTACATACCCTCCCACGACTGCGGTGCGCCACCTTGTCCAGCGTTGTTGTTACCCTTCGGACCGCCAGGTGGGCCGCGCCTAGCTTGATTCTCGTATTTTTGCTGCTCGAACGCCATTTGCTCATTGGTGTTGAAGCCCCTGCCGCGACCACCGCCTCCGCCCATGTTGCCGCCATTCATGCCACCTGCACCACCATTCATCATGGCTTGCATCTGCTGCATCTGTTGAGGACTCATGTTCTGTCCGCCTGCGGCCATTTTCTGCATCTGCTGCATTTGTTGCATCTGCTGCATCTGTGCCATCATCTGAGGATTCATCTGACCCATGCCGCCGCCCATGGCGTTGGCCATCATCTGTTGCTGCATCATGGCGAAGTAGGTTTGCATGCGCTGCCAGCTGTCGTGGTTGTTAGCAAGATGTCAACGCAGATACAATGGATGGCGGGAGTATGCTTACTACTGAGCCATCATCTGTGGCGACATGCCGTTCATGCCCTGCATATTTGGACCCTGGTTCTGGCTGTTGCCATTGTTACCGCCGTCATTACCGAAGCGGTCGTCTCGCCCGAACTTGCCGCCACGGCCTCGGCCGCCACGAAACTCTTCCTCTTCTCCCATTTTGCCGCGTGGCTGAGCACGTTTGACCTCGATCGGCTTGTTGAGGATCTCGAGCGGGAAGTGGGCCAGTACTCTCTCGACCGCGGCATCGTTATCGAATGTGACGAACCCAAAGCCTCGTGGACGGCCGGTGTCCTTATCCATCATGAGTGTGGCATCGATGACTCGTCCGAACTGCTCGAAGAAGTCGGTAAAGTCTGCTTCGGTCGCATCTTGACTCACACCACCGACGAAGATCTTGGCGGTCTTTTCTTGCTCGTCCTTCGGTATGGCACGCTTCGGGTCAATCTGATTTTGTAAGCGCATGTTCTTCTTGCGCCCACGGGACCTTCGGGCATTGGGATTGGGGTTGCCCCATGTCTCCGGGCTTGTTTCAGAAAAGTGATGGGCTACACGTACGATCTTTCCATCCAGGTAGTGTTCTTTGACCATGACAGTGTTGACGGTCTTGGGGTCTTTGAAGGTGAGGAAGCCGAAGCCCCTTGAGCGGCCGGTGGCGCCATCGCGCATGACAGTGCACTCTTGGACCTCGCCGAATTGAGAGAAGTAGTCATGGAGAGATTCTGAAAGATTTGGGTCAGGAACATGCAACGAAATGGTGCCAAGAGATGCTTACGATCTGTGGTTTCCCAATTAAGTCCTCCGATGAACATCTTTCTATCAAGCCATACATATTAGTAACGGTCTAAGCATACTTGTGTCGTTAACAACAAAGCAGAGATCATGAAGGCTAATCGTCCAGGTGAATCCGGGTCCAAGTCGATTGAGACCATTATGCCGTTGGCGCTTGTGTATAGAGCCCAACATGCCTCCGACATTGGTCATTGATACTTGCGTCCACACAAAGTTGACGACTTGAAGTCGTAGCGACCTTGCACTAAGCAGTCGGGACGGATGGTTGGTGCAGGCATGGTGGAGGCGTTGGTGTAAAAGTCGTGGTGGAGACTGCGCCAAGACTCGCCGGAGGAGAGGTTTATCAAGGCAAAGTCAAGCCCAGCGCTGGCGAAAGTCTTGCTCGAGACATGCATCAACAGGCCGCAGAGACCAGCCTTTCAGAACTCTGTACGGCTCAGGTTCGCAACCCTGACTCTTTCTCGCAGCCTAGCCAGCGTCCTCTAATGACTTGACGCTGCAAAAGGTGGCATTGAATTTGTGTGTACCGGCGTTGTGATACTTGATGCTCCTATGTCCTGCCTGACTGTCTGACTGTTGAGGTATAGAGATATGTGAAGCCTAGTTTGTTCTGCTGCCATGATGTGTTGCGGTTCTAAGTCTGGGTAGACTGACATCCGTCCGATCGACCATTCTGTACAGAACAACTTGTCCATGAGAGCCATATGCTTACAGCGCTGATCAACAATTCTGCTATCAGATGCATTCTGCTGCAGATGCGACGCTCTAGTCGTACACATCCTCAAGCGGCAAGCCCAACGCAGCAACATCTCGCTTGCCTTCCAGCCATGCTTCGTGCAGCCATTGGCATAGGTCAAAGGATTCTCTAGCGCAGCTATCGTCCATTCGAAGCCGTTCTATAGGCGCTTCTCACCACGACTTGAGTCTAGTCGAGCAACCACAGACTCCGCGCAGTAGAATCCTTGCCGAGTATCCTCCTTCCACAGGGCTATGGGAGCCAACCAGGACCAATGCCGACGGTCGCGCGGATTGGGGTACTTGGGGCGGTTTCAAAGCATGAGATTTGTTATTACTTACCCATCTTCTTTCATCCGAATGCCAGGCTCCTCTTCTCTAGTATACTCGTGTGTCTCACTTGCAGCTTCCGTGGCCGCGCCATTGGCAGGCTGTTCTTGCATACCAGTATCATTGTCGAAAGCCGAGGGATCATGACCGGTGTCTGGCTCTTCGCCATAGCCTGGCGTTTCAGTCGCTTCGGCGGGCTCGGGCACATGTGCCTGAGTAACGATCTGGTCTTTTGAAGGCGCGCTTTCGTCATTGTCGTAACTGACGCATGTCAATGTAGGGATTTCGATGAGAGAAATGTGCACTTACAGATCAGCGAAGAGATCTTCCTCCTCCATGTTGTCCGCGTCCGCCATGTTTGAGCTGCTCAATGCACACAAACAATGGCAGCGATCGTTGCGCCTCACCAGAGGACAGAACGTGCGTAGAGGTGTGTACGACTCAAGGTAACGACGACGATCAAGAACAGCCAAGCGACTTGAGGACGTCGACGTGCAGACTCGATGCGCTAAGTGTAAGTACGGGCAATGAAATGTACTGAGCAGTACGAGATGAGAGAGGTCAGACTTGACATCTTCTGAGGTTGAGACCATTCTGAAGAAGTGAAGAACTATGTCCGCCTAAAGCCTAGTGGCGGATGTCTTATCCGCAGAAAGTGGAGCCACTTTGGTACCAATGTGCTGGACCATTGCGGAAGCAAGTGAATGATTCCTAGACAATGTCACAGTCTAGTCACTTTGTATAAGCACTTTTCACGTTTTTAGGAACATTAATTCTACAGTAACACTGTACACGCTCCAACAGTCATCAGCCCTAGGCTCAACAAAACTCCTTGTCGACGCAGGACTTTGTGACCCAGCACAGTCCACCATCGCATCCCCTGTTGCGGATACCTCGACTCGAGGCGTTCCAACATGCATGAGCGATCGAAGTCGGCTGCCGTGAGATGATGTCGAGATCGGAGTCTCCCGGTCTACCGGTGTACAATGCGCAAGAGTCGACGCTGGAGCTGCCAGCCATCCGACCGAAGGATGGCCTCTCCTCGTCCCTGACCTCGACATACGCATTGCTCAGCCCCGAGCAGACCGAGTCTCGCGCGAGGACTTCTTTGAGAACAGGCCTGTCAGTGTCGGAGGCACAGCAAAGACTGCTTGACGATGGACCTAATGAACTGCCACATGAGGAGGAAGAGCCGCTCTGGCTGCGCTTCCTCAAGCAGTTCAAGGAGACATTAATCCTTCTTCTACTCTGCTCGGCGGTCGTCTCGCTTTTTCTGGGAAACAAAGACGACGCGATTAGCATCACGTTAGCGGTTACGATAGTGGTCACAGTTGGGTTTGTGCAAGAGTATCGATCCGAGAAGAGCTTAGAAGCCCTGAGCAAGCTTGTACCCCATTCAGCTCATGTTCGGCGCGAAGCTGGATTACTAGCGGCGCAAAATGACAAATTAGACGGCCTTGGGGGTCAGAGTTTGACGAACGGATCAGCAGAGGCTGCTCACCAACAGGGTTCTTCGACAATACTCGCAACGCAACTCGTGGTGGGAGACCTGGTCCTCTTCTCGACTGGCGACCGCATACCAGCCGACATACGTATCACGAGAGCGACCGAACTCACAATCGACGAGTCGAACCTGACAGGCGAGAACGAGCCGGTCGAGAAGAACATACATGCTTTACAGGCGCCTACGAAACCATTGACGCGACCCTCCTCGCCTGCATTTGTGTCTGACGCGGCAGGTACTGTTGGCGTTGATGTCCGGCTGAATGAACAACACAATATCGCCTTCATGGGTACATTAGTCCGATCAGGCTACGGCGAGGGCATAGTCATTGCGACTGGTGCGAAGACAGAATTTGGCGCCATTTCAATATCACTACAAGAGATTGAAGCTCCACGTACGCCACTACAGCAAGCAATGGACCGTCTTGGCAAGCAGCTCAGTTATATTTCGTTCGGTGTCATCGGCGTCATCATGCTCGTTGGACTGCTCCAGGGCAAGAAGCTACTCGACCTGTTCACTATTGGTGTGTCGCTCGCGGTAGCAGCCATACCTGAGGGTCTGCCGATCATCGTTACGGTGACACTCGCACTTGGGGTCCTTCGGATGGCTAAGCGTAATGCAATCGTTCGGAAGTTGCCAAGTGTAGAAACACTGGGGTCGGTTAACGTTGTGTGTAGCGACAAGACTGGCACATTGACGATGAACCATATGACTGTGACGAAAATGTGGCATTTTGACGCTGGTCTGCCTTTCAACGTTGACACAGCCGAGCAACCGAGTTCAGCTGTGCGCACTATACTGCGGGTTGGAAACATAGCCAACAACGCCAAAATGTGCACCACAAATTCAGACACCCCCGCCGTGGCGTCTGCTGCAGCTGTGCTATCCTCTACTAGAGATCCACGAGGCGCAAGTACGAAGAGTCGATGGATAGGACAGCCGACGGATGTGGCGGTGCTAGACTTGCTGGACACCTTCGGTGAGGACGATGTAAGGTCTCAGCTGCCGCCCAGGTCAAGCGAGACGCCTTTCAGTTCTGAACGAAAATGGATGGGTGTCATGATACCCAACGCGTTAGGAGAAGTGACAAACTATGGATCCGGAACAGAGACAGCATACATCAAAGGCGCGCTCGAACGCGTGTTGGATCGCTGCGACACCTACTTGACAAAGGATGGTCGAGAAGTCATCCTTGATGAAGTCCGTCGCCGAGAGGTCAATGTAGCTGCAAATGCGATGGCAGAAGATGGTCTGCGTGTGATTGCATTTGCTAGTGGCTCAGTGCGAAAGCAACAAATGAGCCGAAGCTCGACCCCGGCGGGCCTCCGTCCATCGCCGGTTCCTGCGAAGCTGCACGAGGAACATTTCCACGGACTGTGCTTTGCTGGTATTGTCGGAATGAGTGACCCGCCCCGCAAGGATGTTCACCGGTCTATCCGCCGTCTGATGATGGGTGGAGTGAAGGTCATCATGATCACAGGAGATGCAGAAACGACAGCAGTCGCCATTGCGCGAAAGCTCGGCATGGGTGTCCAAGCAGGCCCGTCCGAAGCCCGTTCTGTACTGCGCGGTGACGAGCTCGACAAAATGAGCGAGCAAGAACTCAGCAGTGCTATTGCTTCCACAACCATATTCGCCCGGACAAGTCCAGAGCACAAAATGAAAATCATCCGCGCTTTGCAGTCACGTGGAGACGTGGTCGCCATGACAGGAGATGGTGTCAACGATGCCCCTGCTCTGAAGAAGGCGGACATCGGTATCGCAATGGGCATGCTAGGCACAGACGTTGCAAAGGAAGCTGCCGACATGATTTTGACTGACGACGATTTCTCCACTATCCTGCGCGCCATCGAGCAGGGCAAGGGCATCTTCTACAACATCCAGAACTTCATCACCTTCCAGCTCAGCACCAGCGTCGCCGCTCTCAGTTTGGTTCTTCTGAGCTCTCTCTTTGGATTCCGCAACCCACTCAATGCGATGCAGATCTTGTGGATCAATATCCTCATGGACGGACCACCAGCTCAATCGCTCGGCGTGGAACCTGTCGACCCACGTGTCATGACTCAGCCGCCTCGACCACGCAACGCAAACGTACTGACCACACGACTTTTACGACGGGTGATGACGCAGGCGGCGGTCGTCATGCTAGGCACCTTCTTTATGTACATTCACGAAATGTCCGAAGATGCCGAAGCAGATGCGGCTACTAAGAAACACACAAAACTTGTCACTGCTCGCGACACGACCATGACGTTCACCACCTTCGTGCTCTTCGACATGTTCAACGCCCTGACCTGCCGATCGGAGTCGAAATCCGTCTTGCTCGGCGAACTCAAGTTGTTCAGCAACAAAATGTTTAACTACGCTGTCGCTGGGAGTTTACTGGGGCAGCTGTGTGTGATTTACCTCCCGTTCTTGCAGCGCGTCTTCCAGACGGAGGCATTAGCAGTGTGGGACTTGATCCACTTGGTGGCGCTAGCAAGTGCTGTTTTCTGGGTGGACGAAGCAAGAAAGATCTGGGTGAAGAAAGCAGGAAGGTGGAGGGGAAGCTGGGGTCGAGTTGGCATTGGCGGCTACTCGAGGAGTGTGTAGTGTAAATAGACGGGCTGCATAATCTGGATACCGCAGTTGGCTTGCTGGCACTGCCAGGGTGTCGTATGTACATATATCATTGTTTGGAGCGAATGCATTGTTACCAGACTTCGAATTCTAATAATCCTTCTTGGCGGGGGCTCTGTGACTGGCAGCAAATCCAGTGCCAGGATTCCAAGGTTGTCAGACGCGTCACAGCCTACGACTAAAGACTTCATAGTCTCGCACCTTCCTGAACAAGGTATTCTACTCGAGAACGAGATATGGCCGAGACAAGTGCGCTTCTGATTGTAATCTGACGCAGCAACAGTGATGATCGAGACGACGAGGCGCAGCAGTTGGTGAGAAAACAGTGACAGTGACGCGGGCCGAAATAACACTCACACACCAGCAATGACAACTTGGCTTACGGGAACATGACCCAAGACTACATGGCTCCCAACATTGCCTACAACGACATAGCTCACAGCGACATGGCTTAAGACAAGATGACCCACGACAGAGCCTACGACGACGTGGTCTACAACAGTATAGCTCGCGGCGACACAGTCTACGGTGACACGGTCAACGACGATGTAGTCTACCACGATATAGCGTACAATAATATAGCCTACAGCAAAGTGGCCTACAACGACCCGGCTCACAGCAATGCGCTTTCTAACTTATCACGACGACAACATTGCGAGCCACAAAAGGAGCCCTGGTAAACACCCCCGAAGGCTTCACAAAGCGAAGCCAGACGATGGTGCACACACATATGACTGCAAATACCAACATATCCCATTGCTCAAGTATCGCAAATTTGAAATATGGTAATATTATTCGACAGATGTTGTACAAAGAAAGGAAAGAAAATCTGTGAGGAAGTGAGAGGACGCAGCACTATATACCTGATCTTGGAAGCGCACATGCCACTACAGAAGATGTGTGAGTCACTGGATGACTGGTTCTGGAGTCAAAATATGCTCAAAGACTCAGCTGCATCGACTTTTCCGCTTTAACATCACAAGCGCCCGCTCCGCCCTCCCCACCATGCTCCGCCCAGGTCTCAACATGGCAGGTCAGCTTCCTATTCTATACTTCTACCTGGTATAGCGGAGTCTCTTGACAACATCAGCACATGCACAAAATGCCAGCTGAGTCTTCGTGACGCGAACACGCTGAGCAATAGGTTTGCACCTGTAACATCTGCGGCTGGGCGTTGCCGGCCTGTTCACAAGACTTGCTGCATCCAAAGCTTGACCCTAGGTACATGGAACAGATATCAGTCAACAGGTTCTGGACGAAGGCCTTCGTCATCCGGCGACAGATGAAGCCGCAGGACTGCCGCATGGCCTAGTCATCCGGTCTCAGGTAAGGCTCCCACCTGGACCTACGATACCTTCCATCAGGCTCAATTTTCATCACACAGAGTTTCTCCTTAGCCACCACCCGCTTGAAAGGCGAAACTATCAATCTAGCCCAAAAGCTGTGTCGATTTGGGTAAATTGATACAGCTCCCCTCAGCTTCATGAGGGAACTGATTTCACTAACCTGCTGACCCGGGGGTATGACACATGCCCCACAGACACTGAAGTCATCCAGGTAGTGCTGAGGCGTATAGAAGGGAATGGCGAACACTTCCAAGATCGGGGACGCAGAGACACAGGAATCGGCTTCTGGCACCAATATATGATCATCCGGTCTCGCGAAAGCCCAGGCATCAGCCGGTATTTGTAGGAGGGCACCGTTGGCCACACGACGCTGTTCGTAGCGCGGTCTGCGCCAAAGCATATGACCCTTGAAACGGGAGTACAGCTTCAACTTGTCTCCAACACCATCTCGGCAACTCCAGCCTCCTGGCTTCAGCATTAAGCGCTTCCACCTCCGCCTCCACCAACGGAATACCCTCCCTCTCCCTCTTCTCCTGCTCCAACTGTTCGATCTCGCCCGGGAAGTAGATTCTGTCGACCCCGTCCATCTTCTTGCTACCCACCACATTCTGATACAACACATCCATCCGCGATCTGAACTCCTCACTGCTCATGAATAGATCCGGCTTGATGGCCACCAGAAAATGCCCAACATCCGCCTCTTTATCGACATTCTTTTCGTCGTACGGCCCAATCACGCCTCCTGCGTAGTTCGACCCGCTCAGAACCCCACTAAACACATCCATCATAACACTCAACCCACTCCCTTTGGGCCCACCCATCGGCAACATCACACTCCCCTCCTCCAATGCCTTCGTCGGATCATCCGTCCTCTTCCCCTCCCCATCCAATGCCCAATCCCAAGGGATCTTTTCCCCTCTCCGCTTCGCTTTATGTATCTTCCCCCTCGCCGCAACACTAGGCGCCATGTCCAGCACGAAATCCCTCCCCTTCGTACCCCCTGGAGCCCCACAAGCTATCGGACTAACGCCTAGAATCTTCTCCCTCCCACCCCACGCCGGCAACGCAGGCGAGCTGTTCGTGAACACAAGACTCATCATCCCTGCGTCCAGCGCTTGTTGCACGATCCACGCAGACATGCCGAAATGATTGGAGCGTTTCACGCTCACCATCCCGATCCCGTAGGTTTGCGCCATCTCGATGGCTTTGCTCATGCCCAAATGCGCGCATAGGTGGCCAAAGGCGTTATGTCCATCGACTTGGCCAACGCAGGGTGTAATGGGGTGAAAGGTGGGCGTGGCGGTCGCAGAAAGGGCACCGGAGCGAATGCGGGCGAGGTAGCTGGGGAGGCGGGCCATGCCGTGTGTGTCGATGCCGCGGAGGTCGGCGGCGATGAGGCGTTGGGCGATTAGGTCTGCTGACTGGGAAGGCACGTTATTGGCTTTGAGTATGTTGGAGGCGAGCAGGCGCGCGTTTGTGGCCGTCACGTAGTGTTTGGGTTCGGTTTGCTGTGTGTGGGTGGGTTGAAGGTCTGACTGTGCTGTGTTGCTTGAGGTAGTGGTGGTCGCCATGGCTGCTGTTGTGGAGATTGAGACCGCAGGACTGCTAGCTGCCAGGGTGCTAAGATCCCGGCGAGAGGATCGTGGAGCACTGCAGAGAAAGTACAGCGCCAGATGATTGGAAGAATGAAGTAGTCCCGTTACCAGTAATGTATAAGCGAGACCAGGTGGGTGTGCAAGGGGATCTTGTTGAGGACGCCTGACCAGGCAACGAGGCAACGCAATCGTGGGTGCGCGCCCAGCAGTGTAGTGCGCAGGGCTCTCGGCCGGTCGTTTCCGGAGACTTCTTGCTGCAGAGATGCAGTGCACTAACTTCTGACGGTTCGTCAAACGTTCATCTAGCCAAGTGTGGTGAAAGTAGAGGATAGTCGTTGAGTGCTGGGTATAAAATTGCCTTGTACGCATTTCGGCGTTCAGCCGAGGGGAGAACCCGTCACCAACAAAATCAGGCTGAGTATTACTGACACATGTCAGGCAGACTAAGACAGAAGTTCTCTGTTCCATCAACCTGGACGGCGCAAGATCATTAAAGTCCAGATCACTCGTTGCCTTGTGTCCGTGATACACCTCGTGGCTGAGTCAACAAGGCCTGGACCATCTTGTACCATTCCACCGCGCCTACAAGTCTATGAACAGAAAGATCTGACCGTAAGCTGAGTGCAGCGTCAGTCACGAAGTGTAGATGTGGAAGTCTGGCTGCCTCCCCTTTCCTCCTCAGCATTAATTGGTTACCGATCCCAGTATGGTGCCGATCCTGAACCCCATCACTTATTTCCGCACCACTACCCTGCACATGGACAGCTTGAAGTGCATTTCAACCTCTGTGCATAGCAGCGACAATGCCGACCTTCGCAGTGATCATATGTGGGGCAATTGCAATGCACTCTTGGGTTTCGTCTGTAATCGCGGGGCATTGTGGTGTCTTGGCTGTAGATCGATAGCATTGGGATGGACTTGGTCGCTCAAGGTGTATCTCGATTGCAATCGTCTTCAGCTTTTAGTCGTGGGACGAGTGGTGATGATTGGCTGGCGATGGATATGCTTCGAATGGCTGCTGACATTGTGTCGGGTGGCCGTGGGGTAGATGTAGCCCTCGTTTCGCACCACTGCCATACGCCTCAGCGTCGCCGTCGTTGGCGCTGGAAGTCGGCGAGCAAGCTAAAGGGCGAAGCGTGGTTGACTGGTCTACTGATAGTTGCATCGCTCGATCAAGCGTGGCGGAGCCCAGTCTTTAACGCTGGACCACAGCAACGCAGACGACCTCCGTCAAGCATGCTTGCCCATCCCATTAAGGCGATCCCAGCCTAAATTGAGATCCGGCTGCTGAGAGGTGACCACCAACTGCGTCGACCAGTCGACCTAGGCCTCGATCTCGGACGCCTGAGGTTTATGCTGCAGTGAAAGGCCAGAACGACTCATCAAGTTGCCAGAGGCTATGAGCTCGGGCGTGTTTGCCGGGACATCCGCGACCGGGAAGTCTTCGATCTTGCGCTTAGCTTTATTTCCTTCACCTCTTGATCAATTCTTGTCCTGGGCTGGTATGCATCGACCTCTAAGACCGAGCACAAGGTGACAGACCCTGCGGTACGTACTTCTCCTGCCTCGAAATCAAAGCAGTCAATTTCCTGATCCGTCTCACAGTATGAAAAGACCTTCTGATCCTCGAGGCGACAGTACTTCCGCTCATAAGAGTTGGCGATGTCGGGACCAATTACACCGTCTTGCTGACAGTTCTGAACAGCAGAGAACTCCTCGCGAGGATCAGTCCAGTGAGTCCACTGTGTGGCAAAAGGCGCCAGCTTATGCTGCCGGGAAGGCTCTCGAGGCTGCACTTTGCCAACTGCGGTGTCTACTGCGATGCCTTCTTCCTCTTCTCCCACATCGCCAGCGTCTGCCTCTCCCATCAATGCGTGCGGTGCTCCACGACTCCAAGTGTCTCCCTGGGGCTTGAAAACTCCTTCGGGTAAATGGTCCCAGGGTCTCACAAGAGCTGGATCTGCGTTGGCATTGTATTCGACCAGATATTCGGCGGGCAAAGGGGACGATCGCCGAGTTTGGGCGAAGAGCAGCTCCTGCCCGCTCACTGTATAGTTCATGTGCCACCACTCCTCTGGTTTCTTCCACACATTGCCATACTTATAGTGCACCGCTGTTTCAGACCACAGCCACTTTTTAGCGTTGAACAGCGTGTCTGGATCAAGCGCTGTTGGCAGTTCTCCAGCGGCGGTGGCATTTGGCGCGTCCGAGTCTGGCCATGTCAATGGATATTTGAAGATGAGAGTGACGAAATCGTGACCTTCCCCCTTATATTTCAACGCCCGTGGCTCCGAGTTGCACAGGAGTCTGGGATCCTCGATATATCTGTCCACGCTGCCGATATATTCTGGACGGAATGATGGCAGGTGAAATTGCATCTTGTTTGGGAAGCTCAACTCCGGGTTCTTACCACCCAGCCAGAGACACTTTGAAGCGACTGGCTGCTCATCGATTAAGACCACCCCTGTAGAAGGATAGTGATCCCAACCACAACTGGCCATGGTATCACCAGTGATGTGGTATTCCGTACCATCAAGCTCCTTAACGCTGATCATACTCATGCACACCGGATCTTCCTTGTGGTGAAAAAGGGTCATATACTCATGCGGCTGAGTGGGGTAAAACACGCCTTGATCATTCTTCCAGGAATCCCAGTTGTCCAAGTCGTATTCCTTGAACGTGGCATCGTCCTGTCGCTTCTTTCCCTTCTTGCCTTGAGCGGATGCTTCGCCATTTGCACCAAAGAGCTCCACGTCAGGCATATCGCCGCCAAGATCTCCGATGGTCTGCTTCGTGGTGTTGCCATATACGTTGGAGCCGATGCGAAGGATGACTCGAGTCTTCTTCTCCCAAGGGGACGGATCAGCGTCCCTTGGCCCGTATAGGCTGTCGACGAGCGAGCCAGGATGGAAAAGGGTGGCCAGCCGTGTGGCTGCGGTACAACCAACGATGATTGCCGTGAAGTCGACCATCGCGTCGGTATGATTGTACGTTGCCGAGCTCCTCTGAACGCAATGGCTGGACACTTGGGAACCTTGTCGTGATGCGGGAGGGTGCATTTTAGTAGAGAAGCAGAACCAGTTTCAGCGCATGACTGGTGAGCCAAAAGTACTGAACAGTTGTCCTTCAGGCCGCAAGCCTTTAAGACGAAGCTTGTCTGGAAACATGGAATGTCGAGACTGCAGACTCCTCAGCCCAGGCACGTTAATTCTGGAGCTGTGAAGGAAAACACGGTTGATCCTGAATATTGGGCAAGCGATGGATGAGATGGAACTCGCGCACTTCCAAAGGTTACCTTGATCCTCCATTTTGAGAACCGGGTGCGCGATTGGCATGCTCATCGCGCCAGTGATGTTCGATGACCTAGCAAGGCATCGTGGAGAGACGGACTCTGTGAGACAACCAACAGCAATGCAACTTCCCACACACTTCGTTGTTGTCACCTATCGGAGACAACATACTTCTCGAAGCGATCTCCATGGTACCTACCTGATGTATGAAACAGAGAAATCGAAATTCACATCATCCTTAGGAGGCTGAGGTTGAGTTCGCAGCTTTCCCGCTTCCCCACAAAATACGAAGCAAGGGGACTTTTGTGCCGTTTTGTCTCCATTCTGATGAGCAATAAACATCTCGAACAATCGCTTTTGCTGGGAGAAGTGCTAGTGATGTACAGGTACGTTGCGAGGACATAATAGGTAAGTACTCTCGGCCTCACTTAGTGCACTATGAGAGATTTGTACCACAGGTTGAAGTATTATCATCTGATCAAGCCATACGCTTGCTAAACACGTCCTATGGTCGCGATCAGCGACCGTCATATTGCAAATAGCCTCAGTCGTCCCAGTCGATGAAGTCGAATGCGCTCTCCGCAGCAGCATCATCTTAGCCAGCTGGCGGCGGCGAATGAGGGACCCTCCAGCCATGAGATCGCAGTTGTTTTCTACATTCACTCGAAAGTACTGCCGCCTCCTCCCACACCAATGCCAGATTCGACTCCGCTGCACGGTTCTCATTCCTATCCTCAGACCTATTCTTTTCTATCTTGCGAAGCGCCCGCAGGAAGGTTTTGTCTCCTATCTTCTGAACTTTCAGCCAGAATTTCGGATTCTGCTGCTTCAACGTCTTAATGGTTGAGATTCTGAGTCCAAGAACCTCCCTCAATCGCCAAGTCCAATATCCGCCTTGTTCGAGCGTATCAAGGTCCCTCAATCTCTTTTTAGTCGATCTTTCTGGTGGAGACAGCGTGTTGTCGCACTTCAGCTGTTCCGTCGGAGTGCTGAGCTTGTACTGCCGGCAGGTCGAACAACAGCATTCATTGCGCGCCGCTCTATTGCGCCTTTCGGAGCGCCGAGGATCATAACGGAATTGGCATGGAGGTTTGTTGTTTGCAATTTGGTCCCGTTCCGCGGAGGTCAGTTCTGGGGCTTCAGTGATGACGATGCTAGGGATAGTGCTGCTGGGAGCACGTTGTAGATGTGCTGAGTTGCCGGACAGGTTTCGGTTGGTGGCTTCGTCGAGAATGGAGGACGGCTCTTCCGTCACTGCAACGTCAGTCAACACGTCGATGCCATGATCAGGCCTAGCAGGAGTTGACGCTCGCTGGAGATTCGATGCTAGCCAGCCCTCACTTGGGAGGGATATCCGAAGAGGCGATCGAGATATGACATGTCGGGTTCTGTGTGACAACGCTTTGCAGCACGATTGCAGTCCAACGTTCGATTGGCCTCCACAGCGGGCATCGGTCGGGTCCGAGCTCGCTTTCTCGACGGACTTGTCTGCTTCTCTTGCTCGAGCGAATGTTCTTCTTCAGTAGAGCGAAGAGGATCTACGTCTCTTTCCTTGTCATCAAACCTCATGACTGGTAGTCCCATCCTTCTTGAGAAAGCTTGCTGACCTGCACGTGGTCAAATACGAGGACTGTGGTGCTGTACGCCCTTGAACGGGAGAACGCTGTGTAGAACGGTGTCAAGGACGAGATAGCTGGGTGACTGCCGACAACTTTCGTAGCCTATATGCCTAAAGCAGCGAGTACCTTCCGAAGTGCAGAATGCGGCGGCAGAAGTCGTGTGCACGTGGCATTCTCCGTTGCTGAGTCCTGAAGGGCAATGAGGCTTTAAGTGCATCACGATGATACCGAACCGCGCCGTGCTGATCCTCGAAGTACACCGCAAACGAAGACTTGCAGAGAATGAAGAACATGACTGCTTCGGTGTAGGGTCCCCCGAAGGCAAGGCCAAGAGTCTGGTGGCAGGCCAATACCGGCGCACCACATACCTATCAGCTGAAACTCATGCCAAGTTTCCATCATCTTCCTCCTCTGGCATGTGCAGATCTGGCAACATCAGCCAAGACGAAGGAACCAAACAAAGCGGAACTCAAAGCGGAACAGTCCTGGTCGGATGTTTGCCTTGTCCGTGAGTGGTTGCAGGTGCCAAACGTCCCGCTCGAACCCTGTGCTCCCGCCCTCCTCCCTTTCCCCGACACATGAATACGCCCGGCTTGAGCACGGAGGACTGGTCTGAACGAGGCAGTTGAGCTTCCAAATCTGTACTTCTGTCTGCTATTGCGGAGATACCGGCGTCATTGTCGCCGTGATTGCGCGAATGCGCTTGGAGCCTGCTGAACAAGTGCAATACTCCTCGAAAGTTTCCGCTCCACCCCACCCCCACCACAATGCTCCGCTCTGTTCCATGACAACTTGAAATGTGCTCTCGACTACCTAGACAAGTCAGCTTCCCGCTTCGCACTTCTATCAGATTTTGCGGAGTCCTCTTGACGTCATCAGCAGATACACAGCGTCTTTATGACTAGCCTCAGCACGTCAACTCAAGTTCCGCTGACATGTGATCCTCAGTCACAGGCCTATATAGGCAGGCTCTCCCCCATCTCACTCAGAGATTCTTTTTCCTTCCTTCGTACAACATCGGTCGAATAATATTGCCATATTTCAAATTTGCCATACTTGAGCAAGAGATATGTTGGTATTTGCAGTCCTATGTGTGTGCACCCATCGTCTGGCTCTGCTTTTGCGTAGCTTTCGGGGGGTGTTGCTGGTGCTTAGTAAATAGACAAACTTTTGGTAGTGTATGCCGCCGTCGTCAGCGTCGCCGCCGTGCTTCATGTAGTCAGGCAGATAATGTATGTGGGCCTGAGTCATCATCCGGAAGGGGGCCATCGCAGATGCCTTTGGTTGTCTCTGTCGACCATGCGAGCAGTCCGACCGCCGGCGCGTCGCTTTCCATTTGCAGTCGATTACCGCGCGAAGCCTTTGCTGTCCTTCATCATCTGATGCACCATCATTTCAAGGCCAGGACAGTATCTCGATGCCAACCGTTCTCGACGACTTGCTTGCTTGGTCCTGAACGACCTGCTCAAGCCGTTGCAGTAGACCGACTCGCGGTTACCCCAGACTTCACGCCGCTTAGATGCGATGCATCAACCTTCTCTGCTGGCTGAAATGTGCGGCATTTGAAAGGGTCTAGATCGACGTCAGGAGGTGATAAGGGGCACATTTCAGTCGACGTGGTCTAGTTGAGGATTCCGCGTCTTCCGGCGCAAGCAGTCGAGCTGCAGCGAGGTGAGAATCATCATACATCCTTCAGGTGAAGGACAGAAGCAGTTGTGAAGGAGAAAGGCAACCTTGGAAGACTGTGTTGAGATCGTCAGCAAATTGCTCCAAAGAGGAAGGTGCAGACGAGCAGTCAAGAATGGTCAAGCCATATGGTATTTCATCTATCTATCATGTTCCTGACAACTCTCTGCTCGTAGAGTATTTCTGATCCCCGTCCCTCGTTCAGAGCCGGCCAGATTTCGCCGAGAGCACACCAAGGTCTGTCATGCACCGATCACAGGTTGTGACCGATCCGTCAGCGAACACGGAAATGCCCTTCACAGAGATTGTCCCACAAACTGCTTTCCTTGTCCCTATACCTTCTCCAGCCAGAATTGAGGTTGTCCGGCACAGCCGCTATAATCGTACCGTCCCCGATAGCAGGCTAGTTCGACATCCGTGGGACAGAGAATGACTGATCTGGTTATGTCACGGCGCGAATAGCCAAGTGCTTCTCCCATTGTGCCGCATATCCAGCCAAAGCCTTACTCCCTTAGTTCACGGCACGACATCCCAGCTCCTGTTATTCTCAAATACAGAGAGACAGCCAGAACGTCACGTATCTCTCGTCGCCGGATTGGCCCCATTGATCTCCTTCCGCACCTTCTTACTTATACTGACGATCAGCCTTTCAGTCACGAAGCTGGGCAGCGCACCAAAAATTCCTGCCTGCACTCTATGCCCAAACCACGGCGAAAAGACCGGACTCCCATAGCCAACTTTATCAAACATCGACCGCACCCACTCGTCCGCCATCGGCATAGTGAAGCCTCGGTCTTTCTCTGACCTACCACTTGTCTCTGTGGCAACAGTACCCGGCATCTGGCTCTGCACCTCAATATCATGCCCCGCCAACTTGAACTCCGCTCGCAACACCTGCGCGAAGGAGTTGAGGTAGATCTTCGCACCGCTATAAATGCTCATAAACGGCACCGCGATCAACGCCGACCCAGAAGATATAAACATCAGCAGCGCAGGCTGGTTCTTGATCAGCGTCGGCAGCAGCACGCGCGTGAGCTGCGTCGAGAACCGTAGGTTAACATTGATCCAGCTATCCACCTTTGTTGCGTCGTATTCTTCGAACGTCTCGACTTTTATGCCAACCGGCTCACCGGAGCCGCCGATATTGTGGATCACGACTGTGAGGTTCAGACCATTGATGCAATCGAGTACGGTCTTAGCGAAGTTGGGGATCTCGTTCAGCGCTGCGTCGAGCAACAACATCTTGAACGCTCTCACAGGCCACTTCTTCTGCAGCCCCTCAACGATTTTCCCCAACTTCGCCTCATTCCGCCCATGCAGGATAACATTGAAGCCGCGTTCAGCGAGCTGATTCGCGATTTCGAGCCCGATGCCTGAGCTGGCACCTGTGACTAGTCCCCAGGGCTGGTCCGAGGCACCGACCCTGGAGTCGTTCTTGGTTACGGTTTTGAGCGGATGATGGTAGCGGGAGATCTTGGAGCGGTGGAGGTAGATGTGTAGGGCGCGGATGACCGTGAGTGTGGTTGTGGCGAAGGTGATGGTGCCTAGGCCGGCGAGGAGATGCAGGGGCGTGAATGTTCTGCCGAACAAGGAGAACTCTGTGGAGAGGTAATTCATCACAGAGTATCTCAGACTGAGATGCTGGGCCCAGAGCCTTGTACGTGTGTACACGCGGAAAAGTATCTGCAGTGTGGGAGTCGTCTCACACAGCACCTGCCATGAAGAACGATGGAAGCAGCTGATCAGCGGACCACTGTTTATAACAGGAAATCGGCCTCGTTAAGAGTGCGAAGGCGAGATCTATCCCCTCCGCGACTCGATGCCAGGATGCCCCCACACTTCATTTTTCACCGTTCTCAGCCTCATGGGGCGAGTCTTACATAGCAACAGCAAGATGCGAGCCCGTTCAGGACTCTCATGCTGTACGAAGGACCCATACGCAGCCGATCAAGCATAGCGTATCGGCGGGTTTTACCATTCCCATGACGTTATACAGATACTCAGTTGCATTTAAGGCGCAAAGAACGCATTGCAATGGTTCGGGCAGGTGTTGAGGTTCGTACTCGTTTGACATCGACCTCGCAACGGACGAGGAATGAACCGTGTAATTAAGGCCACTCCATTGAGATCAGAAATCCTCCTCCAGGTTAGCCGTACGACGGTGCATAAGACTTACTCCCACAAGGGGCAAAACTCACCGGACCCTGCCCGTGATGATTGGTCCCGTGTTGTAGTACGAAGTTAAGCGTGAGTGACGAGTCCCTAACCGCAATTGTATACACAGTATACCAAATGCATATACATTGTGCAGCAGGTACTGGTGATGCAATAAGCAATGCGGAAAAGGAGAACGAAGGATCTCAAAGCTAATGCTCTTGGTAGGAGCATTCGAGGGGAATCGCGGGCAGGTGGTTCCAGCCGTGTAACAATCAGGTCTGTACAGATTCATAAGTACACACGTAGCTCGACCTAGTCTGATCCGTTTGATCCCTTCCTGTGAACAATTGAACAGGCATGTGCGCTCCTCCTCTATGCACAACCAATGTGCAGATCCACCAACTGTGGATCGCAGAGACAAATTCGCTCTTCTCCCTGCTGCGGTCCAGGGTCTTCCTCATCCACCATTAGTCTATTATGGCAATTCGAGCCCGGACTCATCCGCCATCTCTGGCAGTCGTCCGTGTGCCGTCGCAGCAATTGCCGCTGCATTCCATCCCTCTCCTTGAGCTCCAAAAGAAAAAGAACAACAAATCTTGGGTATCGACAATACACGCTCGTGCGCCGCCAAAGCGCTACCAGATGCCGCAACCGCTAGGGGCCTTCGCATCCGAATCTGAAACTCCGAAGAAATATGCAATCAACATATTACTGCAATGTGCAACATGTGGCTGCCATCGCGTGAACTCTGAATGTGTGCAAGTGTACAAAACGTAATCGCTGAGTAGAATCGAAAAGCGTCGAAAACTTTTTTGAAGGTCGAAATCGTCAAAGTCGTGGAATATCGTCACACTCGTGCTATGGTCATCATCTTCGTCTCGTACTCCGTCCATTGAGGCCGTCATACACGTGGTGCGGCACCTGTCCGCTGTCCCAGACTCCCGAAGAGACTTTCGGGTGGGACGCGGTTCAGATTGGCATTCTTGTCGGTGTATGGCATGCTCGGAATCTGGTTGTAGCCTGCTCTCCTCCGCTGTATGCGATTCAGAAGCAGCCCAAGGAGCACGATGAGGAAGATGGTGCCAAGAGCAGCGCAAAGCGCTACTAGCACGGTGATACCGATAGATCGACGATTGCCTGTGATATGTTAGTGTCCACTGTAAATCATGATGCTTTGTAACTTACTCTCGGATCTCGGAGCTCGAGGTCTGCTTGCGGCCAGCCCACTGACGCTGCCAGCAGATCCATCAGACTTGCTCGCAAGCACTAACGGCACCATTTGGGTTCCGTTGAAAGTGGCCGCGGAAGCGGACCCAAAGCCGGTGATGTTGAGCTGTCCCAAGATGACGAGCATTTCGCTTTGAGCTAAGAAGTCGTTTCCGCTGTGGTCATTGAACGAGTCGACCACTGACAGACCCCGAATGACAGTGCCTGACGATAATAATCCTTCGACGACGTTGCTCTGGCCGTCGTCAAGATTGATCAGGAAAGTGGAGCCATTGCTCGCAGTTCCAGACACCCAGAGCTGCTTGCCGTCCTCTGTCACTGCAGTGAAAGCTGAGATCGGTCCTGGAATTGCGTCGTTCATGATCTGGGTCCATTCCTGCTTATCCGGATCGTACTGCACCATGGAGGTAGTATTGCCGCCAAGTGTCAGATTACCGACAGCGAACATCTGCTTGTTGTTGTTCCAGAAGAGCTGCGCGACGGTCCCCTGAAGGCCACTACCAACGGGGTTCCACTGATTTGTAGTGGTGTCGTACATGCATACTGCCGGGCACGCCAAGTCCTGAGAAGTGCCGGTAAAGGCACCGCCCACGTAGACCGAAGCCGTGTCGGGCTGGACCTTGATATCGTTGACCGTAACGTTTGGCCCAACGAGGCCAGCTGGCTGGATGCTCGCATAATTGGCGGTGTTCATATCGTAAATCAGAACGCCGGATATGGTGCGCTGGCCAAGTTCTCCAGTGACCCGACCACCAGCAAACAGGAGGTTTTCGTGTGATTCGAGCGCCACGAAGGTAGAATTGTCGTCGACACCACTTGGTAGACCCGAGACAGCGTTGTTGTTGGAACCGTTGATGAACAACAAGTTTTGAATCTCAGCTCCGTTCTGACCCTGAGCTGTGAAGTGCCCTCCGAATATCGTTACATTTGCTCCGCTCGGTTCGTATGTGATGCCTTCCACCACTCCGGTGACATTTTGATTGGCCATGAGGGCACGCTTGCGCAGACTTGAGGCGCTTTCGTCCGCCTCGATCTCGATCGGCAGACTTGACAGGCTGACACGGCCCTGGCTTGAGCTCATGCCCGCAGCACCGTGCAAAGCCTGGCCAAGCGAAGCCAGCGAACCAGCGCCCATCCAAGTATTGTTAGGCAGCGTAGTGCCAGCTGTGAGTTGGCCGTTGAGTACATGCTGCGGTGCATTGGTCCTTTGCAGCCAATTCTTTGCCGAGGGAACCCAAATAGCCAAACCTTGAACATCAATCGCGGGATCAGAGCCTGACTGAGATATCTGGCTGAAGTCTCCACTGAATGCAATGGCGAGCTGTGTCTCTGTTGTTGAGATGTTCACGGGCACAGGTGCAACATATTCGACAGCACCATTTAGGCCTGCGCCCAGCGCTGACCATTGTCGACCGGACACATCATACGCTGCGACGTTGCTGAGACCTTGCTGATTGCCCGTACTGGTACCTGTGAAATTGCCACCGACGTACAGCGTATTGTCAAGCACGAAGAAATCCAACACAGCTGAGTTTAAGCCTCCGTCGGCCAACGAGGTGGCATTGCCTTCGGATGTGAATGACATGATGTTCTGAAACCTGTCGTCTGTGAAAGAGCCTCCTGCGAACATTACGTCTCCGGCCGTGGTGAGAGCCATGATCTGAGCATTTTGATTTAGCAGAGTTCCGGCATTGTTGATGTCGGAGTCGCCAAATGTGTCCGGGTTGACGTTGACCTCATCAGGATTGAAATCGAAAAGCCCATTAAGGCCGCCAGTAGAGGCAACTAGACCAAATTTGACCCTCGATGCAACGATGCGCTGGGTTCTGAGCTGACCCGAGGCCTTTATGCTCACGCTCGGTCGGAAGGAATCGGTCGTCATGTCGATTGGTCCTTGGTAGACAGTGTCGTACTTATCGAAATCATTGGTCTGAGAGATCTGAGTGAAGAACGACTGTTCTGCTCCTGTAGTCAAGGTACCTGTGATGTTGACTACCGCTCGTGATGAACACGAGCTATCTGCACGACATCCAGGAGTGTACACCATAACCGAATAGTTGCCTTTCTCCTGAATACTTGGCTCGAAGACGATTTCGGTGTTGTCAATATCATTTGGACCAGGCACTGCAGCCAAGTACTCGGACACGCTTTGGAAAGATGCCATTTCGAACCATGGCCCCGTTGTCGTCACGGTCGACAGCGTGCCTGTTGGTCCGCCACACTTAGGCTCATTGAAGCTCGATACGGCGTAGCTGAAGACGTCGCTCTGGAACAACTGTATACCAGCCAAGCCACCAGCATCTCCATACGAGTCAGAAATGTCGATACGGAAGCTGTTCATGCCAACCGTGTTGACAAAGAAGAAGTCTTCGAAACCGTTCTCGGGGTTTTCTTGCAGAGTACAACCAGCATCGCAGTTGACTTCCTTTCCATTAACTGTGTGTGTAAAGTTCAAAATGCCGTTGATTGGTAGAGCGGTGAAGCGAAACGTCTTGGTGCCTGCATTGTACAGTCGTAGTCGTGTCGGCTCGAAACCAAAGCCAAAGTCTGCTTGCCAGAAGCCAACCTTACCGTTCAGCTTCCATGCAACATCGGAGCCATTCGTCGGGCAGGTGATCTCCTCAGCATTGGTCAATGAGGCCCCTCCTACTGTGATGTCGCCAGCAGGACCAAGAGGAATTTGCTGAGTAGCTCGTTCTCGCTGCGATGAACTAGTCGTTGTGTTTCCCAAACCGGCGAATGCACCACCAAAGACAATATGGCCATTTGGAGCCTTGGTGACCGAGGTTACAGGTGAGTCAAACCCAGCGAAAGGTAACGTCTGCCAAGCCCCGTCGACTGTCCAAGCGATGGCATTGGTGGTGTTCGCAGCGTCGAATGCGCCGGCAACATAGACGGTCTCGCGTTGTTGATCGCACAGCACTGCCGACACAGTACCTTCGAGACCGACTAAGGGCGTAATGACCCGTGTATCCGGATTGTAAGAGGCTATCGACCGCGTCTGTACACCACCTAAACTGGTGAAATTACCACCAATGATGATGCCTTCGAATGTCCCGTCTCTTCGTATGAATGGACACATGCTCTCAATCGTTGCGTCGGTGGAAGCGAAGACCTCGTATGCGCCCTCGGGCAGATATCCCAATATCGAATTCGACCCATTCTGACTGAACTGTCCTGGAAACGAGTAGACTGACAGAGCATCGAAGTCGCCTGTCAGAGCAACCTGACCAAGATCGCTCAAGTCGATGTTTGGGTTAGGAATGGATTGACTTGCTCCTTGCGTTGCCAGAAGTCCTACTAGAAGCGCAGCACGGCTGCGGAGCCGTGGAAGCCTCATTTGGGTTTGTTTCTGGCTCAACGCCGGAGCGCGAGCAGTCGGAATGTTATTGTTCTATGGTCTTTCGAGACATGTGAGGTAGTGATGAAGGTAGGACGAGGATTCGGCAGTTGGGCGAGACCTCAAGTCGTTTGCGCAGGTCAGATGCAGGGATTCAACCTTGAAAGGAGGAGGTCGATCGCGGTCGGAAAGCAGAAGAGCCGATCGGGAATGAGATGCAAACGACGGGTGTTGGAAAGAGCGTGGTGGTGGAGGATTATTAAAGAGTACAGAGCACGCTGTACGAATGTGCACTTGCTCGACGGATTATCGACTGCGCAGTAATGAAAATAGGATATGTGAAAAGTACTGGTGATGTGAGGTGAGGATAGCGCAGATCGACGAGTCGCGTTGAAGCAGTCGAGCAGTCAAGCAGTCATCGGAGCGCACCCAATCCAGCCCCCGTCGCCCGTAATCTTCGATCGCAGGCAAGAGGCGCAGGTACGGTCATTGGCTACAGGCTGGGCAGGTACCCAAATCGACTACAAACAAGCTGAAAAGATTGGTGTGGCATTCGAGCCACACAAAACACTGCAATTCCTCTGTCCCGGCCATTGTGCTCCGCTGTTGCTGCAGCGCCGAGCTGGAATTTGCTGGGGCTGCAGCGTTTGATTGGTGATGCATGAAATGAGAGATCCGAGCTTTTTTCGAGAAATAATTGTCGATCATTTGTTTGCACGGCAAATGTAAGCTACGAGACCACATGTTGCACAGTTGGTGCAGTCGAGTTGGCGACCACGAGGTGGTGACGGCAAATGATAGACGTTTTCATTCGATGCTTTCCACAATCAAGCCTTCGAGAAGAAGTTTCAATAGTTCGTCATCTGCATCGAGTGTCTCAGTCGCTTGGGTAATCTTAAATTTAGTACGTACCACCGCAATCATGGAGCAGCAGGAGATACGCAATCAGCTTCGTCCTGAGGATGATGATAAGAACTGTGGTTTTCCCTCTGCACAGTACAGACTGATCGCCTGCTGTCAGCACTGCTGCCGGCGGTGGGTGCCAGCGCGAATCGCGCTGAGAGGAACGACTTATGTGAGGGCCAAGAGATTATGCTTCACAGAATCGCAGAAAGCCACAAATGCGACAGCAGAGCAGTGTAGCAGTAGAGCAAATGGTAGGACCCAGCCACGGCCATGCGTTCTGTGTGACATTGTCAATGTCTGCGAATCTATCTGTGAAACGCGAACGGCCTCGCTTCCAGTCGGCGGACCCTGGTTCGGGAAAGACGTTTCGAAGTCTTCGATCATGCAAGGAGACATCTCAAACAGACAACAGCATCCAATGCTATGCACCTATCGAATCCACAATCATCGTGCCCTCCGCCGTCGCTTGACTCGTTCACTACTACTAACCTTCACCTCATCCAGCTCCAGCATCACCCTCTCATCCTCGTTCTCTCGCTTGACACCAACCCTTACTTTCCGCTCCACCGCCTCCACCTTGACCACAACATCCTCTTCCTTCACCTCCACCTTGACCTCAGTCTTGGCCGTCAGGCGCTCCGAGAACGCTCTCAAGTCCGCCGTGAACAACACACTGTGCGCCCACCCAGCCTCCTGCCCCCACAGCTTCCGGAAGTGGTTGGCCACGCTATCATACGTCGCCTTCGTGAGACTACTATGCTTGCCCTTACCAAACTTGTAGTCCCTCACGGCTATTTGCCAGACGTGGGTGTCGATCGGGACGGCCTCACCCCAACCGAGACCCATGAGGCAGGCGCAGTCGGCCACTTTGGCGCCTACGCCCAGGAGTTGGAGGAGTTCTTCATGGGCGGTGCGATAGCCATCGCGACCTTCTGTCTTCCATTGCCCCGCGGGGCTCGAACGCTGACCAAAAGCCGGCGACTCGGGGTTGCGCAGTGAGTCAAGCCAGCCTGGTTCACGGTCGTTCGCAATCACTCGTGCCGTCTCGACGATGAAACGCCCACGATACCCAAATCCCAGTTCTCTCAAATGCGCTTCGACCTTCTCGCCCGTGAGCGCAGACGGCTGTGGAAAATCATGATATGCCCGTCCATCTAACGTCGCAACATAAGGCCCGTAGTGCAGGCACAGCTTATCGACCATCTGCATGATGCGACTGATATTGTTGTTGCTGCTACATATGAAGCAGATCAGTGCTTCCCACGCATCTTGCCGTAGTATTCGTACACCAGTGAACTTCGGTGCTTTCTTTCTGAAGTTTGCGTCGGCAGCAGACCATTGCTCGTACAATTGTGTCAGGTTCGGCTGGAGGTTGAGGTAGTGGTACAGTAGATCAAGGGTGTCGTCTCCCTCGTCACCTGCTTCTGTTGGCGGCGCTGAAGAGGGAGGTGTAGGCGGTGCTTCAACCGCAGATGGCCAGATCGATCGGTATTTGACGTATGATGGTTCTTGGGCAAGTTGCACTATTCTGCCGCGCAGGGAGCACGCCCAGGTGTCGTCGGGACATTGTTTCCAGCGGAAAGACTGGCCGCAGCGGAGGGTCGTTGCGAGGCATAGTTCTGTGAGTGCGACTGGCAATTTGCGCCATTCTGTGATGCGGCCGCTAGTCATGATCACGTCCTTTGCGTACTGCTGTTGCGGTTTCGTGAGGGAAGGAATTCCGTATTTAATTGCACAGTTTGTATGCACGATGGATTTCAGGGTCTTTTTAGGGGGAGATCTAATGCAAGGGCCCAGAATTCTGGACCGAGGCCGATCTTGCGCGACCGCGTCGCGCGTCAAGTTCTGTAGTCCACTCGGTGAAGCTCTCCGAGTCTACGGAGACAATCAATGCAACAGAGTCGCAGGGACTGTTTGAGAGCTGCTAAGTACTGAAATTTGCAATGCTCCCAGGCGGCCTTCCACCCGAATTTGGATGCGTGACATGTGGACGGTCTCAAAATAGCTTTCGTGCAGCCGGTTGATGGGCTTTCCAAGCCTAACGTCGCCCAAGATTTGCCTGATTGCCTAAGTGACATCACCAGGCTGCCTGGCAGCCTCGCTCCACTGCGGTGGAAGAAGATCAAAGAATCACTTAGATCTGTTAGCACGTTATCTGTCGCCATGTCGGTAAGTAAGCAGCCAATGTTGAAGTTGCTGAGCAGGTAGCGAGAGTTGAAGTTTGTAACTGCGTGCGAATATGGGTAGTCCGGAGTATAAGCTGAGCGCAGTCCTTGCGGGGCACACCAGTGATGTAGGTTTATGGTCCCTTGGTCATGGACTCAACTAATTCCCACAGGTTCGGGCAGTACTCTTCCCAGACCCGTCATTAGCAGTCACTGCCTCGAGAGACGGTACTACGCGAATATGGAAGCGTACCAGCACATCTCCTCCAACATATGATCCCTCCGAATCTTCCCACGGCGCACAATTCAAAACATGTCTCGCATACGTACCAGGAAGTAAGGAGTACCCCGAAGGGCTAATCATCTCCTCGGGTCAAGATGCGCTCATCGAGCGCGCCAGCCCTCGACAGTAGCAGAAAACAACGCGGATGCATTCATGGTTGGTCACAGCAATCAGGTATGCTCACTAAGTGTATCTGAGAGAGGCGACTGGTTCGTCAGTGGGAGTTGGGACAGCTCCGCGCGAGTCTGGCAGATTGGCCGATGGGAAACAGATGTCGAGCTGCAAGGACATAGCGCCACCGTCTGGGCAGTGCTTGCATACGATCGAGATACGGTCATTACTGGTTGCGCCGACAAGGGCATAAGGATATTTGACGGTCGAGGCAAGCAGAAACACGGTTTCGATGGCAAGGATGTCGTGAGAGCTCTCGCTGCACTACCACAGGGCCACCCGTCAGGTGCACACTTCGCGTCTGCATCCAACGATGGCTGCATCCGGCTATGGACTCTGAAAGGTGACTTAGTTGCTGAACTTTGGGGTCATGAAGCTTTCATCTATTCGCTTGCTGTCTCAAGTGATGGAGAAATTATCAGCGCTGGCGAAGACCGAACAGTCAGAGTATGGCGAGGGCAAGAATGCGTACAGGTCATCACTCTGCCAGCAATCTCCGTCTGGGCTGTTGCTGTTGGCACGAACGGCGACATAATCACCGGATCCAGCGACAAGATAGCGCGAATCTTCTCCCGAGATCCATCGCGACAAGCAGATCCATCCGTTCTTGCCGAGTTTGAACAGTCGTTGCAGTCCTCTGCTGTTCCAAAACAAGCCATGAACAACGATCTAAACATGCAGGATATGCCGGGACCAGATTTCCTCACCCAGAAGTCAGGTACGAAAGAAGGGCAGAACCAAATAATAAAAGAAGACGACGGCAGTGCAACATTATACCAATGGTCAATGTCTCAGCAGACTTGGATCAAGATCGGTACCGTCGTCGATTCGGCGGGCTCCAGCGACAAGAAAGAGTACAATGGTCGACAGTACGATTACGTCTTCGACATCGACATCGAGGACGGGAAACCACCTCTAAAGCTACCCTACAATGTCACGCAAAATCCTTACGAAGCAGCCACGAAGTTCCTCCAAGACAACGAATTACCCATGACATATCTCGATGAGACCTCTAATTTTATTATCAAGAACTCGCAAGGCGCGACGATCGGTCAGTCGTCACAAGCGCCAGTTGGCGCAGATCCCTGGGGCTCCGAAAATCGATATCGTCCAGGCGAGGTGCCTCAGTCAAATTATCAGCCACGGATTCAACCGTCTGCCGTCGCAAAGCAGGTACTGCCACAGAAGCAGTACCTCCCAATCGCACTCGGCAAGTCATCGGCCGCTTTGGGACAGATCACGAAGCGCAACGCAGAATATGCTGGCTCCGACCTGGCGCTCAGTCCTGCGCAACTCGAGACACTTTCCATGGTGGCGCAACAGCTCGATCAGCGAAAGTCCGGTGATGCTCCAAACCTTTCATCAGAAAGCGTCGAAAGCGTGCTACCATCGCTAATCACAGCAGCAACGAAGTGGACGCCAGCAAGCAATCGTCTCGCCGCACTGGACTTACTACGTTTCCTCGCGGCCGCACTCAAGACATGGCCCGCTACAGACAGCGAAGACGTCGTAGCGGCCATCCTCAACAGCCGGATCTTCGAGCCCTCACAAATCCAAGCTAACAGCAAGCTGATCATGATTGCAGCCCGCTTGTTCTCGAACCTCCTGTACGGCTCAGGCAAACACCTGATCGAGAAACACTTGAGCGCCATCATCGAGGCACTCAAAGCCCCTTCGAACCTCGCGCAGACTGACAGCGGCGTCGCTGTCGCCTACGCGACATTCGCACTCAACGCGTCAGTCTATCTCACGAGCAGCAAGCTAGACGACGACGTCGCTGCGACGTGGGCATTTGAGCTATTGGAGCAGCTCGTGCCGTTCTTGGCCTCGGTGCCCACGGTCGATCACACTGCCGGCAGCGATCCAAATGCGCAGACGACGGAGCCGGCGTATCGCGCGCTGGTGGCGTTGGGAACGATTCTGGTCGGGTTGAAGCATTCAGCGGTGAAGGAGGCGGGGAGCGCGATGGATGTGGGCAGGGTGCTCGATCAATTGCAGGAGCGGAAGTATCTGGAGGAGCCGAGGTTTCAGGGTGTGGTGAAGCAGTTGCGGGGTGTGCTGTGAGGCAGAGGCAAGGTCGTGCAGAAACCGAGAGGCCTGCATGGCTGGGGCTTGCAGCGGATGTTTGACGCGTGTTGTATGCACAGCATCATCGGTGGCTGTCAAGGCCAAAAAGCACGTGATAGAAAAGCATAGAACATATCCACCAACGAAGAGACATACGAAGTGATTAAAGACTTCAATTTGCTGGGTCACTTCTGATCCTGCTTGCGGGCCTTGGAATCTTTTCCGCTATCTGCTATGAAGCTAACGCAGATGAGAGCTCAATTCTCGTAGCTTTAGCCTGCCCGTTTTGAAGGCCTCCGGGTTCTGCTCTGCCGCTTTGCAAGCTGTCTGGGCGGCTCGAGTTGCCCTACAACATCCAGCTCGGATAGATGAATGCGGCTACTTCGATTCCCTCCTGTCATGCAATGCTTCAAGCTCTCGCGCCGGATCGTCACCCGGTTTCCCTTGCGCGTGGCAGAAATTTCCGCTGCCGGTCCGATGGTGAACGATGACAGACACCTTTTCCCATGCAGGACGCCCGTGGGTAGATCCAGTCTATGGTTCCTCTCTGGGGCCAGACCGATAAGAATGGGGGGCCGGACCTCGACTTCCTTAGCTTTGTCGGTGCAGTACGCGTGGCCGAATGCTTGGTCAATCTGTTCGCATGCCGATAGCCTCTGTGTTCTCGTGCCGCCACGGCGTGTTGCACCAAGTAGCGGTGGTCCCGCGTGGTGTCTGTGCCATGTGGTAATTTGCCAGTAGCTACCGTTACTGCGTTTCGATACCTGCTTCGTACCACGGCTTGCTGGTGTGCGAAAGTCGGTGGCGGTGCGCTGCCCGTGGCGTTTACTCTCTTTCCGCAGTGGCACCAGATGACTTGCTTAGCCAACCATCTTGTGCCAGTGCTCTCCCGTCGCCTGATCACGCTTCTGTTGCATCGGCGGCCGATTCCTGCTTTGCTAGAACAGCGCCTCCCCTTCCTGGCCGCGGCACCATCATGCCCAACATGACTAAAATCTTCTCCACGGGCTCGCTTGGCTGCGCGCCCACGCCCAACCAGTACTTAGTCCGATCCATATCTAGCTTGATATCCTTGATCTTCTTGGGCACGAATGGCACTTCTTTGCCTTCGTCGTTGATGACGGTGGCTGGTGTGTGTCGAGTGGCGAGGGGCACGCGAGGAATGGGGTCGAAGGTGCCGAGGACCTCGAGGGGTTTTGAGCCGCGGGCTTTGCGGGCGTGCGAGAGGACGATGTTGTAGATTGGTTGGCGGGTGCGGCCGAAGCGGGCGAGGCGAATGCGGAGGACCATCGCGTTGTCGGCGAGGAGAACGGTGATTTGAAAGCTGAGACGCAAGAAGCGGGCTGATGTGTGGTTGCGATGTGAAGAGGACTAGAAAGCAATAATGCAATTCGAGTTAATGGAGGTTTGGAAATGATTCGAGGTTCGAGGTCGCAAAAGCCCAGTCAACGCCGATTGGCTGGGATGATGGAGAATGGACTGACAAGCGACCGGATGACTAAATCGAGTGGGCCGCATGACTTGACGACATACTGTAACATACCTAAGTAACTACATCAACAACACCTTCGTCTATCTACTATCGGGATGCTAGGTCCTCCTCCACGTCTTGGTGGAGCTTAAAGGGCTAAACACCACTCATCCTCGAAGACCGCCGTTCTGTCACTCCTCCTTGAGCTGGAGTGCTTGCAACTATATTCACTTGAGCATTCGAGGAATACAGGTTGATGTTCACGACCATTCGAGCGGTCCGCCACTTCCCACTCAGATCACTACAGCACACCCGCCGCACTCTCGAAATGACGCTCAAAACCCTCACCGCTGCCTCCGCCGCACAACTCGACAAAGACCTCATGTCCGAGTCCATGGGCTTCTCTATCGACCAATTAATGGAACTCGCCGGCCTGTCTGTCGCCTCCGCTGTCTACAAAGTGCACCCTCCCTCACTCGGCACCACCATCCTCCTCGCATGTGGACCGGGCAACAACGGCGGCGACGGCCTCGTCGCTGCCCGCCACCTTTACCATTTCGGGTACGCGCCAAGAGTATTCTACCCCAAGCCTACAAACCAACCGATCTTTGGGGGGCTAGTGAAACAGTTGAAAGCACTGGACATCCCCTTTGTGGACACGGACGGCTTCGAAGCGGCGCTAGGTGAGGCGGATCTGGTGGTAGATGCGTTATTTGGGTTTTCCTTCAAGCCGCCTGTGCGGAAGCCATTTGATACAGTCATCCAACAGATCATCGACTCCAAAAAGGAAGTGTTGAGTGTAGACGTACCGAGTTGTTGGCATGTGGAGGAAGGTCCGCCAAAGCAAGGCGACCTAGGCAGTCAATTCAAGCCGAGTTATCTGATCAGTTTGACGGCACCGAAGCCTTGCGTCGAGCACTTCAAAGGGCAGCGGCACTTTGTGGGTGGGCGATTCTTAGGCAAGAAGTTTGCGGAGGGGTACGGACTGGATGTGCCTGAGTATAAAGGCGTGGAGCAGATTGCGGAGTTGCAGGTTGGGGCGAGGGTTGAGAAGTTGTGAGGGATGGATCGGTCCCACGGCCATGAATGCACGAAGTGACGATGACCAAAATGAAACGTTCTGAAGGGCAATGGAAAGTTTGATTGATTTTATGACTGACCCCATACAACGCTGACCTCTCCTTTCGGATCATACTGCTTGGGAGACTGCGTTGCAACGCCTGAAGCGCCTAACATATGCTGTGAACTATGACATGACTTCGTTTCCTATCCTGTTGACGACGATTCTCCTTTGCGGACGATATCAAGGCAGAGCAGCTTTGATCTTCTGCTTCTGATCCGCTGTCAGCGACTTGGGGAAGTTGACCTTGACTTCCACTAAGAAGTCGCCCCTCTCGCCCGGCTTCTTGCTTATGGGCATGCCGAGACCAGGAAAGCGCTCCTGGTAGCCAGGCTGTGTTGGGCCTGCGCCTCGCACGGGCAGCTGTTTTCCGTCAATGGTAGTCACGGTCTTCTGCCAGCCTGTGAGTGCTTCTTTTAGGTCGAGGTCGAGGCTCATGACGATGTCGTCGCCCTCTCGCCGTAGACCAGGCGTGGGCTTTTCCTTGATGATGAAGTGGATGTCTTGGGTGCCACCCTCTTCTGTTTGATCGCCAACTCCGGAGAACTTGATCTTGGATCCGGCTTTCAGACCTGGCTTGATGTCCATCTCAAGAATCTTGTCTTCCTGGGTTCGTTGGCCGGTGGACTGATCAAAGACCTTCCGTCTGATCTTCATCTTCTTCCGGCATCCCCTGTAGAGGTCCTCCAGGCTGACGGGTAGATCCTTCTCAATGATGGTCGTTTCTGGTGTCGTTGGTCTTGGTTGATAGTTTGATGTAGTTCTCCGGCTGCGCCCGACCTCCGTCCACCTCCACCAAAGCCACCTCCCATGCTTCCTAACAGATTGAATATGTCATCTTGGTCCATGCCTCCAGCACCAGCGCCGCCACCTTGACTCCGAGCGAAGTTGCCGAATATGTCATTGGCATCGGAGAAGCTGAAGCCGCCTGACCCACCATCAGAGCTGAAGTGAAAGCCTCGTGCACCGCCGGGCATACCACCGCTGCTGAAGCCCTGGAAGCCACCGGGCATGCCGCCGAATCCTCCGCCAGGCATACCTCCTTCCGCACCTTCTGGCGGCGGGGCTCCTCCACGGAGGAGGAACTCGAGACCGTACTGATCATACACCTTACGTTTCTCGGGATCGGACAGTACCTCATAGGCCTGAGACACTTCCTTGAACTTCTCACCTGCATTAGGGTTGTCTTTGTTCTTGTCTGGGTGCCATTTCAGTGCAGCTTTCCTGTATGCCTTTTTGATATCCTCTTGTGAGGCGGAAGGCTGAATGCCCAAGGCATCGTACAGCTTTGTCTCTGCAACCATATTGCAGGTCGCGGTAATTGGTCGAGCTTAATTGCAATGCAGTGTTGGACACAGGGACGTAGGTTTGAGAGGCGAAGAGGACGGAAGTAAATGGTTACTGGCGAGTCGAAAGGACTGATCCTTCGATGTTGCTGTGGAATGCTCGAGCAGGTACCACAGAGGATATTGTGGAGCCGGCGCACGTTGCGGCCCGGGCTAGGATAAATAGTGCACAATCTGCCTCAACATGAGCCCTAGACTAAGCCTTGACGCAGGAGAACGGGCATGTGGTTGTGATGGGAACCGAGTAGTAGTGCAACTAGAAGTTGTTCAACAGCGCCCAGGTGTGACGTGCAGGCACTCCGCACTGCCCGCAGACTGGTCAGTTCTCAACCCCGGTGGAAGCTTCGAGAACCTTCTGCGGGGAAAGTGACCACTGAGCGAGACGCGTCGCGTGTTTTGATCTTCTCACATCTTGTACCGTAACAACGGCAATGGTTAGGCTCTAGCACCGCTCGATCATGAGCAGACTACAGGAAGCTGTGCGCAGTGTTGCGCTCCTGACTGGCGCATAGGACGCCCGAAGTCGTTGGTTCTGGGCAGGGTGGTGTCTAAGTAGGCAAGTATTCGTGTTTGCTGGGTCATCAAATCTATACCGAAGTGCGATAATTGTACTGTGTACTTTTTGATAGGAATGGAAGGTCAGTGTAGCATGGGAATCTTGCCCGGATACGGTTCAAGCATTTGCAGGTAGGTAGGGCGGGCTTCAGGATGAGCAGAATCGAATTCAATGTACATCGGTTCCTGTTCGCACGGGCTCACGAGCAAGAAAGGGAACAGCACCGTCGTGGTCGGCGAAGAAGAAATGTATCAAGATAAGTAGACATGGCAGGTGCAGGGAGGCCTTCGAGGTCAGCTGTCTGGCTGTTACGTTCTTTCCTTCGCCAGTGTGCCTTCCCAGATTTGATCCGCAACTACTCACATCACTTCTAACATTCATCAACTTCGTCAGCGTCCTCCCTTGATGCATTCTCCCTTGGTACTTGTTCTTTCATTCATAACTGCATTCTCACCATGGCCACTCACTTCCATGGGGAGGACTCTGCTGGCCAGCACGACATCCCTCACACTTCGCAAATGCTTGACGATAACGATCTTCTTGAAGTCCAGAGCGACGTCTACGAGTCTCCGACTTCGAAGAGACTAAGAGAAGAACAAGAGGCAGATCCCACCGCCCAACCAGATCAGCTTCGCCTGTACTAGGCTCACAGACGGCAAAAACATTCACTCGGCCTGCAAGCAATGGCTCTGAGATGACTACGAAGGGCTTCGTGATGCCTCAGCCGATGTCGAGGACTGTAGCCCCTATGAAGAGCAAACGTGTGCAGTTCCAGCCTTCATTCTCCATGATGTTCGCTCCTCTTGCCACTCCAAGAACGCCCAAGGAGGAGCCGTCAAGAAAACAAGCTGGCTTGACGAAAGCTGACAACGCTGCTGCTCCCGCTCGCCAGCAAGCCACCGGATTGAACCAACACGCATCACACCAAGAAGCCGGGGAGGTCGATACCGTGACCAAGTAAGCTGCTCACAAGCCTGTCTTGCTGTAACTAACGTGGTCGGTGCTAGACAATCACCCCCAGGAAAGCACGGAGTGTCCACGTTCACGGACGAGACCGAACCAGACCATAATGACCAGCCTGGATACAATCAGTCTACAGCACCGGAAGCCGCTGCAGTGAATCATCAGGCTCACGACGCTCAGGATGACGTTGCGATGGTTGAAGCAGAGCAGATCGATCAGCCCGCCAAGCTTGAAGATCACATTATAGACCAGCAAGCCTCGCCTGCCGTCATCGAAGTTGCAGAAGAAGCCGTACTCGCTGCCGGTCATGGAGAGCCTGTCCAGGAAGATGACGAATTACCAGCTCACGCCGCAACGGACGACTTTGGCCGGCCAGACGAGCAAAGCTATCAAAACGTCCCACAGGAGGCTGGTGAGGTTCTTGATGTCCTGCCTAACGATGAGCAAAATCATGCCGTCGAGGTCGATGACGGCCAACAGCATCATGTCGCTGACATTGAGCATGTTGAAGTCGGAAATGATGCCATAGCAGACGAACTTGACGATACCTGCGTCGACTCAGGTGTCGACAACTCGTGCATCAAGCAGAACGAGGCGACAAGACACAGCTCCGTGAAATCAAGCAGAGTGACAAAGTCGCGACAGAGAGCGGCCCATCGAGAGCACTCCCAGGGGCTCCAGATCCCTGCAGAGCTCTCCCCGGAGGAGCTTGCACATATCTGGGAGCAACGCTACGCCAAGGCCAGAGCCACTGTCAAGAATATCCAGCAGCATCTCGGCGAGGTGCACAACGAGAACAAAGGCCTCCAGGAGGCGTTGGAAAATGCTACACGGGAAAATCACGATCTTCTGGGCACTAACGAAATTTTGGAGACAGAGGCCGCCTCGTTCCAGGACAAATATAGAAAGCTGAAAGCTTTTGCGAAGAAGCTCAGTACCGAAATGAACGTCTTTCGGACTGACCGACAGAAGCATCTGGCTACTCAGCATGAAATGGAAATTGCAAAGCAACATTACCAGGCGGCCTCTGCCGACTTGCAGGCCACCGCCAAGAAGGTTCAGGAGGACTTTGATAAACAACGTCATGGCGGGCGAACCAACATCGCTGCCCTCAAGTCTGATCTAAGTAGTCACGGCAAGGCGCTGAAGAGTCTGCAAGACCTCGAGAAAGAGAGACACCAAGACTTGCGCAAAGAGCAGATCGCGAATGATCAGCTCCGTAAGGACGTGGCGGCTGTTCGCCAATCGCAACTGTCTGCGGAACAGGCTGCGCAGAAGCATGCTGAGCTATTCTCTGAGCGCGCGAGCGAGATTAGTGCGAGCATCACAAAGTTGCCAGAGACTCTTCATGTTCAACAGACTGAGCACGCGATCAAGGACTGCCATCAAGCTGTCAAAGCACAGGACTCGAAGAATCTTGCATCTCAAAAGGACGTCGGAAACCTGGCAACGTCTGTAACTCGTTTGCAGGAGTCTGTCACATCGCAAGAAGTTCTCCTCAGGGAGGGCTTCAAGGAAGCATCTGCCCAATGCTCCAAAATTGAGGCGGCGACAGCTTCTGCACAAGCACCTGTCCAACAGCTACTTGATCGAACCCAAACCCTGGCTCCTGACTTGGCGAAGATGCAGGACCTCCAGACCAAGAATGTCGAGCTCAAGGCGAAAGCTGAGGCAAAGACGCCATGCTTGTGCAAGTTGAAGGCCAGTTGAAGGAGAAGTGCGATACAATTCGCCTAACCATGACTGGCATTGGTAAGAAGTTGGAGCAGGATCAACAGCGGCAAGCCGAGCTGGATTCTCAGGCCCAGGTTAGATATCAAAGTGCTAAGAGCAACTTCGCTGCAGCCACGCAGCAACTTGAGGCAGCGAAGAAGGCAAACGATGATCTCCAGAAGCAGCTGGAGACTGCGACATCCAAACTCGAAGCGGAGCGGAAACGAAATGAGGAACAACGACATACTCTGGCCAAAGAACAAGTTGCTGAAGCCAATAGGTCATGGCAGCAGAAACTTGACTCTCAGAAGGACACCGCGGAGAAGGAACTTCAAAGCCTGCAAGCCACTGTCAAAAGTCTCGAGCAGAGTCTGAATGCCGAGGCTGAGGAGAGAGCGAAGCAGAAACAGTTGCTGATCAACGCCACATCCGCCCTTGATGCAGTCAAGAGCTCTTCAGCACAGCTTGAGAAGGATAATGAGCAGGTTGCAGCACAGCTGTCTGACACTCGTACCGAGCTCGAAAAGCTTGCTGCTACAAACAAGCAGCTGATCACGGAGAGAGACCAAGGTTCGGCGGATCTGGTTACGGTACGCGCAGATATCGAGAAGCTTGAGCGGTCGTCGGCGCAGCTCGTGAAAGAGAAAGACCAAGTGACAGCTGACCTCGCTGAGACACGATCGAAGACCAAAGATCTGCAGAATGCTGTCCGACGTGCCCAGAAGGAGAGAGACGACGTCAACGCGAGGGCAACGGAGGCACAGGCCAGCCTCGAGGCATCGAAGGAAGAGAACGTGAAACTGGAGAAGGCCTTGACTGATCTTGGCTCGGTCCGTGAGGAGCTTCACCGCGTTCGTCCTTTCGAGGTCCAATGCGCGAAGCTACTGTCGGAAGGTAACGATCTCAAGAAGAAGCTTGAAACAGCGACCGAAGTCACTAAGCGCATGCAAAACGAGCTTGATGAAGTCAAGATTGATGCAAATCTGGTGCCTGGCTTGAAGAAGTCGCTGCAAGAGTACGAGAAGAGTGCCATCAACCTGAAAAACAGACTCAACCGCGCAGAAGACGAGGCGAAGATCGTTCCGGAGCTCCGCAAGCAGAACGAGGAGCTCAGCAACAGCATGGCCCAGGCGAATGCGCAAATCGAGGAGCTAAGACCAATGCGTGCACAGCTACAGGCTGGGCGTGAAGGCAACGAGCGCCGGGAGAATGAGTTGACTGGTCTGCGTCAGCAGCTCGCCGATGCAAAGCGTCTGGCCGACAAGACTGCAGATCTCGAGGCTCAAGGTCGTGCCAAAGACGAGCGAATTGCACAGCTTGAAGAACGTGTCAATTCTACCTCTGAGGAGGACTCCAGGTACGCCGCTGTCGTGAAGGAGTCACAACAGAAGGACAACGAACTCAACACGCTAAGGGAAGAGGTAAAGAAGCTCAAGGTTGAGTCACAGCAGCGAGAAAACAGCCAGCTCGAGATTGCGGAGTCATTTCCACTGCCGTCGCATGGTGGTGCAGATCAGCAGAATCGTTCAGCTAGCCGATTGCGCGAAACACCTGCTGATCGCGACGGGGCGGGCTTCAGTGCTCCGGCACGTCCGAACAGAAGAGTTGCTGATCGATCCTCAAACGTGAAAGCCCAGCGGCCGTTTCTTCCGTCTCAGGAGGACTCTCAGAGCTTGACACAGAACACAGAGGTGGTCCCAGACTCTCAGGGCACTCAGAGCCCACCCAGAGGTCTTGCTGAGCCCAGTCATGATTCTCTGCTGACAGACTTGGTGGATCTGCCGCCGTTCGATCACGAAGCCGCGGCGAAGCTGCTGGAGGCCGCCCCGGCACATTTCGCTGCTCCGCTACGACGCACCAGTACGAATGTTAGTGCTCGGCCTTCGTCCAGCTCTTCGGACTTGTTTCACAAGCATGAAATGAGTCTAGGAACGCAGCGTCCTCCCCACCAGCATTCTACAATCAGTCCCCTTCGTCTGCGTAATGGGGTCATGCACGGCGTCGACAGTCAAAGTGGACCTGCCTACTCGCCCCTCAGTGACACAGCGCCCGCCCGACAGCAGCCCAATACAGCTGCAAAACGCGTCGCCGATGAAACGCCACGCCCGACCGCCAGGGAGGACTCTGAACCACCGCAGAAGCGAAAGCGGGATATTGATGCCATGTCCGTGCGAGAGCGCAAGCGGACTGCTCTCGTTAACACCCGCGAGAGAACTCCCACCCCCAGCCAGCGAGGTGGAAGCATCATCGGCACTTCCGCTCCTGCTCCCAAGGCGGTTCAACGTACTAGCAAAGCCCCACGGAGAGGGTCGGCAGCAGAAGGCTATGCAAAGCAATTTGGCAGCAAGCGTCCGGATTCTCGCGGGTCTCTGTGATTGCAGGGAGGACTCTGTATCTGCTATGGTGATATGAATGGGACATGGTATCATTGTGCAGAGTCCTCCAGGACGGACTGACTGCACGCACGCTCATTTGAAACGGACATATGATAGTAAGAATCACGTGATATTGCCGGATACGTACGAAATAGAGCCAAGTTTTCTGCCGAATTCTCACAGCACCCTCCCTGGTCGTAAAATTCCCAAAAGATTGTGGTACCAACTGACGCTCGAGTGAGGCTCATCTCAAGATCAGCCACTCGATCAGCAAGTCACCATCAGAAGTTCAGCACCCTCCCTGACCGGGAACACTATAAGCAATTGCAAAAACGACCAGGACTCGTGTCCACAGGCCTGGCCACCTTGTAACTTCCAAAAACAGCTATACGAATGCGACTTGCCACCTTGCTATCCGCCCATGACTGTCGCCGCTTCCCAGGACTGACTTGAGTGCAGTGGTACTGTGGTGTCGGTCGTGCCTGCTCAATCAGAGTGGGCCAGATTGAACTCGCGACGGCGAGCGTTTTGGGGTGCATGATCTTCTCGACTGCTTCGTAGCAGTGATATAGTGCGGGAGAGTCTGGTTCCGATGGTGTTGTGATGCTGAGCGCGTTGTTGGGCTCCGCGAGCGATGGAAAGCTATTTGGATTGTTTAGTTTAGGGCAAGTCGTTTCAGTTCAATTCAGTTCAGCTCAGGTGGTTCAGCTCAGGTCGTTCAATTCAGTTCAGTTCAATGATGGCTCCATCAATGGAATACCGTCATGGGCGGTGGTCCTAGCTAGGGTTCGATATGTACATGCACTCCCACAGGAACGCAATGACTGAGTAGAGAGTTCTCTCGGCCGGTAAAGAAAGGTCACTGTGTTTTGTACATGTGAATATACAGCCATCATGCAGCATGTCCCGCCCATATCGGCGAGCATTGACTTCACGTCCTCATAGCGCCTGCCCTGCCTCTGTTGAGAATGCTCAGGCGCCAGCCTGTTGAGCTTGAATAGATTTGCAGCGCTGCTAGCGGGGTCCAGGTAGATTCCGGGCATCGAGGAGTCAGTGGGCATACTTTTACGTAGCCGCTTTTCCTTCGTTGTGTAGATACCGTCCAACCCCTGCATCGTACGGAGTGCATGCGCAGTGATTCCTGAACGTATGCTCTCGGATGCTGTACACTTGCGACAGCATGTGCATGAGACCCGAAGTGCTTCGCAACGTGACATGCATGCTGTGTCTTTCAGACCGACCTTGGCGCTGGTAATCCTTGGTCTTCCTGCTTCGCGTCGTGGACTGGTTAATGGTTGCGTGATACTGTTGCAAGGTCACGAGTTGACCCGCTCCTTGCGAGGGAAGAGCGCTGCGGCAGCGTATTGCAATGAGGTACAATGATCGGAGGCGCGGCCAGAGATTCTTGAACCCAGCGCATGCGCAGGTCTGAACGGCAGTCAATCCAGAACCCCTGGTATCTCGAGGCGATGGCGGTGCTGCAGCGGTCGGCGCATCGACCGTCCATCCCAATGTCTCCGCGGTCTGTTCATCGCTGTCGCCCTATCACCGCTTCTGCTAACCCACGTTTTGCATGTCTTTTCCCGGCACCGTCTCAATAGCTCAATCAAACTCCTCCTAACAAGCAACCATAATTCATTTCCCCTTCCCACGCTTCGCCTCCAAGAACAACACATGCTTCTTCACAACAGGATCGTACTTCATCATCGATAGCGGTCGGTGTACACGAGGCCGGGTGAAAGTTCGGTAGTAGCCCGTCATGGCCATGCTGATGAGGCGGACTGCGATTGTGCGGGACTTTGCTTTTTTGGCCATGATTTCTAGGGCCGAGGAATCGGTGCTGGATAAGTTGAGGATGGCAGTGGTTATGGAGGTTGTGAGGGTGTAGAGTGGGTGGTGTAAGAGGTGTGCTTCATGCAGAAGAGGTTGCGAGATGCGAAAAGTACGGTAGACGAGTAAAGCATCCTACGAAGTCGATAGGGTGCGCCATGCCATGGCATCGGCTTCACTGAAGAGCTAAACTTGACCTCCCTCCTTCCTTGACTCCTTATTCCACTTTGCAAGGCACCATGGACGCGCCGTATCTTTGTTCACAGCGCCGGGAGTCGAGCATGTACGCTGGTGTTATATCAATCGCTGGTCTGTCCTCGGCAACTGTTGCGATGTCGAGCCAAATTTCCAAATGCAGAGAACCTGCCAATGGTTTGTGAAGTCTGTCCAATATTTCGGGGTCACTTGTAACCAGACCACATCTTTGCAGTTGATGATGTGAAGGTGTGCTGTTTTGTTGTTGATTTTCTGTCTTGTCTGTAGCGTGCTGCCTGATCTGGTCTTCAATTGATTCTCTGGAAAGGCACAGCTACGCGCCTTGAACCTGTTGTTTAAATAGCAAACACTACTCCTTGCCTCTCCGAAGGTCAATACTGACTTTGAATCACTATCATCAACGCTATCGTAACTTCAGCAGTATTAGCTTATCATATGATGCCGACAGACACCAATTATGACGCTGGGCAGCCAGTGGCTGGGCTTGGGAAGACGGAGTCGGAGATCAGTGTTGTGCGTCAACGTTCGAATCAGAGTTCCGAGCAACGTCCTTTCATCCCGGAACCCGTCACTTTCGACTACATAGGTGTTGGGCAGATCCGCAACGAGATTTCCGGTCAAGAAAGCAGACGTCAATCTGGCTTCAAGTCGCAGTCAAAATCGCGACATCCAATTCCTTTCGCCGAAGTAAAGGGGGACTCATCCTTTGCTGTAAGCGACTCTCTTCTATTCAACGTCCTGCCTCTGGAAATTCTGACAATGGTCATTGATTTTCTGCCGATCGAGGTTCTAGAGGTGCTGGCGAGTGTCAGTCGTGACTGTTATATACTTGCTCGCACCAGACTGTTCGAGAAGCTGGACCTCGGCTCCCATCCCGCAGGTTTGGATATATTGGGCTACCTACACAAGCAGACCTTCGAATCGAGAAGCAGAATGAACACACTCTACTTGGGGAATTGTGTTCGGCGCCTTACAGTGTCCACGTTATCGAGAAGATGGTCTCTCCACACCGTCATAAATGTTTACCTCCCGAAAGTCCTCAATGTCATACAGTATGGGCTCCCGAACCTGGACTCCCTGAAATGGTCGCAGCCAGTGACATTGACAGCTTCTGCGTGGCAAATTCTTCTGGAAAGTCCAATTCGGCGGCTGAAGCTGTACAACATTCTCATTAACGCCAGCACCTTCGACCAACTGCGAGGCCTTCCGCCGGCAGCCGGACGATCTTTGGAGGAATTGCACATAGGGTGGGATGTCGAGCCGAAACGTGGGGTCCTTTTCTGCTACAACTGTGCGATCGAGCTCCTAATCCGCTGTGCACCCAAGCTCACGACGCTTGTCTGGCACGGATCAAGTTACAGCCCGGCAAGGTATGGTGGGGAACTGAGAAAGGCTGGTCCACTTACACCAATGTTCAACCTTCGTTCACTGGCGCTGAACGGTGTCTATATCCAGACGCCGGAAGACATCGCTGCACTCATGGGTCCGACAAAAACCTCAAAGCTGGCGCACTTGTCCTTGAACCAAGTTAACGAGGCTGTCATTCGTCGTCTGAGACTCCTGGGGAGGCTGCCGATGCTCCAGAGCTTTGTGTGGGGCCAGGACTCCTATACAGCGCCGTTGTGCGTCGATTTCCTCTCTCAGAACCCTCAGATTGAGTTTCTGTCTCTGAAGTACTGCCCTAAGAGCCTGATTGACGATGTAGTGTTGCCTCTACTAGCTACGGACTTCCGTCGCCTTAGATCACTGGAGCTGAGATACGACAGATACGACAATTCCAGCTCAACGCTTTCCGATGCAGCCCTTACACGCATATCTCAACTTATCAGCCTGACTCAATTGCACGTTGAGATAGGCCCCCCCACCCCAACCTATGGCCTTGCGACGTGGATGCTTGATCACGACAAAATCCGTGCGTGTGTGGAGCAGCTCCCGAAGCTGAAGACGCTGGCTCTGAGCGGCGACACATACGATCCACATAACACCGGTCTACGGTTCGTTCAAGAGAACTACTACTATCGTTCCTTCACTCATGGAACGAATGGTTGGGAGTCACACGACCGAAGTCCTTCCTTCGAAAGCACACATCTCGAGCGCATGCTAAAGCAAGGGAACGAATACGTGTCAATACGCAACCAGAGTGGCCCGAAGCTAGACTTCGTATACTGTGGACAGATTCCCATGCGTGTGGAGACTGGTTCTGCTGGATGTTCCGCCGTACCCGCGACAAACGGACGAGATTCATTGACTCAATTCTTGCGCAAAACTTTTCGCACAGGAAATGCGTTGAATCCCTCCGAGTGAACACTGGTCGCCTCGGGATCCCGAGGCCGGCTTGCGTTCGACGGACACTACGGAGGCTGGGCACAAGAGCGCTACGATCTGAGCCGCAGCAGCAGATAAGTGGCTGCAATGACAAGGGCTCACGGAAAGCTCACAAGGACTGCATGTAATCAAATAGATCATGGGCGTTCCCCAAGGTACAGACCAAAGACGACAATAGAGCTTATCTCTGCGCACTCCACGAAATTCCAAGGATTTGAGAGGAGGTGACCTAATTCTTTCCATTGGCATCATAGAACGATGCTAATATTCGTGCTTCCGTTAAGTCCCAAGTGACCCTTATCCTCGTGATTTGCGCTCTGCTTCGAAGATTTCTGTTACCATCCCACCTTGAGCCCGTGAGCCCATGAGCATATGTATCCAGTGCCACAGAGACGGTACAGTGTTCTACTGGATAGGTAATGAGGCCATCAAATAGTGGTTTCTAAGTGTCAAGCACTGCCACTGACAGCCAAATCTTATCTTCTTGCTTGTGCCTCTCCTCCTGCGCTACTCCTGCCAGTGTGTCACATTCTACCTGAAAAAGACCCTGGGAGGGAGATCGGAGCTGGGGACATCGACGACCGCTACAGCTTTCCTCACTAACCCAACGTTTCTCTGGGGCCGGCAGCCAAACCATGTCAATCAATCGAGACTCGATGCTCTGCCAGTCCTGTTCTTGAACAAATCTCCAAAGTTGCGTGCTATCGTCCGTGGAGAGTCGCGAGGAGGTTCGCACTGAACGCTTCGGTGCTTCGTCGGTCATAGCGGCGGGACCTGGACCGCGTCCAGGAGCAGACGGAGGCGATGGTCTTACCTCCACCAGCTAAGGCAGCGCACAAAGGCGCCCGACGGTATGTAGGCCAGAGTCCGCCTGGTAAGTAATTTTCCATGACCACAACAGGCCAATTAGTGCGTTGCTCAGCCCATACCAAACTTCAGCAGCCGGCTTTCCCGCTTAATTCCGCTCAACAGATCTCGAGTTTGACCAATCGTCATTTCCTTGCCAACGTCGAGGCTTCGAACATCGCAAATCCAGCCCTTCTGACGCAGCCACGAGCCGTCATCGCCATCCCAGAGCGTCTTTCGAACCTCATCGGCCTCCGCACGTCTGATCTTAAGCTGCTTTACGCTCACGCCCCGGTCGTCCTTTTGCTCATCGTGAGCGCTGATCCAGCTTCGTGCCATCAACGCGCGAGCTATCTTAGCACCGCCAGCAGCTCCAGCCATGATGTTTCCACCAAGATACCATGGGTTCTGCGCATGATCGAATGAGTGTAGAAGGACTGTCAGCGGTAAAGCACCTATCCTGACCAGATGTGATCGAATGTATGGTTCCAGGTCAGCGAACGGCAGTCCGTGGGGCGAGTAGATGATCGACAGAGGTTTGGGCCTTGCTGGAGTAATTGGTGAGACTAATGACGGCTGCGAGGCGAGTGAAGAGATGGATTGTTGTTGCGTAGGCGCTGATGACTTTCGATGCGAGAAGATTGAATTCTGGTAATCCGAAGTGTTCGGCGAATCAGGTGGGGTCGGAAGCGCTTCAACCTGATCAAAGTCGTAATTCGGCATATCAATCCCGAAATCAAACAGTGCCTCCTTCGTCAAGAAAGGCTCAGATTTCTGTTTGATCACCGTGTGATGTGGCAGCTCAAGTCTGGGGCTCTGGCCACCAATATCGGAACCGTGAGAGCTGAGTCGCACCTGCTCCGAGAGTGGCAGAAACTCCGAGGACGCTGTGTTGGATGATCTGGAAAGCTGCGGCCGATGACCTTTCTTTACCTTGAGTGGCTCGTCCAGCGATACCGGACGACCTATCAGGGGTGAGAACAGCCGTTGCGGACTGGTCGGCGGGAGTGTGACAGGACTTGTAGGGAGATGGAAGTATCGAGTCGTTTTCGGCAGATCGATGGTCGGCACGGGCGCGATTGACTGACTGCGTGAGGGCGGGGTGTACGTTATGCCAAACGCGTTATGCAGGCCGGTCATGTAGTTCTTCGCTGGGATGAAGCTGATACAGATCTCTCCAGCATGACCTTCAGCGGATAGCGGCGGGATTCGAAGGCGAAATGAGTTCTCGAACCTCTTCTTCTCGTTGTATTTTATCAGACCATGCACTCGGTTCGGGTCGAAGTGGTTCCAGCTCTTGATGGCCTTGGCTGCGGCTGGCTCTGCAACGATGATGCTCTTCGTGCCTGGTCTCAACTGACGCAGTGTCTCCTTGTGGCAATGATCGGGCTTATTTTGCGATACGACCACAATATCCGGCTCCTCAATTTCCGACAGGTGTTCAATTGCGCTTGGGAGGGTGCGCTTCGTGATCGCAAACCAACTGGCCGTGACCACAGAGGAGCCGACGAGCCATGGGTCGACGAGGACACTGTAGGCACCGTTCACTGAGGTCAGGTCAGAGAGTACAGGGTGCGTTTCCGGAGAGAATATGAGGAGGAAGGTGCTATCGGCGTTCAGATGGCGCACTGTCACGGACATGGTCTCTCAGCCGGAAGGCAGGAGCGTCATGGCAGAAGCACTGTACTCGGAGCTGCTCCAGGTAGATGAGTAGATGTATAGGAGTACGGCTCGAGCCTCACGAGTTCGAACATGGTCGTCGCATGGTCACGGTGACGAGGGGTATAATCGTTAGTTTGTGGTACGGCTGCAGGCCTTGGATATAAGATTGCAGCAACGCCGGGTGGCAGCAGCAGACGATGTCATCTTCGATAAATTTGGACAGCCGTTGTCGATAGTCTGGACTCTAGGCGAAATCATGTCTAAAACCTAGCTTAAACTTGCACTGTCAGAGATCCTCGGGGCTGCTTCTGCCGAGAAGAGCCTGTAGGGCTGAGGCTGGTTCAGATCATGACAAACACCATTACTGCGAATCATATGCGATGGTGAATAAGTTAATGTTGCGATATGTTCGCCAGGGAGGCCTCTGGTGACGAGAAGAAGCAAGAAGCGTGAATTGGTCCGGCAATTTAGAGGAGCAAAGCAGGAATCGTCAACAGAAAGACTGGTCACGGGATCGCGGATTTAAGCAGATACTTCCGTATAGGTCAAGAAAGATCCAAAAACTTTTTGAAAGTTGTCGAAATTGTTGACCACACAGCGCCCTCCCCGTATCATCATGCCGGGCATTTTGGTTAAGGATCAAACGATGATGGAGAAAGGGAAGCGGAAGCGGAAACAAGAGAAACTGCTGCCGAGAAAGTCAAGAGTCATTGCTGGAAGCCGCCCGGTGGTGAAAAGTGACGCGCTAAGCTGGAAAACTGTTACGTTGCCGGATCGATTAGATGATGCGGAAGGCTTCTACCTCCTGGAGGAGGTGGATGATGTTGAGGTTGTGAGAGATGAGGGCAACAATGTTATGTTCAGGTCACTCAACTCAGACCTTGAAGTTAGAACACAGGACGCAGAAAATGGCGAGGCCATCGGCGAAGATGACGAATGGGAGGGATTTTCCGATGAGGAGGACTCTGAAGCGCCGTTGATGGCTGATGCTGTACAAGCTCCGCGACCGAATGGTATCTTGAAGCACAAGCACGATCATGCGGCCAGTGGCGTCAATAGCGATCAAGGAGAGTCAGACGAGGGGCTCGAAAGCCAGAATGTCTTCGACTTGCTGAACGAGGTGCCACAGGACGCTGGTGATGCTTTGGCTTGGGAAGAACTTGAGCTTACAGAACCTACAATCAAGGCCCTGACGAACATCGGCTTCACAAAGCCCACCCCGATCCAGGCCGCAGCAATTCCTCCTATCTTGAAAGGAAAAGACGTCATTGGCAAAGCGATCACTGGCTCAGGGAAGACTCTGGCCTTCGGGATCCCCATCATAGAGCATTGGCTTTCAGTCACGGACGAGCCGAAGGGCCCCGTGGCTCTGATACTGGCACCCACGAGAGAGCTTGCACACCAGCTACACGACCACATCAGCGCACTTGCAGAAGGCCTTGATCGACAGCCTCGCGTTGTCAAAGTGACAGGAGGTCTCTCGATATTGAAACAACAACGACAACTGGAGCATGCAGATATCATAATAGCGACGCCGGGCCGTCTATGGGAGGTTATCAACGAGTCCCAGGGACTGATCGAACAATTGAAACAAGTACGGTATCTGGTGATAGACGAAGCCGATCGCCTTCTCAGCGAAGGACACTTCAAGGAGGTCGAGGATATCATCGACACTATCGACCGACAGGTCTTGGACGAGAGCAACCGGCCCGTCAGCTCCCGACCCCAGCGACAAATCTTGGTATTCTCCGCTACCTTCAATCGAGGATTGCACCAGAAGCTCGCCGGCAAGTTGAAGAACGGCACAGCCAGTGACCTCCTGAGCAATCAGCAATCCCTTGCATATCTGCTGAAGAAGCTTCCGTTCCCTAAGCACACCAAGCCAATGTTTATCGACCCATCCCCAGAATCGACAATGGCAAGCCAGCTCACCGAATCAATATTGCAGTGTCCTGCAAACGACAAAGACCTCTACCTCTACGCTCTCCTACTCCTCAATCACAATCTGAAGACTCTAATCTTCGCCAACAGCATCAACACCGTCAAACGCGTGCATACCTTTCTCAGCACCCTCTCACTGCCCTCGGAAGTCCTTCATGGTGACAAAATGCCACAAAAGTCTCGACTTCGAGCTCTGGAGCGCTTCCACGACATACCAAACAGCATTCTAGTCGCGACTGACGTCGCCGCACGTGGTCTCGATATCAAAGGCATCCAATTGATTATCCACTACCACGTTCCCCGATCTGCAGATATGTACGTCCATAGATCCGGCCGCACAGCCAGGGCGGGCGCTGCAGGAAAATCTGTGCTGTTGTGCTCGCCAGAGGAGGTCGTTCCGATCACTCGACTCATCGGAAAGGTGCACTCGCAGAAACAGAAACAGGAACAGGAGCACCAATTTGGCGATGCGCAATATACAAAGGATCCGCCCACAGGGCGGGCTCCAGAGACAGTCTACGTGGATTCCCGAATCACAACGCGCATCCGGCCACGCGTTGACCTAGCGCAAAAGATCACCACAGCAGCGCAGTCGCAAGCGAAGACCTCCTCTTCCGATTCCTGGGTACGCAAATACGCCGAGGAACTAGGTCAGGAGTATGATAGCGAGGAGTTCGAAGAGGAAGCACGCCGAATGAAGCGCGGTAAAGGTGGCGGACGCGAAAAGAAGCGCAGGGAGGCCGCTGCGACTAGTAAAGGGCAAATAGGCGCCTGGAAGGCCGAATTAGGGGAGCTATTACGGAAGAAGGTCAATCTGGGTGTCAGTGAGCGCTATCTGGCTGGAGGCGGCGTGAATGTTGATCAATTGATCGATGGAACTGGGGAGGCCGCCTCGGGGGTGTTTCTTGAGGGTATCCGATAGATGAACGTGACGCTGGTCAAACGCGCTACTCAATTTCATCGAAGCCTCAAGTGAAGCGACTTGCTCTCACTATCTAATCAGATGAAGATCCGAGGTGCGTCATTCTCGTGTGGCTTGTGCCTCAGGAGGATCCAACTTCGGTCGCCTCTCTTCGTACACAGCGTGCTCCCCGTACGAATTGTTGCCTGGACAGTATGTGCACAAAAGAAGCATCACTTCTTCAAGTGTTCGAAATCCCCCCTCGCCACTGCGGACAGGACGCTTCTGGCAATAAAGCTATCACAGTAATGCCATTAGAAATGCTGACACTCAAATATAGCCATGTCTCTATCAATGCTGCAAATCCTGTTCGGGCAAGTGAGCTATAACAGCCATTGGTCAAGGTCGCTCGTCAGAACTTTTGTGCCTACGCAGATACATATCGGCCGACGGCCGCACTCGCGAGGATTACACAGCAGCGCAGGCAATCGCATTTCTGTGGCAGTGAAAGGGGCGGCAGCCTGAGCGTCAGATGGCGGTGGCCACGGCTACCATGCGGACATCATAATCTCAGCATCGTCTGAGACAGGCGATCGCCTGACGAGATATCCGAGTGTCGATGACAAACGCGAAGGGTGGACTGAAGCAGTCTGGGGACTTTGGTACTTCTCTAGCTTACCTAATTTTCCTAGCTGTCGAATCATGCACGGCGCAAGCCTGGTTACCGTACCGAACGAAGAGCCCCCGCCTTCTGGGGCCGCTTGCTCCCTCGAGGGCCGTGCCGATAGCCACCGAGGCTGAAGCAATGGTACGGTACTGTAAGAGGAAAATGAGCTGCTGGTGTCCATAAATCAAGTTTTGTGCGCGCAGAACAAGTGCTTGGCCGTGCGAAAGTACCTCGACCGGTTTGCGGTGCATGTTTAGTCCGATGAGTTGCAGTGGTGTCCTGCCCCTTCTGGCTGCTTGGAACGGCTCGGCAATAACAAAACGTTGGCTTCATCCAGAGAGGAGTTCGTTTGCGCGTGTGTCCACCATTCGATTGCTTGTGAACCCACAATCGAGACATGTAGACAATAGGAAGGTGCGGTATCCCTGAGTCGACACACCCATCCAGATCGAAGCAGCCCACGCAGCGTTGGGTGACTCATGGCCGGCATGGAAGGCAGAGGACTCACAATTGTGCACGACTGCCTGTGCTCAGCCGTAGCAGCGGTGCTTCATCGCAGCCTGGACAGTCCACCCAGGGTCTGTACTCATACCCGCGGTTGCCGCACATCATCATCAAGGACAGAGTCATCAGGCTCCAGAGCCGAGGCCGCTGAGGCCTGGACTTGCATGCGCAGTGGTTCTGAAGAAAGGTGGATCGGAACTTTTGTTGCATGAGACTTGGTGATTATTGATGCAGCCAGGCGGGGCATCGGTACAAGGGCTTGCATGAAGCTGCATGATCTGGTGACGAATTCTCCTGCAGGTTGTGGATCGGTGGGTGTGTATGGACTGCAGCTCGAATGAGAGTGATCTTCTGAGTCATTGTCTTGATCTCGTAGATTCCGCAGGCTGAGTGCATAGCAGTGTCTACATGACTGGAAACAGAGAAGGAATCACCGTGTGAAGGAGGGGCAATTGCGACTCATTATCGATAGTCCCGAAATTCAGGCACACAGACTGGTGGGGCAGGCGACCAGGCATCGATCGGCGTGCAGATCAGGATCCCTACCAGAGATACGAAGTAGGCAGCGACCACAATTGCAGCAGTCACGAACAAGCGCAGAAGAGATGGAAGGTATGTTGTGTGTTTTGCAGCAGGTACTCTTTGGATCTATCTGAAATATATCGATGATGCGACAAAGCAGTCCTAATCAAATGATGTTGACAATTAAGTCCCATGAATAATTCCTCCCCGCCACACTTTCGGTCTCTGTAAAGTACACAAAAGGCAAGCGGCCATCTCTTCCATCGACGCTGCGCAAACTGTTGCGAGTCGGGCTCCCCTTTTGTTTCGAGGTGTCTGCGCCGGACCGTTCGCGCCAGCGTCGTTCCCCCTCGATCATCTGGTGTGGGTATCGTAATACTGTTGATCATACAATCTTGGTTCAAATCTCAAATCCGTAACTCCATCAAGGTAAAATCAATCAGCGATAGTACCTGCTGCTTCGTGGGTTGGCCATGATGATGATTGGCTCATCATTGTACCAGCTTCGCGATTTGCGAGCCTGTTGATCTGCGTAGTAGAGACTTCCGTGGTAGTCGGCGTCACTGTCGAAGTGTACTGTCCTTCGTCGCCGGCTGTCGTCATGGTATCTCTCCCTTCGTCCGCCGGTGATCTCGTAGTAGCCATCGTCCCGGGGTTCAATGTAGTAGGTGCGGTCCTGTGAGACGACAGGTCGGGCTGATGTGAGTTGGAGACCTTTGTCGAATGCCTTGACCAGTAATCGGACGGCCTCATACTCGTAGGGAATTTCAATTTCTGTGCGTTGACCGAATGCCTGCTTGTCGATGACACTGTGTGGCCGGCCGCCTTTCGAGTAAATGTATTTGGCGACGTCAATGGCGTAGGCTCGGCCTCTGTCGCAAAGCTCGCCGTCCTTCTTCCATACTGCCACGGGGTCGAAGCAGCGCTTGCACTTGGCGGAGTGACGGCTCCAGGTGGCACATACGGCACGCTCATCGTCCCGGAGTCGGCGCGAGGCCCGCACCTCCGGCGCGAAAGTCACTGCTGGAGATCGCGCCATCTTTGCTGATCTGGGTTCCGGGGTAGATGGAACAGATGTGTTAGGCGTTGACACGTGGGTGAGTGGGGGTGTCGAGACTGGTGGTGGACTGGGCGTCGCTCGAGTTACTGTGATGTACTCGTAGTCGCGATCTAACACATTGATTTTGGGATAGTAGTAGTAAGTTGTGTGGGTACGCGCGTGAGAAGACACGGCGACGGTGTGGTTGGTGGTTCCAGGTATCAGGCGGTAAGGTATGAAGCAGTAGTCGCTGCCTTGCTCTGGCAAACTGGGCGTCGACGATGTCGATGTGTTGTTCTGTGAGTGGTTGAGTGAATGGAAAGAAAGCAGGATTGGTTCGAGGTGGGAGTTGAAGGGAAGTTATAGATGCATAGCCTCCACAGTGAATTGAACAGATGCGTAGCGAAGACAGGCAACAAGCCAGGCGCTGCAGGGATGTTCACTGGCTGTGGGCCCTGCTGCGGGTCTGTGTTACTAGGCTGGGATTGGAATGGTCAATACCAAAATCCCCTGGGCGACAGTTCCCGCAAAATCGTAAGCAAAGGTCCTGTGCAGGTCCTCGAGTCACTGCCCAGATGTTCTTTGTAAGTACACTCTGACGAGACAGTCACCTAGCCTTGCATTAAACTGTCATCGTCCTGTTTGGTTTCGTTGTCGTCGATTATGTTCGCTGATGTTCGTGAGCTCACCTAAAAGTAGAACACGACTGACCTGGCCGGCGTTTGCGCTTCTACGACACGCGCCGGCCAAGGACTGCCTGTACAGCCACTCAATCTCGTGCTTCGAGTCGTCCATGACTGTGCGGCGCATCGTCTCCAGCATTTTTTGTTTCAAGGTCGTCAAGCCTGCCGGTCTAGGAGCCAGCCCTATGTCGTCAAAGGTGGTGAAAGAGGGCTGAGCTTCCCAAACCACCGTCACGACACGGAAGTGTGGCTCGTACTAAGCCAAATCAGAACCTTAGACGAGACCACCTGCTGTAATGTGATAGGCGCGCTGACAGCCCAAGCTTCTTGTTCGCCTAGTCCCCAACAGGCTGACCGGTTTGGGGGCCACCCAGATGAGCCTCGCACCAAAGGGCTTAGTATCTGACAATACACACGAGCGTTGAAACATCAGATGCACGGGCTCTGTGGCCACCTCGATGCTGGGGCCAGAACACTCAACAGCACAGATTTTATGGACCGTTCTGGGATAGTGCCGTCTTTGGTATTACCGTTACTGGTCATATCATCAGCGCCGAGTCTGCCTCGAGCCATCCCACCACCCCTCCCGTTTCCTTGCTTGGTATCGTTGACTCAGATTAAGGAGCGTGCGGGTGACCAGTCAGTGGGCCTTGCAGTCATAATCCGTGAGCCTGCGTGAACACCCGCTGGGCGTTGCTGCCTGTACAAGGATACTTCGGGTGTACCTGGCAGGCACCTACAGATTCTGGCCTGTCCATATCGAAATGTGCAGGACTTTTCCCATATCCGCGCACGGCTGCCTTGTCCCACCAACCTGTCATGTGTTCTTTAGTCCGACTTCTGACGACGCCTGGCCGGGAGTTACGAGGAACGACCTTCCGCTGCATAACCGGCTCCGTATCCTCTCACAAGCCGAGCATGCGTCAACCTCTGGTACACAAATCCAACCCACGGGCGTCACTTTCCCAGACCACGCGCTATGCTTACAGATCATTCAGGAAGCCCGGCGCCTGCCTTGGATGACGGGTAAACCTCGATCTGATTCATCACTCAGGAACTGTGCTACCCATTCTATGCTCACCGCTACATAGCAAACACTCTCTGAACATCGTTTATCCGTCCACCGTAAGTTCGTGGGCAGAAAGTGCAGTCACGAGGGCTCTTGGGGAATGAGTGAGGCGCTCTGAGTCGTTCTGCGCGTCCTGAAGCGCGCTCTTTGCTTGACTTGGAATGTGTATGCAGCATAGACGTGGAGCACAGATCTGTGGTACCGTTGTGTTTTCGCAGCCTGTGGAAGCTCGAAGAACATGGTGAGTTCCATGCACCAACGTGAAGACAACAAGCTCTTCCGTTGACCGCGTTTCGAGCGTTCAGCGCCCGGGAGAATCGTAGTCGCGGCGACCTATGCCGCCCGGGATGGTGCACGACTAGCGCCGAGCTGTGCCACTTCCGGACGGTCGAATATGATCACTTTGTTGATAAAGACGCATCGCACGTATGAAGTCGACATATGGTTTGACCTCGGTATCGGCTTTCGGAAGGCGAAGACCACCTCGCAGGAGGACGCGCCCAACCAGGGTCGACAACGCCGCTCGATCACGCCGTTCATTATTTGACAACGCCAGATGAACGATCTCACTCAGGACCTCGGATGACGATCTTGCCCCTCGTCCGTCCGGTGCGTAGCCGCGTGAAGCCTTCACTCGCGTTTTTGAAAGGCAGAACTGTATCCTTGATGACCTTGATCTTTCCTTCGGCTACCCATTGCCCGATCTGGCTGAGGTGTTCCGCATTCGAGGTCACCGAAGCCATTGAGAACTTTCGATTGGTTCCTCCTAGCCAGCTGGGCTGCAACATTTCTGGTACTGGTCAGCAGGTGCTCTTACTGAATTCATACCAACCGAGCTTACTTCTGACTATATCACCTAGTGTAACGAAGCTGATCTCTGCTCCTACTTGGACGTAGATCGCGCTGTCACCGGACCATTTGCCCAGAGTCCGCCACAAGTTCGGGTCGGCGCCAACATTGTCGACCACATGTTGATAGCTTCGACCGCTGCCGATCAATGTTGTGGTTACATTCGTGCTTCGGTAGTCGATCACTTCATCAGCTCCCAGGTCTCGGCAGAGCTCCACGTTTGCTGTCGAACAGGTTGTTGTGACATGACATCCGAGGCACTTCGCTATCTGTATGCCGAAGCATCCAGTGCCGCCACTTCCACCATTGATGAAGACACGGTCACCTTTCTTGACGTAAGGTGCGATGGACTGATATGCTGTCAAGCCCGCGGTGCCAATGCACGCCGCATCCTCGGCGCTCAATTCCGATGGCTGCGGCACTACTTCGTCGTGACTGACGACGATGTACTCAGCAAGTGTTCCATCCTTGCGAGGAGGAGTGATCCGTCCAAACACCTTGTCGCCTTGCTTGAATGGACTTGGCGGCTGTTCGGAAGCAACCCAGCCAGCATAATCTAGGCCTGGCGCAGCCGGTCGACCTATGATTAAGCGACCGATGAGAGGAAGACTTGCCAGCTTGTAGTCCACTGGGTTGAGTGCCGCCGCTGTGACTCTGACGATGAGCTGATCGGACTTTAGACTGTTTGCATTCTTGGGCGATGGCGCGTCCCTTGTATGTCTGAGGTTTGCCTCCAAAGTGGGAGCAGTGCTCGTAAATAATTGTGCCTGCATAGTAGCTGTGACTTACTGGTCTCTGCTTGTATTAGTATGACTGTAGATGGAGTAAGACTCGTTGTTGTCTGGTATATCTCCTGCATCGCTTTGGCATGGCAAGAACGATGGAAGTTCGGCTCCACGCAAAAGAACATTTTCGTCATGATCGACGTCACCATCCTCGTTCACAAGCAGAAGCCCAATGCGGCATCGATGAATTCACACTACCTTTAGTCGACCTTCATTGTGGTGTTTCCTACTTGTTGTGATTCCGGGATAGGTGAAATCACTGCGCTGCATACGGGTTATTCAGGTCGACTTCAGGTTCAGGGCTGCTCATCTGGCATGTCGCTGACGTTCATTCCATTGTCTGCTTTCTCGACATGGCTCCCCGCCATCTCGAAACTGGGAGTCAGATCAGTTCTGCTTGCTTCACATTATGATCGATTTGCTTCGCTGTTGTGTCGAGGAAGAAAGAATTATGAGCCTCAGGTAAAGTAAACAACGGCCAGCGGCTTGGCCTTGGACGCCTTATAATTCCATCAGCCGTTCATGCTCTTAGCATGACTCTGATCATTGTTGCCCATGTCACGTGGCCGATAGTGACCACCATACGAACAAATGAGTCCGCGATGACATTCATCGCGTCGTACGTCACCAGGGAGGATAACCTGGGAGGGTAGCCATTTGGACGTGGCATCGCGGTCTGGACTCCTCCATCCTCCCGCCTTTGTGCATCCCCGCACGCGACGATCTTCACCGAGCTCCAAGCACCTGCTGCAAACGGCTTATCAGTTCCATTTCACCAGAATCTAAATCAGCCGTTGGCATAAATCCTATTCCTAGCCGACATATGCATCGAGGGTCAAGCTACAGCACGAGAGTGCATGGCCCCCTCTCGGCGCTACCAGCAAGCCGGTCGGATGGCGTCGCGCTCGTGCTGTGATTGCTGGATCCTTATCTTCGAAAGTCACGATGTGCCGCTATGCTGCACGCAGGATCGATAAGTTCGCGTAGGACTTGAGCGATCAGCAGCATGCGTTGAATCAAGTATAAGGTGACGGTAAGTACCTAGGTATGCTTCTGTGCGTCTTTCCAGGCTGGATATCTTCGTTTTCCTCGAGTCACCATTGTCGACTTTGTTGTTGAGATTTCCTTTTTCCGACCTGAGCAGTCATGGCTAGCCAGAGGAATGCCTCCGTTGTCTCTGCGGGCGGCACTCACCACCAAGTGCACGAAGAGCGCATGCAAGTAACATCTGTCTTCACGAAGAGAGGCGAACATGCCGTGCTAGACCACGAAGCGGACGCCGACGAGGAAGTTCTGGTGGCATTGGGCTACAAGCAGGAATTCAAGCGGTTCGTTCAACGTCAGAGCAAACCGGGCCTTTAGCAGCTAACAGCCACAGTGACCTTACATGGATTGAATCATTCTCAGTTTCATTCTCCGTGCTCGGTCTACTGCCCTCGATCGCATCTACGCTCGGCTACAATTTGGCGTTCTCCGGACAAGCTGGTTCAGTATGGGGCTGGATTGTGGCTGGTGTCTTAATACAAAGCGTGGTGTTTGGCATGGCAGAGCTCTGCTCCTCAATGCCTACAGCGGGTGGTCTATACTACGCAGCCGCAGTCCTAGCACCCGAAGGATGGGGACCATTCGCATCCTGGTGCGTTGGCTGGAGCAATTTCCTAGGCTTCAGCACTGGGCCATGTTCAGTCAACTACGCACTCGCCTCTATGATCATTGCAGCCGCTGAAGTCGCAAACGAGAACTACGTCGGCAAGGTCTGGCACGTCTACCTAACCTTCCTCTTAATTCTGATCATTCAAGGACTCCTAACGATGCAGAGCACAAAGTTTCTGGGGCGGATGAATGTTGTCGGGACCGTCGCCAACATGGTCGTCCTTATCATTTTCATCATCTGGCTGCCGGCGGCATCGATTCAACGACCAAAGTTCAACGACAACCAAACAGTCTGGGTCAACCTCCAAAATGGGACAGAATGGCCAATGGGCTGGTCCTTCATCATGGGGTTCCTAAGTGTGATCTGGACCATGAGTGGTTACGATACACCTTTCCACTTGAGCGAAGAGTGCTCAAATGCCAACATTGCTGGGCCGCGCGCAATTGTGATGACCGGACAGCTAGGTCTGTACCTCGCTTTTCCATCATTCTCGTCATCGCCTACACTGTCAAGGACGTCGCAGAGGTAGTGGCAGGACCATATGGCCAACCCATGGCATCGCTTTGCGTACAAGTACTGGGCAAGAACTCCGGCCTCGCGATGTTCGCATTGAACATCATCGCACAATTCTTTGTCGGCCAAGGCTGCACGATCGCGTCTTCCCGCGTCATATTCGCTTACTCGCGCGACGGAGCGATACCTGGAAGCCGCTGGTGGAGCCGTGTCAACCAGAAGACGAAGACCCCTGTAAACTGCATCTGGTTTGTGCTGACCATCGCGGCTCTGCTCGGGCTTCTGGCCTTCGCCAGCCCCGTTGCCATCGGTGCGGTGTTCTCGATTGGAGCTATTGGACAGTACATCGCTTTCGTCACTCCAATTGGGCTCAAGCTGTTCTTTGCGAGAGACAAATTCAGGCCTGGCCCGTGGAACCTGGGCAAGTTCTCTAAGCCAGTGGGTGCGGTAGCTGTGTCCTTCTTACTGTTGATCATACCGGCATTGGTATTCCCTGCTGTCAAGGGTGCGGATCTGACTGATCTTACGATGAACTATACATGTCTGATCTATGGCGGTCCTGTAAGTATTCGCGCTCCGCCTCCCAAACAGAGCTAACAAAAGGCAGATGATGTTTGCAATCATCTATTATGCAGTGTCGGCACGTCACTGGTTCAAGGGCCCACGCGTTAACATTGAGCACGTCATCCATGGGGACGAGCATGTACTCCATGGGGACGTGCTGGAGGGATCCGAGTCTCATTCGGACCGTGCTGAAGTGTCAGAGAAGAAGATATAGCACAATTGACTGTATATATGCGTCCACTAGTCTAGGAGCAGGTGCCTTAGATGCCTTTATGACACAATTTCCCGTGAGCAAATCTTGAATATGGCGCGAGGTCTACTCCTTTACGAGCAAGCTGCGTCCATCCATCTCGTCTATAACGACTAGCCCCATGACCGCGAGTCTCGTGGGCGCATCGTCTCCCAGTACGCCATCGGTTCTCTTCGGGCTCCATCCTTTTGGCGCATTAGCGATGACGAACAGGTACGACATGAGTACCAACCGACTGTGCGTTATCTGACCTTAGTCAGGGCAGAAGGGTCATCTCTGGGTCTATCTTTAGATCTTCGTATTCCAAGGAGATCAGCGTCGCTTGGAGCGGATGCATGCTGAAGACTAGCCGACCGCGAACTTCGACCGCGCACGTAATTGCTTTCCCCACACGTAGATGGCTGTGGTGCCTATGATGCCCATAACACTCAGACCACCGAGCAAGGAAACGCCCCTAGCTATGCCAAGGTTGAGGAAAAGTGGTCGAGCAAAGACGACGCTTGCTCCCGCGGTGGCAGACCGCCAGATGCTGTTGCTGGCGAACAGCGATGCCGCATATTGCGGGTATGAGAACGGGATGTAAATGAACAGCGACTGCATCGTCCAGAAATGACCGCAGCAAAAGATGGCGACGCCGGTCAGCGGGGCAACCCAGTGGATACTCGGTTTGGCCGTCCACGCGAAGAGGAAGAGACCGATGGGGAGCAGCAGTGAGCCGATCATAGCTGGCACGAGACGATGTTCTTGTTCGCGAAATCCGTTCTTCAGGTTGTCTGGCACCATGTAAAAGTGTAGGTAGGCGAAGTAGGCAAGAATCGCGACGCAAACACCGATTAGGCAGGACATGAAAGCGAGCCCAGTCTCTCCCAGGTTGAAGCCATACAGAGGTGGGAAGACCAGTGGGAACACCTCGAAGAAGGTGTAAAAGACGCCATAGAAGTATCCTGTGTAGAGATTGACGAAGAAGATCGAGGGATCTTTGAACGTGATCTCCACGGGCCGGATCAGTGCTGAGAATAGTATCTGTCTGCCTGACAAATTGCGTTGGTTGATCTCGCCCTGCGACTGTAGTCTGGGGTCACCCGTCAACTTGCGTAGGCGCCGTGCCCGATGGAGGAGGATCTTGTCGGCTGAAGTTTCGGGCATGAAGAGCAGCAGGAGGACCAGCACCGGAGACGCGATCCATACCACCTCCCACATCGGCCAAGTCCAGCCTTTGGCCATAGCTGCAAACCCGCCTATTAGAGGGCCGAATGCGGGACCACACCACGCCGAGAAGACCCACCAACATAGTCCGTATGGAATGTAGATGACGGAAAACATGTCTCCCATGGTAGCACCTCCGTTAGCTAGAGCCGGGCTACCGAAAAAGCCGAGCCAGAAGCGCAGAGCCAGCAGACCACCGAAGCTATCGACAACTGGTGGTCCAAAAGACAGCACCCAGAAGACGATGAAGGTCAAGTAGTAGACGGGATTTCTGCCAACGATAGGAATCTCAGTGATGGGCGAGAACAGCAGATCCCCAATGCCATAAGCCAGCACGTAGAGAGATAGTCCGAGCGACGCAGCAACTGGGCTGACGTGAAACCGGTCCGTCAAACCGCTCTCTGCGGAGGCCGCCCAGATCGGTCCAGCAAGGTAGACGGTCCAGGTATAGAAACAGAGCATGAAGACCACTGCGGACTTCTTGAGGGATGACCAGTTCTTGGGGTTCTCTGGGTCGTCGGTCCGGTACCAGTCCACTAGGATGACCCCGTCACTGGTCCTGGTAGGTATGATCGAGACGGACTTGGTACGTTGACTCCTCAGCATCAAGTCGACCTGCAGAGCCTCGGAGGTATATGGCGTGCTACGAATGCTGCTCGATGTGATGACTCGTCGGGCTTGTTCCAGGTCGACTTCTGCTTCGAATGTCTGATCAGGAGTGTTTTGGGAACTTTCAGATTGTCGCCTCCGGATAGCATCGTGGTTCGGCGTTTTCTCACTGGTATCAAGGATGTGTAGATATTCTTCAGGAAGCTTGAAGTCACTTTTCTCCTCAATGTACTGGAAGATCCTGTTCCTCGTGAGCACTCGAAGTAAGCTGCCGAGGGGCGCGTCTCTGATGATGTCGGGCACCGGCATCTTGATCTGCTGGATTGCGCCGGCGAGGGGCCGATGACTCTATAGGCTAGAGGGATTGGTGTCAACTGGTACTATGGGTAGAGAGAGGGAACGACTCAAGGACTTAGCTGTCAACAAAATGTGTCCGTTCGCCAGGTCGATGGGAGTATATGTATCCGCACTCGCGTAGCCAAGGAACTGATTCGACACCTTTGGTTACGATGTACTATCGCCATATGCAAGTAGGATACTTACAAAGCTGACCACAGGCATCTCGGCTATGGCTTGTGGGAAAACATCATGTCAACCCCTGCTGCCATCCCATGCGTGCTTTGCAGTCCGTCAGAATTGATATCGTTGTAAGTGAAAGGCCATAAAGCCGCAAGACAACACGAGGCTCCGGCCAATCGTTGGCCGATATGGACTCCAGGATCTAGAGAAGCATAGCGTGCGGACTAGCGTCCACGTCCAATCTCAAACGACAACCTGACTTAGCTATTCCGCGCGCGACCTTTTCCATGCGACCTTATCACATCAACACCAGTGGACCGTGACTTCGGCAGAAAAGCAGCGCTTCAAAGTCGTCGGATGGGACCGCGTCTGACATTGCAACGTCAACAGATACCTATTGTGGGGTGTCCAATCGAAGTAAGCTCTTGCTGCCTTTAGTTGGCAGATATTCCGAGGTGCTGATTGTCGAGCGTTGGGCAATTACCATCATAGCTCACCAGGGAGTCTCGCAGCAAGTATAGTACATAGGCCGGAGGGATACCGAAGCAACGATTATCGTTCGCTTCCAAGAAGAGCTCCCCTCTTCCCACACTTCAATCTTCGTGAATGCATTATTCGGCTACCAAAACACCGCGGTATCGAATCTTCCCTTCGTCTAGCTTATGCAGTGCTTCTTCAATCCCTTCTGCAGTCATAGGGAATGTCTCTATCACGGGCTTGATGCCATGAAAGGCCGCAAACTTGAGCATCCTTTTATGCGCTCCACGTGGAGACACAACCGATCCCTGAAGAGTCAGTCCTTTCGCGATGAAAGGGAACGCCGGTATGGAGATGTTCGAGAATGAAACCTGGGAGCGTTTAGTGCGCAACCTTGCTTTTCAGCTGTCTCCAGTCCGCGACTCACCGTGAGAGGGTAGATTGTTGCCTCTGCAGAAAGAAGAGGAAGCATGGAGTTCCAGTCTGGTAAAGCTCCAGTGGTGACAAGGAGATGGTCAAGCTCTCTCGGCACCGAAAGCTTGGCTGAGCCTTTGGTGACAAAAAAGTGCTTCGCACCTAGTCTCAACGCTTCCTCGCGCTTGCTCTCTGTGCTGGAGAAGGCCACCACCTCGCAACCAAGCTTGGCTGCGAACCTGTATCATGTGTTAGGAACGCTTTGTAGCTGATGACACGGCAACTGCAAGCATACTGAATGGCCAAATGACCCAAGCCCCTGTAAAGCATTAGACACTCTGCACCCATACTGACAAAAGGGAGGTAAGTCAGTACCCGACGCCACTCACACCCACGCATTGACCGCCACGAATGTTATACGTCTCGATAGCATTCCATATGGTGGCACCCGCGCACATCAGAGGCGCGGCCTCGGCATCTTGTAGCGCTTCTGGAAGCTCGAACAAGAATGCTTCGCGCCAGACCGCCTGGTGCGCGAAAGAACCCTGATCGTGATCGTCCTGGCCGTACATTTTGACATCCGGGCAGTAGACTTCTCGGCCCGCAAGGCACGATTGGCAGTGCCCACACGAGTCGTGGATGTAGCCCCAGCCTACGCGGACGCCGAGTTGGAGCTGTGAGCAGTTTGGACCGATCGCAATGACAGTGCCAACGCCCTCATGGCCGAGAACAATCCCCGAAGTCCTATAGTGAAGGTCTGTTTTCCGAACAAGTCAGCTGGAAAATCATAGATATCGACTAGGTCGATAAGCTGGAATATACGTACCTGTGCCGCAAACACCTGACGCGCTTATCTTGACCAAGACTTGGTCGCCAGTCAGGTCGGGTTTGGTTGTCTCACGTTGCGTAATCCGTCCATCGCTGGTCGATTGAAAGACTTCGAAAGTGGGCATGACGAGTTTGCAGTCTCAAAGAACGATGATCAAGGGCAGAGCGCTCCTGTTGCTCTGAGAACCCGGATCTGTTCTAGCTATAAATATTTCCAATGGGGGAACAGCCGACCAGTTACATGGTCATCCCTGGGTTCCAGTAATCAGCAATCCTTTACAGCGTCGGACAGCCTCTGATAGTCTTGGCCTACTGGGAACGCACGACACCATACCGAACAGGTTGTTCCAAGTTGCCATGGACTCACGGGGAATATTGCGAAGGGGACATTCAAACCTGAAGCTCGTTTGCACAATGGCTGATCGTTGTACCGCATTCATATCACATTCATGTCCCTGGCACACTAGTTCCGGAGGCCTACTCGTTGTCAGTTTGATGGTTGACGTACGCCTTCGAGTGAGGTTCAAGCGCAACACCAAGAGTGGTTGTGGGATGTAGGTGGACGCTAGTCCGCAACGTCGGAGAGAGCTGTTACACTAAACCTATCAAGGATTAGCGTCATCTGTCACCATAGATCCGCCTTTGGTGACTGCCGTTGGCGATACTATGTAGCACGCTAGCCTCTCTACTTTTGCAAGCATCATACAGTCTGCAGACCCATACTCAGGGCCTCGAGTCTCTCAAAGCTAGTCCGCAGCACTAACCCGCAGCACCACTCGAGTTGAGCAGTCCGCAATGCTGGAGCCACCAGGCTGCAGTGTCTGGCTGGTCCATTTTCCGCTCGGCGTGGTCGCCAGTGGACACTGTGCTTGTTGCTACTGCGCTGCCCGCGCATGTGGAATTTCGACCCTGTCAAGCATAAGCCTCAGGTTTGTCAGCGACGCTAGCGACTATAACACATCCACGACTTGCACACGCAACAGCAGCATCGTATCGCGCTCGAGGATGATGGCTTTTGTAGTGCTTATATCGAGAACACCCACAATTGCCCACCTCACGTGAAGTTTCCTGCTCTATCCTCTCACTCACGATCGACCGCCATCTTATTGCCACTCTCTACCATCTCCTTCCAACAGTAACTTAGGTAGAATGGCTCTTCCAAGCACTCAAAAGCAATGGATCCTATGCGGCACCGAGAAAGGACTCGACGAATGGCAATTCCGTGACGCAGCCGTGCCACAAGTCGGAAGCCATGGCGTCCTTGTCAAGATGCACGCTGCTGGGCTCAACTATCGCGAGGTCTTGATCCCTGCAGTATGTTTAATGTTTTGCAACCCAGGCAGTAGACATTCACTGCTCTTACACAGAGCACTGCGGGCCCCATAACTTGCTTTCTCACCTCTGACGTTCATTCATTCCTTTAGGGCGGTTTCCCATACCAGCTCAATCTGCCCGTCGTCGGCGGCTCCGATGGCGCCGGGGAGGTGCTAGAGGTAGGCGCCGGCGTGACCAAATGGAGAAAGGGCGATAGAGTGACGACACTCTTCAACCCTGGTCATCAGTCTGGTGCTCTATAGGGCGATGCGTACCGCATGGGTGCTCTGGGCGCCGCGCTGGACGGCACATTCCAGCAATATGCAGTGTTCGACGAGGACTGGCTCGTACGCCTTGCCAGCAACTTGTCATATCTCGAAGGTGCTGTTCTGTCCAATGCTGCGGTCACCGCGTGGAATGCCCTATATGGAGGCCGGTCCCTGAGACCTGGCGAGTGGGTGTTGGTGCAAGGCACTGGTGGAGTCAGTATGTTTGCACTACAGGTACGAGCTCCGCTTTTACGATGCTGGCCGATATGTACATGCTGAACTTTCCACAAGTTTGCCAAATCAGGCGGCGCGAAGGTAGTCGCCACGACTTCCAGTGACGCGAAAGCAGACATACTTCGTCGCTATGGAGCTGACCATGTCATCAACTACCGGACGACTCCGGACTGGGGCGCGGCAGCCAAACAGTTGACAGGACGCAACGAAGGCTTTGACAATATCCTCGAAATTGGTGGCGCCGGAACACTCGAGCAAAGCATTTCTGCCATCAGAAAAGAGGGAACCATCACGGTCATTGGCGTCGTAACTGGATTGGTGGCACCGGTCAACCCGCTGGAGACTGTTTACAAGATATTCACCCTTCGAGGTATCCACGTCGGCTCAAAGGTCCAATTTGAGGAAATGATGGCTGCTATCGAAGCAAATGCGATCCAGCCAGTGATCGATGGGACTCATTTTGCTCTTGAAGACCTGCGCGAAGCGCTGGAGTATCTTGTCAGTCTTCCACGACTGCAAACCTGAGACGAATCGAACTGACTTCCATGCAGAAAGAGCAGAAGCACGTTGGAAAGGTCGCCATCAAGATCGTCTGAAGCCGGTGAAGGAGCGAGTCTCGTATGTGGAAGCGCATTCTGGTAGAGGCGCTAGCTATGGACCGCTTGAGATGATACCGATCCCCTCATTCTCGAGTTGCGCCGCTCTTTCCGTCGCTGAGATTCTTCAGCGGCGCCACAAATCAGGCAAGAATCGTACAGTCAATTGATTGCCATGCTCTGCGTCTCTTGGCATGTTCCTTCAGATTGTCTAGGATCACCAGTGATGGCTGATTCCTCGTGGTCGCAATAATTCCTTGCCTCTGTTGAGCTTTCCGACCATGAGTCTGCTCCTGAGATATGGAGGCCAGCTTCGCCGGTAGACAAGGCGCTGAACTTGGTGATGTGGGCATGCTGTTCCATCACGCCTTCTGAGCGACCGAAGGTCCAACTTTGCTCACCCGTGCCAAAATCAGTAAGATCGAGGACACGGCGAGTGCAGAAGCCGCCCAGCATTGCAATCCCAGATACGACCCTGTTGACTCAAGGATGGCCCCTGCGATTGGCTGACCAAGCAACACACCGGATCCCGCCAAAGCGTTCACGAAGCCCATTCGTGCCCCAATCGCCCGCAGATCTGGCGACAGCGCCACCGTTGTCATGGACGGGAGGCTCACAAACGCGCTATGACACGGTCAGCAATGGCTTCAATCCTGGCAGAGACTCACTCACCCACTGAAGAACCCGTAAAGAGCGGCAAAAGCAAAGAGGCCACCAATCCTGTCGGCAGGAATCCAACACCACACTAATACCATGCTTGCGACACTGGAAATACAGATGACGTTAAGTGGTCCAATTCTGTCAGCCAGGAGGCCTGGAATCAACCGTCCGAAGGTGGAGACCCCGTTCATCACCAGTAAAAAGGAGAGCGCAACCGACGACGATCTTGTCGCTATCGCGCCAGCCATGTTTGAGATATAAAAGAACGGTATGAATACACCAACAAAGCCGACGAACATGCTGATAGCGTACAGCATGAACGTTCGATCCACGAAGATGGACGTATCGATGTACTTTTTCCCCTTGCTGGTGAGAGTGCGAACCTCATGACACTAAGAATGACGGCACAAGTGGCCAGCATAATGAACCCGATAACTCGCACCGCCCAAGCGTAGCCAATCTGTGGCTGCAGGTAGTAGAATGTCACGGGATAAATGATACCGCCGATCGAGCTTCCAGTGGCCGCGACACCGACCGCGAGATTCCTGCGTGTCGAAAAGTACGTTGATAAGACCGCCATGGAAGGCGTGAAGAGAAAGCCGGATCCAAGGCCGACGCAGATACCCTGCGCCAGTAGTACTTGGTAGTATTTGTCGGAGAGACTTGTCATAAACATGCCGAGGCAAGAGAGGAAGGACCCGGCCACAATGAGCTGATAGAAGTACCCATGATCACACAGGGGTCCCGCTATACTGGCAGAAGCGAGTAAGATGAAAGTCTGGATCGCTCCAATGATGGAGATGCTGGATTTGGTAGACGACCCAAGATGTCCGTCGGCGTAGTAGGCTTCGAAGACACCGAAGGCGTTGGTGACGCCACTAGATTCACCTCGTCAGCAGTGATTCAGTGCACGCCATGTATCAGAAGACTTGTACTAACAAGGTGCTGAAGAAGACGAAGAAGCCGCCGAGAACTTGGAGCCATGCCTGTGGAAGTAAGCAATGGTTTTCTGTTCCCCAAATAATTGTGCACGACGTACCTTCAAGCCTCCATTGGGTATTGCAGTTGATGCCGGTGGCGTCTTCTCCGTGCCATCCTGCACTGCTGCGTCAATTCTGGCCATTGCTTTGTGTTGGTCTTTCTGCCTGCCACAAGTGATAAGCGTGTTGGCGTGCGAATGTACTCCAATGCAATAGCTGCCTTGCGAGAAAAGGTCTTTATACATGAGGAACATTGGTGGCGTTGGTTTTGCGTAGCGATTGATAATCGAAGCACTCGTACATCGTGCTCTTGTTGCATAGCCTTACAAACACAACGACTTTTGGACTGGAGTAAGCAATCTTGCTCGTTGTGATAATGCTTCGCGTGAACACAACAGTGGCGTTCCAGGCCGATTCATAAAGAAATTGACCGTCCCGGTCAAGGGAGATGTTGTACTAGTCCGCCGCTAGTCCGCTTGGCCATAGTGCCGTTCTAGGAGGCTGCGTATCCCTGAACCATCACGTATACTGGGCCTTCGCATACTTTTCGTGGACTTCTTCTCGTGAGAGAATTTCGAATTACTCGATCCTTCGCCAGTCTGGTAGAAGATCCGGGGCTGGACTTTCAAGCAGGTTAATATAAGTTGCTAAGCGCCGTCAGTCACGCTTCCGGTAATTGCAATCCAAGGCAACATACTCGCGGCAGCCCATCTTCTGGAGAAATTCTTCAGCACGATCTGAAGCCGTTCGAGGCCGCCCGCGTACTTCTGCTCGTCTGATAGTCGTTGCAAGTGTACATACACAACGGCGGCCTGGTAGATGGATAGCATTATGTAAGGAGAAAGTGTGTCGTAGTCGAAGTCACCTTCCGAAGTGTAACATCGTCCAGCGTAGTTGTAGATAGTGACCGCAACTGGTTCCATGGCTGCGAGTCTGTCGGGAGGTATCGGACCTCGTCCGGATGTCAGACGGCTGTAGAAAAGAAACAATGCACTGTTGTTCTCGAGTCAGCACCGTCAGTTCAAAGGAAGCGAGCATGTATATGACCTTGCACACGTGGCCAAAGACGCGCAGTACCGGCCATAAGTCAAATCGGTCCGCTCTAGTAACGGCAAGAAGTGTAGGAGTGTGCGTTCAAGTTGCACGGCTTCTTCCAGCTGGAACACTTCATCGGCGGCAGGCTCGTAAATGTGCCGCACTACACGTGTCACCAGATGGTGAATCTGGCATTCTCGCGCAAATTGGCCAAATTTGGCGTCCGATGCAGTCCCAACTCTTGCGGTCGGGCCAACCTGTTCACCCATTAGCCGACGATTTGTCGAAGAGCTTACTTAGAGCACAAACAGTCCCGGCAAACCAGTCTCGATCGTTACATGGGAAATCGTCGCTTTGGTAAGGATCTGGGATGGTAAACATGAAGTCTCCGCAAGCAAGAGCCATGTGTCTATAGGCAGGAGTGAGCTTACTCGTACCAACGCAGGCACGGAGTCGTGTACTGACCTGTCTAGGTTATGCAGTGCCCACCATGCCCGTCGTCTCTCCTCAGTCACTATCAAATCGTCGGCGACTACCGACCGCGGCGAAAGACCGAGAAACCCTGCAACTTTGGCACATCCTGCGACGGAAGCGGCGGCCGCCGCCATCATCCCATGGCCGAACTCGTAGTAAGCAATCAGGATGCGAGTCTGCAGCAAATGCAGACTATAGCGCTCAGTGGCTTCAAGCACATAAACAAGGGTCATGAGTCGAAGGTAGAGAAGTGACACCATGGAGGCATCAGACTGCCGTGGAAACTGCAAGATGAGCAACATTGCGTGAACCAGCTCGATACTGGAAGCCGTCCGGGACAGGAGCGGAAAGCGGATATGGGGTCCACTTAGGTATGACTCGATCACCTGTTGTTTATGTTCAATCGAGTCTAACGTGTGTGCCCGGGTCGTGTAGCTGGACAGGAGGTCAATTTCCATGGGCTCGAGCGTGTCGAGGTAAGACCGTTGGGGTATGCTTAGGATTGCATATTGAGTCGGCAGGCTTGAAGGAAAAGATCCCGGCCCCGGAACCACGGTAGCCTCGTGAAATGAGGGTGCGTTGGTGTAGGAGCACGTTCGCGATGCACTGCAATCGTCAGTAAGCCTCTCTGCACGATTGCTAGAGGAAGCGCACTTCAAGCAAGTCGTACAAGATGGTAGCAGTCGGTCACAGCCACGTTTTCGCGCATGGCATGAAGTGCATGCATGAGTGGCCTTGGGCGTGGAAGTCATGCTTCCCAAACGCTCAGGTATTGCCATTCAGGCCAGATTCGGCTTGTCGTCGGTTGCTTGAGATCGGAACTTCACGCGCTCCCGCTAAAGCTGTTGTATTAGGGTCAGAAGTCTTATTCATTTGACCTGAGACATTGCACGATGGCAGTGGCGACCTTGATTTCGCTCTTATCCTCGCGCGCAGAAAATGAGGAACACGCGCGCGACGGTTCCAATAGTACTTCTTGGTTGACCTCCATCCCAGATGATAGAGTCATACCTGGCCTAAGATAGGTGATAGAGCAATCTTATAGGTGAGACTGTGGTTAGGCAGTATTGCTGACTAAACCCTTCACTCGTTGGTCTTATATGCCATTGCAGGATTAGCGGAGGCACCATTTCTCGCGACATCGTAAGATCGATCGAACAGAGCTATACACCGTCCCATAAGCTCTAGACGCCAGCGTATATGTATTCCTCAGCAAGTCAGCAATCTGCCACGGCGCGTCGATGGCAGCAAAACCTTCAACGCGTCTTCCAGTTCTTGGAGGACCCCACAATGACGGAGTTGGCGGAGGATGATTTGGAGCGACTTCGTGAGCGTGACGCGACAATGCTATATACTTAAGTACACATAGTCAGGCTACTTCGCGAGACTGATCGGATACATTGGAGCCTATCTGCACCATAACTCAGGCGTTGACTGCGACCAGAAGGTCCGTAAGCGACGCTCCTTGAAGCCAGTTACTAGGACATTCGTCCTTGCATCTCCCGTACCTCTTACTTGTGTGCGCTTCTACGAAAAGCTCCCTCGTACCCAACCCCTATCGGCGTGGTCTCGAGACACTCTTCGAGATCTCCAATATCGAAGTCAGCTCTTCTGGCGGAGTACGACCAAGTCCACATTCAGACGACACCCCAAATTGAATCCCAGGTAGGGCTTTCCTGGCAGCCGCAATTCTTCTTGCCGTTCCTTCCAAGTCGTTGGCATGTACCAGACCCAAATACAGCTTCGTACCTGCGGTCAACATCAGACCTGTCAGAGGAGCAAAGTAAGGTTCATCGTGGCGAGCGATCGGCACTGGCATATGTAAATAGGCCAGAGTCCTCTTCGCTTTTGATGCCACCTCGGTCAATCGATTTGCATGGTCGGTCAAGATGGTGGTATCCTTCGGTTCCACGAAATGCTTGTGGCCAAAGTCACCTGATTTCAGTTAGCATTGCACCGGACCAACTGCTTCCATGCTGGCCCGTACCATAACACAGATGCACGCCGACCTCCACATCGTCTGCGACCGCAGACAGACACCGCTCAAACCGCGCTTCCAATCGCTTCGTGACATCTCCGAACCACAACTCACCGCCGAGGCCTTCCAGACAGGCAATCTCCCTCGGCATGTCCCACTGCACCAGCAAAGAATCATGTGGAATCGCATCCTGAATCTTGCTCAGTGACCGGAAGAGCGCTTCCTCGTACAGTGGCTCAATCACCTCCTGATAGTCCGGATTGATCCTGTTCATCACACTCAGAGGAGTCGGAACACAGACTTGGAATTTCACATTGTGTTTGATTTGACCTGTTGACTGCAGCTTTCGGAAGATCTCATATGATTCGATGGCGTACTTTTCGTATCCTGGGTCGAAGCCTTCCGTCGAAGTTCTGATCTCAGCACTCAATGCTTCAAGATCAGCCTGCGTGGGCTTCGGGACGTCCTCCCCTTTTCTGTATAGTGTTCCACCAGATTGAGTACCGATCTGCGGCCACGCTTCAAAGACAGCAGCTTGCCAAGCCACGAAGCCGTTGCGGTGTCCGGTCTCCCCGTCTGGTATGCTGTACAGACGATCTGGGAGGGAAGTGACCGCGGTCTTGAAGACGATCGCTGTACCCGGCAGTGGAACTGAGCCGACGAGGTGTACCCCTGACGGTTTCCACGCAAGGTCGGCAGCGTCTTCGGTGGCTGCCATCGTGCTCACGGGATGCTAATGTTTACGGATCCTTTTTGATTGCCTGTTATAGACCGACACATGTATACAAAAGTCGAGACACAAACTTTGGGGGGTCCCAGATAGGGTAGCAAGCCCTGGCTGCCTCTTAAACGCTGTCGGTGCTTACTCATGGGCCCAGCTGAGCGCAGAGCAAAGCCATGCCCGCCACGAGCATCATCACAGCTTTGACATCGATGCTCGCAGAGTGGAACGCCGCATTGCTTGGACGATCAGACAGATCTGCTGTCCTTCGCAAACTAACCTCGTATGGAATGATCTGATGCGAGACAAGGAGAAAGGCGCCCGTTCTCCGTTGCTCCGAGGCTACGAGCACCACTGGCCACAGGTGCATTGCAGTCACACACGCGCCAATCAGAACACTGTATTGGGGAGTTGAGTCGCCCCCCACAAGCTGCGCCAATGCTAATAAAGAGCCATAGCCCAGATGGGGAAATCCTTGCATTCCTGGACTCGCTCAACCAGTACGCATGACGGCAACCAGCTGCTCGTCGGATTTGCATTGCTTACCCAGATATCGGGAAATAGATTAAGCCTACAAACAAAGAGCAAAGACCGCAGCACTGGCTTGCCAATCAGTCTGCATCGGACACAACAAGTTTCGCGCTGCTTTTGGATTCACAGCACCAGGCCAATAACTACGATGTAATCTTACAGCCCATTCCAGCGCGATTGTCAAAAACACGAAGAGCAAGACACAGACGAAGACAACAATGAGCTGACTGTGGTGTTGACGATATGTTTTGGGGTATGGTCATTAGTCTATGCCAGCCGTTTCGCCTAAACGCCATTCGCTTCTTCATGAAAGGCTTGGCTGGCTCTGAGTTGTTTATATCTTTGCACTGACAGCATTATCAAGGCTCGGCACTCCGCACAATATGTTCGTTCGTGTGGTCAGAGCCTGCGAGTCTTTCGTCTCGATCACTCCCCAATGCCGCCCACCCCGAATGGATCTCACAGGCCAATGTATGACATGGCAACGGTGTCGATGACCTGGCACATTTAGCAAGAGCCATAGTGGCTTGCAATGGTGGTATGACTTACTTCAGGAAGGCTCTATCCACGGGTGTCCTTCTGCCCATCACTTTTGGCCTTCAGTGCTGATGTATGAGTAGTACGGCTTCGACTGCGTTTTCTCGGAGCGAATATCCTTGAGAGCGGCCTTCATCTGTTGACGGATCGCTTTCGGTTTTGTTCTCGGCTTCTCAGCTTCCTCCTTAGTAGCCTTGCTCGCAGTGTGCTGCTCAGCAGCCAAGCTCTGCTTCCCCTTCCTGACCGACGCCTTATCGGGTAGCAGAGCGCGGAGCTTCTCCTTGGTGAGTTGCTTTATGGACATGTTGATTGTTGTGTACGACTGCGAGGATGGTGGGTGTGTCTGATACGGTTTGCGCTAATCTGGTCGAGTTCGGCTACCGTTGTGAGGAGAGAAAGGATGGAAGAATCATCAGCGATGGACAAACACGAGAGGTCTATATAACCTCATCGACTGAGGCATTTCGAGTGGTGCCTCAATGCACTTGCGTGTCGCCTCGTGCATCTTCACGGTGACCTTATCCATCCCATTGAGCAAAATGGGGACATCTCAACCAGCTTCACAGCGTCACCCGTCCAGGCAGCAAGTGACACTTGTTTTGTATATAGATAATACGTCGCTCCTTGTCAGTGACAGGCGGGACACAGCGAGGTCGTCTGATCTTACTGTCCTGCACTTTCACTAACAAAGCACACAGATCGTGCTGGAGCAAGACGACGTCACAGATTAAGTAGCGCGTGGTGCTGGAATGGCTATGCGGACTATTGAAAAGAAGTAATCTTGACGAGGACATAGAGAGTAAGGACCAACATCTGAGGTACGAAGGTACTGAGTAGAGAGTGAGGGATGCGAGGTACAAGCAAGTCTTGAGGAATAGTAAGTAATATTGTTGTTCACATTCTGTGACTCTGAGAATACCTTGACTGTAGCAATTGCTGAATATGATGAGCAGTTCATGTAACTCCTCAGTCGCTCTCAAAGGTCTGCATGTTGTTCCTGGTGGTGAGCTGAGACTATGCTCGCCTCGTCGAGTACCGATAACCCCATAATGGTACTATGTTGGTCATCATGGTGATCATCTGGAATGCCCGAAGTCCCTTGCACAGCTTCCCGCTTGTCGTGATACGGCTTCTGCTGGTCATGCAACTTCATGGCATGGGTGTGCCCAGGTGGGCGACTAGCGTCATCAGCAAGAATCATTGGAAGAGAAGGCCCGGAAGCATACCTCAGATCTGGATCAGGTCTTGGCCACCCTCGCCCCTATTGCGACCCTGTTTGTCGGCGCTATCCTGTCGCTTACCGCGCTTGGGCTTCCTGAAGCGCTTCTTTGCAAGCTCGCGATCATGCTGTCGCTGAGCCTCTTCCTTTCGGCGCTTCTCTTCTTCGGTCTCCACAGCAGCAACCGCCATCGCCTCACGATGCTGTTCCTTGTTGCAACGTCCATCCCTGCCATTGCCCGGCATCTGTCTGCACGTGTTTCGGATCGCAACCTTCAGACGTTGAGCTTCCTCAGCTGCTTGCTTCGCGGCCTCGGCCTCAGCCGCCATGCTTAACTTCTTCTCCCGGACCGCCGTTTCGAGTGCTGAGGAGAAGTCGGTGTCCTTGGCTCGGAGCTTGACCATGAGTGGATCGGTGATATCGAGGGCATCTGCGGCGTTGGGCCAGACGATCGCTTCGGCCAGTCTGTCGATGACGATGTCACGATAGACATGGCCTTGAGGATATTCCAGCAGCCGGACTGTGGTGGCGAAATCGACCGTCTGTGGCATGACAGGGAGGGTGGACTTGAGGCCATTAGCAAGAACTGTATCCAGTCTCGTCGCTTGGATGAGCTCAGCGATCTTGAGAAGCTTGAGCATCGACAGTATTGGGTCTGGATGGAGCTTCGGCAGAGTCATGTCTCCTTCGCAGCAGGTCAGAAGCCACTTGAACACATCCTTGAGTGGTTCGAGGTCCTGCTTTGCTCCTTTGAACGCGACTGAGCCGGCTTTGATCGGCTTTGTCAGGCTACCCTTTGGCTGAGTCTTCGCAACGATCTTCTTTGGGGCGATCTTCTCTGCGGCGATCCTAGAAAAGGCTCTTGCTGCGCTGGCGGGGAAGTTGTCGGTGATCACCAGGCTCGTTGTCTCTCGTCGCGACGTATACTCCTGCTTAGCGACACCATAAGTGTTTGGAAAGCGCGACGGGATCCTTGCCACGTGGTCGAATATGAGATAGAGAGACACGCGCTCCTGGTCGTCTCGCAAGGTACGGAGCTGCTCTTCGGAAAGTGTTTCGATCGACATCTTGAACGAGGTGCAACGTTTGCTTGGGTTGGAAGCGTCTGTGTCGAAGATTGAATGAAGCGTTAAACGAATCGGGACGAGCTTCTCGTCTAGTAGAGAAAGGGTAAGAGAACGATCTACAGGTACGCGACAGGTAGATATCTATATAACTTCTTTGACTGAGGCATTTCGGGAGGCATCGTTTCACGTTGCCGTGACAAGGCAGTGCCTTCACTGTAGCTGTGAACAAGTGACATACCTTGTTAGTGACAGCAGGGGCACTGCCACTTTTGCGGTGAAGGACGCTGATGGCCACATTGTCTTGAGATGTCACTTGCAATACCCCTGCTAGGAACGTGCGCATAATGTGTGAAGAAGCAAGAAGAGGTCTGATCAACGAGAAGCTAAAGAGTCGAAATCGAGATGTATGCGAAGTAAGTATGTTGTCCCATTAAACGCCGTATCCCTGAGTATTGTTTCACCACGATCTCGAGTGTGGCTCTGGCTTAGCTATGATGGTAATAATAAGTTTGGCTCTCTGAGCTCATGAAAAGTGGTGGAAGCCATCGGCGCCGTCTAAGTTCAAGCTCTGAGGGTGTGTTGGGCGACTGATCACTTGATCAGATCAAGCTTTGTCTCGTTAGCGACCTCGATGGCAGCGTGTGACGTGGATTAGACATACCTCAAGGCTGGACCTGCTCGCGACTACCCTTGCCACCACCTTCTTTTCGCCCGCCGCGCTTCTTCCCACCGCCAAAACGCGAATCCCTTATACGTGCTTCGTCCTGCAGACGTGCTTCCTCCTCTCGGCGCTGCTGCTCTGCAGATACTTCGGCGGCGGCGGAATAGGTGTGTCGACGCGCTCCGTGTTCCTGAAGCTTGTGACTTTCAGCTCCTTTGATGACGGCAGCTGAGTAGGTCTGTCGTCGGGCGCCCTGCTCTCGGAGCTTACGTTCTTGGGCCTCCTTGGCAGCCATGGCCTCGCGTTCCTCGGCCTCCTTCACTGCCAAAGCCTCGGCCTCTTGTTCTCGTGGTAGGGCCTCAGCTTGCTCAGCGATCTCGGCCTGCTTGACCTGGACTCGGGCCTTGAACTTCTTAGCGAACGACTCATCCTTTTTCCAGAGAGACGTGATGGCCTGACTGTCGATAAGAATGAAGCCCTTTGGTAGCCAGATGGGAAAGCTTGTCTGCGAGGACATCTGTTGCTGCATCGAGCTCCAGGTCTAGAATCATATTCGCGACTTGAAGCAGTGACGCATCGGGAGCCCCAGAGCGCTCTTTCAGCGCATTGTCGAGGTGATTGACCAGAATCGGAATGATGGCATCGGCTCGGACCGCCTTCGCTACTCTGATGAGTTCGACTGCCGAGACCAAAGAACCGCTTTGCAGTACGGGGGCGGACAGGTCGCCATCGCAGTAGCCTAGGAACCAATCGAATAGGGCCTTGTACACGTCAAGGTGCTTCGCAGAGCCTTCGATCGAGACAGAGCTGACCTTGACCTGAATTTTCAGACTGGATCCCTTGAGTTGGCCGGCCTCCACCTTGGCAGCGATCTTCTCTGCAACGACACTAGAAAACGCTTTTGCTACAGCGAGTGGATAGCTTGGGGAGATGACTCGAAGCGCGGTCACAGCGCGAGAGTCGACGGGTTCCTCAGTGCCTGCATCTGTGGGAGGGACGGTGCGGATCTTCGTGACGTTCTTGTACGCGAGGAATATGCATAGGCGGTCTCCGTCGGATCGTGAAGCCTGGAGCTCATTCGGCTTGAGTTGATCAATGGTCTTCGTGGCCATTGCTGAGGGTTTGCTAGAGCCGCGAGGCATCGTCTTGGTGGACATCATGGAGTAGTTGTTGGTCGTAGTAGACTTGTGTCGAAGGTCGTGACTCGGGCTCGACGTGATTCTGGTCGAGTGCGTTCGTGGGAGATAGAGAGGATGGAGAAAGGAAGAGGTACGTGGCCAGTAGATAGCTATATAGCTTCGTCGACTGAGGCGTTTCGAAGTGACCTGCTTCACTGGGGCATTACAACATGCCTGTGCCTTCACGATGACCCAGGCATGTCACTAAGGAAGGCATCAAGCACAGCCTGAACATCTCAAACAGCTTCACTGCATCAGTCAGCCGTTGAAATGGCAAGTGATAAGAGGATCAACGGACCGCGATCTGTCACAGCTTGTTGGCGACAGGAGAAGCACCACGGTCACCAGGTCATGGGCAGAGTTGTACACGTTAGCGGTGCGTTGATAAGATCTCGAAAGGCATTGACTGTGACATATAAGCATGATATTCTTTGGATGTGACACCGACTGCTTTGTGGTTTGCCGCAATGTAGATCAGCTCGGATTAGCATTCGAGGCACGCTTTGCTTGTGGTGGCTAAACAAACAAGGACAGAGACAGACGATCAGCAAAATGTTGCAAGTGACAAACACGGCGTAGTAGGAGCTGTACTCGATTGAGTCACAGATCTTTATGATCGTGTTACAGTTGCACGTAAGATCTGTGGTGACAGTGACGACATCAGCGCGGTTTCCTGATAATGTCGTCCCAGTGCACCTGTCATTTATTCTGCCAAACTGGTGCCAACATTTACACCGCCGGACCAGCTCCGATCCAGTATCTGTAACTTCTGAATGGGCCCCGCCTCTTGTCGACATTCATGTATTGCCGAGTTGGACCATAATTGAGTTGGTTTGTGCAGAAGTACAGCCATCCATCCAGTATGGCCATTGAATCGGCGTGCTGAATCAATGCATTCCTGATCAAATCCTTCACCACATAGTTCTTTGCCGCAACCGGGCCCGACCCTCCCGGAGCGACACCGTTGACGGTTTCGTTGACTTCAGATTGCTGCGTGTCGACGTAGAAGATTGCGTTGTGCTCAGATGCACAGATGTATACACGGCCATTCTCGTCAGCACTGAAGCCGGCCTGCTCAGTGCCGCACTGTCCAGGATCCTGGACGGCTGCCAGCATGTCTTCGTCTGAGACAGATGTATTGACGAGTGTTTCCTGGGAGATATAGTAGAAGCGACGACTGGCAAGCACGCCCCAGTACACATTGCCCGACGCCAGAGCAATGCCGTCAGAGCCCGTTGTCAGGTACGATTTGTTTGTACCGTTCCAGCCATAGATCAGCTCGCCGTTGTAGACACCGACGTAGTGCTCGTCCGCTCGTGTAACGGTCGAGTTATGTAGACGCCGGGTCACGCTGCCGTCATCAAGGTTGATTGCCGCGAGTGAGCCAGAGTCAGACTCATCAGTAATGAAGGCATACCCCTTTGTGCCGAGCGTATTATTGATGCGCACATCATTCGCGTTGAATTTGTCATAGTAAAGGTCTTCTGGGATGACATAGGTCCTGAGTAGGTTGCCACCGAGGTCGAAGGACATGATCTTGGAGCCGTTGGTGACGGCAGATTTTTGTCCGGGTGGGATACCAGAGTCAACTACCCAAAGTTGGTTTATAGAGTCGAGGACAACGTTCTGCACGTTGATGAAGCATTCAGCGACATTCTGCCCAGTAGAGCAGTTCTGGATGGCAGCATTCGGCCAGGGCTCCTCATTGGTGAAGCTGGTCGCCACGACGACATTGACTGGTGTAGGACCGGTGTTTCGCGGGTATGTCAGGTAGATCTTCTGATTTGGGTCGATTGCGAAACCAGTGGGAGGACTGTACGATTCATGAACAGGCTGGAGCTCGCCGCCGATGATGGTAAAGTCTGTCGGGCACGTTCCCACCGTAGCATTCGGGCTGGGTGTTGGGACGGCCGGACATGTCGAAGGAAAGCCCTGTCCAGAAGCCAGCGCCGCGAGGGCGATCAGAGATGTGATCTGCTTGACCATGTTGAAGCTGAAGTCAAGGAGGTATCAACAGCTCATGGTAAATCTGCCTACATTGTGGGAGGTACATGCAAGCGGCCAAAGAGGAGGAAGGACGTCATGATTTAGCGAGAGCTTAGCCGTAGCTTGAGCACTTGGCAAAGGCTTGAGACAACCGGGTAGATTAGGTAAGAAGACTCTGTGGGCGGAGTCGGAGCTCGGGAGCCTCAGAGCGCCGGTCCTGAGCTCTCTCGACCTTCCCCCGTCCTGACACCTGCCGGGTATTCGCCAGAATGATCATTGTGTGCATGAGAATGCAAGACCGTTCGCTCCTGGTAAGGAAAATCGATATATGATTTCTCAGAACCGGTCCGGCAAGGGTCAGGTTTCGTGACTGTGACTTCTGAGGTAGTCCGATTTTTCAGGCGAAGGGCAAGCTGGACAACTGTCGACTGCCAGTAATGTGCGAGTAAGCGCGCCGTCTTTCCTTCGTTACGGGCAGAACAGATGGTCACTTGGAGTGGATAAGGACGCCTCAAGCGGCTATGCTGTGAGAGCTGCGATGTTCGGGCCACGCTGAAGCCGCCCATTGTCTTTCACGACTTCTTGCACGGGGCAATCAGCGCAGATCAGTCGAATACGAGAACACCGCCCTTGTTCCGTTTCCGTTCGTCGAGTTCATCCAATGTAAACAGCATCTCTTCTGGAGGCTCCCTTTCATCATACTCTGCGCTGATATGACGTTTTTTGGATCTGGAGTCCGTTCGTGCTCTTGGTCTCTGCACAAATCCCTCCATCGAATTTCTGCCGGATGGTGCAGGAGGTATCTGCCAGTATGTGTCCTTGTGGTCTGGGGTCGCAGGAACGATTACGGCTGGATAAAACGCTGGGAGCGAGTCCACTTTCGATTCCTCCGAGAATGCAACATCGGGAACGTCTTCCACATATGGCGGTCGATACGAAGATGTCGAAGAGCGTGGGGCCGACGTCGTGGTTTCTCGAGGCTCGTCCAACTTCTCACCAGCGAAGGAGAAGAGAGCGGAAAAGACGCGTTGGAGGAAGTAATCTTGAGGCATGGTGTCTTTCGTTGTGGGCGAACGGCCGTGGAACAGAAGAGCGATGTTTGATGGAGAGGACATCACATACACACGTGGTCCCTTATGAAGATGTGGCTTCGAAATTGCGCATTTTCAACTGGCATCTTACAGCCGCACTCACTTACAGGCTTTAGGTGCGGCAGAGATCCTTGGCATAGCGAAGGTACTCAAGTATCTTGAGGTATTCAGTAAGGAGACTTTCTCTTGCTTCAGCTGTCCCAAACATCGTCTTGCGCACGTCCCATCAATTGGTCTCGCGTCACTGTGTTAAGATTCATTTGCTCCGTACAAAAGAGCAAAGTCTCCTACAGCTGAAGTTGAAACAACCCACTGAGACAGGCGTGAACGGATCCATGCCAGCACCACAAATGCTCAACAGGCTACATCATTTCTCGGGGTCCTTAGAAGCATAAAATCGCTGGTAGGGGAAACAGCGACTTGAACTGAAGGATCTGCCGTCGTTGCTTTCTCGTTCTCTCCAACACACAACCCGGAATTGGCAGTCACGTTCGAAGCGTGATATCACACTCAAGCTCGACTCACTGTCGTCAGCACCGAAGGGCACACTAGCCATCCTAAATGCAGTCATGCGCGGCATCTACATCCGTCGACGCATCCGCAACAATGGATTCCCATACAACGGAGGAGACAACTTCTCCTTCCGCCCTCAAAAACCACTGCTACTGATACCGCTATCTCCAACACTTTCAAATATTCGCGAGAAATTCCATTACTATCTCCACGTCTGGATGATACTCGCTATGGCATTCATAACTGCGGTCAGTTACTTCATATTCACCCATTTCGACGCGAGGTGTCATTGCAATCTTTCAGGGAACGAGGTCAAGGCCGCTGCGAATCGGCACGCGATGATAGGACATAATTGGGGAAAGGCCAAGATAGTGGTTGATGGATGGCTGGCAGGGTCGTGGGCTCTCGCTGCTGGATGGCCTACAATGTTCCTGCTTTGCGAGATTGTCAGAGGGATCGATATGTTGTGGTGCTGGTATCGGGCGAGGCGAACGCTGCGAAGTCGTAGACGACCAGGGGCTGGAATTGAGAAGGATGTTGAGGTCGGCGAGGACTGTCCACTGCTTGCTGGCAAAGAGGACGACACTGTGGAAATGCCAGGGGAAAAGCTTTCAGTACCATGCGAGAGCGACAGCCGCCCAGCGCATAATCAGCCAGCAGGAGCGGCAACGAGATCGGAGGCTCACAACGTGCTCGTCGACCAGCTTGACTCTGGCACAAAGCGCATCAGCCAACCAAGCGGACGGATCTCCGACGATACAGCTTCTGAAAAGTCCTCCCCTGCAGGTGTCACAGTCAAGATCCAATACTGGTGGGAGGCCGATGACCCGTCCGATTTCGTCGAAGAAGAATGGCGATTTCCTGGCTGGACCCAGTTTACGGACGACCTGGTCGATCAACGCTTCAACGGCACCACTATCTACATGCGTTATCCGCCCGAGGCCCTGTGCCGATGACTGTGTTGCTCTTGATCTCATCTCTTGTCTGGCTTGTGGCGTTAGCGGTTGTGACAAAGATAAGTCAGGTAACGTGTCAAGAACTTCAAATCAAGCGGATGGCTCAGGGTGGCTGGGAAGCAAGCGACTGGGATACATTCTGTCCTCACCCTTTGGCGAATACCTCGGCGAGTCCTCCGATTGAGCGGTTCAAGGTCTCGTCGAACATTGGGTTGTACATATGACTTTCTTTGACCCCGATTTGTGGCATACAAACATACAAATGGGCGTCCTTCGACAGGCACCTGGATCTCATCCATCGGCCAAGGACTAGAACCGGGGGCGAGAACACTGTCCCTCTGCGATAGGAATTACAAGCTTCGGCCAGTCGTGCCAGAGATGCAATTCTATCGCACCAGAATGCGAACACACGTGGCAAGCGTTGGGCTGTGGAGGTTCAGGACCTGATGGTGAGGTTGTCTGCTCAGGTCCAGAAAAGCACCTGGATAAGTCGTCCGTCGCTATGCGTTCGGTGCGAGGTCCGCCGCTTCCGAACCAAGACAATATCTCGTTCACCTAGTTTGATGGCACATCGATGAGGCTATTGTTAGTATGCACCACCGTACTCTGCTACTGCAGACTGTAAAGGCTTCTAGCGACGCGTCGACGCGTTTGCGGGGCTAAATTTCGCCGCCTGGTGCACCTAATTATTGAAGGCAATTAACATCGCCGCCACATCTCGACTGCATACGCTCGATCGCATGTACACCACCTCAGTCTGCTTAGATATCGAAATAGGTGACAAGCTACACGACTGGCTAGAGAAGAAGAGAAAGATCATGGCGTCAACGGCGCAAGCGTTTGCGAGAATAGATGCGGGCTCAATCGCAGCCATCTTCGAGGGTGGGAAAGATGCGAAAGAGCATCCTCTCGTACAATGCGTCCAGATCAAGCCCATCGCGAACGGTGACACTGAGCGATATCGGGTCATATTCAGCGACACCAAGAACTACATTCAGACCATGCTCGCCACTGCTGCGAACCACCACATCACCGGCGGCAGCATGAAGGTCAACTGCTTTGTCAAACTGATGGGATACCAAGCCAACAACGTCAAGGGCAAGAAGTGAGTCCAGAGCCTGTCCTGCGTCTGAGCACTACTAACCTGCCCAGAATCCTGATCGTTACCGACCTCCAAGTCATCCCCGAACTAGGCATCATGGAGAAGCTGGGCAACCCAGCGCCCCTCGAGATCAAGAATGAAGAAGAGAGCAAGCCTACAGCCGTCACAAGCAACGGCTTCTACGGCCAGCAGCAACAGCCACAGCAATCAAGATCACTTCCATCACACAACAAGCCACCTTCCTCCTCCGCCCACGCCAACATCTACCCCATTGAAGCCCTCTCACCCTACTCACACAAATGGACAATCAAAGCACGATGTACCAACAAATCCGACATCAAGACCTGGCACAACATGAAAGGTGAAGGCAAACTCTTCAGCGTCAACCTCCTCGACGAGAGCGGCGAAATCCGCGCCACCGGCTTCAATGAACAAGTCGACTCCCTTTATGAGCTCTTCCAAGAAGGCCAAGTCTACTACATCTCCTCCCCCTGTCGCGTCCAGATCGCAAAGAAACAATTCTCCAACCTGCAAAACGACTACGAACTCGCCTTCGAGCGCGACACCCAGGTCGAAAAAGCCGAAGAAGCCACCGACGTGCCTCAAGTCAAGTACAACTTCACCCAGATCTCCGATTTGCAATCCGTCGAGAAGGATGCCACCATAGACCTGATTGGCGTCCTCCGCGAGGTCGGCGAGACCAACCAGATCACGTCCAAAACGACTTCCAAACCCTACGACAAGCGTGACCTCACCCTCGTCGACAACACCGGCTACTCCATCCGGCTGACCATCTGGGGCAAAACCGCCTCCACCTTCGACCTCAACCCGGATTCGGTCGTGGCATTCAAGGGTGTCAAGGTATCCGACTTTGGTGGCCGCTCCCTGTCTCTGCTTAGCTCTGGCTCCATGACCGCGAGCCCCGACATCGCCGAAGCACACAAGCTCAAGGGCTGGTACGATAGCCAAGGCCACAACGAATCATTCGCCACCCACGCCAACGTCACTTCGACTGTCGCAGGCGGCACCGGTGGCAGTCGGGACCCCTTCAAGACCATCGCCCAAACCAAAGACGAAGGTCTAGGGATGGACTCCGAAAAGGCAGACTTCTTCTCCCTCAAAGCCTCCATCCAGTACATCAAGCAGGACAACTTCTGCTACCCAGCCTGCTTGTCAGAAGGCTGCAACAAGAAAGTCTTGGAGATCGAGCCCGGACAGTGGCGGTGTGAGCGTTGTGACAAAAATCACCCGAAGCCGCAATATCGGTATATCATGAGCGTGAACGTGAGTGATCACACGGGACAGTTGTGGCTAAGTTGTTTCGATGAGACGGGACGAGTAATCATGGGTATCAGTGCGGATGAACTGATGGAGATCAAGGAGGTCGATGAGAAGAAGTTCAGCGACTACTTTTCGGAGGCGAATTGTAGAGTGTGGAACTGGAAGTGTAAGGCTAAGATGGACAGCTTTCAGGAGCAGCAGAGGTGAGTCCCTCTTTTTCCCCGTGAAGTTATTTGTGCCACCCGAGCGGACACGTGCTGACAATTCTGCCACAGAGTGCGCTATCAAGTGTCGAGTGCCAGCGCACTGAACTACGTTATGGAAAGCCAGAAGTTGGCCGAGTTGATCAAGCAGTACAATTTGGGAGATTGAGATGCTGTGCTTCTTTGTGCGGACTAGGGGACGACGATAGGTCATTGTACAGCTGAAGTTACGCATTTCGATGAGGAAGAGCGTCCAATGCTTGACGCGGAACGATCTGATGGGAAGGCAGTCTCGTTGATCACGAGCCAGCGTGGCGACTGAGAACGATATGCGAGGTCTGCGAGCATTTGATACCACTAGGACGAGCAATAGATGTGCTTGCATCAGCAGCACAACCACTGCGATTCTGCAATCTTTGCAAATTACCCAAGCACTGAACCTACGATCACTGGATCTTTGATTTGCCCTCGATCTTTGATTCGTGCTAAGAGCGACCTTGCTTGGCTGGCCAATTGTCCGAACGCAGGCAGGAGCGTATGGCAACGTCAACACACGCCGGTTGACTATGGCCTCAGGCGAGACCGGATGAGAAGCAGACATAACTAAGACCGGTTGACCGATGCTTTCATCCAACCACTGTCGACCTTGCCTTTCCATGCTCTTGCCGAAATCACGTGTCCACTCACTCAATGAGCCTCGTAGAGTCACGAGAAGCGCCCTCGTGAAAGCATATACCATCTCAGTCATCGGAGGAGGAAAAGCTGCCGGCATTCTACGATGCTCGCGAAGTAATTATATTTCCCGTGTAGTGATGTCAATATCACTGCCACCCTCTAGCGTGAGTGGAGACATTGACTCAGGCGATATGTACTTCACGGTGCGCAGTGGCCATGAGGAAGACCACAGAGTAAGACACCTGGGGCGTGCATCTCTGGACGACATGGCTGGGGCGTAGTTGAGTAGTATTTTCCAGGAAGATCCCAAAAACAAGTACTGCAGTGGCCGTATATCCATACACCAGATGATGCCTCGCCTCTCCTTTTCGCGCTCCTTCCAGCCTTCCCGTCGCCGGGATCAGCTTCTCCTTAGTCGACTACGCATATAATCTTCCCCTTACTGGTATTCGCCTCCAACATCCTATGCGCATCCTGCACGTCCTTCCAACTAAAAACCTTCTCCATGGGCACCTTGAACCTCCCATCCTTAAACCTCGGAAGCGCATGCTCGTTGAGCATATCCCTCAACTTCCCTTGGTATGCCTCGTCTCGCGCGCGCAATGTGCTGCCTTCATACCTCAACCTCTTTCTCAAGAACCGACCGATGTCCACACCACCGGGCACGTCGGCTTTCGCGCCGCCCATGGTGCCTAAGCTGACGATGCGTCCGTTCTGCGCCGCCGCATCCAAATTCGCATTGAAGTACGATCCACCAATGAAGTCGATGATAAGATCCACCCCCTCCCCATTAGTATGCTCCAACACCGCCTTCTCCCACGGCTTCTCCGGATCATTATACCTAAACCCAAACACCTTCTCCTTCCCACCCTCAACAAACCCCTTCACAAAATCAATCTTCTCCTGACTACTCGTCGTAATCAACACCTCCTTCACCCCCTCACTCAACGCCAGCTGCACCCCAGAAATACTCACCCCACTGGCACCCGCATGCCACAACACCCTCTTATCCTTCGTGGCCTTATTCCCAATAGTCTCATCCAACCCGCCAATCATCCACAGCGCCTGCGTCGCAGTAATCCACGTCTCCGGCACGCCCGCCGCCTCCTCCCAGCTCAACTCCGCGGGCTTATGCACCAGCATGTGTGTGCTCACGGCTATATATTCCGCGTACGCGCCTCCATACGCCAGCCCAAACACCTCCGAGCCGATTTTGAAATCGCGCTCGTGTTCGGAGCTGCCGAAGGAGACGATCGTCCCCGAGAATTCTACGCCCAGGGTGGCGGGGGCTTGCGGAGGAAGTGGTAGAGGCCTTCGCGTTGGAGGAGGTCCATGCGGTTGAGGCCGAAGGCCTTGATTTTGACGAGGGCTTGAGTTGCGGTGGGTTTGGGCACGGGCGTTTCTTTGTTGAGGAAGAGCGCGGAGATGCCGCCTTTGCCGCCTTTGATGTCGATCGCGCCCATTGTTTTGGGGATGTTGGGTGAGGACATGGTTGTGGATGAGGTGTGGTAGGTGCTTGGGTTGGTGGTAGAGAGGGGATTGCGGAGGAAGGTGTGGGCTCGTGTAATGGGTTGGAGGGTTAGAGATTGGTGGCAGGGTATTGCTGCTGGTGTTGAATGTGTAGTCCTGTATATCCGCAAAAGGTTCCTGCTGAGGGACGATCGGACTTAAAGACCGAGTTTCGGAAAAGCTGTGCTTGCGAGACGAAAACTGGATGCGGCGGCCAGAGCGAATACTTATATACAGTCCACGCCTTCCGTGTCAAACAACTGATGGGGCGAATGCGGGCCTCTCCTTAATGCAAGTACTTAGCTCTCGCAAGTGCCGCGGCGTCTAGAGCTCTGCAAAGGTCTCGTAGGATAGCACCTGCCAGGATTAAGTGTATGGTTGTTCCGGTACCGAAGTCTCAAATCTGAGAGCAGGAACAGCAGCTGAAGCGTCCAAGAGCAGAAGCAAGAACAGAAATCTTTACGGATTCTACGTGATCAACACGGGTGATGTAATCGTGCCTCGGTCAATTGGGCGAGTTTTGTGCAAAGTGGGGCCTAGGGACGCGTGGTGCAGCGTTATGCAGGAACAGATTTCAAAGCCCTCAACTGCACCTCCCGTCCGATAGGCTCCAGATGTGAGTTGCATTCGCGGACCGCGGAGCAGGACGGTATCTGTAGATAGACACACGGCGATGTTGATGTGACCACATCAAAACACTTCTCACGAATGCGGCCTGAGCAGTCGGACAATTGCTTCCTATTCTGTGCACTTATCAGAAACGGCTTCCAACAGGATGCCGCATCTTCCAATTCTATGATACATGTTCCCAACCACGACGCCTTACTGCGTTGTAGCGCGAATTGCCTGCAACGTGAGCGCAAAGATCAAACCCCTCGCCACCTCCTCAATCTGCAAGCAGTCAAAGACCCTACCCAACGCTTCACCGGACGCTGCCGCGCCCATAACACTAGTCAAAGCCTGCGGCATGCCGCGCTCCACCAATAGTTTCCGGGCCTTGATGCGCAGTGCTTCCTTCTCGTCCGCTGTCAGTTCTGCTGGCCATTTGGCCCGCTCCTCTTCTGTTGGAACTGAGTTCTCGCGAAGTTTGCGGATGTGCGTTGCCATCCCAGCGTCGGAGAAGTTGGCATCCAGCACGCTTTCCTGCAATAGGAGGCGGATGGACTCGAGTTGGGGGTTCTGAGGGCGCAGAAGGTATGTTTTGGCGGCGGATAGCAGGGAAAGACGGATGGTCCAGGCGGAGGAGAGGGAGTAGAGTTCGGTGATGATTGCAAACATCAGGTCGATTGTCACGCGGGTTTCTTCTTCGTTTATGGGGGCGTGGTTTGTTCTGGTCTTCCTGCGAGCGATCGGTGAAGGTCTGGCATGGGACAAGTCCTCTGTAGACTGCCGCGGGCCAGTGGTCGAGCGATGGACAGAGTCTGGACTCGAAGGTGCAGCCAGCAGAGCGGGCGAAGTCTCTCGTACAGGGGTCTCGAGAGTCATTGGCTTGACTGGGACGTATTCGTCGGACATGGCATCGGGAGGTGGCGGCAGATTCGACAGGTCCAGTAATCGTGGAGGTGATGATGCTCTTGATGACGGTCCTGATCGGTGGTTGAGACTTGTAGTGCTGGTGGACTTCGGTGGTCGAGGCTCACTTCTTGCATCTGATATCTCCATGCTTTTTCTCGGTATGTCCTGGCTTAGTCTTGATAAGCCAGCACTCGAGCCCGTGTTCGTCCTCGTTGTGTAGATCGGTCTCGACGGGGTGGCGGGTTTCTTGATACCCGAAGTTATTGTCCCAAATGCTCCTTGCACACCCCCGAGTACAGCTTTACCGCCTCCGGCAATACCCTTCCCACCCTGTCCAAGTACGTTGACAAACCCTTTGCCCACATTCTCCAAGGCCGCTCCGCTTTGGACGAAGACGTTCTTCGTCTGCGTGGGCGCTTTCGAAATGCCGACTTCCTTATCCAAGAACTTTTTCATTGTGTCACTTTCTGCTAAGCGCTCGTACTTCAGCGCGTCCCTCAAGTAATATTCAAGACTAGCCCGGAATGATCTTCGGGCCACTCCTTTCCAAGATGGTAGCTCAGGATATTGCTGCGAGAACTCTGGTACTCCGGAAATCTTGGCTATGGTCAGAAGCGTAGGATGAATCTTTGTGAAATCTGTGTAGGCACGAGTTACCATCCAGCCAGGAAATTTCGACGAAGCAGGCTCGATCTGAATCATGTACATGTCGTCTTTCGGTTCTTTCCTTAGTGCTGCGCGATCGTCGCCATCGCCCATATCTATCAGCGTGATGAAAGCGTATTGCAGTGTCAATGGCAATGGTACTTGAATCTCGGTAGTCTGCGACGGAGGAATATGCATGTCCTCGAAAGTCTGCGGAGCTCGTCGCCGGCGCCATCCGTCGCACTTATCCCCATCGACGTTTCTGGATGAAGCATGTCGATGGGTGCCTCAACACTTTCCATTGCGCCATCTAGGAATAGGCCTTGATTGCGACTCGGACTGGCACTCGCCGACTGGATGGCATTACCTTCGCTGTCGAATATGAATGATGTCCGTGTTGGTCGAGTTGAAAATCGTTCGGACTGATTGCGATCGCTATCCGACGATGTCGGCGTCGCGAGACCTGGACCATCTGTATTTGCTGTAGAGAGTGTATCGACTGATTCGGCCAGATTCGACTCCCTTTTCCTACGCGCCTCGTCCTCGGCGATCATGGCGTTCATTCGTTCAGCTTCCTGCATTGCCTGCTGCATGGCTTCTTCGGCTCGACTGACTCTTCGTTGATGCTTTTTGCCTTCATTTGATGTTGCTTTTGTTGGAACCTTCGCGCCCATGGCATTCATATTCTCGACCCCGGCGTCTATCACGTTTATCAACTCTGGCTCGCCATCTTCCAATAAGTAGACAATCCAGCCATTGATCCATTCCGGTTTTGAGCACATATCAATCGTTGGTTGTAGGATGAGACCGGATAACACAGCTCTCAGGAATGCTTTTACAGGTGGACAGTCATGGGAGCTTTTGTCAAGGAAGTTCTGCAGTATGTCTTCTGCAACGATGTCCAACTTTCGCTCCTGCTGCGACGTATTGATAACGTTGGCGAGATTGCTCTCCGGCTGATACTGCAAGTACGTTCGGATAGCCGTGGCAGGGTCCTGATTCTGGGAGGCCTTCAGGGCTGTGCCAAGTTCCTGCAGGAAGACGATCATGATCGAGGTGGAGTTTGCCATGAAGTCCAACACTGGGTCCGCCGTCCGCTTCCGCGACAGTCGATTCGAAAAAGTGAGGATGAATTGGCTGAGTGTTTGGCGGCAGGCCAGTGGGAAACTCTGCTCCTTGGGCAGCAGCGGCGAGAACCACCACTTGACATAGTCGCGTATGACAGCATCGGTGAAGTCGTTCAAGGCTGCTCTCGTCTCCGGCTGGAAGTCGGCATAGACATCTGTGCTGGTGAGATCTAGAGCATCGTCTGCTTCAGACGTCTCAGCTTGTCGGTCCTTTTTCTTTGCATCCCGCCAATCGAGTGCCCGCTTGGTGACCTCAATGCCTAGTTCCCGCCTCCTCCTCTGTTGTTTCTCTTGAGCCTCTCCATCAGCACCAGATCCGATCTGGCCCTCCCACGTAGCATGAAGCACGATGCCGCCGACTGCTCCTATGAGGACGAGTCCGAGTCGACCAAGTACTAGGTACGTAGAGGCGGCTAGGCCGACAGCACAGGCGCCTAACGTCTCGTTGCTTGCATTTGAGAGGAAATGCAGTGCTGAGTCCTGGAAGGTGCGCAATCGTTCTGAGGTCGTAGGGGTCGTAGTGGTGCTTGTTGTTCGCGCAGGAGAAGTCGGCTGTGCCGGAATGGGCTGCTGGTCAGCTTCTGCAGGCGCTGGGTCAAGAACACTGGATTGATCATCCTTTTCCATTGTTTAGCAAGCTCATGTCACATCAGTCAGTCTGCGGCATAAGCAGGTTTGTTGATTGTGAACAGATGGCATCAGTAGTTCTGACATTCTGAGAGGAAGGGGAGCGCAATCGATACTAAATGGGGATCGGTCTTATCGATAACGTCTCCAACCCAACACATGCATTTCTTAGAAAGACCCATGGGAAATTTTGTGCAGGAGTTGAACCTTCTGCATTTATTCAAAACACCTCAAAGAAAGAAAGATGGCTGATCAGATCTGCTCGAGTTGTCATGATACCCTATGGCTGGCAATCGAGCCAGATAGCGACGAAGAAGACAGCAAAGCACCTGCCTCATCACATTCGGTTCCTGACGATGTGGAACTCTCATGCGGTTGCCACTTCCACTGGTAGGCTCAAACTCAGATGCCTTGGAGCCAACAATACTAATACCAACGTAGGGAGTGTTTCTTAGAGGCGTATGCCATCACTGAATGCCCAAACTGTAGCAAGGACATCTCCTCCGTAAGCTCATCTGGCCAGCAGCAAGTGGTCTGCACTGTCCGTAACGAAGGCGGGACGCAGCAAGGCTACGATATTCTGCCATCAGCCACCGAGGAGGCGTATCTGCGAACTTACCCCGAGGAACGACGCGGCCATGCATATCTGGAGTTCTGCCGCGAAGGTGATCTCGATGCCATTATCCACATGATCAAGGACACCGACACCGAGGACGACGATGGCGAGGCAGCCGACGAAGAGATCGAGGGGTCGGCCTCGCCAGACGTCGACTTTCTCACGTACAGTGGGACCTTTGAGGGAATACAAGGCTCGGGATTGCACGTTGCTATTCGATATGGTCGAGAGGACGTTGCGTGGTTGCTGCTGGCACTCGCATCGCAACTAGAGTGGTCTAAGTTCCCTCCACCGGTACTTCAAGCGATGGAGAGCCTTGGACTCAGTCGAGAGGATAGAGTAGCTGCCACAGAGATTCGTAGTATCAACGACTCCGATGGTCGTTCGCCCAAGCAGTTGGCTGAGGAGGTTGGAGGTCCTTGGAGACTCTGGGTTGAAGCTTGCAGGTTTACAGTATGATTGTTCGAGGTTCAACATTCTTCTGCAACCATTGAACGGTCGCCGAAGATCTAAAGCATAATGAAGTCGGTTGTTCTCCGCCATCCGAGTGAATCCGCACAAGATAGGTTGCTTGCCAGATGCAAAGAAGAAAGCGTTCGGTTCAAGCCTTGGTCTTGCTCTCCTGGTCTCGCAGGATGTACTTTGTGTGCGTGCCGTGGGCAACAACCGTACTTTGTTCGCTTTGACCTTTCGAGATTGTGACTGTCGTGAATCCCATATTCCTTCCGACCTTACTCGCAATCCCTTCTATGGTCAAGACATCACCGAGCTTGGCGGTACTCACATATGAGACGTGAATGTCAGTGCTCAATCCCGTCTTTTCGAGTCCTGTAGAAGCAATCGCCATTCCGCCAGCCCAGTCTACTATCGTGGCCGAGACAGATCCATGCAGACCGCCCTTCGAGTTTATCATATTCTCGTTGACGGTACATTGTGCAGTCATTGTTCCATGCTTCGCAGATACGATCTTCATATCCTTGAAGAAGAAATTATACACGGGCGAGTTCGAGCTGACTCTTTCCCAGCATGATTGGACCGACTCGAGAGGCGACTTTGCAGACATGGCAGCGGTGGAGGGCTTAATCGCACTATGCAAGAAGCGTGTTCACAGGCGGCTGACCTTTTCTGGACTGTGACTTCTGAAGTACAGGCCGAGATCGAAGATATGGTGATAGCTAATGGCCATGAGCTCTTTCAAAAATTCGCGGTTCAGGTCGGAGAAATATTCTGGCCCACTTTATTTTTTAGTAGTTCACTGCCTGCATTTTCTACCAAATCTTCCTTTCGTTCTTTTGCGACAGAGCATAGTACCAGGTGCCTACCGCGAAACACCAGCAACATGAGCAAGCACAGATTAGACGATGGCGCTCAGTCAGACAAGCAAGAGCGAAAGAGACGGAAGAAGGAGCGGAAAGAGGCATTGAAGAGCGAGATTTTGACGCCGCCCACCTCAACAGATGCTACCGCTGCCTCGACACCAGTGCCAGAAGAAGGCCACGAAGACAATGAATCGAGCTACAAACAGTCAAAGTCGCTGACGGCCCTGCCGCAAGCCGACATAGACAGCTTCCTCACGACCGACGCAGTCCAGATCAAAGACCCTCAATCAACATCAGACACCCTCCGCCCAATCCTCTCATTCGACCAACTCCCGCCCGAACTCGCCTCACAATTCGCACCCATCTTCAGCACCTTCAAGAAACCCTCCGCCATCCAGTCCGCCGCCTGGCCCTTCCTCCTATCCGGCAGAGATGTAGTCGGCATAGCAGAGACCGGCTCCGGCAAGACCCTAGCATTCGGCCTCCCCCTCGTGGCCCGCCTCTCAACCCTCAACAAGAAAAAGGGCATCCGCGCCGTCATCGTCGCCCCAACTCGGGAACTCGCCATTCAAGTGCACGAACAAATTGCCGCCCTCTGTGCCGCAACGCCAACCCTCAAATCAACCTGCGTCTACGGCGGCAGCAACAAAGACGAACAGCGCCGCACCCTCAAGCACGCCAACGTCATTGTCGCCACCCCGGGCCGCCTCAAGGACTTCATGTCCGATGGCACCATCTCCCTCTCCAAGACCCGCTACCTCGTCCTCGACGAAGCCGACCGCATGCTCGACAAGGGCTTCGAAGACGACATCAAACAGATCATCTCCTCCATGCCTGCTTCTGGCACCAAACGCCAAACCGCCATGTTCACAGCCACCTGGCCGAAATCCATCCGTGACCTCGCCGCAACCTTCATGACCACTCCCACACGCATCATCATCGGCCAAGAACCCGCCCAGTCATCAGGAGACCTCCGCGCCAACACACGCATCAAGCAAATCGTCGAAGTAGTCCAGCCTGATGCAAAAACACCCGCCTCCTCCAACTCCTCAAACAGCATACCGCCGGCCCAAAATCCCGCGACCGCATTCTAGTGTTCTGCCTCTACAAGAAAGAAGCATCCCGCGTCGAATCCTTCATCTCCCAGCGCGGCTACTCCGTCGCGGGCATCCACGGCGATCTGAAACAATCCGACCGCTTGGCCTCACTCAGTGCATTCAAATCCGGCACCTCCAACATCCTCGTCGCGACCGACGTCGCCGCCCGCGGCCTCGACATCCCAGAAGTCAAAGTAGTCATCAACGTCACCTTCCCGCTCACAGCAGAAGACTACGTCCACCGCATCGGCCGGACAGGCCGCGCAGGCAAAGAAGGATTAGCGGTTACCATGTTCACCGAGCACGACAAGCCTCTGGCGGGAGCATTGGTGAACGTGCTCAAAGGCGCAGGCCAGCCTGTCCCCGAAGACCTGCTGAAATTCGGCACGACAGTGAAGAAGAAGACACACGACGCGTATGGCGCGTTTGGACCAAAGGAAGATCTTGAGGGCAAGACAGCTACGAAGATCACCTTTGACTGAAGGACATTGGAAAAGCGGGTGGGCATTCGCTGTGTGCTATGGATGAGCATCTACGGCGTTAGTTTTTGGGATGAATGACCTGATGGGCAAAAAGCATGCCGTTATTTCAGAGTCTCGAATCGCGAGTCCTTTAATCTTTTCAAGAATTCATCTCGTCAAGAAAAGCTGCAGGCAGAATGTTTAGACGACATAGTAGACGTATATATAAGAACCATGACCATACGTATCCAGAACGACCACCAACTTGATCATGTTCCATTGCGTTGGTATATACCTGCAACTTCGTGGCAGATGCCAACGCCCTCATCAGGATGGCAAATGGTCTTTGAATAAAAGGTCACTCTCGTTGCGTTGCTACTGGCGAAAGGAACATGTCTCGGGCCACGTCGCCAAGCCCTCTGGACTCGAGACTTAATTGACACAGCAGATAAGTGGCCTACTCAGACTCGACCCGGCCGAGTCATCCACAACTGACGTCAATACGAATCGTCGTGGCTGAGGATGCTAGATCGCATTCATACCGTCTCTCGCATCACAGAAATACATATGCTATATGCAAGGCAGAAACTAGATCGAGCAAAGTTAGCAACGCAAATCCTCAAATGGCAATAAGGGGGGCGAACACTCACGTTCATCACGATCAACATCGGAATGTCAAAAACGTCCCTCTTCACCGTCCAGCAGTATGCACAATCCACCTTTCCATCTGCACTTCCCAGCTTCTGCATTCCCTTCTCCCCACTGATGCCCTCCTTACGCAATTTCGGATTTAGAAGACCCATCGTGTCGCGCCGCGTGAGGCCCTGGCCTGGGCCTTGCAGCTCGCCTCTTGGCGCTGGTGGTTGGCCATGGCTCGTACTGGGGTGTCGCTCGTGTTGTGGGCTTTTCGTCTGCGTCGTGCTGGCCGTAGCAGGCTCGGCAGGCCCGTCTCGACCGTCCGCACGGCGCTGCTCCGCTTCCTTGCGCAGCTCGTTGGAGACTTGTTCCTCGCTAGTGCGGTATTTGAGGAGTTTACCCTTGCGGAAGACGCTGCCTCGCGAGTCGCCGAAGGCGAGGCGCGCGAAGTCCTCATAGAATTGCACGACTGAGTCGTCGTCTAGCAGTTCTGCTAGGAAGACAGGCCGATCTTTTCTCGCGTCGCCATTCTCCTCGCCGACCGTGGTTCGCTGTGGTGTATTGAAGCCTCCTTTGCCTGTGGCTGTGCCTGCGCCGACGCTCGCACTGTTCGCTCCCGAGCCCGTCATTGGTGTCAAGCCTGTGTGGCCACGATTGACATTGAGGTTGGGCGCACGCCCAAGCAGGACATTCTTGGTCCAGCCTGTCAGGATCTGGAATTCTTTGCCAACAGCGGCCACTTCGCCTGTTCGCCGGGCGACTATGGTTGGTGTGCCCACGCCTTCGATAAAGGACTCGTATTCGAATAGCGTGCGCTGGAAGCATTTCTCCATGAAAATCAGGTCGTCCCTGTTTAGTGTCTTGGTGGTAGCGATGAACGAGGGTCGAATGCTGGCTAGCGATTTAGCTATTGACAGAGTCTTGCTGTGTTGAGAGGTGAACCGTCGTTGCAAGTATGCGATCAGGTGATGGAAGTTCTGGGTATATGGGTGAGGAGTCGTCACTGATGTATAGATCGACGACGGATCGCGCGTGCGGCCTGGCTTGTTGGACAGAGGCTTCGTTGGAAGTGCTTGCTTTGCTTTCAGTTGAGGTGTCGTGATGCCGGTCGGGTCTCGGTGTGGAGGTATTCGATTCTTAGTCGGAGATGAGGTAGGCTGCACAGGCTGTTGAGCTTGCTGTTGATGCTGTGATGGTGGTCGAGGCTGGATGTTGCCGTCTATGCTGCCTTGATGCTGGTGCTTCATTGCTGCAGTGGTCAGTAGTGGTGATTCCTCAAACTTCAGACCGTCAGGCGTGTGCTGCTGGTGCTCAGGCGATTGAAACTGCGCCGTGCTTTCGATCGCGAACGCATGAGGCGGTCGGCCAAGCTGATTATTGAACCCGTTGGGCCAGTCCGCCATCATCGACGAATCGCCATACGGAAAATTGTTACCATTCGGCGATTCGCTGAAACTGCCGAGCGGCACTCGATACTGCTGTTGATGTACAGAGCCGCGAGTAGTCGTTGTATCGCTTGGTGGTGTCTCACCCGCGTTCATAGCCATCTGGTCGAGCATCCCAAACTCCAAAGCACCATAGTTGCTGCCAAAGTTCATACTTGCAATGTCGAAGTTGAAAAGCGACGGATCGTCGAAAAGTGCACCAGCCATACCACTCCATCCCGGCGGCTGCATCCCTTGCGAGCTCTGCGTATCTCTGCTGACGGCCGGGCTCTGTATAGTTGGTTGAAGGTTAAAATTCGCCGCAATAGGTGACTGCTGCATCATATTTGAGCCACTCATCGACCTCTCACTCGTTGACAGCATGGGTGGAGGCATCTGCTGCGACGGCGTAAACATGCCAAAATTCTGTGAATTCGAGAAGTACTGTTGTGGCTGTGATGTCGCCTGAGGTGTCTGCTGCTGTGGCTGTGGCGTCGGGTCATGCTGGGTTGTGCTAGCAGTAGAGTTGCGCTTTGCTGCGGGATGGGTGTACATTGTAGTACCCACGCCGGGCATAAGAGCCTCATTCGGTGCATCGTGGACTACCTCCACGTTAGCTCATATTCCAATCTGGGCGTCGAAGGGTAGCAACATACGGTACTTGGCCTTCTTTCGGACACCATCTTGACAGGCGTCTTGCAGACCACGCTTGATACAGCGCTGACACGGCCGCTCGTCGCCTGAAATGGTCTGTTAGCTTTTGCACACATCACCACGTGAGAACTTGACAGGTCACATTGAGATCGAGAAAGCACATACCACACGTCAGATGGGCACGCTGACAGGCAAAGCATGCCCTACGAGCCTTCTTTCGCCGAGGTCGAGAAGGATCCTTTGCATTGGGTTTCGACGGCTTGACATCTTTCTGAGCTTGTTCTGACATGTCTTGATCTGGACCACTGTCTTCAGGCGAACCTGAACGCGATCGACCATCTTCAACATCCGAGGACGCCATGTTCGAGGTGTTATAAGGCTCACATCCAGCGGGACACAAGCTCTCAGGGCCTGCTCTTTGTGGACCGCCAGTGAATTCTGCTGGCAAGTGCGACTTTACTACCCAGGCACTGTCTCGCTTGTGGGTAAGAGACGTCAACAGGCTCTCAAGCCCATATGATTACAGGAGGCCCGCTGTTTCTCAGGACCCAACGCGCAACCCGCTGCTTCCAGATCCAATGAATTCGGCAGAAGCAGGTAGAGCAACTGCCCAAGTTGCCCTCCAGAGCGCCGCGCAATGCGCTGACCGGCGGTTCGGCTCAGGAATGTCAAGAACCAAGCCAGGGGTATGGTGTTCGGATAGCGGCGTCAGAGCTTTGTGGGAAGGTGACAGAAGTATTGAGACGTATGCAGTGCGACCAACGGCAAGTTGCACGAGGTAAACAGCTTTCTTTGGCTCAGTCGTAGTGTTTCTGTTGGCTGTGACCAGGCAAAAATATGGTACAGTCCGCCCCCAATGCAACGACACCTTGCGCTCGTGCGAGAATGAGATACAGGCACAAGAACCGTTGTGTTGCGTGCACGCGGCAAGCTTCAAAAACGTGTCGACGGCTGCACGAGGAGGGGGAAGCTCGCGAAGGTGGAGGCCGGATGCGGAGGTGGGATCTGATGCGCGATCTGACTGTCGCGCGACCAGCTGTACCGGCGATGGTGGTTGTTCGGATGGTGTGTCTGCTGTGAGGATCTTGCAGTCCTTTGCTGTCAAGAGTTGGGACTTGCAGCAGTCGTGCTTAAGCGCACAATAGTCGTCTGCAGCCAAAGAGATCCAAATCGAGGGCTGTTGCTTTGCTGGACTTTACTCCACAAAGTCAAGTTCCAGGGTCTTGGAACGCGGGACCGATGCCTAACATTCAGCAAGCGAAGAAGCCAATGGCCCCTGTCCCATTGGCCTAGAGTCTGCCCCTCCTGCGGACTGGGCGTTGCTCGATGGGGCTGTTCTTCAGAACTTGAAGGAGTGGGCGTGCTTCTAATCCCGGCAGAATATTCTCTTCAGACAGTATTGCAATATGTTCCAACAACCTCGGACTGGATCTATTCTTGACAAACAACGTCACCGAGACAGTACTGCTCTGCTCTACAACTCAAAAACCGAAGCTGGCACTGGCAGTGAAGTGGAGTGCGACAGCGACGTCGGCATGGACTCGGCTGCCGCGCTGCTTGGCATCAAGTGCACCTGCCCACCCATGAGTATCAGGTCTCGATCTCCTTCCTTCCTCCACCGACTACCAGTACATCCAATGAAACGACCCTGGCATTGACAGTTCTCGCTCCTTCCCTCGCAACCCCCAACAAGCAACAATGTCCCAAGGCTACGCTGCCGCCACATATTGACCGTGTTTCATCTTACGTGATGTCCCTTCTGTCAGGGCGACACACTGCGGAAACGACCCTTGCTACCAGGCCAGGAACCTGCAGAATCATCAAAGTCGTGCTACCATGGGCCACGAGTAACCTTGATCGAACCATTGATCGCAATTGGCGCAGGACGTTCAAATGTTCCTTGATCCTGCAGTGTTCATGATCTTTCAGGAGTTTCTTTTCCCTCCGAACTTTCGCATCACCGGATTATTGGTGTTGCGACGGCTTAAGCGAGTGATCGCAATCTCTGTGGCTGCAGTTCTGCTAGGCAGAAGACACAGCCCTCTGAAAGAAGCTGGGATGATCTGCGTCCGAGCAATAGTGCTGGCGGTGAAGCACTGGCTGAAGCAGGCGGTCAACAAAGCCTCCTCATGCCGACCACGCCTTGTTCATAAACCTGCTGCCAAGTTTTACGTCAATGACAACGTCTGGCATGGCGCTGTTCATGCCGGTCATCGTTACCGAATTTCAGCTTCCTGCGAGATCGCCATAGTCCGAAATGCCACGACAGTGGTTGAGATTGAAATGACGTGCATGACCATGGTCATGCCGAACTGTAGTTGCTCTGCTGATGCATTTGCTTCTCACAGACTCAGGAGGCGAACGGGGTCCAAACAGCCATGATCAAGCCGATCCGAACTTGCTCTTCTTCCGCAACTGCTTCCCGTAGATCCAGAAGACATACGGAAACGGTGCGAGTGCCAAGCACAAGAAAGCCAGCAGCGTCGTGGCCCAATGGTAGTCCAGCTTCTCGTACATCTGAAGTCCAAAGATCGGGAACGAGGCAGCGAAACAACTCCTGGCGAAAGAGTTGGCTGACAGAGCTGAAGCGGCGTACAGAGGATAGGCTTCCACCAAGAATGTGAAGAAGGAGGTATAGATCAAGATGATGCCGAATCCAAAGAAGGCTGTCCCAATAATAGGCACAATCCAGTGCACAGAAGGATACTGCCCACCATAGTCAGCAAACATCATAGTGAACACGGCGTGAGTACTCACACAGGTCCAAGCAAACAAAAAGAGGCCGAACACACTAAACCAACCGCCAAAGATACTCTGCGGCAGTCTCATCTCCGGCTCACTTTTGCGTTCTCCAGTCTCACGCTCCTTCTTGTCCATAAGCCTACCATAATTTCGCCGCCAGATTGGATCCGTAGCCATGGCGCTGACCATACCCACGAAAATCCCCAAGAAGGCCAAGCCATTCTGCCAGAGATTGAACCCGTACACGTGGCCAAATACCAACGGTATCGCGCCGAAGAAGAGGTACAGTATTCCCAACAGCACTGCGCTGAAGAGGCAGATGTTGAGCACCATCGGATCCAAAAACAGCATCAAGAAGGGCCGGTACAAACTGTGCACCACCGTCCACAGGACAGACTTGTCGGAAACCTCGATTGGTGCCTTCCATCTCTCATCACCGGTCTCCTTGCGTTTCTGCACCGCTTTTCGGCGAAGCACAACGGCGCATACGTCTCCGGCACAAAGACAGCAATCATGATGAACTCAGCCCCAGCAAATATCAGCATGATATACCAGCTCCATCTCCAGTCGATGAACGAGTTGACGAAGCCGCCCCACACAGGCGCCGTTGCCGGTCCCAGAAATGGCGAGGCACTGTAGATCAACATCGGTGTCTGGAGCTCAGCTCTCGTGAACATGTCACCAACTGTCCCGCCAGCTACTGACAGAAACGCGCTGCCAAAGAAGCCATCAAAGAAGCGCACCACTAGCATCGTCGCGATGTTCTGCGCCACCGCGCAGGGGATCAAGAAGACGAAGAAACCGCCGAAGGCGAGCAGATAGATGATGCGACGTCCATAGAACTCGGATAGAGGGCCAAGAACCATAGGGGCAATACCCAGCCCGTAGACGAAGGTCGACAGGCCTAGCGTGTTGGTAAGGCGCGATGAGCCGAAGTCGCGAGACATGCCGGCGTACGTCGTCGTGTATAGTGAAGAGGCACAGGTCACGCAGAACGAGCCCACTGCCAGAATGATGACGATAGCCCATTTGGTCGCAGTCTTCTTGTTCTTGGCACTGAGCGGATCATCGTCGCCGTCGAACGCGACGAGGAAGTGTTCGGAGCCCTCGTCTTTGTTGTTCTGGGGTGACGTGTCTGGGCTGGGTTCGCCCTTCTCAAGGTCGGAACTGTTGTCGTTGTCGCCATGTTGGGTTGAGCCAAGGCTTGTCGATGGCGAGATGCCTCCAGTCTGGGATTCATCTCCTCGCGATCGAGACTTCTTCAGTGCTTCGAGTACGGCCATAACTTTGCTAGGTGCCTCGTCGTCACAGCACACTGACTTTTCCTGCTATTGATATGACGCAATGGATGTCGTTGTCGGCAGCATAGTGTTATGATATATAGGCTGCCAGCGTTCGGCTCAGTCCAATGATGAGTTCATCGATACAAATGGCAGAATTACCAAGCACGATAATCCCGCGCCACACATATCGAAGACGGGAACAGCAGCAATATTTTGCGCTTGAATACCATCTTTACTCGCGACTAGCAAAGTGGAGGAAGTTGCGAGTGGTGAAATCCTAAAATGTTACTCGGATGAAATGCCGGTGCGTGATCGCGAATGATAGTGGCATATTCGCACTTAAAGTGGGCATGATCCGGAACGCGATTGTACGGCAGCGATGCTCAGATAGGCTATAAACTTCCATTGCACGCACGTTTCGGTGTCTACGAGAGACTGATCGATGTCGTATGGGCGCCAATCTGCACCTGAAACAATGCCTTGCTTGATGAGCAATCAGATGAGTTCCAGCAACTGCACAGGGAGGTCTCGCGAGGTATTCTCGGCATTATTTCCACGAATGTCATGTACGAAGTCGTACATCACGCTCGGCCTTAGGCGTTTTGTAGGGCGACGAGGATGTCCCCGTACAGTTTACAGCAAAAGCACTATAGATCCGCGTCCCCACGTCGACTTTGCTTAGAAACATTGTTAATTCTCTGTTCTTAATGACAACAGTTGCGAGGCACGGACGATTGCTACTCAAACGGACGACCCAGTTCGGGCATCCTGCCCATGCCGGACCCTTTCGCAGCTACATCGACATCGTCCAAAACGCCGCCTGCACTACGCTCGCGAACGTGCTCTCGTAATTTCCTCAAAATCTCGCTGTTCTGCCATCTAGCAGGGACTGGGCGATATGCAACCTTTTGCCGACCTGATGATTGTTAGCTAGGTAGAGAATCAGCGACGTCGCCGACTTACCAACTGTTTGAGACCATTCCCCCGACTTGGGAGCTACAGGAAACCCTTTGTCAGCACAATTCTCTCGCTCTCTACTCTCAATGACTCACCTCCTTGCCTCCAGCCATCCGTCTCCTGCGCCTGTCCAGGCGCAGCTGGGGACAGATACTCAGTCGTCGTTTGATGCGGTGTATCGCTCACGCTCCCCTCTGCAGTCTCAAGTGTCGTCGGCGTATTTGCAGGTGATTGCGTAGCCCAGTAGTAAAGATCCCAGTCGTTCTCATCAAGAAATAAATCGTACTCCTCCAGTTGCGCCCGCGTCATTTTGGATAAGTTTTCGTTAGCGAATGTCGAGAAAAGCAGATCGGACTCTAGTGTCCCTCGCTTCCTGCTTTGATCTACGATGGGTCAGTACATGCTTCATTGACCCTGTACATTAATGAAAGGGTGCATTGCTAGGTAGTGACGGACATAGTAATCTGGCCCTCATAGTGCTGATGTCCTCTCCGACGCGACGGAGAGGCTCGATGCGGAACGACGCTCCCTCCATCTCGCCAACACCAAGATCTGATGAGGGGCTTACGTTACTAGCGTTGCCCTCGCCGGGCTGTTGCCCTCCAGTCATTCGCTCTGTGTTCTCGGGGTGCTTGTCTGTAGGGATATAGTCGGGGTCGGCGGAGGAGATGAATTCTGGAGGTGGCTTGTCTTTGCCGATCTTGGGCATGTCATTGTGGAAGGTCGAGTTTGTGTTGGTCATGTGTGGATTCTCGGGTTTGGACTTCTGATCCTCTCTGTATCCGTCTGCATTGGGATGTATTCTGCCCTCTTGCTCCTTTGATCTGAATTGTGATGTGGAGGAGAGAGCTCGTGTAGTCGGTCGAGCTGCATGCTGGCGAGCAGCGACGCGGATGAGGGCACGATACGTATTCATGATGATGGCGTTGCACAATTATGCTTGAGGGAAATTGTTGTAGAGAGACTTCGATCTCAGAAGTAGAGCACCACGAATACGCAGATTGCCAGCTCTCGACGTCATGGAGATCGGTTGATCTGGACCGCGGAACGAACTTCAGGCAGTAAATGAATAAATTTGTGTCAACCGGTTCTCTGAAAAGCTCCAATTATTGCGCGCCTCTAAGTGTCATGTTTATCACACCTTCGCTTACCTCTACCTGTGGTACTCTCGCTTTGTAGTCTTTGCTGTGTTGGTCAACTGGTCTGACATATCTACCGAATCGTCCTAGCCCCGGTCATTGTTGCAGATTATGCTTGCAAAGATTCTCGCCCAGCGATTCTATCTCAGCGTCTAAGTAAATCTCAAAGTCAACGGCTCCGGCTTGTTTTCGAGTATATCATCGATCTCCTTCATCACTTCTGGCGTCAGCTTCTCGAGCAGATCCAGCGCCTTGACACTCTTCCCAATCTGCTCCACCTTCGACGCTCCCGTAATCGCACTGCTCACATCCGGATTCTTGATAACCCACGCCAGCGCCAACGTCGCCTGATCCGTCCCCAACTTCTCCGCCACAGGCTTCAACTTCCGCGTCTGCTCAATATCCTTCTTCCAGGCGGCATTACCATAGCTGTCGCGCTGGCTCTTGCTGAAGCCGTCGTTGGCGGTAGCAACTCGGCTGTCCTCGGGGATGCCGTCGTTATACTTGCCGGTCAGGATACCCGTTTTCAGGGGCGAGAAGATTGTGAGACCGAGGCCGCGCTCACGGTAGAGGCGCCAGAACTGCTTCTCGACTTTGTCCCGGACCAACAGGTTGTACTGTGGCTGCTCCATCAGGGGTCCGATCAGGTTCAGCCTGTCTGCGGCGGCATGGGCTGCTTCGATCTCGTCCGCGTTCCATTCGGAGGTGCCCCAGTAGAAGCACTTGCCAGTGTTGATGAGGTAGTTGTAGGCTCGGACGGTCTCCTCGATTGGGGTCTCTCGGTCTGGTCGGTGAGCATACAGGAGGTCCACGTAGTCGAGGCCTAGACGTTGTAGTGCTGCCGCTGTGCCCTCGATGATATGCTTGCGGCTCTGGCCAAAGTTGTTGACTGGGTTCGTGCCGAATGCTCCGCCCCAGTTGATCTTTGTTGACACAACGAGGTCGTTTCGCTTCCAGCCAAACTTCTTGATTGCTTGACCCATTGTGATCTCTGATTTGCCTTCTGCGTAGCCCTGTCACGGTGATCAGCATTCGTAGAGAAGTCTCAGCGGGATGATGCATTGTACCTCAGCGCAGTCGAAGAAGTTGATGCCAGCATCGAATGCTGCTTTCATGCAATCCATTGCAATCTCTGGCAGCAGTCAATACATTTCGTCTGCAGAATGCCTCCCAGACATACCATCGCCAACACTGCCACCATATGTGACCCAACCACCAAGACTGATTACGCTGACCTTCAGCCCGGATCGACCGAGCTGCGATTCTCGTTAGCATTGTCCGAGGCTGATTGTAAATGCTTTGGGGGCAGCGTTCTGAGCGTAGCTAGGGCCCATGCTTGTTGGTCTGGACATGTTTTTGGCAGCACTTAGAGTCACGCTCGATTTGTGATACACTCCTGACCACGATAATTGACTCACATTGCGGTACTGCATCTTGGGCAGCTGCTCTGTAGAGCCCATTTTGTGTGAGTGGTCGGAGTCAATTTTCTGTTCTTATTTCTGTTCTATAGCAATTCTGGGTGTCGTGTGTGGGATATGAAGCTTTATCTGGACTTTCTGTGGCGGCACGAATTTATGTTAGCGGCGGTACATATCTATATATCGTCGTCACGTCCGGGTAAATTCCATGTGCGGCCGTTCGCCTTTATGCAGGCTCGGATTCGTGGGGTTCGGGGTCCGCCTCGCAAGGGCTTTGGAGAAGGATGCCGCCGCGTCTTGTCCCGCATTGGCAGGTGCGAAATAGTGACCAGAAGGGGAATGAGGGCAGGCTCGATGCCGTAGTTGGGAAAAGCTGGTCGTAAGAGACAGGCAAAGAATTCGTAAGCAGGCTCCAAAAGCCTGGTCTTTCAGTCTATTCATGGGTATTGCTGTTCATCAGACTCGGACAAGGCTCGAGTCGCACAGTTTCGTAATAATGTGAACCTTTAATGATCGCTCTTGGGTATTCTTGTCTTTGCTCGCATGGCGGATTACGCCTGATCACCTTTGTTGAACCAGCCCCCGGCCATGCCCATCCAGCTTCCACGGTTGCTCGCTTTCCTCGCTGCCTCCTCTTCATCTTTGACCTGATTAACTAGTCTCAACGGTCGCATCTGATTCTGTTTCATGACAGCTCCGGGAAGTGCATTAGGTCCCTGCACGTTGCTCGTGGACGGTTGCATAGTGCTGCTGATGTCTGTGATACTCGATCGGTCGGCGCCAGGCGTGAAGCTGTTGTCCGACGCTACGCTATTGCGAGAGCTGCCTGTGGCGTTCGCTGGCTGTTGCAAATTATGCGATGGAACCCGTGAGGCAGGCAGTGATCTGTCGTGCGGCGGTGGTGAAGGAAAGTAGCTCTTGTTGCCGAGAGACTGCTGCGGAGAGACAGGGCCAAGTCCCGGCGATAGTGGACCGGAAGAGGGTGTGCGGAATGTTGAGCTGCGTGTCATCTGCTGCACAACGGTAGCAGCACCCATGCCAGTGTCTTGTTGTGTCTGATCGGATCGTCCACGGCGGTGACCTCGGTTCAGTGGGATACTAGGTGCTGTAACCGGGTTCTCGTTGGCGGTGGGTTGCATGGAACTCTGAATGATGGAATTCGGTCGTGGCCTAGGAGGACCTGCGGCGCCTCGGGAGACCACCGATTTGGCACGCTGCAAGAATCCACCCATGCCGGTCTGAGGAGCTTCTTCGCCAGGTGGTGGTGCTGGGAGTGCTTTGCCCTTTGGTGGCGGAGGTGGTGGCATGTCTTTGTCATCTGCGTCATTGCCTAGTATGAGGTGCTCATAGCCTGGATTGCTGAGAAGACGTCCAATGATCTTGTCGACGTACAATTTGAGTGCCTTATTTTGATCTTTGACTTGCCGATTTTCAGCCTCGAGTTTCTTAACAGCCTCGGACTGTGCTTCAGGGTCGTCGCCAATATTGCCCAACTCTTCCTCAAGCGTGTTCAAGCCTGAAGTGTCCTCATCAGTATTCTCTGCCACGAAGTCGCCCTTGAGCGTCTTTTCGCTCAACAACATTTGGAAACTTTCGTTCTCCTCCAATAGTCTGGCATTCAGCATCTTTGTATCCAAAATTTCCTTTTCCAAATGCTGTAAACGTCCATCTCCTGCATGGTTTTGTTCAGCCGCCTGCAAGTGCAGTTCCGCCAATTCAATGCGCATAGTCTCGATGATGTTATCTTTCTCGTGCAATGCTTGCATATGAGCGGTGGAGGGGTTCGGCGCCTCGGCATCTGGCGCGTCTGGTATGCTCGCTTCTGTGCGTCAGCTGCTGCTGATCTATGCATAGATGGTACTTACCTGCACGATTCGCATTTGACCTCTCGATGCCTTTGTTGCGCAACGTCTCGTTAAGTCTGCTGATGGTAGCCTGCAATTGGGCCTCCTTTGCACTTGACCGCTCTCTGTCCTGCAACAACATCCTCTTTTCCGAGTCATACGTCATGGTGAGTTCCCGTCGCTGTCGCGCCAACTCTTTGATCTCTGCACGTAGTTTGTCCAACTCTGTCTGCCGCTGAAAATCCCTCTCCTCTGCAGCAGTTTGTTCGTTGGTGGTATCGTCGAGCCGCTGCTGCATGAGTTCCACTTGCTTGCGGTACTGCTCCGAAGCCTGCTCGGCTCGTTGAACTTGTTCTTTCAGATCAGTCATGAGTTGGGCATTGGCATTCCGCTCGTCCTCATCGTCCTGATCTAAATCATCTTGAGTATAAGACGTGCTCATCCGTGCCACAGAGCGTCTCGTAGGCCTCGCGTTCCGGAGCGACGGGCTTCTCGCCAATCCTTGGCCAACGCTCGTCGCTGAAGTGGACGACATGGGCCGGGCAGGACTACTATCTGGCCCACGTCGCGGACTGATATTGGTCGTGTTTGATAGGGGGTTGCGCGCTGAAGGCATCGACATGGTTGCTGGCGCTTTGTCTGATAGTGCTATGTAAGTCGCAGAAAGTTTCCCGGCAGCCTGGCTTAGTTTTGAAACATGCGATCTTCAACTGGGCATTGACTGCAAGGGTTCGCTTGCCGGCAGACAGCCAGGACCCGGGTAATCAGAGCTGATATACTTGCGCCACGACTGAGCCACAACACACGACTGGGAGGATGCTGGGATCTGCAGTCAGTGTTCAGCAGCGAGATCTGTCCGAAGACGTCGCGCCATCTTCCTTCTAAGAAGCCGTTATCACTGTCAGCGTAGAATCATTATTTGCATTCCCAACGCAAGCATCAGCACATGCGAAGGCATCCCAGTCGCATTCCACGCTGCTGCAGTCGTCCGGGCGGCCCCGCGCTCAACGCCGATTGACTTTGGCAGGGGAGGATTTGCGTGGTTGGCCTTTCCATTCACCGTAGTGCCAAGATTTCTACTTGCGCACCTGGAACCAAAATTCAAACACTGGTCTGCAGCAATTATTACCGAACACCACTTCAATCTGTCCATCCAACAAGTCGACCACTACACACCGTCGAGATGGCTCCCAAGAAGGCGAAGAGAGATGCGAACAGTATCAACGCCAAGTTGGCCCTGGTCATCAAATCCGGCAGAGGTCAGTCCATCGCAATACCATCTTGGTTTGTGTCTCTAACCATCGCAGTCACTCTGGGCTACAAGTCAACCTTGAAGTCGCTACGAACTGGCAAGGCCAAGCTCGTCATCATCTCCGGCAACACACCTCCTCTCCGCAAGTCCGAACTCGAGTACTACAGCATGCTGTCAAAGACCAACGTCCACCACTTCTCCGGAAACAACGTGAGTTCACATATCAAAAGGAGCAGGCCCTGAGAAGAAGCCTAGCCGCTTCGGAGGGATGTAATGCTAATATCTGCCTAACAGATTGAGCTGGGCACCGCTTGCGGCAAACTCTACAGATGTTCGACCATGGCCATCCTCGATGCAGGCGATTCTGATATCCTTTCCGCCCAGCAGTAGATGTCCTGTCGATTCGGAACGGGTGCATTACCGGGTCTTCTGTGCGGTGTGCGGAGGGGCATGATCACAGGTGGGGAATATGGCTTTATACTGCAGTCACCAGGACCGCCTCTCATCGTGGTGGTGTTCGCGGTTGCGACTGCCATCTTCGCATGCGTCGACTGTCTGGTCACCCATCGCGGCTCCCTTCTCTGGGTCGACCAAAGACTGCGTCCGAGCGACTCAGCAGAGTGCTGAGAGACGCCGCCTGCGTGCCACCGATATGCCTCCGACCTTTTTTTAGCAACGAGATAGCGAATGCAATGCATCTCTACTGAACACAGAACGACTCATCTGAAGTTAGTGGGGAACACTTTGCTGCGCACAAAGCTGCATTTCTACGAAAAGTGTGCAATCAATAACCCACCTATTATTCGGGATTTATGTACTGCGCGATCTTTGCGATGCCGCAGAAAATCGTACGCGCCGACGGTGCGCTTGACCCAGCTCAGTACGAGGTCTCGTCCCACTGTCAAATCCTCGTGCACGACGGCATAACCATTGAAGTGATGTCGGCGGCAACTCGTTCCGGGTCCGACTTTCGTGACTCACTGCGAATATCATTTGGACTCGCATAGACTGTCCTCGAGGCTGCATTAGGGCCCCTTTGACACAATGATCCACACTCTCACTGCAGTGCCTTTGACGTTATGCACACAGCAAGCTGGAGTAGCTCTCGAGAAGAAGTCTTTGGGAGTCATAACAGTCACGTGATTATCGAGAGCAGTATCGTAATGGGACTAGCGCCCACATAGTCTTGGCGGTGCTTTGAAATCCGGCTCAGAATCGCCCACTTAACCTCGCCGCCGCCGTTCACTCTTCCCTTCTTCGACACCACTCTTTTCTCCCAAACTTCTGTGCAATCCGTCAAGATGGCCAGAAGACCCGCGAGATGTTACCGCTACTGCAAGAACAAGGTACGCACCTCCAGAAGGGCGATGTTGCGCAGTGACGCACACGACCCGATGACGAACTTTGAAGAGATTCTAATTCAGCAGTAGCCCTACCCGAAGTCTCGCTTCAACCGTGGTGTGCCCGATCCTAAGATCCGCATCTTCGATCTTGGTCGCAAGCGTGCCAATGTCGACGAGTTCCCTCTGTGCGTCCACATGGTTTCCAACGAGTACGAACAATTGAGCTCCGAAGCCCTCGAGGCCGCCCGTATTTGCGCCAACAAGTAAGATAATATCACAAAAGAAAGGTCAAGCAGAAGGTCTAACGTTGCACAGGTACCTCGTCAAGATCACCGGCAAGGAAGGTTTCCATCTCCGTGTCCGCGCCCACCCATACCACGTCGTCCGCATCAACAAGATGTTGTCGTGCGCTGGTGCCGATAGACTGCAGACTGGAATGCGTGGTGCTTGGGGTAAGCCCAACGGCACCGTCGCTCGTGTCAACATTGGTCAGATTCTCCTCTCAGTCCGCACCAAGGACAAGGATCGGGCCACCGCTATCGAAGCTCTCCGCCGCTCGATGTACAAGTTCCCTGGTCGCCAAAAGATCATCGTCAGCAAGAACTGGGGCTTCACTCCTCTGCGACGCGATGACTACATCAAGCTCAAGCAGGAAGGTCGTCTTCTCCAGGACGGTGCCTATGTTCAGTTCCAGCGCAACAAAGGCAAGCTCGAGCACAACATTAAGCGTTTCCCGGGAGCGTACGAGGCGACGTCTGAGGCTTAGAGTCATTTGATTTGTACGGAAAAGGCCACAAAGACACGACTAGACTTCAACGGGCGGAAATTGCTTCTGCATATTCGGAGTCGTGCTGAGATAGTACGGAAAATGAGACAAATGATTCCCCAGAGTCGATGATTTCCACGCACTGATTGTTTCATTCTTCCGCGGGTGATGGTTCCGAACTCGCCTATGGCCTGCTTCATGATGAGTTCGATCGATTGAGATATGATGGAATTCCCGGATTTGGTTCGGTGCTCAATAACCTTGAGTTCGTAGCCCGTCGCGAAACTCATCAGCCGGCACAGCGGAATGATGGGAGAGCCTTAAGGCACCATCAGCTGAACATGTTGTAAGCCCCAGGCCTTACAGCACCAAAAGCCTTGATGTGCTCAAAGGCCCCCTCAGAACCGCTCTTGTCGATGTACTTCGCAACGACATCTCTATGCGGCGCTCGTAGAGCGGATTGTACTTTCCGAGAAAACCGCCGCTTATCTATCACGTTCTCTTGAAGCGGGAATCTTCTTGTCGCGGATAAAGCAGCCCCCCCACTCAGATGAACAGGGATCACCAACCTTGGAACGCATCTCCCTCATCTAATCCGTATTCACCAGACCACCTGTCACTCGCCCCTTCCAACATTCTCAAACGATTTGATTATTACACGACATCGCATCGTCCAGAACGAGAGTACTTCCTATTCAGCAACCATAAGTCACTCATTAACTCGAGCTCTTTGACTAATCGCGAGGACCTTTGTTTGCTCGCCTTTCGAAGCCTAAATGATGACATCCTGGATCCCCAACTGACTTGACCAACTATCACGCCTCCACTCCGTGTCGCTCCGCGTGACCGCGATCACCTCGAAACTACGAAAGCTGTTCGAATATAGCTGTTCCTTCAGATATTCTTTGTCACAAAGGGTCAGTGATTTACTGCAGCGGCTGTAGGGCATCGTCCCTCCCGCTTTCACCTTCCTCGATATGGCCTTTCAGGCTGGCCCGACTGTACCACGCCAGATTCTCCGCAATGTGAGCCAGGAAGCGGCTTCGAGTTCCATTGACACAACACGTCGACCCCAAGTCGAAGACTCACAAGAATGGATTCTGTTCTCGCCTTCACAAGTTGGATCGAGTACAGACAGATCAAGCCAGACCGTCGGACACTCACGAACGAGCGAGTTACTATCACTGCAAACCGCTGGTCGGTCGCAGCTAGACTCAGAAGCCCTTGACGAGAACCTGACCGAAGATGGCGAGCTTGATACACTAGACGAAGGCCTCCACGCTTTTCAAGAGCCACTGTTCCCAGTGCCAACTCAACAGTCGCAAGGCGCGGTTCTCCCAGCACATGATGGACTCGGCTCGTTCCAGGCGTCAAGTCCCCCAGTCTTAGAGCAACTATGGAGGCACGAGCAGTACAATCCCAAGAGAAAGCATGATGGCCACCATCGCAGACCTTCTAGCGTTCAGAGGCGGCTCGACACAATCGAGGAGCTGGAAGCACAGGCGAACGAGGACAAACGAGTACGCATAGAGAAGTGGCGTTTGGATCAGTCAGAAGCATGATGGCAGAAGTCGAGCGAGAGACAAGACGGCAGATGCGTCGACAGTCAATGCGGCAAGGCGGTACTTCAACTATGGAGGACATACTTGGATCGACGCCCAAGCAGAGCGACTACTTGAAGCCTGCAGCGGCGGAAGAAGCGGAGGACGAAACAGAGCCATTTTGGCGACGGCTTACTCGCAAATTCATCCGCGACATCATAGGTATTGATGAGCCACTTCTCTCGGTCATCGTTGGCGAGTCATTACCCGAAGAAGCTCAATCAGAGGTCAAGGCAGTACCATTGGCCACTATTCCCGAGTCCTCTACTGCGGTGTCGATCAACACAGACAACGCCTGGCGAGATCGGCTGTTACAGCGGATAGCTCGTGAACTCGGCGTCTGTGTATCAGCAATCTCGCCACATTCGGGTGCCTTTACCACCTACACATCCCAAATGCATGACTATGCGGGCATGCGGCTGCAGCCCAGCACAACGCCTCCAAAGGAATCACCTTTGACTCGTCCATCGATTCAGGCGCAACCTCAAGCAATATTGTCATCCACACTCACCCCTCAATTCTCACCAACAATACACAGTCCTCACCACGCTGCAACATGGGGCTTCGAAGAGGCGGACGAGCCAGCATTAAGCACAACATCATCTCATTTAGCCGACTCCCTTGATCTACAGCGCGAACGCGAGTACTGGGAACGCGCTGTAGACGTCCGAATGGTCTTCCGCTTCCTCAAGGACCGCATCGTTGGTCGCAGCACGCCACAGCCACACGACCACGACTTGAAAAAGTCCAGCCTGGGCACCTCACCCGAAGCAATTGGTCAGCGCAGCGCCATCATACGTCAGCACCATCCCCTTGTTGCAAGAGCACACGCGAGACCGACGACAGCAGCACTGGCCGCAAGGCGTGGAAGTCAAGGGCAGAATGTGGCAGCAGGCCCTACAATCAGGCGGCCGAGCAGCAGCTGTGCGAGCGAGAGTGTCAAGAGCCGGAGTCGTACCAGCTCAAAGGGGACAGGCACTGGAAGCAGGAACTATTGGGACCTTGGAGGCAGTGTTGGGAGTGGCAGCGTGCTGGCAAGCGGCGGCCTATGGGGTGAGGCTTGAACACTTTGAGCGTGCGATGAAACGCATTGTATGACTACGATCACGAGGACGGCGTAACGGATTGGGCGGATGATGCATGAGCGATTCGATCCACGAATGGACGATAGCAGCATAGACGTAGACGAATGTTGCTGAAAGCTGGATGTACGGCTGTCGCGGCCTAGTGTCAGATCAAGAGCCACTTAAAGGCGATGCGATACCATGAAATGTCAACTCATTGTGCTAGTACGAATAAACCTCTGCAATAGACATGACTTCTAACTTGATAATGAGCTGAGTAGACATGCTGTGGAAGCGCTGATGCCAGAGCTTCGGCTAACCCCATGATGGCGCCTGCTTCGCGACTAAGTTCAACTCATGCCGTGGAAGGAGCAAGAGGCATTTATTTAGCCTTGCGACTGCTTCGATAATGAACTAACACCCACACCACTCCCTTCGAAGGCCTCCTCGTGCTCGAGAGCCTTTCTCCGATTCTCAGAGTGCAGACCATTAGACAAGATGGGCAGCGGACGAGGCGAAAAGGCGGCCATTTTCTGCTCCCAATTGCTGGTGGGGTCCAGTGAGGCAACCACATATCCTGCCTTCGATGTTGTGCACAGTATTTCTGCCTCATCAATGTACCAGCGCGCCATTTCCGAGATGCTCACCTGCTCCTGCAAAGCCTGTGCCTTGACAGTTTCGGCATCTGTTGCTCTTTGAGCAACGCTGTACGTGCGAGGGGCAGCCCCTTTGGAGCCGTCGCCCATCGAGTCTACGCTATGTCTGGAGGCACAGCCCTCCTCATACTAACGCAGTTGGTCTCACGAGGGTGCACGTTCATTGGCAATCGCTTGGTCCTCAACTACTCGTCACCGACTCTTCTCGGCATCGCTGTTCAGCTCGAGCTTCGCTCGATCACGACCTTGTACTTTGCTCGCGAGTCACTTCGAGTAGCACTACAGCGACAGCCACAGGTAGCGATATCCGATACCAGTGCGGACACAATTTCGACATCCAACAAGTCTGGCGATCGTTTCAATCAGCTTCAGGGCGCCATCAACACCTCATATCTCGTCGTTGTTCTCGGGCTTGCAGTAGGATCTATTCTGTTCAGCCAATACCTCGCACGTGCGTCAGATGAAGTCGTCTTGTCTCCAAGCTTCCCAACTGTCCATCTACTGTATGCTATTGCTACAGTCGCTGAGCTGAGTTCAGAGCCTGCGTTCGTTGTCATTCAGCAGCAGGGTCTCTATGGCGCACGTGCCACTGCTGAGTCGAGTGCTGCTGTCGCGAAGGTGTTGGTAGCATTGGGCATGGCTGTGTTCGAACATTCCCGTGGGAGCTCACCCAGTGCGCTGCCTTATGCAGCAGGACAGCTCGCTTACGGCCTTACGATAGCTGTCCTCTACTGGCGAGCGGCTGGAAAGGCTTCGAGGCCCACTGAGGCATCACTCCTGCCTGGCGGCCTGCACACCCAGTCGGCTCAGAAGAACACGCGCTGCTTGGACTGTTTCCGACTTCCTTACTGAAGCTTTCAGGGACGCTTTACTTCCAGTCGACATTCAAGCAGGGCCTTACGACGGGCGACCAGTGGCTTCTGGACTCTGTGGCACCGCTTGCGGACCAAGGCGCCTTCGCTATCGCCAGTAACTATTCTGGCCTGCTGGCTAGGCTCGTCTTTCAACCCATTGAGGAGTCAAGCCGGAACGTCTTTGGACAGTTGCTTAATACTCCTGGTGACGCCACCAGCGACGTGAACACGAGCGAACACCAAGAGACCTTGGCGGCCGGAAGGATCGCTGAAACAACAACGTCGAGTCCTTCAAAGATCGCTCGCGTTCTTCGCCATCTGTCCCTCATCTTACACACCTACACCTTGGTCAGTCTCCCGATACTTGTCTTCGGTCCTCCGCTGCTCCCAGCTCTAGTCCCTCTCGCTCTACCCCGCGAATTCCGTAACGACTCCACGACTACTCTTTTCCAATCTTACGTCTTTTATCTCCCACTGATGGCGGTCAATGGGGTCATCGATGCCTTCGTCACAAGCGTAGCTACGCCCGCACAGCTATGGTGGCAGAGCGTAGGCATGATCGGCTTCACGGGACTGTATGGTGCAGCAGCCTGGCTTTTCCTGAGCATATGGGGTACGGGACCAGAGGGGCTCGTATGGACTCAGACAGTCGTCATGCTTGCGCGAGTGGCGTGGGGCGTGGCCTTCGTCTCATCGTGGATCGAAAGGACCCGACAAATACGGCAGAAACCTCTTGTTTCAGGCTTGGACAAGCATGCATCCGCCAACGGTCTTTCCGACAGGCCCGGAAGCAATACAGAACACGAGCTGGATGATGATTGGTCTGGTGTCTCGCAACGAAGCTTATCGCTGACCACAGCAGCGGCGATTAAACGCCAAACAGCAGAATCATACCCAAATAGAAACCTGCCCACCCCTACTACCTTCTGGCCCACGACCTTTCCCAGCATGTCCATCATTCTCGCCTCCGGCGCGATCTTCTCCATTCTCCGCACCAACCTCTACAAGAGCACGCCACCCATCGACCGCGCCTCCCCTTCTATCATTATTCCAAAATATCAGCTTGATCCACGCCTCGATCTGTCGCTACCGGGAACACTTCGACAGATGGGCTACTTTGCACTGGCCGCGTTGTGCATGGCAGTCGCGATTTTGTACGAGGAGGGTGCTTTTCTGGGGGAGCTCGCTGGCGAAGTGCTGCCTCAGAATTTGCAGCGAAAATTATGGGGAATGGTTGGGGAGGACTGGAAAAACTATCTGTTGGGGCTGTCGAGTGGACGAGACGGAAAGCAAGGTACGGGTGAGAACGAAGGGAAGAAGTATCTGTAGAGAAATTGCAGAACAGGAACTCGCGAAGAAGACCTCGCGCTAAGTCGACTTAGTCCAGAAAAGTTCAGAGCTACGTCTGTCCTAAACCTGAGCGCCGATTCCAAGGGTGATGTTCGGCAGAGAGTCATCCGGGTCGGCAGGATTGGGATGGAGTGGTCGAAGCCTGACAGTGACATGTTTCTTCATATCACAATAATCTATCCGGCTCTCTATGTCTTCTCTCATCTGCAGAACATCAAAGGAGCCGCTGTCTTACAGTCCACCGGATGTGGTCCTCCGTGAATGCCTTTTACCAGTTTTCGACAGCTCCTTGATTCTACATCAAAGCTTCTCCTGCCCGGCTGTTGCGTCCACACCACCGTCTGGTGCATTCTTGCCACCCCGCGCCTTCCCCACCTCCTCCGCCTCGACCTGTCTCACCTGCTCCTCGGTCCAGCTCTGCCACCATGTGAAGTCGCGTAGCCATTTACCATCCTCCTTTCCCTGCCCAATCACCTCCTGATACCCCTCCCGCTCCAAACTCCGCCGCGCAACGTCACAGTCCGTCTTGATATCGCTGATTAGGGCCTCGAGGCTGTTGTAGTCGTATTCTGGCCTTATAAAGCCTAAAACAAGGAGGTTGAGGGCAGAGTGGTAGAAGTTATGGTCGTGGAAATGGTGGAGGATGTGGATCTCGATTGAGCGGGTCGGGTTGGCGTAGAAGGGGTTGTACCCGATACTCAGCACAGCGGGATACACCGTCGATTCGCCGCTCGTCGACTGCTTACTTCTTCCATCTGCACTGCTCTCACCCAAAGTAAGCTTCGAGTTGTCAGCAGCCTGCCGTGTCTGATCGGTGACCTTGAGCCCAACGAAGCCAAAATACACGCCGCTCTCGAGGTCCGGGTAGGCGGAGAGGCCGGAGGGTGGGATGTTGGCTGTTGGGATGCCTAGCTCTCTGCTTCCTCGTCCGAACCCCTTGATTACTGGGCCTTTGAGCATGATCGGATACGGCGCCTCTGGTCCTGCCTCTGGACCAGCGAAGTCCTCGCGTGGGGTGTCGGGTCTTTGCTTCCCCATCGTTGCGGTTGTGGAATCGGACCGACGGTGAGTGTGACGCAGCAGTGCTCTGCTGGAGTTGTGTTTGTCGTGGGGTATAGTGACACGAATTCACTGATGCCTCGCAGTCGGATGTCCTTGTGTAGCCTCTTGGCGATTTGGCCTCAGGCTGTCTGTGATTATCGACAAGGCGGCCAATTATGCAGCGGTGATCAGGTGCGCGATGGATGAATTGCCGGTGACAGAACTTGGCGCGGCACGATAATTGGCAACGAGATGTTATTGACAAGAAATATGTGTCAGGTCACCTAATGTGCAACTCAGTACGAATTGGTATCTACTGATCGTATCCGTGTTCGGGTTGGGTGAGCCGCAGTGGAGCTTCCAGGAACGGAGGCGGAATGGATCGTTCCGACTTCGACAAGTCACTGTGAAAAGAGGTCAACACGTGGTCTGATACATAGGCAAAGCATGGCGCGAGGTAAGGACGCACTTGAGGAGCTCTAGAATTAGAAAGCGGCCAGACTGTGAAAGAACGTCGTGGTTCAAACCTTTCTGATCTGCCACGATCCATCAGTAGATCTGCCTGCTACCTAGTATGCTATGGAGGTGTGCGTAGTAATTTGGATATCAGAACCCCTTCAGCGATGCATTCGTCAAGGTGCGACCATGAAGGGCTCCTCGCCCTCTCATAGAGCCAACACAGAACTCCGTGTCCCATAGCAATTCCCTCTGTCAATCTATCGACTTCATTCCACGCAGCAGTGGTGGGTCGTTGTCCTTATTCGTTCCATCAGGAAAATGATGGTAGCAGTGCAGTGCGCCACGCGGATGCATTCGTTCCCATTCCTCCTGATTTGTTCCTTCCCTTCAAGAAAGATGGAAAGCACCTTGACCCTCTCTCGTCGCCGTTGTCAATCTCTCCTTTAGCACTTCCTGAGTACTGTAATCTGGCAATTTCAAGTAGTTGACGCACGTCATAACGCTCGGCAGATAATCGTCGCTGGCGTACGGTGGCTCACTTGGCTTGCAGACCACGGTAAACATGGGCGTCAGACTCTTGAATCCACCAATGGGCAGCTTGGGACTGCCAGTCACGAATTGCAAGAAGTCGCGACGCCCTTCTGGCGTAAGCTCGGACATAGTCTGGAGCAAGTTCCGGACGCTCTTGCTGTCCATGTTAAATCCATGATCCGCTTTGACAGAGTCCATCAATGTTTCGATGGACCAATCTTCCTCAACACGACCGAAAAGCATGACCAGCTCTTCGGGAGTAAATGCTTGTAGCGATGAATATGAGAAGACCTCAGAAAAGCCAGCTTGAAAGGACTCGATCTGCTTTCGAACGCCTTGACCGAGACTCATGTCGAGAACGCAGTCGATATACTTCTGTACGTTGTAGGCCGTGACTGCAACGTTGGCACCATCTGTGATCAGCTCAATGTTGGAATGACCTGGGAGAGTGAAATCAAGAGCGAGATCCTCAAGCTTAGCACCCTTGATCTCCAAAGCATCATAAGCCTTCATCTTCTCCGCGGCAGTCGTTTTCGATGCTAGTATGGCTGCGGATGCGTCAGCGACCTCCTGTAGCTGACTGATTGAATTCGCCAGATCCTGATCAATGGTCCGAAGAAGGCCGATAGTCAAGGGAACGGAAGCGTTTGCAGCCAGCTTGAAGAAAGTCTGGTTGAACGAGATGTCGATGATGCGTGCATCGAGCATTGATCGTGCAACAAACTTGCCCATAAGCGAGAAGAGCTGCAACAGCTTCTTGCCGTTGTTGCCACGAGTCATGGACTCCGTCATGGGAGCAGGGAAGAGGCCATTCTTGCCAAAAGCGAAGTCGCCCTCTGTAATCTCATTTTCTCTCCACATTTTGAGCTTTCTCTTCGAAAATTCCTTGGAGACTGTAGAATAGAATTCTAATGTCGGTCCAAGGCCTGTGCCGACCTCGTTGAAATATTCGACTTCTAGGATGCTCGGAGAAGCGCCATACATTTCCAGCACCTTCATCGCAGACTCCAGAATCTTGCCTCTGGAGATGCGAACCTTCTGGCGCTGAGGTCTACCCATCAGCGGACGGTCATCGCGTCGCCGATCACGTCGCTCGTCATTTTCATTTTGACTGCTCTGCCAGCGAGTGATTGAGCGTGAGTAGCCGAAAGAAGTGGACTGTAAGAAGAGATGACGTGTTTCGAAAGGAAACAAGAATGGGAAGCCACGAGCCAAATCTTCTGACCAGTCTGGGAGGCAATTACTTGCAACGATAAGTGGTTCTTCGAGCTGTCGATTCATCTTTGCGGTCAATTTTGTGTTGATGAATGAAGCCAACGGCTCGGGCTGCATATGCACACCCGCGTCACCGAGCACATCGAATAAACCAGCATTCAGCTCATGCAGTAGACGCATCAACACAAGTATGGACGACGTGTTGGGGTGACCGGCGAGGGACGGAGCGAGCTCGCCGTCAGCGACGACTTTGTCCTGATTTCTGGCAGCCAGTTCTGACGCAGATGGTGGAGGTCCTTTGACCTTTCGAAAGGTTGCTGTATGAAGACCAGACCACACCCCTCGGCCAGAAGCATCTTGAGCAGCATCGCGGTTGTGGTGGACAGCACGGTATATTGTCGTATGGTTTGGGATGACGTTACCATCCATGCTGAACTCGATGTGCCAGTCTTGCGGAACCGATTGCAAGGCTGCAGCGTATGAAAGGCGGCCGGCAGTTCGCAAGCTTCCGCTGCGAAGACTCGGGGAGTCTGATGATGTTGGGCGGCCCGCACCAGGCACCGGTGTGCCGGGTTGAGGTGTGACGATACGAGTACCATCTTCCTGACGGGCAGTGACCTTGCCAGAAGATGCAACTTCCATGTTCACAGGAGCGGGTTCTGGCATGTCGTCGTCCGACATGTCATCGTCTAGACCATCAACAAAAGCCTCGAGGGTGGCATCCCCAGGATCGTCCATGCCGTCTTCGTCATCGTCGACTGGCTTTTCGTCGGCGCACTCCAGCTTAGGTTCTTGGCTTTGCGTGCTGGGTTCTGGCGGCGTTGTAATATCGGCAGTCGAAGCAGTGGATGCTTGAGCTCGTCGAAGCGACGCACGCCTAGTGATCATCGCTTCTGTTGTTGTAGCTGGTGTGCGAGGCGGTTCAGCGTCCTGCTTAGCCTGCGAAGAGGGACGAGTCGGAGGCCTGGAATCAGCCGCGGCACGAAGGGCAGCCAGTTCCTGGCCGAAGGGAGAAAAGAGCCCAGATTCCACAGCGCCGGTCAACTGCGCCATACGGGAGTTGGCCAGATGTGAGATCAATTCACGTCGTCTATCGGTGCTTGATTTCTCGGGGCCGCTGAAGCGAGGTCGGAGATAGTCATCGAGTGCTTTGAATGTGGCGATGGCGTGGATGGACACAATCATCTCCCGATACGGCTTCGGAATATCGCTGTTCTCGTCAGCCACGAGTCGCAATCGCAACTGCCTCGAGAGCATTGATGTAGAACTGCTTCTGTTGTTCTCTGAAGCATTGTTGTTGACAGTCAAGACTTCGAAGTGCTCGGCACGACTTAGGAGATCTTGCAGCTTATCAATGAGAATGGTCAGCGCCGACGACGTTCCTTTGGCACTCATGAATGCCGCCAGGAAGTCAGCTCGAGCAGTCTCGTAAGAAGCAGAATCGCTGCTGAGAACACCGACGAGAACGCGAATGACGCCCGAGTCGAGCAGTTCCGAGCTCGTGATGCTTTCGAGAGCATTGCCGTCGAAGTAGGTGCTCAAACGTTGAAATAAATCTCGTCCACTCGCAACTGACGTTACTGAGTAGCACTTCTCGATGTCACTGGCTAGAGACTGTAGATCTGCACGTATCGCGAGAGCCTTGGCCTTCAACTCGTGCCCTCTTCCGCTATCGTGCTTTTCGATGAATGCTTTGGCTTGTATGATGACGAGGTCATCATCTGCAGTTGTGGTAGGAGGTGGTGGTGGCTCATCGGACGAATCAGAGTCCCCATCATCCATTTGTTGCTCTTCGGTGATCTCAATCTCATCGCCTTGCTCGTCCTCGTTTTCAGCGTCGTCATCCTCATCATCGCCGTCTTCGTCATCCTCTTCGTCATCCTCATCACGATCGCTTTCAGCTGCTGACGGACCGACAGGGGTGAAGCCATCAGTGCTTTGCGCCTGTTTCTCAGTCATTGTTGCATCCTCTGCAGGTGCGACGCTCGTCGAATCAGTGGCCGGCGTAATTGGTCGACCAGCGCGGGTCGTCAGAACTTCGACGGGTGCCGAAACGGTACGACCTGCAAGCTTCTGAATCTCTCCGATGACGCCCTCACGGTGGAATTGGTATTGATAGATGGTCTCGAGACGCTCGAAGAGCAATTCAGAAGCCTGAAGAGCAGCCACAACCAGACTCGGATGATCCTCTTGTGAAAGAATTGATGCCAGAAAAGATGCATATGGCACAGGTCTCAACGCCTCCTCGATCACTGACACTTCAAGATTGGACAACATCTTCAGATGAGCGGTTAGAACCTTCTGCCGTACACTCAGGTTGACAGTGCTGGAATAGGCATTGGTCAGGGTAGGCATCAGTATAACGGCAAAGCGACGTGTAGCTTCCTTGCATGTTTCCAACATTTCCAAACGCTTTGAACTGCGGCCGGAGTGTATCGTATGTGCCGAGTCCGCGGCATCATCGTCAACGGTGCGGACGTCGAGGTCCATGAGGCTGGGATCCTTGGAGAACTTAGCCGGCGGAAGCAGCTCGCAGATGACGTTGAGAGCCTCGTAGATCTGTTCTCGGGGACGATGAATAAGTGCCTGCATTATTACCACAGAGTCTAGCTTGGACGCAGCATCCGAAGTCTCGTCCGGAGGCGATACGCCAGTGAGGATTTGATAGAGAGTGTCGACAACCTTCATCTTGAGAAGCTCTACTGACAGGGTCGGACTTGCTCGTGCAACAATAGCCAAAACGCGCAGGAACTCGGTATGGATGTTCGCTCCAATCATATTGGTAGTGCCTGGCAGCAGCAGACCTAAGACGGCTCTCAGAAGCGCTGGATCGACCAACTGTTCCAGCTTGTCCGGACTGTGTCTGAAGCTGTCGATGACCCTAGTGACACAAAGACAGCCTTGCTCGACAACCTTCTGATCATGGCTGACAAGAACATTTTGCAAAATCGGCATGACATCTTTAATGACGGCGAAGGAGTCGTGAGGAATGTTGCGGCAGCAGTTGGCCGCAGTCGTCACAGCAGTACGTTGTGTGCCAGTTGCGAAGAAGTCGAGGAACTGTAGACAGGCAGTGAGACCACCTTCGCGGACTATAGACGCGGGAAAGTCGACCGAGATCTTGGACAGTGTGCTTAGCGCTTGTTCGGCAACGTCAATATACTGAATGTCGAGCAGCTTTTGACACAGGACTGGCACTGCTCCGCCATAGACCACATGAGCGACTGAGCCACGCATAGCCTCCATCAAATTGGCAATGCATCGACAAGCAAGTAGCATTATCTCGGGGTTCTCCTCTCCAGTGAAAGGATTGGGCTGCATTAACGCTACCAGTTCCTTGACATATGCATCGGGAGCGAAATGGCCTGATAGATTGTCCTCGTTAGACACGAGCAGCAGATTACTCAATTCTTCCAGAGCCACCATCTGCATGTCAGGAGAGTCATTGCGTCTCAAGTTGGCCAAGATGTCCTTGAATCTGGAAGACATGCCACTCATCATACCACTCAAGGCTCGCAGGGTGTGTGACATTCTAGCGTTACCGAACAGTGCAGACGAGAAGGGATCTGCAGGGTCGTCGTCGGCTCCTGGACTGGCAGCATCGGCACTTTCGTTGTTGTCTGGAGGTGGAGGAGATGGACTAGAGTCTTCTCTATCTCTCGACGGTGGTTTTGATGCCGGCTCTTCATCTGACTTTTGAGGTTGATCTGACCCCTTCTTGGACAGCCGCTTCTTTTGTCGACGGGCAGGTGGCGTTTGTGTAGATGGTGATGTCTCTTGAGCCGCTTTCTTATTGCTTCTCGACGAAGGTCTCTTGGATGAGGATTTAGCAGTTGGAGCGGCTGCCTTTTCCTCGGTGTACTTCGATGAAGAACTTGAACGAGCCATCAGCGGACGTTCGTTGCCCGCGTTGCCCGCAGTCTTGTCATTATCGAATCCATTGTTCGACATTGCCGGATTTAGATTGACCTTTCTACGGTTCTCTCGCTTCGAGTTGGCTCTGGACGTGGTCTGAGGAGGCGCTTCAGAAGACGTCTTCTGCCTCTTTGAACGGCGTCGGGGCGAGGGCTGAGTAGGTCCTGTGGCGTCGACTTCAGGTGAATGCGGATCGGATTGTGGGTTGGCTTTTCGTTTCTTAGATGAAAGATTTGGAGGGTCGATAGGAGGATCAGCGTCCTCCTGTTGCAGTCGGGCTGCGGAACGAGTGACTCTGGACGACATGAGCGCCAGAACGAGCAGAGAATTGTGGAGATGGCATAGAGAGATAGACAGTGGTGGTAGGCAGATATGATGCAGAGATGGCTAGGCAAGGCAAGGCAATGCAGATAAAAGGCTGTGGTTGCTGAGGTGGAGACAAGAACCGTCAAGTTCAAGTGTGGAAAGCAATGAAGGTAGCAGTTGCAGCGGTGAAGTAATTACCTTGAATCAAGACCCGAGGATGGCTTCAATATAGCGGAGGAAGGAGATGTCGACGGGTATCGTTGCGGGCGGTGGTCGTAGTTTCCGTGCAGTTGGCGTCTGAGTTGTGCAGGTGACAATGCACGAGACTCGTCCATCACGCCGCCATGGTATGGCGAGAGCGATGACTATCGATCGGTGGACGATATGTTCGAGCGACGGGGGAGGATAGCGAGTGTTGGAAGCCAGGTGGTTGAGAGAGATGAGTGTCGTTTCAGCGTCTATCAAATCGTGAGGTTTACCTAAGGCAGTCTGAGGCGATCCCATGCCGCCACCGACGCTACCCCGGCCCACTACTAGTCTATCACGATATAACCTAAGGCTTCGCACGACATCATCCTACAGATCCCACCACTGCTTGCTGCTGGACTGAACACAACATGCCACGGCGCCCTTTGGCTTGCGAACGTCTACCTTCTCAGACTCGGGCAACGAGCATACGCCTGGTGTCCGCCTTGGGAATGCCCATGAATGGCGCTGAGCATTTCCCCGTCCCAAACCCATATCACCACGAGACTGAGGTTTACCCGTATGCGTTCACCAGATCTGCAAGGCTCGTGCGATTAACTGCACTCCAGCAGTATTGATGCTTATCACTATCGTTTGAGCCCTGCTGCCTTCACCAGATCTCCATTCACGTTGAGTTTGTCACCTTGTACGCCTGCCAGCGTAGGCTGTAGAGGACACCTGACTCAATACTGTTGGAGAACAGGTCGGCGGCATAGTAGCCGACTATTGCGTGCCGTGATCGGTGGTGGGGGAGAAAAAAGCAAAGAAAGAGTCTCGACTTCCGTCCCGTTTCCGTAGGTACCTAATTTGCAGTGTAGCTGAGTATGGGTGGTGGGGAGGCGGCCGAGGGGAACAATAAGGATGAGTAACTTTCCCTACCACCTACAATAATATACTTCTCTTTCAGTTCCCTTTCCCGCTCCCTACAACTTCAAGAACTTCCTGAGCCTTCGGGACTGTGTGCATGCGCTCTTCCAGTGGTCTGCAATTTCCTCGACACATCAGACATATACGCTATTATCGTCACCACTCTCAATTCCACCATCCGGCAAGCGCCGCCTACCATACTTCCCACAGCAATCCACTCCCACCCGTCCGAGCAGCACTCCTAGCATCAGCTCCGCCCAACCGATTGCGGCCATTCTCTCATCCTCATAGCGACGCATTACACGCTCAGAAGCGCCGCTTCTCTGCGGCCCAACACCGCCACACCAGACTACAAGCCGTCCTTGGTGAAGCCGACGACATGGACGCATACAACTTCCCAGAGGCTCGTCTCAAGAAGAAGCTAGATGACCCCTCAAAGACGCCTCTACTTCTGGTCGCTTGCGGCTCATTCTCACCCATAACATTCCTACATCTGCGCATGTTCGTCATGGCTGGCGACTATGTGAAGCACAACACACAATTCGAGGTTGTCGGCGGCTACTTATCACCTGTATCGGACGCTACCGGAAGCAAGGTCTGGCGCCAGCAGAGCACAGGTAAGTCTGATATATCTCGTATTAACATTCTGAGCTGACACATGCAGAGTTGCAATGTGCCAGCTCGCCATCGACAAAGCCTCGCACTGGCTAATGGTCGATACCTGGGAAGCCGAGAAGAAAGAATACTCGCCAACCGCCCACGTACTCGACCACTTTGACAATGAAATAAACCAGATCCGCAAAGGTATCGATGCTGGCGACGGCACTCGCAAACAAGTACGCATCGCTCTGCTCGCCGGTGCCGATCTGATTCAGACCATGTCCACGCCTGGTGTCTGGAGTGAGGCAGATCTCGACCACATCCTCGGACGCTATGGCACATTCATCATCGAGCGCTCAGGCACCGATATCGACGAAGCGCTCGCGAGCTTGCAGCCCTATCGCGAGAACATCCACGTCATTCAGCAGCTCATCCAAAATGACGTCAGCAGCACTAAGATTCGCTTATTCTTGAGAAGGGGCATGAGTGTTCAGTATCTCATTCCAGCGCCTGTCGTCGAGTATATCGAGCAGAATCATTTGTTTGGAGAGGACGGGCGCACTTCCAGCATCCCTTCGGCGCCGACATCGGATGGGCCGTTGGAAGAGAGTAAGGGTAAGGAGAAAGCGTCGTCAAGTGCGGCTTCGACGAGCTGAAGAACGAGCACTTGTACCTGATCGGACGACATCAGTCACACATGTCCGGCCACCGTGCAGCGCCACCATATACCATAGATCTGGCGCTCCATTGCTGTGGCAACTCTGCCCAAGAAATCCCGACGACCCACCAACCGCAGGACTGAAAAAAGTATTGGAATCGAGAGCACGGCCAGGAAACGGGCCCAAAGTCACTGTTCTGAAGAAGCGGACAGGGCGCCTTCGTGGCCAGAACGACAGTGGTCCAGGACTAGGTGGAGAAGACGAAGGTAGTAGACAGGACCACACAGCTCACAAGACGTCAAGAAAGCGCAAGCTTGATGCATAGGGGTAAATGGCGGGTTGGAAAGGAGCACAACAGACGCTCGATGACGCATTCACGACAGGCGCATATGATTGCATAAGGGAGGGCGGCTGGCCGATTTAGAGGCCACTGAAAAGGTGATACCCGCATTATCAGATGCATAGGCAGGAATACGAATGACGAACGACAGCGCGAAAAAGTGACTTGAATCAAATCTATTTCTTTTTTTTCCCGTACTTGAGCGGGAGGAGCGCTTCGAACTCTTACAACGCCTACTTGATGCGGCACGTATCAAAAACATGTTGTCTTGTATGCCTAACTGTGTGTAAGTAGCCCGTGCGACCAAGATCACGCCAACGTAAAACCATGCCCGAAGCTCCCCGTGACATCTCACGCGCCTTGATCTCAAGGCAGCGGATTGCGCTCTCCTCCTAATCTCTCAGCACCCTCCCACAGCTGAACTGCGACATTTCCTTCAAACACTGCTCTTCTCCCTCGGCTTGCAACCTACATCGTTCACGATTGCTATTATACATGAAATACACGCATTGTGGATTGTCGACACACTTCTGGATACACTCGTCCCAAGTACCGCCGTTTGACGCAAAGATGTCGGCGTTCATATTATAAGGGTCCCAACGTGTGCCGTTGTTGTAAAATGCGGTGGCGGAGGCAGACGGGAAGATTGTGGTGCTCGATAGGTACTTTGAGCATGTCGTTGGGGCCGATGTAGTTGTTGTGGATGACTCAGTGCTGGTAGGCTCTGCTGACGGCGGTCCTGTGAGGGTGACGTCTGAGGGATCTGGTCCGGAAGATGCCCCGGACTCTGAAGAAGTTTCCATCGTGCTCTCAGACGAAGCCGTCGGGTCAACTGTCACTGTCGGCTCATCGGACGGAGCGACTGTGTCGGTCGTTGTCGACGCACTCGTCGTCGAGCTAGGGCTGGGATACTGATTCGAGCTCTCAGAAGGGATCGTCGGCTCAGTAGGATCGTACGTCGAATTGCCCATCACGTACTCCGTGGCGGTGACGGTGACGTTGGGGTTGATTGTTACTGTGCCATACATCCCTGTCTTGGTCTCTACGATGGTAACGTCCTCGGGGCACGAGCCTGATGGTGTGGCGATGTACGTTGGTGGATTGGGGGAGGCGATCGAGGTTTCTGAGTACGATGGCTCGACTGAGGAAGTGTCGGCGGTCGTCGCTGGTAGGCCATCGTCTATTGAGGCACTGGTAGTGGTGTCTAAGGAGGTGGGTGTCAGCGAATGCTTCCATCTTAACGGCGAGGGAATTACCAGAGTCTTGGCATTGCACGTATGGTACGATCGTAACAAAGAGAATGCACAAAAGCGAGCGGATCATGCTTCCCATGGTGCTGGTAAAGCCTGTTGAGTCGAAGAGATTGAGTGACAGTATGATGGGAGCCATTTATGTGAATTGTAAGTCGCTGCGGTAGTGCCATATTAGTACGCAGCAAAGTCCTGTCTGTGCACAATACCATCCCTCGCTGTGGTTCGTGCGGGTGCATAGGGGTCAGCGAGCCACCTCGTGGTATCTGTCGACCCTGAAATGCATGATACCCTTGAGAACTTTTGCGAGTCAGAGCTTAGGCCAGCGCGTCGCGATGGCGGTCGCGATTGCCGGGAAGCTCAGCTTGGCGAAGATGTGAAGACGTAAGGAGCACTGGCAGCGCGCATGAGATAGCCGCACTCTGGCATGGACAACATCGTGTTGTTGCGAAAGGACATCAAGGCAAAGTAGCACACATTCGTGCTGAGATTGCCTTCCGTGTATCAAACACCACAACCTTCTAATCATTCTGAAATCCCAACTTACTATTGTGCGCTTTTCTGCATCGCCAAAGGCTGTATATCACAAAGATCATATCCGCCGGCGCCGTCTGCAAGCTACCACAAGCTGTGAACTGTGTCATAAGGTTCGATCAAATCGTGTCGATCCGACGATCGGATTCCATGCCACACACTAGGTAAATACCCAGTTACACATTCTGCGACACCTCGCAGAGCCTCCGCTAGAAACCTCCGCTCGCATCAGCAGAACCTGCGACACCATAATTCCTCGCGTCTTGTCTTGCGCCGACACCCTTTCCCGACTTCATATATTCTGTCATTTCCGCTTTTGTCTTTCCTGTATACTGTTGCTTGGCATCAGCAGTCATCCAAGAGGCGACATTGTCGTGGTGTTAGGAAGCTGGCGACGCAGACTGCTTGGGTTGCAGCCCTACTCGCTACCCACCTTTCTCATTTCTTCGTCAGAAATCTCCCGTTTCTCGCCACCCTTGAATTTATCGATCCAGCTTCCGCGCTTTTTCTTCTCGTCGCCGACTGGCGGCTCGAGAGAAGAAGAGCCAGTGTCCTGATGATTTATAGGATCATTCGTGGACGCAAATTCCTCCTTTGCCTTGCCAGACGTCGGGTCTACGCCATTAGTTCCGTTGACGCCGTTCATCGCTTGCGAGGAGCCAGCACTGCCGCCACCTGCCATTTTCTCATGCGGATAGCTCTGATCCTTCAGTGGTATATCGTTGGGACCGTCACCTAATGTTTGGTAAGGCTGAAGTGTCGCTCCATCTGGACCGATATCATCACCTGCACTTGACTGACCTGGGTCAATACCAGAGGCATGAGACTGCTGACGCACCGTCTCGTGCGGTGCGTACTCGGTCATCCGTCGCTTCTTCTGGTCGCTGCCTTCATAATTGATTGCTGAGAAATTCGTGTTGACTTTCCTGATTTGTGGACTAGGATCGCCAGAAAGCCCACTCGAGGGGGCTTCACCTTTCAACGAGGATGACCCGCAGCCCATAATTGCTGAATAAATAGAATGTTCACAAAACAGGATCCTTCAAAGAGCCGCGTGGAACTACACTTTGATGGCCGGAAAGCGAACAATTTGCCAGTCCTCGAAGTGATGCAAAATGATGTTTCGATTGAGCAGGATCAGCCGATCGTCACCCCAAACGCCAACAAGAGCTGCCCAAGTCCAAGTATGCGACCGTACCCAGATGTCGAAAAGGATATAAAGTCGGATTGCTCGAGTAGAGGACTAACAGTCCTTCTAGAGAGTCTCAAAATAGATTCGTGCTTGTATGGCTCGACTGGCACGTGGTTTGACGTCGGTATTTCGACGCGGTTCGTTGTTCGCGCAAGCAATATGTAGGTCGCACAATGAGACCCTCGTGACGAATTGACTCCTGTGCTATCCCAATGACTTGCCCCAGTAGATGATGCTGTTCGTTGCGTGCTGCTCACGATGTGCATACATTCAAGTAATGCGAAGGAGGGTCGAAATATACGTCAGCTCCCCAAGGTTATGATAAACCAAGGATAGCTCAGCTCCCAGAAAGAACTTCCGGGGTAGCCGAATGATCAGCAAGGGTGCTAAAAGAAGACATTCGTGGCTGTGCTCAAGCTTCCTGGGGGCGAGGGTGTGCCAAGATCTCAGCTTCCGGGGCTCTTCCTTCTTTGAGTCTGTCGTATTTAACAGGCCATGACATGGCAGCACGCATCCCGCCTACAACTCGACGACTTCCGCTGTTCTGGTCTGTTCTGATCATCTCGGCCTGCATACCCATCTGAAATGCGTCCTACCGATTAGAGTCGATGGCGTTGATCACAATGGGCGCCTGCGTTCGTGTCCAGGGGTGCTTCGGCGAAAGCTTCAGGCCTCGCCTGGACATCAAGTCGATGGCTGGTAGATCGACTGGACTCGCCAACGACCGTCTTGTGTTGACTCGGGTTCTTGCCCATCGCACTTGTGACGATCTGAACTGGAGCTGGTGATGAAGCTTGGGATCTTTGGCAGATAACGATGGTAGGTAGGTAGATAGTGGCTACATCGTCGAAGCATGCAGACGAAGCAGCTTCGCTGCAACTGAGTGTGGGTGTAAGTGCATCCATCATCGTTCCTGCTCCGGATGAGGAGTTGTGTCTCTACCTGGGGAGCTACGACATCGAGTTTGCGATTATCTTTCGCGCTTTGCACTAGAGACCTGATTCGGAGGAAAGAGCGATCGTCCGACACGGTCAGATGGTTAGATCAGTCAGTCGAGAGTAAGTATGAGGTAGGCAAACCACCGCGCTCACAGTAGGAGACGCAGAACATTCAACTGTCCTTTGCTGAAACGCTGTACCTGGCCTATCGTACATCCAATTCTCGATTGAATTGCCAGTAGATCTAACCATGCTAGCTGCCATCACAGTTACATCCCGCCCAACATAGTCACAACTTCTCACCCCCCTTTCCCTTCTCCTTCGCAGCCCTCCGTTTCTCACCCACCTTCGACATCCTATCCAAGCTCTCCTTTGACCAGCACTCCTTCGGCTTGGCATTCTCCTCAAACACCGCCTTCGCATCATGATTCCCCAACTCAACCCACTTCTGCTTCGTCCCGGCATAAATATGCACATCAACCGGCATCCGAGCCGGCTCATCCAGAGTCCCCACCTTGACAACCCTCATGAAATCGCCCGCCGCCGGCTGCCCATACAAGGACCACATGACAACCTTACATTTCGGGCAGCGATGCAAGTGTTGCGCTCGCCCGGATTTGGTGGCGATGGGGGTGACCTCGATGTCCTGGGATGTGCCTGAAGTTAGAGTCATGCGGTCCGACTCGTAGAAGGCGTTGACTGCGAAGGCGGAGCCGGTTTCGCGCTGGCAGTAGGTGCAGTGGCAGCAGTTGACGATTATGGGTGGGGTGGAGAGGGAGTAGCGGATTTGGCCGCAGTTGCAGCCGCCGGTGTAGGGGCCTGACATGCTGGGTTGGCGGCGTGCTTTTGCTGGGACAGGACTGCTTTCAGATCTTGTCGAGTGTTCTCGATTGCTGCCAGTGTTGATCTGTAGATATTTGGAGAGGTAGAGATAATGCTTAGGTAGCTCTTAACTTCACGGATTCCAGCGTACATCTGGGGTACGTAATGCCTCGGCTAAATGGATGGATCGTAAATATTGCTGGATCGAGAAAGGTGAGTACTCCGGATTTGAGATACCATAGGCAGATCTTGAACTGGAACATGCCTGATTGCTGTTTGAATACGCGCAGATCCATTCAGCGCTTTTCTTGTTGCTAAATGCTTACATATGCTTCCGAAAGGGCAAGGTACGAAACGACAGATCGAGGACCTATGCTGAGTACCATACAATGCTTGAGGAAGAGGACGAAACGCTCACACGCAGACCGACGTTTACTTCGCATCTTTCTTCGCGTCGTCTGCAATCTTCTTGCCCTCGTCGAGCTTCTGCTCCAGCACCTTCTTGATGTCCTCGAAAGCCTCCTTCAAGAGCGCTTCTGCCCGATCGCCGTGCTTGTCGCCGACCTCCTTCAGCTGCTGGAACTTCGAACCAATATCACCAGCGTTGGGGATCATCTGGAAATATTTCTCAAGACTGCCACCACCCACACTCTGGCTGGCTTGGTTAGCCTTCTCCTTCGCAAACTTCTCCAGATCCTTTGTGTCTCCCGACTCTGCTGCCTGGCGGACCTGATTCCAGAGATCGTTGAGGTTGGAGTTCTTGAGCTTGTCCTTGTTCTGCTCGACGAACTCCTTGACCTTAGGAGCCTTGTCGAGATAAGGCTTGGCTTGCTCCAGACCCTTGTCCCAAGCTTGATCGCCCAATTTGCGCACATCTTGAATCTTCTCCTCGATGATCCTTCGGATCTGGTCGATCGAGCCAATACCAACGCCACCCTTCACAGCATCCTGGACCTGGTTCCAGGTCTCGTCAACCTTCTTCTTTGCCTCTGGACCATACTGATCGCCCATTCGCTTGAGCTCGTTGAACTTGCCACCGAACTGCTCTTGGACTTCGGGATGCCTCTGCATGACGTCCGATCCGACGTCCTTGGCCAGAGCACCGACATCCTTTGCAGCTGACTGTAAGACTTGCCACGCCTGAACAACTCCGGCCACACTAGCGCCTTCCTTCTTGGTGATATCGGCGAGCTGCTTGTAGGCGTTCTGGACGATCTTGTTGACTTCGTCCTTGTGGTCCTGCGAGATCTTCTCGAGCTCGTCAAAGGTACCATCAACATATTGTTTTGCGCCTGGAATGAGTCCAGCATAGCTGTTTGCCGTTCCTCGTAGCCATTGGATAGCCTCATTGGGAGCAGGAGCTTTCTCTTGAGTCTTCTTGAGTGTGTCGTTCACGTACTTCTTTGCTGATGAATAGCTCTGGACAGCAGTCTTGGCACCAGAGAAGTGATACCAGGAATACTAATGGAGAATGTCAGTCAGGTCAGGATTCTGTGCTGTGAAACATACACCTATTGCCACTGCTGCCAGGCCGCCAGCGACACCACCTGCGATTGCTCCAGAAGCTCCGCCAGCGCCAGCAGGTGTTTCCGGCTTTACGCCCTCAGCGCGGCGACGCGCTGTCTGCGCGAATGTTCGTCTACATTGATGCCGTAACGCTGGGCGCGCGATCCTTGGGGCGGTCCTAATGGCAGACATGATTGAAAGTTATGTGAATTAACCTTGGAGGCAGACGATGACCAGTTCTGGAGAGATTGGAAATGAGAACTCGGGTTTTCAGAAAAGCTATGAAACGCAACTTGAACACGACTGTACCTTGCAGCTGGAACTGACTTCCGCTGTCAGACGTCATGGGTCACCAGTGACGATTCTGTTACGCCACAGCGGACGCCACATTTTTTGCGCCACTACCGAAGCGGGCGACATGGGTCTTCAAGTTGCTCGAGCGTTCGCATGTGTCAACAACTTGTACTGCTACTGTAGCTTCTGTGCATGCGATTACAAAGGACGTTGAAGTCAAGTGAAGCGGTCGACTGATACAAAACTACCTTTTTGCCCCACGTTATTCCCCACGCCTGCTAGCGAGGCTTGGCGGAACTCACGCGTTGCAGTCATGGTGGCCTACGTCGCAAGGCTTCATCGATCATCATACTGCATACTGCACAACTCGCCAGCTTTTTTGTGGTCATCATACAGCGCTGACATCTCTTGATACGCTTCGCACCAGTCCGAAGCCCTTCCCAGTGTGCTGAAGGCATAGACAGCGGGCATATTGCCCCTACCCCACGATGAATCTCCTACACTCCTTCGCCGATAAGGTGCGGGATAGGATCACCCCTGTTTCACACACGTCGACATTTCGATCAACAGGACAGCTCACACCCGAAGAGTTCCTGCTCGCTGGCGACTACCTGGTATACAAGTTCCCCTCCTGGTCATGGTCGGACGCGAGTTCACCTGCGCGGAGAGTAAACTACCTACCCGAAGGCAAACAATTCCTGGTCACGAGGGGTGTGCCATGTCACAGACGACTGGACGACAACTTTACAGGGGCGGGTGGGGCGGCTGACGACTTGGTGCGTGATGGCTTCCTCGGTGGCCCAGAGGAGGAAGGCGAGGACGACGGCTGGCTGCGGACTGGCGGCGCAAGCGAGAAAGAGCAAGAACGACTTCGCGGCCAAGTAACGACCATGACAGACAGTGGCATGGTCGGCAAGAAAGCAGAGGAAGAAGATGACGAGATACCAGATATGGAAGACGACGATGATGACAACGAGGCTATCATCCGCGATAAGTCGCAACCCGGCGCAGCGTATGGTATCCCCTTTCCGCACTTAGTAACGACGGTACTAATGGCATACAGACCTTTACGCACATACACATTGTACATCTCATACACACCGTACTACCGAACCCCACGCTTCTGGCTGTCGGGCTACCTGTCACCGTCCGCCCCACTACCTCCGCAAGCAATGATGGAGGACATTGTGGGCGATTACAAAGACAAGACTGTCACGCTCGAGGACTTCCCGTTTTTCGATAACTCCGTCAAGATGGCTTCCATCCATCCCTGCAAACATGCGTCTGTCATGAAGATCTTGCTAGACCGGGCTGATGCCGCGCTGAAGCTGCGATTGCAGAAGGCAAAAGCTGGCGAAGCACCTGGAAAGGCAGTGACGGGCATGGAAGGACTTATTGACGATACAAGAGGAATGAGTCTGGCGGAGAAACAGAAGCAGGCCCACGAGGCAGGCGTCAAAGCTGCAACTGGTGGCGCTGGTGGTGATGAGTGGGAGGTCCTTGAGCAAGGTGAGGAGACCGAAGAGGAAGAAGGCAAGGTTGCGATCAGGGTGGATCAGTATCTGGTGGTGTTCTTGAAGTTCATGGCAAGCGTTACGCCTGGGATTGAACATGACTTTACGATGGGCGTTTGAACGCATTATGAGCTTACGAAGGATGTTGCATGTGCTGGATTGCGATGTTGCGCATGGGCGGCAGCTCTTGACACTTCTTACACTGCCGTGATACTTGGCTATTATGAGGCCGAAAAAGGCAATCGAGCTGTCACTGCAATTGCTCAGCAAACGTCTAAATGCTACCGCTAAGAAATGCCAAAGTATTGGCACGACTGACTTTGTTCGACCAAGTGAATTTCTTCATACGTCGAGGTAGTGTAGTGATGTTTTTCATTCTTGCAACCTGTAAGTACTACGAGCTACCACAGCAGGCAGCACCTTGAGGATGAAGTCGCCAATTCCCGACTACCTCAACGTCGTCCTGGATAAAGTCCGACCAATCGAAGATGGCCAACCCGCCCAGTACATCAAGACGCTCAGAGAAGCAGACACGTCAAAGCTAGCCGTGGCACTTGTTATGGTAGATGGCAATGTCTACTCAGCCGGTGACGACAAAGTCGAGTTCTCGATCCAGTCCATCTCCAAAGCATTCGTTTACGCCATTGCAATTGAGGATGCCGGGCTACAGCACGTTCTTGAAAGGATCGGTGTTGAACCTAGTGGCGATGCTTTCAACAAACTATCGTTGCATAAGGGCAGTAATCGGCCTATGAACCCTATGATCAATGCTGGGGCCATAACGGCGCATTCGCTCGTATGTCATCCAAACGCTTTAGCGGAGGAACGGACAGATCGAATCTTGCAAATCATGTCTCGGCTAGCGGGCAGACAGCTTCACGTCGATGAGGAGGTCTACGAAGCTGAAATGCAAGATGCTGACCGTAATATGGGCATTGGCTATATGCTCAAAGCAGCAGGCATCATATCATGCAGGCCAGCGGAGGTGGTCAAGGGCTACATACGCCAGTGCTCTATTAACGTCAACGTCCGCGATCTCGCCATGATGGCGGCAACGCTTTCCAACGCCGGCATCAATCCCGTCACTGGCGAAACGATCATGCCGACTGACAGCGTTCGTCAAGTTCTGTCGGTCATGACGACTTGTGGGATGTACGATGCTGCTGGTCAGTGGGTGTCCCAGGTCGGCATCCCTGCAAAGAGCGGTGTCGCAGGCGGCGTAATGGGTGCTTTGCCTGGACAAGTCGGCATTGCTGCCTTCTCACCTAAGCTGAGTGAGAATGGCAACAGTGTGCGTGCGGTGGCCATCTTCGAACAGCTGTCACGCGACATGGGCTTCCACATGATGGATGTTAGCCAAATAGCCAGGGCCAGCGTGAGTACCTCTGTGGCCAAGATCGTGGCAGGCAAATCAGAACCGCATCACCCGAATTGCGATCGGCAAGTGGTCATCTTTGCTCTGCGAGGAGCCGTGCGCTTCGCTGGCTCAGAGCGTCTCACGAGGGCCATTGTGCGGGAGCTTGGAGATCCAGATCCCAAAGATCCTGGGTCTGGAGAGCATGCAGACGCTTGTGCTGTGGTAATTTCGTTGCGAGATGCGTTTTCTCTTAATCCTGTAGCTCGACGGGTCATTCAAGAAAGTATTAAACGTCTGCTTGGGGAGGGCAAGACCGTTGTGGTGATAGATCCAAGCAGCGTCTTGCGGATGGATCTGAGCAGCATTCCGGGATCTCAGCAGCCGCAGATTGTCGATAATCAGACGCAGGCGAGGGAATTCATAGGAGGGACAGGCTGTTCAGCGGTCAGTCAGTCAGATCATTGGTAGAGTGTCATGGCTGCCGGTGCCTGTGCTGTTGTAAGCAGACCAGAAGACCACGTGGCATGGGCGGGAGTTGCCTCGAGAAGGAAAGGCATTTGCATTCTGAGGAGGCAACCACAAACCCGACCCGGCAAGAGCGACGTGTGAGTCTATGATCACAACTGCTTGATTCCGCTGTCAAAACCCTTGACGCTTGTTGACTCGTTCCATTGATACTCGATAAGACTGGTCGACAATGAATACTGGTTCGATTTCGCAGATGATTCATGCGTGGCCTGACGTTCTTGCGGGCGTCAGGCATTCTGATGCTAACTTGTGGCCTGCATGAACATCCGGAACAAAAGTCCTTGCAGAATCAAAGCAGATGGGCGTTCCCAAGGCGGCCTCCCTGGTCGCGTAGCCAGCAAATGGATAAAGAACGATCAATGAGATATCGAAGCAGACAGCAGCCATCGTCACGACTGGTCCCCACCATTGAGGCGCATGCGAGTTGCCGCAAGCCGAGGACCCAATGACGAGGGGCAAAACAAGGATCTGAGTCGACCCATCGCGCCCGCATCAGCTTTCTGACCATCTGAGACCGCACCACATGTTTGCCCTGCCGTGAGTCGTGTACGACTATACCTGTTGTCGACAGACTGCGATGTTGATTCCTTCCTCCATGTCACGAGCAATGAAGGCATTCGGTAGGGAGTGTTCCAATTCACATCGCAACACAACTTCATATATCCCACCGTAGCTCTGATGAGGTGAGAACGTATCGTCACTATCTAGCCCAGTATGTGGTTCGAGACGCGACAAAAGCGCAAGAAAGTCGCAACGGGCAGTCGCCCGTTGCAGCCTGCGCAGCCAATATCTCCACCACCCCCATACGCTATACATACTGTTCAACATGCTTCGTATGGCGGGTATGGACCAGTTGTACCAGTACCGTACCTTCCGCCCCGAGCACCGTCCTACCCTGTCTATCAGCACCCGCAACATGCCACAACAACACTGACGTTGCCGACGAACACCTCGTGTCCACTCGTCAACGCGACAGCCGGATGCTACAACAAGAACGTTGGCCTGTATGATGCTGTGGCAGATAAGTTCTGTGATGTAATATCACAAATTGACGAAGACGAATTCGGTGGAGGAGCTAGCGATTTGTGTGTCCGGATACCCAACATTGACACACACGAGGGATACAGTGCCGACCGCAGACTGGTGCACTTCCAGAAGCCAGTCTCGGAGAAGAAGTCTAAAGAGAAATCGGTTGAGGTCTTCTCTAAGCTCGACCTATACCTCAATTCGACGCTGCCAGCGTCACTTCCGCCCCTACAGCTGTACATACCAACGTACCCCCTGCTTTGCTTGGCTGCTGAATATGCAGCCACGGCGTATCGGCAACCGGCATCCTCGGCTGAGAAGAAGTACTTCGTCTCCGCTGATGGCAGGACTGGAACGAAGGCCATGGTCGTGAAGTCGGTACCATGCGATGACAGAAGAACAATAGTGTTCGCCATACGAGGCACTAGTGTTTTGAGTCTCCGAGATTGGGGCATCAATTTGAAGACTGATCCGGTAACACCGCAGGGCTTCCTTGATGACGAGGGCAACCTCTGTCACGCCGGGTTCCTCAAAGTCGCAAAAGCTATGGTCCGGCCAATAGCCGCCCGTCTTCGAGACATTCTCCAGGAGAATCCGGACCGCGCACATTGCTCACTCCTCATAACAGGCCATTCTGCTGGAGGCGCGGTCGCGAGCCTACTCTTCGCTCACATGCTCTCATCGACAGTGCATTCAGAGCTCAACACTCTCACCAACTGCTTCAAGAGAGTGCATTGTGTCACGTTTGGAGCTCCACCGATAAGCCTACTGCCTCTACAAAAGCCGAACTCTGCCGATTCAAGAATCCGGAAATGCCTCTTCCACTCGTTCATGAATGAGGGCGACCCAGTGGTTCGAGCAGAGCCTGCTTATGTAAGGTCGCTGGTCGATCTACTTGCGGCACCCAACTCATCCTCGAATGGTCAAGTCACAACACAGAGTCAAACGATGAAGCCAATGGCATCACTCGCTACCTTGGGAGCAAGCATGTCTCGCTTGGACCTTTCTTTGAAGCCGATGAAGTCCAAGCAGAATCTCAAGAAAGCTCACAAACAGAAGCTTTGGTGGGATGTTCCGGCTTCTACGCTCTCAAATGCCGGTCGGCTTGTCGTGTTAAGAGTTCCGAAAGGTGTAAGCGAAGCTCAAGGTATTGGCGCATATGTGGTCAGTGATGAAGATTTGAGGCGGGTTGTATTTGGCGACCCAATTATGCATCAAATGGCAGCATACAGAAGACGAATCGAGGCGCTCGCGTTCAGAGCAGTCACTGGCAAGTTGTGTTCTTGAAAATTGGAGATCTACCTACAGGACGTCCCCAAATGTGAACATTGTTCAGTCCGTTGACAGCCTCCAGCGGAATGCGGCGAAACTGTCAAGAGAACCTTATTCACAGCGACATCGAAGACGACGCGGTGCACGATGCCTGTGCTGATCATGGTGCACAGGACGGCCTCTGTGTAGGATCTCGGGCAATTCGGGGCTGCTGTTGTCTTCCCTGATCAACGACAGGGCAACAGCACGTTTTCAGCAGTCAATGCTGGTCAGCAGAATCCTGGTCGATAGCAGTGGACTTTTAGCCTCCTCCTGCCAGAATGCTGTCCCCTTCGAGGCAATCTGCTCGACAGATGTCAGCGCGTTCTTCCCAGCACTGGACATTGTTGCTGGTGAAGACCCACCGATACGTAGAAGCGACAAGTAATGAACATGCAAAACATCAACACAGCCGTGCGGAATACGAGTCACCTTTTTTCATCCAGTGTCATACGCGGTATAGTCATCCTCACTACTACAGCAATGAAGACTTCATCATGGCGCCTCGCTGCCTTTACGACAGCGGGCGTTAACGCCCGGCTCAATCTTCGAGATCTAGGCAGCTCTGATACATCGCCAGCGGGTCCCACGGTGACTGTGCAGCTGCAGCCAGTGTTCTATCAAGAATATTTCTCATGCAACACCGTCATCGACCCGTTCAGAGATGGGCATCCTTTCACCGTCACGGCTGCCCCGACCGAAGTCGAGATTCTATCATATCTGACAACCACGATATTCCCTACTTCTTTATCATTGTGTGTACCTACTTCCACGACGGGATCCATAGCGTCTTCCAGTCTCATCACTAGCACTTCGTCGTTCACGGAATATGCCTCCTCATCCACCTCGAGTCTGTTCTCGTCCACTTCCGGCGGCCTCACCAGTGTATCAAATGCGGTTGGCCCTGGTACGCTACAGTCAACTGGGCTTTCTAGTCTGACCGGGTCAACCACGGGAAGCTCTGGCACGAGTCCGTCAGGCACGGCGAGCTCTAGCTTCAGTTCCTTGTCAGGGAGCTCGAGCGCATCTTCATCTGTCTCGAGCAGCACAAGTACGCTTTTCAGCACCACAGGAAGCTTGGTGACGACCATCGCAGGCACATCCACTTCAGCATTTATTCCGACGACCAGTGTCTCTTCTCAAACTGCGGCGTTCTTCTTTGGACAAGGTCTGCCCGCACAATCGGTCGACAACCTTCCTCAAGAATCGTTCTTTTTCTTGGGCTTCAGTGGTCCTCCAGCCGCAGCAACTGCGGGCAATGCAGTCAAGCGACGGGCTGAACATGCTCGTAGGCAGAACAACGACCCCACAGCATCCCCGGTCACTCTGGCGGATCTCTCTGTACCTACAACACTACCTGGAAGTCTCATCAACGCAGATCTGTGCGATTTCGCCAGCCCCTTGCTTCTCATCAATGGCTCCCTTATACAGTACAACAGAGCCGTTGCGAAAAGCTCGATCGCGACTGATGCAGTACTCGGGTTCCTCAATTCGGGTTCCGACGCTGCTGTCAACATTACTTTCAGCTTGATATCTGGCATCTTGAGCTGGGACACTCCGTCCGATGGCGAAGCTCAGTTTTATCATTGTGGCGGAGACTTGGTGTATGCGCTTTTCAGAGGACAAGCCCCCCAGAATGGATGCGTGAGCGTAGCCGTAGGTGCTATAGCTGGAAGCGTTTGTCGAAACCGGGTGGCATCAACTCGCACTCCCAACCCAACTTTCACAGCTCCCGTGCTTTCTTCCACGAGCAGTACTGTAACGACTTCATCGATCAGCGAGCCGTCTTCCCAGTCAACAGTGAGCTCCCTGTCGGTGCCCGAGAGCACACAATCAGTGGCTACATTGTCTACGACCATCACGCTTGACATCACCACTAGCACTACATCATCGCCGACGTCAGAGATCTCGACGAGCGCAACATTGTCGCCGACGTCGTCTCAATTTCAGTCAGTCGCGCCCTTCTTGAATTCTACGTTCAGCTTCAGCTCCAGCTCCACGACCTCGTCAGAGTTTCAAACGACGACTTCATCCACAGCAGAAGCCACGACCAGTGCTATCTCATCTTCGCTAACTTCAGTGTCCACATTGGTCGTCTCCAGCTTTGACACAAGTACCTCGACCCCTGTAAATGGGTCTTCGTCAGCCACACAGGCCGCTTCTTCATCGAATCAGCCGACTTCCTCCACAGTTCCGGCGATCACAAGCACTAGTGCTACTGCTCCTAGTAGTGTCTCATCCTCGACTAGTATTCTATCTAGCGGAACCACCCCCGTCTCAAATTCGAGTACCACAGACCTGCCTTCGACTAGCTCAAGCATAACGGACAGTGTCAACGCGACATTCCTAAGCTCGACAACAACGAGCAGCAGCTTGTCAAGCTCAGCTGTGCTCAACGCTACGTTCCTCAGCTCGACAACAACGAGCAGCAGCTTGGTAAGTTCAGCTGTGCTCAACGCTACGTTCCTCAGCTCGGCAACAACGAGCAGCAGCTTGGTAAGCTCAGCTGTGCTCAACACTACTTCAAGTGTTATAACGACATCTGCGAATACGACGTCTACTACCACATCGGCTATTGCGTCGCCTAGTACCTCACAGCAGTTCGGCAACTCAACTTCCGCCTCCTTATCGACTACTACCCAAACATCGTCCACAGCAGGCCAGAATTCCACTTCGACGTCATTGCAGACCAGTATCTCTACCCTGAACGCCGCAAGCAGTGCATATAATACAACGCTGAGTGCTCAATTACTGTCGACCGCGACCTTCTCGCAAACGAATGCTACGTCCACCACGGGCACATCAACGACAGCCTGTGCTACAACCCTCATCAGCCCCGTTCCGTCCTGCCCCAGTGGCCAAAACGGAACCCTGTTCACTTCGGGTGCCAGTGTCTATCTCCTCTGTCCTAACACTGATGTAACGAATAGTATCGACCAAGCTGATGTCATACCAAATCCTGGCCAAGCAGCCACCCCAGAGAGCTGTGCAGCCGCCTGCTCTGCTACTCCGAATTGCAAATCCGCGGTATACTATCCTGGTGGCTCGGAAGACTGCTTTCTCAAGGTTGCGGGTTCTGAAGGCGCGGTCAGCCGGGACATTACCAATGCAGTGTTCCTAGTAAGCTCTGGATGTAGTACAGCAACAACTACGCCATCAACTACTCTCTCGAGCTCTCTGATTACAATACCATTGGCGTCCTCATCAAGCACCCCAACAACTCCTCTATCGACTGCATTACTGAATTCCACATCCACCACCGTCGCGTCCAACGCATCCAGTACAACGACGATTACCACATCTTCCACCCCTGTCCCAACCTGTCCGTTTGGAGGAAACGGCACCGTGATCACCTCCGGAACAGACCTATTCCTCCTCTGCCCCAGCACCGACGTAACAGGAGGCAATCTTGATGTAATCCCACAAAGCCCGGCCTCGGCTCAGAGCTGCGCGAATGTCTGCGCAGCGAACGCGGACTGTAGATCTGTTGTGTACTTTCCGATGGCACCAGACACCTGCTATCTCAAGACTGGTAGCTTCGGTCAAGCTACGCCGAGTGCCAACTTTGGCGCGTCGCTGGGATACACTAGCGCATTGTTCTTGCTGAATCCTCCAAGCGCGAGCACGATATCGACGACCACAAGCGGCACCAGCATCACGACCACCTCGACTATAAGCACGTCATACACCGTGAGTGTGGTGCCCCAAGCATAAATCGCCTGCTGATTCTTTCAAAGATCACTTCATCAACAGCGCCATCAGTCACGCAGTTCCTTCAAACCATCTATGTCACCGGTGGCTTAGTGTCCTTTACAAGTACAATAGCTACAGTGGACGCTTTCGGCAACCCAACTTCGGTCGTTGTCGTGGGAGTGCCCGAGCCAACCACATAATCCACCACATCCGCGACTTATATCTTTAGCCCAGGCCGTGACGGCGCAATTAGAGTTTGATAGAGATAGGTGTCACGAGGGGCTGGACGACGAGCCAGTGGCGCAGGACTGGCGACGATTGTTCATAACGAAAGGGGGTTCTCTACGTGCATAGGTCGTAGGCAGAGAGGTCACAACAACCTTGTACTTCATGACGTCTTTTAACCATAAGCGATATCTCGGCAATTACTTTAGACCATCGTTTTCTTCTGCACAGATCCGGATCATGAAATAGCAATCACCTACGCTACGCAAATGAATTGAGATGTTTGATTAATGAGTTTGATACATACACAGCCCTCGCCCGCATTTACTGCTCCCATCTTGTTGCGACACTCCTGCGATGTGGCTTGCCCAGATGGTGAACAAATACGAGCCGCCGGATATGATCTGGGGTAATGACGATGATGGCGGGGATGCTTGGCTTAAGCGAGAGCAAGGGTGTGAAGCGAACACATATAGATCGAGATGGTGATGCAACGACCACACGCACGTTGAAGCACCTTCCTTCACACAGAGCCTGAGCTCAGAGGCGTGTTGAGAAAGCAAGAGCAAACATCATGTATCGGTTTACCAATATCTACGGTAAGTCGTCAGCACAGGACATGTTGCAGGTCGTTAACGCCATATAGTCCTGGCGGCCTTCGGGACGATAGGAGGCGCCTTATTCGGTTTTGATATCAGGTTAGTGGCAACCACTGCTCGGAACTTGAACGAAGATTCCTTTGCTGAGGTTTCGCTATAGTTCCATGTCAGCCTGGATCGCCGCCGACCAGTATCTCGAGTACTTCGACAGTCCCAATTCCAATCTGCAAGGTGGCGTATGTCCATCTCTGCCCAAGTAGCCACACAAAAAGTCTAACGGCCACCAGATCACAGCCTCGATGTCAGCAGGATCATTTGCTGGATCCCTTGCAGCAGGTTTTGTGTCCGACCACCTCGGGCGCCGCTATGCTCTTATGATAGCGTCGGTGATCTGGATCATTGGCGCCTCAGTCCAGTGCTCTGCTCAAAATGTGGCACATCTTATCGCAGGCCGAGTCATAAGCGGCTTGTCCATTGGCATAACGTCCTCACAATGCTGTGTCTATCTTGCAGAGCTTGCTCCAGCAAAGATTCGCGGACGCGTGGTCGGCATTCAACAATGGTCCATCGAATGGGGCATCTTGATCATGTACCTGATCAGCTATGGTTGTGTCCAAGGTATCACCGGCCCATCAGCTTTCCGTATTGCTTGGGGCATTCAGGCTGTGCCGGGCTTGGTTCTCGGGCTGGCTTTGATGTGTTTTCCGGAATCGCCTCGTTGGCTCGCTAGTCATGGTCGTTGGGAAGAATGCCTTGATGTGCTGGCGACACTTCATGCCAAAGGTAACAGGGAGAGCGAGGCGGTCCGGCTTGAATTTGAGGAGGTCAAGGAAGCTGCGAGAATTGCGAATGAGTCAAAAGATGTTTCCTTTCTGGCTTTGTTCGGGCCCAAGGTCTGGAAGCGCACGGTTGCTGGCGTTAGCGTACAGATGTGGCAGCAATTGTTAGGCGGTAAGCCTTCACGTTCTTCCCACGCAGCAGATCCATGAGAGTCCAGGACTGATGTCGCTCACGCAGGTAACATTGCAATGTACTATGTCGTCTACATCTTTGAGATGGCTGGCATGTCTGGCAACACAACGCTCTACAGTTCGGCGATACAGTACGTCATCTTTCTCGTCACAACTGGCTCGATCCTCCCGTACATTGACCGCATTGGTCGTCGCACGCTGCTCTTGCTTGGCGCTGTGTCCTGCATGGCCATTCACTTCGCAATTGCTGCCGTGATGGCAACGCAAGGCAGCTATGTCAACGAGGTCAACGGCAACGCCAACCTGCGTTGCAGATCTCTGGCGCTCCAGGCAAGGCTGTCATCGCCTTGTCGTATATCTTCGTCGGAATATATGGTTGGACGTGGGCGCCAGTTGCGTGGATCTATTGTTCGGAGGTGTTTCCCTTGAAGTATCGCGCCAAAGGAGTGGGCCTGTCGGCAAGCACCAATTGGATCTTCAACTTCGCGCTTGCTTATTTCGTTGCGCCTGCCTTCACGAACAGTAAGTGTCTCGTCTGCCAGCCAATATGTAAATTAGAGCTAATCATGATCAACCAACAGTTCAATGGCGAACATACATCATCTTCGGAGTTTTTTGCGCCGCAATGACGGTGCACGTATTCTTCACCTACCCAGAGACCGCCGGAAAGAGCTTGGAAGAGATTGACTGGCTGTTTGAGGGAGAAGGCAGGGTCAAGCCGTGGAGGAGCGGCAGCGTGGGCGGCTTCAGAGAGAAGGTCCAAGAGAGGGAGCGCCGAAGGAGTGAGGGTGTGATGGGGGCAAGGGACGAGGACGAGAAGACGCTACAGGGAGATGTATTTGGAGTTAATTACGAGGAAGGTAAAGTTGGCGTGTGAGTGTAAAAGGGCCGAAGAGTGTTTGCCGGAGGATGCGGAAGACCGGTTGACTGGCTTGCCGCTTACCGAAACCGGATGACTAGAATGGGAGCGCGCTCGCCAGGCCGGTTGACGTAGCTCTTGATGTTGGTTAGAAGGCACGCGGGGAAATTTGTGGTGGGATGGCGGGCGATCGTGCCCGTCCGGATATAACACATGCCATGCATGAGGTACTCAGACTTCTGTCAGGCGCGAAACTCACTACCTCAGTATTGCCAGCGGACCGGTACAAATATAGGGAGAATAAGACATTGGGTGGGCTTTGCTCTGGGCAAATATATTTGCCCAATTGTCCACTGTCAACCGGCGCAGATTGAGTCCTCCAAACGTTGTTGGCTCTTTCCGCTCTTGCATTGCGCTCTCCTTCCAGGTTTAGTGACAAGGCTACAGTAGAGGAGCACGACAGATTAAGGAAAGAGCCACCCTAGTGCCCTGGCCCGGCAAGACGGAAGTACAATAGGTTCAAGCACGCTCGGATAGCAGTTCCTCCTACAAGGATGTCCACTATGGCTGAAATGATCTGGTCACATCGACCTTGTCGTCACGGCCCGAGGGTCTATACCACTACGGGCGGATATGCATGGTTCTAGAACGCTGGGGCAGCAGCGCTACAGAAGTTCGACCATGCATTGAGCAGGTCCAACCCATAAAAGGCGATTGTCAGCTTGACCGGAGTATGTCACGCCACTTTCCTGTTGCAGGTTCGGTCACACCGTCCCTTGACTGGTCCCGCAGAACTGCCGCTCTGTTATATACTGCAGCGAGTCATCGTCACCGTCGGATGTCGCTTAATCCATATTTGCGAGGCACGCAGGCTCCACGGGCGAGATCGCACACAAAATGGCTTTGTTTCGGCCTTGGGTTTTCGCTCAGCATTACACATATACCCAGACATGGCCTTGTCTGCCAATACAATCGCGAATTTAAGAAACACTTTCGATCAAGCCTGCTCAAATGCTAACGGTCTACCTGGTGTCGTCGGAGTTGCTGTTGGCAGAGATGGACAGGAGTTGTTCGCACACGCCGCGGGCCAACGCGGGGCGGGCTCGGATGAAGCTATGAACCTCGACCATGTGTTCTGGATCGCTTCGTGCACAAAGGTTGTGACCGGAATTGCTTGTATGCAATTAGTGGAGCAGGGACTGCTCAGTCTTGACGATGCTGCCCAGGTCGAGTCGCTGTGTCGGAGCTCCGGAATATCAAAGTGCTGCAGCCTGATGGGACTCTTGTCGACAAGAAGCGTGGCATTACGCTGAGGATGCTACTGTCTCATACTGGTCAGTCCGCTGCAGGTCTAGCAGAATATCTTGTTAACCGACCAGGCAGCCGGGTTTGCATATTCGTTCTTTCATCCGGGTCTTCGCGACTATGGCAAACCCATCGGATGGAACGAGTTCTCCATGCATCGCAGCGATATGGCGCAGCCACTCGTTCATCAGCCTGGCGAAGACTGGCAATTTGGCGTGAGTGTAACACTTGCTTCGTCCGATGTTCCCCGCTGACGGGAAGGTACCAGCTTGGCATCGATTGGGCCGGCTTCTGTGTCGAGAGACTTACCGATTTGTCCCTTGAGACGTACTTTCATCTCCATATCTTCGATCCGCTGGGAATCAGAGACATGTCAATATTTCCCAGCCGGAGCATGAAATCACAGCTGGCGTTCATGAACCAACGTCGCCCAGACGGAAGCATAATTCCGCGTGACCATCTCCTGCACCGGTCTCTGATCGTCACCACGCCTGAAGAGATAAGAAGCTGTGTGAACAGTGGAGGTGCCGGGCTCTTCGCTCAGCCGCGAGAGTATGTGCAGATTCTGGCGACGCTGCTGAACGATGGCATCTCTCCGAGGACTGGCGAACGCATATTGCAAAAGGCCACCGTAGATGCGATGTTCGAGAATCAGATACCGCAGTGGCCAGAGTTCGGTCGCAAGGGTATACCGGCTGTGAAGCCAGACCTCACGAACACGGTACCAGATCTATACCCTGGGCAGAAGCAAGGCTGGGGTCTGACTTTTATGCTCTCAGATGGTCCGACCGGTCGGTCCGGTGGCACAGCACATTTTGCTGGACTTCCGAATGTGTACTGCTGGTGTGATCGAGAAAAGGGAGTTGCTGGCATCATCGCATCTCAAATACTGCCATTCTGTGACCCTCAAGTCCTGGACTTGTGGGTGCAATTTGAGTCCGGAATTTATGCTGGGCTGCAATGAATGCAGTCTAACAAGTTATATTTTTGCGCCTGTGGTCTGTTGAGGCTGGACCGGCTGATGCAGTGCCGCCAGCTCCCATTTGCTCTCTTGCACAGCATTGTTCCACTCGTCCCACTTGGTCTCATAGAATTCACTCACACCGGTTGTGATATTGCCGCTTTTCCAGTGCTTCGCGATGACATCAGCCAGCTCAATGGCGTCGTTAACAGCCATGTTAGCGCCGCTGCCACCGAGAATCGGTGTCGTGTGGACGCTGTCGCCGATCATAGCTACACTGTACTGGCGAAGTAGCTTGAGGAGATCTTGCTTTGAGACGATCAACGTACGCATGAGCCAGTTCTTGATGGCGCCTTTCGGTTCCTCTTTTGCCGATTCGTCCTGCCCAAGAAGCTGGCGAATCGCTGCGTTCGACTTTATGGGCTCAACAGAAGCAAGTTCATCGATCTCTTTGTAGTACTCTGGACTAATGTTGTCAGCTTCGCTTTTCGAGCGGTTGGGCTTATACAGGGGATCATCGTTGTCGGAGACCCTAGCAGGCCTGGAGTAAGTGTAACTCATGCGGACCGGCTTTCCTGATCCGCTTGACGGGAGATGGTCCTCCAGCTTGACATGAACGCGAGGTTCGGACGGGTTTCCGGGCTGATGGGTCCACGTAGTGCTGCCATTGAGAAGTGTCAGGAACTTCGATTGGTAGTCAGCTTGCTCGACGTGCTTCTTGTGGTTGTAGACAGCGTATGGCTCGACGACCAGAGTGTAGATGCCTGGCAGCAGTGCTTCTCGTAGCGCTGAGTGAGTGCCAAGTGCATCAATCACGAGTGTTGACCGGAGCTTGTGATGATTTGCAAACTCCAGATCAAGGGCCGGCGCTGCTTGAGACGGCTCCTGTGATGGCGTAGCCCTGATCAGTCGATGCTCTGAACGTTCCTCCAACTCGAGACCGTCGGACTTTCTCAATGCACGTTCGAGGTCGGTACGAGAGACGTGCAGCCATGATTCGGTCGTTGCAGAGGATGCTTGCAATGCATCAGTGCGGTCTCGGCCGTGGATATCGATGCCAAATGTTCGTTTGAATTCGGTCGCTTCGATATTTAGCACTTTCAGCAAAGGTCGATATGTCCCGGGCTCCAGGAAAACGCTGCGAGTTGGCGCACCCTTTGGTCTCGAATCGTAGATCTGACAGTCTTATCAGTATCTGCTGAAATACCTGTCTGTAGAACACTCACCACGGAAGGTATACCTTTCTGCAGCAAGCAGCGTCCCAGAGTCAAGCCAGCAAGTCCACCTCCAAGAATAGTCACCCGAGGCTGCGCCATGGCTAAAGTCCACCGTACAAGTGACTATAGAAGCGGTTGATCACCCGGTGATGTCGCCCAATAACTCGAACCTACTATGGACAAGCCTACCGATCACCCTGTACGCCTGCCGCGACGTGCTCAGTTCAAGGATATCACTTGCCTCCTCGCGAGCTTGACCTTCAGGATCGCAATCTGCCGGGAAGGCGCCACTTCCGGCATACCACGCACCCAAAGACTTGAGTGCTTTCGTCGAGTTTTTTGACCTACCTAGGTAGTCTCGACGTCAACACTAGTTAGGAAGCTTCGAGGGAGGTCCTAAATCCGGATAAATCCGCGACGCGTTTGCCCGATTGCCTTACGCCAAGGATACTTCTGGTTGATGGTAAGGTATCTGGGTATGCTGCACAGTTCTGATCCGTCACATTCATTATCTTTGAAATCACTGCATGGCTCGGACTACAGTCAAGTAGAAGTCTGGCAGACAGCGCGCAACACGAGCAACTGTAGGCCATGGGGATCAAATACAAGCCAACGTTGATCCTCCACGGGGGAGCCGGCGCTATCAGTCGTGCAAATCTGCCGCCCGATCTGTACGCGCAGTATCACCGCTCTCTCCTCACATATCTCGTCAGAACCCGCGAAAAGCTAGACGCTGGTGTCACAGCCCTCGATGCAGCTGTCTATGCTGTCTCACTCATGGAAGATGATCCCTTGTTCAACTGCGGACGCGGCAGCGTGTTCAATCTGGATGGAGAGATCGAGATGGAGGCTAGTGTGATGGTGACGAGTATGCAACATGCTGATTGTGCATCAGACAGCCCGCAGGTAGGTTTGCTAAGCAGTATGGAGGGTCAATGGCCGTTACGGGCACGGATGGGTGGACTGAAGAAGCGCGCTGCCGCCGTGAGTATGATCCAAGAGACACGCCATCCAATCCAGCTCGCCAGACAGGTACTTCTTGAAGGCGACTGTGATGATGCCGGAGTCCGCGACATGCATTGCCATCTCAGTGGGAGGCCCGTGGAGGAGTCTGGCTGGAACAAAGGGCTCGAACGAAAGAGCAAGGATTGGTTCTGGACGGAGAGGAGATGGAAGGAGCATCTGAGAGGCCTAGAGAAGACGGACTCGACGCACCAAGGACTGATGGACAATGGTGTATTGCCAAGTCAAGGCACAGTGGGCGCTGTGTGCCTCGATCAGAACGGCAACCTTGCTGTTGCGACGAGCACAGGCGGACTCACAAACAAGAAGCCAGGTAGGATAGGTGATACGCCGACTGCTGGCGCAGGCTTCTTTGCGGAGAGCTGGTATGAGGAGGACTGCGAAAATGCAGCAATCAGGGGCTCAACACGGTTTGCCGAGATGTCATTCCCTGATTTTATACCAAGAGCACTCTCAGACTGCATACCAATACTTTTATTCAAGCCAACAAATGCATTCGAGCCATTTTACTCACATCCTTCCGATATACCAAGCGTCCATTTCAACATGCGATCAGACTTGAGACCTCACCACACGACTTCGCGCAGAGCAGCACCGCGGCGTGCAGTAGCCATATCTGGAACTGGGAATGGCGACTCATTCCTTCGTCTTTGCGCAGCCCGGACTGCCGCCAGCCGCTGTCGATATGGCGGGCAAAGTCTAGCCACTGCCGTGACTGCTGTGGCTGGAACCCACGGCGAGCTGCAATTGTCCGCTGGCGATCGATTTGGTCGGACAGGGGAAGGCGAAGGCGGACTCATTGGCATTGAGATTGACTCGAGCGGATTGTCTCGCACCGTCTTCGACTTCAACTGCTCCGCCATGTGGCGTGCATACTACGAAGTTCTTGATGAGAAGGAGGTCCCAAAAGTCATGGTCTTCCGTGACGAGTATAAGTAGACTTTGGCCAACACAAGCCGAGCCGAACCTGCAGTGCTCTTGATGAGCCGAGCCGAGTTCACTGCTCAGTAATTGAGTGTCCTCTTGATAGCGTCATAAATTCTGACGATGTCCGGTACGTTGAACTTTTCGAATATCAAGCCAGAATGGACGGACCAGCCTGTCACCCTGGCAACTGGTGCCTCAAGACGCAGGAATGCACCTTCTTGAATACTTGCAGCAACTTCAGCTCCCACACCCGCATTGAGCATGCTTTCATGTACGACGACGGCTCGGCCGGTCTTGTTCACACTCTTGAGGACAGTCTCCCGGTCCCAAGGATAGATCGCTCGCAGATCGACAAGCTCGATATTCAGGCCTTTGATCTCCTTCTCTAGGGCATCTATTGCGGCTCCGCAAAGGTACATCGGCTGGCCGTACGAGATGACAGTCAGATCTTTGCCCTCCTTGACAACCTCCGCCTTGTCAAGAGGTAGTGTGTAGGGATCTCGGGGTACATATTCTTCCGAAGCTCGATACAGGATCTTAGGCTCCATAAAGATCACGGGATCGTTACTATGCAGTATTGCACTCGTGAGCATACCTTTGGCCTGTGCTGGAGATCGAGGCATGACAACTCGCATTCCGGGAACGTGCGAGAACAGTGACTCTGGACTCTGCGAATGGTACAGGGCGCCGTGACCCACGCTGCCACATGGCATTCGTATAACCAGACCGCCACAATGTCCACCAGTGCCACCTTCTCGGTAGCGAAACTTTGCGGCCTCATTCACAATCTGATCGAAAGCTGGAAATACGTAGTCGGCAAATTGTATCTCAGCGATAGGCTTCATGCCCTCCGCAGCACAGCCGATACCGAAGCCGACAATGCCTTGCTCTGATAGAGGCGTGTTGAACACTCGCGTTGTGCCAAACTCGTCTGTTAGTCCCTTCGAGCATCGGAACACGCCTCCGAAGGCAACGTCTTCGCCGAACAGTAGGACCGATTCATCCGTTTTCATAGCATGGTGCATTGACGTGTTGATTGCTGAATGTAGGTTCTGGAAGTCCACAGGAGCGTCATTCTCAAGCTTGAATGCTTTCCGAGCTGCTGCTTCGGACTGATTGAGTACTATACTTTTCCTGAAATCTATTGGTTTATTGAGCTTTGCTGATGATGCCGCTGCTGCGTAACCCCTTCGTTGCGCTGACCGCTTGAGTGATCTCGTGGTTGCGCGACCTAGGGCCGCCACTGACGGTCGTGTCATGTCTACTGATACTGCGTACTAGGAATGAATCACATTCTGAAAGAAAGCTGGAAGCTTTACTTGATTTCGCGTCTGACAGTAGAGTATACGTCCTCATATCCTTTCCGCTGCTAACCGCGCCTTTCGATTTGGTGCTACTCACGTGACTGCTTAAGCCGAGGGACTGTGATTTAGGCCTAGCCCCAGACGAGTCTCCGCGCCGCCCGCCGCCATGGCAGACTTGGCTGCGTCGGTGGCTGGTTTACGGATGATTCCGCCGTGTGCTACAGTATTGCCCGCAGTTTCCATGTTCATCTGTGATCTTTAATCACAGCAAACTCGCTGTCCTAGCTTCTCGCTCATTCCTCTCCCCTTCATCCTCTGCGCGTTTGGACTCATTGCGAAGCCACCACTGCTGTAATCGGCACTTGCGATCAAGGTCGACGCGCGTCTGCTGGTAGCTCAGCTTTGTGCTGTTCCAATTCTGATTTCTGTTCATTCTCATAATTTCCGGCTCCCATGCCGACACCTGGCTGCACATCGAGTCGTGCCCTCTCGAATCGATACATCGGTCTCGGGCTTGCCAAAATCATATTCCAAGCTGTCGCGCAGTCCCCGCTTGCGCACGCAGCACCTCTGAATGTATTGTTAGCGAAAGATGACGAGGAGGGAAAGACGCCCGATGACCCCTCGCTATGGTTGTATCTCGGTGTCGCAGCATTGTTGGTGCTTCTAGGGGGAGCGTTTGCGGGGCTGACTATCGCCTTGATGGGACAGGTGAGCTACATACCGTGTCAGATTTAGAAGGGCTAGACTGATGCAATGTAGGATGAGATGTACCTGCGGGTAATCAAGGAGTCTGGAGAAGGACGAGAGAAAAAGAATGCCACCAAGGTGCTCCATCTACTGGAGCGTGGTAAGCATTGGGTTCTGGTCACACTGCTCCTCAGCAACGTCATCACCAACGAAACGCTCCCCATCGTTCTTGATCGGTCGCTCGGCGGAGGCTGGCCTGCTGTCCTAGGCTCGACAGTCTTGATCGTCATATTCGGCGAAATTGTTCCTCAGTCGATATGCGTGAGATATGGCCTGCCAATTGGTGCCTGGATGGCACCGGCGGTCCTTACGCTCATGTACGCTATGGCACCTGTGGCGTGGCCAACGGCGAAGCTGCTCGACTATCTACTTGGCGAGGATCACGGCACTGTGTACAAGAAAGCTGGTCTGAAGACTCTAGTCTCTTTTCACAAAAATATGGGAGATCTTGATGAGCAGCTCAACACGGACGAAGTGACGATCATCAGCGCATGCCTGGATCTGAAAGACAAAGCGATTGGATCGATCATGACTCCAATGGACGACGTCTTCACCCTGTCTCTCGACGACGTCTTAGACGAGGAAATGATGGACGACCTCTCGTCTCGCGGCTACTCTCGGATACCCGTCCATCATCCTGACAACAACGAGAATTTCATAGGCATGTTGCTGGTAAAAATGCTTATCACATATGACCCAGAAGACGCCAAACCTGTCCGCGAATTTGCTTTGGCCACGCTTCCGGAGACTCGTCCCGATACAAGCTGCCTCGACATCATCAACTTCTTCCAAGAAGGAAAGAGCCATATGATACTCGTTAGTGAGCATCCGGGCGAAGATCGTGGCGCCATTGGAGTGGTCACCTTAGAAGACGTCATCGAGGAGCTCATTGGAGAGGAGATTGTGGACGAATCTGATGTTTTTATTGATGTTCACAAGGCGATCCGACGAGCAATGCCCGCACCTAGGATGCGCGTGCCTAAGGGCCATGTCGTGGAGGATTCTGCCGCGAAAGCTCAAAATGGTGATCTGGTGAACATTGGCGAGCATGAGACGCTATCTCCCTCGGACATACAACGACCAAAACGCGAGCTTAACCTTGAAGACATCAAACGATCCGATTCACAGCAACGACGCCGATCAAGCACGAACAGCAAAGGCGAAGACATCCGACCACTGCGCAAGACGACGACCGATGAAGTCAGAGAGCACCTCAAGCATCTAGGCCCATCAAATCTGGCGAGCCGTCCAAAGACCACACGTTTCCAGTCGGTCAAGATCAAACCCGGTTCGTTGTCTGGGGCAACTACCAGGCTTCCCACCACGGACGGTCGTGTCACACCCCAGCGTCGGATATCCGAATCAGCAACCAGCTTCCACGGCGGCATTGGTGAGGGCATTCTGAACAGTGCTGGGAAGCAAGCGAGCGACGGCGTGCAAGCATTGCAGGCCGCGGGCTATGGCACTATGAGTGGTTCTCCCAACGAGCGACGTCCAGCCAGTGCGAATAAAGCTGTGCAGGCAGGAGCGGCAGCCGGAGATGGCACTAACTCGGGGCATCTCAGTCCAGATGAGCCGCGGAGGAAGCGATCGGACAGCACTAGCACGGTCGGAAGTCTGCCAGAAAGCCGGCCTCGATCGCGCAGTCCTTTCTACAAATCACGCGCTCGGACTGGCAGTCTGACTACCACTGAGATCGAGGGGACCTTTGCGCCAAAAGCAGTGCTCGTGTATACGTCTGGCAGCGAATCAAATGACGAGAACGACAACAGTGGCGCTAACAAGGGTCATCAGTCTACGAACAAAGGTCCGCATGGCGATGGTGACAGTCCGTCGAAGACAAAGCGGCGCAAAAAGAAGCGACCGCAGAATGGGGAGGAGGAGCCATTGTTGCGGTAATGCCTTTGTCACGGGTGGGGCGGCAGGTCATTGACGGCGCTCGAGGTGCGCAGCCTGCGATGCTGCAAAAGTTTTTCATCGGCTGCGTGGTACGTACAGCATTCATAATAACAGATTCAAGGGAACAGACTTACCTTGAAAGGCCTTGACAACAGCCTCAGTTGCCTCGTTGCCTCGCACGACACGCCTTGGCACTTTATTCTCTATTCAAGACTTCACTATTGTGACTCGCCTGACAAACGAATCGATTAATCAATTTTATTGTCTCAGACCTACCGCACACCTACTCTTCCTTCGTATCACGCTCGGCGAGACAGATTCTATTTCCACTTCTTCTACGTCGAAACCATCGCCAGAGACAGCCTGCTATCGCACATAAACCACACAGAAACGACGGCAATCATGCTGTTCCTCGCGTTATTCTTCGCCATGGCGCCATTCTCGCATTTCATGCGCATTTTGGTTGTCCTCGCCCTTTTCCGCTTCTACCTGGACGCAAGACGATTCTCCCGCTCTAAGATCGTCAGCACCATGGTCGCTGCCGTTCTCCTCGAACTGTCCTTTTCCCTGGTTTTGGTATACGGCTTCTGGCCGCAACTATGCAGAATGGCAGCCAGATGTGATGATTGGCTCTTCCACCAGATGCTATTCATATACGACTGCATACACGGCATCATCGACCTCATCGTCGCGTTTGCCAGCAAGATGGGCTGGTTCTACCATGTTTTGCGATACGACCGCAGCGAGAAGAACATCGACGAAGTTGCGTTCTATTCTATCAATACATGTCTAGTCATCAGTATTGGCTACTATCTTTATCGAGCCATTTTCAAGAAAGCAGCTGAAGAAGCACAACCAGCCGGCGCCCTCTCCGATCCAGTTCCAACCACACCAGAACAAGCATTCAGCATCCCGTCAGTAGCAGACGAAACCACAGCCAAGCTTTAGCAAGAGCTCGAGCAGGCCAAGATCAAGGCTCAGGAACGAGAGAACCAGCATCAAGCTGAGATGAGAGCCGCGAAAGCGAATTACAAGCTACTTCAACACCGCTACGATAGCGAAATGCGACCATTCCACAGCGATCTGTACGAGCTACGAAGGCTGCAAGTCGAGAACGCGGAGCTCAAGAAGAAGCTTGCTGACGAGCAGCAAGCAAGACTCAATCAAGTCTCAACAGAGACGCAGAAGGAGGGCGACGAAGCTCCAGAAAAGGAGCAGTCGCAGCTCAATGAAGTCTTGAAGAAGATTGAGACAGAGCGTGATGAAGCACGCAAAGAAATCGAAACATACAAATCGCTACTGAGCGATAAGGAAACTCTTGTCGCCGAGGCGGACTCCCGGACTCAAGCACTCGAAGTCAAGGTCGCAGACCTGAAAACCCAGCTCAAGACTGCGAAGCAGTCGCTGGCTACTGCAAAAACAGGCAACGGTGCTGAAACTGTCGACCCGTTCAGCGATCCTCGAGTCCAGGCTGTTCAAATGCAGCTGAACGACACCAAAGATCGGCTGGGCAAAGCTGACAAACGTGTGAGCGAGTTGGAATGTACAGTAAGGGAATCGGAATCTACAATGCGCCAATGGCACAAAGAGGCTGCAGACTTCCGGGCCGTCCACAACAACGTGCAGCGTGAGCTGCAGGCTGCAAAGGAGAGCCTCGACGAGACATCTAGAGACGCCGCGTCAAAGAAGCGAGGAAAGGAAGCCGCGGAACGCGCAGCAGCAGAGTATGCCGAGAAGCTGAAGGCTATGAATGGTCAGCGGCAAGAAGCCAAGAATGAAGTGTTGCAACTACAACAAGTCCTGAAGGTCGTTGAGCAGAAATTTGAGAAGGCAGATTCAGATCGCAATGCTGTGCGTGAGGAGTTTGAGAACTACCAGTCCAACCACGACACCGACAGTGCCAACCTCACCAACGCAGAGCGAGCCCTCAAAACCGAGCAGCAGAGTCATACTGACACGCAGACCCAGTTGAGGGAGTTGCAGAGCGACTATGCGACACTGAAGCAGGAGAAAGAAGACCTGGAGGCCGTACCAAGCAACGTCGTGAACGACAACACCAGCAACGCAAGATGTGCCAATTGCGCAAAGGCGGAAGCGGCACTGGACGAATGTCAGCGGGCATACCTGAGAAAGAGCGATGAGCTTCGTTCCGCGAAAGCTGAAATCCTTGAGCTCGAAGACGAGCTCGAAGATAAGGAGCCTAATGTGTACCAAAAGCAAATAAAGGACCTTGAGCAGCAGCTCGAGGACTGGCAGGACAACTACGATACCATGAAGACAGAGCACGACAAACTGAAGAAGAAGCTCAAAGCTGCGAACGGCGCCACTGGGGACACGCCAGAGACGTCGCCACCACGGAAGTCTGCACGAGAGATCATCAGAGAGAAGTCAAGCGAATCACCTATCAGAAAGACTGCTGCCACGGAGGCTACAAAGAGCACTCCAGCCGCGCCAAACGGCAGGATAATAAAGGCCCTGCCCACGGGTCAGAGATTCGCCAAGGCCAAAGCCGCGGCGGACATGGATGCAGCGAAGATCGATCTGTATAATTGAAACGGCGCTCGCGATACGGGAGAAAAATGAGCTGAGAACTAATGGTAGAGCTCAGCGTCCAGTAGCAGTATGATCTGCTACTGGTCGGCCAGAGACTCAGGAGGATATAGGCGTGCACGTCTGTAAGGGCTAGAGGAGCCTGCTTGTCGTTGATTAAAGTTGACCCAGCAAAGAGTGCTACCTTGAGACGTTAAGACTGACTTTGAGACTCGTTGTATCGGTGTTGGGAAAAAGGAGCAGGTGGAGTCAAGCAACTACAACGAGATACGAGTACTGAGGACTACCTACTCGTGCTGTGGAAGGCTTGGACTGAGGAGGTTGAGGGCTGTCATTATGTACACTGAAGTAAAAGAGCTTTGATGGAGGCCAGCCGTGTCATAGAGCTACTTCAGCTTCACAGAGGCTGACTGTCGCCAAGTAGTATCATTAAGATCTTTTTCGAGCGAGTCTCAAATACGGTGAATGATGGAGCCATTCATAAATAGCACTCTATCTTCGACCGGCTGTATCTGACCCGCTCTTTGCATATAGCACAGGCTCAGCTATAGCGCCTACGCTTCACGCCCCTTGGACGTGGAGAGGGCAGCGGTGATGGCGTTGGTGATGTCGATGGTGATGGCGCTGGGGATGGCGGTGATTCCAGTCGCTCATTGAGATTCTGGAAGAACTCAAAGTCTGCGGCGCCATACTTGAATGCATTACTCCTAGCAGTGTGGAGCTGTTGCTTCGCTTGCTCGACGTCCGCGCGCTTCTTGGCGAGATAAGGCTTTGCTTTCTCAACGTAGATCTGAAGCTCACTCCTCTTCCGGTTGAACTGGTGGTTCTCGTCCCAGGACCCATCATCTATAATCAGCAGGAATTCGATCATGTTAACATCCTCAGCATCGATACAGCCCACCATCAACCCGACCTCAGTCTCCCATCGCTTGACCTCTTCGACTGATTTCTCGATACGTCGTGACCAGTAGTCACGCAGCGAATGCATCGAAGCTCGCAGGACAAGCTTGCCATTCTGTATGTCGCCTTCGATCTCCACCATTCGAGAATCCGCGTGAAGATTGTTTTGGCTGTCCAGCCAAAAACTCGTCAGCGATCGAGTTTCCCTTGCCGATAGGACTGAAGTGGAAACCGCAAGCTCCTCAACGCAGCCTTTCAGAGGATACTTGACGAATTGTGAGCGCCATGGTTTATCGAAAGCAATGATGTGTGATATGAACTCCCAACACACAAAGCTGCAAACTTCAAAGCCACTGGCTTTGCCACATGACGACTCTCGCGCAGTATTTGGCGATTGATTGGGACACCGCGTCCAAGCTTCCCATAGGCGAAGATCACGTCTCCGGCTTCTCTGCATCCGCTATGTTCATGGCGATAGAGCAGTTCGTGCAGGCCGTCAACTGTATGTCTTGGCATATCGCCAACCTTATGCCACCAAAGCCCATCACAGCAGCACTTTGGCGTTTTGGGATTTGCAAACTTCCAGATCAGATTCCTGATTTCTGCTGGCAGATCGAGAAGTCTGAAGAAGGGACCGGAAGGCTGAGATCTCTGGAGCGTAATCCGACCGATCTGGTGGAGTGCTAGACGTGGGCTACGTCGCTTGCTAGGACACTCATCGTTCTTGTAGTGCTCGAAGTCGGCTTGGCGCTTACTCGGTGAGTTGAGTGGAATGATGTTCTGTGTACTTGGTGGAGAAGGAGCCGCGGGCTTTGTGACCGGTGCAGGGTCGAGCGAGAGCGCGCGCATCCTCTTGATGAGATCGCGCTGCCGCGCAGAAACGGGAGTGCGGATCAGTCGGAATTTACCATTGACTTCGGCGACATCAAAAGTCGCTGGAGGCATGACTTGGTGTGGCTCTTGCAGTAGGCTGATGGCTGTGTGGTATGGCGAAATACACAGGTCTATTACCGATGAAAGGATCGTCGTTCTTTTCGCAACCACGCAGACCGTTGAGACGGTTAGAAGGCGATTGAAGTTGACAAAATCGGATCGAATGTTGCCTTGACAACGTCGGCCTGCTTTTGTTGACTCAAGGTGCGCAGGCGGCAGCCTCGAAGTTTCCTTTGTCTCATCTCTTCATTCGTCACGTGAAATCTGCTCTTTCCATGGTAAGTGACATGACCTAGGTGTTGGTCGTTTTGCCCAGCACCCATGTTCCACAGAAGCAGTTGTGATTTGACGATACAGGATCCAATGATCCGAGGACCTGATTGCAGAATGGCTCATGTTAGGAAAGTGGCATAATGCTGCCCTTGGACGAGGATATTGACCAAGATCACCAGTCCTACATGATCCAAGTGGTCCAAGTACAGTCTCATGTCGTGCCTGCGTATGGTACCGGTCAGTAGAGCAGAGGATTTGCCCGTGATCAGCATGCTGCCAGCTGGCCAACACCGACAATGAAGGCGCGCTTGTAGATTGTCGTCTTTTTCGATCCCTGGCTCTCCTTGCACCGAGGATCTAGAAAATATACCACGCTGGCTTAAAGTTTCAGCATTGTTGCGGCTCGCTCACAAATTGACCGTCCATCCTTCCTCCGAGGACTACGTCTACGATGCAAGAAATCCCCATCGTGGTCAACAACGAGCCTAGATCGTTAGGTATTATGAGGGATCCCCAGACCGCCGGGTGCTCATAGTGTGATGGCATCCGGAGGCGGCCCTGTCCAACAATATATCGGACCACTCGAAATATCCTGAACTCATCAGGAGTTGGGTCAGGATGGCACATTTTCGACTGACCGATACGACACCAGTCTCGCACCGGTCCACGACTGCGATGCGTGAGTCGATTAGCCACGGTACGAACGCTGACCAAGAGCCTGGACTCTCTATACTAGCTCATCGACAGTCGGAGCACAAAGCGCTCTTCACTTCTAGCCGACATTTCGGGTATCAGGCCGCTCTCACACGAGCTCTGTAGATTACGTCTGCCGGAACTGAGCGCCAGAGATCTGACCCGGCGATGTCCACTTTTACAGATCCGCTAGGCCGCCCAAGAATCTGCGAGCTTGTTGTGTTGACCGTCATAGCGGAAGCAACGGAGCTATTAAGACACAGGTTGGAAATACACCCCATGCTCCATTCGTCGCCGTGTCACCATTCGTTTGTTGCGAGTCAGAGCAGGAGAGTCTGCGTATGTGGCTTCGTCCTGTAGACCCATCGTCGATATGGACCGAGGACAGACGATGTTATGAGTTCAGATGCAGCATTGTCTGAGAGCGGGAAAAAGAGCACATCGAGCGGACTGTCCGCTCTTGGGCGGGCTTAGCCGCTCTGTTATCTCCGCGCTGGCACTTCTGCGCCGTTGTCGATGAACGCATTAAGTGAATGAAACGAGCACGTCGTTCCTACCAAAATATAACTTGGCTGCGGTGCGTATCTCCAGCCCAGTTCTCTCCTTTACATAGCTCCGTCATCGAACGCATTGCCAGCCAACTATAACGTCGCAATACTTTAGTCTTGGCACCCATTCCGAGCATTTGCATTGCTACGTCCACCATGGCGACAAACGAAATCTCCAAGAATCTGTATGCCAACTTGGGTCGCAGTGGTCTCAGGATCTCGAAAGTTGTCCTGGGCGCCATGTCTTACGGCACCCCGGACTGGCAGGGCTGGGTTCTCGACGAGGCTCAATCGCTGCCACTTCTCGAGTACGCCTATAAGGCTGGAATCCGTACCTGGGACACGGCAAATATCTATTCGCATGGTCGATCAGAGGAGATCATCGGCAAAGCCATCAAGCAGTTCTCGATCCCACGTGAGAAACTTGTCATTCTCAGCAAATGCTACTTCGGCGCGACCCAACCAACATGGGCCTTCAGCCCGAGCCTTCCACTGTCAATGACGGCGAGATGCTCAACATGACTGGACTGTCTCGCAAACATATCCTTGATGCGGTTGACAAGTCTGTGGCGCGATTAGGGACCTACATCGACGTTCTGCAGATTCACAGGCTTGACCGCTCCGTCCCACGAGAGGAGATCATGCGAGCCCTGAATGATGTTGTGGAGAGCGGCAAAGTACGGTATATCGGTGCATCATCCATGGCGGCATGGGAGTTCCAGGAACTGCAGTATATCGCTGACAAGCACAATTGGCACAAGTTCGTCTCCATGCAGGATTACTACAACTTGCTGTACCGTGAAGAGGAGAATGAGATGATACCTTACTGCAAGCACGCTGGCATCGGCTTGATCCCGTGGTCTCCTGTGGCCAGAGGTGCCTTGACTCGGCCGTGGAATGATCGCGCCAACTCTCTGCGTGAGACCAAAGACGCAGCGCTGAACAAGCTCGTGAGAGGTCGGAACGATAAGGTCGATGAAGAGATTGTGGGACGATGTCAGAAGGTGGCAGAGAAGATTGGAAAGAGTATGGCGCAGGTCGCGATTGCTTGGTGCCTCAACCATGGTACATGTCCGATCGTGGGACTGAACAAGAAGGAGAGGATCGACGAAGCGGTAGCAGCATGTGACATCGTACTTCGCGATGAAGACATCGCTTATCTCGAAGAGCCATATATGCCAAAGAAGAGGCAAGGATATTGAGCAGATGTCGTCAGGTCGCTGATTAATGTGGCGCTGAAACAGAGACGAGGTGACACGAAGAAAGATAGCTTTAGAGCCCAATCGCTTCCAATTGGTCAGTCGCGCAGGTGGGGTACCCCTTATATAACACTCTTGGAGCGGCAGGAGCGTTCGACTGTAGTCATCTTTGACTTTCGTCTCTGCCGCAGTCGATGCAAAAGATGTCATGAGCAAAGCATGCGATAGATGCTATCGCACGAAGCAGAAATGTACATTCGAGACCGGTAGACAATCATGCACCACATGTCAACAGCTTGGGGTCACTTGCGTGACTGAACGTCTTCGCAGGCGACCCGGACGACGTCCGATCGCTCGCCAATTCCAGTCAGGAGCGGCGCTAGAAGTCTTCGAAGTGTCAACACCACGCAAGAAGTCTAAGCAAGATGTCAGAGCGGGAGGTGTCTCATCGAGCGGCACACCGCCAGTTGCACCCGACCTCCTGGCTCAATTCCAGGACCTGTTTGATGGCATTCCCTTCGAGCATAATCCGGAGGACCTCCGGAACTTCCTCGCTCTGTATGACTTGTATGTGATTGGTCCGACCTTTGCCCCCAGCTTCCGCAGTGCCTTCCAGCGCGCATTCTTCAGCGGGCCGGATCTGGTCAGGGACACTTACCCTGCCGTACAAGCAGTCATGCGCGTGGCACGTCAGTTGGCTCCGAAACCTCAACTCGGAGATGGAGTGGTGAGAAGCGCCAGTGCGATGGAGACGCTTCGGACGACAATCGTCAAAGACGCTGGGGAGGCGTTCTCGATCGTTGCATTGGGCCAGTGTTTGGCAGCATTCGATCTTATGACCTCTGCCTCTGGAGTGGACCTAATTCTGCAGTACTCTTTGTCGTCCGCGCTTCCATTCTATGACAATTTATCAACAGACCCTTACACTGATCCAGTGTTGATCACATCCATCTTTTGGAATACTATTTTGTCTCTAATCAAGGGCAAGATGCCGGTCATTCGCTACCAAGCGCACAAGCCGTGTGTTGTTGACCGGATCGCCGGTATATGCACGCCTCTGCTTCCAATATTGCATGACTTATGCCGCGCGAACGTCAAGGCTAGGTCAGGGACGCTGCACGACGAAGGCAAGGCCAGACTCAAGGCCATCGAATATGAGTTGACCAGATGGACTCCTCCCTGCATTCAGCTGGAAAGCTCATACACTGCTGACGAGGCTGTCATAATGAAAGGACAAGCGGTTTTGTATCGCAGCGCCGCTCTTCTTGTGCTCCACAGGATCGATCACCCCTTCAGCCAGCATGACGGCGTTGCCAGAGCCCTCGCAGACACAATCTTAGTCGATTTCAAAAGCCACTCACAGTTATTGAACAACGACGGAAGCCTTCAACATGTCTCCTTCCCACTCCTCATGGCCGCTCTGGAGCTTGAGGATTTCCCGCACTCACTATGGGAGACACAAGGACTTCTCAATGCAACACAGGCATGCAAAGAGCAACTCCATGCTTTCATCGCGTACATCTGGACCGAGAGGAGGTCTGGGTCTGCTAGATTCCTTTCGGACATCGTTGAGAACGGGCCAGACTTCGTGATAACTCCGTGAACTTATGAGGTCGACTTTTAGCGGCGCTGTCTAGCCCTGCTTGGTCACTGGGTGCTTTCGCGAGGAAACAGCAAGGCTCCCTATCTGTGCTGACTTTGCGATTCTATGTCGGACAGAATTTGCGCTGCTGAAAGAAGGCTTTCTAGAAACGGGTTGCCAGGTGGCGGAGGCGTATTATTGGCTCTGTTGCTATGGTTGGTCTGGTTGCTATACCAGTACACCCAGCAAAGACCGACTCGTCATGGCTCAACGCTGTAAGAGGCAACTGTGCCGGCAACGTTCGAAGACGACCTGCAGCAAACGAGACGACGCTGTTCGACGCGACCACATGACCGTACAGGCTGTGTGTCTACAGCAGACTTCTTCACGCGAGCGCGCTCCCGGTCTGCGGAATCCAATAAGCCTCAAACTTTTTCCAGCATGGCTAGGAGGCCACACTGCCGGTCATCATATTCAGCAAATCTCTAGCTTGACAAGTGAACACACGACCACGCGTGGCATATCGCAGCACCTACAGCACGAATCACGTTTTCGCCCACCCAGCGTCATCCTCAAACGGAAATCGACACCGCAAAGCCAGCGGCTATTGCGTTTCCGGCCCGAAGCACATCAACTTACAACAAGATAATGCCACCCAAACCAGGCCGCACCCAAAACCGCGGCACAAACCTTCCCCTTCGTTTCCCTGCCCTTCTCACCTCCCTCCTTCCCCACGCCCGCACCCCCACCACAATGCGCCAACTACTCTTCCAGCGCCGCATGAACGGCCACGCCGAATCCTCCAGCGGCCCCCGCCTCACCTTCTACCACCTGTCCACCAACCGAAAACTCGAAGTCGCGTGGTTCTCGCGGTATATCTTGACGAGGGCTCTGCTTATCAGTCACGAGGAGTGGAGGGAATGGAAGTATGGGAATGAGAATGGGATCTATGTTGTGTATGATGGTGGTGGTAGTGATGGTGGTGCGAAGGGTGGGTTCGAGCCGGCGATCCTCGTGAGGGATGGGTATCGGATTGGGGGTAGGAGGGGCGAGGGGCAGAGGATGTTCCGGTTGTGGAGGGATGGGGGCTTTGGGAAGGATATTGAGGTTGAGGGGCGGGTGGAGGGCGATAGTGGTGACGACGTGGTGAGTGCTGCAGCTAGGGTGGCTGCCGCTGCGCTTGCGCTGGCCGATGCTATTGGGTCGGTGGTCACGCCTCCTGTTTCGCCTGTGTTTGCTCCCGTTGCTTCTCTTCTGGTGCACGATACAGTGGAGCTGCTGTACGAAGAAAGCGAAAATGGCGATGAAGGCGTCCTTGACCCTCGTCTTCGTGCATTTGATGCTGGAAGGGATGTCCCGATAACGGAAGAGGAAGAAGAGGAGCTGCAGCGTCTGGATGTGTGTGCTTGAGGGTGGCTTCTGGTGGCTACGGGGCCAGAACAGGAGCTTTATGGAGGGACCAGGATATGAAAAGGCTTCACTTTGACAGTCCGACTACTGTATTTGCTTGGTGGAGTCATCGTCGCCTAAGCAAGATATTCGGCCAAGAAATGAGCGTTCTTTCCGGAGAGACCCGTGGACCTTGAACTCCTACATGTACAACGCCCTCCCTGGGGACACAACTGATGATGAATCGTTTTAACGACTTGATACTCAAGTGAGACTCGTCTCAAATCTGCTGGCTCGATCTGCAAGACCATTTCTTACTTCAGAGCCCGCCCTGACCTCAATTCTCAGCATTCTGGGCAAGTGATGAAAACGCTCATTTTATGCCCGAACAGCCTGCTACCTAAGCTCAAGCCACCTAATTCTTGGCTTCATCCCTCCTCCGCAAGGCGTCCTCCCTAACAATTTCTTCCAGCGTCCTCTTCAATACCATCACCGCCTCCTGCGTCAGCGCCACAGGCTGTCCCAAATCATCCTGCCTCAAGCCCGGGATGTCGGTCACTTTGTACGGACAAGCCGCCGAACCGGCATACAGGTATGGATACCTCTCAAAGAAGGCATCATCGATCCTAAGATCTACCTGGTCGTGCCGCAGCCCGTATGCCCTTACTAGCGATTGCACGCTCGGCGACCTGAGCTGGGCTTTTTGCTCGAGTCGCCAGTCGGCGGAGAGGTCTATGCCGTTGGCGCGGTCGAGACTGACTAGATCTAGAAGTCGAAATGCCGTATCCGCAGGGCTGTTCGCTGGCATTATAGCATTGTTGTATTCCCCAGCCCCATCAACACCAAATTTGCGTCGAGGACAGACCACGACATTGCTCGTCAGGAACGCTAACTCCTGACCATGATCAATATCGGTCTGCACGTCAATCAACAAGTCTCTAAACTCTGGCCAACAACACCAGTCAATGTTCACAATATGCGGTACCAGTAACTGCTTTTTCGTCGGCCGGAACATTGGTGGAAGATTGCGGTAAGTCTTCTCACAAGGCCAACAGCGGAACAACTGCACTGCCAAGAATCCCTGGAGCGCGCCGCATAAATTCCAGTACGCCTCGAAGCCAGGCCAGCCAGTGCGGATGACCCAGAGTACGCCGGCGGCGGTGAGATTACGTTTCAGTGCACCATTATGCTCGAGGTGGCGAGCGAGGCTATTGCGCGTGAGGAGCTGAGTGAGCGCTGCGATGTGACCGTCGATAGCGAGCCGCGCAGGGCCGGCGTTGAAGCCAGCGGTGAGTCCGCCGGTGCAGAGGCCGCGGGTCAGGGCGGCGTCGAAGTTGGTGGCGTTGGCAAGATCATTGGCCACGATGTATTCGAAGGCAGCTGCTGCAGGTACTCATTGCTGTCCCCTCTTTGTATGGTGGCCGGTGCACTGCCTGAGCTGACGGAGTGTGCTTGCTGCCGTTGCTGTGGGCTTATGCATGGTCTAAGTGGTCTGAGTGTCCTTGGCCTCTCAAGATCTGGCTTCGCTTTTTTCCTTCGTTTGCGCCTTCTCACCGTCGAGGGTGTAGGTAATGTTGTATCATCGCTCTGCGTAATGCCTTCACTGAAGGGTTCAAGGTTGCTGAAATCATCAAGGTGATCGTCAGTCGGCTGGGCTGCAAATATCGGCAAATAGCCAATCGCTGCTGGCGTGATCCATGCTTCATGCCCTATCTGCCTGTTGAATGGATCTAAGCATGCGTTCTCGAAAAGATCCAGGTTCTCGCCTGTCTGACTGCTGTGTTCATGTGAATGTGCGTTGCCGAGATTGTTCAGGTTCCCACCTGTCCAGATCGTTGTATTCCAGTCGTTGAACTCGCCAAAGTCATCTTCGTTAGAATTCCAGCTGGTCGATATGTGAAGACTAGATGTCATGGCTGTCTCTGCCTACGACGACCGACCCTCAGAATGGACCGACATTGCATGATCTTATAGAAGCCATATGACAGGCAACATTTGAAGCCGATCTCTCCAAGACGGCATTGCACCTTCCGCTTTGACACAACATGCAGGTACATGCCGGCCATGGAGCACGATGATATGCGCTAGTGGTATGTAAGAGATCCATCGCCTGGGCTAATGCGCTCATCCAATCGTAACACAGCAGGTGCTGACTCAGTCAGGAAGCTGGTCTACATAGCATTCGAGCAGGATGACAAAACTGCTTCTTGCGGCATATTGCGCCGCTCTTGGCGTGGGCCGTGGGATGCGAACCGAGAAACAATTGCAAGTGCGATAGACGAGATAATTGCGATCGCAGACGAAGAGCTTGACAGAGGCCGTTGAGCTTGTTATCGCGTTGTTCGCTTCTTGGGCTGGATGGTGATCTGCCCTACTTTCTATACCCGTTGTACTGATGCTTCTCACATCCAATACCGTTGCCGGAACACATCTTCTTTCGGTCAATGTAGACTGATGTGGTAGGCGAGTTTCCAGTGATTTGTCCTTGCCCAACCTTCAAACATTGGAGCTCCTTCTGTAGAGCGTCAGCTTCTGCGGGACGGTAGTCAATCTGGCGATTGATAGATTCGATGGCTTTTGTCGGGTCAGTATATACTGGGTACGTTGCGGATGACAGGTTATTGAGATAAAGTGCAGAGCTGGCGATAATTTGATCAGAGCGAGAGAACTTACCTTCTTTGATAGTCGACTTGGAGCGCACCGAGGAGGACTTTGAGGTGCTGTTGCCCATCTTAGGAATTACAGTACATTGACTTTCGTTCAGGTTGTATGTTATCTAAGGTGGAAGATCGTTTCAAGCCGGGTACACTTGAGATATGTCACGTGCTGGAAGTGGGAGTTTCCCGGCTTGGGCCCCTGAAGAAGGGAGAGAGGTTGAACTTCGTTCATACTGCTCTATCTAGCATCCACGACGACGTCGCGCGTCGTCCTGTCGTAACGTGTAATCATGACGCTCGCGAATGACCTGATCTTACAACTCATCGTGGCCCTCAGGCTCGTCATCACCATAATCTGGCATGCCACCTGCACCACCCTCGTACAGCTTGCTCGTGATAGGATAGCGACGTTGGACAGCTTCTCGCGCTGCTCCTCAAAGTCTTCCTTCTCGGCAGTAGCATGGTTCTCCTCGAGCCAGTCAGTGGCCTCCTTGACAGCCTCTAGCAGGGTCTCCTTGTCGTCATCGTCGATCTTGCCGCCCAGACCTTCCTCGTCGTTGGCTTGGTTCTTAAGGTTGAAGGCATAGTTCTCGAGCGCATTTCGGGCTTCGATCTTCTCGCGAGTAAGCTTGTCTTCCTCGGCGAACTCCTCGGCCTCTGCAACCATGCGGTCAATGTCTTCTTGTGATAGACGGCCTTTGTCATTGGTGATGGTGATAGACTCGGCCTTGCCAGTTCCCTTGTCTCCTGCAGTAACACGCAGAATACCGTTCGCGTCGAGCTCAAAGGAGACCTCGATCTGAGGGACGCCACGTGGTGCAGGAGGGATTCCAGTCAATTCGAATTTGCCGAGAAGGTTGTTGTCCTTGGTCAAAGATCTCTCGCCTTCGAACACCTGAATGAGGACAACTGGCTGGTTGTCGGCAGCCGTCGAGAAGATCTGAGACTTCTTGGTAGGCACAACAGTGTTGCGAGGAATCAACTTGGTCATGACACCACCGGTGGTCTCGATGCCGAGCGTCAGTGGGTTGACGTCCATCAACACAACACCGTCTGTGCCCTCCTCACCAGTCAGGATACCGGCTTGAACAGCAGCACCGTAGGCAACAGCTTCGTCGGGGTTGATGCCCTTGCTCGCCTTCTTGTCGAAGTACTTCTCGATCATTTGCTGCACCTTGGGAATACGTGTTGAACCACCAACAAGCACGATATCGGTAATGTCGCTCTTCTTGACCTTCGCATCCTTCAGAACCTGTTCGACCGGCTTCAATGTCTTCTTGAACATGTCATCGTTGAGCTCCTCGAACTTGGCCCGGGTCAGTGTCTCGGAGAAGTCCTTGCCCTCGTGGAAGGCCTCGATCTCGATTCGGGTCGACATCTGCGAAGAGAGTGTACGTTTCGCTCGCTCAACCTCGCGCTTGAGTTTACCCATTGACTTCAGATCTTTGGTGATATCGACGTTATTCTTCTTGTTGTATAGCTTGACGAAGTGGTCAACCACACGTTGATCAAAATCTTCACCACCAAGATGAGTATCACCAGCCGTAGCCAGCACCTCGAAGACGCCATCATCGATCGAGAGAAGCGAGACATCGAATGTCCCACCACCCAAATCGTAGACAATGATCTGAGACTCGTTCTTCTTGTTGAGACCATACGCAATCGCGGCGGCAGTAGGTTCGTTGACAACACGCAGGATGTTGAGGCCAGCGATGGTTCCGGCATCTTTCGTAGCTTGTCTCTGGGCATCGTTGAAGTACGCCGGGACCGTGACGACAGCGTGGGTGACGCCATGGCCCAGGTAAGCCTCAGCAACGTCCTTCATCTTTCCGAGAACCATTGCAGACACTTCCTCCGGAGTAAAGGTGCGCTCCTTGCCGCTGACTTCGACCTTGACGACGGGCTTGCCATCTTTCTGGGCAACGGTGAAAGGGAAGTGCTTAGCATCTTTCTGAAGATCCTTGTCCGAGTACTTGCGGCCGATCAGACGTCTGTGAGTCTATTAGCGTGAATCTAGGGAATTTTGTATGGCGCTTACTTGATGTCAAAGATGGTCCGAGTAGGGTTGGCAGCATATTGATTCTTTGCAGCGTCGCCCACTAACCGCTCGTCATCAGTGAAGGCCACCCATGATGGTGTAATTCGGTTTCCTTGATCGTTGACAATGATGTCGACCTTGCCGGCTTTCATCACACCGACGCACGAATATGTGGTGCCCAAATCGATACCAATGACGGTACCATAGTTGTTGTCGGTGTCATTGAGAGGTGTCTGGTCCTCAGCATTGACTGTGCCGATGAGAAGAAGGGGGCAGATGAATATGAGAAGGAGGTAGAATATGGTGGTCCATTGGAATGTGGACGAGGAAGACGCTCGTCGCGCCATGATGAATACTGATCAACAGTATCAGTGGGACACTTGATGTCGCTCGATGGGAAAAGAAAGGGATGTTGAATGGAGGGTTCAACGACGATGAGGGTGCGCTCGTCGGCTGAAATAAATAATCCCGTGTTAATAATTTTGGGGCAATCGATAAAAGGGGACAACTGGCTTCACAGGGGCTTGCCAGCCAATCACAGGCGGCGGGAACTTTCTAGTGAAGTCCAATGAACAGCTGGCCTTTTTCCTCAACCACAACTTCACCATCAACCCCTATTGTTCAATCCTTCCTTCACCTGGAGATATCCCCAGTGATGACTCACTGGTAGGCCTTCGGGTACACAAGATCATTAACTGTAGCATCATAGTCAGGCACCCGCCTGTCTCATTCAGCGCGGTGTTCCTTCGTCACTTGGCACGCATCACCCTGTCCAGAGGATGAGGTAGGAATTCAGTCGACTCATGCCGCGACAGCCGTGGCCATGCACCATGGCGCGGCCTGGAGGTAATTCATTGACCATCTGAGCAGCGGCTCTGGTTCGTTATTCCAATTGCCAGGTGTTTGGCAGGTAAGATTGAAGGCAGCCTCATCGTCGAGGAAAGCTGTGGGATGCAGCGCACTGTCGACTTCGAAAGAAAAAGCACGGGCGGCCCTTTTAGTCCTTCGTTGATCGGATCGTCTCATCGAGGTCCAAGGGTAAAGAAACGCATGAATGTCTGGCTCTGGCCACAGTCGATCTGAGCGCTAGGCAACCCCGTGTTTGGACATGATGCCAAGACGATTACGCTAGCAACCAACGTTTTACAACATAGCAGTCAACGATACTCCTAGCCGTTGGAGCTCAGTCTCTGTGGACGCCTGGAGAGTCTACGATGGGCAGCTGTCATACTATCGCTGACTTAGCATGCCAAGTCAGGCGCTCGTGATCGCGAGTCTCGGTCTGATCCGGCGCGCGTGGTTTACGTTATCCTGGCCCGAACTTGGCAGAAATTCCGGGTTACAGCTCAGGGCTTGTTTTGGACACCTCTATCATTCGCGACGCTACCCGCTCGAGCAGCACTGGGGCTTCAGCAGGAACAGGAGTGATTGAAAGATTGTGCGAACATGATTGGTGCATCGGAGATTGAAATAACCTCATTGATCGACACACTTGCTTGACACCAGGCGAAGTCGCTTAACGCGTATCCTGACCACAAGGATGCTGACCGCAGTGAAGCCTTGGATCTAATTTTCAGGTCGCCGATGTCAATGATCAATGATCACGTCGAGCTTCACCAATTTCGGCGGGGCTATGCTGACTTGAATCTCATCGTGCCGTCAAGGCACTTACGTACTTAACAAAAGTGAATAGTTCATCGTATATATGAACGTCTTTTCTTTCGCAAACGCGCCTCAGCGGTCGACCCGAGCCATCGTTCGACTTCTCACACCAGATTGCAATGCATGTTTTAATAGCGCTCATAGGCCTGCTGGACCTTGGCTCAGCTAGTCCGACACCCAAACGCGACACTTCTGTGCCTCAATATGTCCTCGACTACGCGCCGCTTGTCAGGCTTGACACGACAGACAAATTTCTTCCAACGGACATCGCTTCAGTTCTGGCAAATACTCACCCAACCGATGGCAAAGGCGTGTCTTTGAATGTATCGGGACCACTCACCCTCGCCAACCTCGACCGACTGCAGGGCGAGGATGTCTTCCTGACCTCGAACGAAGGCATACAGACGATCGACCAAGGCGGTGTGCCTTGGACTCTCGGAGTCCTTCCAGATGCTAGTGGTAACACAACAGGCGCCACCGCCAGCGTGATCATAACAGCTGCCAAGGACGGCGACATCTTGGATGCGTTCTACTTCTACTTTTATGGTTACAACAAAGGTCTGGCGCCGTTCGGCATCACTGGCTTCGAATTTGGAGATCATGTAGGTGACTGGGAACATAATATGTGAGTGACGCCCTGCTTAACGACCACGTTCGAACGCAGCGTGGCAGCCGCAGCTGTGTCATACTGGGATATACTAATACCGTCTCTCAAATACAGGATCAGATTTAATTCCAGAACGGGCGAGCCACAAGCAATATGGTTCTCCCAGCATTCATCCGGCCAAGCATTTGAATTCGATGCTATCACGAAGGACTCCTCCGGCAATCGTCCGATCGTGTATTCTGCACGCGGTGACCACGCAAACTATGCAACCGCAGGCACACAACCGACTATCATCCCTGATCTGCCCTTTTCCGTCATTCTTCCCGACATCACCTCCGATGGGCCACAATGGGATCCTCTCAAGTCTTCTTGGTTCTACTCCTTCGATGTCGCCAGCAAGGCCTTCACGCCTATTCCGGATCCTGTCACATCTGCTGCTCCTCCGCCTGTTAATTGGCTCAGCTTTGTAGGACGCTGGGGCAATCCTCAGCTTCCGGAGGATGCTCCTGGACAGTTGGTCCTTCTGGGCCAGAGCAGATTTGATGCCGGTCCCACTGGGCCTATAGACAAGAGGCTGGATCGGGAGAGGGTTTGTAACGTGGATGACGATGAGCCTTGTGTGGTTTTGACGACGTTAACCCTGGGTACGGAATTCGGGCCCGAGGCCTGAGAAGGCGCAGGAAGGGCATGTCAAATGGGCTGCGGACATTCCCGAACGGTGACTTGCGCTTCTTTTCTGAGTCGATATTGTCGATAGCAGTAACATATATCATCAGTCCATACACTGGCTTTTCACGACGGCGCTGAGTGCTCTTGTCACCTATTTCGTACCTGCCTCAAACGAAAGCACTTCTCAGTCCAAGGCTGCCATCCGAAGTTGAAAAAGGTGTTTGCAGAGATCTTGTCATCCGGTCTGATGTAAGTCTGCCTTTGGGTCTGTACAAACCACCCTATTTTCGCTGTCAATGCACTGGTCCTTCACGAATCGAAACCACCACAGCACTGACGCGATGACCTGTAACCTTTGCTAGCTCCCCTGACAAAGGTCGCCTGACGGTGTCAATCCGTGCCAGTCCAGAGATACTCAAGCATCAAAGAGATTGTAGCTTTGGTAAGCAGCCTCGCACACTCGCAAAGTATGATGGCGGATCGGCCAATTCGGGACGCCATGAGCGTCATAGCTAGGTTACATGGCAAATCTCGAACCCCTTTCGACGTTGGACCGTGATGAGGCTCTGACTCTTAGCAGTCATCGCGGAAAGAGTCCGAAGATAGCACGATAGCCAGTTGCCGCTATTGCGATGGGCCATGTCACCGCGGGCAACGTTTCCGCAAACCCGTCGGTTTGTTCTACTACCTTGGGTCATGGCTTAGTAAACCGACATATCTCTCTACAATACTCCGACTTTATGACTGCCTCTCGCAATTCGCCCTTACTGAGTGCAGATTTCATGTCATGCTCGACCGTTTCTGCCAAGAGCTCATTCGCTACCGCGTTCGAAGCTGGCGCGTGCTTATTTGACCAGAGCCTAGATCAGTCTCTGATCAGCAGATCATATCTGAAGCTGCAACACAACACAATGCTCATGCCGTCGTCGGCTTACTGCATAAAAGGAGGGACAGGGCCGGCGGGCAGTCGTTGGACCAGTCCCTGAGACTGCCATACTGCAAAGCTGATGTGCCATTGAATGTCACAGATATTCAGCGACAATCATGGCTTTCCATCCTCGCAACGAAGCTGTTCGAGGCTCGATCAACAGCTCAGATCTCGAGCGACAACGTGAGATGGCCCCCGCCGAACCTCCCAGCGACGTCGAAATGAAGGCACTTGAAGCATCAGGCCCTTCAGGGCATTCAGCACAGTTGTCGAAGACGAAATCGATCGCCGAACAGCTACCTCTAGCACAGGAAATTCTGTTCGTTGGCGTTGTTGTCACCGCGCAATTCACCGCCCAAACCGGCCTGAACCAAATGATACCGATCATCTTCATCATTGGTGACAGCTACGGTGTCACGGATACTGCTCAGCTTTCATGGCTCATCGCAGGCTTTTCCCTGACCGTGGGTTCATTCATTCTGATCGCTGGACGGCTTGGGGATTTGTATGGGTACAAGAGAATGTTCATCATCGGCATGGCTTGGTTCTCACTGTGGTCCATGATTGGTGGCCTGGCTGTCTACAGCAACGCGGTCCTCTTCATCTTCGCTAGGGTCTTTCAGGGCATGGGACCCGCATTGACCTTGCCCAATGGACTGGCGTTGTTGGGAGTGAGTTATGCGCCAGGTCGGCGTAAGGATATGGTAAGTAAGACAAGGCACCGATTTTCGCATCACGCATCCAAGCGGCCTCCGCACGCGAGCCAGGATCATGATCAATGCTAACGCGAACAACAGGTCTTCGCAATCTTTGCGGCGATGGCACCTGTCGGTTCGGTGGTCAGCGCGGCTTTCGGGGCTCTGTTCGCTCTGGCATGGTGGCCGTGGGCATTCTGGGCCACCGCGATAACATTGGCTGCAATCGCAGTAGTGTCTTCCTTTGTGATCCCAGACCCACCCAAGAAGTACGACGCAGGACGGATGTCGTTACGGCAAAGACTCATCGCCCTCGATCTCGGTGGCGCGGCGGTCGGTATCACAGGTCTGGTCTTATTCAACTTTGCATGGAACCAGGCTCCCATCGTGGGTTGGAATGAGGCGTATGTTATCGTCTGCCTGATCCTTGGCATTATCTTCCTGGCAGGGTTCTTCGTCATCGAGACCAAACTCGCACCTGAGCCCCTTATACCCTTCGAAGCGTTGAACAGCGACGTCGCTTTCGTCCTCGGATGTACATCACTGGGGTGGGCATCTTTCGGCGTTTGGATCTATTATCTCTACATCTTTCTTCTGCGCATCCGCGGACTGCCTCCGCTTCTGGTGGCAGCACAGCTTTCTCCGATTCCGATCTCGGGCACTTGCGCTGCCATCATTACCGGGTACCTCATGTCCCGACTACGACCTGCCAAGATCATGGCTATTGCAATGTTCTTCTTCCTGACTGGTAGTCTCTTGACCGGGGCCATGCCTGTCCATCAAACATATTGGGCGCAGACATTCGTATGCATGCTCGTTATTGTATTTGGCATGGTGCGTATCCCCTACACCAGCAAGTCGGCCCTGCTGGCTCAGCTTTACTAACGTCGGCCAGGATATGAGTTTTCCAGCAGCCACTGTGATCCTGAGCAACTCTGTCCCGAAGAATCATCAGGGTATTGCTGCCAGTCTGGTAACTACTGTCGTCAACTACAGCATATCTCTTGGCCTAGGATTTGCTGGAACAGTGGAAGCGTACACGAAGACGGGTAGGACACCAGAAGAAGTGCAGTTGAATGGGTATAGACATGCCATGTACGTGGCTTATGGTCTCTCTGGGGCGGGCCTTGTGCTGAGCTTGCTGTTCGTGGCTAAGGACCATTTCAAGAAGCCGTTATAGCGACTTTATTGACGCTATTGTCCAGAATCGAAATGGAAGGAGTGATGAGCACATTCGGAATGTGAAGCCTGGTCTCGAGTAAGATTCACTGAGCTGAGACCGGATGAGTCAACGAGAACGTGTCATCCGGTCTGCTCTCAGCTTTCGGTAGACCGGGTGACTCCCCACGCACCTGCCTCGCAAAACACTCTCTACAGCAGTGCAGGGGCGATCGGCCGGCGACAATCACACCTGCGTAGCTGCACACTTTCTGCAGCGCTGCAGGCGCAATGTTCTGAGGGCATCCGCGCCTGCCGCGGTATACACCTGCAAAGTGGCAGGAGCGATCAGGTACCCAGCGTTCGCGCCTGCCTTGCTAGACTCTTCCGCAACACAGCAGGAGCGATCCGCTGGACCCACTCGCACCTGCCTCGCTAGACATATTCTGCAGCACTGCAGGAGCAATCGACTAGTGGCTTTCGCGCCTGCCTTGCTAATCACTTCCTGCAGCAGCGCAGGAGCGACTGACTCAGGCTAATCGTGCCTGCCTTTCTAGATACAATGTGCGACACTGCAGGAGCGATCGACTGAGGAGGTCCGTACCTGCCTTGCTAGATCCCTTTGGCAACGAGGCAGGAGCGATCAACAAAAGGCATTCGCGCCTGCAAGTTCGGACACTTTCTGCGGTAGGGGTGATCGATGCGGAGGACCTTCCTACGAGGGGCAATCATGACTGATGGCAGGAGTGCCGTGTTGAAGGCTTTATCGGAAGGCGAATCGTCAGATGAAGGAGGGATAAGAAGGATCAGGATAGATAGCATTGTAGAAGCAGGACACATGGTTGTACATTGTGTACAACTCAGACTAATGCTATCTGTCCGGTTTGTAGTTCCCACGAACGACTTCGAGCATCACAGGTGCTTTGACCTCCCCAGATACCGTCCGTCTCTTCAGCGAACCCAAGTCCTCACCATCCACGCCCGTCAGAATGGCCAGCGTACCGAAGTTCTTGCCGATCGGAACCTTTCTCAGCAGCAAAATCGCAAGCATAAGCAAACTTGTCAACAGCGGATAAACAGCCAAGACTAGATATAGCGGCCACGTGGCGCGCAGTGTTGGTTTGATAGAGATGATGCTATCTACCACGTTGTAGTGCGTCTCGTCGTAGTCTTGGTTTTGATGGGCAAAATATGGGTCCGCGTTCCAGTTCAACCACGACATTCGGGACCAGTACATCGCTGCCACGATTGTTGTGAACGACGGCATGGCCCATTCGGTATCGATGTACCTTTCCGTATCTGTGTAGTTTTCGGTGAAAATGCCGAGGTAGTCCGCAAGGGTGGGCATATACCATGTAGCAAAGGCTGGGATGGTGTTGGTAAAGATCCTCTGACTGACTTGAGGGAGGGCTTCGTCGCTGCAGCTGCCGTTGAGCAACACCACCGTCGAGGCAGTGACCGACCATGTCCCTCTACATTGTTTGCGAAACGTGTCGAACTTCAGGGCCTGCTCGTGGAATACGGTGCTGTCGTCTTCGGAACCGCGAACAACAGCGGCAAAGGTCGTGGACATGTACGCAACTAGTTCGACTCCCCAGAGGTCGTGAAAAAGACTGATATAGCCCCGTCCGTAAAGACTTGCGGACCCTAACTCATAGGGCTCCCAGAATGAGGGATCCGTCTGAGCGCCATCAAATTCGCTGTCGATTGTGGTAACGGTGCCGCGTACGTCTGCTTCGATTCTGAGCTCCTCGCCTGCGGAGAGCTTACCTCGCAGTGCTTGCACGTAGTCTGGTTCTGGCGCATCCAGTACTGCACTTGCGGTCTTGGACAGAAGGACTAGATTGAAGCCAAACGGCTGCGGGAGCGGAGGTAGCGGCGGTGGGGAGTCGGCAGTCCTCCAGTAAAGGAACAAGGGGAGTGTAGCGTTGGCCATCAGCGACAGACCTGTAATTCCGACTTGTTGTATACCAGGAGGGGCAGCCATCCCGTACATGCCTTCGGTATCGTGTATGTAGTGGTCGCTCTTACCGCCGATGAAACGCTTGTAAGCCACACTCAAGCCCAACGGTAAGCATAGAGATAAGAGTATCAGCAGTCGCCAAACTAGGCTGCTGTGTGATTGAAAGAGTTGGTTCCGGAGGATGGCATCGTAGTTCTGGAGCCATGACTTGCCGAAGCGCGCCTCGAATCGCAGAAAGGCTGTCGGCGCAATGTGGTTGAAGCAAAGGCTCATTATGCTCAAGAGGAACCCTACCAGAATGAGCTGGTTAGCAAATCCCAGTCGCCAGGCCAGGCTCAGGTTCGGCGAAATAGCTGCGACGCCTACAGCGAGGCAGGCAAAAGACACCAGAACCGCGAAAACGTCAAGAACATCGATCGGCCGCTTCGATCCGCTTGCGGCCCATCGCACGGCTGGTAAGGGCGTAGGACCAGGCTGTTCTATGACAGAATTGTTGGATTCATGCGTAACTTCCACTGGCCCGTATTTGTATTCAGGCATTGCCGTCTGAGGCTCAATAGCAAGTAGAATCAGCAATTGAAGAACGTAGGCCAGCGTTACTACTGTCAGAGCAAGTGGTAACATATGTACCTAGGTACTTTTGGGGTCCAAGACGGGCGACCGGTGACGATAAGGAGGCTTGTGATCTTGGATATTGCGCTAGCGGTCGTGTAGTACTAAGCTGCTCCACTGTTCTGCCTAAGACTGCCTCATTGTTCTTGGCTGTACGCATGTTGTGGTCTGTGAGTCGCTGGCAACGAGCACAGCCCAGAAGAAACTTGGTAACACCGTTGAGGACAGCTGCGCTATCGAGGATGTTTTCCGCTTTCCATGAGTTCGAGAGCGAGGTAGGTGTTTAGTGGCTCAGGGCGCTAGCTTGTTGACGAATTTAGTCATAAGCTCGTCGATTACCTCGTACGCTTCTTCTGGCAGATAATGGCCCCTCTCATCACCAACACCAACGCACTCATAGTCGACGCCATCAGCCACCCATTCCCGCCATTCAGCCTCACAATCCATGGTGTCACCAAATCGCGACTTACTGTAAACGACCAAGGTCGGTATGTTAATCTTGCGGCCAGCCTGTTGATCACTTTCCTCCTCAGTAACATCCTCTTGTGCTCCAGCCCGGTAGTCCTCGCAGGTATATCTGGTAGCTTCCTCGCTCGAGAGAAGCTCTGCATAGATGTCATTAGCGTTGTCAGCCGCTACCCTAGCCTTTCCAATTTCTGATGGTCCTGCGACACGCTCGTTTGCGCTTCTGATCCATTTAGCAGCGCCATACGACTGGATCATGCCCACAGCCGTTTCGACGTTTGCCATAAAGGGCCAATGAAACAGCTGACTAGCGACTTTCGGATTGTTGCACACCCGCCACTGCACTGAGATCGGCACAACTTCGAGTATGATAGTCCCGAGAGCCTTGATTGGGTATCGGTCCACGTCAACTGCTAGGCGATGGCAGATGTGGCCACCGCGGTCGTGGCCGCCGAGAATGACGCGGCGATTAGGGCCAAAGACACCGACAAGCGCTTCGAGGAGCGTGGCCCCGATGGCACCCTTGTCGTTCTGCTTTTGAGGAGTCGAGATGCCGTAGCCTGGAAGCTCAGGGACAAAGAGTGAAATTTTGTTGTTCAAAAGCGGGACAAGATAACGCCACCTGGAGTTCAGTCAGTCTGCCGGGCGATGGCGTTCATGGGAGGTGCAGAGACGAACTCATATGCCGACTGCGGCCAGCCGTGGATCAGGGTCAGTATAGCAGAATCGGAACCTAGGTCGGACGTGTAGCTGTGGACTTCTGAGCCTCCGTGTGTCTTGGTAACGTTGTGCTTCAGGCCGTGCGAGGCAAAGCATTCTTGCGTCTTGATAGCTGCCATGTTTGCAATGAAATGCTCTTCAGTGACCTCTGTTGTTGGGATGATAGGGTACCTTGGCAAAGGGGATGCCTCCTACATATCTGATTAGCCTTACCGGTTCCTGATAAAGTTCAGCTGCGTATAGGCATTTGTAAGGCCTCTCAAGCAGCGCGAGGCTAGCGGTGACATTGCCATTTCTGTGTGTGAGTTACTGATGGCAGACAGAGCGACCAAAGCTAGAGAGTCACATCTGACGTCGTTAAGTTCGATCGTCGAAGGGGTCTCATGTCATTGAGGTGTTGTTGGCAGAGGGAGCGGCCACGACGCGGTTGCTTCCTGCCGGCACCGCCACAGCCATAAGCATATTTGACATAGTCAATCACTCCTGGCCTGCTATCCTGACTCGCTGAACTCAAGGATATCATATAAAGGTGACTGTCTCGATGCGTCGAAGTGCCGTCGGCCAGACCTTTCGCCAAGAGCGACGGTTTTCTAACCACGCATGTACGGAATGCACGCTTACGTGAACGCCTATCAATTCTCGGGCTTTACCTAAGCAGCCTTCTTTTCAGGCCAACCACGAACAGCCTCAGCCGGATGGCCAAACAGAACATTCATGCCGCGACCGCATTGGCTGCTTCTCAATGTCGTTCAGACGCGAGTGAATTAGGAAGGTCCTTCGCATTGGGCAACGTTAGAGACGCGGCTTGCTCTTGGTCGTGCAGTCGCGAAATGTGAGCTTCTCGAAAAGTCCGAGATGACGTATCGTCAAACGATTCTGCGGCGGTCGGGCGGTCGAAGATCAGCTCCTACCAGTGATCCCACAAGCCATCATCACCCGCTGCACAGTGCAATCGACAGTGTCTGGCCATGCTGAACGTTCTCGGGCTAGCAACACGGGGCCTTGAACTCAGTACCGAAAGATGCGATCTGAACGACTCACAAGCCGATCGAGTAGTATGACCTTGGATCCATTCCGCGGCAAGCACTTCTTCGGCCCCCACAACAAGCAAAAGCACATTGTCTTGGTTGTCTACATTCGCACATAGCGTCGAAAATTGCTTATCGCAGCTTCTAGTGGCCGCAAGTACCTACGATACTCCGCCGAAGCGAATTTGGAGCAATTTGAGGTCGGTTGCACCGAACTTGGCATCGCCTCGTGAAGTACTAAAATCCACGCTACCTGGTATTGCGCAAGGCGCCCAGCAAAATCATTGCTATTTCGTCCACGGAAGACCGAGTAGAACTAACACAAGACCCTGCCTTTTCGCTTGGCTTAGCTATGGCCTGGACGAGAAGCAAGGCCGATGTCCTGGCCTTGGGGCGGTGGATATTACGAACTTACGATCCGTGATTCTGGACCTACGAATCTGCTAGCAAGATGAGGCGGACAGTATATAGTGTCCGGTCACAGTCTCTCGGGCGAAAGATCAACCTTGCTTCTATATACTCGTGTCCCACGCCTCTGGCAGCCATCGGGAATCTGTGAGCAATATAAGGTATAAGTGAAGCGGTACCACTCCCTGTTTATGCACGCTAAGATACATCCTCGTCGTCCTCCGAAAACAATTACTGCAAGGCAGTAGCTGCTGGTGTGCGCAAAAGCAGTCATCTTGGTAGGTGCGACAGCGGCTGATCTTGCTTCGACTCACAGATCTCTTGAGAGCACAACAAGCGCAGTGTTGCTGCCGTGTGGGGAAGAACCACAGTGTCAGTCCCAAGTGGTCCTCACGGCACCCCAAAGCCCGCCTCGAGGTCGACTTGCGAGACAGATTCAATTCCTCCCTCACTCGACCCTGAAAGCTAGCAATCATATCCGCATATCAGCTGCAAGACCGCAATCATGGGGTCTATCGCTCCCAACACAGAGCCTACTGCGCAGTCCGAGATGATGTATCCGGCACCTCTGGAAGCCAACCGCGATGCTGGTCTTAGTTCGACTACCAACGGTGACAGTGCCATCGACATCGAGACACCAATACTGGTCGTCGGCGGTGGCCCAGTCGGCATGCTGCAGTCACTCATGCTAGCCCGACTCCACAATATCAAGTCAGTGCTCATAGAAAGAGAGCCAAGCACGACTACATTTCCCAAGATGGAGTACACCAACGGCCGCTCCATGGAGATCTATCGCATGATGGGCCTCGCAAAAGACTTTCGCGCTATGGCCAACCAGTATGTGCCTGACTCGGCGAGCTTCACGGAGCTCAACGTGACGAGTCTGGTTGACAGCGCCAACGGGGGGCCCAAGGCGAAAATGATTCATCCGTGGATTCGCCCGAGCGTGGAAGATATGAGAGCTGAGAGCCGCAAGGTCAACGATGGTAGCAAATATTTGGAACCACACACGCGGTGCCATCAAATTCCTGTGGAGGCGTGGCTCAAGCGAAAGATCGAAGAGCTGCCTGATCTCATTGAGGGGCACTGGGGCTACAAATTTGTCGGGCTGGAAGAGCGGGACGACGATGTAGTCGCAGAGGTGATCACGGATGGTGGACGGACTGTACGAATTAAGGCGCAATATGTTATTGGGACCGATGGTGGCGGTTCCTTCGTGAGGAAAAGTGTTGGTCTCGAGAGCAAAAGGAACTACCTGTAAGTACTATCAGAGCCCTCCGGGAACTACTAGCCGCTCTTTGACTGCTCGAATTGACACGTCACAGAGACATGACCGTGGCATTCGTCCACATCCAGTCGAAGGCCTTGCGAGAAGCCATGAACAAATTCCCGCCGTTCTGGCACATCAACGTCCTTGGCGGAGGTCTTGCGGTCTCCCAGAACGAGGACGATCTATTCACTCTCGTAAGTTGGCGATACTATCATGACTCTCAATCCAAACTCAAACCCCTACACACCACTGACAACACCAACACAGCACCTAGTCCTCCCTCCCGGCGGCGACGCCACACACATGACCCCCAACGAGCTCGTCGACGCGACCATTGGCGGCTGCAACGGCCCGCAACCCATGGCGATCGACAAAGTCTTCTGCCGTGGGCAATGGAAAGTCGACGTCGCGATCGCCAACCTCATTCCGCTCTGCCAAGGGCCGCGTGTTCCTCGCCGGCGACTCTGCCCACCAGCTTTCCCCCATTGGCGGCCATGGTCTCAATTCTGGTCTTGCGGACGCCTTCGACCTTGCGTGGAAGCTAGGTGCCGTAATGAAGGGCTGGGCTGGTGAGGGCCTGCTGACGACATACGACACTGATCGGCGTGCGATCGCGCACAAGAATATGGATACCGTGCATTTCGCTCTAGCGAATTGGGCGGGCAAGGTGTGGCTGGAGCCGATTGGGAAGTATGGGCTGGAATTATTGGCAGCTGATACGCCGGAAGGGGAGGACGCTAGAAGGGGGGCGGCGGAAGGTATGGCACCCGCGGGGTGGATTCACAACCAGAATGGCAATATGCTAGGGTACCAGTATTTGGATAAGGGGACGGTGATTGTGGAGCAGGAGGAAGGGGAGAGGCCGATCAGTGATCTGGACATATACCTGCCGACTACGTATCCCGGGTCGAGACTGCCGCATGTTTGGACGAAGGAGGGAACGAGCACATTGGATCTTCTGAAGGGTGATAGTTTCACGTTGATTGACTGTTCAGCGGAAGCTGCGGCGGGCAAGGTGTTCGAGGAGGCGGCCAAGGAAGTCGGCGTGCCATTGCAGATTGTGAGGCTGCACGGGGAGGATAATGTCAGGAAGATTTACGAGAGGGAGGTGATTCTGGTGAGGCCAGATATGCATGTGTCTTGGAGGGCCGGGGAGGGTGTTGACGCTGGTGACGTGACCGCGGAGAATGCAAGGAACATCTTGAAGAAGGTTGCTTGTCTATAGCTTCTGAAGTGGTGATGGTTTCAAGGAGTCTTATCTTATCGATGGTCAGTCACCGGGTGTCGGAACGCGTGTAATTATGCATAGGCAGAGTAGCAAGAGAGGTAGAAATGGCGCTCTTTTGAAGCCAAGAGTCATGAGCCAATCGTCGGAACAAGATGGCTTGACCGTCAAATGTAAATATCCTGATCGTCAGAACGAAATGGCTTGAGCGTCAAGTCTGAATGACTTGCTCGTGAAGTGAGTCTTGCTTGCAATATGAGTGCAGTAAAATTTTGATAGCGACAGCGCTCTCCCTGGGGGGCAACGCGCAGAATCAGTCTCAGCTTTAGCAGTCCTCCAGTCTAGTCGAATGACCCCCGTCAACCGGCCTGGCGGGCGCCCTCAATTGTCTTGTCAACCGGTCTTGAGCGGAGGATGTAGCACCAAGGGTTAGTTGCTTGACGTCTGTAGCAAAGCATCAGGCCAGGCACAGCGGCCTGTAGGGGTCACGTAGAACTAAAGATATTTGAAACCTTCCACGTTCGACTGTACTGGGTTCATGGTTGCGAAGCTTGCACTCCATTTTTGACGTGTAAGAATACTAATATGTACAAAGAGGCCACCAGAAGCGGTAGCCTGGCATGCCGAGGGTCTGTTTCCTACCGTAATCTCGCCTCATGCAGCCATGATTAGGCCATACATGCAATCAGCACGTTCCTGTAGTCGCCCGATGTCTCTCCACGTATCCGCTCCAGCAGATCCTTCTTGTACTTATGCTGATACGCCCGCTTGACCTGGTCCTTGTGAGCTCTATTCCAGTGACACGACACCACTCTGTGCACCAGCAAGCGGTCCTTTGTGCCCATTCCAGCCATCGCAGCCTCAAGCATGCGAGCATCAGACATTGCAGGATCGGTCGCGCGGTCGAGCATGAGAAGTAGGGCATCTTCCATGTGTCCGCCGTATACCCTCTCTAGCTTGTCTCGTAGTGGTTTGCGGTGCTTGTTCTGGAAGGCTTGTGCAATGGCACGAAGTTGTGCGTCGGAGCGAAGCGCGATGATATTGCAGACTGCAACTTGTTCGCCGGACGAAGCAAGAGCCCGGTTGAGCTCGTTGACATCGCGGTCAATTGATTGCGGGTCGATAGGTGTGTTCTCTTCTGCGCGATTGGCGCGAAGAACGATACGGAAGAGGTCCTTCGTCTTCATGCTGAGGTCGCCGTCCACATCGGCTTCCATACGGCGGCTGAAGAGCCTCTGGTAGGTCTCCTTGATGGCGCGAAGGTCGGCGTTCGAGCGGCCGAGGACCACGTGTTGAGGAGTTGCTCGTTGGTGCCGGCGCCGACAACTGCTGACTTGACGCTGTGAGCGTCTTGGATCAGTGGGCCACGGACAAGCGCTATGAGAGCCTCTTTGAAGTACCGGGAGGTTTCGTCTTCGATATCCTTTTCCAGGTCACGGCCACGGTGGATCTGGCTGTAGGTTTGGCTCAATGTGACTACTTGAAGTGGATCAAGGGGTGCTAGTACTCTGATGAGCTCCTTTTCGTTCGTGCCGAATCTGCTGCACCATTAGTAAACCGTTCCGGAATGCTGACTTTATGTAACTTGCCCTTTCATAGCCGCTCTCAGTGCATTCGCATCGGCCGTCGCGTTCCAGCCTTGAGCGCCCTGACCATACACGTATCCGAGTGATGGCTGACCTGGCGCACCAGGACCTCCAAAGCCACCTTGAGGCGGTCCGCCGTGTGGAGGACCAAAATTCTGCCCAGGGGGCCCTGGCGGCGGCGCAAATTGACCAGGCGGTGGGCCGCCGGGTGCACTCCACTGTTGCTGCTGACCAGGAGGCGGACCTTGAGGCGGGCCCCATTGTTGGCCTGGCGGCGGTCCTGGAGGCGCATTCCACTGTTGAGGCTGCTGCTGCCATTGCTGCTGAGGAGGCCCACCCTGCGGCGGTCCATATTGGTTATGTCCTCCTTGCCAGTTCGGCGGTGGTCCCTGAGGTGGTCCCCATTGCTGTTGCTGTTGACCATACGGCGGCTGCCCACCCTGAGGTGGCGGACCACCGTAACCACCGTAGTTCTGTTGGTTGTATGCCATGCGTGGGAAGAAACTGTCTGATGGATGTGATTGGTGAGATGTACGGTTGAACTCGGCGATACTCGATGGTGCGAACCAGATATCTATGCAGGAAGAAGTGCGATACGAAAGTGCGGGCTGATTGAAGCGTTTGGGCTGATCAAATAAGGCAGATTCAGTGGTGATTGGAATGACGCAACACCCCAAGGCAATGCCTCGTAAGGTGGCTTGGCGGAAGGATCGACCCCGCGCTTAACCAGTGGCGGGCCGCAGAAATTCTGCCTCGTGTGGCTGTGCAAGGGACAGTCACGGAAACGCGGCGGTTTACACGATGTTCACGTCTTGAACGCCACTTCAAATTTTACGCGTATCGCGTCTGTCTCTTTGGTTGACAATGGTAGTATTCAATTCTGGATGCACCCATCATTGAGGCGAGGCGCAAGTTGCAAGTGCCAGGACATCGGTCCCCATGAATGAGGATCTGCCTGCCAGAGCCACCACACGTTCGATCGGGAATGCCCTTTTCAGCCGGCTTGAATATGCTGCATCCTGAAAGTTCTTCGAAGGTCCGGGAGACAAGAGTGCGTTGACATCGCTGATCCCTCAACGCGTTCATGATCGATACTGCTACCGTGCTTCAATCTACTGACACCACCAGAAACAGCCTGCATGAACGGAACACTTGGTGAGAAGATGTTTCAAACCATGGAGGCCATCTGATGCACGACTTGACGAACATGGCAAGCCCAACTCGGTCGACAACAGTAGCCTTGGCTTAAACATCGGTTCTGCAGGCCAGATTTAGGACCATCACCTGCCAGAGTCGCAACTGCTGTGTATGTAATCCTTAGGACGTCCTTTCTGGATAAGCCAGAGTGCTGCGTTCTGAAGATTCGACGATAGAGTGTTGCTCGAATAGCTTCCATCCCTTGGGGCCTCCCAGGAGATAGCTATGCACTTTACCCGACTATCTTCGTCACCAACTTCCCCCGATTCCCTCCTTCGAACAGCATATGCCATGTCTTCGGGATGTCCTCGAACTTCGTTGGGACCACAGACTCCGACTCCTCATCAATCTTCAACTTCCCTTCCTGTGCAGACTTGACAAGCAGCTCAATCGTCTCCTTCGCCTTGCTGAGATAGTCCGTGACTATAAAGCCTCGGATGGATAGTCTCTGGAAGACAGTGTACATATAGTCTGTACGACCAGGTCAGCCTTCATCAACCACATCCATCAGCCTCAGCAAACTCACTCTTAAGCACAGTCGGCTCATCATCATTATACCCACTGATCCCACCACAAGCAACCACAACCCCGCCCTGCTTCAAATTCGCCAACATCTCATCCAGCGTCTCCCCCGCCACATTATCAAAATAAACATCCACTCCATCCTTCCCACACGCCTCCCCCAACTGCTCCTTCCAATCCTTCGCCTTATAATTCACACAAACATCCGCCCCCAACTTCTCAACCCACCGACACTTCTCATCACTCCCCGCCAACCCCACAATCTTCCCACACCCCACAATCCCCTTGGCAATCTGCACAACCATACTCCCCGTCGCGCCCGCCGCACCACTGACAACAACCGTCTGCCCCGCCTTCGCCTCCCCAATCACCACCAGCCCATAGTACGCCGTCAACCCCGTCCCGCCCAACGCGCCCAAGTAGTGACTATAATTCAAGCCCTGCGGCGGCTCCGGCGTAGGCAAACACTCCTTGTCATCCACGACCGCGTACTCAACCCAGCCCATCGTGCAACTAACCTTGTCCCCGACCTTGAACTTATCCGATTTGGACTCGAGGACCTCACAGATGCCGCGGGCGCGCATGGGCCCGTTGAGGGCGACAGGCGCGACATACAGGCCTTTCGTCTCGTTGAGCCAGGCGCGTTGGGCCGGGTCGTTGGACATGAGGAGGGTTTTGATCAGGAGCTGGCCATCCTGGAGTTCGGGAAGGGATTTGGTCTCAGCTGGAAGTTGGCATTGTCGCCCTTGTAGGTGGGTAGGTCTTTGGGTCGGGATTTGAGGATCCATTGCTTCGTTTCGGTGGGCGCCATGACTTGATCGGTCTGGTTCAGGGTTGCTGCGGAAGGGAGTTGGTTGCCGAGATGATGGGGATGGAACTGATAGTCCAAGTTCCCTATCTATGGAGATGCCCAAGTACTTATCCTTATATCTGCCTGCGAGCGCAATGCGGCCTGTTGTTCGCCCACTCTATAGTGCCTGGATATGCAACTATTTCAAAGCATCCGTCTCTTGTTATCAAAGAATTTCCTAAAGCGTCACCGAGATCTTACATATCCTGCAAATCAATGATGCAAGGCAATACCCGAGGACGCCGGTACCGAGGCATGGCGGGATGACCGCAATGCTGCGGGGCAGCGGGGGCTTGTTGAGCCTGCGTCCCGTGAGGGATTGCCATACTCATATTCGTTGTTCACACATAGATGAATTGACGACTATCAAGACAAAGAACAGAACGTGTGGGAAATCAGGCAAGAGGTGGTTTTGCTTCAAGCAATAAACTAGTGTGGCAGATGAGAAGCTTCGATCACTTGGCTGGCATTGGACGCCCAACGTGTCTGTACGGCCTTGGTCGACGAGCATCACAAAGGTTCTGCTAGCTAGAGAGTTGCCTGGGTGTTCTGCTGTGCCTTCGCTGAAGCGACGTAACACATTCAGACCGAACAAAGATTTCCGCAATGATATCAGAGCCCGAACTATGCGCGATCCGTCCAAAACAGCCGTCAAGAACGCTGAAAGGGGTATCAACCCGCCGATGCCATCGCTCGTAGCCCCTCAGATGCAATGCAATACATAGCTCGCCCAAGAACTGCTCCCGCCGAGCATACCGCACAATCGTAGACCCACGAACGCTAGAAACATCCTTTGCTCTCATCAATCCCCGTCAAAGCATCCCAAACCCCCTCCCCTCCATCACAGCCTTCACCAGCCTCTCCCTCAAAACCTCCACCCAAGTCAAACTCCCTTCCCTGCCCTCTCTTCCCTCATTGGGCTCCGGCGGCATCCCCTCCCTCTCCCCAGCAACGCGGTACCTTGGCAGCAAGAACCTCCCGTAACACGTCGAGCTACTCGGCAATCTCGCCTTCCATCCGCCCTGTTCATCCTTATCACCACGCCGCTTCCTCTCCTTCTCGCGCTCGATCAGCTCCGGGCGTCCAACTAAGCCAGCCATATCAGAGAAGTCTTCGGTCGGTGCATGAACAATACTGTCGCCGTTCTTCTGAATGACAAAGCTACCCAGTTGTAGACCGCCCGCGGGAAGGCGCTCTGACGCCGTGACAAACTCTAGCAATGCTTTCGCAAACTCGGGATCTTTGGCTGTCTCCTGCTCGACGACAAGCCAGAATGCGCGAATGTATCCTTCTTCTGGGTCGTAGCTGTCATAGGTGGCTATGGAGCGAAGGTCTTGCGTGGTGACGACACGGTGACCCTCAACGAGATCGCGAAGTTGCTGTGGGGTGAAGAGAGTGAGTGCCTTGGGTGGGAAGCAGGTGTGTAAGCCTTTGACGAAGGCGGAGAATTGTGGTTCGATGGTGGTGTTGGTGAGGTGAGCGATGTAGGCGGTGACAAAGGACTGGCGGGTGGCATTTGTAACGAGAGGTGGCTCTTGTCGTGGTCTCAGAGGACTGGACGCTCTGGGCGGTGAAGAGTCTGCTGAGGAAGGTGGCGATGGGGCAGCTGGACCGGGTCCATTGTCCGCACCTGATATCAGCGGCACTGCAGTGTCAGCAGGCGCCGTTGCTGTTGCTAGCGGCTTCTTTTCCTTCCTTGGGGTGTCTGCTGACGGCTGCGGCGAGGAGCATGGTGATGTCGCTCGTTCCTTGCCCTTCTTGCTCGGAACCAGCCTCCTTCCAGCCGCTGCCTTCTTTCGCATGTCAATGGTATATACCGCTCCACCAAAGTCATAAGAGAACTCATAGGTTCGACCGATATCCTCCGCAACGTTGCCGTCATACTCAAGCAGGTATCGCAAACCCTTCGCGAGCACAGGCCAGCCATCTTCAATATGCTCAAGTTTCGTCACCTTGAGACCGAGAATCTTGCGGTAGAACGCCAACGGCATCGTGATTGGCAGGGTGATGGCATTGTACAGTGCCAAAGACATGAGAATTCCAATCGCTTCGAACTTCCACGACGGCTCAAGGCTACCAGGTTGGAACCATGTCATGTGCGTGCTCTGATCGACACTGAACATCCCGTAGTCGGGTTTGAATGCCTCAGCGAAAGCTAGACGAAAGAATTCTTGCTGCACACCACCATGATCGAGGCCATCCTCGCCTCCTTCTCGACCTAGGCGCACACGCAGTGGACGGAGCACTTCCCGCTTCTGCCGCCTCCAGAGTTGGTCGAGTGCGCTTCCGAGGATGTCGTCACGACGTATGGTCAGGACAAAGTACTTGGCCATAAAAGGCCGCAAGGAACTGAGCACGTCTTCGCCACTGTAGACCGGGATGGGATTGGTGTGCAAGTAATGCAGCGCATCAGTGTACACCATGCTGGCCTGATCAAATGATGTCCGCATTGTTGAAGCATTTATGGTGCGGAAGTACTTAACCAGTGTATTGTCCTCGAAGAGGAACGGGTAGGAAAGAATATGCGTTATCCGGCCTGTTGGCTCGAAAGTCAACCATCGTACTGGCTCTTCCATCTCGTCCAGGGCATCGCGAACAAACGCCATAGGCCAGAAGCCTACCTCCACAAGATCTGGATGATTGTACAGACTTGACAGAAGCTCCAAAGCTCCCCCGACTGCGCCTGTCCGAGTCACAATTGGCTCGCGATCCCAATCTGAGAGCAAGACAGTGCGAGCAATGTCAATCAAACCATCGACAAAGGCATAACGGACCACATTGTAGATGTGTTCATCGTTGTCTAGGCCACCGCAGACATTCGCAAAGAGTAGCTCGATGATTCTATCGATGATATTGGACGGTTTGCTTCGCAACGACGATTTGTGCATACCGATGTTCGCAGCTGCGAGATGATGGCTGATGCAATCCGTCACAGCCGCACACAGACGTCTCCGGTACCAGTTGTGCGTTTGATCAAAGCCATCGACTACGGCTCGAGCAAATATTACAGAATCGGAATCTCTGCTGTTAGTAAAATTGAGGCTTGTGACATTGTCGTTCTTCCAACGAGCCATAGCGAGAAGCACTACGGTATTAGAATCGTTCCACTTCTCGGCGGTAAATGCCGGCGAGACCAGAGCCAAGAAAGTTATGGCGAGAAGTCTCGAAATCTGTTTGTGGTCGAGGACATTCGCCGGTGTCCTTATGAGGCCCGTCTCCTCCGCGTTTCTGATGGAATGGTCAACTAAGCCTCCACCTGATCGCTTTAACATCTTGCGTTGCGACTTGGCAGCTTGCTCACCGTGATAGCCCGGATGGCTAATGCTGTAACACTGTTGCAACATGTCATGAAGAGGGCCATATAGTAGATCTGTCCCACCCGGAACCCGGGACAGGGGCGCGAGATTGGCGGCCAGAGCGCCTGAGCAGAATTCATCAACATAAACCTGTGACTTTGTGGACTTCGGATCGACTTCGTCGGAATCTGTGCCGTGCGTGACCTTGTGGGACCTGGTTCGTGGAGGATAGCTTCTAGCAGGCTGTCGATTGCAAGAGTCGAATACAGATGAGAGCTGCATGAGCTTGCTGCCGTCATTCCAGGTTCGTGCGGACTCCAGAAGCCGGCTGGGATCTCCAAAGACATATTGCACGCTCTGCATTACAAATCGTAGCAACGGTCTTGGAAGGACAGGTACGCAGTCAAGCTCAGCTGTCAAACTTGTGAACAACCAGTGCATGTTCTGGAGAGATAAGCGTCGTAAAGTGAAGCCACAAAGAGCTGTATTGGTGTAGATCGTGCGGTCTGCAGGTGGAGTCGAGCCACCACTCATAGTATCGTGCTCAACAAGGCTGGCATGGTGTTGATGATCATGCTCCGGATGCTTCTCACGCTGCTCAGCATACGCATCAGACGCCGGCTCAAGCTCCAGATTGGTCAGAGACAGGGTATTCCATAGTCGCTGGGTGAAGGAAGCGAAGTCGAGTTTTTTGTTGCCGCCCCCGGAGACTTTGTCATTAGACAGCTGTGAAGCAGATCGATGATCATGACTTGCTGTATCTCGGTCGTCGACTGAATCAGCGGCACTGTTTGAACTGCTCTCCTGAGTCTGAGGGGCGTCATTTGATATGCCATGCTTGGTCTTGTACCTGGCTAGCATTGACTTGTCCACGATGTCATCCTCGACGCGCCATCTGGCAACTGGGCTGCTTCCATCGGACGCGGTCACCAGGTACCTCACGACTCCCTCTACGTGAATTGCGTGGTCCACGATGGTCTGGTCATCCTGCGATTCTCGTGGGCTCGTTCTGTCTCCAGAATCTCGACGAGGCCGCTGTGTCTGGCCACCCTCAACAAACTCATCTGCTTCGATGGTGTCGCTCTTCCTGCGAGCTGCGGACCGGTCCCTCACATTCGCGGGCCGATCTCGCACCACCTTTGCTGTGATGTCGACCGGCGGTTGTGCATGTTGTCGACGCCCGTTAGGCTGGGCATCATCCGAAGCCTGTCCAGAGAACCGCTGTTCGGACGGTGTCTTGATATGACCATTTGGAACGGGCGACCTGACCGTGTGCTCTGGGTCCGACTTCGTCTTTCTGCGTGCATGTGTAGTCCTAGGATCTTGATACCATGGGACCACGGGCCTGTTCAAGCAAAGCCCATCGACCGGGTCTTTCCTGCTCCTGGCACATTCTTCCACCAAGTGCCCCGCTAGAGCCCGTGCACTGGTCTCCGTGTGCGGCCGTAGAGGCGTCTTGCTGTTCCTCTTGCGGTAGCTGAGACATGACGGTGCAATGCAGCGGCGGTTGTGGCAGCCATACAGTATCTGATTCTCATAGCGACGCAGCACCTGCCGGAGGCGACGATCGCGTTCATTCCAGACGTTGCGATATGAGTCTCTGGGCTCCTCCGGAAGCAAGTCCTCGACGATCGAAGGTGGTAGTGAACGTAGGGCCTGCGCGCGGCGTTGGTGGTAGTCGTCCGTCGTGCCCACACCAAGTTGGGACGGCGATACGACCCTGCCATCGGACGCTATCATGGCAGGAGCAGCAGCGAGAGCTCATGAGGTGATTGACATATGCAGTCTAAATGTCACATATTGTTATGTGGTGGTTGCAGGATGGTACGAGGTGTGCGGCCAGATTTATCTGCGGTGTTCGTGTTGCGGGCCTACTTTGGTAGCGGGTCGAAGATGGCGCCTGGTCATTCCTCGAGTCACGTTCTTGCCTTCACTAAAAAACAGCGCAGGAAGGTGAAATTAGGATGTGTTATACATAAGAAGCAGCTACGCATCGCCCTTGGTCCACTGCACGAAGCCGGATCTGCCAGTGGTAGGCTGCGTGGCGGCTTCCTAGGCGCAACACAGCATGTGCTTTCCCAAAGCCATAAGGTGAGTCCACTGTACTCGGGCGCTCTTTTATACATATGGCCACCGCATGCCCTTAAATCGTGGCACAATATCTCAGAGTCCCTCCTAGACGTACGCCCGCTATGCAAATGTGATCTTTCGTCGTGAAATATCGAAAAGAGGAGAGGTCCTTGAATGCTGTAGTTTTCTTTCGGAACGGCAGAGCGCTGCTTAGATGAAGTGAGGGACGGTGGCCATTTCGAGTCAAACTGTTGCCAGCTTCCCTGCTTCTGGAGGAACCGAATTTGGTGGTGGCAGCTGGTAAATCTCGTCAATATCATATCATCACAAGGTGGGCGCTACTCACATCTAGCCGCGTCTGCTCCGCCATCATGCGCTGGATCCCAATACCAACACCCTCAATGACGGCAAGGAAGATCCCGCACATGATGGCTCCGTTCCGCGCTGCCTTCCATCCTCCTCTTACAGCCAGCGAGCCGCCGGTCAAAAACCCAGCGATAATTGAGTTATAGGGATCCTCCTTTTTTCGAATGCCCTTGACCGCGCAATCGTATGTACTGAACATGCCGCCCCATACACCGAAGTTGCCGCCTGTCACCGGTGCTCGCGCCTTAATGGCTGTGATCATGCCTATTCTCCGCTCGCCATATGGTGAATTTCTGAAGCCTTTGATGCCGTGCCAGACTGAGCCGCCAATGGCGCCCATTGAGAAGGCACCGCCAAAGTCTGATAGTGCGACCCATGGGCAGGGGTCTCGTGAATGGTCCATGGCCGTGTGTGCTCTTGTATCTGTCCTCGCCGCAGGAGCTCTGCAAGTGAAGCCTCAATTTCTTATTATGGCGATGTTGTGAAAGGAAAGGCCGGTGACCGGGTAAATGTCGTCTTCGAAGTGACAAGCGTATTTGTGCGCTGGCGTCGCCAAACAGCTTGCCGGAGGGATTGGTCGGATTGAAGAATGATGGATGATACTTGATGTATAGAATTAGATTTCGATGCGGCGACGATCGTAAAGCGATGGGAAAAATCTTGATCACGTGATCAGATCTTGCTACTACTAGTTCGGATCTTGTCGGACACTGGCAATGGTGACGAGACCGACCTCTCTTCATCCTTACCCATGTTGTAGAGCAGCTTACAATCGTGGGATAGCGACATAGAGGTATGCTTTATGATATCTAGACGTTACTGAATATCCGATTGCACATGGTCCTGGCTGCCAGACCACCATCTAAGATCCGGGAGGTCCCTGTATCGACGAACTGGTTGATCCCGTGAGACCTAGGACCCGATGTCAAAAGAAGGCATGGATATCGCTACGACGTCCCCGGGTACGCTGCCAACACACCGACCGATCTGAGACCCAGTCAAGCTTCATGAGCACCTTATAGCCGATGGCCTGCCCTTTGCATACGACCCTGCTCTAACCTCATAGCAAGGCATGCACCACTCCATCCTCAGACTGCACTCAGACGGCTCAGACAGTCTTCGGCTGAGCAGTGGTCTGCTCTGCGCTATCCTGTGTCTGAGCATAGCTGAGCTTCTTCTCCATGTCAACCTCCCCACCTTCTTCACGTCGGCTTTTTTGATATTGAACCTTGGTTTGCCAGGCCTTGACCCCCTTCGTGGTAAAGAGCTCTTCAACTTCCTCAAGAGTCTTGCCGGATGTCTCAGGAAAGCACAAGAAGACGTGAACGAACATGGCGACGTTGAAGCACCCGAAGATGAGGTAGGCCTTCCACTTGATGTTGACGAATGCCGGTGGTACGAAGTAGGACAAGGCAAAATTGACTGTCATCGTTAGCATTGTGGGCGCTTTTATCGGGGCGGGCTTCAGAGCTTACAGATCCAGTTGGCTGAGGTCGTCAAAGCAACAGCTTTGCCACGCACCCGCAGCGGAAAGAGCTCTGGTGGGTAGATCCAGCTGACCGGACCCCAAGTCGGTGCAAATGAGGCGACGAACAGGTATGTGAAAGCAATGACCGCGCGAGCCGGAGCCCCAGAAATCTGCCAGCTCTGTTCTGCAATACCATCGATTCCACCGGGAGGCGCAGGTTTGCCGTACGAAGCTAGCAGTCCAGCATTACCGAACATCCAGGTTCCCATCAGCGTGGCACCGACAAGAAGCGGGACTCGACGACCCCATCGGTCAATGAAGAGAAGAGCGAAGATAGTCATGCCGACATTGATGACATACTGAATCGAGGAGGCGATGAGGTTGGTGTTGCCTGTCAGTCCAGCCATGCCAAAGACATACACGATGTAGTACATCATTACGTTCATGCCGGTGAGCTGGGACCAGATCTGGGTGAAGACGCCAATATGCGTACGGTTGACTGGGCGTGGCTGTTAGTACATTGGATCCTTGATGGCCTCTGGAGGGAACGAAGGCAGAATACATACTCATGTGCGGCTTGAAGAGCTCCAGGTAGCTAACATCAGCATTGCGACGCTCGAACTCGCACATATCACGGATTTCCTGGAGCTCATGCATCACATACGGAGCCTCTCGGTTGCCCTTGGCGTGTACGAGAGCGAGGACGTTGTGGCACTCTTCCCATCGGTCCTTGCGGGCGAGCCATCTGGATCTGTTAGGCTCATGCTCGTACGCAAGTCGGTACTTCTTACCTGGGGGACTCTGGCATGAAGAAGAGACCGAAGAACAGAATGATGGCCGGGATCATCTGCAGCGCCCATGGAATGCGGAAGGCCTTCGGACCATCCAGGTAGGTGCAGCCGAAGCTCATGTAGTACATGATCAGGATGCCCCAGGTGATCGCCCATTGCTGCGCTCCTACGACTCGACCACGCTTTGATGGCGGTGCGAGTTCTGCGATGTACACGGGCACTTGAGCAGAGCAGATGCCAATAGACAGCTACATGACTGGTCAACATGAATCGGAGGGCAGGAACAACGCACTTACACCGTTGATGAACCTTCCAACAACCAGCATCCCAATATTCTGAGATGCGCTTGTGATAGCAGAACCAATGCACCAGATGACAGCGCCGACCTGGATGGATCGCTTGCGACCCAGGATGTCGGAGAGGAAGCCAGAGATCAGAGCGCCCACGAAACTACCGCCAGGCATCGCTGCGGTGATGCCACCTTGGACATCAGCTTTGGGTCCACCACACTTGCCTTCATCGTTGACGCCCATCTGGTTGAAGTAGCATCGGTACTGTTGGGTGCCGATCACAGCGCTCATTGATGAGATGTCGAAGCCGAAGAGGCCTCCGCCGCTGCGCGGGCCATCAGTATGGATGATAGGGCAGCGGAAATGAACTTACATGACGGCGATGGCCGTGATCGCATAGATGTTTCCGATCTGATACATCTTGGTCGCGCGTGCAGACGAAGATGCGAGAGGACATGTACTTGGAGAGAATGGTGTTGGTCACGGAGGAGAAGTGCAGGTGTCTTTTGTATTCAGACACCAGCCTCGGGGCGGTTATCGCGGGCGCACAACACGTGTGTGACTTCAGCTGTGGGTATGAAAGGTTACATGAGGGCCGCCCGAAGACCTCACTTGGCCCCATTTTGGTCGCACTGAACGAGTCACAATGCCCTACAAGCGTCAAGTGAACATGGATACTTACAACAAGCGGCTCGCATTCGCCGCGATCTCCTAAAGGTTTCATCCTGTTGACGACCGGCACGCCAGTTGGATTTCCGGGCTACGATTATGGGGTAAAGAACGGGGACGTTGCATTCCCCCACAAACGACCAGGATCCTTGAACAGTCCGTCTCGCTTGGCTTGTCGATCATTTATGTCACCAACGTCACTTTGCGAACAGCGACGCCTTGCAGGGATTGATTTCTTCTGCCGCAACACCGATCGCAAGAGCGTGCAACCTCGAGATAGCAGCAGCCAAAGAGGTAACGACCTCCGACTATCTCGGCCACCTGTCGTGTTTTTTCTCTGCATGAGAACATGCAAGCAGAGTCGGCGCTTGAGACGTGGCGGCGAATACTGTCCAGGCCTACTGCAGATGTCTGAGCATCGTGCTGCATCGCTGTCGTGTGAGGACGCTGATATTAAGTCCGGCAGCCGACAATCTGAATGTTTGACGTTCGGCCCAAATTGTAGACTATATGCGCCATTGATCTTCCTGCATTATCTCGCAGTACTCAAGTAGGTATGCGGGCGTGGTACGACGATGAGGCTCGCCTCATTTGACGCAAAGGAATTCGAGGAAGGTGCGAACTTGAGCTTCCCATAGACTTTAGCCTGCACAAATCTGAATGGTTGCACACAACTACTGACCCTTTCATACGAACACACCGAATCGTTCTATGAACAACGCAAAACAGCTCGACCGCATTGTCTGTCGGCATTGATAGGAAACCGCCACCCGAACAATGCGTCGCAAGTTTGAGCCCTTACCCCAGCCACTGGTCCTCTACGACATCTCATCACCCCATACGCCATCCTCATACGCGCCAAACCCCTCCAAGTCCCGCTTCGCCCTCTTGTTCAAGCGGCTTTCCTTTCGCATTGAATGGACCGACATCCTTGAAATCCCACGAGTTCGCAAATCTGTTGGTTTGCGCGCCGGACGGAAGCTCGACGACGGCAGCGACTTCTACACCCTCCCGATCCTGCGCAATCCTAACACCGGAGTGGTCATCGGTGACTCCTTCGACATCGCGCTGTACCTCGATAAATACTGGTCTGGTCGCGATCCGCTTTTCCCAGAGGACTCAACGCTCAATGGCCTGGACTACCAAACTCCCTACAAACACACTGCATTCTACGCTCCCCTCACCGACCTCGCGGATCGAGAGCAAGCCGCATACGCGCGGTTCAACACAGAAGTCGACACTACCTTCAGCTGCAATCTTCGGCTCTTCGCCTACAACTTGCCAACCAATCCCGAGACTGACGCAGAAGTCAAAGCACTCTTCGCCAAGCGAGCTCACCTGCCGAGCTGGGAAGTCTTGAAGATCACTGATCCAGAGGCGAGGAAGAAGGGCATGCAGGAGTTCGAGGAAGGGGTGAGGACACTGGCGGAGTGCTATCTGAGAAACGGAGGAAAGGGTCCGTTCTTGGAGGGAGAAACGGCCACTTATGCTGATCTGATCGTTGGAGGCTGGCTGAACATGTTCAGTAAGATCATGCCGACGGCGGAGTGGGAAGAATTCAAAGGGTTCCACGGCGGCGTATTCGGGAAGCTGTTCGGCGTGCTCATTGACGGACAGTGGACAAAGCAAGGACCAGCTCCTGGTACTTCTGAGCCCTGGGTCCCGACCTGATGGCGATGTGGCAGTTCCTGCTACAACAACGCCGTCGATATCGGGGCATGCATCAAAGGGAGCATCCGCTGGTAGAGGGCGACTCCGTCGAGCATTCAATTGAGCTTAGCATGATAGCCTACAGACTCAGCGTTCTCAAATACGACAGAAGATCGTTTCTTCATGTCAGCTACCCTAGACTATTGAGAGCCCTCTGCTATTTCGCTTGTGTTGAGTGCTAGCATCAGATTTGTCGATTATTGCTAAAATCTGGCCACGGAGATGGCAACCCAATCAAACAGAGCCTCGTGAGGTCACCTGTGGAGGCTGGCAGTTATTGAGCAGCTGCCCGACGAACTGGAATTGGTATGGGACGAGATCCCACATTTCAGACAGCGGGAGCCCTGTCGCAACAACGAGAAGAGGCGGACGGAGGGACATCTCGGGTGGAATAAACGAAAGACAGCGAGAGAATCTGGACATGATTGGACTCTTGTTGGGAAGTCCGGCGGTACATAGCTTGATATTCTTGCCGCTGTTGATCATGCTACCTGTACACGTATATCTATGCTTCGTTGCAGTATCTGCGTTCACCACTATCCATATGCCACCCGCTGCGAAGGCTGATGATATCGTCTCTCGATATTCTTACAAGAGGCTGCTATGTGGTGCGCGGCGCTGAAAGTCTTGCTGCTGAGGGTGCCTTCTGTGGCAATGCGCGTATGATGTACACTCGGACTTGCGTGCTAACCGTACCCATTTCCGCTGTCCTAGCAAAGGCATATGGGTGCGAAAGAGTCCTAGTGTACATTCTTGATGTGACCGGACGTGCTCGTCAAGTCCTGGTACTTTATGGCATCAGTACATACTTGTCGAACAGACCAGGCCATGTCTTCTTTGCATCCACCGTAAGCTTCATGCCTTCGACGACCCATGTCGCGCCCGGGTCGACTTTCTCATCGGGATTCCATTTCTCGACTCGGAACCGCACGGCTTTCCGATGCTCGTGAGTCTCACCACTGGTCTTGTGGGTTGCCTTCTGCGCCATTATTAGCATCGCCTTGAATAGGGGAAGATGGTACATACAAAAGATCCTGTCTGGTAGATGAAGTAGACTTTTGGGATATCGCGGTACCGGATTGCACGGAAGACACGATCGTCGATTCTACCGAAGGACCTAGCCATTTCGTGGGCTTTGCGCGCGACATCAGGGATGAAATAGCCGAAGGGAGACTTGATCAGGACGAGCATCGAGAGCTGCGTCAACCGGTTCAGGTTTCTTGCAATAGCTTGTCCCACGTACCGGCAATCGATCACGACTTTTCGAATCATCAGGTAGTTTTGAGGGTATTTATCCAGTATGAGGCCGTCCTTGAAACCCGTATCGTTCTCAAACATGTTGAGACCGAGCAGCATAGCTTTGCCGGCTTCGTGAATCTCCTTGCTGCAACGCATGAAGTTGGCACCGAGTTTGAAGGTGCGGACCTTCCGCGCGTCCTTGACTCGGGGATTGGTGACATATGGCACCACGATGTCCTCTGAGATGAACGTGAACTCGTAGATGCGGTCCTTGATTTCTTGTGGCAGCTTCGACCATGAGTATCGAGCACCAGGCTTCTCCCATGCTTCAGCCTCATCGAGAAGGGTGGCCATGGGACCGGCTTCGTCGTCAGGTAGGTTTGTGAGAAGAGCACGGATCTTGTTACGAGCGACCTGAGCCTTCTTCGCGGCGATGGCAGCTAGACGCTCAGCTTCTCTGGCCTGACGCTGAGCCTCTTCAGCTTGACGAGCGAGCTCTTCTGGATCGATCTCGGGTTCAGGCTCAGAATACGGGACTAGCTCATCATAGTCGTCGTCATCGGAGTCGTAGTCATCATTGTACTTGACTTTCTTCTTGTCTGGGGCGGCCTCGATGGCAGAGATGCGAGCACTCTTTCTCTTCTCCGGCATCTTGGGCTTCGTCGTTATGACCCAATTGAGAAGGTTTGAGGATTGTTCTAGAGGCATAAGTTTCAAGAACTTGGAGCGTGTGTCGAAGATTGATGGGTCTAAAGAGCGCTGATGAACGGTTATAAATGCGAGAACAAGGCTGTGGAAGGTGCTTACCTGTCTTGCCGTCACCAGCCTCAACCTGTCCGTCACTTACAATGGCGTCACGTAGGTCGGTCTACCAGATGCCTCGTGATGGAATATGACTAGGTTGTTGCTGTCTTGATGAGTCCTTGTGATTAGGCGTTGGTCAAGTTGTCGAAGTTGAGAAGTCGACTAAACCTTTGAATTTCTAGAAGGCAGGAGTCCACGTGGTTGCCTTGCAAATTCAACACAGGTCGGACTTACCTCACGTCAACTTCACTGTGAAGCTGTCACGATTCAGCTCAGGCTCAAGTGACATACTTCCAATCAACCGCCTAGTCGCCTTCATGCTGTACTCGGCGTGAGAAAATCAGATGCTATCACACTACAACGCCTGTTTTTCGAGTCCGATCATTGTAGATGCGCCGAAAGCAAAGTTCGGTCAATAGCAGCGAGTCACTTACATCCTAGAGTGGTTCTATTCCTGGTGGATCAGACTGGAGAGGACCCGGGGGACACGTTCGTACGGAGGTGATCGCGCATACGACCAGAAGCACATCGATAGACGTGGCCGTTTTGTGGTCCAGGACCCTGTTAAGTGGCAGTCTTCGTTTCATAGTCGGTGCCACGCGTGATCACTGTACATCTGGACGTTTGTGAAGACCAAGATGCCGGCAAGCATGGAACGTATCAAGCCATGTCGTCCTCCCATCACCCTGCCGGCTAGCACACCAGGTAAGACCACGGGGAAGATGCATTGGGCAAAGGACGGCTCCAGCGCTTTGGACGATGAGCGTCATCAGGAATCGCTCAGTGCACGCGAAGCACCATAATTTGCTTGACGATTCATACATATACCAAGTAGAATAAAACCCCGGCCAACGAGCAGAAAGGTCCAGCTCACCATGCAATTTCTACGAGCTGGAAGTAGAAGGCGTTGTGCCTCTTTGGGAAGGTTCAGCAAGTTCTATCTGTTCCGCGATGATTTTGAGACGAACCGTGACCCCGAAAAGACTTGCTTCACAGGACGTTTTGCCATTCAGGCGGGGATGCTTTGTACTTCATGAGCCTTTCCTATGCTGAAAGTTATGCATACAGCAACGTCTTTCAGCATAAGTTTTGTATCCTGTATGACCACTTGTATGATGACACGGGGTGTTTCTTCTGGCAAAGCAGCTTCAGACTTCGATCGTCCGTGTGAACGACCTCGCTCTCGTTTACCGGCGTCTCCCAATTTGAGACATCTTCTCGTGCAGAACGAGTCTTCCTCGGCATGGCGGGTCTCGTTTGGCACACGGAATGACAGATGAATAAGTCGCAGAGGGGAAACCAAATTCAAAGGGCATTCCAGCGTTGGGAAGCTACATAGAGAAATATTAGAAGTAATCCCTCCCCTCGTTCCACTTCCTGCCATCCTCCTTCGCCTCCCTCTGTAACTGCTGTCCCGCCTCGTTGACCGACATCATCGACGTGTCCCCATCACCAAGGTCAGGCGAAGCACCCAAGCTCTTCCTGTTGCCAAAACCACCGAGACTGTATCCAACACCACTCCTCCGACCTTCCAGTCCGGCCACACCAGCGAAGTCCACCGGCCCAATCCACTCCCAAGTCCGGCCAACTTCACCACCACGACCTTCTCTTGTCGCGGCTCTGACGTTGCTATTGTTCTCAACGACTTTCCGCACATTCGCCCAGACGCGTTCTCGCTCACGAGAGCTGAATACATTCCGCAGCACGTCGTCACGCAGCCCTCCAACGGCAAGGTGTGCTTCCTTAGCGCGGTCGTCTTCTTTGAGCGCTGCTTGGGTTGCTAGTCGGTCGAGTGTGATGTCGACTAGAGCTGGGATTTGGGCCGTCGCAGCTTTATAGGCGACGATTCGTTGCCGGACGTATGCCAGGCCTGCCAGGAGCAAGCCTACAAGTCCAAGAGGGATCCGATACGCTGCCACTGTCCGGATAGCATACCTTCTGATGGCGCACTGGATTGGGAGTCTGGCGAGGCTTGTTGATCGGAGGTAGGTTCGGGCGCTAGCGGCGTGCTGATTAGTCGCGTGCATCAGTGAGACGTTTCGATCGAGAGGAAGGGATACGGGTAGTTGGTGGGGAAAGGATTGGAACTTACCCATCGCGCACGACTTCGATCTCTTCGCGACCTGTGATGTCCTGGAAAGCACCTTCCCACAGGGCAGTGAACTGCTCGGGGCTCATATCACGACGGCGTTGTTTTGAGATTTGAGCTTTGAGCGCCTCTTCGGAGATCTCCAGCTTCGTTTCACCGGCCTTGACCACTGTCTTGACTGCTTCGACCACTTCATCAGTGGTGGATGTTGTATCTGGTGTGAGCTCATCGCCACATTCATATGCTGCTCGACGAGCTCGTAGTTCTTCGATGGCCTTGTCCGCAACGGCCTTCTTCCGCCGTTCTATTTCGGAGTCCGGCTCGCAGGTGGGTGAAAGTGGCACGGCGCCACCGACAGCTAGTGGATGTTGCACCAGCACAAAGTCTTGTTCACATTGCACCTCCATATTCGGAAAGCAGACGGCGTGCTGAGGACATGGTTCGCAGGTTGGACCAAGATTCTCGTTGACCCAGGGAGGGATGTTCGGGTTTGCGGCAAGCGACCATTCCGAAGAACCAACACCGCAGTATCCCACATTGATCTTTTCCTGCCGATACCATCCCGCCAGCGCGCCAAGTACGGAGACCAGTGCGCCCAGTGACAGGTTTCTTGGGACTGTACTGGCTGGCTTCTTCTTGCGTCGGACTAGTGCTTGGGTACGTCGTGGTGCAATTTGATCCTCTGCTGCGACTTCTCGGGTAGCTTCGGGTGTGAATTCTTCTGTAGCTGGGATGTAGTCTGCGGATCGTAACTGCTCGACGGGGAATTGGTAGGTAGTATGGCCTGGCTCCTCGTGCTTAATAGTGGGTGATCGAGTTTCTCGCCTCCTGCTCGAGCTGGGTCTGCCTGTAGACTTGCGCCCTGATGACGAGACGTGACGGGACTGCTGTAAGGGGCTCGAGCCTTGCTGGAAGGGATTGTCGTCTGAGAACGGGGAAGACTCAGTTTCGCGCTTCGGTCGGCTGGCGTCCGCTGTGGGCTCCGAGTACACAGGTGTAGGTCCAGGCTGGCTCTTGCGCGTCTTTCTTGCTGACGGTCGCACAACAGTTGTGTCTCCCTCTGTCTCGGTGTCAGATGATCTCGGGCGACCACTGGTGCTCCTGGCGCTAGGCGTCCTTGATTTGCGGGCTGTTGAGGGCTTGGGATCAGCGACATTTGTCTTGGACTTGCGGCTTCGCGGTGTCTTTGGCGGCGGTGGCGGGGGCATCAGCGCAGAATCCTCGTCTTCATCGCCATCGACAGTACTGTCCTGGCTTGACATATCGGTGATGCCGCGACTGGTCCGTCGGACTCGCTCCTGTTGGCGCAACAACTTTTTCGCTTTGGGAAGTAGTTCAAATTCGAACACCTCGACTAGCTCAGCCTTCTTGGCTGCGGAGGGGTAGTCGACATCATGCTGGGTGAGAATACCGCGCAGTTTTGGAATAGTCAGAGAGTTGACATTGAAGCCAGGCTGCAAGTAGTACAGTTCGTCTTCGTCCGACATGATGAGCGTCGTTTGCTGGGAAAAGGAACGAGCAAAAAGCAAAAGACTATAAAGCGAACATCAAGTAGGCGCAAAGAAGGCGGTGCTGTTGCCTTGCAAATGGTCGAAGTGAAGCTATACAAAATGTAAAGTGAGGGTGAAGGCAAAGATAGCAGGCAGTGATGTGATGTAAACAAAGGGAAGCCCACCATTGCCTGCAGGAATTAAGCTCGACTATTGCCGTGCCTTGCTTGTCATCCGGCGCGAAGTCATCCGGCTTGAAATAAGACCATAAGTTTTTGGAGAAACCGTCGACCAAAAAGTTTGGAATACAATTCTCGAAGTCGTCGATGCGGGCAGTGCGACAGCGTTGGTGCGGTATTTGCGACAATGGCCTCCGGTCACCCTACTCGCCGCCGAAGTCGACGGCGCCATGCCGATGTCGATGTGCTGGAGAAAGACGACACGGAACTGCGGCTAGAAAACGCGCTGTTCGGGGACGAGGCAGGTTTCCTCGATTCCATCTCTGCCGCGAAGTACAACGAAGGGAAGGAGTTGCAGACATATGGCGGAGACAGCGAAGACGACGTGGTCAGTGATGACGACGAGGACTTGGCAGAAGTTCCTGACGAAGACCTGTTTTTCCTCGATGCTGGCACTGGTGCGGCACCTCCGACCGAACTCGATATCGATGCAAAGCCTGTGGCAGAGTCGGAGCAGAAGCGGCCACGAGCAGTCTGGTACGACAGCGACGATGACCGCCTCACGGTCTCTCTTGCATCAGACACCCGTCTGCGGAAGCTGCGAGACACTGAAGCCGATGATGTGATCAGTGGGCGAGAGTACATTTCACGTCTTCGTCGCCAGTATGAGCGTCTTCACCCACGACCTGAATGGCTCGACTACGCACGAAAGAGGAGAAAGACATCCCATGGCGCAGCCTCGGATTCAGAATCAGACATCTCCATGGATGGCGATTCCGACACGCCCACCACAAAACCTCTGGCCGAGATCCTCCGCTCCCTCACACCTTTGACCCGTTCCAGCAATACCATCAACGGCTCACGCAAGCGCCGCAAACTACGCCCAGAAGTAATAGATATCCAGCGCACCAAAGACGTCACCCCCTCCGGCCCCTCCTCAATCGACACCCTCCAATTCCACCCACACTACCCTCTCCTCCTCGCCGCTGGACCCAGCCAAACCATCACCCTATACCACATCTCCCCCGAGCCACCACACCCGAACCCAATTCTCACATCTCTCCACGTCAGAGGCATGCCCGTACACACGGCTGCCTTCAACACGCCTCTGTCCACCACCAGCAACACCGACATAACCGACGCAACCCAAATCTACCTCTCCTCCCGCCGCCGCTACTTCCACACCTGGTCCCTCTCCTCCGGCACCATCACCAAGATCACCCGTCCCCTCACCACAATCAAACACGATCAACGTACCACCGAGCACTTCAAACTTTCGCCCTGCCGCCGCTACATGGGCCTCGTCTCCTCTTCCCGAAAAGCCGGCGGGTCCATTAACGTTCTCTGTACAACCACCCACCAACTCCTCGCGCAGTGTCGAATTGATGCGCAAGGAGGGGTTAGTGATTTCGACTGGTGGCGAAATGGAGAGGGCTTTGCGGTGGTAGGGAAGAACGGCGAGGTCAGTGAGTTCAGTATGTCCGAAAAGCGGACCATCGCACGCTGGCACGATGAAGGCGCTGTAGGAACAACCGTCCTGAGCATAGGCGGGGAAGACTCGAGATGGATCGCGATCGGATCCAGCTCGGGCATCGTGAACATCTACGACCGGAAAGCATCGAGCTTCCTCAAGATCTTACAATCCTCAACCAGCAACACGCAAGGAAGTGCAGACGCAAACACGGACTCGACGCAGCTCACATACCGGCCTACTCCCACCAAGACACTCAGCCAACTCACAACCCCGATCTCCTCGCTAACCTTCAGCCCCGACGGCCAGCTCCTCGTGATGGCCTCACGGTGGAAGAAGAACGCCTTGCGCCTTGTGCACCTGCCGAGTTGTACGGTGTACAGGAACTGGCCGACTGATAAGACGGCGCTGGGGCGGGTCGCGAGTGTTGCGCTTGGCGGTATTGAGGCAGGTGGTGGTGGTGGAGGACAGGGCAGGGAATGGCTTGCGGTTGGGAACGAGCAGGGCGCTGTGCGGTTGTGGGAGGTTCGTGGGTAGCAATAGACAACTTTGAGGATTGTTTGCTATGTATATGCCATCCGATACCCTCGGACTAACACTTGTTCATCCTTCACAAATCCGGAATCCAGAGTCCTCCCAAAGCCCTCTCGCAGCATCCCCATCATGACTTTGTAAAACAATCAAACTTACTCGTATCCCGAATTCCGTAAACATTTCCTTCCTTGATCCGGTTAATCGTCAACGCCGCAATCAGCGCAGCACCCACGCCAGAACCGTCCTCTGCGCTGCTCATAACTACAGGATCTTTGTTCTTCTTGATACCCTTGTCGTCCCAATCAAGTATCTCCCTCAACGCCTGCGCCCCCCTCTGCTTGAAATGCGGATATTTATTAAACACACTCCCATCCGCACCCACATGACAGCTCTCCATCCCCTTCTTCTTGCATATAGCGGCTACCCCACACGCACTAAGTCTCGCGGCGCGCGTCCCAATCAACTCAGCCAAGCGCCGGCAAAGTTCCAACTCGGGTTTGGAGGCGGTGAGGTTGAGGAGGGTGTGGAAGTGGTCGGCTGTTTCCTGGAGGTTCTCAAAGGGGTCTTCTTCGATGAAGGACAAAAAGGAGGCGTCTAGAGTATAGGGTTTCTTGAGGGCGGAGATGTCTTGGTTTTGGAAGAGGAGGTTTTTGTTCTCGTGCAGGTCGACGAGGACTAGGCGGAAGATCTCGCCTAGGTAGAGGCCGGCGATCATTTTCTCGAATGCTTGTTGGCCTGGTCGCGGGCTCGATTCGTCGATGATGACGTCGTATTTGCTGAGCGGGAGGACGACGTGCTCGTTGTCAAAGGCGCCGTACTCGCAGTTGATGGCCATGGGCATGTCCGGCGGGAGGTTGAGGTGGGCGAGTTTGCCGATGGAGCCGCAGTTCTCCATGTAGGCTGCGTTGCAGCCCGTGCCGAAGATGCAGCGACTTTCATGGCTTGGTCGGTGTAGGCGGATGCGATGAGGGTTCCGGTCGTGTCGTTGATCAGGGCGGCGACCGTGATGGGGAGGCCGCGTTTCTTGAGGGCGGCTTCGAATTGCGGGACGACGTCTTGGCCTTCGACGCCGTCGATGTCGAAGCCTTTTGTCCAGCGTTGGAGGACGCCGTGGTCGATGTAGTCTTGTGTCGCGGGGTAGGAGAAGGTGAAGCCCAGGGGGAGGGTGCCGAGGTCTTCTTCCTCGTGGTGGTATTCGATGAATTGTTGCACGCAGTCGGCGATGTACTCCCAGAGTTCTTCTGAGGTGCCTGTTTTGAGCTCTTCGGGCATGCGGTATTTGGATTGGATTATGTCGAACTCGCCTTTTTCTTCGGGGAGCTCGATCTCGCAGACGCGCAGGTTGGTGCCGCCCATGTCGAGGGCGAGGAAGCGGCCGGTTTCGTCGCCGGTGGGGAAGCCGGTCACCCAGGTGGCGTTCATGGGGATGTTGGCGGGGCCATCGAGGCCTTTTTGGAGCTCTTTTACGAAGTGATCTGTGATTTCCTTGAGCTTGGCTGCGTCGACGGTGAAGATCCGTTCGAGGTTGGATATCTCCTCCACTAGATTCTGCGGTGCATCGGCGAAGGAACCTACAATGAGGTCAGTGGTGTCGAGGACGAGGGTGCTATGGACGTACCCTCCTAGAGGCTTCCTCCGAGCACCTACGCGACCATGGTGCTGGTCTGCGTCTGGTGTAGTGGTTGAGTGCTTCGACCTGTATCTGTCTTGGTTGGAGGTACTTTCTAGCGGTTTTCTGGTCGTTGTGGAAAGGGTATGGCAGCCCGCGAACACGGCAAAGAATAAGGGACGCAGGATTTGCTTATGGCCGAAACCAGAGAGTGACGTTGAAGAGTGGACAGTGCGGTTGCTACGGATGTGGTTTGCGAAAGGACGGATATGGTTTTTATGGATGTCATTGTTTGAGGCAGCTCTACTCTGTTGAGCAACTATGTAATAGTTCGAACTGAGCTGCAGTAGCGGGGCTTCCGCCGCGGGGCATTCAATTTCCTTTTCCGCGGTCTGCCACCCCTACCAGGTACCCGATCGTGCTACTGCAGGGTCCTCCTGATGCTTCCATATGTCATTAAAGCCTTCGTGTATCGTCTCTGCGCTTCTGAACGTATGTCGTTGACGAGTCTGCGACATTGTGCGCTTGCAGTCGTTGAGAAATTCGCATCTCCATGGACGCTTCTCCAGAGTCCACCCGCGAGCTGCCATGCGGCCACTTCTAGTCATCTGAACTGACTAATCGCAGATGGCTGAATAAGACAGTTCTCCAGGTCGCAGATCTCAAGAATGCTTCTCCAGAGTCCGCCCGAGAGCGGTCATGTGCATACTTCTCAAAAGAAGTCCTTCGGCTTCCACAAACCGTCCTTGTCCACCTTCCACTCCTTATGATCCTCCGCCGGGTCTTGGAGTCCACGACATCCTGGTTGGGCAGCGCTGGCGTGACGTGAGAGGATTTGGAACATCGAGAAGCGCATTTTGCGATTGCCCTCTTTCTGGAATTTCTCGAGCCATTCGTTGTCATTATTGAAGTCGACGAAACCACGGGCCGCAACGTCATGTACGATCTGCTCCAAGATGTAGCGGGTGAGCGGAGTCGAGTTCGCGTCGTCGCCAAACTTCTTCGTGAGCCAGGTCAGTTCATCCATGCGGACGTGGTGGGAGAGATAGTGCTTGCGGAAGCGATCGACGATGACGTTCTGTAGCGCGTACATCTTGTAAGTGCGTGCGTACTGGTAAGCGAACAGCGCGACCTTGACTGCAGTGCGATCACCGATCAGTGGGATGTCTTCCTTGTAAAGGTATCGAGCGACATAGACGAAAGCAGAACCAGAGTACGTGTTTCCAGGATCCAGAAGATAGTCGGGTCTGGGGCCGGATGCAGCTTGAACTTCGACACTGACATCGTTCTCGTCTTTGACTGCGACCTCAGAACCAAGGGGAACGAGCTGTGTACCATTGGGTTTGAGCTTGGCAATGTCGTAATCTCCCGGCGCGCCGTGGACATCGAAGAAGCTGGTCTCCCCAAGGCGTTTGGCATGGATCATGAACTCATCACGATTATCGCCGACCCAGATGCGCACAACATCGCCACCGAGTTTGCTATGCAGTCGTTAGCTCAAGGCCTGAACGCCAGCAATGGAACTTACAGCTCGTCGATCTTTCTCTTCTGCGGAGTAATGCCAGGGGACGACCTTGATGGACTACACAGTCATTAGCGCAAGTCATGGACGCGAGCATCGAGACTTACAGCTCATCGATCTTTCTCTTCTGCGGGGTTACGATGGAGGATGACCTTGATGGAGGCGTCATCTGTTGACGGCGATCCGTGAACGGCGAGGTAGATGCTCGACTCATCGTGCTTGACGCTTCAAAGAATGACTGATTCTGAAGTGCTCCAAATGGAGGGTGGCCTAGGAACATGTGTTACGGGTCGGGATGTCAGAAGGTGGAAGGAAGAAAAGAGAGCAGTCGAGGACCAGGCGAGGTATTTATCCGCGAAGCTAGCCGTTCGTTTGCAAGTTTGCGACAGTGACTGACAGTGGTGGGTCCTCAGGAGTGGAAGTGAAGACAAGACAGATGCTATTGTTGCCTGGTTTACTGAGCGGTGTTGCTAGGGAGAAACCGATCTCTCCGCAACTGAGGCCGATCTGAAGATTGTCACTTGGGCAGTATAGTCGTTCAACCCCGGTTTCCGGTAATTAGTCTGCGATTCCACGATATATCGTGCATTTTGACGCGTGTTTACAGCGATGGTTTGTCGGTCTTCTTGTCTTTGGTGCCTAGATGCGGGAACACATGCGCCAGACCGCTCTTTCCATCACGAATTGTCTTCGTGGGGACGGTGAGCACTCCGTCTTGCTCGTTCGACGTCGATTGCGAATCTGACAACAACTTCTCAAGCGCTTGACTGGTGTCTTGGTTGATCTTGAGAGATTGATCAATGTCCTTGGTCAGCTTCTCGATCTCATCTTCCAGTGCTTCTTGCTTCGACTTGGGTACTTCGGGAACCTCAGACTGCGCTTTCTGTGGGTTTGTCTCTGCCACAGTGCTTCGAGCTCGTCTCGCCATCCCATTGCATCCGCAAACTTTCGAACGCCCTCATCGCAGTCGCCGAGCATCAGAACATCGTCTGGTCGAGAACCAAGCCCGCCTACTCTTTCCAGGTTGATCAAGATCCGTGGAGTCCCTTCACTCACGAACGACGGCAGACTCGCGAATGGCTGGACTGTGAGACTCGTCCCCATGACGATAGCCAGATCAGCACCTGCAGGCAGGCTGCGATTCCGATGAAAGGCTTCCGGCAAGGCCTCCCCAAAGAAGACAATATCAGGCTTGACAAGTCCATCGCAAACCTTGCGGACACAATGTGGCACCTCCTTCTGGGCAACCATGTTTTTCATCTTGTCACCAGGATATTCTGTTTTACATTCAATACATCGTTGAGTGGCGAAAGAGCCGTGCGCCTCCACAATCTTGTCGCCTGGAACGCCAGCCTCTCGCTCGAGACAATCGATGTTCTGTGTGAAGAGCTTCAAAAGCATGCCTTTCTTGTTGAGCAGGCTAATGAATGAGTGTGCAACGGTCGGCCGATATTTGCCGGGATATAATTCATGAGCAAGAGTGTAGAATGGCAGTGGGTTGTTCCGGAAGTAGCTGACATCGAATACGGCCTCTGCGAATGGTAGATTCAGGCGAGCCAGGTTGGCGTACAGTCCTGTCTCTGGTGATCTGAAATCCGGGATACCGGCGGAAGTACTGATTCCGGCGCCGGTCATAACTACTATCCTCTTACAGTCTCGCTCTTTGATGTAGCGGGCGACGGCATCCATATTTCGTGCTATGAGAGTCGTGGGAGGCGTTGCCTCATCGACTGGTGTGCTGCTCTCATTTCCCATCTTTCCGCGCCGGCCGAGGCCAGGCTTTGAGTGCCTCTCACGTTTTCGTCGACCTATCTTGGCTCGATTTCTGGCCGATTGATGCGAGACAGACTCTGCGTAGGAGCTGTGCAAGAACAGATGATGGTGCTGTGCACGAATATGTCGTTATTGGCAACGTCAGCAATGCGACATAGACATCTACTGTACCTACTTAGTATGGGTTCGAAGACTGATTCACGTCATAAGCAGGGAAGAAGGCAAATTTTTGCCTGAAACCTTGAAGTCACGTGGAAGGCATAAATCACACATGTTTCCCTCCCTTCAAGTACAGTCCATAGATCTCAATTTCATCTCATTGGGTATCATGATCGTCCTCGACGAGCAATGACAACGAATGGCGACCATGTCACCCATGACTCGGGCACTGACAATGGTCTCAACATCTATAATGCGCGCTCAGTGGCGGACATCAAAGCCGCCCTCGCGAATCTCCATGAAAGAGACCAGGTCGTAACGGCTCAGCTTGACAGCCTCGTAGCTGCTCAGAAGGACTTGCAGCGGGAACTTGGGCGTATGGACCTCTTTCGGGCCACTCTCAGTACTCAAGCATCAAAAACGCGATCAATCAGCAATGGCATGCTCTCAGATGCCGCGTCCACGGCCAATCGAATATCGAGCTCCGTGAAGCGACTCGACCTTGAGCAGGAACGTGTGAAAGCGACGCTTACGGTTGTCGAGCAGGTTGCAGAGCTCAAGGCATGCGTGCTAGGCGTAGCAGGGTCGATGGGTGCAGCACAGGACTGGGAAACCGCGGCAAGCTATCTGAGTAAAGCCTCGAAAATTCCCAAGGAGGTCATCGAGGGCGACTTTGCAGCCTGGATCGTTCCCACGACAGAAGTTCCAGATGCGCCAGCAGTCACATTGGACAACGCTTCCGAGTCCCTGTGCACACTCTTCCTCAAAGAATTCGACAAAGCTGTTCAGGAAAATGATGGCGGCAAAATCACACGCTTCTTCAAACTCTTCCCACTGATTAACAGATCAGAACTTGGTCTTGACGTCTATGGTCGCTATGTCTGCCAAGGTGTCGCTACTCGAGCCAGAGCAAATTTGAACGCTGGCACTGGCGGTAATCAGAGCAAGGATGGCTTCTTCTATGCTGGTGCCCTCACGAAGCTTTTTGAGCACATCGCTTCGATAATCGAAGGCCATGGTGGTCTTGTTGAGCGACACTACGGTGCAGGAAAGATGTCGCGGGTCATTGAAAGGCTGCAAGTTGAGGCAGACCTGCAAGGCGGAATTATCCTCGACACCTGGGCTGACGAGCGGAGGATAGATCGCCAGCTCACCGATATACGAGCTTACCCCTTCACGTTCCTCGTCCAGAGTTTTGCTGCTCCAGCACGACAAGTCTCCGGCACACAGCGGTCTAGTTCACCGGCTCCTGCTCGTGTCAGCGAGGATGAAGGCGTGGACATGAAGCAAGTCGATTTCCTCCTCAATGAGATGACCGCCATGCTGAACAAGTGGTCGCTGTACACACGCTTCATCACCGACAAATGCAAAGACCCGACCGAAACGACTTCTCCAGACACAGACTCGAACACTATCCCGCCATTCCTCGCAAATGCTCCTCTCTCGCGCAAAATAGCAGATAGACTGATAGCCCCATTCACGACCTTGACGACGTTTTTCTTCCGGCGTTCTGTCGAGAAGGCCTTTCAGCTCGACGAGCCGCCCGCAAACCTCAGCCTCAACCCTCACAAACCCTTCGCCTCGAACCCGCCACATATCACCTCGGCGATCGAGGACATCATGTATATCATCAACAAGATCCTCACCCAGACCCTCTCGACAGGCGACGCCACAATCGTCACCTCCGTCACCCCCAACCTCTCCCGCGTGCTCGGCTCCGACTTCATCGGCATGGAACAGCGTAAGATGCGCGACGAGCACTACCCTCGCGCCGCCATCCCAGGCCAACTTCCACCAGAAGTCACGATCGTCCAGTTCATGGTCCTGCTCAACAACCTGGACGTCGCAACGACGTACATCGAGCAGATCGTTAACTCCCGCCTCTCGCCCTCGACTACCACCACTACGCCCCTAGCCACCCTCTTTCCCAACCCAATAACTCACACACAGATCACCACCACCCTGCAATCCCTCAGCACAATCTTCGCCGAAAAGTCCTCCACCCTGACAAAAGACGGCATCGAAGCCTCTACAAAAACGTCACTCTCCAGCGCCTGCGCCCAATGCTCTCCGACGCCTTCCGCGACGCAGACTACACCCTATCCCCAGCAGAACTCTCCGAACAGCTAGCCGAGATGGGCCACGTCCCTTCCGACAACATCACCACAGAGAACGATGGCGCCGGCGAAGACTCGGGCAACAGCAGCAGCAGATACTTCACAGCCCACGTCCGCCAACGCTTCGCTTTGGGGTGGGACGCGCTCACCAAACCCCTGGCCCGAATCCTCACGGAATCCAACAACGACAAACTGATGTCCATGACCATCAAACGCGTCGGCGAACTCCTCGAGAAACGCATCTGGACGTACGCTGCACCACCTGCCCACCAAGCCTCCCGCAGCAGCATCGACGGTCTACCAGGCAGCCAGCACCCAACAGGCATCAACGCCCTCGGCGCGCAGCGCCTCGAGCACGACATCAACGAGATCATCCGAGTCGTTTGCCAGGGCAAGAAATGGGCGTACAGGGAGTATTTCGAGAAGGTGCGGCAGATCTTGATGGTGATGAACGTTGAGGCGGAGGAGTGGGAGGAGTTGGAGCGGGAGGGGGAGTGGGAGGGTGTGGCGGATAAGCTGAGTAGTGAGGAGAGGGTGCGGGCGAGGGGCTTGGTGACTGGCTAGGGTGCTTGTGATGGGTTAGGGGGCCGAGTAGGTGGTATTGCAGCAAGGTTCAGGGTGGGCTCTACGAAGTATGAGGACAGAGCTTTCGAATCAAGGACGTTTAAGATTTAGAGAAAAAGCAGGCAAGACAAAACTGAGGTATGGACGATGCGTTATGGGTTCAAGCACAGGTGATCATCAGGAAGCACAGGTGATCATCAGGAACATGCTTCTAGTGTTTTTCCATTTTCTGAATCCTGGGCCCTCGCATTGGTCTGGCAGCTGCATACTACCTGACCTCTACCGAAAGCCAGTCTGCTGGAGTACACTTGTCTCGTGTGAAGACAGGTCATGGACGAAAATGACCATGACTTGCCTTCTAACACGACCACCTTTGGCTCCAGGAGTTCAGCAGTGCAAGTCGCACTGATCCGAAGAACTACCTAGCTGCCGTGGCGCTTCCAGAGTACTCTCAGCCCTCTCAAGACCATCGCCATCGATGCACATTGGCGCCATGGGTCAGGTATCTTAAGCCCGCGACATGACAGTCCACGCGTAGATATTGTTGTTTGTGTAACCCGAGAACAGCGTCTGACCGTCCGCACTCCACGCCAAGCTCACGCAGTATGGTTCCTGGCTCTTCTTGCCCGTGATCAAGCCCTCAGGCTTCAACTCATCGACCTTGCTCTTCTTCTCGAGATCGAAGATCGTGATGGAGGAGGTGGTCGCGGCGCAGAGCCAGTATCGGTTGGGTGAGAAAACGAGAGCGTGGATCTCGTCGCCGGCCTGCAGGGAGTACAAGTGCTTGCTCTCGTTGAGATCCCACAACATAGTGGTGCCATCCTTGCCGCCGGAAGCGCAGAGCGAGCCGTCGGGAGAGATGGTGACGGTGTTGATGTAGCCGGAGTGGCCGACGTGGTCGGTTTGGATGCGGCAGGAGGCGAGCTCCCAGACCTGGTGGATTTGTTAGCGCATGTACGCTGCGGAGGCTCAAATACAGAATGTCGCGGATTTGCCTTCTCAGTTCGCCGGTGAATGGTTGTCTCATAGCCCTTGCAGGCTCTGAAGTAGCAAATACTTTTATGTTTATACACGTGTAGCATCCTCGTAGCCGACCAAAGAAAAGTGCAGGGCCTCTTACCTTACAAGCTTGTCCCAACCAGCCGAGACGATGACTGGGTTCTGTGGGTTAGGTGAGAAGCGCACGCACGAGACCCAGTCGGTGTGACCCTTGTCGGTTATGGTGTATTTGCAGTCGCCCAAAGTATTCCACAGCTTGATTGTTCGGTCGCGCGAGCCTGAAACGATCTGTCGGTTGTCGGCTGAGAAAGAGACGGAGAGAACATCGTTGGTGTGGCCGACGAAAGTACGGGTGGTGTTGCCAGTTGACAGCTCCCACAGGCGGAGAGTCTTGTCCCAGGATGAGGAGAGAGCATAGGCACCGTCTGAGGAGATGACGGCGTCGGAGACGATGTGTGAGTGGCCGTGGAGGGATCGCTTTGGCTGACCGTACTCTTCTGGTGACACACGGGTGAGGTTCCAGATAATGAGGGTCTTGTCTCGCGAGGCGGAGAGAAGCATGTTGGGGCTGCATCATGTTAGTGATCATTGCCTTTCAGCGCATGCGAATGAAGGACGAACTTCTCGAGACTGGTCGCCAGCGAGGTGACCCAGCCGGAGTGGCCCACCATGGTACCGGCGTAGGAGAGTTGTTCAGCCATGCTTGCGGTTGTTTGTCGGCTGAAGCTTTGGGTGAGGACGAGGATGCGAGATGCGCGAAGATGTGCTTTCAAGAAAGTTGCTGTCGTCGATGTGCCGCCCACACTGCCAAGAGAGCAAAATAAAAAGCGGGTCAGAACTTTTGAGGGCTTATCTCGAGCCGGATGACTGTGATTCAATCAGTTGTACCTCACCTTTCAAGGTCTTTTAATGTACCATAGTCAACGGGTCTGTCGTGTAGAATACACAAAGCAACTACTATCTTAAAGTTAGACCAACAGTGACTAGCTCTCGACCGAGACAGTGAAGTGCTTGTTCCGGGTTGCCACGATCTTCACTGTACTGCGAAGGTATGGTATAAGTATGTCGTTTTGCCCTCCAGTCTTTTATTCTCTTTCTTCTTTCTTCCAAGAGGATCGACAATGTCCACGGCCACTCTGCCATGCCAACTTAGCATCTTGTGCTACTTGATGGGGCGAGCTTCTGCCAGATTCTACTCACAGTATGGAAGAGAAGGGGTCTTGCCAGTGGTCTCTGCTTCATCACTGTTCTCTCAGAACAACGCCTATACACAGGCGTACGATATTCGCAGATCACAACATCTACTATTCGAAGACATCTACAGCTACACCTCTACTAAATTGATGACATGCGTTGTGCATCCGACACTCTTCTGCCGCTTGAGATGTGACCAAAGTAAGTTCCAAGGAACGGGTGTAAGCACCCTTACTTTGGGCACATCTCAAGCGGCAGAAGAGTGTCGGATGCACAACGCAGCTTCCTGAGATAAGCTCCTTCCTCGACGAGGTGGTGGAAACACGTCATAGTTGATGAGAGGCAGGTGCATCACGTCAGAAGGTCGATACTTCGCGCCTCCCTCAAGATGCTCGAAGTTGTCTTGGCGAGATGATGGTCTGTGGATGAGGCAGGACTCACAACTTCGGTGCCAGAAGTGGCGCCACCTTGCCGGTCGGAGTCATTCAGAGAACGAGAGTCTGTTGAGATAGGGAAGCACGTCGCGAGTAATCGAAGAGATGGACTATTAGTCCATATCATGCAGGATCTATCTATGCCAAAGAAGCCCAATGGCGGACGCCGATCTATCGATCCGAAATGCCCACACCGGTCTGAAGCGAGAAACACCGACGATGCAGATCGCGATGTCAATCTCCTCTGAATGCTCTCGCCTGCCTGCACCATCGTAAACGGCGTGTTAGGAAGCTAGCCTCGATAGAGAGGTACCATGTATCAACCGTCACAGACCTGTGCGGTTTCAAGCCTGCGCCCTAACAGTAACGCTCGATCGTCGCTCGCGTTGCAGTTCGCCAGCCATGTCTGAGGCAATGTTATCGCTTTCCACTTGCCGAACGCCAGGTCCTGCGGCATCTTGATCGCTTGTCTGCTGCTCGTGCTTCAACGCAGCCTCCGTTTTCTGCACGTTGAGCCCGCTCTTCCACTCCTTGCCCTCTACTCCGATCTCATCCGGCCTCTGCAACCCAACCTTCTGCCATCCCTCGTATGTCTTCTCTTCCCACTTCCTTTGATCTTCCCATCCTAACGTCGGCCCTTGCTTTCCTCTTCGCTTTCTAGAGTCCAGTGTCTCGACCAGCCTAGCATCGACATCGGGGTCCGTGCCTTCGGGTGCCACGATGCCATTTTCAAACACATAAGCTCTTGTCTCACAGTTGTCCCACCCCGTCCCAAGGCCCTTTGTAGCGTCCTCCCAGTCGTCAGTGAAGTAGTGTAAATATCCACCATGCGTGACCAATACCAGCTGCACGTCCTCATCAGGATACTGCTGAAGCAGCTCAGCGGCCTTCTCGCGCAACCATGTCCTTGCAGTCTTGGCTCGGGCCTTAATAGCATTTGCGTTTGGCGAGTAGCGTGTTCCAAGAGCCTTGTTCGTCCACTGCTCGTTGAGTAAGCTGAGATCGACCGGCCACTTCTGCTCCTTTACCACCTCGGCAAGCGTATTGGGCGCCGAGCCGGTGTCGCAAGGGAAGTCACTCGTCTCCTGGGCGTCTGGCAAGGCGAAGATCTCTGGCTTTCGCAACTTGCTACCCTGGCTCGCTTCCGCGTGATCAGGGTGAGTACTATCGAGCAGTGGCTGGAATGTAATGAAGGCGGTATGTAGTGTTCGGTTTAGCGGTGACGCTGCGATGAGAGAGATCCTGCGTTGGCTTGTAGGTGGGAAGTGGGCTTTCTGGAGGTCCAGACATTGTGATTGGCCGAGAGGTGTGAGGCGAGGGTCTGTAAGGGAATGAAACTCGACGCCCAGGTTGTGGAAGCCTTGGGCGTGGCGGATGAGGTGGACAGTTACTGATGGCATTCTTTTGACGATTCTGCTTATCATGTGCCAGACTGGTGGGGAATCAGGTTCCTGTCCAAAGTGTAGAAATGTATAGAGTGCTGGGAGCGCCCTCAGTGTTTTGTTTGCTAGATTTAGTGGTTTGTCCCGGTACTTTGTGTGGAACAGTGACAAATGCTGGCGTGTAACGGTAGGAAGGCTGGATGGTATCTCAATAGTAATACTAGTCTGATATAGAACAACGACCCCGCCATAACGCCGCTGCCGGCGCATGGAGTGAGAGAATATATTTTTGATATGGAGATCGGTGAAGACGCCATATGCTCGCAAGCTGCACGTTTATTGGCCGGGTCGGCAACGGTATTCGTGCCGCATACTTTGCACTTAGCTTGTCATCCGGACTTGGGAGAGCCCTTGAGTCATTGTTTACTTAGAAAGAGTGGGAATCCACCTTGGATACACAGCGGGCCGTCTGACGCCGAGCTCAAAGAGCACGCATATCAACTCGCTCACGAAGCGTAATTTTCAGTCAGGACATCCGCTTTTCTTCCGCAGTCGCCAAAGATGATGCCGTGCATTGACCAACCGAAGAGGCGATCCAAACCAGATTCGTCAGTCATAATCATCGTGCCTTGCCAGCCACTTCGACATCGCCGACAGCTAAGTCGAAGTGCGCAATGAAGAGTTTTTCATGTCCTTCTCAGAAAGATGTTTCGGAAACGACCGCGTCCCAGTGCAATTGCCCTTCGTATGCTCTTGACTACCAGGTCCCATGTCCTTTCCTTCGACTCGTCCTCAGTTACCAATGGCAGCCAGGCGGTCTTCACGAGGGTTTCCGGCCATTGACGAAATACACACGTCCATAACAATGGATAGCTCGATCTTTGTTTTCCAACTCTTTCCTCACTCCCGCCAGCAAGACATGCACGCGCTCGGGTTCCCATCCTAGCACGCGGGTGAAGAGTGCGAGCGAGTATGCGTCTAGTGCCTCAAGCATTAAGTGCTGTTGTAGCATACGTCAGCTTGTGCTTTGAAAAGGGGACAGGGACAAAGGCTTACCTGCTGGTACCGTCCCAGTTGTTTGAGAGGTACTGATTTGGGCCAGGGTGAGAATGGTAGCTTATAGACGTTCTCCTTCACATCCACGAATCCAGCCTCCTCGAGCCAGGTCTTATAGTTGCCTGCAACGCCCATCGGCTTTCCGAACTTGCCCGACGCCTCAAGGAGATGATTCTGCCACTCGATAAGGTTGGGCGCAAGGGTTACGGTGTCGTCGTCGCACCACACCCCAACGGTGGCTTCTGCGGCTTCAATGTAGCCACCAGGCTTCAGATGGGCGAGACTCTGCGCGAAGAGGCGCCTGTGGTCGCGGGTTGAGCCTTCTGTGTTCCGGGCGTGAATAAAGTCAAATGGTTGCGAGAAGTTCCACTCAGTCTCGAAGTCGAAGATCTCGAAATGACAATTCGGTGGCACTAGGGTGGGTTGAATAGGAGATAGGTCGACGCCAATGACAGTGGTTTGGGGCATTCGGTCGGCCATCTCGATTGCCCAGGCTCCTGTTCCAGTCCCCAAGTCCAGGATTCTAGACGTGGTCTCCGGTATTGGCGCTTCATGTAGATCACCACCTAGCATCATCTTGAAAATGTGGTAGCCAACATCCATTCGATCTTGTTCACGCTCATCATTGGGAATAACATATTGGCCTTCTTGATAGCTGTGATATCGTCTGCCGTTCTCATATCTAGGAGAGATTTAGCCCTTGGTCGCAGCAACCGCAGCCATTAAGCAATTGAACTGACTGGTATTTCATGATCGAGCTTCTGAGCGAAGCGGTCGAGGAAGCGGTATCGGATCCGCCATATCCGTCATCAAAGTCATCGTCAGGGTTCGTGTCGGGCTCCACGGACCCTTGGACGGCTACCTCAGACTGTGCAGGATCATGAGGAGCGGAGGCAGTACCTGCTACCTCGGCGCTCATGGTTTGACAACTCGTGGGACAAATCCGATTGAACTGTGATCGAAAGAACGATTGAAATTATCAAGACTGTGAAAACAAACGATCAAATCGAAGCGAGGTCATCACCATCATATTTCGTGTTCAGGTATCATCGTGTTGGCGAGAACCCACCGAGCATACAAATGGGTCTCCGCCTCAAATTCCTGGTGACTTATTCTGTAGTTGCGGTCCGGCGCTCGTTCAGCTGGTATTAGCGGCAGTTGACGGGTGCGTCCCGGGCGGCAAGGGGCGACAGACCGTTCATCGCTCAAAAGTATCAGCAAAGACGATCACGATCAGATCACGCCGTAAGCAGTAGATTGGCTGGTTCGTGACGAGCGGTAAGGGCTAGCAGTAGGTGCATTTAGAGTCGCGCGGGCGTCGGCTTTGGTTTGAGCTCTCAAGGCCATCCACCAGTCTCCTGACGTGCAGCGTGTAGATAGAGGGGCTGAGTGGGGTGAACGCGCATAAAGATCGTGACTTGCTGCAGGACACAAGATGTACTAAGGTACAAGAGCAGTTCTTCAGTGCAAAAGACTGCTGTCCAGAGCCTCTAAGCGCGGTCCACGTGTATGCCCGATGCAACTCTGCCAGGCGATGGATGCTGGACTTGGACGCACCCTAGTAATTCACTAAGGACGCCCAGAGAAATGTGCCGAAGTGGGCACGAAGCTACAAACTCCGAGACTCTCACATGCAGATGCGACTTCAGTTTCGATGGCTTGCTGGGTGACCGGAACCAACACACGTCTGAAGTCTGACAGCGGCCGATGAGATGGCTGAAGTAACCAGCCATCTGACAAAGCCCAGCACACTTTTGTCTGCCCTGCTTGCCTTTATTACTTATGGCATCGTGCTCGCGATATATCGTCTGTATTTCTCACCGCTGGCAAAATTTCCTGGTCCCAAATTGGCAGCAGCAACCGCCTGGTATGAGTTCTACTTCGATTGCATCTGCCATGGGAGGTACTTCCTTGAGGTGAAGAAGGCTCACGCGAAATATGGTAAACTTAGTCTCAACGTTGATCTTATCAGAGGAAAGGCTGATAGCATACCAGGTCCCATCGTTCGTATCACGCCATGGGAGCTGCATATCGACGACCCGTCGTACTATGGCACATTATATGCTGGTGGTCCGCGCGACAAGTATTCTCTCTTCTCGAAGATGCTGGGTAATCCGCGGGCCCTCGTGGGCATCGAGGACCACAACCTGCACAAGTTGCTCCGAGCAAACATGAACCCATTCTTCAGCATGCAGAAGTCCGATCCTTGGAGCCAGATATTCAGAATCTGGTCGACAAGCTCTGCGTGCGCTTCAATGAGCAGAAGGGGAAGGGGCCAATCAACACCCAGCACGCCTACAGCTGCTTCAGTACAGATGTTATCTCCGATTACGCTCTTGGGTCAGGCTTCAACTACCTCGACTCGAACGACTTCGTCCCCGATTGGTCGGATACGCTCTCTGGCATTGCAGAGGCGAGCGCCTGGTTCAAGCCGTTCCCACAGTTGCTTGGGCTGCTTCAGAGCGCACCCCAAGGACTGGTGAGCAGGATGAACCCTGGAATGGGCCTGATGTTTGCTTTTCAGCGCCGTTGTGCCGTATTGATCAATTCTATCATTGCAGCTCGCGAGTCAGAGGATGATAGCAAGGCCGTCGACAAGTTTGGCCGGCCGACGCTGTTTCATCATGTCGTCAACAGTGATTTACCTCCATCAGAGCGTGGGCTTGAGCGACTTGCTCAGGAGGCACAGGCAACTATTGGCGCAGGTGCTGAGACCGTCTCCAAAACGCTAGCTTGGACAACCTACCACTTGCTCGCCAACCCCGAGATCCTTGCCAAGATGAAGGAAGAGCTCAATCGTCTGGATCCAGAATGCAAAGCAGGAACCGTGGAGCTCGAGAAAATGCCATACGTGACCTCGGTCATGCTGGAGGGTCTCCGAACCTCGTACGGAGTATCCGGTCGGCTACAGCGTATTGCACCCGATCCTCTGCAGTACGGCGAGTATACGATCCCGGCAGGCACACCCGTTGGCATGTCTTCTGTCCTCGTGCACGACAGAGAGGACATCTTTCCGGAGCCACGCACCTTCAGACCCGAACGATGGTTGGATCCTGCTGATCGCAGAAGGCTAGAACCTTACATGGTGGCATTCAGCAAAGGCTCAAGAGCATGTTTGGGCATCAATCTGGCCAGAGCTGAATTGTTGCTAGCGCTGTCAAATGTCTTCCGCAAGGTAAATTTTGAGCTGTATGAGACGACCAAGGAAGATGTGACGATACAGCATGAGATCTTCTTGCCATTTCCGAAGAAAGGAAGTAAAGGTGTGAGGGTCTTGGTTGTCTAATAAATACCTTTCAGCGAGACACACCTCTCAAAGTGAATTCGTCTACGTGGCCCCCGATCACTTCACTGTCACCATGGCTCTTTTGAGGCTGGGCAGTTGTGGCCGACGAAGATTTGTAGTGTTCTTACCTGAAAGGGTAATTCGCAACTTGTGGAACTTGCAGCAGTAGTGGCTGACTGGCAAATTCGTACCATAGACACATGCGAGACCATGATACCCCTTCGTGGTTTCAACGACATTTACCATCAAGCAGACTCTTACCAAACTACTTAGTGTTGCGATTTGGAAGGTCTCCCGCCAGCACTGCATCAGCATTGGCGTGTACCCCACAATCCAGGCAACCAGGCAGTCTGAGTTTTCCTGAGTCATTCACGCATTCCATCGTCTTGATCATGTGGCGATGTACCTCAAGTGGACTTGAAATACGTTCCAGAGCGGCTCGGCTCTCGAGACGTCGTGTTGCGGTAGTGACTGCAGATTTCGAAGCTGCCTTCTGCCCCTACGCCACCACGTTGGATTGATTACCAACATGAATTATGCCCAGCGGTCTAACGAGCCTCGCCTGCGATGCGTGTCGTGCGCGCAAGAAGAAGTGTGATCTACAGCGGCCAACATGCGGGCGCTGTCTCAGAACGAAGACGCCTTGCGTAGGATCGAAGCAGAAGCGTTTTCGCTTCATGGCCCCCGCCAAACCACAGTCCACGAGTCCTCCGCAACATGAGCCACCCAAGTCACCTGGCACCATCATCCTGCCAGAATCTGTGCCCGATAGCCAAAGCTTCCGAGTCGCGCAGCTTCTGTCGACCCACCTTGCTTCTCACGACGATCTGAAGTACTCCATGACTTGGCTGTGGGGCGCTTACATCTCGGAGCTGCCACGACACATGGTGTACCATCCTGCCTTAAGTGCTGCTGTGGAGACCCTGCTCATGGTCCATCAAACGATCTGTGTTGATTCTTCGAGTCAGGCACGACGGAGCCACCAAATACTGCTGCACCGTAGCTACATCGAAGCCATCACCAGCGTCCGCCTGCGGCTAGATTTGCCAAATGCCCGAAGGGAGCCCGAGATGCTTTGCGCGGTATTCATCCTCTCCAGCATCTCGCCGTACTTTGAAGGTGTTGATTCTGTGTTCAAGAACCCACACGCGAAAGGAGCGATCGAGATCTTGCGCGCTCGCAAGTTCTCCACCGCCAGCGACAGCAGTAACAACAATGATTCGTTCGACACATTCACGCTTTCGATGCTCCGCAATGCCACCGCGCTCAAAGCCATTGTCGATGGTGAAGAAGACATGACGCCAGCAGATTGGGAAATGTACGAGAACTCCTATCAGTATACCGATACAGTAGGCCGTCTCCTTCGCTGTGCTGTACGGACCGGTCGCGTGTTTGCCTTTGCTCGCACGACCCAACCTCAGAGTCCCGAGGAGGCGATCGCGTTTCAACAAGCGCTTCAGCTGGAGTTAGAACTTGAGGTCATCGTACTCGAGTTGGAGCAGGACATCGAGAGAGCCACGCCGCCGGCCAACCTCGTCTCGCCGCAGCGGCCCCACGCTCAAGCGCTTCGCAACTATACCCAGGCTCTTGTACTGTACGCCCAGATTCTGTGTTTACTCCAGAGCATTCGCCCCTTAGAGACCAATAATTGTAGCCCAGATTTTGAGCAGGACATCATTGTTCTGGTGTCGCGGACCCTGTCCGTAGCAGAACAAGCCAAGATCTACCGGCCACTGGGTGCAAACTGGATTGTGATCGGACTCATGGCAACGTGGTGTGCGACGATGGGTACGGCCTTTCAGATGGAGGTCGCGGAGGTGATGGACGGGTGGAGGGCCGAGGGTCCTAAAAGCCTGGATAAGGCCGATAGTGTGGTTCCAAGAGGAGTTCTGTATGGTTGGTGGAGGAGGGTGACCCTGGGCAGAGGCCGCGGCGCAGGCAGTGGAGGCTTTCCCAGTTTGATCGACGAGAGGAGCGGTGGCGGAGGGAAATGGGCGGCTGGCTACGCCACGGCCGGCCATGAGACTGGAAGGAGTAACATGTTGTTCGTGCCTGCGAGGACGGCTTTGTACTGATTCCAAGGCTTTGCGTGCTAGAGCGTCCGGAAGCACCCACGAGCGGGAACTTGGATGGAAGCACACACCCTCGTCTTATCATTGCGAACGGCCGACGCAATAGCTTCTTCATAATCGTGGCCTCTCTGAGGATGAAATGCGAGGTTTCCTTTTCGAGCGACGGTAGGAGCCTTTGCGGTTGCGGGCATCGATGGGACAGGTACGGAGTAAGAGTGATTGGAGGATTTCACACGCCAGAGGAACTATCGAATAAGCAGTCGAGCTTTGCAGTGGCCATCCCGCGCGACCCTGTCCTAAGCATACCGTACCCTTAAAACATACGCCTCTCACACCTGGCCAGCAGGCCCACGGTGCGTCTCAAGATAAGCCGTCACGGCAGGCGCGATACTCGGCCTCCTGCTCCCGCCCTGGTTCTGCGCATCGATACTTGCTCTTCTCTGAGCCAGCGCCTCTTCGGCCTTACCATGCCTGGCAAGAGCATCCGTGACGCTAGGCACCACCGATGGCCTCCTTGGCGCCTGCCCGGCGACCGAGTATCTCTGTGCGAGCTCATTTTGCTCGTGCTCGTCAAACTCATCGACGTTGGTCGTAGCGAATTGGCGGGCGGGGACTCCCTTGGCGAAGAGGATATCGAGCTCGTGGAACGTGCGGTCCTTGGTCTCTGGAAGTCTGAAGTACGCCCAGATGAAGACGGCCCATGCGCAGCCGCCCCAGACGAAGCCGGTATACCCTCGCAAATTCCAAGCATTGGGATTCATCATGAAGTTCTCCAGGGTGCCACCGATAGTGCCGGAGATGTTTGAGACGTTGCGGGCGAGGCAGACAGTCTTCTGCCGGAGTCTGGTTGATCCTATCTCGGCTGGTAGAGCCCACCCCAATTGACCAGCGGACAACTGAAAGGTGACAGTCCAGACCAGCGTCAGGATAGCTTGCACCCAAGCCACAGACTTGTGGTGGGTCCACACGTTGAGGATGCCGATGAGGCAAAGCTCAGTAGCCATAGCTGCCATGCCCCAGACGTAGACTGGTCGCCGCCCAAATCGCGGCATTAGGATAAACCAATTGGCGAAGCAAGCCAGAAGGGCGAGGCCGTTGGCGCCCCAGCCGAGTGAGTAGGCGGAATCGGCATCCAGACCGACCTGTTGGAAGAAATATGTGCTGTGGAACGTCAGCAGGGGAGAAGATCAGCTTCTACATATGGAGCATACCTGGCATAAGCGAAGCAGAGACCACAGACAAGCTGACCGCCGAAGACGACGCAAGCGATCTCTGTTCTGCGAAGGTCAAACCCCTTGAAGCAGTCATAGTAGCTGGTCCCGACGCAAAGCTGCTCTTCGAGGTTGTTGGTGTAGACGATCTGAGCGAGAGTGTTCTTGGGATCAAGCTGAGCGTTCTCATCCTGGAGACGGCGAATAGAGCGCTCGGCCTCCTCGAGATTGTTCTTTCTGACCAAGTGGTATGGTGACTCTGGGGCGAAGTAGATTGCTGGCAGAAGGAAGCATGGCCAGATCCATTGGATTGCGAATGGCTAATTCAGATGTTAGAAACACAACACGTCGGGAAGAGCCAGAACCAGGCGTTTCTTGAGAGACTTACAATCTTGTAGCCCCACTCGTCGGTCCGGGATACAAGCCCACGTAGGACGCCAGCTGAGATGAATTGCCCAAGCTGTAGTTCTGTCAGCCTGGTGTTGGGAGCGCGAAATGTGCTGTCAAGACTTACGATAAAGCACATATTGGTCCAGCTGGTGAAGTAAACTCTCAGCTGCAGAGGGAGGACTTCAGAGGCGTATGCTGGAGCCGTAGTCGCGAAAATTCCCTGAGCGTTGGTCAGTAGGGCTCGCGATCCCTGGGAATGCTTGAACACATACCCATTCGAAGCCCAACAAGATCTCGCCAGTGACGAGCACAGGCTTGTTCGGCGCGAAGAAGACGATGAAGATGAAGCAGGTCATGACGACGAGCGTGCATAAGAGGACCTTTCGAGGACCGAAGGCCGTGATCAACCATCCATTCAGGATCGTGCCGAAGATCGAGCCGATGCCACTGCCTTGTCCAAGGCCGGCTGACGGACTGTTAGCTGAGTGCTATGGTGAAACAGCAAGGGACATACTTTGCCATGCAGCTGGGATGGAGCGACCATATGGCGTTTGTTCAGTCACAGGAACGGGATCGCCGTATTTCAGCTGGAACGATGGATAGGCGTAGAAGTTGCCCAACAAGTTTGTGTCGAAACCTTCCATGATGACACAGCAGGAAATGACCAGGCACCACATAACGGCTTTGCGGTAGATCTTGAGGGCTTGACGAATAGTCATGTCCTGCGAACCTGATTAGCCTTGTCTCGGGAAAAGGGCGTATGATAGAAGGCAGGATTGTAAGGTTAATGACAGCAGCTTCTCTGTCAACCCGAGACATATGCTCGGGCAGTCTTCAATGCAACGTTCGTTTCCGGACACAAGTTTGACCATGGGAGAGGCAACTTACTTTCTCCGTGAAGACAGCATCTTGGGCCACGGTGCTGAGCTTGCGTCCATTGTCCCATTTCTCCTCGCGCCAGTCTCGATCGAAGTTGCCATTGGCTTCGGTGCTGACGTGGTCCACTTCGTGGATGGCCTTTTCAGACATGGTGATCGAGCTGTCGGGTGCTGAGTGGTAAGCGACGGAATGTCTGTTGCGTTCTGAGCTGGAGGTCTCATGCTTCTGGAAGACTTCCACGAGGCCTTATATCCTCTGTGAAGCTCTGCATCGTCCATGGAAGACCAGGCGAAATGGAACATCATGCTGCGGAGAAGACTCGCGTTGTCTGGAGAATAGAAAGCATATCGTCCTTAGCGTCGGCTTTGAGCCGCTACGACTCGAAAGGGTCTTGATTTTCCTCCGGAAAGGCGGGGTTCGCCCAAACGCCCGGAAGGACTGGCCCAGTTCGATTGACTATGCACCAGGAAACCGTTGCAATCCTGTGCAGGACTTACATGCGCTGCAAGCTCCTGGGGAACCGCATTCTCGCAGGTCTTTCAGCGACCTTTTGCTGCTGGTCAGAAGCTCACCATTTCTCGTACTTGTTCGTAGATAGCCATAAACCCTCACCTACTTTCTGCGGTGCTGCTCACCGCAATGCCAATCATGCGGAATATCACAGTAGCTGTGTCAGTCACCGTGTGATATGCCAAAGGCAGTTCCATCGCTAGCTAGCACACAGCGCAGCTCGAATAGCTGGCCACATGACGCGCATCATTCCCACAGACTGAACCCAATCAAGCTCGTGTCAAAACGCGTGAAGCAATTCAGAACTGTGCAGGTATCGTTCCGCTAACACCAGAGTCAGTGTCCGCCCACATAGGACTCGTGTCCGATTCCGGCAGCGAGAAGAAAGACTGAGGAGCGCTACAACACCGGAAGACACGCTAAACAGAATCGTTAGCGGCGCGTCCTCCGGCTTTGGAAGTCTCTGATTGGACGCCACCTCGACTCAGTTTGGTGCCACATGATCGGCCCTTTCAGATCTGGGCCGAGGTGGCGGCGGAAAACTACCAGCTTGGGCGGGATTGACAAGTTCTTTCGTCCTTCCATCAGGACTTTTAGGTCAGGTCGACATAACACGAGCATCTATGCTCTTAACAGCATTTTGATTCCTGTCTGAGTGTCTGAGAAGGGCCGATAAGGATCTGAGATGCGAAATTGTATTGATTAATGGTGTCGTCGCTGTAGAAGGCTCAGCTGATGTACCTTGAGACGCTACGAATCCACGGTAGACGTCTCGCAATAGAGGCGGCTGCGATCCTACTCAGTGTTGTCCACGACACACGAGTGAAGTCCAGCGTAATTCTGGTTTGGCATAAAGACTTGATTGTCAAGCGACCCTCGAACGGTCAGCGTCTACTGGCCAACATTCTTGGAGTGAGTGACTTACAGTGCGGACGCCGCTCCGGGGCTGTACGATGATTCTGATACATCTCGACTACCGGGCGGAACGTTGCCAGAAGATGTGACCACGCCGAGCACAAAACCGAGCGGACTCTTGCCAGCGGAGTGTCGGTCGCGCACGCGAGTGACATGCCCCAGGCGGGGGCCGACCCGCACGTCTCGGTACCAGACAAGCTTCTATGACCGGAGTCGAGGTCGAAACGGCGAAGCATGCCTCGATATCTCGAGCCCGATCTCCGAGTCTTCCTAAGATCAAAATTTTTGGCGCAGGACCCACCTCTCATTCTTGGCTTTGTCACCGCCCCTCGCTGATTGGGTGCTGCTCACGATGAGCTTCTCTACGTTTCCTGTTTCCTCTCCCACAAGCATATCCTCTCAATGACCTCGCACCGGTTGTATACATATAGCGCATCGTTGTGACCCAAACATAGAGCCAGGAGACAAATATGGCAGACTCGTCGGCACACAGGTCAGATGTCCATCAGGACGAGCACAGCACGGAAAAGACTCCGCCGTTGAACTACGACCTCGAACAAAATGGAACAACCTCGCCGTCTCGCACGACGAAATCTTCAGTCTACGCTGGCCTCGGCTGGCTCGACCGCCTCCTTGTTCTATGGATCCTACTCGCTATCGTCATCGGCATTCTACTTGGCAATTTCGTCGACAGCGCTGGCCCTGCCTTGCAGAGAGGGCACTTTGTGGGTGTTAGCATACCAATTGGTAAGTAAGAGCATACCATGACAGACTCGACCGGCCTTGGTTCCTGATTGCTGATGATTCGAAGCTGTTGGACTCCTCGCGATGATGTATCCAATTCTATGCAAAGTGCAGTACGAGACATTACACGAAGTTTTCTCGCATCGTGAGGTTTGGGTGCAGCTTGCATTCAGCATCGTGGTGAATTGGATCATCGCTCCATTGTTGATGGTATGTCACCAAGCTCCCCGTCGGTATTGTGAGACTGACCGCGGTTAATATAGCTCGGACTGGCATGGGCTTTTCTTCCAGATGAACCTGGCCTGCGCAACGGCCTCATCTTCGTCGGACTAGCTCGATGCATCGCGATGGTATTAATCTGGACTGGCTTAGCTGGTGGCGACAACCAGTACTGTGCTATCTTGGTGGCCGTCAATTCGATCTTACAAATGGTGTTATACGCACCACTAGCGATATTGTTTGTCAATGTGATCAGTCGAGGCGATGCTAAGGAGGTCTCATACTCAGTGGTCGCCCGCAGTGTCGGTGTCTTCCTGGGCATCCCTCTGGGTGCAGCAATCCTGACGAGGTGCGCTTTAAGGCTCGCCAATGCGAAGTGGTATGACACGACGTTTCTGAAGTGGATTTCACCACTTTCACTCATCGGTTTGCTGTACACGATCATTGTGCTGTTTGCCTCGCAGGGCAAGCAAGTCGTCCATCAGATCGTCGCGGTGGTGAGAGTAGCGGCGCCCCTGGTAGTCTACTTTGCCATCATCTTCTTCGCCACCCTGCTAGTGACGAAGCGGCTTGGATTCGGATACAAGCTCGCCGCAACTCAGAGCTTCACAGCTGCAAGCAACAATTTTGAGCTGGCGATCGCGGTTGCCGTCGCAACCTTCGGTGCGGACAGCGATGAGGCTCTAGCTAGCACTGTGGGCCCACTCATCGAGGTCCCGGTGTTAGTCGCTCTCGTATATCTTGTGAAATGGTTGGCAGGACGCTGGGGCTGGCAGGATTGAGTCCGTATCCGAGCAACAAGGCACGCGGTGCAATTGAGGCCGTGAGTGGAGATGGACTGCACTGGCATTGTCTACTGAAGATATGCCGAATCACTTCATAGCATCACGCTATGCACTGCGCGCCTCGAATGTGGATGCAGCCATGCCAGAGTGCTTTCAGCATGCAGTTGACGAAATGAAGCGTGTCCAACTAGACTTGATACATGTCGTATTCACCTTCATCATCGACATATGAACATAGCCAAGTCGAAATGTTCAACGGAGTTAGAGAAGGAAGCGTTCAAATTCTGGCACCAGCAGATCGGCCTGATATCGTCCCGGGCGTTCGGCGCATGATATGATCGTCAAGCCGAAAGCAAATATTTGAGCTAACCCATTCTCGTTCCGCGGACTGCAGCATGGGGGCCAAATTCTGTACTCGTAATTGTTAAAGCCGTTGGTTGCGACATCCAATGTCGTGTTCTGCAATGCATCGGACCTGAAGTGTAAACCTAAGTAAATTCCCGAGCCTGCGTGCCTCGACACTACGACGCTTTTGCTTTCGCTGGTCGAAGTACAAATATCGCGATGAGGCCAACATGCTCAGTGCAGCATTCAAACGCAAATCAACTTCCAGCATCGTCCTCACCACCTTCAGTTATAGCACTCAAACCACCTGATCAACATGCACATCTTCGTCACCGGAGCCGCAGGCTTCGTCGGAAAGGCAGCGGTTGCCAACCTTATTGAGCACGGTCACACGGTCGTAGGCCTTGCCCGATCTGACGCCAATGTTGCCGTGCTCGAGAAGCTTGGCGCCTCTATCCAGCGCGGATCCCTTCAGGACATGGACTCCTTACGCGCAGGCGCAGCGCAGTCCGACGGAGTCCTTCACCTCGGCTTCGTTCATGACTTCAGCCGCTTCGAAGAGATTTGCCGGATCGATCGTGAAGCTATCTCTGCGATGGCAGAAGGTCTCGAACAGTCCAAAGGTGGTGCCGCTGGCAAGCCATTGATCGTGATCAGTGGTACCCTAGGCCTGCCAAACCCAGGTGAAGGCAAGAAAGCCGATGAGGATACCGACGACCGCCGAGACATGGTCCATTGAGCTCCCGAGCCTTGAGTGGTGATCTGGTCCGGCAACTCAGTAAGGAGAAAGGCATCCGCGGCATGGTTGTTCGCTTCACGCCCAATGTTCACGGCAAAGGTGACCAAGGCTTCGGCGTTATGCTCATCAAGGCTATGAAAGAGAAGGGTACCAGTTACTATGTCGAAGGCGTTACCCCCATCTGGCCTGGCGGCCATCGCGATGACACCGCTGAACTTCTTCGCTTAATGCTCGAGAAGGGTCAAGCTGGTAAAACTTATCATGCCATCGATGAGGAGGCAGTGAGTCTCAAGGACTTGGCAGAATTGATTGGCCGCAAGCTTGATATTCCGGTGAAGGGCGTTTCGTTCGAGGAAGCGCAGAAGGAGCTCGGATTCTTGGGAGGTATCATCGCGGCCAATACCGTCGTGTCGTCAGAGAAGACGCGTGAGGAGCTTGGATGGTCGCCCAAAGAGATCGGATATCTCGAAGACGTGGAGAAACACTACTTCGGAGAGACTTTGGCACCGCATGCTTCAGAGGGGACCATGGGTGGCGCGAGTGAGGCATGGAAGGCGAACTAGGCCCGTCAAGTAGGCCAGCCACATCGATACGCAGCCATGAATCTCAATTTCGTCCTCCCTCAGGCGGTTTCTCGGTCGTGTCAGAGGGCCTTAAGTGGATTTTTCGACATCTTGAGGCGCAAGAATAACGTCAGCAGCGCAGATGCCATTGCCAACGAGCCAGCATAGAAAATCGCTGGCCGGTATGCTTTGAAACCGGCTGACTTGGCCCCACCGTATGCATCCAATATATAGCCTGCAAGAACTGGTCAGCAAAGACGGCCTGGAATAGAATGAAGTCCGCCGCAAATTTCGCAGCCGAGTGAAGCTTGCTTGACAGAGTGACCTTACCAGCAATAGGAGCGCCCATCAAGTAGCCGCCTGTCCACGAGCTCACAATCGTCCCCATGGCCACCGAGACCCGCACACTGCCAAATAGCTTCGCCGCAACCGTAGGCATCACCTGTTCACCGCCGGTATTGGTCAGCCTGAACCAGAACTTCGGAGGGATGTGGGAGTTGGGAGACTGGGGGATTCCGAGCCAAAGCTATGGCCGTCAGGAGGAAGTCAGGTAGGCTGTAAGGACATGGGAACTACCTCGGCCAGGAGACCAAGATTGGGTGGTCGAGTGTCCGAAACAAATGTCCCTGCCGCTCACACCAGACTATATCCTGACTGCTCACTGGTTCGGGCTTGCGAAAAGGGGACATACTGAGAAGAATCCGCCGTTTCCCATGCCATTGAGCACAACGAAGACGATGAGTGGTCCAAGCGATGAAGAGACCGGCCATATGCAGAGCATACTCAAGGCGCTCAACAAGAGCGTCCCAAAGAGTGAATTGAGCGCCCCGACTTTGTCAGACGTGAATCCGGTCACAATACGCCCTATAGCGGAAGCTCCATTGAAGCCTGCGACCATAGCAGCGCCCGTGTAGGGCGAGTATCCGAGTGATTGCGCGTAGAGTGGTAGGAAGAAGGGCGGCACGCAGAGTGGGAAAGTAGCCACGGCTCCAATGAAGAACACCATGAGAAATTTGAAGTCCTTGAAAAGTGAGCTCGATAAGTCAGTCGGATACATCACCGGATTGAAGTGCTGCACTTACAAGTCAATGAAGTCGGCAGTTCTGATCGGAGCGCGTTCTTTCAGCAGCCAGGCAACTGGAAGGCCTGTGATCAGCATCAGAAGGCCAATCTGTAGGACCAATCAGCATTTCGAAGACTGCATCGGCGAGGGGTAAAAGCAATGCGGAAACCGTGATGTTTGTACAGCACTTACGAGCCGGAATGTCCACCCGATCCCCAGTCTCTGAATGATTGCGCTCATGGACAGACTTATGATGGCACCTCCAACACCTCCTCCAGCAAACACTAGACCGTTCGCGAGGCCTCGACGGCGACTGAAGTACTGAGCAGTCAAGACTGAAACGACCATGTAGCAGCAGCTTACGCCGTAGCCCATCATCAGCCCAGCACAGACAAACAGCCCACCTATGTTGTGTTGGGTGAAGCTGCTCAAGATCTGGCTTAGGCTAGGCAGGTCACTCCGAGTAGCGCGACATTTCGTGCACCGATCGCTCGGGTTAGTCGACCGTTTGGTATAGCGAAGGCTGCATTGCAAGCAATAGCGAGGGAACCAACGAAAGCGAGAGTGGAAGCGGATGCGACCTTTTGGTTGAACAGCGCGGTCTGTATCACGCCCCTACCGAAATGTGAGAAGAGTCTGCGACTTGAGTGCACGCCCATACCAGCTGTATGTGGTCCCAACGAACCAGAAGCAAACCACTGAAGATGCAGTGACAATGACCCAGCCGTAACCTCCATCGGGTACCGCTGCGTCGGCTATTCGTGACGCTTCGAAGACATTGTCAGGATCGGTGGGCTGAGTGCTTGCCTGCCAACCAGGCTCGTTGGAAGTTGCTTCGTGGTCGTTTCGGGCTTGTAGCTCGATGGAGCTTCTGGTCAAGGTGACTGTGGACGACATGATCTCAGCTCGTGACACACGACCGACGCTGTGAGCCCGTAATCGACACACAGTCTTCAAATGTAAAACAATGGGATTCTATACGTCTGTGAGAGGAAGGAAGACACAAAAGAGCCATGGCGGCCAAGACTTCGCCTAGCACCGGATACTTGGTGGATACCTAGGTACAGGTAGACCGAAGGGCGTGGTTGTAAACCCAGATAGGCACTTTCTTGAATCTTCTCCAGAGCAATAGGAATTTTGATATCCCCTAGGCTTCATGCTGATCCCCGCGACGTATGCTGGGGAAGCGGACGGCGACTTGCATCGCAAATGTCGAAGACTTGAATAAGAGCAGCAATATTGCCGGCTTGACGTGAGGCGTCAAGGGTTCCCATGTCCCAACACGCCGTGGACAACGGTCAGCGAGATACTATACAATTCATTGACGACTTTGATGTTTCACGTCGTGGCATGGCCCGCGAAGCGGAGCACTCCCCGGGCAAGTACTGTGTACATGCGAGTACACGTTTATCTGCGCAACATTGGATACAAACACATGGAGAAGGTTGGTGAAGGCGTTCCAAAAAGCGGTGAGAAAAGTGGGCCGGAGGTGTGAGCCCCCCCACCCGCGTGCGCGTGCGTGTCAGGCACCCAGGGTACGTTCCCGTCTGGTACCGAACAGAGCCGCGACTGCATCACAGAAGTGTTCCTCGATCTCACTGCCATCATAGATTGCGGCACGATTCGGCGAGAAATACAACAGGCACTCTAGCTTTGCGATTCGACGTTCTCATCGATGCCACAATCCAGGTGTTTGAAGATACGAGCAGAATGCGATTCGGCCTGGCATCGATGCTTTGGAACAACCGTGGCTCGCTGGCGGCGACCTGTCATTCTTGTTGCGTGTAACATTGGCAGCTTTGACGGTTCAATGAAGCGACGCTACTCTGACTTGTGGTCTGCTTGACACTGTCGGTCGCCAGTCGCCTCATTATTGATCACTTCTCGCAAACGCAGATTCAAAGTCTGTATGCAAGTATCCTTTGACATGACATATGACGGGGTTGTTTCAGGCTCCATCTGACTCCCCTCAACGTCAAGATTGCAGCGATCAAAGGCGACAGAGATCAACCCGGTATGCACTCAACCGCTGAAAGGCTGTCAACCACGCGTTGCTCGTGATTGAAGATTTCCATGGGCTGTCAACCCGCACGGACTCTGCTCTCATTCCTATTGCCCTCTGCGTAACCATCCGTTTCAGGACACCTGCTGCTGATGCTGTCGAATCGAACACAAAAGGTGTATAAAGGCGCAAAGATACCCAACGATGCTACTGGCAGTCTCTGGCACCAGCGACTGAGGTGAGTATATCAAGAACTTCTCAGAGTTCAAAGACAGCTGTCATATACGTTGTATCGCCCGACATGTCACGAGTGACGTCCCAGGGTGGGAACACATACAACCCTAACAGAAGCACCAGGTATGTCGTACCAGGCCTTGTACGAATCGTTCATCTATAGTGATTGACACAGTCGTGTCAGCTCAAATCCAGGCATCAATGCTGTAGCGAACACACATCGCGTACGCCTACCAGATCTCAACAGTAAGAACCTTGATAGGTTCAATGAGCAGCAAGGCGTGTTCAACGCAAACGACAACATCAGCCGCTTCACTCAGGCTCCTGCAGAAGTCATTGAGAAGATCTTCGGTCTAGGCAAAGTTGGTACACATCATAGCGCACCCATCGTCGAATCAACCTCTCGAACCCATCAACGTCGTCCAGCGGTTGTCTCTCAGCCAAAAGACGAATCCCACATGGCAGCCAGCGGCGTTGCCTCTGAGGGTGCGAACAACAGTGGCGTATCGAGCAATCAGACAAAGTGAGGATGGCTTGGACGAGCCTCTTGAAATAGTTCATGTGCTTCGGAGGTTGCACCATGCGAAATGATGGTCTCTTTTGCGATTTCATACGACGTCATGATTTTTGCAATTGCGCTGCATTGCTATCGATTCTGTTGTTACGTCTCACAATAATATACCCATGAGCCTTTCCTAAAGGAAAAAGCTCGCAACTTTCCAATCTGCGAACCATGATACTACAATCGACAATTTCAATCTGCAAAAAGTACGTGTGGCATGTCAACATCAAGACCTTCACGGGCGGTCCATGCAGGGTTTGGGGATGTTTATGGAGCCCCGGAAGTCGATTCCGCTGCCCGTTCACACTAGGAAGAATAGCTCCAGCTCTTTTCCAACGTGACGCAGACATCTTCCTGCACTGTCGTCGTGAATTCATTCTCGCAGATGACAAGATGACCATCGTCAGGTAAAAGCTGTCACTTTGGCCCATTCGATCAAGATTGTGATACGCCCGTGAAGCTGAACGCGGATTGGCGCTTAGTGGCAGAGTGCTATTGGCAGGGAGCGCTAATCCATGACGAGCTCCTGTGAGTAGTTGCGACCGTTGAGTTGGTGCTCCTCAAATTGAGCACCGACGCCTACTGCTCGCCAAATGATTCAGCCATGGTGTACAAGCATCGATATGGCATAGCACTCACACAAGTTGGGGTTCACGGGCGTCCGCTCAAGGACGCCGTCGGGAATTGCTGATGGACCACGCTCAAGTACTGACAATAACAGATCCATATGTGCATGCAGGCGCTCATGCGACTGATGCCCTGTCGCTTGCGTCCGCCAGAAAGAAAGACTGGCACATCCTCGCTAAGGAGTTGGTTGGGGCTGATAGGCGCAGTTGACGACATCCTGCAGTGACAGCGGGCAAGCGATGGGTAAATCTAGGCGTGGATCGACTCTGCGGCTGAATTGAGGTTAGGCGACTTTCTGCAGTGACTGCTTTGACGTATGCAAGCTTGGATCAGGGCGATGCTAATCAAGAGGGAAGGTTTCTTCAGATTGAAAGCACTACATCTACTTATACACGCCAGCCACCGAGCATCTCCCCAGGAGAGCAGATGTTGGGTACAAAGTGAAGCTGCTGTTTCCTAACGAGCGGTCAAGAATCAAGTCACAGCATTGGCGACACCGAACCAGAATCCCCCTCGTGTCGGATCAGGAGGCTCAAAGCTAACTAGCATCCCAAGGTTCCAGGTCCCCCTGGTCCTACTAACAGCCCGGCTCAATGCGGTGTAGATCAAATTGTCCCACGCGCTCACTCGCGCAGCGTGTTCCGAGTCCTTCTAACGGACATCTGTGCTAGAGTGGCTAGATTGTGGACTTGGACACCATAGCCTCTACGCATTGTCTGACCGGTCAGTGGTAGATTGTCGTTTCTTACCCCTTAATAGACAGGGCATCCGAACATTCGACGTTGATTGAGGCGGTGAGCGACTTGCGTACATTGCGCCAGTACGACATGGCCTGAAGCATGCCCACCATCAACCTCAAGAACCGAGGCGTCCAATGCGCAATGTCAACAGCGGGTCGCGTTCTGAAACGCGTGTTATGCAGCTAGAGCGTGGGACTTCCTTCAAAGTCCAGAAATAGGGACGGGAGACCGATTCTAGGTCCAAAACATCCTTGTGAAAGGTGTCAAATATCGACTAGAGCAGCATTTGGGAAGACACGTGGGGTGAGATCGACGCCACGCTTTCGACAGGCAAGCGCGACTACCATGTGGGCATTACTTGACTTGATGGCCAGACGCCTGCCCAGCCGCTGTCATGGAACGACGGGCCGCCAGCTAGATCCCAATCCAAGGTTCCGTCACAATGACTCCGGAGTATCCATCGACCTCAGACGCCTGCCTTTGCTCATTCTCGAGCGGCCGTATGCAATACTTGCTGCCCAAAGTCTCCAGTGGTCCAGTCGGTGCTAATCCTTTAGTTGCTTTTGGGCGAAGCTAGTCGCCTGCTCAGCCTCCTTGGACCAACATCGCTTGTCCCAAGCAACGGACTTCCCGGCAGGCTGCTGCCCGACTGCAGCCATCTGCAGAGCCTAGTAGCCATCGGCGTGCTGGAATGAGCGACTGTATCAGGTTATAAAGGCTGAGCCCTGCAGATCGATTAACGACGTAGGTCGTAGTCGCAACCAGACACACTGAAACCAAAACTTTGTACTTCTGACGTTGGATCACGGCCTTGAGAACTTGTTCAAAACCGTCAAGCAGCATGCGATGTGCTAGTGAGGCGCGACCTGATGAATGAAGCGATTGACGCACTTCAGTTTGACCTCGTATGTAGGGTTATATGGCCTGTCTCTTAGCCACTATGAACAGTCTGTCGAAGATGCAAATATCGGGGACCTCCGGACTCACTGGGATGAAGACATACTGGACGAATGACAATGTCTTGGTCGGTTGCGTTCTTCAGGTGGCCAGTAACTCTGCGTTGCACAACCCGGAGACCGGCAACTCAGATACGAGCCACACTGCGGGCTCAAGGTAAAAGAGGCCGAGTACATCACTCCCAATTCTTGGCCTATAGGGCACTACGCAGGTGACCAGAGCAGCATTGTGGCCGTTTGACTAGTCATTTTATTGTCGCCAAGGCCACCAGGCAGAGACTGTGAGTTTCATCACCGTTCGAGGTAGGTCAGCCATGTTCGAGCAGCAAATACGCCGCATGTTGTGTTGTGGTTCAACATTAGCAACGATTACGCATTTACGCGTATCGTGGGACGTGGCGACGGGTTGTGCGGTCGCCCTTTCCGCCCTCAAGGCTCCTCTCGTATGTCCAGGCCGGATTATTGGTTTTCCCGATAAGGCCATCAACAGATACAGGAACAGCGGATTTTCAAGCTTGTCCTTTCCCGTACTACCATCGCAGTGTCTACAAAAACTTCAGAGGCCGCCAGAAGCGTACCAGCCTCACTACTTGGGCATATTGCAGACAACTCCGTTCATCCGCAACTACTGATCTCACACCGACGCAGAGGGAAGAGGCGTCTGACGAGTTAACCCCTGAGCTCACTGCGCAACTCGACATGGCAACCAGAAAGCCAGTCACCAACAACAAGCCGCCCGGTACCGACCCTTTCTACCCAGTCCTAGTCGACTGCATCTTCGCCGCTCAGGGTCTCATCCATGCCGGCTTTGGAGCTCTCATGTTCATGTTGCCACAAACCATGTCCTACCCTGGCGCACCTAATCCGCTTGATGCCAGTCCGGATGTAGTGAGAGCATTTGGGTACGCACTCGCCTCTCCATGCGTCTCAATCGTCATGATAGTATCCTTCCATTTTTCCGCATGGACTGACAAGAGACCAGCGTCATCACCCTGTGCCTCGGAGGCTTCTACATCCAGTCCGTCTACCAGCTCAATCGTGGGTTCCAGCAAGGCAGCATCATCCTACGACTCCTTACGGCCTTCATCTTCTCCGGCAATGGACCTACTTGGCGACTTGCGGCTCTCTGTGAAGTCGCGCTGGCGTTCATGAGCGTGTTGGTGTTGATGTTGGAGCCTAACGGTGGATTCAAGCGATAGACGTAGTGGGAGCGAGATGTCAGTTCAGTGTTTGAAGGAGGCTATGTCTGTTTGTCAAGAGCATTAGCCGGAGACTCTGGGGGTTCGTGGCTACCGCAATGGTAGCATTAGGTCAGACAGGAGGTCCAGGGGGCCCTTAGGAACCCTCGACGGACAGGCTGATTGCGGTCATGCTAGTCGTTTACAGGGGAATTGCTCGGCGGGGCATGCCTGCCGGGCCACAGTGGTCACGGAATTCGTTGCGGCCAAGTTTCATCTGCCGAAGCTGGCGTAGGAGTACTTTTGTACAGTAGTCGCGATAGGTGTGGCAGTTAGATAGATGAATACCTAGGTAGAAGATATCAAGGCAAGGACTTGTCGCAAGCCGGATGACAAGTATCGTCCACAGATTTGGCAAGTGCGATCACCTGGGCACCAGGTTGGTATCTGTCGCCGGTTGACAGAACCAAGGTTGTCCGTACCTCAAGCCGGATGACTGAAAAAAAGTTCAATCTGACGCCGGATGACAAGATCTACCTGCTGCCATCTACTCCAGCACTGCAGGTGGAATCGGACACAAGATGACCCTCTGCCACGGTTCTGATCATGTCTCTGGCCCAGAGAAGCAGTCCAGGTTCGACCGGTCTAATAATCGCGACGACAATCCCCAATGCAGCAAAACCCTGGGAATATACTTGTTCACGGTTCGAAAGCTACCCATGACATGTGCTGGGACCGGTACCCTGTTGGGATATTGTCACCCTTGTGTTCGACTGCACTTCAACCCACCCTCTACAAGAGTTGTGCGCTCCAATCGCGTTGTATCGCATGGACGGAGGACGTCACATGCCAAAGTGATCATGGTACAAGCAGCGAAAGGAGTATGTCGAGGCGAGCGGGTAAGATCGACACGTCACCGCCTCTTCTGCACCACGTGGGACACGGAGACAATGTCAAACCGGTGAAGGTATACTGTAAGTCATAATTGTCGTCGATGGGGATCTGGTGGTAGTGATGTGCTCCTCAACGCCCCAACACCAGCATCCTAATCCGCAACCCCAACGCTATCTATCAGTCTCTGACGTCGCTTCTATACATCTAAATCAACAGCAATATCCCACCGTGAGTAGATCTACTCCATTGCAACTTCAACAGTCTCAATACAAAAAGCCATGTAAGAGACCAACTTCCTGATCGAAAAGGGAGACACCCGGTAGCCTAGATCAAGCTGGACTTCTCCTCCAAGCTGGCGCCCTGATCAAGCCCATTCGCACGAGGTAGCGGCCGGCACCTGACTTGGATGCCATTTTCAGGCTTGACGACCACGATGCCGACCTGTTCGGGGACATGATCTTGCTCAATCGTCCACTCGAAGTTTGCGACAAGTGCGGCAATGATACGTCTTAGCTCAGCCTTGGCAAATCGCTCGCCAGTGCAGCCCTTGGGACCTTTCAAGAAGGTCAGCATACCGTAGTGGTTGGATGCGCCACCATGCTCGTTGAGTGTGCCATATGGCGACGGTCCTGGCTTCTCCTCCGTCGGAGGATCAATCCATCTGTGAGGGTTGAATTGCAGCGCTGAAGATCCCCAAATGTCGACCGAGCGACCCATGGCATACGGCGAGATGACGACATAAGTGCCTGCCTTCACGACGTGGCCAGCAACGGTTGTGTTCCGGACGGCTTTGCGGAGCGTGATGGGTAGAGGGGGCTCTAGTCTCATCATCTCGTTGAGGATGGCGTTGATCAATGTCATCTGCTCGTAGGCAGACTCGCTCATGTCAGCGATGCCGGCTTGCATACCAAAATGCTTGAGTTCGTTGCGGAGCTGATCTTGCAGCTCGGGAGACTGTGTGAGTCGCCATATGGTCATTGCTATTAACGCGGCCGTTGATTCGTGCCTGTGTGATTGGTCAAGTCAGTTCTGACAGCTCGCTTGAACAGTATGGTACCTGCATGATGGCGTGGGGCAATGGACAGGGAAGAGCACTTACGCTGCAGCCAGCAGAATCAATACTTCATCGCGACACTGAGAGGGAGTGAACTTGCCACACTGGATGACTTCCGTCAAGAAGTCTGGTGGCGGCTTCTCGCCACGTTGGATTAGTTCGAGACGTTTTCGTACAGCCTCATCACCAAGATGGTGGATGACTCTGGACGCTTCGTCCATGTCCGCATCGAGCTTGTGCGGAAACGCGTTAACTAGCCAAGGTGGAGCAGTGTTGTGCCACGCGTATTGGCTCATCTTGGCCTTGGATCCGGTGAAGATGGTCATGTACGCATGCAGTACAGGTTTCATCTCCGATGTTTCAGCCAATCTGAAGTCTTCTCCGAAGCCGACGAGACAGGCCACGTCTAGCGCGAAGCGAGTCGCCCAATCGCAGATGTCGAGGACCGCCGTTCCATCGTGTTGGGGCGGAGAATAGACCCCAGCTGCCTGATTGCATCGCCTGAGCAAAGCTTGAATAGACTGCTCTGATTTTCGAGTGAGCATGGGCTTGAGTGCATCAACAGCACGAGGCTGGAAGACAGGACTGATTGCCCTGCGGTTGGCTTTGTGGATCTCTCCCTCCTGCACCACAAGCCCAGCTGCTATAAATCGCTTGGTATAGCGACGGAAGGCGCTGGTCTTCTCAAAATCGTATGCTTGAGCGAATAAGACGTCCCGAAGACTGTCTGCCCCAGCAGCGATGAGATACTCAGCACCCATCATCCCTCGGAACCACAGCATGCCCTGGTTGGGAATGGTATTGATCCATTCAGCGACCTGGCGACCCAGAGGGTTGCTGAAAACGGCACCAACATGGCCGGTTAGAAAGCCACCTCGTGTCTAGAAAACGTTAGTCCGATGCGTGCCTGCAGGTTTGTGTAACATACTCGTGGTTTGGGGAGGTCCCTAAGAGCGCTGAACTGTGGGCGAATCAATGCACGCCAGAGAATATATCCGGCAACGTCAAAAAGCAGGAAGACGTGCAGTGCGACTATCCGTACGCCCGGGAAGTATAACTTTTCTCTGTGTGTAGAAACCAGTATAGCAAAACCAAAATACTGAACAGCGAGCAGCAGCCCGAGCGGCACTAATGGACCGGCCTTCATCTCGATCTATGTTGAGTTGCTTTCAAGAAGAACATGAGAGAGAATGTGGCGAGCGGCTCTGTAAGTACCGCCGGGACTTGCTGTACGCGAATATGAGGGCATATCGCGCACTGCGTGGCATGGGTGTTGATATCGCCGTTGCGCTACGGCAAGTCTCCATATCGAGTGACATTGCTATCACGTACGGCCACGCCAATGTCAATCTGGCCCAAAGAGACCCATCGTCCATAATGCTGTTCGTGGTCCGAGAATGGAGAATAGACTTTCCTTCCACTCATCGTGGACACTAACATTCGCCTGCGGCGGCAGGACAGGAATGTGGAAGCCGGAGTAGCGCGCGCAGTATTGCATCGTAGTACTCTGGGCGACGTAGGTGGCGACGAACCCCTGTGGATGTGCATCTGAAGAATTGGATTTCAAGATACGCTGTGACAGGACGATCCTGAGAGTATGCCGAGGATGCTTTGTGACCATTCGAGCCTGCCGGGCGAATTGCCCTGGACGAAGGAAGTCGTTATTCCATGCGCAGCCGGTCGGCTCAAACTAGCCAGCTCATCATGCATCCTGGTGGAGTCTGGGCGAATGACAGTTGTCAAAGGCCTTGGCTCCTTGAAAGCATTGTCCAATGGTTCGTACCGAGCAGCCGGGAGGGCCTGGCATGCAGAACTCTATTGGAATGACACAACCCGACCCAACATGCAACCACATGACTGGCGCTGAATCTGCTATGCAATGCTGCACCATTGGTGGCTCACAGACAAAGAGTTCGTCGATTAACGCAGGGTTGTAGTGGAAGGACGACGTAATTCTGGGCTGCCATCCCTTATCATGCTCGTTCAGAACAAAGCCGGCAACAAATTTAAGCCGAGCGGCTAAAGAGGACGTAACGCTCATTGCAACATAGCCCTCTTTTGATTCTGCAGCACGAGCAGAAGTACATCGAAGAGGCAGGCAACATGGACAGCATCAACGGAGACACTATTGTGGCAGCAACATGGGCGCTGACGCCGCCAGCGATACTGCTCACAGCCCTGAATTTTCCGGGAGTATTTTATGCGAACAGCTTGACCAGGACATCAACGCTGGCAGCCGTAGCAGCAGCCTCCGCCAGCGTCATATCTGCCTTGAAGATCGATGACCCGTCCGTCGCCTTCATGACCGGACTGCTCGAATGCTGGATCGTGATATGGGCCTCAGTCTTGTTGCTTCGATTCAACCCACCAGCTGAATTTGCCCGCCTCCGATGGCACAAGGCGCCAAGAGCGCCAGAAGAGTACTCCCGGGAGGACGTTGTCTGGCAGGGCTTCCCTCAGCAAGTCTCACTAGCTCGACTGGCGTGGACATTGGATCTTCTGATCAGTTTCCGGCGTGTTGGATGGGTTCTCGAGAAGCGTGAGTGCCGCATCTAAGACAATCGACCACAGTATTGACCCTCGCAGCCCAAGCCGGTCAGGAACCCAAGCAGCAGCAGCCGCAGAAGAAATCTCGCAAGCACAAGCCAGCAGTAGGCGTTCTTCCAGCGATTCTGAAGACTGCTGTGGACTACCTCACACTGACTGGCGTCAATTGGACATCGCCTTGCTTGAGACGAAAGTCCACTCGCCGCAGCTTCTACGGGCATTGCATGTAGCGACCTGGATCATCGCCAGTGTTCCCTTCATCAATTTCTGTCATTCATGCTGGATGACGATCGGTGAAATCGGCCAGTGGCTGGCACCGTCAGCCGCGTACAGAAGCTGGGAGTTCAACCCAAGTCCATGGGGTCCCATTGGCGCAGTGATTGAGTACGGCCTTGCCGGTGAGTATCCGCATATGTTGACCGAGAGCTCGCTGATAGTGAAAAGGCCTGTGGGGCGCGACCTGGCACAACTACTTCAAATTTGGATTCCAGTCGGTCTCAGATCTGGTCTTCCCGCGCTCAACGAATCCGAAATTTAAGGCCCTTTTCCGGGTTGGCCGAGTGTTCTGGAGCTTCTTGCTTTCTGGATTCATCCATTTCTGTGGCTCATGCATGCTCCCAGGAAAGACCCAGCCACTCAACGAATTGCTGTTCTTCATACTGCAAGGCGCTGCCGTGGCGTTCCAGGTCTCCGTTTTCGACCGCGTCGTCAGTCAACGATTTCGCCGTATTTTGAACCCTATCCTGGTTCTCGCATGGCTTTACGTCACGGGCCCGCTGATAAGTGAAGACCAACGAGCAGGAGGAATGTGGGATGGCGTCGATTCCAGAGCTTCGGTGAAGTGATCAACCCTGCAGGGTCTGGCCCGAGCCAGAAGCTTTTGGTTGGAATGTGAAAAAAGTCGGAAGCATCCACGTATGCTTGCCTGAATCATCCGACGGAAGGAAATTCCTGAAGAAGTCGGAACCGGGACATAGGAGGCAGGCACGTGGTTGATGTGATTTGACGTCGACAGAGGGAAGGTGCGTGGAAGAGGTCAATTCCGACCGGGACATATAACGTGATATGGCTCTGAGTGCGGCACACGGTTGAGACTTGCGATTCTCGAATAGACATATGTATCATGCAACGTAGAACAGATTGTGTTCCTGACTTCCGGACATTTCTAGCAGACACCACAGACGTACACTTGCCGGTCTGAGAACAATCCTATGACCATCTAAGAGTAAGTCGCAACATCGATTTGTAGTCGGGAGCTGCCAATGATCATGGACAGCATCTAAATTGGGAGTTACGTTTTCCCGGAACTGGATCGAGATTCGAGAGACACGTAGGAAGATCGAGAAGCCTGTAAGGACGACGCATCGGCCCGTCGATAGACGATGATGGTTCGATACTCGCAGGTTGAGTTTCTGAGAGTTCACCAGCTACCACGCGTTTGGAGCAGAGCCAGAAAGTACTTGTGTGTCTTAGGATCGACCGTAGTCCTTCGTACTGAAGTGTGCGCAAGAGGAAGATTTGAGTTCCGGAGCGGCTCGCGGATGGCAATGGCAGATGTCAGTTCCAACGGCTCTGCATTTCGACCTCGAGCAACTTTTGGCTCATGTTGTACCCAGGATGTCAGTCATATAACTTCTGAAAACTGCGCAGGCGGTCTCAACTCGATCCAGAGGACCTTGCTGCGATCATCCTGGATATGAAGCGTCCTATCGGACCATTGCTTTGGACTCACCGATTGCTCAGAGGTCTTTGATGCTCCGGTGACTATCCACTGAGGTTGACCGCCATTGTTGCGGCCCAAAACGATTTTGCATGCTGAACCCTCCAGACAAGTCCTTATAATGCACGCTCGCGTTGTCTATGAGATTCCCGTTGTCAGGTCACTTGCTTACAATATAGATTGATTGATCAAGCGCTTTGACCAGGTCAATCTCAAAAAGTTGTCATCGCTTCTCCACACTTGAAACGCATCTGGAATCGTCCCTGAGGGCGCTCAAGCACTTATTGGCGGTCTCTCTCATGGCCTCTGCGCGTCGTCTTCGACGCATGTCCCAGTCGCAACAAACCAACATGCCTCCAAAGAGGTCGGTGAGTATGCGAAGGGCTTATACATATGTCTTCAAGCGTGAACGGTCACCTGGCACAACTACTGGCGCAAACCCCCAAGACAAGCGTGAGGTGGTCGCGACGACACAGAGGCAGGAGAAGGTGTCCGCAGAGCATCCACGGTCGCCTGCCACCAGGATTGAGTATCTCGAACGACAATTGCGACAGTCCAGGGCCGATGCCGTCGAAGCTAGAGAACTGGCGATCTCTCAAGATGCCGACATCGCGAATCTGGAAGAGCGCATGCGGTCACTCGAACAGGAGTATGCACGTAAGGAGGAAGTTTTGCGTGATCAAAAGGCCAAGATCGAAGAGAATATGGTCAACATCGTCCTAGAACAAATACGAACAGCTCGAGAGGGAGAGCGCGCGGCTGCTGATGCAGAGAACAAGGCAGCCAAAGACGCGTTCGAGCACAAGTACAAAGCTCGTGTGGCCATCCTTACGCAAGAGTTAGAGAATGCCCGCTCCGCCAAGGCGGCCTCTGAAGAAGACATGGTGGCTTTACGGACCGAAAAAGATTCGCTGTCAAATGATCTGGAGAAAGCAAAAGATGGACTTAAGGAAGCCACTCAGGCGCTCCAGAGCCTGCAGTCCTCCTCTGACGCTGCCATCTCGCAGGCTCAGCAGAACCAGTCCACGATTGTAGCCGACTACGACTGCAAGGTTGCTTTGCTTACGCAGCAATTGAAGGAAGCCGAGTCTGGTCTGCAATCTGCGCAGTCGAAGGGACAGAGTCACGCAGAGCGATATGACCAGCTCACGAGAGAGTCCGCGAGATCCGCGGCTGACTCAAAGATGTCCCTGAATCTGCTCAAGCAACAAATGGAGTCACAAGTCAACTCTCATCGCGACCAGTTGGCCAAATTGGAGAGCAATCTTGTGGCAGCGACAGCTGGGCAGGAAGATTTCGTTCTGCAAAAGTCGAAGACCGACGCTGAGCTCGCTAGCGCTCAACAGGAAATCGAAGAGCACAGATCGCAGCTGGTCGAATCACGAGCCGTTGCTACTCGACTGCAGCAGATGAAAGGTGAGGCAGCAGAGCTCAGAGCCGAGGTGGAATCGTTCAAGGCTCTGTCCAGTAGCCAGGAAGAGCAGATTGTGAAGTTGCTCGAGGCAGCTTCGACGCACGCGACCACGCAGCAATTACTGCAACAAGCCGAGCTGCGTTCTGAGACGCTCACGAAGGAGCTTGAGGCAGCTATTGGGGACACCAAAGCCCTTCACGAGGAGAGAGCAGCCCGTGAAGCTTTGAATAAGGACAATGCCGCGCTGCGTAACAAGTTGACGGAGCTTGAGGCGTCTGCTGGCAAGCTCGTCGATCTGGAAACTTCATTCAAACAGCAGGCAATGGAACTGGAAGCTGCTAGGGCGGCCTCTGAAGCCACCGACTCCAAGTTCGCAGATCTACGTACAGAGAACGCTGACTTGGCCAAGAAGATTGCTGCTGCCAATGCTGCAAGCGTAGAATTGCAGCATAGTCAGACAATGGCAGACGAAGAGCGAGCGACTCTCGTTGAGCAGCTCAGGGGTGCCCAGGCTCAAGGCAGCAACCTAGCCGCGATGAAAGAGGAGCTCGTCGAGGCCGAAGCGGCAAAAGAAGCTGCTCATTCGAGCTTGAGAGAATTACAGGAGAAGCTTATGCAAGCTGAGCGAAATGGATCTGCCATGGGCGAGCAGCTGTCAGCTATAAGTGACGCAAAAGCCTCCCTCAACACGGAGAACGCCAAGCTCAACGACGACATCCAAAGCGCAAAAGCGTCAAACATCGACCTGCACAACAAGATCAAGGCTCTGGGCTTGGCTCAATCTACCTTCGAGCAGGAGGCCGCGACAAAGGCGAAAGAATCTGCTGCCACTATCGCGTCTCTGGAGCAAGAGATTGCCGCTGCACATGCTGCTGCTCAAGAGCTCAGGTCTCAACCGGCCGATCCCGCGGCTCCCGGCGAGGAACTCGAAGAGCTTCGCGCACAGCTCTCAGCGAAGGACTCTGAGCTTGCTGACTTGAAAGCCTGGCGTGCGAAGACGGAACTCGAGCTCGAGGAGCTTGTCAGATCACCGCAGTCCGTTGACGAGTCCTTCAAGTCCCAAGCATCGCAATCCTCTGCCGAAGAGCTTGAAGATCTACGTGCGCAGTTGATGAACAAGGATGCTGAATTGGCCGAGCTGAGAGCCTGGCGCAAGAAAACCGAGCTAGATTTGGACGATCTTGTGAAGACTCCCCGATCAGCCGACACGTCTTTCGACCGCAGAATATCACAGGCCACACCGTCCAAGACCGATGCCGCGACGGATGATACGCCACCGATCACGCCTGCGGCGATCGAAGAAGCTGATCCGAACGATGTTTGGGCCGCGTCGGCAAAGAAGGGCAAAAAGGGCAAGAAGGTCAAGTCGAAGAAGAATTCTCTGTCGTCGCCTGTGGTTGCACCCAGGGCAGAGGCTAATGATAGCTGAAGTTTACAGGGCGTCTGGGGTTGGTCTGATTCATGGAGCAAGCACACGAGGCACCATTCGAGATGAGATATGACGGCGTACAACACGAGGGACTGACATAGCAGTTGAGCGGTATGAGATCAATTGTGATGGTTGTCCTGATGACTGACGATTGATGAAGGGTTTGGCATGTGTGAGCGCTACTGGCTGGTTTGTAACGCACTTGGACTTGTCGCTGCATACTTAACCTGGGCATTCTTGATACCCGAAGCCCGCCTGGCTTCGACATAGCGCTGCTTCTGTAGGTAATTCAGTTGAATGGACAATTCTTCAAAAATTGCTCTGCATTGTGGCAACCGATATTGATGAGCATGGGCTCCTGCTTGACATCCCCGATCTTGTACCTGCTCTTTCCATTCGAGAAATTTCCGGCAATCGGCCTCCTCAGCTACAACAGTTGCATGCTATCAGACGTCAGTGAATTTCTAAATAGCAGCTTCCTTGATAGAGCACTCAATCTGGCCAAATGATTGAATGCACCACAAAATGCCGTCAATACGTTCGCACCTTCCATGCCGCATTCAGAGCTTGCTCTGCTCCCATTGCCAGAAAATCTGTTTGCTGAAATCTGCACAGAAAAACCTGGGTGCTTCCATGCTGATTGTTCCTTGTCAATCCATCCCATTTAGCAATCACGCACGCTTTACTATAAGTCACGTCCCTGCTCCAACGTCTTCACTGCGTTCAATCCTTCCTCCCAGTAGTGGCCTATTGATCTCAGTCATTCACGTCTTCAGCATGTTTCGACTCCCGCTCCCTTCTAGGTATATAGCTCCTGCCCTCGCCCCTGCTTCTTTGCTCGTGGCTGGCATAGCAAAGTCACGGCACCACAGAACCAGAACCAGAAGCAGAATCGCAAGCCGAAGTCCAATCGCCCATCCAGTACTCCGATCAGGAAAGCACAACTTCCTTCCCAACCCGACTCACCTCGAGCAGGATGTCCGGTCGTCTACCTCCCAACATCTACTACCAGCCGCCGCCGCCTCCCAAGCCCCAGACTCCCTCGCCTCCTCGGTACTCCAACCTGTGCGAGAACTGTAGGGTGAACGGCTGGCTCTGCAACGGCGCCAGACCAATGTGCGACCACTGCACGGTTGCTCGTCGAACGATTCTACAGTGCGTCTATGCACAGCTCTCATCAACCAGCGGCGGAGATAGATTTACAGTAGCAGGAGGTAGTGGTAGCAGTGGCAGTGGCAGTGGCGGCGGCAGTGGTGTTGGTGGTGGTGGTGGGACTGAGCCTCTGAGTAGACGAGAGCAGGCGGATCGGATTCCTAGGAGGTGGTATGGTAATCGACCGGAGGATCAGCAGCCGCAGCAGCAGCAGGGCGGGGACAGTGGTGGAAGTCGCAATCATGGCGGTACTGGGCAGTCGCAACAACAGAGAAACAACACATCTCCGACAGCTACCCGCCAGCAGCAGAACAATCCTCCACAGACACCTCGGCGTGGCAACAATCCTAGCTCTGTACCCGATCAGCGCTCCAATCAACCTTCCAACCAGCGTTCCGGTCAAGGCTCTGGCTCTGGTTCTGGTTCTGGTCAGCGCTCCAACCAAGTCCCTGCCCAGCGTTCCGGTCAAGGCTCTGGTTCTGACTCTGGTTCCGGCTCAGGTCAGCGCTCCAACAGACCTCCACCACAAAGTTCCCCTTCGACCTGGGCCGGCCCTCCATCGACGAGAGGCAGCACCTTCGGCCCGCTCGGCAGCCCCGATCATCCTGTCCGTCGTCCACCACCACCAGCTGGTCCGAGCTTTGCCCGGCCGCCACCAGTTCCTCCCCTACCTGTTCTGCCGCCGGGGGATCCGGACTTCGAGAGCTGGGCTTACAGCGACAATGGTGGCAACGGGAATGGCAATGGAAATGGAAATGGAGAGGGGAGCGGGAACGGGAACGGGCGGTGAGGGCGGGAGATGGAGAAGGGTGAAGGGGAAGAATTCGAGTGCCATAGTGGAAGTTGAGCTGGTCTCTGCTGTTTGGCAGTTGCGAAGTGGGAGGATTTCGGTGCTCACGCATCCTCCGATGAAAGCCAACTTACCGGAATGCGCCTCTCGCTATGGGAGAAAGTAAAGTCCACATAAGGGTTATCGTCGTCATCATGATATCTGCGAGCTTCTTCAAAACCTTCTCACAAAGGTCTCGGCATGGAGACAGCGATAGCTTAGCTTAGTTTGAAGCGAAGTAGAGACGACCAAGCTTGACAGCGGCAGCCAAGTGCAAAAGCACCACAGACGTACGTCAAGAAAAAAAAGAAATGCATTTCAATCACCCTCAAGCGCCCGTAGCACTCGACTGTCAAGATCGCACGCATTCGTGACCTACCTGCCTACCTATTGTATCCTTCCGCTACACTCGGCATTCAGCTTCGTCGATGACCGGATCCAAAATATCTCAGTTTACTTGCTTGTTCGCTGTTACTCCATTCTCTCGACCTCTGCCTGTTTCCACTCACCACCCATATTTATTGCCCGCCTCCCGCTTATTCCTCCGTCCCGCCGCAAAACTCTCCTCCAACGCCTCCTTCTGGCCCTGCGCCGAACTCACCAGCTGCCTCAAACTATGCTTGCCTGAAGCGATCGCCCTTACAGGATTATGCTGCGCTTGTGCCACTGCAGCAGCGTCGCCGCGAAGGACTTCATTCGCGGCGTACTCGGCGTCGGTGTTGAAGTTCACGATTTTGGAAATGTTGGCGGAGGAGTCGTTTCCGTTGCGGCCGAAGAGTTGGCGGCGTTGGGCGGTGGTGAGGTTTAGGTCGGTGGCGATCGAGTCGAGGTCTTGTGGGGCGGACAATGATTGAAATCGTTGTGAGGAGATGGTGGCGTAGTCTGCTGTGACGGAGTCGTAGGGGTCTTCGTCCTGGTGGGTGGGTGCTGGAATGGGGTCTGGAGCGAGGGGCTCGATATCTGTATCCGAGTGTGCTGAGAAGAGGCTCATTTTCTGCTTTGGTGGGACGGTAGTGGTGGACTGTGAAGGTATTGATGTGGTTTCTGTAGGTCCTGATGCTGCTGGAGTGGGCGATGGCCCTTTCGATATCGCAGACGTCAGAGGTCTTTTCTTCTTCTTGTGTGATACCGAGAGCGGCTTGAACATGAATGCATTGCCATTCGTTTTCGGCACCTCGTCGTCCAAGATTGTTGCCTTCTTAGGCACATCTGGGATCGTCACATCCGCGCCGACTCCAGCGTTGCCATTGCCGCCATCCTCGTCGAACAACGCCCTCAATTCCGCATCACTCTCCCTTGAGAACGCGGCTTCCGCGCCCGTCTTCAGACTAAACACCTTCCGCGCGGGCGCCTTGGTCTTTGCGGCGGCTTGCTCGGTGGTCCGCTTGGGTGGTGGCAGCAAAGCATTGAATCCTCCTCCAGCACCCCCACCAGTCAAGCGTGCTCGCTTCGGCGCCGGCTCGTCATCATGTGTCTTGCTGACATGGTTCAGCTTCACCTGGATTTTCTGGGGATTTGCTCGGTCGATCGAGAAGTTGGTATTGGATGCTTTTGATACGGGCTGAGGTGGTGGAACTGGCTTGGCCTCGGTGTCGGAGGCGTCCGAGTCGCTTCCGTAGTCCACAAGCGCCATTGACGATGTTCTGCAAGAATTGGGTTGTGTAGTGGCCCAGTGATGAGGTCGGCGGATATGTGGAAGTCGAAACGGGATTAGGCAATATTTATGTCCGGCGGAGGCAACATGCGACAACATGTGTCATTCATGCGTCATTCGGCTGCCTTTACCGTATGCATTTTGAGATATATTGCTGTCGTCTGCCGCTCGAGCATGTAGTGTGCCTGACACTCGCTCTCTCGCAGCAATGCAGGCATTTCGACTGGGCCTCCGCACCGCTTTCCGAGCGACGGCACGTTCAGTGCCTCGCAGACCACCTGCACAATTCCTACAACCTGCACAGCAAACACGATTCGCTTCGCGGTACCAGCGATTCGGCAACAAGAATGATGGCAGTCAGCAGTCTTGGTCACGTTTCGGGCCAGCATACCGGGTCCAGTACATCTGGCGAAACTATCGGACGACGATCCTACTTGTGTCAGGCGGCGGCGTGGTCGTGTACGCTTGGAATCAAGAGAGCGTGCCTGTCACAGGCCGGCGGCGGTTCAACGTCGTCCCGCCAGACCTAGAGAAGCAGATCGCAGGTGGTCAGTATGACCAGATCGTCTCGCAATTCAAAGGTCAGATCCTGCCGCCCGAGCATCCTTACACCCAGCTTGTTGCACGTGTGGTCGAACGACTACTTCCTCACTCAGGCTGGCGGGTGAGGAGTGGAAAGTCCACGTCATTGACGATCCAGACATGATGAACGCCTTTGTCATCCCAGGCGGCAAGGTCTTCGTTTTCACCGGCATTCTTCCCATCTGTAAGGACGAGGATGGCGTGGCCGCTGTTCTGGGTCACGAGATTGCACACAACGTTGCGCATCATGTTTCGGAGCGGATGTCGCAGAGCGTCATTACTATGGCCTTTGCCCTCGTCGTCTCACTGCTACTTGATGTCTCAGGAGGACTAGCCCAAGATGTGGCTAGTCTTCTCCTCAGCATGCCCAACTCCCGGACGCAAGAGAAGGAAGCTGATCATATTGGCCTGCTCATGATGGCCGAGGCGTGCTATGACCCCAAATCGGCCATTGATCTCTGGACAAGGATGGCGGAGAAGGAAAAGGGTGCGCCGCCACAGTTCATGTCCACGCATCCAACGAGCTACAACCGTCGTGAGCTGATTCGCGGCTGGATCCCACAGGCTGAGGCCAAGTTTGAGGAAGGCGGCTGTGCGGCGACTTTTCAACATAAGCAGGGTTTTATGCAAGCCGCACGAATGCGTGACTCGGGACAGAGAGGTGAAAGGAGGGCGATACCTGTACAACAAAGACCTTCAGGCAGCGGAGGTGATGACGATTATTTCTTCTGAGACCAGGATGTCGACTGCCTATCATGTACAACACAGTTTTCAGCACTCGACTCGCAACACGGCGCCATATTTTGACCTGATTCAGGCTGAGGTCGACATCAGATCAAGGCACTCTACTCAAATGACCTCTCCCGCAGGGTGGTTCACTCATACTGTCAAGGCCTCAACCAGGCCTGCTCGGGTGCTACAAAACCTCTAGGTGTTGCCAGGCAACTTCAACGGAGCATTCGCAGCGGTGCCAATGGACTCTACGTACGCCACGTGCTCACAATGGAAGTACAGCTAGCTTCAAGCATCCTGTCGCAGGCGCAGGAACTCATCAAACAGCATTTGTTGATCCTCGCTGGTTTGCTATCAGTCTCCTACCTCATCTGGGACGATCGTCGGGATCAACCCTTGGGTCACGAACCACAACGAGGAAGTGGTTCCGGACGCGTTCATGTTCAAGGTCAAGTGCTGGATTGATGCGTCTGAGCAGCAGACGAAAACCATGAATGCACTGTGGGAGCTGAGCTTTGGAGGAGGTGCACGCAAGTGCATCGGTCGATGGATTTCTTGTGAGTGCCGGTATCTGCCGTTGCCTGGCTGATAGATACTTGCCCTCAATGCGTACACCAGCTAACGCGTACAGGGATCGAGATGTCAAAGGTCATTTCTGAGCTACTCCGTCGATACACGGTCTCTCTTGCACACCCTGACCTGGAATGGAAGGTCGTCAGCCGCTTTTTCGCACAGCAGAAAGGGCTGAACGTCAACTATGTCCCAAGATAGATGGCTTACAAGGAAGCGTTCGCCGATCATTTCAAATGAATACACTACATCGCCCTTTCGAATATTGGGAGATCGCCACGACAATCCCTCGCCTAACCCTGGCTTCTTCCAAAATGTTCAGTATCGGTGGCATTACGGCAGGTGATCGATCACGTGATACCTGTGACCCTGGCCACTGGGCATGGCTAGAGGTCTGTCATCGTTTCGGCATTTACGTCAATCACAGACTTCGACTAGTACCAGGGCAGGTTCGGAAGGCAAAATCTTTGTTACGTCTCACGAACACTGCTAGCGTGTTGTGCAGTACCATCAACGGCGTTGTGCTTACATACACCTATTTCCCGAATAAATCTAGCCAATCCTAGCCCATGGCCGAATCGGGCATGTCCACGGTTCTGATCCGAGTTGATACATGCCTCCACTACTGTTGAGCAGGCCGCCGACGTCGTCGCAATGATTTGCTCTTGCCGGTAGCCTCATCGAGTGTTAGCTGGTGGACAGAACATTATTCATCACCGTGAAAACATCGTCAACAATTCGGGCGCCACGAAGTCGTGATTACTCCATCTGGCTCCGTTTCTACCATCTGTGGAGTGACGAGCACAGCTATAAAGTCAGCCAGCAGCTCTTAATTCGCCGTCGTGCTTCGAACTCGCAACCCAACTTCTTCAGCTTGGCAGCATGAGATTCCTCACAGCCCTCGCCACTCTCGCCTTCGCGACCGCCAAACCCATCATGGCCAACCCAACCTGGACCGACACTCCCTCCAATCCCTCCACAATCCTCTCGCACAAAGGTCTCACCGTCTCAGTCTACCACCTTCCCCCACACCCCGTGTCCTACCAATCAACCACCAACCTCACCTTCTCCCCCACAGCCTTCACCCTCATCCACGACGCCACCTCCGCCATCCTGATCGACTCGCCCGCTACCCTCGCTCAGGGCCATGAGCTCGCCGCCTGGATCAAGTCCACTATCCCAGGAAAGAAGCTAAGGGGGGTCATGGTCACGCACGGACACGGTGACCATTTCTTCGCTTCGCCGCAGGTGCTGAGTGAGGTTGGGGACGGGTCTTCCAAGATCTACGTGGATGGAAAGGTACTGGAGCATATGCGTCAGCAGTATGAGCCGGAATTCTATGGGAGCTTTTGGGGGAGTTTGTTTCCTGGTGGACAGATCGACACTAGTACCAACATCACTGACGAAGTGGTCTCCTTGCTAGATGATGCAGATCCGAAGGTGCTGCTTGATAGTGGTACAGAAATCAAGGTCGTGAATGTTGGGCAAGGAGATACGCATAACTCAACGGTCATCCACGTTCCAAGCCTCGATCTTGTGGTAGGTGGTGATGTTGTGTATGGCAGTTGCCATCAGTTGCTGGTGGAAGACGCGACGCCGGAGTTGCGGCAGGCGTGGCGGGACAGTCTGGAGGAGGTGCACAAGTTGAAGCCAACCGTGGTCGTGCCGAGTCATATGTTGCCTGACGAGGACTATGGAGTTGAGCATGTGGCAGAGACGAGACGGTACATTGATACTTGGGAGAAGGCGAGGGCGAAGTCTGAGTCATGGGAGGAGCTGGAAGGTGGGATGAAGGAAGCGTTTCCGGGACGGTCTGGGAGTTTCATACTCAGGTGGAGCAGTCAGGCGCCATTTGGCGCTGATTTCTGATATCGTGTCGGAGTGTTCCATACTCAGTGCACTCCGATCGCGCCCACCGCAGCACTCCCGCTGTTAGTCAGCCACCCAGTCAGCTCACTACTCCCGCTGAAACCTCTCCTTAAAGTGGGACCAAGCTCCCCTCTCGATTCGACACAGCTCCGGCCAAACATACATAAACTTGAATGGAGACTGTGTACGAATAATCCTCTGAGCGACCCGGCGGATCCTCTTCGAGACGCGGAACAGGCCAAGGGCCAAGGAGGAGACCAGATGTAAGTCTTCTGGCCTTCGAGTACGACACCGCAGGCGGAGACGGACAGATTATGTGGGATTATGAAGGCGACTATTCTCTCCAGGATTTCGGGGGGCATGTCGGTGAGGTTGGGAGATGGTTTGTCCTGCAGAATGGTCAGTGGCGGATATTCTGTCCTGAACCGGCGTACCCAAGGTGGCGCATAGGCCATGTGGGACATGCTGGTTGTCGCTCTGGCTATAGTCGACGCTAGAGGCCTCCTGGTGTCGTGTTGGTCGAAGACTTCAATGCCCAGGAAAGAGCCACACCCGTGATGAAAGTGAAATGGATGAGATGACCGAGATGACCTTGAAGGTAGCCTCGAGCACAGCTGGGTTTCCTAGGCAACAATCTGGTTATGTCAAACGTCTGCTTCAAGTGATTTGCCAAGAACTTTCGTTTGAAATCGCGTCGTCCTCGCGCTACTTCTGCAGACTTCACCACTTCAATCACTCGCTTGGAGTTTCACCATCTCCGCCGGAATCATTTCACACGGTTTTCGGCAACCACAGTAAGTATCACCACCCACCCACCTCAGCTAACATCATGCAGACCGCCATCAGCACTCAGACCACCCACCACAACCAACACCATCCAATGTCTCCAAGTACTGGCTGTCCGACCGACACTCGAACCGGGGTTCCGCATACACAGAATTGCAACGCACAGACCTGAGGGTTCACGCTCTCAAACCGTGTCGTGAGCTTCCAGTATCGTTCCTTGACCTGCTCAACATATCAGGGCACGCCTCGGCGCAAACCTCATAAGGTTGACTGGTCTGTTCCTCGAGTCGGGGAGCTCGTGAGCAAAAGCGGGCGTTGCTGCTGACGATTGCTCTGGCGTTCCTTGGACTTGTCACATGTCGCATGGATTTATTCGGTGAATTCATGCAGCTGTGTACGAGGAAGAGGGCGTCGGCAGCAGCCTCGCAGCAACACATGCGAGACGACATTACTGATGTTTGTCAGTGGCTTCGCTCACCTGATAGATTCGTGATGTTGTTAAGCGTGCCGCCTAGCAACACCTTCTCGTACGGTTTCATCATTGAATCCATACTTACGCACATGCTATGCTCACGAATTTGTATAAAGCACCAAGAAAGAGATGGACGACTCGGTACTTCCACCTACCTCGGTAGTTGGATCCAAAGTACAGTGTCGTCCCTGCTGGCCGGCAGAATGCGATCATGTGATGCTGTGGAATCGTGAAAGACAGGCTTTCTACACCCTGTCGGATCAACTTCATAGCCCCTGACGAAAGTCTGCCGGGGCGGCGTGGAGGCTCTTGCTACTGCAGCGTTAGCTAACGATACGTTCCGATTTGGTATTTCTGGCACCATAGAGCGCTCTGCGGATACCTGAAAGGGTTGTCATCTTGGGAAAATTTGTCGACCTGGAAGGGTTTTCTTCTTCTGAAGAAGGTCCGAGCCTCTGCAGATGTGGCTCTCAGTTTTACCTCCAGCTGTGAGGATGATCTTGGGCGTGGTGGCTGGTCTTTTGCTGAATGGGTTTTCGATTTCTGCTCTGCTATTACATAAGCAAGAGCCCCTTTTCATGATTGCGCGGTCTGTGGACTGTGCTGTTGGGAAGAGGAGGTAGCATGCGACAGACAGTATCTGCATGACAGCGACGAGCGGTCTGAACCGGCGCTCGCCCTTGCTCTCACAGCTCGTCCTTCACCGCTTCGCCCTCTCCCAACACCTTCTGCTTGACCTCCTCAACCGTCTTTGCAAGCAAACCCCCGGCACTCTCCTTCTCCGCGCCACCACCCAACCACTCCCTGCCCGGCGTGTACTTAACATCCCCTCCCCTCTCCTTGACCCCCCTCTTAACCACACTAGTCACAATCTCATAAACAACCTGCGCCGCCGCCAGCGCCGTCTCCTCCCCTCTCCCATCATAACTCGGAGCCACCTCAACCACATCCGCGCCCACGACGTTCAGTCCCTCGATTCCGCGCAGGATGCGAATCAGTTCGCGAGTCGTCCAGCCGCCGGGCTCTGGCGTCCCTGTTCCGGGTGCGAGGCCCGGGTCGATGACGTCGATGTCCACAGATAGGTACACGGGGATTTCCGTGCCGATGCGCTGCATGATCAATTTGGCTATCCCATCGGGTCGCAAGTCATCGATGTCGTCTGCCTCGATTCGGTAGAAGCCCTGATCTGTGTCGACGTCATAGTCTCCGAAACTCTCCCCACCCAGCCGCGTTCGCAGACCAGCGTGCACAGAGCTGTTGTGCTTGATCAAGCCTTCTTGAGAGGCAAGCCAGAACATGGTGCCGTGCGTGAAGTCCGATTGCGACCCTGGTGTCTTCGCCCACACGGAGGGGTAAGCGCCGGGGTGCCAGGTGTCGAGATGGGCGTCGAAGTGCAGGACTGCGATCGGGGATTTGTGGATGCGGTGCAGGGCGCGAAGAGCAGCGAGAGCGATGCTGTGGTCACCGCCTAGGGAGATGATGCGGGGGTGCTGCCATGGGGACAGGGCGACTTTGGTCGTCGTGGCAGCGCTGGGTGGTGGGCGGGCGAGGAGCTCAGTGTAGGCGCTCTCCATCTGGTACAGGGCCAAGGCATTGTCGAATGGCGTGACAGGGATGTCCCCGCAGTCGACGACGGAGGCCCAAGAGGTGTACGGGTTGAGGCCCGCGCGGTGGTTGAAGGAACGGTAGGGTGCTTGGCGAGCGGAGGCAGCGCGGATAGCGCGTGGACCGAAGCGGGCGCCGGGACGGTAGGAGACGGCGGTGTCGAAGGGTGCGCCGAGGATGGCGATGTCAAATGGAAAGGAGGGGGTGGTGAGGCATTTTTGGTGAGGTAGGCTGGCGAGACGGAGTGTCAGTCTAGTTTCAGTAATCATCGAGTAGCGTTGGAAGAGGCGGTGATAGTAATGAGGAGGATTTACTGCGCAAAGGTAGAAATGCCAGTGAACGCCCAGTCACTGCTCCATTTGGCTTGCAATTCTTCGAGCGGACTGCCGCCTTGAGGTGGTTGCTCGACGGGCGGGTTGTCGTAGAACGAGGCACTGGTGACGCCTGATAAGGCGGCCACGAGGCCAACGCAGGTCATGCACTTCATGGTGGTAGCAGCAGCCTAGTAAGGTCTGTATCAGAGGTTGAAACTGCGACACCTTGCTCGGCAGCAGCGAGCTCAGATATGACGGAAAGCCTCATGATGACAGACATCGCTCACTGCACCTAGCTAGGGAAAAATGGGTTGTGCTGGTGGGATCATAAGGCGCTGATCTCCTTCTCCATGAAAGCTAAAATCGACTATGCTGCTGCCGTGCATATCATCCCTATTGACATAACAAGCTCGATCCGGAATCTGTCATCACCGGGCCATCACAGATTGTATATTATCAGGTGTGCGTTTTATTGAGGTGCAGTAAGCGTGTCCGTCACACGACTCATCGAAGTCGAAGCGGCACTCTCTTCCAAAATGCCATGACGGTTGGCCGTCGCGTCGTAGTAACAGGCCTCGGACTCATCACGCCCCTAGGCACGACCGTCATATCCACCTGGTCCCGCCTCCTACAATCTCACTGCGGCATCGTCAGCACCCGTCCACTAGGCCCCGCCTTCGCCGCTCTCCCGTCCCAGGTCGCCGGGCTCGTCCCCAAAGGACCATCCGCGGACAACGCCTGGACGGGCTCCGAGCACTGCACTCCCACAGAGCTCCGCCAAACCGCCAAGTTCGCACAGTATGGCCTCGCCGCAGCGGCTGAAGCACTGGCAGACGCTGGCTACGGCAAGCAAGGAGAGGGTCTGCCAAAGGACGACACGGGCGTCGCGTTGGGCAGCGGGATCGGGAATTTAGAGGAGCTTCACGACACGAGCGTTGCGTACCAGGATGGCGCTTTCGGTGGCGAGACCGAGGACTACACTCGCGGCTACCGACGTATTCATCCGCTGTTCGTGCCGCGGATGTTAATTAATCTGGGTGCTGGGCATATCAGTATGCGGTACGGACTCCGAGGGCCGAATCATGCGGTCACGACGGCGTGCACGACTGGGGCGCATAGCCTGGGGGATGCGGCGAGATTCATACAGATGGGAGACGCGGAGGTGATGCTTGCGGGTGGAGCAGAGAGCTGTATCCATCCGCTGGCGATGGGTGGGTTTGCGAGGAGTCGGAGTCTGGCGACAGCGTGGAATGAGATGCCGGAAGAGAGTAGTCGGCCGTTTGATGAGAAGAGGGCTGGATTTGTAATTGGAGAGGGGGCCGGCGTCGTTGTGCTGGAGGTGAGTATGTTCACATCTGATATGTGGGACGTTGAGGCTGATGGTAGGCAGGAACTGGAGCATGCAAAGAAGCGAGGAGCAAAAATATACGCTGAGCTATCAGGTTATGGATGTTCCGCGGACGCATACCACCTGACTGCTCCACGAGAGGATGGCTCGGGTGCGCTGATGGCTATGAAGAAGGCACTGCAGCAAGCTGAGATCAAGCCCGAAAAAGTCGACTACATCAATGCTCATGCTACGAGCACCCCACTTGGAGATGCAGCTGAAAACAATGCTATTAAGGCTCTGTTATTGGGGGAAGACGGCCACAAGCGAGCGTCTGATATTAATGTGAGTAGCACAAAGGGTGCTCTCGGACACCTCCTGGGTGCTGCTGGCGCAGTCGAGGCAATATTTGCCATCCTAGCCATTCATGAGGTTCGTCATTCATCCCCGATCTATGTCCAATACTAATGATATACAAGAATACCCTGCCTCCAACAATCAATGTAGAGAGTCTGGGTCCTGGTTTCGACTGTAATTATGTGGCCAACCAGTCGCAACAGCGCCAGGTTTCTGTTGCTCTAACCAACAGCTTTGGCTTTGGCGGAACCAATGCGTCTCTCTGTTTCCAACGATATCCTGGGACTTGAAACTGTTCAGCGGAGCGATGCTATCGTTTGAGACGTCCACGCGATAGGCTGCTCGTCAGTCGAATCTTCTGATGAAGGACTTTCCTAAGTCGGATCAACAGATTGCTTCCGATTGGGCATCTTCATTGCGGACTGTGCCATCATGCCTCCAGCTGGAGCAGCGGATGAGGCGCTTTGAGGCATAGCGAACTGGTCGACAGTCGCTGTGGCCGGTAAGTCCTTTGGCACGGCGAACATGTTGCCCGACCTATTGCCCTGGATAGCACTGTGCAGTTGCTCCTTCAGCCGTATAAGCTGATATTTGCGACGCTTGGGTATTTGAGGATGGACGTATAGTGGCTGCGGATTGGCGAGACTGCGAGCTACGGCAGCATGATGGCATCTCTCTCCTCGTCGGAATCGACTGGACCGGTGAGGGCGACATCGAGGTCCTCATCTTGCAACGGAGCGTTGGCATCGATGGCAGCTTTCTGTTGTCGAGCCTGATTCTTCTTCTGATAGTTCTGTAACAACATGTCGTATGGTAGACTTCGACCTGGCACCGCTCGTTTTGCGCCCATGCTGTGGGACTTGCATGTCAGACTGCGAGCACATTGGGCGCCGTTGGGGAGCAAAACACCGCACTGCTTCTCGACATCAACGGGGCCCTTGGCCTTTGCCGCCTTCGCCTTGGGCTCGTCCTTTTTCTTCTTTTTCTTGGGCTCCTTGTCTTTGTCGTCGTCTTCGGCTTTCCGCTTCTTTCCCTTGCCATCTCGTATGTCGTCGTCGTCATCGTCGTCATCGTCGCCACGCGCAGCCCGTTCCTTCTCGCGCTGTGCAGCCTCTCGAGCCTCCTTCTTCTGTCTCGCTTTATCCTGCTTCTTCTTAAGGCAGCCAGCGCAGTGGTCTTTGGCCGAGTCCTCGGTGATGTGCTTCTTGCATGGCTTGCAGACTTTCCGTTCGGGCATCTTGTCTCGCTCTTTGGGAAAGTAAGCCTTGTGTTGTGCCGCGAATTTTGTGACCGGTGCAGCCTTTGAGTCGCCAGCGGCTTCCTGTGCGCCGTCTGCCGTGCCTGTCGGTTTGCTCTTGCGATCAATGCTCAGAGCGCCTGCCTTCTTCGCGTCGACTTTCGGCGCCTTGTAAGTCACTCTCTTCAGGATGCCCTTCTGCGATTTCGCGCCGGATGGCTTTTCATCTGCGGGCGCCATGCTTGGCGTGTAAGAGGGCAGACAGCCGCTCCGTGTCCAAGCGTCTTCACGTGTGGAGGTGTTGTCTCGTGAGCTGAGGCGAGTGAGAGTCCAGAGGCCACTGGTACCACAGTTGGTCCGGGGTCGAGAGTCATGAAGCAGCTGGCCAGCGCCAAGATCGAGTCATGTATCACTCCGCCTGACTGCAGGCGCTTTCATACTTGAATAGTGTGAGTCTTCAGTTTACCTGCCAGAGGCCACCTCATCAGACAAGAATCATGATTATTCGGAGTCAGTGAAATCGCAAATGGCTTCGGACGAGTACACTTGATTTGTCGATTCATCACCCGTCGCCATGCAGAACGGCGACCACCTCAACGGCAATGATCCCAACGGTCTCCTCGCCCGCATCGGCGGCGTGTGGGCTGGTCATGTCCTGCAAGGACAATTCCAATACGAGGTCGCAGGCCTTCTCAAGCGCACATCAAACCGCTTCCCCGGCGCCCAACCAGTCTCGTTCTCCAAAGCCCACCTCGAAGAGCTAAAACGAGCCGACTACTACGTCTGCGAGAAGACGGATGGCATGCGCTACCTTCTCTGGATGACCGATGACGCCGGCCGACCCATCAACTACCTTATCGACCGCAAGAACGACTATTACTTCGTCGACGGCCTCTTCTTCCCCCACCAGGACTCCAAAGATTGGACCAAAGCCCACGAAGACACCATCCTGGACGGCGAGCTCGTCGAAGACCGTTTCCCCGACGGCACCACACAGATCAAGTTCTACGTCTTCGACTGCCTGATGATCGACAAGCAAGACCTCATGGGCCGACCTCTCGACAAGCGACTCGCGTATTTCCAGATGAACATCCTCAAACCCTACAAAGCCTACCGACGCGCTCATCCGGAAAAGGACCAGCCATTCCAACTGGCCGACAAATCAAACGAGTTCTCGTACGGCCTAGAGAAGATGTTCAAAGAGACCATTCCCAAAGTCAAGCTGCTTCACGGAAACGATGGTCTGATCTTCACATGCAAAGACAGCCCTTACTGTCCTGGCACGGATCCCCATATCTTGAAATGGAAGCCCCCAGAGGAGAACACGGTCGACTTCTTGCTGCATATCACCTGGCACACGGAGCCTGCAGACCCGATGGATGCAGATCAGTCGCCTATCGAAGACTACCACACTATGCCCCAAGACTTCGGCCTGTACGTCAACTACGGCCGCGACCAGTACGAACGCCACGGCGAACTCTACGTCTCGCCCGAAGAGTGGCAGAACTTCAAATCCATGAATCGACCTCTCCAGGACTCAATTATCGAGTGTTTCGTGGAAGATGCCTCACAGAGCCCGCCCAACGGTCTGAATGGCCACAACCACAGCAATGGCACAAACAGCGCAGCAGCCGGCAAACGCTGGCGCTTCCATCGGTTTCGTGACGACAAGGAGGAAGCTAACCATATCTCTACCTTTGAGAGCGTGCAAGACTCGATCATGGATCGCGTAACCGAGGAGGACCTGTTGAAGCATGCAGGAGATATCAGGGCAAGGTGGAAGGCCAGAGACGCGGAGCGGAAAGCCAGTGTTGCTCCTGGTGGCGGGAAATAAGTGTAGCCTTCGTCCCAAGGGAGGGAGGGCGCTGTGTGGGGTTTGATTTGTTTTGGGCGTGAAAATTGGTTCATGGCGTACCGCATCACGAATTCTTCTGTGCTTCTTCGAAATAAAGATACCCAGGGAGGACGTTACTAGGGATTCGGCGCTTGAGGAAAAAATTCAGTAAAAATGCTTTCTTTCATTTCGAGATCTCGGTGGCTTTCTGCAGCCACAGCCCCCGAGATCTGGCCAGAGGCCACCTCGAAATAACAGTTGTGACCCATCAGAACACGTCGTTCTTGTTCGCTAGTCCTCTCTCTACCAAGAGCGCCATGCATAGAAAGTCTAGAGATGCCGGACAAAACTCTAGCCGTGGAGGCCTCTGAGTGTATCATCCCGCCTCATCCATCGCGAAACATGCCTGGCTCCAACATCATAATGCATACACTTCCAAGCTGCTGTGCTCAGTCAAAGCGCGACGGCTTTCCCACAAGTCTCCCACCGCGACTCCGTGGCTGCGGCGCCTCACTGCTCTGGCGACCTCTGGTCTTCCTCGGAACCGACACCTCAACAGGCTGTGCCGCAGCGATTTGAGAACCACTAGAGCCACCCTTCCGTGATGCACCGCGTCCCTTCTTCATTGGCGGCGGATCAGTATGCTTATGACCCAATTCCTCCAAGGCCATGGTGTTCTGCCAACGCGTGCATCTCGCGATCGGCTCCGAAAGGTACGTTTTCTTGCGTGTCGCCATACGCTTCACGGGCTGATCGTCCGGCTCGAGGCTATCAGCGGCTTCTGGCGGGAAGAGGTACAGCTTGCGGTTCAGCATGTACGTCTTGATGAGATCGGACTGGGCGCTCAACTCCTTCCGTAGCTTCAGCTCGCGCACGCCACGGACGTCGAGCCATTCGATCAGCTTCTCGAGGTCTTCGGGCTCGTCGATGAAACCCCACTGGTGGGCGGTGTGGAGTTGTGTTGGACCTTCTTCTTGTTCTTTGCGCTCAGCAGGTGTGACTTTGAAGGAGTTCTTGTAGTTGGTTCGCTCTTCTGGTGACACATCGATGAAGCCGATGCGCTCCTGGTCGTCGGGACCTTGCACCCAGAGACGGCCGTTCGCATAGTTAGCATCGGCGGTTGAGCTCTCGGGCAGACCAGCGTGAGGCATGGCGTTGCGCTCAAACCAGTAGTATCGATTGCAGAAGCGGTCTTTGCCGAGGACTCGGGTTCGAGTGCAGTCAGCCTGGCGGAGGTCTTCGTCGACGATTGCTATGGCGTCGTCCGCGATCTCGATACGCTCTCGCTCCTTGTCAATCTGCTTCAGGATCTTTTGGTACTCTTTGGTGCCTTTGTTCTGCTTGGCTTCCTGTTCTCTGGCTTTGCGATCGGCCTCTTCTTCTCGCTTGCGCTTACGCTCTGCAGCACGATCATTTCCGCGACGCAAAGTTCGGCTTGGGACCGGGTCATCGTCTTCGGAGTCGGGAATAGATTCAATGTCTTCGGTCTTGTCAAGGTCCATACCGTCCTCCTCAAGCTCTGGCATCGGGGTAGGCGACTTCTCTGGCGTTGGGGCTTGAAGCTTGCGCTCGATGTCAAGGTTCTTGAGCTTGGCCAATGCATCCTTTCGGTCTCGCTGATGAGCGATTTTGACCTTGCGGAACTCGGTCATAGTGTTGGACATGTCCTCCAGGAAGGTCTTCACCACTTTGGTCTCCATGAACAGACAAATGATAATATGCAGAGCCTGTACGCGCAGATTGACATTCATAGTCGAATACTGCAGCCGCACAGTGTCGATGATTGGTTCGGCATCCAGAGGTGCGAGATGAGCCAGAACGCTGTTGCACTGTTCTGTCAGGCGCGGATTTCCAGCGAGTTGGTGTAGGAGTCCGACCATGACCAGCTCCCAGCCACCTTCTCTGAAGTCTCGCTTCCGCAAACGTTGAATCCACGAATATTCATCGAACATCTCGGCGGCTCGACTGACTTTCTCAACTTCGCCATTGCCTAGCTCTTCTTGATCCGGCTCAGCATTCTGCACCTTGTTGAGGCTGCTACGGGTACGGCGAGCTGGCACTTCGGGTTCAGGAGATGGCGAAGGCTCTCGAGTCTCGGGCTCTTCTTCCTCCTCGTCCTCGTCGTCGCTTGGATCTGGAAGATCTGGAAGTGAGATCTGGATGGCACCGTTTTGCTGATTTTCGGCATTTACAAGCTGCTTGAGCACAGCACAGTGCATCTCGCTGAGCAGTTCACAGTCAAATTCGTCGGAAGAGAACTGCATTGCCTCCACGAAATCGTCGAATGTGAAGGAATCGAGTTTGAGGACTTGGCAGTAGACATTAAGAGTATTCCAGATCTCCAGTAATCGAGACACAGTGACTTCCTGAACGCCATCGAGCACTCCACTTCTGTCTGAACCATCTCTGCATTGCGACTCGGTCACGAATTTAAGTGGAGGTCGCTGAGCGCCGTCGTTCTTCGGAGCGATCTCCATATCGTCTATCGGATACTTAATCGGAGGAGGCGGCGGAGGACCTGCATTTCTCGGGGGAGGCATCGGCATCGAATGATAGCCATTCGGACCATAGTAGCCAGGATTTGGCATGCCAGGCAGAGGAGGTGGTGGTCCTGCATAGTTGTATGGAAGACCGTGTGCTGTGTGCCATGAGTGAGCCGCCCAATTTGGATCACCATGTGCAGCTCGCTGATAGCCCTGGTACATACCATTTTGTTGCATGGCATACATCTGCTCGGGAGTGTAATTGGGAGGGACTCCTTGTGCTGCAAATTGCCGCCACAAATTAGCACGATCTTCTCCATACAAAGACCAAAAGGTCTGCCAAAACCCTGTCGTGAACGACATCGCCAGGATGTGGAAGTATTGGTAGGTTGTAGGTGCAGTACAATGGGATGAAAGGGTTGTGAAGAAGTATTGGTAGAAGTGCCAAGTTGATGATGCAAGAGTAGAGCTGCGTTAGAGAAATAGCAACGATGCAAGAGAATGATGCAAGAGGAGATGCAGAAACGTCAGGATAAACAGCTTCTCACAGACAGACACGCACGCAAGCAAAAGGGTAGACTAGGTGACGCTTCACACCAAGGAGATGAACGTACCTTGCTGTTGCTCGGCTTTGCGAGCAGCCTTCTTCTCCGCGACCTTCCAGCTTCGCTGCAGATGTCGAGGTACTTGAGTGGTGATATGGAACCGCTCTGCGATATCTAACTTGACAAGCCACGGTGCTCCGGTCCATGCTTCGCGAGTCACACAGTTCTTGATGAAGGAACGCAACATCTGCTTGGTGAAAATCTTACGATCTCGAGTGATGTGTTCCTCGTCGACAAGTGCTTCCTCATCAGGCCTTTCGATGAGGCGAACAAAGTATCGCGCGAATGCCTTGCGCTTGACGGTGCCGTCGGGGTCCCGCTGTTCCGCGAACTTGGCCTTATCCCGGACCCGACCATTCAGGCGCTGCGAGTCGTCCAATATGACCGTCACTATCTCGCCGGGATAGAAGTCTGTCTTGAAGTCATCGAAGACTTCATCAACCAAGTTGTCTATCCTAGATGTGGTGGAGAATTGTACTCTCTTGAGGACCGGACCTTTGAGCGCGTCGGGGAAGGCTTGTTCGACCTCCCTGGAGCCTGCCGACTCACTTCGGAGCGCGTCAAAGAAGGTCATCCCACTGCGACCAGAGACCTCGCATGTGAACCTCTTCTGCTTATACCAGTCCATGCGCTGGCAATAAGCATCATATGTGGTGAAGACCTCGCCGGTGGGCGGCACGAACCAGATTTCGTCATTGTCATCTTCGATGTCTGGGGCCGGAAGATAGAAGACGGCTTTGCGCTTGAAGAGAACCATGCCCGGCGCAGTTGTTCGAGTCCACCGAGGCGCTACCGGCGGATGCGGTGTATTGCGGACGCCAGAACGGTGGTTTGATGCGAGTTGCTTTGATCTGGATCAAGTGGTAATCGAGGACGCGTGTGGTGGCTATTGTTCTGGACTATCTGGGGCAAGAGTGGTTAAATTGGGTCGAGGTGGACAATGCGCGGACGAGGGCAGAGTCGATGGAGGGCCCAGTGGCAGCAGATAGTCGACGAGGACGCGTCTCGAACACGTATGGAATGATGGGATCGGAGGTGTAGATGGTTGGGAAGAATGGTGAGAAGGTAAAGGAAGCATGAAGTGAGCAAAGCCCTGGAGATCAATAGCCATGGCGACTGTCCGCTGCAGACCAAACTGGGTGTCCACCTCTGGAGTGATCCCGCGAGTCTGTGAGGCGGCAAGACTGCAGAATCTGCCAAGACGCGCTAAGACTTTCTTGCTATGACGTCCACCTGGCCTGGACAACCTGCCCAACAGGACCTAAATATCTATACCTAATAGGGCGACAGCAAGATCTGGCAAGGAGAGAGTCACGGTACAAAGAATCACTCTTTGTGTGAAGTGAAAGACGATACTTATGGACATGCGTGCTGATACAGGCTTGTTTTGGACATGGAGAACTATTTCTATGCTGTCAAATAGCAGACATTAAAGCCCAACCATGATGCTACAACCCCCACGGCCGACCAAGTACTTATGAACATCAATGGTATGAACTCATATCGCTCTCCGAACACCATCCGATGTATGAGCGAGCAGTAGGTAACCAGCGGAATCGCAACCGCCATATACAGCAACGTGAAGCGATCCAGGAGAAACCTGCGTGGCGAGGCAGGTGCCGGTGCCAGTCGACTGAAGGCATAGAGAAATGTCATCAGCCAAGTCAGAGTGTATGTGATCTTGATCGGGAACTCCGGCACCGTGAAGATCAGAGGAAAGAGCGATACATGGCCTGCCACCGCCAGCGGACGGAAGCTTGCCAAGTATGAGCGATCCTTCAATGCCACCAAGCTGAACGGAATTAATACCAGTAGAATCGCCTTCTCATGTACATGCCATCCGACCAAGAATGAGGCGAAACCACAAAGAGTGACCGCACCCACAAAATTGTTCCAGCTCGGCTTCTTCCAGAGTTTGACCCAGCAAACTGATTGCAGTGCCAAAGTCAAGCCAAAACATTGCTTCGGAGTGATGTTCGGGAGGACGGCAAACGAAGTGTCGCCAACTAGACCTCTGGTCACGCTGGAGATCGCAGATTTGTCCACCGAAAGCTTGAGGTAGGGTGCAAGGTAGATCAGCACTCGGTCTGCGAATGAGTATAGCGCCCATATGTTCGGCGCCCAGTAGGCGTGACAGAGGCCCCTCGAGAATGGGAAAAGCCGCGACTTCAGCTGCTCAAGCTGGCCCCAATACACGAATGGCCCGAAGGCCAACCCAAACACTGCAACGAGGCTGGCTCCTAGCTTGAGAGTGTTGCCAATTCGTGGGCGGAAGACATTTTCAGGCTTCAGGCAGTAGACGCGGAGAAGGTAGACGAAGTATGCGGGTGCCAGGTAGAGGTAGATGTGCTTCAAGCACAGCAACACGGCAAACAAGACGCCACTCAGCAGCATGCTAGATTGACTTCGTGCTAGAGAAATCGAAAGGATGAGAACGCCGTAAAGGAAGCCATTGTACTGGAAATGGATATGGTCGATAATCAGAAGGCCCGGAGACAACAAGATAGACAATGCAATTGCGTGGGCCTGCTTCCGATTTGACGAATTCGCGCTCGAGGCGTAGACATGTAGCGCGATGACCAAGAACAATTCCGTCACAATGACCGTGCCTCTCTGATAGCTGACAGTAGACCAGGAGTCGTAGCCAAGGTTACTGATCTGGACCATCCCCTGATCGATCAAAGCTGCCGGCCAGGACATCAGCCATTCGAAGGCTGCAAAGGCTGGCGGGTAGTCCAAGGTCCATTCACTGGTCTTCTCATAGTACCACGTCTTGACAGGTAGCGAATGTGTAATGGCAAGCCAGTTCCTATGGACCTCAAAGTCGGTGCTGTGATAGCTTGGAAAGAGCAGAATCTTGAACGCCGTTGACACAACAGCACATTGGAGAAGTGAGGGCCACTGCTGCTCTTTCGATGCTCTGGCCTGAGGCTCCCATTTCTCTGGGATGATGAGTTTGTTCTCCCGCAGCGGCGCTATCGTTCGAGACACCGCTGCGGCCATGTTGCAGGCGCGTACAACCCGGTATGCGTGTCGACAATATTTGAGATGCAAGCCACGAGTTCCGACACGAACAGAGCAAGTAAATTGACGTTCTCAGAAGAGCTTCTTGAAGACTTGGCAGGACCCACTCGAGCCTTGTCGCAAAGACCTTGGTCATGGGGGCGATGTCGCTGCAACGATCCATTGTCAAGCCGCGGACAGGCCAGCTGGTCCCTCCAACACACCTGCATCTATAGATCTATGGACCAAATCTCATGGACCGTATCTCAGTGAGCAGTACGAATCAGCATACTGCAGCGCATAAGGTCTTTGTCACTCACTCCGTCGAACTCACTCCCACCTCGTTGTCCGTCGTTCGGGAAATCAAGCAGATCATCGTTGCTGTGAGCATTACCATCGCAACCGTGGTAGTAGTACGCTCTGTTACGTCCCTTTGGTCCAACGCACGCAACGAGAAGCGGTAGACATCGATCCTTTTGTGTGCTCTCATGCATATGGGCCCTCTCGCCGTGCTTTGTCGGATTGCAGCAACATAGAATAGACTTAAGAACTCATCATGCGGTTGCTCGGCGCGGCCAGCGCAATGCTGGCCATCGTTCACAGCGCACTCGCTCAGGACCCAATCGAGAACTTCTCCTTCGGGCACAAAGGAGGCAGCATAAGTCCCAGCTCGTTCACAATACCAGGCTTCTCGTTATTAGGGGTAGAGTACATGCCGCAACTGCTCTCGGACAAAGTCGTAATGACACCGCCGTTCGGCGGCAACAAGAGAGGCGCTCTTTGGACAGAGAACAAGAACACACTACCCGACTGGAAAGCCGACTTCCGCTTCCGCGTGGCTGTGACCGACCAAGGCAGCGGCTCCCTCCAACTCTGGTACGCTGCAGATGGCAAGGACAAAGTGGGCACCGCCAGCGTGGCTTCTGTCTCGCGCTTCGACGGCTTGGCTATCCTCATCGATACCGTCAACGGGAAGCAAAAGATCCGAGGCTTCCTAAACGACGGCTCTAAAGACTACAAATCCGAAGCCAATATCGATGCTCTCGCCTTCGGCCACTGCGACTACACATACCGCAACCGCGGTGACCCCTCAGTGCTGACCATCAAGTCTTCCTCTCTCGGCGGCCTCGACGTCTCAATCGATGGCCAACCCTGCTTTTCCACCGAATCCATTCGCCTGCCTCCCGACTACCACTTTGGCATGACCGCCTCCTCCGGCGACCCACCAGACTCCTTCGAGGTCTTTGGATTCTCGTTGAGCGCCTACACACCCACAAAGCGCGCCTCCTCCTACGAGATCCCATCGACCCAGCCAGAACGCCAATCAACATCAGCAAAAGCAACCAGCATCACCGCCAGATACCGGCAGCATGGCCCCACCCGCATCACAAAACCTCGCAGCCCTAGAATCCCGCCTCGACAAAATGCAATCTCTATTAGACAAAACAAGCACTAACATCGGCACCCAGTTCGAGCAACTCTTCGCCAAACTCAACGCTCCCATCGAACCCTCCCCAAACTCTCGCTCCAATCCGCCCACCCAAGCCCAGATCGCCACTTTGGACGCCCGCATCAACGACCTCGCCAACACCATCCGCAGCCTCGAAAAGGAGCTCAAAGCAGGAGACCACAGCAAGCAATTCGAAAAGCTGTCAGCGGCGGTTGGAGAGGTTCACAAGGGGGTGATCGATCACGTGCCGGGAAAGATGCGGGAGTACATGATTGCTCACACGCCACGGATTGGTTTTATTCTGTATAGTTTTATGGCTTTTCAGTGCTGTTGCGCGGCGGCGTGGGGTTGGTATCGGTGGCGGAAGGGGACGATGCCGAAGAAATATTTGTGATGGGGTGGCTGTTGGTGGGATCTGAAGGTCAGGCTTTTTCTTGGATGTGTTCTTTGATTAGCGGTTTGATCTGGGGAAAGAAATGAATGTCACGGATGGCGATTCAGACTAGGAGAAAGATGTACAGTAAAAAGTTTCTTAGGGAAGCAAAGCGCCATCGGGCGCGATTCATGATTGGCACATGGTGCGGTCCACTGCTCATCAGTCTATCTGTGATGTTTGTGCATCAAGCACATCATGAGGCCGTTGACGCCACCAGTCTATTTCGTGCTATGTGGGTGATCGTTCGCTGGTGAAATCTTGTCGTCTATCGCTTCAAGTGGACGCATCGTGACTGAATGGCTTCGCCCACGCCGTCCTACGCGTGCATCATCGGATCAAGGGGTAGCCCGACCCATGAACCGAGGGTACAGGCAGCATTCACGGACAGTGTAGCGACCACAGAGCCAGGCAAGAAGACGCTCGAGGCCCATACCGTAGCCACCGTGAGGTGAAGTGCCGTATCTGTTCGCAATGGTCAGCTCATGTTGCAGCATGGCACAGGGTTGCTGTCAGTACTCACTTTCGCTGGTCGATGTACCAGTAGTAGCTCTCCGTCGGGATACCATGTCGCTTAAAACCGTCCAGAAGGTCATCCACGTTGCTCATTCTCATACTGCCTCCGACAATCTCTCCCACACCTGGCATGAGCACGTCCACGCTTTCTGTCACGCGGTTGTCCTCTGGATCTCTCGGCATATAGAACGATTTGATCTCGTGAGGGAAGTGCGTCAGTAGGACTGGCACATTCATAGTGTCGACCATCTTCCGCTCCGCTGCTTCAGCTATATCGTCACCAAAGACGTGTGGACGAGGCTCCTCACCCTCCTCGACGTCTTCGTTCAGGATGTTGTGCTCGTTGAGCCATGTGATGGCGTCGGCGTAGCGGAGTCGCTTGAATGGTGTGGACGGGCGCTGGAAGTCAGGGTTGAGGGCCTTGATGTACCCGGCGATGATTGGGTCGGAGAGGGTGTGCTCAATGACTCTTGTGAGTATGAGCTCGATGTGATTAAGAAGGTCTTCGAACGTGATGAAGTCGAGTTCGCCTTCGATGTGGGTGTATTCGGACAGGTGGCGGCGGGTGAGGGACTTTTCGGCGCGGAACGAAGGGCAGATGCAGAACACGTCGCCCATGGAGGGTAAGCAGGTCTCGAGGTACAGTTGGGATGATTGTGTCAGGTAGCTGTCTGGCCGTAGTAGTTGAACGAGAAAAGGGTGGCTCCGCCCTCGACTGAAGTCTGGACAATGGCAGGCGGCGTGACTTCGAGGCATCGAGCTTCTTCGTATGCTTTTCGGAAGGCGCGTAGGACGGCAGCACGGACTTTCATGACTTGTGAGGCGTTCTCGCCACGGAGAACGAGGTGTCTGTTGTCGAGCAGGGTTTGGATGTCGCCGTCTTGCTGGACCTTGTTGGTGATGGCTTCCTTGTCACCGACAGCTACGCCGATGACGGTGAAGAAGTCGGCATGTAGCTCACGCTGGAGAGGAGCATGGGCACCTTCAGGTAACGACATGAGCTGGCCTTTGATCTCTAGGGAGGTCTCGAGGGTGAGTGTCATAGCAGCGTAGGTCTTCGTCAGTTGGCCGGTGAAGACACACTGCATGAGCCGTAGCCATCCTTGAGCGTGACGAATGTGACGTCCTTCTGTGAGCGGAGATGATGGACTCTGCCTAGTACTTTCACTCGAGTGCCGGGTGTCTCTTTCGTCCCAAGTTTGATCTTGTTGGCGTCTGTGTCGTCCAGTCTTATTCTCACCGCTTCAGGTAATGACTTGTCTTCCGTCAGGACCACTTTCTTTGCATCCTCAAGAACTGCCTGCCGCTTGTCTGCTTCGGCCTTCTCTCTGACCGCAAGATCGCCTGCCTTGGCCTGCTTCTTCTTATGTGCTGCGTACAAGTTCTGTACTTTCTTCATGGCAGACTTTGTTGGTGGCTCCCAGCCTCATCTTTCCTGGTCTGATATGAGGCATCTGGGTGGGCAATCATTGCTTGTAGTAGAGTGCGATAAGGTGCGTCCTGAGCTCCTGTGGCTGTGTCATCGTTGCCGGCACCGTCGTCGACGTAGATCTGCTGGTCCGCCATGTTGTGCAAAATGTCGGGTGTCCTAATCAGTTGTCGAGTGTCTCGGCGAGGCTTTGAACTTGGTCTGAAATTATTGAGTCACCCTGCGATATTGGGAGATTTGAGTCAGAACAGGGCGACTTGAGCAAGATCAGCAGTCGAATGGCTCCTACTGGACACGACTGTCAAGTCAGAACGGTTGCTACCTAATCAAGCTATTCTCATATCACGCAGTTCTGGTTTCATGGTATTCGTGCCCCTCCACTGCAGTCGATGCAAACAATTTTTGGGAATTAGTCGGAGCTAAGAAACGTTGCCCGTACATTATCCGATTGGTGTGCCTGTCGAGACCCGGAACTTGAAGATGATCGCCCGCGCGGAACCCTTGCAGCGGCAGCCACGACTCAGGTTTCTTAGGCTGCATCTCATAAACAGCAGACTGCCGCCTGGCTTTCTTTGCTTCCTTTCGAGTAAGTATCAATCTCTGGTTCCAATGTCAACCACATGATCCGTGTGCCATGGTCGCCAGGCTCGAGATCGGCATTCACGAATTGGCCCATGGCACTCGGACTGCATTTCTGACTTAATCTCGGCTGACCAATAGTAATTACGAGCAATCCAACTCCGCTAAGATGAAGGTCCCAAAGCGACCACGCTCCCCTTCGCGCTTTCATTATTCTCCTAGCCACATCCAACGGCTTCATCGTCGTGTTTCCCACCTTCTCCTTCTCTCTTCTATCATTGTCATACATTCTTTGCTCACTTTCGCTTCATCATTAACAGCTATACGTCCTTTGACACAGGTTCGACCTTCTTTGTGTATCCAATATCAAAGCCATTTCTTCGAGGCATCCTTTACCCATTGCGATCGTCGAGAGTACCTCCGAGTCAACTCAGCGTATCATTCGTCTTCCGCCTTCGTGCTGCTGAAGCGGCCATTGTATTCATACTCTGTCGAATCGTCCGGCATCCTCCCAGCCGGACCACCTCGCCAACGTGGCTGTAATTATACCTCAAGAGGACTCCGTCCGAGCTCCTCGTCTTCAATCGTTACAGACCCAGGATACATACTCTCCTCTGAGCAAATTTGGCGTGAGCAAGATGATGAACGGTAATACTGGTGGCTTCTCCCAAGCAGCCTTCAATGGCAACGTGCATGGGTATGGTGGCTTTGGAGATCGAAACATGCGCAAGGGTGCAATTCCTGCCATCAACACGGCGAATAAAGAACATTTGAACGCTGGCGAGCAGACACCGGGCACGGCCTTCGATATGTCCAACTTCACACCACTGCTGCCATCACAGTTGCTGCTTGGATCGCCCTTCCAACCTGGCTCTCCAGGAGCTTTCCAATCACCTCAGTTCCAGACTACGAGTCGATTCTCTGCCGAAACAAATGGTCTACATCAACATCAGTATCAACAGAATGGGCAAATGTCAAGCCCGACCCAGGGCCAGGCCCCGTCAATGTCTCCCACAATGTACCAAGGACTCATGTCTCCTGATCCGTTCTCGCCACAGTCGCCAACTGGCTTCTCTGGTCTTGGAGGTGCCGCTTTTGGCAGCTATCCGACCATGATGCAATCCGCCAGCATGATGTCAAGCACGAGCCGTACAGTCTACCTTGGCAATGTTCCAGGTGACACCACCGCTGAGGAACTGCTCAGCCATGTCAGAAGTGGCCCGATTGAGTCGGTCCGTATGTTGCTGGACAAGAATTGTGCTTTCATCTCCTTCCTGGACAGCAGCTCGGCTACACACTTTCATTCTGATGCCATTCTTAAGAAGCTCAGCATCAAGGGTCAAGATATCAAGATCGGATGGGGCAAGCCGTCGCAAGTCCCTAGTTCCGTCCAGCTAGCTGTACAACAATCTGGCGCCTCTCGAAACGTATACGTCGGCAACCTCCCTGACGACATCACCGAGCAAGAAATCAGAGATGACCTCAGCAAGTTCGGGCCCATCGACACCATCAAGATGGTCCGCGAGAAGAATATTGGCTTCGTTCACTTCCTGTCAGTTTCCAATGCTATCAAGGCAGTTGCCCAATTGCCGCAGGACCCAAAATGGCAGGCTCCCAGACGTGTCTACTATGGCAAGGATCGGTGTGCATACGTGTCGAAGACACAGCAACAGAATGCAGCACAATATCTAGCATTGCGCCCGGCTATGCCCATGTCCTCAACGGTGCCGACAGAGATCTCATCTCAAATGCCCTAGCACAGCAGTCTGTTGCTGCTGCAGCGGTTGCCACTACCGCTGGCGGCGTCAACAATCTTGGAAACCGCACGATCTATCTCGGCAACATCCACCCTGAGACAACGATTGAAGAAATCTGCAATGTCGTCCGCGGTGGGTTACTGCACCACATTCGATACATCCCGGACAAGCACATCTGCTTCGTCACATTCATTGACCCGACCTCCGCGGCATCCTTCTATGCTCTGAGCAATCTGCAAGGCTGATGATTCACAACAGACGCCTGAAGATCGGTTGGGGCAAGCATTCTGGAGCTCTGCCGCCGGCTATAGCACTCGCCGTCAGTGGCGGTGCATCACGTAATGTATACATCGGTAACCTCGACGAGAGCTGGAGTGAGGAACGGCTGCGACAAGACTTCTCGGAGTATGGTGAGATCGAGCTCGTTAATACCCTGCGAGAAAAGAGCTGTGCCTTTGTCAACTTCACGAATATTGCCAACGCTATCAAGGCCATCGAAGGCATGCGAGGTCGTGAGGAATACAAGCGATTCAAGATCAACTTCGGCAAAGACAGATGTGGCAATCCGCCTCGACAGAACATCAACAACGTCAATGCTCAGCCGCGCATGCAGGCAGGCTTGGACATGTCCTCTTCGCCTCCACCGATGAATGGTTTCGAGAATGGCTTGTCTCAGACAGGATCAAGTCCGACCAGACCCACTATTCCTACGGCACCACGAGCTTTCCAGCAACCACATCGTCAACAAAGTCAGCCTGCACCGGCAACGAATCTGTTGAACGGTGGTCAGTCGAACCCACTGACTATGTACCTGCATCAAATGTCACAGCAACAAGCTCAGGCCGAACAGGATATGCAAGATGACAGCTTGACATTCGCCGCTCTTCAACACCAGCAGAACCAGGCTTTGGCTAATCAACAGGCCTCGCTGTATGGCGGCGAGACGTCGAATGGTCATGTAAGCCTCGAGCCGCCTCCAATGACAAGCCACGCTCGACACCAGAGCTCTCTCGCTGGATTGTATAGTACGGGCTCTAGCATGACAAACGGAGCTTCAACCACAGTCGGTGGACTTCTTGCCCCAACAAACAGTGGACTCGGTGCTAGTCGCAGCGCACATTCGCGAGCTGTGTCGCTGCCGGCGTTCTCACAGGAAATTTTTGGTCCCTCGTCACAGACAACGTCTTCTTCGAGACCATTTGGCGGTCACGCACCTCAGGGTAGCTTCTCGGGCTTCGGGTCAGCTTTCGGCACTGGCTTTGGTACCAGCGGCTTCAACGGTCTGGGTCTTACAAGCGATCGGGGTGGCCTTTCTGGATGGGCAGAGGAGGAGATTGGTGCGAAGTGAGCTCCAATCGACTTGTCCAATTCTTTTGTTCAATGGTGTTATGGGTTTCCGATCAACAGGAAAATGTTTCGAAAAGATCATGTCACATGCGCATTTCTGGACTCGCAGCATGGACTGCAAGTCCGTGTGTTATCAACAAGGTCATTGAGGTGGGCTATGTATATAGGTAGTACGCGTAATGTGAGGATTGGGTACGTCCGAGAGAGAAGGAACGATTGGCAAGAACCGAAAGATTGGGCCTGCTTGACCTGTCGAGCCCGTTTCAAGAGACGGAGCATCAATTAGTAATAATGGCACAGAGCCATCACTTAGGCAGGAATAAACATCAATCCCACCAACATCTGCTTTCTGAGTTGCTGTTGCGCCTGCCGTACAAGTTCTTCGCATCAACGCTGGCAGGCAGGCGCGATCTGACAATGTCTTTAAATGTCAAGCTCGTCCCGACCACCTACTCAGTGACACTTCATGTCGGTCGTTGACACTCACTCGTTTCACGCTTTGCTGCTGCTGCGATATCATCAATGGCCCGCAGGACTGACACCACCACACAGTCTAGCTCTTCCGTCTCTGCACCACCCTAGCTGTCGGTACAGGGTACGACGACTTCCAGCAAAACTGTGAGAGCGCCCCGTACGGCTCCCCGAAGACCGTCCATTCCTTCCACAAGTACCCAGGCATCAAGACACCGCTCCCATTCAGATTCAACACAGAAAGATTGCTTACGGAATGAGGTCAAGACAGCACCCACCAGTGTCAGAGGACGTTATCATGTTACAAGCTAAAGGCTTCTTCGCAGTCGTACCCATGTTGTCGAACCTTCTGTCACCTTCCCTACTGAGCAACGCGGGCAGCGGACCAGACCGCCGTGGCACGTCAATATGCCTTAACTCACGGAGCCACGCGCGAACAAACTTGGCATGGCATGGGCTGTTCTTCCGGGAAGAGGGGCCTGTAAGATGCCTGGATGCTAGACGCGACTAGTACACGGGACATTCTGGGCGTGCCCCGAATGTCAACATTGCATGCTGACTGCGACCACAGCGAGCGATGCAGCCGCTGCCGCCACGTCTGGGTTGTCGTGGTCCGACGCTGCGCCGCAGATGAGTCTTCCAAGTTGTGCTCTATGCGAAAGCGACTGTCTGAAGGCAGAGCTTCGGAGAACGGACGTGATGGAAGAGTATCATCTCTCAGATTGGGACCGGGGGGATCTCCCACATGCCGCACTAGCTTGCTGCTTAGCACGGTGCCAGTTTCTGTGTTTCGATATGTGATCGCTTCAGGCTTCGAGAAGGAATAAAGAAGCAAGCGAGCGTGGGGGACAACCTGCGCTGGTTGATTGACAGTCCAACGGTCACTCAGAGCGTTGTCCACGACGAAGAGGTGAGCAACAGCACGCTGCTAAGTGTCAGAAGAGAAGACGCGCAAATCAACGCATCACGAAATGTGATGATTGTGGCTTGTACGGCTCGTTTCAAGGCTGTGGCTGAGGAAAGGAGAAGGTGAGTGAGGGTCCGAGGGAAGACTGCCCACGGCCCAACTCAACTCTGAACCCACCACACACCGCGCTTCCTGCGGCGCTACTGGCAAAGTCGCCGCCTTTTGAAAACGATGGGCAGACGACCTGCTCTCCTTCCTCTGAGTCTCGCGCTGATTACTCTTGGTGCTGTTCAGATACGCGTCCCTCGATCTCTCGACATTTCCGGTAAATGCTTTATCTTTCTTGACCTCTGTCTTCGATAGACTTACCATCATTCTCTGTTTGGATAACTCTGCCTATTCCGCCGATCGACCCCAATCCACGGAGACGGAGTCGCGCTTGACGTTTCCAACTGCCGACCGATTTTTGCAGCGTAGATCGTTCGTGTTCAGAGAACCTCTCGTCGGAATTGCAATACCATACCTTACATTCGTTTCTTCTGCACCTGGGCTTGTAAGTCGTCCTGGCGGGACTGCTGTGGTGGTGTAAAAGCGCGTGGCGATAAGGGCTAACCGAGGGGTAGTCCGATACAGATCTGGCGCTGGAACTGCCTATTCTTTGAACGTGGACGTTGCCTGACACCACTGCTTCCTGAGCGAATCTTGCGACATTACCAGTGACCGCACCGTTGTATATTCAAATCCGCCAGAAATCGACTGTGGACTGGTGCAAATACCCTCGATCTCCGCCATTCCTCCGCCCACCTACCAGATTTATACTTGATTCATGTAAGTGCACGAATGTCTGGAGACCTTCATATGCCGCAATGTCGAAAGTTGGTAGTTCACTGCTCTACGGTGGCGAGAAGGGATCACGAGAAGGCAGCCATGTGATATCAAACGCCTGACTTGTTGCCTGGCAGCAAGTGAAGAGGTTAATTAACGCGTTTGTCAACAAGGAGGAGGCTGGCAGCATCATGTTCTCTTTCAGACCCCCCAAATCTTTCTCTCCGCGCACCGTTAAACTACTGAACCTTTGAGTAAACCACAACCTACAAGAACAGTCCAAGAACAGCCGCTAACATGGTGTTTCCTCGCGTCAGAACTCCCTATCCACAGCAAGGCACAGGTGTTCGCAGCTACAATCAAGCCTATCAGGGTACAGAGTCAGAAGAAATGGTGGTTGCTACAATCAAGTCAGTTTGTCCCGGATCCAGCCCGTGTGATTTTCACTAACGGACCTGTAGGTGCGTCGTGGTAGGCGATGGTGCTGTTGGAAAGACATGTCTCCTCATCTCATACACCACCAACAAATTTCCAAGCGAGTATGTCCCAACCGTCTTCGACAATTATGCGGTAACCGTCATGTAAGTAGCAAGAAATCCGACTTTCGCAATTCGCGCCTAACTTTACCAGGATCGGTGATGAGCCTACACTCTCGGTCTCTTCGACACAGCCGGACAAGAAGACTACGACAGACTCCGACCTCTCTCATATCCGCAGACCGATGTCTTCCTCGTCTGCTTCTCTGTCACATCACCCGCCTCATTCGAGAACGTCCGCGAGAAATGGTTTCCGGAGGTTCACCACCACTGCCCTGGCGTTCCGTGCTTGATCGTGGGTACTCAGACCGATTTGCGCGATGATCCCTCTGTGCGTGAGAAGCTGTCCAAGCAGAAGATGGCTCCGGTTAAGAAGGAGGATGGTGAGCGCATGGCTAAGGAGTTGGGTGCTGTAAGTGATTTTTCCCGTTTGCTTTCATGTCAAAATTTTCATGTCAGAGGCCGCCCTGGGCGGATTTTCACGATTTTCGTATTCAAATGCGGATGTTTTCTGTTCGCGTTTCTGCCTGAGCCATTACTAACGCTCCATAGGTCAAATATGTCGAGTGCTCCGCTTTGACCCAATACAAGCTCAAGGACGTGTTCGACGAGGCCATCGTCGCCGCTCTCGAGCCGCCCCCAAAGAAGAGCAGTAAGAAATGTGTGATTTTGTGAGCAATTGCTCCAATTTCTTCGAGGTATGATTTCTGCTCACGTTTTCGCGTTTTCTGTGCTGATTTTCTGCTCCAGCTTTTTCGTTTCCAGTTCTTCGGCGCAACAATGGCGTTAGGATAAGAGAGGAAGCGAAAGCACGTTTGCATAGTCTTCGTTTTCTGATGCGCGTCCAGCGCGAAGCTGGAGCGCGAAATCAATCATCTGAACTGCTTTTCTTGTTCTGTTCTTCTCATTTGCTATTGTGATGGAATTCGAGCGTGAGAACATCCGATGTGACACGAAAATCTGTCTGAAAGCCGCCCTGGCTGTCTTTTTGGCAGAAACGGCCTGTCACTTCAGTCGCGGCTATTCTTGAGTCATTCTTGTCGTGACGATGAGAGCCTCGTCGCCCATGTCTCTGCAATCCTTGACATCAGCGTGACACAAACTTGTCCTGTGACAGCTCAGAGGTGGCTTGGGAAGCCTCCGACGCTCAAAGCCTTTTGACATCTGATGGAGTTGCGGTTCATGCACAGCCCGGATTTTATATCCGCTATTCTCGAAAAGCATGTGTGGAGATGATGCAGCGTCATCGGTAGCTAAACAATTATGCCACGGATTGGCATATCCCAGATGTCGATCTCTAATCCGTATTCACACTCACGTCTTCATCAGTAATTTCGAGCCGTTCGTAGGCCCATCGCCCATTATGGCGAATGCACACAGCGAGTCATCGCCGCTGCTGCCACAACACAATGCGTCACCTGGCCGCTTGTCCCGTCAAGACACTGCAAGACCAGCACCTGGGGCCATGCCTCGGCCGCAGCGGACCGTCACCTTCAATCCCCTCACTTCCGTCCAGACACAATCTGGCGCAAATGCAACGACTTCGCTGAGGCCGATGCAAAGCCTTCCTCCGCCCTCACAAATGTGACGGCTCGGTCGAGAGAGCCGCTGCTCAGCTCATTTAATTCGAAACTTCGAAGACGGAACAGTCATGGAGCACCATTGCCAACCACACAGACTTTAGCGCCCAACGCACCCAGGACGGGAGCACAAAGGACCACCAAAACCGTCGAGAAGCTCAAGATCTTGCCGAATCCTGATGTGGCTGAAGACGATGTTGATGAAGAGTCTGGGCGAGACGTATACTCGCAGTTCACTCGCATCAAGGATCCCACCGCGAGAAGAGACGCCGCAAGACTTGGGAAGGCAGACCGCGAGCGACTGCCCCGAGTTACAGCCTACTGCGTAGCCCAGGGGTACAGGTTAGAAGGCATAATGAAATTCATGAAATCACGAAATCGCACACGTGGCGCGAACCCCAAACTCTTCGACGAATGCCTCTACAGCCCCTACGACTACGATCACCTCAAGAAAGCCTCGGCCAGCCGCACCGAGCGAAGTCGAAGTCCTGAAGAGCAACGCCGCTCCAGCCCCGTCCAAGAACGACTAGCCCAAGTAATGCGCCAATCCCCACGCCTGAAAGCCGGAGAGCGACGCTACTCCGATTCTGCCGTCGAAGTCGACGACAACCAGGCCCAGAACCGCGCCGACCTGATCGACTTGCACAACGAGATGGGTCCGCCTATAGTCGGCGACGTAGGTGACTCAGGCGACATAGCCGTCATGCCCGAGGCCATCTCCCCATCAGAAATTCAACACCTACACCTCTCCGAGACCCACACTGGCCATCCCGACGCCGCGATCAACACCGACGTGCACACTCCCGAAATCTTCATCTTCGACTACGGCACCGTCGTCATTTGGGGCATGACCCCAACCCAAGAACAGCGCTTCCTGAACGACATGTCCAAATTCTCCGAAGCCCCTCTACCCCAGGAAAGCGTGCAGACGGAGAATTTCAACTTCTACTACACCCAAGAGTACCAAGCTCGGATCTACAACGACTTCATCTCCCTCCGCGATCCGCGTGGGCACATGACGAAACTCGCTATCAGCCATGCGCTCTCGCAATCCGTGAAAACATCCTTGTTCGAGGATCTAGTCTCGGAGACGATCGAGACCACCAGTCCGCTTCCTGCGGTGATTGCGCAAACGGGAAGTGTGAATTTGACGCGGCGGCAGTTGAATATGCAGATTGGGGAGTTGTTTGTGTTGCGAATTAATATACATCTGCAGGGGAGCGTGTTGGACAGTCCCGAGCTGATGTGGGCGGAGCCGCATCTGGAGCCGGTGTATGCGGCGGTTAGGAGCTATTTGGAGATTGAGCAGAGGGTCGGGTTGTTGACGGAGAGGTTGGATGTTATCGCTGGTAAGTCGCGCGTTGAGAGGTCCTTGGTTGGTAAGAACATGGCTGATACAGTGATGAGCAGATCTGCTTGCGGTCCTGAGAGAGCAGGGCAGTCGGAGGCATGGCGAGGTTTTGGAGTGGATTGGTAAGTATCTGCCATCGTCGTATCTTCCGACCGTGTGATCTTGAGCATATACTGACAGCGTGCTTCTTCGCCTTCTAGTCATCATATTGATCGCCGCGGAGATTCTGGTCGCGGGCATCAACATCGTCGTGGACTTGTACGCAGGCGTCGATTGAGCACCCCTTCGAGTCCCTCTTGTCGCGGTGCCATCCTGTTCCGTCCAGTCCATTCCAGTCTGCCTTTCTGCTTTCGACTATGTGGCGGTGCGAGAAAGCAGGACTCTCGCTTACAAATGTGGTGCTGGCAGACAAGCCTAGAGTTTATCAGTGTCACGACAGGGCCGATCCTGTCCACATGCCCTGAAATCAACGAGCCAGCAAGACATTTATATGGGTTCTTGTCAGTCCTGTAGGACAAGAGAAGAGGGCACTGCTGAAGGGTAGCATTCGTCCTCACCTGACCCTACAGTGAAAGATGTATCTCAATATCGAATCAAGGAGAGAAACGGCAAGCAACAGGCGCAAAACTCGAAGCTGACGCCCCGATGCGCAGCCAAGGTGTGGTTCGAGGAGGCAAGCTTTTGTTGTGTGTACACTATACTACCACCGGACTCTGCTTCACAGCGAAGGCGTTTCAGTGGGAGGATACCGAGCAAGAGATTTTTTTTGGAACATTGTAGTGATAATCAAAGAAGAGTCTGTGGCTCATCGACGCATGACGGGCCGCCTGCTCCGGGTCTTCGACATGGCTACTCACTGCAGTCCTCCTTCTGGTCCTTGTTGTATCGAGTTCCAATATGACTCCTAGGCTGACCATGTGTCCCCGCCACGAAGGAGAATGAATGATCAAGGAGATGTTCCGCGCTTGTCCTGCCTCATCTTGCACAGTGACCATACATTCTGTTGCGTGGTCTTGATTCTAGTCTGCGCCGGACCTGATTTCGCCACTTTGAATATATGTGCAGCCTGACCGACGCGATGTCCTTTTGCGCGCTTCGGACCGACCGCTTTTTTTTTGCTAAGTTCTCTGTCAGAGGAAGTGGCTGGCAGCATAATCCATCGCAGAACCGTTCCTATGTCGCCTTTGAGCTTTCCCTAAGGCGGGAGCAGCGACGAGGCAGGAACGATGCATTGCTGTCATCCGGGTTGGGGATGGACTTTATGTCAGCCGGCGTGCAGAGACCTCTTGTCATCCGGCTTGAGCAGTGACTCTTTGTCATCCGGCTTGGGAAAGACCTTCGCACCTTCCCTGACACACCTTCCCTTTCTGCCATCGTGCCTTCTCTCTTTCGCAGCTTCCCTCCATCATACTTTCTCTCCATCGTGACTTCCCTCTGACAAATCGTCTCTCCGTCGCGCCTTCTCCTCACCGCGACTTCTATATCCATCGCGATTTCCCTCCATTGACAAGCACAGACCTGGTCAACCGGCTTCACAAACTTCTTGTCACCCGGTCTGTATAAGGGCCTGCTTGTAATGGACGGCAATCGGGGGGGCCTGCATGCACTCCAATCCAGTGCCACTGCCTTGAGGTAGCTGCTCGCCTGGTCTTTGCGGTGCCGACGAAACAGCTGGCGAATTTGAGCGCTCTGAACAATAATCGCAGTCTTCACGGTATCGCGACATCTCGTTCGCGGGTTTTGGTGCAATGTTGACCCATGCTTATACACAGTATTGTATCATGCCGTCCTTCAAATGCACTGAACCTTTGTACAGTACCGCGTCATCGCTCACCAGTAATCCAGACCCCATCAGGCCTCGTGCCATCTTCATTCATTCCCATCCATCCTTCTCTATCTCCGCCACCTGATGCGTCCTTTCCCCTTTTGGTCCAGCGGGGCCCTGCGCGGCCTCCCACGCCTCCTCTCTAGTCTTCCGCCGCATCTCAGCTTTGGCGAACTCCATACCCGTGGGCGTGTCTAGCCGCCATTGTCCGTCGACCCAGCCGTCGGGGCCGCCGAAGTAGGGGAGCGGTTGGGAGGTCCATGTGCTTGTTGCTGTGGATGGATTGTTGTTGGGTGGGGCGGTCAATGAGGTTGAGCTTGATGCTGTTGGTGTGTCGCCAGTTGGGGTTGCGGCGAGGTCTGGATGGGGGAAGGTTGCTGTTGTGCTGCTGGTCATGTTGCGTCTTGTGCTGGTGGCGGCGGGTTGTTCGGCTTGGTTCCGCGTGGGCTGCTGCTGCTGTGCGAATCTGTACCCGCTATAAGGCAAGTTCAAATTATTGAGACCGTTCTCAAGATCCGTCGTTGCGCCGCCGCCATTCGTCGTACTCGCGCCGGCAGACATATTCAGACCGCCTTGGAAGCCAGCGAATTCGCCGTGGAAAGAGCCGAAGCCGGTATCCAAGACTGGTGCCACCGCGGCGATATCGTTGCCAGGGTGGGCCAAGAATGTATCAAGTGCTGCCCAGTCGATATTTGCGGGCTGGGTCGTGGGTGAGAGGAAGGGGTAGAAGGGGTCGTCTGTGGGATTGAATGCGAAGGCGTTCGCGTCTGGTTGAGGTTGCACATGTTGCTGGTTCTGTGACAGTGGGGACTGGATCGACTGTTGGCGGGCCGTAGATGGGTTGGAGAAAGAAGTTGATGCTGAAGATGAAGCGGCGGCGTCGTTCGAATGGCTAGACGCAGTGTAGGAGTAGTCCATACTCGCGTCCTCTCGTGAGCTGGCCTCTGGTCGTTCTGGACTTTTGGGTGAAGTTCGTGCCAACGACTTCAACCTTACATCCGGCACCAACGCAACAAGCATCACGTTCAACGCCTCCGCAACCTTCCTCCCCTCCTTACTGCCCTTCTCCGCCTCCTCCACGCACATATCATGACTTCGCACCAACATATCAAACCACTCCTTCGCCTCCCAATCTCCCCTAATGTTCCTTCCCGCATTCTGATTTTTCTTTCGCCATTTACTCACCGCCAGACACAAGATCATTGCCGCAAGCAAGAAGTCATTCATCGTGAACGAGCTCAACATCCAGCGCTCGTGATGCAGCTGCCCGCCAGGCTTGAATTCCTCGTGTAAGTCGGCGAACCAGCGTACGATAGCAATGGCCGCGGCGATACACGTTCGGGTGGATGTTTCAGAGGTTTCGTTGCCCTCTTGGGACATGTATTTTCTGTGCAGGACCATGAGACTCTTTTGGTAGAGAAACTCGCAATTGATGCGGACCATGATCAGGTAGGGCGGGTCGGCGAATGATTGGGACATGGGTCGTGCTCGGAGGATGAGTGGAACAGTGTTGAATGTAGCGCGCAATTCGGCGTCTAGAGCATGATCTCGGCCTGTGTACTCGTCTTGAACAACATCGCTTGTGAGCAGATTTTGCTGAAGCAGCCCATGAGCCGCGACTTGACGATGAAGTAGAGTATCTTGGTTGGTTCGGATTCGGGACGAGAAGGAGGAAGCACTTTGGTGTCCTCGTTAAAGTCTGAGTCGAGCAGGTTTCTGGGCATCTTGGTATCCCATGAGTCAGGTACGACGTTTGCTGGAAGACCGAGCTGGAAGGACGCCATCAGGTCGAATTGTCGAATCATAGCCCACACACGCCGACGCATCTCGCCCTCGAAAGGCGAGAAGTTCCCCAGTATATCCGGGTCGCGATGGTATGCCATCCGATATGCAAGGTGCACAAGCACAGTAAAAACGAGCCCAACCTGCCGCGAAGGATCCGTAGACTGAAGTAGCCGACACTGGCAATACAGAGAAAGCGACTCAAGCACCCACCTAGCGGGCTCGAATCCGCCCAAACGAATGCAGTATCCAGATGCATTGAGGTATTGCTTGAACACTCCGGCTTCTTCGTTATTCGGCGAAGCCGCCGTACTTCTTGCGACTTCCATCAACCTTGCACCTATGCAACAGATTGAAAACAGCACAGACAGCCAATGTGGGCTGACTTCTGATGGGTTCTCCCAGAACTTTTCGTACTGTTTTTGGAACTGGTAAGTGTGAGTATGCGGCATAGTCATGTACTGTGCGTTGAAGTAGACGGACATGAGTCGATCTGCCTGCTGTCGCGACGGGAGATATTGAGCTAGTATTTGCGGCAAGGCCATGGGTTGTGAGTAGCCGAAGAGGCAGTCGCGGTCCGCGAGGTTTGGGGGCTCCGTGTGGTTGGCTTGAGATTCCTCCGGTGAGTCGTCCACAGATAGCGTTGTCTTGAGGTCCTGTATGTTCTCCAAGATAGCTGCCCAGTGCGTCGAGCCAACGTATTTCGAAGTGTCGCCGCTGGCGTCCCTCGAAAGCACACCCTGCACATCGCCGCTGGACGCAGACTCGGGCGTCAACGCGCTAGATGGGTCCGACTTCTGGCCGGAAGAGTCCACCATCGACATCACAAGCTGCTCCAGCTGCCGTAGCCGATCCTGTGCCTTGGCCTTCGGTGCATCTGATTTGCCACCATCGTGGCTCTGACCGGTAGACTTGCTACCGTACACGCATAGAGCTTCGTCGCCACGCTTCGCACAAGTTTCACATGGTTGCTGTCGCGAGCACTTCAGCTTGCGTTGACGACATGGGAGACATGATAATGGTTGTCGATTGCGTTTGATAACTTTGCCGCTGGCGTTGCTCGAGAAGGCGTCGCCGGTGGCTCGGAACTTGTGGACGAATGGTGAGATATCGTTTGACATTGTCCGGTCCCTGTGAGTTCAGCACTCAAGGCGCATACATTGTTGTCGGCGACGATGTATACCGATGATTCTTTCTATAGTCTTGCGGTCGTAGCATATGCTAGCCCGGATGACAAACTACACAAGGCAAGAACAGGAACAGAAGGTCGCCTTAATTGCACCTCTGGGCTTCGCGCGCAGCAGGATATTCTGCTGCGTTTCCCATACAAAACTTCGACTCGCCGCTCTGTTGAACCGGATGACAAGATCTATTCTTACACTTTCACCTGTCTCGCATTGCAGCAGAGTCCCAATTGAAACCACAAGAGGTTGCATCGTTGCGACGGGTTTGTATCCATTTTCATGGGCATTGCAATTCTTCAATTATGATACATACTCTTCCCCTTCCCTCGAACGACTGGTCCCTGGTACAACAGAGTACATACAATGAACGACGGAAATGCCCTGCCTTCATGCATGGCACTGAAATTCCATAGTCGCTGCTCATATTGCTTTCCGGTTTCTTCTCATAGTCCTGATGCTCGAAACGAAAGTACACTCCCGTCGCGGCGGGTTCCGTGGAGGTCGTGGCCGCGGCGGAAGAGAGGACCGAGGTGGCCGAGGTGGTGGACGTGGTCGGGGCGGGCTCCAGGGCAAATCCGGCTTTCATTCTCCTCCATCCAACCTCAAGCGAAGCCACTCTGCTGAGAAATCGGCAAGGGCTGTAATCCTCCGACTCCGGTCCTCAGGAGTCATGTGCAACCAAGTTCTGAAATCTAGGCGTTCTAGACCAGGGCGGGCTTTGTCTTTGCTGCAGGAGGAATAGTTGAAATAGAAGTTGAAGGCGGACGAGGATACCGGTGATTGTTTGATTTCCGCAAGGTTGTTGTCCATCCGTTGATCGACTGGGGTGAGGCTCGTTGTTGACTTGTTCTTGTCGTGTGATTGCGGTCGTGGCGGAGGACGACTAATTCTGCGTGCCTGGAGCAGGTGGCGCTGTGGTAGTACCATCAGCCGTCACTGCAGCCGTAGCCGGCTCAGCAGCTCCATTCGTAGCAGCACCGCCATCAGCATCAACGACACCCTGCTGAACGCCCTCCATCGGCTGCTGTCCACTAGGCCCCTCTTGCACATTATCTTTACCTGCGTCAGTCGGAGCGCCACCAGCAGCAGCAGTGCTGCGCTGAGCACTCCACTTCTCCGTTAGTGCCCTAGTCAACACATCCAAGCTTTCTTGCGCAGCAGGATTCTCTGCGAGACACTCCTTGATGACAATCATCTCCTGCTCGCCAGCATCTTTTGCTTGCATGCACAGCTGCTGTACCGCAGGCGCGAGACTTAGCTGTGGACCAAGGATTTTGAGAGCTGCTGCCTGAGATGGTGTTTGTTGCAGCTGAGGAGGAGGGACACCAACAGCGGCCGCAGGACCTGGAGGAGGCGGACCACTGCCTTGATAGCTTCCAGGAGGCATGCCGGCGAACTGGGGTTGTTGCGTCGTGAATGGATAGCCTTGACCTGCTTGCGGCTGTTGCGGCAGAGGCGGTCGCACGCCTTGTGCGCCATTGACTGGGACAGGTGTGCCACCGTACATACCATTGCCGCCATTGGCTGCGCTTCCGTCGAAAGGACCCGCGAAGCTGTCTCTCGGCGTGATGGGTGTCTGCATCACGGCTCCACCAATCGGACCAGGACTCTCGCCAACAGCTGTGGTAGCCGTGCTCATTCTGTTATGCGGGAGTTCGCTGTTCTTGATAACGAGTGGCACCAGGATCATCCTCTCAGCGGCCTTCTGCGTGAAATCTGTCTGCAGGTTCGCGAAGAATGTTGGCATCGCCTGATCTTTCTCCAGTGGGATGAAGTAAATGTCCTTCAAAGCAGGATTATGCTGTTGTGAGCCCACACCGTAGCGGTCGCGTCGCTTGAAGTAGTTGAAGAAGTAGTTGAAGCTCTCTGCATCTTGCTCGTTATTAGGCTCGCCAGTCCACAGGACGATCAGGTCGGAGGTTTGGGAGAACTCGAGGCCGCAGAGGTAGTCTTCGGCTTTCTTGGGGTCGATACGGCCAGATATGCCGATGGTGCCTGGTAGCAGTTGCTCCCAGGTCAGACGAAGTGTCGGGGCATCGATTGCAGCACCAGCGGCGAATTTGAGAGCTGCATTGAAACTTCCGACGTTGCCGCCGTTAATGAGGCCATGCCAGACAGCGTGCTCGTCTTCGCCTGAGAAGCGCGGAGAGTATGGGGGGGTGTCCGGTCGTTGTTCATCGTCGTTCTCATCTTTCAGGAGATTGTCGATGTCAGCATCGGCTTGCGTCCCCGGACCGGCCGCCTCACGTGAGGGCTGTACTATTTCTCCGAAGCGCTGGTCTCCAGTCGGAGAGCCCTGGACATTGGAATATACGTTGCTGATGTCAAAGTTTGCACCAGAAGAGGATTGGCGGCGTGGATCTTGCGAGGGGCGACGATTTGGGATTGTGACAGATGGCGGGCGACGAGCAGTATGTGTGGGGCTCTTAACCTCAGCAGTCGAAGTCTGGCGTTGTGGTTGCGGTGGTTTCGAAGCGTTCACTTCGCCTGCTGAGCTCTTGTTCAAGTCGTCGACATATTCATCACCTTTGTGGGTGCGTCGGATACGCGGGCCTTCGGGCTCTTGACCGACCAGAGTGCTCTGTTTGTCGAGTTGCGCCTGCATCTCGGCGTCTTTGCGCTGTTGCTCCTCACTAGCCATTGCGGCAGGCGGCATGGACGCAAGCTCGTCCGGACGTACCTCGTTTCTAACGACGCGGCCACCGAGGATATTATTGCGCTTGACGTTGAGTAAGATGGCTGATAGTTGGGCCTTGTAGGCATCGGTCTCGTGGGCGTCGTGGAGGGCGGCTTCGACAGCCATGCCGATGTTGGTGCCGTAGGCAGTGACATTGGTGTTGCTAGGGATCGTGAAGCCATCTTTGACGGCGGACTTTGTCTGATCGATGAAGAGCTTTACGAGACCAGTTGCGGCGGGCCGTCTGGAAGCTGGGAGGTCACTGGGGTCTTTTGTCGCGGCAGGTGCAGGTACGGGTGTTGACTGTGCTGCTTTTCGACCTCTTCCAGATGGGGCAGCTTCTGCAGCTGGAGTGGGAGTGCCTCTAGCTTTCTTGTTGTTGATCTGAGAAAGGTTTGTCAGCACACGTCCTTGAGGCGACATCGTCGCACTCACCTTCGTCTCAGATGGAGCAGGCGAGTCCTCGGCCTTCCTCTTCGTGCCTGCCGTAGGCGTGCCCACCGGCGTCTCAACCTCCTCGCTCATAGCTGCGGCACTCTTCCTGCCTCCTTTCTTGCCTTTCTTGCCCTTCTTCGCGTCCTCGGCTTCGATCAATGCAGCGCGCTTCTTGGCCGCGGCTTCCCATGGCTTCTGACCCTTCTTGATAGCGGCCAACAGCTTCTTGTGGTTTTCTGGTTTGCACTCTTCGCAGTAGTACGTATCTGGTGCATATTCTTCGTCGAAGCCCATACAGTCGTTATGTTGCCAGACGTCGCAGTTGTCACAGCATATCATGGCGCGTGGGATGTCTGTTTCTTCTTCATACTCGCCGCAGACGCAGCGGATCTTCTCTTCGGGTTCTTCTTCCTCCTTCTTCTTGGAAGCTTTCTTTGCAGTGCCCTTTTTCTTGGAGGCAGCGGGTGCTTCGTTCATGTCGACGTCGCGATCTTTCGTATGCTGGCCTTTTGTGGCGCGACCAGAGCGGCGCGTCTCATCTGTAGACAGACAGTCAGCATTGCTCGCACCGAATGGGTGTTGGTCTGGGTAGGGGAACGTACCAGCCATCTTGTCGTCGCGCTTACTGTGTAGCAGCTGTGCGCATTTACAAGGAGAATGATTACGAATGACGACTATCGCCAGGCAGAATCACGAATAGTAGAAATGCGATTCTAACAAGGTACAGCAGCTGAAGAATATGGACAGCTCAGATCAAGCCTCTCCAGCCCCTCTTCGCGCAGTAAGAGTATGTCGCCTCGGCGCAGTTAAGACAGATCAACGATTCGCCTGTCGCGAAACACGATGAGTCGGTCGCGCCAGTCGAGTATTGCGATTGGTAGAAATCGCGTCTGATGGTCGAAGTTGGCGGTGTGTAGGAAAGGAAGAGAAGTGTCGCATGTCGTGCGGAGAGGAAGAACATCGAAGTGACTGACCGAGAGAAGAGGCAATCTCTTAGCACTGGCAACTCGCTAGGTGGAGCCTGAACCGGATCTTAATTCCGCCAGCTCCGGCAGTGACATCGACTCTTCACTTTCTGGCCAACTGCTGCAGGCCAATCCTCGCTATATGAAACGGCTTACCCAGTGGCATGCAATGACTTAAACCACCGTCCTCGCTCTGATATACACCCTCCGACCGTCCTTATCCGCACCATGGCAGACGTCCGCGCCCTCCTCGCTGCAGAACGGCAGTCCCGCCGCATCTCACACCCACACCTCACCTACACTAAGACCAATGCACTCATATGCAACATATGCAACCTCAACGTCAAATCAGAGAAACTCTGGGAGGGCCATCTGCGAAGTCTAAACCACCGCAAGAATGTTCAGAAGGCAACCTCACAAGATTCAAACATCAACGGCACAAAGAGCAACAAGAAACGGAAACTTGACGATGTGGACGAAGAAGATGACGAGGAGCAGAGACCACAGCAGGCTGAGATGGACCGACGGAAAATGCCCAAGTCCAGAGTGACCAGTCTGGCCGAGAAGGAGGAAGAGGTCGAGAGCGAGGCGGTTCCTGAGGTACCTTCAATACCGACAGGGTTGCAACCACAAGACTCAGCACCACTGCCGCCGCGTCCATATCCGTCAGACGTAACGCCAGGTGCGCTTGCCAATGCTGCACCTCCGCCCGAGGACCAACAGCGCTCCGCCCAGCAGCAAATAGACGAAGACGAGTTCGCAGCCTTCGAGCGCGAAATCGCCCTCCTTGACCAACCGCCCGCCGCACTCACAGACTACGCAGCGGCAACAATCTCCGCCGCACCTCTCTCAGCAGAAGAACTTGCCGCACAACAAGCAGCAGAGCAGAAGAAGACCGCAGAGATTCTCGCTGAAGATGAAGAGGACGAGGAGAAAGGTCGGTTAGAGGAAGAATTTGAGATTATGGAGGAGTTTGAAGAGCGGGTGAGACGATTGAAGGAGCGGCGGGAGGAGATCAGAGCTGGTGCTGGTGGTGGTGAGGTTGGGGGTGCTATGGTCGTTGATGAGCAGGCCGTGTCTGAAGAGCAAGCCAAAAGGGCACTCGATGATGCGTACGAGGTTACGGCAGGCGACAGTGACAGCCCGAAAGATCGGCACGCTGAAGATGACGACGACGAAGAGGACGACGAAGAGGACGACTGGTACGCCTGATCGGATGGCTGCCTCCTTCGAGGACAAAATTTCGTAACTTGCATTTCTTTGCTTCTGAGATACCCAATCCATCGCAGTCAGGCAGCCGAGCATATATACACATATACACACCTTTGCTCTTTCTCTTGCTTCGCGTCACTCATCTGAGCGCTCTCAGTCCCTAACCCCCCATTGCACAATATTCATAACAGTCGTCACTTGTCTGTCCGCGCCACCAGTTCAAACCAACAAGCTAGAACTCCTCCCCGAGCACGCCCTCAATCTCAACCACCCCCACAACCTCAGCCCCCTCCACAACCCCTAAAATCGTCCCATGCCTTAAGAACCCCTTCCCTCTCCCACTCCCCTCCTCGCGCATCCGCACAATCCACCCCCGCGCCTCCTCCACACTCGTCTCCCCGAGAATAGAGATCCAGTCGCTCTTCTCAACTACCACCCGCCCGAAATCATCGTACAGTACATCGACGATGAGACTGGGGTCATCGAATTTCTGGATCCGTCGGGGTGCGATGAGGTGGTTGGGGGAGGAGAAGACGAAGCCGGAGGGCGAGCGGGCGGCGGTGAGGAGGATGTCGAGGGTGCGTGTGCAGTGGGCGGAGCCAGGCACGTGGGGTATGCTCGTGAGGGGCGTCGCGAGGTCGGACATCCGGAGGACAGGGTCTTTGGGCGGCGATGGAGGTGATTGTTGATGATGGGGAATCCGTTGGCTGTGGTCGGCGCCGATCGCGCCGCCGGGATGGTTTTGGGCGAAGACGGTGGGCGTCTCGAGGCCAGAATCTGAATGCAGTGTCTCGGCGACTGAGAGCGCGAGGCTATCGCCCAGAGCCAATGTGATGGTGGTCGAGGTTGTTGGCGCCGAGAAGCCAAAGCTTGTCGTCTCGGTTTCGTGGAGGGTAGTGGGGAGAAGGAAGTTTTGGGCACCGGTTGATGCCGCTCGAATAGGATGCGTGAGCAGTGGGCAGGTGTGTGGGTTGGTGTGCGCGGTCATTATGATTATAGGTATGGCAGACGGAATATGTCGAACCAGTTGTAGTAATTCGGGTGTCCGGCCAGAGTATGTGATCATCACGATCGTGTCATTCGGCCGGATGACGCCCAGGTCACCGTGAAGGGCTTCTGCCGGGTGCAAGCATACAGACTGGATTCCTAGCGAATTAAACGTCGCGGACAGCTTGGTCGCAATATGGCCTGACTTTCCAATACCTGTGAATATGACTTTGCCATGCCGCGTTTCGGTATGGATGATTTGCGTGACGGCGCCCATGAGGGCATGCTGGGCATCAGGCGAGGTCCGATACAAGTCTTCCAGATGCTCCAAGGCGGTTCGTTCCGTTGAGAGCACGTGGAGAGCACGTTTTATGATCCGCGAGTCTGGCTTGAATGTCTTGTCGTCGAAATCGTCTATTGCGTCCGGTGGAGTGATTGGTAGGGGCTCGATTCCTACAGGAAGTGGTGCGCATACTGGCATCGACGGTGTGACCGGTGTCGGCAGTGATGCTCTGTATGTGAATGCCATTATGTCGTCGCGTTACCGTCTCCCGTGGATCGGTGTTGATCTTAAAGCTCTATACCGTGCAGCTTAATTTTCGTGATGCTTAAATCCTCCACAATGAAAACAATGATTTAATGATGATGCCGCCGGAAAACAGAAATCACAAAAGTATGGTCAGGAGCGAAGTGGCAACATCTTTGCTGCGGACGAGTTGTGCTGTCGAGACCGAAGCTGTCGTTCAACTTAGCACCGATGGACTTAACCTCGCCTTGTTCAGAGCCAAGGCAACGAGCAGATAACGTCTTCAGATCGACGAGATTGATTAGAAACGGGTCCGATTCAGATTTGAAGCAGGCGGGATGCGTCATAGACTTTTCTTTGGCCTGTTGCTTCTGCGGCGAGTGCGGGAACTGTCAAAGCGTTAGATGGCCAGCCCCAGAAAGCATCTTGTTTAGGTGAGTCGAAACTTGCAACGGACGGACATGTTGAGATCAGATTAAACGCGAGATGGCCTAGAACCACGGGCCTAGTCGGATGAGCGAGGGCGCGGCAGCTAGTCGTTGCTGACGATTCATGCCCTGCGCACCCCAATCGTAGTTTCTATCGCCTCGTGGTTGCGCATTAGCTCGCAAGATCTAGGACGAGAGTTCAGGTACGTCGAACTCAGCATGGCCAATTGGCCTATCGGCCGGGAGAATGTGGAATTGAAGCTGTCATGAAAGAGCGCGAAGGAGATGGCGTGCTGCGCTGAATGGAGTGTTCGGAGGAAGAAGATTCCGTCTCTGAAGTTCAAAATGACATGTGCAATAATAACCTGCCAAGCAACGTCGAGATATACTGCCATTTACTGTACTTGGTCGACGGATCACCAACGTGGAATATTCGAGGCAGTGATGCAAGAGGAATGAATTTGGGCTCCTATGTTAAGGACTTGTGCTGTCATATATGCTAAATTGCGAAATGGCGGAAGCCTTTTTCGCTCTATGCGGTTTCCGCTTCTGTACCTGCTGAAAGAAGGACTATACGACCATCAGACGATGCTGGGTCGATGTTGTCTTGCAACAGCGGTAAGTGACCGGCAGATCATACTCTGGAATGCTTTCAGATCACCTTCAGCGTGAAGCCAGCGTGGACGTGCCGGACACACATCGCTATGGCGAATGTCAAAAGCATGATTGCACCCGTGAATGCTTGCATACCGGTGAACTGTGTTCCGATCAGCCTCAAGACGACTGTGACACAATGACACAACTTACCGATTCTGTAGACCACAAGATTTGACCAGCTAAAGGGAAGCCAGCGAGCAACCCCAAGCCGGCGGCCAACATAGCCATGCTGAGTCGAGTGCCGACGTCTATCCTGTCGGGAGCTAGGGACATGATCGCCAGCGTTGTGACCGCAGAGAACCCAAGTACAACGAAACCGTAGAAGAAGGCGAAGGCAATTACGGCAGCTTGGGTGTGAACAGCCATCCAGCAGAAGTTGAGTATCCCGCAGGCGGCGACTGTTAAAGCCCACGTGTTGAAACCTCCGAACTTGACGGCAAGGCCATTCAGGACTATGCGCCCTGCCACATCGTTAAAGAGAGGGTTTTCTTTGGCAGTTTCTACATACCTGGAATGCCGCCTGCGAAAGCAATCGGGACGAGCCAGAATTGTACATCGGAATGCCGTATGCGCTGCTCGTGGAGATAGTAGCCTTCGAGCCAATTTATGGGTGTGAACGCCCAGCCCCAAGCAAAGAACGCGGCAAGGAGCACCCCTTTGAAGCCTGGCTCATTCCACATCGATAGGTTGAAGAACTTACGCCGCTGGGCAGGGGCCTCCTTGTACTGCAGCATCATGGCTCCAGCAGTAGACGTTCCAAGACTGACGAATCCGGTTGCACGTACTGCCCATCGCCAGCCAGAGTCATGCTCGATGCTTCGTTCTCTGTTAGCTTGGATCGTGACGCGAACGAAGTGTGAGAAAGTGGACGGAAGGGTAACATGGTACTGGAACAGGAGACAAAGGCATCAGAGACATTTCTGAGACCTTCGGTCTTTACTTCGTTCGCGATCCAAGTTTGGAAAGAACACTCACTAGTGAAACATGGCTGAATAGATGATACCACCGATACTCGTTGCAACTCCGGTCAGCGTGAATACGATTGCCATTCCTTTGGGAGTGGGAAACCAGACAACGGGGATGCTCATGCTCGGCAGCAAAAGTAGACCGCATCCGAAGCCCATGACGACTCCCTGGGCGAGCAGAAGCTGATAGTATTCATGTTGACACAGGCTTGTCATCATCAGTCCGAAGCATGTCAGGACCACGCCGGCTGTCAAGACAGGCTTCAGGTGTCCTGCATCGACAAGGGGTCCTGCGATGACAGCCCCAAAGAAGCTCATGGCGAAAGCCATTGCGCTTATCCAGCCGATTCTGGCCTGAGACTCGTGAGGAATAAGTGTCGTTGTGTAAAAGGCCTGGTAGACGCCCAAGCTCATTGTGAGGCCCCTGCATGTGTCAGTGCCGCGTGTTCATTACAGACGCAGTGGCCGAGTTCTTCTGGCCCGTGGTTAGGTTAGGTCATGTTGAGCTGACGAAGGCGCCGTGTCCGCGCCTTGCCTTACATCGTTCTACCGAGGTCCCCAAGAGACATGCGAGGAGCAACTCACCAACTGTTGAAGTATATCAAGCAGGCACCGACTGCTTGCCATGGTCGCCATCGCTTCTGGGTTGACGACAGTTCAGTGGGTCCCGCTTCAGCAGGAATGCTCTTCTCGTCTTCGGTAGCGACAGGCTGATGCTGAAGCTCGGTTTCCTTCGATAGGTCAGGCATGATATCGGATAACTCTGCACAGGATGCTGAGCGAAGTTCGTAGCATCTGCTTTGAGTCCAGAGAGGAATTGAAGGCACGCACGCAGATGTATTAGTACAATGTGTTGAGATACTTCGCAAGAACGACCGCATCCATCAGCGTCCATGGTCGTTCGAGAGGCCAGCCTTGCACTTCGGAGACCTTCCAGATCGATGATGATCGACGAAACGGGTGAGGCCCGAAGTCTTCGCATGCTTAGACCGTTCCTATCACAGTATGGCGTTCAGTATGCTTTGGCGTGCCGTGTACTATACCTACTATACGACGACAAGCGAGTTTAGTGCCGTCGAGCTAGACACGCCATGCCAGCGCGCGGTATTACGTGATTGTCTGCCAGAAACAGTGAACGATCCAGCGAGAGTTCAAAACCTCGCTGCTCGTTGATCAATTTAGGCAGGCCCTTATGGGAAGACGCTTGAGTTAGTAAACGCAGCTTGATCGCACAGCTTGAGAGAGCGAGGAATTCGTCCATGGACTCGACAGGTCACGACCAGGTCGCCCTTGCAGGGTCTCCTGATCGTTCGTTGCGTTGAAGCAAACCCAGCTGGTCGCGAACTTGTTGGAATCGAAACACTGCGTCGTGTCCTGCTGCGAGGGCGCCACCCAATCCCGATCATTGAGGTCGATGACCTTGGTCATTAAAGTCCCGCTACTTGCTGGGCATTCGACCATAGTCTTTAGAGGCTCGGTAAAGCGCCGGGGACAGAGCTGGAAATGACTTCGCTGGTAATGGGTGCTGTTGCGAAGGGGCCTTACACTCGAGTCGTACATTAGGTATGTACGTAAGGACACGAAGCATCGGAGACCATATCCAGGCCACCATGCGGCGCAGTCGCGGCAATGCGCGCGCAAGAAGTGTTAGAAATGTAGCTTCCGGCCATGAAGACAAGTTCCAATGATACTTGACAGTCCCATTATAAGACAGTGTGATTGTGTTGTGTGAAGAGTGACGACCAGGATTGTGTTGCACCTGCCAGTGTCTACCAGGTTTCATTAGAGGCGTTTGGCTGCCTTACTCCAAATATCGCGTTACGTGGTCTTGAAGTGAAGGTCTCCCGGCTGTGGAGGTGCGCAAGAATGGCTCACCAACAATTGCTTCTGCACTCCATAGACACTTCTCAAACCTTTTCCTGGGGGCAATAATGCTGTCGCATAGCCACCTCTGTCAGTAACAAAGTCACGGTGGACCCAGCCGGGCTGGATTCAAAAGCATGCCGTCCACATCCCCCGCATCGGCGAAGCGGCCATCTATGCATGAGCGATCTGCCTCAGGCCAGTCATTGTCCTCGTCGGGAAAGCAGCAGCCTCAGATTCACAAGGCGCACCGCCCTCACATCGTCGGTAGGCATAGTAGGACTGTGTCTGGCAAGATCAAGCGCACCGATTCTGGCGCCAACATTACTGCCAATGCAAATCGCAACAACCACCAAAGAAAGAAGTCGGGAGCCTCGACACCTGGACAAAGCCCGAGATCTCCTGGTCCGTTGACGAAGCGCAACAGCTCACATGTCACTCTTCCCAAGAACCATTCGGCAGGCAACCTGAGGAAGAACCACTCCGCTACAATCCTAGGCACCGGACGACAGGGTTCTCATATAAATCTGAAAAGGCAAGGTCTTGCTCCGACGCCCAAGCCAAAGGACGAGAACCAGAAGACTGGGTTCTTCGAGCTAGGCAATCAAAGCTCAGGTGAAGAGGAGGAGGGCGAGTGGGAGGACTCAACGACGCAGTCCCCTGAGCTCACTCGCAACAACTCGAAGGCCAACTCGAAGTCCTCGACGCCTGCACGAGTTCCAACACCAGATGAAGTACCGAGGAAGACATCAGATGCGACCTCGAGCAAGGTACTACCCGCCTCTCAGTTGAGGCCAGACAGCGCCTCCCGGGCCATTGCAAAGCAACAGAACACCGATGAAGCGAGTCATCCGAATCCCGATCTCTTACAGCAAGCTCGAAGAGGCTCAAGAGCACCACCAGCAATGTCAACTGTTTCCGCAGTCGCTGGTCTGGGTAGGAATGACTCCAACAGGTCATTCCAGCAGATCAATCACTCGGAAGCAGCTTCTACGCCAGACACTCCAGACCTCTCCGTAGCCGAAGGCTCGGCATCAGCCGATAAGGCGGTCTCGAGATTCCTCAAAGAGCCATCTACATCCAGTGATGTCAAGAGCATGATTGATGATGCGTCAGACGAGGATTCTGCCACGTTCTTGAATAATTACAAACCGCAGCCATCGCAGTCGCCCGAAAAGCCGCGGAGTGTCGCAAAGGCCCGCTTTTCCAGCATCCCCTCACGGACACAACAGCGATTAGAGCTCGAAAGAACAGAACAACTAAGAGCTCCGGGTGGTCCAACGACGCCGCCGGCTTCTATGTTGCATACGGGCGGAGCCTCCACGTTTTCGCTGCACAGTCGATCAGGCTCACGGGGAAGGACCCGTTCTTACATGGACGATTCGAAAGCCCTGAAACTGAATTACACTACAGCGGTCCGGCAACTTGATGTGGTCCGCCGTTTCCGCAATCCAATAGTAGAGAGTCTGACACGGCTAAAGAACAATGGTTCACTCCCGGCAGATATTGGTATGATCACGCCGAAAGGTGCAGCATCAACAAAAAGCCGGCCGCCAAGCAGACGAACCGGCCAATTCCTGGCCCCTGACCAGAACAACAGAAGCGGAATAAGCCGAAGCTTGGAGGAGCAACAGAACGGGCCTTCCCCCCTCGCTTCGAGATCGAGTAGTCGCGGACGAGGTGGCCGAGTGCAATTTTCACGCCAGGGCAGTCCTGACGATATCGGCGTCACCCCTACGGGCGGCAGTGTCGACGGAGCAGATGATGACGGTCTGACACCTGATGAGGCGTTGATGAGGCGATTGTGGAACTCTAGAGATGTGTACGATAACAGTACTGTGTCTACTCCATGAGTGCTGTCGTCCACCTGACGAGACGCGGTAATGAGGACTTCATGGGTATCTTGCAAGCGTTCCAGCGGGCGTGGGATTTTGGCTTGGATGGGACGCGGATTTCGTTGCCTTCACTCCATTGGAGGCAAGCATTCGGTTGCTAGCCCACGGCTCAGCATCTCTGTGTATTATGTAACTACCTACCAGTTGCCTGGAACAACTATCATGTTCCGAGACTTTGCTGGCAGCTCCCCCATTTATTTAGCCAAGCGGAACTCGGCGTCGCCGTCCACCCAATCGGTTCGTTGCGTGTGGACCTCCGCTCCAGATTTCGTGTGGATTTTCAATGTACTTTTGCAGAGGGTTCGAACAGGAACGAGCAAGATTGAGTGGTCTGCAGAGCCTGGCCGTGCCCATAGGCAAGGGTCAACGGCTCGTTACTGGTGCGGCAGCTGCAATTGAATCCCATTATTGCCAGGCTTCTTTGCCGCATCGTGCGGTGGCCCTTGTGGGAAGTCCCCCATTACTCTTCTAGGCGGCGAATTTTAAGGAATCATGCCACTATCTAGGTGACTGAGCGGCGACTTTCTGAGGGTTGGACTTTATATCAAACGGCCTGGCTCTGCCATAGCGAGTCCCTCTGGATTTCAATCGCTCGTACACGACCACAAGACTACCACAGTCCCCTTGCCAGCTGTCAGGCAGACTGCCATATCGTCGCATCATAGACATCACATCCCTTCCAACACGAACACGCCTCGGTTCCCTGTCCACCAGTGAGCGTCCTCAGCCAGCCTCAGACACCCACCACACCAACAAGTCACACGAGCAACGCCAAACTCACCCTCCCTTCCGCAACATCCAACAACAATGTTCACTCCCCACCACTCCGACCCGCCATCCAAACCCTACAACCACAACCCAAACACCTACACACCAACATCCGCGCCCCCACCAATGCCCTCCTTCACCACATCATCGACCTCGACCACTCCGCCATCAACACCGCCGCCATCTCACTCCTAAACCTCCTCCGCACCCCTCCTCCACCCTCCCAACCTCACGCCCTGGCTCTTCGCAACGCCCAACTCGCTTCACTACAACACCTAACCTGGCGCCTAATCCGCCACGACCTCTCCGAAGAAATCATCATGCGCCCCGCCTTCATCCGCCACATGGGCCCTACCCTCGGCGCCGCCGCCGCCGAACACGACAGGCTGGACCACGAGCATGCCCGCCTTGTCCTACTTGAGCTCTATCGTAGCTTCTCTGCGTGCTCTCTACACGATGTACAGCGCCTGGCGCAACTCACCTCCCAGTTCCGGGCGTTGATGACAGAGTTGGCGGAGCATATGAAGCGGGAATCTGGAGAGGAGATGCCGGCGCTGGAGAGGGGGCTGGGGAGAAGTGAGAGCGAGGAGTTGGGGAGGAGGTATCAGGAGACGCTTGTGGTTGAGCCGGGGTTGGTGTTGGGGGATGGTAGGAGGGTGTTTGAGGGTGGGGTGGGGGAGTATGTGGAGTGCGGGAAGGAGAGATTGTTGGAGGTTTGGGCATGGTTGTGCAAGAGACGAGTTGTAAGCGGAGGGGTGGGAAGTTGTGATGCAATGCTAGTGCTACCAGTAGATGGCAGAAGCAGAGTGGTGTTGAGCACGTTGATACCATTGCGAAGTGTGCGGCGTTACAGCGACGGCGTCAATGTATGGGTAGTCACCTAGGTGCCGTAGGAGTTCAGATCGCCGCCATCGTCATTGTCATTATCAGGCAGACTGAATGATTAGCATGCCCCTGAACACATGTCAGTAGCGCTGCCCCTCGGGTGAAGTCGCATCAGCCGTAGCTAGTGTCGAAGCCGAAAGCCGAACTGTTGGACCCAGTATAGAATCATGGTACCGGTGAACGGTCACACCCTCGTCATACGGCGTCGCGAAGCCTACATCTATGGCCTGACTGATGGCATGTCTTCGCGGGAACAGGCTCAGAAGATAGGGACAAGGCATTATGGTGCATTTCCACACTGGTTTCGATCTAACGATAGATTCCTCGCTCTGCATGGTGATTTGGATGCTGTATATGCCGCAATAATCTGCCATGCCATACTGATCATGTTCTTCGGTCATGCTTCATATATGGCGCCACAGTGCCCTGCCTCATCACCCTCAGCATCATTGGACATTTTTCCGCCGTTAGACAGATAAGATTCTCGCCAGAGCGTACTCCACGCCCATTCTCATCAACATGATCAATACTCAAAGTCATCATCAATCCCCGTCTTCGCATCCTTACTCACGCTCTCCTGATTCTGATACATCTCCTTGATCTGCTCCGCACTCGTCGCCTGCTCAGGCTTCTTGTCATCTCTCTTCTTGATAAACCGTGGGAACCGCAGACTGATGCCCTTGCCTGCACCCATCTCCTCGATCGCTGCTCTGTATCGCGGACTAAGGGTCAGATCCGCCGTCTTGACTTCCCAGACATATTTTGCCTTGAACCACACATCTGGCTGGTCGTTCTTGGTCGTGCTGTGCGAGTAGTCGGAGGTAGGCTTGTCGATCACGATTTCCGACAGCTCGGAATGGAGCTCCTCAAGTAATTGTTCTGAGAAGCCGGTGCCAATGTTGCAGACTGTCTCGAATACTTGTGTATCTGGGTTGTACACTGCCAGCAGGAAGGCACCGTACCAAGATGTGCGCTTGCCTTTGCCGTAGTATGCTCCGAGCACGACAAGGTCGAGCGAGTCGCCGATACCTTGCAGGTAGTCCTTCTTCACCTTGAGCCAATTTCGAGATCTCTTCGAAGGCTCGTAGCCAGACTCCTCAGTGTCCAGCATCTTGACCATAAGGCCTTCGCAGGAAGCTTTGACAGAGTCGTCGAGCAGGGTCTGGATCTGGTCGATGTCGGTCGCGTCGCCATACTGAGCGAAAGCGAACTCGCCTTCAACAGGTTCGAAGGCCTCGTGGAGGTGTTTACGGCGCTCGCGGAGCGATTTCTTCACTAAAGCTCGCCATTGTAAAAGAGCATGTCGAAAGCGAAGACGCAAACCTTGACTGTCACATCGGATGTCTTGACGTCTTTGCGTTTTCGTGTCATGAGTTGTTGAAAGGGCAGAACTTTCTTGTTTTGTGGATCCCAAGCGACAGTCTCGCAGTCGAGGACGAATGAGGTTGTGGTAGGCTTGATCCAGGTGTTGAGCTTCTCGAGAATATCTGGGTACTTCTTTGACAGATCTTCCGAGTTACGTGAAAAGATCGAGGCAAGCCCTTTGAACGATTTCGGATCTTTGACGAGCGTGCTCTCAGCAGCAGGGTACTCCTTTTCTGCTTGTGGGGCGACATAATGAATCTGAGCCCGCTCGCCATCGTATTTGTACTCGCAGGTAAAGTCCTTGCCCTCGAAGCGGTCGAGAACTTCCGTGATGGACTTGGTAGGCTTTGCCAACATGGGTTTCAGAGGCACGCCAGGCTGTAGCTTGCACGAGTCGTGCAGCTTCATGATGCCGTGCTCCAACATAGCTGGGATGATCACCTCGTACGACGGAAGCTCGCTGTAGACTTCTTTCAAGGCGGCCTCGCCCTTCGCCAGCTGATCAGGCTGGTCATCTTCTTGCCACCCGCAGAGGTCTCGTGGGTCACCACAGCTTGAGCAAGACCAACGATGACAGTCTTTTCCGCCAGCCCAAGTCTGAGTTTCCCTTCCAAGAAGCGAACCAGGAACTTGGCTTCTGACGCACCACCCTTGTCTTTGTTGATATCGACTGCCTTGCTGGCGCTTGAGACATCGGCAGACGCCATCAACTTGTTAATTGCTCGGACTTTCTGGTCTTGAGAGCCATGTCCCTCCATTTTTGCGATCTCCAGCAGACCCTGATGCACACCTCGTACGGTCAAAGCCTTTGGCTTGAACATCTGGCCTTGCTTCGATTTGCTCTTTGCGGCCACCAGCCCCAGGTCACCAATCTTGCGGTGATCTTCCTTGATGACGGCCAGAGACCGCCCAGAACTCTCGCCGATCGCCTTCATGATCAATGACTCTCCTATGCCTAGCTCAATGCCAGCATAATCAGCAGCCAGTTTGTTGAGCATAAGCATGACTGTAGGCAGTAGATCGTTTGGCGTTAGTCTCAGCACCTGCTGGAGGAAGGCTGAGCAGTATGCGATAATCTGGAGTCGTTTCGTGGTCAGCTCGACAAGCGAGAACGTGGTGCATAGCGCGGCATATGGTACTGGGTCGCCTGCCTTCCAGTCTGGATATGGATCTTTTCCCGTGCTCTTCAGAGCGACTTGAACTTTGGCAGCTTGTTTCTTCTTGACTTCAGGCTTCTCTCCTTCGCTGTCTGAATGTTCCTCCTCCTCCGAGACGTCTTCTTCTTCGACTGGCGAACTCGATTTTTTGGTTGCAGTGGACGTAGGGACAGGTGATTCAGAATTCTTCTTCTCGACTTTTGGACTGGCCTTAGGGCTGGCCTTGGCCGTTCGAGCGGCAGGAGCAGTCGTCCTCTTCCTCTTCACAACCGGCTGATCATCAGAATCATCCTCTTCGTCCTCCACAGGCGACCGACTGTGCTTCTTCGAAGCCGAGTCATCGCCTGAGGCCTCGGCAGCATGGCCATTGGTGTCATTGCCATTGGTCATATCAACATCATCATCTTCGGGCTTCGTAGCATCGGTCTTCTTCTTATTGCTCTTGCCGTTGAAGGCCAATGTAGACTGCGCTTTGGGTTTCGTTCCATTCTGCTGCTTCCCTAGGAATTTCCTGTGCGCGTTAGACAGCGACGAGGCCTCACTTGCCATACAACGTACCCTAGTGTGGACTGGCGGCCTTGTGCCATTCCTAGTACTTCGCGTGAGGCAACGAGAGACGGCTGTAACGAGTGAACACTGCGGCAGGGCTGCCGATGACGAGATGATCTTGTCGAGGCTAGGGTCAGGGCCGTGGCAATCGGATGGTTACTCGAAAGGATGGTGGAACGCAGAGCGATGATGCAGCGTCTCGGATGCTTGAACATATAGTACTCGATGGCTCGCACGCTGCCTCAAATTCAGTGTGTCGTGCCTGCTGCGAACGCCGTTTCCGACAAACGCGACGCGCTGGAAAAACCACTTTAGCCCGAAGCGCGTTGATGTCACTCCGCTCTTACCCCAAAATACGAGCGAGTGCCTAATGTGCCTTATCGCTGCCTTCCGTGTGCCTCATCCTCGCAGGCTGCAAGCCAATACGAGAACTTCGTGAACACTGCCCAGCGTTGCTTTGTGCCGGCCTCCAGATCGGATGGCTGCTAAATGCGCGGTGTCGTGTGAACGAAAACGGTCAAACGTAACACTCGTCTCACCGGGTGAGTTGGGCTTTCTGAATTATTCACGTAAAGTAAGAAATTATGGCAGAATCGATTGGCAGTATGCAATTGGAACGATTGTTCGATTTTGATTATTATCAGAGCTCTTAGTAGCAGGCTCTTTTGAGGTATTAGAGATACAGACGTAAGCCTCGTGTGTGTTCGTCATCGCCATGCCAGTCGAAGTCCCATTCGCAGCTCATCTGGACTGGTCTTATGGGTATCGTTGTGTGCAGAACGCCAAAAATCAGATCCCTTACAGCAGCATGACAGCCGCGAGACCGGCAAGGCCTGCAACGCCGTGGACTGCAGCGGTCGCAGCAGGGGCAAGGCCGGCGCTGGCGGTGGCTGAGCTGGCAGCAGCACTAGCGCTACTGGCAACACTGCTAGCACCCTCAGAAGCGCTGCTTGCGATGCTGCTAGCGCCCTCGGAAGCGCTGCTAGCTGCGGAGGAGGCAGTCTCGGAGGCACCGCTCAGAGCTGATGAGGCACTACCTGAGGCGCTGCTGGCAGCAGATCCGGCAGATCCAGTTCCAGAGGAGGCAGCGGCTTCGGCAGAGGATACAGCGGACGCGTCCTGAGGAGTGTCAGCTTTGTCAATTGATGAAAAGGTATGCAAACTTACGGTGATGGTCGATCCAGCGCTAACAACGCCGGTGACGAGACTGCCAGCGCTGTTCGAGAAGGTGACAAGTCCGGCAGCAACAGCGCCTCCGGCGGCAGCAGTGATGGATGAGACAGATGCAGCGTCCTGCCAAGGTCAGCACGTTATCCGTCATGGCCAGACTCTTGACTCACAGTGATTGTGCTTCCGCCAGTAACAACAGCAGTGATGGTCGAACCGTCAGTGGTGATCGTCGTGAGACCAGCAACGGCACCAGCAGCACCAGAAGCGCCAGAAACTTCACCGGTAGCAGTCAAGGCGGATGCAGCAGCAGGAGTTCCGGATGCAGAAGAGGCCGAAGCAGTGCCACTGCCAGAGCCAACTAGAGAAGGTCAGTGAGGGCATACAAAAGTCGGACTCGTATATGCTCACCGCTGGCGCAGTATGCGAGACCGTAGCTGATGACGCTCGAGACAGCAGACTGATCGGGGCAGGCCTGGTTGGAGCAGTCGCGAACACCGTAGCCGAAGTTGACGTTGCGGCACAGGCAGGCAGCATCGGTGTTAGAACAGCCGAGGGCTTGAGCTTGACCAAGCATGTTGCTTATGCAAGTTTGCTGCATTCCGTGTTAGTACGCGAACAGTGGTTGTGAAAGTAGGGAGATCTTACGCCACATGGCGGGAGACTCGCAAGATCTTGCGCGACGACTGAGCCGACAATGGCGGCAGCGGCGAGAAGGTACTTCATTGTGAAGATATCAAGAGATACACAAGAAGTTCGTGTGTTAGGTTTGAGGTCGTGAAGGAGAGCGCGCAATTGTCTGCGAGAAGATGCTCGAGTACGCGTGTGAGGGTACGAGATGTACAATTAGTACTGTTAAGACTGAGGTTCGAGGATGGTAGGTTTAGGTGAGACAGTAGATGGTGGTGCGGAATAAAAGTTGGGAGACGGGAAGGGTTGCAAGTGAGATTGAAAAGGGCTTTCAGGTGTGATTGCTCTTTTATCAAATTTCCTGGAAGTAGGTGCGACTGCGTCTAGATGATGTATGGCACGGCAACTAGGTAAATTTTAGGCAGATTACTGACTACGAAGACTGCCTCGACCTCTTTTAAGTTGTCCACCAGGTCTACGTCGTGCAGACCCGACGTGGCTCCGGCATCGTCTTTTGCATGCAAGAGGCTGGCAGCGAAGGCGATTCGACTTGAGGCCAACACAGACAGGATGGACATCCGAAATGATGCAAACAGGACCGACAAGCGGCTCTAGCGCGTAATTTCACGTAGCCAACGAATGCTTAGGGTCTACTAACTTCAGTACTAGCTACCGCCATCGTGCATGATCCCGTGCTGGTCATCCTAGCTGAACAGCTTCTCAGCTTGATATCTGCCTGGTCAACACGAAAGCGGGCAGAGGTGACGTCGTATCATCCCAAATCATCTTCGCCGTCACCTCGACAACGATGCTGAGCTCGAGCAGCATACCCTACAGCGCCGCATGATAGCAGCGCCTTCAGGTCGGCGGTCTTCGACACTCGTGCAAGCTGTCGCACCGTTGAGCTGTCTGTGCGACCATGCTCGATCATGGTTTCCCAGCCTGTTTCTTGACAAGCAAGTGATCAAGCTCAGGAAGAGCTAGAGCAGACAAGCTCCTCGGCAATCATCTCTGGCATGACGCCTATTGGACGCGCCCCTGACGACCTCGTTTTCATCCTTGGAAGTCGATCGCTGTTCCTTGTCGAGCCCCACTTCCGTGACACAACCTGCAGCACCTCCTCCGAGGCCTGGAGAACACTCCGGACAATCCACTGCAGGTCCTGCCCAACCTGCTTGTAACCAAGCTCTCAGAAAGCCTGACGTGGCACGCGCCGCAAAACCTGGCACAGCTTTTTGCGCCTATCGATTACTGCACACATGATCTACAGTGCAGAGCTGAGAGTATATATGACGACCGATAGAGGCATGCTTAGGCTCAGCATTGTGACGAAAAGACTTCATACACTTCGTTGTGCTCTCGATTAATCACGGCAATGAGCTGGAAATGGGACATGTGTCACATCGAAGTTACTGCAGTGCTTCTTGATCATTTGACTGGCAAGCATGGAAATTGGTCGCTGAGACGGCCGTTTCGATCTCCGGGCACTCGCTTGATCTTGGTAGTGGCTGGGTCTCGCTTCCCACAGTTGCTAGAGCAATCTTGCTTCCTAGCAGCTCGGCTGCGCACAGATCGAACCGCCTAACCGTGCAAGCCCTCCTCAGCTACGATCTTATCGCTTGAGATTATTTCGACAATTGCATCAGGATCGATCCGAATTGATAGTGGTAGACGTAAGACGCAACATGGACAAATAATGATCCTGACCACATGGCCGTCTACCCGACCGACCCAGGTCCGTGGTAATTGTACTTGATTCGATATCGTGTAGACCAGGCATCATGTCAACATGGTTGAGTTCCTATGTATGTCTATGGGTCTTCTCAAGCGCACACACACCGACTCTGCCTTGGCCAGCGACAGGCGGTGTGGTCTGCCCAAGCACTTTGATTCGAAGGCATCGGTGGTCGCGACGAGGACGCGACGAACGAGATTCCCCTTGTCCAGCTGAACTGAGGTGCTAGTCTCGCTTGGCGGTGGCTGACAAGTGCAGCACCAGCCACACATCTCCACCAGAGTTTCAACTTCGGGCTTCAATCTCAAATCCATCTGGCTGTCTAGCCAATTGCACGAGCACGGCGAAATTCCATGATCGTAGAGCCGCTGGGGTACTCCGGGTTGCGCTTTCCAGAACAATGCCTCGAACATGACCTTACCTCGACAGGAAGCGTTCCAGCTGGTCAGTAAACTGCATTTCCTCTTCCTTTCGTAGTGCTTACGTGTCAGTAGTTACGTCCAGCTTGCGTAGATCTCAGCTCTGTCGCGCTGCGATTCAAAGGGAAACAGGCTACCGTCAAGCAAATCTACAATGCGTTGGTCAACGTGCAAGAGATCCTGCACCGAGAAGATGTTCGGCGGGCACTGGACGAGAAGCTCGCCGAGTACACCTTCTTTCCCTTGACACATGTCTTCAATCAGGCGCAAGGTCTGTCTTCGAGTTGCATCGAGTCAGCGATTGCCTGCGTGATCGTTCTCGTTTCGGCAGGATGGAAATCCAACATTGCGCCAGAAATGGCGAAGCAGCTTCTCATTTTGATGACTCTTCTGGCTGGTGGTCAAGCCAAGGCCAGTCCGGTAAGCGATGAAGTCAAGTCTTTGGCTTTCGAATGTATGCAAACGATAGTCGGCCAGCTCTCACAGAAGCAGAGGGGTCGCGAGCTTTTCAATGATGTTGGGTCAAAGAATATAGTCGATCAGCTGGCGTACCTGTTGGTCGAAGCAATCACAGAGAGTGTCTCGGACCAAGTACAACTCACCGCAGCGCAAGCTTTGAAGACGGTAGTGGCTGCTGTCTCAGATCGTCTGATGCTTGCCAGCCTTTTACCACGGACAGTCTCATCGCTGACAAAGGCTTTGCGAGTAAGTACAAAAGCGCGCCGAACGAGGAAGGTATTCGTGGCGTACCTGCAATTGCTTGACCAGATGTTGGCATCAACGCTTGCCGACAGCGTCGTCTTTCCCCAACTCCGATCGGAGAAGGAGTCAGATGAGGAAGGCTTGGATGAGGCATGGCTCCGTGCCACCAGCGAACAGGTACAGATAGCGCTCACGCAAGTCATGCGGTTGCGCTCTCATGAAGGCATTGAGGTCAGATCTGCCCTGGCCACGGTCTGCTTTACGATATTGCAAGACTGCCCACGGTCGCTTGCTGGTAGTCGATCTTTGGCATTAGAAACGCTGATTACTGTAGCACAGCTCGAGCAGTCCTCCGCTGTCACGTCAAAGATCAAGTATTTGCTGGATTCTCAACCCGAAACGAGCGAGATGCTCCTCGCCAAAATCGATGCGTGGTGCTTTGCCCTTCCCACGACCCTACAAACGAGCGAATCTCGCCCAAAAGAGCCACTTTTACGCCAGCTGCATGGCGCAGTTGCAATGGCAGCTCACTCATCGCAGCTCTCGGACGAAGTTGTGACGCAACTGGCCGATGGTCTGACGGACGGACTTGCCAACATCTACGCCATTGAGAGCACGAAGCACGAGGTTGAACAGCGAGATGCTGGCACGTCGTTTGCGCTGCTTGACCTGGCAAGCAACACGCATCCGGGAAATTTCCCGCCCGTCCTGCTGAGCAATACCAATGACAGCGGCTTTGCCGCTGGCTTGAATCGTCTGCTGGCAGAGATGAGAGAATTGGGAGTTTCCAACACTCTTGCACGGGCAGCCATACGTCGACTTTCTTACGGAACTCAAGAGGATCAGCTCGTGGCTGCGTGGATGGCCCTGCGATCACTTTCACAAGACCATGACACAAAAGATCTGGACGATTTCATCACAATCACTGATTCGAGCAGCATAGCTCTTAGCCGACCACGACTAGTGTCAGATCTCTACGCAGCGACTCTTCCCTGGCTAACAAGCGAGACAAACCAAAACGAGCATGGAATCTGGCAGATGATTGCCATAGCAATCGAGAGTGTAGTCCTTCAGGCAGAGATGCTAGATGTTGCTTATCGCCCAGAGCTTCTCGACTCGCTATATCCCATGCTGGCTCTCCTCGGCTCTCCGACCCCATCACTCCGCGAGCACGCCATCACAGGCCTCAATCTGCTTGCCAAAGCCTGCAATTATCCATCCACAGGCGATATGCTGATCGAAAATGCAGACTATTTGGTCAATTCCATCGGCATGAAACTCAACTCCTTCGACATCACCCCACAAGTGCCACAAGTACTGCTCACGATGGTCCGTCTCTGTGGCGCAAGCATCATACCGCAAGTGGACGACCTCATTGGGAGCATCTTCTCTGCATTGGACAACTTTCACGGTCATCCTGGCTTAGTCGATTCTCTTTTCAACGTGCTCAGAGTGATGGTAGATGAGAGCAAAAAGCAACCGCAGTTGGCCATAACCGAGCACATGAGTGAGCCACGCCACGCAAGGCCCAGAGTCGTTCCCTCGACTCTGAAGGATATCTTGGACGATCTCAAACTGTTGAGAGCTCGGAAGACGAAAGTCAAGCAGGAAATTGAGTCGCTGAATGTTCATACTACACCACATCGACCCTGGAAAGAAACGGTCACCAACAAACCTGCAGAGCACGACGACAATGGAGCGAACGACCTTGATGATGAGGACATTGACACTCCTGCGAGACCAGAAGAGCCCAAACAGCCACCACTCCCAAAGTCCTACACCCTACTCCTCCGTATCGCCCAGTCAACAGCGCCACACCTGAGCTCTCCATCGTCCAGCGTTCGCAGAACCCTTTTACAGCTGCTCGACGAGGTGGCTCCGCTCCTCTCGCATCATGAGAACTCTTTCCTCCCACTCATCAATTCCGTTTGGCCAGCAATCGTGCCTAGATTGCTTGCTTACTCTCCTACCGACGAAGGCGGCACGGAGACGGCCTACAATGCTTGTGCAGCTGCAGACGCCATTGCGAGCCTATGTCGTGGAGCTGGGAGCTTCATGTCTACTCGAATTGAGGAGGTGGCGCCTTCGCTGCTCAAGCTGTTCACTTCGATACGCGATACGCGGCATGGACGATCAGACGGCAAAGGGGCTTCAGGTCGTGGAGCAGTCAGGACGAAAGAGATTTCTGACATCGATATGACCATTGACGACACAAGACCTTCGCAAATAACACCTATCACGTCCAAGCAGCTCGATACGCGGTCAGCTAGAGCACAGGTTCAAGCTGCTCTTGTCCGCCTCTTCAGCACGATCTTGGACAATGTTCAACTTACCAGTGAGACTGGAGACCAGATCTTTGAGGTCCTCTTGCCCTTCGTCCGAGTCTCCACAGACGATCACAGTGATGCCGTCAATGGCAATAGCTCGCCTGACGTTACGCAGGTACTAGAGAGGTACAACGCTGATGCGCTGTGGCTGCATCTAGAGCAAACGAAACAGCAGAACAAGGCAGTTGTGATGGAGGTAGCAGAAGTGGAAGGCGAGTAGATTCGTGAGAGATGAGTAGCATTCGTTTGTTCATACATGAAGGAGCAGAAGGCTTGTCGAACAGACAAGCCGGTTTACACGGAGGTTCTGGTGTGGGGGCCAACAAGCAACAAGCCCTTGCACCTTCCTTTCCGAGTGGTTCCTTACTTTGCCTCCGCTTCCTGAGAAACTCGATCGAGCACGGCGACATCACATGTGAAACATCATCTCATGCTCCGCGTCGTTTCGTGAGGCTCACGTACATGGTTTGACGGGGGGCGACATCGTCGGCGTTTGCCATTCCTCGACCAAATACCACGTCCGTTGACCTGAAGACGGCTGCCTGGTCGGAGCCGTGAACGAAGATGCTGCTTCTACAGCTGGTCAGTGCGATCCGGCGGCCGTCTCGAAGCCTTGCACGGAGTGTCAATTGCGGCGAACGGACTTCCAATGGCAGCGCATACATCCAGAAAAGTAAGTGGTAGATGGACAAGAATGTTACAGTTGTGTCGAGCTTTCGAGATCGGGGAGAACTCGCAGCTGCTGCGCCTGCTCATCGTGGGTTGCAATGACCAGCGCCGAAGGTATAAGTATGGAGTGACGGACTATGAGTTGACCAATTTGATCAGCAACACTCTCAGTCAGCATCAAACCATCTCTGCAGAAGGTGAAGGATCCAGTATTCAAATCCAAGGTTCTTCCTGTACCAAAGTCTGATATCAACAACGAATTACGAGTATATCATCGAATTCCAGTCGCTGATCCTGATCATGCATCTCACAGCAAGCACACTCCTCGCACTCACCCTCACCACCCTGGGAACCACCGACACCACATCTGAGCCAACCTTGACCCTTACCTTGATCGACGGCAACCGATCGACCGTGAGCCTCATCACCGTACCACAGTCAAGCTTCACCACGGTCAACGTCCCACGAACAGACCCCGGTGTCGCCACTGTCCCACGAGAGGATCCATTCATCGCCGCCCGTCAGGTCATCACCGCAAAATGCATCACAACCCTCATCATTCCCTGCCCAACCTGTAAGACCACGACCGTGGGCTGCAGCTCTACTCCTCCGTCCGTTCCAGCGGCCTTCACAGGCGGAGTCGGCCGTCGCGATATGCTAGCCGCCCGAGAGCCCGAGTCAGCACCCGAGGAGTGTCTACCTACACTCATCATCCCCTGCCCGACCTGCGAAACCACCACTGTACTTCCTGGGGACTGCATTACTACGCCTCCGGCCCCTACCTTCACTGGCGGAGTCGGTCGACGCCATCACGCACATTTGCTTGCTCGGGAGCGCGAACCAGCAGCAGAAGCTGGATGTCTAACCACGCTGATCATCCCTTGCCCGACCTGTCAGACTACGACTGTGCTACCACATGATTGTACGCCGACTCCTGCTCTTGGCGGTGGAGTTGGAAAGCGCACGATTGTCGCCAGGGAGGCTGAGCCTGAGCCTGAGCCGCAGAGGACGACGCTCGTCATTCCGTGCCCGGCTTGTTCGACGACTACATTGATTGGGCCTGACGGGCCCGAGACGACAGCTTGAGTGAGTCGACAGGCTGTTGGTAGGAACAAGTGCTGGGTGCCAGATGTCGAATGGAAAGAAGCAAGGTGGAAGGCGAGTTGCGCTGGTCGTCGCTCTTGCCAATTGGTGATGATGCGAGGACCCTGATGGCAGTTGCACAAACCGTGTCAAATGCCTCAAGGGCGAACCTCCCACCTTCGAAAGTCGATGTACCGCAAGTGTTCGATGCAAGGAAGACGTTCACGGCATTTCGAGGTGTTCCTTTGATCTTGAGTTCGAACAAGGTACTCGGAGATATATGTTCGTCGTCCTAGCCAAGCTGGCTCAGCTCAAGACAATGCCACCCACAAACATCAGACTACTTGCATTTGCTGACAGTATTCCATGTCAATTTTCCATGCTCAGTACGCTCCCAATGCGTTTCATTCACCTTTGGGTGCGGTGCCAAGGGATCTATTGTAGTTGACCAAGATCAATAGCTATTCAAAACTAATCCGCTATGACTATAAGTAGCGCGATGGCGTCTTCACCTGATGATGCCACTACGGTGGAAGTCACGGTAGAGATGGTAGCGCTCGATCTGGTACGTGTCGTGACGGCACATTGCCAGTCTTCCGTCTTGCAAAAGCTTACCCCGATCACAGAGTCGCAACGACGACGTTCATCTTGCAGGTGCAGAGTCAGGGAGGCCTCTGGAGACAACAAGCGATTCTCCTCCACTTGCTCATGACCAGAGCAACAATCTTCGTCAGCTTTCCGATGACCAGACAAGCTCTATCCGTTCGCCTGCTGACGACCAGACGAACTCTCCTCCACCAGTGCGTCCCCTTTCCGGCACCTAGGGCCGACGTCTCCTTCCTTCCACTAACGCTACGCACAGACAAGTCGGCCACTTCCAAACCTACCCTCAATGCCACCAGAAATCCTCCAACAGATTCTCGAATCAGTCATCCCCATAGAACCGGCCAAGATCCCACGCTACCCGCCGTACGACGCGCCGCGATCCCGAGGGCTCAGGAAACGGATCTGGGCAGGGTGGTCGGATCCACAGATCCACGACTTGTTGTTAGTGTCGAAGGCTTTTCACGGGATGACGCTAGATATTGTGCGTACGCGACAGGTGGAAGAAGACTGGGCTGGCAAGTTTTGGCTGTGGGTTTCTTGAGACTGTGCTTCTCTGCTTGTGGTAGACGTCGATCGCTATGGCGATTTCATAGAGGTTTACCTTTGAGAAGGTGCAGCGACAGGCGGTCGTGGAAAGTGTTTGCGAAGCGCGATCGTGGAAGGTGCGACTGCAGTGGTGAAGTGACTGCCAATCTTTCACTTTGTTCAAGTCAAATGTTGATTTGATGTTGCAGCTGCGACTCTCTGACCTCTTCTCGCTCGTTGACATATCTTCTCTTCAACTTCTTATAGCCATTCTCATCAATTCGTCAGTATGGACATCGCTACCTCATCGACGAGCCATCTATCGGCTCTAGAGACGGTAAGCCATGCTCGTCCTATCGCTGGCAGTGATGGTGGCTAACGAAGTGACAGGCTAGACCTGCCCCGAACCTCTCCAGCATGCCGACTGAGATCCTCATCAAGATCATTGACAACCTTGTCCCCATCGATGCGCAACCAGATAGATCGGGCTGGATCTTGAGACTGGACAAATACCTTAAATGGTGGACATCCCAAGGTTTGCCCAAACCGCGGATACGAGACGAGACCGAATTGTTCGCACTCTTTCGCTGGTACACCCCAGAGGTTGGCGGACTTCTACTTGTGTCCAGAGATTTTGCCGACGCCACAGTGTCGGTCTTGAAGCGTCGGAGGGAAGCAACTCTGATGCCGTCATGGTACAAAAGAGTGCAAGGACGGCTTCGTGCTGCCATGGCGAAGTGAGGTCGACGGTCCAAAAGCGCACGTCCAGAGAGATGAGCACCATGTTCGAAGGGCAGCTTCCAGGACTGACGTGCTTGTACCAGCAGAGCACGTTTACACGGCTGGTAGAAATGGACTGGGATCATTGACAGCAGCCACTCGCTCCCTCGCTGTCACACTCAGGACGAAGGAGCGAAGAGAGGTAGCATGGTATCAAGGCACACCATGCCTTCGAACAGAATGATAAGTGCAGCTGATGGCAGGCTCCTTTGACTTCCTGAGTGAGGTCGTCTCGTACGGTAGACTCGGAAACAATCGAGGAAAAGTGCAGTTCATGACATCTGGGTTCACTTCATTGCCATCGAGTATCCATTGTTGGTCATCGCTGAGGCCATTGGAGGCCGTATGTTTGCTAGACTCAGCTTTACCATATGCATTCTCGAAGCCTGCGAGAGGTTGATGGAAAGGTACTCGTGCCGTGCGAGTCCTCCGCGAAGGACTGATTCGCAAATGGCCGATTCGCAACTTCTTAGATACGTTAAGGCAGGTCAGGTTGCCCGGCAGCAATTCACTTGTCGTCACTTGACTTGAGTGAGGAAGCCGCTCCGTCTGAAACCTCCATATTTGTGTGCGCCTTAGAATATTCTCCACGTCATGCTTAGCACCAACGCCGTCACAATGGACAATAACATTCGTTTAAAGAAGGCAGCGTCAGCTCCTCACTGGGTCAGTCACATTTCTGCACTATCGGGGTTTCCCCAGCTGACCAGATCACAGGACAAGCCAGCTCCAAATCTCTCAAGCATGCCCAACGACATCCTCCTCAACATTGCCGACTTCATCGTCACGGACGAAAGCCGATCGAACCATCTTCCATTCGAGCGGAAGGATCTGTATTTCCGCAAGTATCTCGAATGGCGCGTCTGGCGCGGATTCATCCGACTTCGGTCGAACCCTGACGCCGACTCCTTCGAGAAGATGGGATGCATAAGTTGGGATTGGCTTGTGCCAGAGGATCGACAAGTGCTCCGTGTCTCGAAGAAGTTCTATGTCGCCATCATGTCGGTTATACGGAATCGACAGGACGCATGTGATGGGTATCAGCAAGGCAGTATCGACCCGCTGGTCTGGCAGCCCCGACCGTGGCAGCTGCGACCTTGATGCCTGGACAACGACTTCAGGCAGGTATGTTGCCCCATAGAGGTTTGATCGGTTCCGCAAGCCTGACTCGGAAAACCTGCCCAAGACGACATCGCCGCTTTCATCCTGAACTTACTGGACGAGCCGGCAAACCTGCTCCTTAGAGGCATTCTCAATTGAGACAGATGTGCTGCCCGATAAGGACTTCTATCTGTCCCGTCGGCTGACTTGCTGTGTCAGGACCAATGGTCGAATAAGTGATGGCGGCAGATCGAGAGATAGCATGTTTGGCTGGCTACATGCTTAACATGCCACCTGAGATCCCACGTCAATGTTGGAAAAGCACCTGTGGCGCACAGAAGATTCATATCTCAATCCCAATGACCCTGACTTCAAAGCCGCTCTTCTCATCGACCGCCCAGTCCTGCTTTCCTTGTGGCAGAGCGATGCTCTCGTTGTTCCCGCTTGTCGCGAGCCACTGTTTCAAGCTATCCTGATCTGCTGCGCTTCCAGTCCCTTTGTCAAGTACGTTGGGAAAGAAGGTATCGCAGGGTATCTCGCCGGCATCCTTGCGCCTGACCAACGTCTGTAGTATACGTACAGGCCGACTTTGTGACTTGGCAAGGTCCAAAGCTGCAGTGTAGATCTGTGCGCCGCCTATGACGAAGATGTTGCCTAGCTCGAGCTGCTCACTGTTGCCATCAGCTCCCGTTGCTTCGCCGTTGAGCAGGCTATGACTTTGCCCATCGAGCGCATCAAGTGCGGCCTCTAGACCCTTGGCAATGATCACTGGGGGCGGTGTCGGTCTGCCTTCCTGACTCTTCGCCCGTATCACGGCAATTGAGGGAAAGCGTCCATCCGCATCGGTTTCAATCTCCCGATCCTCGAGCTCTCGAGCGATAGTAGTCGTGGCATACTCCATCTGTTGCCTCGTGACAACCACATTGATCCGCCCAGCCAGTGGGCGGAACTTCGGCGGAATCGACTCCCAGGTCTTCCGGCCCATTATCACTGCATTCATGACTTTGCTCTGCCTCCGCATTAAGCACGACCCGTCAGAAGAGGGGCGAGAGTCCTTCGTGACCTTCCGGAAGAAATCCATGTCCGCTTTGATAGGTGGCCAGGGGAGCGTGCCATTGAGGCCGATGCCGAGGGGAGGCTTAGTGGCAGTGGCGACTATCAGGTACAGAGGCCGGCGAGCAGCCATGTCTGACTCTGGCCCCACCTCGTTGGCGTACAACGGAAGCTCGGTGGAAGAAGCCGGTGAGAGAGTTGTTGGTGGTGGGGTTGCCGTCATGATTCATGGAAAGTAGGCAGGCGAAAAGCATGTGTTGGATTCAGAAAAGCGAATCAGTCCTTTCGGCGCCGTGAGCGTTGACTGGATCGGCAGCACTTGCAGCGGTCAGCAAGATGTGGCTGCATGCATAAATGTTCGCATCGCGACTTGCTGATTCCGCCCTGCAGGCAAGCTCGAATACAAAAGACTCGAATGACGGGCATTTTTCCGACAAAGGCCATGTCAAGTGCGTCATTTGAAGTCGTCTGCGTCTGCAGGTGGAAAATGCTATGAGCAAACTTGAGCTGGCGTCCTACATTCACGCACAGTAACGTAGAAGCAAGAGTGGTATCTCATCTCATGATTTACTCTACCTACAGCGAGCTCAAGGGCCCCCTGGCTGAGCATTTATGGCCTTCCACTCAATTTGGTTTCCCAGTCTATGCATCTTTCCATACTCCATGCTTTTTGCATAACGCGCAAGAGATTCATTCCAGGGTCAATCCCTTCGGCCAGTATGACTTTTGTCCACCCAACTCAGGTCTAGGGGCCTCCAGATGCGGCGATCGCTAATTTGCAGTGCTGTGAGTGAAGCACTTCTAATTTCCATTCACAGCCTCCAAAATCATCTGTTTGGCCTGCAGAACGCCTTCCTCACCACCGGTGATAGTGATCGATTCGCTGCCACCTCCACCACGCTTCGGCACCTGAATGTCGCAGCCTGTAACCTTGCGCATACCATCGATCTTCTCACCACGTTGACCAATAATGCGTCTGTGCAGCTGTGGGTCAGCGAGCGTCAGATAGCCGGTGAATCGAGGTGTCGTGGCACTCTCGAGCAGAGCCTGGATGCGGGCTTTGGCGCGTGCGAGATCCGCGTCGTTGCGCGTTGAGGACAGCTCCCAGATGATATCGCCCTCTTCGTCGCTGTTGAGAGAGACCAGCTCCCAAACAGGCTCTGCGGTCTCAGAAGAGCCTTGGTCAGTAATGAGAGGCAGTGCTCCGTTGGTGGTTGACTCGCCGTTGGTCTTGGCTTTGGGCTTAGCAGGTGTCTTTGCTCCACCGTGGTCCACGCGAATGCCCATCTGCTTGAGCTCTCCGAAGGTAGCACCATTCTGAGCCACGGCGTGGTGGTACTTTCGAGGCACGGTGATGGTCTCACCCTTCTTGGAATCGACCAGGCCCAGTAGGCTCTCCTTCGCTGCAGCAACCTTTTCAGCCGCTCCAGTGAGTTTGACGCCGGTCTTCTTGTCGTTTCTATGAGGCACATTCATCTGAACTCCGTGCTTCTTCTCGAACTCTGAGCGATTGGCTCCGCCGGGACCGATCAGATTGCTGTGCAAGCGCAGCGGAACGTCGACAACTTCGATGACTTGGTTCTCACGTTCGCTGACGAAGTCGTGGATCTGCTTCACAATCGCATCCGCCACAGCCTGCGTTCCCTTTACAGTCAGGGTGCTGGACTGCTCGCCTGACTTGTTGGGAAACCGAACATGCTCTGCGCTCTGGCCAGTGCCACCAGCCTTAGCGACGATAGCCTGGATATTGGCACCTCCACCACCGATGAGCGCTCCGTGGTGCTTGCGATCGACGTCGATCGTTCTTGTGACAATGGAGTCGAAGGCCTTGGCGCGCTTCGAGATCTCCTCCTTGGCCTGAGCCACAGCGCTCTTCGAGCCACGGATGGTAATAGTCACCCGATCAGCGCCATTGGCCTTTGGAACATCGATCTCGGCTCCAGTATCTGTACGCATCTTGTTCAACTCAGATCCGCCTCGGCCAATCAAAGACGCAACCTGGTCCTGCGCGACGGAAACGCTGGCAGAATGCGAGTTATCTTCCAGGTATTGTTTGTAGCTCAGCAATTCGTCTCTCACAGCATCGGCCTTTGCCTTCGGACCACGAATCGTTATCTGGTCGGGAGGCGTGGCACGCCTCGTGCTACCGGCATCACTTGCGACATCCGAAGCATCGTCTTGCCCACGCGATTGACGTGGGAAGTCGATACGGACAAGATCGTCGGCACGAGCTTGAATCTTTCTCAAGTTCTCGCCATTTCTTCCAACGAGCTGTCCGTGGAATTTGGGGTCGATCTTGATGTAATAGGTGACTTCGTCAGCCCACGCCTTGTGGAGCTTGAGAACCTCAGCCTTGCACGCCTCGGCCTTTTTGGGAGGTCCAATGATTTGGATCTCGTCCGATTTCTCATCACCGACCTGAATGTTGACATCGTACTTTTCGCGCAACGATTTAACAAACTTGCCCTTACTGCCAATCAATTGCGACTTGTGCTTAGCCTGGAAGGGAACAGTGATGGTGTGACCGCGCTCCTTCTCATCCTGCTCTGCTTGGATCAAGAATTCTTCGATCTTTCGTTGCAGCTCTTCGAGTGCGGCATCTTCGGGGTGCCGCAGAAAGACACGGTTTGATTGGTCTCTTGGCCCTGATGGTCTGTTCCGATTGAAGTCGATGTGGACCGGAAACCCGCCTACTGGCTGCTGCTCTTGTTGAACAAAGCGTCGAACTCTGTCGTGGTATTTTGAAGCCACCGAGAAGTCTCTCTGCGAGATACCCTTAGGTGGAATAATACTACGAAGCAGACCTTCGGCTTCTGCCAAAGCACGCTCATACTCAGCAATCTCTGCTTTCGACGGCTTCGATCGGGGAATCTGGTATGACTCATCTGATTGAGGACCCTCGTAAACGAGTACGACACTATCACCGTCATCGTCCTCCAGTACGAACATGTGTACTCCGTGGTCGTTCTGCAGCTTCTCGGTATACTGCTGCTGAATGTGCGAATGGAAGAACGGATCCACTTCGACAAGCTGAATTCGCGCCGTCGGGAAAGCTCCTGCAATGCTGGCGAGTTCCGTGCGAGCGGCAATAGCGCTGCTCGGCTCGTCTGTGATGATTGTCCAGTCGGGAGACGCGGCCGCATTGGATGGAAAGATGATCTCGGCGCGATGCTTTTTGAGAAACTCGCGTTCAATGGCCTTTCGCTGCAAGTACTGTGCAAGACCGCGAGAGTGACGCTGAGCACCATATCGCGAGTCTTGGAACTGCTTGTTGATTCCAAACTGTCTCATTTGCTTTCTAGCAATGATCTCCTCGACGTGCCTACGAGCATCTGCGAGGGAGTCTTGCGGACCAATAATGTGGACCTCTTCCGTCTCGTGGTGGCTGGGAGGGGTGATGACCATGCATCGGGTCTTCTCGAAGAACTCGAGTGGATCGATACCGCGCTCACCAACGATGAAGGGATGCATGAACTGCTCAATGGGCATATCATCAACGACAAGCTCATTCTGCATCCTCTCAGCCATGCTTTCGATCTTTGCTCTGGCCTGCTGGACGCCGTTGGCGTTGCCTGAGACAGTGATGTGTGAATCACCATGGGGTAGGAATCGGGCGGGTTGTCCATCAGCTCGGTCTTCGCTGGAGCTTGAGAGCGCCACGAATGATATGCCGGAATCTCGATGCGGATATCGTTGTCGTCTTCGAACTTCTTCATAGCTGTCGGATTGCGGCCAGCAATGAAGGGGAAGAATTCAGGAGGAATGTTGGTGAGCGGCACGGTGACGGGCTTCTCGTGTTGCTTGGCGATCCTGGAAATCTCATCGCAAGCCTGGGCAACCTGAGCAGCATGACCTTTGACTTCGACCGAAGCGAACCCGTTGTCGTCTGCCTCGGCACCAGCCTTCTGTCTGACGTTGATGTTGACGCCATGCTTCTCCTGCAGCTTCTTGATGTTCGCTCCTTTGGCACCAATGATTTGAGCTGTGGCCGAAGAAGGAATCTCAAGCTTCTTCACCTTCTCGACAGTGAGCTGCTCGGAGATGTACATGAGCGCCGGAGTGACCTTTGAAGTCGGACCTTCAGCCGTGAAGGTGATTTCGTTGCCGGTGGGCTTCTCTGTCACGATGACATTGAACTTCTTCTTCACATCAACGAACACTTTCTGACGAGGCTTGGTCTTGTCGATCTCGCTGTTCGGGATGATAAATTTGTCTCGAGAGCGACCGGGCAGGTTGATACTGCTAGAAGCAGCAGTAGAGACAGGAGTGCTGGCCCGAGGCGTCGCGGTCGCGGGAGTCTGCTTTCCTGAGCCAGGTTGAGACGATGGACCTGAGGGCTTTGTTGCCTTCGCAGCCGCAGCACCCCAGCCAGTGGCGCGCGGTACAGCAGGAGCCTTGGAGTTGGAACCGAGTGCGGGAAAGGCCTCTTCGTCTTGAGTGTCGATGGCGCCGACCATCTCAGATGCCTTCTGCTTGCCGGCGGCCTTCGAAGAAGTGCCGTTGGTGGCAGCAGAGTCATCGCCAGCGGCATATGAAGCAGAAGGGGGAGGGTGTTCAATGTCTTCCTCGTCGACGACGTCCTCGACCGTCGGACGATGGCTCTCAGCTGCTTCATGCTGCTCTTGCATGAGCTGTGCTGGGGTCTTGCCCGAGGACGAGGCCTCGACTTCGTTCGAAGACATGTTCAGTGACCAGTTGAGATTTACCGGAGCAGGGAGCAAACCAAGTCGTAGGTTGTTTCTTAAAGATGCATAAGATGGCTGTAATGATTCCCTAATCGATGAGATCTAGGATGGTGTGGAAGGTGAGGGATGAAGCAGCGAGCAGTCGACCGCAGTCTGAATTAAATCCCCAGAATGTTCTTAGAGGCTACGTGGGGCACCAAAGTGCCGGCCGTAACTATATATGGTTAGCGTCGGAACACCTCCCCCAGCTTCACCCTTCATGGCTTGCCTGGTTAATGGTGAATGGGTCTTTACTACAGTGAAATACAGGCCTTAGGATTTGTTGTTCTCACGAGCGAACATCCAGTGACTATCAAACTTGCATCATCGCGAAAGCGCAATCGATTAGACACTGGACAATACACAGAGATTCAAGCCGCAGTTGGTTACCCAGAAATCGTCAAGAAGCCTTCGACTGCAAACTTATCAGACCCAGTACCTATTGACTATTGCTCGTGTCTACTTGATGTACATTGGTAAGGTCCTTCGAAGCAACCTCGCGCTGTTTGCGGACCGAGGAATCCATACCGTCCCAATTGATTAGGCGCCGAACTCATGCAGTCCACTCGCCCAACGGAGTCGATAGTGCTTCGGTTTGAGGACTCTGCATTTCCGTGTCACGCTTGTGACGCTGCGTTTATCTCACAGCTGTTGGCGAGCGCAGAACTCCTCCTCGTTCACTATTGCCCACTCGACGGTACGGTCAATGCTCAAAGCATGACCGACTTGCTGTTCCCTGTCATCTTGTTCGTTGTGTGTCTCAAGATGTGGCGCGATTGGCTGGGAGCAGTAGATGTCGGTATTGATCGACGAGATTCTGCTATGACCACTCCTCGAATGTCGTTGTGATTCTACTGGGCTGCCTGGGCCGCTGCTCGACGAAGCCGTCGACCTGAAGTACCGATGGCCAATGCCCTTTCGGAAATCACTGCCTCGCTTGCTTGCCACGTTGCTAGACAGTCGACTGGAAGACCGTTGCGGTGGTCCTACTGTGGACCAGCAGCGTCCACCACCAATATAGCGGAAGCCTTCCATGGCTGGGACTGGTAGCATTTTTGTAGTTGTGGGGATAGTATCATGAACCCCTTTTTCCATGTCGACCGATAGTGGAGGCATAGGCCACTTCATCTCGTGCTTCTGGAATGTGAATATGCAGTCGCTATTTTCTGTTCGGATGGTGGCTGTCTCTGTCGTCTGGCGGGACGGCTTATCGTTCTGCATGAAGGACCATGAGGTACCATTGTGTGAAGTCGGCCGAACGTCGTTGACTGACGTCGATCTATGTCTCCAAGCAGAGAAAGTGCTAGAATTAATGACACTTGTAAGCGGCTCGAAGAGGACCTTGTTGAAGAAAGGCTTCAGACTTGGTGCGCTTGCAACAATGAGACCAGTCCAGAGCTCAGTGATAGACCAGATCCAAGCGTCCCAGAGAATCCAGGTGTAATCGTAGTCATGCTCAACAACACGGTTCATCATTATCGTCCGGCCAATGCCAACTCCCACCACTGCAAAGCCCGCAGCGAACAAAACAGCCACGGCTATCTTCTTCCGGCGTGGCATTCGTAAGTTCATGATGAGAAGACAAGGTAGAAGTGTGGCATAGAGATCGCCGATAATGCTGAAAATGCCGGACATCGTAAGCGACCAGCCCTCATACGTGCAGTGGCGATTCCCGTTGTGCTTGATCAACCATACAAGATCGAATGACAACCAGTATGCGGACGTGGGCTGACATATCGTTAGAAGTGCGACAGAAAATGCCACAACCTGAGCGACATTGTAGCCGATGCCAGCCCATACTGCCCAGAAGAACGGTCGATTGAATGAGATTGAAATTCGACGATAAAACAATAGGACAGAAATTTTGATAAATCCAGTTCCCCAGAGGTAAAGATATTGGCCGACCCAACTGTTCAGACGGGAGCCAGGTGCCAAAGAAAGGGGTATGTCCCATATATGATAGCCTGAATGATATGTCTTATTGCCAATGATTGTGATCACAGATAATGCGATTCCAAAGGCAGCGCCAAGTACAATGAGAAAGTCGTCAATCCCAGGAGCTTTTGTTATGAAGTATCGGCTGTAGAGTCGTGCAGCCACCACGAAAAGTCCTACGGTCGTGAAGATGATGGCAACGTATATAAGCCCAGGACCTCTGTTGGCAGGATCGACGAAGTTAGGTGAGGGCCACGAGGCTATCACATCTGGTGACGCTACAGATTTGTTAGTATGACAGCACCAGCTTTGTGTGCTGGACAACGTACGCCAAAGAGTCTCTACCATGTTCGAGATCGTGCATTTACGGTGTACTCGGGTGGTGCAAGTGAATGCCGTGGACAACAGGCGGAGAACCGAATCAACGCAGTGACGGTCGCACCGAATGACGGGAGTCCAGCTCAACCTCGTGAGAGCCCACCTGACAACGTTCTCGTCGGCGAGGTAGCCATGCGAGAAAGAGCAATTGTGACGCCAGGTCTTCCACGCCAGCGAGGGTCACGGGCCGTGTATATAAAGCTCTCAGATCCCCTGACATACTCCGGTCCATCCTGCGGGGATCCAATGCATAAGATGCGTGTACTCACAAAGGAGAGACAAAACTCAAGTCAGGTCCTGCGTGCTCAAGACGGTGTTAAAGCCGTTTGGGAGCCTCCATTAGACATAGTTGCAAAGCTTCTTCTGCATGCGTTTCTTTGTTCAAAGAACGAACTTCGAAGGTAAGTGCTGTTGCTTTAATTCTGGTCTAGTGGTCCGCAGGATCTCGATCGAACATCACTACACCTGCCGGACCAGTGTCCTTTGATCCCTTGGGTGAATCGTTATAGTCCGCACGAACCATGCACGACCTTCAGAAGAGCCTGTGCGTGTGGGCGGCCGTCTGAGCGGCCAGATGGCGAGTGGGATGAACATCAATTCCACATGTGATGTGTGGAAGGAGTCCGGCTTTCCAGATGCTCCTTCGGGCAAACTCAGATCACAAAGGAATCGGTGGAGTTTACGCTTTGCTTGTTGTTGTACCTGCATGCTCGTGAACAGTGGGCGATGTCGATACCGTACGAACAACTTGCTGCTGATGTAAGATGTCTTCCAACCTGCGAACTATTGCGCCATACCAGCAGTCTGGCAACTTGCAGAGGCTGCATAGCGCTTTTCCGTCTTCTGGTGCCAACAGAACGAATCCTGGGGGAACAAGATTCTGAACGCGTCAAAGCGAAGCTAGACTTATGCCTGCGACACTGCCATCAAGTCGTACAAAATTGGGTAGCAGCAGAAATTTCCAGCGGAGCTCAACGCGAGTGCAGCAGGCACAAGCTAGCGTTCCACGTAAAATGGCAACAGCATAGGCTTACCTAGGTAGGCACGAAACAGAGAAGGAGGAGTCGAAGTCAATGCTGGATGACGATGAAAGTTCGAGACCTCTGCATATCATCGAAGTCAGTCCTTTCCAGGGCTGTCCGCGGAGTGTACGGAGACGATTCTGAGATGAGTCCATCTATGCAAATGGCGTCGAATTCCGAATGCAATCCAGATTTCGATGTGATTAGAACATTGCAAGACCTGGAGCTGCCAGCTCCAGAGCACCTGGGCAACTGGTCACCTCGTCTAGATGTGCACCTGCCCAGGTGGGCACATGGGCAGTATCGAAAGGGTATTCTGCCCAGGTGGTGTACACGTTCCCATATGGGCGAAAAGTGGCGGCTCACAGAACCCCATCTGCAGCCCGGCGACCTCACATGTGGAGCATGGAGCACACTTCATACAGAACAAAACCGCACGTATTGTGATAAATTACCTAGGTACTGGAAATGTGCCGATCCTGCCGACATCACACCTGCAGGCAGAGATCTTGTGTAGTTGTTCTCGCTGTAGCTACATTCACCGAGCTGCCGATACCTTCTTGCGGAGCACTCTGCTATGCGAAACGCCCTTCGCAAAAAGTGGACGTGCGCCAGGTGTCTCCGTCAGCAGATTCGCAATGAGTCCTCGAGCGCAGCTGCCGCTGCGAAACCTTACCTCGAAAATGCGTTCGTCAGTTCGAGACCAAAGACCGATAACGAGGCACTCCGGAAAGTGTTCAACGACCCGGGGTTCTACAATCAGTCTAGAATATCGGCCTTGAGGAAACCCTCAGGCTTGATTGGCAATACATATCTCACAACTCCTGCGGGCTTTCACGCATTCACAGAGGAATCTCTGGCACAATGCAAGAAACTTGTAAGTCGTACGCTCGGTGCGTCGTCCATCGAGGACTATGCCGCTCTACCACGGGACCTGGACCGCTTAAGCGATCTGCTATGTCGAGTGATAGACCTGTCAGATTTCATTCGAAGCAACTCGCCTGACCCGAAGACTGCAACGGCAGCCACCGCTGCCTACTCCAGGATGTATCAATATATGAATGAGCTGAATACGACAACGGGTCTGAATGATCAGTTGCAAAGAGCGTGCGACATGCCAGAGGTTCGGTCACGTTGGAATCGAGAAGAGTGGATGGTGGCGCAGATACTGATGAAAGATTTTGCGAAGTCAGGAATCGATCTGCCGGCTAAGCAGAGAGATGATTTCGTCGAGGTCTCGAATCAAATCGCCGAGGTTGGTACTGATTTCACGATGGAGATGGAGGCCGCCCGCCAGCATGTATCACTGTCATCTTCTCAACTAAATGGAGTAGATCCATCACTAGTGAGAAGGCTTTCGCCCTTGTCGAAGGCACAAATCCCGGTCTACAGTACACCAGCGAAGTTGATCATGACTTCTGCGACCGATCCTTCCACTCGTAGGATGATCTACGAGGCAGAAAGAACTGCTTCCACCAGGACTATTGGCAGACTGAACGAATTATTGTTGAAACGAGCTCAGCTTGCCAGACTTACCGGCCATGCTGACTATGCTCACATGACTCTTTCAGACAAGATGTCGAAGACGCCTCAGGCAGCCAACAATTTTCTGACGTCTCTAAATCAGAGCAATAAGGGTCAGATGCAGAAAGAGCTGTCAGCACTGCTTGAGGTAAAGCGTAGACAAGATCCTTCAGCACAAACAGTCGATCCATGGGATCACAGCTACCTATTGAGCAGAGTCCACGCTTCACAGCCATCTTCAGGCTTGAGAACGTCCAAGTCCCGGCTGTACGAGAGCTGCAAGGCTTACTTTGCCCTGGGTAATGTCATGCAAGGACTATCCAGTCTGTTTGAGTCACTGTATGGCGTGCGCTTTGTGCCCAAGGAGATTGCCCCTGGTGAGACGTGGCACAGCGAAGTCCGGCGACTTGATGTCTACACGGAACGAGATGAACACATTGCTACCATGTATTGTGATCTTTTCTCGCGGCCAGGTAAACCACCAAATCCCGCACATTTCACGTTGGTCTGCTCGCGGCAGCTAGCAGATGATGAGATCAGAGATGCCGCACGAAATGGACAGGCGCTCAACAACGGCATGCCGACTCTGACAACAACCGATCCCACCACTGGCAAACCACAGCACTGGCAGATACCAGTGATCGCCCTGGTATGCGACTTTGCCACTAACGCCTCCTCGCATACACCTTCACTCCTATCTCCAACGAGTGTGATCACGTTGTTCCATGAGATGGGCCACGCTGTGCACAGCATCTTAGGCAGGACCACCATGCAAGGCATCGCCGGTACTCGGTGTGCCACCGACTTCGCAGAACTGCCATCGATCTTGATGGAATATTTCGCCATGGACACCAATGTCCTCAAGCTCTTTGCCACGCACTGGGAGACTGGCGCAAATATGCCAGATGAAATGATCCACGCGTTGCGAGCAGAACAGCGACATCGTGCAGAGACGTCTGGCGGCTGGGAGAACGAGCATCAGATTCTGATGGCTATGCTTGACCAAGTCTACCATTCTGCTGGACCTGTAGCTGCGCTGGAACATGGTAAATATGACTCTACAGCAGCTTTCCATGACATATGGGACAAACATGCCTCCGTTCGAGAGCCTCCTACGACCGCATGGCAGGGCTTCTTCGGGCATCTGTACACGTATCCCGCAACATACTACTCATACCTGTTTGACCGAGCGATTGCTCGACAGGTGTGGAAATCGGTCTTCGGGGCAGGGCAGGATGGCAAAGCTGTCAGTCGAGAATCGGGACAACGATTCCGTGACGAGGTTCTGCAATATGGAGGCGGGAAAAATCCGTGGGAATGCCTCGAAGGCTTGCTTGGGAACGGACGTGGTCTGTTGGCGGCAGGAGATGATGCTGCAATGCTAGAGGTGGGCAAGTGGGGCGTTGATCATGATTAGATCGCGGCAAGAACATGTTCGTCAGGCAAGAGCGATGGTGTGAGCTGCATGTTCTGTAAAATAGTAGACCTCGACTTTCCCGATCAACAGTACCTGGGTTGTGCTCATGTTTCGACCAAGTTTTTGTCTCCTTCACATTGCTCCTATCAAAGCCCATCAGAGGCCGCCCACTCAAAGTCGCTGGACTGTTGCAGGCCCTTTCTATGCCCGTTTGGGCTCATCACAACTTCGAGATCGCTCAATACACGGGAGTGCAATCGCAGCCGCACTACTGTGCTTCTGCCGAGAATATCCATGCATCGTCGTATTCATCCACGATCCACTCTCTTGTTCGTCTTGATGTCCCGACACAAGTCGAATGCTCGAGGCTCGCGCAAAGCGACCACTACTTCGGACCGCATCACGGGTTTCTCAGCTTGCTGGATCAAACACCCTGTCAGACACGTCGACTTCTGCATCGCACTTCTGAAGTGCTTCCGTTCCATGAGATGTGTGCTTAGACTTACTGCCGCAACGGCGAGAAGCGTCCTTGTCGACGTCGACTTCGGTACCGAAAGAAGAGCTGATTCCAGGCAAAAGCGCCAGACTTAGGTGCTCATTTCACAGACTTCCCAGCCAGAGAGGACACTCAAGATCTGAAAATCCGTGCTAACGACATCGGCAGGGTTGAGATAAGTGTCATTTCATCGGCAGTAAAGCGTCAGTTCGTGGAAGAACTTCATCCCGAAAAGTCGGCCAGGGAGGCCGCTGTCAGGATTTCGGACACAAAGCATCTCTGACAGGTCTGGAGAGATAGCATATGCCGCTGTTGGACATTGCAATGAATGTGTGCTGGCCCAAGCACGTTGAGTATGAAAATAACAACGCCCGGCATCTTCTACCTAGAACGAGACCTGGTCGAGACCGTCAGGCTGGAGAAGCCTGGGCGTTCTTGCTCTGCTTTGGGTCTGAGCTGGCTGAAGACGGTCGAGGATCTGTCTTGTCCGGTCGGAAAAGCGCATAGACAAAGGTCGAACCCGCAGCGAATGCTCCTCCAGCCACAATTGAGGCGATCGTGAAGAGGACGGCGGTCTGCCTTCAGTCAGTGCAAGCTCGAGGCTGAATGGACTCACATACCTTGGCATCATCGTCCCAAGCCAGTCTCGCAGCCAATGGCGAATACACCACTGCACACAACCCAGCCAGAAATGCCATGACTGAGAAGGTCAGTAGCATGATCGGCGTCTGCAGAGCGAAAACATATTTCGACTTCGGCCCGCCCTCGTCGTTCGAAAGCCTGGCGATGAACGACACCAGCTCCTCCCTACGTTTCTTCCCTGCATCGCTGTTCGATGGCGACGCGTCCACGCGCGGCAAAATCCAGAGTTGCTGCGAACCGCTGATTATGGCTACCAGCGCAAAGACCGTACTGGCATAGAATAATGCTGGTCCAGTCCAATGGCTTGTCTCCGTGCTGTTCCATGTCAGACAAGAAGCAACAGTCGTAAACAGAAAGCCGCCCTTCGAGTATCAGCCGTGGCAATCGCAAAGCACAGAACGTCACCTACAGCGATCTGGATGTACTTGCTCTCTTCGACTTTGATGTCGGACCATTCGCGAAGCAGTTGTAGGCGCACGTCGTCGTTGGGTGCCTGAATGATGCGGTTCAGCGGGTCGACTGTGTTACGCTGAAAGGATTCATAATAAGCAAAGGTGAGCAGTCGCCATAACACTGCTCTTGCAAAGGCAATGCAGCTGCGAATGCGGGCCATAAAGAACTGCTGCCAGTCTGATCTCTGATGGCGACGTTCACCGTCAGCGAGTCGACATATCCAAGTGGAGCACTGGGCACAGGCAGCGCTGCTCGACTTCAGTTGCTTTCTGCTACCACATCGAGGTGAGATTGATCATGCCTCAGCCACGTTCAAAGGGAGAGCAAGCACTCGTTGAGACCTCGACGGGAATTTCGAGTTTTCGACCTGGACCTCGACCTCGAGCCAGCGATTCGGCGTACCGCTAGTCGATACGCCACCGTACGTATAAAGGGTCCAGGGGCTTGAAGCGCACAGATTTTACTGGGATTCAAGTTCTTTTGGCTCCTCAATTGTCGTATTCAGGCCCGTGGAAGCTTGCTCCTCGGGTCGCGCTGTCAAGCACCCTTGCCTCAGCGCATGTGTGTATACAGCGCCGAAAGCAGCATGTCCCAACCCTGCGCTTACTTATGCGCAACGGTGCGTGACGCTGTTGTCTTCATGAAGTCATGAGCCGCCGCCTGGAAACGTGGAACTCATGAGAATTGAGGCTCGCGGTCCGGTGCGGCTTACCGAAAAGGCTTACCCCTGCACCTGAACCTTCGGTAATTAGGCCCCACTATGGCGAGGTGCTGTAGGGTCGAGTCCAGTTCCACCGAATACGACGTGCGCATGCTCGCTGTGCCAGCGGCCAGCCTGATGTGGGAGAGTGCTCTCGTCGTCACAATGCAGCCAGTTCTGTCGTCGCGACCTGTCACGCGTAGTCGACCTGACTTGCTGGCCCACGAGCACGGACTTGATGGGCAAAGCTGTCCGTTCCGGCACATTGAGATCGACGAGAAATACGCGCCCTAGGACGTGGAAGCAACCCACTGTCGAGAACCGAGCACCTCGGTGTGCTAAGCAGTACAGCGTCAGGGGGATCATATCGCGGTTCGGGTGTCCTGAGAACTGCTGAGAGGGAGGTCTCCCTGTCGACACTATATATGAAGCTCGAATGATCGTGGGGACGCAGCAGGTGCGCCAACAGACCGGGAAGGCGTATTGCGGCCCAAACGTTGGCTGTCCGCCGCCTGACGTTTGGGTCCAATCAAGATGCAACAGCACAATCAACAACGGCCCAAGGTGTATATTCCGGACCAGGGGCAGTACTACGACGATGTTAGAGGCCAGTTGGACGATCTGGAGGCAGAGGAGTTGAGCATCAGGGAGGAGGAATTGAACCTCAGACGGCGCCAGCTTGAGTTGAAAAGGCGACGATTGATGTCACCTGGTGGTGGTTCAAGCACATCTTCGCTCTCTGGTTCTCAAGGTTGGGGCGGATACGATCGTGGTCCACCTCCTACACACTACCGAGATGCATCATCACAGTCGATACCTCGGGCAACAGACGACAGAGGCCAACATCATTTCCCGAACGCACCGCCTCCTAGAGAATGGGATGATCGGTATCAGATGCCCCCAGCGCGACGCTTGCACTCTGCGCCACAGCAACAAGGGTATGGCTATGGACCTGAACCTCAAGGTCCGCCACAAGATGAGCGTTTTCACAACACTGATGCAGGTCATTGGCAAGGTCGGCATGCGTCGTATGAGCAGTACGACACCTATCTCACGCCGCACTCACCACGATCGCCTCGCTTGCCTGCTGCATTTCCCTTGGACGCACAACGCGAATACACCTATGATCCCTTACGTCGACAGCGCTCTCGTTCCGGCAATCTCGACGTGCAAGCCTTTGATCAGCAATGGGATCAAAGAGGCCCACAGGGATACGACGGTGGATATCCAGGATGGCGCCCACCGTCACACTCTCCACATGGCTCACAAAGCTCGGTAGGGCCTCCGGACTCGTCGGATTACGGGCGACAGGCGCCGTCAGTCGGTTCAAAACAGGTGTCGCCAAGCGAGACTCCTCTGACAGGGTCTTCTGTGAGCAAACCAGCTACAGCCACCAAGTCCAACAATCCGTGGCACGACTACCTCAGATTTGCCGATGGAGATCCTGGTCCGATTGATAGTGTAATTGTCGCGGAAGACATTGCTACCAGTCTGCAACCTTCACCAGTCTTGACCAGTGCAGACTCACTGCAAGCTGGATCAGTGGGGCAGACTCAAACAGGTGGACCTACTGCAGAACATGTCGATGCCAGTCTGCAACAAAAAAGCCAGGTTGAGATCGTCCAGGACCTAGGTCCGTCAAAATTACCTTTCGTGCCGGTTCCGGAAATCATTGTCGGTGGTTTACCGGACGACGTCAGCAGCGGAAATGCCACCGATGATCCAGCGCAGCAGAACGAGAAAACCTCGCCCCTTTCTGTTCTGCCGCTGACGGGTCAAGAGGGTCAAGAGGGTCAAGAGGGTCAAGAGGGTCAAGAGGCGTTACAGGCGCCTGATAGTCCTCAGCTGGGTTTGAACATTAGTTCCGTCGCGGTCGCACAGACTGATGATCTGTCGGGACACGCAGATACTCGTCCAGACGCTGAAGCTGTAGTCTCTGAGCTCAAGCTCCCGGACACAAGCGCCGAACAAGCAACTAGCCCAGCACCAAAGGTCGACGAAGATGAAGGTGATGATAGCGAGAGAGAAACGATAAGCGGATTCGACGAGATAGAGACTTGCAACTGCGGTAAGGCTCAACCTGGCAAGGACGAATGTTACTTTTGCTGGCCATGCAACGGAACCATCTTTTGCAAAAAGTGCTGGGATAAGTGCCCACCTCACAAAGGGAAGCTACTCGGCTCTCGCCAGGTCGGAGTACCACATGAGAAATCCGATCCTATGGTCGCACGACGTATCTTCGAGACACTACAATCTGATCGAGATGCTAAAGAGCAAGCACGACTCCATGATCAAGACGAGGATACGTCTTGGTTCGGCACCGGCAAGGACACCGATACTGGCGAAACTGTGTTCCGAGATTTTGGCCGATACAGTCGCCTGGTTGAAGAATTGTCGAGCAGACGTCGGTTGACGCGATTTCCAGCGCTTGTGTCTTTCGTGGGTCAGACTTCGGCAGGCAAATCTAGCTTGATCAGGCTTCTCGTCGAGACGCTGGCGCCGCTTTCTGCGGCTCCCGAGGTTCCTGTAGTTGGATCTAACCTACACTCGGACGTGCCTACTAGTGGTGATGTTCATCTGTATCCAGATCTCACCACTTTCGAAACCAATCAGCCCATCTTCTACGCTGACTGCGAAGGTCTAGACGGCGGCGAGCGGCAGCCGCAGGGAGCCAGGCGTAACAAGGCACCCAGCCCGAACCCAAGGACTCAATCCTTCACCAAGCATATCAGAAAGCAGCATCACACATCAGAGCGTGAGATTACCTGGGCCAACACTCCTTTGACTACAAGCAGAGAGTATCACGTCCGACACCTCTATCCACGTCTGTTGTTCACCTTTTCCGACTGTATCGTCTTTGTCACGAAGAATCCAAGAGTCATTGAAGGCGTGATCGAACAGCTCATTGACTGGGCTGCGGCCGCACTAGAAACTTCGTCCAATCAGCCTGTCCTTCCGCATGCAATCATCGTACTGAATGCTACAGACAGTGCTGCCGATCCAAACCTGTGGGATGTGAACAACTCGACTATTGACCTTCTGCAAAAGGTAGACCGAGCTGTGCACCAAAACCATAAGCTACGGAAATTTGCGGAGTTTTGGCGAGAGAAAGGCAGACAGATCGAGACCGTGGAAACTCTGCTTCTCTCGTACTACTCTAGTATCCGCGTGGTGCGCATGCCAGAAAAGGGCCGTCCTACACTGATACACGATCAGGTACGCAGACTGTACGAGGAGATCAAAGAAGCATGTTCAAAGAGCCGAGAATCCAAGCACCAGCTGCGGATGCTTCTCAACTCTGATGAGCTCCAGCCATATCTGCAGCATGCCTTCGACCATTTCTGCAAGAATCTTGAAAGGCCATTTGATTTTGTTCAGGCTTCACTTGCGTTCCACCCAATTCCGTCTGATTTCGGCGGAAACATCTTGAAGATGGCCGTAAGTTGCTCTCCCATTGCCAAACTTGTACCAAGAAACGAGCGTTACTTTGAAGATCGCCCGAGCAGATGTCTCGGGTTTACAAAGAAGTTGCTCTCGTTGACCTTGCAGTCCTACCTTCGAGCACATACCATTTTCCCGAGTCACGGCTAACCAGATTCGCAGATCAATATTATGGAAGTCTGGAGAGACCGCCTCGACGGTCCTAGCATTATCAAGGAGCTGAGCTTCCTGGTTGCTTCCTGCATTATGCTCGACAGTGCTCGACGGAGGACTTTAGGTACTGCAGAGAAAGTTTTTGCCGGATATGTGCACCACTGCGACGACGTCCTCGAGAGCTTCTGCAATCTTCACTGGCCGTGCGAGTACGTCAATCCTATTACGATGGTAGATGTGTCAATGTTCGCGCCGGTCACCAGAGCAAAGGACATCAGTTGAGCAACGGCAAGGTCATTGCAGTCGGCACTTACGTTTCGGATTTCACAGCTGAACGCTATCGGGAGTTTTTTGAGTACAGTGTTGCCCATAATCTCCGAGATCTGTTGAGGCTACTTCACACGGCTACGCAAGGATCACTGGACGTAGGCCAGAAGGAGCTCGTCAAGGCGTCGGAGATCCATCGCGATTATGTCCTTGATCCCTTCTTCCGCCATCTCTCGGGCAGTCACCACTTTGTCAACCATACGGCTTGTTACAGTTGCCTGACCGGGCCACCAGAACATCCCCTGTGGTGCGGTCACGTTCTGTGCGCTTCGTGCGTACAAGCATATGGCAAAGCCCGTGGGCCGAGTATCTTTGAGATCACAGAGTGCCCCCTGCATCACCACGAGGTCGACGGACAGTATCGTGGTCGATGGCCAATCTTCGTGAAGCCCCCCGAGGCTGGATCTCGCGTCTTGTGTCTTGATGGTGGAGGTGTCCGTGGTATCGTTGAGCTGACCATTCTGCAACACATTGAGGCACAACTGGGTTCAGGCCTCCCAATCCAGGCATTCTTTGACCTTATTGTCGGGACCTCTACTGGTGGAGTGATTGCTCTGGGTCTCGGCGCCAATGGATGGTCCGTGAGTCGCTGCCTCAAGTCTTTTAAAGACCTGTGCCACCACGCCTTCAAACGGTCCTGGGCTTTCGGCCTGCCCGGCATGGACCATGTCATATCATTCTCAGGCGGCAGTTTGTACGACACATCGTCTGTGGAATCGGCTTTGCAACAAGCATTCGGTCTCGATCAATCACTTTTCGCGGGCCCACGTGATTTCCAGGACAACGAAGCTGCAAAATTTCGGACGACCAAAGTCGCTGTCACGACAGCCACGACAGGCGGAACCGCGGCTTTACTGGGCAACTACAACAGAGCAGAGAGCGGCGATGATGCGCCCTACACTTTTCCACGATCCGAAAAGCCCGATGCAGAGATCAAGATATGGCAAGCCGCAAGAGCAACATCTGCTGCTCCAACGATGTTCAAATCGTATGCTCATACGCCCTCTGGTCAAGTCTTTCTGGACGGCGCCATTCGTTACAACTGTCCCATAAAGCCCGCCTTACGAGAGCAGAAATTGATCTGGCCAGAGACCGCTGACCGTTGTCCTGACGTTGTTGTGTCGATTGGCACAGGCATAAACACCTTGAACCGTAAGCCAGTCCGAAACCTAGGTCTGCCACGACGCGGCTTGTTCAACGGAGTTCGCGCTCTTTACAAGACAGCTGTCGATAATATTGCCACAAGCTTGAATGCTGAGAAGATGTATCGAGACTTCATTGATAGCAGTCAAACTCCAGAATATCTGCAGGATAGGTTTGTGCGACTAAACCTGCGACTGAACAAAGATCCGCCAAGGATGGATGATACGAGTCAACTCGAAGAGCTCGAGGAAAAGACGAGGTCGCAATATACGAAAGACAAAGCTGTGGTCAAGGCCGTAGCCGACAGACTACTTGCATCGACCTTCTACTTTGCCTTGGAGCAGGAACTGGTCGCCTTTGGTCGGAGTGAGAATGATAACGGTCCCAGAACAGTCACTGGACGCATAGTCTGTCGCTTTGCACCTCATTCGGACGAGCTCAAAGCTCTCGGAGAGACGCTCAGGCGTCGGTCCAAGAATGCCTACCGCCAGCAGTCGGGCACCCACAATCCTTACTTCGTCGTATGTGAGCGACGGAATGGCATGGAAAACTCCGTCCAGCATGTCCTGGAACCGACCATGATTGATCAGATGAGCAATGAGGGACTCTTTTCCATGGATCGAATTAAGATTACACTGTCTGGTCGCCAGGCAGAAACGGAAATGTTCTTCTGTCTTGGTGACCAGCCCAAGGCCACGGTGCTGTATCCTATCAGTGGGTTCCCCCGATCCCTCATTGAGGAATTGAACAAAGGCCCAAAGGTGCAGCGCAGTCGATCTTCGCACGTTGCGAAGACCTCGCAGTACAAGCTGGATTGGGCAGACTTTGAGCGTAAGCGAGCTGCCTGGACTTTTGCTGCGGCGCGCTATCTGGACATGCAAAACCCCTTTCAACACTATGCTAGCTCAGAGTACGTGAATCCTGGCAATGCCACGACGTCGTTCCTTGACTCCCTGAAGACAAGGTTTGAGAGCGATCCCAGTCTCCCGAGACCTAACCCAGATGATCTCCCCTCAGCCAACATGGGCGGCAGGAGCTTCCCGTGGCGCAGCAAGTCGAAGCTTGTTCTGAAGTCAGCGGAGAGTCACTGGTCTACTGCCGATACAGTAGTCGCACACTCGTACTCAGAAGAAAGGTATGAAATGTCAAATGATAGCATGATTGCAGCGAAGGAAGTCAAGCTAGTGGCAGGAATGCATGAGATGAGTAATGTCGAGAAGAAGAAAGACGTGGCTGGATCTGTACAACTTGGACAACCGCCTTCCTCTCAACTCGACAGCGGAAAGGTGTTCGAGATCGACAGCAATCCCAACCAGAGCCGGCTGACAGCAGTACAAATGGTCGCTCAACACATGGAGAATACGGCTCGTCTCGAGGGTATGCAGAAATCAAGAGATGCTTCAGCATTTAAAGGACTTCGCAACACGGCGGAGGCAAAGGCATCAATGGCTACGATGACCTTTCCATATCACCCACCGTACCAGCCAGCCCCAACAGCTGCCAGCGGCCCAATATCAAATACTCGGAAGTCAAACTACAATCTTGACGCAACAGAGACGCCCGTATCTGCGATGACTGCAACGAGCCCAAGTACGGCGTATGAGGGACCAGTCTCGGCGATGAGCTCGATGAGCCAGGTGCGGCATATGAGGGACCCGTCTCGGCAATGAGTTCGACGACGACGACGCCGTACGGCAGGCCTGTAAGTCCCATGAGTTCGGTGGGCACGAGGCCGAACTTCTCTCGGCAGCTCGCATCGCACGACCATCGCCTTGGAAGCCATCTCAGCGCAAACCCATCTCGGCTACCAACGATTCCCGACCCACCACCTTCTCCCAAAGTAGCTCATTTCCCACGAATGCCATTTGACTCGCCGCCATCAAAGCCAAAAATTCCAGATAGTCCGCCGCCTGACTATTCCAGTGATCCAGATTTTAGGCCGACAAATGACTCAAAGGAAGACAAGAAGTCATTCGAGCAACGAGCTAAAGAGGCAGTCAAGGACGAAGCTTTTCCTCATCGAAACCAATCTGTACTCAATCGCAAGTTCTCCTGGGAGAGCATCGCCTCAAATGCGGCGGCGCCTGCGACCTCGACACCAGGGGCGATTTCTTCCCTCGCTCCGAGTCCGCCAATCTCACGAGCGTCAAGTCCATACTCGGAAAGGCCAATGAGCATTGCCATCTCGGAAGACATGCCTATACCGCCACCTCCGCCGATGGGCAAAGCACCACCGGTCCCGAAAAAGCCTAGTCATATGAGTGCGGGCAAGCAAGCTACTGTTGAGGATGGATCTGACAATGGAGAAGAAGAAGAAGACACGCTGAAGGAAGAGGAGGCCAAGAAGCTACAAGAGCAGTTGAACGCGCAAGCTGAAACAGCCGATCCTACTCAGACAGCGACTCCGGACCAAAACAACACTGAAGAGAGCAAAGATATGTATAGTGGTGACGATGACAAGGAGAACGACGAGAGCCAGGCTATTGCAGACGCCGCGAGTGTAGCGGAAGCTTATGTCGATGCAGCTGCTGTCAACAAGGATTCGAAAGATGATGTTGGCAGTTCTTCAACCGAAGATATGACAGCGACGATGAGGATAAGGAAATCGATGATGAGCTTGAAGCGAAATCCGAGCTGGATATCGCGGAGTCGATAGGTTCTCCACATCAGCAAACGAAGGCAGTGGGATGAAGTGATGAAATTATGATGGGAACCTGTACAGAAAAGCATCGAGATTGAAGTAGCGAATCGAGCGAAATGTCTTTGTTTATTGTATACAAGCAGATGCGTAATGATGATATCAGGGCCTCGCATTTGAGGACAGCGACTTCAACCTAGGAATTACGCATCCGGAGCTGCTGTGAAGTTGCCTGTGATTGTTCGCTGATGGGAACGAACGACAAGGTTGTCATCCGGCGTCTTGAATGCCAGGTATAAGTGCTTGGGTCGTAGGCTCGGTACTCATTACACTGACCGACGGGTCCTCCCAAGCAATTCTGGTCATCCGGTCTAGTTCTGAGCCTTGAGGGTCTGTTTGCGGTTTGATGGCATGGTTTCAATCACTGGCGACGGTCTCTTGGACTCTGCTTCATTCATCACTACTAGTGTGGGCGTTGATGAAGTTCAAACATAATCATTGAAATTTATCAATTATCTTCAGAGATGAATACTCACATCGAGACGCCATCGCTATGTACAGTGAATCTGATTAAACTCCGTATCGTGCTGTCCGTCATCCAATATCAGGATAGTCACTCATCCCACCACCACTACCACCATTACTAGCAGCTACCCCGGAAGCGCCACTAACAGACCCACCACTCAATTGATGCCTTTGATGCTGCAACAATGCGGCATTGCTACCGAAGTTCATCCCATCGTTACCACCCATCCACATGTCGAACCCACCACTGCCGTCGGCGCCCATGACACCATTCCAATTCCCGAACCCGTCAAAGAGCATTTGCTCTCCGTTCTGGCCCGTGCCGAAGGTGACAGTGGGGATGCTGAGATCATAGAAGCCGTCGAACATGTTGTCTAATTCGGAGAAGGCGACTGCTGAGAAGTCGGAGTCTGTTAGGGAGGGGAATTTCGACATGTCGTTGTAAGGCGTTTGGGCATTGTTGGGTAAGAGGCTTGCATCGACAGTCCCATCATTGTTTGCAGCATTATTTGGAGTAGGTAGAGCATCAGTAAGTGGCGTATGCTGATAGCTTCCTGTGCTGTCGAGGCCGTTCGATGGAGCACTGTTAGCGCATGCAGTCGTGCTGCGTGACGGAGTAGATGTATAATTGCTCTGTGGCGTATTGGTGGAGTGCCTTGCTGCTGCATCAGATAAGAGACGCAGAGCGTTGCCATTAATGTCAGTATCCGAAGGCGGCTGTTGCGGCTGGCCAACGACTCCTTGGCCTTGTGTCCTTCCTTCGAATGGACCGTACTTGCATACGGTCACCTCGCTTTCCATCGCGGACGCCAATGAGTCGATCTCGCCACGCTTAACTCCCACGGGATTCTGCATTGATTTGAGAGCTTTGCGACCTAGTTTGGCCATAGCATCGGCGGTCCACCAGTACTGTGATAACGATTCAAGCATTTCAGCACGAGTACTTAGATTGTCCTTTTGTTCCTCAGGATTCGTCGTTGATGGCGAGCGAATGCACCGGTAGGCTACAGTCAGCGACAGGCCGATGGCGTAGGGAACGAGCGGTATAGGAGGGCATTCTCGGGGTGGCACTTCTGTGAGAAGAGCTTGTATCCGATCTGCGGCAGCGACGCGTCGCTTATAAGACGCTTGTGCCGGTGAAGCGTTTCGGCAAGACCTGCGATCATTAGCTACCAGCTGTTCGGAGGATTTCTGGCTAGACTTACAAGATAGCGATGACATTGTACCCGATCTCCAGGACTGTAAGTTGTCCTGGACCAGTGTTGTCTTGCAGGTCGATGCCTTGGAGTAAGGACGACCATGATGGAAAGTCGTGCTCCCACCCGCTAGCATTGGGATCGTACGAAGCTGGTCTGTAGAATTCGATGACCTTGTCCAGGAGCTCTCCGAGACGAATCCATACGAGAGCACTTGGAGCTCGGATTGACGAGTCAATCGGTGGCCGGGAGAGGTCGATATCGCGATCTGCAATCATGATTGGTCGACCGCCTATACAGGCGTTGAACCGATCGAGAGCCCAGATCATCCACCATGTCATGCTTGCTTGGTCTACTAGCGTTCTTCCGGGAGTATGAATGTGAAGTCCTGCGGTCCAGGCATCGTGTATAGCTTGCGACAGGTGAAGTGATGACTCTTCGATACCTCCAGGTCCGTCATTATGCAGATGCATCAGCGTGAGGATCTGTACCTTCGTCATGCGATCTGGCTCGAGATCCGCCTTCATAGCCGCGTCAAGACCGACATGTAAGCTACGTGCGAATGGGATTGGATCGAGCAATGGCCCGTCGTCGTATAGTCGCAACCACTCCGATGCATCTGGAATCTTGCAAGTGATGAGACATATCGCTTGAATGAGGAATAGCGAGGTCGTTCCTGCAGTGTAGTCGCGCAGCAGCTTGCCGCAGTCCAGAACGGGAAGTAGGCCATCAAAGCATGAGATATACGTGGTCACCAAAGCATCTTGCGTTGCCTTGGGCAGAACCCGGAAGGCACCCACAGATTGCAAGTAGTTTCGGTACTGAGGAGTTAACATCCTCTTCCCTCCGTCGGCTCGAGCATACTTCTCGACATTGACAGGAGTCTTCTCCCCTGATCGGGTCTGGGGAGGATCAGTGGCAGGCAAGTGTATTGAGTCGTGTGTTCGGCTGTCATCCTGTACGAACGTGCCTATCCTACTGACACGAGGCCGCTCGCTACCACGACCGAGATCCGTCAAGATAGACTCTGGATTGAGATCACCCACGAAGCGGACGGGCTCTTTGTGAGTGAGATTCGGGAGGACCTTATCTACCCCGTCACTCTCTGCACGTTGGTCCGGGGCTCTGGTGAACGTATGATTGCATCGCTTCTTCTTTCTGTAAAGTCAGATCAGTATCGGATGAGGACCGTGTTCGGAAGACCGGAAATCCTGAATAGATTCCCGCAAATCGCCTAGGAGATCTACTCACTTCTGACAGGCAATGCAAGCGCGTGCTGCTCGTTTCCTGGCATGGAATGCTGTCGTATCCGCTTCCCAGACCACCTGCATGATAGACAGCGGCTTCTCAAGACAATTCCTTTCGGCGCTGTCCCTTCCCTTTGGGGCCGCCTCAATTGGCAATACGCTCGATGCTCGTGTTTTGTAAGCTGGCTAAGATCGTGAACGAGGGATTGCTCTTGTCAGGAGTCTCGACCAGGTGCGTAGCGGACCTGGTGCGGGCAGCACTGCCCTATGACCAGGGTCTGATGCTGTACAACACGCGCTTATGGTCACGTCGTGTTTACGATCTCACTATACTTCGTGACGGTCTACTGTGAAATGTCGGATGTTGTCTCAAAGAGGAAGACAGGCCGCAGAAATTGAGAACGGGGATCTGGCGCGGGGTTATGCCAAGCAACTTGAACGGGGATATCGCGCATTATGTAAGCAGGATACTCGAAATCTCTTTGCCGCTCACAGCCAGGGCCCAGGGGTGCTGTCACATCGCTAAATATCATCACCTTACTTTAGCAAGAAAACTTCCAAAGCTCTCTAGTACCTAGCCTATTAGTATAAGGCATAACACTGAAGATGCCTCATAGTACTTCTAATCAACGGGACCGTGACGGAGGAACACGTTATGCTCCGTCGGTCGCATGAGCTCTTGACCTTCGGAAGAATGGCTTGCTAACAGAGAGACAGTGTTACTTGCTGGGAACAGAAGCCTCCGTCAGCATGAGCGTGTAGGACATGGCTGCTTGTAAAGATGACACGCTACGTCGTGTCCGTCTCGTAGATGACCAGTGACACCGTCGTTGTTGCCTCAAAAGCTTTGGATATTTGCCTCGAAGGAGTGATGTCTCTCAGTGTTCGTGGTATACCGACACGGAGATCCCGTTCCAACGCCAGACGCTTACTCACGCAGTGCCACTAGCCGCCTTCCTGAAGACTAACACCGCGGCTGCTCCCGCGCATGCGGCCGCGCCAGCCGCAATGCCGTATCGCATCAACTGTCCGCTGTCCTCATCCTGTAGAGGCCGAGGGTATGCAGTGATCGGTTCCAGTCCAGCTTCTGCGATTGCGACGAAGAGCTCCTGGATCGATGGCCAGGTGACGCTTGTATGAATAGGCGGACCTTGTGGCATCCGCTGAATGTTCGCCGTATACTCGTCTGGCTGATGTTCAGCGCGTTGAGTTGTTCGGTCCAGATCTGCTTTCAAAGCTACGTAGACACTTGGTAGCTCCTCCAGATGAGGGTGTTGTTTACGGATGTTTGGAATATACGCAAATGAGTCCGGATCTGATGAGTCGTAAGTATAGACGATCACATCGCATTTATCCAGCAATTTGCTCTTGTTGTCGAGTACAGCTGTTTCTGACTCGCCCAACTCCTTCAGAATGAGATAGCATTGCCTGCCACCTGGTAGCTCGACTGTGTTGACAGCTGTTCGGGCCTGAATGGTCGGTCTGTAGGTGCTGCTGAAGTGCTGCCCCAGCAGTGTGTCCAGCAAGTACGACTTCCCTGACTGAGGCGGACCAAGGACATGCGCCAATATAACGTTTCTTCCCGTTCGTCCTGGCCGCCGTCTTCTCTTCCGTGCTTTGGTGATCTTCAACGCTGCTGTCGAGTTGGGTAATGACCGATCTGAAGATTCGAAACCTAGGTAAGCCAGGTACTCCAATGTTGTTGTGGGCGACATGAAAGTCGTCATAGACCACTGCGCTAGCCAGCCCTGGAGTGTGACATGGCCGGCGTCATTGCGTACTGTACATGCTGGAAAGTCATTGTCACGCCAAAGCTGAGGCACCCCTGGAGTAGGCGCAAACAGGGCGGCTAATTCCTCGTGCTTCAACCCGCCATCGTTGTCTCGATCTGCGGTGAGAAAAATGTCCACGAAGAAGCGATAGCCAGCTGGCGACAGTTCTGCCGATGCAAATTCAGGCACGTCGAATTTGGGGTGTAAGAAGCTCTCTTGCAAGGACAGGCTGTCGGTATACTGGAACGTCCTTAGAACAATCCATACAGTCTCGTGACGGCCCTTTTCCGCATACATCTTCATGAGAAGGAGGAAGCCTTGGGCGGTAACGCCATTTTCAGTTACTGCGTCTGCCGACGTACTCTGAAGGCTATCCTTGACTCCGTTCAGATCGCTGTCATTGAGCGGCTTGTCGAAGCACTTCATCTGGAAGTCTCCCATCTCCTTATCGTTGAGTACGCCATCCTTGTCCTTGTCACAGAGGTAGAATATCCTTTCGAGGGCGGACACAGCAGGTTGCTTCAGAGCTGATTCTTTTGCATCGAACAGAGGAGCTATGGGGTGTGTGACTGCTTTCTGGCAAAGGAAGAACGCCTCGTTGACGTTCGAGTGCTTCCTGGCGCTTGTCCGTATGCAGCAATCGATCTCTTTGAACTCGGCCATCACAGGCAGCATCTCTTCCTCGACCACCTGCGCCTTCGTAGAGTTTGACAGGTCTGACTTGTTGGCACATAGTATTACGGGCAGATTGACGCCCAGAGACCTGAAGTAGGGCATCCAGAACAGCGCAACTCGCTCGTACGAGTAGTGATCACTGTAGCAGAGAAGTATGCAGTTCGACTTTCGAATCTCTCGAGCGAGGTTGGGTCGTTCTTGCGGAAGCGCAGATGTGTCCACCACCGTTGTGTTCGCATCTTCAGGTGTGCCCAGCGTGGGAGGAATTGTTATTTGCGGAAGTACGGGCTGGATCTTACTGCTCACGAACGAGTCTTTGACGAGGGAGGTAATCAAGCTCGACTTACCGGTGCCCTCGTCGCCGACGACTGCGATCCGCACCGTCACCATGTTGGGTGTGCTTTACTCATACAACGCGTAGGGAAGCATTTCTACCGCGCATTCGAGCTGGGCAATGACAAGTCAGGGCGGCCATTGTCACAGTTCACACGAATGGTTTAGACAGTGTCACAAGTTCAGTGTTGCGGGAGCGGACGATTTACATGTATGTACGGTCACTTTTGGCCCCCACTCGGGCTCACGATTTCACGTGACTATGATAACTCTTTGCAGTCAACCGGTGCGCCGGACCTCCAGACCATAAATTCGTGTTCAGAGATGTACAGAGTAAGTTCCAAGGAACGGGTGCGAGCACCCTACTCTGGACATCTCTGAACACGAATTTATGGTCTGGAGGTCCGGCGCACCTTCCTACAGTACGTACATGCCTTCATGGGTCTGCGAGAGCGGCAGGCACATCGCTGCTGTTGCTAGTATTTCGAGCAGTCGTTTCGCATGCGCACCTGCCCTCATCTGATATCCGAATGCATATGAAAATGAAAGGAGTCAGGCACCACGCAGGCCCGGGAGGCCAGCGACTGTGTATGAGGTCTACATCCGACTCGCATCATGACTCGATGTCCGACAGTGTTGCATCACCGAACAGCTTCTCAATGAGATAATCGATCTGTTCGACTCTGTAATCATCGACTTCAGTATACGCAAGTTCGGTCTTATTCGCGTCGAAGACGATGTTGGCAGGGTCTTCAATTCAGTATGCGGGCCACTCAACATTGGAACCTAGCCATTCAGGTCAGCGCGTCTGTCATACTCTTCTTTAGTGTCGACTCACCATCCTCGGAATTTGGATCCTGATTGTTGAAGAAGTTGATCCAGTGGCTAGACATCAATTTCGCCAGTTGAGCGTACGACTCAGGCTTGTTGGCGAAAGGGTTGACAGCCACGACCGTATCGTAGCCCTTTCCCTGAGTGTTGTCGAAGACGAAGGCGACTTCTTGGAAGTGCGTGCTGCCTATCGCAGGACCAAGGCCGTTCACAAGGACATTGAAATGGTAGCTGTAGACTGGGACATCTGCCAGAGCCCAGTGACGGCTGAACCATCTTCGCCCAGCCTGCTGGTTTAGGTCGCCAGCGAATGCTGCAACTCGCTTCCACATTGCACCATACCTGGCCAGGCTGCCGCTAGGACGGCCGTCTAGGATTGCTGGAATGCCGAGGCTGGGCACATCAGGATACAATGCTGATAGGACTGCAACAGTCTCGTTGTTGGCGCCTTGGTCCGTCAGGTAGGACTCCCACTGCTCCGTGGTGTTAATGCCAGCTTGACCTTGAGACGTACCTTCGTCGAAATTGGTGCCGATGAGAAGAGGTACTTTGACAAACTTTCCTTCTCGGACCAATTGGTCTCGCGGAGCAGTCAAAAACTCGCCGTCGGCGTATCGACCAAACCCTGGGTTCGTGCTGGTATTGAAAATATCGCTCAGTGTCCAGACATCGACTTCTCGTAGACACTGCAGCGTATCACTGGCGGACGTGCAATTCGTTTGCTCAACGATATCGTCATAGTATTCCTGCCACGGATCGCCTTCGGCTGGAATATCAGTGAATGTACTGGTCAGACCTGTACCACTTTCCTGGATTGCTCCCTGGAAGAGCCCGTCATCGCGACCGTCGTACGCTAACAGTTGGGACGCCACAGATCGAGCACCAGCGGACTCTCCCCAGATGGTCACCCTTGCAGGATCTCCACCGAAGCTCGCAATGTTTTGACTGTTCCACTCGAGCGCGAGTCGTTGATCGCGGAACGCGAGATTCCCAGCACCTTCTGCCTGCATCTCTGAGCCCCATAGGAAACCCCAGGAATGAAGCCTGTAGTTTATGGAGACAGCAACTATGGGGGAACCCATCTCCACAGATCGCTGGACGATGAAAGACATGTTATACCGCGGGTCGGAGCCCCCTCCCATGGTGAGACCACCACCATGAATCCAGAAAGCTACCGGCAGCTTGGCATCAGGAGCAAGCCCATGAGGACGCACGACGTTGACAGTCAAGCAGTCTTCTGAAATGTAGTTTCCTAACACCCAGGTGTCACCACCGTAGCCAATACACTGATATCCATCTGCAGTCGTCAGCAACGATATGTCTCGTACAAAGCCAGGACCGAGAGCGTGATGTTTGTCCCGATCTCAATTGACATGGACATTCACACTCTGTTGCATCCTTCGGTTCAGACCAGGACTCGTCCAGCGGTTGGGGTACTCGGAATCGGAGGTCTCCTACGGGTGGCTGAGCATAGGGCATACCGAGGAACTCATCCTGATTATAAGTTGGGTTGAAGCGGCCATAGTACGATCCGTTTTGCAACTGTACGGTTGGAGCATTTGTTGCATCACGGGGAGCAAGGTTGTCGACAGCCGCGGCGTTTACCAAGGAGGCCAACAATACTAGCTTCTCAAAGTGCAGTAGCATCGTGACAGTGTTCCTCTGCTCGCAGCCAATTCCTGCGGAGCAGCTAACTCACGGACCGGGCTTCATCGCTCATCTTATACATCACCCGTCAAAGCACCGCCGGTGCCGGATTGCCATTTCTCCGCACAAATTTCACCGCTTATGCTGCTCGATTCGGTCATCGAACTTTTCCGATTCCGCTCATGACACTATGGTAGCATTCACAGCAAATGCCATGACATTCCCCGCAGTCTAGCGGGATGGGGAAGTGGAGAGCAGACCACATGATGTTATACCCTCGTCGGGACTGTGCTGGCTCATCACAGGATGACCGTTCGTGTATAGCCGAGGAAGATTTCGCGAGACTTGACTGCGGACCTGACTCTTGATGCCATTCAAGTACATAGGGTGAGTTGGTAAGTTGACGGTCCCGACTCCGGAAAGGAGGTCGTACCTGATATCCTTGGCGCCAAGTCCTTTCGTAGACCTTTGTGTCAACCGGTCTAACTCATGTCATCCGGTCTGGAGTTGGGCGCTTCCTTCGGCTGGACAGCCTTCCTTCGGCTTCATCTTCCCATGTACGTGCAATCTCAGCTCATTCTTAGTAGACCCTAGCGCAACAACAGGCATACGCTTGACATTACTGATTTGAGCAGCCACTTTCGAGCAAAGACGGCCTTCCATGAAGTATTGCTGTGCATCAAGTATAATTGTCAAACAACAGCGAGACCAAGAGTTGGGATCAATCGTGACAGCCGCTGGTAGGAGCAGCTGCGTTCTGTCAACGGTTGACTGCGTTGTCACAATCCACCTGACCGCTGCGTGATACAGCGACCACTCGTGTGAATCAGGCGAGCCGGCAACTTAGGCGACTCGGGCGGGCGCCATCGTGTGAGTCACCAGTCGAGCTTAACAGTATTGACAAGTCTACACACATATCTTTTCTCTCCCTTCGATCCTTTCCTCGCATGGGTGAGCATTGCGCAGCACTGGCCTCGAATAGATCACCATGTCAGTAGCCGACACCCTAGCAGAGGAGTCGCTGTCCTTCTGGGAGAAGGCTGCCACGGAATGGGACACGAGCATTGCCTTGGAGGGCAATGACTACTGGACCTATCTTCAGGAGCCCATGCTCGCTCGACTCTGCAACGTCTGGTGGGGAGAAGATCGAGCTCTCGATCTAGCCACAGGCAATGGTCTAGTAGCACGATGGTTGATACGACAGGGTGCGAACAGCGTAATCGCTACCGATGGCAGTAGGAATATGCTTGGGCTCGCGGAAAATCGCACCAATCAGGCGGAGCCTGGTGTTGCGGGAAATTTGCGATTCGAGCAACTCGATCTGGTCAACGATGCTGCAATGCATACCTTTGCAGCGAAGCAGGATTTGTTCGACGTGATCACGGTCAACATGGCTCTCATGGACATTTCCGCGTTGCAGCCGTTGGCGAAATTAGTCTCACGGTTGCTAAAGCCGGACAGTGGAAGGTAAGTAGGACAGAATCACCATCAGGACAAAATGCTCAGAGGCTCGCAGGTTCGTAGCTACATTGCTCCATCCAATCTTTTTCACAAGTGGGGCGAAACGGTGCGTTGAGATCGACGAAGATGAAGACGGTAATCGCAGGATCCACAGGTATATGAAAGCTGAGAAGTATTTGACCGCCGAGGCACGCAAGGTAACGCTGATGCTACCGAAGCCGGTTGAGTGCGGTGCACAGGTGCGATATCTAGACTCCTTCTAGACAATCTCCTACGCTAATGGTCGCGCGCAGTTGATGTTTCATCGACCACTTCACGAGCTATTCGCTCCCTTCTTCGCCGAAGGTCTCCTGCTCGACGCGCTAGAAGAGCCGAACTTTGACGCGTCTTTCGTTGACAATAGCCGGCCCTGGGCTTCGAAAGGCTTTTTGGAGATGCCCAAGCTGCTTGCCTTTCGATTGCGCAAAGCTACTTCAGCGAAGTTTTAGAGCTTTCAATCAAGCAAATGCATTACAGAGAACCAGTGATCAACTTTCCCCCAACAGCAAGAGCCATGCCCCAGAGAGCAAGCTGGAAGCATAGTACGGCATTCCGAGATACCGTCCCCTGCCGTTGGGCTTCTCACTGGTGATGTATCCGTACGCAAACAGAGCTCTGGAGACGACCCATCCAAGACCCGAGATTGCGGTGGCACGTGGACTGTGGGCATGGTCAGCTTTCCGTTGACCAAACGGCAGAAGTTCAAAGCAAAGTTGGCTCAGCGAAAGCTTCGTTACACCATTACGGCAATGATGACACTTACTAAACGAGACCCGCGACGAGCATATATGCGATTGTCTGAGGCATGTGCTCCATCAAGTTGCCGTGAGCACGCTGAGCGCAATTGTACTTGTATGCGTCGCGCGACTCCTTGACCTGCTGTGCCGAAGCGTAATGATTGGGATAAGGCGTCTTAGCCGCTTTCCTCAGTTGTCCAGCAACTGTTCCTTGAGCAAATGACAAGAGAGGCACGAGTCCTAGGGCGACGAGGAGAACATAGCTTTGAGCGGGTTAGCAGGGTGCTGATGACGAGTTCCTGGGGATCTGGTACCCGTAGTCGTTCGGCACCAATATAGTGGTCAATCCTGCTGCGGAAACCATCATGCTAAGAGTGTCGCAAAGTGAAGGGCGGTTTCAATGTCTGTCTGAAAACAATTCGTGAGTCTGGAGAGTCTGCTGAGAAGAAGTGGCGATACAAACCGTAGAGGAGCAGGAGCATTGTTTTTGTGAAACGGCACGGCCCAAAATTCGTCCGCCTCATTTCTCGATGATCCACCGTTGCTGAACACCATTGTTTCTGTGGCTTTCTTTTCGTGACATTGAATCCTGATCTCGCCCCATGAACACAGCGTCAAGCAGGCAACAGCATTGTCTCGTTTATTCAGCATCATTTCGTGGACCGAGAACGAATGTGCTCCGGTGCTACGGCACTCCCATCGTATTTGACCTGGAACCCGGACATAACATACCATGTGCTAGTCCCGGGCGTCACTTGCCTCGTCTCATAATGCCACCAGCAGATTGTGCGGTGACGGCGGCCGCCTCTTGTTTTGAACCGCTTTCGATGTACGATACTGATGACAAGCTCGAGATAGAATCGCTCGTCCTCGTCCGATACTTCAGAATCATGATATCAGAATAGCGTATTTCAAGTCATATTGGCACAGAGTATCAGGTTAAGATGTAGGACAGGAGACACAGAGAATGCAGCCATGCCATGTACGTTATATGAAGTGAGTCTCTGCTGACGTGCTACAGCAAGCGAATCACGTCTGTAGGTACGCTTTGGTAAGCAGTTGAACGTGGTAGGGCCGCCCGCCCTTGGCATCTCTAAAGAACGCGAAGCCCAGAAGAAAGCCCGGCAGGCAAGGCGTGTTGTATCCAGCACAGATCTGGCCATATCAACTAAGAGTCCCCCATCGGTCGTGGCAGTGAGTGTGGAAGACATGTTCATAGATGAGCCCTTTTGGCGTGCACAATGTCTCCGATATTGACAGATAGTGCGACCTCTTCGCGCCCCGGTCGTCGCTACGAGACGACCGGCAGAAGCTTCCCTCTTGGCTATGAGCCATAATATCAGATCGCACAGGCTGAGCCCTGATGCTGATATTGACGATCCGAGCCGTAGTGTTGATGCTCGGCTTGGCGCCGCCCCGCGCACTTCGTGGGCTTCATCGTCAAGTTTCTCCAACGACCAACTTCACCAGGCGACTTTTCATGCAGTCATAATTTCACCCATGAATTTATGACTCTCGTGATTCCAAGCGACAAGTAGCAGCTGTCCAGTTCAACGTCAGTTCTTTCTCCTACCTACAACATGGCTGACGGTAACGCGACTACCGGGCTCGAGCAGGCCGTCGCTGGCACGCATTTAGACGAGGTCACTGGAGAGAAGGTGTCCAAGTCCGAACTCAAGAAGAGACAGAAGCAGAGACAGGCCGAAGAGAAGAAGCGCGAGAAGGCTGCTGCTGCGCCGCCTAAGGCCGAGAAGAAGGGCAATGTGGAAGCAGACGAGAGCAACTTGACCCCGAATCAATATTTCGAGATTAGAAGCGGCCGGGTGAACAGATTAAGGACGTCTAAGGATCCCAACCCCTACCCGCACAAGTTTCAAGTCAACACCGATCTACGTCAATTTGTCACCAAGTATAAGGACTTCAAGCCTGGTCAGCACGAGAAGGACACAGAGATCCGAGTAGCTGGGCGCGTCTACGTCAAGAGAGCTTCGGGCGCCAAGCTTGTGTTCTATGATATCCGTGCAAATGGAGTCAAGGTTCAGATCATGTGTCAGTCGCAGGAGGCCAAGAGCGATATGCCCTTTGAGAAGCAACACGAGCCTCTCCGTCGCGGAGACATCATTGGCATCGTCGGCTACCCGGGACGGACAGCACCCAAGAATCGTCCAAATGAAGGCGAGCTGTCCGTCTTTGCTACAGAAGTCATCCTGCTCACACCCTGTCTTCATCAAATCCCCTCAGAGCATTTTGGCCTCCAGGACGTCGAGACGCGCTTCCGTCAGCGCTATCTCGATCTCATCATGAACGACAAGTCCCGCAACATCTTGATCACCCGCTCCAAGATCATCACCTATATACGGAGGTACTTCGACTCGAACGGCTTCGTTGAAGTGGAAACACCAATGATGAATGCCATTGCCGGTGGCGCAACAGCCAAGCCTTTCGTGACACACATCAACGAGTACGACACAAATCTGTTCATGCGCATCGCTCCTGAGCTCTACCTGAAGATGCTGGTGGTGGGTGGTATCGAACGGGTTTACGAGATTGGCAAGCAGTTCCGCAACGAAGGTGCAGACTTGACACATAATCCCGAGTTCACTACGTGTGAATTCTACGAGGCATACGCTGACATGTACGACGTCATGAAGCGAACAGAGGACCTAGTCTCTGGACTGGTCAAGGAAGTTACTGGTGGTCTGGAAACCAAGTTCACTACACAGACCGGCGAGACCTATAACGTCAACTGGGCCGCTCCTTGGGCGCGTGTCGAGATGATACCTGAGCTTGAAAAGGCTTCCGGCGAAAAGTTCCCGCCCGGCGATCAGCTTCATACGCAAGAGACCAACGAATTTCTCAAGAAGATTCTCAAGAAGCACAAGATCGTATGTCCACCACCTGAGACGAACGCCCGCATGATAGACAAGCTTGTCGGCGAGTGGATCGAAGAGAAGTGTGTCAACCCTACCTTCATCATGGGTCACCCGCAGATGATGTCACCACTAGCCAAGTACCATCGAACAATACCTGGTCTCTGCGAGCGTTTCGAGGCATTCGTTTGCAAGAAGGAGATCGCAAATGCGTATACCGAGTTGAATGATCCATTCGACCAGCGACTTCGGTTTGAGGAGCAAGCGCGACAGAAGGATGCAGGCGACGACGAGGCACAGCTGATAGACGAGAACTTCTGCACGTCGCTTGAGTTTGGGCTGCCACCGACTGGTGGTTGGGGTATGGGTATAGATCGACTGGTCATGTTCTTGACGGACAACTACACAATTCGTGAAGTTTTGGCTTTTCCCTTCATGAAGGAAGACAAGAATGCGAAGGAGACGCCGTTAGCTGCCGAAGTGGTGGGTATCGAGCCAGCGCCTGCCCTTGAGGACTTGCGTAAGTAGCTATTTCACCGAATCGTGTATCTTGCTGACCGATCCAGCACGACCGTGAGGAGCTGTGCTGCCGTGGGAAGCGAGACAGCTTCGGTTTTGCTATTGCAAGCGATCGAATGACCACAGATTCCAGCGATAGATGATCAACGAAGAGCACAGATGATACCCCTATGAATTGAAGGAAAATTGAACGGCAATGTTGCAGTGTCTCAGTATATTCGCGTTTGAGCTTGTTGTGACACTACTGCACTTCATGGTGACCTTTGACTGCACCATTGTCCTTCCCACATCAATGACTGAAATCGCTGATGTCAATAGGAGGTTTTGTGAACACTTGTGCCAAGCCACGTTTTGAGTCACCTGGGTCGTCTATTCACTGTCACCAAGTGACTTGGTTGCTAGGGACGAACTCCCCTCGCATGCCGAAAAGAATCAGTTCCGTTTGCAACTCTACCGATTAAATGTCAACATTTCTCTGCTCCAGAAGTTCTGCGAGCACTTCTCGACCTCAATTTCACCGCCACGCCCGCTGAAATTCGCAAGCTATCTGCCTGCGTCAACCAATTGCATCTCTCATTCCAACGATACGATGCCGGCGAGGCTTGGTGGTAGACCGCATCAGGAAGAATGGTCGGACACTTCTGATGTCGACTCGGCGCGACACTCCAGTCCACGCGTCGCCACATCTTCCAGCCCAGCTGCGGCGCGAAGTTCGAGTGTTGGTGAAGCCCAGGAGGATGTTCGACCAAATTACATTGACTCGGTCGCCAGACGATTGCAGAACAATCTCTCTCGCGCACACGCCAGCGTCAATCAAGTACAGCCTGATGGTCAAGCGACGACTTCTGCTCCTAGCAGTCGCTGGACAACGAGCGCATCAGCTCTCAATGACCACGGCGATGTTGATGTCGAGCCCACGCAACAAGACGATGTAATCATGTCTGATGACGAAAATGCATCGGGTCCGCTCAATCTTCCAACACGACCACCCCCTCGATTTCAGTACCCGAGTGCTCGGCCTCAAGTGCTGCCGCAAGTCGCAGTCGCTTCCTCCGATTCAGACGCGCAAGCCGACCACCAAACCCGTCTCGACGCGTACACGACATTTGGCGCGCCCGCCGCCTTCATTCAGCAACACCTTCCGGCAGAAGACTCCAACCACTTCAACGTCCGCGCGTCGCTGCACACTGTCTTCGCCATCAAGACAATCTCGACCAGCCAATGTGACGAATGCAAATCCAAAGGCAGAGGCGATGAGATTTATCAGTGTATTACGTGCGTCAAGCAAATTTGCCAGTCCTGCATGGAGGACTCCCTCGAGAAAGAGCGCAAGGGCATAGCAGAGGCAAAGAAGCGTGCTGGCCTTGGCCAAGCCGAGATCGACGAGGACGAGTACGTGTGGAGATGGCAGGGTGACCATCGCCATAAAGGCCTCAAAGAGTGCTATATCGCTCGAAAGAATGCTCGCGCTACTGGTGAATACCAAGTTGACGTCAAGATCTCTATGCTTAGTCCTGCTGAGCCTGGAGATGATACCGTGACTGTTCGAATGATCATTGATGATGACGACGATGGGGAAGTCCCTGAGGTGGACGAAGATGAGACTGAGGAGGAGTATGATGAGGAAGAAGAGGTGGAGGAAGAGACACCGACCAAGAAGAGAGCTCGATCAGAGACTGGCACTGACACCAACAGCAGCAGTCCCACTGGAAGCGAGCGAAGCGAGCGAGTGCAACCAGTACGAAAGAAGCCGCGTAAGGACATTCCTCGATCTGTGCCCCTCGACTTCGCTACTCAAGCAGAGACGCTCAGTCGATCGGTGCGCGGCAACAATGAGACCTCTAAAAAGTTGCAGAGAATCCAGGAGGCAGCCGCCAAGAGTCCTCAAGGTCTACCACGGCCTCGAGTTGCGTCGAGTGTCGCAAGATCTCGTCCTCCTTCGCTGGACCTCCGCGCTGCTCAGCCATCGCCAGATCTTCCGCAGGTCGCACGTCCAGCCTGGCAGCAGCCTCCGCCTGGTTATCAATATCCACCTCCACGCTATCCTCTGCCAGGCTACCAGTATCCGCCCCCTCGTTATCCCCTTCCTGTGCAGGATATGTATCAGCCGCCACCTGGGTCGATGATGTGGTCTATGCCGCAGCCCGCATATCACAATGCTCAGCAACTGCACAACCCGTATGGACAATTTTATGGCCAGTATCAGCCTCAGTGGCCCCAACAGCGTCAGCAAGGCCCAGTGTCGCCACGACCCATACCTCCACCGACGCCACCCTGACCCAGCATTCTTCTATGCCGCATAACGACCGAGCGACCCAGCACTGGGCGACTAGGCCGCCACAGTCGGACACTTATGCGGCTCAAATGAAGGGCGGTCGACCAGACGAAGTCACAGCGATGCGTCCACCCCCAGGCACTATGTTGCGCATTCCGATCAATGGCACCGTAGTTGAGATGTCTTGGGAAGAATACCAGAAATTTGGCGACCCACAGCGCCGGCCTCCTTCGACTGAGCCGTCTGTGCAGCCAAAGAACACGATTCGCCAAGGCTACAACATGAATACCGCCCGCCTCCCTCTGCCGCCACATCATCGTCCAGGTAACCTGGTGGTCATACAAGGGCGCGAGATGGTGCAGCTGCCCTACACCACGCCCTATCGTACCGACCCAAAGGGAGTCATTATGCCGGGTGTGGATTATCGTCGAGCCGAATCAGGTCAGAGCGTCATGAATGAAGCTAATAGACGTTGGAATGCGTATGGTAGTATCAACAATCGGATCGAGCATATCGAGGAGAGTGCGATGAATGTTGATCCGCCAGCGGAAGACGTTGGGAATGACGCAGCCCGAGATGGTCAAGACGTTGCTGAGCCGCCATCTGCACCAGCGGCTGAGTCGAACACAAGAGTCCAAACACCAGAGCTAGACACTACGATGGCAGAAGCTCCAGATGTTGCAGATGGAGAAGCTGCGCCTGCCTCACCAACCGACTCTATTCCATCACGCCCAAGATCTGCGCCTGTCCACGACTTTCATCCACCTCGTCGGTTCGCCACTCCACCATCTTTACGCAAGCCACCGGCCAATCGTGCACCATTCGCAGACACTAACGCATCCAACAGCGTTCCACCAAGGTCGCCAGTTGTGCCGGACTCTGCGACACAGGCGTCGCGGCGTAGTGTGCTTCCTCCAAGCACACCCGTTGGGCCACCCGCTGAATTAGAAGGCACTACTCTCCAGGGCACGAATAGATCGATGCTCTCCGAAGCTGAGACCTTGATCCTCACACCTACACCGGTACGCGCTGCTGTAGCTCCTCGCAACCTCACAGCCACGCAAGATCCTCCTAGCACCCCAGTCCGCAAGCCCATCAAGACAGCTCCTTCCACACCGGGTTCTCGCAGTACTACCGTTCCCACCACACCTGCGTATCACAACGCCCACCACTCTCCTCGTCGAGCCGAGCAAGCTATCAATGCCGACCGTCTGGAGGCTGCCCGTCGCGCTACTCTGCGAGCTACCTTGGCGCAGCTGCCCGAATCGCTCGCACTGGGTCTAGGACAAGATGTCGTGCCGATCACGCCTGCCAGAATGGTTGCCGAGAGAGGAAGATGGATGAGTCCGCCGCCTGGTGCGATTGCGAACATGGCTAGCAGCCCAGTGGAGACGGTAGTTGAGGAGGCCTCCGAAGATGAGGATGGGAAAGATGGCAAGCAGGCCAAGGGCCGTAAGGGTGGAGATAGAGCAAAGACCACCCCAAAGCGAAAGCGAAGAACCTATTCCGATGATGATGACGATGACGACGACAATGATGGAGACTTCGCCAGCTCCAACATAGAGCCCTCCTCATCGGTCATGCCAGCACCGCGTCATCGATACACCGGACGTACCCGTCAAGGTACCGCTCCTGCGAGCTCACAGCCTCGGCAGACGAATGATAATCGTGCGAAACGCCGTCGGTCTGGTTCTGTTGCCAGTGGTGTCGAAGGGCGTGGATCTATGTCGGCCGGGGCGGACTCTGATGCGCCAGATACTCCGACGAGGAGAACGCGCAGTGGTCGGGAATTCACGCCGTTTGCGCCGTATGTGGCGAAGCCTGGTCAGAAGTGAGTGTTCTGGGTGGGCTCTGAGGCGATCTAGGAAGCATGTTAATGAAGTTGGCACCGTCATGTACAGATACGAAGACATTGGCAGTGGGGAGCTGAAGCTGGATTCGTCGACACAAAGGACTTTTCCTGCATTCTTGGTCTGCTGTTGGTTCAGTCGAGTGGTCTCAAGCTAGAATCTGCGGAGAAAGTTGTTCAGATATCTTTTGCAGCATTGCTGCTGCTGCTGCTGATCCCTCTTGCTTGAATAAGGACGAACTTGCGTTTGATTGCAGCAGGGAATCAACGCATATGGGATCGCAAGTACGTGGGCAGCAACAGCGCAAGCAGCACCTCGGTAGATACTAGGTAGCAAACGGTCAGCTTCGCAGCACAATTTTGCCCTACGATACTCATTGTCGCTGTCCGAAACCGTGACTCAAGATGGCAGCAAGCTACTATGCGCAAGCTCACTTTGGTGCCCTCTCAGCCATGTTCAGACTGATCGCGTCCTGAGCTTTCAGCATTGTCATGCCGGTGGCAGCAAGCACAAGCATCATGCATGGCTTGACCTCTGATCTCTTTCGCTAACACATTGGCAGGCTTCCCACCAGGATACCAGTTCACGCCCCGAACGCTCGTTAGATAGCCGTCTTCTCTTTGCTGCCACCTCGACTAAAGGTTCCAACCCTGAGATTTTGAATCCATCCTAAAAGGTCTTTCTGCGCTGCGACAGCGATATACCTTCGTGTTTCAGTGATGGCTCTCTGCTCACCAGCATCGACGAGACTTCGAACACAGCCCCGTCTCGCGCACAACAACGTCAGTAATTCTGCCTCACGAATCACTTACTCATATCTATTGATGTCAGCCCCCAGCCCAAATCACTGACTCCTACCGATCGCCTACTAATCGGTACGAGTCCTACCATCCACGCAATGACCACGACCAGCCAGATAGACCTAGAAGGTGCTTCGAAGAGCCCAGCAGATACAGGACGTCCGACTACGGTGGGTGTAATTTGACCACAGCTTCCAGCTCCTAGGACTCTGGATATGGGTCCAAACGAGGCGCATTGAGCCTCGTCTCTGAAACGGTCGTCATAGGTAGAGCAGTCAATGATGGAGGGTCGCCGTCCTGGCTGTCGTCAAGGTCATGCTCTAGGTTAATGGACTGTGTCGAATAAGTGCTCTTCTGCGGCATGTTCTAGACGATGCATGTTGCTCCGCTACGCGCTCATGATGGGCGAACAAGATGAGGTACTGCTCCTCGACATATATTCAGCGGACTGCAGTATCAGCCAGCACAAATACAGTCTCGGAATACCCAAGTGAAGGCCAATATGATGGTCTTCTGTGGAGGTGAGGTTGCTTTTGGCTCTGACGCCGAATTTCAGAATTGCCATGCGTTACATCCCGGCTGATTGGGCGGGGAATGTTTCCCGCGTGTGGCTGATGGGAATGGAGCTGCCAACTCGTCTATCTGGGCAGGGATGAGCGCAGTTCGGTGGATAGGTATGACATTGGCCCAGCAAAAGCTCATCATCGCTGACACATGTACCACGTTATGAAGAGCATCCAATTTTGAGAATGCCATATAGCGGAGAGGACGGCTATATGAAAGTCATGTCTCATCTCTCGCGAGGAGCTTCCGCGTGGGAATCTGAGTCTATCTCGCAGGCATCTATCGTCTCCGAGGAGCATAAGGTCAAATTTGTTGCTTGGTACGCGAAGTCAAAAATGCACCAAGGGTAAGACGTGATCCGTTGTCGATCGTAGATCTGCGTACGATCTTTGCCGCGTCCACCTGACTGACAGTTTCGTACTGAGATGGCGCTGCTGCCGAGTACCGTCGACTAAAGCTGTGGTCTTTGCTCGGGAATAGCGGACCGTCTCCCTGGATCTTTTGGCATCGCCCTGAAGGAGAGGACGTCCGCAAAGACCTCGGAGCAGCAGTCAGCGGCGCGAGGTGGCAAAGATGGAAGGGTCGACTTGGGAGTTGGAAATTGGGTGGACATGTACATATGTATTGTGTGCCGTTTGATCAGCGCCTGTGATGAAAGAATTACGCAGGAGACCTTCGTACTGTACTTATGGGGACGTTGGTCACCAACCGAAGCCCCGGGAAGTCGCCTAGGTAGCTCCTGCTCAGGGAGCAAGCCACACCTTTCCTCTGTAATTACCCCGTCGTGCCTTCCCTTCGCCACCTGCACCTTGACCCGCGACAAGTACTCAAGCCAAAATCGATCCGTAACTCGAAACATCTGCATACCTGCATTTGCATTGTCCTACCTAGTATCTGCAAGTGTTTGGCATCTCTGCAACACCATCTCACACGAACTGACGATTATCCTCAACCCATCAACATCAGCACGAAAATCGCCCTAGATCAGCAGTTAGTGATCGCCACCGATCATCATCCCTCCTGTCGACCTGCCGCTCCCTACCGCCACTCCACGTCCTCTTCGTGAACTGGCGTTGACACCGGACAAGGCACTATCAATAAATCTGTGGCACGCGCTGAGGTCAAGACGTGACGTCCGCGCACGTCTACACTACCGCAGGCACCGCGGTCCGTTTGGGCTCTTATCGAGCACGACTTCGTGCAGCTACAATCCCCTCCTGCCAACTTTCTCCGTGGCTAAAGCGGTGATATTGGGTGGGAGAATCCACGTTGACGCCTGAGGAGAGTCATACAATCATGACGGCCGCAATTAGTAGCGGCACTTGATTGACTTTACCACCGCGCTGGGCTTCCCAAAGGTGAAATAGAATAACACTGGCTTTTAGGCCAGCGCTCAAGTCATGAGCTCAAATGGATCCCCGCCAGATGCACCACGCAACACGTCCGTGGCTCGATTTCCCCTTGGACCGAGAAAATCTTCTGTCTCGCTCTTTACTGGCAGGAATGATGCTCAGGCAGCCACGAGCAACTCTGCCGCACCGCTCGATCGACCGCCTTCCGCGCACACGCAATCGAATCCCTCGCCTTTTGTAGCCAAAGAGACCCAGTTGTCCATGTTTACAGGCAGACCACCTGACCGGCCGGCATCTCCCACGCAATCAGAGACGTCCAATGGACCAATGACTGCCTTGAGCCCCGGTGCCATCGACCGTGTCTTTCCGATACGTTCAGCTGTATCTATCGACCCGCATGCCACTCCTCTCTACAGACAAGAGTCGTCTGATGGCTTTCCAGGTCTTCGACTAGGTGGCGACAGCGGCGTTGCAGGACGCCGGGAGTTTAGGCGCTCTCTTACCGACAGGTCGCGATCGCCTCCAGCCTCCAGCACGCGAGGCTCGCCGCCACAACGTCCAGCGGATGCTCCTGGTCGGAGGCCGTCTGTCTCCGCCGCCCGAGGTCCTGCTTCCGCCTCTGGACATAGTGCAGTCTCTGGAAGGAGAACCTCAGTCTCTGGTCCACGGGTGCTAGCTCCCGTCATAACCAGGTTATCACCAACATGCTAGGCGAGGAAGAGCCCGACAGTGATGACGGCCGGTCGACCAAATCCGGTGCCAATGCGTCTCGAGCGAGCTCGGTGAAGAATGACGCTGGAATCTTGACTGCTCGCTTCAAACATGTTGTGACGGATGGTGGTCATTCGGTCATCACAGGCAGAGATGGCGACGCTTTACAACGTTGCGAAGATGAACCCATCCACATTCCAGGCGCTATACAGAGTTTTGGCCTTCTCATAGCCTTCAAGGAGATAGACGGCAGGCTGCAGGTCCGGATAGTAAGCGAAAACTCTGCCAAAATCATCGGTTACTCGCCAGCCCAGCTATTCAGGCTCGACAACTTTCTCGACATATTCACGGAGGAGCAGGCTGACAATTTGCTGGAACACCTCGATTTCATCCGCGACGACGAGGCTGCAGATGTTTTGACAAATGGTCCAGAAGTTTTCATGGTTTCAATACGGCCTCCTCAGCACCGTACTCGAAAATTATGGTGCGCAATGCACACAGCGCCTTCGGACAAGGAGCTGATCGTGTGTGAGTTCGAACTGGAGGACGACCAGGCCAATCCACTAGTCTCACTGGACGAAGGCACCCCTGAACCACCCGAAGACACGCTTGGCAGTAAGCCCACGAACGAAGAGCTCGCCGAGAGCACAGTGAACGCCAGTAAGCCCCTCAGAGTGCTGCGCAGCGCGCGCAAGAAGCGTGGCGAGGCTGCAGCCATGGAAGTGTTCAACATCATGTCACAGGTCCAAGAGCAGATGTCAAACGCCCCGAATTTGCAAATCTTCCTGAAAGTTCTGATCGGTGTGGTAAAGGAGCTTTCGGGATTCCATCGAGTCATGGTTTACCAATTCGATCACGCGTGGAATGGTCGCGTCGTGGCGGAGTTGGTAGATCCGCGGGCTACCAAGGACCTCTACAAAGGTCTCAACTTCCCTGCGTCCGATATTCCCAAGCAGGCTCGCGATTTGTATAAAATGAACAAGGTTCGTCTCTTGTACGACAGGGACCAGGAGACAGCGCGACTTGTTTGTCGGTCCCTGGAAGATCTCGAATCGCCACTCGACATGAGCTACGGTTATCTTAGGGCAATGTCTCCTATCCACATCAAGTATCTCGGCAACATGGCAGTACGATCATCAATGTCGATCTCTATCAATGCCTTCGACGAGCTTTGGGGCTTGATAGCTTGCCATTCTTATGGCTCGAAAGGTATGCGCGTGTCCTTTCCCATTCGCAAAATGTGCCGTCTAGTGGGAGACACCGCATCTCGCAATATTGAGCGGTTGTCCTATGCATCCCGGCTGCAGGCCCGGAAGCTGATCAACACCACGTCGTCGGCAGCAAATCCGAGTGGCTACATTGTCGCATCTTCCGAAGACTTGTTGAAGTTATTCGACGCTGATATTGGTGCGCTCTCTATACGAGACGAGACCAAGATCCTCGGCAATCCGACCGGTCATTTGCAGGAAATTCTAGCTATAGTCGAGTATCTTCGAATGCGCCGTTTCAGCGCTGTGATGACATCGCAGGATATCATGGCAGACTTTCCAGACTTCAAATATGCCCCTGGCCTGAAGCAGGTAGCCGGAGTACTGTATGTTCCTCTTTCAGGTGGCGGCCACGATTTCATTACCTTCTTCCGGAAAGGTGTCCTTCAAGAGGTCAAGTGGGCAGGAAATCCTTACGAAAAGTTTGTGCAAGAAGGAACGGAAGGCTATCTTGAGCCGCGAAAGAGCTTCAAAACCTGGAGTGAGACAATCGTCGGAAGGTGTCGCGACTGGACCGAGGAGGAGGTCGAGACAGCGTCGGTACTCTGTCTGGTGTACGGCAAATTCATCGAAGTGTGGCGGCAGAAGGAGGCTGCCTTGCAGAATAGCCAGCTCACCAAATTACTTCTGGCAAATTCCGCGCACGAAGTTCGGACGCCATTGAACCACATCATCAACTACCTTGAGATTGCCCTCGAAGGCGCGCTGGACAACGAAACCCGCGAGAATCTCGCTAAGTCGCATTCGGCATCAAAATCTCTCGTATATGTCATCAATGATCTCCTCGACCTGACGAAAGCGGAAGGCGGGAAAGACCTAGTCAAGGAGGAATCTTTTGACTTGGTTGCTACTCTCACCGAAGCTACTGAGCCATTCACGAATGATGCGAAACGCAAGGGCCTCGATTACTCTGTCAGCATCAATGAAGCTCTCCCACGCAACGTCATCGGTGATGCACGAAGGGTCCGGCAGATATTGTCCAACCTGATTGCAAATGCAATCCAGCACACGAAAGAGGGTCATGTCAACGTCGAGGTAGCCCCGGCTGATGCTACTACGGACAGAGTCGAAGTCGATATAGTAGTCGAGGACACTGGCGCAGGCATGTCTTCTAGCAAAGTTGACGCGCTTTTCAGGGAGTTAGAGGAGGTTTCCTACGAATTGGAAGTATCTGACAGCAAGATGCTCGAGAACGATCCATTCAGTGACCCAGAGACACCTGACAAGACCACGCTCGGCCTCGGCTTGGCTGTTGTCGCTCGCACAGTCCGCACGATGAACGGGCAGCTGAGACTGAAGACCGAAGAAGGAAAAGGATCAAGATTTGTGATTCAGCTTGGCTTCCAGGAGCAGCAGAAGCAGATCCAAGACAAGAACGAATTGACCCCGTTCAGCAGTCCAGGAAAGCATCTTCTTGCTCCACCGATGGAAGGCGAGGTGACTTTGATCAATCGTGCAGTATCCCCACGCCGTGGCTCAGAAGGAGCTGTGCTGCAACGTAGGGCCAGTGCAGACAGTCTGACAAGTCTCAAGAGCCAGAAGAGTGCCAAAAGCAACAACAGTGATCGGAGCGATGCAGACCGGCTCATTGACGCGATCCAACAGCCACTCCATCTCAGTGAAACCTCGCCTGCAGGTCCTCGTCCGGATAGTAAAGGAGGCCACTCGGCGCGTTTGTCCAATTCGTATCCATCTCCGGAAGCTATCAGCATGTCATCACCACAACGTGCTAGTAGCATTGGATCTTCGAGGGAGTTGAGAACGGCTTTCGCTCGAACACCTGGTCAGGAGCAGGTGACTGATTCCGGAGTACCTATCCGCCCTGTCCGATTACCGGAAGAGGATTTTCAAAGAGATTCAGAAAGACGAGCGAAGGAGGCAGGTCTCAAGAACCACGTCAAATTCCAAGAGGACACACAACTTGTGTCATCACCCACAGTCGAAGACCGAGATCTTATCGATGCCGATGCGTACCGCGTATTAGTGGCGGAAGACGATCCAATAAACAGCAAGATCATGAAAAAGAGGCTGGAGAAATTGGGACATACTCCCACCATGACCACAAATGGTGAGGAGTGTGCCTCGGCGCACGGAGATGCGGCAGCCTCTTTTGATGCGGTCTTGATGGATCTACAGGCAAGTTTCCCTGTCACTGTCTATGAATCATTTCTAACAAAGCTTGCAGATGCCCATCGTCGACGGCTACAGTGCCACGAAGATGATTCGTACCTATGAAAAGACTCACGCGGGCACGAGTCTTTCGCCGCGAGCTAGTTGCAACTACAGGATACCAATCTTCGCAGTATCGGCCTCTTTGGTTGAGAAAGATCGTGACAAATACATGGACATTGGATTTGATGGGTGGCTGTTGAAGCCCGTGGACTTCAAACGTGTTCATCAAATGCTGAAGGGAGTAGTTGATGACGAGACACGGGACGCGTGCATATATCGGCCAGGTCATTGGGAACAAGGAGGGTGGTTCACGAAGCGTGAACGGCAACCGGACGCATTCGCTGTTTCGACAGCACCAAGCGAGAAGTCGCCTACGAGCAATTTCATGGCGGTCGCGGATGATGAGGAGCCCAGGGCGTCGACGACTGGTAGTTTAAAGCCACGGGCAGTACCTGAGGAAGGACAGTGAGCTGCTAGCTAGGCTTCGGGTTCAGCTTCGCACCAGGGGTACTTATATCGATTTGGCCAAGCGCGCATTTGGATGGCGTACGCTTAGAGAAGGCAGCGCGGCGTAGGCACACTTGACAGGAGAAGTCTATTGCGTGATCGGAGAATACGATATCATTACAGTGCCATCAAGATTGTCCGTTGTAGAGGTCCAACGCACTACGACATAGTTAATCAGTAGTTCACTCATTGTCGCTCGACGAATATATTCGCACCAAACATACTGCTAATGCGCATATTTCGACCTATACCGCCGCCTGCGCAAAGTATAATTGTCTCTCCATGGCCACCAAAAGAGCTCTGTGCTTGCGAGAGAACGCCACTCGCAGTTTGAAACAACTGGGAGTCTAGGTCTGAAAGCTTTTGCCTGGCATCTTGCGTGGTCCTGGTGCGCGGCTTAACCAACCGGTCTCATGTGAGCCCAGCCACGAGCAAGGTCATCCGGTCTCATATCGGGCCATTGTCATGAGATGTCATCCGGTCTCGTGAAAGGCGCTGTACCCTCGAGAGCCCTCCCTACCTTGCCGCCAAGCTGCCTCGAGACAGTCATCTGAGAGTCACTGACCTGAATGGTCGATATCCCAATTGCTCCGTCAGCAGCACGAATTATCGTTCACGGTGCCCTCCACGGCAGGCGATGGGCTCGCTATCGGCTTTCGACATCATCTGTCAGCCAGACGAAAAATGCACACCGCAACTTTCGTTGGGTTGGCAACTAAGAAGCCACAGCGTTACAGAGTCCCCCCTACTACATTGACATGCAACCTCTTGAAGGGTCGTCACTTCTGTAGCTCGATCTCGTGAAACTTCGCTACTGCTGCCAGCTGACCAGCAGCTACTTGTTCTGCGCAACACGAGAGACCGATCACTTCGATTTTCCAACTTTATCGGGACGGGTCGGAGTAATCTAGTACAACAATATCCATTGTCTGTCAGTATGGCTCAGAGTCCGCCTCAGGCCTACAGGATCCGCAAGGGACACGCAGCAGATATCCCTTCCTGGGGGACATCGAGTGCTCAGCCGGGCAGGTCTTCCGGACTGTTGGTCTCGAAGCGGTTGCGGATGATGAGCCGATGCCGGCGGAGGTATTGACGCGGTATATGGGTTTGGGACTTTTGTGGGTCGCTGTTGCAGTTGATTTTGGTGTGCACGTGGAAGGTGGCAACAATGATGGTGCGGAGGGGCACAGAAGGAACTACGGAGAGGACGAAGAGGTCGTTGGGTTCTTGGCTTGCTTCCCAATTGTTCGGCAGGACACGAACCCTACAACTGTGGAAACAGCGTCCGAAAGAACAACAGCCTCATCTGCCCATCTACACATAGCGGAGCTTTCGGTCCATGTTTCACACCAGAGACGAGGTCTGGGAAAGCGGCTTCTTGAGGCTATGTTTGCCGAGACGAGGAAGCATCCCTTTGTATCTCCGCCGCCGCATTTTGAGGATGAGGAAGACGCGCCAGACAATCCCACGGAAGAAGGGACGGCACCGAGCGAGGCTGTGAAGAAGGCTCGAAGAATACCACTAAAGGGGTATACTCTGACGACATACATACATCTCTCCTTCAACGCGCCATTCTACGAGAAGATGGGCTTTCGTTTGATAGATCCGGTCGATATTGAGGAGAACGTGGGCAGGAGAGCGGCGGAGCTGTGGGAAGAGGAGCAGAGGAGTATTGCAATACCTGAGAAAAGGTGTTGGATGATGAGAGCACTATACCCCTAACTGTACTCGGCCGCAGTCCTGTCATCCGAGCTGTGACATTAAATACAGGGCGTTTTCTTTCGGTCCACGAGCTTTCATTCTCGAGCTACAAATGCTGCTCATCATGATTCCTCGGCCAGGGAGGGCGCTGAGGCCCTTGCACTGTTACGCGTATCGACTCGGCGGGCTTGAAATGAGCCTCACTCGAGCTTTAGTCCGACAGATGAATACCCTGGGGACTCTCTGGCCAGGGTGGGCGCTGTAGGAAAAACGCCCGGTACTTTTTGTCACAGCGTGTCATCCACCATTGGCTGCTGTCGGCGCAGCACCAAGCCTGGCCTTCTCCACATCCGACAGATTTTGGTCCAGCCACTTCGACCGCTCTGTCAAAATCCGATGCCTGATCTCCTCCAGTGGTGCCTTTTTCGCTCGCTCCATGATAGCGTCCGAGGACGCAACAAGTCTCTTTCTCAGGCTCGGCCACTCAAAACCGACCAACTCCCCAGCCTGCTTCCTTACTACTCCATCTACCAACACAATATCCACGTCCGCCACACTCGCGTACAGCACCAGCGCCCTTACCGGGTCATGCACCGGCGTCAACCTCATCGACGTACACTTCGTAAGCACCAAATCCGCCCGCTTGCCCACCTTAATGCTCCCCACCACATCACCTAATCCCATCGCCTCAGCGCCCCCTAGCGTCGCCAGTCTCAGCACCTCCGCACACGACCTTGACATCGCAGTTGGCACGCCCTCACATGCCGTATGCTCTCTATCGCGCTGCGCCTGCAGCAGCAGCCGCATCTGCTGAAACATATCAATCGGATTATTGCACGCTACATCACAGCCCAAGCCGACCGTACAGCCGTGCTTCGAGTCCGCCACAAATGCGATCGGCGGACCCATTGCCATCTGCATTTCCGTTTCTTGCGTTACAGAAAGCGACACACCATTTGCCTTCATGCGTCCAGCTCATCAGGCTGCAGCGAGGCGCCGTGGCTGAAGAGTAGATCGGGACCTAGTAACTTCTGGCTCTCCAGCTGGCGGATGAAGTGCACGCCACGATCTAGCTTGCCTAGTGATATGTGCCCTGTGATCAGTGCAGCACCGAGCTCGCGGCCGTACTGAAACTGTGCGATGGAGGTGGCAAGGTCATAGCGTTCAATCTCTGCTGGGGCGAAGCCGAAGCGGAGAAGACTTGTCTGGGTTGATGAGCTGAAATATTGCTGTTTGATTCGTTTGGCATCTTCAAGCCGCCAGTCGGGTTCCGTTTCGTCCTGGACTGTTCCATTCGCAACACCGGTCCACTTCTGATTGCGGTAGAGACCGTAGCACCATGTGGCACGGATGCGTGCGTCTCGGAGGCCTTCGACCAGCTTGTCGGCGTGGGACGGACTATTGATGAGGTGACAATGGTCCACAAGCGAAGTGATGCCAGCTTCGATCGACTCCAAACCGCCCAGTAAGTTTCCAAGATAAGCATCCTCGGGTGTGTAGCAGGAGCCATAGATGTTTCTGATGTTGAGGAAGTACTCTGGAAGGAGGGCGTCCGAAGTAATGTTCTTCAGCTGCGTCTGCCAGGCATGACGATGGGTATCTACGAAACCAGGAGAAACGATATGGTCTGTTGCATCGATGGTCTCAATGTTGTCCGGGCTCTGTATGTCGCTGCCGATAGCTTTGATGATCCCGTCTTGAACGAGAATGTTGCAATTGTGCTGTACACCAATCTCCTTGTCGACGGACACCACTGTTCCGTTCTTGATGAGATAGTTGTTGGCCATTCTCACGCATACGATGGTGAGGACTGGATTGGCCCACCGAGCCGTCAAGGGATCAAGTTATGTTCAAGGAGTGGCGGTGCCTTGCCTAGCAATTCCCCGTGTTCTTGCAGTCCTTGCAGCCATCTGAATGCAACTGCGTGTGCTCGGGAAATCCAGACTATTTCCCTATTTCCCGACGTCTGGGGTATGGCGTTTTCGTCCGAGGTCTGACGCGGGATCGGGGTCCAGCTTTGGGGAATACCCCAAGCCTAGCGCCGAGCCTGCCACCGAATGGCTTGGACACCTGTCCCGAGAAACGGGCAGCTGATACTTTGCCTAAGGATGCCCGTTAGCGTGACTCGCGAGCGTGCTCCGCGTTCTCTGATTCAATCGCATGATACCTAGCTACTTTTCTGTTGCACTATGTCGAGGACTCAATGAGCAGCACCGGATTCAGTGTATAGATTGTTGCTGAGCATGTCGAAATTGAAGTCATCAGCGAATGCGTGGAACATAGACGAAGCGTTCAAGATTGGTTGGAAGAAGTCTCCCAGTCCGTCGCTGCTGAAGACACCGCCCGTGGTGTCGATAAGAGGCATATGGTAAGTCTCGTGGGGCTCGATATTGGTCGTCACAAGCGTCGTACCTGGAAGGACGTCAGCCGGGCTGATCTTGGGATTCACTACTATCTCATGGACTTACCCTCAGTACTGTTTGATCCGTGCTGCAGATCTGTGCCTTGAGTGAGACCCTCTGGGCTGATGACCGTCACTTCCTCGCCTTCGATGGCATAAGCACCATCGTCCTTCCACAGAATGCTATTCATGGTGAGAATGGTGCGTCGTGCAAGAGAAGCTTCGATAGAGAACCCTTTCAACTTTGCAGGGCTTGTGACCTTGGGTTCACCTTCTAGTCCCGGTTGGTTCTGCATGTGCATTTGCGTGATGTATGTAGCATATATCTCCTGTGTGACCAGTCAGCGATCTTGCGCCAGGTTACAGTATTTGACTCACAAGCAAGGCTATTGAACGCCAGTATTTAGCCATCTTGGTGATAACGTTCATGTTCGCAGTACCTATCCGGTCTGCTCTTTCGCGTACAGCGGGATCTAGGCACCATTTGAACGGAGCCTGCACGGCGAAGCTGCAGTAGGCGGCAAATCCAATGAAGCTGGGGTAATTCGATACGTCCTCTCCACGCACGGAAGCCAAGTCTAGCAGTTGTGTTATTGCGCAGGAACTGTCGTAGGCAATTTGTGCAGATATCTGTCGCGTGAAGGCTGGCGCTGACGTACTTGGTCCCCATGAGAATAGCGGGACCACTGAGGAATGGAGTGCACACAAGCACTGGTGGTATGCGACGTTAATCAGTAGAAGCTTCGGAATAGGGACACTTTGTGTGCACGCCAGGGTGTCGGCATCAAGGCAAAGGCTGGCTGGCACGCGTGCCCACCAGTCTCTCACCTTGGCGTCAAGTTGATGCATGCTGTTGATTCTCTCGTCCATCGGACTGTCCTTGACGTTGATCAAGGCATTTACTGAAGACCTGACCCAAAGTCAGAGGACTGTCCAAACAGAGACGGAACAGCTCTTACCACTGTGTCATAGCACGAATGACTTCGGCATACATTGAACCACTTGGTGAGTCTGACTCCAGAGTATCGGGCGCGGTCGACGATACTCCTTTCTCAAAATCTGCATCGTGCCACGGCAGTGCTAGACTGCTTACCTTCTTCAATGAATTGATAGCAAAGATGGACTCTGAACTGTGGCAGTTGATTAAGTAGCATGCCCAGAAGCGACGGCGAGAGATCTCGGCTGCTAGATCAGAAGACTTGGACCGCCTAGTGCCCGCGAGATTAAGGATGTGTGCGGTTTGTATTGCATTCCCTGAATTGGACGTCAGAGAGAGGACAGAAACCGGTCACCTTACCTACCTTTGTAAATATACGATCTCCTCCACGAGCCTCGAGTGTACCAGAACAGGTGCAGATGCGCGCATGTCACGACGTTGTCTTCGTGTGGCGATTCGATCTCGCTGAGTACCAGTTGCCCTGCTCTGGTAGCCCACTCGCGCGCGAAGCCATGGTCGATGAGGGTAGCTTGGCCATCATGATCTCGGTAAAATCTATTGTCGTCAGTACCGGGATCATCAAGGGCGGTGCCACCTACATTGCGCCCCACGCACAGACGCTAAGTACGACATGGGTTTTGATCAGGCCCAGCGACCGCTCATGCATGAATGATGGCTCATGAAGGAGCAAGTGAGAATTGTAGACATGAGAGAAGTACAGCTTGATCAGCTTCTGGACCAGTGGCTCCGGTACACCAATATAGTCTGGAACGTGAGGTGGCTCTTGGTAGACAATGGACAACGGCTCCGAAGTGCGCATCGGACCTTGTTGTCTTTGCAGGTGTGGCGGTGATGCAGCATCTACCAAAGGACCGGGAGCATCTGTTGGGCGGCATTTTGAAGGTCTTGCAGCTCCGGAATAGCGACAGGCATTGTTCAGCCTGGTACACCTCCGACATCGAGGGACATCTCGTGTACAGCGGACCTGACCCTTAGTGACGCGTCACTGAAGGATCGAATATCATACCTTCGAGGCTCTACATTGGTGACACGCAGTCGGTGGTCGCCCGGCTGTCGAATCCCCAGTTGTAGGCATCAGGACTGTTCATCAATAGATAAGACCTTGGCTCCTGCCTGACAACTCGGCTGACAACCGCGACTAGGCTGCATCGCGCTTGCTCAGATTCTGCCTTGCTGTGTGGCGGTGGTCTTCGAGGCTGTCTGTCCTTACCCAACATATATTTTCCGAAGCTTCGGAAGTGTCGTGAGCAGGAGCGAAGTCTAGGGATTAACGCTTCGTGCCCAGGAAAGCCAGGGTCCTCCCCAGCCGAGCGCCAAGCCTACTTTCCCGATCACGTCGTCGATTTCCCGACGATGATTCATCCTGCCTCCCGTTGCCACGCAGTCCCTGACCCTCTGAAACTACGAAGTTGGTCTGCGCTAGCCGCGAAGGCCAGTTAGGATGGGTTCACGATCAAACGATGTTGCCCAGCTGCTCAGTGGGAGACGTCGATGGTCAGCAAGAATATCATATTGGTAGGTAACGAACGTCTTGTGGGCAAGCAAAGTGCTCCTGGGAGGCCTGCTGCTTTCTAAGCGTGCTTCGATGAGTTCTACCACGCAAAAGACAGGCTTCGGTCTGGGCAATTTACCTTATGGCATCTTCAGCACAGTTGACGACACAAGATGCCGCATTGGTATCGCTGTCGAAACGTACGTGCTCGACCTCAGTGTCTTTCTGCAGCAGCAGCCTGTCCAGAACCTCGACTTTGACTCTTCAGTCCTGCGAGATGAGACTTTGAATCGATACGCTGCGCTTGGCCAGCCGGTTCACCAGCATGTTAGAGCACATCTGCAGCAGACACTACCACGATTGCTAAAGCAAGATGAGACGGGACTTCGCGCTGCAGGACTTTGCCCTCGTTCCGAGGTCTTGAATCATCTTCCGTTCGACATTGGGGACTATACTGATTTCTTCACGAGCCCGGATCATGCCCGGCGAGTAAGTGACGCCGAATCATTACGACCCATCAACTTGCTACGTCGCCCTTACTAACCAGTATGCCGTCAGTGTGGCGAAATATTTCGACCGGGCCAGCCAATGGGATCCAACTTCTCCTCGATGCCTTTGGCATACCACGGCCGTAGCTCTTCAATAGTGGTCTCGGGCACTGATGTCTATCGGCCATCGGGTCAGTACCTGAAAGACGGAGTCAAGACCTTTGGACCTTCTCAGAAGCTCGATTTCGAGCTTGAGCTGGGAGTATTCGTTGGCAAACCCAGCCAGCGAGGCAAGCCTATCGCAATCGACGAGGCCGATGACCACATCTTTGGCTATGTCCTTATGAACGACTGGTCTGCCAGGGATATTCAGCAGTTTGAAGCCCAACCGCTCGGGCCATTCAATGGCAAGAACTTCTGCACCACTGTATCGCCATGGGTTATTCCACCAGAGGCTCTTGAGCCTTCCGAGCCCAGCTGAGAGCGCAGGTAAGGTCTACAAGGGCATGCTAAGGAGGATGCTGACCTTCATGGCAAGGATGATCTACCATGTTATCTGAAGCGAAGCGATGGTAGAGTTGAGCACGTCTATGACATTCCTGTGGATATCTTTATCAAGGGTACGCTCGCTGTTCTTTCTGATGCTATTCATGTGGAGCTGACCATGAGTACAGCTCCTCGATACGACGGAACACTAGTCATGAGTAGTAACACAAAGCACATCTCTTTCTCGCCTGCACAGATGCTGTCGCATCACACCGTCGGAGGTTGCCCGATGCGAGCCGGAGATCTATTTGCTTCCGGAACATTGTCTGGGGCTACACTACAGGAAGCTGGCTGCCTGCTGGAAGCGACTTGGAACGGGATACAGAAACTCGAGCTAGTCAGCAGTCAGGGCGATGGGGCATCAGAGGATGACGTCCGTACGTGGCTGAAGGACGGAGATACTGTATCGTTTTGTGTTGGCGGCGCTGCATCAGATATCGATTTTGGCGCATGCGAGGGCACGATCTGCTCGAAGAGCTCTAGTGACACTTGATGTGAGAGCTACCAGGGACCGAGAAGAGGAGCAGGCTGTGGACACAGGTACTGGGCGCTTTTCGCCAGCAGGCCTGTATGCTACTCATTATGGACTATCAGGCCCGGAAGGGTGCTGAAGGCCGTTTTCCCTGTCGCTGATCGAATCAATGGGCTGAGATGAGCCTCACTTGATCGTCAAAACAATGGGAAAAATATATTGAGAACTCCTGGCCAGGAAGGACGCTGTAGAAATCCTTTTGCCGCAAGCTGGGGAAAACGCCCGGCTCTTGCTTCCACAGCTTGGAGAAGTTGCTAGGTACCAAGGTAGATAGAGCGAGCAGATACAGTCGCCAAGATCCACGCAGGACAACACAAAAGCACTCGCGGCGGAATAACCATTCTTAAAATACAGCAGCTCCGACTGTTTGAGTCCACCTGCACAATCCCAAGCTGCCGCCATTTGCAACATCCGTCTAGCATCACAAGGCATACTTGTAATCGGGATGAGCATCCCCAAGCTTCTCTAGCTGCTGCGCAGAGCTCAGGTCCTCCATGCCCGCCAACATTTTCTCCCTATACGCAGCAGTGCTCTTCTTCTGATTGCCTCTCCAGAAGACCCATATAGCCGTTGCACTCGCGACAAGCGCGACTACATTGGCAGCCAGTATGAGACGGGCAGCGTCGGATAGTACGGAGCCTCCCGGGTCGGGAAAATCCATGTGGAGAGGATGCCGCCCACATTTACAGCCACAGTTTCGACAGCGATAGCCGTTGCCCGACGGGTATGCGATGCCGTGTTGTTCGGAATCCAAGCGACCTGGCAAGGAACATTTGAATACATGCCGCCGAGGAGAAAGAATAGTCCAGCGTAGCGGACGCTAAAGGTATGTCCAACGAGGAACATGATGGAGCCAATGAGGGACAGTGTATATGTGGCCAGGATTGGAATACCACGGGAGTTGTATTTGTCGGAATAGTAGCAGACGACGATGGTGAGCGGTACCGCGGCGGCAAAGGGTGGGACAGACATCAGCTGGGTCTTGATAACTCCAAAACCCATGTCGCGTACAATGGAAGGAGTGAAGTATGCGAGGCCGAAAATCGCTATGCCGGAGCATAGTGCCGTGAGCCAGATGCAGAGCAGGCCAGGGCTGGCGAAGACAGAGAGAACCTTGCGGATAGTAACTTTCTCGTTGTCCAGGATATCAACGTCTGCCTTCAGCCTTTCAGCGCAGCGCTGTCTTTGCTCGGCAGTCATGAACTTGACAGTCTGCGGGCTGTTGGGCAGCAAGATGAACACGAGTACCGCCCAGGCAACGGTAAAAATTCCTTCGAGGCAGAAGATCCATCTCCAGCCACGCATGTCGGCGACGCCATCCATCTTGCCAATCCCTGCAGCGAGAAGGCCGGAGAAGGCGCCACTGAGCGATGCGGCCGACCAGAATAGGCCGATACGTAGCGACAGATCTTTGCGGCGGTAGAACATGCTCAGATAGAGGATCCTGTAGCCAGGTCAGTATTATATCCGGCCGCTCGCTGCACAGTGCAACATGCTTACACTCCAGGAAACAGACCGCCTTCCATTAGACCCAGCATGAATCTACATGCCACCAGACCTGCATAATTGTGTACGAGGCATTGAAGCGTGGAGATGATTCCCCAAGCGCCGCACAGGAAGGGGATATATATCCGAGCTCCGATGTATTTTAGGATCAAGTTCGAGGGTATCTCGCTGGCGATATAAGGCACGTAGGTCACCGTGATTGCTGTGATAGAGCAGGTTAGCATTGTCGCCACATAGGAGGAGCACTGCCTCACCAATTTGATACTGATAATCGCTCAGTCCGAGGTCCTTTTGTAGCCCAGCCTGTTGGACAATTAGCATCCCATAGCAAGTCGTACAAGCTCAGTCAGAACGTACGACTCGTGCGTTTCCGATATTGGCTCTGTCCAAGAATGCAAGCAGATATACGGTCGTGACCAGCGGTATGATCAGAAGGTCGAGCTTCAGGTTGATCTTGCGATCAAATGCGGCCAGCTCTTCTTCGGACGAGCGATCTTGGCCGGCGAGCTGGGCATTGGGTTGAGACTTGCCCTCCTCTACCTCGAGCACAGTCTCGTACTTCTCCTTCTCATTGAGGCTGGTGCTGTCCATAGTCTCGGGATATCACAATTAGCATTAGCTGGCTGTAAAGTGACAGTGCTGGAGGAGTGAGTCGAAGTACGGATGAACGCTATAAAACATGGAGTGATGGGATCTATTTGACTTGGCTGAGCAGTACCTACCATTTCGGTAACAACCCCAGATCACTCCGCTCCGCTTTTCAGCTCTAGATTTGCCGAGCCACCTTGAGCTTGAGTCCGAGGCCAGCATGACACCAGGATTTGCAGTAGTCGACAAGCGTAATTTTCGTGAAGAGTGCTGGCCAGATCTACGTCTGAGCATCGCGTCGGGAAATGCTTGGCACAATCCACTCACGTCGGGAAATGGTGGGGGCTCGGGAAAAGGTCTCCTGGTTCAGGGCTCTCCTTCGGAGGCAGTGGCCTCCACACATGAGCGTCGTGGGATCCGTAGAAGCTGAACGCGCTCAGAGCTTGCTTCTCTCTGCTCCTGTCTGATTGAATTCCTATCTACCACAGAATTCGCGAAGGAGCATCGTGATACTGACCGTACGCGTCGCTGTTTGATCAGTGGCCAATTTCAATACTTCACCAGCCTCTATCGTTCTTCCACGGTGGCGGTGGCGGTTCATCAAGATGATTGCCCAGCCCATGACGGTCAGTGACTCGCCCATATCCGACCTCCCAGCCACAAAACGCCTCATTACGACACACTCCCCAACAGGCTCAGCAATCATCCACTCCGACGATGCCACTCGATGGCAACCAATGCGATCCGGCGCTGTCGCCATGTCCCTGATCTATACCACATCGACGTTTCCAGCCAACCTGAACTCTGACACCGACATCAAAGCGCACGACTCCAAAGTAGCCTCTGGAGGCATCGGGCTCGTCAACGGCGGTGGCAGTGTCTGCCGCATGGTCGACTTCGCTCCAGGTAACGAACCAATGATGCACCGCACGCAAAGTCTGGACTATGGCGTTGTGCTAGAGGGCGAAGTGGAGATGATCTTGGACTCGGGTGAGGTGCATCTGATGAGGCGGGGTGATGTGGCCGTGCAGCGTGCGACGATGCATGCGTGGCGGAATCCGAGTGAGACGGAGTGGGCGAGGATGATGTTTGTCCTATTAGATTGTCAGGCTGTCAGGGTTGGGGATGTGTGCTTGAAGGAGCAGCTGGCGCCGGGCCAGCACGAAATGCCCGCAAGCGGCAATGATGCTTGACCGCGGCGCCTGCCCTTCCTCTATGGCACCGTCTAAGATGGGTCAGCGGAACTACCTTCGCCCGCTTTGCGCATAGGGATGACCATCTTCAAGTGCTTAGTACGGGCTGCATAGTTTCAGAGCCCTGTTACACCAGTTCATGGTCATTGATGCTGCTGCAAGATATGTCCTGCGCTTATGTTGAATCCTTCAGCGTTCGCTATGCCAGGAACATCAGATAGCCAGAGGAATGAACCGCTACGAATCCACATAGTATAACTCTGGCTTCGACGAACGGCAGCGTTCAAATGATCTGGCACAATTATTACATACCAGGTAGATGATCCGACCTTTGGTCGTACATTCTTATATCCTTGCCAGTTAGAAGACGACGAAAAGAAATCGATGATGGAAAACAGGGCTAGGGAGACGCAAGAGCACTTATCATGCAAAAGTCACGGTGGCGACGATAGACGCGATGTTTCGTTGTTGTTGTCCTTGATCAGACTTTCGCAACGCCGATATGTCATCAATCACTACAGCCCCGAATCCTTGCAAGCCCACGCTGCCAGCTCAATTGCGTCGCAGTATCTGAGACTGTGATCGACTGATCATGGACCGACGGCATGCCGGAAGGGGTAATACTGGTCAGGCCTGCCAACACCCGAAAGGTTAATGTCGCGGTGCTGAGGTGAGTGAATCATGTCAGGCAGCCGACTTTGTGAGTGGCTGCCACCATGAGTTGCTCGCAAGTCTGTGGACTGCGAGCTATTGTAAATATAATGTGTACTCCAGCGACTGCTATCTCGTCTGGCAGTGGCCCATTTTCTGAAGCAGGCTGCGGGCTGGAAACACTGAGCAGACCATGGATATCACATCTGAGCACCACACAGCGCTTGTGGTAGCCCTTTCGGTGCTACTTTTGTCATACATTGTCTACTGTAGACACTTTCATCCATTGGCGTCTGTGCCTGGTCCATTTCTCGCGAGCATCACGACTGCGTGGCTCGCGCATGCATACTGGCGTCAAGATTGGCACAAGTATGCGATACAGCTCCACAAGCAGTACGGTCCTGTCGTTAGGATAGGACCCAACGCGGTAGACGTTGGTGATCCTGAGGCTGTCAAGGTCATATATGGTACTTGGTCGCGCTGTTATCGAGATTAGGCTGGGAGGCTAACCTTAAACAGGAGCAGGAAGCAAGTTCTTCAAGGGACAGTGGTACGGTGAGTTCTGGTTTGAAGCGCCAGATCGATGTCCGGATGACTGATTTTGAGCTCGTGCAGCTCACCTAGCGCGGGCCGGGCTCGAAGGACTCTGATCACTATCGCCGACAAAACGGAGCACAAGAAGCTGCGCCGCATGATCGACCCCTTGTATACACTCAAGGCAGCGAGAGAGTCCGAGGCGCTCTTCAATGAACCGATTGATTTCTTTGTGCAGCAGATGAACGCTAAGAAGGGACAAGTCGTCGATATGGCAGACTGGGCTGTCGCTCTCGCGGTAGATGCATTTACGTCTATGACGTACGGGAAGCCGTACGGTTGTCTGAACGAGGGCCAAGGGGATGACATGCTGGCTTTCGTCCACAACAACTGGATGCCATACACGTGGATAAATGCGCTCGCACCGTGGCTGAGCTCACTCGAAAAAAGATTCCGGAATTTGCAGGTGGCCGCGAAAGTCATAGCAACAGGCAAACCACCGGTGCAGATCTTCGGATGGGTCGCTGAGCAGCTGAAGAAGGGGTATGCTGCGTGCGACGAGTCTGGCAGACCACGACGAGTCCTGACAATGCTGGAGCGAAGCATTAGAGTCCAGCAGGACCACCCCGAAGAGTTCGGAAGAGATTCTGTTGAGGCGCACATGGTAAGTTGGTGTTTAGCAAGCACCCCGACCTAATTGGCTGACCTAAACGATAAGTTCGAGGTTGTTTTCGCGGGCTTTGAGACATGTGGTGCGACAATACCAAAGATGCTGTATCATATCTCGACCACTCCAGGATGTCAGGATCGGCTGAGGAGTGAGCTTGCCGCTGTAAAGCGACCGTCAGGTCTTGATGGCTTGGCCACATATGACGAGCTGACTCAACTGCCCTACCTGAACGCATGCATCCACGAAAGCTATCGCATCAATCCAATCACAGGCCTTTCGCTAAGTAGGAAGGTGCCCGAAGGCGGTGTCACGATGAACGGCTTTGACATTCCTGCGGGTGTGAGTTGGTCCCAGCTCTAGTCGCATGTTTGCTTACTCGTCAGATTGAAATCGGGATCACTCCACAGGTTCCAGTCTCGAATGAACGAATCATGCCGCAGCCCGAGCTGTTCAGACCGGAGCGGTGGCTTGAGGCAACGAAAGAAGAACGAGCTTTGATGGGTGAGACGCATTCAGTGAAACAATGGTCTGTACTGACAGCGAGCAGAACGAATCGATCTCATGTTCGGTGGAGGACAAAGTCGATGTCCGGGGAATGGTAAGTTAGGTCTTGATGTAGCGATGTCGTTGGCTCTGACGGACGACAGTATTTGCTGCAGCTCTTTTGCACAAGGTCGTCGCCGTAGTATACTCTAACTTCAGGGTCGAGTTCATCGGGCCACCTAGTGACATCCGTGAAACGAATCGCTTTCCTGTTAAGTGGGAGAATGTCAAAATGAGGCTTACGTCCATCTAGGTGCTCGTGGATGTGGACAGTCAGCAATGGATGGTCAGCACAGAGACTCGAAATTCATGCAGGCGTGCACTTGATCCACCTTCGGTGTCCTCGTTCCTGGTATCAGCGAGGCATGTGGTCATGCAGTCAGAGCACGGGTTTCGTCCCATGATCTTGCGACGCGGGAATCTGCGGCCAGCGTGATAGCACAACTGCTGGTAGCCATGTTAGTTATTCAACAGACGCCGGGTTGCTCGTGTGCTTTACAAGATCCTTTCGGGCATACCACACCTGCCGACTTCAATACTTACCTAACGAGGGTCTTGGCATTGACTGCCTCGCATTTGACTTTGGCGGCAGGTATCTGAAAAGATGTCGCAGACCCGCTTGTTATTGCCTCGTGCCCTTCACGTCACCTATTGTCCAGTGTGCCGCAGTTCGGCATGCTTGTGCATGCAGCAGTAGGTACTCGCGCAGGATGGATCGACCTAGCTACCCTCGTTTTGAGCGCATGCGCCAAGCACACCGCGATCCATGACGATGACGCCTGCCGAGCCACGCGTTTGCCTGATAGCGGCAACATCCTCCGACGCGATGTTCACTGCCAGCTCTATCGGGGATAAGGCTGCCACCTAGGGCTGCCGGTGTGCAAGCTTCCAGGATTCTCAGTGAATCCGTGGATTTGGCATAGTACTGGTGTCATGCCCTGCTCCCTCCATTGTATTAATTCTGACTAAAATCACCAAATCTCAATCAGCCGCTGACTACGATCATTCTTTGCCCAACCATGCCAGCAGGGCCATATCCCACAGCGTTCGACGCTGTCGTAACTCATACAGCACCGACTGAACCTCGCAATGACATTCGGCGACCACTATCAGCGGCGCCTTCCTACACCTCACTCCCACCTTATTCGTCCACAAACCCAATGGAATCGCAATCAGTGTCAAATCCGTTGCTCGCAGCCGCTCATGCAACGCCCGGTGCGCTGATATCGACTATGACTCTGACCAACCATACATCGACACAGGCTCGACATCCGCACATCGGGACCGCTATGCACGTCTCTCGTTATCTTTCTGCTCGGACGAGCGACAACCGGGAGCGCTATCGTCTAGAGAGCGTCGACGGAAGTCTTGAGAGTATCGTGTGGCGAGATGCGACACTTAACGGGCACCATAGCTTGGATGCGACGGGTAAAGATATTGTCGGTCGTCTCGTAGGCGGCAGCCAGGAGCTGAGCGCCATAATAGGACCCGGCAGCAAGAGTGCCTCGCAGCGTCCGTTCATTAGTATGAATTACGTGGCAATACAGAAGACTGGCAGGCTTGAAGTGCCTGCATTCACGGTCGAGGGACAGCATGTTGGCATGAAGTGGGAGGTCGTGGGTCTGGCGGACTCCGTCAGAAACTCGACCAATCTCGCTCGTGCTGGAGACATGGTGGCTGGTAGAAGGAGCTCATCGGGAACATTGCCTTCACGGGTCTCCATGGATGCTCACGACCAGAAACGCCAACACGCTGGCATCTCATTCCTTCGCTTGGTTGACAACGACGGCAATGTCTATGCTGAATACAGTCACGACGTTGGCCTGCCCGATTTGCATAAAGATGGTGAGTTATGGGGCGAGTTGAGGCTATACGCCAGGTCAGTGTTGATCGACGGTGAACCGGGCGGTGGGCTCGGGGAGAAAATGGATCGTGCCTTCCTGACCCTTGTGCTCTTGCTAGAAGCATCTGTGAGAGTTCTAGGAGGCAACAAGAAGGGAGAGCGGAATTGGGGCAACTTTGCTGGCTCAATGGGCTGTATAGTGATGTGAGGGCATGAATGTGAAGACCTTGCGACATGTTGCTTCGAAGATCTCAACCTCGGAAAGACCTTCCCCGAGATCATGGAATTACGCGGATACTAGGACGCAATCGCCGGCGGCGATCGCGATCCGGTCGCAAATTGACAGGTATACCGAGATGTCCCGGAAGTCGCAACTTCCCTGGATAAGTATAGCAGCTGCACAGTAGTTGCAACCACGACAGAGTCGCAGAGTCTTCATGTCCACATTGAGAAATGGAAGTCACGAACCGAGGGCGATCGGAAGGCGACCAAGGCGAGGGCGAGAGCGCGTATGACTGCGGGACCAGATCACAAGACGCAGTCCGGCTGCAGCTGAAAGGTGGTGGAGGCAATTCTGAAGAGCAACTATCCAGTAAGCAAAAGTGTCAACAGCATCTGCTCTCTCAGTGGAAAATTGGTCAGATCAATGGCAGAGACGTACCCGATCCCATCAGAGGAGATGCGAGGCATCAAGGTAAGGTCCGCATGGCATCTCCACGCCTTCTGAAGTTTTCTGACCATTTTGTTTGACAGAACTTGAATCGATCCTGCGACAGCCAATTTTGACACAATGAGCTCCGACGGATGTTGCAACGGAGTCTCTCACTGGAAGCGATACTGACGGCGAAGCGACGTACTCAAAGCTCACGGTCTGAGCATGGCACCCCAACGAGGCGCTGGTGGTCCAAGATAATGAGAGCTGGGAAGGTAAAGCATAAGTAGCCATGCGGTTCTGCGTTACTGTGAGCTGAAAGGGAAGAGCTGTGGAGAATTCCGCAGCCACCGTCCACTCCAGTCATAGTGTCCCGAGGTCTTCTACGTGGCCCGGGTCTTGTCTGGTCATGCGCAAAGCTATCGGCTGATAAGGGTTGCCTTGCTGCCTATTATTGTTCCGCCACAAGGCGTCCGTAGACTACGAGTACCTCAGTGCTGTAGACCTTACTCCATCTCCACTAGGAACGACCGTATATTGTGCTGACCATTTGACTAATCGAGTCCCATTTGTGACTTACCGAACGTCACAGCTGAACCATGGTGTATGGCCCCACCAGTTGACGAACAGACACCTGCCATCGGGCGGATTCGGCCATCAGCAACCCTGTAAGTCAGAACCCGAAATTGGCCATCGAACTGGCGATGTCCTCAGACCGTCCAAATCCGCGCCGCTCATCTCGCGACATCGACATCAACAAGCTGTCCGAATCGCAGCTACTCACGCGACCTCCACGACCTAGCCAGTCCCAGCCCTCATCCACACCCCTGCCGACCCATCATCGACGACCGTCATCAACACTGGTACCTCAGCCGCCTCCACAACAAGAACGTACTCCCTCTCCAGCACCCCCCTCACCAGACAACCCCACCACCTCAGACCTGCCCCTCTCCCTCTCAGCCTCTACGCTCCTGCACTCGCCCGCCCTCCCCACGGACGCCCGGACCGCGCTAAATCAAATTGCTTCGACCCTAGATCCACCCTCACATAAGATCACGGTCCGGTTCCACGCCATCGGCGACGCGCCACCGCTGAAGCAGAAGGTCGCCAAGGTTTCGGCTAGTAATACGTTTGCTACGATTGTGAAGTTCTTGAGGAAGCGGCTCTATCCGGAGGGAGGTGGGGAGGGGAGAGAGGCAGATGGGTTGTTTTGCTACGTCAATAGTGTGTTTGCGCCGGGGCTGGATGAGGGAGTGGGCAATCTGTGGCGGGTGAGTATGTCCTCAGGACAGCAGGGCGTATGCTGACGATGATGACAGTGCTTCAAGGTCGATGATCAATTAATTGTTGCGTATTCGAGGACGCCAGCGTTTGGGTGAGCTCGATCAGGAGATCGGCGACGAGGAGCGATAAAGGAAGGTTCAACGACTTTTGATTCTAGACAACGCTTGCTACCTGATGCAATGACACGATACGCTTTCAGATGCTGGTACTGTCGCTGGGCAGACTGGGACGGCTCAACCATCTCTGGCAGGCTCTTCCTGCTGCAACTTTTCTGCCAATGCGCGACTCACAGCCGGATCCCGCTTGTACTCAAATTCCGCGCTCGGATATGAGCCCTCTCTGACCTCGTTCTTGTACTTCTTGACTCCCTGCAACGCCTCCGACCAAACATTCGCGTATGTCTTCACAAACTTCGGCAGGAAACTACCCTCCGGTCTCCAGCCCAGCATGTCGACCTGGACCAGCACTTGCCCGCTACATCCTTGGCCCGCACCGATACCAATAGTCGGCACACCCAAACGCTGGGTTACGACTTCGGCGACATCCCCTGGCACAGCTTCCAACACCACCATGAAAGCACCAGCATCTTGTACTGCCTTCGCGTCCTCCCATAATCGTACCGCCTTCCCCACACTATTCCCCTGCACCTTGAATCCACCCAACGCATGCTGCCGCTGCGGCGTCAACCCAATATGCGCAACCACACTGATGCCCGCAGTTGTAATGGCCTTTATCCTCGGCGCCATCTCAGCTCCACCTTCAAGCTTCACAGCATGTACTCTTCCCTCTTTCACCATACGAATCGCACTGGCCACGGCCTGCTGATCGCTGACCTCGTAGCTGCCCATCGGCAGATCGCCCACCACGAAGCAGCGTGAGCTAGCAGCGCGAGAGACGGCGCGCGTGAACACCAGCATCTCATCGAGGGTGATCTCGGAGGTGTCGGGCATGCCAAGGGCGACCATGGCGAGCGAGTCGCCGACCAGGAGCATGTCGATGCCGGCGGAAGCGGCGAGGAGGGCAGAGGGATAGTCGTGCGCGGTGAGCATGGTTATGGGTGTCTTGGCGCGGTAGAGGGACTGCAAGGTGAGGAGCGTTGTGGGTTTGGTCGTGCTGGTGGAGGTTGGTGATGTGGAGGGGGCATGAGAGGAGTGGCGGACTTGGTGGTGTGGTTGGACCCGACGTGGTGACGAGGCATGTTGCTGTTGTCGTGCTATAGGCGGAATGAGAGCGCGGTGTAGCGGAGGCATAGATTGACGAAGTGTTCGCGACACGGCGACAGCAGGGCTGCCGGCCATGTTGGGCTTTCGGCAAGCAGTCGGGTGTTTGGTCCCGTGTCTGCAGGAGTTTAGGTGAGCTTCAGTCTGCTCGCGTGCTTGATATCCCTAAGGTGGTCTGAGATCGTGTGATATGAGGTCAGCCACAGGCACGGGCACCTGTGCGAGTCGTGACGCTGCTTGAGTCATTGCGGGAAAGCACGACAAACGCATATATAAACAAAGGTGAACGTGATGAGTTCTTACAGTGTTGTTTCGAGAATGCCAGTGCGTGGAATTCTCAGGTCCGACAATTTATTTCACAACCGAGGCCCGTGGCAGTAGGCGTGACTAAGCCTAATTTGGGTGTGGCTGATGGGCGCCAGCGACACCCGGGCAAGGCTGCCCATCCCTATGGTGCCTGGAGAGACGTTGGCTTCGAGATCTTGCATACCGGCTTGTCCGTAGACTAGGTAGCATGGTTGCCTCTCTTGCCATGCTCTGCCCAATCGACGCTTCGCGGCTGGTCGAAGTCACGTATGGCAGGAGATTGGCAGGAAGGACCGTCGGCATCGCTCTGTGTCGCTCCCAACGCGGCGTGTCTACTGTACAGTAGGTGCCCAGGCGAATAATAGCCTTCGACCCCTCTCTAGGTGCGTTTCTCCGACACCTCCAGGTCGGCACATTGCGAGAGCATGTCCCTTTGCTTTGCTGCAAGGACGACCCAAAGCGCGACGTGCTCTCGTAAGTAAGGTCCAGATAGGAGTGGTCAAGCTCTACTTCCGCTTCAAGGAACCGACCTGGCTGTTGTGAAATGGTCCAGCTCAGAGAGGAGATCAGCCAACCTCGGCACCGTTCATCGTTCCACGACGACGATCGTCGTCAAAAAGTCCAGCTATCAACACAGTTGCGCTCTACTCCGACCATACCGCCATGAATTGCGCGTTTGCTCCGACACCAACATAGACGCCATATATTCCCACAGCAAGTCCCTGGGAAGCGAATGATCATAGATTGATCCTGCGACCTGACATACAAGTGAGATTCATTCTAACCCTTCGTGGCTTGATCTGCAGAACAGTTTCAGCCATCAGAGCCCGTCTTGACCTGGAATCGAACCTCAAGGACATAGTCCTCAATCCGCTCAGTTTATGTCCGAACAGCCTGCATACCTGCAACCACCGCCGAGAGTATGGGCAGCGTCGCTACACCGATGACGCCAGGCCTCAGTCCGGCCTACGCGGCACTGAAAACCAACGCGGCCCGTCTCAATGCCACCTTAGAGTACTCATGTCAATGGGGCGCAACACCAGATGGGGGCATGAATCGCCTGTCCGCCAACGACGACGATAAGCGAGTACGTGACTGGTTCGTAGCGGAAACGGCCAAGTGCGGTTGTGTACACAAAGTCGACAGCATGGGCAACATTTTCGCGATCCGGCCCGGGCAGAACAACGACCTCCCACCAATTGGGCTGGGCTCGCATTTGGATACGCAGCCGACAGGCGGCAAGTATGACGGGATTCTAGGAGTGTTGTGCGCGATGGAAGTTTTAAGCACGGTGCACGAGGCCAGAGTGACAACGTACGCGCCACTGGCAGTAGTCAACTGGACTAACGAGGAAGGGGCCCGTTTCCCGCCCGCCATGCTTGGGTCGGGAGTCTGGGCAGGACAGTTCACTCTCGAGCACGGACAGACTCGGCAGAGCGTCACTGGTGAAACGATGAAACAGGAGCTGGAGCGGATTGGGTACTTAGGAAGCACCCCATGCTCAAACACCGACAACCCTCTCTCTGCACATTTTGAGGTCCACATCGAGCAGGGTACCATTTTAGATGGCGCCGAGCAGCCCGTCGGTATTATCAGAGGCGCACAGTCTGTGCGATGGTACCGACTTGTCGTCACCGGCCGTGCAGAGCACACTGGCGGCACACCGATGGACAAGAGGAGTGATTCGCTGCTCGTGGCGGCGCAGATGATCGTCAACGTTAACGAAGTGGCTCTACGCCGAAACTTCCGAGCTACTGTATCAACGGCGCGATCAGATCCCGTCAGCATGAACACCATCGCCGGCAAGGTCGAGCTGAGCTTAGATCTTCGTGCGCCTACCGATCAGGATATGGAAGAACTCGAATCCGAGTTGAAACAGGCCTTTAGCTCCATCAGTGCGAAACATGGCACGGAGTTCTCCATGGACATTGTCTGGGATTCTCGCGCAACATACTTTGATGAGCAGATGGTCGACTGTGTACGACAGGCGGCAATAAGCCAAGGCTGTGAGCACGAGATGATGAGTTATATTGGACACGATTCGTGAGTCTAGCCCTACTCGACACTTTCTTCATCTGTACTCTTCGTCTAGGATGGCCTCCATTTGCCTGCCTACTACTGACCTTCGTCTTACAGTGTGTATACATCCAAAGTCTGCCCGACAGCTATGATATTCACGCGGTGTCGAGACGGCATCAGCCATAACCCTGCCGAGTACACAAGGCCTGAAGAGTGAGTCCATTCTTTCCATCATCCACGACTCTGTCTCCCTCTCACGACCGTCTCTTCACACCAAGGTTGTCATGACCCGCACATGATCTTTTCGAAGTCCAATACCTAATCTGGAACTAGCTGCGCAACCTCAGCGGAAGTGCTACTAGGGGCATATCTTCGGAAAGACGAAGCGCTTCGACAACAGCACGGTGGAGTGACGACGTCTACTGTGACAGAGACAATGAAGACCCTATAGCCAACCAAGGCGACCCTGTATCCCGAGTCTTGTCGGAGAGGCTCAACTCAGACAGATTGAAGCACTTGATGGGCCACCAAAGAGACCGGTTGACATATTCAGGGGAATTCAGCTGAGGCCGGTTGAGAGAGCTCGAGTCTGATTCCGCGCTGGTCGGCACGCCTGACTATCAGCGAACATATGTATAACTTTGGCTGACCACCTATTCCTCAAGCTTCATCCTCATTCTCCTCTAAAGGAATAGCATCTGGTCCCACTATATCTTTTCGATCGTCAACCCTCCGACTCTCGATCCACTTCACCGCTTCCTCTCTGTTCCTGCACACGTGCCCCTGGCCCCGCCCCTTCTCCGCCATCGTGCTTGCACTTCCTTCCAAAGTCATGTCGAGGTTGCACAGCACACTGGTCCGCAGATATTCAGAACAATGAGCGAAGTGCACTGGATCAGGCTCATGCTCGAAACCCTCAGGGACGGAGATAGGGTCCAGATATGAATCGGCCAAGAGCGGAGAGGCAAGCAGAAGAAGCTGATGGTAGCTGTCGACAAGATGGTACAGACAGTGCAATGAATGCGTCCACGACGCTTCATATAAAGGCCCGGACCGAAGTGGATCATCAGTAATCGGATTGCCCAACAAAGGATAGGATTCGTGCTCAGGGATGGCAACGGAGCCGGAGCCCAGAGGCATGAGGTTGTCCCAGTTCCTGCGGATGGCGTCACGGTCGAGGTTGTTTGTTGTATTGGGAAAGTACGTTTCTGCTTCTGGTTTGAGGTAGTTGTACGTGTGTGAAAGAGTTGTGTAGAGGCCGTTGACGTCCGAGCCTGTCTCAACATCGAGGCCACGCAGAACTGGACTAGACTCTCGAAAGCGCTGCCGGAAGGATGGATAGTGAAGGGTGACTAGGATGAGTGATTGCAGGGTGACGATAATGAAGAAGCGGAAGTATGTTGAGAGAATGATGCAGACGGATCTGCGGCTTGCTGGTGAGGGCGAGGGAGGCGTTGTTGAAGTGCTCGAAAGCCATGAAGATGCACGAGAGCGCTTCTGGGGCGGCGAGCTGCTGCCGACATGAGTCGTTTCCGAGGCGGAGTCTTCTATGTCAACATCATCGTAGGAGAGGCGGTGAGCGTGCAGCATGGGGACTTTATCTTCTTCGATAGGGGAGAGTGGCATTGTGAAATACTCTTGATGTTATTGCTGTAGTCGTACACAACGCAGCGGCCTTGTCAATGATGATGGGAGCAAGAGGAAAGCTGACGTTCTTGGACAAGAAGTTGTCAAAGTGGGTGGTAGCTCCCTTCCAGCTTCTTTCCAGGAGATGCTCGATGTCCATTCCCTCGACGTCGCTTGCAGAGCGCGCGACTATCATGTAACACAGTGATGTGACGTGGGAGGCAAGTCCTAACGGATCCCGTGTTCGAAACGGCGGAGCTTGTTTGAACAAGCTATCGTTTGTTTCTTGGTGGACCAGGGGTAGATCGCCTTGTTTGGGACCAAAGGCTAAAAAGGCGTCCACTTCTGAAACATCTCCGGTTTGAGGCAGGAAAGCGTTTCGAAACGCGTGGCTTGAACGCAGTTGATGAGGCAATGGCGATCAAGCTGTACCCACGCGTCTCGTGGGCATCTTTGGGTAGTCCGCAGTGAATGCTACTTGCCAGAGAGAGGAGATGCGGTTCGAATACTGTGTTTTCTTGGCACTTCTGCTCGACAGGACTACAGCCATTGGGCTCGAATGCAAAGCCCAGGTCCAATCAACGTTAAAAGCGCTGTTAGTTCACTCGATAACCTCCATATTCCCTACAGAATTGTCCCATGCCCACTGACGAACTTTTTCAAAATTCCTGCACACATGCTTCGAATTCAGCTGTGGCCAAGCCAGAGGATCACCCTCTACCATGTAGAATGTAAAGAGCCCAATGTCAGCATTGCACTGCAGATTGAGTCTGAGCACCTCCAGGCAATGATCCGTGTGCCTTTGTAACGCCTCCGGGCCTTTCCCAAACTCGCCCCCAAGCGGCTCATAGTAGTCTTTGTAGGTGACTCTCCGAAGCAGGTTCAGGCAGTGGAGCTGGTGGAAGACTTCCATTCCAACCCTGTAGCCCTGTTCGCCGGTCACTGGGTGATCAACAAGCAAGCTGGACTCTTCGCCGAGCTTAGGCAGTGCTGCTTTTGGTACCCATTGATCTCCCATGTCATAGGAAATCTCGCGCCATGCTTTGTCAACCTCAGGGCCAGCACCCACAAATTTGTTGTCTCTAGTAATGTTGTAGACTTGTTTCTCATAGCCCACGGCTCCTGCCGCAGGAGACCAGGCTGAATACTTCTGAACATGACTCAGTGTTGTGCATGGTAGGTAGCAGGATACCAGAAACAGCGTAGATGAGGTGAGTAGCAACAGCGTATGAAGAAGCCAGATATATCGAGACGTTGCTAGCTTTGTCACATAGTCCGATAGACTTCTACCACGCCATTTGGAGGCTTTCTCTGGCAGGAAGTCAAGGTCGTGGAGGACTTCGAGGTCTGCTAGTGTCGACGAAGACTCGTATGATGCTCGTGCTGCCCGCTTCTCGGAAGTTCGGAGACTCTCATATTTCTGTGTCTCAATAGCCATGGCGAAGATTGAGTTGATACGTTGTTGAAGTTAGGTCTCGAGGTTGCTGAATGGTTCGGAGAAGCTGGCCACAACCTAAAGGTGGGAAATGTTGAATCAAACGATATGGAGGGAAAGCAGAAAGCGCCAGGCACAAAGGCGTTCCAGGGGCGATGGCCTTGCCCGCCGTCCTACATTGAAAGTCGTTGCCTTCCCAGGGACTTCGAGCAGGGAAGCTGTTGCCGGGTGGGTCGCGCCAAGCCTGGAGGCGATCGCGCTAAACCGAGGCTCAAACAGTTTCGAAGTCGTTTTGGGCAGGAACACCCATTGGCCATCGTTAAGAGCTCCATCAACGGACCATCATGTAATGAAAACCGTTGTTGATATTCGATCGAGACGTGCACGGTCGGAGCTTGGCCCAGGGGACAAGCTTTTGCCACCTGACGAAGCATCTAGCCCAAGGCTTGACACTTGCCAACGGTTAGCGATGCAGCATGTCGAACCAGGCTCCTGTTTGACCATCGCGTCGCCTGTCGCTACTCGACTCGTTGCAGGCTCCTCGCCGTTGAATGGTTGTGATCCCACCTGCTCAGGAGTCGGCGACACGTATGCTTGTTTCCGCGCCGAGACATGACGGTGAGTAACGAGCGCGAATTCCTTCCTCGAGGTCGGACTATACTCGGGCCACAGCGAACTAGTCGCCCCTCAAGTGCCTTCACAACAGGTTTTGCCGATCGTGGAGTCGATGATACCGTCTCAGGAGGACGCTGAAGCTTCATCGACACAAGCCATGTCGCCAAGTAATTGATGGGTGAAGCGCCGTGATGCCATGGAAATGCCTCAGCGTATGGTGCATGCCGTTCCATCCAGACGAGAAGACTTGCCTGACATACATAAAGCAACGGTACGCCGATGTTGTGGTACTCGTCCTCCATCTGCGATCAATCTCTCTTTCTGAGTCCAATCCCCGAAGCATTTACATTCATTGCAGCTGCTGGTCAGCCTTTCAATCATTCCTGTTCATCATGCACAACATTACCATCATCAAGACATTCTTGGTCGGACTATTAGCTTCGGTGCCCCTCGCTCATGCATTGGGCGTTAGCGATTTCGTCGACTTTGAGAAGCGGCATGTTGTAAGTATGTGTCCATACAGGTTTGCTCAAGTCAGCTGATGTTTCCAGGGTTCTTTAGCTTCCGTTGCAAGCAGGGCCGTCAGGGCCGCCGTTGCAGATATTGTTCCAGAGAAGCGCGAGGCTCTCGATGAGTTTGACAATTTGCTCGACAAGCGCGAGCCACATCACACCGAAGCTCAGATTGCTGCCAAGAAGGCAGCCAAGGGTGGCAAGAACAAGAACAACAAGCGCCAGCCTCCGGATGAGTTCGGTCCCTGGGACAGCGACTGTGATGAGTTCGGGTGCTGGACGGACCCAGTAGAGAAACGCGAACCTCACCACACCGAGGCCCAGATTGCGGCCAAGAAGGCTGCTAACGGTGGCAAGAAGAACAACAAGCGCCACCACACTGAGGCTCAAATTGCAGCGAAGAAGGCTGCTAATGCTGGCAAGAACAAGAACAACAAACGTCAGCCTCCGGATGAGTTCGGTCCCTGGGACAGCGACTGCGATGAGTTCGGGTGCTGGACAGACCCGGTAGAGAAGCGCGAGCCTCACCATACCGAGGCCCAAATCGCTGCAAAGAAAGCGGCCAAAGGCAAGAAGGGCAACAACAAGCGTGAGCCTCATCACACCGAGGCTCAGATTGCGGCTAAGAAAGCTGCGGGCAAAGGCAAAAAGCAGAACTGAGAGTGTCAAAACGAGGGTGTTGACATGACCAGCCTTCAAACTAGCTGCGACAGCTCCTTGGGGCTGTATAGCTCTGCTTAATGATATCCCACTGTCGTTACGAAGTGATAGAAAGTGCCTTTTCATCGAGTCGTGGGACAAGATGGGAAGCAGTCAATGCAAGACAAATTGATGCATAGATTCCAACACGAACAGCATGAGGACTCCCTGAATATGTGCTTACCTCGTGTGAACTTGCAGGAGCAGATTGCCATACCCTCCTCAATGCCATCGCTCTGACTGGGTCCCTATTGTGATCTTAATGAGATCAATGCTCTGAAGTTGCTCTACTCGGCGGTATGCTGTTATGCGCTAGCTTGACTGTTGTGTGTGGACGATAGATAGATGAGGTTTCACATGTTGTCCAAGAAATAGTGCCAGGGGAGTGCGAGGCTGAACGCCAGCCTTCCGCTGCCAAGCCTTACCCAACTTGAGCGCCGCAAAGTTCTGGAGAGGAACTTGGGCGAAGAGCATCCAGGAACCTCCTTGCACTGCATTACCTCTGTCTAGCAATCACAATCGCGAAGAGTTCTTTGTCTGGGTCCAAGAGTGATCAGTCCACCCTAAGCTGTCTAAAGCCCCAAGGCTACAGCTTGAACGCCTGACTAGGCGCGTGCTTCTCAAGCTACTAAAGCCCTGCGGCAGCCATCATGAACGGCGATAATTATTCGAGAGGTAAGGTGGATATAAGCTGATGCTTTACTTAACTAACATACTTCCAGACTTGGGCCGGCCAAGAGAACACTACGTATGCACTATTCCCCCACGATGCAATGTTGCAGCTAACATTGCTCAGGGTTCGAGACATGATAGAGACGACCGAAGAGATCGAGGTGGTGACCGCGACCGCGACCGCAGAGGAGATCGAGAGCGCCGTCGGTCAAGGTCTCCCCATCACCGGCAACGTCGCGACTACGACCAACAGGATTCCTACTCATCCAGCCGAGAATACCGGGCGCGTGAGCGCGAAGATCGATATGGTGGCAGTGGAGGTGGTGGAGATCGAAGACAGGATCGAGACTGGAATCGAGACCGTGGTCAGAGAAGACGAGACGACGATCGGCGACCGCCCCGACGAGGTGAAAGGGAAGATCTTTTCGACAACCGACGAGGCGGTCCCGGTGGTGGCAGACGCGATGACAATAGAAGAGGCGGCGGTGACGAATTTGCTGAGCAAGCGCGTGGAGGCCGCAGTCCGCCGCCTAAGAAGCGCGAGCCTACGCCAGACCTTACCGATGTAGTGTCGATCCTGGATCGAAAACGACGCCTGACACAGTGGGACATCAAGCCGCCAGGCTACGAGAACGTCACTTCGGAGCAAGCCAAAATGTCGGGCATGTTCCCACTGCCGGGTGCACCACGTCAGCAACAGATGGATCCGAGTAAGCTGCAGGCCTTCATCACACAACCACAAGGTGCAGCCGTCACACAAGCGCTCAAGCCGTCGACATCTCGACAATCAAAACGTCTCTTCGTGTACAACATCGCCCCCAACACATCCGATTCTGACATTGTCGAGTTTTTCAACCTTCAGCTCAACGGTCTCAACGTGATTCCAGTCAACGACCCGTGTATATCAGCTAATATGCCGGAAGATCACAGCTTTGCGCTTGTTGAATTCAAGGCTGCTTCTGACGCTACTGTGGCTCTTGCCATGAACGGGATCACCATGCCGCAACATGTCGCAGCAGTCAACGGCAGTGGGGAGACTCCACCGGGACTCGAGATCAAGCGACCGAAAGACTACATTGTACCGGCTGCCGAAGACGATCAATACACTCCCGGCGACATGTCAACAGAAGTGCCCGATTCGGCCAACAAGATTTGCATCTCCAATATTCCCGGCTATCTGCTCGATGATCAGGTCATCGAGCTCCTCACCAGCTTCGGTGAGCTTCGAGCATTCACCATGGTTAAGGACAACGGAACAGGCGAGAGCCGTGGCATTGCTTTCACGGAATACAAAGATCCTTCAATGACAACGTTGGCTATTGAGGGCTTGAACGACATGGAGCTCGGCGAGACCAAGCTCAAGGTCCAGCGAGCATCAATCGGCTTCACGCAAGCATCAGGTCTCGAGATGGGTGTGAACGCTATGTCCATGTTCGCGGGAACGCAATCGAACGAGCTTGACGGAGGACGTGTCTTGCAGCTTCTGAACATGGTCACACCGGAGGAGCTGATCGATAATGATGACTATGAAGGTGCGTTGCGGTGATCCCTGACTTTTCTTGATGAGTACTAATGCCTGCTAGAAATTTGCGAAGACGTGCAAGAGGAGTGCTCGAAGTACGGCACGATTGTTGAGCTGAAGATTCCCCGGCCCTCCGGTGGTAGTAAGCAGAACGCGGGCGTCGGCAAAATTTACATCAAATTCGAGAAGCCAGAGCATGCGAAAACGGCGCTGGAGAAACTGGCTGGCCGGAAGTTTGCTGATCGGACTGTTGTCACAACTTATTTCGATGAGGTGAGTATTCTCGGTTTCGATCCTGGGGTGCGTGTACTGACACATGGGTAGGCTAGTTTCGACGTCAACGCGTGGTAAACTCTCACGCAAATCGAATCATGGCCGAGTCTCAAGCTCTTGCACAAAGGCCACCAGGAAAGCTGGTTGTTGCTTTGTCGACCAAGATTTACACGCCGCTCAGGAGGGCATTCGATTCATTCAACCTGGTCCCAGCGCCTTGCGCGATCAGCACCGAGGCCCATCAAACGAGGTTCAGATCTCAGGAAATTGACCTCAGATCACAAGAGAAGATGCGCGTTTTTTGAACCACCACAGACCCTGAGCAGTGTCCGACGATTGACCCTGGCTTCCCGACCCGGACTACGGGTTCGTCACAAAAGAGCTCGCGTCATGGGTGAAGTATTTGGACGGTCGGTGTCAGCATAAAAGAGGCTCGTGGCTTCTTCGACCTTTGTGGGAGCCAGTGTAACTTAGAACAGAAGTGTAAGATCTACCTTGGCTGGGCGCAGGCTTGACTAAAAGTGGTGGGTAGAGCTCGCCTGCCTATCTGGACCATGCTGTAAGGCCACGAGCACAGCCGAGCAATCTGGAGCGCCAAAAGTTGAAGGCTTAAACATGTAGATTATGCTAGCTACAGTGCACTCATGCTCTGTGAATGAATCGTTGCATGGGCTTCATCTACTTCACAGCCATCAACGGAACATCAATGTGCTCAGACTCCAGACTTTCTACTCTGTGGCATGACTATCAAATTAATCACGACATTCATCCCAGCCAAGCACCAACAACCTCGTCCCGCTCTGCCTGACTCACAGCCCAGTACCTGACATCTCGCTTGACTTTCAGGGGAATCTTTCCACCGTCCTTCTCAGCGCTCTTGAGTAAGTCGACAAGCTCTTTCCGCCTTGCTCCAGAACCCAATTTCAACTTCCCCACAAAGTCTCGATAGATCTTCTCCTTGTCCTTGTCGCTGGGCTCATACGCCTTCATGATCTCCTCGCGCTTGTACTTTCGCTTGAACTCCGGCCAGTAGAGCTTGGGGGTGGCCTTCTCGGCCAAGAAGGAGAGGTACTGCACTTTTGGATCTGAATCCGCTGCATCGGCTGCAGCCGCGGCAGCAGCCTGTTGCTGCTCCTTCAGTGCGGCGAGTTCAGCGACGCGATCACGCGACCAGGACGTGAAGGCGTCGCGACGGGAAGACATATTGGGGAGGGAGAGCCAACGGCCATCCTCGACCAGTTGTGGGAGGACGAGCAGGGAGTCGAAGGTGGTGTAGGGGCTGGTATTGGTGGAGTCGAGCAGGGAGCGAAACAGGGCGACGGAGTCGGAAGCGGTCATCGGGAGACCTTCCTCCTCGTCGTCTTGGTCGCCGGGTTGGGAGTTGGGATAGTCTTCGTCGTAGTAGTTGTCCGAGTCGGCTTCCATGGCTGCGAGCTGGTAGGCTATGTCGTCTTCGGTGAGTTCTGCGGGACCGGTCGCGGGTGGTGGTGTGACGGACAGGCGTGGGCGTTTGGGTGCGATGCCTGGCTCCCCTTCGGCCTCGTCGTCGGTGACTTCCACTTCCTCGTAGTCGGAGGACTCGTCGCCATCCTGCTGAGGCGGGTCGGCCTTGTCTGCGGCTTCGTTGGCTGATTTCGGTACAGTCATCGTGCCGTCATCCTTCGTCGTCTTCTCCGCTTGAGCATCATCGATTGCCTTAGCTCTCTGCTTTCTTTCCCACTCAGCCCGGTCCATGTCAATAACCTTCATCATCACATCCTGTGGGAACTTCCACAAGCTCTGCTTCGTCTCCGTGTTGTGTACAAATCTCCGACCGAACTTCGTGGTTACCAGCACCCAAGCGCCACAGTCCGGAATGGCGGCCTTTGTCTTCGGTCTGTCGCCGCCATGTCCTCTCCGAGGCGGACGCTGTTGATAGCTGTTTCCGCCAGTGAAATGTCCGGGCTGGGCTGTTTGACGGGCAAAGTCTTCCTGTGCGCGGAGAGTTGCTTGCACAATCGGATCAGGGCCCGCTTCCTCGGCGAAGAGCGGCTCTTCTCCCTGGTTGGCGGCAGTGGTTTCAATAGTTGGCCGGGTGTAGGTGGAAGATTTTGTGGATTTGTTGTAGTAGTACTTGTGGCCACTCGGTGCCGTGTGTTCGGTCCATCCTTCGGGCAGAGACGTCGAGGGCTGCAGGCCCGCAGATCTGTGCGTCGACTTGAGCATTGTGGCTAGTGATCCAAGGAGTGTGTGACCCGAAGCGACTAGGCAAAATATTGGAATGTCGTTCATGAGCGCTCTTGATTGGGCAGCCTTGCCCAGCCTTATATACTTCGCGACTTCTCCATCTACAGGGACGCGCGATGCGGTAGTGCCTGCTCTTCCTACCTAGGTACATTGAATCAAAGAGCTCGACTGAAGGCCTCCTCCTCCCAATCTCTCTTACACAGTCTTAGTCGTCGCTTCGTTGGCTGAACATCACATACGAGCATCATGTCTCGACGATACGACTCAAGGGCATGTCCGCTTCCCGCATCTCCAAGCCATTCTAACAATTCGTAGACGACAATCTTCTCGCCAGAAGGCCGGTTATACCAGGTTGAATATGCCCTCGAGGCCATCTCACATGCCGGCACTGCTCTTGGAATATTAGCGCAGGATGGCATTGTGTTGGCTGCGGAGAGGAAGGTCACAAGCAAGTTGTTGGAGCAAGATACATCGGCAGAGAAGCTGTACATCCTGAACGAGTATGTCCGTGAAGGCACCAAGTAATGGGCAGCACTGACAAGGACTTCCAGCAACATGATCTGCGCCGTCGCCGGGATGACCGCCGATGCCAATATCCTCATCAACTACGCTCGACAAGCCGCCCAGCGATATCTCCTCACATACGATGTCGACATTCCTTGTGAACAGCTCGTACGGCGCTTGTGTGATCTGAAGCAAGGCTACACTCAACACGGTGGTCTACGGCCATTCGGTGTCTCATTCATCTATGCTGGCTGGGACGCCCAGAGACAGTTTCAGCTATATCAGAGCAACCCCAGCGGAAACTACGGAGGGTGGAAAGCGACAAGTGTTGGTGCGAACAATGCATCAGCCCAGAGTCTACTCAAGCAGGACTATAAGGAAGACTGCGATCTGAAGGAGGCCTGTGGTATGGCAGTCAAAGTGTTGAGTAAGACAATGGACAGCACTACCTTGAGTAGCGAGAAGAGTAAGCTTGCCTTCGTGTCAGGGGGGTCCCCAGCTAATATTGGTGTAGTTGAATTCGCGACGGTTGGCAAGACTAAGGAGGGAAAGATCTACCATCATCTCTGGAGCGGCGAAGAGATCATGGCGCTGCTTCGGGAACATGGCCTGGCCAAAGAGGAAGAGGCCGACAGTGGTTGATAGCAGCGCGCCCTGAAGGCATTCAAGGGCAGGGCAAAATCGAATGTGTATTCTGACCACCATAGCGACCGGCGTCCGGGTGCGGAAATTAGATGTGCACAAACTCTGGGCTTTTCTCACAAACATTTTCGGACCCTTTCTAGGAATGGTTCAAGCTCTCTAACGCTTTTCACAGCTCCCTGAAGCCTCAGCTCAGCTCGGACCATTGTTTGTGAGTCCTCAATTGACCTCGAATGGAACCTGCACTAACTACCGACTATGCTTGCGGCGGCGCACCAGCCGCAAGAATTCAAATCGCTCAACTAAGTCATACAGAGCGCTTTCAATGTCCACGGGTGTTCAGCGATTAGACCATCCGCGAACAAATCAGCGACGCCAGCCACCCTCGCTCCTCAAGATCCTGTATCGGAACGGCTCTTTGAGCAGATCTCCTTGCTCAACCTGGCGCTTCACCTCTTGATGATGATCCTTACTCCAGCGGTCTCTCAGGATGTCCTCACTCGCGGTTCTGCCACCTCCGTTAGCGCGTCTACCGAGAACCCAAGTCACGCTGTCCGGACGCAAAGCACTCACTCGAAGTAAATGACATATTCCGTGCCGTCGCCCTGACCAGTCCGCCAGTATCGGTATGCAGACACTTCCGGCTCGTGCTTCTGGACTTGCTCCGACACCCACTGGACGAGTTTCCAGGTCTCTTCGAGCTTGCTTGCTTTGGGACGCACGAGGACTAGGACTGAGGCAGCCATGATGCTAGATCGCGTGGGTGTGCGCCTGAGAAGGCGTCCGAAAAGCAGCTTCTTCTAGCTATATACAATCTGGAGAGAGGTGGTGCGCGAAGCCAAAATACGAGGACCTTCAGCTCAGGGACGAGGATACGAGGGAACACGAATGACACGACGTTCTGGACCCGGCGACAACAACCACCTGCCAGTTGACCATCAGTCGTCTGATACATCGCGGATTCTATCACACGGTTGTGTGTGCAGAGGGGGCTCCGATTGCCACTGCACCCCGGGCATGGTGGTCTCTGTCACGTGATCACTGGCTGACATGAGCAGCCCGATGACTTTGGAGCGATGCTTTGAAGGTTTACAACTGGTGCAAGCTCATGCAATTTTGATTCAAGTTTGGCTTGACTCCTCCTCCGACATAAAGTATCGATGAATCGACAGACTTCGTGTGCCAGTGCTGACCGTGGGGCCGCATGATCATTGGATACTGTGGTCATACAAGAAAGCGGGTCGCCGTCTATGAACCACACGCTTATTTCAACGAGCTGTAAATGCTCGCTTTTCGACGCGCTGGCTCGAGTTGAGCTTCATCATCTCGTCGCAGAGCATTGGACTCCGAAAAGTCAGCCAACGCCTTTCAGAAATCTCCATACGACATCGCAGGCGGACGAAGTCACTGCATATACAGAGGCGTTCTCAACGGCTCCTCGGCTATATCCAGTCTGCAATGTCAGTGACTTTGCGCCAGCTCAGCACTTCCGACAAAAACGACCTGGATCGCGGCGAACGCAGCCGTTGCCGCGAATACCTGATCCCGGCGGATTCCCACCACAAACATCATTGTGAACGCGAACAGGAATATAAACACCGATACGAATATCAGTCTGTTTCGCATGGTCGTGATGTTATCGAGCACAAAGATCGACACTGTTGGTATGATGAACGAAAACAACATGCAGATGATGTTACCGATCATTGTCAACGTTGCTCGTTCATATCTCCAGATTTTCCCAAGGTTGGGATCCTCTTCAGCATGGCTCAAGTGTCGGCCAACCACGTAGTGCCATACAGCGAGAACGTGATCTGTCACCAAATCTGCAAACCCGTCCGCTTCTTTATTATCCAGGACAATCAAGTCATGCTCATTCGCCGGCATTGTCCACGGGTCGCTTTCAAGCATGTTGTCTTTGAAAAAGGATTGTCCGCCATCGTCTCTTCCAAGCCAGTCTCTGAGTGTCTGCAGGCTTTTCCTAGAAGTCTTCTCAAGTCTGAAAACATCGCTGGCCGATTTGAGCATCTCATCTGATCCGGAGTCAGCACTGTCCTCCACTGGGGCTCAAGCACTTACGATAAGATCCCAACTTTTCCTCAAGTTCCTTCATGGCCTCGCGCTGGTCGTCAGCCTCTGATCCTTGAGCATCATATGCAAAGTATTGGTATGATGTGGTCAATTTTTCGTCTCCCCCTGCGGCTCTATTCAGCACCGCAGAAGCATTCGCTTGTGTCTCGAGGTACGTTAGTTCAGCTTGCTTGTACAGCAGACACTTGAGGGTCGCATGACGAAAGCATCGAAAGTTTGCTAGTTCGGGGTGCTTGCTGAATAGTAACGCCAGTCGATCGTAGCCACCGATGGTTCCCATCGCAGCCCCCGATAATTTCAGGTACACACCGTCTAGCACGCTGACAGCATTTCTTCAAAATCCGAAACTGCATAGAGTTGCAATTAGTATTGTTCGGGGCAGTCAAGCAAGCACGGCTGTGTACCGGTGATGCGCCTCAGCTGGTGGGGGAAATGGCCATCAGGCTCAACCCATAATGCCTTTTGGTTCGCTATGACTATCGCGGGACCGACATGCGCTATGCAGAAGACAAGCAGGGGGCAGTGCACCGAATCTCGTGCGCCACTTACATGCAGCTTGCACACCACCAGTGTCTGAGTGTGCCTTGTCCTTACCTTGCCAAAGCACAGAATGCAGAGAGCAAAAATCGAGCTGATGACCCCCCGGAACACCACTGCATGATGACACGGAATTGGCGCGCAGAAGCCACTAGGCGCAACTTCCGCTCTAATGACCATCCCACCCGCCTTCTGCGCGACTACTTGAAGGACTGCGCGCCATCAATTTCATCAAAGTGAAATTCTTTCATCAGATTGGTATTGAGATTTCCTCGTACCTATACTCAGAAAGGGTTCTACTCCAATGTGGATCGGCCCACAAAACATCGAGGTTGTTTGATCTCGACTCGCGGTCTCGTCTAGTACTCATTGGACCTCCCACACGCCACAGCATTTGATTCGACCTGTCTTTGGCTACTAGGCGGCACAGTGCCTTGTCTGACCTTGCCTACTGCGCATCAACTTCTGGCTGTCAAATCAATCGGGCGGATCTGAGGACCGCAGGCAGCAGCCTGTTGTGCTGTTGGTGTGGGAGATGAGTAGTGGTGGGCAGGCGGACCGACAGGATCGTGAAGCAGACAATGGGCGCCCAGCGAAACGGAGAAGAGCAACAGTGAGTGCTCTTCCCTCATATGGACGATCGACTGACAATGGCTACAGAGCCCGCCCAATGAGGAACTCACCACGCCGCCAGGGGCCTCGATGTCACACTTGAGCACCAGCCCACTGACACCAAGTCCCGAACGCGAGCACTCAGCAGGCGAAGACAACGATTCAACGGATAGGGAGCAAAGTGACCACCACTCTGACCTAGCGCCGCCAGGGCTTGATCACGATGACGCTCTACCTCGGAGGATTTCCAATACTGAAGGCTCTGTTGTCGACCGCGTTCTGAGTGAATTTGTTGTGACACAGCCACCAGCGCGTTCGGAGTGGCGGCCGCGATGCATCATGCACATCCTCAAACCAAATGATCCATTGCGCGCAGGAGTCATACCTCGTTGGGGCTTGTTGGATACTCAAGCTCCTGCGAGCTTTGCGTACGAAGCGCACTCAGAGAAGCTGCCATCCCATTCTACTATTACGAGGTTCCAGCGACAGTCTCCGGTATAATTGGTGGCGAGCTGACTCCGCTCGGTATCGCGCCGGTGGTCTGGCACGAACATGTAACACCCGAAAAGATCTACCATACGCCGTTCTATGTGCTACCGGATCATCACTTTGAGCGCGATGCGGATTTCATTATTGGCAAAGACTGGCTTCAGGAGGCGGGATTAGAATTGACGAGAGTCCAGCATCATGCGCCTGTTGCCAACAGTCCAGCCTTCTACGCTCGCAGCCTGCAGAGGGAAGCGCGCCCTGTTGGGTGAAATCGCAACCAGGCCGCGGAGGCGGTTCATGGGCATCAGCACCAAAAATTAGTTAGCAGGTCGGCTAGGCTCGATTGCAAATGCATCGTGCGGCAAGTGCAGTCACAGTCGCAACATTGCTACCCACTTACCTGGGCTCGCTAGGTAAGGTTTCGCACTTTGTGCGCGGCAGGAAGCGGCCGAGCTGCGTTCGTGGCTCGGGTCTATTTGCTTCTGCGACGGACGTGTCGTGTTCTCGCTAACTCAGGCACTTATTCATTTCCCAGAACGTACTGAGCGCTAACATGACGCAGATCTGGTTCGTTGTCGAGGTCCGTATTCGAGTAGTCGGGCTGTGAGGAACTTCTGACATGGGTGACTGCACAGCCCCGCCCTGTTCTGCCATTGGAGGATACGTCAGGTTTTGCCGCTATTATCCGTGCGAGCCGTGTTGTTCTGAACCCAAGGGTTGGGCTGAGCTCAGGCTCATGCGATCTTCGGTTGCTGCAGCAAGAACTATACGACTATCATTGTGCGCCGACCCGTTCACATGCCCTCGCTAGCGCGGCATATGGCAGACTCCCAAGTCCGAGCGCCAGATAGGACGCCCACTACCGAATGACAGAACCTTGCAGATAATCAAGTGCATTGAGAGACTGACTGCTTTGACAGGGGGTCTCTACACCCCCTTGGGAATGCCATTAAATTGAATGGTCGATTACGATGCGCTGCCTGCAGCCCGCCTTCACCGGTCAGATTGCCCCTCAAGTTACCGTCGACTCCCAGCCTGATGGCTCGACTATGTCTATCGCACCTCGACTGTCCTCCTGAGGCTCTGCACGATACCGCTATAAGTTCTGCATTTCGCTTTGCAGCTTTCGGTAACAAGCTCGACTTGATGCTTCGTTGCACAGATGTCGCATATGTACACGTACTCAGGTATACGTGCAATTGTACACGACAAATACAGTAAAAGAGAATATCGTCGCTGGTTCGAGCAGCGCCCGGAACTATTTGGCCCTGTATCCAAGCGAACGAGACCCATGGTATGTCGACAGTCGTCGAAAGGTTGAGTCATGCTGGCTTTTCTGACGATTCCACAGAGTCGTGTTCACGCCGATTCAGGACAACAGTATGAAAGTGTCCATGTCATAGAGCACGGGCAGACCAAGGGCGAGAAAACTATACCTCGTGCCTTGATATGCAACCAGCCTTCTGGCGAATCATGTGTCGATGTTGAAGTGGCCGAAAGGCGCCTCAACATCGACACTAAGACCGGCATCGCAAGACATTGCGGACGACAGTGCAGCTACGGATCCAGGTGTCTTGGCACAATTCGATTGGCGTGGTGCTGCCGGAATTATCGCGGACGAGATGCAGATTTTCACGTTCTAACAAGTCACTCTAACAGGTATGATGCCGTGATCTATGTCAACGCACCTCGGACAAATTCCCAATCAACTCTGGGAGGAGCGTACCCTGCTCATCTTTCACCATTGTCCAAAGATCAGCGGAAGAAACAGCCCGCACAGCAGGCTGAGGACCAACGCAAGGTCCAAGCAGAGAAAGACAAGATTCTGGAGCAGCAGAAACAGAAACGCCAGGCCGCAAGGCATCAGAGCAACAGTGGTTCCAATCGACACTCGTCTCAATCAGCAATCGTTTCGGCAGTTGGCTCTTGATTGTACAGTAGTACTTTGGTGGTCACTCGTTGGTTCTCGGGCGTGAACTGGGTGTTCCAAGATGTTTGCAAAGTTCTTCGTGGGTGCAGCCTGATCACGATTTGGACTGCCTTTCTTTGGCGTTCTCGATTGTTTGGCGATTCCGTGATCTTCCAGGCTTCCAGCTTGATGAAGACGCAGAGCGATGACTACGACGAATCTCTTATGTATATCAGTCAGCTCTTCTAGTCGTTCACGGCAAGTAATTGCCAACAGAAGCACACTCTATTTGGTCATATCATCACACTGGATCCAAGCCTGAATTTGGTTCTGTGCACGTCCACCCTGTTTCCAAGTATGGCTTGCTCCTCGGATTAGGTTCGCTCATCGATTTGGCCGTACCAAGTCAGCCCTCCCCGGTATCGTGACACTGAGTCTTCTGGACAGCCGCATGATCACTTATGCACTGCAGGATCCAATTGAGCATCCTGAAGTTTGTCCCTGCTGAGATCTCCGGCTCTCGAAGGCGCCTTTATGATGTGTCTTGTGCTCTGGTTCTAATCATACTCATCTCACAGCTGTCATCGTACCAATACTCTCTGTGGTGCACAATACATCAATGTACTGGAGCATGTCAATATTGCCGCCCAGGGGCCAAAAATGATATGTGTAACCTCGTCATGGCGAATCACGCGCAGCCCTCCAAGTTTGGCAGAGCTCGGCTTGCTCGCATCCTTTGGACGTACCATCTGATGCGAGAGCTATCGTTCGCGAAGTAATGCGCGAGCAGGAAATCACGTCTGTGTACCTAGGTAAGAGTTGTAGATCTTCGATATTGAAGTTGACGATATCGTACCCCAATGCTCCACAATTCAGATCTTGATTGCCTCGTTGCCTTGATCACAAACTTAATCGATCGGGAACTTCTGACACGGATCTTCCGCCATCGGCCCAGTCTCCGGGAGACCACATGCTTCAGCAGCATCATACATCGCCAGGCTGAGACATCAGCGTCATGGGCAAATCAAGCAAAGACAAGCGCGATGCATACTACCGCCTCGCAAAGGAACAGAATTGGCGCGCCCGGTCCGCCTTCAAGCTGATCCAGATTGATGAGCAATTCGATCTGTTCTCGTACCAAGATCCATCACAATGCACGCGAGTAGTCGATCTGTGTGCCGCACCGGGCAGCTGGTCACAAGTGCTGTCGCGAGTGCTGATAAAGGGCGAGTCCTTTGGGCGGAGAGCGTGGGTTGACAAGATGAAGAGGCACGAAGAGCTCAAGCGGCGGCAGGACAAGGATAGCAGTGATCTCGACGTACCCGAAATTTCGACTTTGGACATATCAGACGACACGGAGCTACAACCACGACCCAATGTACACATCGTTGCCATCGATCTCCAACCCATGGCACCGCTGGCCGGCATAACGACGCTAAAAGCTGATATCACACATCCGACGACTGCGCCTCTGCTGCTCAAAGCCCTCAACCCCGACAACCCATCGTCTCCAGAACCAGTCGACCTGGTCATCTCCGACGGTGCGCCGGATGTCACTGGACTGCACGACCTAGACATCTACATCCAGGCACAACTCCTCTTCGCGGCTCTGTCACTGGCGATGAAAGTGCTCAGACCCGGTGGGAAGTTCGTTGCGAAGATCTTCCGAGGCAGGGATGTGGACCTAATTTATGCGCAGCTCAAGTGTGTCTTCGAGAAGGTCACGGTAGCCAAGCCAAGGAGCTCGAGGGCAAGCAGTCTGGAGGCGTTCGTTGTGTGCGAGGGCTACACAGGTATACCGTTAGAGGAAGACAACACAATCATTTCGCACTCGTTGAAGCAGGACGCAAAGGTCAGTGAGGAAGACGAAGAACCACAGCAGCCAAAGTCGCAAGTCTTGCGCGAAGATGGAGTGCTGGAGATCTCTTTCCAGGACTCGTTGCAGCACAACCAGCCACCACCGCAGCGATGGATTCCTCCATTCCTCGCCTGTGGCGACCTCTCAGCTTGGGATTCCGATGCGACGTACAAGCTGCCTCCGGGGCATGTTAGTCTCGATCCAGTACAGCCACCTACAGCGCCTCCGTACAAGGCTGCTCTAGAGCGACGAAGAGCCGAAGGTGGTGCTTATGGCAAGACTGGCAGTAAGAAGTGAGGCCACCTCGGAAAGTGCTGGCAAACATTATTCGACACGACAGCAATCACAGCTTATTTGGAAACAAAGGCGCCTGTCTGCCGCCTCGGAACAACGCCAGCATCTCCTCACCCATCCACTGGCCTCTGGTCTTCGCGATGCCGGCTTCCAGATCCGCCACTTTACCTGCTTGGACGAGCAGTCCTTTCCCATTGCCGCCCATGCCCTGTCCGAACAGCCATACTACAGCCCTGGCGATCTCCTCCGGACTGTTGATGGGCACACCCTGCGCCCGCATCTTTTCTGCCCAGTCCTGCAGACTCTGGCCCTCCTTCCGGCCACTGATGATTGGCGTGAGCGTTATCGCCGGCGCAACGACACTGCACGCGATTCCGAGGGTCGCAGTGTCATTCTTCAGCGCCCGCATCAAGCCCACAACTCCATGCTTCGCTGCACTGTACAGTGGTGCGCCTGCACTTGCCAGGTAGCCCGCCAGGCTCGCCGTCATGACAATGCTCCCGCCCGTATCTTTTCCGTTCCTCCGCAGATAATGGATGGCCAGCCTCACGGTATCGTCGGCAGCTTGGAGGTCGATATCAATGACTCTCCGGTCGGGCTCCTTCAGCAGCTTTGTACTCGGCTCAAGCTCCTCTTTGAAGAACTGGTCGCCATACTCCGCAATGCCGGCATTTACATACACCAAATCTATCTTCCCGAACTTCTTGATCGCGGCCTCGAAGCCAGCTCGCTGCTCGACCCAGGATGTGATGTCCGCGCGGTGGAAGAGGAAGCGAGAGGAGGAGAGCAGCGACTGCGGTGCCTTTGACGGCTCTGGCGCGGTGGTAGAGGGTGGCTGTCGATCGATGAGTACGATGTTGTTCCCGAGGGAGTGCAGCAGAATGGCGGTATGTAGACCGATGCCTGACGACCCTCCTGTGATTAGAGCGGTCTTCTTTGTCGGAGTTTTGAGCTGCTCCTGAGTGATTGTGAAGGCGGTATTGGAGAAGGGCATCTTGAGTGCTGCTGCTGGCGTCTTCGTGACGACGTGTAGATCAGCAAAGCGGTTGCTGGACCACAAGAAATGTCAGCGAATTTGAGCCACTGGCTCGTCTTCGTCAAGTCATCGGTACCGAGTGTCCTACCTACGGAACCAGCAGTATGCTACGAGCAAGTGCGCAGTATTCCCGGGCGTATTTCCCCGCGAAATGTACGAAATGCCGCGGCTCACCAAGTTCGCAGCCTTGAGCAATTCACACGAACAGCCTTGTGGTGACGTCGTTCTCCAAGATTTCTCCGAGTCTGCTCCAGCCTGCGCGCGAGATCTTTCGTTCACTTTAGCTTAGTCGCGATCATTTTGACGCGACATACATTCCCTCATGGCCGCATACTATCTTTACAAGGCCATATAGCGTATGGCAACTCCTCTCAGCGAGCGGCCGGGCGTCCTCGGGGCCTTTGCACGATTCTATCGCCGTACATATCTCGGCGACTATGTCGGATTTGTTCTTCTTCAAGCTGCATACCTCATCACCAAGTTCCTCATCACACCGGTACACCGCCCTTTCCTGATCTCAGACCTACGTATATCCCACGAATACGCCAATCCGGAACGTGTCACGACATACGAGAACTTTTTATACGCTGGAGTCGCACCTCTTGTGGTTATAGTGCTGTACTGCGTGGCAGTGCGTCCAGGCTTCCACCGATCACATGTGACAATTCTCGGCTTTCTGATATCCCTGTCATTCAGCGGGTTCCTCACGCATGTATTCAAGAATGCGATCGGACGCGCACGACCGGATTTACTGGCTCGCTGCGTTATAAAGAAGGGCACACCAGCAGACGTACTAGTCACTATCTCCGTGTGTGAACAGACCGATCAGTACAAGCTCAATGATGGGTGGCGCAGCTTTCCTTCTGGGCATTCGTCTTTCGCCTGGGCTGGTCTGGGGTATCTATCACTCTTCCTTGCGGGTCAGCTGCACACTCTTCGGCCGAGGACTGATCTGGCACGAGTTCTTGTGACTGTGTGCCCGCTTCTTGGTGCTTTTTTGGTCGCGGCGTCAAGGACTGCAGACTATCGCCAGTATGTCACCTCCCCGCGAGCTTGAACCAGCAGACGTCAAGGAAATAGTCTGGATCGAGCAATAGAGATATTTTTCTCGGACGCTCGATCTGTCTATTCTCGTCTCTTGGACAAGGTGTTCCCTTTGTTCTGCGAGCCTGCTTGATATCCCACTGACGGCCACTTCTTGGTCGTCTAGCTTTGCCTCGGGATCCAGTCAGTCTCTTATCTTACACATTCCCCAACGTTCTGGTTCAGGCTGACCAAATAAAAAGTGATGTCTACGATGTGACGGCAGGATCAATCCTTGGCTTCATCGTTGCATTATTTGGGTACAGGAGATACTACCCTTCTCCACTCAGCCCTAATTGCCACCTTCCGTTTCCAAGTCCGCTGGACGACACGAAAGCAGAGCGGAGATTGCCCTCCGCACGGCAGGACGAAGAGGACGCGAGGAGCCAAGCAGAAAGTTTCGACCTCAACGACTTGACAGAAGAGGAAGATGAAGACGAATCCCATGAGCGCCAGCCACTAACGACAGGCAACGGGACTCAAAGCCGGGGGAAGCCGAAAAGAGGAGACTCGGAATGATTAGACAAGCATGATATGCTCTTCCACCGGAGGACCTATGACCCAACGGCCGTGCCTAGATTTCATGAGGCTCAAGCTCTCTGATCCCCGTTGCAGGTATCCACAATGCGATTGATGTGATCGCTAGAGCGTATCATGTCCGGAAGGTATCCGGTCTAACTGGACAGAGATGTGAAACGCGCAACTTGGGCCTGATTGCGATTGGCACGGCTGCACAGCGGCGACTTTTAGTTATATATTCTGTGGGACACTCCAATTGCCCATACTCTTGCCCACGCGGCTAGCGCAGATCTCGCCCCCCATCTTTCGCTCTGAGCCGCTTTGGGGCCGGCACACCACGAAATAAGGCGACGGGCTCGTGTTCGGCGACCCAGTTTTCTTATGTTAGCGTGCCTATCCTGATTTGGTGTCGAGCCACTCAAGCCAAGCATAGTTGGTAAGACGCTTCATCTGATGTACCGCTTGTTGTGGAATCATGATAACTCATCCAGTCTGCCCCTCGGCGGTGTTCAACTCTTTAGGAACCTCCAACACGACACTCGCTCCAAGGGACTCGACAGCAGACGTCTGGTGCACTCTATTACCAAAACCCCGGACCCGCCAGGCCTCCTACGAGGCCTATAGACCTGGCGACAGGTGAGCCAACATGGGCCGCATAAAGGAGATCGACCGCAAACGCGTACGTCACGAGAAAGTGCGTAGCGGCTGCGACCAATGTAAAAAGCGCCGCATAAAGTGCCCAGAAGGCGAGCCATGCCGTAGATGTGTGATCGCCAAACTTGATTGCACCTACGCTGCTGCCGCCAAAGAGAGCAACGATGGCTCAAGAGGCAAGTCCCATGGATCGAAGCGAGAAATAAACCCATCTGCAGACTTCAAGAGCTTTGTCGACGGACAGCAATGGACTGACTTCTGGTTAGAAACTGATGCACCGGACTCGACATGGCCAGAACTCACTCACGTCACACAACCCTTAGGTGACCCTTCACAAAAGCAATGGACCACAGAATGGTGGAACGCTTCCTCCGCCCTCTACAAGACCCCGAATGATACACTATTCACCGGCGAGCTCGAAACCAGTGGCCGGGGCTTCCAGCGCTACTGGTTGGAGAACTACACAGCCCCACGCTCAGTTCTTGCCTTACCTATCTGGATGGAACGGATACACCAGCGAGCATATCACTTCCCGCCCCTGCGAGACCTGATCATAGCCATGGGTAGCATCGGCCTGTCATTAGCTCGTGGCGACGATGCTTCAACTCACCTTCGCGTTTTGCAGAAGACCCAGAAATACGTCGAAACCGCTGTGCTGGGTCTCTCGACTGCCCAGCTCCCCACCAGCGTCATGCTGTACTGCGCCTGGATCTTCTGGCAGCTGGACCTGATTCGGGGCAACCTCGCAACATCATACTTGCACGTCATGAGCGCGAGAAAGATCGCCGCGGAAGCACCTCCTGGCGGCGAGATCGACGATATTGAGATCAAAGGCCTCTTTGGCATCGATGAGCCCGACTGGGGTATCGATATGAGTATGGCACCGGATGCGTTCTTACCGACCAACTCAGCTACAAAACGTAAGGAAAGCGCCCTGCCCATCATTCGAGGTACATGGACCGACATCTCGACCATGATTCTGGACGTCAACGCGGATGTGACCATTCCAGCAGAAGGCGGAACCAAGGAAATGGTCCTGAAAGTTCTCGAAGATGCGCGCAGTGACCTGGAATGGCTGCTGCGGAAGTGGAGCAACGACCTGGCTTCCACCAAACAAGAGCAGATGCCTTTCTGGCTGGACTTTGGCCCACTTGAGCCGCCCGAGATGACGGCAACGTCATCACCTCCAAAGTTCATACAACAAGGCGCATATATGCTCAACACCCAGGATTCGCCCTCGCTATCGGGCACAACGTGGACGCCTCCAAAAGACCTTCAAACAGGGGCATATCCATATGTGCTCAACCCCACGGCAATAGCATCTCCCGGCTCGAAATTAGCTGGAAGCGAGTACCCACCAATCCCACCGCCGGATGATTTGAGCGAGGGATACATCTTCAGTCCTCGATCCGGGTCCGGGTCTCGAGCGAGCTCCTCGGATACCAATGCTCCCCGCCCGTCATTCTGCTCGCTGTTTCATCGTGCGCTGAAAATCGCACGCGACGACGAACTTACCAAACAGGCTATCGATACGTTCCGAATACATTGTTTGCAGTTCGTGCCCCAGCTGGTCGTTCTGGTAGCACAGACCGATCTGGGTATGCGGCACGACGAGTTCCTATTGCTGTCGCGTAATAATGCGGACATTAGGCAAAGAGTGTCGTTTGCTGGCAAGGAGCCTGGAGGTGCTTTGAGGTCGTCGGGAGAGTTCTTCTAAGGGCGTTGCAGCGGTGATGGATGCGTCGATGAGCAATGATATCGTCTGATATGAGAACGGATGGTGTGTGTCGAGGATGTGAATCGAAGTGTGAAACAATGGGAAAGCGTTGAGCGCAGACGTGCAGCATGGAGATTCCTCGGAAAGCGATGCGTGCGACGGGGGTCGTCGAACCCTATTCGAGTCCGACATAGCATGGCGTTCAATGTCCGTAGCTCGGGCGGCTTGCAATATGATGTCCTGACCTCGTCCGTCGGGAAATGCCGTCGGAAGGCTACGTTTACAGCAGCCACTGAAGGTGTCTAGATACCATCTGGCTCACACAGTAGTACGTAGTGAGACGTCATGATCAATCTTAGTCATCCGTATAAACACGTACCAGCACCAAGTGTGATCTGCTTTTACTTCCTCTATTTCCTGCCTGCTTTCTTGTCGCCCAATTTCTGTTGAGCACCTTCTGGAGGCGTTGCAGTTAAGCATCTGGTACTTGCCAGAGGACTGTCCACCTGTAGCTGGAAGGGATAGTAACGTCTAGGACGTCACGGCTACTTCGTGTGACACGTGTCGAAGCAAACTCCAAAAAAATCACAAACACAGTGAGTGCAGAGAACGAACAAAGGAGAGCTACCCTAAGTCTTGTTGAGTACGGAAGGTCCCTTACTTTTGTTGCGGTGTGCGGCTCGCAAGCCGAACGTTGCCGATATAAGTATGAAGGGAAATACCCTCGTTTGTGCTCATAGGATGACCGAAGATGGACAAACGAGCTCACATGAATTTCGATTACGCTGACAGAATGATCGACCGTGTTATAGGGCTGATCAATATCTGCTAATGATGAGCCATACAATACCCCAGTCCTGGACAAAAACAGCCTCGAAGGCCGGGTCGGGCCACTTGAAATTTCGCAACGCTCAAACCCAATGTTAACAACGCCGTCCACACCTGGGCAGCCCGTGAATCTCGTTCGCTCATCATTGCTTCCGCTTGGATTGAAAAGTCGTCCCGTCGTGATAGCCACCCACGAAAATCATTGTTGGGGATGCTATCGTCGCCAAGTGCGCTCTTCTCGCACATCACATCACCGAGCAAGGGATCTACAACCACCGGGACGTCAGCATTCGTGTTCATTCTCGCTGGAGGACTGCTAAGGCCGTGGATAGATGTTCTACTCACAATACAGCAATCGCACTCGGTGTCGCCACAGTCGCAGCCAAAGCAGGGCTTTGTCGTGCCTTTGATTGGCTTCTTGATCGTTGAGGTGGTTGACGGTGGCATTGTGGTGAGGTGGGTCAGGTAAGTCGTGACAAAATGGGCGGATTTCTTGTGAGTTTCCAGAGGTTGTCGGGTGATTGTGTATCTCTTGTTGACCCTTCAGGAATATTGTTGAATGTCAGTGATATTGGTCTTCAAGTGAAGTGGGAGCTTGAAAGTTGGCACGGCCCCATGACGCAGGCGTTTGTGGATTGTTTCATGTCTCGACTCGCGCAGCTGGACTTCACGACGACCGATCTTGGTTTCCTATTTACTCGTACTATGTCTGTGTGACTACGTTGTGCAGCGCATATTATTGCCGATGTAGATACGTTTGGGAAGCGGCAGTGGGATACGCTCTACAGGCACGTCGCAGCTCGCAGCGAAACAGCCTGAGGTGTCGATATGAACTCGCTAAGGCGCAAGTCGAGACGCTGCTATCGATGTCTAATGCTACACTCGATGTCACACTGCTCTGTCAACTTCGAAGGCATAACCATGGATCACGGAACACTGATCCGAGTCTCAGATGCGTTGTGCCGCCCAAGGGTGGGAAGCTCTAGGTCGACGAGGCACGTGGCTGTCCATTGTTCAAGTCTCTCCTGATGGCTTGTGCTTCTCCGAAAACGAAGACTGCACTGAGCACCCGATGATCAGTGCGCACCTTCATTGTTGCGTTGCCCGGACCCGGTAGGTCAGACAGAACATCTAGGTATATGACTCCAGCCCGCTACTTCCGCTCCCCATTCCCACCCTCTCCAGAGCCACATCGCCCACCATGCAGCTCCCCATCCTCAACCTCCTCTGCCTCCTCGCCCTCGGCCTAGGCTCCTCAGCTACATTCACGGCGACAATCATCCGGCCAGACGTGACGGACCTGGTCTCGGCGCTGCCTATCCTCAGCCATCGTCCATCTCTGCTTCGGTCACTGGTTCCAAAGCCCCTAATGCTACGGCCCCAGCCGACCCGCACGACTACCCAACCCTCGGAGCGCCACTGGACGATGCCGCGATCGCGTCGATCTCAGCGCAGGATAAGTCCTTCGACAAGGAGATCAGCTCGGTCATGAGTGTTGCGAGCGCGAGTCTGCCGTGTAAGGCGGTGACGGATGTCAGTGGGAGCCCGGTTACTATCTGTGCGCCGACGCAGGCTATGGCGACGATGCAGGATGGTGCGGCTAGGAAAGCAGTAGGAGGCGCAGTCGTGGTTGCTGCTTTGGGATCGCTTTTGCTGCAATTGTGAGGAAAGGCTGGAAGCGTGTCATCGTTGAGTCGTGCTTGAGATATACCAAAAATTAAAGACAAGGGTCCGATGTAGCTCCGGCGCAAGCAGAGATAGTAATGCGTATCAATCTGGAAAGCTTCTCTCGTCTTGATGATCTTATGCCAGCCATCTCGACGCCAAAGCCCCTACCCCAACCAAGACCGCTACAAACATCAGCCACCTCTGTATCCCCTGCTTCGCCAAACCCTCAAAGTGCTTCTCCAAACTCTCTTTATCATTGACCCTCGGGAAAGGCACACCCTTGACCTTACTCTCCGGCACGCCCAAAGCCTTACACAACGGACCCCAACCCTCCCGTACATCGTAGAACACCAGTTGATCTTTTGGTACGCACTCCTTCAACTGCTCTACATGCCGATCCCAAGCCACCCCGGCCTCCGCCGTCACCTTCAAATCCGCACCAGGGCCATACCGCCACGCCCAAACGCACTCCATCCCGTCGTAGATGCGCGGCATGTGTCGTGCGCCCTTGACCCAGAAGAACAGCCCGCCCAGGATCCAGGGCGAGATCACGGTAGCCATCATGGCGCTTATGCTCGCGAGCCATGGCTCCCGGTCGCGGACCGTGCATATCACGGATGGCGTCGGGGTAGAGTTGCAGCAGTTGGGGCGTTAGTTGTGAGAGGGGCGGGTCTGCTGTTGCGACGTAGCCTTCCAGCAACGCGGAGAGCTTGGTGAGGACTTCGTCTGGTCTGGCTACTGTTGCGGCTGGCCATTGAGTTGGGATGCCCCGGGGTCCGACGACGGCTTCACAGATTTCGCTGAGCCGCAGGACTTGCGATTCGGGGGCGCCGGCGCCGCACCATTGCCGGCCGGCGTGGTAGGTTGGGCCGTCGAGGAGGAAGGAGATGGCTTCGCAGAAGGAGTTGGTTGCTGTGCGGGGGAGGCCGGCGCGATCACGCGGATGCGGGCGTGGGTTTAGGGGGAAGGTAGTCTAGGACGTGGGGTGCTGCGGGTGAAGAGGTGGTCATGTCGGTAGGATGGGCTGGCACTAGTGATGAGGAAGCGGTGGGTGAGGGCGCAGAAGGCTGGATTAGGCTGGGCACGGATTGTTAGGGAGGGGCGAGCAGGATGTCCCGGATCATCGAGTTGTGTGAAGTATTCCAAAGCGTGGAATGGTGACTTGGTAGACGAGGGCGAGCTGGACCGGGAAACTTGCTCGGTGTTAGGAGGCGGTACTGACAGATATCGTGGTCGACCACCTTGTGTAGCCGATAATCAGCAGCAGTCCGGGCAGCACCCGTCTTGTGCGACATCAGTGAGGGCTGTCGTTCCTAGGTAAGCTCGCAACTGCTGATGAGGTGCCAGCAAATGGGGATGAGGCCATTCTCTGCAGAGGATCTGAACCTTGTTGCAGATACACTTTACCGTTCAACAAGCGCAGGGTGCCCTGCATGCACTACATAGCATACTGCAGTAGTGAGCCGGGGAGGATGGAGCACCTCAACGATCCGGTCGCTCGGTTGTTAGTGTTATGTTAGACGGCGTGGGCATGTCAAGAGAACTGAATGTCGAACTGTAGTTCGAAGTCGAACGATGCGAGAGCGGGAAATTGGGGATGAACAGCAGTCTAGAGTGCGTGGAGAGGCCCCAAAGTCGGCAAGCTTCTCGATTGATTGTCATGAGGTGGCCTCTGCTTGCGGGGCCAACAGTTGGTACAATAATGCTAGGTCTTATCTCTGCCTTGGCTAATTCGGTGGGCATGCACAAAACGCATCGGTATCCGCATCGATGAGAGCAAAATGCGGTGATCAACCGTAGTCTCTTCAAAACGAGGAGGTAATGGTGCGGATTGAGAGACGGTCGGATGTCAACTACGCCGAGCCCCAGCCAGTGGCGGGCCTGAATGCTGTCTTGGCCATAGGATGACTCAGCGCTCCTTCCTGATCATGTTCCAGTACTAGTGATTTGGTATCAGCATTTTGAAGGAGATGCATTGCCAAATTTTCTTGTGCCGTGCGGATTCGAGCTCTGTATCATCGTGCGGTGGACCAGAATGCACGCTGAAATCGCGCAGATGGCTCCCGGATACACACCTGGGTAGAATTCCCAATAGAAACGCTTTTCTACGTCTTGAGCGGAGCCAGACCAGAGCAGACTGACCTGTCGGTGCCGTGAAGGATCTTACAGCTCGATCAGGTTCTCCTCGACCTTTGGCTGTGGTGGTGCTACTTGTTGCGGAACGTGGGAGGGCGCGGCAGGGAATGACTGAGCTTGTGGCTGTTGCTGGTAACCTGCGTATGGCTGAGCGGGTTGAATTTGCTGCTGAGTCTGCTGTGGAGGGTACGCCGCATACTGTGCTTGCGAGTATGCTGGCTGGTGCTCAGGAGGTTGCTGAGCTGGTGGTGCATTTGCGTAAGGCACAGTAGTTGTGTAGAAGATCCCGTATGCTGCTGTGGTATACCGTAGGGTTGCTGCTGAGGAGCTTGGTACGGTTGAGGCGGTGGCTGATCAGCGACTGGTGGGAGTGATGGGTACGCTGAAGGCGGTTGTGATGAGTTGGGTTGCTGCTGTGTATATGGCTGCTGCGCAGACGATTGTTGATGATATTGTTGCGGAGATGGTGGTCCATATTGATTAGGTGGAGGCTGCTGGTTCGGGTCCGGGTATGCTGGATATGAAGGCTTGTCCATTGTCTGACTTGTGTAGGAGTACGCTCGTTGCGGAGGTGGCATATTCTGTCGGGGCGCTGCGTACGCGTCACTTGGCGCATTACTGAAGTAGTAGTTTTCTGCTCCACCTGCAGCATGTGAGGGAACACCCTGACCAGGAGGCATAGACGGATACATGTTCGACTGATGGCGCTCAATGGCTGGTGAAGGCATACCATATCCGGGATAAGCTGGATTCCGCTGGTTGTATGTGTTATTCAGTCGATCTTCGAGCATGCGGTCATAGTATCTGACGACGGTTGATAGCTTGGAATGAAGATCCAGCAGCGCGTCGCTTTTGGACATGGTCTCGCCGAGCGTTCGTGCAAGCTTCGGCCGCAATTTGCCAATTCCTTCGTACAGCTCCTGAATCTGCGGTTCTCTCAAGATTGTGCCTGGAGGCTGATGTTGCAATCGATCTACCAGGGTTGAGAAGAGGTTGATGTTCTCGGCTTCGACTAGAGACAGCTCATAGTCGTTCTTGGGCATGACGAACGGCTGCGATGCTGATGTGCCATTTGTGGTCGATTTCTTGAAATTGGCGGCATGCTTCTTTGCCTGCTCCTCAGCTTCCTTCAGCGAAAGAGCAATGGCGGCCTTCAGATCTGGGTCATCCTCTTCTTCGTTACTTGTGCCATTGGTCTTAGGTTTGGTCTCCTTCTTGATCTGTGCCTGCGGAACGTAGCCGCTGGTAGAAATGCCTTTCGCATCCTCCAAGCTCATTTCTAAGGCGCGTTTCAGATCTTGATCGAAGGAGCTATGTTCGATTCGGGCGCTTCGTGGCTGCATCGGACTTGGCTTGGTGGCGAAGGATACTCTTCGCTCGTCTCCTTTGCTTTTCCTCTGCAGCTTCTCGTAACAACCGTCGTCGACGCGGACTGGTGTCAATATGCCGAGATGTGGCAGTGGAATGGATTTCGTCGAACATTGCTGATCGAACACGTTTCCGCAGTTGCGACAGTGATGCTTCCGATTTGTGAAGGTGAAAGCCGTCCGGCAGCGCATGCAGACATCGCTGTCGGTCCACTCGGGAGGCGCGCTACTGTCGACCATGCTGCTGGATATCTCAACCTTGGGTGGGAATCTGTAGTTCTCTCGTTGAAGTGTCTCGTAGACAGTGTTGATGTAGATCAGCTCGTATCTTCCTTTCACAGCACTGGCCCAGGTCTGAATAAGCTCGAGAATCTTCTGCTTCACCTCCTCGTTGACTTCGGCAGGACCATATGCTTTGAGAAGGGAGACCAGATTGTCCATGAACTCTTTGGAGGCAATCTCGGTGAGGAAATGTGAGCCGCCATTCTTGACGCACGTGTCTATGAGCTTGAGGGTTGAGATCTGGATGTTGGGATTCTTGTTTCCTAAGCGCTTCTTCAACGATCGCATAGCATCTTTAGGCTGCACCGTTTTCGACCGGATCAGGTCGGAGATCTCTAGAGACGTAGCAATATCCTCAAGGCTCGAAGAGGTGGCCTTCTCGATCTGCTCGTCGAGCGCCGTTGAGCCTGAGCTGAACCAGCCAGCCATGATGAGATGTGTATAATTCTGGGTTACTCAATCCAACTCGATGAGTACGACGCCGGTCTTCAGAGAAGGTCTGTCATCGAGGAGAAGGGGCGAGAGAGCGAGATAGACGGCCGTCGAGGCTGAGGCGGTACTTTGTGAATGTGAAGGAGCTTTGCCCGGACAATGTCGATGGCAGACTGATGAATGCGGTCTTGGAGGTGCAAGGCGGACTGCGGAAGTTGACATCACATGTTTCGCAGGTCTAACGCTGCTCGAATATTGTTCTAGGCGCCACAGGGGCAAGCCAGACTGTGGCGTAGGTGCTGACACATCGCGGACAGGCGCCACCTCGGCCCGCAGTTGAGTCTCTCCGCCTCCACGGGCAGCCGCCTTCTTTGCCTAGAAGCACTAGAGCATTCGATGATTCGAGGTTGACGTTACTCGTCGAATCCGATGACCGAACATTTCTACCCAAGCATGTTTGTGACCTCCCACGCAATCACTTCACTGTCGCCGCGCGTCTCTTGCACGGCAGTGTCTATTTGATCCGAGGACTGTCAATCTGTATCTGCCTGCTTCACGAACGTCTCAATCTCACCCATCGCTATACCGAACCGGTCTGTCTGTACCCCTCCACCACGAGCTGCTGCGTACGACAGCAATCAACGCCAATGCCTTCATCGGGTCAGCTTCCGTAGTATCGTAAGATCATCCGAGATCATGTTGGACACGTAAAGTACACCCGCATCGCCGACATGGCGACATTTGCGAGTCCTCCTAATAACGACGGCGCCGCATCTCGGGCGAGTTGGGGCGATCCGCGAGATGCCCGTCCACCAAGCACCGGTGGTACCGGCACGAGTCGAGTGTTCGCCAGTATCGAGGACATTGTTAGCGATGCTCAACCGCGGTACTCGCCTGACACACAGCCGGGTCAACTCCTGAGCGATGCCGAAAAGTGCTATGCAGCCTCTCGCAATGCCCTCGATTTCGGCCGGCCGGACACTGCCTTTCGAGAATATCTACTTGCCTACGATATTGCTACTAACAGCATTCCGAGGCATAAAGAATTCGGTTTCTGGGAGTACAATCAACCTGCTTGGGCGGCCCGTTACAAGAGCCTGACCAAGAAGCTGGCAGATCTCGAAAACAAGATGGTCGAAGTTAAGCAGACAATAAAAGAGAACAATGCTATACACGGGACCAGGCCTCGCTCGTCTTCCAGAGGCACCGTCTACGACACCGGCTTTGGGCAAAGTCCTGTCAATACATCTCCTGCTGGTCCGCACGCGACGGGTCTTCCGTCCGCCTTGAGACCAGGTGCGCCTCGACCTGCAAACAAACCGGAGGGCTTACAGGGCCGGCCCCTTTCAAATGGAACTAATGACCTCGCCGACCGATTTGCGCGTCTGCGCACGCCAGGCGCGGCTGATGCACCACTTTCAATGCCAAATGCGGGCGACTTCAAACGGGACTCTAGCGGTAGACCATATTCTTACGCCACAGATGCTCAAGGAGTGCCCCAGGCTCGGCCAAGCGGACCAAGGAGTATGCCTAATGGCTCCAGCCTGCCACAGATACCACCAAAAGTGCCAATCATTACCAACTTTTCTCTACCGAAGCCTCCGAGTCCGACCTACAGTCCAATAAATGTCACAACTCCAGGTGGATCGAAGCCACATGAAGGACGGCCGCCGAAGGAGAAACGTCTACAGTACTATAGCCAGCCACAGAATGGCTCGTCCACTTCCCTGGCTTACAAGGCCCGAGAAGAGATTCTGCTACCGTACCGCCCAACTACGCCAAACGGTGTCAACAACGCTATTGTGCCAAAGAGCAGCTCGAGTGAGATACCACACGACTCCGCTATCTTCCCCGAGACTCTGCAAAAGTACATGACCAGGTACAACATCTTACTGGTAGACATCCGAGAGCGTGTGCTCTACGATGAAGGGCATATCATGGCTAGCTCCGTCATCTGTGTCGAACCGTTGTCGCTCAGGGAGGGACTGTCTGCCGAAGATCTCGAGGAAGGCATGGTGCTTGCCCCGGAGAGCGAACAGCTGCAGTTCTCACGTCGCAATCAATTCGATCTTGTCGTATACTACGACCAGAGAACTTCCGATATCAGCTTTTTGAAGGGGCACCCAGCAATGACCCAAGCTCCTGCCCTTCGTGCGTTCTACGATACCCTTTACGAATTTAATGAGACCAAGCCTCTGAAAGATGGACGACCACCAGCACTGCTGAGAGGAGGTCTGGATGCTTGGGTTGACTTCATGGGTGTTCATTCCCTTGCAACATCCAGAACTGCAGCCATGTTAGGCACTACAAGACAAAGGCCGGTCCGTGGCCCCGCGCTCAATCGACGTATCATTAGTCAAGGCTCGAGACTAGATGTCCGCAATAAGCGCTTGAGGGCACACAGCTTTCTTGACGAGAAGGAGCAAAGGCAGTGGATGCAACAAGCTCAGAATGAACATGTTAATGTAAATGAAGCACCCGAGTTGAGCGATGGCGAGTATGTGATGGTCGAGGAAGAGCCTCCGCCACCTTCGCCTTTCGTCTCGGATGTGGAAAGTTTCCTCAGGCGCTTTCCGTCCGTTCGCGATGAGCAGCAGTCAATGACAACGGCTCCTCGGCGGCCTATGACGATGCCTCCCCAACGGCATGAGCCACCACCACCACCATCCATACCGAGCCGTCCGGCTCCTGCAGTGCCGCGACCTAGCTATTCGGGCCAAGCTGAGCTTATACAATCTCAGGCGCCTCTGGCTCGAACGACATCTTCGACAAGAGCGCCCTTGTACTCGTCTGCCGGCTTAGCAAGGACAAGAAAGCTGCCGAGAACAGGCTTGACAAACTTCGGCGTCACGTGCTACATGAATGCGACTGTGCAGTGTCTGTCGGCAACGGTGCCGCTGTCTCAGTTCTTCACAGACCGCATGTATGAGCAATATGTGCAGCAAAATTGGAAAGGTAGCAGCGGCATCATGCCCCAATTCTACGCCAACTTGGTCAAAGCCCTGTGGAATGACGATTGCGAGGGCATCAAGCCAACCTCTTTCCGCAAATTCTGCGGCCGGATGAACCAAGAATGGATCATTGACCGCCAGCAAGACGCTAAGGAGTTCTTCGACTTCCTTGTCGACTGCCTGCACGAAGATCTGAACGTGAATTGGGACCGCACGCAACTCCGAGCTTTGACTGAACAAGAAGAGGCCCAGCGCGAGCGCATGGACATCGTCAAGGCGAGTCCAATCGAATGGCAAAGGTTCGAACATCGCGACCGCAGCTACGTCTCGTCGCTCTTCGCCGGCCAGCATGCCTCCCGACTGCGTTGCCTCACCTGCCAGAATACGTCAACGACATACGAGGCTTTCTATAGTATCAGCATCGAGATTCCTCGGTCCGGCCAGGGCAACATCTACGACTGCCTGCGCTCGTACACGAAAGAAGAAAAGCTTCAGCAAGCATGGCGCTGCCCACATTGCAAAGCCGACCGCGAGGCTACCAAGCAAATCATACTTACGCGCCTCCCCCAATTCTTGGTGATTCACTTTAAGAGATTCGCCGCCTCCAAACTCGAGCGCGCCAAGAAGATCCACACGCCCATCGATTTTCCGACACACGGGCTAAATATGGATGACTTCGTGGTCCCACGCCCGAAGCCGGTGCCGGACAAAGAGGGCAAGTTCGATATGGCCACCACACCGCCGTTTACGTATGATGCGTATGGCGTGTTGAGGCACTTGGGTGGGACGCTAGATGGAGGACATTATGTCAGTCTGGTCAAGGACCCTGGCAGGGGTACTTGGAGGAAGTTCGATGATGAAAGGCACTATGATTTTGATCCGGCTAAATTGGGGCCGAGAGACAGGCTGCAGAATGCGGAAGCGTATATTGTGTTTTATCAGCGGGCGCCGTTGCAGGCTTTGTTGTAGGAAACACCCCAGAAAACACCTGCGTGGGTCAGTGCTTGGTTGAGGAAGCGGGCAGGCTTCACGATGTTATGACCAGATCCGGGAGAACAGTAGGATGTGTGATGGCGTGTGTAGGTATCTGATGCTGTGGGCAGAGAGGGAGGAATTCTTGGATTCTTCTCTGGTTGTGTAGCTGAAGAATGACTCGGATATTCTTGCAACCGAATGAGACATTGGTACAGTCCATTGTGTATCTCTGGCGATCGGCATGTCTGCAAGGATCAGCTTCGCTTATTGCAAAAGTTGCGTCCCAGGGCGGGCACTGATGGAGCATGTACATCAGTTTCTGACACGACGGCTGGCGGCTTGTGCAGAGATCTGATCCAGACTATGGAGGTCTTCGTTGGGAGCTGCCCCGTCTCAGATCCTGAGGTATAACGTTTGTTAGGCGACCGCCCTTACCCAAATTGTACTTGTGTACTTGCGCTGTGATTCGCTCCTGCCTTTGGTGCAACTGATATCGGAAAGAACACCCCTCGGTATGTTATTGTCGATGTCATTCCGGCATCAGCGATGAAACCTCTACTACGCGTACTCTCTGCATTAGGTAGAGGCATTAACCTGGCACTCGGCTCTTTCAGCGGCTTGAATAGCATCATCCTTGAGATCGACATCCTTCCTCGAAACAGGTCCTCCATCTTGGGTGCTACGCGTTTGTTTAAGGCCTAACAAGCCTTTAGACAAGCTCCTAGGCCTCTACTGGCATGCATGCCGACGGGTTGTTGCCGTGTCGCTTCCAAGGTCAACATGCAAGCTTTGTCATAGATGGCACTCCACGACGAGCGACCAGGACTCATGACGAGCGTGACTGGTAACGGTACGATGTCTCGAAGAGTACTTGATGTCGTGCATGGCTGGCGCACAGCAGAGACAGTCTTGTCCACTGCGTTCCGCCACGTTTGTAACGGTGAGCCACAATGATGGAGCATACTCAGGACTTGACATTCATTCTTTTCTCTAATAAGAATACCGTCCGACAGCAAGGTCTCTTAGACTCCAAAGCCAGGTCACACGCTGCGAAGGAAGGTTGGAAGGCCTCTCACCGGAGAAGGAAAGAAGGATCTGAGCCGCATCAACCGGTGCACCACAGCGCGCTGAAAGTCAGCAACCTACCAGCCCATCATACACTGCCAGCCTTCAATGTTGCTCCAGTCTACGACCCATGGTTGATGTCCCTGGGTTACCGCGTTGACCCATTCTGCTGCATCCCTGGCAGTCAACACCCATTCGCACGCACTGCGCTGGACTTCTTTGTCGACTATATCTACAAGATGCAGACCGCGTGCAACTACGCCTTTGGGATCGTCAACTTCTGGACCAAGCATGGTATGCCCATGATGGCCCATAATGCAGCATTATTTCACGCTACTCTGGCCCTGCTCACCTTTGCACATCAGTACCTCTACAGATCCAACTCGACCGGTATGCAGGAGCAGATACTCCACCATCAGGATCTGGCGATACGGGAGCTTCGACGTCGTCTACTCACCGAGGAAGATCCGGTGGGGGACGATGGGTCGATCTTGACAATGTTCATGCTCTGCGTAAGTCCTGCCCACTGAATGACATGTGTTCGCATGCTGATTCGAAGACTCATAGTCACTGGACAAGAGCATGGGCGACATGGAGACTTGTGATATACATTACAGACAAGCTACTAGAATGATCGAATGTCGAGGGGGCATGGGATCCCTTGACAAAAGCAGTGGGCTGTACGCTGTGCTGAGTCAATTCACAGATCTATCGCCCAACAGTTTTGAGCACATCCTTCCGGTTGAGGCTCTACGGGAGTCTATCCGTTTTGGCGACGAACTCGAGATGGCTTGCAAACCGCCGTCTGACCTGGTTGAAGGCCTCCCTGTCGGGTTTCGCGCACTCGCTAGAAGGGGTGCGATCTCTGCCAAGACCTGTAAGGCGATCATCAGAATGGGCCGCCAACTCAACGACCCATCTATAGTGCAGCAAGCCTCGACCGCTGGGGGAGAAGTCGCGACGTGGTCCCAGAGCTGGCCCGACTTTTCCGACAAGAGTGTTTGTCTTCTGGAGAGGCTGATCTGCCTGGCTCTGGTCCGATACATTGCTAATGTCTCAACGCGTATTCGCGCTGGGTGCTGCCCGTACGAAGATTTGGCCTTGTCGCTGACCAACACGATCCCGAGCATCACAGTGCCGGAGGGCAGACTGGAGCGAGAAGCTCTGTCGTGGATCTGGCTCGTCACCGTAGATGCATGGAGCGTGGGCATGGAGTGGCGAAGACGCAGACATGTACTGCAAGACCGCGGACTGGAGTTGTTCGAACAGATGCTGGACCGCTTCCCGGAGATGTGGTGTTGGCGAATCGAAGACTTCGAGTTGCTTGGAAACAAGTACTTCTGGCGCAAGGATATGGGCAAATGGCTGGAGTCCGCCCTAGCCAGTGTTCGACCGGACGACGTGCATTCGCGTCCCTCTCACCTAGCCTCTTCGCACCCGGAAGTTTTGAGCCAGGAAGTCAGATCTGCCCCGAACCCTAACGGCAAAGCGCCGATTCTGTGCCCGCCAAACTTTGTCCTCCCGCCGAGCCGGGTATCCTGGCAGGATCACTTCGTTCACAAGTTCGTCTACCCTGAGTCGTATGAGTTCAGTGGATATGACCGCTATGAGCCCAGGCATAAATGTACCATTCCAGCTGAACATCACGACGGGATTCCGTTGACCGTACGTCGACCGACTTGTGGTTGAGGATGCGGACCTCAGGAGGGCTGGAACACTTGGTGCAGTGAAGCCTGCCCGAGTTGTCAGCACAGTCGTCGAAGATGTGTTGGTCCCGGACTTGCTAAGAATGACTACGTAGCGAGTGCAGCATTCCGACATACCGACCTCAGCCTGTTCGATAACGGTTTTGGGCGGAATTCCGGGTCCGTAGTCGAGTACGCTGGGGCGAGAAGGGTCGATAGTGATTGTGCTTAGCCGGAAATGACCTGGACTCCCCATCAGACTACGAAAGTCTCTCCATTCGATGACCATTGCACCTGCCTCACATAACCTTCTGGCTTGCCTCTCACGAAATTATCATTCAGCATCCAATGCATCGAGCATTCTGCACAGTACCTGGGTACATATATTTGTAACTCGCAAAATTTGGCCATTACTCAAGCGGCTACGATTGTCCCTTCATTTGAGCGGCATGGTGCAACGGCGAGCACATCATGCGAAGGCGGGTGTGACCCGTCGACGTCAGCCTAACGGCGTCGCCTTCGCAGAGAAGATCCTAGTTCGATTCTGGGTGCTGCTATCACTTTTTGCTTTCTTGCTTTTTGTCGTCTTGTGCAGCGGTGAGGCTTAGTGTTGGGATTTTCGCTCGGAGTATCTGGAGCCATAGTGAAGTCTGTGTTGCTGAGCTTATATATTTGATTGCATTGAAAACCTGCTCATCAAATGGAAGCACGGGCTGCCGAAGAAGCATTTGGCAGCATGGTGCAATGGCAAGCACATCGAGTGATGTTGGTACAGACTCAGAGTAGCATGCTAACAACCCAGGACATGATTGTCCTTGCGCAAAGAAGATCCCAGTTCGATTCTGGGTGCTGCCCTCATATCTTTTTGGTCTTTTGTGTCCTTGGTTTCGCTTCGTGTGACGGCGTCTGCTTCACCTTGGTCGACATTGCCACCAAGTCAGGCCCCAGGCTTCATATATCTGTACTCATCAAATATCGCGCACGAACAAATGCAATCTCAACATCATTTCAGCAGCATGGTGCAACGGTGAGCACATCTCATGAGGTGTCTGGTCAGCATGTCACGCCGGATGGCAAGTAACCAATACTCCCACGGAGTATTGCCCTCGTGGACGGAAGATCCTAGTTCGACCCTGGGTGCTACCACTTACATATTCTTTTTTGCCTGATTGAGTGCGGTGAGCAATGCGAGGCAACCTTCGCAGGGTTCCGTCAGCTGATTAGCCGAAATGCTTCATCACTACTGATGCGCTGCGACCGCAGTGCGAGATCTACAGAGGACGGTCTTCCACCTGGCCTTGTGTCTGCCAAGCTGGATGCCCAGCATAACACGAACATAATATTTACATTGTGCTGGCTCCGGGAGGTCTGTCATCGCTGAGATGTTCACTAAAAGCGTCAGGCAACTCGTCATAAAATGGACCCAATATTTCATATCGAGTGAAGCAAAGAAGATGATAACGGTCCTTGGTGTTGTTGATGGGCGGAAGTGGTGATGTCGTTCAAATGACAAATGACACACAGAGCTCCGAGGTTTCCTCGCCTGAAGTCTGCCCCTAACGGCAGAGGCTACTATCACCCGTCCATCCAAGGTACTCAGGTGTTCATAAAGTCTGTATGATCACCCAGTTTTCGACCCATTCATGTCCACGCTTTTCACAAGACCCAATTCGTTGAATACTGGATCAAGATGTCGAACAAACGTGTAAAGTCACTAGCCGCTGATGACGATGACTTTTACGATGATGACGATTACGACGACGAGTACGCCGAAGAAGAAGAAGAATTGTCCGCCGAAGACAAGGAGCAACTCCGTCTAGGCACGATCAAAGTGCGGGAGGCTCTAGGCGGCACGTATAACGTGCCCGAGAAGTCCATCCACGATGCATTATGGGACTACTACTACGACATTGGCAAGACGGTGACACTACTGAAGAGTGAGTTCGCTTATGATTGATGCTGAACGGAGAGTCTGACCCGCCAACAGAGAACCACAAGCCAGCATCCGCCAAAGCATCTGGAGCATCAACTCCAAAAAGAGAAGGTATGTCAATTGTGCCCTTCGAGGCATCTCACTTATTCCCTTCCCTTGCAGAAGTACTGTGGCATTCGGGGCAGCAGAGTAATGATGTTATGGCAACTTTGCGCGACCGCCAGGAATGCTCACCTTTATACACGCCGAAGGACTTCTTCAGCGACGCGCCATGGCTCAATATTCCGACATATCGCCAAGCACGCATTATCGAAACCCTGTCAAGTCCGCGGGGGCGGCTGCTCGGCGGTTCCGCTAAGGGTGGTAAGATGTCGAAATTGGCAGCTCTTGCAGCGAAGCGGAGACAGGCTCAGGAACCAAAGCAGACCCAGCAGGCCAACCTGTACAGTCCGACGAATACGCGGAGAAACTGAAGCAACTCACAATCACGAGGTCCGCTCCAGAGCAAAAGCCTAAGGATACTGATCCTGATGGATCTCGGTCAGAAGATGCGATGGACATCGACAAGCCCGACGTCAAGGATGAGGACTTCTCTGGCCAACCAAGCATTCCTCCGGCAGGAGTCGTCCAACGACTACAGAACCCACCATCCATTTTCGCCAGCATTGTTACCGGTACCCAACGACCTATCCTTCAGCCTTCTCATACTCTGCTGCCCATGAATGGCAGTAGTACTGCCGATGCTTTTGACTTCTCGCAACCGAGCCCTGATGATGTGTTCAGAAAAGCACAATCCAAAGCCAAGAAGTGACTCTACTAACTGACATCAGCTAAGCCTGCAAGCTCAAAACACAAGACCACAAAGCTGGACGATGTGACCAACGGAGTATCGAAGGTATCCGTACAAGAACCGCAACGAGTCAAGAGCAACAACATCGATGTAGTGGCAGAATACAAAAAGACCAAGCGGAAAAAGGCTGCAAATTTTGTGGTCATAGGTATGTTTCGGCCCCCGTCCTGCTTTTGATCCCAATTGATGTGAGTAGGGCATGTTGACGCCGGAAAGAGCACACTTATGGGGCGACTCTTGTACGACCTCAAAGCCATCGACCAAAGGACAATCGATAAGTACAAGAAGGAAGCTGAGTCAATCGGCAAGGGCTCGTTCGCGTTTGCGTGGGTCCTTGATCAGGGTACCGAAGAGCGAGCGAGAGGCGTCACCATCGACATTGCGCAAAACACTTTCTCTACGTCGACCACCAACTTCACGATACTGGATGCTCCCGGCCATCGCGACTTCGTGCCCAACATGATTGCTGGTGCTAGTCAAGCAGATTTCGCCGTGCTTGTGATCGACGCCTCAACAGGAAACTTTGAGTCCGGTCTTCGAGGGCAGACGAAGGAGCATGCTCTTCTCGTCCGCTCGATAGGTGTTTCACAGCTCATTGTAGCTGTCAATAAAATGGACTCTGCCAACTGGTCCCAGCCAAGGTTTGCAGACATACAGACGCAGATGTCGACCTTTCTCACGGCCGCTGGATTCAATTCAAAGAACGTCACATTTGTTCCGTGCTCCGGTCTTGACGGTGGTAATATTCTCAACCCAATCAAAGAGTCTGCTGCCAGCTGGTATACTGGACCAACGCTTGTTGCAGCTCTGGAGTCCAATGAGACAGTTCATGCTTTTGCAGTAGAGAAGCCTCTACGCATGTCTGTGGGCGACGTGTTCCGAGGCGGTATCACCAACCCACTCTCGATATCTGGTCGCATTGAAGCTGGCAATTTGCAAATCGGCGATAATATACTCATACAGCCTAGTGGTGAGACAGCCACCATCAAAGGCATCGACCTGGACGACAGCAACGATGAGAACACGGACCCCTCCACTTATGGACTCGATCTCACATCGGCTGCTCCACAATACGCCGTCGCTGGCAACAATGTCACACTTCATCTGGTGCCCACAGGGAGCAATAGCTCCAAGACCACGACTGACGAGTCAGATATTCGCGCTGGTGACATCGTTTGCAGCCCTACCAACAGTCCGATACAAAATGTCACGAAATTTACCACGAAGCTCGTCGCGTTCGAACATTTGACGCCCATGCTGGTTGATGTGCATCGTGGAAGACTGCATAAATCTGGGAGGATAGTGAAGATGATCGAGACGCTGGACAAGAGTACTGGACAGACGCTGAAGAAGAAGCCAAGGGTGGTTCAGCCACAGAGCTGGGTACGAGTAGAGGTGGAATTTGTGAGTGGGGATGGCGGTAGCAATGCTGGTGCTGAAGAGGCTGGCATCGGGAATAAAGTGCCGTTGGAGGCTGGTAATAGGGTTGTGCTAAGGGCAGGCGGTATCACTGTTGCAGCTGGGGTTGTGGAGGGATAAAGCCCTGAGCTCGCAGGTTGGTATCGTGGCAGGTCTGGTGGGGCGGCACAACACTACAGAAATTCGAGCCCTCGGTTTTCAAGATCAATACCTAGCAAGCCTAGTCAGGACTGGAAATGTCTCGATGATCGAGCTTTCGGATTTTCGCATTGAGCACGCTCGAACTTCATTCAGTAGGGATGACTTGTCGTGGAACTTTGGCTATGTCAAGCGCTGTAGGCATTTGGACCCTTGGCAGAACAGTCCTTTGTCACTTCTAGATGCATTATTTCATATTGGTGCGCGCCACAGAGTCAGTGTTGGACTACGACTAGTTGCACGACAGCATGATCGGATCTGGGGAGAGCCTTGAAGGCGTGCATCTCCACTGCTTCATGCTTGATCATGGGCCAGTTGAATGAACCAATAATCGTACAAGCTAAGCTATATCTTCGTCGCCTTCGGCGCAAGACTCATGCTGCACAAAGCAACTTCCGCATAGCTCTAATGCCCTCAGCCAGTAGATATTAAAGAGCTGAACCTAAGCTCCCACCCATCCACAAGGCCCATTCGAGTTATACCGGCCGCCGGCGGGCTCTGTCGGCGGATCAGCCGTCAGCCAAACCCACCCAGAATCGCCTTGTGCCCCATTGGGACAGACGTCGGTATTTCCGCCAACCATATCGCATGTGCCGTCGTAAAAGATGACATTCTGGCAATTTGCTATCACCGACCCCGTCATACAAAGTACGCAGCACTCGTACGGGTTTGCGGCTGGTGCGAGCGCATACACGCCGTCAGAATTAGCAATGCCTTGGATATATTCACCATCCGGCGCCGCCTTCGGCCCTAGGATGTTGTTCGTGGCGCATGCCGCATAGTACAAGGACGTGGCAGTGGCGGTGTCCGTCTTGTTTTCGACGGTCCTTACCGTCGACGTCACATTGTAGATGTCTGTGCTCGTGATGGTCGTCGAGACAGTGGCGTTGACGGTTTTTGTAACTGCCGAGGGCATGATCATTAGTGTCGAAGTCATCGTAGTCTTGACGGATGCCGTTTTAGTCTTCGGAGCTGCAGCAACTGTGATCGTCTTTGTTTTTGTCTTGTATGCAGTTGAGGTCGACTGAATCACAGTCACACATTTGACACCCTGCACCTTCGGAGGTCCACGGCCGCCAGGGTATTTGCGGACACCACCGCCGTTGCCTCTGACCTCCAGAGACCGCTCCAGAGACTGGTCCAAAGAACGCTTGGTGGTGTCATTCAGCGAACTGTATCCAGAACTGTCGAAAATTGGAGTGAAGCCAGCCGGTGCTGCCACGGTCGAGACTGTTGTGCTTGTGACCGTCAAGTTGGCAAGATCAGTGACCGTCGTGAATACCACAGCTGAAGTGTTCATCAATGCTGTCACGGTAGACGTAATCGTGAGTGTGGAACTGACGGCAGAGGGCGGAGCAGTCTTGGTCACGGTATTCACCTTCAGGGACGTCGTTGTTGTAGTCACAGTCGGAGTGGTTGTCTTCGTAACTGTCTCCGTGCGGGCAATGGTGATGGTCGTTGGTTTGCGTGTTCGGGTTGAAGTAGTTGTTGATGGCTTCCCAACTTTGGCATATCCGGAGGTCGTGAAGCATCGTGACTTCCACTGTCCTGGAGTGTCCAGATCCGAATTGTCCCGTGGCGCGGCAAGAGCCGCTGAAACAGAAAAGAGGGCAATAGCGAGCGTAGTTAAATGCATATTGACGGTAATGAACGTGGGTGGCAGTGGAGCCGAAACTTCTTGCTAGAAAGTTAGTCATTCTGCTGGGCAAACTTCTGTGTTATATCAACGAGCATGTATCGCGCAACAGGAGGTGTGAGACCTGCAGAAGTCAATGCGAGGGACATCAATACCAAGGACGCATGTTGAAGGGAGGAAACGCGGTGGCGCTGAATACGAGGCTCGTAGGCGGCTATAAGAGTGCTCCAGAGTCCAGACGTCGCTATAAGGGGTTTCCGTGAAGTTGCTCGTCTGTTCCGGAGCTGCGGTCAGCGCTTGGGCATGCTGTGGCAAGGCGCGGTCTGATTGCAGACAAAAATGATAGCTTCCACGTTGTCCTGAGGCTGAACCCCAAATTTCGTTTGGTCTGCATTGACAGGACGTCAAAATGCCGGCTACATGTCTCACTCGTCGTTCTCGTATAGCAAAGCACTATAGCTGTCACACGGGTCTCGACTAGAGCTAGAACTTGCTCAAGAGCGTTTGCTGCTGTCGACCGAACCGCGACAATCGGTCAGGGCACGGTCCTCCGATGGCGCGTTGGACACCTCTTGTCGTGATCACGACATCATAGCAAATTGTGACTTCATGCTTACCGAGAAAGTCTGGCGATGAAGATCACATTGAATTGATGCTCAGTCAGACGGCCTCCATGTCGACCTCATCATAACAACAAGAGCTTGCGACCGGTCATCACGCAACTTCCGCTTTGGCCTGTATCGCCCACCATACTCATCTCTTGCCAGCAACGAGTTTCCTTGCCGCTCGCCACTGTCCAGGACTCTTGTTTCAACAATCCTTCCTCCGAAGCACGATTTCGTTCGATAGGTCATGGGAGGTAAACCGTTTGGTGGGACTCCTCTACGAACCACATGACTTCGCCAATATGATTTCCCATGCATCAACCGCGCTTCCGAACATCGCGGATTTTCGGACCTCACCACGACTGATCGTCATCGCAAATGCCCTTCTGAGGACATCTTTCGCTGCCTAATGCACCGACTTACTTTCCCGGCATCAACGCTTGTTGGATGCTTCTCCATCCACCCCCATTTCATCCCGCAATAGACTGGCGAGTCTGGGGTTGTGCCCGTCGGCACCTTCTCTGCTTTCTCCAACGCCATGTGTGCCGTGCGGTAAGCCACCGGTGTCATTGACCGACGTGGCAGCCGTTCTTCATAAATGCCCTTGGATGTCCTCCAGTGGCGAGTAAGAACTCGGGCAGACTGCCATCTGACTACATTGTTGACAAGACAAAATGGTTCGTTTCTACACTCTAAGCATTGCGCTGTTCAGCGCCATTGGAACCTTCCTCTTCGGCTTCGACACAGGCATTGCGACCACAACAATTGCTCATCAGTCATGGATCGACTACATGGGCCACCCCTCCAAAGGTCTGACAGGAGCCGTTGTGGCAGTTTACATCGCAGGTGAAGCTGTCGGAGCGCTGTTGCAGACCTTTGTCGGCGACAGACTCGGCCGCATCCGCTTTATGCAGATGATGTGTATTCTAGTCACCATCGGCACGTCTGTACAGACAGGCGCAGTCAATCTCGGCATGTTCCTGTCAGGGCGCGCAATCGCTGGCATGGCCGTTGGTGGCATGGTCGGAACTGTGCCCATCTACCTCTCCGAGATCAGCCCACCAGGGTCCAGAGGCCTCATCGGCGGTATCTCCGGCTGTGGCATCTCCTTGGGCACAATGATGTCCAACTGGGTAGGCTACGCCTGCTCTTTCGCACCCTATGGACAGACTCAATGGCGTCTGCCACTCGGCATCCAAATCCCATGGGGCGTGATCCTCTTCATCGGCCTTGCAACCTTCATGCCCGGCTCCCCTCGACAGCTGATCCGCGCAGGCAAGGTCGATGACGCCCGCATCCAATTCATCCGCATACGCCGCGAGCTATCTGCCCACGACCAGCAAGTCGAGTTCGCACACATGAAGGCGCAGATCGAGTTCGAAATGGCGCGCGAGGTCACCTCTATGAAGGAAGTCTTCAAGCTCTTCCGTCACCGAGCATTCGTGTCAATCGCAGTCCAGACTATGACCTCGCTCACAGGCGTCAACGTGATCCAGTACTACCAGACAATCCTCTACAAATCCCTCGGCATCACCGCCAAAACCATCCTCGCTCTAGCCTCCGTCTACGGGACCTGCGCCTTCCTCTCCAATGTCCTCACCACGCGCTTCCTCACCGATCAGTGGGGTCGTCGTCCTATGATCCTCGCCGGGCTGAGCAGTGTTGTGGTTATCGAGATCTACGCTGCTGTCATGCAGAGGGAGTTTCAGAACACCGACAATCAGGTTGGAAAGGGGTTTGCGATTCTGGCGATTTATTTGTTTGTGGTTTGTTACTATGGATTTCTCAACTCGACTACATGGTTGTATGGTGCGGAGGTGCTGCCTGTGGCGTTACGATCGAAGATCATGGGGCTGGCGGCGGCGAGTCACTTTATCGTGAACGTTGGGATTACGGAAGCCGGCCCGAGCGCGTTCGCAAACATCAAGGAGAACTACTATTATGTGTTTGTTGGGTAAGCGCTCACTGGATCAGGACCTGCTCCCGAATACAACTAACTTGAAGTTACAGGTGCTCAGCATTCTTCCTCGTGATGGCGTACTTCTACTTCCCCGAAACGCGACGCAAGACGCTCGAGGAGATCGCGGAAGCGTTCGGCGACAAGGTCGTGCTTGCGGACGAGCGCGATGTGATGGAGGAGGCGGAGGCGGAGAGGAAGTTGAGCATCACTGAGGAGAAGCGGGTTGAGCATGCTGCTTAGCTAGCTCAGAGGCGACGGTGGCATGAATGCAACGGTACTGCATGGGCAGGGTCTGAAAGTTGTGGGTTGGCTCCAATGGCGTGAGCACTGTAGTTGCACGGAACTTGGCTACATGGGCTGTCCGGGAAAGTCAGACCGGTTCGGTCGGGGATCAACGTGTCAGAATACGGGCGAGCAGGAGGTGCAGTGCATGAGATCTTAATGTCCAGAATGTCCGTCGGATGCTCCTCAGGACAGTCTCCGCCGTGAGTCGTTCTGTGCGCCCCTGCACCCCTCTCGAGTATACCGGAAACATGATCCGATGCCCAAGAGCCTCGAAAGGCTGACCACTCCTTTTCTCGGCTCACGCACGTCATGACTTGCGCATACACATGTACTAGATACATCGAAATCATGACAACAACAGACAACGGTCGCTGATATGACCCAACACTTCCACACTTCCCTTTCTTTGCATGTCTCGCTACCGTCCTTTCTTCAATCGACAAATTCAGACAACAAGACACAACATGACCTCCCCATACACCCAAACCAAAACCACGCTCCTGAACTTCCCTCACGTCTTTCTATCACTCCCCACGTCCCCAGCACCATTACATATTTCGCAGAAGTCTTCGAATACAACAATATCCTCCCTCTCCCTCCACCCAGCCCTGGAATCAACCTTGCACCTCCTCAACAACGACCTGCCCTCCGCCCACTTCTTGTTGCGGCACGCACAGTCCGCGCCCGCGTACGAGTGCATGTATCTGCATGGGATACTGCATCGGATCGAAGGCGATGTGGATAATGCAAGGTGTTGGTATGACGATGTGATGGGGAGTGAGGTTTTGGAAGGGGTTTGGGGGAAGTCAGGTGGGCGAAAGGCGGCCGAAGAGCGGCGGGAGAAGGGTAGGGGAACGGGGACGGAGTGGGAGGCTTTCCTGGACAGAGTGGCGCGGTGGCGGGATCATGTCGCGGGGCGGATGAAAGGCGGTGAGAAGAGGGAGATAGATTGGGAAACGGAGGAGAGGGAGTTGAGGGAGAAGAGCTTGTGGGAAATGAAGCGTGTGCTGGAGTTCGTGGAGCGGAAATTTGGCACTGATGAGGTGGGTGTTGCAGAGGCAAAGGCGGTGTGGGTGCAGCCGGACAAGGAGCATGGGGATAAAGCGAATGCGATGATTGTTGGTGGGGAGGGCTGGAGGGAATTCTGAGATCATCAGTTGGCATTTCTTTGGGACGAATTCAGAGGAACTGCCCTCGATGCAATTCACGTTCTTGCCATATTCAGCCGGCTACGCAGCAAAGGAGCAGATGCCGGCGTACAGGACAGCTTGGCGGCCTGTATCGCTCCTGCCCGGCTCAAAGTCTGCATCGGACGGATCACTTGTGGCTCACTTTTCTGCTCCATATTCAGGGACGTCTCAAACGTATGTGCATTCAGCGCCTCTTCCTCGGGTCCGAGGACGAAGACCATAGCCACGAAAGACATTCAGAGACCAGGCAAGAGTTGACAATCCGGGACGAAGCTGGCTTCGCAATTGTTGTTGTGGGAAAGGACAACCCGCTTCAATGGCACTGCCGTGATCCCAGAAATATGCGATCGATATCGCCACGGACACCATAATGATCATCTGAGGCGATGACGGTGTTGTCGTGCCAATGTTCCTGCTCCAGATCACCGAAGGATCTCGTCCCACCGGGTAGCATTGGATGTTACCATAGCATGACAAGTAGGCCTAGTCCCTTTCCACCGATGAAGGGCTAGATTAAGCGAAGGTGGCGAGAGCACGGAAGATACTTATACTCTTGCATCATTTTCGACGTCCGATACAAACCGAAACGATCGCTTCACTAACTGGGCCAGGGCCTGCTCACTGTCCAGTGAATGGTTCAGCATTCGATGCTGCCTAGTGTCATTCCCCTCGATGGGCACGCCAGGATTGGAGACTCCGACTCAGACTCAGGCTCATTCGAAGTTGGTAATTCTCGTCGTTTGCAATGTACAACTTATACCTAGGTATACCCAACGTGCTTGAGCAGCTCCACCTCAAAACCGGGCCTCCTTCACAGAGCCCTTGCCTCTGCTCCTCCCTCCATTACCAATTTCATATTCCACCCATCGACAGATCCCCCTCCGCTCTGCGCCCCTCTCTAGCAACCTACCGGGGTTCATCACAGAGCAGCCCTCGTACGTGACGCAGAACTGCGGTGCTTCGGCATCCGCAATGACAAGCACTGAGGGCAGCGGGTATAGTGATAGAGAGGCGGCAAAGTCCCAAGCAACTGGTCTCAGCGAAAGCGGGAAAGGCGATAGATGAGATTGATCCAGTAGAGTCTTGGTGATACGTCGGCCGATTTGCGTAGCCACATCGAATTTCACCGCTTTGGGCACATGAGAGGCAGCTTCCTTGACAGCATCGATGTCAAGGTCCATCGCGTCTGCCTGCGCAGGACCGTCCAGCTCAGCAGTTTCCGACTCAGGGTCTGCGAAAGTGATTGCATTCCGCCGCATACGACCGCTAATGTCGTCGCGGAAGAGGACGAGTTCCTCGACTGGTCCAAACACGCTGATGCGCGCAGGATTGCTGGTGAAGATTGCTTCGCCCTTCTGGCCGTCTTTGGCGCCCTGCTCGTTGTTGGCGGTTGCGAATGCTCGTCGGACTCGACTAGTGAGCAGGTCTGGCAGGCCTTGACGGGGGATGATGGTCGAAGCGCCCGCACTGAATGTGCTTGCCCATGGGTCGTTGTCACCAGGAACGAAAACGAATGTTGTCGAAGAGATGAGCTTCGGGTATTCCGCAAGCATGGATGCAAGGGAATCAAAGTACTCTTTGTACTCGACACTGCCAGCTTTGGACGAGCCGGCCATAGCGGCAGACGATAGGAAGTTGCCCATCAAAACCACTGAGAGGGGCAGGTCGGCGGAGTCACCAGACACGGTGTACGAATTCAGGACTGCACGTAGCGCGTCCAGCGTCCGTGGCGAGTCTAGATGGCACTCAGAAACGATGGCGACCTTTGATCGCTTCTGCTCAGAGGAACTAGGTGAGCTGCCGGCCATCAGTCGCCGCTGCAGTCGTCGCATCTGTGGTCCGGTGGCTTTCTCACTGCCAACACCTAGGAAGTCGATCCAGCCAAAGCCAGCTCCCACAGACGTCTGAATGTGGTCCGAAGATTGGGATTGTCCAATTCCAGTGGTCACATCGCGGCGCTCGGTTGGCGGACCACTAATCATTTTCGCAACGAATCGTCCTTTAATCTGGCCACCAACACCTCCTGCCGAGCCGAGATTGGAATTATTGGAACCGTCTTCTTCATATGTGCCCTCGACCAGCACCATCATGCCAGGCGTGAAGAACACACCATCTCTTGGAACTGCTTGGGCAAAGCGCATGTCCAGCACCACACTACCCGACAGATCGGCTAGAGCCGAGTCCGACGCTGGAGTGTGTGCCAACATGCCGAGCAGAAGATGCTCTGATCCGCTTCGACCAAGCAGATTGGAAACTGGCGTGATCTTGTAGGACTGTGTTTGAGAGATACTCGAGCCGGCTCGTTGGAGATGTGGTGGCCGGGATCCTGCAAAGGATGGCGTCTGAAATGACTCGTTTCGTAGAAGTCGTTGGTGTATAATGTGATATCTATTGCGGAACATGGCGATCTTCTGCTGTAATGGTGGGAGCAGTGAGCCTTCAGCAGATACTGTTTCGATCGTTTTCTTTGTTACCGAGTAGGATAATCTGGGCTGTTTGAAGGCTGATATGACTTTGATGAAAGGTCTGGCGTCTGCGTACCGCGTGTCGAGGTCGTCATCTAGGTCTTGCTCCTCCTGAACATCCAGTCCCGACATGCCGAAGCTTGTCTGGCTGTCATCTCGACTGAGGTCTGGTCTTATCTCAAGTGATGTCTGTCGCGATAACGTGCCGGTCGAGCTGTTCGTCCGAGACAGTTTCCCAGCGTCCAGCTTGCCCGCCAGCATGCATGGCTCGAGCAGTTTCAGCAACGTCGTGAGCTTGTTATCTGGCCCATCCTCCACAATAATACCAGCGCCCTGCCTTTTCCATTGCTTAGCTACCTCGTCGAGCACCTTTTCTGCGAGGCCCTCATCTCTCCAGCCGCTGCCACAGAACCTGCCAACGAATGTCGCTAAGGATCCCAGCCCTGAAGACGTTAATGTCAGGTTATGCTTCTTCGTCAATGTTCTGAATGCTATAGGCCGTAACGTTGCCGGCGGAAGTATTATAGGCAATACCGATGGGCCAGTCTCGGTCGCTGCTGCTTTTTGCTGTGCTGCTGCCGCGAATGCTTGCCGCAGAGGAGGCGCTGTTCGAGGCTTCGGGTATATGCGGGCGTGCCAAATCCTGGCGACGAGGAGAATTGCTGCGCTTTCGTAGTGGTAGATGCACTTGGATTGAAGACAGGCGCAGGCAGCTTCGGCGTCGACACCACCTCCTCCATGGCTCTTTTTGCACAATTGATCTTCTGTCGGCTTCCAAAGCCCCGCCATCAAAGCGAAATCAAAATCGAAACCACTTTAAGAAACGACGCGTTGAGCGCGTTTTAGGGAGGTTTGGCAAATTGAATATCCGACTGACTTGAACCTCACGCCGCCAACTACGTCGAACAAGCAAACAATCTCACCTTTGCTTTTATATCGGTCTTTCTCTGACTCGTCCAAGTAGTTGCTATCACTTCCGCGACCACATATCGCAATCATGGCCGAGCCCGTACCACAGTCCGACGAATTTGACGTGCCCACAGCCGACGCCAGCACGCCCGACGCAGAGGAGCCCTCAGAGGAAAAGCTGCAAGATCTGGTGGCCAAAGCGACAGCCGAGTATGCCGTCAAGCACTACAAAGATGCCGCCGAATTCTACTCACAAGCTGTCGAAATGCAGTCGAAGATGAACGGCGACATGGCCCTTGAGAACGCCGACCTGCTATATTCCTACGGCAAATGCCTCTTCTTCCTCGCACAGCAAACCAGTAACGTCCTAGGCGGCACGGCAGCCTCTGCTCAATTATCAGCCAAGAAAGAGCCAAAAGCTAAGAAGCGCAAGACAAATGGAGAATCAAGCAAAAACGGGCAATCCTCCAGCCTCATCGGAGACGCCGTCGCAAACGCAGCAGATGTCATCCCCACAGAAGACATCAAACCTGAGACATCAACATCAGACCAACCCCTGTTCCAGATCTCCGGCGATGCAGAAGGCTGGGACTCGTCCGACGAAGAAGACGCCGCCGAAGCCGAAGCCGACGAAGACGAGGAAGAGCAAGACGATTTCGCTGACGCCTACGAACTGCTCGACCTAGCCCGCGTCCTCTACCTCCGCAAGCTTGACTCACTCGAACAAACCGCCCTCGAAGACAGCAATAAGGGTACCTACGTCGCCTCCATCGACCTCACCCCACCGGTCCGCCACGTCAAGTCACGCATAGCCGACATCCACGACCTGCAATCCGAAGTCCTCCTCGAAGGCGAGAAGTATGCCGCTGCCGTCGACGACCTCCAGAAGTGCCTTGCTCTCCAAGAGGAGCTTCAGCCTCCGGAAAGCAGCCTACTCGCGGAATGCCACTACAAACTCAGTCTAGCCCTTGAATTCAGCTCACAATCACAAGATCGAGACGCAGACGGCAATCCTCGAGGTGATATCAAGATCGACTGGGACGTCCGCAATGAGGCAATCGTCCAGCAGGAGAAGGCGATTGAGTCGTGTAGATTACGCGTCAAGAAGGAGACTGCACGGGCAGAGACCCTGCCAAAGGAGGAATCAGACAAAGTCCTCTCTGAAGCAGAAGAAGTATCCGAGATGGTTGCTGAGATGGAGGTCCGGCTAGCGGAGCTCCGGAAGCCGCCTGTCAATGTCAAGGAAGAGCAGATGAAGGAGGAGATCGGCGGCATTCTGGCAAGCGTGCTGGGTAAGACCCAGGACGAGCAGGAGGAGACATTGGCCAAGGCCGCTGAAGGAGCAAGGGATATCGGAGGTTTGGTCAAGAAGAAGAAGCCCAAGAGCGCGTTGGCCGGGAACGGCAGCGGGGCCACGTCGGCAGCTTCGACGCCAGCACCTGAGACGAACGGACATGGGAAGCGGAAAGTTGGGTTCATGGATGAGGCTGAGGACGGCTTTGGTGGCAGCAAGAAGGCGAAAGTGGAGGACGCGCCGGACTCTGGTCTATGAAAGTCCCCTCCGATGTTGTTGGTAGACTGGAATCGCGACGACCGCTTGGCGGTTCTATGGCGTCTGTTTACGGTCTGATGTCTGAGCTAGATACCCTGGTGACATGCTCGTCACCTTCTGAATACGCTTTGATACGTTGCCGGCGATGCCGGCATGGCAAGAGAAGCAAGCATCCGATCCTCTCGAATTCACCCTCACAGATGATAACCTCATTACCAACTGACAGAGCGAGTTAGCGCAGTTGAACCGTCCAGTTCCAGATCAGTCCAAGTTCCGAGTCGATGTCGATGTGAATCGTCGACCGCTGCAGCACCCACGCCACAATCTTCACCACTCTCAAGCTGCCCAGCCACCGTTTCGTCGTCCTGCCCGCCCTGGCTATTTTCTTGTTTAGCTTCATCAGCTTGGTGACTCTTCCGCTGCCAACCTCTTTTGTGCTTGCGAGGTTTGTACTTCTTCTGTTTCTGTGGCGCTTCTTCCGGCGGTGGACTATTGCGTTGGGAGGGTGTAGCGCTTTGGCTTTGGCTTTGGCGATGGATTGATGGCGTGGTGGATCGAGACGTGTCTGTCTCTTGGCTCTTGTGTTCGGTTGGTGCATCGTTTGGGATGTGTTTATTTGCTCTAGACTTTCTGGCTGTGGGCTTGGAGGCGTTGGGAGGATGTTTGGCTCGATATTCGGATAGAGTGTAGTGAGTAGTGGTGGTGGTGGCGTTCTCTGGTGGGTCTGGGTCTGCTTCGTGGTCGCTCATGGTCTTGGCATTGATGCGTGTGATAGTAGTCGTGATCCATGCGGCGATGCCCGTAGAAAGGCGAACAGTATGAACGCTCGATGTAGAGGGTTTGCGCGGTGGCATCCAGCAAGTGAGCGTTGAGAGGGCTTCAGGTGTTCTTCCAGCCAAACACAAGGGAAGGATGATCCACCTGCATTTTGACAAACGGGCTGTTCTGAAATGTTTGCTACCTACTCGACTTGCACCGTGGCTCTCGTACCTCTGGCTTGCTACCTTCGCCGCAGACCGTCTTCCTGGCTCGGAGGCTGACGTGCTGCCGTGGTCTGTCTGTCCCTTCTGCTCAAATGGTCGCTGACGACCTGAATGGACTCGGGCCTTGTGGGTGAAGGACGCCTCAATGTCAGCGGACGGCGTTCTGTCAGCTCGTCAGATAGTCACGCTGACCATGGCTGTCTTTTCCGTCTTCAGAGAGATCGGCGCCAGTGGACGGCGCTTCCTAAGCTCTGCAGACGGACAGGTTCGCCATGGCTCTCTTTCCAGTCTTCTGATCCAACGGGCTTCCTCTTCAGCACGCTCCTCCTCCCGCTCCTCGATCTCTGCTCTGTCTTCCAGGAATACCTTCTCGTAGTAGTCCTCGCCTTCTCCGCACTCTTCTTCCTCCTTCCACTCTTCGAGGATCTCTGAGAGGTCTTCCAGGAAGTCTTCGCGTCTGAAAGGGTTGTGCGAAATGTAACCGAGCCACCGGTCGTAGCATTTCGTCGGCCAGCCGTAACGAAGGATGAGGTTCTTGGCCTTGCGGTGCTGCTTATCTGTGGCAGATTTAGTGCCGACTCTCAAGGAGCTGGATGCATACTCACCATGACCGAATTCCAACATGCCCACGCCGCGTAGTGGAATGAGGTCCAGCTTTCTGATATCCCTCATAATATCTTCTAGGGCATCAACCGCATCCTCAACGACTACCTCCTCGAGCGGTCCGTAGCACTGGTACCAGCGTTGGATGACTCCTGTCTCGGTCAGTTCCGCCAGCCTTCGTCGCGAAGGTAGGAAAGCAAACCGTATTTCGTGTCTAGAATCATATGACATGTTCCCTCACCTTTTCCTCCCGTCAGAGCAACCTCATGCGGCGGCAGCACCGGCAGCTTCCTTCTTTTGTCCTTCGGGAACTTGTATGAATGGCGCGAAAGCTTCACATCTTCGTAATCCGAATAGTCCACCGTGTAGCTCTCGGGCAGGATCTCGATCTTGATTCCGGCTTTCGGTTTCGGACCATAGTATGTGGGCTTGTGTTGAGTTCCGAGCAAAGTGCCCGACCAGTCGATGTCATCCTGATCAATGTAGCCGATATTGATGAGCAGTTGGTAGAGGTCCTTCAAGCGTCCGCGATCTCTTCTGCCGAGTTCCTGCACATCTGCATGAGCACCATAGTGGCTTCGTTGACTTGGTCGACCGGAAGACTTGAACAGAGATGTGGTGGCAGGCTACTCCCCAGGGCAAGGACGAAGAAGTGCCATATATAATGGGGATTCATGCCAGTCACTGCGTCAAGGATTGCTCAGCGTGTAGTGCAGTAAATCTGTTAAGCAGTGAATATGCCAGCCAGCTCCAGTTCTGCCGTGAATGGCTCCTATTTGCATGGCTACATGGTAAATAGCACTAGTTTCCTGGATGTTGTCCTAGTTGCAGACTGTAACAGGTAATCGGCACATAGACCACAGACGTTTACATACGATGTGGATTGGAAGTCTTCCCATTGCAGGAATTGGAAGTCAAGCACTTCGTGATCCATCGTTTCCGCTTCCAATCAACTCACCCACGCCCGAGAACCGCTGAGAACTCTTGCTGACGCCGGTCCATGTCGATTTGCTGGTTGTCGTTCGGCTCATATTTGGTAACGACGACCATCTGTCCAACATCTCAGCCAGCAGACACATTCAAGCTCATGGAGCGAGTAATGTTGTTTGAGTCACCGTCGTGCTGTATTTGACGGCGAGGTCGCGCATCAGTTCGCACACGAAGATTGAGTAAGGGCAAGTGAGACAGCGCTACTGATAGGAGTGCTCACGCCTTGCTTCGGGAGGAATATAAATAATGTAGCAGAATCTGACGATGAACGGTACACCCATCTGCGACACATGCGCGGGAGGCTGGCGACATCAAAGGTGACTGCAAGATATAGTTGCTCTAACGGTCGCCATCTGTGCGTAGGGATGTAAAGCTCTCTTGTAAGACATGTTCCTTGTTAATTCGCTACGTTGGTAGTCCGACTCTTGGAGTTGTCAGCAACACCGGTTGACAATGATAACTCTGGTCAACCGGCCTGTGGAAAGTTTGCCTAGACCGGTTGACAAGGCATATATACTACAACAGGACGCGCGCGTGCCATTATCTGCACCATGTTCGTATCGTGTATAGTTCGACTGCATCTACAGACTTATCTGGTGCTCGCACACTTCGAGAAAGTGGTAAGGGCAATACCGCTTCGAAGGTCTCGTCAACCGGTCTTATATGAAGCATCGCCTAAGCCGGTTGACCAACAGGACAATCGCGGAAGGTGCTGTATGTAGCTCGTAGCACCTGCCAATCGCGACGCCATTCATTGCTGGTAGAAGGAGCGATCTTCGTGTGCTCCTGCCACTGTTGCCTGTCTAGCAAACAGGGAAGGAAGGCGCTCGACATGGTCCGGTCAGCCGGTCTTATCTACTAGTAGGTCCTTAATCAGACCGGATGACGTTCAGCTTCTCCTGACACCGGATGATTGAATGTATATGCATGACATGACACACAGCCTCTGTGAAAGGAACAGTCCCCACTGACAGCTTCTTCGACGAACACTCATTGACCAACGTGATGGTCGCAAGGCTCGTGGTAGCTGTAGTTGCGAATGCTCCATGATTACACTAGCTGTTTGTACCTGTGACATGTGTATCGAACCGAGAGAAGACAGCATGTGGATTTGTGCTTCCTAGATTGACCTCGCTGCACGAACACCGCTCTTACCAGGACTCCTGACACACGGCAGGCTGGATAGCCGGAAGCAGTACGCTCATGCGTCCACATTCTTGGTTACACCTGGTGAGATGCCATCCAAGATGGGCTGCAATTGCCGCCACAGTTCCTTGCCAGCCTCGGCACCCTTCTCACTTCTCACGAACGGCGACAGCGCAGCGTCATCCACCAACGCATCCGTCATGTATCGACCATGACTCTCCTTCCCAGCCGCGGCTGCAGCAACCAAAGTCCGACTGCCCTGCTCTGATGTTCTCGCCAACAGAAGTTTCATGACACTCAGCATGAAAGCCTGGAAGTTCCGGTCCCGAGACAGGTCAGTCTTGCACAGACCAGGGTTGATCATGTTCATGACGATGCCCGAGTCCTTGAGTCTCGGAGCCAGTTCACGAACGAGAAGGACTTCCATCAATTTGCTTGTCGGGTACCGTTCGTCCATGTTTGCAGTCTGCTTATCCGAGAGCGTCGCAAAAATGTCCTTGGAGTCCTGCTCCTTGTACTTTGTCCAAGCATGGACCTCTGAAGAAACGATGCAGATGCGTGGTGTGGTGCCATGTTCACTGACTTGTTCCTTGAGTTTTGGGACAAGCAGTAAGGCAAGCAGAATCGTGGAAATCACGTTGACTGTGATAGTCCGCTCGTACTTCTCCGAAATCGCATGGACATTCGAGGCTACGCCGGCGTTCTCCAGTAGGACATCAAGGCGAGGTAAATTCGAAGCTCTTTCTGCAAAGGACTCCACGGATGAAAATGAGCCCAAGTCAAGCTTCCAGACGTCCAGAACGGAATCGGGACATTTTGTGGTCCTAATGATGTCCTTACGAGCTTGCTCGCCAGCTTCAAGGTTGCGAACAGCGATGATGACCTTTGCAGCTCCAAGAGACACGAAATGACGTGCAGCCTCCTTGCCCAGCCCGGTGTTTGCGCCAGTAACGCTTCGTTCTATATTAGCTTGGATCGGGACTTGAGTGGGAAGTGAAAGGCTGATCAGGATGGGGACTTGGAAGGGGAATGCGGGACAAAGGCAGCAGAGACAAGTCCGAAACATTCAGTCCCTACTTCGTTCCCGGTCCAAGTTTGGATAGAACACTCACAGAATGACTTGACCGGAGAAATCTGTTCCGTCTGGGATTCGGGGCGTAACGAACAGCTGAGAATATAAGAAGCCCATGATGAATAGTAAGTGATCGGGTACGGTTCACAGTCGCAGGGTGACGCTCAGTATCTTGCAGTGAAAACTGGAAACTCACCTAGTAGAGTTCTGCATTTATACATCATCGCATGGCGAAGCCAGCAAAGGAGTACCCGGCGATTAGCAATAGGCCACACAGGCACATGCCTGCAGGCCAGCCACAGCATCAAACGCAATTACCGAAGACATGAATACAGGTGCCAGTCTAGTAATGAAATGGTGACGACTTTGCTCGTCGAAGTGCATATCCGTATCGTGCAAGCGCGCTGTCCAAACGCAAAAGCCGGGTGATGGAGGGGACGAATCTCGGGCATTACGTAGAACGCTCGACTCGGTAAATCCAGAGGCCGACTCGTCCGTAGGTATCTGGTGTCTGCTCCATCTCGTCCGAGAGCCAGCGAGTAGCTTGTTGCTGCCGGTGCGTTACGTTGGGCGCCAGCGATGTCGTTGCGCGTCGCCTTGCGCAGAGCATCAGATCAAGGGCCATCAGGTTGCCTTATTCATGCACATCTGGAAGACTCAGTGTCATCCTCGTCGTCGAATTCGAGCGCTAGGCCCATTATGGACTAGTCGCTCAAGTGACAACGTCGCGACAGGCGCGATCCTTCATCAATTGCACTTGCACCAGAACAGTAATTCTTCATCGCCGCAAGACCGGAAGCTATTGTCTATATCTCCTGGGGATAGAGCTGCTGCTAGCTCTTATATCCTTCATGCCGCCGATACGTTTCGTCTCTGCGATATCCCTTCCGAAGGTCATCGGATAATGGGCACGAGTCCTGCCGACGTCTTTCGTCTTCGGCGCACTCTTTTCTAAGAAGACAGTGATGCCGACACGCTGTCTGATAGCGTCCTATCTTGGAATGATTCGCACGGGGCTCATCCATATCAACAATGGGTGCAGCTGCTGCAGCTTTTTTTCGTACCTGATACTACTGACTGACACTTGCTACCAGATCTGTGCATTCTAACAGGCAAAAAGCTGGCACCAGCCAAACCTCTGCGGTTCTTCCAATAATGGCTCAAGGAATTTCATCAGCTCCTTGAACATGTTTTAGCAAGTGCCTCAGAATGCTCGGCGTTCCCTTCTGTGCAGAAGCTTCCATGAAGAATGCGGTTCTGAACTCTGTCGCCTTCGCCAGGTCCAGCAATTCGAACACAGTGGAGCGCCACAACGGCGCAGCCATCGCTCGAGCCAATGCCACGACGACGTTCTTACATTGCCAACAAAGTCTGCTATCGCGTTTCGCCTGATTTGTGCTGATACTGCCCTAGCAAATGTCCCTGAGCATGTCACGGCACTTTGAATCCGCCAATCATGCCCTGCCGGTACAACTGGCAATGCCGATGGTGCTCTCCACCTCATACTTCGTGGTGATTTTGTTGTTTGACAGCGGCCGTCCCAATAACAAAGCACCTGTCAGTCCATCAAAAAGGTGTCAGCCGCTGTCACCCGAGCGATTGACCGCTGCCATCTCACTGTCAGGCTCGACCACTAACCAATAGGGACAACAGACCGACACAATGAAGAACAGTGTCCTTCAGGGTCTGGCTTTCGCGGCGGCCGTGTCTGCGCGAGATGCTCGAAGGGGGAAGCTGTCAGCGAGAGATGAGCTCGTCGCTGTCGTTGCGCCTCCCATGTGTGCGCAGTACATCGAGGCGGTCCAACCGGTGTACTACAGTGAATACATTCCATACAACACAGTCATCGACCCTTTCCGGAACGCCAAGCCTATCACGGTGACTGCAGCTCCCACTGTTGTGGTCACATCGGGATATATAACCTCGACGCTGCTTGGGTTCTACACGGGCTCCGGGGTGACTCTGACTTCGTCTATTCTTAGCAGTATCCAAGCTACAACAACCGTCACCGCCCCAGGATCCACCGTTACAGTCATAGTTAACAACGGGACGTCAACAATCCTTGGACAGGCGACCTCGACATCAGCTGCGTCTACTAGCAATGCTGTCTCAGGAGCTTCCACAACTACCAGCGGTGCTGGATCAGGGGCTTCTGCAACGACCAGTGGTGCTGGATCAGGAGCCTCCACATCCCCCAACGGTGCCGGCTCAGGGGCTTCTACAACCACCAGCGGTGCTGGCTCGGGAGCCTCCACAGTGTCCAACGGTGCTGGCTCAGCAGCTTCTGCAACCACCAGCTTGAACGGCTCAGGATCATCTGCAACCACTGCTACATCAACGGCCACAGTCGCAGCTCTTGCTGGATCATACCAACCCGGTCAGGCTTTCGGAATAGGATTCACGTCTGGCGGCCGCTCTAGGAAGCGCAGTCTATTCCAGTCACGACAGAGCGCTCCGGATTGCAGAAATACATGTGTCTTCGTGTCTCTTGACGGCACTGACGGCGGTGTCTCAGCGGACAGTTGCGACAGTGCCAGTGTTCTCAAGTTCGCGAACGGTCAGCTCGTCTCGGGTAACAAAACCATCGGCAAGGCAAGCGGCGCCACTTTTGCACCTTTCAACTTCTACAGTGGTTCAGACGAGGTCTCGACGACGTTCTCAATCAGCGCCGATGGCACTGTCAGCTGGTACGCAGATGATCTCCGCCAAACAGCGGCCATTTACAACTGCCCCAGCGGAATCACTGCAATATTCGGAGGTTCGACGGCTGGTTGTACGCCGGTCACTCTTCAAGCATTCTCCATACAAGCTTGTGACGACAGGATCCGTGCTGAGGGCCGTACGCCAAGCATAGCCTGCGATCCGGCGTCAGACTCCAGCACTTCGACTTCTTCCACCATCGGAAGCACCTCAAGTGCCTCGACTTCCGCGGGTACTTTAAGTACCACATCCTCCGGAGACGCGTCGAGCACCTCGTCAGGCGTAATACTAGTTCCCCCTACATCATTTGCGAACATCTCCAGCGTCTCCATGACCATGACATCTGCCAGCAGCGGCGCAACCGACCCGTCATCCTCCGAGTCTAGCACGACAGTTTCAGGCCTATCATCTGCCACATCCTCCAACAATGTTGGACCGACTTTGATCAGCGGCAACAGTACAACTACGATTAGCTCAAGTGGCTCATCGGAAGCAACATCCACTTTGAGTTCGGCGGAGACATCCGCTGCAGGCACTGCCACTTCTGTTGTTGGTGGAAGCACCACTGCCCCTGTGGTTGGTGGCAGCACCGCTGCGACTTCCGTCGATGGCAGCAGCGCTACAACTCCTGTAGTCAGTGGCACTAGCACCGCTAGTCCTGTCGTCGGCGGCAGCAGCAGCGCGACATCCTCTGTCGTTGGTGGTAGCAGCGCCACAACTCCTATCGCCGGTGGTGCCAGCTCCGCTACAACTCCCATGGTCGGTAGCACCAGCGCTGCCACGACATCTGTCGTTGGTGGTAGCACATCAAGTGGCTTCGACTCCGGCACCAGCTCCTCTACATCTGCTGTCGTTGGTGGCATCAGTGCTGTGACGACTTCTATCGTTGGTGGCAGCACATCAAGTGGCTCTGCGACTGGCACCACGACCCCTGCTGTCAGTGGTAGTACATCGTCTGAAACTAGTGCTGGGCCCAGCTCAAGTGACACCGTAACGACCTCTATCGTGAGCGGCGCCTCAACGGCAGGCATTAGCTCTGGCTCCAGCTCTGGCTCAAGCGTGGGCAGCACCGCAACGAGTCCCACGGTAAGCAGTGCCTCAACGGCGAGCATTAGCTCTGGCAGCAGCGCGAGTGAAACTACAGCGTCTGGCTCCAACTCTGGCTCAAGCACGGTCAGCACCGCAACGGTTTCTACCATAAGCAGCGTCTCAACGGAAAGCATCAGCTCTAGCGCTAGTGTGAGCGGAAGTACAGCGTCAGGCTCTGACTCTGCCACTAGCGCGGGTGTCACCGCAGCGACTCCGGTCGTTACTAGTGCTACAACGAGTGGCTTCAACTTTGCTAACACCACGGTCTCCACTACCCCGGGCACTACCTCGTCGAGCGCAACGACGGCCGCGTCCAGCAGTGAGTCAAGCTCAGCCACGATCAGCAGCGGTTCAAGTTCAGCGACGATCAGCAGCGGTTCAAGTTCAGCGACGGTCAGCAGCGGTTCAAGTTCAGCCTCGGCCACCGCAGCCAGCAGTGATACGAGCTCAGCCACGGCCACCACAGCCAGCAGTGATTCGAGTTCGGCCACTGCCGCCCCTACGGCCAGCAGTGACTCAAGTTCAGCCTCGGCCACCATAGCCAGCAGCGATTCAAGTTCAGCCACCACGGCCAGCAGCGATACGACCACGACTACGACCACAACCACAACAACCACAACATCCACAACATCCAGCGCCGCCGATTCGCCCACGACGCCCGCGCCCACTTCAGCAGCCACAACCGACCCGACCACAACCTCGACTTCGTCGATCTAGAGACCTCTATAGCCCACGAGATCTGGCATGGCCACGCTGGACAAATGCTGGTAACGTTCTGGGCATCAACGGCCGCGAGTGCTTGACGATGTACACTTCTCCCTCAGCCCTGGTAACCTCAACCAGTAGGGGATTGCGAGCAATCATATGACGTCTGCCCTCGTTCTTCATCCTCGGAAACCAAGACACATTTTCATCGATCGCATTGGCTGGGAGCAGTTGGCTGCGGTCCAAGCCACGTACCATATTTCCACCCTCTCGTGTTGCCTGCCTCCAAGCCAAGTCCAGACTTTTACTACACACCAATTCAAAACGCATAGACATCCATCCAAGAATTTAGAGTGGCTGTACAACGGAACTGCGATATACCTCCTAACGACCTTTGACTTTTAACTGATCTGCTTGACTGAGCGACATCGTGCACACTGCTATTTGGACCTTTTCATGTATACAATGAGCATTCTACAATTTTCGGGCTAGGCGTTCCTTTCGATATCTTGGGCACTTCAAGACAATACATGTTTCTTTCAAGATCTTTCGTAACGGTGTCAGTAGCTACCCTCCTCTGAAAATTGTGCCATCCCAAGCTCGTAAAGCCCTTCCCTCCTCGGCGCCGGGAAGGCAGCTTCGACACCCCGTCTTCCTTGCGATTCCTAAACATGAGGAATGAGCGTGCCGAAAGAACTGCACTTGCCCGCTACGGCATCTCAGTGCGCCTGCCCGACCCCGGATGGCCTGCCCGGGGGCAAGCAGTAGCCCATCAAGACGTGAATCGAAGGGTGTAGCGTCCGTGACACCTGCGGTCTTGGTAATAGACCAGAAACAGCAGGCCTCCTGGGTAGTTAGGACTTCTATCTGTTCGTCCGGGGATAGACCACGGTCCAGCATCCTTATGGGATATGCATCCCTTCGGACAGGGACTATTCTACGTGTGAGCACATCTGACAATCGGCTTCTTGATCCCCTCCCTGACGAGTTGAGTCTAATGCCCTTGTTTGCAATGATGTGTTTCACGGTGGACGGATCAAACGCCTCGTGGGCGGCCGAAGTTTCGTCGGTTCTCTGATTTCATAACGCGTCAAAGTGCTGTGCGCGATACCTGTGGTATAGCTGCTGGTATGTAAGATCTGTCTGTAGTCATGACTCCTGTCCTTCGACTGCAAGTTGTTTCCAAGCCTGCCCCGATCGCCAGACTATATAGACCAAGAACCCCAGCACACCTCGCAAGACTTTTCCTGCACAGAACTCCTCCCAATCCCATCCATGCGAGCGCAAACACGCTCACATACGACTCCGCATAAAATCAAAGAACGCAAACTGGCTCGCGTCGCGCCATACTCATACACAAACCGACTCGCCAGATAACTCCCAAACACGCTCTTCAGATACTTCTCTGGCACCCTCGACACAATCTTATCCAGGCCCAACTTCTCCTGCAGCGTCTTCGGTAGTGCCTCCTTAAGCACCTTCTTCCTCAGAACCTCATTATTCCACAACTCGTGGAAATTCTGCAGTTCTTCATCAAGTTTCGTAATGGCCCATGAGAGCTGATCAGAGAGCTGGGAGCGCGGGGTCTTGGTCTTCTCGTGTTCGCGCCAGATAGCTTCGAACTCGAGGCGGGCATTGTTGCAGATCGTGGATTGGACTTCTTTGACGTAAGCCTTGTAGAATTCAGGGACTGTGCCGTCGGCGCCGATGCACATGTTGGTGAGGAAGCCTTCGTCGTCGAAGGAGAGGGAGGCGAGGACTTCGAGGGAGGAGGAGGTCACGCCGCCTTTGTTGGCTGAGGCGTCTTTGTAGAGGATGCAGCCGGCTTTCTCGAGGCGGAGCTTGGCGTCTTGCGTGATGAATAGGTTGGCGCCTTCGACGATGTAGGGGATCTGGCATTTGCCGTCCACGATCAAGCTGTTGCATGTGGACAGATCGATCGACTCGGGACGGCCACCACAGGGAACGAACATATCGTAGTGCTGGATGTTGCGGAGGTGGAAGGTATTACGGAATGTAGTCCCGTTGTTGACTTTCTCGCCGGTTGGCAGGGTGATGTTGGAGTCGTCGACGAGAACGCGATAGCCCTGTGAGCTGAGCTTCGAGATATCGTAGTTCGAAATCATGACTCGTTGCTTGGCCAGTCTGATTAACTCGTCCCGGTCGAGACCTTCTGGGTCTACGAGAACGCCAGACCCATCAACAATCGAGACGTACTTCTCGTTACCCAGCAGTATTTCGTTGGAGCCGAGATCGCCATCAGGACCGCCGGTCTGCAACTTCCGCACCTTGGAAGGATCGAGGTTCAGTTTGCGATAGATGCCGTTGACATATTCCCGCACACTGAGCGTGGTCATGCCGTAGCTGTCGTGTGGGATACCGCCCAACTTTGGTGACTTTCCGGTGAAGAATGACTTCCACCAAGGAGCACCTCTCGCCCGCGCATGCTCAGTGGCCCAATTCACCAGGTCTGCTGTGTTCTCGTCCGGTCCCATGAAGAGGATCTCTTCCTGTCCATGGAGATCAACAATTGGATCTTTGATTCCTGGGGAGGTCGGCTTGAGAAGCAGATCCATGATCGAATCGATATACTTCTCGAAAGCGACACGAGCTTTATCCTGATGGTTGTAGTCGAGAAGAACAACACCTTTCGAGCCGCCCTCTGGAATGTCCTTGTTCTTGCGCTGCTGCGTATTTGCTAGACCATAATTCTCATCGAAGATTGCGCGAGCATAGATTGCCCAACCCTCCTTGTTTCTTGACTTGACAATGCGGATGCCGCCTCGCGCAATGTCTCGGAAGCGCAGATGGAAGCCTCTGAACTCGGACCCAATGACGAGGAAGACGCCGTACAGAGCTTGGGGATACTCGTGCGAAGGCAGATAGTCTGTACTTGGCTTCAATCTGAAGCTAAGAGCAACCTTGGTAGGTGTATAGAAGTTGGTCTTGAGTACTGAGCGATTGAAGATCAGGAAGTACTGCATGACCATCTCATCGTGCTGATTCGTTGTGGTCTTGGAAATGGTCGAAGCGATCGTCTCATCATCCAACACTTGCTCAGCATTGATCCTAAGATAACTCAGAGTGGGGATGAAGTCGTCGCTCTCGCCGCGCGTCATAACATAGTGACTGTGTGCAAACGACAAGTAGAGCATGCGGATCAGCTCAGGATACTTGTTGATGATCTCAAGGATGTAGTCCGAAGTGAATGTCTCGTTCCTCAACCGCTTCTTGATCTTGGCCAACAATTCGGCATTTGTGTTCTTCTCATCGCGCAGCACCGCTGCTAGCGAAGTAAACTCTGAACCAAGTCTGTTCAGGAACTGCTGGACAAAGATGTGCACGCAGTGAGCGTAGATCGATTCTTGCAGACTCAGGTTGCCACTAGCAAACTGGCCTTGTAATTTGTTCTGTGGGATACAGAATAGCAGCGACACTTCTTTGATGATCTGATGTATCGACGCCTCTATGGGTGGATGTCGTGCTTGGCAATCTCTGTGCTTGCTGGCTTCAGATACAGCGAAATGACGCTGATGCCGTTGGCGAACTGTTCGACGTACTTCCTGGAACTCGTCACACCATAGTAATGATAGAGATCGGAGAGAGCGCTGAAGATGCCGAGAGCTGATCCTTGTCTGAATGCAATGACCAGTCGCTTTTCTCGCGTGCCTTCCAAATCGAACATCTCAATGACAGGACCACTTCGAGAGACAGCCAACTGAATGATCTCCTCATATATGGCTTTGGTATTCTTCGTCGCTTTGGCGAGGAAGGTGGCTTCTCCGATCTTCTCGATGTCCGTCTCCTCTGGGCCTACATCTTTGCTGTTGAACTTGCACTGGTAGACGAAGTAGCAACGCAGATTCTCTCCCGGGTTGTCTGGAAGTGCGTTCTGAGCACGAAATGACTCGACTCTGTAGCTGCGGGAGGCGGTAGATACGTCGATATACTTTTCGTCGATGCGCTGCTCATACCGTGGTCCATCCAGCACACTGATACCAGGCTTGCTGGTGTCGATATACATGGCATGATCTGACGCTTCCTTCGCCAGACGCACCTCCAGCTTCTTATCGTCTCTTGCGTAAGCTGCTACTTTCGCCGCGTAGAGCGACAGAATGTTGCTAGCAATTGCCTCGACTGTCTCTGTTGAAAAGTACATGTCGTCGATACCCAAGGTGTTGTAGAACCACTCGGTTTCGGAAGCAATGAATTCGCTTGGAAGAAAGCCCTTCTCTTCTATGAGGTCCATGACTTGCTCCATCTGCTCCTTCTTGCCCTCGAACGATGGAGCAACATAGCCGGAGCTGCGGTCCTGCAGGATCTTATGGAGGGACGTGTTCGAATGTGTCGCTCCTGGCACTCCCAGCATGGTTGGCTGTGGTGACGGTTGTCGACCAGGCGTGCGAATGACTTGTTCAACGAGCTTATGCTTAGCGGGGTTGAGGAGGCCGTCGCCGTTGCCGTTGGCAGTCGGGGTGGCCATCTTGGTGGTCAGTCCAAAATGTGGCGCTTGATCGTGACTATGTCAAAAAAGAGTATATGGCGTGGTTGACAAGATGGTGAGGCTATAAGAATGGAGACTGCGCCGTCTATAAGTTGGAAGTGGGATTGATTAGAGATTGAAGTGAGGGACGGAAGTCGCTTGCTCGGTGCCCGACAATGTGGTCAGGTGCAGCGTGACTGCCCTAGCAACGGCAGCGACGGGACACGCACAGTGGCAGTGACTTTGTTGACGAGGAGGTTTATGTCTCACGGAATGGCGGGACGAGTCTCGAAGCAGGAATGGTGCCGTCTTTCTACCAGCTGACGTTGAAATTCCAAGGCGGCGTCTTAAGTACTGCGCCCCAGACCCCGGATCAGGAGGACGTTCTGTCTTATCGCTTCACTATCTTTTAGCACGTAGCACGACATGGCAAGCCGTGAAAACTCTGCAAAAGCATCGACCATAGTCTGCAGCACGTTTTCGAAAAGCAGGCAGCGTTTACGTTATCCTACGTAAATCATTCGATTGTTCTTCGTGCCAACCCCGCGACGCCTGCGCGTGGATCACAGATCGAGTAAAGTCAGGCACAAGTGAAAAGCCACTAACTTAAATCGAAATAGCTCAGAAGGCGACTGGATGATGCTCCCGAGCGAAAGATCCGGGGCAAGGAATAGCAGCATGCAAAATTTGTGCTTGATGGTGGCCGTGCCGGTGCTAGCCGTTCAGGCACCTCACGTGCAGGTCAGAGCCCAAGACACCATGCCGCATTCTTTTGGTAAACGTAAGCTGCGGCGAATGAAGCGTCAATGTTTGCGCGAAATATCGTCGCAAGGCGGTGCTGCGATAGTGGCAGTCGAGAGTCTGAGACCATGATGCTATTCTGCCCCACAAGGACGCTTTGCGTGTAGCCAATGCTGCTGAAACTAAACAACTGTACTGTACCAAGAGAAAGCACGCTGCTTCATATCCTGGGACGGTCTTTGATGGCTTCGCCCTCCGCCTCTTGACCAATGCTGCTGCTGCCACTACCTTCACCTCCTGCATGAACCTCCTTAGTGCTGTCTATCGACTCCTTACTCCGAACGGTAGTGTTCCCCTTCACGTCTTCTTCTGACTGACGGACCCCATCGTCGCCGTTGAAGATGTCGGTGTGGCGTTCCTCTTGTCCTGCGAGAAGTCCTCCCTCTTCATCGTTACCATCATCACGCTCGCTGTCTTGCTGCTCACTCTCCGAAGCCTGGTCCTTGTTTTTGATGAATATGTCGATGATGTAGTATTGAATCCCGTTCATGATCAGCGGGAAGATCAGCATGACAAAAGCAATCTGTATCGCTTCGTTGCCCTCCGTCCACCGCAATGCCCAGTCTCCAACCTGAACGATCCATGGACAAAGCTGGAAAATGATGAAGACGCATATCTTCATCCCCACCAGGCCAGCGAAGTAGATGAAGCTTTGTTTAAGCCACCAGGTCGCTTTCGGCGGAGTGCCGTAATTTCCAGACTTGATAGACTCTGGCGGCCGGGCCAAGGGAGTGTAGCTTGCCCCAACATTGAGCACTTTGAGTATGCATATCAGAATCGGAATGCCCAGAGTTGTGTCGATGCCCAGATTCAGTAGGTAGAATGAGCACGGATTTGGTCCCTCTGCCACGTCTACGCTGGTCGTATTTGCGGCGGCATTGATCAGTGGATCACCTAGCTGTCCGCTGGAGAACATGCTCATGAGCAGATTCGCCAGATGTAACAGGGCCGAACCGAACACTTGCTTCGAGGCATCGAATGCCCACACCTTGACTGGCCGTTGAGGTCTCTCTCGCCATCTCTTGAACACCAGTGACGACAGCGCTAGGAGACCTAATGCTGTCTGGACTACGATCGCGAAAGGTCCGAGCAACTGGCATTCTCCGTTGTTCTCATCTTTTGAAGGTTTCGTCGTCGCGTTTCCTAGGAGTGAAGGTGTCGCGATGAGCGAGGATCCTGAGGCCGTCGCTGCGCTGGTCGCGATTGATATGAGTGCAGATGTTACACTTGACGCGGCCATGTCAACGGTCAGCGTGTTTCAGAGCAATCTTAGGCTTCCATGGCAGGTATGGGATATCGACGTCAGATGCTGAGATGACTCGCAATGCGGGCGGATCTGATTATGTACAGTAGTGGTGGCCGGGCACGGCGCCGAGAGATGGAAGAAAAACAGCCCGATTGTAATGCTGGCAATGGAAATGTGGTAGAGATATAAGGAAGGTGAGGTAGTCAAAGTGGCGGAGGCATTGGCATTGTCATTGACGAACCCGGATCTTGCGCAAGATCGGCGCGGAGATGATTTCCACGCCCGACAGGGATCGATCTGTGGCAGCGCGGGGAATTTTGACTGACCCTTGCGGTTGTGTACTGGGCATGCAGCCACAACGGTATGATGACGACCTAGGTATTGCGGCATTGAGATACGCAAGATCGTGATCAAGATCGCTGAAGGAACGTGACTGATCATGGGTAATTCTGCGCTCAAACAGAGCGCTCTATCACTGTACAATGTACATGTCCCGGGGGTATCAATGCATGAGCCCACCACCAAAGCCATACCAACCGGGTTAGCCATTCTAATCCAACAGATGGATCGTCTTGCGATTCCAATCTCTAACTCCTCCAGCCAAGATGCCATGCAGTACTTGGTCGAAACAAACGCTCTGTGGGTATAGATGTCGTAAGGAGTGTCGTGTGCCGCGCAAAAACAAATTCAAGTTGAGGTCGTTTATAGGTCGTTGTCGGGATTCTCGTCCCTGTCAATATCTCTTCCGAGTCGGATCTGGTCTGTACCACTGAGCCAGTGCTTGATCACACAAGGACTCTCAGTCGGTCCCTCGCACACCTTGACGCGGTCTAAATGCTTGAACTTGGGACCTGTCGGTCCGTTGCCATAGTGGTACTGTCCAGCAAAGCGATATTGCCGGCGATCACCAAGGGGGTAGAATTTGTCGCCCCAGCGGCCGTGGTAGTGAAACCAGCCTGTTGGAGCGTTCGGGCTCAAGTTCGATGGTCGAAGGGTCTCGTTCTTGGTCTCATAAGTGTAGGCATATGAGTTCAAAGCAGGATCCCATAACGGCCCTCGATCCGTTTGATCGTGCAGTATGCCCCATGGCAAGACATATGGATGCATCCCTGGAGTCGCATACATTGCGTGCGTCCCTATCGCCGAATATATGACGGGCCGCTTGCCGATTTTCTCCACTGCTTCGTAGCTGTATGCTGAGCCAAAATCGTGTTCGCTGAAGAAGACAGCCTTTGGTTTGCCATGATGGAATCGGACCATGGAGTGCTCCCAGTCTCCAATGTGATTGCCAAACCTAACGTTGAACACAACATTGCCAAGATTGAAGCTGTAGAAGAAGAACCAGAATGCGTCCACAACGCCATGACCTTTATCAATGACCACAAGAATGGCAGGGGCGTCGCTTCTGCCGCCGCGAAGAAGCTTCTTCGGGGCATCTGTGATTGCCCTTTTGAGCTCCTGATGGTAGCGTCCGCGGAAGGAGCTGTTGTCCTTGATGATAGCTTGACCCTTTAAGGATTTCCTGAAGTCATCTTTCTGATCTGCATCATCGATGCCGGGAGCAAACCATTTTCGAAGATCCCGGAAGCTGTCCTTGACACCGTCCAGGTAAGATCTGCCTGGGTAGTGCTCATAGTCGGCGGGATCATAAACATCATCGTCTGACGGCTTTGCTGGGATGTTCTTCTCGCCTTCCAGCCACTCCGGTCGTCCTCAACATTGTCATTGCTGGTCAAGAAGACCCACCGGCCATTGTTGTATTTATTAAACTTGTCAAGATGCTTCAAGGATGGATGACGGGACTCAGGATATATTGGCGTATAGTTGAGTTCTGGTGTAGTGTGGAAGAGGTGTTCCGCAATGTCGCATGGCCAGAATTGTTCTCCGGAAAACAGATGTACAAGCGGCGCATACTCGAGAACATAGTCAGGGATTTCGCGCAATTGTTTCTCGTTCTCGGTGAAATTCTCCGGGCGATCGTTGTCAGCGAGCCAAGCATTCTGCCAGTCGAAGCCTGCATCGTCTGCATCGTCCTCAGTCCCCTCTGCTGGAGGCCGGTGTCCAAAGATCTTCTGCACGAAGTGTACGTGAGGGACGCCGCAAAGCCCAAGCCATCGACACGCCTTGCGGTCCAGCCACCATTTCGATGTAGCCATCCATTGTGCCTCTTCACGGTCTTCCGGAGACCAGACGAATAGATCTGGGTGCGTTGTGTGAAGGTAGCTGTTGACGGAAACGTACGATATCAACGTCGCGAGTATGCCAATGGTGGCTTTCGTCTTTGGCTGCTTCATATCCACCTCTTCAACCTCTCCCTCTGATCCACCATCTATCTTGCTGCCCTCGAGAGACGCGCTCGCGGGATCTGACCTGTCTACTGACCACCAGTGCCGACAGACACAGTCCCGACCTCTAGTCCCTCCGCTGGCCGCTGGTGTATACTGGCCTGGGGAAAGTCGGTCGATACTTGCGAACCGGTACAAGAACCCCAGGACGTGAGAGAAGGTGGGAGAGTGTGATATACGGATGGAGTAGTCGTAATGTAAGATGTGGTCAGCGAGGGACTGTGCCCACCAAGTACGGATTGGTGGGCTTGCGGACTCACTGCAAGAATGTGAGTATCATATCTCTATCTTGCTTACGGGTCCAGATGTAACTCGGGTAAGCAAGGGATGTCATTGGGCTGTCGGGTCTGCAGCGCACAGGGCAGATCATTCTAGCATCGCCAGGCCCGAAAGCCGAAGAGCCTCTGCTTGAAAACGGCTAGAATGGTCGCCTTGTGGTACAGTGTAAACGAATGATGTGACTGCAGAAGTGAGTCCTCATGTGGATCAGCCGGTTACGGCATGACTGGGAAGTCTGCCGGGATCGCCGGATGAGGTGCCAACGCGGACAGCGGGCATGAATCGAAAGGACTTACTAATTGCGCTGTAATGATGCACATCCGCTACCTCAGCTGGGAAAAGTACCCGTAAGTCGCCTATGGAAGGATACGTTTCCTCAAAGTTCTTGCGTATACGTCCGGTGGCAGGTGTATGATGTACCAATAAGTAGTGAGAACAGCCAGCTGAATCTCGGAAGGATGAGTAGGAATGATGAGAATGCCCTGGGCAAACAAAACTTGCGAACGAGATAGAAGATGTCACAGCCAGTCCAGGGCTAACGATCCGCCAGGATTCACCCAAAGTATGGAGTGTCTCATATCATGATGCTTTCGAATCCTACAAAACGACTCACGTCGCTGCGAAAGGTTCGAGTTCGGAGTTGGGTAGAACGCGTCACCCGGACCTGCCTCCGCCGCCCGAATCTAGGGCGGGCAAGTGCCGCTGTGCCGATCACTAGGGCAGCCTCGTGGAGGGGTAGCACCCTTAGAAGGCTGACTGTTTAGATTGGCAGTAACGACGAGCACACTTCAGATAGGCCTTGACTATGTCTCCAGACTGTCTACATTGACAACTTCCCTGGACGCTGCTCTGCCCATTGTAAATGCTCGCGATGCGCATTCGATACTACTGCTCTGCACATGGCGGACGACGAATATGAATACGAATATGATACGAGTGAGAAAAGCACATTCCTGGTCGAGCTAGACCTCACTACACTGAACGGGATCAAGCGTGAGAGTGCATCACGACGTCAAGGTCGCAACAGAAAACGCAACAAGAAGAAGCCCGGTGCTGCGGAGGACGACAACGATGACGATGTATCTGCCGATGAAGACCAGGAAGCGGATGGACTCGATCCCGATGCTGCTACCGGCGGATCCAAGCAAAGCCCGGCAGGCTCACTTCAGATACTGGATCTGAACACAGCAACCCCCTTCGTGGCGTACAAGGGCGAGTTCTACAAGTGCGACTGGCGCGATGTCATAGGCACTGATGTCTTCTTCGCACCAAGCCACCAGCAGATGGCAAGCGTACCATTGCGCTCGACCAAGGACTTTCAGCTGATGGGCACGTCCCGTATCAGGTTGCTTGGGTCTAAAGCACGAGTATTCCCTAAGGCTCAGACTCGGCAGAAACAGCGGTCTCAAGCCGCCCAGAGTGACGACACTGCGTCGATCTCCTCCGCTCCCAAGACGGCAGCATCGCAAGCACAAGAGCAAGACGAGTTTTTGCAGCGGCTCGAGAAAATTCGTGAAGGTCGTCGGAGACAGACCGAAGAAGCCGAAGAAGCCGTTGGTGGTGACAGTGAACCTGCTTGACGACATGCGGCTTCGCGTTGCAATCATGCACGAGTTCCCTACAACAACCACGAAGGTATTTGGCCTGGTGAACACATCTGTGTTTCAAAAAGACTTGCGTTCATTCTATCGACTTGAAGGCGACCTCTTGGTAGGGAGTGTCTCCCACGGCCATGCGAACCATCTTATTTCGCCATCAATGCAATCCGCCGAATTATCATATCCAGCTGTCCCAAACTCCATACGCTCCGAAAGGAAGACACCATTATTTGATACATCGTGGATGGCGCGAGCCCGAAAATGGTGCAAAGTGTCGAGGTTGCACCAGAACTGTAGGTCAAACAAGCTGGAAGGAAGAGAGAGTGCCAGACGACGCGCCTGATTGTACTGGCCTGGCCAGAAGCTAATGGCGTTGGCTCTTATCATGCTTCCACGAGATAGGACTTGGAGGAGGAGGTGGTGGCTGCTCGTAGCGGCGGTCGTCGTAGGAGGCGAATTTGGGACGAGGCGACTTGGTGATAAGCTTGTCCATGTCCTTGGAGGAGTTCTCTCTCTCTAGGACAGTTGAACGGTATGAAGATCGTTGCATCGTGGCTGATGGCATATTGATTGAAGAGCGAATGTCGAGACTGTTCAGTCTGAGGAAAACGTCTCTGGTGCTGGGGCTATGGAATGTCGATTGCTATAATTTCGGCAAGCGCCGTCGGACGATTCTATATACAATGTCAGAACCAATCGCAAATTGACGTCGTGATGCTTGGATAGAGTAGCCACGTACGATTGCAGTATGACGAAAAACGGATGGCGAGATCGACAGGCACACTCTGATCTTCAAAGGCTTTGATGAATTTTGGCTCTGAAACCTTGGTGGAGGCTGTTTGGGATTTTGCTGTAACAATATATCTGTTGGGCAAACTGATGCGTAAGTTGGTGGGAATGAGAAAAGGCCGCAGCAAACAAGGGTGAGTCGTACTCTTATGAATCACGACTGTGTCCATCCCTTGAATTAACCACCAATGCTGCCTCAGAAACCAATCTGGCGGTGAATGGCGTGGGATGCTATCGCCGCGAGGACCGGCTGGCCAACTGCAGGGATTGCTGCACTGTGGCATCGGCAACGGTCGCTGGCAGGGATTGGCATGTCTCCATGCGAGGCCAGGAGGCCAGAGCCATGCTTCATTTCTCGACTGTTGGCGACTCATCTGGATGGATTCCAGGAGGCTTTCTGGGTGAAGGGCGGCCCCCCACTCGCAAGATCAGCCGTGGGACGGGCCTGGTTCCCCGCCCGCCCCAGAAGTTGGGTGTCAAAACGGGCTACACTGACGCCGTCGATCAATTCTTTTGGTCAATTAAATCGTCCTGATCGAGAAAATACGATCGCAGCACGGTGAGTATGCACGGTCGTTGCATGTCTCGCTTCCTACTGACACATGTCCAACCAATAAGTCCAGATTTGGAACACAAAGCAGACAACCGTTGTTGACTCTGTACTGCCCAAAAGGACGCCACAGTAGGTCCGATTGCTCGGGGCAGCATGCCCGGAGATGACCTTCGCAGCGAGTTTCGATGAAGCCCACATCGTTTGCGTTTTAACCATAATTCCCGGCGGGACGGGGCATCGCGGCAGACGGCAGCTAGCAGGGATCTTCCGGGCTCTACTGCGGTCAGGAATGAGAACGAAAGAGCACTCACAGCGTAGCACACTTCGTACATGGCTGCTGTGATCCCAATCTGCCCCCTATTACGTGGGACTGTTGGACATCACAAATCCCTTCGTCACATCCAACACGCTCATTGTTTTGTTGAGCAGAAACAAAGCTGCGACGTGATAAGGCGGCATTCGAATTGCCGACTGTAAGAGCTACACTCGCTACCACCGGGGCTTCTCGAATCATCCATAATCTAGCTAGATGAGGCAGGCTATGAAGCTGGTCCCGAAATGAGATGCAACGTGGAGGACCATGGATGAGGCTGCGGGAGTGCTTCCGGGGGAGGAGTCTTGGACGCCTTTGAAACCACGCCTCCTCGTCCACTGGGGTAGAGCCTAGAATAACAGGGCTCCTGCTGCGTGCCGAGGCAGGAGTCGTAAGACGGGAGTACAAAAGTGCGAGGTTTGACCGATGCAATTTCTGGTTGCCCTATAAACGTCGAGGCAATCGACAACTCCCTGTGCACACCTGGGTTGTGTTGCCCTCGCTGCTCTGCATGAAATGATCGTTTGCGCCGAAAGTCTGGTACATGTACCCAAGTTTCTAAGGGTCGCTGGACAGCGCGGCAAGCGAAGTACCTTAAGCTGATGCCAAGCCTGAGCGAAGACGCCTGCTTCTCCAACCTGGAGAAAATTCCTCAACTCCTAAGTATTTGTACCTGGGCTAATTAAAGCCCAGCAAACACTCAGGCAAAGGTGAGTGACGCGCAAGAATGGACAGTCACGTCGTTGGCGTCCTCGGCGGAGGACAGCTAGGGCGCATGCTGGTGGAAGCAGCCTCACGACTGAACATCAAGGTGGCCGTTCTTGACGCTGAAAATGCCCCAGCCAAGCAAATTAACGCCGTCGCAAATGACCTCCACGTAAACGGTTCTTTCGCAAAGGCGGCAGACGTGGAGAAGCTGGCAGCTAACTCAGATGTCATCACTTACGAGATCGAACATGTCGACACCAAGATCCTGGAGGAGCTCGAGGAGAAGCAGGCCACTATTCCTGGTACGCAATGGAATCGGATACAGCCCAGTTGGCGGACTGTGAGGACGATTCAGGATAAGTTTGCGCAGAAGCAACATTATGCTAAGTACGACATACCTACTTCGAGGTCAATTGCGGTCGCACGTCGGAACCGCAGGGTCTGAAGGAGATTGCGGATAAGCTAGGCTACCCTTTGATGCTGAAATCCAGGACAGAGGCATATGATGGACGAGGCAACTATCCAGTCAAGACGGTCTCGGACATTGAACCTGCCCTGAAGGCTCTTGCAGATCGACCTCTATACGCAGAGCAGTGGTGCAACTTCACAAAGGAACTGGCTGTAATGGTCGTAAAAACCTCACAAGACGCCTCCAAGGACTACGAGTCCTCAACGATCGCATATCCGACTGTCGAGACAATACACGAAGACAGCATCTGCAAGCTCGTCTACGCCCCAGCCCGCGAAGTCCCCCGAAAAACGCTCAAAGCCGCACAAGACCTCGCCCGCCGTGCGGTCTCAACATTCACCGGCACCGGTGTCTTCGGCGTCGAGCTCTTCCTCCTGCCCGACGACACCCTCCTCATCAATGAAATCGCGCCCCGACCACACAACTCCGGCCACTACACAATCGAAGCCTGCCACATGTCACAATACGAAGCCCAAGTCCGCGCTGTCCTCCCCGACCTCGCCCCCACCATCGTCCCCGGCTCAACAGACCTAGCCGTCCCCGCCGCTATAATGCTCAACATCCTGGGCGGCCCTCAACCCGACTCCCACCTCCTCGTCGCCAGACAAGCCGCCACAATCCCCGGCGCCCGCGTGCACCTCTACGGCAAAGGCGCGGGCCGGCCTGGTCGCAAAATGGGCCACATCACCCTCACCGGCTCCTCGATCTCCGACTGCGAAACCCGCATCCACCCACTCATCCAACTCGTCGACGCCCTCCGCGCCAACCGCACTAACGCCTCCGCCGACCACAGCCTCCTTATCTCCTCCGCTGCAGACCTCCTCAAAGCAAATCCCGTACCAAAACCAACCCCGATAATCGCCGTAGTGATGGGCTCCGACACGGACCTCGCGACCCTCAAACCAGGCTCCAATTCCTCGACGACATGGCCATCCCCTACCTCGTCACCATCACCTCCGCACACCGCACGCCACAACACATGCTCGACTTCGGCAAGTCCGCTGCGTCGCGAGGCATAAAATGCATCATTGCGGCGGCCGGTGGCGCAGCCCATTTACCGGGGATGATGGCCAGCGTGACGAGTGTGCCGGTGATTGGGTGTCCGGTGAAAGCGAGTTCACTGGATGGGTTGGACAGTTTGTTGAGTATTGTGCAGATGCCGAGGGGGGTGCCGGTTGCGACGGTGAGTATTGGGAATAGTACGAATGCGGCGCTGCTGGCGGCGAGGATTGTTGGGACTAGTGATGGTAGGATTAGGGAGTGGGTTGAGGAGCATTTGGAGAGGATGGATCGGGAGAATATGGCGAAGGCGGAGAGGTTGGAGGCGGAGGGGTGGAAGGAGTATCAGCGGGTGGAGAGCTGGGAGCGGAAGTGAACTATAATGGGGTTGGGTGAGGGGCTGGATCACACACGTGGTGCATTGACAGGAAGGTCTGGCTACGAGATGAACGTTCGCAGCCTGCATCGATAGAATAGACCGTGAAGATCGTGTCATCCGGTATGAGACAGAGTCCGGGTACAGTCAGTCTTAGTATGGTAATCTCAGTAGCTCTGAAGAAGTCATCCGGTCTTGCATCGAGCTGCGCCTATTACCATGACACACTGACCAGGCTCTGCCGGGTTCATCACGAACAAATAAACACTCAAATCGAGCTTGCGCTCATCGTGCTTGCCCGTGACCACTATACACGCTTCCGCCCGATGATGTGAGCTGAAGCAATGTTGTACTCATTCGCCTCTCGGACCGCAGTCTGTCTCGAAGCCGGCGCTTACTTGACCAACCATCCACTTGCTTCCAAGCCAGCTCCAAGTGAGTGACTGTGACCATTCAAATGAAGCATAACAGGCAGCAATCGACTCGGAGTCGTACTACGAAAGGTGAATTCGCTTTCTCGAGTCAGAGCGATTATCCTTTCGGCTAGCCCCGGTCTGCACTGCTTTGAAAAGGTATAAGTATCTGCTTCGTCCTCGACTTTCTCTTCCTTGCTCCCCACTGCGACGAGTCAATCATTGAACTGCCATGCCATGGTAGCATCCGCTGCTATCAGGTGGGGCGAGCTGCGGGTATGTGATTGACGGCGAGGTCCTCATCGGCGCGCATCTGCACCAGCTTTGATACTGGATAGCGACATTTTTGCTGGTGTAAGGGATTGCCTTCTGCAAGACCTGTTGGTGTGTCCCTTGGCGGTGAGCCTTGACGCCTCTACCCACACGCCAGTTCAAGTTTGTCAAATTTGTCTTCCATACTGTGCTGGGTCTGGTCATACTCAGGGTCGAACCTGACGCATAGAGCATCGACACTGTTAGTCGCACTCAATCAACCTGTGATCGTGAGACGACCATCACCTTTGTCCATGTTACCTTTCTCAGCTCCTCAATCAATGCCATGCTCCCTCTTCTTTTTCTCTAGCTCATCCATTCGGGATGCTATGTCATCCTTGACCGCAACCTGCATTTTTTCCGGCTGATGGTATAGAACGACGAGGTATCGGTTCATGAAATTGAACCCGTTCAGCTTATCACAAGCCTGCTTTGCGTCCATGACATCCTCGTAGACGACGAACGCTGTGCCCTTGGTCTTATTGTCGGTTCCGGCGCGGATTTGTCTGATGGGACCAAATTTTCCGAAGAGATCGAAGAGGGCGGGCGTATCGATGTTGTAGGCTAGATTTTTGACGAAGAGGATGCGATTCGTGTCCGGGGCGAGTTTGTTGGTTCGAGACATTGCTGGAGGCTGCTCGCTGAGTTCTGTTCTTCTGATGGATGGTGAACGATTACAATGTGGAGGATTCAGGTGGACTCAAGCCGATCAGGCGGGGTTCCAGCAGTTGTCGACCCTGCGGTCTCGCGCTGTTCCGCTCGCGGCGTAAATCTGATGAGTTCCTGTGATTGAGGAGTGACTCGAGAAGGCTCCTTGTGTTCGCGGTGTGCAGGACTCGTGTGAAGGTGTGTGATGCTGGAGATGAAGGAAAGAGGTGGCCGCTGAATTGCGGTGGCAGTCGATTCCCGATGTGGTTAGCGCAATTTCAGCGCAGTTCACATATCGACCTCGTTTCAAGAAGCCACGACTGCTCGACTGTACCAGCTGCCCTCACACTTTTAGCAAATTCCGTTACCGCCCGACAGCTATCCGAGACAACGCTATCGTTATCGCCAACGCTGTAATCCATGCCTCCCACTCGCGTGAGACCACAGACTCCTGTCGACCCCGCAACACACACGTAGCAGTGACAAAGACGACCACACACTCTCTGTACCGTGCACCATGCCCATCTCGACCGCATGCGCTCCGGCGCCGCTGGCGGTCCATATCATCGTCCTGCAAGTCCTCAGCGGCCAAGCCATCACGACATCGAGCCTATATCACCGGCCGAGTCGCTGCCGTCGGAGTTCCGCTCCCTGCCACCCTGTCGCAATCAAACTCCCTCCGCCGCCCACCAGTCTCTCAACGGGCTTGGCCTGTCACACCCAGAAGATCTTCCGAGCAACGAGAGTCCTCGCCAGCAAGAGCTTGGAATAGGAGATGATGGAGTAGCTCGTCTGCAGCACAGAGCTGTCACTCCATTGCACCGCAACGACCACCACCGCTCGCGCAACCAAGGATGGGCTGAACTACAATCCCCTCAATCACGCGGCAATCACGCCCAAAGATTCAGCAATCATGTGCGGTCGCGTTCGACCATGGACGATCTCGCCAGTGCCGCGCTTAGTCCGGCTTCTCAATCCAATCCGTTCGCCGTCAACGGGAGCCCATCCCAAACTCGTCCTTCCACATCACACGTCAGTCCATCACAGTATCGCGAGTCGCCCTATGAGCCGCCAGCCAAAAGGGTCAAATCAGCCCACATACCCTCCACAGAATGGGCGTCGCAGCCTCCCACGAACCACATCTCCGTGCGTCGACCAAGTCAAGCAGATGAGGCCGATGTAATGCTGCTTTTGGGTCTGAAGCAAGAGGTCAACTTCAAAAGACAAATCACGCCTCAATTGAACCATGCGCAATTGCACCGCATCGCCGAACATCAGTCACCGAAATACAATGCCTACACCCCCGAGCCAGTGACAGCGCATGCACGCCCAACATACTCACCTGACGCCATGCACATCGACGAATCTGGGCCTTCCGTCACTCAAGAACAAGTCTACGAAGCACCGGCGCTTGCCCCGCCTAACGGGCTCACCGCGACTTACGAAAACGGCGACGCGAATGCCCAACCCACATCAATCCGCCCTCCAGAACCTTCAAGTTCGACGCTGAACGTCAAAAAGGCTAGAAGACTGAAACCAGACCAGATCGAAAAGGAAGTGTGCGCTCAATGTGGCAAATCGGAGCAGAGAACAGGAGACGACGAGAACTCCATCTCGTGGATACGATGTGACGTGTGTAACAGGTGGTTCCATTCCCTGTGCGCAGGCATCATGGGCAAAGCAGAAGCCCGAGCCATCGACAAGTTCATCTGCAAGTCATGCGAACCAGAGCATGGCGAAACGACATACGTGCGGACTTCGTCACGAGCCAGAACGGCCATCGACTACGCCGGCCTGAACCAAGGCGTGATCAAATCATCCGTTGAGACGTCTCTCCACCACTATATTCAACCTTTTCGAACAGGAAAGTTCAAGATCCAGCCAGATGATTTTGCAAGGGTTCGGCCGGAGCTCTTGACGGCCGAGTTCTTTCAAAGCTTCGATAACATGAAAAGGCCTTTCGTCGTGCCAGCAGCATGGAATCCCCGTTTCGGACAGAGAAGCGAAGAAACCGAGTCCGAGACTGCTGAGAAAGGCACCGACACACGCATCGACGGCGACGGCAACCATACTACCGAGACCGAAGTGACAGCTGCAGCGAACGACAACGAAGAAGTGATCGACTGCGACCAAGATCATCTCGATATGGTCATGCCTCGAGGCCTCACAGTGCGCAAAGTAGCCAATATTGTTGGTTTGGATTACCCGCTTCCAGGTGTCATCGATGTCAAGAGTCAAGAAACGAAGGGTGTCTGGACCTTGGGGAAGTGGGCAGACTACTACGACGAGTCTGGCGAGAAGCCTGTACGAAATGTGATCAGCCTAGAAGTCTCGGAGACGAGCCTAGGTCGGGTGATGCGACGGCCCAAAGTTGTTCGTGACCTCGATCTTGAGGATCATGTGTGGCCTTTCGAGCAATACCCTGACAAGAAGAAGAAATCGGTGCAGTTTTACTGCCTGATGTCAGTCGCTGACAGCTACACTGACTTCCACATCGATTTTGGTGGCTCATCCGTCTACTACCACATCCTCAAAGGCACCAAAGTCTTCTTCTTCATACCGCCGGAAGACCGCTATCTCAAAAAGTACGAGGAATGGTGCAACTCCAGCACGCAGAATGATACCTGGCTGCCAGATCTCTGTGGCGGGAACGTGACTCGAGTCGACTTGCATGAGGGTGACACTGCCTTCATTCCGGCAGGATGGATCCACTCGGTTTGGACACCAGAAGACAGTCTTGTCATAGGAGGCAATTTCTTGACCAAGATCGACTACGAGGCTCAGTTCAAAGTTGCAACCATCGAGAAGAACACTCATGTTGCGGCGACCTTCCGATATCCATTTTTCCAGAAGGTCATGTGGTACGCTTTGATCAAGTATCTGGAAGAAGATCCTGTCCCTAAAGATGTCATGGAAGATTTCCAGGAGGACCCTGACTTCACGTTTCTTCGTGCAAATCCTGTATGGCTCGAAATCGACGACCTACAACCCACGGCTGAACCAGGAAGCGCGGACTTCAACTACAGATTTTACCCTAAGTCTGAGATCAAAGGCCTACCAGCACTTCGCGACTACCTGTATCGTACTGCTCGGATTGCCTCTGATTTGCCAGTTGACAATATCAACAAGAAGGCTATCGATGCTGTCAAGAGGTCCGTTCCGAAGGAGCACGGCGATCCCTTGGTATTAATCAAGACGTTCGCAATATGGTACGCCTGGAAGACTGGTGGTGAGAAGGCTCCTGCTTGGGTGCACGACGATGAGCTCGAAGGCTCCGAAGCCGCCAAGATCAAGAAACAAAAAGCTGTTAACCATAGGATTCCCGGAGAACGCACGTCGTCCAGGAGAATCGCACAAATTGAGCAGAAGACCGAAGAGCAGGCTCAAGAAGCAGCAGTTGTCGCGTCACAGCAAGGAGAGACATGGCCAGGCCGAGAGTCAACGTTTCCCTCCGTGGTGACACCCTACAAGCCAGGCGCGTCTGCCCCCGGAGTCAATTCGGACGCAACCAGGAAACACAAGCCTGCGTCTACGAAGCCAACCACCGTCAGACAAGCTTGTGATGCCTGCCGCAAGAGGCGTGTCAAATGCCGACACAGGGAGGGTTCTGTGCCTGTCAATGGCAAGTCATCGTCACCAAGGAGCATATCGCCGATGGGAGATTTCATCCCACCGACCAACGGCGCCGGCCACGATGATCATGCAGCTCAGCCCGCAGACGCTTTCTCGTCGAGTCTCGCACAAGCCGCGCTCGCTTCGATGGATGCGCCGAATTCAGATGCCCTGCTCAACAATAATGCCGACCAGAGTCCACCGTCCGGTAAGAAAAGTCGAAGTAAGGCTTGTGATGAGTGCCGCAAGAGCAAGGTAAGTTGTCAGAGTACTTTCTTGGTGATCGATACTAATGGTCGCAGCGCCGATGTGTGCACGATGAATATGGGAACGTTGATCCGGCAAAGGCTGCAGAACCAACTAAGCCGCGAGGTTCGACAAGCTCCAAACGACCTGCACGACCTAGCGATGGCGAGTGGAGCATTAAGGATGCTCGGCTTGACAGCAACTCGTCGAACAGAGGCGGCGACATTAGTGCTCTGATAGACCCAGCGCTGTTCGCAAGCTCCAGTACAGCGGATTCGTCTGGACAGCCAGTGAAACCTGAAGCGCCGCTTTCCAACGGCGTTGGAGTCACACCATCAGTGGAAAGACCTAGGACTTCCTCAGGCGCCATGATCAAGATGGACCCCGACCAGAGATCGCCAAACATGATCCATCAGCTCAGCACCGAGATCGCCACAGGATATGTGGTCCCGGAGCACGCTATTGATGACTCGGAACCAGTTGCGACAAATACTCCTGCAGCGAGTATGTCGCCTCCGCTCCAGCGTCATTCATCCCGGCAATCACAGACAGTGCAACGCTTCGTGCCTGACGAGTATCGGACGCCAAGCAAGCCTGCGCCTGACGCATTGCGTCGTCGCTCGAGCGCAAGTGGACCTGGCGGCCCGATGGGCGCTGTCAGTCGCCGATCGTCCAGCCATACTTCGGACGCAATCCACGTGTCGCTCACCAACGGCGTCAAGCCTTCGACCGGAAGTAATGGGGAGCGCCCTGGCAGCAGAGGACGATCAAGTACAGCCGAAAGTACCGAGTTGACAGCGGATGAACAACTTGCCAGAACACTACAGGCTGAAGAACACGGGCTGAGACGGCGCCAGAGCATGTTGAGGATATAGGAGCACTCCTCACAGGCGCCGCCTGATACCGAGATGCGAGCATTATGTGAGTGGGCGGAGATTCTGGCGCAAATTGAAGGCGTGACATGCTGAGACCGCTGGGGAGGACGCTGATTGCACTACACTGTACACGACAAGGAAACAAAAATGATATCACGATGAGTGGAGTTGGGCGTTTGGGCACTCATATGAAGAAGGATGCACATCATCGGCAATTTTTTGGGACCTTCGGGTGTTACGCGATGTCGAAACAGAACCTAGGATGGCACAGATGCAGTCCTGAATCGCGGTCAGCAGGCTTGGGGATCAAGAGCTGCTTTTCTACCTGCGATGGCGTGTGGTTTCCGTTTGTGTGCCCGGCTGTATATACCCTTGAGAAATAGTTCAAGCTCTAGTGCATTCGTTTAAACACTGACTGACGTCGCTGTCGAAGGTCTTCCTGAGAGCTTAATCGTTAAGGAACAGCAGACATGAAGGCTAGTCGTCCGGTCTCATGTAAGCTCGACGATCGCCAGTTCATCGCGTCATCCCGAGGCGCGCGAACTCAAGTTTGTGGGGTAAAGGACGATCGTCAGGACCTTCGACTTTACTTTACCTGAACTTCTTGGGAAGTCTAGCTGCACAGCAGTCCTATTATGAACGCACTTGTCTCGCTGTACCACAGAGTCGTCTTTCGTAAAGGCATCGCATCGAGTTTCGGATCTGATAGTCCATCGCACTACAAGCTCCCACGTTTCTGGATGCATGTCTGCCACTAGTCGTATATCCCAACAGATCACAGCCCGACACCGCCGCACATGCGAACGACTTGATGCCATCCCGAAAGTTTTACTTGATCTAAACCATCAGAGCGTCCACCTGAGCTCCTGAGCATCACCACACACCCCACATCTGAGGACACGTATACATACGACGGACATACAGCCAACAATGTCCACGATCTACAACTCCCAGCTCGACGCCTTCGAACTCCACCACCTCGTCCAGGAACTCTCCTCCTCCTCCACCCCACACCCTTCCACCACGAGTAGTCCGATCCTCGAAGCCCTCCAACACGCCCTCTCCGGCGCCACGGGAGCCGCCCTCTCCAACATCCTCATCTACCCTTTGGACCTGATCATCACCAGACTGCAGATCCAGCGCCAACTCCACAAACATACCACATCATCAAGCGACAGGTCGAGAAACGCGGAAGAATACAAGAGCTTAAGCGACGCCGTAACCAAAATCGCAGACAAGGATGGCTGGCAGGGCCTCTGGGCGGGGTGCAAGGGAGACACGATGAAGACGGTGTTGGATGTCGGCGGATTCTTTTTGGTGTATACTTGGGTCCGGGGGCGGGTACTCGCGAGGCGAAGCCGAGCAGCACATCTGACTGCGTGGGAGGAGCTGAGTGTGGGCTGGGTTAGCGGGAGTATGGTACGAGCGGTGGTGATGCCGTGGAGTGTTGTTGTTGCGCGGGCGCAGACGAGGGGGATGGGTCCATCGGGCTCTGACAGGGACCAGCAGAAGGGTGAATCGTTGCGGCAGATCGCTGAGCAAATCTACCGTGAAAAAGGCCTACAGGGCTTCTGGGCGGGGTATCAAGCCGCGTTAGTCCTTACGCTGAACCCCAGTCTGACGTTTGCGCTGCATGCGGTGCTGAGTCGGAGTCTGCCGCGGAGCCTGAGGGAGAAGCAGGGCGCAGTGACGACGTTCTTGGTGAGTGCAAGCAGTAAGGCTGTCGCGAGTGCGGTTATGTACCCGTTCAGTCTGGCGAAGACGCGGCTGATGGTCGGTGGGAGGCGGGAGAGGGAGTATGAGGAGGATGCAGAAAAAGAGGTTGAGGCGAAGGCGAGCGGAAATAAGGGATTGAAGAAGGAGATTGTGAGGGAGACGTTGTTGAGCACGTTGATGGGGATTGTTGAGAACGAGGGGATTGGGGGTTTGTATGAGGGTTTGGGGTTGGAGATGTGTAAGGGCTTTCTGAGTCACGGGATCACCATGGTCGTCAAACAAGCTGTGCAGCGGTTTGTTGTCAAACTATGGTATATCCTCAGTGTCTTGTCAAGACGGTACCGACGAAGAATAAGTGGAGAGAGGATGAAGAAAAGAGCGACGGAGACTGTCGAGTACTATAATCTTGCGATGGCGCGGGCGGGGGAAAAGATCGAGCATGGGGTGAAAGAGACGGTGGAATGGACGAGACAGAAGGCAAATGAAACGGCGGAGTTTGTGGGAGAGTATGTGGAAGAGGGCGATACGGAGGGTTGGAGGGAGGCGTATTTGGGCCCGTTGGACTTGTCGAGGTGGTTGGATGAGCGGAAGAAGTGATGGCTTGTTTGTGGTTCACGAGGATGGGTTTTGTGCTTATATCGGGTAAGTGTCTTTTGCGGCGAAGGCGTTGATGGGATGGACGTATGTAAAAATGCGGTCGATGGCATTCGGCATGGATCATTTCGGGCTCGACAGCACCACCAGAGCCTCCGGGACAGAGGACGTGTAGTAGCAAGTACTTCGATGGAAGAACGTCAATACGACTTTGTCGATCTCGTTGCTGATCTCCTTGACGCTTTTCCCATCGATCGTTGTGTCAACTATGCATGCCCACATGACCCTGCGCGTAAGGGAGGCGTGCTCATGTCCCGGCCCCTCCCAAAACCGATTGGACACATCACCTGGCTAGGCTCGAGTGCTAGAATGCTATGCTATGCCACATGCTATGCAAAGGAGAGTAACGCCGCGCTGATGCAATCATCGGTGCCTGTCCATCATGAGTCTCCATATCCATGGCCGAGGGTCTGCCTGGCCCTGAAGCTTCCCGTTGCATAGGCGTGGCCGTTCGCTTGTGAACATGGAGCAAATTTCTGCATCACTCCATATCCTCATCCTCTTCCATATCGTCGTCCGAATTCTCAAGATTCTCGAGCGCGTCTTTGATGTACTGTGCGGCCTGTGATTGCGTGTTAGCATACGTCCCGTCAGTCCCCGAACCGCTGACCAAACTCACCTTTGGATCCAAGTTCAAAGCCCTGGTAAACGCCCCCACCGCTTCGCCTCTTCTCCCCAACATCTTATACAGCCTGCCCATCAAAAACCAGACATTCGCCTCCTCCGGAGCCACATCCTGCAAGATCTTCAACTCCTCCAACGCCTCCTTCGGCCGATACAGCACCATCAAACACCTCGCCTTCTTGAACCGACTCAACGCCGACCCAGGACTTAACACGCAGGCGCGACTGTACATGGCGAGGGCCGGCTCGTACTGCTTCAGTCGTTCCAACACGACGCCAATACAGCAGATGAGGACAGCGTTGGTGGGGTTGATATTCGCGGCAGAGCGGTAGTGCCGTTCTGCGACGTCCCATTTGCCCATGCGCTCGTATACCTTGCCGAGGCCGTACCAGGCATTGTAGTGTCTGCTGTCGGCGGCGATGGCGCAGCGGTAGCGTCGAGTGCCTTCTCGAATTCTTCGCTTGCGATGTGTTCATGCCCTTGCAGGGTGAAGCCATAGGCGAAAGAAGGGTCGAGTTGAGTCGCACGGCGGAAACATCGGAGCGCTTGTTCGTGCTCGCGTTGGAGGGAGAAGGAGTTGCCAACTGCGACCCAGGCTTGTGGCGAGAGGCGGTCGATGTCCATGAGTTCGTGGGCGAGGTAAGCGAGCTCGATGTCGGCTTTCAGGTGCCACAGGACGGTGGAGTAGATCTCCATGTCCTCGAGGCGGGCGGGGGCTAGTTGGCGGACTCGGACGAAGAATTTCTCGGCGTCTGCGTACAGTGCCTGTTCGTAGTAGGATTTGCCGATCTGGGCGAGAATGTACGGCGTTTCGCGGGCTTGATGGGAGGGAATTATAGATCTGGATTGCGGTCTGGCAGTCGTATGTTGTTAAAGCCAGCTGAGCCGAGCCCATCTTGTCGCATACACCGAGCAGCGTATTCAACGCTTCCAGGTGGTAGTTGACGCTGTGGCCTTCCGATCTGACTTTGTGATGCGTCAATGACGGCACTGGAGGTATCTGTGCGTCTCTTCTTTCCGCGTCCATAGCATCTGTTGCGCCTGTTCTCGTCGGACGATTGCCACTGACGACTCTACCAACAGTTGACGTCGTTGCAACTCTGCCCTTGACCGTTGGTGCTCGAGGCTTCTTGATGTCTCGACCATCGCGGAGACCTAACGAGTTTGTGAACGATGATAACTTGCTCGGAGCAGGTCCGGCAGCACTAGGAGGTCTTGAGGCACCACCGGCAAGTCTATTGCTCCGTCTTGTGCCCTCTGCATTCGCCTGTGACGAAGCCGTGTTGGCGACGTGTCCGGAGATTGTTCTCTTATTAGGAGCCAATGGAGGCGCCGGATCTGGCAGTATCGCGGCTTCTTCTGAAGCACCCTTTCCTCTCGCCCTCGTCCGACTTGCACCAGTCTTGAAACGCGACAAAGGGTCTGTGACCTCATTTGCACTTCGCGCTTTTCGTATGGGCGCTGCTGGAGGTTCGTATATTCCGCCTACCGGTCCGCCGTGGAGCAAGCCATCGTCAGTATCGGCCACTGTTGATGGCGTCGGAGCGCCGTCATCTTCGGCGGTGCTGCCGAGGGTATTCACGCTCACTTTGCTACCGTTCAGCTTCTCCCACAGTGCTGTACTACCATGGCCTCCAGGCTTTGTCGTCGCCACGAATGGATCGGTGGCGTCTCTGTTTGTGCTATGTGATTGGAGTGGATGAGATGACACCGACGGTCTATCTGGCGGTAATTGGGTATTCTCCGCTCTATGAGCTTGCTTTGCCACAGCCTCCATCTCTGGCGAAAGCTTGAAGATATTGGGGACGTGTATTCGCACGCCCGAATCGCAAAGACCCTCGAACGCATCCGACATGAACGGGTTCAACTTCAGTGCCGCGGCCCAGCACTCTACGGCCTGCTCGTCGTTCTTATGTGCCTTCCATAGTTTGCCTTTCAGTGTAAGCACGGCGGCTGCATCTGGGAGATGCTGCCGCCGCGACTCAGTGTGCTGATTCCATGTTGATCTGTTTTGCCATAATACCTTGCTCTTCTCCAGCGCTGTCAAGCCGTCCACATATCTTCCCAGCTCTAAGCAAGCCTGCGCAAAGATGTATGCACAGCCAAGATGTGAGCCTCTTATGCCGTACGTCCAAGATGTATCGTAAGCGCCCTTGACGAAGCCAGACTGGTACTGGCAGTGTGCGAGCAGAAAAGCGGACTCGGGAGACTTGTGTTCATACGCGACGAGTCGTTGTGCGAGGAAGAGGGCATTCTTCATTAAGTTATTATCGATGTGGTAGTATATGAGGTGCCGTAACTGCGTAGGTAGATATGTCGTATTGGAGGGCGCCATGGCGGCATGGGGCTTGCTAAGCCGTAGGGTACTAAGCGTAGTAGATTGGCCGAGGATCGAGTGATCAGTGGGCGTCTTTTCTCGAACGTTCGGAAGAGTCGTCCAAGTCGTTACTGTGTTGAGACTTTGAGAGGTGAAGCCAAGGTCAAAACAATCGGATTCGCTGCAGATCAGATCAGGTGCTTTCAGTGAAGTAGACCAGATCGAAAGTGGCGATGTATTCAAGGCTGTTCGGCAGGCAGTGAAGCCATACTCCTCTACAAGCTGTTGCTGTGAGTCGAGCTTTAGGTGGTACGTACTAAGGATACACGTACAGCGTCGACTTGGTTGGTTACGAGAGGCTGGAGAAGCCGTCAACACGGCCCAACTGGCGCTTGCAGATCGATCGCCGCAAGCGCCGAAGCGGGCTGGAAATGAGCCCTAAACCCTAGCCAAGATTTCGCGCTGGATGACGCCAAACTCTCGTGGGCTAACCTTTTGGTTCTCTGCGGAGTTGAAGCGCTACTTAGATACTTGCGCCTGCCTCGACAACACTCTCTGCGGCACACTAACCTCCGAAAGGCCACACATCATGGCGAAAAGCGCCGCCAAACAACTCTCAACCCGCAACACCGCCCGCCTCAACCAAACCCACCTCATCACAGCCGCCCTGCACACCATCTTCCTCCTCTCCCGCTTCACCTTCCGCCGCAGCCTCTCCCTGACACGCTACACCCTCTTCTGCCTCCCCGCCACCCTGATCGAAGCATACCTGCACATCCTTGCCACCCCATCCTACGATCCCGAGGGCAAGATCCGCTCCGCGGGCTCGGACCTCAACGAGAAAGGCCTGACGGAGTTTATGTGGGATGTGCTGTACTGGACGTGGATCAATATGGTGCTGGTAGTTTTGGTGGGGAATTGGGGCTGGTGGGCGTATTTGGTCGTGCCGGGGTATGCAGCGTATGCTATTGTGCCGACTGTGGGTGGGATCAAGGGGATGTTGAGTGGGATGGGTGGAGGTGGTGTGGAGGGAGGTGCGGCTGGTCAGAGTAAACGGCAGCAGAAGATGGAGAAGAGGGGTGGGCAACGGGTGGCTTATAGGTGATGATATTGTCTCGTCCATGAGCAACAAGAAGGGTTTCCGAAGAGTGTTCTGTACAGTCTGGATTTGCTGCGATCGAGTTTTCCCTCAACCTGACTTGCTACTGATAATGATCTGACTTCGGTCAACAAGTACAGATCACAGTCCGAGGTCCATGACGTATCACAGAGGATTAACAAGCAGACTCGTCCCACCAGGTAGCAGGAACTGCTACCAAGGCGTGGCAATACAGCCACACGGAAGACGCCACTTCGTTCTGGAGGGTAAAAGGTGCAAGGTTGTGGGTAACATGCCTACTTATACCCCTTTGACAAAGTGCAGATCGGAGGCAAGCCGAAACAGTCACTCGCATGACTCATTCGAGACGTATTCACTGTCCAGGTCATGAGGTACGATCATGCGCAGACTGGTATTATTCACTGTAATGGGCAGCAGCTGCGTGGCCGAACCGAAGGGAGACAGGATACGTACGTTCCAGAATGGACAGCAACGCTTCTTGTCCAGAACCACCGGGTGCCACTGAATATTCCGCAGACTTTCGAGGGTGTGAGAATACCAGAATCGCGGTGCAGTTACAAGTGAATTTGAACGCAAGTCGAGCGTTGCTGCTACGGTAGGACCCCATCGGTGTCGCCTGTTCCCGCAGCACCGACACCATCACCAACATCACCATCTCCGCCGCCGCTACCATTAGCAGCCAGTCCGGCAGCCTCCTTCTTCTGCCTTTCCCGGTCCCGCCGCTTGAGCTTCTTCTCCCGGTTCCGTGCCGTTCTTTTCTCCCGTTCCTCTGGCGGCAAGTCCAGCTCGAGCTCGCCCTTTTCGTTGACGATCTTGGTCGGTTTGGGCTTGGGTTGAGAGCGTAGACGCGCGGCGAGGCGTTGGCGCAGGAGGATGCGCCGCTTTTTAGAGGGTTTGGGTCGCCGGTTGGTGGTAGTAGTAGTGTGGCGGTGATGCGTTGAGGAGGATGAGCGGAGGCATTTGTGGATCTGGGATAGAGGGAGATGGGCGCTTCGCCAGACTAATGCAGTGCCGGGCCACGGAGTTTGGGCAAGCGTAAGCAGCGTCGTTGGCGATATTGCTGTTGCGGCGTACTGTGCTCTGAGGGATGACGATGGATCTGTGAGGTAGTGTGTGTCGGGCCGTGGGCAAAGGAAGCGCCCTGCTTGTTCTGGGAGTGCTGAGCTTGGTGTTGGGCTTCGGGCCAATGTGATTATCCGTGGCGGTACGTTAGTCGTCGAGGTTGTTCCGTTGCCCTGATGATCTTCAACGGGCGTTGCCGTCGCCCCTGTCGGTGTGGAGAATAGTCGGAACTCGTACTGCTGATCTGCTTCACTCTGCTCCGCTGGTGGCTTTTGGGGGCCAGAGTGCTGTGGTGTGATGAAGTCGTACTCGAAACCATAGCTCATAGGTATGTGTCCCGATTTAAGTGTAGATGTGTCCTGGTCATCTATCTCGCTCAAGGCCGTCGCATCTTCCAAAGGCCCATCATCACCTCGCTGCTCAGCTTCGAAGTCCGATCTTTTGATCCTTTTGGCGTTCGGGACATCAAACATGGCGTTGGGAGATCCGAGATTCAGATCCCCACGATGGACAGATACGTATTAGATAATTTCATGAAGAAGAGGTTCGCGAATGCTCGGGAGGCTAGCTATGTGCCGCCTAGCGTCTGGGCAGGCTTTGCCTTTTTCCAGAAGGCATGGCCACTAAAAGTGCAGCTCCTTCCCTGTACGTCGCTCTTTCTCATTTGCACCTTGTCCAGCTTCATGGTCCCTGAATCATCTCGCGCTCTCGCTTCATGGGGCCAACACGCGAGTTCAACAGCTGTTGCTGTCTGTTCAAGCATTCTTGGCTGCTATGGCTTGAAGATTGCCGTCTCAGCCCCAGCAAAATGGACACCGTCGATCGACGCTACTCGCGCTGTTGGCCTGATTGATATCTTGAAACACCTATCTAGTGGCCGTTGAATGTCCTATGCTCGTCGCCCTAACCGTTTGTGCAATATCGGTGCTGCAAATAGCTTCGACGGCGCCAGATGTGCTGGCCTAGTATGTCTGGGCTAAGATTGTGCCACACTTGCAGCATCTTCGGCGTCGATGATGAACATGGCCATGCATGCATATATAGCGATCTCGACCTCCTGTTGAGTTGCGCTGGGGAGCAGAGAGGACAGTAGGTCACACGATACGCACTAAACATCACTACCATGTATACCTTTTTCGCGACGCTGGTCAGAAGGCAGCTGCTAGGGGGAGACGACGATGAAGACACGGAACACTGCCCGACGAACTTCAGCGATCTGAGTCAAGCAGATCCTATCATTGGCAACACGACATTCCATCGGGTCATGACGTACACGTCCGCGGCAACGATGGCAGTCTCCGTCGCGCTCGGTACCTACATGATCCTGGGCCAGTAAGTCATGCCGACGCGAATACTGTTGGACAGTGACTGACGAGCCACGCAATAGAATGTTCAGCTATCGTGAACCAAGATTCCAGAAACAGTACGTGAAATCCATCAAGCTAGGAGGACACCTCACTGACGCACGCTAGTCTCATTCGCATCATCCTCACGGGCCCGATCTTCGCCGTCTTTGCCTTCATCGGAGTTGCAAGCTACCGTGCCGCCCATTACATGGAAGCCCTTCTCACCTTGTACGAGATCTTCACACTCTACTCAATCTTCACGCTATGCGTCGAATACCTGGCTCCTGCGACAACGTGGGAAGCACAGCTCGTTCTCATGCAGAGCAACTCTGTCTTCTCCTTTTCAAGCTTTCGGAGGAAGTACTTTCGTGTGGTGCAGGTCATTCCTGTACTGATCATCGTGACACTTGTCACCATCATTACACATGCGCGGGAGTGCTGGCAGAGTGCAGAAAGTAGTCGTGCAGCTGGCATCGTTTCAATCATTGGCGTGAGTCAACGGCGTGTGCCCCACAGCTACAAACGCTTACCTTCGATCAGGCAATCAGCACAATCATGGCAATTTCTGGCATTCTTCCATTCCTCATGAAGCAGACGACATTGCTTAAGAAGATCGACCCCCAGATCGTTGGGAAACTACTTGCCGCCAAAATCATCGTGGTGGCAGAGATCGTCATTTCGCTCATATTCTCCATTCTGAGCTGGACGGATTCTTTCGAGCCTACAGCTACAGTCTCGCACAGTCAGTCGATGATCTCTCCTCATCAAAGTTATCATCGTGCTAATAGATCATCTCAGATGACATCAACGTCGGGGTTCACGTCTTCTCGACAGGCTGCCTCGCATTCATTACAACGATTTGCATGCTCCCATACTACCGCCCGGGTCAGTTCGAGAAGGCTCCTTGGGTCGCAGCTCCAGGTGATGGTCATTGGACTGACACTACACACGCTACACGTCGCGAGTCCGAGGAAACAGGCCCGCCCAAGCCGAAAGAAGCGTTATTGCTGCCCCGAAACAACAAGCAGCCAAGTCCCAAGAGAAGTCCGTTAAGAGCTGTCTGGGATGTCGTCAACGTTAGTGATGTTGCTATTGCTGTGTGGCGTGGAATCAAGCTGTTATTCGGTCGGCCTCGTCTGCAGAACAGAGCGGGCATGGAGCCGAATAGAGGGTACGCGCCTGTGGCTCAGGGCGGTGAGGCAGGAGAAGAGCTGCCGGAGTACCGTCGTTCGTGATTCGACCTGCCGGAGCCTTTATAGATCGGGTTTCGACCTGGTGTGGAATAGACTCACGGATGGTGCACAGGATTACTGGGCTGCTTTGAGCGTTGGTTGAGCTTCGGCGCAAGGAGTTACGGTGACTCTTGTCCAGGTCGAGGTAGCCTGCGAACATGTCTTCAGAGGTACACGGGCAGTGCTCTGGGTCGAGGACCGTCGAGCGCTCGATACTTGATGCAGCTTACAGTTTCGCTACTGGAGCAACCGGACACTCGATATAAAGAGGTCGTCGGATGTCCGCTGCTCTAGCCGTGAGGAGTCATGGGACTCGATGTAGGCACATACAGTCAGAATTGTTCTCGGCTGTTGCATAACAGCCAGTCCGCTTGATAGCAGTCCGCGGCCGGTGACAGAGCTGCCAGGGGCTGTCGTATCGATCACGCTGAGGCCTAAGGCTCCACCCCCAAGGCGTCCAGGCGACGCAGCAGCCACTTACTCCAGGCAGCACAATAGAAGGCAACAGTTTCTTCATTGTCTGCTTATCCAAACGCACGGAGTTGCGATGCTGGATCGATGCATCGAGGCGGCTTGCTCTTTAGTGATCAATTCGCCTCGGCCACCTCATCAATAGCAGAAGGAAGTGGCAATGGAAGCAGGAGTAGCAGCAGCACTGACAGTACTAGCATCCCCATCCGCAGGAAGGCGGCGACCTTTAAGCTTGACCCCTCAAGACCACTTGGACCACAATGCCTGCGATGCCGCAAGAGACGTGTGAAATGCGATTCAGCAAAGCCAGGCTGCGCGCGATGTAGGCATGACGATCATGATTGTCCAGGGTATGGCGGTAAGGAAGCTGCCTGGACGGTCAAGACACAGGCGAGTATGGCGGATGTCTCTAGGGCAGCAAAGCCTTCGACTAGCCCTGAAGGAGAGACTGGTTGCGCGTCTTTGGTGTACAGAGGATCTCAATCTTCTAGGTGGGAAGACTCTACAGCGGCTTGGGAGGAGACATCGAGCCTCACCATTTTATCATCTGAGACGACATCACTAATCGAAATGCCATCTGAAGACCGTTCCTTGACACCATACTATGGATTCACGCATCCCGCCGCGCCAGGACCGCAGCTCCGCCAAGCGTCCCATCCAACCTTACCATCCAGCCAGCAATTAGGCCGGCCCCTCCTCTCCCACCTCTGGAACCCCTTCCTCCCCTACCTCCACCACCAATCCCCAACCCTTACCGTCCTCGATCACGAAGCCTACCTCTTCGCCGACTGCCTGCACTACTACAACGAGATCATGCGCCCGCTCCTTGTCGGCTGCCTCATCCCCAACCAGCCCCGGGAGTTCCGCACCGAGGAGTGGATCAACACGCCCCCGCTCATGAAGCACGCCACTGTCTACGCACTATCCACGCATCGCATGGCGCGAGGTGAGGATTTTCCGGAGCTGAAGACGCAGCGGTTGGTGCACAGGGGCAAGACGGTCGTGCTCCTGCGGCAAGCGCTGGAGATGTTGCAGGGGAGTCAGTGGGCGGCGTTTGTGATGATTGTGCAATTCCTGGGCGGGGAGATTGCGACGAGTAGTGTGAGTGGATGGCAAACGCACTTTGAGGCCGCGTGGCGGATGTTGGAGAGTATTGGGGGAGGAACTGGGAGGGTGGGGGATGGGGTCGAGTATTGTTGGAATTTGTGCGAGGAGCCGCAGTTGGCTTGTGTGTATTTGGTGCAGGTTGAGGTGTTTAGTGCGACGACCGCGCCGGTTTGGGTGATGGGAAGGGGGAGAGAAAGGGAGGTTGTAAGGGTGTTGGGGAGGAAAGATTTGGGGGATATGGAGGATCGGTTTGTGGCGAGTATGTGTGCTTGTCCGCTCGAGATTGTGAGGACTTTGGCGGAGATTAATGGGTTGCGTGCTGAGTTGTATGCTTTGCAGAGAACACCAGATCGAGGAGAGGGTTTTGCGGTCGATGGCGAAAGTGAGGTATCGACACGGTTGTGGAATATCTTGACACGACTGCTTTCGTTCAAAGCGACCAATTGGGTAGAGCGAACTCTGATGCGGCACGATGCCCAAGTCGTTCATGCGGAGACGGCAGGAGGCTTCGATCGACAAGCGATGACAGAGTCATGGACACGTCTGGCAGATTGCTATCGATCGGCGACAGTCATCTACCTCCTTCGAGCATGCGCTTCTTCTCACCTATCGACAGCGCTGCCCGAAGGGTGCAGAGCGTTCATGGAGGACTCAGAAGAAGTCCTGAATGAGCACCAACACATACTGTCCATGAGTCTGGCATACCTCCTGCGAGGTCTTGGTTTCCGGCAGACTGATATCCGTGGGCCGATACTGTGGAGATTCATCTACTGGCCAGTGTTCATAGAAGCATATGAGTTCACGGGATGGTCTCCGAAGGCGGCTGATAGCTGCGCGACAGCTGAAGTCGACGGACGACTGGATAGGATGAGGCTATTGGGTCGACAGACTGGTGCGATGTGCATGTCAGATGCTGCTGAGTTGTTGAAGAAGGTGGCGAGAGAGCGCAAAGGTAAGCAAGCGTGGCATTGGGACGATGCGTTCCCACAGCGAGTGTTACTTTCTGTATGATCCAATCTGAACCAAGGGCGACTGTTCAGATGATCTCTCGAGGGACGAGAAGGTGATGGCTGATGATGACTTCGTACTGTGTTCAGTGTGAAGTCAACGTTAGGCGGCCTGCAAGGTCTACTCGAGGACGGGGTCATCATGATTCTGCGTATGAAGAGGCAGTGACACCGACGACTGACCATCGAATGCTAGAGCATCTGTATCAGACTACAAGGGGATCGGGCTTCATGTTGGACCTGTCGGCAAGGGCTGGCGCCCTGAAGTCAAACACGTTCTGGCAACTTTCACGCTAGTGGTTTGATGCCAGCGTCTCTCTTCTGATGACGCATTCAGATGTCGTGGCAAAGGCTCGCCCCACCAGGCAGCGACGTGTGCTGTTCGAGCGTGGCAAGCTTCCACCAGAATATTTCCTCGGTGGAGAAAGAAAGGAAAGGTGGTCTGGGGGCAAAGCCAGGTACTTATAGATCTTTTCACGCAGTGAAGAGGCGCCGGGCATAATGGTTGATCCGATGACTCGGCCAGCAAGCATTCACTGTTCGTTGCATGATTCGTTTCCGGCTGCTGCCTGGTAACATTCACTCGATATGGGCATGAGCTCCTTCACCAAAGTTACAGAATCCTTTCATTGCAGGAGACACTTCCTCGCTCTAGTGAGTAGATTGCGTTGGCGTTACGCACCTCCTGCCGTTCCGAGCTCAAGGCTAAGTTGTCCACCTATCGTCTCAAACAGCTTTCAATCACGTATGAAATTGCACTCAGGCAGGTCTGCCACTGTGATTCGTGAAATAGCCCGGAAACAACCACTCAAGCTTCTTCAACGCATCAGCACCCATACCTTCCTGTTTCGTGCTCACACCAAAGCGTCTCTGACCCTCCCAAGCCTTGCCTGCCCGAAGATCCGCATACTCATCTTTCCCCATCTCGTCCAGCACAGCCGCAACCAAGCCCTTCGCGTTCTCCAAATTGGCCCTCATGTGACCCATTACCATCTCGACGCTGACATCTTCCTCACCCTTCCAGCAGTCGTAGTCCGTGCTCATGATGATCTGCCATATCCGATCTCAGCCTCTCTGGCGAGCTTTGCCTCCGGGAACGAGCTCATATTGATCACATCGCCGCCCCATAATCGGTACATCTTGCTCTCCGCGCGAGTGCTGAAGGTCGGGCCTTGGATGACGACTGTCGTTCCGCCGTTGTGTAGCTTCGAATCGCCTTGTAGGGCACCGGCACATTTCAGCACAGCTTGGCGGATGCCCTCGTCGTATGGATCGGCCATAGGAACATGACAGACTAGACCCTCGCCGAAAAAGGTGCTGGGGCGACCCCACGTGCGGTCGATGACTTGGTCTGGAACAACGAAGTCTCGTGGTCGGATCTCCTCTCGCAATGAGCCTGCGGCGGAGAAGGAGACGATAGCTCGCACGCCAATATGTCGGAGGGCAGCGATATTGGCGCGATTCGGGACTTCAGAAGGCGCAAACTGGTGGTTGACTCCATGTCGTGAGAGAAAGGCGACTGGAAGGACCTTTCCAGAAGGGGTTGTGTGCTCGAGGACGACGATCGGTGATGCTGGTTTGCCCCATGGTGTGTCGATATCTAAAGACGCAGCAGTCTTGAAGCCTGGGAGGTCGTAAAAGCCGGTCCCTCCTATGACCGCCACAGGAATTGTGCCAGAATACGTGCTTGGTAAGGAAGCCATGGTGATGGGGTGCCGATTCGGTGACAAAGCGAGCACGCAATATATTCGTCGGATCAACCACCAGTTAGATCTTCAGAGGCAAGCAAGCGCCGCTTTGACAGGGACTGAAAGTAGGTCGACTGGATTGTGGCTAAGGCTTGATATTTTCTACGTGATAGCAGTCTCTATGAAGTGTTGAGGCTCAACTGCGAGGCTTAAGGCCTACTGGGACTGGAAAAAAAAGTTGCGATAGATGCAGTCATCCGGCTTAGAAACTCAATGCTTGGCAAGCACGTGCTTACTCGCCTTACCACAACCATAGAGAAAGCAAACAGCCTCTGCTACTCAACGGTTACGTTCCCAAACAAGTTTCTTCGATCCTAGGGAGCTCAGCACGACTTCATGAGTGCCTGAGGGTAGAGCTCAGCTGCAGCGTGCAGCACTGTATCGAAACGGAAATCGAGCGCGATAGATGGATCACTCTTACGGCGATAGGTGAGGGGCCCTGGGCTCGAAGCCGCGCATGACGGGTAACAATGGCACAGGTTGGTAAGGTTCCAGTCAATTCAAGACCACGGTGGCGTACCTGTATATGAGCAATGCCTCGACCGTGCAATGTGTCTGAGCAACTGGCCGCCCCAGACCATGCTGCGTCCTGAGGCCAGGCACGCTTTGGTCGGCATGGCGAGTGTCAGAAGGCAATTGACGCACATTGTTGCTAGAAGTTGACGGCCTCACCAGGAGTTGAACATGAGCACGACAAGACGCCTCGCCCAGTACGATGTTGGCTCCCAATAATGAGAATCCTCGCTCCCACGTGGCTGTGACCAGACATGGCATCCTTGCTTGGGTGTGTTGGTAAACCTGCGAGAGCCGAAAGACCTGGTTGAATAGCGGCTACGTCTACTTTGCTGGGCGCTCTTACATTAGACAAGCATGAAGAATCTGGAGGGAATCTCGAAACACCACGTTGCGGCCCATCCTCGCTGAAAATTGTAGAGGTGTCAGCATGGTTGATTGGGTCCATCGTGGCAGTATATTGAGCAGTGGCAAATGCTTCCCTGTTGTCGATCCCTGATTCCAAGACAGCATCGCAGATTCGCGAGTCGACATGTCCTGACTCCTAGCATAACCAAGATTTGATCCAAGATAACGCGATCTTCGATGCGAACGGTAAGGAGATTGAGATGATGTTGTTCAAATACCAACTTTGCCAACAAGTCTCACGAACAACTCCCGGCGGCGGACATTATTCTCAAAAGCGTATCTTTGCGCGTTCATCACAACATGCAAGTTGGCAGCATTGTCGATGGTCGCTGAGTTCTCGATGATGACGTGGTTCATCGAGATCTTTTGACACAGCACGTGACTTCGTGATCACATATGACGTCTTCAGTCGCGCCATTGTTTTGATTTTCTCCGCATCATCGCGTCTTCCCTGTATGAATCCTTAGCGGTTACGGAAAATATCAAAAGTTCGCCTTGATGGAGTTCGCATCCGTCCAGGTTGACGCAATACATCGGCGATCTGGTCGACAACTCACTGTCTCTGAAACTTCCTGCCATAGTCATTGGCTTGTCGCGTCAAAGCAAGGCGTCGAGGCGACACGCGCGTGGGAGGGGTACATCACTTCATGTAGCTTAGCAGTATCAACAAACGCTGCATTGACTCTCGCATGTCGCAGAATCGACGGCGCATCTCGGGCATGCTAAGGACGCATCGTGCGATGACAAGTCAAGTCCAACTACTTTGAATTCATATCAGCTCGAAAACAGGGTTCATGTAATCCTGAGCGATGTCTTCGCAAGATAGCCTTCGGTACCACGGACGAGGCCTCGAGACGCTCGCATAGTCTATCGTGGCTCTCAGCTGTGCCCGGCGCCGGACTCGCCGACGTGGTGATAGTTCTCCAGTACCGGAAAAGTCTAAGGGAGCAATAAACTACCGTGTTTTGTATGCAATTGCCCAAAAAGTACTCGCACCGTTTGACGAAGTCCGCTAATGTGGGAGCTGACATGTCGCACTATCACAAAATTGGTCGTTATTGCTCGGAGTTCGTGGGCAAACGTTGCTCCCAGAAGCTCGACATGTGCAATGAGAGGTCCTGTTGCAAGCACCGTCTCACGTTTTTGTCACGACGTTCATCATCACTATGTGCTCAATCATGATACTACCGTCTCCGCAGCGCCCGTCGCGAACAAGGCCAGCAGCCGAGACCGACGCCAGCGTTGATGGAGTATAGCCGTCTCATCTGATCAGCCCGGGGATGACTTGCAGCCCCAGAGTTGAGGCTCATCCTGCTGATGCCTTTCAAGTCCCTGGACTGCAAGGCAAGAATGTGGAAAAATATATTCTAGATCTGCACAGGCCTGTGTGAACTCCCCACAAAGCAGCATTCTTCTGATTCTATTTTCATAGACTTTGAGTGCGAGGAATTTTGATCGTCAGAGCTGCTCCAGGACGAGGGGATCGCAGCGGTGGATTGTGCGCAAAAAGGCGTCGGATATCCCCTCAGCAACATTATGTGGCTTGAAGTGGGCAAGGCGTATCGGGCTGACAGGCCTGACGCCGGCGTTATCGCGTGTTGAAACTTGCCAGGGATCCAACGAACCTCTGTTGCAGCTACTCCTGTGTACATGCAAATGAAATTGATCAGCCTCAGGCATGTTCGATACCGTCGGAGAGGAGAGATCACCGTGGCACCGACTGTCGTGATTTTTGAGTTAGAGTGTACCAAACATTGCACGTGAATTGCAAGTTACCCGGAGCTGGAAATGGCATTCATTCGACACCTCCAAAACCTGTTCCTGAATCCATATCGCATCGAAAGTCAGTGCGGAAATCGAAGATTGGAAGCACGTTATGGGCGGCTTGTGCGCTGAATGGGCAGGCCTAGGAGGCTTGAATCTGGATCCCTGGCAGTGAGTCTGAGCGTGACCCAATGGACGCCTGTTGGGTCCATAATCAATTTTTTAGCGGTTAGCTGCACAGTTTGATAAGCTGCTTGGTTTGACACTTGGAGACCCGAGGCCAGCCAAACTCCCGGGCAACCACTAGTCCTGCGTTACTGCAAGGACTTGCTCGATGTGACCTCTTTCATAAGCCGAGCTTCCTTCCTCCTTCTTCAGCCCACCTGTTGTCTGCAGGTGAAGGTCCATTCGAGTTGACCAGTGCTGTAAGGTAAGGAGGCTCGTTGTCGAGGGCACTCTTGCAGTTGGTGGCTTCTCCCTCCACCAACTATCTCAACGACCATCCCGGCCCTTCGACATTGTCTGCGAGACCTCCAACCCCAGAACCGTCTCAGACCTCACAGCCTCGGTCACAAAGCAGACCAGAGACAGACAGCCCACCTCGACTCGAATGCCAGGACACTGCTACATCGACACCACCACTATCGTTAAAACACCGTTCACCGAGCGTCCCCTTAGTCCTCAAATCACTTGCGAAGGATCCATTGACTTGGATTTCTTCCTCAATTCGAACCACCGAGCCGCACCCTCTTAGGCCTTGCAATTGCACATCAGCGTCCGATACGAGCAGTGCCTACTGGTCAGCGTCAGAATGCTGGAGACATCGCCTTTAGCTGCTATGCAGCCGCACAACATGCACTTCCCCATGGACTACGTCTCTCAGATGCAGATGCCGCCGCCCCGGAACGCCTTCAACTTCAGAGACTTGTCAATGCAGAAGGAGGTACCCATGAGGAGGCCGGCTATGGACTACTTCACCATGTCGAAGCCCATAAGAGGCTCCTCGCCAACGGCTAGCCTCGCTGCCGACATGTCACAGAACATGCACATTGATCAGAGGTAGATCGTCCCTACCGCAATGCTACTGCCTTTCAGAAGCTGATAGGAAGCAGTCCGGACATTATACCACCCACTCCTCGCCGTGCTCTCTTCGCGGCTGGCATGTGGCAGACTCGTGACAAATGTGAGATGTTTCTTGACCTTTTCTTGTCCTTCCACTGACCATCCTAGCCTTTGTAACCACTCCTCCGGTTGCGTCCTCGTCTCCTGGAGTCAACGATGGCATGGACATGGACACAGAATTGTCACCTCTGCCTCACAAAGCCCCGTACATTCCCGTGCAGATTCAGCTGCAATCTCCCACTCCAGAGGAGACTCCTTCAGACGAACCGATGCTCACATCTCCTCCCACATCGGACCCAATATACACGGACACCTGGTATGCCCCGGTGCTTCCGGTCGTGGAAAAGAAGAAGTCGATACCGCGACGGCCGTCGTTGACCCGGATGAAGGGTCTCAGCACAGGATCGATACCTCAGGCACTACACCCTGAGAGTCAGCTGCCGCCATTCAAGTTCGGCAACTATTCGGCTAAACCAACATCTCTTTCCCTGGAACAGATCTTCGAGTCAAGTCCAGTTCAAGAGAGAACGAGGCCGAGTCCTGTACTCGCCTCTTCGAGACCGCGGCCGCCGTTCGGTGGACTGCTTTCAAACTCGCGTAATGGATCACCCAACAGCCAACATCTGCGCAAGGCATCCAACCCAGTGACTCGACCAAGGAAGCTTACTCGTCGCTCGCTGAGCATGTATGAGCACCCTGAGGATGTCATGAAAGGCGAGAAAGACAATGAACCATCCCTTCCACCAATCATGGACATCGAAGGCCACGCTAGCATACCACGTCTGCCACACTTCACTACAGATCAGATTGGTGACCTGCCAAGAATCAGTAAAGACACCATGATTGACATCCTCGATGGCAAGTATGATGGCATGTACCAGAAACGTGTCATCATCGATTGTCGTTTCGAATACGAATATCTGGGAGGCCATATCGACGGCGCGGTCAACTTCAACGACAGAGAACGCCTAGCAAGTCAGCTGCTTGAGGTTGAACCTACCTCAAACGCTTTGCTGATCTTTCACTGCGAGTATTCTGCACACCGTGCTCCTCTTGTCGCTAAATTTATTCGCAACAGAGATCGTGGAGTGAATGCTGATCGCTACCCAGCCTTGACGTATCCAGAAGTCTACATTCTGGACGGCGGCTACAGCTCCTTTTACAAGGATCATCGAGCGCGATGCTTTCCTCAGAATTATGTTGAGATGGAAGCCAAGGAACACGAAATGGCGTGTGAGCGTGGCATGGGCAAAGTCAAGCAGCAGCGCACGAAGTTGATGCGCGCTCAGACATTTGCTTTTGGCCAACATTCTCCCCAAGTCGATTCGAGTCCAACGGCAATGGTCGATGTCGGCTTGACTCTGATGATATGGAACTTGGTCTTAACTTCACACCCGCTCCCGGCATCCGACCTACTCTTGATGGCTTGCGTCGGGCAGGCACTTTGCGGCAATTCTCTTATTAGGAGAGTCGCATCTGCACTTTGGACGATGCGAAACATTCTGGAAGCTATCAATTGGTACGCTTGCATATATTACGCATCACCATGAACGACGCGTCGCAGAGATCCCTGGTCCTCGCGTTACCAACCACTCTTTCTGATTGCATCTGCATTTCGAGCGACGGAGCATTGGAGTCACTGGATTTGAATAGCTGGCTTCTGCTTGGACCGACAAGCATCTTTTATCACTGGCTTGCACTTTTGGAAGTCTACCTACCACTTCGACCTTTCTACCTCATCACACAGATCACAACGGAGTATTCCTCCGGGACATTACCTCACATAAACGACCACAGCGTTTCCGTCATCACCAGTCATACCCGACCTCAGCCTCAACCTTCCATCGCTACCGATCTATTGCAACGACTAGTGTCTAATTCGGCTTTCACCTTCATGCACATACTTCCTCCCCGAAAAAGTCGATGTTGCGGCGCTCGGTCAAGGGTCAATACATTTGTACATTGAAGCATTCCTGAGATCAGTGATGTCGTTGCAAGCATTTCACAACCTCCTTGTGCAGGTATGGCGCATTAGTAGATATCGACTCGGTGCACCGGAAGGACGGAAAAGATTACAACGGCGCATGGAGGCGCCTCTTCGTCGGTCAACATGGGCTTAGATCATTGTTTGCATTTCTTACTCCCTCAGACTCCATGGCCGGGCATGCAGACCTGCTGCGTCTGTCTGCCTCTGCGTTTGTTCGAGGTCTCCAGCGAGAGAAGACAGATACACAACACAATGATAGATCAAAGACCTTGAAAATAATACGACCGTGGTAGCATCCCGATCTCATCCGCACGCATTCATCCCGGCCAGCAATTGTGCCTTCCATGAGTACTCCATAGATCGCTGGCTTCCCTCCTAACCTTGGGACCTTGCGACCAGGCGAGGAGACTTGCTACCTAAAGGAAAAAGTAAACGATAAGGTAAGCTGAATGCGAGCTAGTTGGCTTCGTATGAATGCAAGCTACATGCTGTTTCTGCAACAGTACCATGGTATTTGCTTCTCTGCATGCTTTTGGACACGCCGAGCCATCTTCAGCTGTGTTTTTGGAATACATCTCTGCATTACCCATCTCGTACCCTCTTCCCTGCACTCTGCAGGATCCCATCAGAGCAGGTGCACTTTTACACTGCCTGCCAGCCTACACCCCAGCTCACGGTCATCGTACTCTCCATAGCTTGACACAATACCTTGAATGCCGGGTTCCGGACCTGATTTAGCATGAACTGCTCGAGGCGCTTCTCCCTCTCCGCTTTTGGCAAGTCTGCGAATGCCTCGAGCCGCTCGTCTGCACCTTCGAAGAGCTGACGTGTATCCGCCAGGTGCGAAAATGCTGACATGATGCGGTTGTGGGCAGCGTGGGCTTTCGTAGCTTCTGCATTGTTGGGGTCTGGACGTGCAGAAGGATGCGACGTCACCCCGTCATCGGCTCTCTGGTACTTCAGCCCGAGATCATGAGCGGATGGTGACGGATAGCGTTTTCCTATCGCGGCTTCCGGGGGACTATGCGGCTGTTGCAGAAGTTGATCGGCTGGCGTATATGGCAATGCCGAAGTAGACTTGTCCACAGCTCTGGTGTCATCTTCTTTTGTGGTCTCCTGAGCAGCTATGCTCATGGACCGAGTGACGCGCTGCCTGATGTGGGCGGTGTCTTCAGTGTCATCCACTGCGGGCGCTGTCTGCATTGCCTGAGCACGTTTCTTCGTTGCAGCTGAGCGGGCCAGGAGAAGTTGTGTGTCTATCTCGTTACCCCATGCTCTGGCTCGAGCCGTAGACGGATCGGCTTGACTGAAGACCTCTTCGATGCTAGGTAGGGGCGGTGTATCAGGTCTGTGTCGACAGCGCGAGCGAGGCCCTCGTGCTCTGCGAAGATGAGTCAGACTCTTCTCATGCAGCGAGTATTGGAGGCAGAACTTGCAGGGTGCTACTTACTTGCAATCATCACAACGATACGCAGGCTGTCTGGACTTCTTGGCGGGTTTATTTGTCTTTGCTGCGGTCTTCAATTCCGGTGCTTTGCGCTTCTTGGAGACTACTTCATTGTCGGGTGCTACCTGCGAATCGGGGACGATGACATCGGTTTCGCCCGCAAGAGCTAGTGCCACCGACGTCCTGGTATTTTGTCTCGACGAGATAGTCTTTTCATCCACTTGCCGCTTGGATATTTCCTTAGGCTTGAAAGGCAGTTCGCGTGGAGGTGGGAGCAACTGGCTGAGATGCTGAACGACTTTTGGTGGCGCAGTCGATGTCCTCGGGGTGTACAGATCTATGTTCACCTTATTGATGTCATCAGCTGCCTGAAATACAGGATTGCGCGTTCCCATCCAGGCCTGTTCGTTGCAATGGCTGTCGTCCAGGAGCTTGTGTGCTGACTGATTCGTTGTCGTCATGTGTTGCTCAGCAACCTGGTTCCGGTAGTATCGCAGCCCAGAGGGATCAATTCTGGCAGCCGACTGGACGCTGGTGGTGCCATAGTGTCATGTACAGGCAGTACGGAGTTTGTCAGGCGCGGATCGATCGCAGAAACCGCCGAAGTTGCACTTCGTGTAGCGAAATGAGGCTGCTGGTAAGTTCCCAGAGTCTGTACGGGTTTCACAGGCTGATTGATTCCTTGGCGCGTCGAAGGGAACGTGCCGGCCTCAAGCATGTGAACGCCACTGTTTGACATTTGCTTACATGCCTCGTAGAAGTCTGCATCTTCGCTAAAGCGGATCTGGAATCGCTTCACCTATTCAGACATAAGAGATGTTCGATAAGAAAATTGGAGGTATTACCTGTCCTCCCGGCACGGGATACTTGACAGCAATAACCGGCACCTTTTTGATTACTGCAACATTGTGGTCTCGATTGTGATCGGAGGCATCTTTCGCCATATTGATAGCTCGTTTTGTTTCGCTGGCGAGTATCTGAAGGTCGATATCCTCCTAGAGGTGGTTAATCATCGGGAATGACGCCCGTTGGATATTCAAACCAGGACATCCGGATCTCTCAGGATTTTGAACCTCTTCGCATCTTGAATTGTCCCATCGCTGCGGACATGGCGCACGGTATCAAAAATGGCGAACAGCTCACCTCGAGAAGCTAGATGTGTCCACGGCAATGGTCCGTTGCTGTCGCGAAGTATGACTGCGGAAGAAAACTTTTGCAAAGAAAGACAGATAGGACGCTCTGGAGTTGTGACAACCTGTGAACCGACCTTTGAAGCTGCCATGACTGCTGGAAGCACTCTGTGAGATACAAGAACAGACGCAAAGGAAAGAAATCGAGAAGGGATCAGCACAACAGCTGCGGCATGATGAAGACTCTGATTCTGGAGTTGAATTCAACAGATGATAAGCTACTTGTGATGCTGTTGACTGCTCCGAAGGCTCATTGGCAGTGACACTGGTGAGAAGGAGAAGGAGCGACCTGACCTTGCACTTTCCGCTGGAGGCGCCAAGGCTGTGGTCATTTTAGTGGCGGATAGAGCCGTGCGATCTCCCAAAAATCTTGGACCCACCTTAAACTGCGCGAGTGCTAGAGCGTGCCTGCGCTTGAGGATAGCCAGGGCAATCCCAACTACACGTTCAAGAGATTTCCCATCACGCATCACCTCTCCTCTGAGCGCCTCTACTAGGGTCCTCGATTGGTCGCCAGCTCTCCCGATCGTGCCCTAGCGAAGGACGTGGGAACGCGCGAAGGGTTAACCAACATTCCGTCATGTGTATGGACGCGATCTCGTAGCAGTCAGACGGAAAGTGCTAGCCTTTCACCGCGCACGTCCTAGGTGCAGCCATGGACGGCTTCGAGGAGAACAAGATTATACAAGACGAAGAGGAGTTCCTTGACGATGTCGCTGCTTATCACGAACAGCGAGGGTATGTTCGCTTTCACAGTCTACGAAGATGCGCTGACCACCTTGATGCAGCACAAATTTCGAGCGCGATGCCAAGGTCGCAGGCAGGCCTGTACCTCTGCACAAACTATACAAGCTCGTCGTTGAGAGGGGTGGCTATGATCGACTGTCGGATGAGCGCATGGCTTGGCGGTCCCTTGTCAAACCCTTCGGTTTCAGTCATCAGCATGAAGGCGCCATGACGTTCCAGATCAAGTCCTTGTACTACCGAAATCTCGCGTGAGTAGAGGCGATAATCTGGTCGATGTATGACTATACTGACGTGATGCAGGGCATATGAGATAGCCAAGTACTGGGGTGAGACGCCGCCTCCAAAAGAAATCCTTGAAGACATGACTGCTAAAGGCGGGAATCTTCGAACGCGAACTCTGGAAAACTATGGCCCACGGACTGTAGCAGCCGACGGAACCGACTCTGTAGACGAAGAGCAAACGACACCAAAAGTCGAAAAGACAGAGCCAGAAGACCCCGGCAGTGTCGGTAGATATCCTTCACGAGCACTTCGACAGGACCCCAAGAGAACACAATTGTTTCAGCCAGACACGTCTTCAACCCGTGCAAAGCCGACCTACTCACCGCAACCAATGGCTCAGGTTCCTCAGGCGACATACTCGAATGCTGCCGCCGATCCCAGAAATGCGTCATTCAACATTCAGAACTATGAACCTCGTCAGCCGATGCACCTCACTCTGCGCGCTGTCGAGACGCCGGGCAGCAATGCCGCACTCTTCTATCACAACAAGGCCCAGCAGCGGGCGAAGGCTTCGAGAGCATCGAGGGAGGCACCAGAACAGCAGCAGTATTACCGGCATGCCATACCAACAATGGCTGGACCAAACATCTACCAGCGCTGTTTGTACGGTCTGAGATCGGGCATACCAGAAGAGCAACATTTCGCGCTGCATCACTTGGTCAAAGTTTCCTACGAACGTGGTGACAAGTACAAATTCGATGGCTTTTCTCTGCTTGCAGAATCCTTGCTCGACAAAGTCTTGGAAATTCTGCCACTCGTATATGGAGTTACATGGCGAGTCTCGTATGATGAACAGGAGGGTCAAGCCGCAGAGAACACCTTAAACGCCGCATATGGAACACCTGATCTGCTCAGTCGTTTAAAGAGATTGACAGCTTCTACCGATTTCTCCGTGCCTCAGCTTGACACCCTCGAGAAGATCATCGAAGCTGCCCTGGTCATCCGAAACATGTTGACGCTGGAGGAGAATGCCCGGTTCCTTGCACCTTTCCGCGTGTTCAGAGATTTTCTCACCATCGCCGTCACCCTGCCAGACGTCCCCCAACTGGCAGAATTTCGACGATATGCGCTCGAGATGGCTAGCTGGACCACACGATACTGGGAGATGTCAGAACGGGACGATCTTTACGTGTCGCTGCTCAAATACCTCGAGAGTAGCGACCGAACCCTTCTGCTCTTCGCACTACAAGCAATCATACGAATCGGCATCGAACTGGAGTCTACGTTTCGCGTTCTTGGCGTGCCCCAGCATTCTGTTGAGCGTCTTATCTCGCTATTGCTTGTTGAGGTTGATGACGAGCTTCTGGAGTCTGTCATGGACTTCATATACGAGTTCACCGCCATATACGAAAACAATCACCAGGTACTAGGAACTCAACCGGAACTATACTCCAACTTGATCTCGAGACTGGTGATCCTTTTGAATCACAATCCGACAACCTCAGAAGAACAAATTTTGAGCCGGCCCAAGGCACAGAAAGCTCCTTCGCAGGCATCTATTCCTGTGCTCCCTCAGGAACTACTCAACTCACTACTGCAGCTGCGAGAGCCTCAACGATCATCCGCTTGGCTCAACTGCTGCTTCGAAGAATCGCGTGAGGATGACATCACACAAATCGCAATCTGGCAAGCTTACCAAAGTCGCTTTGCACAGTATAACCCAATTCCTGCAGCCGAGTTCATCAAGAACGTGTCGAACACCTTTACCACAGCTCAGGCACAGGTCATTAGCGGTCCCCAGCCTCGATTCATCATCAAAGGTATCCGTCCTAGAAGAATTTTGGTTGACCTCAAGAATCAGCATTACTTTCGGTGCTACTGGGAAACCGAAAGAGTCGAAGGTAACGAGAGTACCCAGCGTCATACATGCAACGTCTGGGCATCGTCCAGAAAAGCGGTGTGGACGCATATACTACAGGATCATCTATCTTTGCCTGTGAACTCAGATGGCGCCTTCGAAAGTGCTAGCGAGGGCGAGTACCGATGCAGATGGCATGGCTGTCTGCGGACCGCACCTTTCAGTAAGGCGACCGACATCGGCATTCACGTCCGGTCACACATTCCTGAGGATACAAAAGCGATGGACAAGCTTATCTACGACCTGGCTGGAATGGGAGTGGAGAAGGAGCCTGAAGTCACAAAGCATACCTCATATTATACCTCAATCGACGAGCAGGGACAGCCGATGGGGATCGCTTTCATGAGCGTCATGATCCTGCGAAATCTCGCGCGTTTTGCCAACAAGCATGGACATGAATACCAGCGGAAGGATTCGAAGCTCATGGACAGACTGTTCGCAGGCGACAGCCACAATCTCTGGCATGCTTTCACCATGAACAGAACTTTGAGACCTTGGGTGGGCCAATTACTTGCTATGATTGCGAAAGGCGACGATCCACGCAGCAAGAAAAGAGAGCGAGAAGATGACGATGAATAGAACACTGCGGTCATCACATATAACGACCGGACCGGCACAGCGAGGAGTTCAGGTAGTCACTTGCGAAAGGGGATCAAGTGACGGTTGTACCATAACTGTGGGCGAAGAATTTGGGCAAGAAAACAGCACAGTGCGCGCGAATCAGCCCTGGCTTCGCGTGATGTTCGCCCTACGACATCGAGGGTGGTTTGGTGTTCTTATCTTGATGATCATCGGAGGTACTTCTGACACCGGGGAACTTTGGTGATGTGGTTGCCTTGCAATTAACACCAAGGCTTGGCATCTTCGAAACACAAGTTCTTTGATTCATGTGATCTGTTTCTTCTGCGCCGTACCTTCGCTAATCTCTTTGTCCTGTGCAGAGATGACGCCATCTGGAGACTTGGTCTCACAGTTGAATGGTAAGGCGGATATGAGGCTCTGCTGGGCTCAATGTCGACCACTTGAAACACATTGCCACTCCCACGGGTTCGTGATCCTTCCCCGCAGCCGGTTCGCAGCCTGGCAAGGCAACCTCAACCTACTACAACACATTCACCACGTTTCATGGGATGTTTATCTACGTGCAAAGCCTTGTGCTGCGGTTAGAAAAGGATGCTCGTGACTCTCTGATTGACAATACACTTCAGGGAACTTGGTCGCCTGTTGACCCGTCTCTGCCCGCACCGGATCGTTGTTCTGGCCAAACCTCACAATACCTAGGATCAATCTAGGAGGGAGTTCGCCGTACTTTGGGACAATCGGGTACTTCGATATGCTTCTGACTCACTGATCATGGCCATCATGGCTGTGTTCCGAACCCTTTCACCAAGGAATCGTTGCCGCATGATCACTTCCACCCGGCCGGAATGGTTTCAGGACGTTCCAATCTGGGTATTGCGCCATGGCGAGCTCCTCGGCGCTGGCAAAGGTACCAGGCTGGCAAGAAGGGCACTGCTATAAATCTGTCCTACCTATGGCGCTCCTTGCTCCTCTGGCCCTCTAGCATCCCGACTACATACAATTGTCACGCAAAGACACACACACACACACACACATCTTACACAGCAACAGTCAATATGGAACCAATAGGTTTCGCCATCGGCGTGGTTGGTCTGGGAGGGTTGGTCTCGACATGCATACACAGCTACGCGAAACTCCAGCACATGCTCAACATGGCAGAGGAGACGGACTTTGCAATCAACAAGATGGACATCGAGCGGATCCGCTTTCTACAGTGGGCCGAATCATGCCGGGACACAGACAACTGCTCAAAAACATCGCGACGAACTGGCAGCTACGCCGACCCTGTCATCCAGAAGACCTTACAACACATGCTCATATCCCTTGGCCGCGCGGCCACCCTCCAGCAGAAGTATGGCGTCACAGATCGTCGCGACTCACGCAATTACAATAAGAACGGAAACAAGATCGGCTTCAGATCAAAAGTGGGCTATGCTATATCCGGTCGAGAGGAGTTCGAGGAGATCATTGCACAGCTCAGCTATTACAACGAGCGTCTTCCGACTCTGATACCGAGCCGCAAGGCCCGTCAGGAGATCGCCAGGGCACTGTCTCGTCGGCCGCAGTTGTTTGAGGACGACGAAGCGTGGGACAATGATGACCCTCCTGCGTGGGGCAATGGTGCTGCTGGTGTCGCTGCCCAAATAGCCACTACTATGGAGCATGGTCTAAGAAGAAGACGTGAGCAGAGTCGTGACCGTGGACTGGGCGCGAGACAGATGAAACGGGTATACTTCGACGACGGCGACCAGAAACAGGCGAAGGAGTCATCGCAGGACTATGGGAGTTCGAGGCCACGCTATACGGACGACAGATATCAGGCACGATATGACGGCGATGATGACGACTACGACGGCTACGACTATATCAGGCGCGATCTAGCACCACCACCGTCGTACAGCAAATCACAGTACTCCTCTAAAAGTCGGCATTCGAATAACTCATATGCGTCCAATATCAGTCGCAAGTCAAATAGTGACGCAGCTCGAGAGATGTGGGGAGATCTGACGTTCAGGAATAGGGGAAGTAGGTCGACTTACAGGTAGTCTCGGACATGAGGACGAGTATTGGACTCTTCGATTGTATAGCGGCTTGTATTAATTAGTACATTAATCTAATCATGTATCAACACCACCAACACATATTCTACACTTTGACCTTCACATCTCCTGGACACTTCTCCTTATGCTCATAAACCCACGCAAGCCCACCGTCACTCCCTTTGACCTTGAAGTACAACCACATGATCCACTCCTTTACGATCTGCTGAAAGACTGAAGGTGATGTTCTCCGCATGTCACCACTTTTGGTCGTGAACTCCTTGATCTTCCGTGCTCGATCTTGGCGTGTAGTCTGCCATTCATCGACCCCTTTGTCAAACGCTTCCGCTGTGTCGCTTCGTTCGAAGACCATGGCTAGCGATGCAGCATCTTCGAACGCCATTGCAGCGCCCTGACCACCTGTTGGCGGCATAGCGTGTGCTGTACCAAATCAGCATGTTTCCATACCACGGTAGCAGAGACAAAAGGTGTATCTTACCTGCATCTCCCATGAGGATGATCCGATTCGAAGATGAGGTCCACGACTCGAGAATCGGAGCGTTGTAGTGCGGCCAAATGCTCAAACTATCCGCCTTCCCACTCCGGCAAGCCTCCACAACCACCGCCGGCCACTCACTAGCTCTTCCGCAATGCCGATCTACCATGATCCTCTTCAACTCCTGCTTGTCCTCTCCCAACTTCGCCCATCCCTCCCTATCGCGTTCCTCCACTTCCATCGTGGCGAAGAACGTCACCTCATTCCCGTCCGCTGACGTCGGCATCATCATGAACGCGTTGCTCTTGCCCATGAACATCGCCGGCAGGCTCAAGTCCTGCGGCCTGATATCTCGCCTGTCCAGTCTCCCTCCACCGATACCCAACATGCCGCTGAACGTTGGCTTCACATCGCCATTAACCAAATTCCGCACTCTGGAGTGGATGCCATCAGCGCCGATGACCGCGTCAAATGTCAGCTCTTCTCCGCTTGCCAGACCCAGGATGACATTCTTCTCCTTCTCTGAAACACTGACGACCTTCGTCTCGAACCTCATCTCCACCGTGATCTCCTCACGATCCTGCGTCGCAAGCTCCTCGACCGCGCGTAACAACTCCCCGCGTACGATCCCCCGCCCGATTCGGAGCGCTGGGTAGCCATATCGCTTTACGTCCCCATTCTTCACCCTGCCAATCCTGCTTAGGTTCCTGGCTGAGTAAAATGCAATGTCTTCGTATGCAAAACCTTGAGGCAACAACTTCTGGTACAGGCCCAATTGGTCGAGGATGTGTAGTGCGTTGGGGGCAAGGGCGAGGAATCCACCGTCTTGGGCGTGGCGGGGGCGAAGCTCGAGGATTGTGATGTGGAGAGGTTGCTGTTGAGATCTGACGCGGGATAGCAGGAGTGTGAGTGATAGGCCAGCAAGACCGGCGCCTACTATTGCTATGCGGTGGGGAGGTGGAAGGCCGGAGCTGTGTAATGGGGTGGAGGCCATGGGTGGAGTGATGGGTAGGGGGTGTTTGATGTGTTGTGATCAAAATTGGATTTCAAATATGGATATAGTATGTGTCGAAAATTGAGCTGTTATGAAGTTTTTGAAGCAATGCAACACTCACGTTGAAGGGAAGGCACCGACCTCTTAAATCTTCATTCGTCATCTTGACTAGATACCTTCCAGCAAAGATAAAGCCGCCACGGCCTCAGCCGACACACTGGTTCGGGGGCAGTGACGCTGCAATGCAAGCACGCTGCTCACTCCAGCTTTTCTCGGGTTCATCGTGGGCACACTTTATCGTGAGATGTTTGCACGAAGCACAGCCATAGCAGCCTCTGTGGACGCGCCAGGACTCGGGCCCGTAGACTGGCCCCGCATCCTGCTCTATGCGACCGCATGGCTCTCACAGATAGGGCGGAAGAACTGTCCGCGGACACGAATGGGACAGTATAAACGCTGCAGCTTCACAGCCATAATTGAGCTGAAGAGAAATGTAGGGCACGAACACGAGCTCTTGTTCGCTCTCGGCCAAAGGTCGTCTCGGCGCTCGCTAATCTGGCGACTTTCGGTAGTCGCAAGCGTTTGACAGGCGACCTCCTATTGGATGGATGCATATTTTTGGGTGAGAGTTAAAGCTTCGTCTTTCACACGAAGCTCTTGACTCGAGTGTACTCAAGTCATGGCTTCTTTTCTTGCTCTGGGCTGTGCGTCTTTGCAAGTCGAAGCTCGCATGTCGTTACAATCCTAGTCGCCCACTATGGGCGTGGCTATAGCAAGCATGATATTTCCCGCTGCTTCGACCGAGGTGACGATCGTATCTATTCGCACGGTGACAAGTGCGCCCATGATGCCGACAACTAGTTCGTAGGACAGATGCACAACAGGTGGCGCACCTTGGAATGGCAAGCAGCGCTGCCTGAACACCGGAATAGCCCTCATGCAAGAGCAGTTCTCCCGAGTGTGCACACTTACCTCACCTTTGCCAAATGCGGGGGTTTGGATCACAACGAACGGCTGGAACTCATCGAGGTCGTCGAGCCGCGAGGGACGCAAAACATCGTAGTATACATTGAACTTTGTCGTTGGGGGGCTCTCAAGAGACGGAGAGAAGTCGACTGTTCCTGACCCGGCACGTAGGCTTCCGCAATGGAAACGATCGATACTGTCTTCCGAAGCAGTCAGATACCTGAAGCTCACAACTTGAACGCGTCTATGCAGTGCTCAATGCGCGTTGCGTCATCGATCCCCACAACACAACAACTTACTTATCTCAACTTCCTTGTCGACAGACTCTTGCTTTTCTTTAAACTCCAACGACCGTACCTACGTACCTACGTACCGAGAAATTTGCCGCAGCTATGCTGTCTTAACAGAAGGCAGCTCCTTCCTTCTGTCCTTTTGGCGCTCGCTGCTGAGCCCTCGCTCGCTCCTGTCAACCGATGCATCTCAATCGACGACAGGAGCTACTCAATGGAATCCCGTGCAGTGAACGCGGACCACACCAACGCATGCTAGACCGTACGCTTCTCACATGGCAAAAAGTGAACATATTCATGTGCACATAGCCTGGCTCTAGGATTATTAGCGAGGCATGGGCTCCCCTCATGCTTTTGGCAGGGGCTCGTTTCAGAAAGCATCGTCATCCAGTCCGGTTTGACATTGACCACCGGCATCACCAACATCATATACACTTTAGCCGAGCTCAATCTCGCCATGAGGTCCGCGTGATCGATCTGCTGGCATGGCACGCATACCAGCACCGCAATGCGTGAGTCTGAAACCACATGGACATGCCCCGGACATGCTCGGCGGGCCAGACGTCAACTTCTCCAGCAAGGCGGCTGAAAGTCTTGAATCCTTGCACAGACTTCAAATCTACCAGCTCGTTGTATTTACTCGACTGCCGATGAACTAGCGATGAGATTGAAGGACGATCAGCTGCTCTGCATACAGGTCCCTGACTGCAGGACTGGGCCTTCCATGTCCATCACTTTTGCAGGATTTCATGCTAACCATCATCAGACGATTCCCTGCTTGTCAACAACGGATGACCTTGTCTGTCCTGTATGCGACGAGCCTGCAATTCATGATGCTTGAGCCGAAGAATGGCCATGAAGTACTCCTACGGGGCATAAATACTCGCTATATGCTTGAGCTTTCAACGACTCGATGCACAGGTTCTGGTGGCACGGCCTAATTGATCGCAGTCATACACAGCAGTCATGCGCTTCCTGTATTGTTTTCTGTTTCTAGTGGCCCTCGCCACAGCGTTGCCACTGGACAATGCCGCAGAAGACCACTCGGTCAACGCTCTAGTGACCCGCCAGTCAGGCTCATTGCCCAGGACTTTCCAGTGGTCATCGAGCGGTGTTCTCGTCAGCCCAAAGAACGATGGTCGAGGTATCAAGGCCCTCAAAGATCCGTCAATCGTCTACTACAACGGCCGGTACCATGTCTTTGCTTCCGTCTACACCACAGGCTACAACATGGTTTACTTCTCCTTCACCGATTTCGCCCAAGCAAACTCAGCCACATTCACCTACCTGGACTCGACTCCCATCGGAAGCGGCTACAGGGCAGCTCCTCAGGTCTTCTATCACTCCGGCCAGAAGCTGTGGTATCTGGTCTTCCAGAATGGGAACGCTGCGTACAGCACAAACTCGGACATCAGCAACCCCAAGGGCTGGTCGGCGCCCAAGAACTTCTTCACGTCCCAGCCAGCGATTATCAGCCGTAACATCGGTAAAGGCAATTGGGTGGACATGTGGGTGATCTGTGACGCCTCCAACTGCCACCTCTTCTCATCCGACGACAACGGCCATCTTTATCGCAGCTCGACACCCGCTTCGCAATTCCCCAATGGGTTCGGCAATGGCGCCAACACAGTCATCGCTCTGCAGGACAGCAATCCATATGCCTTGTTCGAGGCATCAAATGTCTACACTGTCGGCACCAATCAATACCTTCTCATCGTCGAAGCTATCGGTAGCGGCGGCCGCTACTTTCGTTCCTGGACCGCAAGCAGCCTGTCTGGAAGCTGGACACCACTAGCAGCCAGCGAAAGCCAGCCGTTCGCAGGTGCCGCGAACGTCAAATTCAGTGGTACTCCGTGGACGAAGAGCATTAGTCATGGAGAAATGGTGCGCACGAATGTGGATCAGACCATGACGATTAGTCCGTGCAAGTTGAGGTATTTCTATCAGGGCTTAGATCCTACAAAGGACAATGGGGACTATAATAGCTTGCCGTACCGACTGGGTTTGCTAACACAAACGAACTCGGCTTGTTGAGGGCGACGGAGGCCTCCTTGGCTACACATCTTCATGGCAGATCGGGCTCAACCGACAGCAGCATATCTCTCTGCGCAATGTGAGGGCGTCAACTCTTTACTTTAGCTCATCTGAGTCTCTGGAGCTCGTTCGCCATCTTTCATTTCAGCGTCAAATCTGCTTCCAATCCCGCTTCGATCAATTCCTGAAGACTCTCTATTCCACTTCTGATCATCCTCAAACCCACCTTCAATCTTTCTTCGATCAATCTGAGAAGAGTCGCTACTTCTGATCATCAAGTCCACGTTCAGCTATCCTCTATTAACCAAAGACAATGACCAGAAGGCGGGTTTCGCCAAGTTCTCGTTGTCACTTGCTTACGGTCCATATGTTTGCAAGTGAGGCACCATGGCTGCCTTGTCGTTCCGGGCTACCAGACTGCACTTGAAGTGATCACAGGAAGTCTCCACTACTGCTGCGTCTATTTGTGTCTGCATCATCTGCCGGACCATTTTCCTTCGTGCCACCACATCGCTCAGCTTGGTCCTCTCGGTTTGTGGAAGTCATCGCTCACAATACTAAGCAACTTCCAAGGCGAGCAATTCTTTGCGAACGGTAGGTGAAGGACCTTCTGTACGCGATATCACTTCTGACAGATCGGACAGAGCCCTGCACAACTGATCATCGTCACAGCTCTGACGGGCGGTCATATCACAACGCCCTACGCCGTGTTTTCACGACTCAATCGAATCGGCCCTTGAGTCCGTCTCCGTTTGATCGTTCCGCATGTATGTCAACCTCTTGATATCTCCAATGACAAGACTAATGTGACGCAGGAAAGCGACTGATACGTTACGCAGCCATTCATCTGACGCAGAAGAGCAACTCATCCGACGTGACAAAGCGAGCCATTCCGACGCAAAAGACCGACTTATCAGATCCGCTTGAGCGACGCATTCGACGCTGTGTACCACATACATCGTATCCCGCTGTCTCAAGCCTCAATGATGACATCCAAACGCAAAGCAGAGAATGCCCCGTCCAGTCCCTTCGTGGGCTCCAAGAGGCAGAAGCATGGAAGTCCCAATTCTCTAGCTCTGGCGCCCGAGCCCCAGCCAGCATCCATATCTGTCGAACGTGCGGACTCCCCAGCCATACTTCAATCTGAGCCAGCGTCTACGTCAGTTCCACCAGCAGCCTCTCCAGCCATACATCGATCTGAGCTTGCTACCACGGTCGTCGAGTCAGCGGCCTCCCCAGCCAGATCACAAACCGTCAGGATTGTCGAGTCCGAGCCCATGCTCGATACGCGACCGCGAGGTACACTGTCTTTGTATGACACTTGTCTAGAACGCACCGCAAATGTCATGATCAACGAGCCAGCTTCATATGACATGATCTCTACACTACCTACCACAATCCAACAGGATCTATGGTCACTACTTCTGGACGATCGACGCGAGCGACAGACGACGGGCAAAGTGATTGAACAGATAAAGGCAGCACTACCATTGGCGGATTGGGACAAGGCTACGAGATACGATGACAACGTCAACTTTATCGAGGCCTACCCCCAGAGCTTCGATGAAGCCGAGCGTGGCGATGCGCCTTATGAGACTATGGTACGTCACTGGCGCCGCTTCTGGGACTCGGTCAATAACCTCCAACGCGACTCAGTCTTCAAGGATCCCGGCCGTGATGTGCACTTGGTTGAGAACTCGCTGGATTCCGTGGTAAGATATAGCATCTGTGCGAGCAAGACCACGGCCGACTCGCGAGGACTACAACGGCCATCAAACTGCTCACACATCCAACACTTTCTTTTGCGAGACCTCACCTCGCCTGAGCTTTTGAAGGAGCGAATGAAGGCCCTGGAAGATCTGCCAGGCTGTGTCTATGACAGTCAGGAGGTGCCTCCGGACGAGAATGGTTTTGGTGAAATCGGGGACAATTTCGATGATTTGGAATGCAGAGATTTCAAAGTGAGCATCATGGATGGGATTTCGATCAACTGCTACTTCACCGGCAACATGTACTCTCGGCGAAATGCAGAGGTTCATCTCAATGCGTTGCTCAGTCCGCTCGAGATGGTCTACGGTCGGCCGTGGTACAAGCGAGCCTTGGAAGGGCGACAATATGCGTTTGTGGTCCGCTACGGCAAGTTGCTGGACGATGCTGCTGTGTCTTGAGCGCGACAAAACAAGGGGCTTGGAGCATGCGCCTTGACCATGGCAAACGGCATTCGAGGAGGGCGCTGAGGGTCTGACAAGATGTCGCTGACCGTGTCGGTGGTCATGAGATGAGCCTCATTGGAGAGTCGTTTATCAGGAAAGATCATCGGAGATTTCTGCTGAGGTGGCCGCTGTGAGAATCTTCAAAAAGTGCACGGAAGCATGCACTGTGCGGGAGTCACTTTCATCGACTTCCGGCACACCATTCGAAAGGTCTTCATGAGGCTCAGACCCGTGAAGGTCGACCTGAATCAACAATTCGACTTCAGTTGGATTTCCGTTCTCAGTCAGATCTGCCTTATTGCCTTGTTGAATTGCGATATTCACGACTTCGAATTTGGTTCGACTGACAGTGACTACAGTTCCAATTCTCCGCGCTTGACCGGGCTATCATGTGTCATAATTCATACATAAATAGGGGTCAGTTGTTCTCGCGATCAGTTGGACTCCAGAGGCCGCCCCATCCAGACGATACTATCAACCGGCGACAATGCCGATCGTCGAAGCTGAACCCAAGCCTGACGCCCGATTAAAGGGCGCCAGGTCTCTGTTCCATATCTGCCTCGATCGCACCGCAGACATGCTCGACAAGCCAGACTCTCTGGATATATTCTCTACGTTAGACTGGAAGCTTCAGCAAGACCTGTTGACACACTTCTCGAACGATCGACGCAAGAGGCAAGACATTGAGCGACAGCAGTCGGTTGCCAAAGGCTCGGTGCCACCAATCGACTGGGAAAAGCAGATCGAGTTTGACCCCAACAAGAACTTCATTCATACTCACAAGGAGGACTTCGTCACCCAGGATGGGCGGGACTTCCTAGACTGGGTCCACGATGACGATGCTGCGAGCACATCTTTGCTGGTGAGGTACTGGTCTGACTTCCTCAGGTCGGTCAACTTGCTCAAGAGCACAGGGGTGCGAACGAAGGACTCGATCTATCACGAAAACGAAGTCTTGCTCACCGAGAACTCTCACGACTCTGTTATTCGTTATAGCGTATGCCATGAGTATTTTGAGGACGGTTGTACACACGACGAGCCCGAGCATCTTATACTGCATCAGCTCATCTCCGGTCAACTTCTCTTGAAGCGTATGAAGACTCTCAAGAATGCTCCTGGCTGCGAATATAACGAAGACTCGTATGAGCATCCTGATCGAATCTCATTGGCACATGGTGCTCTATTTGTGGGAGTCGACGAACACGATGTTTGGTGCAAATTCTGGGGCGATGTGGATTCAGTCAAAAGTGCAGAAGTTTATCTCAACGCTTTATTGAGTCGAATAGAAGAAGAAGGGCCATATGATGAAGTGGAACGGAGAGCAGCGTTTGCGAGGCGGTATGAGGAGGTCTTGCCGACTAGATTTCTGGAGCAGGGAGGGCGCTGAAGGTCTGTAACCTTTCAGCTATACAGTTTGTCGGGTTGAGATGAGCCTCACTTGAGCATCTGCCGAGGAGGAAGAGTGTGGCGTGAGTTCATGGCCAGGGGCGGCACGGGAGCAACTTAGAAGATGTCATGGCACGTCGAGCACATCATTAGGGACTCAACAGATAACGGCGTTCGTCACTTGATCATTGCAAATCTCAATGAGCATGGATGCCTTGTTGCCTGGGCTACGAAATTACACTCCATGCGGTAAGTTACAGTCGTTTTGAATTAAAGTCAACACGACAAGATCTTCACTGGCGGCAACCCAGTTGTGTCAAAGAGTATCCTGCCAATCCTTTCTTGTCTTTGCAACTTCATCGAATGATTTCCCAGTCCAGTCGTCGACAGAAAGCCGACTTCAGCGAGACCTTGATGACAGCGACAACAATGCCGACCGTCATAGCTGAGCCCAAACAGCTCGACGCGGGATCGAAGGGTGTGAGATCACTGGTCCAGATCTGTCTCGATGGCGCAGCAAATACCATGCATGCCGAGCCCGAATCACTCGAACTGTTCAACAAGCTAAACGAAGAGTGTCAACAAGACTTACTCAGCCACATCTTGGAGGATCGACAGGAGAGACAAGGACTTGTGGTTGAGGCTCTAAAGGCAAAAGCTGGACTTCCCTTGAGCGACTGGGAAAAACAGGCCGGGGTTGACAAAAATGCCGAGTACATCCGGACTCATGCTGAGAGCTTTGCGGATGACTACAAAGGTTCTGGCACGCGATACTGGCTCAGATTCTGTATCTTGGCTGACGAGATTGCCGAAAGATCAACCGCAGAAAAAACCGTTTACTACGATACCTTTGTCCGCCTGGTTGAGAATTCGACAGATTCTCTGATGCGATTCAGCGTATGTACGCACCTCAACGGGGTGCAACACCATTGTTCACATCCTCAACACTTCCACTTGCGGGACCTCATTTCACCACAGCTTCTGTGGGATCGCATGAGGAAGCTCGCAGAAGAACTAGACTGCGAGTCCGATTTGGTGGAATGGTATGAGGGCGACGAGGAGCCGCTGTGTGGAAACTAAATTACGGCAAGCTTGAGGTGACGGTCGACAACATGCTGCGCCCACGCATCGACTGCATAATGCGAGGTGGCGAATTCTCGCTTCGAGCCACAGAGTTCTTTCTCAACGCGTTGTTGAGTCCAATAGAAGAGCCGTGGGTCAAAAGTAGAGCAAGAGATGCCTTTGCAAGGCGATGTCTGAAAGTATTGCAGACATTCGCCAGCAAGTCAGCCGTCGAGTAATCAGTGCGCTCGCATTGCGAGCAGCTCTCCTGGCCTGCAAGCTCGACTCCAACCATCGGTCTCGGGGCCTATCGATGCAGATTTTGGTAGGCCGACTGAAAGGGCCATTGAAGACTTAAGAATCAATGCAAAATTGTGGTGATGTTCCAGATAGGGAAAGTAGCAGCCTGCATGCATAAGGTCGGAAGCTGTGGGCTCGAGGCCCCATGGCAGAAGACAGCGACGGTAGTCATGGGCGAGCTTGTAAGGACGGCCCTGGCTGAATCAGCTGGCAACAACCGCATGCAAGCCAGGTTATAGGAGCTTTCCAGGCACAACGGCGCCATCCTCATCAGCTGCCAGACCCACTCGAGGATGCACACACCCGCTTCAGCGAAAGACTCAGCAGCACAGGCGACAGCAGGCTATCAGGTTGGACTCTGCAATGCTGAGAAGCCGCTTCTCGAGTTCTGTAGATTGGTCAGACGATGGGCCCGCCTGAAAGAAGAGTTCAACGAGGATAACCACATCACCTGCCCAAGTGCTTCGCTCGTGGACACCGACATGACCTACAACAAAGCATCAGGCCACAAGTATCATGTACCGTACCAGCTGAGTCCAGGTCTGGTGAAGTCGCAATCCTGAATCCGTCTTCATGAAGGTCTAGTTGAAAACTATGATATGTTCTGGGCCTAATGAAATTGTTATATGCCGGGAGAATATGGCAACTGAGCACCGTCTCTGCAGAACGGCTCTCTCTCGTCCGATGACAGCGGTATTTGAATATGAGGTGCGCCGGGATGGTACTGCTGCCATTGTCGTAGCCATATGCAGATCTTCTCGACACTTCCACACTCGTCTTCATAGCGCGCCAGCCTCTTCCTACTCAATAATGCTGACGAGAAGTGTAGTTGCTGTCGCTCCCAGACCCGTCTCATCCGTTGTCTCCAGCACAACCTGGCACAGCTTCCCGGCAGGTGCACAACTCCAGCTTCGTGATCGGGACATGTCCATAGGCACTGCGTACAATCAGTCAATGCTCTTAAAAGGGAAGGAACTGGGGAATGCGAGTTCCGTCAAAGCGAATGTATGGCACCTGGTGTGGGCCAGGATTCGACTTACCATCATATCATTCTCTGGTAGGGTGCAGGAGCCAGAGCACGAGAGTTCACCGATTGAGGAATCTGAACGGCGGCGGAGGACCGTGGCTTGAGTGAGGCTTAGCGTGGATAGGATTGCGGTGGTGAGGATGGTCTTCATCTTGGATGGGCAGTAAGTTCGCTAATCGAGGCAATGGCTGTCTACCCTGAGGATCTTCGGAAGCAGTTGGCTGATTGTGATTGTCGTGTCGAGTGTGAAAGAGGTCAAGATTGATAACCAGGTATAGAGGAGAAGACGAGATCGCACAAAGGAGAGTGCATGTCCATCGTGACTGCCATCCAGAACCAGGTCTACCCGTCCGAAGCCTTCGATAAAGGCAGGCACACGTATATTTGGGTACCACAACTGGCAGTCACGACGGTCTACTCACTACAATCACTCGCTTACGAGATCAAGCCGACGTCTAAAGAGTCGACAACATGGTTGTGTAAGCCGAGCAGAGATGTAAGATGCCAACATCCTACGCAACTCCTGATCTTAGATTCTGAACAAAACGCGTGACGTCAACGCGTTTGCCTGATTGCCTTGAAACTGCCTTCTTCCTTTCCCCATTCGCCACCAGTCCAAGGTTACAACTGGCCCAGCTGTTCCTTCTGACAACTTCGCACTTCGTAGACCAGGTAGCGACAACTTCGACGCTACACTGGGTCTCCTTTACAGTAGGCTCCTTTCACTCTCTCGTCCCCAGGATGCCAATCAACACCATCCGCCTGAATCACCAAAAATCCTCCCACCCCAACGATCGCATAATCTTCATCAAACCCCTACCCCGCCCACCCACACAACAAGCCGAGCACGACATAGCCGACACGTTCCTCCGGGCCATCGCCGCACAATGCCTGCCAATCACCAAGAAGCATTGGCTTTCCGTCACTACCCTGGAAGAATACGAGCCGAATCGGGAGTTCATGGGCCGGAACTTCAACCATGGAGAATGTATCCAACTGGTGCTACGGTCTAAGTCTGGGGCATGGCTACCGTTCAACATGGTGCAGATGGTGATGATGCACGAATTGGCGCATAATGTTGAGATGAACCACAGTAAGCGGTTTTGGGCGAAGCGGAATGAGTTTGCGGGAGAGATGAGGGAGTTGTGGGCTAAGGGCTATACCGGGGAGGGGTTCTGGGGCAGTGGAAGGGTCATGGGGGATATGCATAGCGTCATGGGGAACAATGTGGTGGCGAGCGCAGAGATAGGCGATTTGCCGTTGTGTGGTGGGACGTATCGGAGTCGGCGGCGGAAGAGGAAGGTGGCAACAAATGCAGATGGGAAGGAGTTGTCTTGGAAGGAGAAGAAGGAGCGGAGGATTGAGAAGAAGTTTGGCAAGAATGGTGTAAGCTTAGGGACTGATGAGGACACGAGGATGGGGTATGAGATCGGGAAGGGACCGATAGGTGGGAACCCGAGGGTGGCGCAGAGTAAGCGTGGGCGGGAGTTGAGGGCTGCTGCTGCGCTGGCGAGGTTTGAGCAAAGTAAGCAGGCGGTGAAGGCCGAGCAGTCCGATCAGGAAGACGGTGTGCATAGCGATGACTATGAGGACGCTGATGCGGGGTTGGACGACGCGACCGATCGCGATGGCCGACGGCTCACTGATGCCAAAGGAGATTCCATGATCCGAGTCTGTGGCGACGAAGAGTCAGACGACATTCAAGTAAAGCAAGAGCTAGAAGAGCTCGAAGGACTCGAACGCTACTTCCCTCGAGTACGGCAATCCACCCCGTCCGGTCTGCAGGACGGATCTGCAGATCGAGAAGACGACGACAGGTCGAATGCCACAACCGAGACTGCCTCGCCCTCACCAAGTCCCGAATCGTCCAGCAGGCCATCGAAGCATGCATCAGACACTGCCCCTGACGACCACCAAACCGAAACAGTTGACCTGACAGTCAAGGACACAACAGACAACAGCGTTCGAGACGATCCTACCTCTGCCCAGCCAACAGTACCGCCGAGAACTTCATCAGACACAACCGTACCTCCCCACCATAACGAACTCGCCACGTCATCATCGGCAGCAGCAGCGGAAATACCCTGCCAGGTATGCTCACTGCTGAATTCACCGCTAGCGCCCACCTGTACAGCCTGCGGGCACGTGCTCGACAAGCGGAAAGATCCCAGATCATGGGGCTGCAGGTCAGACGTGTGCAAGGCTTCAGGGTATGTCAATGCGGGAGACGCGGGAGTTTGTGGTCTTTGCGGAAGCCGTCGATCTTCGCAATAGCAGATTCTGTGCATATAAGGGGTATCTCAGAAATGCTCTGCTGTCGTCGTCAATGACTGCTCGTTTGCTTGCTCGCTAATCATATCACCACGCTCGGATTCACGTTCAGGTCTGCACATGCTTCGTCAAACGCCGCTATGAATGCTTTTCTCACCAATTAGCGCGTCCAGTTCCCCCATACTTTTCGCATACATACTGCCACCATCCTCACCACAGCTCAGTACGGCACACAACCACCCTGCTCATGCAATCCCCAACACTCCTTCAATCCACACTGCCGCTCGCCACATCTCCGACACTTGACCCGGCCGAAATACCCACACACCCCACAGAACCATCGTCTGGGCCGTTGCTGGTCTGCTGGCAGAGGCGTCGCGCGTGCAGCAGCGTAAGAGAGAGGTGGCTCCGCGAGGAGGGCCGCGATGACTCGAGCGGAGGGTTTCGGTGGGAGATCGCGGGTCTTGAGCAGTGGATCGGTCGTAGGGGAGTCCGGTGGGACGGTCGGACGCTTGGCTGGGGTTTGTGATGCTGGCTGAGCGCTGTCGGTGCCGGTCATGGCAACATCGCCAAGGTCTTTCTCCTTCTTCACCGGTGTTGTAGCAGCAGCAGCAGCAGCAGGTGGAGGCGGCGCCTTCTTCTTTTTCTTCCTCGCCTCCGCCACCGCCGCAGCATATTGTGTATGGGCATTCGAGTTTGCATTCGTAGACAAGCCGCTGCCCCAAGTCCCCTGAAACCCTCCTCCACCAGCAGCAAGCGCCGCTTCTTCGTCGGCGAGGTAGTGACCAAAGTTGCGGTTGTAGCCCAATATCCTCTTGACATTCGTCGCTTTTTTGTTCGCTGCCGCTGCTGCCGTTGCGCTTCCTCCAGCAGCTGAACCGCCTGCAGCACTACCGCCCAATGAGGCAAAGGCGCCCTCAACCTTTGGAATGGCGACCGTCCCCGCAGAGTCCTTGTAATTCTCCCTCCCCAAATCCTTCAACCTCGCCTCAATAGCCTTCTGCTGCTTCCCCGTAACCTGTTGCGCTGCGCCGAACCTCGATCCCGCCACTGCGCCTGCCTGTTGCTGTACGACAGTGCCATCACTCCTCACGAGAGAGCCGCCACCAGTGTTTTGAGAGTCGACTAAGCGGACTACTGCTGCGCGTTTCCGTTTGCGCGAGTCGTTGTCGCCTGCGGCGAGGGAGCGGGAAGGTAGATTGGAGGCGGCGGAGGAGGCGTCCGGGACGTATGCCCAGCCGGGTTGGGCGGCGCGCGGGTTGTGGAGGGGGAGTTCTCGATCAGTGGCATCGTGATCGTTTTTCACTGCAGTGTCGAGGAAGGGTAGGCAGTAGCGTGGAGGACAACCATGGGCAGAGCTGGGATTGAGGCAATGGCGTTGGTTGAAGTAGGAAATGTGGAGAGCGAGATCTAGGGCACGATGTTGAGAAGAGATACGTAGTCAAGATGAAAGTGACAAGTTCAAGATGCGGAGCGGAGGGCGGGGAGGAAGGAAGAGGAGATGCTTGGCGTCACATGTCTACAATTCGAGGCAGCTCCTGACACACGTAATTGAAGTACTCTGAAGTTGCGATGATGAGATTTGGTGGACGGGATTCGGCCGTGAAGAGCGCGCTCGTAGTTATCACTCGAAGATGTGTTGCCGGAGGACCGTACGCTTGGAGGCGATACCGCGCTCGTGGCTTGATATACACTGAGTCGAGAAAGCTGGTAGCGAGCAGTCTGGTACTTGTAGCGGGTGGCGCATGCTTCTGACAGAGTCCTTGCTTCGACACAGCCCTTGCCCCTCCGCTTGCCAGCCCTAGGTCACTGCCACACTATCATCCCGTAGGTATACCACAATTATTTCCTTCATGCCCGGCTGCTGTTCTCTCATTTCCGCGGCGGTCCCTGCGCAATCTTGTTCTCCAGCTCGGTAACGTACGAGTGAATGCGCTGAACAGCGGCTTGCAGTGCCTGCAGGAGGTCTCATGTCAGCATTCTATCCATCCCGTAGCTTCATCTCAGATCGCACCCGGTCCTGCTGTGGGGCAACGCGCCATGTTCGATCCAAGAGGAAGGATAACATACGTAAATGTCCTCGGTCAACAGCTCATTCGACACTTTGTATTCCTCCAGGATGTAGTAGTAGACCGATGCGCCGGCGAGTGTTGAGCCGAGGAGGAAGCCGAATAGACTGGGCGAAGCACATGTTAGCTTCGTATCTTTCATATCCGCACAGTGTAGATGCTCCGCGCATGCCATCCCGGATGCACCACCGTGACATGGCTTGTGAAGTGTGCTTCCCGAGGACAACTAGCTGGTAGCTGGCCAGGTAGACTCACCCTCCTCTAAAAGCACCAACAGGCTTCTTCACCGGCACGACCGGCTGTACCTCAGCTAGCCTTCTCGTCGATGAACCAAAGGATCTTGTGAGGAATGGCGAAGGTGCTGTTCTGAGAGAGCGAGAGGCCGCGGTGAGTCGCGGCAGGAAGGCACGCGATGCCATCGTGCTTGTGTGTGGGAGGTGTGAATGTGAGGAAGTTGTGGGTGGTCAGTGACAGCTTCGAGATGCGGGCGACTCTACGGACGCTTGGTTGCGGAGGGTGCGACGACGGTAGTATTGATTGTGAAGGTGCTAATCGTGACCTTCTGCGCGAATTACTCTACAGAACGGAAGCAGCAACGGGTAGCAAGCAAGCAAAGCAGTGGTGGATTAGTCGGGTACGGTCGCAGCTACCCCGGATCTGTCCGATCGAGGTGATTGGCTGGGCAGGCACGCGCGCAGCTCGAGTCTTCAATGAGACCGGATGACTACCTCGAGAGCGTGGTCTTGGTTCAGACCGGGTGACATCTCGGGAGTCGCTGGATTGACCTCACGACGATGAATCTCTGCTACGCTCAGGCAGTGCCTATCTTCTTGGACAGTCTATTCTGCCTACGTCCCATGCTCATATCCACTCCTCGCCCTCAACCTTGGCCCCATCCAGTAAAATATCCAGGGAATCGGTGCCATCCCAAGCGCCACGAACCCCAGCAAACTTGTCGCCCATCCTACCCCCAGCTTCTCGTACATTTGCGTGACAAAAAGCGGGAAGGCCGCCGAGAGCGTGTATCTCGACAACGATGAAGCTCCAGCCGAAGAGGCTCCGTACTTCGATCCATAGACATCCAGCATGAAGAAGTTGCAAGGTACGTAGATGAGGATGCTGCCTAGCATTGCGACACCTTGGGCGACGACGGGGCTGAGCCAGTGTGTTCTGCCTGCGCTCCACGCGAACCAAAATAAAGCGACTGGCAAGACCAGACTGCCGTACAGGGCGGTGAAGAGCCTGTCTTCGGGAGGCAGCTTCTGATATTGCGCACCCAACTCTGGTCCGCCGCGAAGTCGACGTAGACGTGGTTGGTACAAGAACTTGTCAACTGCGATAAGCACGCATGGCGCAACGAGACAGCCCACGATCAGTCCTAAAAATGTCAAACCTTGAGCACTGGTCGAGAAGCCGTAGTAGTGCTGGAAGACCCATGGGCTGGCCACCACGAAGGTATACAGAAGCGCGAATTGGAAGCCGGTGTAAAGACAGATGAATCCGACTAGTGGCTCCGTGAGCAGCATATGCAGCGGCCGGAGAATAGTCGTCCTCATGAATTCCTTGAATGTTTCCGCCACTGTCCTTTGTGGTCCAGAAGGTCCCTCCACGCCTAGACGCTTCGCCAGTCGCTGCAAGATGATGGTCTTATAAGACTCCCGCAGATACAACGCCGGCGGATGGAAGACAGCAGAGATGATTAGAATAATCCACGCCGTCCACCGCCATCCTCTTTCCGCCACTGCAAACCCTCCGATGAGTGGCCCGATCGCCGAACCGATGAATGGTATCGTGTAGTAGAATGCAAGTGGGAACGCTCGTCTCTCAGGCTCGATGTAGTCCGCAATTGTGGCTGATGCAACAGACACGCCTGGGGCGGCAAACATGCCGGCAAGGAACCGACAGGCGATCAGAGACCCGATACTTTGCGAGAGGCCGAAGCCAAGCACGAATATGTCGAACAGCGGTAGCGTGAGTAGGTAGACAAACTTCCGTCCGAACGTCTCCGACAGTGGTGACGAGATCATCGGTCCAAATGCCAGGCCTAGTGAGTACGATGACAGAGGCAAAAGCGATACCGTGGTCGATACCCCAAACTCCCGCTTGACGTCTTCGTGACCGGGCGCATAGATCGAGGCTCCCATTGTGGTATTGAAGCCGATAAGACAGATCACTGCGGTCGAAATCACCTTCCGGGTTCGAGACCAGTTTCGTGCGTTGTCAGGATCATCTTCGCCGTTCCAATCCTTGCAGTCGCGGATAGTGGCAACCTCGCCGTCGATGTCCGCAAGCTTTGTCGTCATTATGCATTGTGCAAAGGAGGCATGGTGGTCTCAGAGCCGGCTCTGCGACTCCACGTGGTGCTCAAGCACAGCCATAACGCCCTGCTGCATACGCCATAGCTGCATCTAGTCACTGGTACGCAGAGGAAAAGAGGGAAGTTGTACGTATCGGAATTTCGGCATCGTCTTGGAGAGCCAACTCCGGACTCCAAAAGATCGGCGGACGAAGCCAAATCGAACGGCTCTTCCCGCCGGCGGGTCGTGTATGCATAAGGAAGTTTGTAGAATTTCAAAGTGACAGTGCCTGACGTGTGGAAGAGGATACAGAGGCAGTCCAGGAAGCCTCATTAGACGATTCGTTTATACCAACTTCGACCAGTCGATTTCTATCTGTGGGGTTTATCAAGTAAGCTTACGTTCCGGCCTCAGCATCCGACGAGAACAAATCCGCGATCAAATCCTCTCTGCACGCCGCTACGTCAGGGCCCTCCAGACTGTAAGTAGCTTCGAACGCACGAATGCTCAATTGCCTGTAGAACGGGCCGAGCGCGCTCGGCGATTGCATTCCAGCCAGCCATGGTCTCCGTAGGCCTGTTGTCGAAGTCGAAGGTTGCTGCGATTCGACGTGCTCGACTCCACTACCTCGCCGACTTTGGACCAGATCTGCCGCGGCGACACGGTCCAGGTCTGCTGGTGGATAGATAGCGTCGATCGTGTCGGTGACAAACAGCCATTTCCGTCGCTGAAATCCTCTTGGCTTTAGGAGCAATAGCAGGTCTAGCAATTTCGCCGCCTGCAGTTGTGTGTAGGGCGTCAAGGTGTTCACGCCGTTCATGTCCTCGAATACCTTTCTGAATTCTGAAATCAGATCTGGCCATATGGACATCAGGTTCTCCTCCGCCAGGGATAGCATCATCGCTCTGAACAGTAAGTAAATCTCTCCGCGCGTGGAGGACGACGGCGAGGTAGCCGGTGTTGCTGTGAGCAGCTCTTTGATCCTTGCGAGCATAAGGCCGACAATGCTAGCGTAAAAGTCTTGGTCATGAGCCATGAGCAGTAGACACAGCCGTCGAAGATTGGTCTTTGTGGTTTTATCCGCCTCCGCTCGAGCTGTTGAGGCACCCACGCCGAACATGATTCCTGCGGTCGCGGGCGCCACAAAGCGAGCGATGACCTCTGGAAAGATGTTCCGGTCTACGGAAGAAAGCTGTCGTACAATCGGGATCCAGCCAGTCTTTGCGACAGTGACAGAACTGTCAAATAGGCGTGCGTCGTTGAAGGCATCAATCAAATCCTTGCGCCAAACCTTGCTGTTGGCAGATGCCTTTGCTGTGACAAGGTAGAGGCTGAGAACATTGTTGTTCAATGTCTGCGGGAATGACCTTGACCGCAATGCTGGACCGGTAATATTTGCGCTGATGCCTTGAAAGACGGTCGATATTCGATCCCCTTCACTCAGGACTGGTGCCATAATTGGGAGCACACTCAAGAGGATGTCTACGCCCTTGCCAGCGTGAAGACGCGACGCGGATTTAGAAGGTGCTTCAGAGCCCTCATCCATACCACCGGGCTTGATTGTGAAGATAGCTGTAAACAGACGCGTGATCACATCAGCAAGCTCTCTTCGCATTCTTGTTTGCTCACCAAATGTGGTGTTTTCCATCTTGGCACACAGCGCCGCTTGGAAGTCCAGAAGTCGAAGCAATAGCTGTCTGTGTGGCATTGGATTGGCGAGCACGTCTCGCGTGAAGCTCAGACAATCGTTCCATATCTCTTCCAGCAGGTCATCTTCCAGTCTATTGACGTATTCCACGAGGAAAGCGACCAACTCTACCGCCGAGGCATCCACGGATAGTGTTGATCGTTGACCAGAGTCCAGTACGTTGGGATTGGTGCGGCTGTACAGGGCGTTGAATATCGCGGGAAGCATGAATTTGGGCCGTGCACCGTCCAGCGTCTGCAGTAGGTTGATAACCGTCCCAGGCTGAGTGGCCGATTTGGTCTTCTCCACCCAAATGCCCATCACAGTCTCCAGACATTCCTGTGGTTCGGCTTCGAAAAGGTGCTCCAGTATACGACGTGTTTTGGCACGCAGTCTGGAAGACATGTACGAGAATGACTTGGCATTAGACGATGGGCCAGTGGCTGATGTGGCCTGCCAGAACCACATCTGGCAACATACTTTGATCGCGTCCTGCATGCAAAGCACAACCGTGAGGCGGTGGTTGGCTAGTGTTCTCGATCGTCCAGCTCCAGTCCCTGATGGCTCCTGGCCGCCGGTGGAGGACGCCGGGCGTCCTGTCTCAACGATCTTGGTATGTGCTCTAGCTAGCACATACTCGAGGCCAGACAGGAGGTTGGTGATAGATCTCTCGGGGTCCTTCGCGAATGAATCCGGAGGTGCTTCCTGGGGCCTGAAACCTGTGCCAGAAAGTTGATGGCTCTCGACTCTCGGGTCGAACAGGTCCCTGTTCACGCTGAAGAAGGCTTGAATTCTGTTGCAGAAGCAGGCAGTCAATTTCAGAAGATTTGCAAAGAAGATTGCATCCGAATATGTCGGAATCGAATTGCAGAGCAGTGAAATCCACTTGTCGAGGTTCTTGTCGATCATTGGACTGGCAATGCCGCCCATGAGCACAGGCAGGAGATCAACTGGTGGGGCCGCGTCCGGTCTGTTGGACATCCAATTGTGCAGAGCGTCTAGAACTTTGCGCTGGAAGTTGCTGTCTGCTGTTGTTTTCGGCAATTGCGTTACAAAGACCTCAACGAGACGGTCACCCGACGAAGTGGCGGAGTCAGCCTGGGCTACTTTGTCGTCAAGGTCCTTGCGGGATCCAGGTAATGATCTCGGGTCTATCGCGTTGAATATGTCGACTGCTACTACAGCCGAACCTTCATCTGTCTGGTGCAGGACAAAGGCCTTTTCAGCGAGCTGCATGATATTTTCAACCAGATTCTGCCTCTTGTCTCTGACCAGAATCTGCTTCCCGGTCAACTCTTTCGAAAGCGTTGCAGAGCTTCGAGCGACTTGTACGAGCTGCCTCAATCGGTACAGATCCACGAGACTCTCTTCCTGGAGTGCCCCTCCCAGAAGGCCCACCTCATCGCCGTTTTGCAGTTTCTCTTCCTGAGAGATCTCTGCTTGAAGAATCTTCTCCCGAATCCTCGAGGCGCGCTCGTCAATGACTTTGAGAACCGCCTGGAAATGCAGGTCAAGGGACGACAATGCGCCGAGCCATGACACCCAAGCCGCATCGTGGATGGATCTGTCGACAATGAAAATGGCAGCTTGGTCAAGCAGAGCGGCTACCCGCGAATAGGACTCTTGGGATGATCCGTTCGTTGCTAGATCCCTTGGCACAGTCTTAGTATGCGCCCATAAAGTGCCAAAGTTGACCGACGGGTGATCTGCTGGGCCATGTGAGTCGTCCGCCAGCAGCTCCATCAACGTGCTATCAACCAACAGCTTGTCTGGACAGATTGCTTGCAGATTCCAGAAGAGCTCGACGCTCTCAACATGGTACTGCGGACTGGAAGGCTGCAAATACGCCCACCAGTTCCTTGCTAGCTTTGGGACAAGTTTCACTGCGAGCTCCTCGTCGGCGTGAGATATTGAGGGACCTCTCGTCAGGATATTCAGAAGCACAGAAACAGCGCTGGACAGTGCGAAATACTCTCTTTGAATCTGCAGGTCGAGCTCCGCCCACGCTTCAATGCTCGATACCAAGCCCGCATATCGGACGCGCGGGTCATATGGCAGGACACTGACCAAGCTACCAAATGCTGACACTAGATGGTCCAGAACAGCCAGGTCGGACAAGGAACGTAGTAGTGGACCGATGGCAGCGATGATCTCATTCGCAGCATAGACCAACGCGTCGTCAGGGGACACAATATCTTTCTTGTTGTCGAGGTAGGAATCCTTCAAAGCTGACACGATCGCTTTCGATGGAACCTTGGATGGAGTTTTCGACTTCTTGATCAGCTGTACAGGGACGAATGTGAGTACAGTGTCGAGAATCATCGCGATCTGTCTGACATGAGGACTATTGCCTGCTTCAAGCTCACGGGTACATATTGACGCGAGATATGCCGCTATGGCTGGAAGATGTGCTCGCCCTAGCTCTGTGTCGTCTAGTCCAAAATTGAGCACAATAAACTCGAGCAGATCCCACTCTGATGCTGAGATCAGCATGACGAAGTACTTTGCTAGACGACGTGGCTCAATGGAATCAAATAGGACATTGGCTGACCGGAAGACCTCATCGAAAGCCTCTTGTGTGGGAGCGCTGGTCTGATATTGCTTGAGGTTCGTGATAAGCTTCTGAAATAGACTGTCGACTACGGGACCTCCAATGGCGCTTCGGTCCATCAGCGATACGACTAAGCGATAAGGTCGGGCTCGTCGCACTGGGGCAATCGGCGATTGTCTAAGCATTCCATCAATTGCATCCGTCACAGCTTGAAGCCCAAAGTCAGCGTAGTGCGTCGATGTTGGCAGAGACTGTCGTCTTGGAGCATCGACCGGGCTTTTTGAGGGCATTGGGTCCCCATCGCCCTTTTCGTCGTTGCCGAAGAACCACGTCCAGAGACGTCTGCTCAGACTCATATCTCTCTTCAGCACTATCGACATTGCAGCCGATACGAGCACGACAAGATCGTTTTTAGATTCGGTCTTCTGTAATGTTGGACTGTTCAGTGGTAGATGAGTGACCAGAAGATCCAAAAAGCCTCTCTGTACCAATGGCTGCTCATCCTGTAGACCAGTAGCGAAACATCGGAAGAGAAGGCCGGGCTCCGGGGTGACCACATCCTCTACGGAAGTCGTTGAGGCGTTGCCGTTCCTCTGATGAGCACCGATCTTGGGTAGATATCTAACCATATACACCAAGGCTCCCACGCGAAGACCAGCATCTTCGATGGACACAAGGAATAGATTCTGCCAGAAAATGCCCTCTTCAGCCGATGCAGCGAACACCTCTCGGATCTTGTTGATCGTGCCGAGGATCTTATCGAAGTCTTCGCTGTTCTCTTCTTCTATGCCTGGTAGCAGCGATGATACGATTGCATTCAGCGCGAGCCGAAGCGTGTCTGGATGGAGACCCAGAATGTGATCGTCGTAGAGGGTCAAAAACCACGGTCTCGTTGCCAGAGATGCGAATGTGAGAGTGTCGGCAAAGCCAGGATGGTACAGCGGAAGATCCTTCGACAGTCCATCACGGCCAAGGATGCCAAAAATACAATCGTAGACCTCGAGGGCTTTCTGATGGACTCCGGCCGGCAGAGTCGGCGACAGACACTCGGCGAGGTACTTTGCGAGTACATCTTTCGAAGGGATATCAGAATCTGGAGGCGACGCCTGCAGAGCCTTCAGCAATCGACTGAGAAAGGCAATGTAGTCGGCCCATTCATTCTTGGCATCAAACAACGCGAGAGCCCTTTCTACCCCTGCCTGGTATCGTCGAAACGCTTTGGAATTGTCGGAGGCCATTTCATCTTCGCAACTTCCACGATGAAGACCGCCCTAGCAGTAAGTTTACGTTTGAGAATACATGATCACTTTATTGAAACTGGAAGGGATAGAACGAATTCAGTAGGCAGTCGCGATACACACTGTGCCAGGCGGTGGCTCCAGGCCGCCCTACTTTATCTACGGTAGCTTCAGAGAACTCCTGATGCATGCCAGTCTGATATCTCTGGATTCTAGAGACCTTCACGTTTTCGGCAACCCACTATGAACAAGCAGTAGTGCTGATGAGCCGCCATGCCTCCCACGCACGGCTCGACACCACTACATGCTGACGAAGGTGGGTGAAGTCGCTTGATTGACCGGTCGACCAGCCGGTCTCACCATTTCACCACCACATCGACCATGGCTCCCTCCAGCACAACAACTTCCACATCCGGCACGAGACCCTCATCGCCAGAGCGTGGAAGACCCTCTCTGCCGCCTCGCCCGAGTGAGCACGGTCTGCTGCAAAGTCGTCCTACCACAAGCCACCAGCAAGCCAGCAGTTTGCGACCAAGTCTTGCGAGCACGGCAACCACGGCTGTCTCCACGACCGATGTCAATACATATCACCGCCCAGACGGCACGCAAGAGGTGAAAGTCGTGCCTAGTCGTGGACAATCCTCTCGTTCGATATACAGATATGGCAGCAACAAGAACAGCGAGGTAGGCGAGGACACGAGCAGTATCAGAAGCTATCTGCCATTCCGTACAGCACGACAAGATTCCGAAAGTATTTTCGGAGGAGCTCTGGACGACGGCCTTCCTACTCTGATCAATGCGGATGACCAGGACTTCTTCCGCAACGAGGGTATGTATGAGGAGATTGATTTTCAGCACGAGTTCGAGAACATTGAGGACACCACGGACACAAGCGAAGAGCACGCCCAAGCACTGTGGAAGCAAAAGAAGAAGCACTACCTCATCCTCTCAGCCGCCGGCAAGCCCATATATACACGCCACGGCTCCGACCAGACCATCTCCAGCTATCTCGGTATCATCCAGACCATCATCTCGTCCTACGATGCAGCAGATGATCCACTCCGATCCTTCCAAGCCGGCCACGTCAAGTTCGTCATCCTCGCACAGACCAACCTCTTCCTCGTCGCGATCAGTGCTCTTTCCGAATCCGACGCCCAACTCCGCGCCCAGTTAGACGCGATGTACATGCAGATTCTATCAACACTGACTCTGCCACCTTACTCACATCTTCTCGGTCCGCCCCTCGACCGATCTCCGTCGGCCTCTGCAGGGCACCGAAGTGCTTCTCTCCTCCCTAGCCGACAGCTTCACCAAAGGCTCACCTTCCACCCTCCTGTCCGCCCTGGAGTGCCTCAAGATCCGCAAATCACACCGTAACGTCATCAACAGCACACTCGTCCGCGCTCGCGTCGATGATCTGCTGTACGGTCTCGTCGTTGCTGGCGGTCGCCTCGTCAGCGTCATCCGTCCCAAGAAGCACTCCTTACACCCAGGCGACCTGCAGCTCATCTTCAACATGCTTTTCGAGGCGGAAGCCATCAAGGCCGGTGGCGGCGACTCCTGGATCCCCATCTGCCTGCCCGGCTTCAACAAAACAGGCTACCTCTTCATGTATGTCAGCTACATCTCCACCTCAGGCGCTGTGGCCCGCGAGGTCGAAGTCGATGAGAAGATCGCCAAAGAGGACGCCGTAGCAATCATCCTCCTCAGCGCGAACAAAGAGTCCTTCGAGTCCATGCAAAGCATGAAGCGCTATCTTGTCCACGAATTCACTCGCACAGGCAGCATGCGCGTCATCCAGTCCGCCCTGCAAGCTGCGCGTCCGTCCCCAACGGACATCGTGCCCGGCACCGGCGTGCGGCACTTCCTCTTCAAGTCCCGCGGCAATGTCCAATTCTTCATGCCATCACTGTCTCCACACTACGACAACCTCAATCGCAGGAGACAGCTTATGACTATCTACCACCAGCTACATGCGAGCGTGCACGCGAAGCACGCAAGTGTAAAAGTGCACCACAGCGTCAGCTCGGTGGCAAGCGCACTGGCGTGGGTCACGCCTCTGTTTGAGCTGTACTGCGTGGCTGGCCCGACGATGGCGAGGAATGCGCTTGCGCAGAGTGCGAATAGGATCGTGCAGTGGGTGCAGCGGGAGGAGGAGAGGGTGTTCATCATTGGAGGCGCGGTCTTCTGATCGTGATTCTACGTGGCATAACAGACAGTAGGTAGGTGAGAGCTTGATGGAGTGTACACGACTGCGAACCAAACCGTCCACGGATGTCTGCCCAGGCAGCAACCTTCGCATGAGTTTCGTCCTTTCAAGAACGGTGTCCACGTTCAACGTGTCTGAAGCCTGGGCACTCGGGTCTTCTGAGGATCAAGTGACGGACACTAGAAGCACGTATAACGAGCATTGAAAAAGACAAAGAGCCCGTCTCTTTCCATCGACGTTCAACGAGCTTTATTGATTCTATTCAAGCCAAAACACTCACGCGTTCATGCCCCTTGAATCACTCAGTATCAACTCCGCAATCGGCTCCATAAGAGCCGCATCAATGCCCAGGCTCATCAGCTTCCCGGCCTTCACATTCGCAGCGCCTTTCCCGCCATCGTTGACAACGCTCCAGAGCTTGTCCTTTAGCGTGAACTCGGTCTGGTAGCTAAGCAGGAGTTCATTGATGTGAGCCTTGTGGTCGATGACGGACAGCTGAGGGTCGGGCCCGAGCTCGATCTCAATGTTATATTTCTCAGAGAACGCCTGGTAAGGACAGTCGACCTTCAGTGAAGGTAATTCAGGGTAGGTATACACATTGACCTTGGCATCGCTGGTAACATCCTTGCCGTTGATGCTGACTTTAAGTTGTTTCGGCTTTTCCGTCATAGATAGGAAGCGGAATGACCATGTCCTGCCGGTCACGGAGGCCGCCAATTTGCCCTCTGCTTGCTTCCACTGGATCAAGCTGCCTCGCTCGCCGCTTGCTGGAGCTTCTTTCTTGACCTGCTCACTGTCGTCCGCCGGGTCTTCAAGAATGCTGAATTGGCCATTCCGACCCACCACGACATACACCTCGAAGGCCTCCGGGTTGGCGGCGCCATTGCTTGGCTTGTGGTTTGCATCGAGTGGAACGATACTGCCTTCATGAGCCAGCACTGGTGCCTCGCCAAGCGGACGGTACAGGTTGAGCTCGCGGTCGCCATCGTACACCGTCCCAGTGAAGATATCCACAAACCTCCCAAGAGGCGGTAGCCACGCCTTTGTGACCGCCAGACCAGTTCTCTTGTCCCTTGGAGTCACGATCGGAGCCACTACCAGCTCGAAACCGAAGAAGTACTGATTCGGGACCTGATATGCCTCATGCCGCTGAGGGAAGTGCCAGTACATTGGTTGCACGAGCGGCTCGTCCAGGTTTGCTCCGTTCACATCTAGTGTGTAGAGGTACGGCAGCAGTCGATGTCTGAATCTCATCCAGTCCTCGATCACAACCTCACCCTCCTTGCGATAGTGCCACGGCTCCTTGCCCATCCACTGACTGCTAGTGCTGTGCAGACGCATGACTGGACTCAACACGCCCAATTGTACCCATCTGGTTACAAGCTCATCGTCTCGACTTCCGAACATATGTCCACCAATATCATGAGACCACCAGCCGTATCCAATATTGCTTGCTGTTGCAGTGAATTCCGGTTGGAACGCCAAAGACTCCCAAGTCGTGACCGTGTCGCCTGAGAAGCCGATCGGGTACCTGTGACTGCCTGGTCCCGCATATCGACTAAACACAACAGGATGCTTCCCATTGATTTCCCGATTATCCTCGAAGACGAAATGATTCAACACCCACAACGGATCAACCCCCGGCACCTTCGAAAAATTCCCCTGCTGCCAATCGATCCACCAGAAATCACAACCCATCCTCTCCAGGTCCCGATGGACAACATTAGAGTAGGCGTCCATGAACGCCTTACTCGTCGGATCGAACAAAATGGGCAACTTATCCTTAGTCTCATGCCCCAAAATCTTCGCCATTTCCTCATACACCTTCTCATGATGATGCACGCCCGAATGTGGATGATCATTCAGACTCATCTTCAACCCCCGCGAATGAATCTCTCTCCCAAACCTCTCAGGATCCGGAAATATACTCTCATCCCAAGTATACCCCGTCCAACCCGCGTGCGGCACGCGCTCGTCATACGTATAGTGCCAATCCATGTCGATCACCGCCACACTCAACGGCACGTCCCTCTTCTTAAAATCATCCATCAGCCCCAGATACTCCTTGTCATCATACCGATGGTACCGACTCCACCAATTCCCCAGCGCCCACCGCGGCACAACAGGCTGCTTCCCACTCAACTTGTAGAAATCCTTGATCGCGGCTTTATAATCCTTCCCGTACGCGAACAAGTACCCATCGACATACCCCGCCTCCCTTCCCTTCCTCCCCTTTACCCACCGATCCTTCCCCTCAGCATTATCAAACAACATACTCCCACTATCGTCGATCACCGCATATCCCAGCGTCGAACACACTCCAACCCCAAGCGCACACCGCCCATCAACCTCGTCCAACGTCCTCGCCGTCCCGCCCAAATTCCCGCTCCCGCCCTCCTTCGCTTCCTGCCCGTACCGCCACTGCGCGCCCCATAGCGTCGTCTTGCCTTTGATGTCTGCAAGCAACCCAGAGGGGCTGAACTCCTTGCCGTCGTAGTCCAAGTGTACGAAGTCAGTGATGATCTCGAATGCGCCGTCGGCGTTGTGCTTGAGCTTATGTGGGACGGCGTCGAAGGCGCCGCGGTTGATGGCGAAGGTCGATGCGCGGTCCTCGAACTCGCCGGCGATGGGGGAGTACTCGAAGCGGAGGAGTTGGGGGGTCAGGAGAGTGAAGCGGTGGTGGGAGGTGGGCGTGCCGCCGATTATGTTGGCTGGATTGGCGACTGGGTTGGGCTTGAATGCTGCCATTGTGATTGGGGTAGATGAGTGCTTTTGCTGCTGTGTGTTGTGTTGATCTAGTGTTGGAGTTGTGCTGTTGGCTCTTGTCGTGCTATGCTATCATCTCGGGCTGTATGCTTGATGTGCTTTATACCTAGGTATTGAGGCCTGTCCTCCCCGTGGACACTAAGTGACTCACACCTCGTCGTCGCTACACGTCTATACGCAAGGATCCCCCTCTTGAAGCCAATGAAGGTGAGCTCGAATACCACGACCGAAGATGTGCCACTCGCTTCGTCGTCACCACAAGTATCACGCCCTTGATGTCCTGGCCCTATGCCGGCAATAAATGTCTAAAATGCGGCAATCTATATTAACGCCGGGGACGAGAACAATGTAAATGACTTGAAGCTGCGAAGCCCCTGTACTTGGTTAACGACGTATTCGCACGACGTCACGCAATGAGCCAGTAGCAAAAACTCCGCCCTGTGCATGAAGCATACAGTTGTGGCCCTGCCGTCTCGGAGGATACTTCTTGATGTTGATCTCTTACCTCCGTGGGAAATGTCAAACGGTTGACTTGGCGCGCGGTGAGCAATGATTGCTCAAGCTCACTTCGTGACACGAAGCAGTCTGTGGATGGGTATTGGGCACCAGCGAACTTCATACTGACATCGAATGCCTAAACTGTCGAAGGTTGCGGCAAGTCCTCTGAATGCAGCATCCGTGCCTGGTGGAGGAGAACACTGACGTGCTTGATTACCCCCAATGCCTCCACACCCCCGCCGGTCGCTGGATATTTCGCCGAAACCGCTTGTTAGCGTAGCTACCTACAGTAGGACTACAATCGCTGATCCACTCAGTACATCCACACACAACAGAGGCCAATTGCATGGGCGGTCTTGAGGTAAAGGTCTCGAGGTCATAGAGCGAACAAGGGATCAGATGTTCAGTCGACGGTCAAATGTCAATGCTGATGCTCATGCTATGTCCTAATATCTGCTCTCGTACCATGAATCCGATCAAGAATCAGATCCTGGTTGTGTATACGGTGAAAGGTCTCTGGACAGTGCCAATATTCTGCGATCGCTCTTTCCGAGTCCATCGCCTGCCTGCCTAGTAGGTCGTAATAATGCCATAGTTGTAGAAGGTGCGACGCATAGCCATGACATGTTTCCTCCTCAATATCATCATGAAGGAGCAACTGTGTACTCCCTGACGCCTTGCACAATGCTTCAGACAACGCGAATCGCTGCAATGAAAGTTGAACCATAGACAAATCTCCCAGACACTTAATGCTTTTCGTGCTTGCGACTATCTTTGAGTCAAAATCGACTCGCCTGGCGTGGCTCTTTTGCCCATTATCTCCTTGATTTGACTGAGGAGATCCTGGATTGGAGCAGCCTTGTCAAGAAGTGATGCACCCCTCTCGAAGGGATTCAGCATGTGGCGAAGCTCCAATGTGGTGATACAAGTCTGTCAAAAATTAGTACTCTGTCACAGCTTTCAATTGGGGCAATCACTTACCTCAACGCGGGTCACCTGATGTTCCAAGAGGTTGACCATGAACGAGTCGCTGATATTGCCGCCAGCATTCTTCATGCGCGTCAGAAGACTGAGCTCCGGCTTATGCAGTGTTTGAGCCTTCTCTGGACTTTCCAGTGCGCTGCAAAGCATTTCCAGACGAAGTGCAACATCCCACAGTTTCCAGACTTCATCTACTTCCAAAGACAATTGGCTGTCGGCTCCCAAGCTACCTGGCTGTGTCTTCTCCTGACCATTATCGCCCATCTGCACTTGACTTTCGGCTCCAGGAGGCACATTGAGACGTCCGGCAAGCGAATGTGGGTACATGAGGTAGAGGTACTCCGGATTCTCGAGGCCTTTGAGCTTGCGCTCTCCCAGGTCTTTCACCTCGAAACCTTGACTGCTCAACTGGCGCAGCTCACGTCGGATCTGTACCCCCAAGGGATCGTCACTAACAGTATCCTGTGACCCGACCGAGTCGCGGCGTTCCTCTTCTGCGTATTGCTCCAGAGTACGCTGCACTTCCGCCACAAAGTCACTGCTGACACTGATTTGGCCACCGTCTGCGACCGCAGACACTCTAGCTGACTTGTTGACCATGGGTCCGAAGTAGTCCATACGACGCGTGATTGGATCTTGCTCGCACACTGGACGCCCCCAGTGGATGCCCATGCGCACGGAAAGACCCCTGTAGATGGTTTGGCCATCCGCGTCAAACTTTTCTTGACAATGCACGGTATCAAGGATCTCCGTTGGCCAGGGCAACTCCAGGAGATGACTCTGACAACTAAAGCACCACAAAAGCGCCGATGTGACTGTCGGAAACGCGGTCATGAATGCATCTCCTTCGGTCTTGACTTCATAGCCACCAATGATGCGCAGCTGTCTTCGCATGAGTTCATTGTGCATCATGATGGCCGATCGCATAGGCACAGGCAGAATCTCCCAGAGCGCAGTCGAATTCTTGATATCCGTGAAACAGATAGCGACGTCGCCCACAGGGGCGTCCGGCTCTTCCAAGCGAGCAAGTTTGGAGTCGCCAACCAGAGTTTCGCCTTTGCGACGATTCTTGCGCGAACTGGGAAAGATAGCACCCTCTTCACCACCAAGCTCTTTAGCCATCGACAAGCTGGTGCCTCGGAATCGGTTCTGGCCTCGTTTTCGGAGCTCCGAGATGCCCAGAACCATGACCATGATCTTGTCTCTTGCTCCAAAGGCGATCGCCAAATCACGCAGCTTCTGAGCACCGAGCATGAGATCACCTTTATCTGCGCGTGCAACATCGATGGCCAGGTCAACAGTTACAAAGTCCCAGAACTCGCGTGTCGCAATGACAATGATTTCGTCGCCCTCGCTCAATTGGCAGTGGAACAGGTGGGGCGATGCAATGACAGAAGGCATATGTCGATAGTATCCGAATGCCCTGCTCACCTCTAGCTCGTCATTCAATTTTCCTTGCTTCGAGACGTAGCCGCCAGCGTTGCGGATCCTCTCACGCTCCGATTTGGACGCAGGATCGTGTTTGAAGGTCAAGTCCACATGTTGACCACGAGAGTCGATCATGATGGCACATACATCACCAACATTGGCGACATACAGATCCGTTCCGTTGAGGTAGATTGCGGCGGCCGTGCACCCGGAGCCAACATCGTCCGGTCCAAGCACGTTGGCAATCGTCGAGCCCCTGTGCCCATTGGCTAATCTGTGCTCCCTGGCATCAAAGTTGCTGCTAGCAAAATTTGCCATGTCTTTGTTCAACGACAAGAATGCTCTTCTGAGACCGTCTTCTGGAGTGTCGCCAGCTTTATCGGCCCTAGAAAGCTCCTCCGCCAAGGTAGATGAGAAGTTCTCGTGCAGATACTTCGCGATCCTCGATCCTCCGCTGGTCATAGATTGACCATCGAAAAGACCGACCAGGATTTCCTGTTCATGGCCACGGTAGTTGGGCTTCAAGAGGTCTAACGTCGACAGGTGGTCATTTTTGCCGAGGGTATCGGCCATTCCGTACATGAGGGCGCCAGCTAAGGAGGCAGATGTTCGAACACGACGATCCTCGTTATCATCGGGAATCGTGTTGATGAGCAAGGTGACGTCCATCAAACCAAGCACTCGGAGGTATTTGAGCGTATTGAAGCTGGTGAGATCCTGAAACTCACTTCCGCTCATCGCGTTGAATTGATTCTGGTTTTGATGAGCTGCTGGCTTGATTTCCAGCCGCTTGTTTGCAGAGAAGTTGAGATACTTGAGATTCGTATTTCTGTTCCAGTTCCAATCGTATGGCCAGTTTGACACGTTGTACTTCAACGAATTGCTGCTGACATCTAATGTTGCCAGCTTGTGAACATTGCAAAGTTCTGCTGGAAGAACCTGAAAGCGATTGGCGTTCAGATGCAGACTTCTGAGGTTGCTACTTTCTTCGAGATCGTCGGAAGGTAGTGATGTAAGCTCATTCCCGGACAGGTAGAGCTCTTGTAGCTGAGGCCATCTTCGCAAGACGCCTTGAGGGAAGTCATCAAGCTCGTTATACGACAAATTGAGGGACCGCAGCTCTGGGAGCATGACAAGTTCCCTGAACACGTCGTCCTCGAGGCGGTTATCAGCTAAAGACAGATAACGTAGTGATCCAGCAAATGTGTTCTGCAGTCGCGCTTGGGACAAGTTCGAGTCCTTACGAGTGGTTGAGGCCATCGAGAACTCAGTATTCGTACGCGAAATCTGTGACATCTTCCTGTTCGGCTGGTTGTATATCGATGCCATCGAGTTCTTACGGCCAGATCCACCAGGCGAGCTTCCAACGCTGAGCATACCAGCAGATGCTTGGCTGGGTCTCCTGGCTTGAAAATCCTCCAGCTTGCCAAGTTCTTCGAAACTGGGCGAGTGCGACAATCCTGGAGTGACGGCGTTGTTACTATCAACTGGCGGCGGTGCAGCATTCTGCTTCGGGAATGACTCGAGCACGTTCGACGACACATTTAGCGTCTCGAGTTTTCTGCAGTACCATATTTCTGGCGGCAGTGCCTTGACATTGCATTCGCGTATGTTGAGGAGTTTGAGCTCAACGAGGCTGCCAATTGAAGGCGGTACTATGTTGAGTGGGTTCTTGGCCATGCTGAAGTACTCCAGCTTGGCCAATTTGCCGATCTGCGCAGACATGTTCGACAGATGATTTTTGTCCAGGTTCAGTCGCTGCAGGTTTGGCAGATATTCGAACATGGTCTCTTTGAATTCAACCAACTTTGCCGACGCAAGATTCAGATGGACTAACGATGGAAGCGGGCCTTCCAGCTCGAAGGTCGTCAGAGGATTATGATCGAGAACCAGCGTCTTCAACTGCTTGAACGTGCCTTTGAAGGTTGAAATGTTGTTGTGGCCCACATAAACCGAGTCTAGATTCGGCAGATCAGTTATGCTGTCGAGGTTAGTGATACCATTGAACCGGACATCGACCTCCTTGAGATTGACCAAGCTCCGGAACCCTTCGTTGAATGGACCTTTGAGCTCGTTGTTGGTTGCCCACAGCCGTTCGAGTGTCTTTAGCTGATCAATTTTCGGCAGATGAGACAGCTTATTGAAGCTGATATCGAGATCGACAAGAGATCGGAGACTACATATGTGCTCTGGGAAAGTGCTGAAGTTGTTGGACGACAGGTTCAAGCTTCGAAGCTGTCTGAACTGCGAGAAATTGATCGGCAAATCCGTCAACTTGTTGTTGGCCATCTTAAGGCTAGATAAGCTAACAAGCTTCTGTAGGTCAGCATGATCGAGCGACTCAATCCTGTTGTTCGAGACGTCCAGCACTGTCAACCTGCCGGCAGAAGCAAGACTGGAAGGCAGCTTCCACGACTCGTTCCCTGTGAATTTGATCTCACGTAGGTTGATACATGCCGTAATGAAGTCCTTCGGCACATTCAACGCCAGATTGCGTGAGATGTTGAGGGAGATAATCTCCGGTGCTTTGGTATAGAGAATGATGGGTATTGTTACGAGCGACTTGCCGGACAGATCGACATGGCTGAACTTCTGCATCTTGTTGAACGACGGATCGTTGTCAAGACCACTACCGTAGCCGGAATGCTTCTCGTGACTGAATGTGAAGCGGCAGAGGTAGCTGTTATCCTCACGACCCACGTCCTCGATGTGGTCTTTCTCACTGTAGCCAGCTTGAATCAGGAGCTTCTTCTGCATAGCGATAGGTCTTTCACCTTTCAGCAGCTCCCTCGATGTTTGATGCTTGCGAAGGAGAAGCTGATAGTTGTCTATCGAATCGTGAAGAACCGACTTCTTGGCCAGTGATTGCAGGACTTCACCAACAGTGGCGTTGATGTTCATCGAAAGGGTCGCGAATGTGCCGTCAGCCCGGAAGACTCGCATGAAGTACGACAGTCCGTCATCCTCTTCGATGGCAGGCAGACCCTCTTCGTTGACCTCAGGTAATCTACTGAGCACTTCGTCTTCCTGACCTTTCACAGCCCAGCTGTCAGGGGCATCCCAGGCTGGCGCTGTTAGCTCTGTGCTCGGAGTTGGCATGCCCTTGCCAGCCCAGATAATGTCTCCTCCCGGTGTTTCTGGAATCTGTGGTTTGCTAATGATATCTGACATATCGTCGAAATTGGTATCGAGGTTAAAGACGCCGGCCTGCATCGGTGCTTGCGTCGTGGGCGTCGTGACACTTTTCTGACTTATCTCACTCACAACACTAGGTCCCCTATTGCGACCGGGCCTGTGAAATCTGCTGGCTTTCGACGACGCTGTGAACGACCTATCAAGCTTTGGCATCACTGGATCAGCTGCAGCCTTGATTGTCGAAGCACTGTCGACGGACGCAACACTGGTCTCTCGGTCTCGCTGATCGAGAATGTTATTGCTGCCACCGCTCTTGTTCGAAAAGGTCCTATCTCGACTTTGAATGGGCTGAAGAGGTGGCAGATCGTTCGTTTGCTTTGGCGGAGGCTCTGGTGCGTGAGTGTGCTTATCTTTGACTCGCTTCAACTTTGAAAACAAGCCACGCTTCTCTTTCTCTGGCTGGGGAGCGGTTGCACTTCGAGGTGGTGCTGCAGGTCCAGACTGTGCTAGCTGCGTAGACGAGGTCATCGGCGTCAAATTGGTCGGCCTACTCTTTAATGCTGCGATGTGGTTTGCAGATGACTCCCGACTGGTGGAAGGTCGCTTGGGATCGGAAGGTGGGGCGAGTCTTTCCTTTGCGCCTTCCTCCTTACTCTTGGTATGTCGATGAAGCAGTCCCTTCCTGAATGACGATGTGCTTGAGTTTTCGGTGCCTGGAGTGTTCTGCGGGGATTCTGGTATTGGCTCCTGCCGTATGGGAGCAGAGCCGTACTTCGACACGTCCTCGAAATTCTGATAGTCCCATGGTGCAACATCCTTCGAGGGCGGTGCTGGCGTTCTTGGCCTGTCATCCTGTGTTTGTACTGAGTTGTTCCGCTTTGCTGAAGAGGCGTCTCCGTTCTGCGCTGTATCTGGGAGATTCGCATTCGAACCTTTCCTCGACTCGTTGAGATCTTCTCCAAAGAACTTTCCCAAATTCTTCTTCCGGCCATTTGCACCCCGCGAATCCGCGCTGCTGGCTGTGTTGGCGCTCGCTACAGATGGTCGCCGCTGTTCCCACTCGAAATCGTCGGAGAACGTGCTCTGGCTGGTGTCAGTCCTCCTGCCCGGGAACTGAGCCTCTCGTGGCGTTTGTTCAGAAAAGTACGAGGTGTTGAACGGCCTTGTCCCACCCATCTGACTCTGCGGATCGGCGGCCCATGGCGATATGTTCTCATCGTTCCCAGCTGGCTCCTCCCAGGGCGCTATCTGTGCGTTCTGTTGTTGAGCTCTCTGGTTCTGCTGTGCGGGTCCATCTTCTCCCAGTAAGGCCATGGCCTTCTTCGAGTGTGCATGAGGGAAAGGCTTCTGCCGCGGGAGCGGTGACACGCCATCGGAGTATTTCGACATTGTGGTTTGACTCACGATGCAGACCTGGTGAGGGTTGTCAGTATTGCTGTCTCAAATGCTTCTGAAAATGCAGGGAGACTGGATGCGAGTTGCAGAATTCTCGTCATGGTCGTTGAAAGCCGCATCGCACCCGGCCCAACGGCATGTGAACACAGGCTGAGCGAAGCCCGAGCGTCGAGTGAGCCGAGTACGGCCCGGTCGAGGGTGTATAGACTTCATACGAAATAGTGCGGCTTACCAGGTCCGCGCCCTGAGAATCGTCTGATAATTCAGACGGGCTGCGGTGCCAGGATCACGTCGCGTCCCGCGAGAGGTACGAGAGAGGTCGTGACCATAGTTCGTAAGCGCGCAGACGACGGTGGCGGAGGAAACTGTTGTCGCGCTTCGTTCGATTGACGTTGTCCGCGAATTTCGAACTCAAGATCTGGGCGCTGAGATCTAAGAATGAGCTTGAGCTGAGGTGGGCTGTGCCTGCGGGTTCGGCACGGTGCAGACGTCCCGGTCGCGGGTTAGGAGATGAGGCGGAGATGACTGCTATCTTCACTCTCACAAATGACTCAGCGCAGCCGCTATCTGCTCGCGGATGTATATGTCGTCGGTATATTCAAAAGTGCAAGAAGCAAGATCGCTGTTGCTGCCAGCGGCGATGACATGACATTGGAAATCAATCAATACAGTTCGATCAAGCAACGAACCGGCGCCATCATTGGCTCGGCCACCAGATCGTCTGGGCATGGAAAGGTTTACCTCCACATGGTCACCAAGCCTGGACCAAGCGCGCACTCTCCCCCGCTTTTGAGATGGTCGATGCGCACACAATGCAGGATTTGCTTGTGTAAAGCCAACCAATCTTCGCATCTGCTTGCCGTCTATGGGCTCATAGATCTGAGGAGCACGCAAGCGATGGGACCGTGTCTTTCTGTGTGCATGAAGGTGTGTAAGGTATATGGTATATTATAGTCGCATCAACATATGTACACACAATATCGACACAACATATAAACAGTATGTATACACCAAGCTCAGTCGAGCTCTGGCTTCATCAGAAGAATCATAAGTCGTGAAATACCCTCGGATCACTGTTGTGAAAAGAGCAACCGCGAAGTCCCTCGAAGTCCATCATGAAACTCCGACAGGGACGCTGGTCTTGTCCTTGTTACCGCCTTTGAACCACAATACATCCACTCCCGTAGTCCTGTCAAGCAACTTGGCACCGTCTGGCTGCGACCCCATCGAATTCCTGTTCGTCACTGTCGTTCGGACACTCTCAGTCGAATGCCGACGATTCGTTGCATTGGTGAGCAGATCTCTCAAGCCACTCATTGTGCTGATTCTACTGGTGCTGTGTCGTTTGGCAGCTTTAGCATTCGACCTCTCGCCCTCGAAGGCGCCTGCAGAGGCATAGTCCATCGTCACCATTGTGCGCCCAGACGGCGATGGCGGTACAGGCGCACTCTCGGGGCGGCCAAAGCGCTTGTGCGCGGGTAAGGGAGAGCTTCCAGATGTCGGGTGCTCCGACTCGGATGATGTAGCTGGGGTCTCTGACATCTGTGCGAGCATCGTCGCTATCACGTCCGTACTGAGCCGCACTGACTTGACGTTTGATCTCTCTGACTCCTCGATGCCCGGGCTGTTTGCCTCGACTGCAACCATTTTGCCATCTCTCTTGGCGAGCCGCAATCTCAACGGTTTGACGACGTTCTGCACGCTAGCTCGTTGCTTAGTGCCCTGCGAAGCCGTCACTCCTGTCGACTTTAATATCTCCACCTGTCCCAGCGTTCCCTCTTTCTTCAGAGCTTCAGTCCGCTTCAGCGCCTCCTCCTTCTTAATTGCCTCTTCTTTCTCCCTGGCCTGCACACGAGCCTTGTGCAACTGTGTCCTCGTCTCCTTGGTTGGAGGCGCATTCACCTTGATGGCGATCGCAGATGCTCTTGACGGTAAGATGAAGTGCGCTGCGGGCAGCGCCTCCATTTCCGCCAACGAGCCCACAGTCTCACGATTCTGCTGCCCGTATAACGAGTCCCGGGGCACTTCAGCTTCGAGCTCGGCGACAAATCTCTTTTGCGTGGGAGTCTCGGTAGTCGTTGGCGAGGCTAGAGCTGCGTTGTCCTCGATCTTCGAGCGTTCTTGGGTTGCGGCCGCTTCGGAAGTTGATTCATTAAATATTGGCCCCTCTCCAGGAGTATAGAATGCCTCTTCTGGTTCCGGCGAAGCTGCTTGCTCTACAACAGATTCTGACGCTGCGGATTCAGGATGATTCGCTAGAGCAGCGACGACAGTCTCCGGGAGATCGATGCCGGAGATGAATTTGGTCCTTGTGCTTAGATCGGCCTCGTTGAATTTGGACCTCTTACTCGAATCGGGCTCTTCAATCATGATGGTCGGCAAGTCCGCTGGGGTCGCATCTTCACCGTCGTACTGGCTGTTGGCAACCTCTGGACCTGGCTCGCCAATACTCGAAAGCAGGCCCATGCTTGACCTTGAGTCCTGAATTCGGTGATGCGTGTTGACTTCGCGACGATGATTCTCATTTGCAGCGGGTAGCTCCACTGGTAGCGGCGGCGGCGTTGCCATTGACATCACTGTGGGATGCGAATTCAGTCCTGGGCTAGAGATGACTGGAGTGCGGGAGCCCGTGTCAACAGACTCAGCGTCAACAATGACGGGTGAGCGCTGTGCGCTCGAGGGAGTGCTCTTGTCAGGCGTCACCACGGCGGATTGAGGCTTGGATACGTCCACAGGCACAAGTGTGATTGACGATCCCCGAATATGAGCAGAAAAGTAATCGCCATCGCTGGTGTGCGGCGACTCTTGCTTAACTGTTGCTACTTGTGGTGATTTCAGTATCGGCGGGGTATGTTGGATCTTGAGCAGATCACTCAGTGCTTTGGGGTAGTAGATGCTCGATATTCGATGGTCATCGATGTTCGGTTTCAGACCCAAAGTGTAACTTAGACGGTTGTTCTTCGAAACTGGAGCGGCTCGAAGGGCTTCGTGGGGCACATCTGCTGGTAGCTCGACTGGCGTACTATCAACATGATGCTGCCTGATAGTCGGAGTCTGCTGTTGCATAGCCTGCTCATCGGCTTCTTCATGCGATGGATTCGCAATGCTGGACAGGACGTGGATCGGTGTCTGTCGTCCCGAGTATGGTCGAGATTGTGCTGAACTAGCGGAAGACCGATCCTGACTCGCATTAGAGAAAGGGCTGGAGACATCCCTCAGCACATTAGAATTTCTCGAGGACTCTCGAGTTGCGCTGCGTCGACCTGGAGCGACAGGTAATGGCTTGGCAGAATTCCTCGAGCCAACAGCGGTGTGGGCGATAGAGGCCATTGAACCTTGCGACATCACGAGCTGATGCCTGCTCGCAGCTGCAGCTCGCTTTTCCATCTCACTTACAATCTCCATGAGCTTCTTGAGAGTGCCGCCAACCTTGTTACCTTGCAGATGTAGGTCCATGAAAGCCCGTTTCCAACCCTCGACATTGCCGAGCATGGCAACGTAGACAGCTTCATGTTCTGGAGAATCCCTTTGCCATGTTCGCGCGAGACCGGAAAGATATGTGTCCAGTACATTCGTCGCGTCGAAGCCCTTCTGCACGTCTTTCATGGAGTCTTTCAACGCTTTCTTGGTTCGCGAAACAATGTGCTCGATTTTCTCATTTCCGTCGAGAATGGATGCTCTGAATGTCCGATCCTCGAGCATGCGGTCGAAGACCTCGCCATGCTGTAGCGGTAGTTTGAGGCATCGCAGCCGTTCATACATATCGCTGTACGCGAGATCGAAATCCTCCGCTGTGCGTTCCAGGACATGGTCGATATCGTCCACATGGTTTTGGAGAATCTTCATAACTTCATCCTCCGATTTCGCAAGATTTCTCGCCAACAGATGCAGACCAAATGTCATCTGCGCGACCAACTTCCATATTGGATGATAGTTCTCCCCTGGCTTTTGCTTCCATCTTCCCGCAATGATTCGTTCGTATGTCGGGCCTTCTAGGAGTATTGTACGCCGAGAGACTGCATCAATTGGTACGTCAAAGTCTGCGGCACTGTCAACAGACTCTACCATCGACTCCTCGAAAGGACCTTGCAAGGTTGGCACCGGATGAGAAGGCGGTCTGACGTAGACCTCCTGCTCGGAGCCATCGCTCGCGATAGACATGAGGTGTACAGACGTGTACAATAGATGGTCAAGTCCGAGTGATCATCGTCACGAAACGACGCTCCTGTCTGCCAGTGGGTCTCGCCCGGTGTGCCACTATCGCTGATCTCGTGAGTCGTCTCGTGCTGTGCCCGCGTTGTATTAGCCAGCGATGCCTTGATCGCGTGATAGCAAGGCCAGAGAGCCACGCGGGTATATGTGGTCGTTTAGTATGTGTGGAAGTCGGACTGTAGATCATCAGAGCACAACGCAGTCTGGCGGTCAGTCTTCGAAGGATAAGGGGAACACAAGCAGCAATAAATGAAGCGGAGACAGGCCGATCAGCGAAGCTTTGCTCGTGCAGGGAATTGAAATCGTCTTCCCAGTCAGGGGCTATGGGGCGGACAAGCCACGATTCGAGAACTTCCACTGGGCATTACCTTCAACATCGGTGACCATCTCAGCTCTGTACAGCTGGCGGACGTCCGGTGCCCCATTACACTCCTAGAGAGAGACGCGACACGATGCTTGTAGCCATATGAGAGCATAGCTGAGAAAGACTGCTCTCGAAACTGCGTTTCCCGATGTCCAAAAGCTCCGAGCTTGAGGCTGGGGATTTGAAACGTAAAAGCCCTGCCGGAAACCCAATTTAGCACCAGACCCGCTTAAGAATTCCGCGATCAGTGCAGGTGCCTGGCCGTGCGGGCAGCCCTAGCAAAGATCCCGGAAGCAGTAGGCCAGGGAGATGCAGGCCGGAACCACACTAATGCTGCTCAGATTCTTGCAGGTTCTTGTGGCGAGGCATGCCGACCTCATGCTGTACACGCGACCAATCTGGGTTTGCAATATTATCTGGCTTGTCGTTGTACCGTTCCTCCTCCATCTCAGATCAAGTCTTGAAGCTCATGTCCACGAAAGGGCGTGCGTTGCAGGACTATGGGGTAATATATTCCATCGAGTTCGATAAACCCCCAACCTTTCCCCCACGGCATCCCACCTCAGTGAGTCGAATATAAATGTGCAGAATCGTGAAGAGTGCATCTTCGCCTGCGATAGCGAGATATGTGCGCGGCGAATCGTTAACGTGATATCTTCTGAAACCCTCGACATGTCGCTTTCATCAGTGCCTTCCGTTAAGGAATTGAAGGCTTGTTACCAGGCAAGCGCATCAAAGATCTGCCCGCGCCGTCTGCCGTTCTCGACATTGCCAAAGTCAAGCAGAATGCCAAACTCATGCTCGATGCTGTACGAGAACTGAGCTTCAGCTTCCGAGCACACGTGAAGACTCACAAGACCCAAGAGCTCACTCGTTTTCAAGTCGGTCAGGAAAGTAAAGATGCTCGAATAATTGTCTCGACAGTTGCGGAGGCTGAGTTCATGACACCGGTTCTGCTTGAGTACAAGCAGAAAGGAGCGAAGGTGAACCTCTTATATGGGATTCCTCCTGGGCCATCGTCGGTTGAGCGCCTGGCAGCGCTCGGTAAGCAGTTGGGAGAAGGGGGATTCACATTCATGATCGACCATCCTGCTCAGTTCGTGGTCTTGAGACGGTTCAAGGAGCTGACAGGATTCGCTGCTGGTGCATTTCTGAAGACTGACGCTGGTCAACACCGAGCTGGACTCGAACCACAGACGGAGGAAATGGTGCGACTCGTCGACGAAGTTGCCGGTCTTGAAGACGAAGGCATCGTGAGACTCGTAGGATTCTATACCCACAACAGCAACAGCTATGGCGGATCGTCCCCCGATGAAGCCATGGCTTATCTTCAGCAAGAAGTGGACGCATGCAGGGCAGCGTCGAAGAACCTGAAGAAGGAGCGGTCGGGACCTCTGATCATCAGCGTCGGCGCTTCACCCACAGCACTCTCAATCCAAAACATCCTGCCATCTGGCGCACCGAGCTCGTCCTCGGCCAAGTCGTTGCAGGAAGCCTTGCAATTGACCACGTCGAACTTCGAGCTCGAAATCCATGCGGGCGTTTACCCGTTGTTCGACATGCAACAGGTTTCTGCTCAAAGCAGGTCCTTCACATCTGATCCGCACGACGCCATTGGCATAAGCGTGCTTGCCGAGGTCTGCTCTGTATATCCCAAACGCCTGTCTCATCCCGAGGCCTTGATCTCAGCAGGCTGCTTGGCATTGGCGCGAGAGCCATGCAAAGACTACCCTGGCCAGGGTGTGGTCACTAGCTGGGCCATGCCCTCGACTTACAACACAACAAAAGAAGGCCGTTTGATTGTGAAGCGCATCAGTCAAGAGCACGGTATTATCGGGTATGAGAACGAGTCTTATTCAGATGAGCTGCCAGTCGAATATGGTCAGAAGATTCGGATATGGCCAAATCATGCATGCATCACCATGGCTATGTATGAAACGTATTTTGTTGTCGATTCGGACACATTAGACCCGGATAACGTGGTTGATGTGTTTGCTAGCTGTCGCGGGTGGTGACAGATCAGATGCAGGTAGCCAACGACAGGCATGGTTTTCTGGAGTGACTGCTTGTCAGTACCTACTCCCCATGGAAATACCTTATGTATTATTCGAAGCGAAACGTTGTTCACAAATCTGCCTCCGAGATACCAGGCACGCATTTGGGAGTGTAGTGCAGTGGTTAGCACGTTTGTAAGTACCCATCTTATTCGGGCGGCGACAACGACCAATCTCTTGCTTCTGATCCCTCCTACCACACCTTGCCACTAACAAGAGAGGCAGCGTTGTGGAATTCCATGTATGAAAGCCGAAGAGACCTCAGTTCAAATCTGGGCAATCCCACAAGTACTCACTTTTTGCACATCTGCTCCTCGTTTATGGCTTGCAACGATCATGGTTTTGGGCAAGGCAAAGAAGCGAGTTGCAGACTCACACTGAGGCAGCAGCACACGACAGGCATGCGTGCAGTAATTCGCTCCTGCCAATAAAACCATGGGCGTCAATCGGCTTGATGGAGGAGTGGCTCTGTAGAGTCCTCCGTGTTGTTTGATAACGTCATCATAACAAATTGTCGAGTTCATCACTCACGTGCGTACAGCGTATATACGTTGCGACTTCCCAGCGATGTGCACCGTAGCCTTGGTCATTGGGTGATTTGCTTCGTAGCCATGCCTATTGGTTCGCTTTGGTTCTAAGGCGTGGCGACGGCGATGGTGGCGGACATGATGCCGGGTATATTCAGGATACTGTCATAGTTGTCAACATAACGCCACCGTCGATAGAGCCAGCGAAAGGTCGAGAAGGTCTACGTTCGGGCAGTGCTCATCATTCCAAGACTGAAGACGATGATGTGTCACACTGCTCATGTGACAAAGCGGTCGTTTTGAGTCGGCAGCGCCCCTGACGAGTGGCCACTCACACGCGTCGGCAGATCAGACCCATCGCCGCGGCATCTGGAAAGTGGAGTGCGTGGCCCCCCGAAGCCCTGACCATAACCAGATATCCGGGGCACATTTGGCATTCAAATGTCTTGGATGTGGACTAGCCTGGGCCTCTGATCACATGCCTGGATGGACTTGCTGCGCCGATAATACGCTTGTGCTTTCTACTTTCCCACCTCATCTTTTCGAGTCAGGATGGTGCGCGAAGATCGCTGTAGCTGCTGAAGGCAAAAGAAATGTGTGTCAGCTGGTCGAGCTGCGTCCTCATCCGCACCATGACCGATGGCAAGCACCAACGACAATGTCGCGTTCTCAGCCAAGTATTTGGCAACCGGAGGCAAAGTTTGGGCAGACCCAGCTTGTTGGGGTGGCTTATCTTCTTACGCTGACCATGCAGCAACACGTGCCACAGTTAGCGAAGTCAATGTATGTAACATAATCGTTGGCTTAGCTCCGGGTGGAACACGGCTGAGTCGTTTCCTCAGGCTAATACTTGTAATATTGAGCAGGTGACCTGTGAGAAGGGCCTTCTCTGGTTGCTTTTCCCACTCCCACGAAGAATCAAGTTCTGTGTTGGCCCGAATGAAAGTCGTTCAACTTGGGAGGTGGCGAAGAATCAATATGTGCATTTGCAGAAAAATCACGTCTACCATGTATTTGATTCGCGTGAGATATCGGAGTGGATGGCGAGTGAAATCGATGAAAGCGGTAGGGATAAAGGTGGTTGGGCGCCATGTGCTTTGGGGTCAGCTCCTTTGGGCGGTGAAAGCTCTGGGCTCGGAAGGCGCGACCAAAACGGAGCCTGTAAAGCCTTTTACCGGTCATTTACTCCAGATTATCCCTCCCCTTCGATCCTTGCTATGACCGGTGGGCTGTGGCCGTCGTCCGCTATAGTTCTAGACAAGCCGGCCCTCCTTCCAACCTTGAACCTGATTGCTACGTATACTCGCCAACACCCTGCTACACCTCCGAAGCCCATATTCGACGCTTCTCAACACCGCTACTTCCACCCGAACGACTATACATCCGACTTTCACGCATCTATCACCCTACGACGTCGTTATTGAGTCGCGACAGCTCGAATTCGCGATTTAAGGTACCCCTGCGACCGGATTTTTAGTGATCTACATCGCATTTGCGCAATCACCCATTATATCATCCTCCGCCGGAACTGTTGACCGCGGTCAATTCACGCTTCCCTTGCGCCGGCGCCAGTACTACTTCTTGATCTGTGATCGCTGGACCCGACATATTTGGTAGGCGCACATCTCATCGTGGGCAACTCACAAGATGCCGTCGCGCTTGCAAGCGCCAGTCCTGACGCTCGATGCGGCAAAGATGCAAGAGGTGGATCCCAGGAACATTGAATCGCTTTTTGGGATGTGGACTGTGTTCAACAAATGCTCGCAAAATATAAAGGACGGATCGAGGCTAGAGAATTTGAGCTGGAGGTTATGGGCTCGAGAGACGCTTTGCTGTCCGCCGCAACCCGAAAAGACTATCGTGCCAGCTATCGATGTACCTGCGGGTCGAACGAGTCAGGTGCCGTCACTCTCGAATTCATACGAATCGGAGGACGACAGCTCTAGCGATCGCGAAAATGAGACGACACCGCGGAGCAGGCGGCATACGCCTCCTCAGGACGCCGATGACAGTGCGCTGTCGAAATCGCGAGGGAAGGAAGTTCACCTGTCTCCCACCACATTGAAGAAGATCGTAGTACACATACAGGAGAAGTCCGAGCTAGGCCCATTGTCGCCCACCATAGAAGCGTCGATTCCGCCGATTCCGGAGACAATTGCGGTCCCCAAAGATGCCGAAATTGACAGCAAAGAAATGCAGAACTCTACAGAGTCATGCATGTCCGGGACCACTGCGGTCACTGGCAGCACTAGCACTACCCAAAGAAGCGATCATCGCACTTCGGAATCGTCTGTTTCATCGGCCGATTTGATACCGGCTGACGGATTGATACGCACCGGTTCAGTGGTTCATGGCTTTTCGCCAGTGTCGACTTCGTTCAAGGGGAAGTCCACGACTGCCTTGCCAGTGCCTTCCAGCAGACTTGCCGTGTCCCCAGCGAAGAAGACCGGCATGTTCCAGCTTGGCGCCTCGTCAGAAGATGATGATAGCTCCTTCGAACACAGACCATCGGCACTCAAACCGCCACCAGCCCGCAGCTCCCTGTCGCACAGTTTGACACGTCGACAAATATCGAATGGATCTAGCAAGAAGCAGACCTCATTCCGGGAAATTCTAGAGCAACACAAACGTGATTCAGACGCTGATGATCAGGCAGACGAAGGCGCCATTGCATCTGATAGTGATGACTCTGTCTTCGAAGAGGACGAAGAAGAAGACTGGGAAGACACGCCATCCGAGGACGAGAAGCTGGTAGCCAACGCACTGACAACCTTTCGCAGGGTCGAGAGCAGGCCCGATCTTGTGTCACGGCCAAGCATGCTTAGTATGCAGATTGAGCAACGGAGGCGCGCTTCCTCTGGACTGCAGAACGAGATCTCACATTCTCAACCTGCACTACGACGATCAAGAGTCTCGACACCGAACGGTCCATCAATGCCTGGGTCGCCGAGTGATCACGATGATGAAGGGGGCCTAATGATGCGAGGAGCTCCTACACAAGCCCGTCCCATCGTCATTACACAGCCATCATCACAATCAATGGCTCATTCACCGAGGACGACCCGACGGAATATGCTGTCCACGGAATTGACAGAGTCGTTACGGAAGCATCTTCTGTGGGAACGGCAGCAGAAATCTCAAGCAGTCAATGCATTTGTTAGACGCAATCGCAATGCTCAGAGTATGGCGAATCTGCAGACTGCTGCCCTGCAACCCCCTCAGCCAGACAGGAGCAACAATTCATGGAACCAGGAATTCGAAAACCCCTGGGAGTTCAATAACAGGGGATGGTGAGCGGCATGTGTAGGCTTGGCTTGTGCCATTCCAGCGTCATCTACTCACGAACACCCTCTCAAGTGCTATCGCACTATACCAAGGAGAAATAATGTGTTCACGGTCTATATTAGATGTCGAGATTAGAGCTCCGTCTGTTAACGATGGCGTTCCCCAAAAAGCGCGCCTGGCGGCATCAAATGGCACGTGGGGCAGGCTATGTGCCGTGTACAAGGGAAGGCGCGTCTACGGCAGAAGCGCCAGGTCGACGAAGTCCTGTCAGCCAGTCGCGAGTTGTCGGAGCGGCGACACTTGTACAGTACTGATCAAAGTTGACACCGTTGAGATATATCTGTGCAAAATAATGACAAATGAATTTAATTCTGCCGGTCTCAACTTCGCGATGTGTGCCTTCGCAAGCAACGGAAGCAAGTACTCCGGACAGGTCATACGACCAGCTGATTTTGAAGCTTCAGCATTGCATCGCCGACCGTGAGCCACGGCCGGTTCAGAATCGGTCTGTGCGAAAGAAGTACCGTCTCCGAAACAGATAGGTAGACGAGACGTCAGGTCAGTGCTATTTAACCCGGCCCAGATCTTGTCTTGTACGCGCTCGTGACCACAATGTTTCGGCCATCAGGACCGCGAGGAGTTACATGATCTCTTCCGAGAAGGCGACGAGGTGACCGTACTCCAGAGAGGCTTGGCTTTGCACGTGTGTCTCGCGTCTTCACATGGGACGAAAATTCTCCTGCTGAGTAATTGTTCTAGAATTGTTCGCTGCGCTGCTTTCTTCGAAGCACGCGACGTTCGAATTGAGGATCGAAGCTGAGATGGTGAGAATCGTCTGCCCAGAAGAAGCAATGCAGTACCGCGGGGAAGCGCATCAGATCTGGTACCTACACATGTGGCAGATCAGAGCTGCATTGCAGATTCGACTTGAGTGCTTGGGCATGAATCTAGGCCACCTCTCAATGTCGACTCTCAGCAGATCAAATTGCTGGTCGACACCGCCAAATCACTGGCGTTGTGGTCCTCAAGGCGCTCATGAGGAATATTCGTCGTAATGCCCCTTCAAACTAGTATTATTTTATATGTGTTGAAGATGAACAGTCTCGTGCAATATTTTTGCGGCACATGGTTCTTTCTGGGGTTTCCCTCTCGCCAACGCATCTCGCGCATGGCAAACCCAAGCTCACGGTTTTGGCCTGCCCAGGAGAGGTAGCAGCATTGCCGCGGCCGGGAAACAGCGATGGTCCTGACACTCTCACAGAAATGCGCTCCCAACATACGACCTCGTCGAGGACACAGAAGTCCTCCATGATGGAACGGCTGTTATGCCTAGTACGAAGGTTACAGGCACAACGTCTTTTGATCTAACTCCAGCAACGGTGGGTCAGCGGAATCAACGCCGGTCCCTCCGCATTCAGCCGCGACGTGTTTACCGAGCATGCCTCAGGCCGGCAGGTTCTCTGACTACGTTGCAAGTGACTTGCTACAAAACTCTACACGCGACGCTGGTTGACCTACCACTACCACCCTACACTGCGCCCAATCTCGTGCACCCGTTCGCGAGCTTCGTAGGCATTAGCAAAGCATCTTTTGGTCACGAGAACTGTTGATGAACGCCCGTCGCGGAGAAGCACCGCGAACATTGACACAAGCGGCTCAAACACGTCGTCTAGGCAAGAAGTTTCGGTGCGCTGCGACCACTCAACGCGACAGGAAATCGATGTGCCGCCTCTGGGCTATGTGGTCAAATAGCCTGACAGCTCGCTCGTACCCAGTAGTGTTGATGTCATAGCCTCAGTTTCGAGACTAGAGTAGGTAACGGGCTCGGAAGATTAATCCCAACTGTTCGTCTTCCCCACCTTCAAGCCCGCGGAAGAATCGAACGAGGCATAGTTGACGATATGTGATGACGGACTCGGAATGCTTTTGCGCCCAGTAGACGAGTATTCGATTTCTCGACGTATGCCCAACAAAAACCAGGTGACTGTGTGTCAAGAGGTCCTTTTGGCAGGGTCGAACGCAGAGCAGTGAGGCCACAAGGGTCTAAAGTTCGGTGTCGGAAGCCACAGCATTGAGGTCAAATCAGTGCGCCGTAGGTCGTAGTGCGAATGAACTGACGAGCGCCAGCGGATTGCGTCGCAAAGCTCGCATCTCACAGCAAGTTGTTTGTTGTCTGCCAGACCGACGTCAAACGGTCTGTCACGATGCTCTAAACGCGAGTCGCCGTTTCGGGCAGCAGGTACATTTTGCCTCACGATGGGCGTGCTTGCATGACTCACTTCGTGACTGCTGCAAGAGCACTTCACTTCGTGTTCTGCTTCAATGATATAGTCTGCAGAAGGACATTGCGCAAGCGTCGCCTGAGGCAGGCAAGTGTCACGTTGTCTTCTCGCTTTCGTCCTCATTGCAGCACCACCCATAGGCTTCGTCAGGCCGCATCATGATCCAACACTTGCATCAACCTCGAATTAGCCGATTGTCCAACCTTATCCCCGCTTCTACCACTTCGCTGCTGTCACTGGAGCGCCTTCCTGCACATCACGAGGTCAGTTTAAACGCCTCCCACGCATTGATCGCCCCGAATCAGGCACCCGTGTACCTGAGTAGGGTATCGCTGTCAAAGGCACACTTGCCAGCGCACAAGCAACCTTCAAACTCAGACATATCGGACCGCCTTGTCGCTTTTCCAAAGAATTACTCTGCTGATGAAGTAAGGATAGATCACACATTGAACAACTCATCAATTGTTGGTCATCATGGCGACTATGCAGCCATCACATGAGTCCATCGAACCAGTCAATTCGATCGCCAACAATAATGTCCTCGGTAAGCGACTAGACCAGGATCAACACTACCCACGATCCGTCCCTTCCTACGCGCATGCCGTCCGTCGGAAATCTCAGGTGATCTTGTCCTGTTTCCAACGCCGTGTCTTGCTACGAGTGCGGTTAGGAAACACAAGCACAGTCACAGCAGCCGCCCCCACACTGTGTCGTCCTTCTGGATACTGTTTCTTTGGACGCCTCGCCACCCTGTACTTGCCAATAACTGGCTGTGCTCCCCAATTTGAAATCAGCTGACACGACCTTGATCCTGCTTCGGATCCCGTGAACAATGGGCGCTCCTCGGATCTCGCCCTGGTCCGTTCCTGAAAGGGGCCACCTGGGCTAATCAGGGTATATTCTAGGCACTGGCAACACAAGTATCACCGGGCACTCCAGGCGCCTCAGCCACTCGGTGGTCAATCGTCGAGAACGACTGGATCTGCATCACACAAATCTCAATCACGCGCAATCTGCCGCTTCTACGCAACGAGTAAAGGTACAGTCCCTTATCCATGCACTCCGTCTTTACAACGACGCATCATCCCACGATACAGCAGCGGCTATCACGGACATGGTCAACGTGGGGGACTCTCAAGCGTGGGCAGCTTTGTGTAACCAGCACATCCTGCTCTAGTAGAGGAAAAGTCGCCTATGTACCATCGCTTGAGGATTGCTATATGTCTGTGCCGGTGCAGTACCAGCTGCTAAGCTTGCGGCTTCTGCCCCTAATGTTGTTACTAACGCGAATGCTGTACAGGTTGCCGGGCCGGCGATAATTGCCGTTACCAGCATGCAGCAACTACTCAACACCAGGCTCCAGCATTCCCCCAAGACGAACATCGGACTCAGGACTCCAACACCAAGCAACGCCAGCATGGGCAAAGAAGCCAAAAGATCGTTGCAAGACCAGTACCAGCGCCACAGAAAGCTGATCCACGCACATTTGAGATTGGACAGGTCGTCAGACGTTTTTCGCCGAAGCGCCAGGACAGCGGAGAAGGAACGACTCTCGATTTTGTCCTGAAGCCGTCAGATCCTGACTTTCCATTCGAGCTGAAGGGCGGTCTGCAATGCCTGGTGACAGTCCCTGCGTCGTACCCGCAGAATGCACGGCCATCACTGAAGATCCAGAATATAGAAATGCCCAAGGGGTTCCAGATCAACGTCGAGCGAGGCTTTGACGACCTTGCCCGAGAACTTCCGAGGAAGTCTCTTTTAGCTGTTCTAAATGGTCTCGATCGTCGACTCGAACAACTACTCACATCGGACAAGGCACAGACACTAAAGATCACCGCAAATGCTCCGAAGCCTGACTCAGCATCAAAGGTTGCGATAAGCCAACCTATAGCGGTAGCAGCGCACCAACCTGTAACGATACATCGGAAGCCTTCGTTTTCCAAGCCACAGAAAGATGAGGCTCGTGTGAAACGAGAGACAGATACGCGTCAATTGGAAGCGCGTATGAGCAAATTGCCGATGTATAGCAAGTCGTCCGACGGCACGATATACCATATTCCGATACAGGTCCCGAGAGCGTCGCAACTTCCTCCAACTCTGAGAGCTGTCAAAGAAGTTGCCCTTTTCGTACCTGAGCTGTACAATCTTGAGCCCTGTACCGTTCATCTCAAAGGAGTTGAAGGGCAAGAAGCTGAGGCCGTCGAAGCGGCGTTTGCTGAGTACGCTAGCCAGGAGAAGACATCGACCTTGATGGCTCATGTCAACTACCTGGCACAGAACATGAAGACCATGGCTGCGGTGCAAACCAAACCGTCGCTGCCACAGTCAGAGCCATGTCGTGATACTCAAGCAGTGCCCGTTGAAGCCGAGGAGCAACCGGCGGAAGATGGACCTACAGATCCAGATCGACCGCACATAAGGGCGATAGCTCGTCCACCGGAGTGGGACAATCAGGGAGGCGAATCCGACTCTTCCAGCGACTACACAGAAAGCGACGAGGATGGAAGCGACTCGGACGTAGACGAGAGCGTTGATTCGGGCGGCGCACAGATTCCGGGCTCGGTGGCATTGACATCAAGCGACCACGGAATCGCCATTTCCTTTCCGGACCTAGAACTTTACGGCGTCGAGCTACTGGAAATCGCATCGCTAGCCCTGACGCTGAAGTGTGATAGGTGCAAAACCCTGGCCGACATCGCCAACCTTCGGCCATCGATGGCTGGAAATACTGTCACGGTCTCGCAATCTTGCTCGAAATGCGCATACACGTTGACTGCGTCCTACCGTGCGGAGCCGATCCATGCAAACAACATTCGTGCCGGCTATCTGGATCTCGTCGACTGCACAGTGCAAGACATGCTGCCGAGTTCCTTCATGCCGACCTGTTCAGAATGCAGCACTCGAGTCAACGCTTCTTCGGGAGTTATCGCTGTGCGCGGAGATACGACATTGTCGGTATGTCGCGAATGCCACCAGAAGATGACGTTCAAGATACCTTCCGTCAAATTCTTGCGAACCTCTTCCCAACAGCAACACAGAGCCCAAGCACCGCGAAAGGGGCCACGGGAGAATCTAGGTATCACGTCTGGCACCCCGCTACCTGATAATGGTCGATGCGCCCACTATCGCAAATCTTACCGCTGGTTCCGTTTCAGCTGCTGCAACAAGGTCTACCCATGTGATCGCTGTCACGACGAAAAGGCAGAACCAAAGCATATCAACGAGCATGCAAATCGAATGATCTGTGGCTGGTGCAGCCGAGAGCAGAACTATCGTCCAGCGGACTGCGGTGTCTGCGGAAGGAGCATGGTCGCTAAGAAAGGGGGTGGTTTTTGGGAGGGAGGCAAGGGCACACGAGATCCGATGAGGATGAGTCGCAAAGAGCCGCGGAAGTACAAGCGCGTTGGGTCGAAGAATAAGGCAAAGGAGAATCGGTGAGGCTCCATGGGATCATCATATGGCGAATTCAGCTACGTTCGTAATTGATCGCCCGGGTTCTCTGGCTTCTCGCTGTCAGCGTCCGCACTATCACACAGCGAAGCGTCACCTGAAGTCTCGACTAAGGTGGTCAACTTCAGTCCCACCTCCAGCGAAGACGCGAAGCATTTGATCTATCATGCAGGTAACAGCGCGCATAGCCAGTATTCCAACACAGGTAGTTAGTTCCATTGAGCATGGATGGTCTTCAAAGTCCTCCGAAGCAAAGCCGGCCCCTGCCAAGCATCGGAACGCGACCTCAGAAAGTCATGACGACCTCGGGAGGCTTCAATTTACTTCACCCTTCTCATGCTGTCAAAACCTTAGATCCGACTCCACGCGAACGTGGTTGCGGATCACTCGTCCGTAGTCAACTTCATCATCATGTTATGCCATTCGACTTCAACAAGTTCTACTCTCCGCAAAAGATGACATTCCGCTGGGTCCACCAATGAGTGGTCATGATGTCTACGACTGTTCGGTTGCAGTATAGTCCAACATTTCAACAGTGGACCTTTCACCAATCTGGCACGTTTGGTGCTTCTCGGGCTCAGCCTTGCATGAATACAATTCACGATCTGACTGTACCCCAGGGTTCACTGCATCTAGGACACCGAACGCTTCCTCCTCTGCATAGTTAAGCAGCGAATGTAGCACTCACTGAAGTCGCAGCGACGCCTCCACGTTGCGAGTGTGCAGTACGAGCACAAGTCAGACCGCTACCCATATATTACGAGCTACTTCAGCCGGCACACTTTGAGTTCCGCCAGGGTTTTGGACCCAGGAACAGCATTCCGTCGAGCTATGTTCATTTTGGTGGAGCATCGGCACAAAACATAGACCACGGCTGGATTCATGTCAATTCCGTACCATCTAATGTGCATATCCAACAGGCAGAACCAGGCTGCTGCCTAGACTAATGCCTGAGTATACAGGTCCCAGACACTGGATCGGTTCCTTGCTTGGTAGCGAGATCGGCGGAACCAGATCAGGTCCATCCGAGGTCTCTATTCGGACGAACTTTATAGACGAGGCTGTTGCTCGGCTGCTCGAAGCCGTCGAGTCCTGTTCACCGCTGATATCATCCAACACCTTCGTTTTGGTAACCGTATTCGACACCTCAGGGCAACTGCTCGACAGGCACTGGCTTTTGGCGATCTCTTACAATTGCTGTGGAACGGTCCTGAACAGCATTGAAGCTTTGTTCCGTCGTCGACACTAGGACATCATCTGTGTTCTGTTCCTGCCGCGACTGCGTGCATCGGACTGGCTCCTTCATCAGGTACACTCAGCTCGTATCCACGCAGATCCCCTGACTAGATCATGATCTGTCTCCACTCGGATCTGACATGCAATCTGACATGCAAGATCGAGTCTGGGGTAAGGTTGCAACATTGATCGATCCCGTCCCGTGGATCATGCTTCCGTCGAGCAGCACCGCCGACTCAGAAGTGGTGACGCCCATGATGTCCTTCTGACAGATTAATGCTTCGCCTTGTACCCTGCCCGCCTTGCAGAGGACACCCCAATGACGCCGACATTAAATCATGGTTCGCCTTGCGTGATCAGGCGAACGCTGTCGATGTCGGTTGCTGTGACGATGGTACGTACCTGATGGGTGCTTTCATGATGTCAGGAATGAGATGCTAGGTGAGATGAATGGTTCAAGAGCTGAGTGTGATGGTGAGACGAGGGAAAGTAGGGGGCAGTCTCTGATCTATAAGTACGTCCTCCTCACCCGGCCTCGAAGGACAATTCTCTATCGCATCAACATCCAGTCTCAACAAGCAACCAAAACCAAACAATCACCCAACCACCACCACCACCAACAACATGTCTGACTACAAGCCCACTGGTACGTCTCAACAGTCACCCTCCCAGTCTCCTCCAATCTTCCCTACATTGCCGCGTTCATGAACGCACAACTGACAATTCCCACAGAGAACGACGGCCTCCGCAAGGACGGTCAGCCAGACCAGCGCGTCGGCACCGGCCAGTTTGCCCAGGGCAAGGTCGACCCCGTCGAGGCTGGCAAGAAGGGTGGTGAGACTGGCGGATCTACCGGTGGCTCTGCCTCCGGTGGCAGCGGTGGCGACGACTACAAGCCAACTGAGCATGGAGGACTTCGCCAGGATGGCCAGCCTGACGGTCGTGTGAAGGGCAACTAAACCCTGCAGCCAGGGTACGACGTTGGGGAGGGATGATTGAAGAGCTGTATGCTGTCCCCAGGGCATTGGCGGCACAAGAGCTGCAGTTCTAGTCCAAGGCAAATGATCATGTCCTCCTTGTCACCTTGTTTACATCTCATTCCTCCCATGTTTGTGTAGCCGTTTGCATGTGGCGTATGGTGAATTAGACTAGCAGTCGCTGCTAGTCGCTTCGTTGCAGTGCTCGAATCTTCGTGAGAGAGTATATAATTTGTGCCGAACAGCAAACACGCTCAACATCAACATGTATTGCAAAAGTCAATGTAGGCCACATCTGGGCCCAGACAGTTGTGAAATGATGGTGACCGGCTAAGCAGTGTGAGGCGTAAAGAGCCGGGTGAAGTTCGAGGGCGTCGAGTTGACCTCGTCATCCGGTTTCACGCAAGACTGAGGTTAAGCCGGTTGACGGCGCGTGCAGTCATGGAAAGTGCAGGTTTTGGGCTGAGCAAGCGCCTGCCGCACGTGACCGGGATAGAGGACACTAGTACTGTTAAGGGAAGGAGTGATCATTGTGTGCTCTTGCTGCTCTTGACTACTCGGAAGATGGGGCAGGAAGGTGCGGATCTGATGTAGTCATGTCATCCGGTCTTGGAGCTGGCAGTCATCCGGTGTCGTGCAGAGTTCCTGTCAGACCGGGTGACAAGCTGCTTACCTTGTCCTAGACCTTTGACCTGTCTCCGAGGTGCAAGAAAACTAGCAGACATCATTGCTATGGTCCACTCCGACTCAGCCGCTGCTCTCGAAGGTAGGGATGTCCATTTTGAATTGTACTTAACGTGCGCGCATCACTATGCCTCCGTGGTCATGCCGAGGTTGTAGGTAGGTCGATGTCTGCATCTCGGCTGCATCTCTCCGCATGCTTTTGCGATGCAAGGGCGTCAGAAGTTGCTGAAGGACATGATATAAAACGCTGAGATACGTGTATGATATCGAGAGCGCAACCAGAGCATCGACAGCAGCCCATTGGTAAGGCCTGACCCAAGAACCCCCGCAGATATATACAATAGCCTTACGAGTACAATCGCATCATCTTGCGTTGGCGCTCAAGTCGTGACCCGCCGAGAGACACCGGCGAGCAATCATGACGAGCTCGGACATGGGTATCGACTTCACTGCCATCACACACGAAAAGGCAGAGGCTCTACGTTGCCAACCTCCAATCCTCCACAATACACACCTTTCAACGTCGTCGTGACGGGAGCTGGGAAGGGGCTCGGTCGAGCAATCTCACTAGCCTACGCCCAAAGCGGTGTCACAGGCATATGCATCAGTTCGCGAACGCAATCCGACCTGGACAGCCTTGAACAGGAGATGCTTGCCATTGCACCACAGCTGGACGTCTTCTCCCGCATCTGCGACACGAGTGATCCCAGCGCTGTATCAGCGCTTTCGATCGCGTGTGCAGAGCACTTCGAGGATCAGATTGATGTTGTCGTTGCGAACGCGGGTATCATCAGCAAGTATCTGGACGACGACTCGCCTACAGATCGACGGCTGCCCAAAGGCATTATCGAAGATGACGACTTCCTTCGCGTGACTTCCATCAACTATCTTGGCAGCTACTACACAGCCAAATACTTCACACCCTTGCTGCTGAAGCGGAAAATTCCAGGCGACAGTAGCGATGCAGATCTAGTCCGGGCATTTGTGGTGATCACCAGTCTCGCGGGCCACGTACCTCAAAGCGCTGCTACACCGGTGGCTTATAATGTGAGCAAGTTGGCGAATAACCGTATGGTTGAATGTATGGCGAACGATCACGGCAAGGAGGGCCTACTGGCATACGCGGTACATCCGGGGGAGGTTGTCACACCGCAGACACTCCGGCATAGCGTAAAGAAGGGTGACATGTGGGATACGATGCTTCAGACAGACGTCGGTCTTTGTGGTGGGTTTCTGACATGGTTGACGAGGTCAAGAAGAGAATGGCTGAGCGGGCGATACCTGTCTGTGCATTGGGACGTGGACGAACTGGAGAAAAAGAGGGATGAGATTGTGGAAGGGGACAAGCTGAAGTTCAGAATGGTCACTTAGTTAGTGCCTTACAACCGGGGATCTGGCTCGTCATACAAGTTTCTCGATCCATATCAATAATACTCGAGGGGACTCCTAGACCCTATCAGGTAGGCCTGTTTCCCTAAGTGGGCTGTTATCTGTTTGAGGTACGCGTATCCTTCGTGATTAAGGCGTACATTAGCGCAGAGGAGAGAATCTGCCGAGTGACGGTGCAATATAGTCGGATCGTGTTGCAATATAAGAGCCTGTAGCTGAGCTAGCCGCAGCAGAATACTCTCAAAGACCCGCAACCAGATGCTTTATTGAGTGTAGTAGCAAGTGGGAAGTGCTGTCGATCTTTTGCGATACAGCTGCTTCCGTTTCAACAGTTCCTGTCAGAATATACTGGGATCGTGACTGCCAAAGAGGTTCGGAAAGAGCTGCTACAATGGATATGTACTCGTGTTCCAGAGCAGCGGAATTGAGATAATTGACCTGAGCTGTCGTGTTGACGGGTATACCTATATTCCGAGCTGAATTGTCGTGTTCGTGCCTGGTGGTCCTGGGTTGATGATCTCTTCATGTCGCTCTGCAACAACAGTAGAAGCCTGGGTGGACGACAAGTGCGCGGGGCTGCGCTTCGGCGCAGATCACTCAGCGTCACGCCATTGTAGAAGCAGGAAAATGTCGTCCTCTCAGTTCTCAGCTACTCGAATAAATACGAAGACACGTGCGATATACGAAGGAAGGAGACTGCGTGCCGAGGCTCAAATCGTTTTAGGGAGGCAGTACGGAGGTTTGACCTCCATGGACTTTAAGGTTACCAAATCTGAATTCTAGTAGTGTGCTTGCCGGCGCTTTCCACGACCCTTTCTAGTACGGACGTAGCCACCCATTGCATTGCTCCTCCTCAGGCGGCCTGATATTGCGAAGTCGATTCCTTGTCTCCCTTATTAAGTCCACAACACGGCGCTCACAAGCACATTGCCACTCCGTCTCTGAGTCTCTGCGAATCACTGACTCGCTTTACCTCGGAGCAACAATCTTAAGCGAGTGTGATAGCACATCGCTTGTGGTATAGCTCCAATCGCGAAGCGTTTGGTGCAACCCCGCCGGATTCAATTGATCTCGGGTCTCAGCTTTGAGAACCCTGTGCCTAGGCAGTCATCAAGATCTCGTCAGCGACAGCAAGGTTGATAAGGAGACCGTCTCAACGTCCGAGTTCTCGGACTGTTCTTCCTGTATTTATTGATTTCAGCACTTCGGATCTTTAGCGTTTTGCTTTCTCCATTGACAACCATGGCAGCCTATCAATCAGAAGTCAACACCTTGCGAAATACCTTTGGGACCAACAAGACGAAGTCCATCAAATGGCGCAAGTGGCAGCTCAAGCAGATCTGGTGGATGGTGGAGGACAATGAGCAAAGATTCGTTGATGCACTGACCAAGGACCTTGGACGTCACCCCTATGAGTCTGTTGCTTTCGAGATCAGGAGCATGAAGGCAGATGTCGTTAGGGGCCTCGAGAAGGTTGAGGAATGGTCGCGTGGCCATGCACCAGAAGGTGCCGGCTTTATCTTCGGCACTCTTGGGAAAGCGTGGCTGAGGAAGGAGCCGCTTGGTGTTGTTCTGGTCATTGGTGAGTTGAGACCGGTCCCGCCCGCGCGACGCTTGCTGATCGCGTGTAGGCGCATTCAATTTCCCTCTCTTTACGCTCTGGGGTCCTGTGATTGGAGCGATCATCGCAGGCAATGCTGTTGTCTTGAAGCCATCAGAACTGTGTCCAGCGACCAGCGACTTGATCGCCGAGCTCGTGCCAAAATACATGGATGACTCGGCTATCAAAGTGGTCACTGGCGGTGCGAAGGAGACTGGCCAGCTACTCGAGCTCAAGTGGGACTCTATCTTCTACACCGGAGGCAGCAAGGTTGCCCGAATTGTATCTGCTGCAGCTGCGAAGAATCTCACGCCGGTCACTCTGGAGCTCGGTGGCCAGGATCCTGTCATTGTGGGCAAGTCCGCGAACATCGATGTGAGTGACCAATCCGAAGCCTTTTCCAGGCGAAATCAAAATACGGCTATTGACACAACTTAGATCACCGCAAAGCGCATTGCGAACGCGAAGTTCGTCAATGCGGGACAAGTCTGCGTCAACGTAAATCACATCTTCTGCGACCCTTCCGTGTACGACAAGCTTATCGAGCGCCTCATCTACTGGAATAAGGAGTTCACCAAGACAGAGGGTTCGCTGGCAAGCATTGTGAACGATCGCCACTTCGATCGTGTTTCAGCACTTCTCAAAGGCACTTCGGGCGATGTCGTGTATGGTGGCACATCTGACAAGTCCAAGCGCTACATTCACCCCACGATCGTCAAGGATGTCAAGATCGACGACTCGCTTCTCACCGAGGAGATCTTCGGACCCATCGCTCCTGTGCTTGCATATAAGGTTGATGATGCCATCAAGGTCATCAACTCCATGCCCCATGCACTCGCGCTATACATTTTCTCAGAGGATAAGGCAGAGATCAAGAAGATCCTGGACAGTACACAATCTGGTGGCGTTACTGTGAATGATATCATGCTTCATATGGCCGTTCCAGGAGCGCCATTCGGCGGTGTTGGAGAAAGTGGTCACGGTGCACAAAACGGCAAATACACATTCGAGGCCTTCACGCACACGCGAACTGTACTTACAATGCCCGCCTGGCTGGACAAAGCACTTTCATTCCGCTACCCTCCATTCGACCTGAAAAACGCTGCCGGGTTTGGAGCGGTCAAGGGAGGCAAGCTGATCGGAAAGAGAGGAGAGACGATGGAGGATCAGAAGGTCGGAGGTGTCAACCTGACAAGTACCCTCGGCAAGATCTTCTTCGTGACTGCGCTGCTGGCCGGACTCGACCGCGCGAGTGGAGGCAAGCTGCATCTTACGGAGACTGTGAGAGGCATAGTGTCGCGGATCAAGGGCTGATTTTGATATGTAACGGCATGTAAGGGCATGTATTTCCCAGGCACTTTATTTGTTGTGTAACTCCATGGCATCAGACCCAAATACTACCCCTTCACCTCCTGCGAGTCGTCCACTACTGTGACTTCGCCTTCACATCAACAGACTTCGCCTTTCCATCTGCCCACCCCAACAACAAACCCCCCGTGACCGTCAGCAAAGGAGCATACCCCCAGTGGTTCCACTCAGCTCCTTTCCCATGACTATAGCAAACAATCCCATCCGTGAACGCTACCGCGCTCCCAGCAATCAACAACCACCCCGCCACATTTCGTTGGTCAGCGTTCAAGGTCGCAAGTATAGCGACGCCCATGAAGATGTCGCGAATGCCGATGACGACGAGCAGACTGCTGGTTTCTGCGGCTGTCGAGGGGAAGAGGGAGGGCGTGAATTCGAAGAATGAGAGGCCGGCTTCTGGGTTGACGATGTCGTAGCAGCCGAAGCCTATGAAGATTAGGCCGAAGGCGATTCCGAGCAGGTGGACGGGCCAAGACGTTGAGATGGCCATGTTTGATCTGGCTGGACGGTCGGCTGTGGGTTTGGACGTTTGTTTGAAAGTTGAAGAGCTACTTCTATTTCAGGGAGGAGGAAGCCGTTCTTATAGCACTATCAGGCTGAAAGCATACTTCGAAGCCAAGCCATGCCCGCAGCCCGGGCGCGGCACCACTCCGGCAACTCGGGAGGGTTGCCACCGACTCTGTAAAGCCAATCTCAAATATCTGAAATCGAGCTCTCGATGCGGCAGGATCAAACTCGGCCACATGTTGCTCTAAATAATCGCCGACTAGCAGAGTCCCATTTTGTAGAACTAGTTCCTCTTCGAATGTTAGAGCTTCCAAGGTCGGGATTTGTGCACGACATCGTCGACAGCGTGCAGCATGCTTGGTCTAGTATTGTAGGCATCAACGACCAAATTATTCAGGTTCAGATGACAGTTATTCTAAGGCTGGACGTAGATGTTGGCGCTAGCTCCATATCAATACTATGTCTAACTGCGAGCTGCACCCAGTGACATAAGTGTAGTCCTTACAGCTCGCACCCACCCTCCATCAAACACCAAGTCATTTGCACCATCCCACTGCTCACTCCAAGATCCATCACCGCTCGTTCTCTCCACATCGCCAGCCTCCGCGTGGCGCTGCTAGCATGCTCTCACTCCTCGGACCGCGCCACAGAACCTCCGCCGCGGCCGCGGCTCTCGGCCACAGCTTGGCATCAAGATCTACCGAGTCCGTCAGCTCAGACCACATCAGGGTCTCGCCGCCCTCAATCCCACCCCAAAGCTCTTCTGAGATATTCGCCAGCGGATTAAACGTGTATATAGCGCGCCAGTTGTGGTACGGCCCGCAGTAGTCCAGATACGGCGGCGACAATTTTGTCGGCAATCCACCGCTCGTGTTGTAGGGTATCCCTGGCGGAGAGTGGCCTGATGGATAGGGGCTCAGGAAGACGCCATGGCCGCAGTCGAGGTACCAGTGCTCTGAGTCGCCGAAGATGACGCTGTGGTTGGCTTTGAGCAGGGAGGCGATGTTCGCGGAGGAGCGCCATGCTTGGACGAGGGGTTTGATGTGGTGGTGTGATGGATGTGGGTTGACGAGGGTCAAGTTCCATTCTAAGAACATCTCTTCCCAGATTATAGGACGGAGGTTGTTCTCGATTGCTTTGGTGTAGATTCGTTGCATCAGTGATTGGATTAGAGGTTGTAGGGTATCGAAGTTGGCTGATTGTACTGTCTCGTCGAGGAGGTGGACCATGCGGTTGACTTCATCGCCGCCTAAATGGTAGATTGAGCTGTACTTGCTGAGACGTGGAAGTAGATCCTCGAAAAGTGTGTCAAGAAAGTCATGTACTTTGGTGGAGTTTAGCTTGAACTGGCCGCTAAGGGGCTCTGCTGCGAAGGTGTCCCAGTCCAGCTGGTTGAACGCAGCGATCAAGTCCGGGTAGGCGTGGGCGATGGAAGCTGTATGCCCTGGCATGTCCAGCTCGAGAAAGACTTGCACGTTGCGTGAGATACCGTATTGTTGAATGCGTGCTATGTCCTCTGTTGACCACACCAAGTCAGGCCTGTAGGCACCCTTCAACGCCAGCTCGGGCAAAGAAGGAATGTCGATAGGCCACGACTGGGAGTCGGTAGCATGGATATGTAGTCTGTTGAGCTTCACCGAGGAGATGGCATCAATTGTGCGAAGCACGTCGCGACCTTGAACGGATTGCGTGCAATGTCCAAGCTTATGCCACGGTAACGCCAACGTGGGTTGTCCTTGATTTTGATGGAAGACCGAGTCATGTATGTCTTGTGTACACCAGAGGAGTGCGACAATACGAGCTGCTTGAATGTTCCTGATGGATAGCATTAGCTGATTCGCAGCAAGAGCAAAGCAACTCCCTAGTGCCGCAGCTGCTATGGCCGTGCTTGAAGCTCGCCTCTCCGTAGGACCCTACTCACCTAGTGCATTGATAATACCAATGCTCGAGACTGCGTTGATACGAGCGACTCCCTCGGTGACATCTATCTCGTAGGACTCGTCCCCATCGAAGAAGGCGGCCGCGTCAAAGCTTGAGCTCGGACACGTGCTCTGGTATATGTATAGTGAGGTCAGCATCGAAGCATTCTGATTCTCAGCAGGCTCAAAAGCATCATGCCTGGAGTGGAATTTCCACGGAATGAATTTAGATGTTGATATATCTTGCAGCGTACGACCAACTGCAGCTTTGACTGCGTCAGCCTCAGAGACCGATGCACCGAGCTGATCCTCATCAACGTCGCTGGCGAAGCCAAACCAGGACTGCCAGCCTCCTAACAGATGAGACAGGCTTCCCCGAGAGCGCTCGTAGAAGAAGTCATTGTTCGATGCATTCGAGAGCCCGCAGGAGAACGCTGTCCTCAGAGGGAACGGTATCCAGAGTACATCACCATGACTCTCATAGGCATTCGGCTCTGGCCATATCGGGCTGCCTGCTATGGACAAGGTCAACCAGCCTGCTAGCGTGACCAAGTGAATGAGCATGACGATGCTCGTTGCCTTGAGCAGGTGAAAGGATGGATGGTGTCGTGAGCTCGTGAACTCGATGGAAACGCTTGGCGTGATTTGTAAGGCAGGCAGCACGGAGATAGGCGGACGTAGATGCTAGTGCCTTGCGAGCAAACATTCAAGTTGCCTCCCAGACCAGCGCAGACGACCTTTCTTTGTTCATACAAAGACAATCAAATCTGCAGCCACCCGCCCTGTCATCGCTCGTACACGCTCCTTCCATTGTCGGCGATCGCATTTGGTCGCGTGGAGGATTTTCGAAACTATCGCATCTCGCTCATCTTTTACACGTTCTATTCACGGCACATTAGAGACACTCGTTCATCACCCACCATGGCGACCAGCGCCCTTGACAATGTCAACACCGAGGCACTCAGTCAGTCGGTACACAACCGCATCGTACCACTAGGATGGACTCAAGACGACGATACTTCGCTCGCCGAATACATTGTGTTGATGCTGGCTAACGGCAAGACACAATCACAAGTCGCTGCTGAGCTCTCTGGCGAGCTGCTCCAGGACGTCGAAGGCACCGACGAGTTCGCCGCATGGCTCTTTCAACAGATCAATCCAAGCAGTGGCGAACAGACATCTGCACCAGAAACCGCTCCACAACCCGCTGAGGCCGGTGCGCCGGCAGCATCACAACCCGCACAAGAGTCCGTCGCTGAGGTCTCGATACCTGCCGCATACGAGGCAGATATGACAGAGGCCCCTCCAGACAACGCGTATGGCGCTCTCAGAGACTCATACAATCCAGTCGCTAACAAGTACTACAGTCCCAAAGGCCCAAGAGGTTCCAACAGTAGTACGAGAGGCGGCCGCGGCGCTGGCCGTGGCTCAAACAACAGAGGCTCCGATGCTGCGCTACATCGAGTTCGAGGGAACGATCGGATAGGATCTCACAACGTCCGTGGCGCACCGAAAGGTCCACGAGGCCTTCAAAATCGGCCGGGCATGCAGAAGGCTCTGAACGGGGTACTCGGTGGCTCTCCACAAGGGTCACCGCGCAATATGGCTCAGAACGGCATGCCAGACCCGCAGCAAATGATGAACTTCTCTCCGGAGCAACAAATGCAGTACCTCGCCATGATGGAACAGCAAGCGCGTCTGATGGCTCAGTGGAACGAACTACAGAACGGCATGAACGGCAACCCACAATCGAGGTCAATGTTCGACCGCGTCGAATCTCCACGTGGTCGAGGGGGCATGCGTGGTCGTGGACGTGGAAATTTCCAACAGAACGGCTCCCGAAATGGTTCAATTGCGCCAAGTGAGCCGAAACCAGAGGGCGAAGCACCAGCTGATGGCGCCACGGATGCTACAATGGAAGGCGTTGACCAGGCTCCCGCAAAGACGAACGACCCTGCCACGACTATGTGTCACTGGAACCTGCAATGCACCAACAAGGAGTGCAAGTTTGCTCATCAATCACCCGTGGCGCCCATGAACATACCAGTCGACGTCTCACAAGCCTGCACCTTTGGTGTGGCATGCAAGAACACGACATGCAACTTGAGACATCCTTCACCAGCCTTGAAGAAGGATCATCAAGCTCAGTCCGAGTGCAAGTTCTACCCGAATTGCACCAAGTTCAATTGCCCATTCAAACACCCTGAACAGCCGGTCTGTTCATATGGCGCAAGCTGCAAGAATGCCAATTGCAAGTTCACTCATCTGCAGACTTTGTGCAAGTTCAACCCATGTACGAACACGAAGTGCCCTTTCCGCCATGCCGCAGGTCAGAATCGAACGATGGCCGACTATTCATGGACACCGGAGCTGGCCAAACAGAGAGAAGAGGCGAAGGCTGCCGAGCTGGAGAAGCAGCACGTTAGTGATCGAAAGTTCGTGTCAGAAGAGGCTGGCGAGGAGGAGTTGATCAAGCCTGATAGCGGAATGGCCGTTGAAGAGACTGCTCAGCCTGCTGCAGTCGAGGAGACCATCACATAGAGAGCCGGTCGACTGGTCGATGTAATTCAAGGTCTCGCGTTCTTGGAAGAAGAGCACGATCCGGGCACGCTGCTGTACAACAGGGTCAATGGTCGATGTGTCACGAAACACCTGACCGACGGATTGGGAACGGCGCTTGATCTCATGACAATTGGGTCGTCATGAATGTACTGGACATCTAAGGACAGGGCAGAAGACAAGGTCTCCGTAGATAGCTTACAGTGAGGCAAGAATGAAAGGCCAAGAGAAGCCCACGCCCACACACACACTTCAGCGCAATCGCGTTTACTGATTTGCGCTGTGTCCCATGTTTGTTTTCGTACGATCAGATCTCAGTCCTTCGCCTACTGAGTGGGCAGCGGGTACGGCCTTCCCAAAGAGGCAACTACCGTAGCATTGCAGCAGATTTATACTTTCGACCTTATAGTAAATGTGGATGCTTCGACGAGAACGCCGTCTTCACCACCATCCACCATGATGTCGGTATATTAATGCTGCTTCGCTGCGCAAGACGCTCGTCGTACGTGGACCGTTGAGCATTTGGTCTCTGCCCCTAACCTTCAGTGATCTGAAGAAGCATTCTGTCGCCATGACGAACAGCCTGTGGCCTGCAAATTTACCCTTACCAACCAAGATGGAGGCTCCAACATCCTTGACCCAGCTGCTCATGCTCTTGCACAACCTCGTCAGAACACAGAAGAATCTCCCACAAGAACTAGCTCCGGGGGTCGCAGGCTCAAACAGTCCACTTCCACAGCACGACATTCCCGGCCTGCCAATAGCTTCCAGCAGTCTATCCGAACAGCCACTGGCTCTGAAGGTACATCGGACTACCTTGCTCAACACATCTTGCCGCATCTCAACCAGTCCGCCCTGTCGCCTAACTATTATGGCTTTGTCACCGGAGGCTCCACGCCTGCTGCTCTGCTCGCAGACTGGCTTGTATCGCTGTACGACCAGAATGTCCAAGTCCATCTACCACGAGAGACGATCTCAACCACAGTGGAAGTTGCTGCCCTGAACCAGCTTGTCGACCTCTTTCGTCTTCCGCGCGAAACATGGGGAGTTGGAAGCAGTAGCTCGCATGGAGGAGGAACGTTCACTACAGGCGCTACGGCAAGTAACATACTGGGGCTGGCGCTTGGGAGAGAGTGGGTGATTCAACAGCACGCCAATGACATCAATGTCAGTGTTGGGAATCTAGGTTTGATTGATGCGATGCGCTACGCGGGCCTCTACTCGCTGAGAGTCCTCACCACTTTACCACACAGCAGCATTGCCAAAGCAGCCAGTGTAGTGGGTATCGGACGGTGCCAAGTCACAAGCGTGATCAAGGAGGGCACTGATCTGGACATCGACCTGGATGCTGTGGAGAGATATGCCAGTGAGCCAGGCACGGGGTGCATCCTTGTGATCAGTGCGGGCGAGGTCAACACTGGAAGATTTGCTACTTTGGGCAGTCAAGAAGGAGGTAACCAGCCGCCAGTGTGGCAGCAACTAGGGGAGATCTGCGATCGATACAATGTGTGGGTGCATGTAGATGGAGCTTTCGGCCTCTTTGGGAGGGCTCTGTTGCCAGATCCTTCATCGGCTCGGCAAAATGGTGACGGAAACGCCGGCGCCGACACAGACTATAGCCACATCCTCAACGGCGTCACCGGCCTCGAACACCTAGCCGACAGCGTCACCGGCGACGCACACAAACTCCTCAACGTCCCCTACGACTGCGGCTTCTTCTTTACCCGCCACAAAGATCTCAGCGAGCAGGTATTTGTTAACGGTGGTGCGGCGTACCTTGCTGCTCCTGCTTCTGCTCCTGCTGCTGAGTCTCTGGATGTGTCGGAAGAAGAAGGAGGACGAGGAGGAGGAGCAGAGGGAGGGTTCAGGGTAGGAGACGCGATTCAGAGTCCATTGAACATCGGGCTGGAGAACTCCCGTCGGTTTCGAGCTCTGCCTGTGCATGCTACCTTGATAGCGTATGGGAGAGAGGGGTATGTGGGTATGCTGCGTCGACAGATCGGGCTTGCTCGCCACATAGTTCGCTTTCTATGGAATCACCCAGACTACGACGTCCTGCCCCAGGATGCCAAAATGGAAGACGAAGCGGTAATGCGGACGTTCATCATCGTGCTGTTCCGTGCGAAGGACGAGAAGGTGAACGAGGTTCTGGTGGAGAGGATCAATGCGAGTGGGAAGATATATGTTAGTGGGACGCGGTGGAAGGGGGAGAAGGCGGCGAGGATTGCGGTCAGTAGTTGGATGGCTGATGTTGAGCAGGATGGGAAGCTGGTGGAGGGGGTGCTCGGAGAGGTTGTGAAGTGAGATGGTGGACTCGACGGAGGATGACTGGGGAGGAGAGTCTCGGTTTCAGTGTTGTCGCTACTTAATCGGGCGTATGACCGTAGCTATGAATTGACAATGAGTCAGAGCTTCCAGTTCTCGTCCACCTACCTTCAATGGAGATTCGTCATCCGGTCTCATGTAGGCCCTCACCAAACCGTATGACAAGACTCCCTACTACCCCTGGTTGCATTTTCTGAAGAGTCCTGATAGGAAGGCGCGATTGCTGCGTGCCTCCTGCTGCGGTGACCCATCCAGCTGCGGAAAAAGGGCAATGCGTTAATTCGAGCGCATCTTGTCATCCGGTCTCACGAAAAGGCTGACCTCCGCCGGTTGACACGTAAGGTAGTCGTGGAAGGTGGCCGGGCACGCACCTACCGTTCGTGGTGTTTTCAGGGAATGACTTGAAGAAGGAGCAATCGATCGATGTGTGCTCCTGCTGTCGCTTCTTACCGAGGGTATCGAACAGGCAGTCGCGAGTCAGGAATACCTTGTCATCCGGTCTCGTACCGAGCGCTGTCTAAGCCGGTTGACAAGCTAGGCATTTATGGAAGGTGCAAGGGAAGGCACCTGCTGTTTGGTGGCGTGGTGAGAACGGTCAGGAGAAAGTGCGACCGAGTTCCAGTGCTCCTGCTGTCGCTGCTTTTTTGAAGTGTTGAGAAGGCAGTCGCGAGTGAAGTCACCATGTCATCCGGTCTCGTGCAAAGCGCTGATCAGACCGGTTGACAAGTGTGTCGCTGGGATGCCACAAAGAATCACAACGGGAAAGACACAGGCGAAAGAGTACTGGTTGCATAGGGCGAGTAAGCTGGGTACATCCCGATACACTGATTTGTCTGGTATATAACTCGCACAGTGAAATCAAATCTCGCACATAGAAGGCATCAACTTCGAATAAAAATGGAGAATACCAACTCACCTTTCCCTGCACTTACCTTGCCATGAGTCAAACCAGACCGTGGTATGCCGAGGCAACACAGACGTCGTAGATATAGAAATGAGACGGGACTGACTCACCTCGTATACCTCCGTCCACCACCGTCATTGCTCGAATTTCCTCCCATGTGATAATCGCTCCCTCCTCCGCGTCTATAACCACCATTGAATCCACGGTGCCCACCGCCACCACGACCACCTCTAAAATCGCCTCGAGAATTGTTGTTGCCGCGGTATGGAGGTCCGCCACGGTTTGGAGGTCCGCCACCGCGACCTTGCGGAAAATTTGGGGCGTTCGGAGGCGGAGTTCCGTTATGCTGGCCAGCCGCGCCACCTCTTGCACCGTTCGCCCCACCGCGTGGTCTATCCGGGGCATTCGGAGGGGCATTGCCTGGGTTCTGAACAGCAGGTGGCTGGGCAGGAGGGGGATTTCTGTTGTTGCCCTGATCTTGAGCAGCATTAGCCTCAGCCATGACCGCCTGGGTCATAGCCGCAGCTGCCGCAGCTATGGTCTGTTCTGTGTTTACACGGTCAACAGCTGGGGTAATCGAGGCAATACCAGCTTGATTGGCGAGCCGGAGAGTGAGATCATTGTCCAACTGCGAGCTTAGGAAATGACCCACCCTGGCAGTCTCTCTGTCAGTTCCGTTGCCATGGAGAAGTCTGCCTAGCAGCCGAATCGCAGTAGCGACTGGCGGGTCAGCATCGAGCAGAGCTTGCAGGTCTGCGCGGATTGTCGCATCGACCTCAGCCTCAATTTCCGTGTCTTCGATGTCCCGGTTGTCTTGAGTTGTGCCTCCATTGGGATTCCCAGCGGCTGTGTTCGCAGCAGTGACCACTCTCGAGTATATCGCGGACATGTTGTTACGCTCTGACATTTGACCATTGTTGAAGCTCCGGGTCATCCCGCGATATACATCCGATACGTTTCCCTGATCGGTTGGTAGTCGTTCCTGATAAGCTTTGAAGATCTGACGCAAATTGTTGTGGTATATCCAGATCACATCCGTGTCCGGCGGTATAGGCCATGGCCCATTGAGCTGTGGTCCAGGACCTTCCCTCCATACGCCTAGCTTCAGTTTGTTCCCATCGTGTGCCTTGCTCCTTGCCCAAAATGATAGGATCTCTCGAAGTTGGGTGACCGAGTAGTGTCCGCGTTGGGAAGCGACTCTTTCAGCGTTATTGACGTTCTGTGCCAGGGCAGTGCCGTCATCCGGAACGTCATTTTCGGGCGGTATCACCTCTTCCGCAATTGTCTGCAGCTCTTGCCTTGTTGGCTGAAGATCTGGCCTTTCGGCGAATTGTGCTTTAGCGCTGTCCACGACTGCTTGTAGGTCATCATTGCGAGGAAATATGCCTTGTGGCACAATCAATCCCCATTGGTGGTTAGGAAAAGCGGCATGAAATAGGTCGTTGGACTCCTTATGGGATGCGAACTTACCACGAAAATCTAGCGGATTCAGCGTCGGGTTACGTTTCTCACGATCCTTGACCTCTCTGTCGCGTTTCTCATCAGCTAGACGCTCCCTTGCTGCTCTTACCCTCTCATGTATGGAGATGTTGTTTGCCACTGGACGCGCGTGTGGTCGGAAGAGGTTGAAACCCCGATTGTATGTGAGTATCAAGAAACGATTCGTGTCAGCCTGGTCGATAAGGGAGCCTATCTTGACGACACCCATCCCGAATGAGAACGAGTGAACCTCGTTGAGTTTTGCGCAATATGCTGGATGTAGCTTGAAAGTTCCTAGCATGCGAGCCATGACACCGGCGTTGGATCCAAGATCCAGTCCCAAGGTCAGTGCCGACCATTCTGCGTCCGAGAGTGTAACGTCTCGTATATTGATATGATCTGCCCTTTCATGCGCCGGAGGTCGTCCAGTCAGTGCGCGTCCGCCGTGGATATACAAAGGAACGCAGATCATGGTTCCAGAGGTGACCTAAATCACCACGAAATATCTCTTCTTCTCGATGACAGGGCGATGATCGTCAGCAGGTCCTGAGAGGTCGCCGAAGTACATGACGATCCCATGGTTGCGTTGGCAACGGCCATCGACGAGCCTCTCCCTGGCTTGTCTGAGGTCATCAGGTCCTAGACATCGCTCGTAGCAGTGTACCATGACAAGGTCTCCCACATTGGTCTGATCGGGGCCCAGAACAGGGATTCCAATGGTAGTGGTGTTCAGTTGTCCCAACCTCGTGTCGTCAGGTCCTTCCGACGTCAGGTAGTTCTGCTGGTTGTCAACAAGCCTAAGGGCTGCAAGGCGAGCGTGTGCTACAGGTGGCGGCTGTTCCGCAGCCTGCGTGTCTCCAATGCTGTCTTCAACAGCTTCGTCGTGATTGCCAGGCCCTCGACTTCCAGCCATCGAGGTGCCGGCATCTACCATGTCGCGCCTCTTTGTTTTCAATGGTGGTTGCCCAGCCAATGGAGCGTCGGACGCGGACCTTTTTCGACTCGTGTTAGTGTTTGCAGCATCTACCGCAGCTTCGTCAGTGATAGAATTAGGGTCAACGGCACGCTCGTTGCGAGCATTCCCACTGTCATCGTTCTGGGCTCCAATGCTGCCGTTATTATCCTGGTTCATGCTGTCTGGGATGCAGCGTTAGTTTGCACTCTATTCGGTTTGTTCTTGTGCTGGAGGCCTGGGTTGGGTATGTTGATTTGATCAGATATATTGGGCATCGAGAACGAACGTCGCATAACATGAAAGTGGCTGTCTATGAGAACAACGCTGCCCAACAAAGGCGGGCTCGTCGAGGACCTTGCCACAAAGACAGATCGGTTCGCACAAGAATCTCTTTCATCGGTCCTACATCCTGTGTGAAACCTCAATCTGAGAGCTGGCGTCGAGCGCATAACTTGCAACTGCAATATCAAGACTGTAGCTCAGAGGTTCTCATCGCAAGGTTCCTCTGGCTCGTAGCTATCGGGGCTTTACAGCTGTTTCCATGCCGGAAAGTATTGTAGTTATCGATCTTAAGACTCCTGACAAAGATGCTCTTTGTATGGGATCGATGCAAAGATAGCTTCGAGACGATGCATCCTTTGTATGCATTTAGCTTTCGGTTTTCTTTGACGCACCACCGCGAGCCAGCAGAAAGTCTTGCAATTCTTAATATGTGCTGCGAAGAAGTGAAACGCTGTTTCTGAGTCACCGCAAAATTACCACATATATCTTTGTTTTTCCAGTTATGGTTTCGACAACCCGCCGGGACCAGATACAAACAAGAAGCCGCACGAGAGAACAGGCGCACTCGACCGCCGCTTTACATACCGCGAACGACAGCCAGTCTGGAAAGCAGACGGGGAGGGGCCCCGCGGATGGCCCCCCCAGCAGTAACGTTGCAAGGGCTACTGTTGAACCAGTGCCGAACGCGATCGAGCAGCATCCGAGTGATAGCTCTGGAAACAACAGTCCGCTTTCCAGCGCACCCAGTTGCTGAGAACGCCGCAAGCACAATCCGGTGCGCTCGCACGCGATGTTGCCAGGACTGACGCCGAGAAACGAATTGCTGACCATGTCCCAGAGGCCGGCGTTCGCCGGAAAATCCTCGAATGTGCCAAAGCATTACGTGATATCGTTGACGATGCGGAGCTCTGGGATCCGATCACTGCGAAGACGATCGAAGTCAGACAAGCAGAACGCACGGCGAACACTGCCGATGCTGCCAGCCCGACGAAAGCAACTCCTTTGCGTGAAACAGCAAACAAAGAAACTCAGACTGATGTAAAGCCATCTGCTCGAGTTTCGGAGGCAATACTTGCCATCGATTCCCTCTCTCGAACGCGAGCGGTACTTGAGCTGCGTCAAGGCCACCTGAGTCGAGCGCAAGAGAAGCTTCATCGCCGCGAAGCACACCTATTGAACATGTTTAGCAAGTATACAATGAACGGCACTAATGAGCAGCACAAGCATAGCCTGACAGCAGAAGAATTGGTCAAGCGTTGTGTCGCTATAACAAGTGCTCAGAGATCTGCTGTGCAGAGGTGGGAACGAGCCAAAAAGCTGGAGGCAACAATGAGAGACATACTCAAGAGAGTACAAACCAGGGTCGATGCTCTCCACCAAAGCATTCCAGAAATGGCTCGCGCAGCATTGGCGCCAGCACCAAATCCAAATGCCGGAGAACTTCTTGCACTGGTCATGGAGAAGGCAAATAAACAAACACCTGCCTCTTTGTTTACAGATAGCCCAGATGACGAGGAGGACGAGGAAGTCCTCGACGGAGATGCTCCAGGCCAGGCCATGGCGCCACCAGCTGAGATTGCCCTTCGAAGATCTGCTATGTCGCAGCTGATCGGACGGTGCAAAGTCGCAAAAGCCAAAAGAGAAACCAGTCGGGCGTGGTCAGCAGCCTTCCTTCGTTCCAGGACGATTGAGCCTTTGCCCGGAGAGACCCAGGCCGAGCTGAATAGGAGATATCTGGAAGCTTTGCAAGTGCTGAACGAAGATGTGCGCGTGGCAGAATCCGAGTTCAGCGAAGTGGCCAGAGAAGCGCAAGACCAAGATGTTGTGTCAACGTCCTCGATGTCAGGTCGGTTTCCACTATATGACAGATACCCTGATTTCGGGGCGGCGGAAAGGCAAGCTGAAATCGATCATTCCATGCAACATACTGATTATGCTGCAATCGACGAATGGGTTCCTCGGCCGGGGACTGGCCTCAGTAACGATGTCGACCGAACGGACCTTACAGGATCAGAGTCTGGATGGTACGATGGCTTGTTGGACGTCGCACTGGGCGAAGAAGTCAATGACTGGGAGACCGACCATCGTCGCCGCAAGTACATAGACTCGTGGCAAGAAGATCCCTGGTCACTCTTTGAGCACCAGATGGAGGTCGAATGGCCAGACGCGAGGGTCGACCGGCCAGATGTGGGTAGATGGGGTCCTGATCTGGCGCCCGAAACAATCGACAGGCGCGATACAACAACGATTGTTGAGGCCGAGGATCGTGGGATCCCAGTCGAACAGCTCGAGACGCGTAGTGACCCTGGAGTAGGCGGTTCGTCAAATGGGAGCTCCGACGTTGGTGCGCGACCAAGAAGACGCGGTATGTGGGCTGCGTGTCCGCATATGTAGATGCTACATATCAGCCGCAGACTGTCATATTGTCGGAAAAGAGATGGAAAGAAGATTGCTCGAAGCAGGCAAGATAAATTTGAATGCAAGTAGGTGAACAATTACAAGGAAGTGAAGACCCCAGACCTGAAATCTGCCCGGGTGAGCAAAGCCGCTGAGACCGGTGAATCATCACGTGATCTGCTCCGATCAAAACTTATCAACACCCATCACAAGTCAAAGGTAAGTTATTTGTATGCAACCTATTGGACCAGGCTTGAATATATGACAAATGGACGACTAGCTTGAGCCACTGGCGCCTCTCAGTCCCAGCCTCAGCTATGAAGTGTCAACCCACTCCAGTGTCAACGAGAAGTTGAAGTAGGCCGTGTCCGCAACCTTCCCGACTGTGAAGTAGAAATACTCCGGGTCCAGCTGTACCTGGTTCTCGACCTGGATCTCCTCAAATATGCTTCCCCACTCAGCTGAGTCGCCAATGGCCACCCACTGCTCCCCACCGACCATTGAGCCACGCACGTTGATGGTTGTACCGTCTGAGAGACCGGTCTGAGAGCTGAAGGTAGTAGTCTGGATGTTCTGAACCACTTCATTGTTGGCGTTACCCCATGCTGTAATGCCGTCATCTGCGGTGTACTTTGGTTCGTTGTTGATCTGACTGCGGATGAGTCTGAAGGACGGTTGTGTTAGCCCAGCGTCATAGATGAGCTGTCGTTGAGAACTCACGCATAATAAGTATCGCCTGTCTCAGAGCCAACGAAAGTGAATGTTTCTCCCTCCGCCCTCTTTGTCTTAGACGGAGCGTCGGTTTCGGACCTGGTGGGCATCGCGGACACGATGCTGGCATGAGCCAGCAAGGCAGTTGACGCGAGTCTGTTGAAGTTGAGCAACATGATTGCTGGATCAGACCTTTGTCGTACGATAAGGCCCAAGTTGACACTTTCTTGATTCCTCTCACGAGATGATCATGAAGTATATATAGTCCACTCCCTACCATCTCTCCATAGATGTTCGTAGGAATGTTTACTCCATGTAGCACTTCGCATCATGAATGCTCAGTCTCCGCATAAGCGGCCCCAACGCTTACGTTCCATGGTCTCACCTCAATGTATCCGATGCCGTAAGTAGCATGCCATGAATGATCGACAGGAGCATATGGGGCATCCACGGCACGAAACATTTGATGCCTATGTAGGCAAACGACATCGTCGTGGGATCGATGCGGATATGTGTAGCGATGTTGTACTACGGTCCAAATGAGCAGATGCCTGGCCCATATTTCGTTTGAATCGTCGTTGAACCCAGGTCGTGACAGGATCTCAATTGCCATCGAACTGCGTGCGAGCACAGATCGATGATGTGCTTCATACCCTTACATGTTCCACATGACCCAGTAGGATAGTGGGTCGAACCTGTCGTGCGTACAGTCAGTAGCAGAGATCTCCTTCGATGTCATAGCACCAGATCGCCGTCAATGTGAGGCTCGGACGAAGCGGACATGTCTGTGAGATGGTATTGCCAGTCATGCCAGCGTCATGGCCATCTGTGCTGAGACCGATGCAGCGCTGTACCTGTGGCCGACTCAGATGATGGCTTGCCTAATTCCACCTTCAGGCTCCAATCGACGATTCGGTTCGTAGCCAACGGCAATTTCTCTGTTCGCATAACCTCGACGGATGCCTCGCAGCTTGGCAGCAGTGTCAAGCACACTTCATAATCTTCAGGTCTTGCTTACCTGAATGACATGTAGTTAGGGTACCGAGATACTTACGATATAAGCATTGAAAGAGCCGCATCAATCTCTGTCAGGACTAGCGTATCGCATCAATAGGCCTGGCTCGGATCTCCTCAAGAAGGGTCCGTAAAGACGGGCAACTTGTGGGGTAATAAGCTTCAACCAACGTTGTCAAAGGCAGGGGATGGAGATAGCACAAGCCTGGGCATTTGATTCGCAACATGCTACAAAGTAAGGCAAATGACGGCCAAAAATGGAACTTGAATTCATGAAAGCAAAAGGAAACACTTAGCTCGACTTACTGCATAACTCTAAACCCCCGCCTTTGTCTTCGACTTACCTCATGCGTTCATAGCAAGAATATTGACCACAATTGTGGCCGATCCAAGCTCGAACTATTGCTGTATCTCCCCATCCTCGAGGTCTGCGTCTCATTGTTGGGCATTGGGAGCATTGCTGTTGAGCGCGAGGTCTGTCATTCCCATCTGTTGGACTTGAGCAGGCGCTTGTGGTGGGTTGGGAGCCAGGTTACCCTGACCAGCGCCCACAGGTGCTGGCACGTTTGGCGCGTTGGCTGGAGCGCCTCGGTTCGCGGCGGCAGCGACGGCGGCGGCTGCAGCTGCAGCCGGGCCAGCGTTGCGAACGGCAAGCTCAGCTCGCTGTCTTTCCGAGAGCTGGACGCAAAGTTGAGCCGCAAGGTCAACGGCTTCTTGAACAATATCTTGTGCACGGGTGCTCCAGGCTTGCGGATCATTCAGAGAGTTCGCCAGTGTTTGCGCAGCTGGCTGCAGTTGATTGGGACCTGGCACGACCTGGGTCGTGGCGAGGGCCTGCACTGTCGGATCTCTGTCAGTATTCAACAACGCTGCTCCTTGGTCGGCGTTGACTGTTGCTCTCCAAGCGGCGATAATATCATTGATGTGGGTGGTATCCTGTGCCGCGTCTCGATCTGGCCCCATGGCCCAGTAAGTACTCTCGATGTTCGAGTTAGCGGCTGGTTCGCGGCCCAATCGTTTGAATATCTCCCACATATTGTTGTTGTAGATCCAGATGGTAGCGGGTCGCCGCGGTCTCCGACGATCATGATTCCGATTCTGTGGCGTCTGGGGATTGACGAGGACTGGTCCCTTTCCTCCAAAGTAAATGCCTAATCTAATTGATTGCTGAACGCCTGGGTGTAGATTCTCTTCCAGGCGAGGAGAATCGCAAGGAGGTTGGTACCAGTCAATGGATCGCCATTTGTTGGCATCCGAAATCCTTGCACGGACGTGGCCGCATGGCGCAATTGATCGATCCGTGGTTGTAGATCTGGTCTGCCCGGATACTGTTCAGCGGCACTGGTGACTATGGCTTGCAGCCCACCTTCGCTGTTGTTGTTCTGCACGAATCTTGTTCTCCATTCGCCTTGGGGAAAGTCGACGTCAAATTGATCCGCGTCCGCTTGTAAGCGATCGTTAAAGAGGTCCTCGATCTGGACTTTTGTGAGTCTGGGATTCACACGGGCTCGGTTTCGCTTCGCTTCATCTTCCTCTATGCGCCTGCCGACCACGTCAGTGGGCGGCCCGATGTCGGCAAGGTTGAGGGAGAATGCACGGAGCATAGCGTATATCTTCAGCCGTTTGAGGCATGCGGGCTCCATCTTTCCTACCTTTTTCACCCCTATTCCGTATGAAAACGCGTAAGGATGAGTTAGTTTGATGCAAGATTCAGGGTGAGGGGTGTAAGCAGTTCCAGTCACCTTCAGAGGGAAGTAGATGCCAAGGTTTTTGGTCAACCTCAAGTTTGCTTGAGCCCCAGGCTCAGTGCGTGAGTCAATGACATTGACATAATCGGGAATTTCGAAGTCCTTCTTACCGTTCAGACCTTGCCCTCCGTGGGTGTACATGGGGAGACATATCAGCGTTCCCTGCGTCCTCCTCACGATTACCATGGGCCGACTCTTTTCAATGACCGGGCGGGTGTGATGAATGATGCCATGGTTAGGCGGCACATTATAGCTCTCGAGCCTATCGTTACCGTAGAACACCGTGCCGTTGGACTTGATCTGACCATAGCACGGTGTACCGTTGTGATCCTGAATGTTGGCCTTAACCTCAATTTGAGCGGTCCTAATCGTCTCATGACCTAGGACACGGTCGTAGGCGTATACGAGAATGATGTCGCCCGGTTGAACTTCGCTGGCCACGACGGCAGCAAAGTTGGGATTGATTCCCTGGTCTCGGAGACCCTCATACCCGTCCGTGCGAACAAAGTCATATTGGTCGTCGCTAGGCTGCTCCGGCTGTTGAGCAGCCTGCCCTTGCAATGCCTGCACTCTGCCATCGACAGGCTGGCTTGAATCCGCTGGCTGTGGAGTGCCGCCGGTGGCCATCACAGTATCGTCGTTCAATCTGTTCTCACCTGCTGTTTCGCCGTCTCCACTCTGCCGCCTCTTACCTCCACCATCCTCCGGGTCAGCTACTTGTCCGATTGATCGTCGACGGCCTGGGCGCGCCGCTCCCGGCGTATCGTCAGAACCAGCGCCCGCAGCTAGATTCGGGGCGTTGTTGTCAGCACCTTGGAGCTGCGCTGCTCCGTCTACTTCGCCGTCTTCGAAAGCGGAGCCTGCGGCTGGATCAAATACACTTCCGTCGTATCGGGAGGTGTATGGGTCATACGGGTTTGGATTTCCTTCTTGTTCAGCCATTGTCGAATGTCGATGTGCGCTTTCTGATGATAGTTGATATCGTATGGCAAGGCCAGACACCTACCATGACTTCTTAAACAACCGGGCCGAGCTGAGTCGATGGCTCACAGGGACAAAGACCGCTACAAAGCGGCTGCTGAAATTATACGCAACAAAGTGATGCCACGCATTGTTTCGTCAATTTCATCATACAATCGCCCAAGATTGTGATCAAGAAATCGTCGTCGAAGTCCTTAATGTACCAAGACACAGTGTTGCCGACATTGTCAACCACATCTGACGTTTGTATTCATCTTCTCCAGCTTAGCAGACAGCCTGATAGAGCGCAGGGATGAGCTGGCCGCTGCATTTCTGTTTGAGTATCGACAAAGGACTCGACACAAAGACATGAATATCGATGTCCGCATCGTTGTCAAATTTGCTATACATAGAACCGCTTCCGCGCTTTGTTGGTCCAAATCGATTTCGTTTACGCAATTGAGTCACTTGATGTTCCGCGCGGCATACCTCAGTGTGAACCGCCACAAGAGTGAAAGAGCATTCGGCAAAGCAACCAGATTTTCGATATACAACTTATAAGCATGTTTGGAACTAGAGCTCAAGTGCGGAGACGCTTGCAGACATCGCAAGTCGTAAGTTTCCAGCAAAGCTCTGAGCTGTCGTCCGTGGCAGATACTATGAGTCTGTTAGAAATGGAACGGGAGCTATACGGACCGAACGGACTGTGCAGAGATGTTTACACGACAGACTCTGGTGCGAGTGTCGATATCAGGCCCACAGAATTGGAATCATTGACTGGGTCGAGAACAGAAAACCTAGGTAACACCGAAGATGATAGGCCCCGGGCCTTGGCGCCATTTTCTGAGACTGAAATCCAATCCATGGACGACAAGGCGGTACAGACCTTTGTTGACACCTCCGAGACGGTCAACGTAGCAATATCTGCTATCACGATGCTTCCTAGCCTGGTGGCCGGTGTGGAGTTGCGTAAGGTCCACCTCAGCAGAGCACAGGAAAGGTTGCGCACTCGTGAGGACAATGTATGGAGGTTATACAACAGAAGACCCAACAGCAAAATCGAACGGCGTCCAGGGTTCCATACATCGGATATGCTCAGGCTGTGGCCACCCCGGACACCAAGAGAGAGAAATGTCGTCGAAAGATGGGAACGAGCCAAAGAGATGTTATCGATCGTTCAGGAGTGCCTGCAAGCCGTCGAATCCGATCTGAAGGAATCATTGAAGACACTCGGCGACAAGGTAGCTGCAGCGTTTTCAGAGCTTCTAGACCTCTACGTAGAGGAAGATGCCGACGACCTGAAAGCCGCTTTGCTGATGGTTGCTGAAGAGAATCTCCCTGAATCGCTCAAAGTCGAGGACGAGCCTCTGCAGAGCGAAGACGGTCAAATGCGCGACGTGGCAGATGCACTGGAAAAGCCGACTCCGGATGACATAGGCCGGAGGCGGCTGGCTCTCCAAGATCTCGTGGAGCAATGCGACGCAGCAAAGACTCAGCGGACGGCAGCAAGGACGGCCCTGAACAACTTCTTCAAGCAAGGCCGTCGCGTGGATCCTATTCCAGGAGAAAGCACGGACGACCGGAACTTCAGAGCATTGAAGACAATGCGTGACCTAACGCAGAAGGCACAAGATGCCGAGTCCGAGTACAGTAAGATCGCAGAAAGAGCGGCCAAGGAAGATGCTAGGTCGTCCGAATCCATGTCCGGACACTTTCCAATGTACCATGCATACCCAAACCACCGGCAAGAGGAGGCCGAGGCCGAGGGACGCCAGACTCTTGCCAACGCCGACTTTGACGCCATCGCAGACTGGAAAGAGTTGGTCAGACAACAAGCGACCGCCGCAGACCCGGAGAAGTTGCCAATCCAATGGCATCAGCGTGAGCATTCAAGGTCCTCTATGGCCAGCACAATCCGTCTCAACGAGGAGATCAACCACAAGAATTATAGCCATCGTGGGAAGCGAATGATCGCGGCCTGGACCGAGAAAGGTCTGCGGTCATACGACGACCTAATAGACAGCTGGCCAGACGAGATTATCGAACGTCCTCAAAGAGCCTCGCCAGACCATCAGCGGTATGTCTCCGTCGCGGTTCAGACAGATGCCACACCACCAGGAACACCTGCCAGCTCAGACAGGAAGAGCGATTCATACTTCACCCCTCCAGAAAGCACATCAAGCACTGACACGTCGACAGCTTCCTCGCCATATGGCTCGATGCGCTCCGGCGCGTCTGCGGGAAATGTCTGGTCAGACATTCAACGCGCCTCAGACGTGGGTTCTGCAGATATGCCTGGACGGGATTCTTGTTGTTATGAGTTGTTGTAAGTTGCTGCTCTCTCTGCTGCGGTTGATATAATCTCATACACAGTATACCTCATTGTCGATAAGAGAAGGGAAGAAGGAAAGAACGATGGGGCAAGGTAGGTGATAGATACAAGACTGAGTTGAATGACATTATCACGAAGTTCAAGTACGCCAAGTGCTGCCCCAAATCCAGTTCCAGGCGAAATTGCTTGGCGCGACTCAGGTGTAACTGCCTTGTCTGCTTCAAGTGCACATGCGCGCAGGTAGCATGGATGAAATCTTATCTTTCACTTGCGTTCATTCTGCTTCAGATGTAGCTCGAGAGACATAAGCATAGATTCAGTTTAAGCAGGAAGGCTGTAAGTCTTCACGATCTCGACAAGCAGTGCCCTTTCCCTTTCCTCCTCAAATATCTCCGCATGATTCAGACCAGGCAAGTATACTACCTCGAGTCCCTCCTTCCCAGTCCACTTTCGCTCCTTCCACTTTCCATCCATCCGCTCTGCCATCGACTGGCGATACCACTTCCCATCACTACCTCCATCCTTTCCCCTGCTTCGCGTCAAGTACGCCCCAGTGGTCTCAACATCAGTAATAATATCCTTCCCACTCAGCAACACAGTCACTCGCCCGGCCTCCCTGTACTTTTTCCCTCTTCCCTCAACACCCTGCCTCCACAGACTGCTCTCCTGCCATCGAAAACGCCTCGTCATACATCTCCCCACATCCGGGTCCATGCTCGCGAAATACCACAACTGCCACTCGCTGGCGCTCTTCGGCTTCCTGCGCAGAAAATTAAATGCTACGTCCGGCGGGTGGAAGCTGAAGCACACTGGGTCTGCAAAGATCAGTGGCCCGAACTTTTCTCGACTCCCGATATCGTAAAGCAGGTGTGACGCTATGACAGAGCCATAACTGTGCGTGAGTAAGACTGGTCTCCGGTGCTGCCATCCGTGATATTCGAGGATCTGATTGATTTCGGCCACAATTTGCAAAGGTGCAGGCAAGGCATTGGTGATGCGGCTGCAAACCTGATTGACCTCAAGACAGATGATGCCTATGCCATGAGCGCGACAGTGCGGCAGCAGCGCCCGGAGAAAAGGCAAGTAGAAGTGCAAACCCACCCCAACACCATGCACGAACATGACCGGTTGGTGCTTCGGATCCTTCGATGTGTGTGGCAGCATCCAGTATGTGAATGTCTCCGACGGCGCGCTGTTGCTCGATAGTAGCACGACTGGCCGCAGTGGAAAGCTCTTGAAGAAGGTCCACCTCGAAGGCCGGTAGAAGCGAAACCCGTACATCCACAGCATCACACATGCAAGAGTATCCGCAGAGCCGATAAAGAGAACATACCACAGCAGCGGCCGATGCACGAATACCACCGGCTCATGCGTCACCGCCATGAACGAACGACCCGATCTTCCTTCTCGAAACCGATGGCCCAGGACCTCCTCCGTGTAACTCAGATAGTCGTTGACCTCATCCTCGTCAACGACGACATCACCCCCACCATCATCACCGCCATCGTCGCCATGACCAGCCTCTTTCCTCTTCGAAAAGACACCCCAAAGCCGCCACCGCAACCAGTCCCTCACATCCTCACTTCGCAACACCTTCACTGACAGACCGCAGAAATACCCCTCCAGATACCGCCTTGGCTCCGGCGTCGCATCCCACGTTCGTTCCAGCACCTCCCTACGCTCCTGCGCTGTCTTCAGCGGCGAAGGCGCTGGCGCGGCGCGGTTGAGGATGTAGCTCCGCGGTAGGGCGAAGAGGAGGTAGAAGGCTGCTTCAAGGGCGAGGTAGATGTCGGGCAGTAATACATATGGGGGCCCGAAGGTGTTGTTGTTCTTGTAAGTATCGTAAGAAGCGAAGTTGAGGAGGTGCGAGAGGCGAAAGAGTGTGTAGATGATGCTAGATGGGGCGATGAGGCGGAGGACGAGGATGCCGAGTCGGATGAGGAGGGTATTGAGGGGGCCATCTTTGAGCATGCTGAGCGGAATTGTGGACGGTTCGGTCAAGTTGGGAGATCGTTGGTCTTTCGTGTTCGATGAGTAGGACGAGTTGAAATCGAGGATTGAATGTCGTCAGTGGCTGAGACTGTTCCTTCTGTCAGGCGCAGAGGGAAGCGCGTCTTTGACTTCTAGTTGTGGTGACTGTAATCATGGGTCAGTTTTCGAAGAAGGTCTGTGTTCCAACCTGGGCATAGAAGTGTTTGTGCCAGTCATGGAAGGACTGGCTGGCTGCAAATGTCGTGTTGATTTTCTGAATGTAGAAGCTCTGGCTCGGTAACCGTGATTGTACACTTTTCGATCGCTTTACTGTACACCTCTTATGCATGGCCGTCTCGATGTCGATAGTGCCCACGAATCCTTTCGAATTCTCAAAGATTAACCAACCGTCCCGGTCTGTACACTGCAGTCGAAGCAGTTGCATACCCGGCCCCAAACCATCTCCCCAACCCTCTCGCAATCAATTGGCAGCTTTAGTCAACCTCAACCTTCGCACCCAACCCCTCCATCGTCGCCTTGATCTTCTCCGCCTCATCCTTTACCGCTCCTTCCTTCAGTATCTTCGGCGCAGCTGTCGTTTCAACATTAGCACACGTCCATCATCACCACCACCACCAGCTCCCTTCCCCTCCCCCGTCACCAATCCACATCTTCCCCCAACGACAGCGTAAGGTAGTAGGTACTCACCTCAACAAATTTCTTACTCTCAACCAAACTCAGCCCCAACAGCGCTTTCACCTCCTTGATCACCTTCGCCTTTGCGCCCGCGTCAAAGCTCACCAGCTTGACATTGAACAAACTCTTTTCTGCGGCTGCGGGTGCGGCTGCCTCTTCCTCCTCTACCGGTGCGGCGGCAGCGGCACCGGGCGCGCCGCCTCCTGCTGCTGCGGGGGGTGCGAAGGATATGTCTGGGATGTTGAGGCGTGCCTGCATCCGGAAAACGTGTCAGCATTGAGTACACTATTCTGTTGAGTTCGGCGAGCACTCCAGTATTGCGACGCAGTACACATATAGACCGTCTCCTCAGGCAGGACCTCGAGAAGTATCACTCGCAGGAAACGCACCTTCAAACTGCTAACCAGATCCGCCGTTTCCAGTAACGTCAACGTGCTGATCTGATCCACTATCCCAGCAATCTTCGGGCTGACTTGCGCTGCGGCGGCATCTGTGCTCTGCCACCGTCGACCAGTCGGTGTTCTTCTCTGCTGTAATGAGGAGTGCGACATGCGAAGGCACTGTGATGAAAGGGAACGTTTCGAATGGCTGCCGGTGGACAGGCGTGTGCAGCTTCGGGACAGCATCCTAGCGGACGTCGAGGTCGCCATCGCGACTTCCGGTTCTGAAACGAGTGTAGAAGAGAAGGCGGCAGTTGACTGCTGGGCTGTTGCTGCTGCTGCTGCTTCACGAGGTTCAAAAGTTCGTGATGCATTCGAGCTCGGAAAGTGCATTTTGGTCAAATGGAGTAGGCTAGCCGAGACCGGATATTTTTTCCGTTGCGCACCTAGGAGACTTCAGCACTCATGTCAGTCTACAGGCAAGTCAGACGGAACAGCATGAAGGGATCAGGACAAGAACGAATTATTCATATTCGCTCAGACTATTTCTGATAGTCTGCAAGGCCGTAATCGGCCTATCTTAGATCGCTTCTTTGAGTCCGTGCGCAGGCACCATCTTGCCCTCTAAAGATATGCTCCTATCGCTTCGTACGCCGTGTCAGATGCAAAGATGGCATCGCAGCCAAAGAAAGCTGTGCCCAAGTCACCAAAGTGTCTTGATGATCTCTCCCACCTCCCATGCCCGATTGTTACGACGTGCTTTCGTCCCCTTTTTCTTCCCTTTCCGCAGCGACGGACCTTCATCAACGAACTTCTAGTGCGGCGCGTTCTCGAAATGCATATTTCCAGCAGCATCACTGTGCAGTTCCGCAACTGGCAATTCCTCCTCATCGTCATCTCCATCACCTTGAAGGTCGGTGACAGCGACGTCGTAGCTCGGTGGTGGCGCGCTTTCCCTCATCATCCTCATCCGCGTATCGCCGTCCTCGTCGTGGTAATCTTCGTCTTGAATACCTCCCGAGTACAGCGGGACATCCATCATCTCGGCCGGGCTGCTGGGCCTCGGTGAGCTGTCAGCATCGCCTCCGCCTTGAGCCCTGATGCTGTCATCTGACCCGTCGGAGATGTTACCAAGATCGTGGCTGGTGCTATCGAGGTTTTCGAAGCTCCAAAGAGGCTGATCGCTGAGCTGTGGACCATAGCTGGTATCGATACTTGGAATAGGCTCCTCATCATCGCCCCCGATCCTCATCATCTGAGTGTCCGTGTCGACTAATGGATCGTGACTTCCGTCCTCCAGCCCACCACCTCCCGAATGGTGAACTGCTCCGACTCCTCCAAGCCCCGACGACCCAGCTTGCTGGTGGGAGGAACCGCCGAGGCGCCGACCATTTCCCGCAGTCTTGTCCTGAGAATGTGATGATCCATCAGAGTCGTGCTCTTCGTCCACATCCAAGATCTCTTCTAGCTTCGGTCCGCCTAAAGGGTAGTCGCCGCGACGACGATAGATGAGGAAGTAGGCGCTTGAGGCGACGACGTGCTCTGTAGAGCGCTTGGAGACATGGCCGTCGTTGAACTCGTACCACTCGTTGTTAGCAAAGTTCTTGGCATATGCTGTGTAGTGGCCGCCACCGAGTCCGCCGTAGTGGTTGTCGACCGCTATCAAGTCGTAGATCATGACCTTTCCTTCAGCGTCGAGGACATACTTGGTCATGTCCAGACCTTCCACGGGATACTCGACATTCAACTCAAGCTTGTCTCGCAGATTGCGCCCAGAGCTGAACCGCTTCAGGTGCATGATGAGGACGTCGGGAATCTTCCACAGTTCGAATTTCTTCTCCGCTCTGCGGTGTTCCTTGCAGCGAGGACAATACCATGAGTTCTGTTCGGAAAGAATCTCGGCCTTGTCGAATTCGTTTAAGCAATCCTCCAGCGTGACACCTTCTCTCTTTCGCCGATCGCGCACACTTCGCTTCTTCACCAAGGCAGCATCTTCGACAACCTCCGCGACATCCCAAGTGCATGTGCCTCTTGAATCCGTGTCGTCGTACTTTTTGGCACCGAAGAGACCGTCCTGCGTGTCGAAATCCCAGTCGCAAACAATAGCTTCTCCTGGCCGGATAAGCATTTCACGTTCTTCCTCGGTCGCAGGCATAGGCTGCTGCACCGGTGGCCGCGGTGGCTTTGATTTGTTCCATCGACTGTTTTCGCGACTGTTCCCATTTCTTCGCTTATTCTTCTTGCCATACACGCGCTGTGCCTTCCTGTTGTGCTTGTCGCGATTCGCTCCCTTGAAGTTATTGAACATTGGTGCGACATCTTCATCATCAGTAGGTCTCAATGGATCAGGACTAGCGTCTTCAACGTGATCTATGCTTGCCTCGCTCTCAGCCGTTGACTCGTCAGCGTTGGATTCCGCGGACCCTGTACTGGATGGTGAAGGACTACGCGACTCGGCGGGCACGCGAGTCTTGATGTCGACCACCTCATCTTGCTCATTGATGTTGTTCCAACCGGTCGGACTACCCTCGCCGGTGTACTTTACGCCGATACTGAACATTCGCCGGAGGTAGTCTGGAATAGGATCGCTGCCGTTGACGATGCCTTCAAGCGAGATGTTGGAGTCAGCAGTAGGTGCGACCGATTCTCCTCGCATAGAGACATCAACAAAACCGTCGTCTGTGGAGGGCGCGACTGAACTTGTGCTCTGATCACTAACCATAACAGCGTCGGAGCTGTCAGTCTGTTCGGCCACCTCCAGGAGATCCCGAGTCGTCATGCCAGCTACTTTGCCGATGAGTTTGCGAAGTATGGCATCGTGGGACTTATTCGTCTCTCGATCGATGACGATGTAGCTCGCGTATCCGAAGAATTCTCGCGGTGAGAGACGTCCCCCTTGTGACGGCCGATTCTTAAATGTTCGATGGAAGACTGGGACCATCAGTTTATCCGCTTTCGGACTTGCCGGATCAGCGACTTCCTCAGTTTCGGTGTTGGCTGAGAATGTACTGTAAATCTGCTTCTTGTTGGGATTGTAATTCGTAGGGACATCCTCCAATTCGTAGAAACCAACGATATCAGAACCGAGATTGATCCCAGCTTCTGCAATAGAGATTGGGTTGTCGAAGATTTTGTAGTACTTATATTTGTACGCCTCGGCCATGACTAGACGCTGGGGATCGGCCCCGACTCTCTTCGAGACAAATTCTTTCAAACCTGAGACGGCTGTGACTTTGTCGACTTCGACATCAATGACTTTGGGGCGGCCATGGACCGGCACGAAGTAACAGTTCTTCTGCCAAGTGGTCTCGATCGGCAGTTGTAACGTCAAGTTAACGAAGGGATCGAATATGATGCTGACCTTGTCGCATACCGGACATGTCAATGTTGACTTGTACATGCCAGCGAACAGATCAGTAATTACTGAGTCATTACGAGCTTTGTAGTCGGCCCAATTGCGGTCCGCAAACTCTTGCAGAGCTTGTGCGTCCGTGACCATCTCATCTGTTGAATCCGGTCGCTCAATGTAAGGCTTCTTGACGATTCTGTTGAGATCTTCGGCGAGACCATTAAGTAGGAATAGCAGGAACTCTTGCGAATCTTGTTGCCCATAACCGGAGAAGCTTGCATTGAAGCGACCGACAGTATTCTTGAACTCTCGTGGAGTGTAGGCAGATCCTGGTTCGTTATAGATGCCCTTGATGAGGTTGAAGTAGGCTTTGGCGACTTGACCATTGTGGCCGAGAGGGTTGTCATGGTTGACCTCTTCCTTCCATGAATTGCCAAGAAAGTATTGAGTCAACTCTTGCACGGCTCGAATGCTTTGAAGCCCCGAGTTCATATAACAAGTATTGCCAAGGTTGGTGAGACCTACGAGGCCTTTTGGTCGACCTTCTCTCCTCGTGCGGCCTCGAGTTGTCATTCCTGGCGATGGACTCGAGCGACCACTTGGTGCAGGATTATTTGGTGTGATGCCCTTGGACTTGTCTCTTGCGTTCTTAGGCAGAGCTAATCGCTGTTATCAGACGCCCATTTCCCAGTTTTCTTCTGCTCCTCCAAGGCGATCAGGTCGCTGCGGCCAGCGTACATGCCTAGCTTGGAACTGCCATTGTATTTTTCGTTGGCGGTGTTGTCCTCCAGGTTGAGGTCGTCACGGTGTTCACCCTTCGATAGCGCAACGAATGCGTTGACATCCAAAATCATTCGGTCTGGTACGGTGGCCACCATCTCGGTGCCTGGCGCCGGCGATGCACTCCTCGACGCCGCCGGAGACGGTAGGCCCGATGCGGCGTTACTTTTGAGTCCACCTAGTATCCTCCAGACGCGGACCTTGGTGTTGATATCGATGTGGACCAATTCCTTCGCTTTCTTAAGCCACTCGTTCGCAAGCATGAACTTACTCGCTACCATCCTCGGCGGTGGATCTGCGGATTCTCTCTGCGTCTGTGGTGTATGATCGGCGAGAACCTTGAGGACGGTGAAGATGGGTGGATCGACCTCATAATCGACAGAGGGAAGGACATCGTCTGGGCCGGTCATGTCATATGCATATCGTGTAATGATGGGCGAATCCTTGGCAAGGCCATACCACGACAGCAGCAGATCCCAGCCTTCAGTCGGTACGATGATGTAGTCCTCGCCGTATCTCAAGCCTGGTCGTAGCACGACGAACTTCTCGCCAGCATGATCGAGAAGCTTGCCCGAGTCATCTGTTACCATAGCAATACCGGCATTGTCTATAGGACCGACCTCACCCTCCGTCGCATCTTTGTCGGCGCTGGCGGGAGGATGTAAACTTCGCGCCTGTACTCTGGTCCACCACTTAGCCGAAACCAAGAAACCTTTCTGGCCGTCGACGATCTTGTACTTGTCGGCGAGGTCCTCGATTTGCTGGACTTGGTCATCGTACATCGGTAAATCTGTGCAGGTCGGTGGAATACCAATAGATATAGTAGACGAGGTTGCCGATGGAGATGCAGGAGTTTGCAGTAATGTCAACGATGATGAGACCGCAGTGCCAGCGTCTTCTGAGGGCGCATTTTGCTGGACAGCACCCGGGTGACTAGCATGAGGCACTGGAGTGTTGCGATCGCCATGTGTCTTGCCTGTGTCTTGCTTCTTCAGATCTGCAGTGGATTCGGTCTCGGAAGTGATGACAACTTGGGGTGGAGAAGACGCATCTGCCATGTCGACATCCTTGTTATGCTCTTCACGGTCCTGTGCCCCCATGTCAGAGGCAGGACGCTTTATAGCTGGTGATGAAGAGCGAAGGCGAGTTAAATCATCTCTGTGTGTAGGTTGTAGCGGCGGTGTTTGCTTTCTTGTGTTTGAACTTGTCATGCTCTGAACCCTCCTAGACCACCACAACAAAGGACAGCTGGTGCTGAGCCGGCGCGTGAGAGCAGAGAGGGCCGGCTGCCACCATCTGACAAGGCAGAATCTGGAAAGAACCGGAAGGATCGTGGTGTTGACTAGTTTGAGAGTACTTTCACAGCAGTAGCGTGGGCCGGTTGTGGTTTGTGCAGGTTGGAGTTGCCGGTCCTTTGCGGCTCAAGTTTTTCCTGCGCCCGGAAAAGACGCTAAAAGCAACCTACGTCAGGCCTTGCCCCACTATCGATCTGTCACCAGGGGCAGTGAAGACTCACTCATAAGGGTCACTTCAGCTCAGAGGCAAACAAAGTGCTGCTGAATGAGAAGTATGGGATCAATAGCAACGAATTCAGCCTTATGGACATGAGAGATATGGCAGCAGCCGTCGGATCTGAGTCGAGATCGGGCAAGCGAGCGGAGGACCACTGACAGCCGTAATTGCTGCAAGGCCAGATCTGCAAGGAGTTCGAGTCCCACATACGCAAGGTATGCCATGGAAACATGTGAGTCTTATGCGCTCCTTCATTAAGTACATGGTATGCCGAGGTATTGGCAGCATCACGCCGCGGCCGATAGTAATCGCCTTGCGGTACACGTTAAGGAGGCCTTCGCCCCGTGTGCAGGATCAGCAACGGCAGGCTCGTAGCTCTGCAGACTGGGATAATCAACAACAGACCAATTTCTCCTCTGGCAGTCCAACAGCCTTGAAGAGGTTGGAAGCTGAACGTGGTCAATGGTGATTCCTGCAACGATCCTGGATCAACGGCCAAAACAGACCTCAGTCACTCCAGGCCTGATGAGGTTGGTAGTAGTCGTGGTCACATCTGATCAGATGATCAACGAGGAACGATCTTGTCGATCTCCTCCTTGGCCTCACTCCAAGCTTCTCGAGACTTCTTAGCCCAAGCAATCTGATCGCGTGCAAATGCAATCTGCGAGACGTCCGTTAGCAAAGGGCGACCAGAATGCAGAGGCAAAACAAACCATGTATCGCTGAATATCCTCTTCCTTCTCACCCTGAAAGCGCTTAAGGTCTTTCATCACGGCTTGCGAAGCATCTGTCGTATCCTTCTCCGAAACCTGCAAAGCTTGCTCGAGCTGGCCTAGCTTCTCGCGAGTCTTTCCGATCTGATCACGTCGACTACGCTCCGGATCAACGTCTGCAAAGCCATTGATTGCATGCCGGAATCCGCCAAAGACTTTGTTAGTGATGAAGTTGCCACTCTGTGTCTTTCGGTGCTGTGACGATGACATGCCATCCGGCTGACCTTGATCGGCAGACGGTGGTGGAGACGTGCCAGCAGCGCCGTGTGTAGGTGGAAAGTCAGAGTCGACCGATTCGGTCTCCTCCGAGCCATCTCGTCGCTGGGGTGGTGAGTTCTTGTTGGAGGCAGTTGATGTGGACCGTCGAGGTGGACCGCCGAGTGTGGTGCTCTGTGTGAGGTATGCATCGATACGCTTGGCTTCGGCTTCACTTCGCTCCAATGATTCCAGCATGTTGCGGTTCTTCTCGAGCTCATCCTTCGTCATCTCTAATTGTACTCGCTTTTGCGTACGATAGCTTAAATTCTTCGACACCGCTCCCGCAAATTGTGTACCCTCACGCATGGGCTCAGCAAAATTAGCCCCCAGGTTCATGGCAAGCTCCTCGGAGGCGAGATAGGTTGTGTCGATGGCCTGACCAACTTTCTCGAGTGCTGCCGCCACAGTCTGATTAGATTCTGATAGAGCGAATGCATTGAAACGGGCACCCAACTTCTCATGTTCTGCAGCGTACTTGGAGAGATGCTCAATCATCCGACGGTTGGTCTTGTCGATGCTGCCGGACATGAGAACTTCCGTTTCCTTGGTGGCAGCTTCGAAGTTTAGGAAGTAGGGGTCTAGCTCGAACTCGCTCAGGTTCTCTGGGTTAGGCGGAAAGCGGCCAAACACCTGTGGACCAGCCGTAGTATGAGCTGCGGTCGATGGGTATGCGGAAGAGCCAGGTGGGGAGACCGGAGTGCCACTACTCGAGGTGCCTGATGTCTTGAGCTTGGCGGAAGTAGCTGGAATAGGTAGCCATGCATGAGCTGGGGTTGGATGAGATGGGTCGAGCGGCGGAGCTTGTAGGCGATTCTTAGGCACGTCTGAGACCGGTGGAGAGTTGATGACTTCGTTCTGCGTATCGTCAGTATGGCTTTCCACTGTGAGATTGATTGTCCTTACCCAGCTCGAATTGGGATCGAGAAATCTCCAGAACACTTTGTCATCTAGGACTGCTGTTATTCTGCGACATCGGTTGAGGAAGACAGCAAGCATGCGCTTTCTCTGGTCGATGATGCTCGCGTCTTCTTTGGCTTTGGTAGGTTTTGCGGCGTAGTCGGCCATGGTGTGCTTCTCCGGGATGGGCGGGACGATGATGGTTGGGTGTAGGCTGACTAGCGCACTTCGCAATGACGCAAACTCTGAATAGCGACGTGTGACCTCGATATCTCCTGTGCGAATGCGATACTCGATGTAGCCGCCATGTGGACTCTTGCCAGCATCGAGGATGAGGATCTCCAGTTCTGGGTTCTCGTAGAGGATCTGCTGGATTCTGCCATCGTAACCACCTTTCTTGGGCAGCTGACCCGACTGCTGTTGCTTATTGTACTCGGCCTCATCATCGTCGCTGAGGTCGGTAGGTCTTGAGAGGAACTCAGGTTGTTGGTCGGCTTTGAAGGCGGGGGGAGATGTAGGGTTCTCAGAGTCTACACCGGAGTTAGCAGTGTTGAACTGTACGTCGGCGCGGACTTACAAGGAGTAGCTAAAGCAGAGTTGTTGCCCGCAGTAGGATCAGAAGGGTTGAAGGAGCCATAGGGGTTGTTGTCTTCCTCGTCCTGCCACATGTTGCGGCCAGTCTGCACGACCGTACGGCTGTGAGTTGCGACCAGGCAACTGGACGAGGAATGGCTGGAGATAGACGATAGATCGGCGTCCTTCCACGGATTCTCTACGTCGACCGGCTGAACAGTGAGCTGTTAGGTGGCAGCGTCAGTATTGCGCTTCCGTCGAGGAGATGTAGGCAACGCAATGCAGTTCAAGTTCGAGTTGCTCCGATTGGGGTCGACAGTATGTCATGGTGGAGAGACAGTGGTCATGAGTGATTGGTCACAAGCCCAACAAGCACCAGCCGCACCCCTGTAGCACCAGCCGCAGGACGCACTGCTGCCGCTGAGAAACAGGCAATAAGGCAAATTATGAGTCGGGCTTACTTACCTCTTCTTCTCCTTCTGCTGTCTCTACTACCTCATCTTCATAGTTGCCATTCACATCCTATCATTGCAGTCAGCAGCTTCTTCTTCTTTTGAACACTTCCTGTCTTCAGACAACGCCCTTGCAAGCGTTCATTGGGTTCGTGAGGGTGAAGCAGACACAGGACACATACACTTGAAGCTGCCTGGTGAAAGCCGATCTTCATGGCTGGCAATGACCATGTCATCTTTACTAACCTACAGTCATGGTGTCACGGTGAAGAGGCCAATTCAAGACGTCGACATGAAGGCGCTTAGCGCGTTTGCTGTCTACCTGACAACAACGTGAGTCTGCCGTTGCTACGGCCTGACTACTGTGCACTGAGCTCTTCGCAGGCTTATCAACCCAACGAGTTCCAGTCGAGTCCTCCTTGGCCGTGCGCGAGCTCTCCTCCCCGTCCAGCTGACTACTCTTCGCAAGCGTCTCAATCGCTTCTATCGCATCAAGATCATCATCGAACTCATCCGCCGCCTGTCCTCCATTCATCTCTGCCACCTTGGGAGCCGGCTCGTTGTCCTTCGATCCGCCTTCTGGCTCACCTGCCACTTCCACAGGGCCTTCGACCTTCGGCTCCTTGATATCCTTCGAGCTCGCCCCATCCAGCCGCCAATCAACCTCCCCATCAAACCCATACCGGCCCCTCAACCACTCATTACACTTCCTGAAATGTCCACACTCCTTGAAATCCCCCGCGCGCGCCGCCAACGGACTCGGATGTATTCCCTTCAACACCAAGTGCTTCGTCCCGTTCACGCCTACCACTCTTTCTTGCGCCGGCTTTCCCCAGGCCAGAAACACGACACCGTCCCTCCTCTTCGCGACGACATCAATCACCTTCTGCGTGAACTTCTCCCACCCCTTCTTCTGATGGCTATTCGCCTCGTGCGCGCGAACTGTGAGGACCGTGTTGAGTAGCAAAACGCCCTGGTCGGCCCACGGAGTCAACAAGCCTCCCTTATTAGGTGGGCGCTTGAACCCAGGGATATCCTTCTCGAGTGCGCCGAAGATATTAGCCAGCGATGGCGGCGCGACGGTCGGAGGGCGCACGGAGAAGCATAATCCATGCGCTTGGTTGTGGTTGTGGTAGGGGTCTTGGCCTATTATGACAGCTTTTACGGTTGGGAAGGGGGTGTGTCGGGACCTGCGGTCGTATTCGTCAGCGATGAAAGCGGCCCGCCAGTATAGGCAGTACATACCAGCTGTAGACCTCCTCCAAAGGAGGAAAGATCTTCTTGCCCGAGTCAACCTCCTTCTGTAGAAATCGCTTCAACTCTAGAAATGAACTGCTCGTAATCTCATCTTTCAGCTGCGCGAGCCATGTCGGATCAAGCGTGTCGATCTCCAGCTTCAACAATATCTTTTGCTCGCTGCTCAGTGATGCCACCCACTTGTCCTTGTCGAACTTTGGCACCGGACCCGAGGCAGGTGCAACTCCGCTGGATAAACCATTGGCACCAGACTTGGTCGCAGTAGATGTAGACACGGTCTTCGGCTCGCCGAAGAAGGAAGTCAGACTTCCCTGCTTCTGCTTCTTGGGATCCACGGGAGAGCTGGGCAGCGTGCCGTTGGCTTTGCGCTTGAGGGTCGCCATGGAGCGATGCGAAGCGAGCGTGCGGCGGATCGAGGAGAGCACTGCGGGCTGCGTGTAAGGGAGGCGACAACGAGGTGCTAGCAGACGGGCGAGCATGCACTTGAGCGGACTTATGGTTATTTGGGAGCTCTAGCGTGTCGTTTGACCGGCATTGCAATACGTGCTTCAGGTAACAGTGACAGAGCCAATGATGACGATATCTGTCGCGAAAAGTACGCGGAACGCGCGACGCGTGGGATGCGCTCTCGCAGATTTTACATACGAGCCAAAGAGTTGCAGCCTTGACTTACGAAGGGCAAATTTTGGGTGCTCATGGTAGATCACAATGCATAGAGAGCGACGTGAAAATGGTATCTAATTTATTCGTAGAAAATTTGCAGACATGTGTACGGCATCCAGCCACGTACACGCTCCCGACCGACCATGACCATGACCATCTGTACCTCGTGACCTCGTGGTCGGGTATAACATCTGAGCTAAAATATGCATACAATGAAAGAAGCACCGTGTCCATGCTGCACTCGAACATGGCAACGGTTCTGGACTCATTTAATCGTCTAACGTGATCACCTCCCTGTTTTGTGGAAACTTCCCCGCTTCGCCATGGGCGGCTGCTGCTTGTGCTTCTGCTGCTGGCTTACAGGCGCTTTGGAGTTCTGCTGAGGTTTCTGCGGCGCACTCTTAGGCGCAATGCCGTTGGAAGGCCCTTGCTGCCTACTCTGTGTAGCGTCAATGACCTTGGCGCCGTCATCCTTGGCCCCGTCTGCTTCGACTGCAGGCAAATTGGCGCACTCGATCATGATTTGGTGCAGAGCGTCGAGGATCTGCTCCGGTTGACTGGCAAGGAAGCCCGCAGCTGTGTCATAGCACAGCCAGTCTCGAGAGCCGGTGATGTTCTGGAATATGCCCTGCTTGACCTTGTCTCGGACTGCATTCGACGCATAAGACGGTCTCTGATAGCTGCTGAGCTCCTCGATCGCATGGCGGATAGCGAACATGCTCTTCGCACCTTCCAACGGCAGTATCTCGAATCTTGCGAGCAGTTTCGAGGCAGACGCAGCGTCGATGGCCGCATCTTGCTTCACATCACTGACAGTGTAATACTGGAGCGCTAGCATCGTCGGCTGGCGTACCAGAACATGCAGGCGAGGTTGCTTGACGGAAGCGTCTGCTTCGTGCTGACTAGAGCTGTTCTGCAGTTCACGAAGTTTGGTCAACAAAGGGCTCATTATGGAGAGTATGCCGAGCATGTCCCGTAGTCTGCTCACGAAGGCTGTTTTGGTGTTGTTTAGCATTTCAGACAGAACGCCGTTGAGGCAGGTGCATGGGTTCGTTTCCGATGGCAGGAACGTGACACGTGCACCGCTGTCATCCGTCGGCGCTTGCAGCTTCAGAGACCATTCCTCGGACTTGTCGAACTTATATGCCAGCTCCATCGCATCAAATGAAAGATTCGTGATTGTGACAAATGGTGTTCTTTCCAAAGCCTGTGCCGTCATCACAACATCATGTAATCGTCGAATCTGCTGGGTAATATTGCTCAGTCTAATCTCGTCAAACGTTAGGGATAGGTGCAAGGCCAATTGATGATTCTGTGGGCTGAATTCGATGCTCGCGCTGGGACTTGAGTCGCTCAATCTTTTCATAACGCCAGCGTCTGCGAAGCATTTGAGCTGCACCAGGATTCTCGCTTCTTGCGTTGACGGATCTGTGTCCAGGAATCGAAGTTTGACGAACGTCCGCGCCTCTGTTGCCACTAACGGTGGGAGCCCGACCTGTACTGAGAATGTTGGCGACGAATGGCCTGAACCAAACATCGATAGTTGCGGCGCAGTCAGCTTCGTCTGCTCTTGCTGTGCGCTCTGAATGATCTTGTCCAGAGCCACGACCTTCGACGCGTATTGGAACAGGTCTGTAAAGTACTCCGCAGAAGAGGCGCTGTCGAACGACAGAGGTTCGGTATGCACGACTCTTGCCCCTGCCAACAAAGCTCCTCCAGAGTCCAGTTGGATCACAGAGAATGTATCACCTGTTGATCTATATGCTATGGCAAGCAAGTAGTGTCCAGCCCAGGTTGGATGAGCGAAGAAGTTTGTTCGGGACACATTCGAGCCAAACAGTCGTCGACTCTCCGAGAGCTTAGGCCGGAACGCAGGCAAGGCTTGCCAGAGACTGCCGGAGGTGCTGCTGCGCACAACGCCCTCTGCCACAACGCAACGGAAATGGGAGAACTTGGTTGTGAATTCTTCGACGAGGTTTTTGCTTCGGTTCAGATCGAGCTGAAATCGATTCGTCCTTTCCGAGGCTGGGCTAACAACAGCAATACCGTCCACTGCGCCAATGCTGACGCTGATGCTGGTTTCTTTGCCTGTACCTATCCGCAAGAAGCAGTCCTGTGGCGATTCATATGAGCTCTCTTGTTCGAGCAACAAGTCTGTTGTCCGAAACAGATCGCTTGACGCCAACTTATCATAGATGGCGTCAAGAATATGGGTGCAGTGTTGCGCAACCACCTGATTAAGGAAAACATCCAGAGATGCTGATGACGATGTTACATTTAACGTAAAGTCGTCGATTCGCTTGCCCTCCCGATACCATCGATAGCCAAGATATGATGACCGTAAATTGTCCTGTGCAGTAGCTCCACCGTCGGAGCTGTATATGCCTATTTCAAGCCATGATTTTGACGCTCGACGCTCGGCCCAATACTGTATGATCAGACTGCGACGGATTAGTTCCACTCGCAAGCTTCCCGCCCATTGATTGCGAGCCAGATCCAGAGCTTGTCTGTGCAATTCTGACAGGTGGTTCGAAAGGCTGAGTTGGTGTAGAAACTCGTAGCAGCCGGCAAGGCCGTCAGAAGCCAACTTGGCGTCTATCTGGCTCTCCACGTGCGCCCTCAAGTTTACCGATATCTTCGGACTCGGTTTGATGAGGAAACGAAAATCCACGGCTCGATAGGGCGATACGTCATCTTCCTCGAGGATGGAAAGATCGACTTCGAATTCGTTGGGCACCGTAAAGGTGACACGGCCGTCATGTATCCTATAGGTCCGTATCGGCTTCGGAATGAGGGGCTCTAGAGCGAGTCTTGCCGTCAGGATATTGTTGAGCCGATGCAGGGTCGAGATCATCCGCCTTTTCGAAAGGCGTTTCGTCTTATGATAGCCGAGGTTTGAGAGGGATGCCGCTCGCTGTAAGCTGAGTATCTCGCCAGCCGTGCGAATATCAGGGTTGGGTGTCTGCCAGCTTGTAGCAATAAACTTGAAAGTGTACAGCAGGTTGCATGCTGCGCTGTACGCGTCTCGCTGCTCCTGAAGCCACCAATTGAGACTAATCGTCTTTGATACATCCTGGACATTCTTGCTCCACTGAAGCAAGACGAGTAGCTTGATGAAGACAGCCTTCTGCTCGCTAGCGAAGTTCAGAATTCGGTCCTTCTTATCGAGATTCGCCTTGGTTTGGTTGTTGCTTTGCAGACTGTAAGACAGAGGTCGACCAGGATCTGCCGACTGTGCGGGAATGGCGATATCTGAAAGTTGGTCGACTAATTGATAGAGATCATTCCAGCAATTCTGGGCTGTCCTCCCAACGAGCGTGGCCATAGGAAGATAGTGGGCATCGCTAACACGGTACAAGGCGTCTTCCGGGGCTGCCTGATAGTCTCGCTTGGGCGCATGGAAGCCATTTGAGGCGCTATGGTTGCCATTTGTCTGGACATTGTTGCTAGATGGACTCTCCACCGACGGAGCTGTCGCGGCAGCTGTGGCTTTTAGCGCCTTTATGTCAGCCGGCGAAGGGGCTTTGGATGGCTGAGCGCCATTCGGGACTAGCTGGTCGTGAACGCGAGCAGGTTCGCCATTCATCGTGAGTATTGCCGCAGCGGGCGCGGCATTGCAGTGGGAGCAACGGGGAGCGCGCCGGTCCCTCGGGCTCTGAACGATGACTTGGGCTGCCTTGCTATTTCTTCAGATCATCCAACAGATGCCGTGATCGTAGAGTCACCCTCAGTCTCCTTCAAGCAAGAGCCGGCGCTCTGCCAACAGCTGTCGAGCGTCGGAGGATTCTGGGTGGAGTGCGGGCGGGTGGGAATCTGATACGGTCGGCAGGCTGGCAAGGGAGGCTTTCGGAAAAGGCTGGCGCAGTTGGGTTGAAGTCGCTACAGGCACAGAAGGAAGATGACTTTGCGCAGAAGGAGCTGCTCTGAAGTGGAAGGCGGCCTATGGGTTTGGAGAATGGTGTAAAAGTGATGAGGCAGAAACAAAGGCAGCGCAAGGTCTACTGGTGAGAGGATGAGAAGCAGCCCGATCGCTGGAGAGCCGCCGGGCGTCATTCTCATTTGCACGCTCGGAACCGATTGCGCTATGCCATCTGCGGACTAGCCTGCAAACACGCATTTTGGATCGTTCTTCACTGCATGTGGCTGTCAACTCAATTTCGTCCTCTTATTTACCTCCCAGCACACGTCCAGGTAGGGCGCTGGCAAGCTTGCGCATCACAAACGACATCAGTTTGCAGAGCATGACCGCAACCTTCGACTAGCGCGCTTAGCGAACAAGAAACGCAGGGCATGAGGAACAGAGTAACGACTGCGATGCATTCGTGGCTCACTCAACCCTACTAACGTGCAAGAGACCCCAGATTGGGCTCCAGTTTGCGCACACCATCAGGCACTGGTTTCAAGTTATAGATTTGTAATACCGAATGCCCAGGCACGGCACAGTCGAGGAGTGACAGTCAGTAGGTTGAAGTGACACGATCTGGGCAGTCACGGATAAGCTTCATTGTGCCCAAGGACTTTCATACAGAGCAGCGACGCACAACGACGGCTTCTTCTGGAGTCTCGCAGTGAAGTAGTGTATTATCATTATTCTCTGTCCTGAGTAGCCTCTCCCTCGAGCTCTTCGCCGATCCGGGGATTGTTCCGAACCCTGGCAAGTGGCGGGTGACCTTGGAAAAGATATCCGGTGCTATGCTATTCTAGAAATAGCACGCGCCGGGCGCGAAGTCACTGGTGGGTATGTCGGCGCATCCGGCTGACCATGATGACTTCCCTTCCTCGAAGCGCTCTGCCACTCGGTCACATATCAGTCCTGCAGTCGGCACTTCCAGAGGCCTCGCCAACCATGAACGATCCTCCGTGAACCTCACAGCCTCAAATATGGCAGAGTCTGGAGACTCTCCCACTTACGAAGGCGAAGACCGCCGACCAGCAAGCCAGAAAGAACTGTGGGGATGGTACAGCTATGGCTGGGCCGCAGAGACCTTCCCGATCGTCTGCATGGCATCGTTCCTGCCCATCACACTAGAACAGCTCGCAAGAGAGAATGGTGTGCTACTGTCAGACCGGACCACACCCTGCACAGCGTCCTGGAAGTCAGACGAAATCTCAATGAGCAGCAAACACAAAGAGTTACCCGCGTGCGTGGTAAACATACTGGGCGTTGAGGTCAACACCGCGTCTTTCGCTATGTATACGTTCTCGCTCTCTGTTCTGGTCCAGGCGCTCCTCATCATCTCCATGTCAGGTGCAGCAGACCACGGTCGGTTCCGCAAAACCTTCCTTCTAGCGTTCGCATTTGCAGGCGGGCTTTCAATGATGCTCTTCATCTTTGCTGTGCCTAAGGTCTACATGTTCGGCGCGCTTCTCGCCATTATCGGTAACACTTGTTTTGGGGCGTCGTTCGTTCTCTTGAACTCTTTCTTACCCCTACTAGTTCGACATCATCCTTCCCTGGTGAAGGGTTCCGATGGACTGGACGACGTGTCAAACGGGCATGCGAATGGAAACGCATCAACCTCTGCTGACGCTACGACACCTCTACTACCTGCAGACCGACCCGATGCCACACAAACTCCAAAGACCATTCCAGCTGCTGTCTCTCCGGAACTCAGGCTGTCTACACAGTTCTCTTCCTATGGCATTGGAATAGGATATATTGCTGGACTCCTCGTACAAGCCTCAGGCATCGTCATCGTGGTTGCATTGGGTTCAAGCACTTTCTCACTGCGCCTGGTACTGTTTGTTGCTGGCTTGTGGTGGTTCTGCTTCTCCGTCCCGCCTGCTCTTTGGCTGCGGCCACGACCGGGGCCACCACTACCAGCCGAATTTATGGGTCGTAATGCCTGGATAAGCTACGTCACGTACGCATGGAAGTCGCTCTTCAAGACAATTGGACGTGCTCGGAGACTCAAAGACCTTGTCATTTTCCTCGGTGCATGGTTCCTACTTTCGGATGGAATTGCAACTGTTAGCGGCACTGCTGTACTGTTCGCTAAGACCTCTCTGGGCATGTCCGCAGCTTCCCTGGCGCTGATTAACGTGATTGGCACATTAGCAGGCATCATCGGCGCGTTCTCGTGGAGTTACGTCTCAAGAGCTCTGAATCTCAAAGCCAGCCAGACGATCGTAGCATGTGTCTGCTTGTTTGAGCTGATTCCGCTGTATGGCATGCTTGGCTTCATACCCGCTGTCAAGCGATGGGGCGTCATCGGTCTTCAGCAGCCGTGGGAGATGTATCCATTGGGGGCGATCTACGGACTTGTGCTTGGAGGACTGTCAAGCTATTGCAGGTCATTCTTCGGCGAGCTGATCCCGCCTGGATTTGAAGCTGCCTTCTATGCTCTCTACGCTATCACCGACAAGGGAAGCTCCGTCTTTGGACCAGCGATTGTTGGCGCGATTACAGACCGGTATGGCTCGATACGACCTGCGTTCGTGTTCCTGGCGTGGCTGATTGCACTGCCGTTGCCACTCATGCTGCTGGTTGACGTTGATCGGGGCAAAGCTGAAGCTGCACTCTTAGCTGCAGAGCTTGAGGGGAAGGCGAAGGACGGAGATCCAGAAGAGCGGACAATCCGTTTGTTGGACGATGAGGACGAGCAGCGGTAAACTAATTGAAATGCCATTTTAATCGACACCAAGGCGCGACCCCAGGCTCGGCGCTGACATACTTGCAAGTTCCGCGGGACCACTTCCCTTCCCATCCTACGATGTGAGTCACGTCTTTGCCCCTGCAACTTCCATATACACTCTATTTCGTGCGCTGTGGTATGCTTGAATTTCGTCAGCGAGTGAAGCAACGGCTCTGGCTGTCTGTGTGCTTGAGTATTGCGCGGTGATGACATCAGTGGTGGCGCGGAGTTAACATCCATGTCTCTTGATGCCGAGTACAAATGCATATGCGTACGACAACCTTTGATATATATGCCACTCATGTAGAAACAGGTCAATTGACGAAACAGGTTCTTCAGAGTGCTCTGATCGACATCTACGACCTGGACAGTGTCTCTTCGGCACAATGGCCCGCATTCTGTGAGTGTTCTTTCCCAACTTGGATCGGGAACGAAGTAGAGACTGAAGGTCTCAGACTTGTTTCTGATGCCTTTGTCTCGCACTTCCATTCCGTCCTTCTATCCAACCTAGTCCTTCACTTCCCACGCACGTCCCGATCCAAGCTAACATAGAACGAAGCGTTACAGGCTCTGCAGACGGCCTTGGCAAACTCGCGGCCCAGAGCCTCGTCAAGCAAGGACATCAGGTGGTGGTCCATGCCCGCAATGAGCAACGCGCAAAGGAAGCAATGGAAGCAGTCCCGGAAGCGGAGACATGTCTAGTCGCCGATCTCTCGAGTGTGGCAGAGGTGAAGAAGATGGCCGCCGAAGCAAACAAGCTCGGTCGGTTCGACAGTGTCATCCATAATGCTGGCATGGGATATTCCTCGTCAGCTCCGACGTGGACGCCAGAAGGGTATGCCGCCACGTTCGCGGTGAACAGCCTCGCGCCCTATATTCTGACGTGTCTGATGGAGAAGCCGGACCGCCTGATCTATATCAGCAGCGGGCTGCATCGCAGCGGCAAGGACAACATGGCGCTCGACAAGCTAACGTGGAAGAATCAACGGTGGAACGGATTCCAAGCGTACAACGACACGAAGCTGCAGAATGTCATACTGGCGAACGCGGTGGCAAGAAGGTGGGCCAGGCCGTATTCGAACAGCGTCGACCCGTTGTGGCAGCCGACGAAAATGGGTGGAAGTGGTGCTCCTGGGGATCTGAGGGAAGGTATTGAGACTCAGGTGTGGTTGGCGACTAGTGATGAGAATGCGGTGAAAGTCAGTGGCAGGCATTTCAGGCTGAAGAAGGAGACGAGGCCAAATTCTGCGGCGTTGAGTGAGAAGACGCAGGATGCGTACTTGAAGGCTTGTGAGGAACTGTCTGGCGTGAAGTTTCCGGAGTAGAATATATCTATGATAATGACAGTGAGTTGCATGCGGCCCCTCCGAATGTGTGCTTGAGTAAATCAGCCCCAAAAGTCCAGCTACATGGCACCAGTAAAGGACTATCTGAAAATCTTGTCAACCGGTCAGCTCTTGTCCCCAAAATCGCTGCCTCAAAAATCTTTCGCCCAGAGCGCTGCATCTGCACACATGCCCTTTACCATTTCTATCAAGTTGCCATATCACGTGTACCATCGGTTTTCGCGACTCTGTCACTCATTCACTGGCGTTTCGGGAAGATGCATCTGTGGTCTCGCTAATTCAAGTCGTTGACGAGGATGCCACGGGCGGCAAACATCTCCAATGTGGAGAGATCTTTCATTCTTGAGGCCTTGTCGCAAGGAGTAAGGCTTGATGGACGAGGTCTGAATGATGCTCGCAAGGCGGATTTGACCTTTGGCGATGGGTATGGGAGTGTCACATTGCGGTTGGGCAAGACCAGGATACTGGTACAGATCTCTGCAGAAGTCACCAAGCCGTTGGAGGATAGGAAGTTTGATGGCATTTTCACCATCAACACTGAGCTCAGCCCAATAGCGTCCGCTGGGTTTGATGTTGGACGGTAGGCAACACTCATCAGAAGGAGGTAACCTTTGCTAATCCTACAAAGTCCGTCAGAGCAGGAGGTGATTCTCTCCCGGATGCTCGAGAAGGCAATCAGACGATCACGCGCCATCGACACAGAGGCCTTGTGTATCGTGGCCGGCGCCAAGTGCTGGTCGATCCGGGCGGATGTTCACGTCCTCGACGCAGATGGAGGTCTGATTGATGGCTCATGTATTGCCATCATAGCCGCCCTACGACATTTCCGACGGCCTGATGTCTCTGTCAATGGCGAAGAGGTCACTATCTACGCCTACGCCGAGCGTACACCTGTTCCACTGAGCATCATGCACACGCCGATATGCTTCACGTTCAGCTTCTATCATGGTGGGGAGGTTGTGATACTGGATGCGACTCACAAGGAGGAGCAGGTCAGTGAGGCGGAGATGATTCTGACGGCGAATGACTTTGAGCTGTGTCAGATTGCGAAGTTGGGAGGAGTATCGGTCGATCCCATGGTGATGCTCAAGCTGACTATGCTGGCACTTGCGAAGGCGAAGGAGACGAACACATTGATCACGCAGAAACTGGCAGAGGAGGCTACGAAGCGTGACGTTAATGGTCTCATCGGGGAGCTGAGGGCGGAGAATGAGCGCTTTGAGAAACCACTGGGTTGACGGCCGGGCAAAGGCTGGCGATGTCACGCATGGTCCGATGAAATACAGCCAGACGGAAGCCGAGTCTTACGAAGACTAGAGACCGGTGGACCACCAAGCACAGCCTCATAAAATCGCTACACCCACAGCATTCTCTGCCGTTGCGGAGGAATCGAGGCAAGGCAGGATAAACTAGATGGCAGAAGTGATTCGAATACGCCTGAGCCGGCTGACGAGAGGTGGTCTTCAAGCACCTAGCACGGTAATGATGCGGGCTTCAGGCCTAGTATAAAGCCCATCAGGTATGTGGTCTGCCTCGATCTGTGTTAGCTACGGCCATCCTGCGTCCTCCCGATGCGCAGGAACTGCGCCTTACACATGAAGATGGGGTTTGCGAAGTTCATCGAAGAGGTCCGCGGGTTCATTTATCGGGCATGGACAACGGGCGAGAAGGACGCCTTTGAATGGTCAGTCCAAATAAAGAAAAGCTGCGCGGGCTTGGCTGCCGTACAGCAGCGCTGGAACTTGCCCCAAGAAAAAGTCTTGGGGTGCATCGTCCATCCTATAGGCGTTGGCTATACCGAGCCACCCCTGTAGAACCACCTGTATTCACTATTGCCTGAGTTGGACCCCTAATTCGCCCACCTGCTACGCTGTTTCAAGGTTCCTGTGAAGCTCCGCTTGTCCTGCACCTTTTCGAAGCGAGTGAGGCTCAGCACTAGGCCAAGTCAATCGGCATTCGACTTTGGCTGCGACTCTGCATGCTGCCGTCCACTGCGCCGCTGAGCTCTGATCTCATTCGGAGCGCAAACGACATCTCTATCACAACCTTCCACCCTTCCTCGCGCATGTATTATGGCTTCATGAGAGGTAACGAGGTCGCAAACGCAGTCGAATTGCGACGTAGTGCTGCCTCCCCCTCATAATGTCGAACAACCCGTACCACAACGGAGGACCCTCACGAAGCAACCCTTTTGACGCAGGCGGCTCATACAACACCGGCCAACGGCCACCAGCGGAGGCGTATTCCATAGAAGACGATTCAGACGAGCCCCAACCCCGACCCTCCACGAGTTACGATGATTTCGTCGGCGCCAGGCCGCAGGCTTCTTCGAGCAACCAGGCCAACACGTACAATCCTCCCAGACCATTCGCTCCAAGCTACAACGAGAGGAACTACTCCCAAACGTCTGACTTGAACAACTTCGCCCGCTACCACGATGCCGACGACTATGGGGACGATGAGTCTACGTACCAGAAATACTATGACCAAGCGGGTCGTACCGATGACGATATTCCGGGCGGTAGAGTCAACGTGGTACAGAGTGGTCATGGGCGCAATAGGAGCAGTGTGTTGTCTATGGGCGGGTCAATCATGGACAAAGCAAAGGGCATGCTCGGCATGCGACCCGAGAACCAGTACTCGGACATGAATCTACCACTCACCGATAGCGCCGGACGAGGACGTACAGATACGGTCGGAACAGAGGACGCGCCATCGAGTAGAGAGAGCAAGCCCTTCATCGATCGCATCACCGGCATCTTCAGCAAGAAGATCGATCCCGCGTCTCTAGGACCACGATTCATCGCCCTGAACAACCCGGCCGAGAACTCAGGACATGGCTGGGTAGACAACCATATCTCAACAACGAAGTACAACGCAGCCACCTTCCTTCCAAAGTTCTTGTACGAACAGTTTACAAAAGTCGCCAATCTTTTCTTCTTGTTCACGGCGGTCTTACAGCAAATACCAGGCGTCTCGCCCACGAACCGATATACTACCGTCGTGCCGTTGTTCATTGTTCTACTCGTGTCTGCGATCAAAGAGGCGTACGAGGACTACCAAAGGCTGCTGGCCGACAGAGGTCTAAATTATTCCAAAGCGCTGGTACTGAAGAATGGAGGATTCCAAACTACAAAATGGATCAACATAAAGGTCGGCGACATAGTGCGAGTCGAATCAGAGGAGCCGATCCCGGCCGATCTGGTTCTGCTCGCCAGCTCGGAGCCCGAAGGACTTTGCTACATCGAGACGGCGAATCTGGATGGTGAGACCAACCTCAAGATTAAGCAGGCCATTCCTGAGACATCTCATCTGATCAATCCGAATGATCTGTCACGAATGTCGGGTCAGATCAAATCGGAACAGCCCAACAGCAGTCTCTACACGTATGAGGCCACGTTGAGATCGAATGTCACGCAGCAAGACAAGGAACTGCCGCTCAACCCTGAGCAACTTTTGCTCCGAGGTGCCACTCTCCGAAATACACCATGGATCCACGGTGTGGTCGTATTCACTGGCCACGAATCGAAGCTGATGCGGAACGCAACTGCGACGCCGATAAAGCGGACTGATGTGGAGCGAATGCTCAATTTGCAGATTGTGATGCTCATCGGAATTCTCCTTGTTTTGAGTGCCATCAGCACCGTGGGCGATCTCATAGTCCGTGGCAACCAAGTGAAGAAGCATTTCTACCTGGAGAGTGTGATTGGAGACTACAACACGGCAGAACAATTCTTTCTCGATATGGGCACATACTGGGTACTTTATTCGAACCTAGTGCCACTATCGTTGTTTGTGACCGTTGAGATTGTGAAGACTATCATGGCCTTTATGATTGCAGGTGATTTGGACATGTATCATGTCGAGACGGATACTCCAGCCGTGTGTCGAACATCATCACTTGTCGAAGAGCTGGGACAAATCGAGTACATTTTCTCGGACAAGACGGGCACGCTGACTTGCAACATGATGGAGTTCAGGCAATGCTCAATAGGCGGTATAATGTACGCTGATCAAGTGCCTGAAGACAGACGTGCATCGGGTCCGGACGACTACGAAGGCATCCATGACTTTAAGCAGCTTATCGCGAATCAACAAGGGCACGAGACGTCGTTCGCTTTGCATCACTTCTTGGCACTGCTGGCAACCTGCCACACGGTCATTCCAGAAGTCAAAGATGAGAAGGAGATCAAGTATCAGGCGGCGTCGCCAGACGAGGGTGCTTTGGTGGAAGGCGCCGTGCAGCTCGGCTACAAGTTCGTCGCCCGAAAGCCGCGATCAGTGATGATCGAGGTCCATGGGCGACAAGAAGAGTATCAATTGCTCGCTGTCTGTGAATTCAACTCTACACGAAAGAGGATGTCTACCATCTATCGCTGTCCAGATGGAAAAGTGCGCGTATACACGAAGGGTGCCGATACGGTCATACTGGAGCGCTTGGGAAAAGACAACCCAGTTGTGGATGCCACGATGCACCATCTTGAGGATTATGCCACAGAAGGACTTCGTACCCTGTGCCTTGCTATGCGTGAAGTTCCAGAGAACGAGTATCGTGAATGGCAAGCCATCTATGACAAAGCCGCAGCCACCGTTGGTGGCAATCGAGAAGAGGAGCTCATGAAGGCTGCGGAGATCATTGAGCGCGATTTGTACTTTCTCGGCGCGACTGCCATCGAGGACAAGCTTCAAGACGGCGTGCCGGATACCATTGCGACTCTCCAAACTGCCGGCATCAAGATCTGGGTGCTTACTGGAGACAGGCAAGAGACTGCGATCAACATCGGCATGAGCTGTAAGTTGATTAGCGAGGACATGACACTTCTCATCGTCAACGAGGACTCAGCACATGCGACGCGGCAGAATATACAGTCGAAACTGGATGCGGTGCGTAGTGCTGCAGCGAATGGCGAGAACGATACCCTGGCTTTGATCATCGACGGGAAGTCACTGGCTTTTGCGCTGGAGAAAGATCTTGAGCGTCTATTCCTCGATCTAGCACTGATGTGCAAGGCTGTGATCTGTTGTCGAGTATCCCCGTTGCAGAAAGCTGATGTGGTCAGACTGGTCAAGCGCAATCTAAAGAAGTTACTGCTGGCCATTGGCGATGGTGCCAACGACGTGTCTATGATTCAAGCTGCCCATGTCGGCGTCGGAATCAGTGGTCTCGAGGGCCTGCAGGCTGCCAGAAGCGCCGATGTGTCCATTGCACAGTTCCGTTTCCTGCGAAAACTCCTACTCGTCCACGGCGCATGGAGTTACCAACGTGTCAGCAAAGTTATCCTTTACTCGTTCTACAAGAACGTCATCCTGTACATCACACAATTCTGGTACTCGTTCCAGAATCTGTTCACCGGCCAGATTATCTACGAATCGTGGATCTTGTCTTTCTACAACGTCTTCTTTACGGCGCTTCCGCCTTTGGCGATCGGAGTCTTTGACCAATTCATCAGCGCTCGCCTCTTGGATAGGTATCCACAACTATACCAGCTTGGGCAGAAAGGCACATTCTTCCGCATGCACAGCTTCTGGACATGGATGGGCAACGGCTTCTATCATTCGATTCTATCCTACGTTTTCTCGATATACTTCTTCCGGGACGATCTAATACTCAGCAATGGCAAGATTGGCGGCCACTGGCTGTGGGGTACATCCACGTACACGGCCGTGCTCATCGTGGCTCTCGGCAAGGCGGCACTGGTCACTACGATCTGGAACAAGTGGACTTTCGCTGCGATACCTGGCTCGCTGGGTATCTGGCTGGCGTTCATCCCCTTCTATGGATGGCTCAGCCCGAGACTAGGTGGCGGTCTGACTACGGCGAACGAGCTAGCTGGCATTGTCCCGAAAATGTTCGAGTCACCGATATTCTATGCGCTGTGTCTGGTGCTGACGCCAGTGTGTCTTGTGCGCGACTTCGCGTGGAAATATGCGAAGAGGCAGTACTTTGCGCAAGATTATCATGTTGTGCAGGAGATCAGCAAGTATAATGTGGCGGACTATCGACCGCGAATGGAGCAGGTAAGTCTGCTGGATACTTGTGCTGGTATATACGCTAACACAATATGTGCAGTTCCAGAAAGCAGTTCGGAAGGTGCGCCTGGTGCAACGACAGAGAAAGCAAAGAGGGTATGTTCCGGCTTTCTCCTGGTACTTTGAACAAGTCACTGACCATGACCTAGATATGCTTTCTCCGCCAATGATGACGGCGGGCAGATGCGCTTGCTCAATGCATATGACACGACGAAAGAGCGTGGACGTTATGGTACATATGAGGCGAGCTCACAAGCAAGATGAGGTAGCTAGCCTGTTCTGCACGGTGTGGTGTCTCACTGCTTCGTGGAGACTGATGTGTTACGCGGAAGGTTGTCAAAATGCTTTGAGCGACGAGCGAGATGTGTAGTTGAATGCCATATTTGTACTACAAGTGATCTGCTGAAGTACCTGATCCTGGGAAACCAGGTACCAGGTACCGCAGGTGTCCCGATGGCCTCGTGCCTCCGGTCAGCGTCATTTCGGATCGCTCGGGCATCAACGAGGGAATCCTGAAACAGACTAGAGCCGGGTCCCGGAAACGCTAGGTTTATGGGACGTTTGGGGTCGCACGTGGCAGTTCTTGCGCTTCAGCCAGGGGCCCAAGTGACCGAAGTCTTCCCAGACGTTGGGTCCATGATGGCCTGGAAGTTGGTCTCCTGTTGCGCGAAAGTCTAGAGAAGCATCGTCAGTAAGGGGCGCCCGGCAAGCACAACAATCGACTTTGTCTCTTAAAAGATTGACAGACTATGGTCGCAGCATCAGCCCTGCATGTTTTGAATGTGCCTGTACCCATGCACGTCAGGGCCAAGTTGAACCCTGGCATTCAGGTTCTCATCACAGTGACTTGGAACTACTAGCACTACCACCACCTCCACTCCTTGTCTGAGTCCCGCCTCGTTATCTCACCTCCGCTCGTTTTTCTCGCTTTCCGTCCCAAGTGCAATCACCTCAGGCGGGCCTGACGTGTATGCACTACTTGCACGACTCGAACACGTTGTCGACTACGATTTGAATGATGCCTTGCATGTTGTGTCGCTGTTGTACCTAGAATGACTACGCACATGTGAAAGTTGGCACTACCTCCTCTCCAACGACCCCAAACGAGAACATGCCCTTTGCCAGCCTCCGCAGTCGACCTGCGACAGGCGATAGCAGCAAGAACCACCGTCACACAATCTTCGATGCCTCGCCTCCACCGAAACGAGAGGCAAGAGAGAAGGATGGCAAACTCGGGGATCGCAGGAGTGTGCACCTGCCCAAGTTTAACTCGATGGATTTCGGGCCGCCCCTCATGGCCAAAGAAGAAGCCACCCCCTCCTCGCGACCATCGATACAAGTAGACCCGGCAGAGCCAAGCGACAGCCGCGCAACAGAGAGCGTTTCAGTAAGCACGACTGCTACGAGAGACGACGATGCCGCGTCCGTGATCGAGACGCCGGTCGAAGAGCCCTCGCGACCAAGTCTTGTGGTGCCAGACGCCGATCCCAATACTCGCCCGAAGCGATTCTCTCTGCTGAGGTTCAAGAATGCGTCGGATTCACAGCTCTCCTATCGGTTCAAGAAACCGGCAGTGGATGCAGATGACATTCCCCCCACTCCCGCGATCATAAAGACGGCCCCTACAGTCGATGCCACGGCCCAAGATCCCGACAAGTCTATACAAAAGCTGTTCGCACGTCGAGCACCCAGCCCATTTCGGCGGAACGGTCCCACCAAGGGGACCATGCGTGGCTTTGAATCAGTGCCGGAGGGGCACAGCACTGTCGCTGCCTCAACGCCGAACCTTGGTGGCTCGGTAGATGGGTCGGTGGACCAGGACCGCACCCAAGCCAGCTCCCAAGGTCCTCCTGCTTACGGAGACACAGCGGGCTCGCAGCTTGCCATACCAATCGAACGACTTTCCGACCACTCCTCGCGGTCAGATGGAAGCTCAGGCGAAAGGCTGTATGCAAGAACGACTACCACCCAAATTACACATACCACCACGACCTTCTTTAAGCTGAAGCGGCGGAAGAAAGACAAGGGACCTCTCTTTCCGCTGCCGGAGAAAGTGCAACCCACCTCAGAGCGTCCCAGTTTCTCAACGGCTGGCTTCGAGGGTGGCCGCTCGTCCATGTCTCCTAGCAGGAAGTCGACCTCTGCCGTCAGATTTCGGGATGCAGATTCGGGTGCTGCCTCGCCAACCCATTCCATGACAGCCTTGACGAATGCACCTTTTGGCTCCCCAGGACCATCAATTCTGCGCAAGGAGTCGACGCACTCTGGCCACTCCACTCCTCCTACATTGATACCTCCTAGACTAGGTGCACGAGGCCGTTCGTCGACATTGAGCTCGCTTCACAAATCAGCAGAGCGACTCGTTGACCAAACACAGCCCGGCTCAACTCGCACCTCTACTTCAACGACAGGCAGAAGAAGTTTCGGTGATCTGCTCTCGCTTCCACACCGGCTGAGACAGAACTCGGCGCCTCCACGGCATGCTAACAGCACGCCGGGGACGCCGGCTTCCAAGTCGAACTCGCTACAGATACCGCGAGAGGAAGTCCCTGAATTGATCTACCCGAAACGTGATGAGTCTGATACGCCTGCTTCCTACCTTGAGAGGCTGGAAGCTGCCATCCCGCGAGGCTCGATGGCAACAGTCCTGTGCAAGACTGCTGATGAATTCTCCAAGACGTGTCTACGGAAGTACATGCGTGGTTTCTCGTACTTCGGAGAATCTGTCGACATGTCCATCAGGAAGATGCTGATGGAGGTCGAACTCCCCAAAGAAACACAACAGATCGACCGCCTACTGGCCGGCTTCGCTGATCGATACTTCGAATGCAATCCTGGCATATTCGCGTCTACCGATGAGACCACCTTCGTCGCATTCTCAATCCTGCTTCTACACTCTGATACTCACAACAAGAACAACAAGAGGAAGATGACAAAGCACGATTACTTCAAAAACACCCAGCAAGGTCCCGTCACGATATCCAGCGACATACTCGACTGCTTCTACGATAACATCTGCTATACGCCCTTCATACACTTTGATGACGAGGTCGCAGTCAACAGCCATCGTCTATCTGCACCGCGGCCAAAGAAGAGTCTGATGAAGGTTAAGAGCTCAGAGAAGCTTAGAGGGCCTGTGGATCCATACTTGCTGATTCTTGACAACAAGCTGGAAGTCCTGCGGCCTCCGATAAAAGAGATTCTAGATATTGAGGATACTTACAAGGCTACCGGAACTGCTCCAGCATTCGATATACCTGAGCTGCATCGGGCATTCTTGAAATCCTCAGTCCTGCAGATTGTGTCAGCGCGATCGCGCCCGGATGCTTTCATGTCTCAGGCAGGTATTCACAATCCCGGCGAGGCACAGGCAGGTCTGGTCAGCATAAAGATTGCTAAGGTCGGCCTATTGTGGCGCAAGAATCCCAAGAAGAAGAAGACGTCGAGTCCATGGCAGGAATGGGGCGTTCTGATCACGGACTCGAAGCTATACTTCTTCCGTGATGTCGGGTGGATCAAGAGATTGATCGCTCAGCAAGACCAGCATGCGAAAGTCGGCAACAAGACAACGGCATTGATCTTCAAGCCACCCGTACATGACTTCAAGCCTGATGCGCTCATTTCTGTGGACGATGCAGTAGCACTGTACGATACAAGCTATAAGCGGCACAAAAATGCTTTGGTACTACAGAAGCATGGCAACTTGGAGGAAGTGTTCCTTGCGAATTCTGAGGCAGATCGAAATGACTTCATCCAGAAGATCAATTATGCGTCAACGTTCAGATCAGCCGGCGTCCGCATGCGAGGTTTGCTCGGAACGGGCTATGAAGGCAGGCAGCTTTTCCGCAAGGACTCGGAAGTCTCGAACAGAAGTGCAGAAACTGCAAAGAATGCCACACCCATGTCGCCTTTCCAAGACCCACAGGCTGCATGGGAGATCATGTTCTATCGTCGACAACTTGTGCATGAGAAGCTCAGCGAGTGGGACGAGCGGATCGCAGTCGCGCAGAAAGAGCTGGATGCTCTGCTTAGGAATGCAAGAGGCCTGGCACTATGTCTGCCGATCCAGCAGAAGACAAGAGAGTCTGTCGTGCTCGCCGCTGGGCGGATGACTGCGAAGCTGAAATGGGCGCGCGTTGAGCTATGGCGGCAGAAGACGCATCGTGAGATCCTAGCCATGGACTTGGAGCAGGAGTCCGCCACCGATTTCCCAGCACCCAAGGGCACTCCTCAGAAGTTGACGCCTCTAAAGTCAAGCCAGCAGAGTCTGACCCGGACGGATACCGATGGCACCAACTTGACCTTATCGCCCACGTCGACGAAGCCGATGACTAGTCGTCGGGCCTCATTGACACCTCTTGAGCAACCATTGGACGGGACTGCGGAAAGGCCGACGTCGATGCATGGGAGTCCAAAGGCTATCCAGGAGGCATTTCCCACTGGCAGACGCGAGTCGCGACCTGAGATCGTGCCCCATGACAGCATCCTCTCGCAGCGAGTCATCCCAGAAGAGCAAGAAAACAAGATCGATGCAGGTGAAGAGCGCGTGCTACGGGAAGCTGGTTTGCTTGGCGTGGACGGTGACGTGTCAAAGAGCAAGGAGAAGCGCCCAGACACGAGTGAGTCCGAGCGAGACCGCGTCGGTGCTATCTCGCCATCTTCCGACCACTTCCTACGAGATCGAGGCACCAGCGTTCGTCGCAGTCTACAACGAAGCCTTCGCGAGCACAGCCATCCACACCACGCATCGCCATCCTCGCACCGGCACAAGAAGGCGCGCGAATCAGGGTCTAGCGCTATCACTGAGGACGGGATCAAGAGCACGCATAGTGGTGAAAGCGAAGAGCTCCGTCGCGGTACAGGCAGCTTCATTCTCCATGGTAAGAAAGCTAGTGTCATTACCATGGGAGATGAGTGGCGGAACATGACTGCCGAGGAGCGCATTCAGATGCGAAACAAGAATAAGGTGGCAGAGGATGGCATCGCCGATGACGGAACCGCCAGCATTGCTTCGCGAGCCAGTAGTAGGCTGGGCGCGGCTAGTCTTGCAGGGAGCAGCATCAGAGAGGGTAACGATACTCGCATGAGTGTTGCTACGGCAGCGGATGAGTTTGTGGACGCGAAGACGAGCTTTGATGGGAAAGGCAAGGGTAGGGATAGCTTGTTCGTGGATGCAAAGGACTTTCGCAGCAGTATGGATAGTCGAAGCATTCGGGAGGAGAGTGACGAGGACGGGTCGGACGCCGAAGACGAGACGATGATGCAGGTGGAGAAGAAAGACCTCGACGAGGAAGATGATCTGGACTTGACGACTACGAATTCTACAGGGGCGCCTGGGCCGGCTGTATCACACTGAGAATTTTCTATGGCGTCGAGAAAGGACTGTGACTGCCGCCAACGCGGCCTCGGAATGACAGTTGGTGACGTGGATGTATCGGATCTGGTGCAGGGAGCCAATGTTGCCCTCTTCAGGGCGTCACAGCCACGATGGAAGGAAGCATTGCCGGAGTTCGGGTATCCGGAAAAAGCCAAATGGGATGTATGCATAGCGACGAGTGTTATGGTAGACTAAGATAGATGTATCTAGTGGCGCTTGCCACGGCTTGATGGCTCAGCATGATGTTCTTGCTTCTCGTGCTCCGTGACCCGTGGAAGTCGCTCGAGGGAAGTGGATTCTTGGCGCCTGGTATAAAATCCGCTGGGGGCGCGCTCTGGGAGATATCTGAATTCAGAGGCCTCCTCTGCCATCTTGGTCGATCCTTCTCAACGGGCCTGGCAGTGACGATTGGCAAGTAAAACGTGGCCAGAAGCAAGTGAAGTGCAGGTGAGGTCGCAGTCGATGACACCGTTCGGTACGAAGTCGCGACGCTGGTTGTCGTGGAGAACATTCGGTCTAGGCGTGCTTGCCCTAAAATGGCAAAATGGCAACATGACGTAGCGCCAGCCTCCTCGACCAAAAGTCGGGTGAGCCTCGCCTCCCTTACCAGCCACCTGCGCATGAAATAGTCTGGGAGTGACCGCAAATATCTTGTCGACCTCAATAGACGTGCACAACTAAGCTGAGTGTTCTCTGTCACATATTGACAACAAGAACCGCCATCTGATTATTCTCAAGTGGTAGCGGAAGCCAGTGCATGAGCAAACTTCACACCTCCGGCATTCGACCCACGAGGTCACATTCCTGAACAGAATGCCACCCGTTCTCTCACTCACATCCGATGCCCGGTCATCGTCATTAGACCTTCCAACGTACCTTTCATCTCTCACCTTTGCCGAAAGACAAGCTCTCGACGCCCCGTCAGATTTCCTCCAGAACACCAAAAGAAGCCACACCACATCAACACTCCAGTCACTCGCCTCAAGATCCTTGACTGCACGCGATGCAGCCCATACCACGCACATCAACCCCAAAGCGGGTGGCGTGGACCCCAATGCAATAAACATGAAGGGCGTCCAGGCTGCTTTCGCTCTCATCGGCGTCGGATTCGTTGTCTTGATCATCTGGTTCTTCTTCTGGGCGAAGAACGGCGGATTTCAGTGGAAGAAGAATGATTGGGAAGAGTACAAGTCGACAGTCTTGAGACGGAAGGGACCCAATGGTACTACACTCAGTAATGCAACAAAGAGCACAAAACTAGGTGGCGGTAGCGTCGTCGGTCAAGGCTACAGTGACGACGGCGCATCTTGGACGGGTACAGAAAGCGTGACCGAGATGTCCTCAGAAGCACCGGTCATGAAGGAGAAGAACAAAGCACGCAGCAAGAAGGCAGGAGCGAAGGAGGCCAAGATCCGTCAGGTGCAAGAGAGCCGATGGGAAGGTGGTCACGACGACGATATGCGTGCCTACCGACACGAGAAGCCTGCCAAAGTTGGTGGCATTAACCGGGAATCAGAGGCAAAGTTCTACGGCACAGATTACACGGCGACAAATGCATCCGAGACCCGCTCGAACGTTCGGCGAGACTTCTCATATGGTCAGGAAAGCGACTTCTCTACTCCCCAGCACGAGCCTCAACCACCCAGACCACCTCGTCATGCATCTCCGAGCAAAGCCAGAGTCAACCGACAGAGTGTGCCAGGCAGCTACGCTGAGCCATTGGACTTCTCGGATACTCAAAGCCAGAACACAAAAAGCTACCATCACCCCATTCCAGGTCTCGGCAAGAACGCAAACGGAGGCTTCAGACGGAACAGAGACGATCCATTGGCCGACTGAACATGCGTTGAAGCGTCAGTGGTCAGGAAATTAGGAATGGCATACGATTGACGACACTGAGACTGTACACAACCATTTCCGAGCGTAGCATATCCAGCCGGCGTGCTGCAGAGGGTGCAAAAAGGACTCTAATGGCATAGCTCCTGTAGATAGACAATGAAAATCATTGCTACTCACTATTGTGAAGTCGACCTGTCTCCCAATAATATCAACGATCCATGTTGTTCTCCGCGGGAATCTAATCGGCGACCTCGGCGACTGAGTCGCCCCGCTATCATATAGTCCACGATCTGGTCTTCGAGAGCAACACGTCACATTATCATCTTCACACAACGACAGAGTTACAAAACGCATACTTGAAAACTACAAAGGCCGAGGTCGAGGCCAAATTGTTCAAATCAGAAGCGATTATTAAAACCAAATTCGCCCACAAAACCTCTGTCTGCTTACCCAACGATCAAGCCGGTACAGAACCACTATCTGCCAATATTCTACCAGCTCACTCAAGAAGCCTCTCAACATGTGCATGAAACGCACCTGCACGACCTGCCGTAAGTCGCATCGCACCCAACCTATCGCATCCATACATCGCTTCATTTAAACCATTGTCGTGCCTTCCAATATGCACCTTCCCAGACTGACGCGAAATACAGAGAAGGCAACCTGGTGGGGCTGTGGCCAACATATCCCCTCCGTGATGGACTCCATTCCCGAGGAAGAGCGCTGCACCTGTGCACCGAAGACCACGGTTGACGGGAAGGAGTACCCGCCGAAGCAGGGAACGGGGAGCGCTGCTAAGGGGGAGCTCTGACTAGCCGGCCTGGGTGGCGGAGGAGCGGGCATCGAGGGGAGGAACGGTGAGCGTGGCGGGCTCGATGCAGAGGCTATGGACCTGTACGTGGACGATGACGGGGCAGGGGTGGTTGATGAAGGTGGGGAGAAGGAGCTGAAGGGGCACTTTGAGCGGTTGTGTCAAGGACTGAGGGCCGCCGAGGATGTGGCATGAGGTTCATGGTTATTGGGGTAGCTTACGCTGTGGCACGGTCGGCTGCTTTGGAATATGAGCCACGACCTGTGCCCACGACACTGCGGCCAAACCACCGACGCTCTTGTTCGGCAGCTTTTGTGAGCAGGTTTATTTTCAGTTGCGATTCTGTCAACTGTTCTGGTTTCTCTCATGTGAACACGATCCCACCATCAATCACAACAGTCTGTCCCGTGCAGAAGTCGCTGTCCTTACTCGCCATCCATCCGCCGACAACATCTCCAACATCCTCAGGAACACTCACCCTGCCCAATGCCGTCAGATCCCCGGCGTACTTCTGCACAGTCTCGCCCTTCGGCCTTCCCTCAATCTCGCCCAGCTTCTCATCGATCAGATCCCACATCGCCGTTCCTACGATCCCAGGCGCATAAGCGTTCACCCGGATCTTATGCCTTGCCATTTCCATGGCAAAGACTTGGGTGAAACCCCTGACAGCCCACTTGCTGGCGCTATAATGGCTCAACAGCGGGAAAGGCTTGAACGCAACAATGCTCGCAGCACCTAGAATCTTGTACGCACTCTCCCCCTCCGGTCGATCACCCTGCTCGATCATCTGCCGCGCAGCATGCGTATAGCAGTTCCAGACTCCAATGAAGTTGACATTGAACATCTTGACAACGTCCTCGTCAGAGATCTCCAATACGGGCGTGACTTGAGCGATACCAGCGTTGGCGACCATGACGGTCAGGGGCCCGAGTTTGGAGACGGATTCGGCGATCATGGCCTTGACTTCGCTGGATTTGGTCACGTCGGCGACGATGCCGTGGGCTGCATTGGCGCCGTGTTGGGAGTTGAGCTCAGAGACGAGCTTGTCGATGCCGGCTTTGTTAGCGGAGACGTCGTTGATGCACACGCGGTAGCCTTCTTTGGCGAGGCGGCGGGCGATGGCTTCGCCGCTGGGTGGTATTGTCAGATCATGGCATAAAGGAGGGCACTCGTGGTGGGTGAACGTACATTCCTCGGCTTGAGCCGGTCACGATGGCGGTCTTTTGGGAAGACATGATGGTCGATTAGGCTCCTTCACTGCTGTCGGTGGACAGTATTGAGTCCCAGGCGGCCGGACGTTGAATATCAATAACAAGTGTCGAATGCTGAAGTGCCACACCTACTCTGGCAGGCACATGTAGGATTTTGTACATATTGTGACGGAAGGTACAGGACCTGTCACAGAGCTGTCTTCCCCTCATCTCGGAGCCATGGAGGCTGTCAGTCCTCAAGGGGTAACTGGGCATCAGGCCTAGCCGCGTGGTGATGCAGCAGACATGTTTGTACCGCGTCACAGGCGAGTCAGAGGACTCTTGTTGGTAGGTCCGGAATATGTGATCATGATGCGGGGTACTGGCTTTGATGGAGATATCGCGAACCTTCGCGAGTTCTTTCCTCCACGTTAGCTGCGCAACAGGGCCGTTGAGCCGGGCAGGCGCGTCTCTGCTCGGAATTGAGCCGCATTGGTGAAGTAGCGTGACATGTGAGGAGTCAGTGGTTCCTGAATCTGATTGCCTCTTTCGGGGCGCCCAGAATAGTCTTGGCGGTAGGACTTACAGCACCCATTGACGCAATGCTATAGCACGAGAAGCCTCCTGTCCGTGGTATGTCATCGTGGTCTGCTTCTGGACTGCGCGTGTGCCATCGCTTCCTGTCAGATATGGGAGTCGCCAGCACTGGGTGTTGATCGACTCCAAGTTTTGTATCAGTCCATGAACTTGCAAACCGGCAGTCGATACTGCTCGACGTTCCAGTACTTCCGTTTCACACCCGTCCAGGCTGCACCAAGGTTTGGAAGGTCGAAATCAGTCCACTCGACGTCAAAGCCTGCCTCCATGAGGTCGATCTCGACAATTTTCTGGTAGACATCGTAGCTGATCTGACGATCTGCTCCCATGCCATTGAAATACGACCAGTTGCCACCCTGGTCGAGCAATCCGATGAGTTGCTCCGAGAAGAATTCTTTGAAGTCGTGGTAGGACTCGGCGAATGTGTCGTAGTAGATCGCGTCAAATGTTTGACCTTCCGCGACAAGTTCAGGCAAGACATCCTGCCACTTGCCCTCGTGGATGAATACGTTTGGCTTATCTTGCCAGCCTTTCGATTTGAGGTCTCGGAGTACATCCGGATGTGCTTCGACGGTGTGATGCTCAGCTGGTTTGTTCATGTGCGACTGGATATGTGTGTCAATGATGCCCATCCCGAAACCGATGTTCAGGATCTTGAGGCCAGGCCTGGAGAGAAGCAAATCCGCAGAGCGCGCCATGATGTCGCTCTCCCATTTCATCATGACACCGTTCTGTGATTCGTCCAACAGCATCTCGTCGTCGAAGGACAGTGCGGAAGACAGATATGCCTTTGAGTCGACATCCTCCGTACTTGCCTCCAGTAAGCCCTGCTGGACAGAAGAAGTCTCTCCTTCTGCCGTGGTCACCACCAGTTCTGGCGCCTCTGTATCCGACTCATCGTGCGAATCAGGTTCGGCAGCATCGTCTTCGTCTTCGTCGTCTAAATCTTCGAGCTCCTCATACCCGTCCAAGCGATTCAGAAGCAGCTCAGCCCTGACGCCAGCATCGACCATGAGCTGGTACAGGGATATTAGGCCAAGGCGATGTGCAATACAGCCAGGTGTTTCATCGTTCCGGTCGAGCTGATTCCAGATGGCACCGTTCTCGAACAACAGTTTGACTGTCTCGTAGGCCTTAGATTCGTTGTCCTCCAGAATTCCATCTGTGGCTCCGTCACTACGACACGATGCAATGGCAGCGTGCAAAGGAGTGTAGCCATGCTCGGGCTCCTGCACATCGACCGGCTTACAACCCTCGAAATGTGAGCTATCGAGCAGGCGTTGTAAGCGATCGAGATCGTGGTCTCCAGCGGCCCTCACGATATCTCGAACATTTGATAAGGCCGAAGCGTCAACAATCGGTCGTGGCACGCTCATCTTAGGTCGTCAAAACCTCCTTTGCCCGTAGGACCCATCCACAGCGGTCTCTCTGTCCTATCGTCCTCAATCGTCTCGTCCACGTTGGCCACTTTGAGCGCGCCAGCAGGAGTCTTCGTGCTGTCGGTAAGTTGAGGCATCTACAAAGTCTTTGATGAGTTTCGATCTTTTTGACCTCGTAAGACCCACAGCGGAGGCCCGAGATCTCGGGTACCCGGCTTGGCATATCTCGGGCAGGCATCATTTGGCCGCGACTCTTCGGCGCTGCGCTTCGTCAAACATTGAAGCCGCAACCACAACCTCGCTTGAACACCACGACAACTCGCAGCTCTCCTCCTCCACACACGCCTGAGTACTTGTCACCGTCAAGATGGGGTCAGAACCTCAGTTCGCGAAGTATCCTGACCTTCGCGTCGCTCAAGCCATCTTCACATTGTCGACAGGACCGCAAGCGGCTCAAAAGGCGTCTCTCACATATCTTCAAAATGCCATCAAGGAATTCAAGATGGCGCCCCTCTACAGACATCTCGCTCACCCTACGGAAGGCATATTGAATCGGTCCGGCGAAGGCACAGCGGATGGTGCTCTGAGCAGAACACAGTCACAGCAGCCACAGCCAGCAAGAAGACCGTCTCTTGTCGCTAGCAATCTCATTCCGCCCAATAAGAAGCAAGTATTGAGCTCAGGTCTCCTGCCCTGGGATGAGGCACAGTACGAAGAGCTCAAGAAGGATAACGAGAAAGAGCTGGAGGATATACAGAAAGAAGAAGATGAGGCACAAGAGAAGGCTGGCGAGACTGAAGTGCAGGCGGCGAGAAGTAAGCGGGCAGATTTCTGGGCCAGAGTCGGTGACAAGGTATGCCATCAAAACGCAGATGTAACCGGACAGGGCTAACGGGCAGTACAGGACAAGGCGATCTCATCGTATGAGCAGGTGTTTGACAAGACGGGTCCGCTAGGCACAAAGATTGATATCGTGCTTGCCATAATACGAGTCGGCTTGTTCTTCAACGACAAGGCGTTCGTCAAGAAGCAGGTCGAGCGAGCAAATATTCTGGTCGAAGGTGGCGGTGACTGGGACCGGAGAAACCGACTCAAGGCGTACAAGGGCCTGCACTTACTCACTGTTCGGTCCTACAACCTCGCAGCACCACTACTCCTGGACTCGCTCTCAACATTCACATCATACGAGCTATGCAGCTACTCCGACCTTGTGGTGTACAGCGTCCTGGCGGGCACTCTGTCTTTGAAGAGAACAGACTTCAAGAAGTCAGTAGTGGACGCGGCGGAAATCAAGGTGATTCTCGGCAATGATGACGAGAAGCTGCCTGGCGGGGATGAGGAAATGAAGGATGTTTCAGCTGCGACAGAATCACGAGCTACCGGCTTGGTGAATCTCAGTGCGTTGGGCACAGGCACGGAGGCGCAACCAGAAGAGGCCATCGATTTCAAGCCGTTGGCGAGTCTGGTGAACGATCTTTACAATGGCAACTACCGAGGCTTCTTCCAGGCGTTGGCAGACGTGGAGGAGAGTTTCCTGGCGACCGATCGATATCTGTATGAGCATCGAAACTGGTTCGTGCGAGAGATGCGTTTGCGAGGATATCAGCAACTGCTACAGAGCTATCGTGTGGTCGGTCTGGCCACGATGGCTCAAGCATTTGGCGTCAGTGTTGACTTCCTGGACCGAGACCTGGCCAAATTCATTGCTGGTGGCAAGATTCACTGCACCATCGACCGAGTGCAGGGGACAATCGAGACCACGAGACCTGACGACAAGAACAGCCAGTACAGCAACGTGGTCAAGTTGGGAGATCAGCTGATCACCAAGTTGCAGAAGTATGGCCAAGCTGTAAGATTGAGAGGGAGTGAAAGAGCATGATCGGTAGACATGCAGTGGTGGCCCGGGACAGGCCCGGGACAGGCCCGGGACAAAGCATTTGCTTAGAACGCAGGCATGTACTGTAGACGTCCCAGAAGCACAAGGCAAATATGAGGCATCCTAGATCACAAGCGAAAGGCAACCACACAGGTAGATCATGGTCTGATACTGTAAATCGGCTGTGCATGCCTAATATTTCTTATCACAAACTGCACGATCAACACCTTTCGGCCCTACCACCCCAGTCACCCCCACCCGGATCTGTTTGCTCTTCTCCACTCCCAACGATGCTTCGATACACCGATTGCTTCAGTATCTTGATTGATAGTACTGATAGCTCCTCGGACGCCCTTCGAAGCATTGACACATGCTATCGAGTCCTTTGTGCATCGACGCCGCATATTCTTTATCTACGTTGACCGTGTAGAGCCCTCCCTTAGTACCCCGCTAAAGCGATTACTTCTCCGGCTCTTGCCTCTCCTACCCACTCTGACGACAAACCATGGCCTCTTTGCAGGCGTCATCAACTCTGCTACACGATCTGTCCTCATCGTGTCGCTATCTGGTACAGAGCAAACCACATCATCACCTCAGTCGTGGTCAAACTGGTACGTCTGCACGTCAAGTTCCACCCCACAGCATTGGAGTGTCGCATGACTCAAAAAGCAAGAACTGCCCTCGTACTTTCTTCGAACTATCCCGATCGGTTTTCTTCCCCGGGACACACTTGTACCTGTCCTGGCACAAAAGCACAACGTGAAAAAGTCTCACTTAAGCTAACGTTTATGCTCTTCACGTCTTATAGTCTTTCCCGGTACCAGATTGTTCACAAACCACCAAAGAATATTCCGCCGCAATATGACGTCTTCACAGCAACTCAGATCTCTGACCATTGACAACATAAACCCACACATCTGCAATGCTCAGTATGCAGTGAGAGGCGAACTCGCCATCAAGTCAGAAGAATATCGAGCTCAGCTGAGGAAGTCGCACAAATCCGGGCCTCCTACACCACCAGAGAGTCCTGACTCGTCGCCGTTACCATTTGATAAGGTCATCTCTGCCAACATTGGCAATCCTCAACAACTCGACCAGAAGCCCATCACATTCTTCCGCCAGGTGCTCGCATGTCTAGAAAATCCCAAGCTACTCGACCATGCCGATGTCCTTGAGTCAACCTTCGGCTATCCCAAAGATGTCATTGAACGTGCTCGGTGGCTGCTTTCAGAGATTGGCTCAGTCGGTGCTTACTCTCAGTCCGCTGGTGCTCCCGCCATTCGGGAATCAGTGGCCAAGTACATCGAAGAACGGGACGGCTTCCCGGCTGACTCAGCCAACATCTATCTCTCCGCCGGCGCCAGCTCAGGAGTCAATACTCTGATGCACATCATCTGTGGCTCACCCAAGACCGGTGTCCTCGTCCCAATCCCTCAGTACCCACTCTACACCGCCACACTATCAGTCCTCAACGCCAGATGCGTACCTTACTACCTCGACGAGTCCAAGGCATGGGGAACATCGATGGAAGTCATCAAGGAGTCCTACGAGAAAGCCATCGCCGAAGGCACCGACGTCCGCGCTATAGTCGTCATCAATCCTGGCAACCCGACTGGTGCTTCCCTCTCGGAATCAGACATTGAATCGGTGATCAAGTTCGCCGCCGAAAAGAAGCTAGTAGTCATGGCCGACGAAGTCTACCAGACCAACGTCTTCGTCGGACAGTTCCACAGCTTCAAGCGCGTCCTGCGACAGCTCCAACAACAAGACAAAGAGGGTACCTTTGAACACGTCGAGCTTGCCTCTCTACATTCCATTTCCAAGGGCATGGTCGGCGAATGCGGTCACCGCGGAGGGTACTTCGAACTCGTTGGCTTCGACAAAGAGGTGCAGGCCCAGATTTTCAAGTTCATTTCAATCGTGCTTTGCCCGCCCGTCATTGGCCAATGTCTGGTTGAGATGATGGTCAATCCTCCCAAGAAGGGCGACCCAAGCTATGAGCTCTATAATTCTGAGGTCTCTCACGTCAAGGATGGCCTGTACAAGCGCGCCACTGCTCTGTACGAGGCGTTCCAGAAGATGGAGGGCGTTGAATGTGGTGAACCACAGGTGAGTCCATCACTCCTTCTTCACTTCACTGTATACCCTTTTCACAATTCAAGCTGACCTTGTCCCCCTTTCCAACGCTCAGGGCTCCATGTACCTCTTCCCAACAATCAATCTCCCCCAAAAAGCCTATGCCGCCGCCGAAGAAGCCGGCAAAGCCCCTGACGACTTCTACTGCCTACGCCTTCTCGACGCCACTGGCATTTGCGTCGTCCCGGGCTCTGGCTTTGGTCAGAAGGAGGGTACCTTGCATCTGAGGACCACATTTTTGGCTCCAGGTACCGAGTGGGTTGGAAGATGGAACAAGTTTCATGAGGAGTTCATGGATAAGTATCGGGACTAAACGGCGCCATCTGCGAGAGCGCTACTAGTCCTGTGGACGGGAATGCCCCTGCGCTGAAGTACAGCACATTCTTCAGGTGTGAATATTCGAATGAGCAGAATACTCATCGGGAGTCCTCTGACATGATAATGCTACTGCTGTACACTTCGCCTATCTCCCTACTCCAGCAGCCTCCCCGACCCATCCCATCTCCACCGCACTGACACACCGCGCATAGCTTTTCGTCGTGAAGACCATCTCACTACTCATGATCGCCTCGACTTTGCGCCCGAAGAGCACACTGCTGGGATGGATGGAAATGGGTTGGTTCGTGATGAGGGTTGTGTATGTTGATTGAGGACCGCCTGCGGACGAGGAGGACGCTTTTCTGTTGGTGGAGGACGAGGAGGTGGTGGAAGCGGTGGACAGGCGCGCGACGTTGGGGTGCAGGCCGCAGAGGAGGGTTGTGAGGATGCGGCGGGTCAGGTCAGCATCGGTTGTTGTTGTGCCGTTGCTCCCGTTGACTGATGGGGCATCGGTGGCAGAAACATTGTCAGAGGCCGCCCCGGCATGTCCGTTCGATGTTCGATCGCGCTTCTCCTGCTGCGATTGCTCCGCAACCTTCCGATTCATGATCCCAGTCAGCTGCTTGCGAACATCCATGATGCCCTGCATAGCACGATGGCTGGTTCCTCGATCGTTGCACCACCTCTTCCGGTCAGTGTTCTCCGCGACGTAGGCCTGGACGGTCGCCAGCAGCGTCAGGTGGTCGCCCTCCCGTCTATGCAATTGCTGCCGAAGTCGAAGTCGCGGATCGAGCACATCTTCTTCGTCATGGTCCTCGTCGTTGTTTGTACCTCGCTTGAACCTCTTGTTGCCATTCGTATCATACTGCTCCGTGCTGATATTGAAAAATATCCCCTCAACACTCAGCGCGCTAACAATGTCGATAATCTGCGGCGTGGTTCCATAGGCTGTGGAGCTGAGCAGGCACTTGCCAAGCGAGACTGGTAGCGGGAGCAGACTCAACTCGCGTCCAATGTCGGTGATCATGCCGGTAGGAGGGTCGAGCGCTCCAATCTGGAACAGTCCAATCATCGCAGCGCGCCATGCTTTCAGCTTCGGCGGCGTGACCCATTTCCACGGATCCTGCTTTCGCGACCCCTCGACGCCCTCCCCGTCAACATCAACCTCATCGTCGTTAGAATTACTCGACCCATCGTCTGTGACGCCACGACTCTTCAAGACCAACATCACAGACCTCAGGTCAGCCCTCGTGATCTCTTCCGCGGTCGACGCCTCTAACGAGTGATAGTCCTTCTCAGTATACATTCTCCACACGACACCGCCCTTCCTCTCGCGGCCGGCTCTACCGGCACGTTGCTTCGCCGAGCTCTTGCTGATGGCTGTGATGATCAGACTCTCGATGCCCAGGGTGGGCCGGTAGAGGCGCTGCTTGCAGAAGCCCGAGTCGATCACGTATTGAATACCCGGTATGGTCAGTGAGGTCTCGGCGATGTTCGTTGCGAGTATAACCTTGCGTGTGAACGGCTCGGGGGCGTTTTGGATGGCGAGGGATTGTTGGTGGGTTGGGAGGGAGGCGTAGAGGGGGAGGGGGAGGAGGTGCGGGAGTTTGGGGTGGGCTGTGGTGGGTTTTCGTGGTGCTCGGGAGGGCGCTGCGTGGCCGTTGGTCTGGGGTTTTGGTGGCTCGGTCGCACTCTGATTGAGGTTCGAGGCATATGTCTTGAGGAGGGAGTGGAGTGTTTCGATGTTTTCTTGTCCGGGCAGGAACACCAGTATATCGCCCGGAAGTGGTCTGTGAACGTGGATGTCCGTGATTCGTTCCAGAGCGCTGGTTATGACATCCGTTGTTGGCTTTGGCAGGTAGTTGATCTCTACTGGGAAGAGCCGTCCTGGAATCTGCAGTGTGGTGACAGAAATGGCGGAGTTTGATGGCTGGCTTTCTGTGTGTGTCGATTCCAATCTCGATCCTGCAGAGTCCTCCTCATCCGAGAATCCTTCCCACACATCCTCCTCCTGCTCCTGCTTCGGCGCAAAGAATCCCTCCAGCACGCCCATCTCAGCCGTAGCACTCATGACCACAACCCGTAAGCCCACGCCTCCTCTCTCCGTCCTGCATACCTCACTCCCTTCATCACATAGACCTCTCAAGAATCCCAGACACAAATCCACATCCACCCCACGCTCATGGACCTCGTCCACCACCACAACACTGTACGCGCGTAGACCGGGATCCCGGAGCAACTCTTGTAGCAGCATGCCCTCCGTGAGGTACTTGATTCGCGTAGCGGGTCCAGTCTGGTTGTCGAAGCGCACGGAGTAGCCGACTTCGCTGTGTTTGCTGCCGAGGGGTCCAGTGCCCATCTCCTCGGCGACGCGGCGCGCGAGGGAGGTTGCGGCGACGCGTCGGGGTTGGGTTATTGCGATTGTGCCGCCGATTTGGATTTGTCTTGGTGCTGCGGGTGGGGTTGGGCTTGTGCTGTTGAGGCCGCCTGGGAGGTGTGGGATGGTGACTTTGCGGCGCCGACACCATGGTTCGTTGATCAGGAATTGTGGTACTTGGGTTGATTTCCCGGATCCGGTCTCGCCGACTAGTAGGAGGACGTTGTGTGTGCGTAGAGCGCTCCGGATGGCATCTTGGTGCGCCCATATTGGTAGTTTTTGGCGGGTAGCGAGGTGTGTGGCCGCCGCGGTCGATGTCTGCCTACGGTGTCCATTTGGGTTCTGTGAAGGCCGCCCGGACTTGGTGTCATTGCCATCACCAAAGGCCTCCACGCTTGACCTTTTCGCGCCGCGAGACATGCTGAATTATGTGGCTATAGAGTCCTTCCTGGAATACGATATATTGGAAGAGGACAACTAAAATATCCGGGTTGGAGAATCGAAAAGTACTTTACAGCGCCCTCCCCACAGTGGATCTTGAAAATGCTCTCAGTTGCGCCTCACCTTCAGCTTTCTCATTACAACTACTACCGTCGCTCTTACGATTTCACACTTTGACGATGACCTTACCAAAGTGACTACCTGCAGCAACATACTTGAATGCCTCCCTCGCTTCATTGAATGCGAACGTCTTGTCGATGACAGGCTTGATGCGGTGCTTGTCATAGACTGCGACCGCCTCTTCGAGCCTGTCTTTGGGACCGTTCCAGATCCCTTTCAGCGTGACATTCCTCCTCAACGCCAGCACATTGGTATTCACAATTTTGTCGCCGACATCCTGCTTACCACTGAGATAACCAATGCACGAGATCAAGCCTCCCCATCTGACACACCCAAAGCTCTTGGCCAGAGTCGCTGGACCTCCCTGCTCGAAAATGACATCTACGCCTTTGCCGTCCGTCAACTTCATCACTTCCTCCTGCCACTCGGTTTTTTCGCGATAATTGACGAGGTAGTCTGCCCCAAGTTCCTTTGCCTTCTTCAGCTTGTCCCCTGACGAGGACGTCACAATGGCTGGGACGGTATCAGTATAAGACCTTCCGCTGGTCGAGCAATCACTCACTTTTCAGACCCAAAGCATGCGCCAACTGAAGGCCTGCAGTCGAAACCCCTCCCGTACCCTGCAACAGCACGATATGCTCCGCACCCCGCAAGGGTTGACCAATAGGTTGCATCCAATTGATCGCCATCCAAGCAGTCGCCGCGGCGATGGGTAGTGTGCTTCCTTCTTCATCACTGAGATTCGCTGGCGCCTTCACAAGACCATAGAGCGGGAATGTCGCATACTCGCTGAGTACGCTGGAAGGGGCAGACCAAGCCCCGAAGGCAGATGCTCTTCGGTGATCTGACCCGTCAGATGCGTTAGGTTGAATATTGCCATTACCCGGTCTCCTTCCAGAAATGTTGAGCTAACACCATTTGTCTCTCCTTGAGGTCCAAATGCAACTATCGACCCGACAAAGTCAGAGCAAGGCACGACGTTGGGTGGCGGTGGTAGTGAGTCGTGGTGATCGTAGTCTCCCATGCAGACTTCAACGTCTCGAAAGTTCAATGACACGGCACTGATCCTCACAAGGACCTCGCCTGCACCAGGCTTGGGCACTGGAGCCTCCTCTTGCTTCAGTGTGTCGATTCCAGTGTAGTCTGTAACCCACTGCTTCATTGTTGGTGGGATCTGGGTGCGCATCGTGGGCGATTTTGTAGTCTGCTGAGGTCTGCTTTTGGTGTCTGCTTGCCAAGGTCGGGTGGTTTCTGTGAAATTCCTTGTCCTCTGCCCATGGCATGCTGTCCAAAGAATGCATTTTCCTCCTTATAGTCGACAGCAATGACTACAGCATCATTGTGTCCTCTGACGAGATCGGATCCGATCCAGTGCTCCGAAGCAGTTGCTCTCACAAAGATTTCCATTCCTGGACGTGGTCCCTGAACTTCGTGATCTGCCCAATTTGTCAGCGCGCCCAGCACCGAGCATATCCGCATTCAAACGACATCGCAGGTACCGACACCTGTCAAACAGACGACGGTGAATGCCATCAGGTCCCTGGAAACAATTCAAGACGACGAATCGAGCATGATGGGTCTAAGAAAGCGCGGTATGATGCAAATGCGGATTTGCATGAGTGAAACCCAAACGCCAGCGCTGACATTTCTAGCCATTCTAAAAGATCATTCCCCGCCAGCCGTGATGCACGCTATGCACTGAGATCCCCGTTCGCGCTCGCATTCCTCGCCTTCATCGCCGCTGCCTCATCAGCGCTCACCTCCTTCCCCCTCATGATCCACGGCTCAGCATCACCAAATCTCTGCACCACCAGTCCCGCACTCCCTGGCTGCTTGTAGCCTGCCTCCATCTGCCTCGTCGCCGACACTTGTCTCAACCTCTCACCCTCCCTGGGCGTGAGCCTAAGGTAGATCTCCACCCCAATGACATGCAGCGCCAGCGCGAGAAATGCCGCCAAACCCGATGACATGCGCAGACTCGCGCCAGCGTTTTCGCCCGACGGGCCGGAGAGGTTGGCGTGGACAATGACTGGCTGAGAGGCGTCCGAGTTGGTGCAGCTGGGATATTGGAGGGCCATGTATGTGCTGTTGGCACCGTCGCGGTTGATGAAGGCGACTTCGCCGCAGAGCATGGTGGTGTTGTAGGAGCCGATGGCCGAGATGATGACGGCGCTGATGATCATGATTATGCGGAAGGTGATGCTGGGGAGGCGCGTGGTTAGCTTTGGGGGACAAATAGGATTGGGAAAGAGGGAGATGACTAACATGAAAGCAATGTACACCATAGCACGCAGCATCCAAGCTCTGTGCTGGTCGATCTGGAGTTTCTTGATGTTATACACTGCCAGGACGATGGCGGTGGTGGTCAAGATCACGGCGAGACCCATGGTGCTCTGAAAACCGAGGTTGCCACCGAAGCTACGTCGGACCATCATCAGGGCGCCGACGTGGCTGATCATGATGAGGGTGATCACGAGGTAGCCGTTGATACGGTGGAAGATGATGGCGCGATGTCGGATTGCCGGCACGAATTGCCAGATAAGCAGAAGGCCAGCTGGCAGGATTGCGCCAAGGTGTAGATACAGGCCAACCCGGTAATGTCCGGCTCGCTGCCAGTACCATTCGCCCGGAGAGGAACTTGTCGCGTATATGCTTGGACTGAGGTATTGGAGTCTTGCTAGTGAGAAGCCAACAAGTGCGCCGGCGAAGATGAAGAACAATGGCCAGTTGTAGCGTTTCTGGAAGCCGAGTAAAGCTGCTGGTCGGCGCCACAGCCACTCTGCGAAGAAGTTGCCTGCCATCTCTTCTGCTGGATGTTGAAAAGTATGTGCGTACTGATATGCAGCCCAAGGTCAATGTGCCTGGAAAACTTGGTTGGCGGTGTGCACTCAATGGTCAATAGATTGAGGAAGGTTGCGGGTAGTTGTCTACGATCATGGACAATTTCAGAGCGCAGACACATACTACTCATATACTCACCTTGCAGAGCACAGACATGCATCGTCATGACAGATTGCTAGTGCTCCAGGCGCAGGATGATACTCCTGTGACTCTGTTAAGTGCGACAATGTGGTCATCGCGCTTGCCTGGTCTACGGCACGGGAAACCGCCGCCGACTTGGCATGACTGGCCGTTGGCATCTAAAGCCTGTGCTCGAGATCGGGATCAGCTCCTAGATAACAACAACGCTCATTTTCGATGCAGAGAAGAGCCAGCACAAAAGGACGCCAGCTTCGAGCAGGGAGCGCAACTTGCCATCAAATCGGGCCTAGAGCATTTCAAGACAAGCTTTTAGGCTGTGCTGTCGACGGCGGATTGGTGAGTCTGTCTCCATCGAACCAAGGATTGGCTTACCTAACCAACCAAATCCCGCGTGGGCCGTGGCATTGGAAGGACGCAAAGCATGACGTTCAGGTGGAAGCCAGCCTACGGTACCTAGTCGGGACTATGCTGCGACCGCTGGACGCCAGCATGTCTTTGCATTACGACACATGGTCGTCGAGCACGATCTGCTTCAAGCCACACTAGAAGCAGGCAATCTTGCGCCCATAGTACCCATAGCATGCCAGGAGTTCCAACCTCGAAGGGCTGCGAGGCTTGCAGACGGCGGAAGAAGGGAGTGAGTGGCCTCCAGCGTGGAAGATGACTGCTGATGGCTCTCTAGTGCGATCTTGCTCGTCCTATCTGTGGGCGTTGTGCAAAGCTCGGCATCAAGTGCGTTAACAGTGGAGTGGGGCGGCTCAAATTCGTGGATGAGAATGACCGGCTCGCAAAGCAGAATGCGTCTCCTGAGCGAGACTCTTCGCCCTCAACAGACAGTTCTGCCTCGTCCTCTCCTCCTAGCTCTGCTTCTGCATTCCAGATAGCTCGTCTCAACAAGTCTGCCATTGTCAGTCATGCCACTGGGGCATTCTGGCTAGCATACGTGCCAGTGGAGATTGCCAACACACCTCTTCACTTGGTCACGGATATCGCATCGTCAGGTTGGATCCGACTTGCGCTCCAACATGCGCAACAAGATCAAGGGCTGGAGGATGCCGTTGCAGCACTCGCGCTGTCTCGTATGAGTCGTCAGACTGGCGATGCTCGAGCCAGGAAGGAAGCACTGATGTTCTACGGATCGACCGTCCGACATGTTCGCAGGTCGATCCTCGACCCTGACAAGGTGAATGACGACAGCCTGCTGGCTACAGTCATGCTGCTTGCGATCTTCGAACTCCACGAAGGCACATACCGACGAGACACGGCCTGGGGTGCACATGTCGACGGTGCTTCCAAGATCATCAGCGCTCGAGGGGGCTCAGCCATAGCCACCGACTTCGGCCGCACTCTATACCTGAGCCACTTACGAGACGAGCTAGTATATGGCATCGGCACCCGCGGGAAGTCGCGAAAGAGCATTGGCGAAACAACATACCTGCCAGATGACAACGACACGATGGAGATTCGGCTCGCTCGCATACTCAGCACCATGCCCGTCATCATGGAAGAAGCCGATCGACTGCGCTCCGTACGCAACCCAACCCGTCTGGTCCAGGGCATGGGCGCTCTGCTTGGGATGGTCGCAGCTGTCCTCGCGGCCCTCGAGGACTTCTGCGACACATTGGCGCTTCAAGCACACCCCGCGCCACTCTACATCGAGCTCCCCTCCCAACTCTACGCTGCATTACCATCCGACAGCCCCGAGCGAGTCTTCTCCGAGTACCTGCACTTCTCCTCGCTTTCTCTCGCTGACCCATTACTCATGGCCTGGACCTCCATGCTCCTCCTGCACTCCACCATCTTCCTCGCGTGGGAGAACACCCGCATACAGCTGCCGAGCATCCACATCGACACCATCCTTCCAATCATAAATCAGATCCCAAACCACACCCCTGCCTACATCGATGGCTTGACCCTCCGCATCGCGCAGTCCCTTGAATACTTCATCCTGCCCGAGAACGGCCTCCTGGGCGCCGAGTACGTCAAGTACGCCATCCCCATCGCGATGGGCTACATGGCATTTTGGAAGTGGCCAGAGCAGATGTGGTTCAAAGTATTGTTCAAGCGGATGAAGGAGCTGAACTTGGGAGTGGAGGGATTTCTGGCGGACATGTTTCGTGGGCAGGAGTTGAGGTTGATTCGGCCGCTGGATGATGACGATGGATCAGAGCGGAGGCGTATGAAGGTGTGGAATGGGTCGGTGTTTTCGAGTGTGACGGCGACGTATGAGAGTAAGGAGGACGAGGACGATACCTCGCCGCGCGCTCCTGAAGTGTATGTCCCGGCCAAAAAGTGGTGAGGGGATTAGTCATGAGGATTAGGTGGCCTACAGAGGCCGCTGTCTATCGATTGAGCCAAACCGTTGCCATCGTAAAGAACGACAGGTATTTTGGGTGGGTCGTGCGGTTGCGGCGTGCGTTCCGGGATATCGCCGTACTACTAGTAGTAATCATCGCCGCCACCGCCGTCATCTTCCATACCATCATCGTCACCATCATCGAAGTACTGCTCTGCATTGTAGTCGTTATCGTCATCCTCTGACTCACTGAACTCCGAATCCTGCGCCTCCATATCAACATCAGCATCGTCGTCTGCCTCGCGACTGTCCTCTGGAAAGTCATCCTCAGCATCAAGCCCACGCCGCTGCTTAGAAGCCGGCTCTCCTTTCCGTGACTTGGCAGCATTGAGCTTCCTCCGCCCCGTCACAACCCCATCTGACTCGTCCCCCGAATTCTCAACGGCCGGCGTGCCATCCCTAGGCCCACCCGTATCACTAAGCCTCCTCCGCCGCTTCCGCGACTTCACCATCTCAAACTCCGCCGGATCAACCGTCTTCCACAACGGATGTGTGCGCTTCGGATCCAGGCTCAACCACAACTCTTTCGGGAACATCTGCAACGCGAACTCCTGTCCAGCAACGTCAGGAACCGTGCGCTTCTTCTTCTGGAACCTCGAAGTGTAGCGCTCCTGGTCATTGAATGGATCAAAGCCCGCCCTCGGCCGAACTTTGCCGTTCTCGTCGGTGAGGCTGCTTGGGTCGAGAGTCGCGAAGAACGGTCCGCGACGTGATCGTGTGCGGAAGTTGAGGTATGCGTTGACTGAGGCGACTTCTATGGTGGAGAGCGGTTTGGGAATAGGCTGGTAGAGTGGTGGGAAGGTTGGTGCTGGCTTGATCGTTGTGCCTGCTATGGGCGTGGGTTCTTCGTCGTCGTAGGCTTCGGGTTCGTTGCCTTGCTTGCGCCCGCCGCCGCGACCGCCGCCTCGTGGCATTTCGAGCGTATCTTTACCGGTCTGCCGTGGAGTGAAAAGCTTCTTGAATAGTTTGTCAGTCGATACGAAGCAATTACGATGTTGCAAGAAATAAAAATAATGCGGGGAAGGCGTGTTGGGGTCGCTTCGGCTTAGGTGCCTGTTTAGGCGCCGGCCACCTGGAACAGACACTGCTTTTCAGATGATCCCCTCTTACTCGTTCACGTATATTCTGGTTCGAGGCTACCATACTGCTATTGATTCTCAGCGTTTATTCTGAACGGGTCCGGTTGACGGACATGCTGTGGTCTACTGCCATGTCCTCGACCTCCCCCAGCCCGGCTGTATTGACAAGCAAGATCAATGCCGAAGGCCTCTGAACACGGCTCGTGCAGAGATACATAGGCTGCTCACGACGGGCAACCAACGCCGGCAACTACACTGTTGACTAGCATCATGCCATCGGCCTACGAATACGTCAAATCACGTAATCAGCAAGCCCTCTTCTCAAAATAACCCATGTCTTGTGCCACAATTGGCGTGCCTCTCGTGTGAAACTTGGCGCCCACGGTTTCCACGGCCTGATTGGCCGCAGGCCGACCTCACCGGCGCTTACCACTCTTCAGCACGCGCTCTATCACGATTCCACCCTCTCACAAATACTTCTCGTGTGCTGGGCACGCGTTTCACGTTATTCACATCGAAGACTAACAACGAATAGGGCATGACTGTTCGTGCTTTTGGCAAGGATGTCCGAAGACATTAGAATGTCCTGCAGATCCAGCAAGATGGACCAAGCGGACCCGCTCCATTGGCCTAAAGTCGCATGCGCAATCCATTCCAGGTGAGTTCTACCAATACAAGCGCCGTCCTGCAGGCCCGATGAGGCCATGATAAGAGGGCTGTGTTGTTGCTGTAGGCCGCTTGGTCAGTTGCAGATGTGGTGAGCATTGCAATAAAAGTCTTTGGGGTCCGGCTGCGTTTGTGATTCTTGCTCCACCCTCAAACTTCGTATACTTCGTGCCAGACTCACCGCTGCTGCGACAGTGTCGCGAGGCATCATCGACGCGTGAAGACTCACTCTGCGGTTGTTGCGCAACATCCGATTTCTCACATCTTGAAAAAAACCTACCTGCTGGCGTTGGTGTCCCGACCATGGACACAACCCATTCGCTTTTCATCACAGCCCTCTTCCTTTTAACTCAGTCCACAATCGCAACACCGATACCACAAGACGGCGATGGCGGCGGCACAGGCTCAATTCCCGACGGAAGCCTAGGCTATGACCCCTCCGCTGAAGGCGACACCACGCCCGGCTCACAAGGCACCGATAGCGGCGCGAAGATCGGCAAAGGCGCCATCATCGGCATTTCTGTTGTCGCGGCACTCATTGTCATTGCTGGAGGTCAGTTCTCACCTTCACCCTCGCACTGCCCTCAACCACCAGACCCCTAAGTACTAACAATTCTCAAACAGTCACAATGGCAATCCTCTTCTGGGGCGCCAAACGCCGCCAATGGGCCGTCGCCGAGACGATCCGCCGCTCCGTCAAGCGCGTCGGCACGGGTCTGAAGAATCTCACGCCCCGTACGCCGCATAAGATGACCTTCTCACCCATCGAGAAGCGACGGGCAGGTGGTGCTGGTGATGAGTTGCTGCTGCAGCAGAAGAGTCGCAACAAAATCTCTCGCAATGGAGGGGCGAGGGATGTCGAGAAGTCCGGTGGCGCTGTTGCTTCATCGACACGACAAGGGAGTAACGAGAGTTTCGTGAAGCAGCAAGAAGTTCCGCTCGGTGGTCCGAACACATGGGCTGGTGGCAATGTGGCGAGGAAAGAAAGGCCGGTTCCGCCGAGAGTGCAGGTGCCGGGCAATCAGAAGCAGGTGGTCGAGAGTCCGACGCCGAAAACCCCGATGTGGAATAAGGTGTTTGGTCGATGATGACGGACGGTGACGCTCTAACGTGAGAGGTGAGGTCGGCATCCCAGGAGTCATGGAAGCGTGGGCAGCGAGCTGGCTCCTAAGAAAGGATTTGGAGATGCGGTCTTGTGGGTAGATCAAAGCCTGGAGCTCCTGGCGTCCTAGGGAAGTCTACGTAGCTTAAGAGCACGTGTACAACATCGAAAACGACTCAGCGATTCACGGCATTTGCCCGCCTCCGATCCTTGCGCTACATTGAGGACGTGGTAAGCGAGCACAACTTCAGTTGAGTCATGGCATCCGGTCTGCTGTAGGATTCTACCTGCGCCAGATGACAAGGCGAGTGAGTGTGGAAGGCGCGAGTGCAGCACCTGCCGCTTCTGACGTTGGTAAGGAATACTCTCGGGAAGGAGCAGTCTTCGTATGCTCCTGCTGCTGTTGTCTGCTTAGGGATCCAGGAGAAGCAGTCGCCGATGAAAGGTATCTTGTCATCCGGTCTTGCACTCGGCAGTGTGAGGATGTCAACCAGTCTCGCAGCAAAGCCCTGGCTAAGCCGGACGACAAGGAGCGCGACTGGGCGCGATCTGATATACTGCTGTCAGGACCAGATGTTGTAGGGAATGTGCGAATTGGTCTGGTTGTTCTATTCAAAACCAAGTATCATGTACATCGTAACCACTCGTCTATCGTCCACAGACTTCGCGCCCGAAAAGCTGGCTTACATGCTCGGTCTGTCTATGCAATTCAACGCTTCCTTTGACGAGCATACTCACAATGTCTCCCAGCCACCACTATTGACCTCTCCCTCCAGCTTCCTGGCAATTGCACTCCAAATACTTCCATTGACCATCAACCACGAATCCCTCAGCAATCGATCATACCTCATCTGACTCAACATCAACTGATGCTTGTTCCGCAACCCACTGTCCGTCTCGCCATGCTTAGTGAGATATGGTGCTGGAAAGAAACTTCCCAAAGGCGGCGCATCACCAGTGCGGAAGATCTGGGTGCCGCCTCCCAACACTAGCGTACGACTCCCGGTGGGCTGATTGGGGTCCTTCATGACATGGAGAAGCGCAATCATGCACTTGCGGATCAGCAGGAACATTCCAATTGGCGCGGAGCATTTCTCGACGTGAGCATTGCAGCCGCCGCGCTTATCAGAGGTCTGGCAGCACACGGACTGCGAGCAGAACAGGGCGCCACAGAAGAGACAGAGCGCCGGATCGCTCAGTTCTTTGCCCGTTGTCGGGCATGTCGCTCGCGAGCTGAGCTCAATGAGGACGTCGTAGTATTTTGGAAGGCCTATCAGCTCCAGTGGTGCGGGATGTAGCAGACGTATACCCATGACCGTGGGACGCTCGTCAGGGGCAGTACTTCGAATATCGAAGAGATGGCCCGTAGCTGGACTGTGATCGTCCTCGCGAAGGCTCGAGCTCGCGCATCTCACGAGGTCTGTGATCCAGCTGGACACCATCTTCTTTGTCTGCGACCGAGGAGCAAACTCGGTCAGATCCATCAAGATCTCTGCAAGTGATGGTAACTGCATGAAGTGCAGCAGCCGGTGCATCTCTGGAAGGCTGGCTTCGGATCCGGTCGTGGTTGGGAAGTCGACGCCAAGTGCAACGTGACAGAATATGGCAGCTTTCCGGAGAAAGGCTAACGCGTATCTGTCAACGATTCTAGAGAGCACAATCAGAGCTCCTCCAGTCGTCGGCATCGTGAAATTGTTGAACTGCTCTTGCAGCTGCATGTAATCACTGGATCTGAGCTCAGAGTCCAGCCACTTCAGAACACCCTCATATATGGCGGACGGAGTCTGTTCCTCCTGACCCACCTCCAGCGAAAACGTGTCTGCGGCCGTGATCAAGCCCTGGGGGTCGTAGAAATAAGCAACGACGACACGCAAAACCTCAGCAATTAAGGCGATCTGGAGCATGTGCCGCGGGTCAATGTCCAGTAGGGGACAGAGCACCAGCGAAGAGTGCACCAAGAACGTGAAAGGGTCAATGCGTAGAAGTGGCAGAGCAAAGCTGTCCAAAAAGATATGTTCATGGGAGTCATTGTCCGGGTCCGGTGGCTTTCCGAAGAGTTTGTTGAAAAGCGACATGTAAACCTGATGAAAATGCTCGTCTATACCTCCCTGTTCGAGAATGTGGCACGTGGCGGCGTATGAGCGGACTGTTGATGACAAGATCTGCAGATGGCTGAGAGTCTGCTGAGGTATGCCAGTCAGGAGTGTCGTGCCAAACTCGCCCTCACGACCTCGATAGGCTGTCTCGGTAGCGCATATCGTGTTCGCGAGGGAGTTGAGGAGTAGATGGTATGAGTTGGGCTGTTCTTCGTTGTGGAATTTCGCGGGAAAGATACCTGGCTGAGTGACCCTGGCAATGATGCTAAGAGGGCCCTTCAATCTGATGTAGACACTGCCGAGTTCCACCAAGGGCGCGAGCTCCGGCCGCTCAGCCCATGCAGTGATGCTGGGCGATCCAATCTCTGCTGCTTGGGACCGTTCTATGGCCGACTCCAGAGCACTATTGGCAAAGGTCGACAAGTTCGATTTGTGGACGTTCGTGGCGCGCACATTGTACGTATCGTTGAAGAAGTTGGCAGCAATGCTCCGCGTGGCCAAGTCCCTCTCCACGAAGTCGGTGAAGTCTTGTTTGACTGCAAGTGCAGCCGGATACGACTGTTCAGTGCTCTTCCAAACGATAGGAAGAAATGCGTTAGCCAGTGCCTTGCACAGCGGGCAAACAAATTCTTGAGCAGACACACGCTCTGGATGCTGACGAGCGACTTGCTGCGAATGGCGTCTGAGTACAGACTGGAAATAGCCCTCGAAACACGAGAAATGCATAATATGGCCGCAGCTGGACGTGAGTGGGCCTTTGGCCGTGCATCCTGCTGGCCATCCGCTGCTGATGCTCTGACGCATGACTTTGGTCTCACTGCCAGTCGAGGTCATCTGACTGACCACATTGTCGTTGTCTCCGGCAACGCCGAATGGACGCTGTCGATCTAACGTACGATCCAGATCCTTGGGCGTGTGGAGAACTTCCCTGACAAAAGCGCTATCAACGACGTCGGTTTGGCGCAGAATATGTCCATCTGTGATCATGCAAAGGTGCCGTACAATTTAGCATCGCTGGTCTCTTCACGACACTGTATGCAAAGACCAGATGGAAACTTCCACGCACGAGACTCTGTCGAAGTTGGAAGCTCAAGATCAGGATCATCCAATTGTTCGTCCTCCCAATCGAACCCGTCTTGATTGTCCATGAAGCTCTGTTGCTGCTGCTGAAACTGGGCCATGACCCTAGCTTTCCGTTCTGCAGCCTGCCGTTTCTTTGCCTCGATCTCACTTTCTAGGTTCGCAGGAGACGCTGTGTCGAACCGACCCATAGGAAATTCAAGGTCTTGCGTTGCGGCTCTGAAAGCATTGGGTTTCTTCTGATTGAAGAGTCGCAGAATGTGTCGTATCTTACTTCGGCACGCCGAGTACTCATCTATGAGCCAGATCTTGTGGAGCAATCTCACCACTGTTGAAGGCGGCTCTCGCTCGGTGCTCAACGATACATTGCCAGCGATGTGAATGAAGCCAGCAGCTTGCGGACTCTGTATCTGTTCTGCCGTGTGGTCTTCGAGGGTAGCAATCAGAGCAAGCTGCAGAACAATCTGCAGGAATGATTCGGCCCTTGTCGCCGTTACTCCAGTGCGACCTTGGTACCCGGTGGCAACGAACGATAGACATTGGTATATTGCAGATGTGAATAGCTCGCACTGAGACACCGCAGCGAGGCTCTTGTAAGCTTCACTTGTGATCGGGTGGAGCTTCGGCTCAAGAACGACATCTTCCGGGTCCTTGTTGCTTTTCTTGCCTAGCCACTTCTTGTATATGCTCTCGGCTTCATCTCTCTGGTTCTTGGAGAAATGTGAGTTGTAAGGATCAAGCTCTTGCAAATACTCTTCTTTCAGTTCGAACAGGCCAGTATCGTGGAGGCCTTCCGGCGGTCGATATCGCGTCATTGTTTCCAAGATCTCCTGGAAGCGCGGATGTTCTTGCACTCGCTCGGTTAGCCGATTCCAGAGCTCCGAGTACGAAAGCGCTTTGAAGCAGAGACAATGCGCAATCTCCTTGCGGATCACCGTCAATGACGAGTCCGGATCGGTAGGCGAAGTTGTCAGACCATCGCGATCGGAGAGTAGATTAATCAAGAGATAGATGAAGTCTTCTGCAAGCTCTACCATCTGTGTATCATCGCAGTCTGGCAATGGACTGAAGCCGTTGGACATCCAGGAAGTCAGTCCGAACCGATCGACCATGGAGGCCAAGAGTCGAGATGGATCACAGGTCACCAACGCTGTCTGTAGCAGAAACAAGTCTCGCTGATGTGCGACATCACGGTAAGAGACGCTCTTGTACTGGCCCATCTGATGCCGTAAGCTCATGCCATTCCTGACCCACATATTGGCTTTCATCTGGGCAAGCCATGCACAGACTCGCAAAGGATAGTCGAACATTGCGAGAAGGGCATCTTCACCCGTCGAGATGATGGACTTGATTTCTTCGTCCTTGCCACGTAGTGGTGCCTTACGAATACTGACAACCACATTCTCGGCGGATGCTTTCAACTCTTGAACACAGCGTGCAGAGTCCTTGGCGATTTCCAGTAGCCATGATAGCGTATAGTGTAGAGGGTGATGGAAACTTAGCGCGCCTTGAGCGACCGCGAAGTCAACGACTCTATGAGTAGTTTGATGGAACTGCACAAGTTGCTTAATCTCGTTCTGCTCGAATCGCTTGCGCTCTAGGCCGAGGGAGTTGATCATAGCAACCCCCGCTGCAGCGAAGATGGCTGCAAACACAGCGTCATTCCCTGTGCCGGGTTGCACTTTGAACGTCTCCGCGAACGTGCGACAGAGCTTATTGGACTCCTTGGTGAGCATGGAGGCGCTGATCCAAGTATCTGTCTCGTATTCAACATGGTCACCTACAGCTCGAATATTTGGACAGATGCCCTGAAGTAGCTTCATGAGGTCCAGGTATTGAGAGAGGTATCTCGTATCACTCCTGACTTCAACCTGCACGTATTCGGATGATAGAAAGTGCTTCAGATCGTTGAAAAAGTGGAAGAGACGTCTGTTTGCTACTGCGCCAGGGTCGAAAGAGAGGACTGCGTGAGAATCAATATCTTCGGCAAACCCGACTTGTCGATTGGTCAGAAATGTGTACAATATGGCCATGATATTGGTGAGGAAGTTGCCCTTCTCTATTCGTTCCTGACAGATGGAAGGCGTTGTCAAGATCTGGTTGGAAAGGTTCATTATCGAATGGTCTGGCTCGCGATCTGCAATTAGATACAGCTGTGCCAATGTCGTGTACAGGCCCGAGAAGCGCAGACCTAGGACACGTTTAAATTTTGGTATATTGACGACAGTGCTGATGTACAAGTCCCTCAAACTGACTCGAGCAATTTTCCACAGTCGGAGGTCGAAGATGATCATGTAGTCGAGCCTGATACTCTTTGTTAGATCTTCATAAGGCGGCAGGCGTCCTGTTGGTTGTTTATCGGTGTTATCCATGAGCCAGAATCCATGCGGGCCATTGTCCGCACCAGCGGGCTTCTTGTGGACTTTGGGAACGGTCATGAAGTTAACATTCTGCTCACTCGGACGTGATCGTGAAGTGGTTCTCCCGCCGGGGACTGGGGTTGCTGTGTTGTCCATGGCTGTTCCGGTGTTGGTTGGCGGCGAAGCCTGCTCGATCTCTATCCGCTGGAGGTCTACAAATTCTCCGTCGCCATCAGTGTCCATTTCGTCGGCGTCGTCTGTCGCTTCTGCATCCACAAGATGATCGACAAGCGGCTGTGCTAGAGCTTGGAACGTTGTCGTGTTGAGGATTGTGTTGAGAGCACTAGCGTCGATGACATCCTCATCACGGAGGTCGGCGTCGCCCTCGCCAGTCTCGTCCGCATCTTCTTCCATTGTATCGTCTGTGTCATCCTGTACTAATGTTGGCTGCAAGATGAGCTGGATCGGATCGCTCGAGTACCGGGTCCACAAACGCTTTTCCGAGAGGAAGTCATCTCGTGCACTTTGAATGCCGTGGGAGTCTAAGCTGTCTTCACCAGTCTTTGCGTTCCACGCTCGGCTGCCCACACGCCATACTTGGAGCAGCTCTTCGCAAACAATACGACGAAGAATTCGAGCATCATCTCCAATTGATGCACCAGCAATATCGCTCAACCACTCGATGATCGTACCGCACATCTGCTCGCGGAAGGTGTCTCTGGATGATCGAATTGTGACCGTAACCTTGATCTGCTCAATGACCTTTGCCATTTTGGTGAGCATCTGTAGATCCCGAGAATGACGCACAACGCTCCGACCAACGTCGTTGGTTTCCATGGCACGAGCGAGGCCGAACTTGGTCTTTTCCTTACAGGCTCGAGCCACTTGGTCTTGGACTTCTTTGATGGTGTGCTTTTCGTCATTCCAGATGATTAGGCAGAATTCCGGCTCGTCCTCCTCGTCGTCTACGCCGGAGTAATGCTTGGAATCGAGCCTGCTCCGCACTTCGTCTTCTTTGATGGAGTCTATAGATTTGGGCAGGCGCAGATGCTCGGGTGAGCAGGAGATGACATCGCAGAAATAGTCGAGCACACGTCCGATGGTGGTCCGAATAGACTGCTGCAAGTCGTCTGGCAGTGTCGACATGTGCTCGTCCGCCTGCTCGTTGTCATCACTGGCAGTGTGAATCGCGCAATGGACTGGCCGATTCCACGCCTCAACATCCCCGCAATCACAACAGCCACTGTTTCCGCTGCTGATATTTATGATGAGCTGATGGCCCTCATGTTCGCTCGAAGCAAAGCACCTTGCACATAGAACAGCGGTAGGATCGTTCGTACACGTAGCACAGTGGTAGTAGACCTCGTTGGGCTTGAAAATGTGTCCGCAGAGGGAACCCCGTGCGGCGGCTGAGTATTCTGGTTCGGCCTCAGCTCCTTGAGCATCTTGTAGCCGGTATGACGCCGGAAACCCGCGCGGAAAGAGCTGCTCTAGATAGTCTGCTCTATCGTTGGTAAGGGCGCGGAACAGAGTCTGGAGGAGGTCATCGCGGGCTTCGTCTGAATACCGACACTCGAATTTGCGGGGAAAGTGGCAGAGTGTCTGCAGGAGAATGCGGTCGAGCCTCGAGTCTGGGGGGTTCATTTTGAGAGGCCGCTTTCTGCATGGCTCATCTCAACTCCGCCGGTGTGCAGGTCATCGGTACAAACAAGCGCTTCGAGCGAATGGTGGCTCAGTGATGACGGATAGGTGCGCCACTCAGGTGGCGGCAAGTGTTGAGTTGGAACGAGGCGCCTGTGAAACGCTTGAACGAAAATGCTTAAAGCAGGAATGGCTATGGCAGGTACGAAAGGACAGTAGTACTCTTGGTCAGTGAGTGGCAGATGTGGGAGGTTATGCTACGTCTGCGGTCACGAAGTTGGGGGAGTCGAGTCCTCTGGCGGAAAGTGCCAAGGCCCGTCCGCTACTGCCGCAGATTCGGATCAATGCATTCACTGCTGCCCACAGGTACGTAGCGTGATAATCGCTGTAATGTTACGAATATCAATGCGCTGGCGGCATGTGGGCGTGGCCGCTGTCCCCAACCCAGACTGAAGTGTTCCTCCAGGGCCGGAGTGCCCTTTCACGTTGACCCAGGTCATTCCTCATCCTCCTCCGATGTCATGTACCGCTGCTTGATATCCCTCCATTGCCTCTGTTTGTATGTCAGTCTGCGAGCCATCTCTTGTGTGATAGTCGCTTACGCCTTTGTTTAATCTGTTCCATATCGCGTCTGTGCCGGTGTCGAATGCCCTATGTCGAATCTCAGTATTGTTCTCACAGGCCCGCCCCAATCTCCTTACATCTCGAAGGCGAATGCTCCTACGAAAACGGTCGACAGGAAGACGTAGTTCCGGCGGAAGACGCCACTGCAGCAGTCAGTACGTTGTCATGCGCAGTCGAGAGCTTGCTCGGACTTGAAGAGGCCTTGTGAAAACCGTCCCTGTAAAGATGTTAGTACAGGGCACATGGAGAGATCCTCAGACACGTACCACCACTGACATCTTGTCGACAAGATGTGTATTCTACTCGTGCGCGCGTGCAGAGGCTTAGGAACTTCACGCGCCAGTATGAAGCTGTCTCTGAAAATGCGCAGCGGGAACTGCAGGAGAGCGGAAGCTCACAATGGACTAGCTCCTGATTGGCTCTTCTGTCCAGGCAAGTTAGGCGAGGCATCGGCCTTGGCGCCCTGTCTTCTGGAAGAGACCACCTCTCTTACTGTGACGGTATGGCCATTTACATGCTTGACTTCTGCTGCATAGCTTCACCTGTCTTGTCAACACTGCGAGAATCAACAGCTGTGGTTCTGGCTGGCTGATGTCGACGACGAGCAAGGCTGGCATTCAGACCGATGCCAAAGGAACGTCGTATATCCCAGCTTCGAAACGATCTGATGGGTCAACCCGGAAGGAAATTCGTGTGAGGCCCGGCTATCGACCTCCAGAGGATGTTGAAACCTACAAGAACCAGACCGCTGAAGCCTGGAAGAATCGTGGTTCAGGAGGCGTGCCCGGCACAGAGCCTGTTGTCAACATCGCTGACAGTGAACCCAAGAGCAAGAATGCGAAACGGAGGGACGCTGCTCGACGAAAGGCAGCGGCGGATGGAAGCGACAACACCCTGACTACGGCTATGAAGGCAACCACTCTGACAGAGGACGAAGCCATAAAGAAATGGCAGGACCCCAAGAACTTGGCCACGGATTCACCATCTGATGCTGCCGAGGTCGAGCGGCAGAAGAAGATCCGCAACACCTTGAAGAAACTCAACGCAGTTCGTGACTTGAGGCAGAAGAAAACCGCAGGAGAGAAGCTTTCACCGGATCAACTCGTCAAGATAAGTAAGGAGGACGAGTTGGTTCGCGATCTGAAGCGACTGGGATACCAGGAGGAGCAGCCGGACCGAGAATCAAGCGTGAGCTGAGGACGTCCTGATATTCCCGAGCCACAATCAAAGACAGCCTCCTGTCTCCTGGGTCGATCTCTGCGCCTGGATAAGAGCAAGCTCTGAGCGACAGCGTACAGTGCATCAGACACGCTCATGCCAGCATCTGTGCTGGCCTCGGAAACACCGCGGCGTGGGTTTCTGGGAGTCTGTAAGAGAACGCAAGAACCTAACGAGCGACCCTTTGATGTCCTGCGAGCCACAAATGCGCAGGGAATCTCACATCATTAAGACGACGTTGGCCTAGAGGTCGGCCACAACGATGCTTTGCTGAGTCCTCGGGGAGGTAGAGGCAGCACCTTGGCAGAGCTCGCGGTTCACCTGTGTACGCCTTAAAAGTCTAGAAGTCTGAAGGATTGCAACTGTTCGAGCAAGGGGAAGCGAGTAATTGCTCGTACGGAGATAAGCTGTGTAACCCCACATGTCGTGTACATCATGTCAACCGCGTCTCGGATAATTCAAAATAAATTGTGCTTTTGACTGCTGCTCCGTCGTCCATTGCCTCGATGCAACTTCTGCTCTGGTCATGCTCCTCGCTGCTGGCAGACTTACCCGTCGCCATGTCACGAGTCAGCAACCTCTCCTCCAGGTCGGCTACGTGCTCGTCCGACCTTTCACGGAGTACTCTTCTTTCCCTGCGGATCATCGCAGGGCCGCTGAAGAGTTGGTCAACTACAAGCCGATCGCAGCAAACCCTCAGGCGAAGAAAATTGCTGTCTTAGGCGGCGGTATCACTGGGCTGGCAGCTGCTTATGAGCTTGCACGGACGATTCCCCATGCCTCAATCACGGTCTACGAGAAAAGTGAGAGATTAGGGGGCTGGCTTAACTCTGAGGTCGTTCCAGTGAAAGGCGGAGAGATAATATTCGAGTGGGGCGCAAGATCGTTTCGAACACCTCGAGGGGACGGATTGGCAACAACCATGCTTGTGAGTGCGTTACCGCATGTATGCATGCAGTCAAGCTGATGTAGTAAGTTGAGACATCTTCTAGAAGAAGCTGAAAGCTCCGACCGGCGACCCACAATCCGCAACCACATTATAGCTTATCCGCCGGGCTCTGGTGCTGCGAATGACCGCTGGATTTACTACCCAGATCATCTCGTCCGTTTGCCAGGCCCTAAAGACGGGTTCAAGCTCCCAGCCCTCTGGAATAACATCCGGTCCTTTATAACGGAGCCGATATGGCGAGGTGTCTTCATGGGCATGTTGAGTGAGCCCACCAAGCCTGGACGTGACCCTGAACTCAAGGACGAATCTGTGGGAGAGTTTCTGACCCGCCGTTTTGGGTCCGCCGTGGCAGACAACTTCGCCTCCGCTGTCATCCACGGCATTTATGCTGGAGACATATACAAGCTAAGCGTCCATACAGCCATGCCGCTACTCTCGCATTTGGAACGTCATTCCAAGGAGCATACGGTGCTAGGGGAGCTGTTCTTCAACAAAGGGGGCGCGTGGAAGCCATGGCACGATTTTGTGTTGAGGGAGCTGATAGCACGGAAGTCTGGGCACAAGTCAGCCAACTACCTCGAACCGGGGGGTTTTAGTACCTTTACCGATGGCATGTCAGGGTGGACCAGGCTTTTAAAGTATCCTCTTCTCAATGCCAAGAGAGTAACAATTCAGAAATCCAGTCCAGTAACCTCTCTTAGTTACAAGGACTCGAAAGTACTCGTCACGGACGCGTCGGGCTCGGCCAAAACATTCGACTACGCGATCTCCACGCTGCCCGCGAAGACAATGCGGACTCTCGTCTCTGGCTCCCGCACCTTCGACCCGATCGCGCCGGCCACAACGGTCATGGTAGTAAACCTCTTCTATCCCGAGGGGTCGCTCACTACTGCAGTCGGCGCAGATGGGCTGTCCGGGTTTGGGTACTTAATTCCACGCTCAGTCCCTGTAGAGCAGAACCCGGAACGTGCACTAGGTGTGATATTTGCGCACAATTCCTCAGGCGACACGGGCCCAGAGAGCGTGGAAGGACTTGGCCGCCGCGACAGCTGGCAAAGCCCTGAGGGATGCCAGGAAGTGATTGAGACGCTCACTGCTGACCAAACCGAAATGACATCTAAGCAAAGTGAGGGAACACAACACGCGTCCCTCGTAAACCTACGGCAACTATCAGCGTACCGACGTCGCCTGGATCAATTCAATGCCGGCAAGGTCAGACCTGACGAGAAGATCATTGACCGGTCTGGGCAGGATACCGTCAAGGGTGCGAAGCTTACGGTCATGTTGGGTGGGCATTGGTGGGATGGCTGGTCCGAGCAAGATTACCCATCGGAAGAGGAGGGCATTCAAATGGCGAAAAGTGTTCTTCGCCGACATCTGGATATTCACGACAATCCTGAGGTGGCCAAAGCCAAGCTGCAGCGAGATTGTATTCCGCAGTATCCCGTCGGCTACCGGGACTATATGGCCAAAGTCCACGAGGAAATTCACAGTAAGTTCGAGGACCGTCTGAAGCTTGCAGGGCCCTTTTATCAAGGAGCTGTGGGCGTCAATGACTGCATCAAACAAGCCACATGGGCAGCCATGGCGATCCGAGACAACAGAGATCCGACGGCCATATCGAGATACGCCGAAAAGTTGGAGGGATGGGTTCACCCAGGACCCGATGCTCAGTTTCCTGGTGACTCCGCTAGACAGACTTGAGGACTACGGAGTTGGCACACGTCACCTGTGTTGCTTCAGAAGATTGAGCAACGGTTCAGGCATGCGTAGGGAAGCACGTCAAATGGTCAGTCAATGGACCGCGTCAGGACTGAAATCACGAGCAGCTAGACGGGCCACCATTGGAACAGGAGCATCTTCGATGATGCTACATTGAGAACATGTGCCTACACTAGTTGATCTCAATCAATGCCGGACCGAACAGCGTCTTTGCGCCCACCGATGTGATGTTAGGGAATGGTCTGCGCCATCGGGTCAGCAAAGGGCCCAGATAATCGCAGTTGGAAGCTGCTGGAAACAAGACTTACCCTTCACCATCGACCACAGCAGCGATAGTCAGGCCGTTCATCAGATTCTTGGTGTAAGGCAGCGGCGAAGAGAACCGGATCTTGCCGTCTGGCCCCTTGGCGGTCAGCTGCTGGATGGGCTGCACCACAGGGACGTTCTGTTGATTGATGTAGACGAGCGACAGCTTGCCACTGCCCTGGTTCTGACCCGATGGGAACGAGAAATCCAGATTTTGATCCTTGGGCTGGATGTCACCCGGTGTCTCGAGCGTCAGAGTGCCGAAGATCTTGAGATCGATTGTGTCGATGTTCGGGCAAGACTAGACGAATTCATCAGTCACTTCCCACGGCAGCCTTGAATAGCACGACTTACTCCTTTTACGACAAAGTTCTGGTTCAATGCCGAGAAAGCAAAGTCCCTCAGCGAAGCAGTCAAGAACGGCAGAGCGGAAGGGATCTTGCCAAGCAAGTCCCGATAGAATCCGTTCTGCTCTCCCTCTTGGCCTAGCGAGGCAGTAAAGCCGCGGATGTTTCCAGCATCACCGTTTTGACCGGCGACCTGTTTGGACGACCGTTAGCATTCCTCTAGCATCCCCGACTGAGGTCCACTCACCACCGAAACATCTGCCAGCGTCCCCAACACCACGTCAGTGAACGTGCTCGCCAACTTGATCGCATCAATGAAGTTGTCCACCGGCGCATCATACTGGCACGCCTTGATCGGCCCAGCATTAAACCGGTTCAGCGCATTATTCGCATTCAGTGCGTGAAGCTGCTCCTGCGCCTGGACTGCCACCAATGTATCAATCACCTTCTTCTTTAGCGCCTGGTCCTGGAAGCCATAGCCCTTAACGCCTTCGGTGACGTTCTTCAGCAGCTCGGTGAAGTAGAATGTTTCAAAGAGCTCGTTGAAGGCGATCAGCTTCAGGGAAGTAAGGGTCTGCGCCGAGGGAGGGTTCGCTGGTGGAGGGGCGTTGCTGAGGGTCCCTCGTGCGGCCAGGTTGATTTTAGTCAACGCATCGGATGGGTTGGGTACGGTCGGGAAGCCGTTGTCCAGAGCGAAAGGCTTGTCGCTCGCCTGCTTTGGTGGGGCGGGAATGCCTTGGGAGTTGTCTGGTGGTGGGCTTCCTGGACCGTTATTGCCCGGGCTTGGCTGATTGTTTCCTCCCGATGGTGGAGGAGGTGGTGGAGGATATCCACCTTGTCCGCCCGGTGCTGGGTAATATGACTGCTGTGGAGGAGCGTGCCCTGCGTTCCACGCCGAAGCATACGCCGTTCTGTCGCCGTACGTCAAGTCACGCAAGTTGTCTGCTACAGGAGCGGCTGAAGCGAGTGTAGTCAGGGCAGCGACGGCCAGCAACGATGAGAAATGCATACTAGCGAGCGTCGTGCGTAAGGAGAAGAAAGGAAACTCGTTACCGTGATGCACAAACAGAGGTGGAATGTCACGAGGAAGAGATCATCATCTCAGGTCCCCTCATTGAGGGCCTCGCAGTCTTATTCAAGATCAAAAGCTTCAACATCCTTATTTGATTAACATCGGTCAGAATCATAAATAGATTTGGCAATCTTGATGGAATCTCAAGCGAACGGGTATGAGTGGCGTCCGCTGTAGATGTAGGTCCGCGGCGAACGTGTCAGCTCGTTTTTCGGTGAAGTCGGGGTCGAGCAAGGGCTAGTGCTTATGGCTGCTGAGCTTTCTGGGGTCCGGAATGGCTTCGCCCCCGTGCCTGTGCCTGTACCTGTGCAACAAGGCTGCATGCGGAAAAGTTCAGGGCCCATCGGGAATCTGCATCGGTCAGGAGGGAACAGATACGAGTTTTATCTCGCAGGAGACCAGGAGCACTGTTAAGGACGAGTTCTACCATATGGTCTCCAGAGTGATTGCATAACATGGAGGACTTTGGCAGTCCGCGCCAAGTCAAAGAACAGGGCGTGCCTGCCAAGACAAGGGCCTGGCAGTCTCGCTCTCGCAAGCTTGACGCGGGGGCGGCTCCTTCCGAGATCTTCTTCATCTTCATCAAATTTCCATCTGAGGAAAGCCGCCCCAGTGATGCCGACATGCAGTATCTGTCACACCCTACTAAAGACTGTATCCTCGACGCGTCACCGAGCTGGCTCGACTGAAGGATTTGATAGCATGCAAGATGTGCTGCCTGGGACCACGGCGTCACGATCTCAACTCGAACCCTGGTCGGTGGATGAAGAGAAATTGTCGTTGGTCAATTCTGCCTTGTCGAAAGCGTTGCTGCAGGCGACGTCCCGACGGCACGACTCCAGAACTTGACTGCTGCCGCATCAAGATGAGAAGCCAGATGAATTGTCTAGCAAGAGCTAAAGCTTCCTCCGGATCCAAGACGTTCAATTGACCAGCTACAAGCGCTGTGGTGGCATCGACGAAGTCCTCGTACTGCAAGACTCCAGAGTTGACAGAGCAGGTGCCTAACACCAGGCATATCCACAGCAAAGCCTCCGGAGAAGTCTGGAGAATTGGCGTGAGGTCAACTTTCGCTAAACGCTGTGTGATCGCTGGACAGTAATACTCTGGGACTGCTGTCATCGAAGAGTTTATGCAAAGCGTCAACACCAATTGCAATACCGGCACCAGGATGCGCTCGAATGCTGTTCGGTCAAAGCCGTCCGTCGGCGTCAAGTGGTGCAAGGCACTCGAACAGCCCCATTTCAATCTCAGCAGCTCTTTAGCGTCCTCGACGGCGAGTGCCCTTGCTCGGGCTTGTCCAACAAGCTCAGAAAGCCGTATCAGATCCGGTATCGCTTCGAGCATAGATCGTGACATAAGGCCTGCTAAGTGAAGCTCATTAAATCTCTTCGCATCCGGCAATCTGGCTAGCTCTGACGGGTTGCTTTCGTTGCGAATCTGAAGGCCCATCATCGAGGCAAGCGCCAAAGGATCAGCCCTCTGATGTTCTACGCAGCAGGCGCCATCGATGTAGCTGTGACATTAGCTACTGAGTGCAAACCGGGACAGTGGTCGATCGACTTACATCGTGGACCAAAACGCGAACACTCCCAGCACGAAAAGGGGATGTTGTGCAAGGGCATCCCAATGGCCGATGAACAGCTGAGCCATACCGTTCGAATGCGCCTCTTCCGCAACCCAATCTTGCGCGTACACCTGTCAACATGTCAGCATGCTGATCTAGCAAAGGGCTAGGTGCACTTACGGCTGCAGAGCACAACTTTGCAATCAAGGTAAATGCATCAATGGGAACGAGATCCCTCGTATGCTGCAGGATCTTCTGAAGTTCAACGATTGCGCCAAGTTGATGAGAGCACTGGAATGCTTCGTGGACGGCATTGTCCGGTATCTTCCACTTGCGCTCAATGTGCATGACTAGGACAGTGTGTAAGCAACAGGCATCAAGAAGGCTGCAGATCTGCTTACGAGCGACATGCAAGGTACCAGGGGAGTGGATAAAGGTTGGTACTAGGTACTTCCGCCGCAAATCCTGCACCTTCGGGCACGAATTCCGACACGTCGGCTTCAAATGCGCGCTCTCGCAGTATCGATTTAACAGAAAAAAGTGGAGGCTGGTCGTCTCGAATGGCAAGCTGTCGAAAGGATCCGAATTTCCAGATCGCAACAAGGGTGACGGTACAGCTTGCGTAAGACTGTCATCACCAAACCGTGTGTGCACTTCGTCTGTCAACTGGTCGTCATCAGCTATAGCCCAAGGAAAGGACAATGCTGTGGTTGATGAGGCAGGCACGCTGGGTCCTTCGGCTCTTTTCGTAAGCGTCAGTGTGCTCAATTTCGCGGCCTTGCGGACAACAGCTTTGTTGGCTTTGCTCTTCCGCTCAGTTTGGGGATCGCGATAATTGACCCAAGTGAACTGATTGACTGGTCTTCGAGGCGGGCGGTAGTCTTCTGACATTGTTCTGCTCCGACTGCCTTCTTCTATGATCACTAGGGTGGTTGTCCATTTCAGGGCAAAGAGGCATTGCTTTATCGGCTCCTTTAACAGTCTTGGTGAGATATACGAGGTCAGAAATTGCCGCTAGGCGATCATCATGGGCCGTTGTAAAGGGCGGCAATCTGCCTTCGACGTATGAGCTGCCGTCTCGCGAGCCTTCACAGTGGCGACCGGTAACTAGGATTGTTGCCAGGCATGGGCACTAATCTTCGGTACGTTGAGCACTGCAGCCAAGTCTATGCATTTGTCAGGAATCAGGATGCAGACATGTGTACTGCGGAGGTTCCGCGTCTATGGAACCGAGCTCCTTGGGCGCATGCTTTGCAGAAAGTGCTCGTATCTACGGCACGAAGGATATACTGAGGATTCCGTCGCATTGGATCAAGCATTCGTTAGGCGACTAAGGCAGAAGCTTGAGCGCGATTACTGCGGGGACTCGGCCTGGTTTCTGGGTAAAGACGTACAAGCTCATTGGCCGTGTGGGGATGAATCCCACCGGATATAGTCCGCGAGGGTCGGCTGCTAAACATGCTGATGTAATGAGCATATAGGTCTTTGGACTTTTGGACGACCGACACACGTGGTGACGAGATGTGGATGACAAACTATCCCTCCTATCTTGATGCAGCCCTGCGACGACTAACGTCAGGTTCGCATGAAATTAACAACAACAGCGATTGCTACAACTCCAAATGGGCATCGGCTGGACGGTGTACGCGATGTAGGGCTGTTATGATAGCACGATCTGCCACATGCGTCCCCAGGGTTACCAGACACTTGCAACGGTGCTGACTTAGGCTTCGCCTGATCATGCGTACGCTGGATTTGATGCTCAAGCCAAACAATGGTAGTGGACGGTCGGGATCGTCGCTACACCCAATGGACAAGGCTTGGTAATCGCGCTCGATGTCCCAAAGATATCATCGAATCGGTCTGGACCCATCCCCAGTTTCAGAGGCTTTCAGTCAATCCCTATGTCGCTCGCTAACCCGTGAAGTGTCGGCGTCCCGGCATCGCGTCCAGATCGCCTGCCAGAGAGCGAAATACTCGGGACCATACTAGTAGGGTTGCTTCACGCCCTTCAAACCTATGGGACGCAGTGATGCAGCGTAGTCCATCCGGTGTTGCCTGAGGCGAGTCGCTATCGAGGATGCCGTCCTTATCGCCGAGCTGGAGACGTTTGAGAACTGGGGAGCGATAAGTCAGCGACAGGCCGCCCTGTGAGCGTCTAGCCAAGACATAGATGAAGCTGGCCGCGAAAGTTTAGCCGCTAGATGCATCGAGTGTATGCATGGCTACCGCTATAATGCTGCGGAGCTCGCTTGGTGGCTATCGTTGAGGAGGCGAGTGCGAATATATGTACCCTTTCGCGTGCTGATTTGCCCTGCGTTGCGGCAAACGTTACCTGGGGTCATTTGCCAGATCAGGCCAGTGACATTGCATTGGCGGATCTCATGGAAAATGGGATATTAGGCAGAACATTGCAACACATCTCGAAGCTTCTTTCGACATGCTTAGCAAGTTATCGAGAGGTATGCTGGCAGCTAAGGAATCGTCGGCTGCTAACAGTCATTAGCAGATTAACGAGAGGTCCGCAGGTGAAATGAGTTGTGTGGTTGGTCTGCTGACAGTCCCATCGCAACTGTGTGGAACAGCCTCCCGCTCGACGCAGCTTATCTCCACTAGTCAGGTGCAGTGATTTTCTGGAAGACCTTCTCGAGTACGCCGAACCGCAGCGCCCAAGCCGAATCATGCTGAGCTACCTGTTAGCTGTAAACTTTATCAAAGGAAGCAAGAATGAGGACATCGGAATCTTGTCCCATTCAGAAACTTGGGCATACGTACGTCTGCACCCATGACCGTTTCGCTCGCGAATACAACGCTGTCCAGATCCCTCCAGCACGATTCAAACCATTTGCAACCTTTTGACCCAGCGTCTCCAATTAAGCTGTCCTTCTCTGTGAAGAACACGTCCACTTTCAGCCTCGTATTGCTGGCCGCATGTACTGCCTGTGCTAGGCGCGGTGCAACGACGTCCAGATCACCCCAGTCGGACCATCCTTTCTCCTCGGCGCCTCTACGGAGCACCACTTGCGTTTCTGCGCCAAGACCACGTGCTCCAGGATTGTCTGCGAACACACGCCTCATTGTTTGCGTAAGAACAGCCTCCTGGAACTCAACTTCCGGACCCTCTTGGCCTCTGTGCGTAGGTGGCTTTTCAATGCTCGGTAGGATGCCTGATATCGCGGTGGCGGCTTTGTGCAGCGGACCCAGTTTGATATTAACGAAGGTGGCCACTTTGTCCGTGTGTGCGATCAAAGAACCCGGCAGCTTCGCCGCAAGAGAGAGATGAAACACGCCAGAGTGTGATGGATGGACCCATGGAGCAGCGAAGGCTATATAGGGCCGAGATGGATGCAGGAATTGTGGATAGTGGACAGCAAAGTCGAGTCCATAGATTGTGCCGGCACTGTGGCATCCTATTGAGACGTGCTTGATGCCCAGGTGCTGGAGCAGTGCTGCGGTGGATTCTCGAGAGGTCTGGATCAACCTCGAAGCCGGTACACTGGCTGATTTACCAACACCAGGTCTCGCTAATTGAAGGATGCGGACTTTGTGCCTCTTCGCTATGGCATCTCTCGACTACAGATCTTGTCAGTAGAGTCGTGCATCGAACACGACTGTGGTCAAGTCGACCGAGAGCTATAAGGACCTACAACGGCAAACAACGGTGACGACATCAAAGGACCGAAGAACAAGAGCACGTGCTTCTGGCCTTCAGCAGTGTCGTTCCCGCAGCCATAGTCGGCGTACGAGACCTGCAGAGGTTGTGGCCTGCCAAGGGAAGCATCTGCTGGGAGCTGGAACAGACGATTGAAGCGCTCGTCGCTGATCCAAGCCTCAAAGTCCTCCTGCGAGACGGTCGCGGATTTGTTTGTGCCTTTGCTTGCTACCTTGGCCGTAGTATCGATCTCCGCTGCGGATGCCATGGACTTCTCTAGCTATGATCGCGGTAAGCTACCAGCTCATAGTCGCCATACAATGCAAGCTCCAGGACATGTAGCTCTAGGCCTATAGATCATTTCAACTCAAAATCCTAGAAACAGTAACCCCTGGGACAGTAAACACAAGGCAGAAGCTCTAAGTAAACATGATGCCTGATTCCTAAAGTTAAGCTGTGCCAAGACAAACACCGACCATGCCGGTTGCCTCGTAGAATTACTCCAATATAGATGCAGAGCAAGCCTAAGCACCGAGGTTATTGATCAACTGGCTCATCGTGTTGGCACATTGACGAATCTCGTCCAATGTTCACGAAGCAGCCAACGAGAGCAACCATTCGTTCCCTACGCCTCTTCCCTCGGAACGGCTTCGTCAATGGATTGCCCTTCCTGATGGGACCGTCCTCCGTTCCGCGCTGCCATCGCCTCTCCCTCTTCTCCAGGAAGCACAGCCACCTACGCTGCTGCCACCTTAATTAGTACCTCTCTCTGCCCACCACCTTTCCACTCGTCCGAGCACATAGCAGATCAGTCCAGCAGGTAGCCGACAACAGTCTCCACAGAAGTCGCATTACTAAACGTCTTTAATGACCACGGAGCGGACCGGGACGCCCTGGATCTCTGACTCACAGCTCTATATCAACTAGCCCCAAGGTACACAGTCCCTGTACGCTTCTGCAAAACATGCCCTCACCACTCGAACTCAGCAGTCGCATGAAGACTATCGGCATCATTGGTGGCAGCACAAATGTCGCGACCGCCGAATACTACAACATCCTCAATGCCGCAGTCAAACGCCGCCTTGGGGGGTTCCACACGGCGAAGATCATGATGAACTCCATGGACTTGGCCACATCAGTCCACTTCGTCCATGGAGGGCTCTGGGACGAAGGCTCCGAGATTCTTCGAGGCATGGCGGAAAGCCTAGAAAGAGCCGGCGCAGACTTCATTATTTGCGTATCGAATACTTGGAACATGCATTCCACGAAATGGATGCGTGGCATCAAGATCCCGCTGCTGCACATCACTGAGCCCTTGATCGCCGCCATAGAGTCCAAGAAGGTCGCACTGCTGGGTACGAAGGCCACAATGATCAGCCCATACATTCCGGAAGTCCTCGCCCGCCACGGTATTGAGACGATCGTACCAACCGAAGCTGAGATGGACGATATTGACAGGATCATCTTCCAGGAGCTATCGTACAACAATTTCCTAGAGTCCTCGAAAGCGGCATACCTGAAGATTGTGGACAGGTTGTGCACCAAAGGCGCGAAAGGGGTCATATTGGGGTGTACGGAGATCCCGCTTCTGATCAAGCAATCAGATAGGCCGGAAGTACCATTCTACGACACGCTGGAACTCCATGCGGAGGCGGCAGCGGCGTTGGCGGTGCAAGGTATAGAAAGTTAAGGGTGAAAGCGACCAGGCGGAGACGACGACCCGAAGACGACCAGCTGGGGGCGGCGAGTTGGGGACGACGAGCAGCAGCTGATCCAAAAGCATGCCAGAATTGAAGAGCGAGCAGACAGGGATGCCTCTATGGCGAAGGCGAAGGCTACGACTGTGGCTCGACAACCGGACGAAACAACTGAGCTCTTCCCACCCGCCAAGACTTCCTCTGACGGGACCAGCAAAAGCGACCGCAGCTTCTTACAGGGTCATCAGTCATGTCATGGAATCGATAGCGGTACAGGTCCAGATAGACAACCAATGACCATGCTTGCTTCTGTCATGGGCGGACAATGTCCACCAACACTTACTGGTGCCGTTCGCGAGTCGCCATCACGAATCTCCGAAAGCTGCCTTTACCAGCTCGGCGAACTCCTTCAGATCCTTGCACCTCCACGCGTATCCGACAAGCTCCTTATCCAGCGCCATCTTACTCTCCGCCTCCTTGCCCCACACAGGACCGTCGCCGATCAGAAAGACGCTGCTGAGCCCCAGCCTCTTCGCTGGGGCATGATCGTGACCCAGACTTTGAGCAACGTGAATGATCTGCGACTTGTCGAACCCTTGTGAGGTGGCATATTCGATCAATTTCTCTAGCTTCGCATCATCAGCACGCTTCATATCAGTCCCGAAGTCCTCCGCCGTGAAGACCTTCCACCAGAAGATCTCACCGAGGCTGCTCTTGTCGGAAGCCGCTGTGATGTTCCACGCAAACTTATCAATATTAGACAGTGCAACAAGTCGATAGCGCGTACTTAGATACGACAACGCTTCAAATGTCCCTTCAAATGTCGGCCATGATGCGATCGTGTCCTTACTACCAAAAGCTGCAGCTTCCTCCTCGGTAGTAGTAACGTTCAAATCCGCGGCGATCCTTCGCCATATCTCCTGCATGATCTGGTCGAACCGTAGCGGCTTCTCAGCCAATTCCAGCTTGATGGCGTCCTCATGCCGCTGGAAGAGCTTCAGGAACTCGATGTCGCCCTTCGTCGCAGAATCACTGCGCTCCGTGAGAGGCGTGCTGTCCAGGTATGGCGAGGGACGGTGCAGCCGTTCAATTAGCGGACGGAAAGAGCCAAGCACATGCGCTTTGTACTCAATGACCGTCCCGTAGATGTCAACCGAGAGCACCTTATACTCAGACAGTGGCAGCGGTGGGACGTTCGGCCGCGGCATAGGCAGATCCGCCATCGTATAGAGGTGCCGAAGATTGTCGACCGAGACTCGAGAACTAACGGCGTGTAGTTAAGCCATGCAGGATTTAAGAGGAGAAGAGCGGTAAACTTTCATCCGGCTGCAAGATCGCCTCGGTGGGTTAAGGCCGATTGACCAATCAAATTTCATTGGTGCCCGCGAGATCTGTCGGCAGTGGGGTCGTAACGATTCGTGGCTACCTAGTACTCGAACTCGAATGCTTCGCTAAGCTTTAGAAGTAGATATAAGGGGTCTGTACGTTCTCCGAACACGAACTGCATCACAACACACATCTACAACGCATCACATTACAACATCACAGCATCATCAAATATGTCCAAGTACGAAAGCACCATCGTCGTTACCGGCGGCACCGCTGGCCTTGGCGTCGAAGCAGCATCCTTGATCGCCAAGCAGAGTCCCAACAAGCTCGTTGTCATAGCGAGTCGATCTAGCAATGACGCTCTCGCCCATATCAAAGCATCCAACGTCGAGTACATACCTCTCGACCTCTCAAAATCTCAGAATATCCGCGAATTCGTTCAGAAACTTCAGTCCTATCCGCCCATCTCAGCCCTCCTCTTGAATGCAGCGCTCCAATTCCCGGCCGAGGTTGGCTTCTATGATAGTGGCATCGAGCGCACTTTCGCCATAACACATGTCGGAAACACTCTGCTTTTCCATCTCCTGGCCCCACGTCTCACCAACGATGCCAGGATCATCATAACAGCTTCTGGCGTCCACTATACTGCCAAGGAAGAGAAGACAGGCATGCCTGAGCCTAACTTCACCACAGCAGCAGATGTGGCTCGCCCTGACCCAAAGACCGCCACAAAGGACGGCAGGCAGAGGTACACCACCGCCAAGCTTGCGAATATTCTGTGGATGTACGCCCTCGAGAGACGTATCAGAAAGTACAACAAGCCATGGACTGTCAACTCATTCGATCCTGGCTTGATGCCCGGCTCGGGACTCGCCAGAGATTATGATGCAATCTCGAGATTCATCTGGTTCCACATCTTCCCGCGGATCACTCCACTCGTCAGGCTGATATTCGGAACCGATAACATACACACAACTGCAGAATCCGGAGCCGCCCTTGCCAGACTCGCCGTTGACAGTAACCTCAAGACCGTCACTGGGAAGTACTTTGAAGGCCTCAAGGAGCGCCCTAGCAGCACGGACAGTCGCAATGAAGTGAAGCAGGAAGACCTGTGGAATTGGACGGTGGCAGAGTTGGCAAAGGACGAGGCGGAGAAGCGCAGATTTGAGAGCCTGGACTAGACTCGACGCCAAATTGTCGCTTCATCTCCTTTATATGTTGGGCCAGGCAGGATCTCTCTTAGCATGTTGTTGATGTCGCGTCCGGAGTTCCTTGCATCTTCCCATTGTTGGGGATAGCCTAATGATACTTCTTCGAAACGAACACCATCGATATGATCAGTTCTTCGTACATGGAGATGCCCTGTGACCACAACCTTAGCATTGAACCGCTTATGCCAGTCATGTGTCGCCTTAGTGCCGCACCAGAGACTGAAACGAGGTATCCGTGGAATCGTAATCAAGTCCTGTCGGAGGGGCCAGTGATTAATGATCACAAGTGGCAGACCGTGAGCCGCAGCTGCCTCCAGCCGTGGTACAGTAGCAGCAACGAGCTCCTCACACCACTTGTCGCGTGTCTCGTACGGATCGGGATGGAGCAGTGCCTCGTCAGTGGCCACAATGTTCTCCTCTTCCGCCCAAGCTAAGGCATCTTCACGACTCACGTGATCCGGTCTGAAGCTGTAATCATAGAGAGTGAAGATTGGACATATCAGACATGGACCGCCATCACCATCGTAGCGTACGAACTCGTCCTCCGGTGTGATCACTCCGTACTCATTGGCGACAGCGATGCACGCCTTGTATTTCATCTCACCTCTGAGGCCAGAATCATCGGCTGGCAAGGTATAGAGCTCATGATTGCCGGGAACCCAGAATACTGTGTGGAACAGCTGCGTTGTCAGCTCGAAGACGGTGCGCAAATGCTCAAGCTTTTCCCCTACATCACCACAGATGATGAGGCCGTCCTCTTCGTATGAGTCAAGCGAATGGAGTGCTTCGAGATTGAACTTGTGTGAGACGTGAAGATCAGCGATCGCCAACAACCTGCGCATAACTCGCGAGAGGCTGTGAATATGTCGGCGGCCTGTCCCAGGATTCGCGTAGTGGCTGGGGAGAGAGAGGTAAGTGAGGGAACTGAAAGGGGAATGTTCTCAAGAGATTGCGGGCTTGGCCGGGCAGTTCGTGCTACGCCGAAAAAGGTTAGAACTCTCTCAACGTCATTGATGGCGACGACGCGGTTCGCGAGAAACACCTTCTGCATCTGCACCGCATCGCCTACGGGTCGAAATTGCCTCGCAGCCAGCGCATGAGATGGTCAGACACCTGAAGGAAAGGCCATCCGGGAAAGCGAAGTAATCGGAAAGAATATAGCATGCCAAGACCCGCCGGATGAATAAATGTGACTCTCAGATGAACTCCTGCTGCCACAACTGAGAAAGTGTTGCTTATACACAGACAACCGAAGGAGACGGCCATGCTCACGTCTCTTTGGTACCGCCATGGACAGCGATGAGCCAGTAGACGACAGTCGGCCAACCAAGAAAAGCAGACTTTTCATTGCGAGACTAGTAAGTCGCCTGTATCAGCTTGAGCCAGACTGACGCCCTAGGCATGTGAATACTGTCGCCAGAAGAAAACGCGCTGTGATGAGAAGCGACCGACTTGTGGTCCATGCAAGAACGCTGGGCTTGAGTGCAACTATGGCGAGCGCAAAGCCACCAAGTAGGTACATTGCTCTACCCAGAGTCACGCCGATTGACGTATCTCAGGAACGAGGTCACTCTGAGTATGATCCTGCATAAGCTCGAGCGAATGGATGCGAAGATTGACTCATTGTCCTCAACACCGACTTCAGACGTACGATTCGACCATCCCGCAGAGTTACCGACCAGTCCATCTACTCCAAAGCTGTGCACAACACCAATCTCTTTCAGCTCTCGCAGAATGTTCTCATGGCCAGCTATGCGTGACCTCCTCCCTCCGTCGCTGGAATCGGTACCTGCAGAATATGCTTTGAACCTGGAGGAGAACAGACCGAAGCTTCCCGTTAGGGTAGAACCTCAAGCCGACCTCAGCCCGGCCACGGTACGCGAATTGTCAGAGGCATATTTCGCTACTTTCAATCTTGCCAACCCTGTGCTTGATCGCAGGATGTACTTTCAGCAGACGATGCGCACGGCGATTAGTGGTGGCTTTGGCTACGATGCACATAGCTGCTGCGTACTCATGACAATGGCCCTAGGAAGCTTTGGCATACGAGCCGTCGACGAATGCCGTCCCGACGATCTTTCAAACGGCCATACTACACAGTCGAATACGGACGGGGCCGCTGAGCCTACCGGCCTTGTGTATTATAACGAGGCTCGCAAGCGAGTTGGTTTTCTCGAAGGCGATCACTGTATGCAAGCTTGTCAATTCTACTTACTAGCTGCCGTCTATCACGGTCAACTCCTACGCCCGGTCGATTGCTGGTCGATGACAATGCGAGCTGCTGTCATCTGCCTCAAGTACTGGACTGCTCCCAGACAAGTTGACGACTGGACTTCGGACATGTTTTCTAGGCTTTTCTGGATCACGGTCATGTACCAAACGATCCTAACGCACGAGCTCACAGGTCTCCCCATTTCGAAGATCCATGATATGGAGGACCAAGTGCCACTGCCGAAGTTTGTCCCATACCTGTCAAGCTCTCCGGCTGACACAGAAGAGGAGGAGGAGTCCTTCTATCACTACCATTTCCTCAGCCAAATTGCGCATCGCCTCTTCCTGACGCGGGTATATACCAGCATCTATCATGCGATGCCCACGGGAGACTATCCGAACACTGCGCTCGCTAGAGAGCTTTATCACCAACTCGAACGATGGCGATCACAATTGCCGTCAGGACTCCGCTTTGACGAAGAAACGCCAGTGGATGGCGCCGGCCCACTCGGTGATGTATTGGTAGTCGCGCTACTGCGAAGTCGGTACTTTGTAGCGCAGTATCATCTCGGAAGACCCTTCCTATACAAAGCTCTCCATCAGCCAAGCATGCTAACCGAGGAAGACGTACAGAGGTGCAGAGAAGCATTGCAAGCCACCCTGAAGTGGGCAGATCTGGCCTTGAACATGCTCAGCATCAAGAGCTGTGTGCCACTAGCTTTCCCGATTTGTGGCCAGACATTCGGCCAACTGGTATTGATGTATGCGTTTCGGTACAATCCCCAGCCAGCTCTACAGCAGCTACTACCGACGGGCTGGGAGCATTGGGCGCATCGTGGACTGCAAGTCCTCCGGGACTACTCCGACATGAGTCCCGCCATTGCCAAGGACTATGAGATCGCCAGTACGTTGTTCTCGATGGCTTCGACATGAACAGATCACGAGAGTCCTCGCATCACGCTCTCAAAGGCCAACAGCGCAGTGGCATTTGCTGGGAACGCTCTCAAGAAGCAGGGCGCGAAGCCGCGCCAGTAGCCTTTCCAGCCATACTCAGCATAGACAGCTCTGGCAGCGTCGAGCCATCTTGCAAAACGACGAGTTCCGTCATTGAGCTTTCCTCCCAATGGGTCAGTCATGATCCGCTGCTTCACCACGTCGCTCGGGTAGGAGAAGAGCCAAAAGACCTGTGCGGAAGCTCCTCCAGCCCAGAAATTGATCGACGGAATGGAGAGGGCTGAGTGAGTGTGCAGATATCGAGAGAAGATGTCGTACGAAGACCACCAGAAGAAGAAAGAAGAGCGGAACACCAGCGTGGCAGGAAAGCCATGGAAGAGCCCCTTCATGCCGTGGGCAACATAGATCTTCTTGAAGCAGTCGATCGGCCCCTTGTAGAGCCGGTCCGCCTTGTTTGCAGCGTACTGTATCTGTAGCCGCGCTTTGATATGTTCGACTGGTGTCGCAATGACACAGACTGTCCACCCTGCCATCATGCCTGCAATTCCATGGCCGAAGGACTTCAACGCCATTCCGTCCTGCTCCACTCGGTGGAATAGCGCATTGGGCGGCAAGTCATCTCTTAGCATCCTCCGGTACAGGTTCAAGCTTCCCAGCATGACCGAATCCATTGCAAGCCATCCAACAAGCGGCGGAGTTACACCTTTATAGACCGCCAGAGGCCCTTCACGGCGTACGGTCTGCAGGAGACAATCGAGCGGCCCTTTGAATTGACCAGCAGTGGCCGTCTGCATGCGGACTTTGATGGTGTCAAATGGGTGACCAGTTGTACATTTGGCGAAGCTGAGCAAGCGCCAGCTAGAAAGCCTCGAATGTGATCCGGCACGATGGCTTGGCGGGAATTTGAGTCCGGGGTCGAACCGGCCATATCGATGTTGCTAAGCGGATTGGTGGCCATACCTCAAGACACCCGTAACTGCTTCTCTCTATTGGACGTGCAGGTGATCGTGGCCGGAAGGGTCTGGCAGTGAATCAACGATGCCACGGTGTGGCACACTGAGACATCTCCTGAGAGACCTGCTGCAAGACTGCCTCGAGTGATATTAGTGACAAGAGACGCGAGCGTGGTTGGGGAAGGAGGACGACACTGTGGATGGTGGCAATCCTGGATCGTCCAGTCTGTGGAGAATGACATCTTTCAAATGACCTTGTCGAAATGATCCAAGGATCGCAGCCCACTCCCAACGTCCTTGGTACATCTTCCTCGGTACCCATAGCACCAGCGCCGCCGTGGCTATCCACGGAAGCGCAGGCTCAATTGAAGACCGCGGTGCTGTGCACACAGTTATGAGAAGCCGACCACGTATGTCTTTATGGCAAGATAGAGCGCTGTGGCAGCTAGTGCTCGTGAACGCTTACCTTAAACTGTGTATCCGATCTTGGTGACTCAGAAAAATTTCGACGCGCACAACTCTTTGTTGCGCTATATGTGCGCTTTCGAGAGCAACTCCTACGGATAACGAAGGAATACTCCTGCGATGAGCATACCTTGTGGTCAGACTGGAGCAATGAGATGCCCGTGGTGAGTCACCGAGCCATAGCCCTGGCCCTTTCCATTCAAGGTCGATCGCGAGCCTTCCCTATTCGGAATCGAGTGGTGCTGCGCTTTCATTTGGCAAGCGCAAGCTGTGGCACTATATATGGCCCACTTACTACAGCAGTTCATTTTCATCTAGAGGCAATAAGATCAGCGAATAGTCCTACGTCTCCTCTCGTACGACTGGGTAGTGTTCGGTTGCATTTCTAACAAATCGTCAACATGTTACAACTAATTCAGTCCTGCCTCTCGCTTTGTTCGTCTATTGGGGCGCTTGCCGGCTTCCTCCTGGCATACTTGTTCTGGTCAGCCGACAGAGACGAGAGCGCAAGACATCCACTGCGATCTATCGAGTTGCTAGGCCGCGTTCTGACCATTGCTATCGCCGCGACGTCGTGCATAATCTCCATTGCTTACACACTGAGCAACGTCAGCTACGGGAAGGTATCATTCGAGCCATACATAATCGCCTGTTCGTTCCTGGATACGCTGCTCTGGCTGAGTCTGGCGCTCACGCTGACGGTCTCGTCAAGACCAGTCTGGAATGCATACGGGACTGCAGCTCTAGTCTCATGTCTAAGCACTGCCGGATCTTTGGTGTACTCGATATCGACGGATGAATTGTTGTTTCCTCGGACTTTCATCGCTCTAGTCGCCCTACGCTGCACGTTTCTCATCGGGTTATGCGCCATCGCATCTTTCGCCTCTTGTTCGCGAATAGCCGTTAACCAGCAGACCGAACACGAGCCACTGCTCAGGTCAATTTCATCATCGAGCGCTGGCAAAGACGGGGAGCTGGATGACCCCGATGAGGAGTCACTGACGAGCGATGACGACGAATTGGTGCTGGCTAAGCGGCAAGAGATCGTTAAAACTAGAGGTGGTCTGCTGGGATACCTGAAGGAGTTCAAGATCTTCTGGCCATACTTGTGGCCCAGTAAGAACCGGAGGTTGCAAGGCATACTAGCGGCTTTGCTGGTAGACATCATAGCACACCGCATCGTCAATGTCCTGTACGCAAGACAATTCGGCCTGGTCGTTGACGGACTATACGAAGCAGTAAAACTTGGCGGGGCATTGCCATGGGAGACAATACTACTATGGATCTTTCTGGCTATCCTGGCTGGCCATAGCTGCGGACTGGAGGCCATTTCCGAGTATCTTGGAGTGCGTCTCACCAACTGGTCGAGAATCCAACTGCAGGCTGCAGCATTTAATCATGTCATGGGCTTACCCATGAGCTTCCACGACGATAAGGACTCCGGCGAGATCATCAAAGCCATCGAGCAAGCAGGCTCCCTCGCCTCCTTGCTCAACAGCATCGTCATCGAGACGCTGCCCTTCCTTTGCGACATTGCCATCGCGCTCTTCTACGTCAGCACGTTGCTGGATATCTTCGCGACAGTCATCGTTCTGTACGTCGTCGTCGCGTTCACATTTGTGACCTACTTCATCTCTTTGGCCATGGTAAGAGCACGAAGGGACTCAGCTGCAAAGTCGAGATCTCAGAGTCGCTTGTTATACGAGGTGGTCAGCAATTTTACCACCGTCACATCGTTCGGGCGCCGATCGCACGAGCAGCGACGACTTCGAGACGCACTCCAGACAGCTGTCGAATCTGATCAGTGGAACAATGACCTTCACATCTATCTATCTGCGTCTCAAGAGCTCGTCGAACTGATGGGCCTCTTGGCCATCTCGATGCTAGCTGCATACAAAATTGCACACGGCTCCATACCGGTCGGCAACTTCGTCACAATATACGAGTATTGGGACGTTGTAACCACGCCACTGTGGATCTTGGGCTATACTCTCCGAAAGATTTCGTCCAACCTTGTCGACGCTGAACGCCTGTTGCAACTCTTCCAAGAGTCGTCGCCTATCAAAGACGGCCCCATCGAATTGTCTCCTTGCAATGCACTAGGTGCCGTCAGCTTCTCGGATGTCTCGTTTGCTTACTCTGCTGACCAGAAGCAACTAACGCTGCACAACATTGACTTCACCGCACAGCCTGGCCAGACTATCGCCCTCGTCGGCGCCACTGGAGCTGGCAAATCCACTGTCATCAAACTTCTTCTCCGCTTCTTCGATGTGTGCTCACCGGGCGCCGTCACGATAGATGGTCACAACATCAAACACCTCACCCTGGACTCACTCCGTGGCCTCATCGGCATCGTTCCCCAATCCCCTGCCTTGTTCAATACCTCACTACTAGAGAATGTTCGCTATGGCCGGCTCACTGCCTCCGACGCCGAAGTGCACGCTGCGTGCCATTCAGCTGCGATCCACGAGCGCATTCTGTCCTTTCCGCAGGGCTACCACACGCGCGTCGGAGAGCGCGGAGTCAAGCTATCCGGCGGCGAGCTTCAACGGATAGCCATAGCCAGGGTGATTCTGCAGCAGCCGCGGATCGTGCTGTTGGACGAGGCGACAAGTGCACTCGACACAAAGACCGAGCAAGAGATACAGCGAGGTTTGGTCAAGGACTTGACACAGGGAAGGACGACGATTGTGATTGCGCATCGGCTGAGCACAGTCGTGGATGCGCATCAAATTCTTGTGCTGGATGAGGGGAGGATTGTGGAGAGAGGAAGCCATCAGGAGTTGCTGGATAGGGAGGATGGCCGGTACCGTGAATTATGGGGGAGGCAGATACGAGCGGAAGTCGGGACAGGCAGGCCCTCGTGAGAGAGACTACCGTGATTATATGACTGAGACCGAGTTTCCGGGAGCAGAGGCTAATCACAGCTACACCCACTATCAGTCAAATTGTCCGGCTGTCAGTACAGGACAACAATCGCCAAGAAGACTCCTTGAGAATCGTAATGTCGTTCACCTCGGCCAGCACCACAGTACTTCACCGCGACCTTGGTCTCACCTGACAACCATACTTCATATATTACACCAATCCAGTTTCCACTCAACAATCGCACACAAAATAGGTGTTTGGCCTTCGTAGCCATTTCCCTTTCATGTCAAGCCTTGTCTGGATTCGCTCTCTTGCGGGACGACGCCCATACTAGGGGCACCTATGCGATAAGATGTTACTCGAGCAATGCAAAAAGCTCCCAACATTCAGTAGCAAAGTTCTCCTTCAACTCCTTCGCTCAGAGTTGGCACGTACTGATAGGGGTTTTCTAAATCGGACTGCTCGACGGTTGATTTAGTTTTTTGTTTTTTTTTGGAGGTCCGTGGATGAGGCTCGAGCGAACCCGAAGGCGGGAAGGAAGTCTGCCGACGTTGAGGTGGGCAACGGCGAGGTGAGGGCTTGGCGAGAAGATGTTGAAATTAGTGGCCGCGGGGCCTTCGTAGTTTGAGACGGCCTTGCAAACCTTTTCACATGCATTATATGCCTATGTCATACCTTGTCGTTGTGCCTTGCCATGCCAGGCTGGCCACACTATGCCGCTGAGCCCCTGCTATCGAAGGGTCACCTATGTCCCATGCTCTTTCCCATAACGTACCAGATTCTTTCGCTATGCAGTCTCGTCAATCATCCCAACATGCCAAACCAGTTCCGGCGCTATGCAATATAATCTCAATCATACACGGCCCATTCAACCAATACTCAACCCCCCAACCGTATTCAGCCCACCCCCAATCCACTGTCCAGCGGCCCAAATCCACTCTCCCTTCTTCGGCTTCATGCCCATTTCCACCTGCTTGACCAGCTCCACCACACCCGCAAACGTCCTCGAACTCAAGCTTCCATCCGCCTTGTTATGGTCCCTGGCCGGCACAGCCTTCCTGCCCACGGGATTGGTCACACCATTCGCCGCATCCACCGCCTGAATCGCGGGCCCCTCATCGAAGAAATCCACCAGGATGAACGTCGGCGCGCGCTGATATGCCTGCGTACAGTCCTGCATCGCCTGACCTAACATGCCCACGTTGGTAGTGTTGGGAGAATTTGTGGTGGTGATGTTCTCGACGTCGGGCGACTGGATGTTGAGGAAGTCGGATTCTTTGTAGAGGAAGTGGTTCATCAGGGGCATCTTGTTGTTGGAGAGGGCGAGTTGGGTGTTGCCCTTGACTGAGGACGGGCGGGACGGGTCGCAGGTGAAGTCGGAGGGTTTGGTGTTCTCGAAAGGGTTCTCGAACATGAATGTAAATTCGTCCATGAGGTAGGCCATGGAGTCTGGGGTATTGGCGGGCGCGAGGGAGGCGACGAAAGTGAGGAGGCGTTGGTTCGAGGTGATTAGGTCGTTGAGGGTAGGCCAAGTTGCGGGGGCGGCCGACTTTGAGGCGGGCGTGTAGACGTATTCGGTGATGTTTGAAGCGGTGAAGTGGAAGTTGATGTCGGAGGGGTTGAAGTCGTCGCTGTTGACGAGGAGGAGGGTGACCACTTCGCGGGGGTTGTTGTCCATCCATCTCTTGATTTCCATGAGCCAAGTGGAGAGGATGCCGGCGTCGAGGAGGTCGCAGGAGGAGTGGCAGAGGTGAATGTTGCCATTGGACTTGTGTATTTGTGCGGAGAGTAACCGGACGCCGGCATTGAGTTGTATGGTGGAGTTGTAGAATTGGTTGCCGGAGACACTCTATTGCATCTGTTAGCATGAACATGTAGCGGGAGAGTACTTGCACCGGCAGACTGATGCCTTGCCCGATACAGGTTCCTAGGAATACGTACGAAGTCTGTAGTGGCATCACGAACGAAAGGCGAATCGTGGGCGCCGAGGTGTGTTATCTGGTTGTATGGTTTTGAGCATAGGTCGGGCGAATTGTTACATGCTGATGAGGAGCCGGACGTTTGATCTGTTGATGTTGTTGGCGATGTTTGGCTCTGTCGCGGAAGTATGGCTGCGGAGGAAAGGCATATGAGGCCCGCCAGGGCCGGTAGAAGGTGCATGGTCTACGCGATGTTCGTAGCAGTCGTGGAATGCGCCCAGGAGGAGCGTGCGGCCGCTTCTCTTCGTAGTCGTCGTTGGAATTGCCAAAGTCGCCGTCAACAGCGCTCTGGCCTAGCAGACAAAGCAAAGTAAAGGAAACTTGTCACTTCAAAGACAGGAATAGCAGCACTTTGTTCTTCTTCACTCGGACAATCCAGTATTGTGCTCCGGATATCGAGACAAGCGAAGGTGTTCAAAGAGATCGTGGTGGTGGATAGGCGCTGTTGTGTCCGGTAATGCGCGAGGATGGAACAAGGGCACTAAATCAATACACACGTATATGGATGAATAGTAAATGGTAGGAAAGAAACGAACCTCGATTGCATTGCATCAAATCCCTTGAGAGGCACCTCACCAAGTCTTCCATGTGGAAACGCCTTGTGCTCCTCGTTCATTGATGAATCTTCAAGGAGGCGCAGTTCTTGAACGTCTCAGCCCTCCACAGAATCTTTGCATGCCGGTCCCCCTTTCTCCGCCGATCGCCGACCTGGTGAACCTTTAAATAACCACATAATTCACTGCCTTCCAAGTCCGCTTCGTTGCTAGGGAATTGCCCTGCTTGAGCTTTTCATCCTGTAGCAAGCATCCTTCCTGTGCTCAAGCGCTGTTGAAACGGTAGAGCGATGAAGCCCTTTGGTCATGCTCATGAGAAGGCCGAATGTGGGGATGCTCTGAAACGTGAACGGCTTGGAGCATTGGATGTTTCAGATCCCGGAGGCACAAACTGGATCTGCACCCCTTATTGGCGATCTCGCGATATGAGGCATGGTCCAGTCTCTTGACGGCATTATTGTGTATCCAACAGGTGCACGGCGAGTGTGAACAGGCATACAAGGGAGTCTGCAGTAAGATCGAAGACACGATAGACGTCTGCCAGCATTTATATGACCTGACCTCGCAAGAAGGTGCTTACGCTTGCCTGTATGAGTCTCGCCTTCGTATGTAATCCAAATTGAATCTGGAACGGCGAACCGGTTTGTCACTAGCCCAGCATCTCTTCAACGCAATCTGGGGTGCATGAACCACGTGGACGGCTCAAGTCATAGCCTCTTGTCTGCTGTCTGGGATGACCCAGCTGTGGTATAAACTCACGCAATTTTCAACAATTCACTCCCAAAGGAGGACACTGTACACCGAAAGCCTCGACGAGACGAAGCTATACATGCATAGCCGGCAACTAGCCACGCCTCTGCATCTTCTTCTCCTGCTTCTTCCGGTTCTTCTCTGCTTCCCGCTCCAGAAACTTCCGCTGCTCTTCCGCACTCATGCCCTTGAGCTTGCGATCCCGCTCCTCCTTCTTCAGCTTCTCCATCTGCAGAGCCCGCTCTTCCTCCACAGCTTGATCACTAACCTTCTTCAGTTTCGACTTCTCCGCTTCTCGTACTGCCTTCACCTTCTTCATGACTTCGGGCCGGAAGTGCGCGTTTGCTACCAACGCGTCTGGCAGGCGGAGGAACACCTGGAAGAGAGGCAGTGTCGAGCTGTAATCGCCGTTGCTTGGCAGACGGACGCTGAGATGAATACGCTTTTTCGGAGCCGTCTCGTCCAAGGTCGATGGCTTGTCGGTGGGCTGGTCAGTGATGATGAGGTACTCGAACAAGTCGCCGGCCTTCTCGACTGCTGATATGAGCTCCTTACTGAGCAGTGCATCCGTGATCTCGGCGCTCTCGCTCATGACTGTGACAAAGTCCGGCAGTTTCGCGTTGTCCTTGGTGAAGGTAAGCGAGGCGTCGTAGCGGTCGTCGCGGAACTTGCGCATCTCCAGCTTGTTGACGACGGCCAGCACGAACGGGTCGTAAGATGAGTTCCCAGTGCCTTTGGATTTCTCAACCTCTTCCGCGCCAGGAATTCTTGGTGGAACGAAATCCTTCTCTTTGCCGTCGAAAGTGTACAGCACTGCCTCCAGGCGCTCCTTCTTGGGCTTTACCGACTCGAAGAACATGCCGGCAATGTGCTCGGAAAGAAGTTGCACCGGGTTCATGCGTCGGTGGAGGTTGATTTTGGCATCCATGAATGCGGCATTCAGCCTTCCACTGGCGTAGGTCTGATACTCGTACGCAGTCTGCTCCTTCAGGAGATCGTCGGCGAGGTTCTTGCCATCGAGCTTGTTCGCGGCCTCGAGCAGATTGCCGCCCTCGGGTCCTTCGGAGGACGCTTTCGGTGCACGATGGTAGCCCACAAGAGCGAACTCGCTCTCTAAGATCGGCTGGTGAACGGCCATCCACTTCCTTGCCTTGCGCTTATTCGTCGATGATCCCCACAGGTGTATCAGCAGCATCAAGAGAATGAACGGCGCTATGGTCATCTCTAGGTAGAAGTCTGATACCTGGGTCCGCTCCCAGACGCGGTACCATTTTGTGTAGGGCACCGCAGGACCTCGTCCCAGCGCTCCTGTGGGTTCGGCGGCTGCCGCATCCGCAGGCGATGCAGGTATGGGTATCGGAGACGGGTCTGGCGCGGCAGCGAAGTCTGCAAAGTCTGGCACGGGAGTTAGTCGTTGCTTTCGAAAACACCATAGAACCAGCATACCTGTATCCTCAGCGGGAATTGGCTTCTGCCCGCCACCTATTACGTTTTTGAGAAAATCCATGATTTGTTCCTCCAAAGACCAAGAAGAAACCCCAACGACCAGATTACTATTTACACAGAAGAAACAATTGGATGTGCTGAAGAAATAGTGCTTCGCACGAGGTCACATTGAAGTCGTCTGGAGGCTGGAGAAAGGCCGGGAGCTCCCCACTGTGACTTCAGCCGATGATGAAGCGAAAGTGCATACGCCAAGGCCAAAAGTGCAGGTACAGCTACTTTGAGCTCTCGCGCAACACAAGACAAGAGTGGAAACGTTCTGCATGTGTCTAGCAATCTACAGACGGCGACCGCCAATTGATAAACTCGCTCAAACGCTACAAATTCAACGACTGGCATCAGCATATCACTGCCCCAGATGTCAGGTTTCAATTCGCGATAAAATCCCTATTCCCAACGCCATGCTCAAGTCGTTAGTGTTCAAAATGCAGATCGCCTACTGACGCAGTCGCCTACTGACGCAGCTTCACCTAGCGTAATACGCAGGTGGCGGACTCGCTGTGGACGACCGCGAAGGTCCTGATGCGGAGCCAAATGTGCCCTTCCGTCTTTCGTCGTCGTACCGTCGTGACATTTCAGCCGCCATCTTTGCCATCCATGCTCTTTCCGCAATACTGCCACCAGCAGAAGCATCGTTGACGAATTGTAGGAAGTTAGGAAGTGGCTGTGGAGGCTCAGCTGGCGTTGAACTACTGCTTGGTCCAGGAGATCCCAGGTTGAAAAGAGCCTCGTGTTGCGAAAGTCGCTGAGTTGGTGGCGGTGGCTTTTCCGTGACATACATCGATGCACGCGGTGTCGTATCTATGTCCGTAATTGGTGGTGGCGGCTGCCTTCGACGAGCTCGAATCGTGTCAAATTGGCTGTTCTGAAGTGGCTGTGAGGCGATTTCTAGAGCCGAATCCGGACCAAATGATGCACTCGAGCTTGGTCTGACTTCCCGATGAGGGACGCTTGGGCTAGTCCTGGCTTCCTGGAGAGGAGTCGACACGACACGACGCCCGTTGAGCGATCTGCGATCGGATCTTGGGCTCTGTATCGGACTATACACATCACTGTCACGAGCGAACGGTGAGGAGGCCATGCCGGGTGGGGCAGAGAACACCGATGGCTGATCCGATGTACTCTCGGTGACACTCGCAGAGTCAGTCACGGTAGAACCGTCCTCGATGACAGTCTCGATTTCGCCTGTCTCTGGTTGCTTTCGTAGATTGACGACTCGCTTCTTTCGTTTCCTTGTCCTGCCATGACGCCCACCGCCGAGACCATACGAGCTTCCCGTTGACGGAAAGCTGTACAGAGACGGTCGAGCTAGAGCACTATCTCCGGTATAGGTACTAAGACTTCCAGCATGCGAGTGCGATCGTGACAGGGCTGGAGTGGCAGCTCTTGACTGGAAGGCCGGCATCTCGCCCCGTTCCAACGGTCCCGTCCATGCTCGAAAGACAGCGTCTTGTATGGACGGGGTAAACAGTGACAAGGTCCGATGTGAATCTGAGAGAGTGGCAAGTCGAATGAGATTCTTCTGAGAAAATAAGGATTGCGTCTCGACCGAGCTGTCCAGTGATAGTGAGGCGATATCGGCTGAGCTAAGTACGTTGCCTTTCGAGTCCACAGGATCCTGCGGCGGACTTGCGAACGGATCAACGACAGTGTTGTCGGAGGTCTGGGATTGATCCAGGTCGTTCTCGGTCACATTATGCCGATCTGGACCAGAGAATTGCTGAGAGAGGCGATGTATGATTGCAGGGAGTTCTTCCATTAACAAGTTTCGCAACTGTTTCTCAATCACTCCTTGTATATGCTTCGCCACAAATGGTATCGAGTCGAACGTCGAGCTCACGCGTAACGACTCCAGCGGATCGTCCTTGAAAACAATGGTCAAGCCCTTCTGTTTTGAGAACACTAGTATAACAAATCCTGACAATCGGAATTCTGACAGTGTAATTTGTAGCGGGATCGTCAAGCCAGTCGCAGCGGCCAATGGCTGAGGCGTCGCGAATGAGTTTCTCGTCGCCAAGTAGTTGTTCAGTGGATTTGCTTGCACCTTTGTCTTCAGCGATAGGACGCATCGCCTTGGTATCGCATCTTGAACGTCCCTCTAAACTTGTCTTCGGCCAGGTCTCCGATCTCAACAATCTCGAGCTCGGGAGGGATCTCGCCCAGGTTGAACTCGCTGACGAGGAAGTCATCGACTATGATCACCGGCCGTGGGCCAGCGCGGTTCAGCGCGTTGGTGAGCAACTCCTTCGCGCGCTGATAGAATGTGGCATCGGTCGCAAGCGGAGACCAATTGAAATTGAACGCCATGCTTTGAGATATAAGTCGCCGTTCAGGGCGATGCCATCATTCCGCGATATCGTAGAAGAGTCCTCGCCGTGATACTGCGCAGTGCGTGTGTAATTTCTGCCGCCTGGACGTGTTCACGGTCAAGAGAGCGCAAGGTCCAGGCTGTTGTGACCGGGATTCGTTTTCGTGCAAGGGCAGGCCTGTAAACATAGAATCAAATCAGAAGGTCACACGATACCAACCAAGGTTGACCCGGATAAGTTGGAGTTGGCACAGCAAAACATGTGCGGATTGCTCATGCAGAGTGTGACGACGATGATTCGGAGACTTCCACGCCAAAGCGATTGTTTGTGCATAAAGTTTTGCTGTGGGGAGCATTCGCATTCGCGAGAGCGGTTGTCAACCGGCTTAACATCGCGCCCTACGGACCAACGACGAACGGCGGGGTGACATCAAGCCGGTTGACAAGAATTTCCAAGTCTACGGATCAACACCACTACTTCGTTAAGAGCTCGTGCTTGTATACACCGATCTTGATAAGGTCCCACTGCGGGGACTCTATGTACTGATAGACAGAAAGAAGTTGGGACAAATAACTTTTCATATTTGGGGGTATCATATATGTTGAATCATGCGCGAGGTATATATATGCAACATGGGTTGCTAATTGCGATGCATCAGACTTCAGCTTTTCGGTCACAACTTTTGCTCGGCCCACTTGCTAGTGGAACATCATCACTGTTGAAGGATGATGATGGCACGGGCCGCTCGTCCAAGTTCATCAAATGTTTTTTCATGGCTCGCCCCAAACCTCATCAGCGATCTCGCGGCACAGCTTCAACTTCGCCTTCTGGTCATCGTGGCTGAGCGGGTAGCCTGTCTCATGAGTACTGAAGCCACACTGAGGGGAGATGCCCAACTGCTTCAGGGCCTGCTCCCGTGACTGCCCGCTACCCTCAGCGACGAAGTCTGCAGCCTTGTTGATTCGGTCGATGATCGTTTTCTTGTCCTCGAGATCTCGTAGCTTGGTGCTGATGGCGCCAATGATCACATTCTTGTTCTTTGGCAAGAATTTGAGCGGCTCAAATCCTCCAGCTCGATCTGTGTCATACTCGAGGTAGAACGTGTCGACATTGAGATCCTGGAAAAGCTGTTTCGCAATAATGTCGTATGCACCGCTCGCGAAGTGTCGACCGCCGATGAAGTTACCTCTGCACAGGTGTACTCCAGTATGGAGGTCCTTTGGTAGTCCGGCGACGCAGTCGTTGTAGAGTTTGATGTATGCAGCCAGTAGCTCATCGACCGTACCAATGTTGTCCTTATCCTCAGCGAAGCCATTTCTCCATACATCACTGCAGAAGTATGCCAGCCCAGGGTCATCGAACTGCACGTTGCGTAGTCCAGCATCGTAAAGGTTTTGTAGCTCGACATTGTAGGCCTTTGCGACATCAGTGAAATACTCGGCATCATTCTTGTATGCCTCCGGTGTATATGCCTGCCCTTGCTTGTAACGCATATGGAACCAGGCTGGAGTGATCATGGTGAGTTTGATGTCACCCCACCGTTCCTTGGGTACATTGGCTTGAACCAGCTGAAGCTCGTGCAGATTCTCCTTAGTACCCCGGTTCTCGATCTTTGAGCCAGCAATCACAGAGTCTCCGGGCATGACCTTCCGGTCCTTCTCGATCAGGGATACCTGCAGCAGCATTAACATGTATAGTCAAGGGCGAAGGAACACGCGCCCACGTACAACATCAGGATGGTACAACCGGAACATCGAAGCCTCTGCATCCTGCAGGCGCGTAGTGCCGTGCAATTCATCCCAGAACAGCCCCCAGAACCGAGTTCGTGTATACTCGCCGCATGATACTGCACGCAGTCCGCAATCGATCTGAGTTTTCACAATGTCTGCAACCGCTCTTTTCTCAATGCTCTCTAGATTTGCCTGCTCGGGAGTTTTTCCCTCATCACGAATAGCAGCACGGGCCTCGAGCAGGTCGTCCGGCCTTAGGAGTGAGCCAATGTGCTCGGCACGGAATGGTGGCTGCTGCTTCGCGGAGGCCATTTCGAATGATTAGATAACGGCTGGGGAGTCAAGTGGCAGAGCGTTTGTGGAGGGGTCTGCTGTTCAGGTCACTTGGGCTCGAGGTACTGTAGGTCAGCTGCGGGAGGGGAAGCGAAAACAAGGGCTTCTTTGCCTACGGCGTTCGACCTACGAGGTTACTCCGAGCATGCATTGTCCAAGGCCAGCATCTGGCGAAAAATTTGATCAATAGGGTAGGTAGAGGTGCGGTCGGCAACTGGAAGAAGAGGGGCTGATGTGGGAGCGATGTGGAGGAGACGTTGCGCCTGTGGGGTTTCCAGAGAGCGCCAAGCCGTATGATAGTAGTCTCGAAGCCGTTACAAGATGTGCGAGGTTCACGTAAGAGTATAGAGGCTCATTAGAGAGAATCGCCGCCAAGTAGCAGCTGACATGAGTCACGCACGATAAGTGAATACGTTCTTACCCAGTCAATTGAATGGTCGCTGCGAATTCGCTCCGAGCTTCACTTCGATGGAGAGGTATAAGTATGTGGCTTCTCGCGGCACCTCTCTCTTCCCCTCCTCTTCACAAACCAAGACAATCGCTACACTATCGTCGCCATGCCATCGCAGCGTCTGCTGCTGCCTGGCAGGGTGACCATCACTGAGCACCTAAGGGTCCTTATTTCCATCGATTGAAATGAATTTATTGGGCTTGAACTCCGGCAATGCTCACGCGGAAACGCTCAGAAACAATCGAAGTCGCTTTACAGCGAGACGAGATATACTCTGGCCTCCCAAGGCGTCAAGTGCTTGCCAGGCTCATCGACGTTTGAGATCAACAGTTCCATCTCCTTGCCTTTGCAATCCGGTGGGAAGTGCAGCGGCTGAACCTCATCTGAAAAGCTCAGGAACGTCAACAGCTTCTTCTTCTCGTAGCCATTTGACTTATTTTCCTTGGTGAAGGTGAATGAATCTGGCTCCAAGAAGTCCCACGTCTCGAAATCGCCGAAAACAGCCAGTTCAGCATATTTTTGTCGTATCTCGATCATCTTGCGCCAGTAGTTGAGAGGACTGCTTGGATTCTTTTCCTGATCGGCAACGTTGATCTCAGGGTAGAGGTCGTGTACTCTCATCCAAGGCTCGCCGGTAGTAAAGCCGCCGTGTTTCGAACTGTCCCAGTGTACCGGTGTACGGGCATTGTCTCGGGCGACCCTTCGGATACCCGCCATGGCCTTTTCCAGCCAGAGCGGCTCGCCATCGTGGCGGTGCATGACATCGTGGTAGGCGTTTAGGGAGTCCGGATCCTTGATCTCCTCGATGCCCCAAGAGTCCGGCATGTTCACCATCCCGATTTCTTGGCCCTGATAGATGAAGAGTGTCCCTGTCAAGCAGCCCAGCAGAGTGGCAAGCATCTTCGCCGCTTTCTCGCGATACTTGGGATCAGCAGTAGCGAAACGGTTCAGACTTCGCGCCTGGTCATGGTTCTCCAAAAAGGCTGTGCTCCAGGCTGTCGTCCCACGCGTCAAATCTTGTTGCTTACCGATGGCTTGCTTGAAAGATGGCAGATCGTGCTTATGAACCTGGTGCTTCTTCACACCAGCTCCATGCCGCCCTCCGAGACTCACGACATCGAAGTCGAATACGCAGCTGAGCTCACGGACCTCAGCAGCCACATATTTCAGGACCTCGGCAGCGTCCGTCCCAGGTAGCTCACCAACCATAGCCACGTCGCCATACTTGTCGAGAACCTGTTCTCGTTGCTCTTTTAGCCACTCATGCATGCGTGGACCATTCACGAAGTGAGCCTCAGCAGGCTGGTACTCCTCGCCCATCAACACTATCGGTGCATCTGGATAACTGGTGTTTTTCGAGTAGAGATTGCAGGTATCGACCCGGAAGCCATCCACGCCTCGGTCCAGCCAGAAAGAAATGGCCTCCCTGTAGATAGCTTGCCGCACCTCATCGAGCTCCCAGTTGAGATCTGGCTGCTCGGGAACAAACAGATGTAGGTAGTACTGGCCCCTTTCTTCGACCCACTCCCACGCACTGCCGCCGAATATTGACCTCCAGTTGTTTGGAGGATGTCGTTTGCCGTCAACCATCTTGGCATCTCGCCAGATATACCAGTCCGCCTTCTCGTTGGTCTTGTCCTTTTTGCTCTCCAGAAACCACTTGTGCTGGTCGGAGGTGTGGTTAATGACCAGATCGAGTAGGAGCTTCATGCCCATATCGTGGCATTTCTTGATGAGCTCGTCAAGATCAGCCAGCGTGCCAAATTGCGGATCAACGTCCTGATAGTCTGAGATGTCGTAGCCGAAATCCTTCTGAGGTGATTTGTACATTGGTGATAGCCATACTATGTCGATGCCTAGCTTCTTCAGGTACGGCAGGGTACTAATGAGACCTTGAATATCACCAATGCCGTCGCCGTTGCTGTCCTTGTACGAAGCTGGCCATACTTGATATGCTGTGCCAGTCTTCCACCAGTTTGGAGTCGGTGCAGACATTATGTGGTATGGTGATATTCGAGCACAAGTGCAATACAGTCTATGGAAACAAAAGCTCAGTCTACAGACCTGACGCTGTCTATGTACCTGACCACAATTATTCGAGAAATGAAAAGGGAGCCGACAGACTCAGGCGGACCGCTTCCTCTTCAAGGGAGCTGAGCGGCGGAACATTGACGTTGCAATAACCTCGCTGGGTAAGGTACTCTATCGGAGAAACTGCGAGCTGCTGCATCATGTGCTGCTTTGACCTGTGGGTAACCCACCTGCAAGTGTGCGTCGGTGACCTGGACAAAACCTCCGCAGCATCAGTGCAGATCAGGGATTGGTCTAAGACATGAAGACCAAGACCCTCGATAGCACCATAGTGCGGTACCAACGCGGAGAATGTCAACATTTCGCCGCGTGAATGAGCGATGGAGAAGAAAAGACGTGCTTGCGATCCCCGCAGCCTCTCCAATTACACGGTCCCAAGCCTGCTTTGAGAGATACAAAGGAACTTCAGCATACGCGCAGAAAGGAGCCTGGAGACTTCCCGCCGTGTTCCTGCGTGCGATGTTTCAGCTGCTAAAGTGTTTCTCTCTGACTTTCCGCCATGATACAGATAAGCCAACCAGACGATCACTGGCACGGAGCCGCCACAGCTTCGGGAGATCTTGCCGACTGGTGGGCATTGAAGGCAGTCTTTCAAGCACGTCAACAACGGAAGCTGCCACGAAACTGGCAGTCCCTTCCCACTCGTGTAGGACCAGGCAACCAGTCTTGATCAGACCAGAAAGGAGGCAAACCTCAAGCACGATCGTTCCTGCCGCTCACGGGAGAAATCTCCGGTCGCCCCTGCCAAGCGCAGCCCGGTGACGCCTTGATCGGGCAAGAGCTCATGATTTTTTAGATTTGATCCAGGTTTGACTGGGGCAATGAATCATCGTCGCCCCCCTCCTCGGGAGGTCTTCAGACGTCATTTCGTCTGCTGTTAGCATGGAAGTATACCATCGTTGACCATATAATGAGAATTGCAACATCCGTTCCTCACACAGTCTTCGCCACTTGATCAAGATGTCTTCACATATATTGACCATGTCGTTCAGGACAGCAAGACTTGCGACTCGCTCTCTGCGCCGTTCTCAATTTACTTCCGTCAGGATGGCATCATCAAAGGTCGATTCGGAGACCATCTCTAAGATTACGGAGCGAGAGGCAACGCTTAGTGGTTCGAATCAGCCGATCCCGGGAGGTCCTACCGCCCAGGCTCAGAAGCACGCTGGGGAGCCGCTCAGTGGTGAAGTGGTGTCGGACATCACACAAGGAGAGAAGACCATTACTGGAAGAGATGGTGCCATCAAAGGAGGCCCCTCTGCCTACGTTCAGTCTGAACTGACTCAGGTAAACCTTCCCCTTCAGAAGGCTTCACCCAGAAGGCTGACCCATTCAGAATGGCCCGGGCCGAACTGGCAGCGGTGCGGGAGCTTCTAATCAAGCCAATTCACCTGCCACTGGCAAGCTGGACTCACAAACCATTTCGAAGATCACGGATGCAGAGAAACAGATCACCGGAAGTGACGAGCCCGTCAAGGGCGGCCCCACGGCTCAAGCTCAGAAGCACACTGGAGAGCCGATTGGCTCCGAGAATCTGCACGACATCACTGAGGGCGAGAAGGAGATTACTGGCGGCGAGCGTGTAAAGGGCGGACCGACCTCCACTGCTCAGAGCGAGCTGGGCAAGGCCCGGAATGACTAGATTTCTCTACTTTCATCGCGTCACTCACCACTCACGAAACGACCTGAGCAGCATCTCGTGGCAGAAAATCGCACGGACTATTCAGATCATCTGTACTCAGCCGAAATCTCCCCCTGAGACCCTGCGCAGATTACTACGGCCTTATCTCGACAAATTGCTCTTGCCGGCAAGCGAAGGACCTCGAAGAACTTGGTGGAGTTCTCCAGAATCGGTTGTCAGCTATGTACCAACACCTTCGCAATCGCGCCAGAGCCCGCCTCATGGCCCTGTGTAATTAGGGACCGTCTTCATGTGAGGCGATCACACGGACGTTTGGATATTCTGCGCCTAAAGTTGGGGCATTGGGCACCATAAGCGATTTTCACCTCTCAGCAAAGTATAATAGGGAGGCCTTTGCGAAGAACTTTTGTCATCGTCTCTCGTTCCGCATCACTGTCTTAAATCCGGATGTTGTGGATGGTATGCAAAGGCCCAGGACACGAAAGTGATAGAAAATGTTGAATGTGAATTTTCTGGCTAGGCTAGGGCGGGCTCTGTATGTCTGACCAAAATTTGCTAGTTGGTCCAGGGATCCTGAGAGAAGTCTCACTTGAGCGTCAGTTAGCAGCAAATATCAGGTACGGATTTTCTAGCCAGGGCGGGCTCTGTAGGTCTGACAATACTTTGCTACTTGCTTGGGGGTTCTGAGATGAGCCTTACATGAGCGTCGGTAGCAACAAAGATTGATCACGGATTTCTGGCCAGGGCGGCCTCTACGGCAGAAGTTTGGGAAATTTTCGAAATTTGTCAACATCTCTCGTTCCGCTTTCGCGGTCTCAACTATTCAAGTGCCTCCCACTACGATTCCTCGTTACTTCTCCATCTCTCGCTCTTTGCCTGCTGCTTCTGCTCCAACTCCAGCACCATCGCTGCCACCATCTCCAGTTCCAGTTCCAACGCCCTCAAGCTGCGCGACAAAGCTCTCCTGCTCCACAAACCCGTTCCCATTCATCGCTCCACCCAACGCCTGAGCAGCCATACCCTGCAAATTGTATGACGGGGCGGCCCCCATGCCGTTCTGAGCACTGTAGAACTGGCCAAGTTGCTGCGGGACACGCTGATATGGCACGGCGGGAAACACAACATCCTCAGCGACGAGCGGATGCCAGCCCGGGTCCCACGAGCCGTACTCGCTGTTGAGCCACGGACTCATTGGGACTACTGATGCTCTGGAGGCCGCCTCGGAGTTGAGGAACGTGTTGAAGTACGGGTTGTAGTAGGGGTTGGCGCTCCAGGTAGGTTGAGTTGCTGGATAAGGAGCGGGAGCGAGCTGGGCCGCAATGAACGCGTCGCGCTGTTGAGCGAGGAAAGGCTGAGGTGCGTATGCGATTGGCTGAGCAGAGGTGGCGCTGTTAGGAGCCTGGTTCGAGGGAGTAGGCTGCTGGACAGGCTCTATGGACGCTCGAGGAGTGACACCAAGGCCGCTTGGTTGAGGTGGAACTGGAATCGGACTACCTTCAGAGGTAAACTCAACTGGACCGGTTCGGGCGGACTCTGTCGGAGAAGCTTCGTTGTTCTTGCGCTGCTCAGTGTCGAGCGGAACATCCTTGGTGGATTCATTGTCGTTCTCGTCGGTGCCGTCGTATTGGGGGATTGATGAGAGGGCAACGGAGACGCGTGCGGTTTTGGCTGATGACACCACTGCTTCGGAGGACTCTGGGGAACCAGAAGTCGGAGAGGTCTGGGCTGTGACAGCAGCAGCAGTAGACTCGGTAGCTGTGGCTGGATCCTGTACCGGGATTAAGATGCTGGCTTGGTTTGAGATGCTGGTTGAGGTGGTAGCATGTGCAGAAGGAGTTGGGTCGACGCCGTTGGGAACTGGTTCGATCTTGACCAGGGTTTGTCTGATGGGAAGATCATCGGGATCTGTGATCGCGACATGTGTATTGGTAGCTTTCGGGCTTGCGGCGACAGGGATGTGTGCTTGCGGCATTTGTGCGGGACCAACGGTCGCTGGAGTCGATGTTGCAGGTGGACCTAGCCATGGGCAAGCGACTGGCTGGGTTGGGGCCTGGTGTTGCAACATACCGAAGCCATACTCGTGCTTGATGTTGACTCCCGGCTCAGCCTTGATCATGGCACTCGGTGGTGGTGGCGAAGGTCCCCACATCCCAGCAGCGGTCTGTTGAGCAAAGAGCTGAGGAGATGCATAGTTGGCCGGAGCAGCATGACCGGGCGGCGGAGTCCCCATGAAAGGAGGCATCATAAATGGGGGAGGAGCGGGACCGAAACCACCATACTCGAGCTTGACTCTCTTCGTGGTTGGAGCACCTTCATCAGCCATCGCAGCCTCCAAGCTGTTGTCGTAGCCATGCTTCATAGACGAGCCGTAGTAGCCACCGCTTCCATTCTGGTTAGGATCACCGCAAGCCATGGCTTTACCCTCGCAATCTTTCTTCTTCTGCGACTTCTTCTGTGACTGTGTTGGCAGACCTTCGGTCTGAGCCTTGAAGCGACTCCAGCGCATACGAGCAGCGTGACCGTTCTTGATGCCAATGCCGTCCGCTACCTCTTGCCAGTTGACAGCCTTGAGATCAAGTTGCTTGAGAATTAGGTAGAGGAACTGCGTTTGACCATCAGCAGTTGGTTGTGCTCTCGATCGTTTAGGTGGTGCGGGTGTGGTTGTTGAAGAACTTGGGGTGTTTGGCACGCCCATGGTCCTGGTCTAGACAGAACGGGAAACGAAGTGCTTCAGAATTTCTGGTTACTGCGGTGAGTGACCTGACAGGAGAGAAGTGCACTTTGCATAGCTTAAGAAGGATGTATTTTTGATGTGGTAGTGTAGATGTTTCTACCCTGTCAGTTCTCCATGCTTCTAATGCAATATCTCAATGTTCATTGTCTTGGAAACAGCCATGATTGTTTGTGTGAATTATGGCTTGGTTGAAGTCGATTCAGGGCGTGAAAGCTGCGAAGGCAGCCGCTTGATGAATGACCGATACCCTAGCAAGCTGTCAAAGAACTCAAAGCTTGCTGTCTTGGACCAGTGCACCGCTCATGGTGTACTCGTCGTCCTCAGGCAACTGTCCTAGTGTGACCAATTCACGCCCACCGCTGTTGTTCCACCAAGTCACACTGGTAGCAGCACGATCAACATCCATATCTCCATTGCTGAGGATCTCCCAGAATCTCTGCTGGCAAAGAGCTCGCTGAGCTGGGTGCTGAATTTTGTGGACAAGATCAGCAGCTGTATCGAGCCACTCTCGCAGAGCAGGCACTGGCAAGAAGGGCAGTGACTCCAGCATGGCCAGCATGAGCACGGCTTTCTCGGACAGAGGCTGTTGAGACTCCACCGGCAAATCCGACATGGCAGGTAACACAGCCTCCGAAGCGTTGATCAGTCGCTGGCTCAGGAGATCGAGTATGATGGGCTGTAGGTGTGGCATCAGCGTGGCGACTGTGGACGGAGGACTGGCCAGCTTGACCACAGATCTGATGGCCAGACGGAATTGTCTGGGATTCAGACTGTGTGGGAAACTTCGCATCAGTGTTTCGATATAATGCGGAGTATGCTTGACGAGCAGATCTGCGTTCTGTGGTGCAGCAAAAATGGCAAGCACGAGGCTGTGTCCTGCTTCGTACAGTTCTCCAAGCCGCGGATCTCCTTGCGCCTCAATGTAAGGTAGAGCCATTACGAGAAGCTCATCATTCATGCTTGCTGACGCAGTCAAAGTGAGATTCTCGCTGGTATTGAGGAAAAACAGGTCCAGATTGCGCTCTAAAGGATGGCGAGGTATTGCACCTGCGTGCTTAGGTATGTTCGTCCTGAGGAAATTCTCCACCGTGCGAGGATACCGGTTGAGTACATCCAGTGCTGTAAAGCTGACAAAAGTGTATTGCGAAGACGATGTTTGACCGAAGCGGTGCGAGATGAAGTAGGTGTCACGGAGAATGTCCAGACATAGAATCGCTATACCAGGCGCGCTGGTGTCTGTTGCAAAGGAAGGATCAGTGAGAAGCCTCCCGAGCACTGATCGTAGTGCTATGATGACGGTGAACATCATATCACGGAAGATTTGGAGGAGAGCCGGCAGGGTCTTTCTGGTAGTCTCTTGGCTCAGTATCTGTGCTTCTTCGCTGATGTCCACCTCAGACAATTTGTTCTGTCGCCAGCTCGCGCTAACAACCCTTGCAAAGTCTGCTAGCCGCGCAACCGTCTCAATAACCCTCGTATATTTGTGAGCGTGGTCGATGGCATACGCCATCAGCCTCGAGATCCCTCCCAACCCGCTCACGAATGGCCTCGATTTGATCTCCTGGACTCTTGCGAAGCTCGTAGACCTGGCAGACCATGCGGATTTGCCGTCCACAGTAGCGACAACGTCTTGATCGATTGCAGTAAGCCAATAGCCGTACTCAAGCCCTTCTTGAGAGAAGAAGGTCACATGTGTCAGAACAGGCAGAAGCGCATCAGCGTCCAACAGCATTGTATTGCCATCCGAAAGCAGCTGGAATGTGTTGTTGAGCACGAACGCAACCGCGAGATGTCCGTCCAGGTCGTCAGGTCTTTGAAGTGCTAGATTCGAAGCAGTGACCAACGCCGTCTCCAGCTTCGGACGGAGGCCAGCTGCGATCGGCTCTTCCCCATGCGAAGTTCCTGCCAACAGTATGGCGCCAATCATGACCGCATGCCGCCATCTCGGACTGCTCTCACCAGATGCGCCCTTTATGACCGCCTTTATCCAGCGCGACTCGGACAGCTGACTCGGGGCCAGGTTCTGCTGCTGTGAGTTCGCGAAGACCTCTTCGGGTGTAAGCTCTCTTCGCTTGTCCTCCCGAAAGCGCAGTGTCGCGGTGTAGAAGACGCTGAATAGTTGGCGCACATCTACCAGCCGTACAGGCTGTGGCCACAGCACATTGTGTTCAAGGATTTGGGAGGACAGGAGGGTTATGTTCAAAGGATTGGAAAGGCGCGACAGTAACGAGGTGGCGGACGGCAACAGTCGATGAGCATCTTTGGGAGAAGATGACACTTGCAGCGAGCGCAGCAAGGCCGCCAACGAGCGATCCATCAGCTATCGAGAGTCATGAGATGGATCAATTGATCTGATGTTGTCCAAGCAGATCGCATTCGCTCGTTGGGTGATATGACGCGGGCCGGGGGACCGAGGCATGGAAGTGAAGCTAGTCCACTTTGAGATATCACTGCCTGAGATGCCAAAGCGAACAGACGGCCAGGCCGTTTTCTTGTCAAATCCGAGAGCACGATGTGGGAATAAGTGATGCCTCAGCCAGGACCACTGGCCCTCATTATTTATGGCAAATGAGTCTCGGGTATTCAGCAATTCTCAGGGCGCGACCCGAGTATTGCTCCATCGCAATTATCAACCGTCTGTCGGGAACTCGATGCCTTCGACGACGATGGGCATATGGCCATCAGAAATGCAAAGTACGGCCTAGAGATCGTTATGATCGTCAGAATTAGGAGACCTCGACGCCTCGTATGCTGCCTCTCTGCCCTCTCGCGGCCACCGCTCTTGTATGGTACCGTAGGAAGTGATGGAATAAGCCATATTGCTAAGTGGACAGCATGAGCCTTCTCACAAACTCGGCCATCATGGCTCAATTGTGCAACGCCTTATGCAGGCAAGGGGGGCGATTGCCAGACCACTCCCACCTACTTGACAGGCATCTGCTGTTCACGAAGGCATACCTGAGCCGCTAATCCAACGGTCACATCTCTGTCCTCCGAGCATTGCACTTCCCCACAAAAGCAAAAATCGCAGAATGCGGCTTCTAGCCCCTCATGAACGCCGAGGTTTCACCTCACCACGGGCACTAATACAAGCTCGCACTCAATACCAAACGGTACCTACCTAGGTACTTGCCACTTCTAAGGTTACCTAGATACCTGGTACTCGACGGCTTGAATGTATGCATGAACAAGGTCCGGACTCGGGCGGCAGCATCATCGCATATTTGTGAGGTGTTGTGCATAAATGACCGTAGATGACATGATACCTCGAAGGGAAATGCAGAAAGTAGGAAAAGGCAGTTGAGTAGATGAATGCTGATTCGACGAATGCTGACTGAGGGAAAGGCCTGTCGCCGGCCTCATACCTGGCATGGGGTACTGCGTAGACACATACTTCATCTGTACTACGTCTGGCGCCTGGCGGTTCGCGTCTGCCCAGAGTGCTGGGGTAGTAATCGACGCGCAGAAGCGGATAACAGGCAGTTTTGTAGTACGGTACATCTGGATAGGTCTGTTCTTTTCACCACTTTCGATATCTGTACATGAATTCGAGATGATCCTCAGTGTGCTGGCTGGCTTGACTTGGCGAGTGCCCGTCGGGTCAGCTAGCGCCGGTTTCCTTGACTCGAACGCCTTGGAACGATCGGGGCATTTAAGAAGGCCATTTTTAAGCGGCGCCTAACATCTTGAATCTCGACGCCTGATCCGCGGAGGACAAATTATTGGTCAACGGACGCGGGGGAGCAATGACCTCGGGCAAAGCATGTTATCAAGAGGCACTAGCATGTCGTCAATGGTACCTATTAGTGACACTTATCGTGACGTTTGCGACAAGTCGAATCGCTGATGTACCGGTGACGACGACCATGTTTCGAGGACCTTCAGATCGCCGTTTCAGCTGGCCGTCGCGGGTGGGACGGCCGATTTCTTGCTTTGCCGAAGCAAACACTGACGCCGTGCGCAATTTCCATTAACCTAGTAGCGACTACTGGGGCTTATCCGGAGAACTTACGGATATGCATGAAATTGCACAATTCGCCATGTGACAAGCCACAAGTAACAACAATCGATCGATCGGGGCATGGTCCGTGCTCCTCGTGAAAGGTACGTACCATTTCCCCGCCGTTGCGATACAAGCCGGCCGGGCCTGTGAAACGCTGTCGACTCGTGTTTGTGCACTTAAGGTGCATTCTCGACACACTCAATTGGTGACAGCCAAAGTCAAAAGCCAATAATCTATATGCTGACGAAATGCAATTAATGCAACAGAGAACTCCGAACGGCCCGTGACTCGCCGACCTAAATTTCCTGTCTATATGGGGCAGCCGCCGTGGGTATCATGAACTCGAATCCGCAAATCCCCACGCTTAGACGCCAAAAACAATAATGTGTCGTCAACATGATTCTCGAGTGTCGCCTCGAAATGCGTCTCGGTAATCATCTCATCTCATCATGGCGTCGTACTGTGTTGGAAAATCGAATTTGCTTTTCCAAGCATGAAGTTTCCAAGCCGCCAATCAAGTGGAGGCATGCGCCACGAGACCGACAAGACCGCATAGCCAAGCGATGATCCAGTTATGCGGGCACCCCGAACCTGGAAGGCCGCGTTGCAACTCCTCGGCCATTTCTTCCTGGCCTGCCTCTCCCGTGGGAGGGGCTCGCCTTCTTTCTTTCTCAATTCGCGTCTAGTATCGCGCGCGAGGAAGAGCTACTCATGCACAGAGCGCTCTCATCCTCGCACTGACCTGCAGTGTTATCCTGCAAGTCTAGCAGGTGGTGACTTCATGTGCACGTAGATTCATGGCCCGCCCATCCGGGCGGCCCTGTCACGGCTAACGGTGGCTGATGACCCCTCTCTGCCGTGGAGGTCCGCGCGCTGGAGACGCTGCAGCATGATCCAATAGATCAATCAGCTCCCTCGGCATGTTTATCATGCATCGGCGCTGGCTCATCAGCACGACAAACGTCTGTTGCCCGCTTTCCCCTCTGCCGCTCGCTTCTTTTCTTGCAAAAGCAAGCGAATTGACATCCCTGCTTGCATCTCGTGATGCCGCTTTGCGAGGATTTACGTCGCTTAAGACGCTGCAGAAAGTTTTCGCGATGTCTCACCTTGCCCTCGGACTGGCCACGGCGTCAAACTTCCGCGCCGCCATATGCTTTTCACCTGAAATCGAGGTTGAAGCGCTTGAAGTTCTTGCTCATCACCCCGCATTCTATCATCTTGTTCAGCTGCTGTGCTTGCAATACAGTATTTTACGGATGGACTGGCATGAGTAAGTAGGATCGACTTACTAGGACATCCACGCCGATACGAAGGTTGACCGGGTTCTCTAAGATGTGGACTGCTGATGATAGCGCCTACGCAATCTGGACATAGTGCCGATATGCATTCTGTACAGGCAAATGCCTCTCTCAGACGCCACGGGCGGGTACATGAAGCGCAATATACTAGACACAATGGTCAGCGGGCGCATAGCTGCATGTTGGGTGTGTAACTGACTCTCGAGCGTGTCTGCTTTGCTGCCGAAACTCGAGCCCGTTGAGTGGTGATGGCGTACAAGTGGACTAGTTTGATCATTAGAACTGACGGAGTTGCTGGGCAAGGCAGAGCCCGAGATGTGAAAGTTGCTACCCGAGCCTCCGGACTCGAGATTTTCCACCGATGGGAAAGGCTCTGTACCAGACCTCAGATAGTCGGCGGGAGGCGGCGTCAGGTTTCGTGCGAGCGGAGACGGATTGTGCTGTTGAGTACCTAGTCGGATGCCCGGCGGCAGTGATGATCGATTGAACATTCCTGAACCGTCTACAGCGGAGCTGGCTGAAAGGCGATGTTGGTATTGGCCGGTTGCGGACACCGGATTCATGTTTGACGGCGGAGAGTGGCCTTGGGGCCCCTGCGGCATCTGCCAAGTTGTTAGCAACAAGCTCAAATTGTATAACTTATCGATAAACTAGACTGAAATAGAAAAGAGGCTGGGAAACTGGCATGATGTTATGCAGGCTCCGCCAGGACGGTACTGTGGTATACACCATTACTCGGTAATTAACCAGGAAGGAGCGGGATGGATTGTAAAAGGTAAACTTTTTCCACCACCCTTCTCCGTACCCCCTGGTCGCTTCGACTGGGCTTAAAACAGGAGTAGCCCGAAAAATGCCGAGGCGAGCGACCGCCCGGTTTCTTTTCGTTGACATTATTCCCTCAGACCCATCTGGCATACATACCATGCCCTGGTCGATGCGGACCGAGTGAACTTTTCCATTATCGTATATTGATCGTAGGCTCTGTTGTGCAGTGTGGCCGTTCCAGTGGTAAATAAGGACAGTAAAGTAATGGTAACAAGGACAGACAATAATACAAGGCTTCATGCCCGTTTGGAGCAACCACAACATCCCTCCTACCATAATTCGATCTCTTGACAGCAGCAAGTAAACAGAGGACAATCGAAAAATGTCATCTGACTTACAGGAGTGAGATCCCGATCGTCGTCAGCCTCAGTGGCGCTGGTTGCAGCTTCCACGAGGTCTGCCCATCGTCTTCCCTGTGCCCATTCGGCCACAGCTGGAGGTTCGGCTGACATGGCCTTGACTCGTCCTTCCAGGCTGAGTCTTCGGGACAATTCCTTGGCGGAGAACTCTTTCGAGGATTTGCCGCGTTCGTGTTTGCCCTTGCGTGCGTTCTCGCCTACTGATGGCTTGTGTGGGCGTTTTACTTGTTGCCGAAATGGAGGTAGTGAGGAGTATCTGTTGGTTGGTGACATTATCGAAGGCAGTAGTTCGCGTTGTCTGCCAAAGGCGTGTAGGGTATCTTCATCGAAGTGATCGCGTAGTGAGGGTAGGCCATAGCCAGAGTCGCGTTTAAGGAGATCCGCGTCAGAGTAGACATCCTGGAGGGCTATAAGTCTGCGCGTCTTGATGCTTCTCCCAGCAGGAGGAAACTTACGAAGTCGTTGTCCCACTGGTTCATTTGTGCCAGCGCAACAGCCGCGTTGGAGAGTCCAGGTTGTCCTGGGAGGGACATGTGGCCACCCATGCCATCGAGGTCACCGAGAAGATGATCGTGTTCACTCGCATCTGCTGTGGGGGTTTAGCCAGAGCGCCCACCCATTTGTGACCACTTACAAGGACCACGCCGCTGAGGCGCTGCGATGGGTTGGGGTTGAGGTGGACGGGCTGTTGGTGGTGTCGTTATCATGAGTTGAAAGCTTTCCTCGGTAGCAGGTAGTTTAGGAATATAGAAGTCTGGATGCGCTCGTCTGATGTGCTCCTGCATGGAGCGGTAACGCTTCTCCTGCACGTTGTTAGCGATGCGTTCGCAGTTTATGCTAGCGCTACACGCACCCCGAGGCATTTCTTGCGACAGAGAGAGCCATCTTGGTTGTTCAGCGGACAGACGACCTCGTTCTCTGCTTCACTGGAGACTTGGAACGAGCCTGTGAGGGCTGGCTTGGTCGGCATTGCCTGCTACCAACGGTACGGGAAGACAAGGAGAAGCGTGTCTTCAGAGAAAATGACGGAGTCGGGACATTCGGAGTCTCAGTCACCCACAACACGTCTTGGCCCAATCGATCTGGTTGCGACGTAAGGAAACTCGTTCCGGGAACAGGTCTGTGTTATCGGTCCATCTGTGATATGGACGTCTAAGGAGTGTTGTAAAGCGACCTGCGCAGGTTGTGGAGGGGAGAGTCGAGGTTGTGTGTAGGCCCAGCAAACGAGGCAACAAGTTGTGGAAGGAGAGAGGGAAGGAGCTTTGGCGATTTGCCGGGTGCATGCAGACATTTGGGCACGGCTACGGCTTCCTGGGCACTGACGGAGGGGCAAGCGCGAAGCCTAACCAGCTTAGCAAAAGCCTGGGATCTTGGGGGTACCTGCCCAGTGCTGCCGCTAAGCTGCTGAAGCCGCAAGCTCCCCTCCTCTGATAAACCATGCAGCACGAACCTTCTTGCCGTTGACCATTCACAAGAATCACAATCGCCTTCCCTCCAGCTCGTTGGCTGTTGTCAAGCTTCCGTCGAAACCTATCTGTCCACAGATAAACCTTTTGCGACCTCCAATCGAGAGCTGTCCAGGTCCCAAGCAAAGCTGAGCTTCTCAGGTACCATACCAACAGCTGTCATAGCTTTTGGAGCTTCATAGCTTCATAGCTCTGAAGCTATGGGAAGCTCTTTGAGCTCTTGAGCTACGAAGCTCTACAGCTCCAGAAGTCAAGAGCCATTACTTCTCAATACCCTTCATGATCATTTCATGCAAATGTCGCCCGTCGTGAAGGTCGGCCAGCTTGGTTTTCCTCCGAACTACCCAGCTCTCGATCTTCGATCTGCTGCAAGCTGGCATCAGCAAATCCCCACATGGCAGCCCGCCAACCGATCATCGAGCTACTGGGCACCAATGCCATGTCATGCTAATCGTGCAGGCTTCACGCCAAGCGCATGCCTTTAGCACACCGCTCGCTTTCACGATTCCCATGAATACGAGCTGATTCGTTTATGGACGAACGCTGTCAAACATGGACCGTGAGGCAGTCTCTACGACCACCCGAACACGCCTGGGAGTAGATAAGACAAGAATCGTGTTGAATGCATACTGTCCCAGCCTGAGGTGCGATAACACACTTCACCGTTTTCCTGCAGCTTAAGCAGCAGCGAGGCATTTCCGGTGACCAGGCTAGCCCTCGTCACCAAGCCTATCGAGGACGACACCACCGTCTGAGTCCTCATCACTGTCGTCGATGACTTCAGCACGATTAGCGCCATCTCCTTTCTTGACAGCGAGCCCTTCAGTGACTTCCTTGGTGGCCTCGATACCGCCCGAAGTGACGTACAGGAACGTCGACTCTGGAAAAGCATCGACATGGTTGAAGAAGTTGCCGAACACGTTGTCCTCTTCCTCGTCGTGGTACATGCGCTCATAGATCTCGCGCTGTTTGAATTCGTCCATCTCCTTTTTGTATTTGTCGAAGTCAATTGGTTGGAGGCCAAAATCTCCTTTTGCGCGGCGATTGTACGAGTCGAAAACCGGACGTTCCAAGAGTAATCCAAGACTCGGTGCCTTTGGAATCGATATGATGTCTGAGCCGAAGCTCTGTGTCAAGCGCTCGGGATCACAGCCACAGCGGACGATGAGAGCGACCATGCCGACCATCTTGCGAATCTGGTGCATCATGAAGCTCTGACCGTGGACTTTGAGACTCAGCCACTCGGTGCCATTGATGAGGATAGGCTCTGGGTTGACCACGAATGACTTGATGACCCTCTTGGCTGACGGATCCTTGAAAGATTTCTGGACGGTGAAGTTGTGATAGTTCTTCGTGCCAACGAATTGTTGCAGCGTGTCCCTGATTCGGTGCAGTCTCTTCTCTGGAATGCGATACGCCCGCTTGGCCTTAAGGTAGGCTTGTCGAAGTCGCTTTGTGCCTTCACTGATTGCTGGAGAACGGAAGGGCTTATATTCAGATGACTTGTCCTCTTGCTCAGCATCGTGCTGCCCGTCGGCTCCCTGACCTTCTTGGGCTTCACTCGCATCATTGTCGCCGCTTTGGGCTGGAGCAAAGTGTTTCGGCTGACCCTCTGTGTTCTGCTCCTGCTTGTTCTTGACGTCACTATCGGCGGCCTCGTCTTGGGCCATCTCACTTTGGAGGTATAGTGCTCGTCTCAGAACACTCTGAGTATGGTCGTCATACTCTTCCAGAATTGGCTTGATGATGTCCTCATCAACCTTCTCCCAGTAGCCCTTCACCTCTTCCTGACGCCCCAACCACGCATCGGTATCGCCCTTCGTCTTTGCCCACGACTCACACTTCATGCCCATAAAGCTCTTGGGATGTGGCGGCAGGAAGCTGTGCGATGGAATCAAATACTCGTATATTCTCGAGTCCACCAGTTGATATGCGCTGAAGCTGTTGTTCGTCCTCTCAAATCCCCAGACCCGTATCTGCGGCACCAGTGCGTCGTTGATCTTCTTCACGATATCCTCCTCCTCGATGATCAGCTTCAAGCTGATGACATTACCCGCCGCATGCACTCCCTTGTCTGTCCTCGCGCATCGCACGAAAGACGACTTCTTAGGGTCATCGGCGTTGTTCTTCGAGATAGCACCGGCCTTGACGAAGGCCTGGAACAGGTCTCCCTCGATCGTCTTCTGGTCGTGCGCAAGCTGCATTCCTCTGTAGCCTGTGCCTGCGTATCCAATCATTACAGCCACCTTCTTCTTTGGCTTCCGCTCCTCGGCCTTCAGCTCAGATTCCTCGAACTTAGTCGCATAGATCGGTAAAGGCTCGTCACCGCGGTCTACTCGTTGACGCTTCGCCGCCTGCTCGTCTTCGTTTCGCTTTCGCTTGTCGCCTTTTTGCTTGCTTAGCCATAAAGTCAGTCCCAGATCCATCGTACTGTAGCGCCTCGCTCTGTAGGGACAACATATGTACAACCAAGCCGTAGGATACGCACTCACCTCCAAGCCGATCTCCCCATATCTCTCTTCTTGCCCTGATCACCTCCTCGACCATGGCTGCCGCGGCCGCCCCGCCCACGGCCACCTCCCCTCTGAAAATCTCGCGGATTTGATCGTCGGTCCTGCTGTGTATCTCGCCGATCTCGAGACCTGGGTTCACCCGACGTTCCTTCAGACCCTCCGTTGTCCGCCATTGCGATCTGGCTCCCACCGTGGAGAGCGTCGCTCGGTAACTTCTGCTATATTTCCGGATGCTGCCTGTACACCTCGATACAAAGCACTTAAGGGGCATCAGAGCCCGGTGGAAGTATTCTGTTCGCGTCCCGGCTCCCAAGTGAGTGTGAGTTCTTTTCTGAGAGTCTACGCAGCAAGCTTAAGTGATCTCACAGAATTTCGAAATTCCTCGACGCAGACCGAGTGCACTCCAGATTGGAGAAGCTGCGGCAGACTTGATTGGCTTCTTGTCAAGCTTGTCAACCGGCGTGGCAAATTGAGCTTTAAAGCTTTGCCCATCGAACAACTTCTTGCTCGACTCCCAGCATCAACACATCACATTCATACACAAGGTTGTTTGATGATCCATGATAAATGATCTCGCTCTACATATCAAGCGCCACATAACTCTGTCTTTTGACCATGCTCTCCTGATCTGCATCTCAGAAACCTTTCATATAATGGTGGTCTTCGGTGGTCGCCAGCACCTCGAACCTCATACCGACCTCGATCTCTGCCTCATTTCTGGGTACACAAAGCATGCCGAAGCACGGCTTGAATTTGATGCCCTCGTCGATCCTTCTATACTTCATCAAGGTGTCCCAGGGTTGATGCTTATTCTAGAATGCGTTCAGTACTTGCCTCCCCTGGAGCCTAGGACTTGACTTACCTTGTCTGCTGTATCAGGATTCACATTCGGAACCTGACATCTCGCACAACGCGCAACCACATCCATATCGACCGCTCCGGTCATGCCAGACACCATCGACGGCATCCAATTCGACAAAGGCGCACTCGATCCATTAATGCGCACAGTCTTCCAACTATCCTCTGACCACGCTTCCCCACCCTTGATGATGACGTTCGGACGAAAGCGTTCTATCGTGATCTCCTCCTCACCTTGCGCCTTCAGACGCCCATTCAGCTCTGCCAGCGATGCCTCTGAGGCAATCAAGACCGGCAACACGTCAGGGAAATTAACAGTAGCTTGCCGTCCTAGCACCTCCGGAGAGCCATTCCCTGCACAGATGCGAGGATCTCTCGGGTCTTTGGTGACAAGATTCACCTCCTTCCCATCCCCAATGAAGTCCCGGAACAGCGCCTGGATCTTCGGGTCCGTGTACATGTATGCCTTCGTATCAGAGCCCCAGATATTGACAGTCGCGGGCTTCGTGTGCTTCTCGAGGTATTCATGGTCTGGAAAGAGCGGTACAGCAATCTGCTTCTCCTTGTCGTCCCCAATGGTGATGACCAGCTGCTGCTTCTCTTCATCAATCTTGGTGTTGATCAGTGTCATCTTGCTCTGCTGCCGAATGGTGAGGAACTTGTTCTCTGCATCCACGAACATCCAGCGTCGGTCGAGGTACAGGCCCTGTAGGGTGGACTTGATCGAGGAGACCTTGACGCCGCGGCATGATTTGATGGGGTAGATCCGCAATTCTGTGATCTCGGATACGGTGAGCGTCATGATGGGTGGCTGTTGTCCAGGGAATATCGTGGCAAGCTCTCTACTACGTGGTGTATAGAAGCGCAAGATTGCTCTCGGAAGCATCCCAGTATTATGTTATACATTTCGACTTACATGTGCGTCATTGCCGCCCTTACGTTTGGCGGGGAACAGCGCGAGTCGCGTCCCGTTGCGGCTCTTCTGACCGCTGATCATTGACTTCGGCCGCTGTTACATACCCAGAAGCGTTAGCACAAATTTCTCAGAGCGTGTTCACACACGACACAGGATGGACGTCGCGCTCCCAATAAAGAACATGGGTTGCAACACAGTATCGAATGTGTCTAGCATGCACAGATATTTCCCTCTCTGTTCCCAGGGAGGTAGCAGCCATAACACTTACCGCCCCAAGCTCTCCTCCAAATACTTTTTAGCGAGTAGACCGAGGTTGTGGAGATAACGCTTACGATATCGGAGAACATCTGCAAGTGTGTGTAGAAGCACGGCACCATGCTGCCATCCGAAACCGAGCATCAATTTCCACACCCGTAGCATTAACCACTACAGCAATTGCAAGCATGGCAGATTATTGGTCCTCGCCTGCAACGCCAAACATCTGGTCCGAATACTCGCACGCTCTCGCTGGCCTGTGGACCAACGTATCGTACGAGCTCTACAATGCCGACGCGACCCACCAACATTGCACTCCTCCCGTCCCAATCCCTTGGGCATAGTCCAACTCTCGCCCACTGGCTAGTAAGTCCGTCCTAGGTCCCTCAGTGAGCCCAGCCCAGCTCCCCTCCGAATGCGACCTTCCCTCCCTCTTAATCCCAGCTGCCCTATGCACAGATGCCAGACCCTTCTGACCAGGTCCTCTGGGCCACCTTAGCCTCTCCGCCCACCTCACCAACCGCGCCAACCTTGGATCCCTCCCCTCCAAAGCCAAATGGCAAGTCGCTCCCGACGCCGAAGTCGCACACGTTGCCCGTGGCCACTCGATGTATTGCGGTCGCGTCGAGCTCTATGAAGACGTCCAAGGGCTGTGGTGGAGGACGAAGGTCGATGTTGCGACTGATCCGGAAAGGATTGGTGGATGGGAGGTTCGAAGGGTTCAGGTCCTTGAGTGGGAAGGCGGAGACGGGAAGAGAGCGAAAGTGATGGAGTTGAGGCCTAGGCGGGATATGTTTGCTGAAGACGGGAGTCTGAGGCGGGCGGTGCTGCGGTGGGAGCGGGTGGAATAGCTTGGAGCCAGCCTTTTCGAGGACGGTTTTGCAACTATAAAGGCGGTAGGCTTTGCCAGGAGCCTAAATGCATGACGGTTCAGCAGTATAGATGGCAATTCGGTCGATCTGGACACAAGTATCGCGCTCTGGTGTACCTGCCTGATTCATGTCTCGTCGGTAATGTCCACGGTCACCAATGCATACGGCACAGCATCGGTAGTCGAAGCTGAGCCTGTAGCAGTAAGCGGACCTGCCATCTCAACAACATCCTGCTTCAAGCAAGTGCATTTGCCCTCGGCACATCGCCGGAAATCGCGCTCCAGATCAAGCTTGATCCATCGTTCTTGAGGTGTGCCTTCTGTCGCATCTTGCACCCCGTGCATAGATGTAGCGAGCAAGAAGTCATTCTCGAACGCCACCAAAGACAGGTTCACATCGTTCAGCTGTTTGCCGTAAAGACTGGCTCTGATGTGCTTGATTGCCTGTTCTGGCGGCGTCCATTTCAGCTCGTCCTCGTCTTGTAGTGCCCAACTAAACCCATCATCTGGAAAATCGTCCGCTTTTGCTGGAGTGGGCGCTTGCACGTTCTCGAATTCGAGCTTAGCTAGCCAGTCAGCTAACAGCCCTTCCCCGACCATCTTGATGAAGGCCTCCTTCAGCGCCCAGAAAGCATAGAAGCGGCGAAATCGCTGCTGTACCAAATCAGTGCTCGAGGCAGCCCCAGGGATAGCAGCTGTCTTCATGTTCTGCCGACAGCTATCAGAGAACATTTCCTCGAAGATGTCCACCCACTCGTCCAGTTTGGCTTGTGTAGTGACATCTGCTGGTGTTCGCCCGTGCTCATTCGCGCAAGCCAAGTCGACCCCTAGCCTTACCTGCTCGTGTGCATTCTCTGGGAGAGGCGGCCCATCGATCGAGTCATTGAGCACCCGAGTGATAGGCGCGGTGTAAGCCTGGCTCTGCTCGTCGGGCGTCCGGCAACCTAAGAGCACAACCACGCCATTCTGGTGAGACACGTTGAACTCGAGGCCGAAGTCGCCAGTTGAACCGGCGCCAGGCTCCCAGTACGGCCTCCGATGTGGATCCGGGGTCCTCGATATCCTGACTTCATCCCATGGTATGCGTGCATACCTGTGTATGAAGAGATACTTAAGCAGTGCAGACGCAAGTGACATGAGTCGGTCGGCTGGTCGCATGTATGCTTGGATCTTGGCTCTCTCAGCCTCGGTCAATGAATGCAGAAGCGGTAGGTCCACATCGCCGGAGCGGCCTGCCGGGATCTTTGGCCGCACGTCCACGTAGAAGCGCACGACTGGCGTCGCATATGCCGTCTTGAGTGGCGGTGAAGGTGGCATAGCTGGAGGCTGTTGAGTTGGCTGCCGATTGGTGGTTAGGCTTACTCTGGCAGCGGTGGCGGTGGAGGGAAGGACCTGTCAACACGATGACGTAGCATCGTCGAAGGCCTTGTCGCAACCGTTGCGCTTACCGCATTGCTCTTCTGGACCAGCCAAAGATGACAGGGAGGAGTGTATGACGCGGTCTAGACGTACGCACGAGATGAGTCCAAGGAGCAGACACGGGCGTCACGTCTCCGTGAGCACAACAATGGCCGAGAATAACGCTTGAGAGCGCAATGCAAGTGACACGTACGGCAAGACCCAAGTGAACATGGTCAGCAAGGACGTTGTTCACACTGGTTGATGTCGAGACAGGGCTGCATGTATGTCATAAGGAGCCGGGCTTGGCACGAAGGTTTTCTGACTTCGAGTAATAAAAGTGGCCACCAGACCATCGCTCGCACATCACTGCACATGGAATTGCAATGACAGTCACAGTAGGCGTGCTTGCTCTACAAGGCGCCTTCCTGGAGCATCTGGTGCTCTTACGAAACGCTGCAGTACGTCTGAACGAGAAGCAAGGATCTTTCAATTTCATCGAGGTACGGAATAAGGAAGACCTGTCGCAATGCGATGCGTTGATCATTCCTGGTGGTGAGAGCACCACAATCTCTTTGGTCGCTGCTCAATCCGACCTACTCGAACCGCTACGGCAATTCGTCAAGTATATCTAACTCTAGGTCACGGCACTGAATTCATGCTGACAGCAGACAGGGTTGACCGAAGACCAACTTGGGGCACATGCGCAGGTTTAATCCTGCTCGCCGAGGCCGCAAATGCCACCAAGAAGGGCGGACAGGAACTCATCGGCGGCCTTGATGTTCGAGTCAACCGAAATCATTTCGGCAGACAAATTGAGAGCTTCCAAGCTGACCTTAACTTGCAATTCCTGGATGACAAATTTCCCGGCATTTTCATCCGCGCCCCCATCGTCGAGAAGATACTGCCTAATATTTCGGGTTCGCAGGAGAGTGAGCAGAGGCTTGCAGATACCGTAGTCGCGCCTTCCCGAACAGCAAAGGACGATGCGGCTCGAGCTGCTATGGGCTCTGAAGTTGAAGTTCTAGGCACTTTGCCTGGTCGGCTCCGCAAAGCAGCCAAACAGGGAGCTGAAGTCAATGCTGAGGATGACGTTGGCGACATCATTGCGGTACGGCAGGGCAACGTCTTTGGGACCAGCTTTCATCCAGAATTGACTGCCGATACTCGGATACATCAATGGTGGCTTCGGGAAGTCCAGGCTGCGCTTCAGCGGAGATCCGTGTGAGCTATATAGCTACTGTTCGGATCGATATTTCAGGTTCGGGGTGGGCTTCGGCGCGGGTCCGCATAGATGTTATAGATTGTCGTTGAGGTTGGCACCTCTTTTCTTCATCGGTCTTCGCCTTCCTTCCCATCGTAGAACCGTCCATAGCCACCTCTTCCAGGGTCGTACTCGTCTCGGTATTCGTCACGCACCTGACCTCCAGATTTGCCTCGACCATACTGACGTCCCTCCTCAAAGCCTGGATCAAGATCACATCGGATGAGTCTCTCGTCCAGTTTCGTCCCTCCAATGTATTTCATGCAGTCCAATGCGTCCTGATGGGTGTAGTACTCAACGAAGCAGAATCCACAGGGTGTCTTGTTGAAGCGATCAAGCCCCATGACTAGTCGCTTTACCTCGCCGCACTTTGAGAAGAGCTCATGTATCTGCTCTTCCGTTGTGTAGAATGAGAGATTGCCGACATATAGCGTGGTTGCGTCCTTTAGAGGATCGTCCTTCTTTGGCTCCTGAGACTCGCCATCGCGACTATAGCGACCCTTCTTCTTAGACGTGAAGTAGGCACTAGGCCGGTCGAGGCGATCGATGGTGGTGAACTGAGTCTGAGCCTGCATCTCGAGCGCTGCGTAGGACAGACTGAACGTGGTGCGAACAGAAGTCGATGGCTCACGGACTCAAAATGCAGGTCGGTGTGAGTGATGCAACTTTAGCCAGCAGCTGGGGTACGACGGTGCAATGAGTGACAGCGCGAGTTTCTTTGAAGTTGAACGCTTGCATAAGCCCTAACCCTAGACACGCTTTCGCGACTTCACAGACTCCTCCAAGTGAACTTGAGATCAGCCTGCAGTCGTAAACATTGACTGATATTCCTTGCGTGGTGGACACACAGACGATGATGTCTTGTTGTATGTTTGCGACGGTCAACAGCTGACATGCCGAAACGAATAGGAGAGACGCCACCATGGCTGTGTCGACCATCACCCGGCGCAAGCATTTTCTCAGATCCTGTACCAAATGTGCCGACGTCTCCTACTAAGACCAATTCACCCTCTCTGTCCGATAGCCAGGTTGACGATGCGGGATCTAAGCGGCTGATCGCTCAGCGCGGAACCGAACTTTTTGTCGCTATTGGGAACAAACTGCGGTGGACTGATCTGGCGCAAGTCAAAGATCGATACGAGGACACTTCACGAAGCCGAAAAGATGAGCCTGCATACAAGACCGTCGGCTTCTCGACATTCTATGCTATCAGACAGCTTGTCATATCACCGTCCGAGCAGTACCTTGCGGTTGCTACCGACTTCACGGTCCATGTGATACCGCTCCCAGATCATGCTTCCTTCTCCACGCCCCAGCGGCCCGTAGTCAAGGTTCGAGCAATGCAACTTGGTCCTACAACGCATGTTATACCTGGCTCGCCTATCAAGTCAGTACTGTGGCACCCTCTAGCTGCCGCATCAGCATCAACAGACTGCCTGATCACTGTCACGGCGGACGCCTCGCTCCGGTTATGGGAGATCGACCGCCTGAATCGAACCTCGGTGGAGCAGCCAGCATTGGACATTGACCTTCGTAAATTAGCGGATGGCGTGTCAAGCGACCAGGACTTCCGACCGGCGGCTTTTGGCAAGAGCAAGGGCTTCTCCGTTGACGATGTGGACATGGAAGTCTCCGCGTGCTGCTTTGGTGGGCGCGGTGACGAGGATGAAGATCCCTGGGCAAGCATGACCTTGTGGACCGCTATGAGAAATGGGGATGTCTATGCGCTGTGTCCTCTGCTTCCTGCAACTTGGCAGCCGACCACTACGACTATCCCAGCCCTCTCAACCTCTACGGTGTCAAAGATGGCCACGATTGTAGGAAGCGACGAAGATGCCGAAGAGCGACGATCTGTTGAACAGCAGTATGAATGGGTCACCGAGATCGACAACGACGAGCCTTTATCGCCTGATGATGAGTCAGGACCAGAGATACGCCTTCGCCCATCCAACCCTAGTGCCATACCGCGTTTGCAAGGCCCCTTTGAGCTTGGAATGGACGACGATGGAGATCTCGATGTCACTGATCTGTACGTCATGGCTCCTGGACTCGAGAAGGAAGATAGTCTCGACGAAGACCCTGAAGACGAAATCGCACCCAACCGCGTCCCATATACAGTCCTCGTGCTGGGAACCACGGACAGTCGTCTTCACATAAGCCTGGAATTAGAGGGTGTCACTGGGCAATGGCTGCCCAAGAAGGCGCGCAACACGTTCAGTGTCCCAGAAACCGAGGGAAGAGACCTTGTACATGCTGCCACCATCGAACTAAAGCCAGCCACGGACTTGGCTTCTGTCATTCTGACGCCAGATATCATCAACCGCAGTACAGTCTTCGCTACGGTCGGCTCACAAGTGCATTCGGTTTCGCTTGACGACTGGGCAAACCGCATCGGCGAGGAGGTCTTCTCTGACACAGACGCTGATGACCGACTTCAAACCCGTTTAGCGACAGCTTGTCAGAGCCAGGTCGCGGTCGTTGATACTGTCTTGAACATCAAAGAGCGACTGACTGACAGCCTCTCAGCTCCCGTCGTCATCGACGATCTCGACGTCGGATACATATTACTTACAACGTCGAGTCCTTATGTTTTCGGATCGACTTTCGACCAAGCACATATCAGGTCTATGCTTCTCAGACAGTCGAGCGCTCTGATCCAATCGCCAATTATCCTTCACACGGGTCCTGGAGCTGCTGTGGAGCCACCTGAAGATATCGACTATCCACCAAGCAGGCAGATCTACGAACCTCCTTCCTGCCTAGACCATTCGGCAGAGTACATAATCAATCGTCTCAAGGCTCAGGTGCCAAAAACGAATCGTGCAATATTGACCCAGAAGCCACTCCGCCTTAGTCCTGCGGTATTTGACTTGATGGTCGGTGCCCATCGAACGGTATCTGGCTACACAAGCGAGTTGGAACAGGCTGGCGCGGAGTTGTTCCGTCGCTGTGAACGACTGAAAGAAGAGCTTGGAGAACAAGTCAGGCACATGACTGAGCTGGCAGATCGGCTACAGAGGATCAAAGACCAAGCGGACGGTGACGAGGTTCGACCCGGAGAGGAGAAGAAGGACCAGGAGACACGACTGCAGAGCATCAAGCAGAAACAGAGCGATCTCAAATCGCGGTTTGAGGAACTGCGGAGAAAAGCAGGCCAAGCTAGCAGCAACAAGAAGCCATTGTCTGCCAAAGAAATCGCTTGGATCGAGGAAGTCGAAAGTATTAGCGAGAGAATTGGGCAGGGTCAGGAAGTCGAGCCAAAGAAGGGCTCGCTTGCGGCACGATTCGCTTCAGTGAGTTGTCGCAATACCTTGACATCCAGCAGAGCTAACCATCATTTGCAGGCTCAACAGTTGTCCCAGAAGCTCACGCCAGAAGCCAAAGTGCTCCAGGAGAGACAAGAAGGACAACCTTCAGACACACCCTCGCTCCAACGTCAGAACAGCTCGGACCTGGCATCATCGAGGTCGTCGATAGCAAGTCGGCGGTCTGGAATCTTTCCCCTCGTGAGCGCACAGTATCAGAAAGAGCGGATTCAGGACGTGCAGGATCTAGTGGAGCGTGAGACTGCGGTCATCGATGCTGCTACGAGGAGGTTGGAGGGTCTGAAGCTGGCAAGTGGGTTGGCCTGAGCTCTTGGTGCCAGCTCTTGACTGATGACAGTGATGTGACAATGTTTGAATAGTACCCGGGTAGTATTGTGAAAGCCAACGAGTCGGCTCACGAATCTGTGTCTATCAAAGCCCTTGATTGACTGGGAGTGCCCGAAACTTGTACTTCGATCACGTGCTCACCGTGACTCGCCCCCAAACTTCGGTTTTGCCGCCCGGCCATGACGTTTTAGCTGCATTGATCAGTCCAGTGAATCGAAACGGTCGCGCCGCGGTTTGCCAGTCATGATTTGCATGGTGCCTGGCGCAACCGAATAATAAACATCATTCATTCTCTAGCATCTGCATGGGTTGCCTGTTGTGACTCTGTCGATATCGAAGTCAGTCTTTGCATAGTTCTCTCATCCTCAATGAATGCACAGTCGAGACCATGACACTACTCAGACATGCGACCACTGTGTTAGCAGTGGCGCTTCCGCTCACTTCTGCCTCACCGCCAACAAAGATCCATGAGCCAGGCAGGTGCGCCATTCGCGGTCACTGTGGCAAGCAGGGGTTCTTTGGCTCCGATCTTCCTTGCCCAGATAACGGCAAAGCATCCACACCGACCTCCGAACTGCGTCAGTCATTAGTCGATCTATGCGGTCCAAAATGGAACGAAGGCGATGTCTGCTGTGAACAGGAGCAGGTCGACGCCCTGCGCACGAATCTCAAGAGAGCAGAGGGCATTATTGCCTCATGTCCGGCCTGCAAGGACAATTTCTTCAATCTGTTCTGTACATTCACCTGTTCGCCCGACCAGTCATTATTCATCAACGTCACGCAAACCGAGACTACATCAGCAGGCAAGGATATCGTTACGGAGCTTGACAACATATGGTCAACAGAGTACCAGAGCGGTTTCTACGACAGCTGTAAAGAAGTCAAGAATGGTGCCAGTGGCGGCAAGGCCATGAGCTTTATTGGTGGCGGCGCAAAGAACTATACTCAATTTCTCAAATTCTTGGGCGACAAGAAGTTTCTCGGTAGTCCTTTTCAGATCAATTTCCTGGAGGAGCCGAGACACGAGGACAAGAACGCGCGACCACTGGACATTACGCCGCATGCTTGCAACGACACGGACCCAAATTTCAGATGCAGCTGTGTTGATTGTCCTGCTGTATGCCCGACACTTCCGGAAGTCAAGGACGTTGAATACTGCCACGTTGGCGTCGTACCTTGCCTATCCTTTGCCATCATTATCGTCTACTCTGTCGCTCTATTTCTACTGGTCACGGCCGTGGTCGGCCACGTGGCATGGATCAAGCACAAGAAGCGAGAGTCAGAACGTTTGCGACTTTTACACGACGCAGCTGCGAGCGATGACGAGGACGACGAGGGTTATGTCCGTAATGCTGGGGTCCTGGATAGGCCTTATCGCAAGTACTATCTGAATCAGATTTTCGACCGGGCTTTCAGTAAACTCGGGAGCTTTTGTGCGCGCTTTCCAGGCCTGACGATCGGAACCAATGTCCTCATTATCGGGTTGTTGAGCCTTGGATGGCTCAAGTTCGAAGTTGAACTGGATCCAGTCCGTCTGTGGGTCAGCCCTGACTCTGACGCTGCGCAAGAGAAAGCATTCTTTGACGCAAACTTTGGCCCCTTCTACAGGACCGAACAAATGTTCGTGGTCAATGATACCGAAGGTGGCGAGGTTCTGAACCGTGCAAATCTGGACTGGCTGTTTGGCGTGGAAGAGAAAGTTGCCAAAATTTCAGCAGGCGGCGACGCTAGACTCACGTTGGATGACTTCTGCTTCAAACCTACAGGCGACGCTTGTGTTGTTCAATCGCTCAGTGGCTGGTTCCAAGGCAGCTTGACTGATGACTGGCAAGCCACAATCGAACACTGCGCTGACTCTCCTGGCGCTTTGGAATGTCTCCCACCATATATGGATCCGCTTCTCCCTGGCCGCGTGCTCGGCGGCTATCACGGAGTCGAAAACGTTACTCATGCGAAGGCCATGACCATCACATGGGTTGTCAATAATCACGAGCAAGGCTCGGGCGCTGACAAGATCACCCAAATCTGGGAGCAGGCGCTCAAGGACGAGTTGCTCGAGTTTCAGAAGCAAGCGTCCAAGCGTGGCCTCCGTATGTCGTTCAGCACGGAAATCAGTCTAGAGGAGGAGCTGAATAAGTCCACCAACACCGATGCCAAAATAGTTGCCATCAGCTACGTGGTCATGTTCATCTACGCATCACTCGCTCTCGGATCTGGAGCGGTGACTCTGCAGTCACTTTTCTCGCATCCATCGAACGCATTCGTCCAATCGAAATTCACTCTCGGTGTTGTCGGTATCCTGATTGTTCTGATGTCAGTCTCTGGGTCCGTTGGCCTTTTCTCTGCGGCAGGTGTCAAGGTGACCCTGATCATCGCCGAAGTCATTCCATTCCTGGTGCTGGCTGTTGGCGTCGACAACATCTTCCTCATCGTACACGAGTTTGACCGAGTCAACGTTAGTCATCCGGACGAGGAGATAGAGACGCGTGTAGCCAAAGCGCTCGGTAGAATGGGCCCCAGCATCTTGCTATCCGCCTCGACCGAGACGATAGCGTTCGCTATGGGCGCTTTCGTGGGCATGCCTGCTGTCAAGAACTTTGCAGCATATGCGGCCGGCGCAGTCTTCATCAATGCCATACTACAGGTGACCATGTTCATCTCAATTCTGGCCCTGAATCAGCGTCGTGTGGAAAGTCTGCGTGCGGACTGCTTCCCATGCATTACTGTCAAGCGTGCAAACTCGGTCAACATGCCGGGGGGACACCTTTTCGGTAGTGATGAGGAAGGCGCGTTGCAGCGCTTCATTCGCAGATGGTATGCGCCAAAATTGATGGACAACAAGATCAAAACAATCGTTGTCGCGATTTTCATCACTATCTTTGGTACTGGTCTGGCGCTCTTGCCGGAAATCGCGCTTGGTCTAGATCAGCGAATCGCAATCCCGGCGGACTCATACCTGATCAACTACTTCAATGATTTGTACGCTTACTTTGGCCAAGGTCCACCGGTGTACTTCGTCACACGCGATGTCAATGCAACACAGCGGGTATCGCAGCAAGAGATCTGTGGCCAGTTCACCACATGCCAGGACTTCTCACTGCCACTGATCTTGGAGCAAGAATCAAAGCGACCTTCCGTGTCATACATCAATTCTGCCACAGCCTCATGGATCGACGACTTCTTCTTCTGGCTGAATCCGAATAACGAGAATTGCTGCGTCAACGAAGACGATAGCCCATGTCTTGCGGACGGAGAATGGAACATCACCCTCTCAGGCATGCCCGAAGGCCACGAGTTCATCGACTATGTCTCTCGCTGGATCCAATCACCTACTACCGAGGAATGCCCTCTTGGTGGCCAGGCTGCCTACTCAGACGCCCTCGTCATCGACCACAACAACACCAACATTCCCGCCTCGCACTTCCGCACCTTCCACACCCCACTCCAAAGCCAAGAAGACCTCATCGGGTCGTACGCTGCTGCCCGCCGCATCGCCCGCGAGATCTCTGATGCTCAGGACATCGACGTCTTCCCGTACAGCAAACACTACATCTTCTTTGATCAATACTCCAGCATCATTCGACTCACAGCAACACTCCTCTGCATCGCTGTCGCAATCATCTTCGTCCTATCCTCACTCCTTCTCGGCAGCCTGCTCACTGGCGCAGTCGTCGCCGTCACGGTGATCATGATCCTCGTCGACATTATCGGCGTCATGGCCGTCGCAGGTGTCAGCCTCAACGCTGTGTCGCTCGTCAACCTGGTCATCTGCGTTGGCATCGGTGTTGAGTTCTGCGCACACATTGCGCGGGCGTTCATGTTCCCAGCTAAAGCAATCCTCGATCGCGGACGCAACAAGTTCCGTGGGCGCGATCTGAGGGCGTGGGCTGCGCTTGTGAATGTGGGAGGGAGTGTCTTTTCGGGGATCACGATTACGAAGTTCTTGGGTGTGGCCGTGCTGGCGTTCACGCGGAGTAAGATTTTCGAGGTGTACTACTTCCGGATTTGGTTGGCGCTGGTGATATTGGCGAGTAGTCATGCTTTAGTCTTTTTGCCGGTGGCTCTAAGTCTGACCGGTGGAAATGAAGGCTACGTGAGTGGTGAGGGAGAGGGTGGCTTGAGAGAAGATTTGGGAAGGAGAGGTAGATATAGGAGTCTGCTGGGCGATGGAGGGATGGGAGACGATGAGGATAGTGATGAGGAGGGGAGTGTGTACTAGGAGACTGCTTCCAGGCTCATGGATGGTGGTAGTGATGAGGAGTAAACCGGCTATGGCGAGAACTTTCGATATGCTGAAGAGAAGCTAAATCATAGGCGCCGGGAGCGCTACATGACACTAGCGATTAATGAAGTGCATTCACTCATTACAGGGACTATTTCAGCACGTCCATTCTGCGAGCTGTCAAGCGTTGTTACATGTACATGGCAGGTCCATCGTTATGGAAGCCGATCTTCATGGGTTGACCCCTTGATCGCTACTGCTGGTCGTTTCATCTGCTTTGAGTCACTGCGCATGGAAACTGCATATGCCTCGACTGCCTGACTTCCTCCGTCGGTCACCCATACAGCTTCTGAGGTCTTGCAGATGGATTTCAACGACCGTCCCCGTTCCTTGCACATGTCGGCGTACGTGAGTACGTACATCCACGTGCTACCAAGTTGCATTGCTGCCCGAGTCACATGGTTGTATTGATTTCCTAAGCCGATCACAGTCTCAGCCATGAGCGGGAAGATTTCTTGTACCCACGAGTCTCAGCCCTTCTGGAGCATGGTCGCTCACGTTCTAGCTCGCGTTCTAGTTGGCGATCTAGCTCGCGTTCCATCTCTTTCTTCAAAGCTTTTGCAGCATTCCCATATCGGCGTGCGAGCGCCATTTGCCGTGACTCCAGCGAAAGGGCTTCAATTCCTTCAGTTGATTGGCGCAGGCTCGGGCCGTCCCACAAGTCGTCGATTGGGCCCAGAAGCACATTGATGCACAACTCTGCTACCCGGTTCTCTTTCCTGTCTAAGGTTCCAATCATCATGTAAAGCACGCTGTCCTCTTTAATGGCGATTCCGAATGGTCCGAAAGTGATCAAGCGAATTAATGCCCTAGCATCTGTCTGTCGCACTGGAGAATATCCTTGGAGGAAAGTACTCAGGCGGCATCTGAAGAGAGACGGCGAGATCAATTCGGTCAGAGCGAAGTGCTCGTCGTGATTGCAGCTCTCGTCAAAGCACAAGCCCCAGCGGGATGTCGAGTCTTCGTTGTTCTTGACGAAACGAGCCGATCTGTATTGAATCCTCCTGTCATATTGGATCCCAAGGTCGGCCTGTCCATGAATCCCCTCGTGCGCTCTCAGTGAGCAATGTAAGTGGTCGATGAGGCGCTGCCACTCGCTGCTGGGATTAGCTTGTTGGGATGCTACTGCGCTGCTTCCGGGTGAAGACAAATCAGGACGCTGATCAATGAAGTTCTGGTTGGGATCTATGCCGAAAAAAGCTTCGCGATCAATCAGTGGCACGTCGCTTTCGAGACGCGCAAGGCACTGCTCCAGCTGCTGCTCGCGCTCGATTCGCTGGTGCCATGCGTGCTTCTGACTCTGCAAAGGCAGATTCGAAATCAGGTTGTATGAAACATCTCCTGTCGATTGAGGTTCCAGATCGGTGCGTGGCAGAACGCTCGCGAGTCGTGCGATTAGACGCTCCAGTTGCTGCTCTCGACATGAAGGCTGGTCCCAGAGATCTTTTTGGACTGGCCAGGGAAGCTTCGAGATCGTGTCATATGAGACGTCTTTTGCTTGTGCAAGGGACCTCGTCTTCGCCAATGCCAGCTGCCGCAGCGACTTAGTACTTTGCGATTCGTCCTCCGGCGGAGTCATCGTAATTGTACACTTTAATGCCTTCGATACGCGCAAGGGTCGTTTTCGGAGCCGAGTACAGAGGGTCAGCGTGTTGGGGTTGCTTATTCGAGGATTGTGTCTCGATATGTGGCCACAAGAGGAGGCTCAGCCAGGGCTCCCAGAATTGATCAGATTTGGACTCCTGTAGGGCAAACGTTGAAAGCTCAGGAATCGATGGATTGGTTTCTGCGAGAGAGCAGTAGACATGAACATACATATAGTGTTGCAAAGGGAGTAAGCTTCGACATTGCAAAGTACATAGTGGCAAGCAGAAGGTACTCACGGCCAGGCAGCTGAGGCTCAGAAGCTGGGCCGATGTGCGGTAGCAAGGACCTCATCCCAGTTAAGAATGTTGGTAGTCCCCCAAAATCACCCTTCGACTTGGCACCGGTTGGATCTTCTTGCTTTTTTGATGTTTGTCAGTGCCTGGTTGTGTAGCACTGGTGTGTGCGATGGGTTTAGCTAAGACTCTCAGGTGAGGCGCGGCGGAATTCGCTGCCAAGTCGTTCCGCTCCGTCGTACCTTCCGCCACAAACTCATGAGCAGCGGTCAACTGCCAATCGCTCCTGCCGCAGAGAGTGTATGGAAAGGGCAAGTGCAAATGCCGCTGGGACGCCGCTGCCAAGGGATTTATTTAAGAGGCAGGTGCGATTGTCGCTGTACTTTCCTGCCGGAGAGAGTAACTGACGAGGCAGGTGCAAATGCCGTCAGCTGATCGCTCCTGCAGCGCACAGAGTCTGGCGAGGCAGTCGCAGAAACTTGTCAACCGGTCTGGCAACATCCTTGTCAACCGGTCAGAGAGCTCCTCTGTCAACCGGTCAGAGAGCTCCTCTGTCAACCGGTCTCGGCTAGGTCCGTGGTGCTGATCCGTGTCAGATAGACTGGAAGGCCTTGAAGCCTGGCAGGACTGCACAAGGTCCGTCCGACATTGTGACAACCACTGTTTCCGTATCCTGCGGCGGGCACTGTCGAGATCGTTCAATTATGTGCCCCAAGATGTTGTTTGTCTCAACAGGTTATCCAGCTTGTCTCCTTCGTGACGCCTGTGGTCCTGGACTATACTATGGCATAGCTGAAAATGGCTCACTGTCTCATCGTAGGCGGAACAGCATGGATCGGGCAGGGAGCCATGTCCTCTGAGCTCATCCTCGGTCCTGACTCTACCAGCCCAGATCCCGTTTCTTTGACCCATCGCCGTCCCTGACGGCATCCACCTTCATGTAGAACTCTCCTTTGAAAGCCCTGTCCAACCATCCACTCAGCCTCTCCCATACCAAAGGATTCGCTCCATGAAAATAAATGCTATGATCGCTATCCGGCCAGAAATGTACATCATAATTCGTAACGCCTGCCAAATCAAATTCATCCAACAAAGTCAAAGTATTCTGCATGTGCACATTGTCGTCGCCAGTGCCATGCATTATCAGAAAGCGCACATTCTGCGCCATTGCCGTCACGTTGCTGACTTTTGCTTCCGCATACCCCTCGGGATTCTGCTCTGGTGTGAGCATGTACCGCTCGGTGTAGATGCTATCGTAGAACGCCCAGTCGGTGACGGGAGCAACGGCCATGCCGTAGTGAAAGGTCTCGCCTGCGTCCATCTCGAGTGTCTTGAGGGTCGTATAGCCGCCGTAGCTCCAGCCCCAGATGGCAATGCGCTCGGAGTCAACATATGACTTCTTCGCATAGTGTTTGGCGACAGCGATTTGGTCAGCCGGCTCGACGGTCCCGAAGTGCTCCCGCAAGACTTTGCGATGCTCGAGGCCAGAGAAGCCCGTGCCGCGACCGTCGACGGTGATGACAATGTAGCTTGATTGGCGGCGAGGTATGACTGAAAATCTACGCCGAAGCGGCGCGCGACAGTCTGAGAATTGGGGCCGGAGTACTGGTAGAAGACAACAGGTATTCACGTTTCGGGTCAAAGTGTGGTGGACGACGCTCGAGGATTTGCAGTGTGGCGCCATTGACAGTCAGATTGGTGTAGACTAGGTGTGGGAGCTCGTGAGTGGAAGCCATGTCGGCGAGAGCATCGTTTGATTCCAAGATCATTGAGAACGAGGCACCTTGATCGCCCGCCGAGACGACCTTTTGGTAGGGAATGGATGGCCCTAGGTATGTGAGAGATATGTAAGATGCAAGCGAGGAAAAGGAGGCGGTCCAATAGCCGGGGCTGGTGATGGCGGTCACAGGCTTGATCGAGCCCCTTGGTTCTGTCAGGGAGACACTGAAAAGGTGCCTTTGGGTGACAGCGACTGCGGTCGAGAGGAAGTAGACCATGTTATTCTTCAGGTCGACCGCCGATGGCGCGTCATCAACTTCCCACTTACCGGATGTCAGCATACTTGGCTTTGCGCTGTCGATGGGAGAGTAATATGCCAAATGATCATAACCCTCGTAGGCGACTGTGGCGATGTAGCATCGTGAGGTCGGCCGTTGTTGGGGTCAGCAGGTATATAAGTTGTCTTTTGCCCAGGCTCGACCCACCCCAAGCCTTCTTTCTTCAGATCGATCTCCCGGACTGTTTTGCCCGTCCGAGCAGCTACATCGACAAGCACGTATCGGATCCGGTCACTGACACGGTTGGCCTCTTGGATCAATGCTTTACCGCCATCTGCCCAGAGCACATTCGTTATGAGGCGATTGTCGTCCTTGAAGCCGCCACTAACCTCAACTTCGAAGTTCTCATTCCGTTCCAGATCATAGAAGAGCAGGTCGACCACCGGGTTCGGAGCTCCAGATTTAGGATACTTGATCCTTCTAGTCTCAGGATAGTGCTCTAGACCCTTGTCCGGTTCGACACCACTGGGGCGTTGAATGTAGTACTCAACGGGATACTCCGGCACGGTTGTTTCGTTGGTTCTGAGGAATGCAACATATTGGCCATCGCGGCTCCACCACGTCGCGATCCTGCCACTGAAGACCTCCTCTTCGTAGACCCAGTCTGGGATACCGTAGAAGTACTCACTTCCGCCATCCTTGGTGACTTGTCTTACAGCTGTGTTGTTCAACATGCGCACGAACAGGTTGTTGTCTCGTGTGAACGCAATTGCATCACCATTCGGACTCCATTGGGCGAGCTGTACCCTGGTCAATGGCTTTGCAGGATCTAATGCCTCCCAAGAATGACTCTCAATGTCCAGTATGAAGTACAGTCCGGTATAGCTGTGACGAAAGACTTTCTCCCTGTTTGCAAGAACAAGGATCTTCTTCATGTTCGGGCTCACCTCGATCGAGGCAGCCTGATAAGATACACCATTAAAGCCGAACACGCTCGATTTCATAAGGGTCTTTGCTTTGAAGATCTCTGCGCTGTCGTTCTTTCCGTCGTTGGACCTCGATCGAATGTCCTCGACGACCACGTAATCCTTCCCATGTGCGCCTACTTCGAGCACGAGGCCGTCCTCCCCATTCGGTCCATCAATCCAAGTGATTGGCGCGGTCCGCATGTGCCACTCTCCTCTCTGAATCTGTTTGAGCGTGACCTTTCTACCGGAGCCGATCCGAGGGTTCTCGTCATCATACTCGTATGCCCCAAATTTATGCCTACCTGAAAGCATAAAGAAGACAATTGCAGCTCCCCAGCCTGCGGCTGCTAAAATGCTGAGGATCACGATCGCTCGACGAAGTGTGCCGGACATGTCCCTTCCCCGTTCGCGATGGCCCTTTTCATTGAATCGTGGTAGCTCGAGATCGCTGTCACTGTCGCGATATCCAATGCCACCATTGCTTCGTTTCCGTTTATGACCATCCTCACGCCGACTCTTCTTTGGCAGAAAGCCTTCCCGTTCCGCGTGCTCACCCATCTCGTTCAAGTTTTCCAGGACGAGGCTCGTCGTGGACGCGGAGCTGACACTGCCCATGCTATCTCGCCTGCTGAGCCCTGCGCCTTCGTGGGTTATGCCCTCTTGTACGTCCTCAGCGGACGACAAACCTGGCAACCTGCTCGATTGCTGTGTCCGGTCCATACCGATCTGTATTTGGCCTCTTCTTTCCTCACGCTCCGCGCTGTGCAGTACTATGCTACTGTCCAGAGGACCGTGCGCCTTCCGCCCGAAGACTCCGCTCCAGTCGGGAGGGTTCCGAAAGACAAGGTTGCTATCAGGACATGCTTCTGTATACGATGGCGATGCACATTGACTTGCTGCCGTACAGCTGAATTGTGTCCGACTGCGCCGAGGCGACGACGCGATTTTCTCCAATTCGAACACGTGCTCGTCGTCGCTGTTCGATGGAGATGGGAATGGTATACGTCGCCGAGGTGAGTGCGGCTGCGGCGATGTTGGCGGCGAAGACGTGCTCAGCGATAGAGGAAGTGGTCTTTCCCTCCTTGTCTGTAGCGAGTGGCTGTGTCGAGCTGACGTCTCTGATCTTGAGGGGATGTGGAAAATGCCAGCCCCAGCTGTAGCATGCGCCTGCGCCTCCTCCATGACTTTCCCCGTCCCCATCCCCGTCCCCGAGCCAAGGTAGATTAGATTAGATCAGACCTGAGTTAAGTCTTCACTCCACATCATTGCGTTAGTCGCGGCTGCTGTACCAGCTGGGCATCACGATCACACTGCGAAGGCATGTCTGAAACGTGACTCGCAGATCTGACCGCGCACCGACCACTTCGACGGCGCACAGGCTTTTTTATCCCTGATCCATTGGCATTCTATTTGCATATGTACAGATCGTGACTTGGAATCGGCTGAACAGAACATAAATCGCCTCTGCCTAATTTAGAGTGCATACACAAATTCGCTGTTCTCCTTATCAGTCAAGTCGAGCCACTCTTGGCCCTCAATCTTGACATATCCAGGTGCTTGCCTCTCCCGCTCCTTCAACCGATTGCAGCGCCTATACCAGAAATACATGAAGCACAAATCGAGAAGGCATACACCCCAGCAAGCGATAATGGTGATTTCTGCCGGGACGTATCTTGGTGCGTCTTTTGGCCGGAAAGTCTGAGGTCCAATGATGTTTCCCACACAGTATCCAATGAGGTACAGGGCGGCGATGGTGGTCTTCTTTGTGTACCCAGCTACATTAGTGGCAATTAACGACAAGATAGCCACGAAGGGAGTCGGCGAAGCTTGAGTGAGATAGTAGCCAGCTAAGCGTCCGGAAGACTTGCCCAAGGGAAGGGCGACGATGAGAATGACACCGAGAAGGGCTGTACAGAGCCCTAGCATGCTGACCAGGATCCGATTTCCGAGTCGATCACCAAGCCAGCCACAGAAAATCAAGGCCACGACTTCGACAGCCCCGCCTGGTGTGCCGTAGAGGAGAGACTGGGATGGAGTGTAGCCGAAACTCACGATAAGCTGTGAGAAAAAATTGGATATACCTCCTGGTATGCGTCAGTCTTGTCTCGAGAGAAAGGTAGACTTGGAAGGAACGAAGGGGAAGTGCGTTAAGAGCACTACTAGCTCGAAGGGAAATGTATAATCAGAGGAGCGCTTCGCCTGACACTCATCTTCCGTCGCAAGCTGTCAGGAGAGAATGACTCACCGTTGGGAATATCAGCAACCAGAGCATAGAACACGAAAGCCCAAGTCATTGGATCCAGCAGTGCCTCCTTCAGCTGATACATCTTGAAATGCTTGTTGCCAATGCCCTGCTGATTGACGCGCACTCTCGCAACGGCCAATACACGGTCCTTTGCCGATAACCAGCGTGCGTTGAGTTGATTATCCGGGATGACGAACCAGAACACCACGCCGAGACAAGCAGTCAGGAGGCCGTTGACAAGGAACACGATCTTCCATGGCTCAATCGCTGAACCATGCTTCTCAGATCCAACATTAATCCCGTAAGCCACAAGCCCGCCGAAGATCTGGCCCATACCATTGAAAGAAAACCAGATGCCAATTCGGGCTCCCTGCTCTTTCTTCGTCCACCACTGACTCGACAAAAGGGTGAACCCCGGCGTGACAGCAGCTTCGAAAACTCCGAGGAAGAAACGTGCTCCTACAGCACTGCCGAAGTTCCACACCGTTGCGTGCAGCGCTAGAATGGTTCCCCACATGACAATGTTGAAGGCACTGTATTTGCCCAATGGCAACTTCTGCAACAACCTGTTTGTCGGATACTCCCATCCAAGGTAGCCAAAATAGAACATCGACCCTTCAGTAACGGTCAGAGACAGGGAAACAGAAACAGGAGCAGAAGCACCACTTACCGAGCCATTGGTAGTTGTCGCCCACAAGCCCGATATCCTTCTTGATACCCATGATCGACGCATAACTAAGCGTTGTCTTGTCCAGATAATTGAGCCCATACACGACGCACATTAGCGGAAGCATATGCAAATCAATCGTCCTCAGCAACCGCTTGTTGGTCGCTTCGTCTAGCTCAATGGTCTCGCCGGACTCGAACGCTTTCATCGCTTCGTCAGCATCATGAGAATGGGCGAGGACCTGCTGCGCTTTCTTGTTGGCTTGGGGCAGCGAAGTAGCAGGCTTTTCGCCGTCCGCGAAGGTCGTCGCGTCTCCCTCCACGTCGATGGGGTGCTTTTCGGATGCCATGATGAGGGGCTCCAGAGCCTCGAGCTCGATGCTGTTGCGATATCGATCAGTGGGTAAGGAAGCCGTTTTTCTGATGGTAACAATTGAAGATAGCTTGTAAAAAGGCCAGGGCTGAGCTTCGACCGTTCATCGAAGTCAGTCTCAAGGAACGTGGAAGTTGAGATCAACCGTCCATGTTGAGTCCCGAGGTCCTTTCGCACACATTCCGCTATCTCTCCTACGTAACCACGCGCCATTTAGTTCGCACTTATCCGCATCACTTCCCATCAATGTGATAGCGACGGGGCCACGCCCAAGCACCGCGCACTGGCGGACATTTCCCCAGAAACACCAGATAAGAGTCCTAATCGTGCGGTCATCGCAAGTGAAGGAGCAACGTCAGTGGCTGCGGGGACAAGGGAGGAGGGACGGCAAGCGAATGTCTTGACCTCTTATGGCAGGTGTCTAAGGATTGACAAGCATTGTTAAAACCATGCCAAGGAAGCTTGCGGGGATAACGATTCAAGGACCTGAAGATTGCACCTTGCAGGTCGACGTTCCGAAGAAGCTGTGTGAAGTCATGTGTAGGACGCTGAGACGGATTGCAGCACGACAGTATGACAAGACTCATACCGGACGACATGTAGCTGGGCAGCAGGACGCCTTCGTACGGCTTACTTTCCCGGACCGGTGCACCACGTCGTTGAACGATGCACCTGGCTCCAATACTTTGAGGGCGGCAATAATGCGGTGGTATAGAATGCAGAATCGACAACATGATGCCTTTGATTGATGCCATATCATTCAGGTGCTACGTGTTTCCAGGTGGAACTTCTATCCTCACAATTTCTAAAGGGGTATCTCATGCTCACTTCGTGAGACTCATGGCCTCGTCAACTGCTCGTGGTCTCATAACAGGTTATTGTCCACGTTTGAGGTGATTGACTAGGGCCTCAACCTGCTCCTTGACCTCATCGGTCAACTGATCTTCGCTCTCCAACACAGACACCATGATGGGCGCCAATTTGGGCGTCAAACTTTGAATGGTCGGGTCTTGCTGCTGATAGAGGCCCACTATCATCTGCCACACCGGGGTATTCTCCTGGTAGTCCTGCTTGAGAGGCAGAACACCGCTGTTCACCATGGCAGGGAGCACCTCAGAAATGGGCACTTTGGCTTTGTTCTTGATGATGAGACGAGCCACGCAGCCAGCAGCATTGTCCATGCAACGAGCCTCCTTGATGGCAAGCATGTTCTCGAGTTTCTGCAAAATGGTAGGATAGGCCTTGTCGATGGTAGCCTTGTCGTTAGACTTCTCAACCAGGCGGCCAACCGCGTATGCGGCGTTCGACTTGGTTTGAGCATCTTCATCGGACAAGCGCTTGAGAAGTACGCTCATGATGGTGCTGGTGTATGGCGTGACACCATCTTCCATACCGGTGATGACCTCAGCTAGGACACCGCAGGCGGACGAGCGGCCCAGACTCTCTCCGCCAGACGCGTAACGAAGAACTCGTTTCTCGAAGACCTTCCAAACCTCGCCGAAGCTGGGACCAATGCTGCGGCGAGTCCAGAGACGATGTCCATGGCATTGTCAACAACGAGCCACTCCAGCTCGGTGGATTCGAGATTGTCAGCGTCCATGTCCTCATCATCCAGTCCTTGCTGGCATTCGTGCTCCTTGTTGATGAGCGCGGAGGTGGTCTGAATGACCTTACCCAAGACGTCGGGGTATGACAGGAGATTCGGGCCTGTCATCTTGAGATTCTCTGAGATGATACGACAGACCTCAGATACGGTCGCACTATGCAGATAGTCAGTACAAGACTCATATGCTCGTGGGTAGGACATAAGCAGGTCTTAAGTATGGTCAGAGGGTTGAAGTACGCGTTCACGTCATACACGATTTATCGTGTCGGAGTGAGCTGGGATAGCGATGCTTATCATCATGAAACGGCGATGAATAAGAGACGGGATGGGAAGACTCACGGATCGTCCTCCTCAGGCCAGACATTGAGAGTGGCGGCCATGATCACTTCGCCCAGCTTTTTGAGCTCACTCGTGGGCTCAACTTTCAACGGCAATCCAGGTTGCCACTTCTCCATCTGTTCAGCCTCTTCGCTGACTTCCCAGAGCGCTGCGTACGCGCGATGCAGCGTGCACAAAGCAGCCTTGCGGACGTTCTCATAAGTGTGCTCAACAAGGGGCAGTAGCTTCTCGATGGTCTTCTCGAAGTAAGGCAGGTATGCTGTTTTAGTGTTGCCGACAACATCGCCGATTACCTCGATGGCGATCTCCTTCTCCACAGCAATAGGTGTGACAGTAGCGAGATCACCCCAATCACTGTCATCATCGTCGTCGCCATCGAGCATAACGTCCTCAATGTCATCTTCGTCGTCATCGTCACTGTCGGCGGCAGCAACCTTTACTTTGCGACCAGCAATAGTGACTTCTTTGCCGAGCAGATCTTGAGCATGCTGGCCAAGCTCAACTTCGAGGTCGCCTTCATCTTGGTCGATGCAATCGAACAAGCCCTTGACGACCCCACCCAGGAATGGAGAGAAATCATCTTCGTAGACCTTGGCAAGAGAACCCCATAGGATGTACGTGCTCTCTTTCAGCGTTGAGTGATCAAGCTTCAAAGCCTCCTCGCTTGCTTGCATCAGCGGCTGGACATAGTTCTTGAAATCAGCAGCTCCAACTGCGACGGCCATCTCGCCCATGGCATCAGTGCATGCTGCCCGAAGGTCGAGTTCTTCGTCATTCTCTTTCTTCGTGATGAATTCTTGCATGGCTTGCATGGAGGCCGCAAGATAAGGTAGAAAAGGCTCTTTGACTGTTGACGCCAGTGATCCGAGAGCACCAGCAGCCAAGGCCTTGATCTTGGGGTCACGATGTTTGAACAGCTTCTGCAGAATTGGCACGAGGCTGGACAGATACCCTTCCGCGACTTCCGCATCCATGCCGTCCACGACCGAGTCAATCGCGCTAGTACCTGATTTCATAATGTCAACGGCGGGACCTTCATCTTCACCCTTGTATGCGTCCATAGCAGCTGTCAAGTTCTTGACAAGCAGCGGGACAAGCTTAGCGTGCTCTCTGGTGGCATGTTCTGGCAGATCGTCGGCCAGACGCGCCGTGGTCTGCAAAGCAGCTTGGCGAACGCTGACTTCGGAGTCCTCGAGCAGATGTAACAGGATAGGCATCACTTGATCGATCTGCGTGCTAAGGAAGTCGGGTGCTCCTTCCACAGCCATACCCAGGGCCAAGATGCCGGCGCGTCGATACTTCGCATCCTTGCTCCCCGAATACCGTGGCAGTGCTTCTAGCAATGGTACCATCACTTGATTGGCAGGTAAAGCTTGTGCCATGGTATCAATGACTCCGAGAGCAGAGCGTGCGGGTGTGATGTCGTCAGCGTCGACCGAAATATCTTCCATCTCGGCCACAATCTCAAGCATGCTCTTTGTAAGGGGCTCGCCCATCTTCGCCCCCTGAACACGCAGGCGCCGATACATGATACACTGCATCAGGAAACTGATAGCTTGAGTTCGTGTATCATCAGGGAGGTCTTTGTTGCTTGCGATCTCATTCATGAAGACAACAAGATCACTGAAGTGCTTTGACATGAGCTGGTACTCCGCAGTGAGCAAAGTATTGAACACTTCAAACACAAGCATAGTCTGGTCCTCTTTACCCTCGGAGATAGCGTCCTTCAGTACAGTCACCATCGAAGGGAAGATGCTCTGGAAAGACTTGACAGACTGTTGATCATCTTCGGCATCGAGAACGATGGCCATCTTGGACACGGCCAGAACAGTGTTGACTCGGACCTCAAGACTCTCCGGATCTTTGATAGTCTGTGAGAAAAGCTTGAACAGGTCCTTGAACTTGTCTGCGAAGCCGTCGCCCATAGTATCAAGAATGCTGTAAAGGACGTAGACGCCGACAGCGCGATCAGATGCCTTGCTGCTTGTAGCCGCTTGGACCAATGCACCAGGAAGCTCTTCCCAGTCTCCATCCTTCAGATCGACCTTGGCGATCGCACTGATGAGTCTCGCAGCCGAATGGCGGGGTAACGAAGCCTCTTCAGCCAGTGTAGCCTGAAAGAGTTGTGTTCTTGCCGACTTCCTCTGTTCTGCTAGGATCTTGGTCCACAACTTCGATACTAGAGGTCTCGCTTGGGTAGACGCAAGTTGCTTGAGGTCTGAGGAGTCATGAGAGACGACAATCTGGATGAGGAATAGTAGAGCCTCAGGCTGCTTGTAAAATTCATTTTGCAGTACGTTGGTTGCAGATCGCACGTCGCCCTTCTTCGGGTCTGAAATTGTTAGTAGGGAGTATTCAGAGGGCAGGCAATGAATGCGACTTACCTAGTACAATCTGCAACTGCTGGAGGAATCGCTGCTGGTCCATAACCAATGAATATGAGTTGCCGGAATGTTTGGGTCAACCACCAGTCATCGGCGCTAACGCGCCAAAGTCAAGCCGTCTGTTGCGCACGCCGATGACTCTACCTTTGTAGCAAGCGTACGACCAACAAAATAGTACAAGAAAACCAGAGTCCGTGCAATTGCAATTTATGCCTGAGAAAAAAAAGTATTTTGCAACGTTGAAACGGCTAAATCCTGTAGATCTACCGACGAGGCTGTAAGGTAGCCCTGCCACTTCGTAAAATCTCGAGTCCTCATTTTTGAATGACCTAGAAGGAGCAAGATCACCGCCATTGCGGCGTTACATTTCTTGGCCGGCCCACAACCCATGCGCAATAATGCTCGCAGTATTCCGGCACGTGACGGTGCCGTTGGAACCACGTGATGGTCACGACCCATTACTGCAGGAGCCGACTCGATCGCAGAATATCGATGTTCGCCGGTGTTCGGTCGGCGCTTTCCCATTCTCAAAACATGGGAATTTGCATCATGTGGGCCACTCCAACCATTCAAGGTCACAATCTATACCGAATAGCCGGATGGGCCACTGCTTGATGGCACTTCCGCGGACTGATGATACGAGTTCCCTTCGAGCAACATTGCAACACCTAGCTCTTCAGGTACGTAGGTCGGTCCACACCACGTCTACCACGGATGAGAGACGTCTTCTCGGCCAGTCCAGAATCGAGGTCGACACGGACACGCCGTGCAAAGCGTCTGCGGGATCTATATCCGTGTCTGTACAGGACCCCAGCCTCATTTCTAGAGCGAATCTGTGGGGTGTCGCTTCCTCGCTTCGACTCTACCGCTAATGATCGTCACTGCGGACTCCATTTCCGACGAATCAGAGCGTCATACTTCCTTCGAACCACTACCGAACCCAATTCGCCTCTTGCCTTTCGGTCATCGTACAGTACCCTTGGTTCTTTCGTGTACCGTTTATATCTCTCCTGCAACGCGCGACATACTTCTTTCTTTCCCTGAGAGTGCTGGCCTGTCGTTTTCTTTTCTATGCGTCGATGTCATTGCCTATCGCTCCCCGCCCCGCACAAGGCGCCGGCGATCAACCACCACTCTCCCCTGCCCTTGTAAAAGCGCGCAAAATCTCAACCGCTTGCGGGGCGTGTAAGCAGCGGAAGACACGAGTATGTTGTCAGACTTCCATGGCTATCAAGACCTCATATGCTGACCATCGTAGTGCACTGGTGGCCAGCCTTGTGATGCATGCGCCACGCGCAACAGCGAATGTATCTACAATGTTGAGGCGGACCAACGACGCAAGATTGCAAACCAGAGGAATGTGCAGGATCTTGCAGAGGCTCAACTGGATCTCAACCGCTATCGCGAGGTGCTCGGTGGCATGATCGCCATCGTCCGTGCTGGGAATTCTCGCTCGACGAATGAACTTATCGATATGATCCGGAGTCGCATCGATTTATCCTCTCTTGCCGCATACGTGCGTAACGAAGTTCGCGCAAACATGGCTGTCGAGCAAGCTTTCCATACTATCGATTTCAATATGGACAGCGGTCTGGATCTTCCGTCTCCGTCTCAGCTGCTTAGCCGAATGGACTCCGGTCAACAGATGCCACTTCAGCCGTCGCATCCTGGATCAGAGAATACGTCTGGATCGACAAGCAATTATGACCCAGCGTTACCGCATTAGAATGTACGGGCTTCCATTCGTGGCTCTTATATTCAGCCACTTCCAATAGCAGTCTGCACACATGCGGGCGATATCAGTTGTCGTGGAGTTGGGACAAGTCAGCAGCAGCAAAGGCTCTCGGAAAATCCTGGCGGATGGCACCACATCTGCACACCATCAGCATGGCTAAGCATCAGCAATATATATCAACCGACGCTTCACGGCGTCTGAAAGACGGGCCCTTCCTGTTGTAGGAGCTCAAGAAGTCTTACAGTTGCGCTGGCTAGAGTAAGAGAGCTGATTTCCAAGTACATCACACCCAACCAGTTCCAGCCATCCGCCAGGGTCGCAACGTCCATAGCCTGCTCACCCACAATACCCCTCAATGCACACCGGGCTTTACCAGACTCTACTCTACCGATCCGGACAGAGCAGACAGTATTGTTTTTGTCGCATTTGGGTATCTTAGAGGTGGCGAGAATGACATCGTGGCAGTTACTGGGCACGTTGGATAGTAGTTCCCAGAGCCTGCATCCAAACGCATGAGCCCAGTGCAGCAGCCGAGTCTCATGTCATCTAGACCTCACCACATTCTTTACGAAATGCAACGCACGACGCGCATACGAGGAGACCCTCCACAATCCAGGGAAGTACAGAACATAACGTTTATGCTGGCGATCGTAGCAAGTGTAAGAATCGGGTTTGTTGCCCAAGATATAATTGCGCATGAAGTAGCAAGGACTGGACGGCACAAAGTGGTTGATCAGCAGTTTTATTCGCTACCACTCAGGTGGTTGCGAGAGGCTTTGATGTCTGGCATGGCAAATCCGAAAATGCACGAATCATGCAGTCGCCTTGTTGGGCCGGGCCAGAGTTCCGTGCAGATCTCGTCTCGTCAATCAAGGCGCTGGACTTTATCTCCTGCCGCACCAGGACATGAAGGGTCCTAAGAACGTCCGTTGGCTGCAATAATGTCGGAACTGTGGCAGGCGCTTGACGGCAGGGCGGATGTGCCGGTGGGTCAGCCGGCTTGCTTGAGTGGGCGTCGCCAAGCTTGTGTACTCGTTCGGGCTTGACACTGTGCTGTTCTGAGCTTCCAAGGTTTGAGTGACGGACTTGGCGTTATTGCGAAAGAGCAGGTTCTTTCGATCATCACTACGGTATCGGCAGCCCGTGCCCTTTGCTAAACGAAACGAAGCACAAGGCTCACACTCCAGATAGAGATTCTCGTAGCACATCGGATTCTATCCTAATAGTCTCCCAGGCTTTGTGGACTGAGTTGATCTTCGTGACCATGCTTGTTTTCGCTCGCGATGTAATGTAATGCTATATGCACCCGGTGACTTGCTGCACCCACATAGGCAGCCAATGCTATTCACGATGTCTCGCTCTCCGTCCCACCGCCATGCTGAAGTGTAGCCTGCTGCTGTGCTATAACATCTGGATTCAATCCGCCCAAGCAACTGAAGAACACCAAGCCAACGATCCCAATGATCAAGTCATAGCCGAGTGCACTTACGGCCGAACTTCTATTCAACGACTCCCAGCACTGACTCGGCCGATCGATGAAACCAGCCTGCCAGATGTTTGTGAGAATGCAAGCAACCCACATTCCCGACAACTGAAACGCCGAAGGAGATGGAGGCATCTGCTGATCTTCAATGACCTGACCTCCCAAGAGCTGAAGCAATGATGGCAATAGGAATGGCAGCGCCATAATGAGCCTGACCAGCAGTACCAGCGGCACAAATTTCCACGTCCCTATGTAGGAAGGCAGTGTCGTCACGGCCGCAAGCATCTCAGCGAAGATTATCGTAGGCATTAATGCTGCGGGCAGGAGCTTTCCTAGCCAGTCGGAATTGCCCTCACCAGGCGCAGATTTGATCGTGTCGCCTACTGGCCGCTTCCGCTGCGGCTCTTCTGTCTTCCTCCCCAGCAGAATTCCTATCAAGAACAACCACAAGCCAAACCCCACAGGCAGGATTTGACTCAACCCCAACACCCAACCCACTCCCTCGACCCCCTCTACCCTGATCCTGTCGCCCATCCAGATCGTAGCTGCTGTACTAGCCAATAGCGTTGCAGAGCTCCAAGCCCTCCCTTGACTCGTCCGCATCAACTCCTGCGCAAAGTCCACGAATAGTCGGCTGTTCACGCTCCACTGCCAGATCTGCGAGCCGACTGCTCGAGCGAATCCCGCGATGGCGGCTGGGCCGGGGAGGAAGACGCCGGAAGTCAGGTGTATACGCGCCAGTTCATCGATCGGACGAAGATGCCCATTTGCGTAGGCGGTATAGGACTCGATCAGGAAGCGAAGCATGTGGATGCTGAGTGAGGTGAAAGATGTTAGGGCGAGGAGGCTGAGGAGAATGAGTTTGGGTCTAGTGGCGCTGGGATGGCGTTGTGAAGTGGGAGTGTTGTTCGCATTGGCAAGGCGTTGGAGGCGGAGAAGAATGACGATGGTGCAGAGCAGGGCGAGGATGATGTAGGTCCAAAAGATTGCCGCACCAGCAAGATTGTAGGTTTCGGGATGGGCTTTGTGGTCATGGTCGTGATATTCATGGTCGTCAATGGGACCGTGGTCGTGCGGGTAGTGGTGATGATGATGATGATGATGGTGATGGTGGTGGTGGCTCATTGTATGCGCATTGGTGGCTCAATACACAAGTAGACACCGTTAAGCAGTCAACCAGTCTCGCTATACTTGAAGTCGAACCTCCGAAGATGGACATGGGAAGGCAAACTTTACATCGGGGCATCAACTTGCGAACGATGGAAGTCAAAAATGCATAACGGGCAAGCTTTCGTCATGTCAGGGTCACGAAATGCAAGGCGACGCGAGGCTGAGGCTTTCAGGGATCAACGTGCCGGGCCGCCATCCCGACGGACAGGATATCATATCCAAGATGGAGTCGGGCGTTGTATCACGTTCTGTGACGACCACACAGCAATATACTGAAGACTAGCTGAGCTCCGGATGGAGAGTTCATCCAACGAAAACTGCAGCGCAAGTCCCAAAGATCAGCAGCAGATCAGGCGAATACAATGTTATTGCTATCAACTTACAAGATACTTAGGTTGCTAGCAAACCAGGAATCGTTAGGATCTAGAGCGACAGGTAGCCAGCATCGCGTCCCGCGTGTTTCCCCAACTCCTTGCTGTCTATGAACGAATGTGTCTCAGTGGGCTTGTCTCGGGCGATAGATGAGTGTAAAGAACTTTAGAGGCTCCGTCATGCGAGAAGCGCAATTGGAAATCGTGGTGATTGAAGTGGTGTGCTGAATTGAGTGCCTTGCATGCTGGTGTCACTTATGGCTGTTGTATTTGGCGCCAATTCCGGCAAAGTCTTGCCTGTCAGGTCTGCTGCCGCTTGGCTTGGACGGCTGCTTCTTTGGCGATGCGGTGTTTGTGCTGTCTGGCTGGCATTTAGTCGAGGAATTGCTGGAATCTGATATCTTGTGCTTGTGCCCTGGCTTGTTCTTGTTCGTGGTGACAAGTTGCTCCTGAACGCCGGCAGCAATAGAGTCAGTCCTCGGAGTCAGTGGCTGAGGAAGGTTTTTGGACTCAAAGAACCATGCTCTTGCGAGAACGACCAGCGTTTCCAGGGAGGAAGTAGTGCTCTTATATGTACGTGGCGCCGCGGCTTTGTGTCTAGGCCCTGGACCTTCTCTTCCAGTGCCTCAGCAGCGCTCACTTGTGCAGGACTTACTGCTGAATGGAGGAACACCTCTTACAGGCCGGTAAATGCGTCAAGATCGGGCATTCAGCATCAGGAACTACTGTTCCGGGTCAATATTTCTGACACCATTGGGCGACCTCTGGGTTACACGTTCCTCGATCCTGTCAGTCACGGCGCGTGAACATTTCTAGCATCTGCCACTTGGTCTGAATTTAGTATTTCTCGCCGATGCATCCCTTCGAATTAACCTGATGGTCGCAGTCAGTGCATGTTTCAGGCTTCCCAATTTAGACGGGCGGATGGTGCGGATAAATCAATGTATGATGAAGCATCGTAGTATGGGATGGGAAAACATGTTCAAATAGTCTTGGCGGAATCGTTTCTGGGAACTAAAGCCCAAACTAGCCGTGTGCAGCCGGAGACTGCGTCGCTTGCAGCGGATCTCGCCATGCTGTCTGGACTTCTGACCTGACGCCCACGCTGTGCTGGCACCAGTGGGAGGGCCCCGAGCAGTTGAGATCATCGGCAATATTGGGTCTGTGATCGCGATTAGCAATGCAGCGAGGGTCATGTGAGCTTTCACATTCGCTTTTTTGCATCATAGCAACCCCACGTCTGTACTGTGTCACGTTCTGCCCCAGGCGACGTGCTCCAAAATCCCCGTGCTCAACGACAAGGTGTGGTGTTGGCTATAACAGCACAACAGACTCCCAGTCAGCTGACGATGGCCGCCAGCATGCCTTCTACCGAGTGGACGGACGATCGCCGGGGGCAGAAACAGTGACAAATCAGCTGTCGAGCGCTGACGAGCATAGCTAGTTTTCGGCGTAGCTAGTTAATCTTGCAGCAACGAAGTTCTGGACTTTACCCCGAGGAGTGCCGGCAGATTGGAAATGAGGCGCATCTAAAGCATAATGACGAGATCGACCACTCTTTCGGAATCGACGTCAAAGATTCCACGTTTCACAGCATGTGTCAGAAGACACTGATGTCAGCTATCATAGCAGAAGCGCGCTGCAAGGCAAATAGCTGCACATGCCAGCCCCTGGTTGCCTTAGCCTTACTGGTGGATGCTCGACGCCATCAGGTTGGTGATCTTGTACAATGGCCACGCCAGCGTAGGTCGTTCCCTCTTCTAAGCCGTCGATAGCCGTCGCTTGTGCCGCATACCACAAAATACTGACTGCTGTCATGTATACTAACCGTGGTGCAAGGTCACAACAGGGATTGCCTCGAATGTGGCAGATCGTTAGTGGGCAGTGACTTTGATGGATCGTCCGAGGATTCAACGCTCGGATAAGAGTAGCGAAATCGGCTAGCAATCCGGAGCCGACAGCGGTAAACACCAAAACTGCGATGGGTCCAGCAGGAATGCCCAGATTCCACAGACAGACTGGAACCATGTGACGTCTTGCAGAAGATATCCGGAAGCACATGTACCGAGCAACATACACCTTGCCGTCGTTCTCCAGTTCCAGTAGTCGCGGCTTCCCGAGCTGGAGAATCTGAAGCGTCCATCGATGTCGTCGGTCCAAGGGCATACGCGTTGCAGCGATGAGGCTCAGGTTGGATAATGTCACATTCCGGCGGGCTCCTATACCGTCCTTGTGCCGATGGGCGTCTGCGTGAATTTAGTGGAAGACGTGTAGAGGCGAGGGATTTGGCTTCTCTCGGAGGATGGCGGGCAGCGCCTGGGAGAAGTGATGTCGCGGAAAGTATGCAAGGGCAGCATTAAAGCGATTGAGGTTGGAAGACGTAGCGATTCTCAATCCTCTCGGTAAACTTCATCGTTGTTGCCGAGAGTCTCGAACCACTGGCAGTCCGAGTCGCTGAATTAGGGCAGGCAACGCAGTGTGACTTCGTTAGGAGGAGTTTGTACCTGCCTGAGAAGCCAGTGCGTGACGGTAGTTGCGATAGGCCAGCTGTGGCAGGTACGTTGACCAGCACATGCAGACATCACAGAGGCAAGTGCAGCGCAGAGCCCGTCTCGACTGAGCTCTCAGCGTCTCCGTCAGCACCGTCAACATTTCCGGGAGAAGTTGTAGTGCTCCTATTATGCCTTAGAGACTCGCCATACCCGTTCAATGAATATCCTACCAAAGATCTCGAACCAAAGTTGACGAGATGGACCGACCAGCCACACAAGGGTCGAACGGACAACATGCTCCAAGTCTGTGGACAGAAGCCCGCCAGAAATCGCTCCTCCTCATACAACATATGCTCTGCTCCATGATTTTAGGACTGCAGCTGGCCACGTTACCCTGGGTCCACGCATTCCTCTACATTTCGCGAAGTGACGGCGCCTCATCTCTGGCTCCAGTGCTGGCCCTGTCGCGACCTGACTACCTTTTGCAGGCAGATGCCTCCAGTAGGCTCCAGGGGAACTTTATTGCAAGATCTAAAGAAAAAATTGCCAATATTGTCGATGCTATCAAAAAGCAAGGCCGTATCATTCTTGCAGTGTACAGCTTAGGCAGTCTGATCGAGCAGTGTCCTGGTCTCCTGAGGCCACGCAAGGCAGCCGCAGCACGCAAAAGTCAGCCAGATCTGAACTATACCGCAAGAGTGGAGGATGCCAATCGTGCGACAGCTTCTCAAGTGTACCACGCGGCCTTAGCTGACGACGATGCACTTGACGACATTCTAGCGGGCTTTGTGTCTCGAAGTGAGACTGTTGTAGCCGAGCCTGGTTCTCGCAGAGTTTCAACTGCATCATGTCTCGAATGTCAACGATCCCCAAGTAGCCGGAAGCAAAACACGAGCATTCAAACGACTCCAGAGCGCATGTTGTCTGTGTCAAGACTGCCAATGCGCGTGACTCCTGCAAGCGCAGCAAATCTGCCATCGAGACTTAGCTTACCAACAGAAACGGGTTCTCCAGTGCAGACCGCGGCCCACCAAATCATGGACCAGCACGCCCAAGCTGCCCTGCTGCCGATCCTCCATCTCCGCTGGCAAGCTCGCCTGCCGTCAGTGCGCAGTCGACAGGAACCATTATTCAAAACTGGGCAGAAGCCCTGCCTCCACGAAGAATATCTGCACCTCCGTTGATCGTTGGCTGTCCGAAAGAAGTGGAAAGACAGATCGATGCTATCTCGCGAACATCGAGCACGCGAACAACAGGAAGTCAAAGTCAGCAGAATGGACGACAGATTGCGAGGAATACTTCGGTGCCATCGGTTCAGACACTCACGCCGACCCGTGGTAAGAGGTTGCAAAAGAAAGCAAGAACGCCACGTACCTAGGTTGACGACAGTACACGGGATGTGGGATCGATATCATTAGAGACCCAAGAGCCATCGCCGCAAGTAGAACATACAGTAGCATGACATTCATAGCATAGGTACAGAATCGTCATGTGAAGAGAAACTTCTGGCACAGACGCGTACTGTCGCGACTCGCAATAGACAGGCTGGGCCGACGTTCTCCCGGCCTGCGACGCCATATTCAACCAGTAGTATTGCCAGACACTTCAACACTAGACAATTGCTCCCTTGTGCTGCATTGTTGTTCCCCGGAGAGAAGCCAAAGATCAATGCCACACTGATGAGCCAGACCTGGTCGGAACCTGCCGAGTGCCCGCTGTCCTTCTCAAACTACTGTTGCGAGCCGCTTGCTGAATACCCTACCCACATATGATCGCATCATGCCAATCTCATACGCAAAGTGGGATGCTCTAGAGTTGTCCGACGACTCTGATATAGAGGTCCACCCAAATGTAGACAAGGTGCGAATTCCTTAATCGGACGAGACATTTACTATGCCGGTCCTGGTTCTCTGCCTATACATGTTCATGCTAACAGATGCCCTAGAGAAGCTTCATCCGCGCGAAACAGAACCAGATCCACCAACAGCGCTACCAGCGCAAACAAGAGATCGAGACACTCCGCTACGAACGTCTGATAAACCTCGGCCTGTTGGAACGGATCAACGCACTGCTCGACGCCCTCAAGCAACATGAGAAAGAGTCTACGAAGACCGATCCTGATCAACTCGTGTTCCAGGCTTTGATCGAGAGTGCAGGTGACCCAGCCAAAGATGAGCCACCAAAACCGCCGGAAGGTGTCTACACACATCAGAAGGAGCCACAGCCTCGATATTCGAAGATGATGGGCAGCCTTGTCGACCAAGTGAAGAAGGAAGTGGATGAGAAGAAGTCTCCGGAGAGGTTTCAGGACTACATCAATGGTGTGCGTGGCCATCTCACCAAGGTGCAAAATCTACAGCAAGAATTGCTCAAAAAGCTGGCGGAGCTTGAGAAAGAGGAGAAAGCCAAGATCACCAGCGAATCGATACATGACGGCTTCAACACGTCTCATGTCTCCAAAGCAAAGCCTGCAGCTCCGAAGACCGCACCGAAATCCAAAGTTGAGCTACTCAACAAGCCTTCAACGCCGGCTGTAGCAGGATTGAGCTCATCGGAACGTGTCACGACACTGGCGGAAGACGGCGCTGTCTCCTCGGGCGCCGAGGCCGATGTTGAGGACGATAATCTCATCGCTGAGCACGAGGATGACGATGACGATGACCGAGCGTCAATCAAGCTGACCGAAGAAGGCAAGGCATTCGCTAAGATCAACCGCAGCGACTATCGTACGCTGTTGCAATTCATCTCAGAACATCCAGATCTTATGACCGAGTCAACACAAGACGCCTTACTAGTGGAGGCTTTCAACGCCCAGATGAAAGGCAAAGACTCATATGCGCAGACTTGTGTGCATCACGGTCTGCTTATACAGTATTGCAGACAGCTAGGAAGAGATGGTGTTGGCATGTTCTTCAAGCGAATCACTACCAAAGGCCACCAAGCCGCACAAGTGTTCAACAAGGATGTTGCCGAGACTTACAATCGCATCAAGACCCGCGCTAAAGAACTCGTCAAAGAAGAGGCCGAGGGCAAGAACCAGGAAGGTGTTGAACAGATTCAGCTGCACGCAGTCGAGCCTGGCACAGAGATTCATATCAATATACCACAGCCGAACAGCGAGGAGGAGATCGAGATCGAAGCAAGAAAGATTTTTGAATCATTCTCTCCAGAGATGCAGCGAGCACTTGAGACTGGTAGTCTTGACAAAGTGAACAAAGTGCTCGGTGAAATGAGTGTGGAGGAGGCGGAGCAGGTGGTTGAGGACTTGAGCAATGGCGGCATGCTGAGCTTGCAGGAGGGCGTGATAGACGCCACCAATGAGGAAGGACAAGCCAAACTAAAGCAAATCGAAGATGAAGAACGGCGGAAACGGACACAGACTGTGACGGACGGTGAGCCGGGTGATGTCGTGGAGGAGCATACTAGTGTACGCAACATCGTCGACGAGGTGGACTGAGAGCAATATTACCGATACCCTCAGAGCAGCTAAGCAGCCTAGCGACCATGCCACGTGTTCCATGTGCGCAGTCTAGTCGAGTATTATGACAATTATCTCGACATGCAGATGTTCTGCACTCTGGTGTGACAACTACAGAATTCGCACAGGTGCCAGTGGGATGGGAAGGGCACCCGGGCGGTGATACGTAGTCCGCACTTACTGCGTGAGACATCCTGACTCAGACAAGTCCGAGGCATCTTCAAATACTGACTCGCTCCTTCTTGTCTCCTACTCTCCGCAAATACATGGTAGCAAGTCCCCTACCTCCCATTGCAACCAAAGGACACACAACTCTAGCAAGATACACCTTCGCCATAGATAACGACACCTGAGTCTCGGATCTGTGCACCGATGCGCCCATCCTCGGTACTTGCATGCTCAACCCGCGCTGTGTAGCTCGCTACACCACACCTCGACACCGTCCCAGTGTCGGCTCCGATGCCCAAGGCCTTTGGATCACAGACGACCTCCTAGCTGAAACTTTTGCGCGCTTCGTGGGCGCTCGAGGTGTGCGACATGGCAGCCATGTGCCCGGGCCGCTCGAGGCGCGCAGAAGGGCTAGCAAGAGGAAGCACACGAGCTTGGCACATAGTGGTGGAGGGCAGGCGCCAATAGATATGGCGGTGCTCTTCGGCAAGAATTCGCAGGCGGATTGGTGGGGCGTTGGGAAGGGATCACATCGGTCGAACAAAGATGTGGCCGACAGCACCACCACGGGCTTTTTCGAACCTTTCAAGCCTCCGAAAGAGATGGACGAGGGATTGGGAAAGCGTGAAGTGCCGCAGCAGTCCCAGCAGCATAGGTGGTCGGCGGATCGCATGGACCGATTGTTCTCGGACTCGTGCGAGGCAGCACATCCCAACCGAGAATCTATTTCACCTTTGCCCATGGACATAACTGGCGACAACCCCGTCGACGATTTTTCACTGGGCACGGCGCGGGTCGCTCACATGGACAAGACTACAGCTACTTCAGTCCCATGCCCGTCTCCAATGTTCTTGAGCGGCTTGTCGGTATGTAAGAGCGTTGCCGATCTACAAGCAATCCTACGAGAGAACAGCGTCGATCTACGCACCCAGCGCACCCATGCAACCCGCATTTTCGAGCATGTCACGAGCAGCGACTGGGCTGCTCATGCTATCGCAGAATATCTCATCGATCCAGCATTTCACCCTCCTGGTTGCTATCATCACAGCGCACTAACAGAGGCGCTTCACAAGACAACAGTTTCTCTGGGAGACTATTCCTTGGATTTCGAGCGAAGAAAAGTGATCATGAATGCAGTCTGCTCGGCAACACGCACCGGCATGGTCACCGGACAGGAGTGGCTGCGTATAATCGATTCCGTGGTCTATCATCAAGGTGCTACGAGGAACGCCAAAGACCACCATGAATGCGCTCGGCTATCGAACAAATTGGTCGGCAGTTACATGCAGAGCCCGAAAGTAGAGTCCGGATTGCTCGAACACGCCTTGATCAAACACGCCGTGCACACAACCATACTTAGGCGCTATTCACCCTGCAGCTCTACTCGAAACCGGAGGTCGACCGCGCGCTGATCGCTGACGTCTGCGTTCGGCGCCTCAAGAATACGTTTACGTTTGAAAATGCTGAGAACACCACCAGTTTAGCTAAGCAACTGCTCAGATTTCCACGAGTAGCTCAAGATGAGATACTTGGACGCATATCAGGATCTCTATGTGCACCCTCACACTGGACGCCAGATATTCGCGTCTTTCCCGCCCGAAATTTTCGCGCGTTACTCGGAGAGCTTCGCCGCCTGGATCCCCCATCAAAAGCGATCACGGAAGCCCAGGCGAAGCGTCTTGCTTCAGGGATACCCGAAGAGCTCATGGAGTCAGACCGACTGTTGGTCTTTGTCTTCGTGGTGTCCGTGAGATATATAGCACCATGGTCTCCAGAGATCAAGGAGGAGTCCTTCCCGGTCCTCGACCTCTTCGATCTTGACAGATCCAAACCTTCCAGAGTCATGCACAGTGAGTTACTCTCAAGAGCCGACCCACTGCTGTTCCAAGGGAGATACCAATTGTCGGAAGACCTGGCTTGGTTGCTCTCGCGACAAACTGATCAGGAGAAACGCACGAGATCGACTGAGAACCTGGCGAGAATGGTTGATCAACAAGCACATCTGCTTCTGCACAGCCCAACAGGTCGCCAGGAGAACCTGAGCAATGCAGCTCAGGTTCAAGAACTGGCTGGAGCCCTGAACGAACAACCAGCCTTTTACCAGCAGCTCAATCGCAGCCTGGTGTCAGGCGACAAGCTGAGCCTGCGATTTGTGACGAGACTGCTGAACAGAAACCCCGACTTTCGTACTGCACTCACCAGTTTCTTGCGGCATAAGGGTCGACGTATCAATCAACCGTTGTTGCCGAATTCGATCTCTGCGGAACAAGCACTGGATACAATGAACATGCTAGCTGTAGCGTTCGCATCATCTACGGTCATTTCTTCGCGGATGGCTTTGAAGAAGGTGACTTGGTGTTACCAGTTCCTCGTGCGAAACAGAGCACCTGTCCAATTTCCCATCACAAGGGCTTTGTGGCATGCAGGCGTGACACGACAGCCCCACAAGGCCAGCTCCCAGCTGCTGACATGGTTACTCGGCAAGATCGCCCGTGTGGAAGGCGAGGAAGTTGCACAAGTGCTTCAAACAAGTTCCGCCTTTCGTAGATCACGTGCCGTGACATTTATGAAGATAGCGCGTCTCTCGGCACGTCAGCCTTCCAGTCGGCCGCATCTGGGCGATCTGGCAGAAGAAGAGAAACTGGCGCAGGCGCCCTCGAGCAGCGAAAATCTGACGAGGTCGAAGGAGGTCGCAGACGAGATAGGGCAGGTCGTGAGATCTATTCAGGAGCAAGCTATCGCCGTCGATCGACGGGAACGAGAGCAGCTTAGAGCACAGGCTCTATCGACAGAGGATGCTCCGGCAGCTCTATGCCAAACGCTTTATGACACTGATTGAGGAGAGAATAGCGGCGTGCAGGTCTGAGATTGAGCAGCTGGCACGAATCACGTGGTCGCGGGAGGCTCGAGGAGAGCAGGACCGCCTTACCGAGCGTGAATACATCGACCGTGTCCTTGGTCTCGTCGAGCACGAGGTCAAGCATCTCGACTTAAGAGCCACAGATGGACAAACTACGTGTACATCCCATACGCAGCGTGGTCACGCAACGCCACTGTTTCCCGTTTCCGACGTGGAGATCAGCAGAGACTCGATCCTCTCCACGACAAGCATTCCATCATTCTTCAATCTTGGGACTGAGCAGCCTATCTTTGACTTGTCCGGAGCAAAGGATACCCGAGCGTGTGATTCAGCAGCGTCGACGACCTCCGCGGATGACATGTCAGCTGCGTTGTCAGAGCAACATGTCAAGTCACGCGTATGGAAACGCATGTCCGGCGTCCACCATATCAAACGCAAAGGCGTATCATTGACAGCGCGCACCACACGTATTGTGCGGCGACGGATGAAAGGGACACTGCTTGCCAGGCCTTCTATATGGAGAAGCATACCGTTGACAACGCACACTGAGGCTTTCGAGTGGAGGCGCATTCCAGTGACAGAGGGCGTTAAGCTTCTGCCCAAGAACCGCATGTCACCTGCAAGGTCAAGTAAACAAGTGGTGGAGAGACGACGGAGCAAGCAGACGAAGCAAAAGGCTACTGCAGCAGATCGCAGTGGGCATGCCACGCCAGCTACGGTGACGGCGACGGCGACGGCGACGGCGAGGCTGCTCAGCCAGGAGGAGGATATGCGTAGATTTCAGGCATGGCTTGCTAAGAAGAAGAAGAAGACAAAAGCGGTAGCTAGCACGGCGGCCTCTGAGGGGTCAGCGGTGACAGATGGTGCTGTATGGCTACCCTAGAGACGTTGAAGACGTGGCATGCTCGGACAATACCTTGTATATAGAATGAAGTCCTTGAGAGCACACCCGGGCAAGCTCCCTTCGTCTCCCCAGTCATCCATTATGGACTGATCGTACACACTGCGCATTCTTCCCCATGCGTAGATAGCTTAGCTTGATTTGCTGCATGCATCGCTGCTGCCATCACCAAACCCCTACGCATCATCCACATCCATCTTCTCCACCACGACCACGCTACTGCTATCAGTGTCGCTGCCGGACCCCAACTCATGCACCGTCACATACCGCCCCAGCTCCTCCTTTGTGATGATTTTCTCGTTTAGTACCGCCGTCGTGCCCTTCGCGAACTTGTAGTCCCGCTCCTTTTTGACTCTTACGTTCGGTGTGATGTAGTTTCTCAGTAATTGTGTTGGCTTGTCTTTCTCAATCACGCACACATCCACATTAGAGCCGGAGCCCAGATCATTCCAGATACCAGCCTCGATCGCCTCGGCGCACAGCTTGATGGCTTCCTCGCGCGTGAGTTGGCCTTTCCAGGAGGATTCGAAGACGGACATTGCGGCGAGTGAGCCGGAGCCCATGGTCACGTAGGGCAGCTTGTCAGTGGAGCCGTGGGCGTGGACGGTGAACAGATGGCAGCCGGTTGGGTCGACGCCAGCGACGACGAGGTATGCGCCGATATGGCCTTGGTAGCGGAAGAGGTGTTGCTTGAGCATGGTCATGACCGTGACGACGCGCGGCGAGCGGCCTGTGGAGAGGGAGTGTAGTTCGAGGTTGGAGGAGGTGATGGCGGTGGTGAACTCTGTGTCTGCGGCTGTGCCGGCGCCGGCGCACCAGATCGAGGGGGAGATGTAGTGTAGCTTTTCGCAGTTCTTGTCGGCGACGATGGGGCCGGAGGTGGCGCGGGTGTCGGCTGCGATCTGAGTTGGGTGTTAGTGATGGGGTTGGAGGGTAGGGTGGGTGGACTTACGACTACGCCTTTGTCGTATATGCAGCCTACAATCGTTGTACCGGTCGATGTGGCTTTCGGTAGAGGTACTCCGCGTGCGTGGAGGGCCGCATTGCGGTTGTAATTGCTGAAGTCGAAGCCGGGCATGGCTGTGAATGTGTTTGAGAGGTGAGAGTGAATCGAAGGTGTTTGGCTGTCAAGCCGTGGATGCGGATCTCGTTGGCGCCAGTCCTTCTAGTGGCTTGACGACAAAGCACTGCGAGTAGTCCGATTGAGGAGATCCTACAAGCGCAAGAGGTAGAGTGTGGTCTTGATGAGGTTGAGTAGATGGGATGGGAGTTCGAGATGAATCGGAGCAGAAGTCCAAGGCTTCGGTGAACGCGTAGTGGCGTCGCGCAGCCTTTTCGTGCACCGTAGCAATCCCCAAATGGGTCGTATGAACAGCCGTATATCTCTCCGCGGTTTGCTGCCTCGAAGGCGCGACCGCGCATTTGTTGGCAGCACTTTTTTTGAAATGGTGATATTGATGCCTGAGTGAAGGCAGCACCCATCGCAGTGGTACGGCGCACTCCGTAACCATCTGTCTCCGTCAATATTAGCCAACACAAGAGACCGTCTTTCTGGCGAAACAGCGCCTATCACTCCTTTAGTACTACTCCGCCCGCGACGCGATTCTCATATGCCCATTCATCTTCGCCAGAGCCAGCCAGTGTGGTGTCGGCGGAGAAGCGGCGCTCACTGACTTCCGAGATTCCTCGCATGAGGATGGCCTTCAACAGCTTTGCGCAGGCTGCCAAAGACAACGTCACAGTCTCTTCGCCGACTGCACGAGAAGGTCCAGAGCTGCAGGAAATTCAGACAGGCGGACTAGGTCTACCAGGTGTCCAAGGGGAAGTCAAACTCAGGATCTCTGAGCCATGGCCATCAGATGCTCTGCCACCGACCACATCCTCTCTTCTCACGGTCGCCTCGTCTAGCGGACTTCTGGCTGCGGCAGGACCAAACGATTTGATCCTGACATCAACACAACAGGTCCGGGCGGTACTATTAGAGAAATTCGACAAGCAGACAAACGAGAATCCAGTACGGCAGTATCAGCCAAATCTCCGCATCCCTCGACCACGTCTATCGCACGTTGCATTCACAGCCGACGAGAGTGCACTACTGGTCTCGGCACAGGATGGTGGAGGCATCGATGCGTACAGCGTCCGCAAGATCGAAGAAGCCAAGCCAGCAGTGTCGATTTCCACTGATGGGAAGGCTCTGAGGTCGCTTGTACCTAACCCAGCGCCTGATGCCGATCTCGCGCCGCTCGTGGCAGCAGTCACAGTCGAGGGCGGGCTCTTGTTGGCGGATCTGAGGTCGGGCAGTCTTCGGGAAGGCCAGAATGGATCAATCTTGCGATCTGGCGTCAGCTGTGTAGCATGGAGCCCCAAAGGCAAAGCACTTCTTGCGGGTCTGGCCGATGGCACTGCTGTTCAGTTGAAAGCGGACGGAAAAGAGATGGCGCTATTCCCACGGCTGATGAGTCTTGAGCCCAACTACTACATCTCGAACATCGCGTGGCTCAACAACGACAGTTTCTTCTTCGTGTATGCTTTACCGGACACAGACTTCCCACCACAGCCCTGTGCATACTACATCGTTGGACGAGAACCCAAGACCACGAATTACACCTTCCAAAAACTTCCCGACCCAATCTTCCTTATGGGAAAAGAGCGCCTTCCGACTGCACACTACATTGCACGACTGCGGAACTTTCCTCCCGCTCTGTCTGAGGTCTTGCTTGTCGCCGCAACCAGCAGCTCAGATGTTGGCTTGATCACAAAGTCGGAGAAGTCGTTGTCTACGGATTCAGACGTCGCGAACGAGTTCACAAGTACCATCATAGAGGACGACGCACGACGAGCCGTCCTTCCGCTCTCCGAGAACTCAGAGGACACTTCACCTATTGGTATGGCGCTCGACTTGTCGAGTACAGACACCGTCATAAAACCTGTGCCTACTAATGGCGAGCTTGACGAGTCATCGCATTCGGTGCCACAGCTTCTGGTGCTCAACAATGATGGCCTCTTATGCTCGTGGTGGGTGATTTATAACGACTCAATTGAGGCAAATACACCATACCCAGGCATGACGGGCAGTACTGAAGCTACGCCGGAGCAAATGTCTGCGACAGATACCACTTCCAAGCCAGTAGCTGAACAGGCGCCACAGCCATCGTCCCCCTTCAAGGCGCCTACCTCGGCATTCGGTCAGACAGGTTTCGGATCGAACGCGCCAAAGCAGACCGGCTCGATCTTCGGGACCCCAAATATTTCTGCAGAGGCGGCATTCGGCAAGTCATCCACTATCGGTGGAGCCAAGTCCTCCTGGGTCTCGTCTGGTTTTGGCAATGCTTCCAACCCACAAGGATCGTCTACAGGCTTCGGGCAACCAGCCTTTGGCGCCGCTTCGTCACTGGGAGGCAACAGCACACCAGCGTTTGGCGCCGCTTCGTCGCCGGGAGGCACCAGCACACCAGCATTTGGCGCCGCTTCGTCACTGGGAAGCAACAGCGCACCAGCGTTTGGCAATCCAAGTACTCTAGGCAAACCTACATTTGGGCAAGCTCCAGCCAAGCCAGCATTTGGTGCGACGGGTTTTGGAAACGCTGCGTCAAGTAGCAGTCCCTTCACCAACGTTGGTAACTCGGCTCAATCTGGCTTCGCGTCTTTTGCATCCGGGAATAGCTTTGCTTCGCAGGCAGCCAAAGATGGTGACAAGTCAAGCAGTCCGTTTGGACAGAACACGGGTAAAAGTTTCGGTGGTTTCGGGCAAGGTTCTCAGGACAACTCTATCAGCAAGCCATCACCATTCGGAGGCTTGCAGACCAATGGATCATTCTCCGCCTTCAACAAGCCGACTTCATTCAAGCTCGATTCGACATTCCAAGCAGACAAGTCAGCCAAGGACGACAACGACTCACAGCCCGACGCAGCAGGCAACACTTTTGGCTTTGGCTCGAGCTTTGGAAACATGCTCGGAAGCAAACCGAAGGTGACTTCGCCGACACGCGATAAGGAAGAGGATATGGATGAAGGCAATGAGCAGGCACCGGTACCTTCCTTTGGGCGGCCACCATCTCAACATCAAACTCAGCAACCGAGTTCGCTGGTCACACCGCCATCGACAATCGGTCAGCCCAAGGCTACACCTGCTCCTCCAGTTTCCAATCTTTTTGGGAGCACGCCTGCCCAGTCTACAACGCCTCAGCCCCCACCACCAGCAACCACCGGCTGGAGCTTCAGCAGTGTTCCGTCGACAACACCGAAGGAAGCCCCTGCTGCTAAGCCTTCGCTTTTCGACCAATCTGCGAAAGCTGGACCATTTTCTTTCGGTGCTGCAGAGAAGGCACCGTCAAGCTCGCCTAAGATCAAGGAGGAACCCTCCAGTGCAAGCGACACCGCGGATCTAGAAAAGATTCCGAGCGCACCCTTGCCACCCGACACTATGTCTAAGCCGCGGTATGTTTCAGGTGAATCCGAGGCCTCATCTTCTAACTCGAGAAGTACAAATCAGTCAGTCGATGATCCTCTGCCACCCGATTGGACTCCAGCCAACACAATCGCTGCCATCAAGGCTACCGAGCCCTCCAAGTCACCGGCCGAAATCGCTCCTGCTGAAGATGCTCCACTTCCTCCAGACCCGAGCCGTTCTCAACAGAAAGGTGTCTTATCCTCGGAACCATCGTCACTGCCCAGTGAAGAAGCAGACGATTTCTCCGACTTCAACGAGACTGGCGAGGAAGACGAAGAGGAGGCCGCAAGCGAGGACGAAGACGAAGACTCCGGCCCGGTGGTAGACTCGATAGAAGATCCGGAACAGGTAGCAACCTCGCCAGAGAGCTCTTTCAAGAGTGGCGAGCGAAGCACCGAAGTCAGTCCTACGGGCGGCCTCTTCACTAAAGTCAACACCAATGCTGCCAAACAACGGCCACTCTTTGGCGAGGTTGGCACGAGCGCCCCTGTCTTCCCACCACCGAAGCCTCAAGAGAGTCCTCGCTCGCCAAGCCCAATTCGAAACATTTTTCCAACTGATCGGCTGCGAACAGAGGCATCGAGGTCGGTTAGTGCCCCAGCCGATCGTCGATCCGTTGTGGATCAGCGGAAGCAGACCTATGCCCAGTCTGGACTGGCTGCCCAGGTACAGCAGACTCAGCAAGAGGAACTTGCTCGTCAGAAACAACAGCAAGAGGAAACTCTTCGGCGCAGATTAGCAGCTGAAACATCAGAACTGGAAGAGCTTGAAGACGACGATGATGAGAGACTACGTGAGGAGCTCATGGCTCCAGTCGTTGCTTCAGAAACACTCGACGATTTTGTCACATATCAGCCTAGTCCTGCCGAAGAAGGTGCGAAGTCTGGCGTGCCAGCTCAAATCGAGCGGCTGTATCGCGACATCAACGCCATGGTTGACACGTTCGGTATCAACTCCAGGTCACTTGCATCGTTCATGAAGTATCAACAGGAGCAGCCAGCCAACGCAAATTGGCCGCAAGTATTGACATCAGAAACGCCGAAGGACGCTTTGAATGACGATTGGTATCTGAGTGACATTGATCGCCTTCGTGCAGGCCAGACAGCTCTGGACACCGTGGTACTTGAAGCTCAAGTCGAAGACGTGGATGGAAAGTTACAATACTGCCAGGAAGTCCTCTCGAAGGACATCATCGATTTGAAGATGAAGTTTGCGTCTATCAGGAAGGCGCTCAATTCACGAGCAAAGCCTGAAGAAGCGTTGGCTGCACCCCTCTCGGCAGAGCAGACAGCAGTGCAGCATGATTTGCGGAAAGCAGCTGCAGCAGTTCAGAGTAAGCTGATGCAGGTCGAAGATGCTCTGGCTATTTTACAGGCAAAGGTGTCTGTTGAAAGTGGTAAGCCACAGAAGAAACCAACCATTGAGGCTGTAACGAACACAGTCTTGAAAATGACCAAGATGGCGGAGCAGAAGAGCGCAGATATAGACCTGCTAGAGCGTCAGCTGGCAAAGCTTGGGCTGAAGAACGCGCTGAATGAGTCCAGGCAGGTAACACCCAACGGGACACCTGGACCACGGCAGTTGACGAGTGCGGTGACTCCTGGTAGCAGTGTCTACCACACCCCTGGCTCCAGGTTTGGTGGAAGCACGAGGTCGACACCGGGGCGGAAGCTCACACAGGATAACATGGCGATGATCCCGAGCGAGGACCGTGAAAGATGGCAAGCTAGAGCTCAGCGGAAGAAGGCCGTGGCGAGCATGTTGAGGGATGTTCTGCAGAATCGGAAACAGGGCACGATTATAAAAGCCTGAGTTGTATCGACGACAGCTTGGATTATGGCAATAGCTGACAGGCTTCACGGCTAGCATTAGGCAGCCTTGTAGCAGTCAACTGTATTGAAATGAGCTACTCTACAGTAACTTTAAAAACCTGACCATCTCCAGTGACTGATACAGACTCGAATTCACTGGCGCAGTGAAGTTCGGTCACGTGCTCTACTTCACCACGTGACCGATAGCCAAGAATTTGATGAATGATCACGCAGTCTCTTCCATTCCCCATCCTCTTCACCGTGTGCTCGCGACCCATCCATCACGCGTTCGCATTTTCGAGATCTCCCTTCGGTGGTCAACCTCGTATCGAAGATTCCTCATCTCTATCTCCTGCATCCAACGTTCTCAGGTATTTGCCCTGCTGTCGACGACCACGAACGGTCCCTACTCGCAGCTTCCCTCGATCTCGCGCCAGACGAGGAAGTCACGACTCGAAGCCTGCAGGACACACTTGCTAAGTATTGAGCCTACCTACTCCATTGCAAACAGTCGTCGTCCTCATCCTCTCTTCAACCACTTTCCATCAACCATCGAGTGTCCATCCACCACCTATCCATCTCAGCACCGTCACCTCTAATTACCCTCACCCTTCACCAAACCATACCACTGCACATCGCGACCTCTTCTGTCACAGCACCGATTCATTCAACACAAGCACTTCCAGCCTCTTCCTTGGTCCGCATACCCTTCCTACGTCTTTTGCGAATTCCTTCCTGCACCAGCACGATCACCTCCCCGTAATCTGGTGTACATAAACGGAATCAATAAGAGAAATATTCAAACCACAATACCGCTTCTAAGTCGCCATGTCTGCTTCGCCATCCTCCGCAGCTGCTGTTCCCTCCACCAAACGACCCCTAGAAGATCCCTCGTCCCCTTCAGCCCCGTCTGACTACCCTGACGCTAAAAGACCAGCACTCGACAAGCCTGTCAAGGATGAGGCGATCTAGAGGATGCCGCTACTGCGGTCGCAGAAGAATCAGCTGTCACTGCTACCACCAATGGCACGGCAGTAGATCACACCGACGGTGGCGAGCCCCAGTCTGCTGTCAAGGCCGAAGAACCACAACCGATCCCATCAACATCCTCCGATACCACAGCAACGGCGTCCCCTATTGCCAATCAGGACGAGACCAAGTGGATTCACATCAGAGCTGTCATTTCCAGTGCTGAGGCTGCAACATGTATCGGCAAAGGTGGTGAGAACGTCACTCAGATCCGCAAGATGTCAGGGGCGAAATGTACTGTCAGCGACTACTCTCGTGGAGCCGTCGAAAGAATTCTGACCGTTAGCGGTGCTCAAGATGCTGTGGCCAAGGCCTTTGGACTCATCATCCGGACTCTCAACCAAGAGTCGCTTGATCAGCCGTCGACCTCGCAGTCCAAGACATATCCTCTCAGACTGCTGGTACCACACATCTTGATCGGTTCTATCATTGGCAAGTCTGGCGTTCGCATCCGTGAAATTCAGGAAGCATCCGGTGCAAGACTCAACGCGTCCGACTCTTGCTTGCCGCTGTCCACGGAACGGTCGCTTGTGGTTCTGGGCGTTGCAGATTCCGTCCATATTGCAACTTACTACATCGCTGTCACCCTAGTCGAGCAGCTTACAGAGCGATTTGGCGGTCCAGCTGCTTCAGCGTACGCTTCACGCGGCGGTGGTCCAGCTGGCGTGGTTCCAGGTGGCATGCAGGTGGTGCCTTACGTTCCACAGCCTGCTGGCGGGCAGTATGGTCACCCAGACACATACAAGCGTCATGGCACTCAGCCCCCTCAACGTGGTCCAGTCGCACCATACGGCGGACCACAGATGGGCGCTCAACCTCATCAGCCCTATCAGCAGCACGGTGGTGCGCAGTATCCGAACACGCCGCGCCAAGCCAGCTTCGGTGGTCAGGCAACACCTCAGCAGGGTGGTTATGGTCAAATGCCACCTCAGCAAGCCGGCCAGCATGGTCAACATGCTCAGCTCCTAACGCCATGCCCGGTCAACCAATCACTCAGCAGATCTACATCCCGAACGACATGGTTGGCGCTATCATTGGTAAAGGAGGTGCCAAGATCAACGAGATCCGTCATTTGTCTGGCAGTGTCATCAAGATCAACGAGCCACAGGACAATAGCAACGAACGTCTTGTCACTATTACTGGTACCGCGGAGTGCAATCAGATGGCTCTCTACATGCTCTACTCGAGACTCGGTACGTTGCACCAGTGAATATTCATGTTTAACATTGCTAACTTGCTTCACAGAGAACGAAAAGCACCGTGTCTAGGCGGCAAGATGCGGAACTTGTCGCGAAGCCCACCCGGGGTGTAGTTCATGCCACGATGGTATGGAACAGTGCAACTCGTAGCTATCGATGGCGGCAGCAAACTCTCTAAGGTAGATAGACCATAGTATTCCTACAGTGTCCTCCCTCCCTGATCAATCTGGCTGCTAGCCTGTGCTGTATGCTTTCAGCACACCAATACACAGCACAGGCCACTCATGCCTATTCCCAACTCCATCATGTTGTCATCGATTGCTCTCGTCACGCACAGACCCCAATTTCTCCGTTTCCGACTCGACTGACATTGTGGACCGTGCAGCATGCGCATTGGCGAGGCTGTCAGACGCACGACAGGCAGCTTCCTTGATTGCAATTGTCACGTTTGTGCCACACTCCCGATTAGCGGGGTTGTTGTGCGACATTGCGACTGCGCCGATGCCTTCTCAATTCCAGGATCGCCATTAAATCTACGCTCAGTCACACGATCCGAGGAAGAATTTCCCGCAAACAATCCGCAACCTGATTCTGGTCATACCGACGACTGGATCTGGGAGCACCGCACTGCGTTCAGGGAACCGCTCGTCTCATTGCTTCTGTCCTCGCGTTAAACCACCACAAAATGTTTGGTCTTTGCTATCGTGAGGCAATGCCGGATCCGTCTGCGGCCTGCCGTGCAGGTCTATCGAGGCATCCTTCTTTGTTCGTCAATCGCGTTCTCGGTCATACACGCAACCTTTATTCGCGCTTTGTGCGCAAGTTGATGATTGCTCAGACCGGCTGTCGCCGCTTTCTCCCGGACAATGGATTGCAGGATGGCAGAGAGCAGGCTGTATCGCCTCGACATCGCACGTGGCTGTGCTTCTACGAACGTTGATTTCCGGCAGCAAACTAACTGCGTCAACATACAATCAAGGCCGAAAGCGAGCAGGCTTGACTGTGGCAATGGGTGTAAAGCCAAACAGATTTGACAGACCTGTTCTGTACTCGGACTCTACGACGATAGTGTGTGCCAATACATCCTTCATTGGTATGGCTATCCGAGATCCGAACAATATGGCTCAGAGAGACGCAGATGACGCAGAAGGATTTGTGTTCACATCGGCCAGCCCTGTTGAGGGCGATCGATTCAGTACGACAGATCATTCCAGCTCATCTCAGGCGACGAAGCTAAATGATCTGGAACGACAAGAACGCTGTCCTGTAGCATGGACCTCGATAGCGTCCAGCGCGGCATCGGAGGCCAACTATTCCAACGCTAGAGGTCAAGACGATCAAGTTGTCCCACCACCCACTCCATCCGATCTCGTGGCAACCCAACGACTGTCACCGTTCGCTTCCCGATCCATATCTTTGGTCGTTGGAGCCGATGGATCGCACGCCGGCAAGCCGCTTCCCATCACCTTGACAGCCCACGAGGATCTTCTCACCAGCATTTCGCCGTTCTTCATGGCCGCGTTGCGCAGGTCTCACTTGAATGGTAGCTTTGCTGAAGCGCATACCGGCATCATCCGGCTGCCGGATGACAGGCCGGACGATGTCTCCATGCTACTACAGTGGGCATACTGGCAGATCCTGCTGGAGAAGACACAGTCCTTGGTAAATACCTCCACAGCCACCACAGCCTCGCCGACCCCAACAGCCAAGGCAACGAGTCGCTCGGCCCTCCTCTACCACCATTCAATCGACCCTTCCGTCCATCGCTACCAGCGCTGGAAAGCCGAAAAGCGCCTTCTCAAAGAGACCTTTGGGCCGTCGTCGCCCGAAGTCCGTGGGTTCAAGAAACAGCGCAAGCGGCCTCGACCGCCAGCGTTCGGGCCGTTAATACGGCTTTACATTCTGGCGGACAAATACGATGTGCAGGGCGGTCTGCGAGCGGACATTGTGAGGAGGGTGGAAGAGGTGAGCAAGGAGGCGAATTGTGTGCCTGATCGTGAGGATATGGATATGCTGTGGGATGGTTTGCTGGAAGATGTTGGGTGTGAGGGAGGATTGAAGAGTGCTGTGTTAAGGCTGTTTGTGGGTTTGGATGGGAGGAGCTTGAGGGGGCTGTTCAGAGATATTGGGGATGGAGAGGGAGAGGAGGAGTGTGTGGGCTGGCATCCGGGGTTCACGAGGGACCTGCTGTTGGCGATGTTTGAGGCGAAGGAGAGTGCGGTGGCGGCTGAGAAGGAGATGAGAGGAGGGGTCGGATGGAGAGGCCTTACGAAGGGTCGGTGATGGATAGTATGTACGACGAGGTTGAGAAGGACCACGTACAGCCAGTCGCTCAGCAAGCTCGGACGGAACGTAATGCAGGCCAGCCTTCCAACGGGCAGTGTGTAGAGACTGAGTGTTCCTCCAGGTGTTGCGCCCTATGCGTGAGCGCATCAGCATAGGTTGAAGAACGTACACAGCATGTATATCAAACTCGTATTCTGCTCAGATGTTGTCCCTCAACCAACTATGTACCGGTATTGCCCTGTCGGATCACCTGGTCTCGTTTCGTTAGCCTTTTGGCCTCAGCTGAAGAAGCCATGCGAGTCATAGTTGGACTGCTGTGCCTTATTGGCGACACCGTCTGTCTACGCTGCTGACAACCCCTCCGTGCAGCTTATGGATATTCGCTTGCACCGTCCCGGTTGGAGACTGAGCAAATGCCTCAAGGCTTGTTGGTGACAACGCAGGCGACCCAGCATTTCCGTGGCATCCATTGCTGTGGTAGACATTTCAGACAGGGCATCAGCTACTCCTATAGACCGGTCATAGGTCGGCTTCCCACTGTTCCGGGATGAGATGGCTCAGAAGAGTGGCAAAGGTGGCACAGAAGACATCATTGGCACGGCGCTGTACGCCTGCTTGGGTGGCGCAGGATCTGATGGCAAGCTCGACCGATAGCATGTTCATTCTGCCTCAGCCCTCCCCTTGCCCTTATAGTCAACAGTATTGCTTTCTGATGCATCGCCTTCATCGGTAGAGAGCTTCTTAGTCACGTTTGTGAGGACGTCGCGAACTTCGGAACTGATCACGCCCCGCAGAAGGTCATTCGAAGCGGAGTCAAAGTCGAGATGTGGGTATTCGGCGTCATCATTACCAGCACCGTCAGATTCAGATACCTCAAAGAAGGATTTGCGGTGTAAGCCCATTGTGCCCAAGTCCTGGTATTGATAGCTCGTAGTATCGCCAACTGGACGAATTGGGGTGTTATCGTGGTTATCGGACACCTTTTGAGACGAGACTTCTTGTGAGTATGCTGTGACCGCCTTGAAAGGCCGGCTGAAGTATGAAGAGTCAAGGGGAGAATCGATAGGATCGCTGGAGACGATCTCGCTGGAGTTGACGACCATGGAGTCTCTTGTACGGGACCCCGGATTATCGACGGGCGGCATATCATTGTAAGGACGGTCGTTGTGCGGTGATGAGCGTCTACTCAGATCGGCAGGTAGGACCGTGCGTGGCGGAGGTATGGTGTACAAGGGATCGAGCGAATAATTTTGATGCCAATCGTTTGACGTGACCGCTTGACTGTACTCATCATCGTATGGCAAGCCGCTGTTGAACATGTCCTGCTGGTCCATGTTTGGCGCATCGGAGACATTGTCCGACTGGTCGTTATGGAATGGACTATCGGTGGGCTCGAGCTTCCGGAAGTAGTCGTCGAAGGGACCAGGCGATGAGGTACCTGGGGTTGCAATGGTGGTGCCAGTGCCGCTTGGCTCTTGGTGTTTACCATTAGAACGCCTCGATCCAAGGTTTGACCCAGGCGGGGTGCTGTCCCGGCTCTGCTGGCTGACGAGTGGGTGGTCAACCATTGGAATCAATGGCTCGGCATTGAACTTCGGAAAGTGGTAGTTTGACAGACCCGATGGGATCCTTTGCGACTGGGAGCCAAATGGATCTAGAAAAGTGGGCGCGGCAGACTCATCAACGTCATGCTCGTCCAGCATTAACTCTCCCGGAGACACAGAAAGAGGGTCCTTTGAAAGGGACGCTTGCCTGCCCACAAAGTCATCTGGCGAGAGTCGCGAACCGGGCCGGAATGGACTCTGCTCCCTGGGATTTTGTATCAGAGAGCTTGTGTAATCTTGTGACGCAGTCTGTGAATGCCTTGTCATGGTTGCCTGTTGGTGACCGATTTCAGGACCTGACATAGGCTGTGGCTGACGAGAGAACTGATCTGGAAAAACTTGTCCAAGGGATCGTTGATATGCGTGGTCTGGCGTTGGACCATCGGCTCGCTGCTGCTGCTGCTGTGCCTGCTGAGCTGCCAGCAGGCGCATGCGCTGCGCTTCGTACTGCAGAATTTGTTTTGGCGTCGGCTGCGGCATGCCCTGTCCTTGAGGAAACCCTGAACTGCCCATAGCGTTGATGCTCGCCTGTGCGCCTGCATTCATTGCGCGGATTGCTGCATTTAGTGCTTCCTGGCTCGGAGGGTTCTGCTGCTGCTGTTGCTGCTGCTGGCGCTTCTGCCGTTGCCATGTCTGAATTTGTGCGGTGCTAGCCCGCTGGATCTCTTCTTCGGACATGTTGGGATACTGCTGACGTAGCTTGTTGGCTATTTGAGTGACGGCAGGAAGGTGTCCTGATGAAAGCGGACCGTAGGCCTGCTCCTCATCATTTCCCAGCCCATTGCTGGCAAAATTGTCTGCTTTCTGGGTGACGACAGAATGACCCTCAGAAAATAGAATGTCGGGCTGTTTCTGCGTTTGGTGGTCCAAATTGCTTGTCACCACTGCGATGTCGTCTGAGGACAGTTTTCTGTCGAGTTGGGTTCCTCGAGGATCTTGGCCGTCCGGTAGTAAGGGCTCGTTCAACCAAGGGTTCAATTCGTGCTGCCTGTGAGCCAAGTGCGGGAAGAGTATAACACAACAAGCTTGCCAGGCTGCGATTTCTGCAGCGAGTCCCTGAGTCTCATTGATGTTGTAATTGGAAACTTGCTGCCACAGTGAGAAGGAGACGTCGCCTTCCTGACGATGCTGCTTGAAGTGAGTGGATCGCTTTAGGGCACGAACGTGTTTCCATCTCAACGTAGCCCCTTCATCGTGCGATGCAGGATTGTACTTCTTGCACCAGCAATCGAAAAATGACCGCACTTCACCTTCTGGCTTCTGCGACCTGATCTTGCGGCTTGCTTGCTTCTCCGTGTGGTTCGAGAAAGACCAGACATTGGAGTGATGATCGCGGACTGCAGGACCCTTGGAGCTGGTTTTGTCTACTTTCTGGGTACTGCCCGATTGGCCACGGGAGCGGTCAAGGACTTCAGGCATTTCTACAGTTGCTTTCTGTTGATTCGAAAGTGCCGCGGGTGACCGTTCAGAAATCGGTTGAACCTGATCCACAATTGAAGACGCATCAGTCTCATTACTTCGATCATCCTCACCGGACCCCTCATCTCCAGTCGTATCGGGAAGAGTGATCAAAGCAATCTGCTCCAGGTGTTGGCCGACGTGCGTGGCGTAAGCTCTCGCATCGCGAAATTCCGACACATTACACAGTCTGCATACGCAAGTTGTGAAGTCGGGCTCGACCTGCATCTGGGCTTGCTTCATGACGACAGCTGTATTGGTCTCGCGAGAGGGGTGCATGGACCTTAGGTGGTCTGCGAATATTTGTTGATTGCGTACCATAACCCCACATATGTGACACCGATATGCGAAGTCCACCAGGTGGGCGTTGATTTCATGAGAAGCCCACGACTTTCTGGTGGCGTAGCTGGTGAACATACTCCGGCATCCGGGGACGGTGCAGATGTATGCTTCCAGATCTGCAAAAACGTGCATTCTAATCACGATCAGTGTTAATACTCGTGAAGGCTTGAGCAGAGACTCACTTCCAATCTCTACGCGACGTGAAGTACACTGCTTGTTCGCAAAAAGGACACTCATCTGTGGCGGTCCAGTCTGGCATGGGTGGAACGCGCAGCATCGTTCTTTTGTCTGCACCACCCTCAACGGTACTAGCGAAAGAGCTGTGCGATGCGACAGACCCCTCTCGCAGGGTAGGAGCGCTGATAGAGGTGCCTAAAGCTGAATCCTTGAAAATGGACTGAGGCGCAAATGGCTTGCTCGCTGGATGTATGGCCTCGATCACGCTCCTACCTCGAAGCCGCTCATGACGTTGCCAGTTGGCCTCCCCGAGTCTGTTTATTAGCTCTAAAGACGCTAGCGGAAATTTATCGCGGATGTTGTTGATGTACGTTGCTGCCGCTGAGCTTGTGTGGAAAGAGATGGCTAGCGCCGGTTTGCTCATGGTGCTGTGCTTCAGCCGATACATTCTCTCCAAGGATGGCAGTAAGTCCATGAGCATGTCGACATGATGGCATATGATTGAAAGCGCTCTTCCGAGTAGACCCTCCCGGCTAGCTGGCTCCTCCTGTGCGTCGGTGTCAGTGCTCTCCGCAGATTCATCATCTTGTAGCAAGACTCCGCTGGCGTCCTCGACAAGGCGACGAAGTGGATCCGCAAGGTTGCCTGAAAGACGTCGCAGATGTAAAATCGGGCCTGCACTGCTGATTAGAGCTTGGTTGATTGCTTTGACAACCTTGGAAGGCAACAGACCAGAAGTGAATACTAATGCGATGCTTCGCAGCGACGAAAGAAGGAGACTTAAAGTCTCGTCATCGTCTAGACATGTCTCCAGCTTGCCCCCCTCGAAGCTTCCACCGAAGAGGCGAAATCTTATCCTTACGTCTCTCCATTTTCGCTTCTGCTCTGCGCCCACATACTCGAGCTTCTGAACAGCATTTTCGCAGTATACCAACTCGCTGACACACGATTCGCAAAGCAGCGTGCTGATGCCCTTTTCAGAAGATGGATCTGTCTCGGTCTCGACGGCTCTGGCATCGGGTTCAGCCTCGATAGCAACCTGTTGAGACAACCACTTTTTCACCAGTGGGACTCCCAAATCTGAAGGCAAGCTATCCGGCATTATTACTCCCACGCAATACGACGACTTGAAGATCTCGGGAGAAGTTCATCGACACAGATTTCTGGCGGAGACTTAGTCTTTAGGTCGTGATAAACAGCCCTGGATGCGCCCAGACGGTGAGTACCAGGCTTCTGATTCGATGCACAATTGTGGCTGTGCCCAGGACGCATGCACAGCGTTTCTGCCTTACACCAACTACATAAAATGATGGCACCGCGCCATTCATGCAGTCGTTGCCAGCTGGTGATATATTCAGCTCAATCCCTGAGTACGGCTCATCGCTTCGTCCAGAGCTCACACAGTAGAGCTATGTAAATACATATCAACAGTATGGAGATTGCAGGACTTGCTATTGGTGTGGTACCTCTCATCGCAGAGGCAGTGAAGAGCTACAAGTCTACCAAGGTTTTCATCATGTCTTTCAAACACTTTCGCAAGCACATGCAAAAGATCATCGACATTCTGGATCGGCAGGAGTTCAAATTTCGGAAAGCAATTGAATGCGTCCTCCTTCAGTGTGTCGATCAACAACTAGCTAGAGAGATGCTTCAAGACCCGGGACACTCGTGCTGGCTCGACAAAGTGGTAACTGACGCATATCTGGCGTTCCTGGGCCCTGACCATGACGGCTTCAGCAGGGCGGCGTGCTCAACTTGTGACAGCCTGGAGGATATAGGAAGAGCACTTCGAATCCTGGCGGAGACGACGGGAAGGGGCATGAATATTGTGACGGCGAAAGCCCACTTCGCGATAGAACGATCGAGCATTGAAGCCCGCATCGGCAATTTGAGACAACAGGTGGACGAATTTGTTGGGATAACGAACATGTTGGTGACAGCATCACATCCAGTCGAGCTGGTAACAACAGCGCCACGCATCATCTCGAACCTGAAACGAGAAGTTCAACGATTCGTCATTGTCAAGAAGACTGCGGAAGACCTTCATACTGCCCTCAGTTCGTCGTGCACACAGCACGACCATCATGCCGCAGTTTTGAGCCTCGCTCCAGCTGCTTCAGATGACAAGCATGTACGATTTACTCTGGCATTCAGTCACTCGAACACCCACGGCTCTACGGCCCAAGGAGACCGCCAGTGGGTCACAGTTGAGTCATCTATAGAGGGTTACATAAAGGCAGTGCCCCAAGTCGGTGATCAACGTCCTATGCTTGCACAGCGACTGAAACGACATCGCGATGAGACCAGTGCGGCAGGTCTCCAGGTCCCATGCAAAGCCCCCAAAAAGTCTGTCAAGTTCGTGGGCGTTCCTACAGCGACAGCATCATCAACCGCAATTATTTCTCCGATTATACAGATGACGTCCAACAACGGCCAAATACTCAACCTTTGCAAGAGTGGCACATTCTGTAGCCAGTTGCTCATTCGCCACCTCGAAGCAATCAGCATATCAGGCCATTGGTTCCCTCGAAACAAATGCAGGTCCAAAACATCTTCTCTACATTGACTCTGTGGCATCAACCTTGCAAAGTAGTTTGATTACTCGAAAGCCCAGTTCATTGCAGGATCTTCTGAGGCCGCCGGCAACGGGACAGCCCGATATGAGCCTGGGCATGCCTGAGCAGCTAACACTTGCGAAGCAGCTAGCACGAGCAGTGCTTCATTATCATGCCACAGCCTGGCTACCGGATACGTGGGCCAGTGATTGCATACTGGTCAGATCAAATGCATCGACGCATTGTCGCGGGGCTCTTGAAGCTTACACAATGACTAACATCTCATCGCCACCTCATTCCAGTCCAGCCCAAACATCATCCATGCAATCGATCGCCATCAGAAATCGCCTGATTTTCTGTCTCGGCGTCGTTCTGCTCGAGTTGGCTTACCAGAAGCCGCTCAAAGACCTTGTGACCGACACAGACCGATGTCCGCAAGCACCAGACAACCAGCCGTTCCGAACTGCAGCTCGACTAGCCGAAATGGTATCTCAGAAACTCGGACCGAAATATGCCGAAGTTGTTAAAAGGTGTGTATACTGTGATTTTGGCGAAGGTTTTGACCTCACGACTGCGGGACTGCAAGAGGCTTTTTATGGGAGAGTTGTGTCTGAGCTTGATCGGGTGGCCGAGGCCATGACTTGAATGTGTTTTTATGACGCTGGCACTCATGCCATCGTGGCAAGTTGGGAAACCTCTTCTTTCCTATCGCGCGAAACTTGATCATCTGCTTCTGTATCCTCTTGCCTATGCTGCATTCTCTTCCTGGCCATCACTTTCCCCATCGACTCCACCAGCATTGCTCGACTTCCTCGCCAAGTTCGCATGCAGCTTATGCTCCTTCATCAGCAGACCCATCAGCGCAGCAAGCACCGCCAGCCCCAGGCCCACCAGGAAGGCACTTCTCAGCGCCTCCATATACGCATCCAGCACATCGCTCCGCCGCCAGTTGTCCGGAATATGATTGATAGCGTCCAGACTGTTCCGTATCCGCCTGATCACCTCCTCGCTCCCCTTCTGACCTCCATAGCGCTGCCGTAATTCCTTCGTCAGCACATTCTGATACACTGCGCTCGCGATCGTGATGCCAATCGTTGACCCCGTCGACCTGAACGCGTAGCTTGCAGCCGTGATGACAGCTTGATGCTTGTGTTCCACAGCACTGATCATGCCGACCAGGGTGATAGTGAGCATGCTACCATAACCCCATCCCAGCGGCGAAACATACACGAACGTCGCCCACCTAGGTGTCTCAAGCTGCAGTGTGCTGACGAGCGCAGCACCTGTAATATACACCAGCATGTTCCCGAGCATGAGCCAGTAGTACCGGCCTGTCAACCGCATGATGAAGCCTGAGCCTAGGCTGCCGGCAGATGTGCCAATAGCGATTGGGATGACGCGCAGACCGGCACTAGTAGGCGACATGGAGAGGGCGTTTTCGAGGTAGAGCGGGATGTAGTAGAGAAACAGGAAGGTAGCCATCGTGGCAAACCAGTTGCAAAGGCATGCGGCGAGGACTGTGCGGGTGCGGATGATGAGGGATACTGGAATGATCGGCTCGGGAACGAGCTTGGGCGAGGACTCGATGTAAAGGAATGCAGCGAGCGTGAGTGCTGCAAGGACGAGGGAGGCGATGATGCGGGCATCGGACCAGGGAAGCTGGTTGCCGCCGGTGTTCAGGCCGATGAGGAGTAGAACGAGGGAGAGGACGAGAGTCGTGGCGCCAAGGAAATCGATGCGTCGAAGGGCGGGCTTGTTCGAAGGGTTCACGGGGATATCGACGAGGAACCACACGAGAATGGTGGAGACGACGATGAATGGGACCTGAATGAGGAAGGCCCAGCGCCAGCTGAGTTTGTCAGCACAGAAGCCGCCGAATACGCCGCCTGAGCCCATGCCCAAACCGAAGACGAGGTTGCCGACGCCTTGCCAGACGCCGCGCTGACGGAGCGGGACGAGATCCGAGGTTACGAAAGTCGAGATGCAGGTCAGACCACCGCCTCCGATACCTGTGTTGAAGCTATTGTCAGTTCTGGGGTAGAGTCAAGAGAAGTCGTAGGGCGTCACGTACCTGCAATGACTCGACCTGCAATGACGACTTCAGCAGACTGTGCCAAACCACAGATCAGCGTGCCAACAGCAAAGAACACGTTCGAGAAGATCAGGCCCGTTCGACGCGAGAAGATGTCCGTCAGCTTGCCGGAGAGCGGCTGACATGCTGCGTTGGCGATCAAGTATCCAGATGCTAGCCATGATAGAAGCGACAGGGACTCGAATTCTGAAGATATTGGCGCAGTCAGAGTTGCCACTACTGTTGTATCTGCACTTCGTGTCAGTCGGAATTCCTCCACCATTGGGAGCGGCATGCGTACCTAGTGCAGCGAAGAAGACACCGACGAAGCATGCGCCCAGGATCAGAATCAGTCTGCTCGTCGATGGTGTGTCTGCGAGAGCAGTCTCGTTCGCTCCATCTACATTGCGTGCTTGCTGCTCTGCGGCATGGCCGTTGGCCAACAGCGGACTTCGTTCCGAGGGTTGGTCTTGAGTTTCCCCTGCCATTCCTGCTTCACTGCGTCTGTGAGGGTGACTGGGTCCGACGAAAGAACATTTGCGAAGTTATTACTTGTAGATAGAAGCGCCATCCGCAAAAATGAGGTAAGAAGTCTGTTCACCTTTCGGGTGTCATCCGAAAAACGCCAAGGCTATCTCGCAACGCATTATCTTCGCCGGGTGACCAGATTCTTGTCCTGATCCATCATACGGACGCAATTGCAAGGAGAGCTTGCCTGAAGCTGACACTATTGTTGCGAAAACGAGGCAAGACCGTTTGAGGAAGTGGAAAGTTGATTACATTGACGTTTGTACAGCGGAGTGCTTAGTTCCGCAATGATTCTATATCTACAATTTCCTTCACTGCCTCAGTTGTGAGCATGTGAGGGCTATCCTCTTGAATAGCGACGCTGTCCTCTATTCTCACAGCCATGTTGCGAAAGTGCTTTGGCCATCGGTTGTCGTCAGGTACATAGACACCGGGCTCAATGGTGATACAATGACCTTCCGTCAAGATTGCGCGCCTTGAGTAGCCACTTGTGTCGTGCACGTCCATCCCGATGTAGTGGCTGAGATGATGAGGAAACAGGGTTTCAATGTTCTTGCCGGACATATCGAATCCAAGCTGTTTGAGTTGTTCAGCAAGCTGCGTTTCGGCGATCTGATGGAGCGGTCCAACGTCACGTTAGCGCTGCCACGACACATGGCAATCACTGATCGCTGCACATTTAGCACAGCCTGGTACAGGTCACGCTGTGCATCCGAGAACTTGCCGGATACAGGCCACGTCCGCGTGATGTCGGCAATATACCCGCCATACTTTCCACCTCCGTCTACGAGAACAAGCTCGTCGTCCTGAAGGACGTCGTCATTGCGGATGTAATGTATTCCCAGGCCGTTCCGACCACCTGCCGCGACTGGCTCAAAGGCCGAGGTTTCGCAGCCATGAACGGTGAATTGATACCTAAGAAATGCGTCAAGCTGCTTTTCCTTTGTCCACGAATGACGCATGGCATCAGTGTGCGCTCGGCCAGATGCTTTGCCAGCATATCGCATTAGTCCGATCTCTGCCGCACTTTTGACAACACGGAGGTCGTTCATCACCGGCCGCAATCGGACAGGTTTGCGAGGTCCAATGAGCTCCGCGAACTCGGCTTTCTTCGGCGATGCCCCATACAAGAATCTGTGCAGTGCCGACTGGTTGGTATCTGGTTGGCAGATGTCAGTGTAGACATGAGTTGCCTCGCCGACGATCTCGGGCAAAATATGTTTCAGTTGATCAATATCGCCAGCTTCGTCTGCATTGAAGACATCCCGGGCAGCCTGTGTCCCTGACCGCGCTCCATCCCACAGCTCGGCTTTCTGATTCTTCTCCCTCACGAAGAGGCGGAAAGTATGGTCTGTGCCCGTCGCATCTTTCCCAATAATCGCGACAGCCTCGGGCTCGTTAAAGCCTGTCAGATAGAGGAAGTCGGGATCTTGATGGAACTCGTAGAAGACGCTGCCTGATCGGAATACCACGTCACTGGCGGCGACAATCGCGATGGACTTCTCAGGCAGCTTGGCTGCTAGCCTCGTTCTTCGGTCCGCATATTCCTGCGCGGTGATTCCTGGAGTAAGCTCTCCAGGCGCGAGTAGATGTGGATGCGTCTCGTGGACTGGCTGGCCAAAGGTCAAGTCCGCTGCACGCACAGTCGATGAATGGCGGACACCGGCACGGTGCAACTCATTTGACGATCTGGGCTGTTTCGATGCGAATGCGAACGCAACCCGCGCCGGGCTACTTAGAGTCTTCGAAAGCTCCATGCTGCATGGCGCATGACACACGCTCTGTTTTATGGAACGGGAGTCTGCAAACAGTAGAGCGTGAACATGCATTTACAGTGTGACCAGTTCATAGAAGCCGAAATGAGAACTGGAAAGTGAAGCCTTCCGTAAGAGGAAACCACCCTAGCAGCAGCGTCCGCTAAGAACTGCGCGGCGTTCAGCGCGGGATCAGTCGAATCGGACATTGCTATCGGCAGCGTCGTAATTGCCATTCCTGTAAAGACTATTGGTGTGACTCAGATGTGCTATTCTACGCAGACCTAAAACCATAAGAAGAGCACTGTTGGCTTATACTGTTCATCATCCAGCTGTCAAGCAAAACGTCGCCAAGATGGGCAGAAACCTCGAGTACCCCAAACGTGCGCGCAACACAGTCAAGCGCTACGACAGCAGAGGTGAGTACAAGACCTTGCCTGATAGACCAAAAGATGACCAGGTCTGCAAGGAACATACGACGCTGGTGCTATCCACAAGATCATCAATGCCACTCCGGTATTACACGTGTCATTTCCTCCTGGCAGCGAGGACCCATTCCCAGCACTGCTGCCCATGATAGGTGTGATGGGTTCGTTTGAGTATCCGTCGGCGGACATCAACGAGCCTCTTGACTGTTATTTGCACGGCTATGTCAGTGCACGGCTGATGCGACTGGCACGCGATTCGGAAAAGGGAATTCCTGTGACCATTGCGGCCACTCAAGTGAACGGCCTGGTACTCAGCTTGACGCCGAACAGCCACAGCATGAACTACGAGTCAGCAGTATTGCAAGGCTACGGCAAGCCTGTCGAGGACACCGAAGAGAAGGTCTTCGCCATGGAGCTCATCACGAACAAGGTCTTTCCAGACCGCTGGGCGAACACCCGCATTCCGCCGGATGGAGCTGAGATGTCCTCCACCATGATTTTGAAAGTCTCCATCGAGACTGGGAGTGGTAAGATTCGACAGGGTGAGCCGCATGATGAAGCAAAAGATACGAAGAGGGACGATATTACAGACAAGGTCTGGACAGGCGTGGTGCCGGTGTACCAAACGTTTGGAGAGCCGATTCCTAGCGCGCTAAACAAAGTGAAGGAGCTGCCGCAGTATATTGGATCACATTTGACTCAGGCAGCCTCGAAGAACAAACAAAGAGCTGCTGAGGCTGCGAAGGAGCCATAGGCATGCGTGTCAGCCTGCGATAACGTACTTGTTGGTTGTCCAATGTTGGCAAGATTTAGTCGATGGTTTCTAGCCGGTGACAGGCGTTCGCTTCGGGTACCAGAGTCGACGATCGGGTATATAATGCATTATGTAGTCGAGTTGGACACAAGGATAATCCTAGCCAGTGAGGTCTGAGGTGGTCGATACAGAAGTTTGAGTGTAGACAAGAAGGTTGATGCCAGCGTTCAAGTTCACCAAGATCTGGATGTCTTGGCGATGACGCAGTGGCCGTCTCGATGTAGTAAGATAAACAAACCGAAGTTACCAGCCAATGGGAGCATGCCCGCATACGAAGCTCGTCGCTGCTTGAATATGCACGAGCATTCGCAAGGGAATTCAGCATTCCTCACAATTGGGCTAAGATCCTGCTATAATCATGCCAAAAGAGCGGCGTTCGTCACGGCCGCCGGGAGACTCACGCCCGGCGTTTGCTCGCCCTCCTGGCGCGCCCTCACCAGACTACGATGACGATCAATATGGCGACCCACGAACTGCTCCCAGAAATTCGCAGCATCGCGACCGGCGGAAAGCGAAGGAGTCGCCGGCAGCATCACCAGCTGATAGAGACCGACGGAGGCGGCACCACTCACGACAGGCCAGTAGTCCGACAAAGGATCGTGCCAAATACTCCTCCGGCGCATCAGCCAACAGTGGATCACATTTGCTCAGTGCAGATGCGCTATCGAAATTGAACGCCCACAATCAGGGCGCAAGATACGATGAGAAACGAGATAAGGATAAAAGGCAGCGGAAGGAATACAAGAACATCAAGACTGCACCAGATCCTGTGCATCGGAAACGAAAACGGAAGAACCGAGATGTGAGCGGCGCCGTCTTGGAGGAAGGACGAGGCAAAAGACACAATCGAAGACGAGAGTCATACAATGAGAAGGGGGCGCATAGGAGAGACGATCCAGATTCACGCAAACGACGGAAAAGAATCTACATCTTTATAGGAATTGCACTTCTCTTGCTGGCCATTCTGATACCTGTGGCAGTAGTTGTCAGCAACAAAAACAAGGGCGGAGGATCAGGGAGCGGTAATGCGAGCAATGCAGGTTCTGGAAGCGGTAATGCTTCACCAAGCAATACCTGTGACAAGTCAGACACTCCGGCCGACGCCAAAGGCACGTACACAGATATCTCAACGTGGATGGACACTACCGATTTCAATTGCACTTTTACAGATGAGACAGTTGGTAATCTATCAGTCATGGGTCTATACAGTGAGTGGGATGATTCCGCGAAGGCCAACGACAACGTGCCTGCTCTCAAAGATGACTGGGAGTACGGCAAGATGCCTATCCGTGGCGTCAACATCGGTGGTTGGCTCGTGATTGAGCCCTTTATCACACCCTCGCTATTCAACTATCCGGCCTCGGCCAACGTTGTCGACGAGTACACTCTCACAAACAAGCTCGGCAGCCGAGCCGCCAACACCATCGAATCTCACTACGCATCTTTCATCTCCAAGGATGATTTCCAAAACATCCGGGCAGCTGGGTTCGACCATGTTCGCATACCCTACCGTACTGGGCAGTGAGAACTTACGACGGAGATCCGTACATCCCACAGATCTCCTGGCGCTATCTCCTCCGAGCCATAGAATGGTGCCGCGAAAATGGCTTACGAGTCAATCTGGACCTGCACTCCGTCCCTGGCAGCCAAAACGGTTGGACGCATTCTGGCCGGCTTGGATCCATCAATTGGATCTCCGGCCCGCAAGGCTCTCTCAATGCCCAAAGATCACTTGAAATCCACGAGCAGCTTGCCACTTTCTTCTCTCAACCCCGCTACAGCAACATCATCACGATCTACGGCTTGGTCAACGAGCCCAAAATGATCGACCTCCCTATGGCATCTGTGGTTGACTGGAACACGCAAGCCGTCTCAGTCATCCGCAAAGCTGGCCTCACACGCCCGTACCTTCCCTTCGGCGACGGCTTCCTCAAGCTGTCTGACTGGCAAGGCGAATTCCAGAACGTGGACGATAAGCTCGTCTTGGACACTCACCAGTACCAAATTTTCAACACAGGCCAGTTGCCCCTCAACCACTCCGCCCGCATTGCGCTCTCCTGCTCCGGCTACACTGGTCTCCTCGTTGCCTCCAACAATCCACAATCCGGCTGGGGCCCGACGATGGACGGCGAATGGTCGCAAGCCGACACCGACTGCGCGCCCTTCCTCAACAACGTCGGCGTCGGCTCACGCTGGACCGGCACGCTCAACTTCGGGAGCAACGAAGACGATATCAAGCAGAACGTCTTGAGCCTCTGTGTCCCACGGCACCGGACTGCAGCTGTGATCTGCCGAACGCGGATCCGTCTACGTACCCAGACGAGTACAAGCAGTTCCTGCAGATGTATGCCGAGGCACAGATGGATAGCTTCGAGAAGGTCTGGGGCTGGTTCTACTGGACTTGGAAGACGGAGAATGCGGTGCAGTGGAGCTGGATGTTGGGACTGCAGGCGGGAATTCTGCCTGAGAAGGCGTATGCCTCGAAGTTCAAGTGTGGCGATGATGTACCGGACTTCAGTGGGTTGAGTGGTAGTGCGAGGCGATGATGATGGATGTGGTAATGCTTTGGTCCATTTTTGCGTGCATTCTGGCAGTGAAGGGCTCGTCCGTGACATGAGGCGGGAGGGGTTTGGGGCAAGCATCCTTGATCAGAGTTATCATATTCGGAGTATCGGATTGTGCAGCATTTGCGCGTGAGCTGATGTTCTCAGATGACCTGTACGGAATGCAACTGTGAGATAAGGCTTGGAGAACAGTCGTAGATGTCGCCACGTTATTGCATGATAGAATATATTTGCAGAACCCTGTAGTCCAACGGCGGCCGTGGCCTACACCTCGTCATAACTTGCCTGAGCTGTTCAAACGGGCGCACGCGCGATACTCTCGAGGGCTGAAGACGTTTGCAAAGGACGCACAGCTGTTGGCATGAAAGCTAGGAACTCGAGCACTCATGAGTGCTTCAATACTTTTACTTACCCATGCCAAGACTTGACGCCGGTTGACAGGGGATCAGCTTCCCATTGGCACCAGATTTCCGAATTTCAACGCAGGCCGCCCCGACTTTCGAAAGGCCATCAAAGCTGGGGCCCTCGGCATATATCCCATTTGCAAACAGTTTCAAGTCTGGGGACGTGAATCCCCAACGGGGCCAGGCAAAATTCCGAAATCGTTGTTGGCAACAACTGAAATCGACTCTGTCAGTCTAGGCTGTTTGGATCCGAAATGAGGACCAATCTATTCCTGATGGTGCTTGCGGCTTCTGGATCTAGGGGCAGCTAGCAGCGGTCAGAGATGGAGGTGTAGTCGTTGATCGAAGATCGGCTCAAATTTGTATGAAGGCTTGGCATTACCCAATTAGGCAATAGCAATAGTCAAGCAGATCGGACCAGGTACGCTGCCTACGGTTGTGTGGAGCTCAGCAGGTCGGTCTGTATGTTGTTTCGCTGTCCGCGGCGAGGGAGCACGTCCTCCTAGATGCATGTCTCGCGAGGGTTTAGCGTGTGAGCAAGGCTGAAGCCAGTTCGACAGCCTCTGCGTATGAAGAGCTTGGGGTCCGCCCTGTTGTGCGATTGCCGGAGAGATTCTGGAGACATAGCGACCAGAAGTCGGTGTCGATAATTGTGGACACGTCAGCAACGAAGGTGTAGGACATGGCCAGCATTGTTCAGCTTCTCACGTGATTTCTCCCTGAGTCTACCGCGTATTGTGTAGGACCTCGGGAGTCCTCGGTATTGTGAGCAGCGACCTAGATGTCGATGTAGTCTCCTAGTGGAGAGGCTCCAGGAAGGGACTACGTTCAGACCGCCAGACGGAAGTCTTGGCGACTGCACAGGCGGCCAACGTCCAAGTTAAACATCTGTCCGATGTTGAGCTGGTAGGGTGGTCGAACTTTGCGAAACCGGACTGCGCTGGGCAGTTTGTCGCGCGTTGATCTGACATACATAGGCTACCGAGCTTGGTAGCAACGCGAGGGGCTTTCTGCTTTGTCTTCGTTGACCTTAGTCGCTGGCTCGAGGTGAAGTCATCTGCCACGCGTCGTGTCATATGATGCCACTCGAATGGAACATGAGAGCTGAGGTGGTGTGTCCACAGCGAAGGAAGTCATTACACTCACGCGAGAAATCACACCACATCATCGACGGCCTCCAAATGGAGTGCCCGATGGGATTCCTCTTCCGCATGCTTTCCACACGAATAACAATGAATGTTAAATGGAGGCCAGGAGCAAACCCACGTTGTTGATGCCTCTCACTAGCGTCAAACCCAATCCAGAAAGAAAGTCGGGAATCTCAGTAAGCATTTGGGGTGTTCGCCCGGCTGCACCCGTGGAAGGTGCGAACCGTCCTCGGTACCGCCGTCACGAGAACTTTGGCAGGAACTCTCCGCAGACGATCGTGCTCCTCCTGTGGTGCGTGCCCTTCTTCCGATAAGCGACCATTGCAGGTGGGCACTCGAAGGGCGCCTCGGTCGTGTGCCTTGAATTGGAAAAATTCCATGGTCCACACGCCGCCCTGGACATTTTCTTCAGCCCACATTAAGGAGTAAAGCGTTCGTTGAGCATGCGGCAGGCCGTTGCCCCTTCAGCCTTTCAGCAGACATCTTCATGATCGCTGGAGTTGCTGCACTTCTAGCAATCGAATCTTTTTCGTCGTCCCGTTGAGTTCTGCATTAGCCTCGGGTGACATCAAACCACGTGGCTTGCATGGGTAAGTAGGATTCCAGGCCATCCACGCGCGGCTCCAGCACTGTTCACGCTAGATAGTCACACCAGCTGCACATCAACAAAACATGGTAGTGTAGACGCTGTAAATCTACGTTTGGGTTCACTCAGGGTTCCGATGTTGGAGATGCCTGTTACGACACTCGGTTGGATTCGGTCAATATTGATGTTCTTCAAAGTTCTCGACGTACTGAGTAGGCGTCGATTCCTTCGCACCCGTCGATTTCAACGGATTAAACTTCCTTCTGGATGATCTCGTCTCCAAATATCAAGCGTCGTTGCAGCTTTCTCTCCAACGACTGCTGACATCAATTCGCAGCTTCTGTGCGTGGACTGGTAGAGTTTCGAGATTAGATCGTGCGATATTTGTGAATCTCGGCGCAGTCTACGTAGGTGGCGGCACAATCGTTACCGACTGTATGGGACAGGCCCCGAATGTGGCAAGTTTGCAAGAGCGGTCAAGAGGGTTGTTCGTTGCTGATTGGTGGTTGCCTGTGCGCATTCATGTAGCACATACTTTAAGCTTCGTAGAACGTCTGCAGCAAATGCTCAGCACGTTCACCGGCGAACCACGCATCCTTGCTCACGACGCGAATGCGATGCCGCGACTCTGTGCTGAGCAGCAACGAGCTGTATCCATCTCGAGCACACCTCGTAGCAAGTACCTATCCTTCCTGTAAGAATAGTTGGCTGTCAACCATATGTCGTATTCAAGCAGCATCACCGCGTGGACTTGGACGTTGGACCGAGTATGTCAAGACCCGACTGTCTGGGCCGTGCAAAAAGCTGGTGAACTTAGACTTTGTACCGAAATTCAATGATTTTCCATTTCACCCTCCAGGATCTGTGGTGGGGACCGTCGCATAGCCATTGCATGATACTTGCAGGTACGACAAGCTTTGGTTAGGAGTTCGTAGCATCTGGCCATGCGCATTGGTCAGTCTTCGAGAACCAGGTTGAGAGCGTCGCTGTGGTATAACGCATGCTTTTACGAGGACATGAAACAATCAAGCTCTGATTCCAGCTGAACGAGGTCGATATGATCGGCAGCGGCCGTAAGTGGAGTCTTTTAGCATCTACCAAGACCTCATGGCAGACACAGACTGTCGTCAAGCACTCGGAGGCCCGCGCTTGCAACGTGGCAGGCTCTGCGACCTCGTAGTTGGCAGGGTCGTCACTTTCCGCGGTGAGGAGGCAATAGCTGAATTGACTCGGAATCGTGCAAGTCCGCAAGAGATATGAGCTTGTGCCGGCATACTGAAGGTCAAGATTGTGCCTTTCTCACAGTAAGTTTGACTGACGGAGGGAAAGAAAGCCAAGATCTGAGATCCACAACATGCGCTGGCTTGATTATCAGCCACCTTGCACGAGCACCCCACGATCCCAGCCCAATTGTAATAGCATGTGAATAGCGTCGTGGCTACTATCACACTATTCCTCACCTGCTGTCCGGTTGGGGTAGCTCAGTACACTCCGCTTGCAGTTGGGCCACGTACCTGTCCAAAGACGTGTAAATTTTGCAGAAATGCTGCAGAAATGATGCAACTTGCCTCAAATTTTTCGACAATATGCTTTCGTAGACGGGCGACCGGCAGGGGCCCTGTCCCGTAACACAGAACGACACCAGTACAGCCGCATTGTGCACTCAATAGCCAAGCGAAGGGAAGCCCAAACTCTTCGATGCTCGCCGACATAGGAAGAATTGGGAAGGTTTGATGGCGTAAGAAGGTCAGCATGGGATCATCAAAGGCTAAGTGCCGAACCCGCACAACCAACGGGAAGCTCTGGGCGCGCAAGGATGTCTCTGACTTGCTCCAGGGGTGAGCAACTGAAGAAAAAACGACCTAATGCATGGTCTTAGTCGACCCGCCCACGGACAATGGCAGACACGGAGTAGTTCGAAACTTCCGAGGATGGACAGAGACTCTTGCCAGGTTGGTGTGCAGCGTGAGGCGAGGAAGCCTGGAGACCCTCATTGGTCGACAGTCAGTATATGCAAGCCAAATTGCTGTTGATTTGTTGACAATGCTTGTGCTTGTACTTCAGAGGCACGAGCTGCAGCTACCCAGGCTGAGGGCTACCAAATTTGCAGCCCGTGTGTGCCTGCGCAGCGAACCCAGCAGACGCAGATATGAATTCCCAGTAAGACTTGTTCTTGAGCATTTCTGCACGAAGCCTTCCATTGGCGCCACGTTGCTACTGTAGCCACTAGCATCGCAGACACATACCCTTTGAGTGAGATGATGCAACAGCCTCCCGGGTCATGTCACTGGCAGGGAGGGCCAATGGGTGTATAGTGGGTCTAATGGTGGGCTACCCTCAAAGTGTGGCGCTATTGACTCGAAGTGACGGTATCAGTCGGCAGCTTCGTTGGAGCTGGCCGAGCAAAAGTGATGCGGCTCTGCGAGACTCATCAGTAGCCATCTGCCAGGCCCGGCCTCGACTTTGCTGACCCTTTGACTCCGAGTTTCACACTTTGAAGACTCCTGTGGCCACTAGGGTCGGCAATTTGACTTAGAGACTATCGGGATGTCCTCAAACTCTCGTTTTAGATATCCATTTCCACGATCGCGAAATGGCTCTTGCGTACGACGAGCGTTGCCATTGCAAGTCTCGCATAAGTGGCTTGCCGGACTGGAATCTCTGGACCATAGACACTTTGCCACATCTATCGGCATGGTTGCTGAGTGCTGATATTGCAACGTTGGTGGATTGTTCTCTCGAATGGAGTGCTGTCCGCATGCATGAGCTTGTGCGGAAAGGACCGACCCTTCCTGTTGGCTCGACTACGCAATGTAAGCTGAACTTGCTACCCAACGGACTCCATAGCAGACACGTTATGATCAAATCTTGTGCAGGGAACTATATGCAATGTACAGTGAGTGTCTCGACATGGTAGTGACCCCATGTCTTCGTTTGGCACCCACTCGGTGCGAGCATGCGTTGTAGGAGCAGTAAGTCAAACTTTTACCTTCGAAGTCTGTCCCACCTTCTTAACGGAGCCGCTTCCTGTCAAGCTCCCGTGACTTTTTCCCAACTCCTTTCTTGCTTTGCGTCTACAGTATTAGCTATTTTTGATACCTTGAACGACACTTCCGCCTCGAGTGTTACCTGTTCCGGGGCCCTACGGCGCTTCGCGAGTGCGGCTCCAATTTCGTTGCTGATGCTTGTTACTGAGGCCGGCTCCTCAGGCCTCGAGTCGGCGCCGTTGCATCGTTGGTCGCGAGACGCAGTCTGAGCGGTTCAAGCAGCCAGGGTGCCTCCACGCAGCAATGTGCTATTATGAGCAGACCCAGTATGCTTGTAGGGATTGGAAATGGGGAAACATGAAACAGCGTTGTCCGAACGAGCACCGCATGGGTGAAACATGCGGTCGAAAGATGACCCACGCACAGTGGCTAACTCAAACGTCTGATGTGTGCCGCTTTTGCAAGGACATCGCCACAAAGAGGCGTAAACGTGCCAAGGAGGTTGACAACATTGTGAGATGGCAGAAGGAGGACGGGACGTTCACAGGCAGCATTGCGAAGGCTCGTGCTGAGGTTCAACATCTGGATGAAGCCATCAAAGATCTGGAACTGCGCCGTCCATCGGTCATCGCTGCTTCGAACAACAAGACCAATCAAGCCCCGGCTCCTACCAGCCATGGTGAGTCTTGCTCAGAGCACAAAGACATACACATATTGACCAGTGAAAGCGGCAAAGCCACCTCAATTACTGGATCCTGGGACTGGGGATCCTGGTCATCAGCAGAATCAGTCCATGCTCGACCGCGTCAATCGTCACGCAGGCTTTGGCGCCGGTAAGTCAACACTTTGCCGTGAATCGCTGGTGCGCTAACGAACAGTGAGGGGCCGGCCGTCATGGTTCCACGTCCACATCGAGCTCAAACAGTCACCCGCCAAGAAAAGACGACGACCGTCGGCATAATCGTCACAGATAATGGACCGCAGGTGGCCCTTAAGCTAGTCGTTCCGAGGCGGCTGGCTGGGACTTGTTTGAAGCCAGAACGAATTTGACCCGTCTGATAATTTCGAGGGAACAGTCCTCTTGAATCCAGTATACCAGATTGCCGTAGTGCCCGTTGACACGAATACAAAATTTCGGTCTGACGTGGAGGCATGGAACAGGTTGAGTTTGGGCCAATGTGCGAAAGGGGCTGTAGCCTGCAGGTGGGCTGTATCACACCGGCGAGACGCTCGCGATTGTTGCGTGTGGGCCTGAGTGTGACATCAAGTGACCGCGAACTTTGCTGTGATGTTTTCCGATACCGCATCTGATCGCGTGGGGTTCTGTGCAGTGTTACCACAACGGAATGTGGTCGCTCCTGTATGCCATTGAAGTCCTGGAGGTTACCGAAGTTCGGACCTGTCATGTGCTGAGCGGTAAGGGCCGACCCAGATCATCCTCGCTTGAGCAACAAGCTGCGTCTGCCCCTGGGCGGCTAGTTACGTTTGCAAGGAATGCCCGGCAGGTTCGTCGTTGTAACTCCGCCCATGGAAGATATATTTTCCGATCTCCGAGTCTTGGCAGGTGTCTCTCAAACCTCGGCTCGAAGGCAAGAGCTTTCTCCAACTTTGTAGTGCCATTCATTCGCCCCGCAAAATATGCCCGTGTTGAGAGGTGAACTTGACAAGCAACTGCTAGATCGCCTGTCTTGCTATCATGCCTGGGAATTCCGACATTCGACTGCTCTCCACTCACTCCGTAGGATTTCATCGAACACCACACTTTGAAACTCGACTGCTTTCCAGTTACTTTGTAGAATACTATTGACCACCACACATACACCAATATGGCGTCCCCAACTAGCCCACCCTTCCAAGACCTGGATATCTCAACCGCCCCCGGAGCACCGCAAGTCCAGATCATAACCATGAAGAAAGCGCCCGAGAATCGCCTCAACTCTCAATACGCCCAAACACTCATCGCCGCACTCCGCTACATCGAAACTCAAGTATTCAAGCCCGATGCTCCCGGAGCAGTCGTTATCACATCCTTCTCCTCCAAGTTCTGGTGCACCGGCCTTGAGCTCGACGAGGGCGACACCAACATCTACGCCAACTCCGATGGCTTCTATCCACTGTTGGCTACTCTCTTAGACTACCCGTATCCGACAATCGGGTGCATTACGGGCCACACTTTTGGTGGTGCGTGCCCTTTTGCGCTGTCAATGGACTACCGAGTCATGAACTCAGAACGGGGTTTCCTTTCGATGCCGCCTGTGAACCTCGGTCTGCATTTTCACGGGATTGGATCGCTGCCGCGACTGAAGCTTGGGCCTAGGATTGCACGGAAGATGCTGCTGGAGGCGCATCGCTGGACGGGCAAGGCAGCCTTGGAGGATGGCATTGTCGATGCAGTGGCGCCGCCGGACAAGATGCTGGAGGTAGCTGTGGGTTTGGCCAAGCAGCATGCTGATCGGGCAACTATGGGTGTGTATGGTCTGCTGAGGACCGAGCTGTGGGGCGAAGCGTTGGAGAAGATCAAGAGCATCAGCTATGTGCATAGGAGGAGGGAGGGGACCGCGCCAAAAGCGAAGATCTGAGCTACTGTACAATGAAGGTGACGAATTCAATCACATTGCGACCGCCTTTGATTTTCTTGAAGTAATTTGACGTTAAGACAAAACTTGATCATCGCATGAGGTCTCCACCACCAGCCAAACTAAAGCTTCGCCCTCCCACCCCTCTGCTCATGTCCCGTAACACCCAGCGCCAAAGTCTCCAGTCTCCTCCTCGCAACATCTGCACCTTCACCCATAATGATCTCCTCGGTCTTCCAATCCGGATTGAAAGTCTGCAGGTTGAGCGGATTCTCCAGATGCGCCTTCCTGAACAAGTCGTTGTACACGTCTCCATCGTACCTTCCTAAACTGCTTTCAAGCAGATAGTCTGGAATGCTCCACGCGTCAACCAGGCGTACCGCGTGCGGTCTGATCTGCTTCATTAGAGCTTGAATGCGGGGCTGCACAGCTTGGAGGGTTGATGTGGAGATGGCGCCGGAGAGGAGGAATTCTGAGGCACAGGTGTCGAGGGTGTATAGCGAGAAGAGACGGAAGCAGTCCTGAAGGGCTGAGAGTGTGGTAGAATCAAGTGGTGGGTCAGGTGTGGCTTTGAAGACAGCGTCGTGGAAGTTTGAGACCAGAAGTTGTTGCGAATGGGCGCGGGAGAGGTTGTGCAAGGAGATCATGAGCTCGGTCCATGGCTTTTTCTGCTCAATACGCTGCTTGTAGACCTGGTGTGACAGGTAGCTAAGCCGGTGTTGGAAGGCAAGGACTAGTGCTTCATCGGTTGAGAGAATATCGATGGCGCCAGATGCTGCGGTCTGAGATGACTTGATGTAGTTGCGGAACTGGGCATCAACTGGCTCACGAGTCGCTTCATTTGGCTTTCCGATGACTTGTGTCATTCGCTTGATCAGATAGCTGGCTGTCTGCTGGGTGATCATCCAGTTGTCACCCTCGACTGTAGGCTTCGAGAGGTAGTCGTTGTTCAATGGGATCATACCACTGCCACCACCAAAGCCATGCCCTCCCATAGCTCGGCGGCACGTCTCGATACCATCAGCAGCAAGCATCGTCGATAGTGATTTGAGTCCAGAAGATGCTGCGTGCATCTCAGCCAGGCGTGTAAAGTCTCCGCTTTGCTCGATCTCCTGGCGTGTGCCGTAGTAGAGTTTGTACATAGCCTCGCCTGTATAATGCAGAGCAAACGTAGTCGCTAGTAGAGGCAGTATACGAATCTGGACGGTGGGATAATTGAGGACCGCCACTTCCGCAGCATTGGGGTCCTTTGAGTCGCGATCTGCGAATTGTCGGCGGATCGACAGGTACCTCGTTGCAATAGTGACAGCCCGGGCCAGCACTAACCGAGCATGCATGACGATTTGTGCTCGAACAAAAGTCAGCGATCCGTAGACTACCGCCGCATTCTCTGGCTTGATGTATGTTCCGTGCTCTGAGTCGACACCAGAATAGCGAGACAAGAGAGCCGAATGTGGGACCTTGTAGTTGTTGAACAGCATATACCCATTGTCCATTGCAGTGTAGCCGTACTTTGGACCAATGTCACCGATAACGATTCCTTCCAAGGGCCTATGCGTTTTCATGTCCCGTATCTGCACCATGAACTGATGCGGTCCATGAGATTTATACTGGCCAGTCTTTGCGTCAGGCAGTAGCAACTGGGCAACAACGATGGCATGGTTTGCCGTCCTCCCGAGAGCACCGTTCCACCACTTACTAGCAGTCAAAGTTGGGCTGTGAATCGTGAATTGCTTTGACCTTGGATCCCATCTCGCCTCGCATTCTATGCCCTTGACATTCGAGCCGTGACCTAATTCTGTCTGGCCATAGCAGCCAATAATTTCCCAGCTGTCCAATTTAGGCAACCAGTGCTTCTTCTGTTCCTCGTTGCACTGCTCGCGAATCGAGGTAGCGAACATGGTGAATTGAAGTGCGTACGGCCCCATCTCGTCCATCAGGTAGTCTGCCATCTTGTAGTCCTCATCGTCCCATTTGTGCTGGATGGAAAGGCGTTTCAGTGTTTTGGCTCGGGCTAGACCAAGATGGTACCGATCAGGTCGGGCCATGTTCAGCTGATTCCGCTTGCAAAAGTATGGAATGTCCTTGATGATGGCCAATATCCGCTTCTGGCGATTGAGGAAGTCATTGCGGGATAACAGATGCGTGGCGAGCTGATCAACATTGATACTAGAGCCGTCGCGCTCCTTCTGGAGCACACTTGGTCCACTAGGCTCTGCTGGTTGCAACTCATGTGTGAAATCTGACATGGTGAGACTGAGCGCCTTGTGTGTGCTACTCGCTTGGAAGCATAGACGCGTAGGTGATCACGAAGCTATAGATGATGGAGGTGATGTCCTCGAAGATTGGAGAACCGGGATGGTGCCGAGGTATGCTGATCGCCTTACAGTGGGCACGGTGCCGGAGATATCCAACATCGGAGATCCTCCGTCATTGCTCCAAACTTCGTGATAACTCTTTGCGAAGATGATCAAGTTGTTGTTGTTCCAAGAAGTGCCCATGGTAGCTGTAAGGACGTCTGGACAAGCGGTGGGATAAGCGGCACTCCCAATTCAGGATGTCCGATCGAACGGATTTCGTGCCAAGCCACATCGGTGACAAAGTGCTCCCCGCAGACCCATTATTTACTCGACTCCTGGCGCTGGCTTGTCAGTCGAAGCAGAGAGTTGTCATTCGAGACATCAACACCGGCGTGGAGAAGAACTCGGCTCAGTTACTCAGTGATGTGCTCAATCTTCGGCGGATGCTGCGAGCCTCACTAAGCCAGGCCACGCTGGACGATCTGAGTCATGGCAAGGAAGTCTATATCAGCATCGTTGCACCTGGCGGCTATGAATTTACCGTTGGCATTCTTGCTGTGCTCTCTCTGGGAGCTGGAGCCAGTCCATTCAGCCCTCTAATGCCCGTGAAGGAAGCGAGCTACTACGTCAATCGAGCAAGAAGTGTTGCAGTAGTGGTTGCCACATCTGCTCTAGACCTGGGAAATGCCTTAGCGGAGGAGATTCGCAAGACTTCTAACAAACAATTCGTGGCAGTGCCGGCACATGCATACAGTCAGGGACAATTCATCGAGCCGAAGAGCGTTGTGGTGTCTTCGAATCGATATGTGGACATGAATGGCCCGGGAATAGTCATCTTTACCTCAGGGACAACCGGCCCTCCGAAAGGCGCCGTGCTTCGTAAGGCGGCAATCACAGACGGCGCCTTGATGACGGCTCAGCAACTGGGATTGACCATGGAGGATACTTCGCTGCATTTGTTACCGGTCCACCATGCCACTGGTATATGGGTCGGTTTCTTCCCGTTTATCCTCACCGGCGCTTGTATCGAGTTTCGATCGGGCAGCTTCGATCCTGTTTGGACCTGGAACCGATTCAGGCGTGGGGGCGTAACTGTGTTTTCCGGTGTGCCCACAGTATACATGAGAATGATGCGATATTGGCAGGAGAATATAGCGAAGCTGTCTCAGAAGGAGCGTGAGCAGTACAAATACGGTGCGAACAACATCCGTCTCTGTATGTGTGGAACGTCGGCCTTGCCACAGCCGATCGATCATTTCTGGACACATTTACGGGATGGCAGAAGAATTGTGCAGCGATATGGATCCACAGAGACCGGCGTGGTCTTCAACATGCCGTTCGAGAACGGCTCAGCTGTGCCAGATGGCTCTGTGGGAGAGATGTCGCTAGGCGTTGACGCCAAATTATCCGACGGGGACGAAGGCGAAGTCCTGCTGAAGAACTTCATGATGTTCTCGAAGTACCTGCATGACCCGGATGCCACAAGAAACGCACATGACGAAGACGGGTATTATCGTACTGGTGACATTGCCCGCAGGGAAGGTAAATATTTTTTCATCACAGGAAGGGCGTCTGTCGATATCATCAAAAGTGGTGGTTACAAAATCTCTGCACTGGACATCGAACGCGAGCTCCTGTCTCTGCCGTATATCTCGGAAGCAATGGTCGTTGGAGTTCCTGACGACGAATTCGGCCAGCGGGTTGCTGCGGTGGTGACATTGCGACAGGATGAAATCGCACACAGATTTTATCGAGAGCACGGGCGTGAGTCGACAAGCTTGAAGATTGACGACCTTCGAAACGACGCTCGTGGTAGACTTGCAGGCTACAAATTACCGACTCTGCTTCGAGTATTAGACGTGGAGATACCAAAAAGCCCGACTGGAAAAGTTGTCAAGAAGACTTTGGGACCAGAGTACTTTCGGCCGGGCAGTTACGCGGACGATCCTGCCGTTCAGATGTGGACCAGTAGCAGGTCCGCTCGTCAAGTGAAGTTGTGATGATGAGGCAGGTGCGATGATATAGCTCACCACCTTCGACCAACCTCACGCCGCATTTCCCTGACCGGACAAGTACAGATATCTTGTGTCCAACATCACCTTGCATCAGTACAGAGGTCAGTCATCCGTAATGAAGCAGCGCCGCGGCTGATTGATGAAGGAAATCTGCCGGGCTGCTGGAGTAGACCGAGCGGCTTTCATCCGCAGACACACATCATATCGCAAGCACCAAAGGCAACACACAACGGGCACCATGCCTGTAGGCGCATTTTTGTGCAAGTTTAGCGCCTATGCGCTGATAGCCTGTGTGTCAGCCATTTCGACCGCGCTGCTGCAACTAGCAACATATCTGCCCTGCAGCTCAATATGCAACGCCGAAGCACAAAATCCTGCCCAAGATAATGGCGTATGCCACATCCGCTGTGTCCTGGTTGGCGCAGTCGTCATCTTGTTCTGGCTCATGGGCATACGACTGATACAGGCCCGTGCAGCGGACGGTGACGAGATTCTGCCAGACTTCTAGGCCGATCCTCGGGAGAGAGGGATACGGACCTCGGCACGACTAGAGGCATGCGAGGACATGATATACCTGCGAGGACTTCATCAGAATTCATACAGTAGAATCGCCAAGATGCCGTCCGGAAATAGCGGAATTATCACAGCATTTTCCAAACCGTAGTCTGCGATTCTGCCTTAGCAAAGTCGAACACTTCACATTCTGTCTATATACTTCACAAAGACTACGACGCTGCGCAACGACGTGATACGCATCCCCCGAACGATCAAAACTTTGGAACAGTGCTTCGGGACGTGCGAGTCGTCGTTAGACGTGCAAGACATCTCCAAGGCCACAAGCCTCCAGGCGAAGGACCACAAACATGAAGCTCGTCAGGTGAGTCGTTCTGCGCGTATTGAACTGCTTGACAGAAGTCATACAATCTTTGCGACTCGAGTGTGGATGTCTGCTAACAGTGACCAGATTCCTCATGAAATGCGCCAATGAGACGGTCACAATCGAGCTCAAGAACGGAACCATCGTACACGGAACCATTACCTCAGTCACACCTCAGATGAACACAGCACTGCGGGCGGTCAAGATGACCACAAAGAATCGGTCACAGCCGGGTGCGCCAAGCGACACGATCTCACTTGATACAATCAATATTCGCGGCTCGACGATTAGATACTATATCCTGCCAGACTCACTACCATTAGACACGCTGCTCATCGATGACCAGCCTAAGCCAAAGAATAAGGCTAGGAAAGAGGGCGACCGAGGTGGGAGAGGTGGTGGAGGTCGTGGCGGCCCCCGAGGACGTGGCAGAGGCAGAGGGCGGGGTAGAGGGCGCGGATTCTAGACGAGAGGTGACATGGATGGATGGTCAAAGGAAAACACAACGTTTAGATCAGCTAAACGATCTGCTAATGCGTTGAAGTCCGCCCGAAATGAGTGGACTGAAAAGTGGCTACGGAAGTACGAAACGGTCTTCATGACAGAAATGTTTGGACGGGATATATGCCAGCTACACCTGGAGCTACCAGCCCGCATTAGTAGCACTGATGGTGGCGACGCGTCGCTGTCGACGTGGCTATCAATTGAGATGCGGCCTTGCTTCCCGAATGAGCACAGGGCGAGCAGCATGTCGTGCTTCGTGGGAGGAACGTGCTGCCGAAGAAGGTGGCAGTCCATCGCCGACACCCAGCTCTGAGAACCCATCTTTAGATGAATACATTAACAGAGGTCTGAAATTAACAGAGGTCTGAAATCTACTCGTGCCACATGACACTTGGCTACGACGCGTACGCGGGACTGGAAGTAGTGCTTTTCTACCTGCTACTATATAGAAGTCAGCCTTGGCAGCTCTGACTGAAAAGAGTTCAGTCCGTGGCCAGCAATTACATGTACTGTTTCTCCTGAACGTCGGACGCCATCTCTACCCGCAAACGGCAGCCAGACGATGAGGCTACAACGGGCGCAATAGTTCCTGCGCGTCTAGACTCATCATGATCAAGACAAGATGACTGCTCTTTCGCTCCTTCGTCAATTGTACTCGCTCGACACCCTCGACACTCGCTTCTCCGCATCGCCTCGCGTCCCCCTCAAGAGCGATGGCATAGAGCCACGACCGCCCGGTCGCACCGATAGCAAAGAGAGCGCGGAAGGTGCTACGCCTTCAAAATGGAATACACCAGAGTTCTACCTGTATGGAGTGGTGTTTCTGGTGTGCGTACCGCAGATGTACTGGGCCGTGGTTCAGGTGTCACAACGTAAGAGCGCATACCAGCAGGCTGGATATTGTATTGACTGGAGGCAGCAACATCACCGAACTACGAGAGATTCGAGCCACTCCTTTCTCAGGGATGGCTCTTTGGGCGCAAAGTGGTAAGGAATGCCACTTGAAGCTGATAGGACGGGTCACTAATTGCCTGGCAGGACAACTCAGACGCGCAATACTCAGGATTCCGGGACAACATACCAGCTCTGGCAATTCTTGTCGTTGTCCATCCGCTGCTGCGTAGGCTCTATGAGCGCGTTGCTGGATCTGGCTCTTACTCTCGATTGAACGGAGCAGGAGCTGTGGACCAGAGCCAACATCAAGCAGAGCACCGCCGCAAGCTACGGCTACGCTTTGATCTCGTTTCGGCAATTATCTTCATTGGCGCACTCTACGGGCTCTCAAGCTTGAAAATTCTGTTCATTTGTTTCCTGAACTTCAAGATTGCGACCAGTGTACCGCGCCACTATGTACCAACAGCTACCTGGATATTCAATGTATCAATACTCTTCGCAAATGAACTCACTCAAGGATATCCGTACGCCAAACTCGCATCTCTTCTGGCTCCTTTCTCGGACCAAGCTGTGAAATATGGCCAAGTCATGGATTCTTATGGTGGGCTCATGCCTCGGTGGGAGGTTTTATTCAAGATCACGATTCTTCGCCTTATCTCCTTCAATTCAGACTATAGCTGGTCGCTCGACCGCAGCAGATCGGGTAGCCCGGTTGAGGTACGTTAGCTTCATTCTCTGTCCACTCATTCCATTGACATGTTCTGATCAGTACAAAAAGAAACAACTCGACCCAGCCAATTTGTCCGAACGAGACCGTATCTCGATCTCCGCACCATCACAGTGCTTCACTTCACTGTCATCTTACCTGGCATACGCTCTCTACCCTCCGCTGTACATCGCTGGACCCATCTTGACATTCAACGACTACATCTCCCAATGCGCATACCCCGTCGCCAGCCTCACCACCAAGCGCACCGTTCTCTACGGCATCCGCTTCCTGATCATTCTCTTCTGCATGGAGTTCCTCCTACACACCATCTACGTGGTCGCCATTTCCAAGGCTTCTCCCGACTGGTCAGCTTACACGCCCTTCCAGCTCGCGATGCTCTCATACTTCAACTTGCATATCATCTGGCTGAAACTCCTCATTCCATGGCGGTTCTTCCGACTCTGGGCTTTGATCGACGGCATCGATCCGCCAGAGAACATGGTCCGCTGTATGTCGGACAACTACTCCACCCTTGCATTCTGGCGCAGCTGGCATCGAAGTTTCAACAAGTTTACGATTCGATACATTTTCATCCCTCTTGGCGGCAGCGGTCGTGGCATCGGAATCGCTCGAACGATCTTCAACATGGTTGTTGTCTTCATGTTCGTTGCGCTTTGGCATGACATCAATTTACGATTACTTGCATGGGGCTGGTTGATCGTCCTGTTTGTGCTGCCGGAGATGCTGCTCACCCTTGCGTTCCCGGCATCGAAGTGGAAAGATAGGCCGACGACGTATCGGATGCTCTGTGGTGTAGGAGCTGTCTGCAATATTTTCATGATGATGACGGCCAACCTTGTGGGTTTTGCGGTTGGACTGGATGGGTTGAAGGCGATTATCAATGGGATTGTTGGGAGCTGGGAAGGCATTGCATTCCTGGTGACAACCATTTTCATCCTCGCGGTTGGCGTGCAAGTGATGTTCGAGCATAGGGAGGAGGAGAGGAGGAAGGGGATCAACATGAAGTGCTGACTGACCGACATTGCTCAGGTCTACAAATGTATAACAGGCATTGATTCGACTGCGATAGGTGGATGCCAAGCAACACCGTCCATCCGTTCGTTTGTACGTTGGCCAGATAGATGCTGACAATTCAATGACTTGAAGTACCTATCGAACAAGAAGGATCTCGGAAACGCCATGACCTGATCTCAAAGCATCCTCTCGCTCCAGATGCACGAAACGACCTCATGTCCGAGTCAAGTGGTCTATTCCAGCGCGTGTTGCACGTGCGTTACTTTGAGTATGGCTCGTTCTTCAGTCAATTTGCTATGAGCGTCAGAGCGGACTCTGTCGGCGCACTGAGCGATAGGCACTAGACGATAGAAGGAGTGTGTGGCTCTTCTTCCTGAAGTAATGCGATATGTCCACGCCCCGCGTCATTCTTAGGGCAAGTACTGCGTCTCCTCACACAATCCAATAGTGCGAAACACGAAAATGGAAGGCCGGTGAGTGTGTAGGCTGTGCTGAAGATGTTATTATAGAAGGTCACTGAAGCGAGACTCCCCTACATGACTAACAAAACTTGACAAGAATCACCAACCCAGACTTTGAACCTGTATGCGCCTTCCAGATAGCTCAAAGTACTCCGAGAGTGACTTTATTTTCTGGTAGATTTTATGACGGGATGTTAGGAAAATATTCCTTGCGTCCAAACAAATCGACTCGCGCTGTTAAGGAAAGACAGACAATGTTATCGCCCTGCACCACTCTGCGCAACCGGTTGGAATCTTTGCAAATTCTGGGGCAGCACTCTTTGAATGAGCATCCAACCACTAACGAAATTGTGACAGGATAAGAAATTCGTTGCAGTGTCGACAATCGAAACAAGGTATGATACAGATCGCGATGTGCTCGCCATTCTGATCTGTAGCATGAGCGTAATGTAGGTATTGAAGAACACGGGCAGAATCATGTTAAGACAAAACCACAATAGGTGTAACCTAGTTCTGCCCATGTTCTTCAACAGCGTATAAGTGGACAGTGTGCTCAGAAGCCAAAGTGGCCGTCGTTGTCATCGTCGTCAGGGTGGCGTTGGCAGATCGGCAAGGCCTTACCAGATGTCCTGTTCAGCCAAAGGGTTCTACCATGATTGTGGGCTCTACTGTCGGGACTGGGACTCAGAGCTGTTTGTAACCCACTGAGCAGGTTGGAGGACAATCCGCAATACCTCTGGAACGCAGACCAGACGCTGTGCTGGACACTTTGCTGTATTGGCGATGTCAACGACTTTGTCCAAGCAGTGAGTCTAGCTTAACGTCAGTGACCTGGCGCCTCAGGGTGCTGAGTGGTTTAACCTACCTGTCCGGCATGCTGACTGCTGGCGAAGCTTCTGAAACTTCGGTACAGTGCTCCCACCCGCAGGAGACACGGCTGAATCTCATGACGTCTTCGGTGCAATCCCTCACATTCGCAAGATGATTCGCGTACTGATGGAACGTCCTTGGAGAGCGCTCGTCCGAACCGCTGACTACTCTATGGCTGGTATCTTCCTTTGGGCTCGTCGGGCCGTTTGAGTGCTTCATGGGTGCGAACGCTAGGCGCCTAGAAGCAACTGCCCTCTGTTTATAACCCTCAAGTGTCGCAGGCGGGGCCATGAAGAGATGGCTGGATGGAGCTTGCGACGGATCCCAATCGCGAGTGCCATGTATGCGATCATACGTTGTGGAATGTAAGGAGCCTGTTCCATTGGTGCTGTGTAGATCGACTTCGAACAGCCCCGCGGACAGATTGTAATGAGGATTGTCGTTGCTCTGAAATGGTGCATCCAAAAAAGGGTCGATATCCCAGTCGGTGCTAAAGGTCCATGGATCATGAGGCAAAGGTGTCACTTGCTGGACAGTACTGCCTCCACGCATGGTACCAGGAAGTGACTGAGCAGTTAAGTCTGCTTCCAGGTCATCTTCAGCACGACAAACTTCTCGACCGGTTCCAATGCCGAGTAAGCTCCCCTGCGGACGCTTCTGGAGAGCGCAGTCCACAATCTGGTGCGCAGAAATACCAGAATACAGTTGCAGTAGATCCAGTGACTTCCCATGCAGAGTAAGATGAGAAGCTTCCTCTGCAGCATCTGCTTTCCATCCATCATTTCCTGTCCCGAGGCCATTCTTTCTCATATCGTCCCAAACTGTTGTGCTGAGAATAACGTTACGAAAAAATTCGGGACCGGTCAGAGTCTCGAACATCTTGATGTTGCGTATCACAGCTCCCACATACCCTGTGTGATGTGCTATCTCGTGCATGTAGTTCATACCGTGCAACTTCAGTCCACAGCCGTGACTTGTTGCAAGCCATTGACTGATTGCGTCTAAAACAGCTCTGTCAGGCTGCTCAATGTCACTGAAGCCTGGAGTGTCAATCAACCAGATCCGAGACCCCGTAGAGCGACTGTACCAGTCGATCATTGGCATGTGCTCGCGAGCTGCATTGTCAGTAAGATCTTAGATTCTTTTGGACCGTCACCTACTTGAGTCGACGCCATTTGTAACAATTGGTCTCCCACCTGCCTGAGAGAGTTGCTCAATGAATTGCGACTTGCCGGCGCCCGACAAGCCCATCACTGCAATCACGACGTCGCCACGGTGGCTATGAGGGCTGGCCCTCAAACTTCTGTCCGGCATGGCAGTTCCAAGCACAGTCAGGGCTTGTCGCACTGCAGCTGTGTAGGTGATTTTTTGTAAGTCGACGGGAGGTTAGGACGAGATGAGCGTGCTGTTCAGCCGTTCTGCTGAAGGATATACTTTGCACTGCAATGACTTTCGCGGCGAAGTAGCAGTGTCGCTCGCGGACCTTCTCGAGACTGTCTACTGTTGTCAGTTGTGGAATGGTAACGACAATATGGAGGACCGTGTAGAACAACCAGAAACTGAAAAGACCCGGGAATGATCATCTGAAGGACCATGCAGTAGGATAAGGTCTTGGAAAGCTGGCAAGTAAGAAGGACCATGCAGTAGGGACCAGCACGTCTAAGAGAACAACAAATTTATGCTTCTCAGCCCGGCGCAGCAAGATGATTCGACCAGCAGACCGGATGCATATGGATACACACAAAGGCGGTCCGTCTCCGTACCCACCAGAATGCAGGACCACCAATTGAACAGGCATTTGGACGAGATGCAACAGATCAGGCATAGGTTCGAGCATCAGTCCATGACGAACTGGCATGCGGAGCCTGATGGTTTGCCTCGTGCTCATGGGTTGAGAGGGTGATCCTGGTCTGGGAATACCCTGCTTGCTGTGGTCGACGCCGAAATGGAGGAGATGCTGAGACGTCCCAAATGTGTACCAGGCGGCCGAAAGGGGCAGCACGAAGCTGTTTATCAAACCTTTGGTCAAATGAGTAAAATGTCTGGCCCGATCGAGATCAGGTGATGACGGAAGTTCCTTCCAAGACCGGGAGGCTTGCGATCTGGTCACAGTTTGATTGGGCAGCCCCTGCAACCAAAATGCACGAGGCCCAAATCCCCGGATTTTTGGTCATTCCTGGGGTCCACCCGGTCGGCGCATGGCCCATCATTCGTGGACTTCCATAATATGCGAACCATCTCGACAGCGATAGCGTTAGGCTTCAAGTTGATGAGGCAGGGCAAGCGGCGATGCTCCAACGCGCCATATCGGTTGGCGTTGTGCTCTTGCTTCACACCGGATCACTTTGTACTCTCTTCTTGAGGGGCGTCTCACGCACTTCATCTTCGAACTATCAGTTGATTGCTAAATGAGAGCTGCCTGGCTCATACACCTCAGCTTCTGTACCTGTGCTTTCAAGCTGCAAGCACGCGCCGACAACTCCCGCTTACTATGAGCCATTACCGCGATAGCAGTCGCGGGCTATCCTAACAATGACATCGCTTGTGGTCGCAGCAAGTGGCAGCCACATCGTTGCTGCCGCCATTCCAGGCCGTCGCCGTATACCAGAGGAGGAATGGGATCACCACAAGTCAACGATTGTTGCCAAGTACACAGTACAGGGTGAGAAGCTGGAGAACGTCAGAGCCCAGATGCTGGACGAAGGCTTCGATGCTTCGTGAGTCTCCCTTGCTCTTCACCGTGCGCCAGACGAAGCACTTACCTGTCAAGACCGAAGGAGTACAAGAGCAAACTGAAAGAATGGGGTATCTCGAAAAATGCAGTCAAGTGGGAATGGCTTGTCATGCACAGGATTCTGCTGGAGCAGAAGGACTCTGGCATTGCCAACCCCCGGGTGTGGTTCCACGAAATCGCCAGGAACTTTTCCAACACCAGGAGACATTTGAGGAGTCTTGGTCTTACCCCTAAGCAATTTGACCAGCAGGCGAGGCAATGTGCGATACCCACGCCGGCATGGATTCGTCCTTACGGTATCTCGACCTCAGCTACGCCATCCGCACTGTCATTCCAGCAATCGCACCCCAACATAGAGCTGTCGTCGAATAGCAGCGACGAAGTGTGCCGGGACACTCCGTCGGGCCTGACAGAGCACCAGCTTTATACCATGCACAGTGAGCTAGCATGCCTAGCTGCTGCAACTCGAGATACAGCGGCTCGAGATCATCACATTCGCAAAGCCACAGCCGCTCTTGCGGGGATGTGCAAGACGAGATATCATCTCGTATTCGTTGCAGTGGCATCGGTTTTGACGTTGCTCCTCCTGTATGCTGACGGGCCTTTACCAGACATGATCCTGACGGCCTCGCTGGCTGTAAGTCAGACAATGACGGACGAGAACGGCCAGCTGAGCACGGTTCTAGAATGGATGGTCGAACTCGTAAGGGCCAACAACTCCCCGACTGTAATGGCAACCTGCCACATCGGGATCGAGACGCTTCGCCAGGCTGTGCTACACACAGGGACCGCATTTGGACACACCCATCCACATACCCTGGTCATCAGATACTGCGCCGCGTTTCACCTTATACTCACCACAAAGGTCTATGAAGAGGCTGAGAGGCTGTTGTTGGACTTATGGAACGACTGCACTTTGGTGCTGGGAGAAGCCGACCTACTCACGGTCAACGTCCTTGCAGCTGTCAGTCGCGCTCAACAGCGTCAAGGCAAGTATGTACAAGCTCTCATTACACTCGACCGCTGTCTCGGCGTCCTCCCCTTTGGACACCTTCACCCACATCCACATTGGCTAGAGCTGTTAGTCCGCAAAGCCGTAATTTTCTGGAAAATGGGACGGTATGCCGATGCAGAGCTCATATACTGGGAGGTGGTCAGAGGTCGATCGACGACTCTGGGCCGCTGGCACCGAGCTACGATTGCTGCACACAACAGTCTGGCCGATGTTCTTCAAAAGACTGGGCACTGGGAAGCACGCAAGGACGAATACCATAGACTGTTGAGTGATCCACCGGAATTTGTTGGTACGCCAAAAAGTTGGTGGCGGGACAGCTTCGAGGCTTCGAGGTTGATGTCGGACGGATTAATAGATGAGGAGGAAGACTAAGGTCGTGAAATATTGGTGACGACACGATCAATCTGAACAAGGGCGTGCGCCAGAAATAATGACAATACCTCCCTAATCAATTTACACCCTGAGCATGCGAACAGTCACTTGCCTACCTAAATATTCACCAGAGGATGAGTCGACTTGAGTTATACGCTTGTTGCACTCGAGATTTTTCGTATATGCACGCGATTCATGCTCCCTCCCAACGGATGATACCTTGACCGTCTACCCCGGATCTCAGACGCAGAGCAAGAATAATTCCACGCTCGTGCTCCCTCACTCTGTGACACTGCCTGCTGCTTCCAGCGTACCTGCATCTCGACGCACATGGAGGATGGTAGTATCGAAGAAGCGGCGTTAGCTCTCAGCCATGGACGCGAGCACTGTGCATTGATCCATTGTTGATCGATCCAAGAGCATAGGGATGGCTTTCACAACGATTTCAATATACTCGTGACAACCACCTGCCCATGAGCTGTGGCATGGCACCATGGACGGGCTGGTTGGGAAGGTCTGCCTTACGCTTAGAGAGATGTGGGCATGGTCACATCCCATTGTGAATCCAGATCCAGTCCCATACTAGTAAGGACACCTCACTAAAATGCCGAAAGCCGAGCACGCTCACGCTTTCATGGCCGCAACGGACTAGCTTCATGTACTTTTCAGTACCACGCCGGTTAGCCTTTGCATCGCGACGTATTACATATCTCCATTCCGCGACCTGATTGGCATAACCTGGCCACGTACTTCCGGGGATCCCTCCATAGTGCTCCCCACCGATGCAACCCTCCCCCGCTTACCTTTAAAGGCTGAGGCTCCCAACGCCCAGAAATCTTCTTGTCTTTATTTCTGCACCTTATTCTCACCCACTCGCTCGTGTTCAAGAGAATTCGTGCAGCTTGTGTTTAGAGTACATTGCTTCCAGTCGCACTTGCTTCACGACTGTGGAACACCCCTCAAGTCCACGTCCGTCGTGCCTAACGCCAACAACGTCGCTTCTCGACAGGCAACAGCAGTCGCTACTCCAGCAGCGGGCCAAGCCTTCCACTCACAACAATGGGTCTCTCAGAGTCAGCAGTTATTCCTATTGCCGTTCTCTCCGCGATAGTAAGTCTTCCAATTTTCGTGAGACAGAGGCATTGCTCGACAAAGAACCCTCCTCATTTGGCGAGAGATACTTGCGTCAGATGCTCTTTCACACCGTCTTCTTGCGTAGCCGGAGCACTTCTTCCATGCTCACAGCGATCTTCCCGACATGCTCGGTGGTCGCTTCACAAGTGTCTGATCCTTGGACCGTCTCCCTCCTTCTACCAGCTCCTTCTGATAGCTCATGCTGCTGATTCGAGCTGACCAATGCTGGCAGGTCGGCGTCTCTCTTGTCTTCATATGGTGGTGGTTCCCGAGGGCATGGGCCCGCGGTAACGCCGAGGAGCAGCGACTCCAGGAGCAGGAAATGCGAGAGCGCGAGGCCTATATGGCGAACGTTCGGGCGCAGCAAGCGGTCAACCGGCCACGCGACGAGGAGACTGGTGAGGCTGGAGAAGAGCCACCGTCAGAAAATCATGAGAAGCCGCCTCCGGTTTACGTCCCTCAGAAGCCAGCGGGCTACCAGCCGCCGGTGACGCCGTATTGATGCCACTGTCGGCAGATCACAGACAAGCGCCATAGCGGAACCGGATAGGATACCAATATACTCAGACAGGAGGGCAGCTACATCGTGCTCGAGAACAGAATGTGTCAATGCCAGTCCTTTCGATTGACACATCATTCGGGCAGGCAGCAACAACCGCGATTGACATCAGAAGCTGGGTTTCCATGCATTAGGATGGCGCAACGAGACTCATATCGTCACACTGTATGAACTTATAAACCATCGTGGAGAATATTGCATCTTAACATCAGCACAATTTATTCCTCAAGCTATCAAGTTCACATGCTGTCAACGCTCACGATCCACTAACTTCCCCGAACCATCCCTTCAAACACCGCCCTAACACGCCCGGCAACTCCTTCACATCGCGGACGATAAGGTAGTACTCGAAAGGGAACCTCTCAAGATACCTCCTCGTCGTGACCTTCATCTCTCCATCTTCGTCTTCCTCAAACACCGCCTCCTTGAGGTCGAGAATGCTCTGACCCACGCTCTCCGATGCAGAAGTGCCTTCTCTGCCACCGTCTGTGTGACTTTGACCCATATTGATGTTGTCCAAGATGACGAACACAATCAACACCTTCTCCTCCTTCCCTTTCCTCACTAACCGCCTCACCTCATCATGCTCGCTGCAATGTCCATCCGAGATGATGATCATCAATTGCCACAACTCCTCACTTCCGCCACCACCGGCCTTCTTCAATCTCGCCTCGCTCATCATCTCCAGTGACTTCCTCACCAACAGCTTGACGTCCGTCCCCTCTTGACGAAAGCCAAGCTTTCCAAAGATATTGACGCCGCTCTCCTGCCCTTTCCACACGTCCCCAAACTCATGCGCGACGTGCACACCTCTATCACCATTGTCTTTACCATCCCCGAACCCCACAACAGCAATCTCACCGACCTCCAGCATCGCAAGACTCTTGCACAACAGCGCGGTCGTCTGCAAAGCCAGTAGATCAGCACCTGATTCAGCCATGCTCTTGGAGTCGTCAATCGCCAGCATTATCTGATAATTGCGCTTGGACGGCACGCTGCGACGCATCCAGATCTTGTCGCGCTTGTAACCGGAGGCGATGTATGGGATGATGCGTTTGAGGTTGAGACGCTTGCCGCTTCGAAAGTCGCCACGGAGCTTGGTAGCTGTGGTCGGGTGCAGAATGAGACGGAGCTGCTCGGTGAGAATGAGTGAGAAGCTGTGTGTGATTTGAGAGCAGTGTTGCCAGAGCTGGGTGGCGGTTTCTTGAGATGAGCCAGAAGGAGGAGTGGTGGCATCGAGGTCCAGATGTTGAACATCGGCAGCTGTCTCTGAAACGAGCGACTCGGTGTCATTGCCTTGGTCGTCAACGATATCGTCATGCGGGTTGCGACGTTGCTCTGGGACGACCGCACCGTCTTCGCGTCGATCTGCTGTGTTATTGGCGTTCGCTTGTAGCGATTCAGTCGTTCGGCGGCGCGGACCTCATCGCTCATTTCTTCTTGAGGGTCCGGCAACATCGTGTCCTCATGGTCGATTGACATCTCCTTATCTTGGATTGCTTTGCTCATGTCAACATTTTGTGTCTCGTTGGGTCCGGCAGCACCAAGCGCTTGGGCATCAGCTTGAGCGTCGTCGGCATCAAGATGCTCGAAGTCAGCCTCTTGCATATCGATGTCCTCTTTTACCTCGGTAGCCGGATCGTCCTCGACAGGGTCAAGTATCTCACGTCGCTGATGCCATTGTTCGATCACATCAGCCAGCTTGCGTAAGGCCTCTTTCTTCTGGCGCTCGATCTTGTCCTCACGACCGTGGCCGCGCTCGGTCGCACCTGTGCCGTCTGCACCCTGTTCTTGGTTGTCAGTCGATGTGGCGCCGTTCTGAACTTCAGCTTTGTCCATCATCTGCTCATTCTGGTTCTGACCCTCAATGTCTTGATCGGGATTAATATTGTCCTGGACCCGATCGGCTGCGCCCTGCTCCCCTTCGGCCTGCGGATCTTCTTCGAGTTCCATATCTCCCTCGCGCTGCACATGATCGTCATGGTTGTTGTCCGGATCCTGGTCTGGAGAAATCTCATCGTCGTCTGCAATGGGGTTGGCGTTCTCGTCCTCTTCTGCGACAGTCTCGTCCTGATCAGCCACGCCCTCCTCGTCACGATCAGGCGTACCGAGATCGTCGACCTGCTCTTTCTCACCATTGTCTACCGGCAGCTCCACGTCACTCATGCCGTCGATGTCATCTGCGTCTTCATCGTCCTTTTCATCCTCTTCTCCGTTCAGCTGCAGCTCTTCTGGCAGATCCAGAGCCTGCTCGTCTTGCAGATGGGGATCGATGTTCTCGGCTTGAGCCTTTCCTTCACCGGTGTTGTCATCCTCTTCGACCAGTTCATCCTCTCCTTGTACACCGTCATCCGCTTCGCCTTCGTTGTCGCCCTCAGCCTTCTCACCACCAGCTTCTGTCTGCTCTTGGGTCTTCTCGCCCTTTTGTTTCTGGCCCTTGAGGTCTTTTTGATCCTCCTCGCCATCCTTTTGCGCATCGTCCCACATCTTCTCATCCACCGCTGTCGGATCAAGATCGTCTACACTACCAGTTTCCTCATCCATCTGATCTTGACCTTCGTCTTCGCTGCCACTCTCGCCAGTACATTCACTGTCACGCTCGCCTGATTCTCCCATCTTCCCCTGAAGATCATCAGCTCCCATGTCGACAGCGCCCTCGGCATCTTCCATCTCTCCATCTTGATCCTCCTGCTCGCCCTGCGCGAACTCTGACAGATCCTCATCTGCTCCGACATCTTTACTGATATCTTGAGCTCCTTCGCCATCACCAAGACCCGTCCCGCTTTCGAGCTTGCCACTTTCTTGTTGCCCGTCGTGGGGATCTGAAGGCGTGCAGAAGCCTTCATTGGCAATGCTCGTGAACGACTTGGTGAGAAAGCATGCGAGGCGCAATGTTTGCTCGTGTACCGAAATTTGCTCGGTGAGACAATGTTCAGCAATGAGTTTGAACTGCTCAAAAATCGGTGTGACCACCACGAGCAGCGATATCGCGATCCTGAGATCTGCAGGCTGTAGATGATGTAGATTTGACAACACTGAGGACAGCTTTTCACTGACGTCAGACACGTGTAAAGCCCGAGCGATTTCGTTGTAGCGACGATCATGCTGAATCAGCCACCCTGCGCTCTCCGTATCGTTGACGGCGGTGGTCTTTAGGCTGGATAATTGCTGAAGAGCGACGAAGACCGTGTCGACAAGGTCTCGGACAGTTTGATCAATACTGCTGAGCGCGAGATGGTTGATCCCATTGACCTTGGCGTGTCCATTCGGGTTGACATCGTCCAGTCTTGCCCAGGGGAGCAACTGCTGCACAAGATACTCAATTTCTGGCTCGAGCGACTGAAGTCGAACTATGTCTTGCTCGAGTTCTAGCAGCGCAGCCTCTACCTCATTATCGATTCGTAGAGCCGATTCGCTTACCAGTCCATCTGGCAATTGTGACAGCTGGGATCTTCTCAGGCTGAGACTCCTGAGAATGCCTGCTGATAAAGTGAGCCTCGCCGTGACAGCCGAGAGATCAAGCTCTCCATATTTTGCTTGTATGGAAACAACACGAACAGCGGCATCGAGGATCGTTGGAAGCCACTGCGCTCGGATCTGAATGGCGTTGCTGTCCCGGCTATGATGGCTCGAGCGATGGAAGATATCTGCATCTGTGTGGAGGCTCGACAGTCCATCAACTGTGGCACGCAACTCAAGTATAGCCGTACTGAAGATAGCGATGCGCTCTCGCTGCGAGAGTGACTGGAGGAGCAACCCCTCCAAGAGGCCCACACTTCTGCGGATTTCGCCATCGGTCAGATCAGGAGTGTGCTCGGTAGGTGCGTTGCGCGCTGCTGGCAGCAAATCCAAGAGCTCGTGCAGCGCATAGTCACTTTCGACGTGCCCCGACAGGGTCGCGAACTTTGGGATCTGGGGCATGGTACTCAAGACAGTCGCAGTATCAGCCTGTTTGCCCAGGTCAGTCATAGCCAAGTTTCGGCGAATGCCCATGTGTGTGACGTCCTTGATCGTGTCAGTGAATAGTCGTCGTTTCCGTTCTCGGAGGTGCTTGACCAATGCCGACGTCTCATCGGTGAGGCTCGATGGTGTTTCTTTCCGAAGCTCCTGGATCGACTTTGATAAATCTACTCTGAGCGATTCGAGCTCATTGGACACATTGAGATCGCCCTGCTGGGCCAGGTACACACGCCGCATTCCAAGCGCTGCATTTGATGGGCTCGTCAATCGCGCCGGCCGAAGTTGCCAGTCCGAGAAGCTTGCGGCGCAAGTCGCGAGAGCGGACTGAGCGTCGTGAGGGGCAGCTTCGCTGAGTACAGGCCGCTCCGTTGTGCTAGACCTTAGCCCTTCCGACGTGAAAGTGGCGACCGGCTGATTTAGAAGTGCTCGGTACTTCTTGACAATCTTGAACAGCTTGTAATGTGTGCGCCTAGCACTATCCTTGAGTGCAGTGACGTTAGTGTCTTTCCAGCTCGCCAACTTGATCTGTTCGATGACGGCCTTCTCGAGATCGGCTCGGCCTATGGTCACATTCTTTTCCACATTCGAGGCATAACGACCATAGTGAGCAAGCACATGACTGACTGCTGCTGCTATACGCTGCAGTCTCGAGTCATCCTGGCCCATCGCTGTAAGTGTGACAGCCATACTGTGCAATAGATTCAGTCGAGGCGAGAACTGCCCAAGAGTCGCGCTCTTCAGAAACTCCTCCAGCGTTTTCACCAGCTCAAAGCAGTACGCGCGATCATCGCCATTGCTGTCCGCAACAGCGCGAGTGTTGTAGAGGATGGCCTCGTAAGCAATGAAGAACCATGATGCAGCGTTGTCCTCATGTTTCTGCTTCTCGATATCTAACAGCCTAGACCATGAAGACAGCTCAAGACGTCTCCAGCTGACTATCAAGGCCGTGATCTCTTCTTGTAGATTGGCGACAGACCACTCGCGGCTGGCAACACTCTGCCACTGAGCCACGCTATCGAGCAATTTTTCGGTTTTGGTGAGTAGCTTGGCGAGAGGCGTCAGAAGTGTGAAGTCCAGCAAGTCATCACAGATTGCGTGGACCTCAACGGGCACGGCATGTTCTGGCCAATGCTCGTGTATTTCGGCAAATCGAGAGTAGACATCTGCGACCAGAGTCTGCAGCTTCTCGATTTCTTTGACGTTGTGGTCCGTGTAGATGTTGAATCTCTCTGCTTGATCTGGCTGGTTAAGGGAGCTGCTTCGGGCTTCGAGCTGCAGAAACAAAGCGGGCAAAGCTTGCTGGAATGATGAGCGCGACGATGATGACTCGCTGCTGGACTGAGTGACTGCCACCTCAAGTAGGACCTCGGGTGCGATGCAGTCCTTACTTCCAAACATTCTTCGCTGAAACTGCGCAAGTCTCAAAGCGGTGCTCGTAGAGTCCGACTGAGAGGATTCACCGTCAATTCTCCGAGTGTCATCGCTATCATCAAACACAGGGAACATATCAGCCATTTCTCGTTGGTCTGCGTCAGGGTCTTCGTCTTCTTCGCCACGATAAGCATAGTAACGCGACTTAGACTCAGCCTGTGTTTGGTCTTTGGAAAGTCGCTCCTTCCATTGGACGTAGAAGGAGTCCAAGACTGTCAGGTAATCCTGCAGATCACCTTGATGATGTTTGGCTGCACTGCCGATCTCGACAGCATGCTTCACAGCGTGATGCTCCAGCCAGAGGAAGCGGTCATGATTGCTCTTCTTCAACCCTTGCAATGGCCAATGAACAGTATTTCGAGGTGTGGCACCGGCCATAGGTAGATGGGATATTAGCTTGGGGTCGGGGGGTACACGAACGTCCTTCTGCTGTAAAAGCTCAATGCCAAGTCCTAGACACGATAGCAACTGGACGACGGGGACCACGAGGTCGTCGTAAGCACGATCGAGCTTGTCCATTCTTCCAGCTATCCGAGCAATGCTCTCGCGCAAGCGCCCTGCATCCTGGAAATCGAGCTCCGTACCGCCGGTACGAAGCATGTTGGACAGAGCCGGCGATTGCAAAATGCCTCTGATGACCAGGTTGAACTCTTCCTGGACTCTGCCAAGGCTTGACTTTTCAGTCTGACGACTGTTGCGTAAGGATTCGGAGAGCCAAGGTCGTCAAGCTCGAGCTGCAACAGACGGCCAACGAGACTGCTTTGCGAGCCTGAGTTGCGAACATCGAACATTCTCTGAGCATCAACCTTGCGCATGAGCTCGTTTCTTCGCAGTGCGTGGCGCTTTGCTTCCACCTGTGGCAATAGAGCAGGGTCGAAAGGCTTGTCAGGAACCACCATGATCAGTGCTGCGGTGGTCACATGGGCAAGAGCAAGGCCAATGACATGTGTTTGAGAGCCGTCAGGGGTCGCGGCGATGCTCGATAGTAAGCGCAGTGCCGGCACAAGGTGCATCTGCATGACTTCCGCGAACCACTCGTACTGCGACGGTAAGGGTGGAGGTGAAGATGCAGCGTTCAGTAACTCTCGAAGGTTGAGTTCGTCGTTTTCATTCATCCAGGTGTGCTGAACATCTGTCAAGATATGCGCATGGCTCTTGAAGACATTGAGAGCGAGCTTTGAGGTGTTTCTTAGGACGACCTCAAGTGTGCTGCGACTCAAAGTAGACGATGTCTTTGAGACCGTACGTATGATCTGAACAATCTCCTCTCGTGTAGTCTGCAAGGCTCTCAATGGCTGCGAAGTCGCCCCAGCCAGACCTTCGAGCAGTTTATGAGTCAGTTGTGACCCGTTGTCATCGTAATTGCTGTAGAGAGCAGCTAATTCACCTAGGGCCTTCTCATGAGAGCCATTTGCACAACTTGCGGCCGTAAGCAGACGGCGACAGTCTACGAACGGCATCAGATCCAGTACCGCGCCGCTGTGCATCAGAATTTCCTGGCTTGACAGCCTGTCGAACATTTGTAGGAAGCTCTCTTCGAAATGGATGGGAACCTGCCTTGAGACCGACGCCTGCTGCTCGAGAGCCAGAACGGATGCGGAAAGTTGCTTCACTCCAGTCGGGCTGTCATCAGATGACCATGCAGTGAGAGCAGCATCGAGGAGTCCCTTCTTGACTTCCACAAAATCCATCCGACGCTGTGATCTTGCAATGATGTTTTCATCCAACAGCCGAAGCAGACCTTCTAACGCCATTTTGATCTCGAGCTGAGGGAGATTCTGCGGAACCTTGGGCGACCAGACGGGCCACATCGCTTGTAGTGCCCGCCCATACTCCAGGCGAGAGATGTCGAACACCTGAAGAGCCTCGGAAAAGTTTCGCAGAGGGCCCTGTTGACTGTCTGGATGGCTGGAGATCTCTTGCCCGATCTGGAGGAATGCTTGCAATCGTGGGAGATCCAAGTCGGTTCCATCTGCCAGAGCCATCAGATCCGCGATGAAGTTGGCCATCTGCTCAAAAGCGTATGCGTCCGAAATGGTTTCAGGCGTGAGCGAAGAAAGAAACTGGACTATTTGCCTCATCACCGCTTGGCTGAAAGCGAAAACGGCAGGCGTACTAACGGCATCAATTTTCTTGTTCTTCGTCACGACTGCCGACCTTTCCAGGACTGAAAGGTCTTTCACTCCCAGAGACTCAGCCTTTTGTACCACTCGTCCCATCAATAGCTGCATCCTCGACGTGAGCATTCCAAGCTGCCAGATTCTGTGGTATGGTCTCAGCTGCTCGAGACCTTTCTGTTGGATAATGCTTGCGAAGTCAGGCTCATTCAGCAACCATAAGAATGGCTGCATGTTCCTAGGAAACGTCGCAGTATGCATGTCCATCTCAGACAACATAACACGCCAAAGAGGTGAACGAGAGTGCTGCATTTGCTGGAGCAACGCGTTATTCGCACTCAGTGACGCACTCAGGGCCGGGTTCAACAGATCGTGCGTCCCTACCCGAATGAGCTGTACGTCGTCGTGGTCCAGATTGTTGATATAGGCGTCGACCAGTTCTTCTGGGAGCTCGTCCCGCAAGGCCAGGTCGCGCAGCCGACTTAGTCTAGCACTCTCGTGATATCTGACTAACCCCACCGTCTCGTCCGGTCGCATGGGTTCAGAAATATAGACCTCTAGCGACCGATTGCGCATGGCACGCGACAATTCGCCATACTTGGGGTCCGTGGTCAAAAAGATGCGGAAAGCAGGATGCGGCCTGACGAGTCGAGGACCCGTGCCGTCGGTGCTGTGTTGTTCGCTTATCACAAGGTGACCGTCAGTCTCCAGTAAAGAGTTGAGTCGGTCCAGTACAGAGGCATTACACAAGTTGGCATTGTCAAGTACAACCCAAGACCCATCCTGAATGGCGTCGAGGAGAATGCCATCGTTCCAGACAAACTGTCGTTTGCGGGCCACAGTGTTGGCATCGACTAGTGACCGCAACTCAGTGACGAATGGCTGTAGCTTCGGCGAATTCAAGCCAGAAACAACGGTCAATAGCTGCCCAGGCAAAACATTCTCATCACCTGTAGTCGTCCATGCTTTCAATAGCGGGATCACACGGTCCACAGATATTTCCTGAGCCAGACCCTGTACGAGTGCCTCGTGCAGAACAGCGATCAATCGGTGACGGATAGCTTGCAGATTTCTGTCAGGATCATACTGCTCAAAGCCGCCAAGTAAATCTGTTGTGTCGATGTCTGCGTTCATTGAGAACTCCACCAGCTTGCTGCCACTCGTGGCGGCCAGACTACGAATCAGTTCGGTCTTGCCAACATTGACTGGGCCAGAGACGATGACAGGCCAACCAAACTGGAGCGCTGTCACGATGGATCGAGCTGCTGGTAGTCCTGACGGCGAAATAGCGTACGTGCCTGCGATGTGTTGTAATAAGTCATCACGTTGCAGAAGTGCGATGCCTATCTTGAGCTCGCTTCGGCTCAGCCTCGTGTAGGTGCTCACAGGAGGTGCATTGCCCTCGTTGTCCGCACGAACAGCTGCAAGGGCATCTTTTTGCTTCGTGGTTCGAAAACGGGAAGCCACGACAGTATCGAAGTGGTACATGGGATTGAGACCTGAGTGCTGTTTGGAAAGTGCAAGCCAGCGGCTAACATCGCGCAGGTTTACCTCCCACGGTCCACCTTCCTGAAAGAATGGCTGGTGGTGCATGATCTGATCTGACTCGGACACCACTCGGATGATTGTTGTCAGATGTTGTGGGTCGACTTCGGGATAGTTTGCCTTGCAGATCCGCATCAAATCTTCTTGTTCGAACGGATCTGCGTAGACTACTGTGAATCGATTGACGAAAGAAGCTGGCAGACCTTTGCGACCTCCGCCTTGATGGTGTGGATTTTGTGCTGCGAAGAGCCGAAAGTTGGGATGGCAGGAGAAAGTTCTGTCGAGCTCCGCAATATACGCTTCCTTTCGATGGTCAAGACAAGAATTCAGCCCTTCAAGCACAGACTGCGATGCAAGATTCATTTCGTCTAGCAAAACCCATGCACCATCTTGCATGGCTTGCAGCAGAGGGCCGTTCTGCCACGCGAAGTTTCCAAGGCCTTCGTTTGTGGTAGGAGCATCGGCGCCGAAGAGGTCCATGAGATCAGTCTGATCGGAAAGGTTGATGCGAGTAAGCTTCTGACCGACGACTTGAGCCAGTGCTGTGACTATGGCGGTCTTTCCGACACCCGGGTTGCCTTCCAGCAGAACCGGACGGTCAAGTTGCAGTGCACGGACGATGCGCATCATGTTTTTCAGAGTTGTCGGCGCATCGAAAACGAGCTCTGTTGGTGTCTTGATGCCGCTGTGCGCACGTCTCAGTCCAAATTGGCCGACACTGATGATGGCGTCTGTAGCGGACAGCTCTGGTCGTGCGTTGTACAGGTCCGCTACGTCGATAACAACAAGTTCCTGAAGAAATGCCAAACACTGTAGACGAGCATTGCTGATGTTGCCAATCGTCGAGGCTGTCATACCAGCAGGATTCGCACCAACGGAATCCAGAAACACCAGACTCGCACCATGGACGAATGCGTGCTCGGCCGGTAGCTGGTCCTGCGTGTCGATGAACTGTGTCCATGACAACAAGTCCCTCAAGGGTATGCTCGTGCTGCTGAGAGGATTGAATGTCGTCAGAAACCACTGGGTGAACTTGAGCATCAACGGGGCAAGGAACCTCGCTCTGTCCTTGAGCGACTTCTGGACTATTGGCAGCACGTCATTCTCCTGCGACAATGGCGGAACCCAGATCTCAGTCATTCGATTTCGTAAAGCCGCTGACAGCTCCCGCTTTCCATAGTCTCCGCCAGGATTCATCGTGGAGACAAATTGGAATTTAGGGTGAGCAACGACAACATTGTCAACGGAGCCCTTCTCAGCCAGGACAATCGTACGAGCAGGCTCCAGTACGCTATTGAGTCGTTCAAGCACCGAGTCATCCGCCAAAGAGATCTCGTCCAACAGGAAATGTTCGCCGAGCTTCATAGCGCGTACCAGACTTCCATCACTCCAGGCGAACAAAGATCGGTAGGCAGCGATCGCATCTCGTGCCTTTTTGACTGCTTCGGGCTTCAGTGTCTTGGTGTCGATGTGCGAGAACTTTGACATGAGGCTTTCCACGCCTCGATCGTCGTCCGTTAGAGCACCATTATTTGTCGACATCAAAGGCCTGATGCTGTCGAGGACATCGCTCTCGAGTTGGGCGTGAGAACGAACAGGCCGTTGAGAGCCGATCAGATCACCAGTCTCTGTATTGGTGTGCGCGTTGTAGATGTTGAGTGGTCTTCCGGAGGCTGCTGCCACAACCTGACATATCTGCGTTTTACCACAGCCTGTTGCCCCAACCAGGAGTACTGGCTCATTGTTTTTAAGTGCTTCGGAAACGAGCACATACAGACGCCTCATCGCTAACGTCCATACGATGTTGTCTGCTTCCTGCACCGCCGCAGGAAGGGCGTCAGCGCTGTATATATCGTCCGTCTCGAGCTTGATCTTCAGGGTCTCCTCGATCGCTTCTTTGACAAGTTCTCGCTCCGAGGGCTCTCTGACACGTTCCGCGAGGAGCATGAAGCCATGCTTTGCCAGTTGTTGACGATCATCGACAGGTCTCGATGCCCACCTGAAAAGGTCTCGCAAGGTCGCAAAGCTGTTTCGCTGCTCAAACAACCTCGACGATTGCCTGAGGAGTGACAACTTCTTGTACACAGCCACGATCTGTGTGCAAAACGACGGAGCAATTTGAGCACGCTCGCGTAGTATGATCTCGAGCTCGTCTTCCGGAATGTCGTCGAAATGAATCTCTAGGAAGCGGTTGCGGAATGCTCTTGAAAAGCGTTTGCGTCCACCGTAGAGTCCAGCCGGATTCTGTGTAGCAAAGAGCATGAAGTTCTTGTGTGGGCGGACAATCTGTTGTGTTTCAGGGATCAGAAGCTCTCGATTGTCGTCCAGTAGCCGATTTAAAGCCTCAAGCACATCGCTTGGAGCCAGATTGAGTTCGTCGAGCACGAGCCAGTGACCATGACGGAGAGCGCTGACAAGCACTCCTTCTTTGAAACGCAGCTTTCCGTCATCGTCTGACCCATAACTTCCCAGGTACTCCTGCAAATCTGTATGCTCGTGGTTGTTGATCCTGATAAACTCGTTGCCGGACAGCCTGGCGAGATATTCGACCATGCTAGTCTTGCCAGCAGAGGTGGGTCCCTGCAGTAATATAGGAAACCGTCGCATGGAGCAGCACGTGCCAGGTTCATGAGGTTGCGCTCTACCGAAGGCGTACGAATATAGTTGGGTTGGAGGTCGGGACTATTCGAGCCCTTACTGATCAAATGGTGGCGAAACGCGACGAACTCGCCTTCGACATGGGCTAAATTGGGCTGCTGTGCTAGGAAAGATTTGACATTCTTGATACTGGACAATAAGTGCTTCTCGACGACCGGAAAGCACAAAGCTTCTGAGTCGCGACTCAGGGCGGTGAAGAAGCTCATGGCGAATCCTTCATACATGCTGCGGCGGATGCCGTGGCTTCGACCGTGTTCAATGACATACATCAGACAACGGACGAGGGAACGTATGCTGAAGTGCGGGGCGTCACCAGCACCATCAGTCAAGCGGTGTTCCCAGTTGAGCTGCTGTACTCCAAGGTACGTACGAGCGAGGTCCAGTGCGGCTCTCTTGTCGCTGCTCAAGATTGCGCCGAGATATGACTGGATGATCCGCACCAGATCTTCTGCGTTCTCGTCACCAGAGTACACAAATAACTCTGTAAAGCGTGCTCTTAGCGAAAGTGGAAGATCCTTCTTGCCAGCATCGGTGGCTGGATTCATGGCGGCAAAAAGTCTGAAATTTGGATGAGCAACGATCTTTTCGACATTGCCGGCTTCTGCAAGCAATATCGAAGGGCGTGCGCCGTTCGCATCGCCCAGCAATGATGCGATATGGTCGAGTGTATCGGAAGAAGCAAGATTGATTTCATCAAGGAGCAGCCACTCGCCATGCCGCACGGCTTGGACCAGACGACCCTCGACAAAAGCGAACGCCTGACTGTCTTCACTTTTTCCGATCTGGCTCTGAAGCTTCTTCAAATCGTTGTCGAACAGCAGCCACCTCTCGCGCAGGCTCTCGCGCTTCGGGTTGTCGAGCCTACGCTTCTTTGCGGCAGGCTCTCGGAATGGTTGCGGTTGTTGAGGATCAAGTGGTTTGTTCAGAGCCGCATTAGCGGTCTGTATAGCTTCGTGGAAGAGCTTGAGAAGTCGAGCCCAACTCTGCTTAGAAACCGCCTTGTTCACTGCGGACTGGAATTTCTCGTTGCGGCTGGCCGAGAAGGTATCGCTGAACAAGGCAGAAAATGTCTCAACCAGCGGCACCACAAGAGACTCCGCTGTGACAGGCTTCAGCCCGCCCAGGAGATCTGATACTTCACTCTGTTGTGAGAGATTCACCACAGTCAAGCTCTGACCAACCAAGCTTGCGATGTGCTGGACTAGCGATGTTTTCCCAACACCAGTCTCGCCAACCAGTAAGCAAGGCTCGTAGAAATCAATGCTAGCTGCGATGCCCTCCAGACCACGTCGAGAAGCTGTAGTATTTGCGAACGGCTTTCGCTTGCTATGGCTGTTGCGGCCAGGAAGCTTCGTTATCGTGCTTCGTCCAACTCTCAGAGACAGCGAGTCTTCGGTGACGATATTTTCGATTGGGCTGTTGTAGAATTCGACTTGACTGGAAGAAATGTTCATGGCCTTGGCAATCAACATGGCTATCTTGTTGTACAACACTGGCTCGCTGAGATGGGCTGCATAGCAGTCGAGACCATCCTTAAATGTGTTCCCAGCGAAGTTCTCTGGGATCGCTGTGCCGTTGCCGAGCACAGTATCACTGTCTTGAAGTCTGCGGGCGGTCCGCTGGCACCATTTCAGGAGGTCTCTGAGCGCTGGAGGCCGGCCTTGGGCAGCTTTGAAAGCAGGATCGTGACGATACAAGTCTATCAGGCTCTCATGTACTCCGAAGACATTTGCACTTATGGGTTTAAGCGCGGAAAACCGTCCAACAACTATCTCTTCTACCTCACTGATCGCGTATGACTCAAACATCATGGAAGACCATAGACGTTTGCTGGTCAGCCACGCATGGCGCGAGGATATTGACTGAGAGTTCTCGGAGGAGGCGCGTATGGTCGCAATAATACGAAAACCGTCAGCGGCCTTGACACGTTTTCGCTGGTTAGGAATGAACAGCGACCCATTCTCAACGAGAGGTCGAAGGACACCAAGAACTTCTGCTGGTGCCCGATCGATGTCTTCTATCAGAACCCAATGACCCTGCTGGACAGCGGTCGTCAGCACACCAGGCTGCCAGACGAAGGAGCCATCCTTGGTTGAAGTAGTGTAGATGCCGATCAGAGACTTGGCGTCTGTCTGTTCGTTCAGATGGAGTGTTATTAGTGAGGCCTCTTTGTTGAGCAGTCGAGCTGCTTCCATGATGACAGACGTTTTACCACTGCCTGGCGCACCTGCGACTAGCACAGGCTTCGCGCGGAGCAGCTGCTGTCCAAATTGTGAGATGTTGGACAACGACGTCTCAGTGGTGACAAAGTGGCTGCGGCTGTTCGAGAGTGCGGCACCTCTTAGCAGTGTGACTCCACCGACCAAAGCAGTACGAGCGTTGAGGTCGCTCTGAGACATAGACTTGCTGACTATCATCGAAGATGTCCGAGCACGGAGACCTTGGCAGGTCTCGACGGCAGCGGCAAGTTTTGACCAACGCTTTTCTTCCCATAGCTTCAGCAATCGGTAGTCAACACTAGTGCCCTCCCATCGTACAAACACGGGATCATCGCCGACGTAAGTGCTCAATAGCTTTTCGCAGTAGGCGTCAGCCATGTGCATGACCAGGCAAAGGCATTCTATCGCAAGGACTCGAATCGCTCGAGATGCATGATTCAAAAAGGTGGTTAGAAACGCTGGAGGGAACAGTCCATCGAAACTGTCCCGATCGAAAGATAGCAGCCGAAAGCTCGCCTGCAATAACAACAGCGTCTGGCCGTCGTCGACAGTCCTCGATGATGCGTCGAAGACATGGCGTAGGCTTCTTCTCGACAAGATTCCGTGCACCAGTGGTTTGAGATGAATTGCCAATGGAAGGACTGCGGCAAGCGCGTTCAAGGTGAGAATGGTGTCATCGAGATTGTCGAGACCAGCATCCAACCATCGTACTGCAATGTCTGGATATATGGGTTCGTAGAGAGCGAAGAGGCTTTCGATTGAGCCTGGCGACCGGGCAAACGATGAAATAGCACCCAAATACTGTGAAGTCGTTCCAGAGACCACTCTCAATATTTCTGTCCGTATCTCGACCGGCAGTCGGAAGTCGACGATTGTTGTTTCTAGCTGACTATCAGCCAGGCGCAGCTTCTGTTGAAGTCGTCCATACCTGCACATGTACATGTCCAAGTCGTTCCTGCTTCGCGACGAAAAGTTCAAGTTGCCTTCGAGATCCTTGGCAGAAAATTTAGAGTTTACAATTTCGAGATCTACGAAGCTACTGAGTCTTGGCTTTCCGATGGGGGCGGGATCGAAAAGCCGGGAGACATTTCGCACCTTCCTCTTTCGCTGCAAACACATCAACGTCACTGCCCTTGGCATCCTAGGTCTACTCGTGCTAGCGGCACGGTTATCTCAACTTGAATGCAACGACTTGGCGCAAATGAGGGGCGGAGAAGCTCGTCTACAAGATAAAGGCGTCATCGAGGAGGTCGGGTAATCGTATATAACGATGTAGCTCGCCAGAGGTCAATGTTATAAGTCCAAGAAGGTGGCTGTTTTGTTAAGTCACCAAGTCACTGCAGAACAATATGCCCCATCTGCTACTAACCGCTTTGACGGCATCTGCCCTCGCTCTTGCTACACCGTTGACTTCACGAAACCCAGTGAAGCGCAATGAGCCCCAATATCCAATACTGACCTGCGAAGCCGCTAGCTGGCCGACTACAGAATTGCCCAAGTACATCACGCCTCAATTGCCGGATGCGGACCTTCAGGACCTAATTTCCCAGATCAATCCTGACAACATCTACGCCAACATTGAGAAACTTGTCTCATTTGGCACGCGACACACGCTTTCCAGCCAGACTGACCCGAATCGCGGAATAGGAGCAGCTCGATCATGGCTGAAGTCTAAATACGAGGAGTACGCCGAGGCGAGCAATGGACGGATGACTGTGAGCCTCGAAGGGTATGAGCAGCAGCCGGACGGAGATCGAGTACTTTTCCCAGTCCTGATTCAAGATGTGGTGGCGACTCTGAAAGGGAGCGAAGAGCCTGATCGCTATTACCTGATCTCTGGGCATTACGACTCGCGGCGAAGCGATCCTAACGACTATGAAGGTGACGCGCCGGGGGCAGACGATGAGTACGTTTAAGCCACTTCTACAATTACAAACAAATGAGAAACTGACTGGAGATAGCGCATCTGGGGTGGCTGTTTCACTGGAGTTGGCCCGAGTCTTTGCCCTGGCACCCACTCCACCACGAGCAACCATCATTTTCGTTGCTGTCGCTGGTGAGGAGCAAAACCTGTATGGCGCCAACTACCTTGCCGAAACGTTCCGCAACACTTCGCGAAACCTTGCAGGTATGCTCAATTGCGACACCGTTGGCAGCTATACCGGTGACGATGGCTACGAGGATCCCCACGTCATTCGTGTATTCGCTGAAGGTCCACCTTTGACGGAGAACGCTACTGTCCGCGCGCAACGCTTGTCCATCGGCGGAGAGAACGACTCTCCGGCACGAAACCTGGCACGCTTTATCCATGAGGTTTCAGAGAACGAGTATACGGAGATGAACGTTAGTGTGATCTACCGACTCGACCGATTCCTCCGGGGCGGCGATCACCGGCCTTTCCTTCAGAATGGCTTCAGCGCTGTGCGATTCACTGAGCCACATGAGGTTTATGAGCATCAGCACAATGATGTACGAGTCGAGGACGGTGTGCAGTACGGCGATCTCATCGAGTACGTAGACAAGGACTACACGGCTCGCGTCGCCAGAGTCAACGCCGCTGCGTTGTGGAGCTTGAGCCAGGCGCCCGGCGAGCCAACGAGCGTGTATGTGAATACGACAGCACTGGACAATGACAGTCAATTTGTGTGGAGCCCGCCAGTCGACGGAGACGAGGGTGTGGACAGCTATGAAGTGGTTTGGAGGCCGACAAACGCGCCTTTCTGGACTAACAGTGTCGATGTTGGGAAGACCGACTCTGCAGTTGTGCCTCTCAGTAAGGACAATGTCATCTTCGGGATCAGGAGTGTTCGAGCAGGATATAAGAGCCCGGCTGTGCTCCCATTCCCTTTACCGGTGGCGGACTAGAACATGGGAGCTTCCACAAGCCAGTCATGCTGGAGTTGAAGGAATCGGTGGACGCGTGAAAAGCATGGTTGGACAGTTCTCTCGTGTCAGGTAGCCGGTTATCTGAGCTCCGCAATATACGTACTCAAGTATCTGGTCAAGTCGCATCCAGCTTGGCGTTTGTAGTGGACTCACACCAATGTGCGGCTCAGATGAAACCAACTCTGGACTCGTTATGGCTACTGCTTCTTTCGTCCGTAAAAGACACCCATGTGAAATGTGAACCACGCACCACCTGCAAGGTCCTTCTCGATCTCATGCATCAGCCCAGCCAGACCACCGCTATGCACCTCGCTCACATCCCCAAACCCGGCATCTTCTCTCGCCTGCAGCATATGAGATATAGCTGTTGCGAAGATGGCTGTGGATCGTCTTCTACACTCGCCGCCATCGTCGTAGCGATCAAGAGCAAAGACATCCCTGTTCACAGACTCCAGTCCACCAACGGCGGGATCGGCCATCAGAGTATGCAAATTGAGGTAGCCATAAATACAATCCTGCACTCGTGCATTGTCGATGAGTAGCGCAGTCAAGCGGTCAAGAATCTGTGGTCGAAAGGGGGAAAAGCGCTCAATTTGGTCCGTCTCGGTCCGCATTTCCTTGACGGCACACAACGAAGCCTCTGCTGAACCAACAGGTGCTGCGCTTCTCATAGCGTGCCTCGATGCGACCCCAAAATCTGATTCAGCCCATTGCAACCAACCACCAGGCTTGAGAAGGGTGACCGCATTCTTTAGAGCTACAGCCCACTCGTCCCTGCGCATTTCACCTTGTATGGATGCTATGTGGACAATGTCAAAGTATCCGTGCCATCGAGCTTCGAAAGGCTTCTTGATGTCCGCCGTGTGTAGCCTGATATTAGCCGGAAGGGATGACTGGGGTGGGAACATCGTGTTTTCGATGTCAAAGCCATGTAGTTGGCTATCTGGGTGTACATGCTGGGCCAGTCCGAGAAGAAACGCAGCTGATCCGGTCCCCAAATCGGCAACATGTGTCGGAGAGGACGCGTCGAACGAGATGGCTGGATGGAAATAATACCCCTGGCAATTCAGCACTAAGCGGTGTTGCTGGTCAAGCCGCGCAGCCTCGGAAGGGTCGCGAGTGATCATGTAGTAGTCTGCTGGGATCCGCATACTTGGTACGCTATGGGTTTGAAGTGCTGCAAAGATAGAGAAGCCAATGTTCCCACGCAGCTCAGTGATGTGACATATCGGCGGAGGGCGCGCCTCGGACAACCTATATATTGCCGCATGTGCTCCAAATTGGACATTTCGGCCATCGTATATGCACATAGGCAAGTCTCATGGTCACCTATGATTCCCGATCAGGCTTGAAAGCGCGGAGGACTTAGCATGGCCTGAATTGTGAATCCACTGGGGCTACCTACCCGCCGGGCCTGTTTGTGGAACTACAGATCGCGTCAGCATTGCGACTTGGCAAGCCGTAGCTCAGTGCAGCCATCATCATGCGAACGCAGGTCAACCTTGTGACTGATTCGATGGTTTCTGGTATGGTGAAGATCAGCGATCGTATTCATGTCGAAGTCCAATAAAGAGGCTTTTTGGAAAATTGATCGCGTAAAATAATTGTGTCTGTAGGCACGGAGCGCATTATGTGCGACTCTGGGCTTAATCTGTTGAGACGCAGTAGACCGTCAGGGTGGACAACCTTCCAAGGTTGTCGTGTTGTTGTGCGCAAAGAGCAAGGTAGAGAACGTTTCGAACTCCACACTTCAAGTTGTCTCTACCAGAACGATGTGTGACGTCAGTAAAGAGGTGTGCCGGTGAAGTTGTTGGACGTCGGGGCCAGCATAAACAGGCCCAGACTAATAGTGTCTCCTCACTACTCAGTACCTTCTGGAGATGACACCAGCACTGGAGGCCATGACCTAGCGCATGCCAAGTACCATTTGGTGAAGAGGCATCAGCCACTACCTAGGTATACGTGGACTTGCGTGAGGCATCGATATCTGCATTTTGTATGCCGAAGCAAGGTTGTCATCATAAGAGAGGCGTACATAGAAGTCACCGCCTGTGTGTCCAGGTCTCGCGGTCGTCGGACTCGGACTGGTCGACAGACCAGCGCATCGTCCTCCGAGGCACGGTTCAACGGGAACCAGTGAGCAAATGCAATCCCTATGAGAATGTCACGCTTCTTTTTTCCACTCCCGACGTCTGCTGATCTTATCAGCGGCCTACCCACGATATCTGCGGGCCTGCGGCCCACGGTGAGAAGAGCTACTCAAGAATGCAAGGTCTGGACCTGGACCTGAGCTGAGTCACCTCGCCAATCACAAACCAGACGAAAGACGCCTCCGCAAATGCTTACTCGAATCAAGACGCTCAAGCTTCACCAAGCTTTGTGCTTAACTGCGATCTGACTTTGGCAGTGGGGATTGATAGAGCAGATCATTGGGAGAATGGACAGCTAGCTTGCCCTGTGGCTGGACCACCACGTTGCTACATGCAAATGATAAGCGATATGCTTCCCGTCCGCGCGTCTGAATGCCATAGCTGTGCCCAGCACCACTGTGTGGCCTCTAGGTGCCGCCGGCCTCATATTGCCACGCTTTCCACGGTGCATTCAGCGCGCTGCCATTTTCTCTTCCACAATCAATATCCCGGTCATCGTTCCCACACCACACGACTGAACGATGTCTTCCAACGAAGAAATCTCCGTTGCAAAATCGTCGGGTCATGCTCCTGAAAGTGGTCTACACCACCGTAGCGTAGGAAGCATTGAAGCTGCGTATGGCGGACGTCGTCAAACGATCCATGTCGACGATCTCGACGCGGCCGATCGAGCGCTTGCAGAACAGTTTGGTTACAAACCTGTCTTCAAACGTGAATTTGGCTACTTGTCAACGTTCTCCTTCGCGGTTTCGATCTCCGGCCTTTTCGCAACAGTCACCACAACTTTCTCAACGCCCCTCTATGGTGGAGGCGCGGCATCTGCTGTCTGGTGCTGGCTGATCTCTGGTGCGGGATGCATGTGTATAGCACTCAGCGTCGCTGAACTGGTGTCCGCCTATCCTACCTGTGGTGGCCTCTACTACACCATATCCCGACTTGCGCCAAAGGCCTGGGTTCCGTCCATCAGCTGGATCGACGGCTGGATCAATCTTCTCGGGCAGATCGCTGGGGTGGCCTCTAGCGAATATGGCTCCGCTCAAATCCTGCTCGCTGCAGTCAGCATGGGATCAGATTTCACCTACACTCCCACAGTCAACCAAACAGTCGGAGTTATGGCAGGCTTAACGGTCTTCTGCGGCGTAGTAAACTCACTGTCAACATACTGGATGGAGAAGATGACCAAGTTCTACGTGATCTTCCATGTCTGTGTGCTGGTCAGTTGCTGTATTGCACTTCTTGTCAAGACACCCGATAAACACGACGCTGGATATGTCTTCACTTACATCGAAGCTGACAGTGGGTGGACTCCAACCGGGTTCAGTTTTCTCTTGGGCTTCCTTTCCGTTTCTTGGACCATGACCGACTACGACGCCACGGCGCATATTACCGAAGAGATCAACGAGCCAGAGATCAAGGCTCCGTGGGCGATCTCCATGGCCATGCTGTTCACTTATGTCGCTGGCTTTCTCTTCAATATCGTACTTGCTTACTGCATGGGTGACCCCGCCAACATCGAAAGCAGTCCCATCGAGCAGCCTGTTGCACAGATCTACTACAACTCTCTTGGAAAGTCTGGCGGGATCGCATTCACCGTCTTTGCGTTCATCATCCTTCAATTTGTGTGCTTCACAGCCACTCAAGCACTTGCTCGGACCTTCTTTGCCTTCTCGCGCGACAGGCTCATCCCGGGCAGCAAGATCTGGACTAAGGTCAATCGCGTGTCCGGAACGCCTCTCTATGCTGTTTGGATCTCGGTATTCTGGTGTATTGCAATCAATTTGATTGCGTTGGGCTCATACACAGCTGCGCTGGGAGTGTTCAATGTGTGTGCGATCGCGCTAGACTGGTCTTACTGCATCCCGATTGCTTGTAAAGTCATCTTTGGCAAATTCGAGCCTGGTCCCTGGCATCTCGGGAAGTTCAGCACGGCCGTTAACATCTGGGCCTGCGTTTGGACTGCTTTCGTCAGCGTCATCTTCGTCTTCCCAGAAACAGTCCCGGTAACGCCACAAAACATGAACTGGGCGATCGTATATCTCGCCGGCATTTTTGCTGCGGCTGGAATCTATTGGTACATCTCGGGAAGGAAATTCTATACTGGACCTCTGGTCGTAAGTCTTATAACATTTCCTCATGTTGTTCCGCATCTGATATTTCTCTTAGGAAGCAGAAGTCACTGGCATCGAGCCTGGTCAGGACACCATGGGCGAGCGACAGCGCGCTCGAGCGTACGACGAGACTCACGAGCTGCCCAACGAAAAGGAATTCTTCCCACTCGAAAATGGGAGAGATCCCAGAGACCCGACTCAATGATGGAAAGTTGCGCATAGTCTGACAATGCATCAGAACGATGCCCTCCCGGTCCCAATCCTGCCGGGTTCGTTAGTTGCTTTCACTATGCAGCTTCTGGGGTTGTGCTCGTCAGAACTGTGCCTTCTTGGGAGACTCAATCAAATGATGACACTGTGTCACTTGCTGCTCCAGTCCCATGTCTGAATAGGCCTGTATCAGTGCACCGCTTGAGCTAGAGTATACTTCGTCCACAGATTAGATTCTCACGAACGTGTGTAATTAATAATGAATGAGGTAGTGTCATAGGGCAAGGTACCTCGACTTGGCTAATTACGTCGACAACGACAGCAAACCTGTGCGTAAAATTAGGGCGGACTACAAAGGCGGTTGCCTTCACTGTCTTATCACTCATCGTCCTTGCGGACATGCTGACTGCTGCGATATTGATTCAAACATGGGCTGAGCACCCTGTAAGCCTTCAGGACGTCCAATGACCACTGCGCACCAACGCGCAAACCACCCTCAGGATGCAAGGCTTCAATATGGGGCGGTACATCCCGCCAGAAGCCCTCGACCGCAGCCTCTCCCTGAACGCTGCCTCTGGCAAAGGCCACGCGCTTGGGAAACGCGCACGTCCATCTGGCGCTCTCGTCGTGCGCTTCGAGCTTCCCTTCGCAGTCTGGTGTACTACCTGCGACCCTGAGCAGATCATCGGGCAGGGTGTCCGATTCAATGCTGAGAAGACCAAAGTTGGCAATTATTACAGCACACCGATCTGGGCATTTCGCTTCAAGCATACTGTATGCTGTGGGACCATCGAGGTGCGGACGGATCCTAAAGCGGCGGAGTATGTGGTCACTGAAGGAGGACGGAGAAGAGACTACGGAACGATCAAGGAGGAGCAGTGGGGCGTGTTGGCGGACGGTAAGGCGAGCGAGGCGGAGAAGGAGCGCCTAGAAAAGGAGGGTGGTTTCGCAGTTTTGGAGAAGGTGAAAGATGAGAAGGCGGAGAAGCTGACAGCGAGTAGGAGGGTGCAGGAGTTGTGGGAGGATGGTCTTTTGAAGTGGGGAGATCCTTACGAGAGGAGTCGGGCTCTGCGCAGGGAGTTCAGAGTGGGCCGGAGGAAGAGGCAGGAAGACGCAAGGACGGGAGGAGCGCTGGCCGAACGATATGCACTAGGTCTCGAGATGCTTCCGCTTCAGGACGGCGATGCGGAGGCAGCAAAGGAGATTGACTTCGGTGGGGACCTTGAGACTGTGCGAACCGAGACAAAGCCACTATTCCGAGCGAAAGATGGGCAACAAACGTCCGCTCAGCCGGACAACGCCCTGGTAAAGTCGGGCTCATCCAGCAAGCACAGTCCGCAGGCAGCCCAGCGAAAGGCGAAGCTACTGGATGCACTGAAAGGCAACACGCGTCCCAAGCACAGCCCATTCCTTGATCACACAGTCGGGACTGTCTGGGCGCCACAGGTAAAGCGACGGAGGCAACAACAGGTCACGTCGAATAAGGCCGCTGATGACCCAGCATCGTCTCACCACACACACGACACGGTTGCGGATGCAGACACGCAGCTTCTGCGGAAGAGAGAAGCGACCGATACCAATTCACAACAGACAAACGCCCCCGTTGGTCTTGTTGCGTATGACTCCGACAGCAGCTGATGCTGTGATGGATTTACGAGGTTATGATGATACGAGACCCATGTCACTTCATAGTTCCATGATACCCCGAGCAATGCTCACGACTTTGACTGCCTTTCTTCAGAAGAACCTCCCAGCCTGGTCATTCAAGTTGTTCCCTGACTTCTCGTGACTTTGGCTTGCTCGATGGACATGAACGGTCAGACTTCTTGCGGACACTTCTTGCTCGCACACCATCTAATTCGGTGGCGACAAAAGAAACTCGCCGTTCCTCCGGCATCCAGCTCCAAGATTCGAGCAGTCTGGTGTCATTTGGGCCTAGAATGATCCAGTCTCGCAGCCTGGGCCAGGGGAAATGGAGACTGTTCTCAGGATCTGCTTGTGGGCGTGAATGCTGTACGTTGACCGTAGCAGACCTCTCACTGTTCATCACTCTTCGCAAGCAAACGCTCAACAGCAGCAACTTTGTCCTCCATGCTCTGTGCCTTGTCCGTCCGGGAGCCAGCCCTGATGTCGGTCTGAACCCGTACTACGCCACGCGCATGCAGCATCGAGTGGCATTGCCCTATCACCCGCATTACCGTGTCCCAGGAACCTTCTGCTCGGCCAAAAACAGTCAGCGCTGAACTATCAAGAAATAGCTTCGTGCGTCAAGCACATAGCGTAGCGCTGATGGAAGGGCGAACTCTGGAGTGGTACGAACCCAGAGTGGTCCCAGCAGAATGCATAGAATACTTCACTCCGGATACCTTCAACAATTTCTGTACCTCAGCGATCTCGGCGGAAACAGATGCCGTCGGCGTGCCGATTGGGATGAGGCAGAAGTCAGCTGTACATTTTGGCGGTGTCGCGAGTTGGGACAGGTCATCCTGAGTTGTGGACGCCATCATGAACCAGTGAGACGCCAGGGTAGAGATCAATGCATTTGGAGGAGAGATATCAGATGCAAGTTGTGTCGACTCAAGCTTTCCGTTCGTGTAAGTGGGGTATAGGTAGTGGGGGCCCGGGTGTCCGGGTTATGGTATGGCAACGGGGTCTAAGCCTAGAAACGTCGTGCATTGCTCACCACGAGGACGTGCATTAGGCTTCTATGTAGTATACATGGTATTCAGGGCTGCTCAGTCTTCTCATACCTCCGGACACTCTGGCCTATGCTAGATCGATGTGCTTCGGTCATATCAAGAGCACATCTCGCAACACCTCACTAAAAAGGCTCCAATCGGAGCTCGTGTCACTCGACCAGAACTCCTCGACCGCCCTTCTCACATGGCTGACCATGCCAAACGCTTGAACCAGGCCACTGCCTTCCAAGACTGCCAGGACTGTGCCAAAGGCAATTTTCATGGGTCGTTGTTGCGTATCGCAACGTCGTATGCTCAGTCCGGTCACACAGATCGGCCAAGCCATGCTCCTTAGCCAGGCTGGTGTTTCTTTGTCAGATTCCCAATCATCACATATAATTACAAGCAGGCCAACAGCCTCGAGAGCCACTGCACAGAAATGTTCTCGTGATCCAGTCTGGGTCTGCTCGGTTAATCCCAAAGTGAGCGCGAGATACAACCAGGCAGCTCGCGCCCAAATGCGATTGATGAGGAAAAGCACTTCAGTCGACGGTGTAGGCAGTACACTGCTCAAGATAGTTCGGCAGGAAGTCCTGGAGAGCACATCCTTTGTTGTAGCTTGAACGTTTGACGCGGCGTCGAGGTTGTCGATTGCAGCCCGAATGCGCTTTTCTAGCCCGGGGACTCGAGCCACAAGCCCCATTCCAGCCTTCTTGCCTTGATCGCACCTCTGCAACGACGTCGCGGCATCTGATGTAGCGATTTCGGCGATCAAGAGAAGCGTGCTGTTCGAGACGCCAAAGTAGCGCAGTAAATCAAGTCGTGGCGAGCTTGACGGCGGGTGGTCAAGTTGAGATAATACCTGATGAGCTCCGCCGGATTCAAGTAGGATGTCATCATAATGTGCCGCGAATCTGGGCGTTCTTCGAAGAGTGGAAGCAGCGATTATATCAGCGAAGATCAGTAGTGCAGTATGAAAGCGATACGATGCCTGGAGAGGCGTCCAAAGCGGTGGATGCGGTTTCGAGAAGCTTATAGTTACGTTCAATTGGTCAATGATCTGACTGAATGCATCTCCTGTCTCACCACCAGTGGTGCTGCTGACTGGGCGGAGTAGAGAAGCACCAGCTTGTAAGATGTCAATCGACAGCGAGATTGCCGCGTCCAGGTGTGCTTTCCAGCTGTTATGCCCAAGATATGACTCCACGGACAGGAGTTGAACAGTATTGGCGAGGACCTTCGACCTTTCCAGTAAGTCCTGTGGAGAAGAAAACGTCGTTATGATGGTCTGCAGATCCCTTTGTGCAGTCTGTAAAGCAATCTCTGTCTGAGTATGGATCAAATCCCGGTCCAGTGCAACACAGACATACTGATCTGAACCAGGAGTTGTCTCAGCTGTGCTCATGACATGAGTAGCTAGAGCCACAACGACATGACGGAGGCAGTCGTGGCTCAGGGCGATGGGAAGCAGCCAGCAACGAGCTCCTTCAGCAATGACTGGTCGGTAGAATGGGTAAAGGATCGGAAAGATATGGTCGAGGTAGGACATGAGCATGACATGTTCGAGCATAAAGTGCGGATCTGCAAAATTGTACGACGTCTTGTTCCCACGAGGAGAACTGTGAGCTGCATTTCCAGTGACATCGTCTGCGTCAGCGCGCGGAGGACGCTTTTGCTTGAAGTTGCAACCTGGGGGAAATTGAGCGACAACAGGCCGGTCGGCGGAAGAGGGTGAAGCAGTCCGAGCTGACACCACAACAGAGCAGGTCTCTGGGACAGATGCTTGTCCGTTGTCGCGCGACCGTCGGCGGCTTGCGTTCCGCTTGATTTGCGCCTTGACATCTATGGCTCTCAAACCCTGCTTGAGGCCGTTGTCCATCCAATCTGGCCTAGTAGGCTGAAAGCAGCACTCGATTTGTAAGGCAGCACATGATCTGCAAGGCCGCGCGCCATCGCACTTTTTACGCCGGAGCCGACAAGTCCAGCAGCCCGTTGAGCGGCCTTTGTTGGTCATCGCAATACCGAGGTGGAATGGTATTCAATTTGAAAGCGCATTAGCGGAAACGGCCGGGATGCATGATGAAGGTCAGAGAAAGTCTGGTAGATGCGCGCGGGAAAAGTTGCGCGCGCAAAATTCCTTGGCAGTTTTGGGCCGGCCATTGATCCGAAGCCCGAACGCATGGTGGGTGGTTGAATTGGGAATCAGCCAAGTGTAGTGCTCTGAGACGGCCTGTCAATGTGCAGACGTATATATGGCCCTGAAGATCCGCCCATTCCTCGACGGAACTGTGCTCTCTGTGCAATACGTGAACTTCACAGAACGGCGATTGTCTTTGAAGCAATGGCAGGGCCGAAAATTCTTGTATTGGGCGCGACTGGACCGACTGGCATCAACGTCCTCCGCGAGCTCATTCATCGCCAAGTCCACGCCGTAGTCTACGCTCGCAGTCCATCGAAGATACCGACAGAGTTGTCGTCTAGTCCGTTTGTCGAGGTAAGTCTCCTGGCGATGTAGGTTTTCTGCTACAGCTGATACCTTGGCTAGATCATTCAGGGAGAGTTCGAGAAGTCTGACGAACCTGCTCTGTCCCGCGCCATGGCGGAGTGTAAGGCAGTGATATCACTGCTTGGACCTGTCCTCGGAGACAAACTGACACCGACGGTCTTCGCCGACATATATACTCAGCAGATTGTGCCATTGATGGTGAAACACTCCGTGTCGCGCATCCTCGCCATGGGCACGATCTCAATTTCGCGTCCAGAAGATTCGTTTCACTTCCTCCGTTGGCTGAACTCGCTGCTTATCAAACTGCTGTTTGGTACTGCACAGAAGAACATGTTCGCCATCGAAGACGCCTTCGATAAAGGTGACAAAGACGTTCAGGGCCTGGACTGGACTGTATACCGGATGGGTTGGGCAATTGGTGGCTGTAAGCATGCTGACTGGTTGAAGGACAGGGATAATGGGGAGATGTTCGCAGGCGCTGTTGGTGCAGAGGGCTTTACCATGGTTCTCAGAAGGGCGCAGCTGGCGAGGTGGCTTGTAGACGTTGCGACGGACGAGGCGCCGAAGTTCTCTCGTCAGATGCCTGCCGTGAGTCGCCTAGCTGGGAGCAATAAGAGAAAATTGGCTTGACGACAGCGCAGCGTGACTTACTTGGGCAATCGTGGCGAAGACAACGCGTCAAAGTCTTCCTCAATATTCCTTATGCCAGTTGGATTTTTGCCTCGAGCAGCCCAATCTGCTTCAAAAACATGCCACACGATGTTCAGAAACTGTGTCGATAGCTGTGTGCAAGGCTTGGTGAGACAAACAGGTGTCGGAGAAAATATGGACGCAACCATTCGCCTGCCTTGGCGCCTATCAATCCTCGTCATCCGGCCTGTCTTGCGTCTGTTCGAGTCATACAGTTCGATTGATGCATGGCACTGCTTCGAATATATATATATATAGGCAGCTTAGAAGTCATGCACCCGACCACCGCTCAGGAAGCAACAATGTAAAGCACTCTTCGCCCACCACTGGTGAGTCAAGCCTAGAGCAGCCCGTACAACTTCCAGCCGACCTTCTCGGTACACTGCTTCCAGCTCTGTTCCTGCTCGCAATACGCATGCCACTTCTCGACCTCCTGCCACCGGCCCTTTCCACCATTCTCCAATCCCTGCAAGCTCAGTTCTCGATTGTAGATCAATTGTACCGAAAAAAGCATTGCCATCTCTGCCGCCGACAATCTACCTCCAACCAGGAATTTCCCTCCCGAGTCGTGAACTTTGGCGAGGTGGTCGTCAAGGTGTGTGAGTGCATTGTGTAGATTGACAGACATCACCTTATTCATTTGCGCCCAGACCTCGGCACGATTGGGGAGATCTTTTGGTAGACGCGAGCGCGCGTACATGATCTGTAGAACTGGACGTCAGCATGGTCTCGTCGTTACAGTTGTTGGGCAACGCACAGAAATCCCATGCATCAGGTACGTTCCCTCACTTGCAGCAATCCACTCGCGAATCTTGCACCTCTCCCTCTCACCCCAGCCCTCTCCCTTTGCTCCATGCTTGGGCATTAAAAGACTAGCATCATCATATTTCTCACATAGATATTCGATGATTGCGCCAGACTCCTGTAAGACAAGGTCACCGTCGACTAGGGTAGGGGACTTTTTGTGCGGGGAGGGAATCTTGTCCTTGAGCTCCTGCGGTGCGACGCCTGTGTTCGGATCACGCTCGGAGCAAACAGCATTGTATGATAAAGACAGAGCGGCAAGCGTCCAGGCAACACGTACAGCGCGCGAGGCGTTGAGATGGTAGAGTGTGAGTTGTGGTTGAGCCGGCATTGCGGCAGCTCGGGTAAGGTGTCAGTAAGACGTTGGTGTACTCAGCTTGATGTGTTCCAATGCACGGGAAGGTCACAATTTGGGAGAGCTACATTATGCGCATACATTACTCTTGGTGCGCGTGAGATCGGGTGAGGGGAATCAACCTGAAATCGGAGCTTCGTCATCGGAACCAGATTCGGGAGTTTAGTATGACGGGAGAGAACAGCAGCAGGCGATGGCTCTGGGTCGGTCCTGAGCTCGACCTCCGTTTTTGAGAAATCATGGTGTTCCTCTGGACGATGCAAGCCTCTGCGCAGGTCCGATGCAGACATGAACATCTGCAAAGATGTCTTCAATTGCCTCAGAGTGAAATTGATTGCCTAAATGGCCGGAATGCGGGGTGGAGGTCACGTGGCCTGCTGTATGAAGGGAGCTTCGGACTCCTTGCCAACGCGTTTGCAGCATCCATGGTGTATGTCCCTTTGTAAGCTTGCGATGGGTACCTGATGGCGGGCCCTTGCATCGGAGACCAGCTCTCAAGACGTGATGTGACAGTAATGCAGCAACCCGTCCCAAGTGTGTGGTTCTCAGGTCGTACACCTGCGTCTCCGGCAATGTTTGGCGCAGGAGAAAGACGGAATCCGAGTAACATGTCGACAGGCACTGAACCACCGGGGAACGCGATCAAGCATGCCTGGACTGCCTACGGACTATCGTGTCTGTTCTTGAATTGTTTGCCGGGACTGATGAGGATCCCAAATATCTGAAGTCTGGACGATTGACAAATCTTCGTTCGTTCCACGTGTAGACTTGGCTCGAGAACTTACCACGACGATGGGCCCAAGCCGATCTGATCTAATGTGGCTCAGGGGTAAACCTAGGTATGTTTGAGACACGTGTTGTACTTGCCTTTGTTGTGCAGACCTTCAATATCGTCAGGTAAGATCTACTATGGTAGGTTAGATTGGTAGAATACACCTTCTGAGGTGGACCTCGAGAGAAGTCTTCTAGACTCTTTCCCAGTTGAGCCGGACGAGTTCCTGAAAACAGGAGATGGTGGGGTTCAGATCTTCCGCAACTTTTTCAGACGAGGTTGTGAGATAGATCCCGGGGGACTCACCTAGGCACAGGCTCATCGTACAGGCTCATTGTCGGGAAAAGGTGTGCTACTTACGATTCGTGGATGTGACTGCATGCGCGCGTCTCACAGTAATCCTCAACGATATTCCACATGCAGCAAACTTTGAATCGCCACCCTGGGGTGTGCATGCATCCCATGCGAGGCAGACAAAGGTGTCCGGGAATCTGGGCCGAAGAACTGCCTGGATGTGGGAACGGGGTCAACGGCTCCCAGATTTCTGCACAGCAACACAGATGATGGAGCAAAGGGAGAATGTGAAGCAAATTTTCCTCACATCTGACATTTTGCACCGGCGGAGAAATTTTCGAGCACGAAGAAATCATGAGGATGTGAAATGGAGGTCGATTCAGCAAGTCATCGAAAATTCGGGCATAGAACGGGGCTCCAAAACAATAGTTCAGTGTGGGCTCCTACTACCTGCACGGCTATGATGCCGGCGTGACAATTTCTCACCACGAGTAAACGAAGCTTCGCAGTCGCAGCAGTGAGCTTTTGAGCACCAAGATGATTGCTGGCAAACCCATAACTACCCAGAAAGTCCATCAAGACTCTCATATCCCCCAGAGTACACCGCACAGCCCGGAGCAGGAGCATCCGGCGTCGTCGGAGTATTCAAGAGGTCACATCATATGGATACTCCCGTGTTTCCTACCTTCGTTGATGCTTCCATGCAGCCAGCTCTGCGCCATGAATGCATTCTAAGTTTTATGGCCTATAAGCTCGTTAAGTTTTCATGTGAATGCCGGGATCCGTAGACGAAGTAACTCGGCTACGGTCATCATGCACAGCAGAGTTTGGGGAGCGGCTGACTGCTCATTTGTGTCGTCTCCTCCAGAGAGTCTCCCCTCGAATAGACCGAGTCGCGGGCATCGCGATTGACCTTCGATGTCGTATCAAATTCCGAAGTCAAGGACACAGATGCGACCTCAATCTCATCATCCCAACTTTCACATGTTGATCTAGCTTCTTGGGTGCCTGACGCTCGGTAAGCCGGCCAGGGACTCGCCTAGCAACGTGTCCGTGCTAAAAAGGCCAACCCCTGCCACAAATTGTAACACGAGACAGCGTCGCACACAGCGAAAGGGGATCGAGCAATTGAGAGCATGTCTAGGCAATATTGGTGAATGATTGGATTTGAAGCCTGACAGACAGCGCATACACGGACCGCGACAAGTTGTGAGGTAGGAGTGACGCCGCCTCAAAAGATCTGTGATCAGATGATCACTTGGACTCAATTTGGCTTGATCCTGAAACCGCAACCATCGATTGGTCATCGAAGATCCGGCTTGAGCTGAGCCGTAGATCGCCAGAAAGCCTTGACTCGTCTTGACCTCTAAGAACACCGTCGTCCTCGCCTCGTATTTCCTATCCCACAAAATGCTGTGTGTAATGGCTTCATCACCATCTATGTCGGACGGACTCCGTCGATGGTTTCGTCGTCCTACAAACAGATCTTCTATTGTTCTTTTTGACCTCGGTTGCCTCTGTGAATCCAGATTGACAGCACTACATTCCACAACGTTGCAGCGAGCAACGAGCCTCCCTCTCCACAATCGAGTGTGTTAAGCTCGATTCGTACATCTCGACCGGCTGGATGACCGGCTCCGACCATTCAGCTGACAGCAAGTGGCCCTGCATGGAAGACATCCCTGCTCTGCGATACCACCACCCCCGCCACTGCAATCCCCACATCTCAGTCAAAGTCTGCGTCCAGGCATGCACTAGCAGTATTAGCTGGAGAAACCTAACGCCATTCGATGACCGTCAATATTGTCGCCCCTCTCAATGCCGCGACCATGTTCCTTTCGCGAACTCCGGGGCGCTTGAGACAGCGTGACCGAAGCTTTACTGAAGGAAAATTCTGCCTCATGCTCTAGACTCGAAAGGCAGTCACTCGAATGTTTTTGCCCCATCTGGCACACGCCTTTCCACCAGTGAGGTCGCAACTGCTTCAGGTGAAAGTGGTAGCGTGACATGCATGGTCGCGCCTGCCTCCTTCAAGACTGCATCATTGACAGGTACATATTTCGCTTGCCATCCACTCCAGATTCTCCGTCTTCCTTCTCCTCGTCCCCTCGATACTTCCCCTCTGTGAGGCGTGTGCACCTAATTCACCTACATTTGGATAACCTCATACGATATCCTAATTAGTCACAACATCCAGCATGGAGAAAGAACATGAGGCGGTCGCTGACCACTCCACCCAGCAGCGCGTTGGGTCGGTCCAGCTGCACACCACCAGCGATGTCACACGTGTTGAGGCACCGGTGACCTGGAAGGCATACCTCATCTGCGCCTTTGCGTCGTTCGGTGGTATCTTCTTCGGGTATGACTCCGGTTACATCAACGGTGTCCTCGGCTCCGCCATCTTCATCCGCGAAGTTGAAGGCGCAGACCGTGACCCCGCCGACGGTGTCTCCTCTTCCCACCAATCGCTTATCGTCTCTATCCTGTCGGCCGGTACCTTCTTTGGCGCCATCATTGCTGGCGATGTCGCTGACATGATCGGTCGCAAATGGACTGTCATCGCTGGCTGCGTTATCTACCTTATCGGTGTGGTCATTCAGATGCTCACTGGACCTGAAGTCGACTCGCTTGGCGCAATCGTGGCTGGCCGTGTCATTGCTGGCTTGGGTGTCGGCTTCGAGTCCGCCATCGTTATCCTTTACATGTCCGAGATTGTAAGTCGACTCGCTATATTCTTGGGAAGACGAAATAGACTAACCACGGATTACAGTGCCCCCGCAAAGTTCGTGGCGCTTTGGTCGCTGGATACCAATTCTGCATCACCATCGGCATCCTGTTGGCATCTGTTGTCGTCTATGCTACCAAAGACCGCAACGATACAGGTGCTTACCGCATCCCAATCGCCATTCAGTTCCCATGGGGCCTGATCCTCGGTGGTGGTCTCTTCTTCCTCCCAGATTCTCCTCGGTACTTTGTCAAGAGAGGCAACATCGAGGCTGCAACCGACTCGCTCTCCCGCCTTCGCGGCCAACCCCGCGAGTCCCAGTACATTCAGGTCGAGCTGGCTGAGATTGTTGCCAATGAGGAATACGAGCGTCAGCTCATTCCATCATCCGGCTGGTTCTCAAGCTGGGCCAACTGCTTCAAGGGTGGCCTCTGGTCAGCGAAGTCCAACCTGCGCCGCACCATTCTCGGTACTTCCCTTCAGATGATGCAACAGTGGACCGGTGTCAACTTCATCTTTTACTACTCGACTCCCTTCCTCAAGTCCACGGGCGCGATCTCCAACGAGTTCTTGATCTCCCTGATCTTCACTTTGGTCAACGTCTGCTCGACCCCGATCTCTTTCTACACCGTTGAGAAGTTCGGTCGGCGCCCTCTGCTCGTCTACGGCGCTTTCGGCATGTTGATCTGCCAGTTCCTCGTTGCCATCATCGGTGTCACCGTCGGCTTCAACCACGTTCACCCCGACCCTGCCAATCCAGACAACTCCCTGGCCAACAACATCTCTGCAGTCAATGCTCAGATTGCATTCATTGCGATTTTCATCTTCTTCTTCGCGTCTACCTGGGGCCCAGGCGCCTGGATCGTCATTGGCGAGATCTTCCCTCTGCCCATCCGCTCCCGCGGTGTTGGTCTGTCAACTGCCTCCAACTGGCTGTGGAACACCATCATTGCTGTCATCACCCCATACATGGTCGGTTCGGACAAGGGCAACCTGCGTTCGTCCGTCTTCTTCATCTGGGGTGGTCTCTGCACTGCTGCATTCGTCTATGCCTACTTCCTGGTTCCCGAGACCAAGGGCTTGACGCTCGAGCAGGTCGACAAGATGTTCGAGGAGACTACTCCCCGCACATCCTCCAAGTGGAAGCCCAGCCAGACCTTTGCCAGCACCATGTCTGACGGTGGCATGCTCAAGGGAGAGGTTGTGGGAGATGTTGAGCGTCGTGGCTCTGCGTTCTAGAGGAGCCAGCGCCCCGTGGGGGCTGAGGAGGTCAAGGAGTAAAACCTCCTGTGATCCCTTCAGAGTCTGCGCGACGGAAGATCGATGCGAAATGTAATTAATCTCGACATGCGTACTCCGATCCTATAGCACCGAACCCGGGTTTTCACTCGGGGTGGATTCCAATGAAGTACTATGCAACCTATTCTTACCTATACCCCAGAGTACTCTTGTACTCTTTCATAGCCAATCCAATATTCATCATCCGCAACCCGCGTCTTACTCAGATGGTAATCCCTTGATTACTTAACAATGCCTGAGGCCGATAACGTGATCTTGTGGTCTGCTGCACGCCTCATGATGTTTCGCCGATACTTCTCTTCGTCTTTGCTGTCCTCGCCACGCGCTTTCGTATTGCAGAGCTGCGCCAAGGAACCCTCTGGTCTACTACATGAGAGTGGCAGCGTAGTACAGCACGCGATCAAGTCTCAAAACTCGTATTCGTGTCAACCTCGTGCGCATGCAGTGCGGCACCTCTGATGGCCCTGACTGTTGTTCAACTGCATGGTTTCCTGGTAGCATCGGAGGGTGCCACGTTCGAGCCACAAGCTAATGGTACTTTTTTTTAGTTGCATCACGCTAGTTCTCTTGATTCTGGGGAATACGACAGGCTAGAAGGGTGGTGGAATATTCCTTGCAGCATCCACTCTCATGGTGGTGAGCTGTATAGCTACCTGGTAATTAACCATACACTGTGATGTCTGGGGGGGCTTTACCATGGTGATCACCCAGGGAGGTTTCATCCACTCATCTCCGTGTCGCCCTCTTCTTGTTCGTCGTCATCATCCTCGTCCGCCTCGTCACCGTCCTCGTCTACCTCGCTCTGTGACTGCTGCCGCCGAGATCGCTGACTGCTAGGTATCTGCACGTTGACTCTCCCTCTGCCACTGCCACCAGCTGCACTGCTACGGAACATTTCCTCTCTCTTGACATTCCTTGCCGCGCTAACTCCCCGGTCTGGAACCGGACTGCTTCCCAACCCAACCGGCCGTCGCTGGGTGCCTGCGATGACATCGTCGTCGTCGGAGTCGTCTTCCGTGGAGTCGTTGGGGTCCGAGTCCTCGACATTGGAGATGTCATCTTCATCATCACCGCTCCTGTTGCGCTGCTTAGCAGCCTTAGCTTTCTTAGCGCGCCTTGCCTCCCTCTCCGCGTCTTTCCTCTTCTGCTCCTCTTTCTTTGCTTGTGCTCGAACGGCTTGGCTGCGTATGAATGGATCAGGTCGTAGGTCTTTCTCCAGCATAAGCTGGTCGCAGCCTGCCACGGGACACTTGACGCGTGGGACGCGGAACTTCCTCTCGAGACTGGCGCGAGGTGCCCCACGTAGCCCTTCCAGCTGAGCCTGCTGCTCAGGCGTATACGGTACACGATCCTCCGACATTTTTAGGTAGTCCAGTATCGCCGTCTTCTCGTAGCTGTGCCGACAGATATCACTCGTGACGGGGTCAATGAAGTACTGCATTGTCATGGGGCACTTGACGCTGACGCGCTCGCCGACGACCTCCATCGTGTCGTCTGCGGCGTTGTTGGTAGTGAGGGCGTTGCCATCCTCGGCGCGAACCAGAGTGCGGGTGCGGGGACTGGGGGTGGCATGGTCTGGTGCTCGGTGAGGCCGACGTGGCGGGACTTGTACCAGCCGGCGTAGTCATTGTCGTGGGCGTAGCGGTCGGTGAGGGATTTTGCGTCGCGGGTGGTGGTGTGGGTGAGGAGTGCGGCTGAGAGGAGGGCCGTTGGGGTCTCTTCGTAGGGTGGTGGGGCGTTGTTCTCTTCTGGCTCGTCTTCGTCGTCGTCGTCATCTCGAGGAGTGGCGTCTTGTGTGGGCACGATGGAGCGTTGGGTAGTCCTCTGGGTGGCTTGTGTTGAGCGGGCGTTGTTGGTATTGTTTCGGCTAGTGATGTGCTTGAGATTGAGGCCCAACTGTTCTAGCCATACTCGGTCGTCGATGATTTGCCGTATCGCAGTGTCCATCTTCTTGGTGATGTCCTCTACTCGGCCTTCGAACTCGTTGACATCGCCCTCCCGTTGCGCATGCTCCTCGGGATCCATGGGGTCGCCTCTGTCCTTCTCGCGAGCCACCAAGTTCTCGAATTTTCGACGGCGCTCGACTTTGGCGACGCTGATGGGATGGACAATGTCGCTGAGGAGCTGACTGGCCGCGCGGATGTGGTTGTCGAGGCCTGCATTCTGGTTCCGTCCTTCATATTTGCGCTGCAGGGCTTCGAGTTTGCCTTTGGCTGTGTCTGAGAGAGCTGCCTCGAGAGCCTCGGGGGCGACCGCAATGGATGGCATGATGCGCAAACTATGGGGTTCCGAGAGTACTGATAGTCGCAGATGATGAGAGTGATGCGAAAGTCTGATGAGGGTAAAGTAAAGGCGACGCGTCGGAACGCGACCGATGTATTTTCTCCGCGATTTCTCTCCGCATTTCATCATTTCTTTCTGCTTTGAGTCTTTCCATCTTCACTGAACATACGGATACTTCACGTCAACGACTGCTTCACTACCTGGACTAATCTGGATCAGGCTAACGAATCAACTGATCAGAAGGCCTTGAGCAGATACTAGACGTTGTTGGTGATACCAATTTGATCAGACACAAATTAACCCTCACTGCTTGCGCAACAGCAGGATGACCCCTTGATCTCCCAGATTGGTAGCATACATACATCCCCCCGTCGTTCGCTCAATATGTCGGGGTCTCGAGTGCCTCCGGCGGCGAGACGTCGGTCGTCCGCTGCCTACGATCCTGCGAGAGACATCTTCAGAGAGATACCTGATACAGTACATGAGAACGCAATTGCAGAAGATGGCCCGCAGCAGTCGTCTACGCCGCAGGGCAATTCGAAAACGGAAGCTCCGAACGGCTCTACTGCACATCCTACACCAGGTACGACCGAAGTGACAAAGCCAAACAACCCCATGGACCTGCCGAGAGTGCCACGGCGGCCACGCGAAGACGGCGAAGTGCCCAGATCTCGAGTTCCGCCCTCAGTCTACAGTCGGCGACCTGATACAAATGGCTCTGCGCCCAGGCGAAGATCAAGATCACCACCACGACGGCGGTCACGCTCTCCTAATGGACGAAACCACGATCCCTATCGAAGGCGTTCTCCTCCACCTAGAGACCGGAATCGTCCTCGCTCGCCCTCGCCAATCCGAAGATCACCCCCAAGAGAAACGTTCGTCCGGCCCGGAGGTGGCCGTGGCCGCGGACGCAATGTGCTTGCCGAACAGCAGCGACTCCAAGCCGAACGAGATGCACGAGAAGCTGGCTCTGCTGTTCCCCGAGGCGTGCAGGAAGCCTCAAATCAATTCTACAATGCTCGTCCTGAGTGGGTGAAAGAGAAAGGCCGCGACTGGCGCAAGACCGAGTCCCAAATCAAAGGTCTTCGCAGCTTTAATAATTGGATAAAATCAAACATGATTCAGAAGTTCTCGCCGGAAGAGAAAGCTGAGCCCGAGGAGCTGGGCTGGGGCGAGGAAGCCAAAGCACCGGAAGAGCAGCAGCCTCTGCTGGTATTAGACATTGGCTGCGGCAAAGGTGGCGATCTGGGCAAGTGGCAGCTTGCACCTCAGCCCGTTGAGCTCTATGTCGGCCTAGATCCCGCAGATACGAGTATTCGACAGGCCTCCGAGCGATATCAGCAGATGCGACGTGGCCGCAAGCCCATCTTTGAGGCCCGCTTCGTCACCAAGGACTGCTTTGGCGAATGGATTGGTGACGTTCCCATCGTTGCAGAAGTCGGCATAGATGCATCTGCCGGAACAGGCACCATCTCGCGGTTTGGAGGTGGCCGATTCGATATCGTGACAATGATGTTCAGCATGCACTATGCGTTCGAGTCAGAAGACAAGGTCAAGATGATGCTCAGGAACATCTCCGGTGCGCTTAAGAAAGGCGGTCGATACATTGGCGTGGCGCCCAACTCAGACAGTCTAGCCGAGCACATCAAGACATGGTTTGCAAAGAACCGGCCAAACGCTGCAGCAGAAGCAGCAGCGGCACATGCGGCAAACGGTGACAGCAATGATGCAGATGCGACTGCAGTGAGCCCGAAGACGGCGCCACCACCCACCACCACGCCTGACGAGACCGAAGAAGGTCCAAATTGGGGCAACGCATCTATAGCGTACGCTTCCCTTCGACGTCTACCACAGCCCTCATTCCGCAACCTCCGACAGACACCGTGCAGTTCCGCCCTCCTGTAGGCTGGAAGTACACCTACTGGATGGCTGAAGCTGTCGACGTGCCCGAGTTCGTCGTCCCCTGGGAGGCTTTCCGCGCTATAGCCGAAGGTTATAATCTCGAACAGAGATACCGGAAGCCATTTCTGGAGATATGGGATACCGAGAAGAACGACCCAGAGATGATGGCGCTGGCGAGGAGAATGGGTGTGGTGGACGATAGGGGCAATGTCAACCTGAGTCAGGAGGAGAGGGAGGCGGTGAGCTTCTACCATGGCTTCTGTTTTGTCAAGGTCTAGATTATTTACACGGAGCAGACTCGGAGACGTATTCTCGAGTACTGCTATACGCATTTGGGAATGGGATCACGAAAAGTGATTCTTGCATAGGATAGATTGACATCTATGGTGGGCAAGACAGCACTGCTCTGTCGATGATGAGGAATGTAGTGAAGGAAGCCTTTTCTCCTAAGCATGTCAACTGGTCTAGCGTAGGGCTGATTGACCAGCGTTGTGTCAGTTGTGAGCAACCACGTTGGTTGCTTGCAAATCGATGACCTGAATAGCCATCCAACATATGTGCAGAAAAGATCGCGTCATGCGGACAGCTATGCAGCGCTTCCGGTCCACATGACCGGCCCTAGGTGCCAGTGCTTTCGATGCAACGGCCGAAAGACTAGTCTTGCTCTCGCTACCACACAGTGATGACGACGATGCCTATTTCTGTCAGTGTTTGTTGTTGAGCTCATCCGACTGGGGAGATGAGGCAACGTCCGTACTCAACGACTTACGACCAGCAGACTGCTTGATGCCTTCACGCTGTACGCTGTATCTGCACAACTTTCGCGTAGCACTACTACTTGTGCGTTCCGCGGAATCATCGTATTGAGCTGCTGACACATCGAAGACTATAGCTCTGTCGATCGCTTGTGCATTGCTGCGGATGTGAAGATAGGGCCCTTGAGCTTCTCGCTATAAGTACCGTGTCTAACAGTGACTACTCGTTCCCGACTCACCACAAACCCGAAGTCAAGCCAATTCGTTCAGACCAATTACTACACACCCGTGTTTTCGTTGATTACAATCAGCAATGACGCGCGCCATCTTCCTCATGGCCGACTATGGCCATGACCCAACAGAGACCGCCCTGCCCTGGAGCGTGTTTCGCGCCGCCAACATCGAGACCTATTTCGCCACAGAAACTGGCAATCCGCCCAAGTGCGACTCCATGATGCTCGAGGGCTGGACTGGAAGCTTGTTGGGTGCGCCCGCCGCTGCTAAAACTGCTTATCGCGAGCTCGAGGTGTCCGCGGAATTCACGAAACCTCTTTCATGGACTGCATCGGATTTCAGCTTGAAGGAATATGATGTTGTGTTCTTGCCGGGAGGACATGAGAAGAGTGTCAGCGCCATCATTGACTCGAAGTCGGTGCACAAGTTACTGGCTGAGTACTTCCCTCTCACCAAAAAAGCGTCCACTACTGGGCCACCAAAGGTACTGGCGGCGATCTGTCACGGCGTGATGGTGCTTTCTAGCGCTGAGGGAGCAGACGGCAAAAGTCTGTTAGATGGAGTCACGACGACAGGGCTACCACACATGATGGAGCAGGGTATTTTCTGGGCCACGAGGCCGTTCTTGGGCGACTATTACAAGACATACGGAGCGGGAAGCGACAGCGTAGAGACCTCGGTGACGAAATGTGGGGCGGTGTGGAAGGGGAGTATGAGTCTCTCGCCGTAAGTTGATCATTGTTGCTGGTAGAGAAGTGTGCTGAATGGTGATTTGCAGATTCGTGGTCGAGGATGAACGCTACCACTACGTGTCTGCGCGATTTCCACCTGACGCGGAAGCGATAGCGAACAGGGTTGTGGAGATTGTCAGAAAATAGGAAGCCGCATAAATTAAGCACGCTGTCTTCGGAAGCACCCGTCGTTTGGCTACAGGCAGAATATCGAGTAACGGCGCCATGGCTTGTTGGACGCGACTTCCCACGATACACTGTAAATATTGGTCTGGATGGCGTAAACACGTTACCACACCTCTATTCCTTCTAAGGTCGTACACCATTACCAGGCCTGGGACGCCGCGCCTTAACAACTTACCGACCACGTACCAACCTCAGCTTCCTCTCACAACCGCTTCCTGCGGCTTTTGTACTGTCACATTCGTGTTGACCGGTGGCTGCATCGGTATTGGTGCTTGTCCACCAGGTGCGGCCGGCATGCCGGTTGGCACGACCTCGTACACCTTTATGCCGCCGCTCTGCTTCACTGTCGCAAGTCGCTTGTTGCAGTTGCTGCAGTAATGGTGTACGTCTGGGAACCAGTGAAGGATGCAGGGCAAGCAGGAGAGGCAAATGCAGAAGCACCCGATTCCGATGCCGACCAGTCTATATGATGTCAGCGCGGACGGCATGATAACCAAATCACCAGACTTACATCGTGATGGCACTGCTGTCTTTTACAATCCTCGTCCTGGCACGGTAATGGCAGTATGGACAGTCGACGGTGGTTTCGAATTCATCGAGCTGATTTAGTGGTGTCACTCCGCTGACGATGGGTGCTTGCTGGTAGCCATAGCTTGGAGGCGCCTGTGGCTGCTGCGTCTGCGACTGTGAAGGCTGGACGGCTTTCTCGTTGGTATACGACGACGGCTCGTTATGCTGTTGCTGTTGATTGATCTGGTCAGGCGATGAGTATGTCATCGATTGCACACCCTGTGGCTGCGACTGCTGGGGAGTCGGCGCATAGTTTGGTGCGTAGGTCGACATTGCTACCAATATTCGGGTCAACAATTGGGGATGAAGGCTTCACGTTAAAACTTGGGAACGAAGGACGACACAATCAAGATGCAGGAAGATGTCCCAAATTTATCACGGCCAACGGCATTCAGCCTCTCGGTCGTCAGGGTGTCTACGAACTCAAATTTACGCCTGGACTACGGGAAGGATTGTACATGTTTGCTACTAACAATCCTGCGATGCGCCACGCGCCTCAGCTGTCTATAAATGGGCCAACTTAAAAAAACACCAGATTCGGGCCACGGCTATCATCTCCGGGCAAGGATCTTTGGTCCCAGGCACTTCTGACAGGCCTGGCCTTGGCTATGCATGCCCCACTTGTTGAACTCATCTGCTGGCGCCTTCCATCTGTAACGACACCGATGCTGGCAAGCTCGAGATATGTGCAGGTGCTCCCGACATGACCAACAGAGGCAGTTGCGCGTCATCATTAACCGTGTCTGCCGCCAATGACCCGTGCACAGGATCGAGGTTGCTTCCACCGTATCCCGCCCAACACATAGTCGTCTTGCAGTTTCAGCCTTGCAACAAGTTCGATCAACATGCGACTCCTCAAGACCGTAGGCAGTGACGCCGATGACTGGGAACCGCAACTCGTTGATTTCCGGGGCGAAGAATATGCGATATTGTCCCATCGCTGGCAGCCGAACGCGAGAAATGAAGTATTATTCACCGACATTCGAGTGATTGACGACGGCGGACCTGGTCCAGGCAGTAACAGGCTTGCGGAGTACTATATTAATCCAATGTTTGGACGTCGCGACTTGGTGCAGTTGCCAGGCTACCGCAAGCTTCGTGGCGCCGCTCGGCTCGCTGCTCGTGAAGGATACGACTTCATATGGATTGACACATGCTGCATTGACAAAAGCTCCAGTACCGAGCTCTCTGAAGCCATCAACTCTATGTATAAATGGTATCGGGGATCGCAAATCTGCTTTGCGTATCTTGAGGATGTTCCTAATCAGCCCTCAGCCAGCTGGATTGAAACTGGCCTTGGCTCTGACTTTAGCCGTTCTACGTGTGAGTCCAGGGTCGCTCGAGATCTGGCTGCTCACTGACACGTGCCCAAAGGGTGGTCACGCTGCTGGACACTGCAAGAATTGGTAGCACCCCAACACGTGTTCTTCTATAGTAAAGGCTGGACATGGATCGGGGAACGAAAAGCTCTGGCAGGCGACATCTGGGCGATTACACGCATTGGATACGATATGCTTGTTCAAGAGAAGAGCACGGAGCACTATTCGGTTGCTCAGAGGATGAGCTGGGCTAGTCGCAGAGCCTCGACCAGGCTCGAAGATCAGGCATATTCCTTGATGGCCATATTTGAAATTAACATGCCATTGCTCTATGGTGAGGGTGCCAAAGCGTTTCTGCGCTTGCAAGAGGAGATCATCAAAGTGTCTGACGACCAGACTCTCTTCGCGTGGACGAATCCTGAAGCAGAGGACGACGAAGTACATGGACTGCTCGCCAGTAGCCCAGCAATGTTCTTACAATCGCAGGACATTGTCAAGGGGAGTGGCGTGAGTGGTCAGGTACCATATTCAATGAGCCATCTTGGCCTTTCGATATCTCTCCCCATGGAAATACGGAGAGACGGAACTTGGCTCGCAAAGCTCCATTGTTATGCAAACAGAGACCAGAAACATATCTCGCTACGTCTCAGACAGATTGGCTGGGATGAGCAGCAATATGCTCCAGTTTCCGCTATTCTTCCACCTCAAACAGAACATGTACCTCGGCGAACCCGAGCGCCCGGAAATGCTGGTGATGCATTTCTGGAGTTATTCAAATCACCGCCCAATAAGCAGACCGTCGTTGCCATCACGGACAATTCCATGGCTCCATGGTCGACGAGACCTCTACGAGATAAGATCGGATAAAGGTACAGTCACTTTGGCCCTACTTTTCAAGGTTGGAGAGCTGGAAGACGTGGGCGTCGTTGTCATGCTTGACTTAGATCATGGAACCTCAGAGCCTGCTTACGATGCCGTTGAAGTGGACGGCCATGACATGCATCTTCGATTGGAGCAGATGGATGATCGATGGCAGCCTCAACGATCCCCCATGAAGCAGCTTAAATGCTGTCGTGTAGGGGTGACTTTTGGCGAGAAATCCTCGGAGGGCTCCACGAGGCCACAGCTCATACCTGTCGATTTCATTTTCGAACGCACACATGTCAGCATAAATCCGGCAAAAATGGAGCCATGAGCACGACTCATATTCCTTATTGAGCCCTTACAGCCGATACCTCAAATAGCCGCACCCAGCGACTTCGCTGTCAGCAGACGACAACACATCAGGATATTTTGTTGTGAGCGCCTTGCTCCGAGTCCGACAGCTCATGCGTCACCTCGCCCGCATGCCGCCCATCAGGTCCATGCAGCGCGCTAACGTACAGCGATTTCGGTGCATGGTAGTGCCTCTTTGCATACGCGAACCAGTTGATCATAAAAATTGCAAGCCCCACGAACGCAGCGGCTGATGCCCAATTCATATTGGTGGTCGTGATGGGTTTGTAAAGTGGAAAGCACAGAAAGACGACAGACAGCAGCTGCCAGGCGATTGCGGCAATGCTGATGGGCATGGACAACCGGCCGAGGTTGAAGTACCGCGTCTTTGGAAGCTGTCGGCCCCAGGTGCCGACGTTGAGCCAAATAGGTAGGCCATATGAGAAGAAGAAGCACACGGCGCCGGCACCAAAGACGCCGTTGAGGATGGTGCTGGGTCCAAAGAGCAGCAGTGACACCATGAGCGAGACGACGACTGTGAAGTAGACAGCGTTGGTGGGAATTTGACTCTTTGGGTGAACGTAGCCGAACCAACGCGGGAATGGAAGGCTGCCGTGCTTTGCGAAGGACCAGACCAGTCGGCTGCTCGTGGCTATCGTCGCTGGGCAGGAGCTCAAGTAGGCAATGCAGTAGATGATCATTGCGACGACCAGGAGAGCATCGGACTTGAAGCCGTCGTTGAACACCTGGAAAATCGGTTGGCCGCCGATAGGCTCCAGGAGTGCCACGGGATTGTACGTGCAAAACAGGTACACCAGGATCATTGGGATGGCGGTGCAAGCACACAGCAGTGAGCCTCCGACCATAACGAGAGGGACCTGGCGAGCAGGATCATCCATCTCCTCGGCCATGTGTGCAGCGGTATCGAAGCAGCAAACCGAGATGCAACCCGGAAGGAAGCAGAGTAAGAAGACCAGCCCGTTCGAGGACCATCCTGTCTCGTTGATGACATCGAGAAAGACAGTATGAGCGCTGGCTTTGGGATGTGTGCGAACCAGGAGCGCGACAAGTACGTACACAGTGCCGAGATTGATGAAGACGACCATTGACCGGGTGACGTGGGGGTAATAATCGAAGAGCCAGATGTTTAGGATAAGTCCGACGGTCGCGCACCCACAAGAGAGGAGGTAGATCTGCCAGATGTGAGGCTCCCAACTCGGATTGCGAATCACCATGACCGACTGCCAGATATTGGCGGTGAATACGAAGGTTCCGGCGTCGGCAAAGATCCAGCCCAGAGTCGTACACGCGCCATTCCAGTAACTAAGGAAACGGGCATACTTCGGTGGAGCCATGGCGGCTGTCCAGAAGACCTGGCCTGGAGACAGATCAGAGATGGCTCCCATACTTGGTGCCCGTGTCAGAAGCACTCACCTGAAGCATGAGGGAATACCGACGCGATCTCCGCCAGGCAGATGCAGATGAGCATCTGGCCGGTGGCTGCCACCAAGAAGGCATAGAAGAAGTAAGGGCTAGTTGACATGATTAGTCGAAGCAGGGAAAGCCTATTTTTCGCTTCAACTCACCTACCCCCGGCGCCCAAGATCAGCGTGATGTAGACGCCAACCGCTAAGGGAGTGGCAGAGATAGAGAACTGGATGCCGATAGCTGAGAGGATGCTGAAGCGTGGTCGAAGTTCGCGGGCCTCGACTGTGGGAGTAACCGACCCAGCGGCTTCAGAGGTCACCATAGCGACTTCTGGCATATCGACCTTGGATGCTGGAGGAGCAGTAGCCATGGTTGTCGACGTGATGGAGTTGGTGCTCGATCACGGACTCATACGAAGAACGAAGAACGTTGCTTTGGTTGCCCGCATGGGACCTAGAGCATCTTATGCTCAATATCTCGAGACCGCGCAAGCATGCCGTAGATAGCGGCTGGACAATGAAGGTTCAAGCATTGGGTATCTAATCGAGTTGCCCACGGCTATGCCCATCCGCCGGTGTGTGATAAGAAGGTCAGGGTCTGGTGTGATAGCTGTTCGAAACGCGGGACTAAGGTTCACAGCAGTGGCCAGAGCATTGTGAGGCTAGCGGAGCTAATCTGAAGTATGGGGTAGTCGGTATCGCAGGTGTCCCTTTTTGGAAGGCTACAACGGCGGTGTGGATCTTTGGTACGGAAGAAGGAGCTACGCTGTCGACGATAACCTTAATAACATTGGAGAAGTGCGGCAACGCGATTTTGGTCCAGCTCGACCGCGAGCTCTTCGTTAACGCATCTACAATCAAGGAACCTTGTTTCGACTTATCATACCGAGCCACGACTATTCAACAAATGTAGGTATCGAAGGACGGGACTGTCTCGGTCGGCGCCACTTCGGTATCATTCTCGTGTCAGGCGGCCCCAGCTAGTGCCATGTGCCGCAACAATTATCGTGCCTTCCTATCAAGCACGACTCACAGCGCAGGCTTGATTGCTCTGGGACCCTCCACAAAGTCGAATTGACCACGGATCTGTGTCAAAAGATTGTCACCGGGATTCTTTGGCGGCTTAGGCCCAGACATGAGATTGTGCGGAAAGCCAATGTCGAAGTCGTACGCGCCCTCAATTTCCTCCATCTCGGCGTCCGAGAGAGCGATCCCTAGAGCACTGATATTGGCCTTCAAATGTGACACTTTCCGGCCGCCAACTATGGGGAAGACGTACGGCGCCTTATGCATTATGTAGGCAAGGGCAATCGAAGTCAAAGGCACTTGCCGGGACTGAGCGATCCTGTGAAGTACGAGAGAGATGCTGCTCTCTCGTCCCACACTTAGAGACTCGAGGTTGCGTCCATCTGGCTGACGGTCGGTATCCTCAGGACTTGCGGATAGTCAATCTCACCAAATCTTGAGCGGAGTTGTACTCACTTCTTGAAATAACCACCTCCAAGCACGCCCCAAGGCGCGATGCCCATGCCCTCGGACATACACATGGGCACAATCTCGCGCTCGAGATCTCGATCAGCAGCACTCCATCGGCCTTGGTACACACTGAACCCTCGCATACCGTGAGACCTTGCGAAGGCATTGCACTTCACTACCACCCAAGCCGGAGTATTGCATATCCCCAGGTACAGGACTTTTCCCTGGGTAACGAGGACATTGAGGCTGCTCATCACCTCTTCTACCATTGCTGTGTAATCCCAGAAGTGCACATATAACAGGTCGATGTATGTCGTTTGGAGCTTCTTCAAGGATGCCTGCACAGAAATGTGTAATGACTTTGCAGAATTCCCGCCGTAGTTCGATTGCTGTAGGGAAGGGCCAGAATGAGTCTTCCAGTCTTCCGCATATTTGGTGGCGATGACAATTTCGTCGCGCCGGTCTGGTTGTTGACTCAACCATTCCCCGATCCAGGCCTCGCTTTGTTCTGCTTGGTAGTTGTTGGACCTGGGCCAAAGGACATCAGATTCAGTCCGTGTTCTCCGATACAGGGTAGCTCACGTGTCGATAAAATTGCCTCCAGCGGCGTAAAAGGTATCGAGTATCTCAAATGTTGTTGTCATGTCGCACTCACCAAGCGCGGACTTCCAGGCATCGCCAAAATTCATGCCACCTAGACAGAGTGGACTGACCAGAACCGCAGCGGACGGCGCAAGCAGCCTGTGCCGCTTGAGTGGCGAGGCGGGAGTTGATGCAGTCATGGTCGCAGGTAGACTTCGAGAATTGCGGCATCGAATAGAGACAGATGTGGGCAGGTCTCTCCTGAGCGAACTTACTGCACGTATATATCTACATATATATACACGTGTGACTGGCCCTGAGCCTTCCGGAATTTGCCGCTCGTCAGTCCCAAAGGTTGTTCCGTGAGTTGGTCATTTACTGGGAGCCAGAATTCTACGGCGCAGGATACAGTCTGTTGCTCTTCTCGAGCTGCCTGAAAGCTCTAGAGTCTACTGACTACTGTTCCCGTTTCATGATCTAAAACTGCATCTGCTGCCATCTCTCCTGCTCGAACGGCACCGTCCATGAAGCCAGCCCAGTATGGCGATGCCTCAGTTCCAGCAAAAAACAATCTGCCGACGGGCTGGGCCAATGCACTACCGAATCGTGTCATTGTGTTGGGCGGAGAGACGGCGAAGTGACCTCCTCTGGAGTATTCTTCGTTGTCCCATCGCTGAATCACCCACTCCTTGACCTCTCTCGCTCTGGGACCGAAGAAGTTGACATAGTCCTTTAGCACCAGGCTTTGGATTTCCTCCTCGCTGGCAGTGTCGAGCCTTCGCATCTCATCTGCCTCCAGGAACCCTATTATTGCCCCAAATGACCCATCTTCTGGCGAGCTGTCGAAGGTGGTCTGTACTGTTGCTCCTTGAAGGCCCATAGCCTTGCCGCTCAGTCCATCCTCTCTCCAGAAAGGGCTGTCATATATTGCGTAGACTTTGCCAAGTGATCCCATTGGCATGTGTTGACACATCTGATCACGACGTGCTGGAAGTGGAGGACTGTAGGTGATACGCGTCGCCAAGGGCGGCGCCAGCGCAAGGATGACCGCATTTGATCTGTGAGAAAAGTGCTGCCCACTGACATGATATATCTGACCACGAAGATCTATCCGTGTGACGGGAGAATTCAATCTGACCGAGCTGCCGAGCTGTTCTGCAAGACGAGCCGCAATCGCTTGTGGTCCGCCTTGTATACGACTTTCTTGGGCTGAGTCTTTGATTCCTATCAGACGTGCAAATGTACCTCTATTGGTTTCATTACCGGCTCGACGTATGTATGTCAGGAATTGTAACAAGGAGATATCGGTCGGCTCTGCGGAAATGAGAGCTCTCACGGTGGCCGTTGTCAGGTGTCGCGCCGTCTCGTCTGTGAGGTTATGCTGCAACCAGGTCGCTAACGTCATCGAGTCGTATCCATATGCGTTGGGATGTTTCCATGGTTCCGATGCATCGAGCTGTTCGCCATAGCCTCCAGCTTTTCGGTTGAGGCTCCAAGCTGCGTCAGTGTCGTCTCTGCCAGCGGTATCTCGCCATCGTTGTAGAGAGCACGTCTATCGCCATTGTAGTACACGTTCTTGCCGGTATCGTAGTGTGGATAGGCACTGATCTGCAGCTCACCCATGAGATTCTTTATTCGATCCTGGGTAGGCCCAATGTAGGCAGCTCCTAGCTCAATGATATTGCCATTTGACAGCTTCTTGTCGTATACTTTGCCACCGACTCGATCGCGAGCTTCAAGCACAATGACTTGTTTGCCGGCCTTTCTCAGTTTCCGTGCGGCGGCTAGGCCTGAGAGACCAGCGCCTATCACTATCGCGTCTGCGACATCGCGATCGGCGCTGTAGCTGAAAGTCATGTTGGCTTGCAGCTTGTCCGTCACTTTCTTCCCAGTTGCTCAGTTCCAAGAACCGCGGAGCACATTTTGAAGCTTTTACATCAATCGTCTTGGGAATACCAGCCTCGGTTTGGCGGCCACGCCCCAGAAGAGCATGACGAGCTGCGCAACGACCGACATGACATTAGCCGGCCTAGCGGCACCTGGCTGACCTTCCCGCCACCTGCGGCGGTCTTCTGGAACTTCTCTACCAACATGAAGATTAGTCTACTTCACGAAGTTTCACTGCCATCGAATTCGAAGAGACCGTATGACCCACCTCGCGATCCTGGAAGATCCGTATCAGGGGAAATTCAACGAGCTTTGAAGATCCGATTCTACGCCACTAAGCCAAGATGGAGACTTAGCCGTTCATAATAGGAAGTCCGCAACGATCCAATCACACGAGTGACCGACTTCCTGCATCCATATTCTGTAGAAGTATTGCAATACATACCCTGATATCTGGACATTCAATTCATGCGAATAATAAACGACCTCGGCCCTGTAAATCAAGTGCACATTAGGAGGGTTCCGTCACACCAAGCCCATCGATCATCGATCTCTCTTGCTACAAAACGAAACGTGCAGCTCAACGGGAATAGATAGAACGATGGACGAGGCAAAGTACCATCAGGTGGACGGGTGGTTGGGCGACTATTATCAGAAGACCGGCTTCTCCCACGCGGTAGTACTACCTCCCAATGCTCAACTTGTCATCGCATCCGGCCAGCCCGGCCTGAGCCGCGACGTACGCATGTCCTCATCGCCGACAGAGCAGATAGAGTCGTGCTTCGATAACGCCGACGCAGCACTCAAAGCTGCCGGGGTCAAGGAAGGTCTTTTCAAGGCGCACAAAATCCATTGCTGGCTCCTTGACACTAGTCATGAGGAAGCAATGATGGAAATTTGGAGGAGGAGATGGCCTGATCACCGACCGACGTGGATGACGATAGGCATCAATGCTCTTTGCGGCGAGGGAATGATCGTTGAGATCCAGGCAGAGGCACATATTTTACCTCCAAAGCAGCGTCTCTAGCGTATGATGGAAGCCCGCCTATGCGATATAGCGCGTTGCACGAAACGTATGACCAACGAGTATTCTTACCTCATTCGAGTAGGCTCAGTGAATAAGTCATCCTGTGTTCAGTAGGTGACACCAGGGCGTCTAGAACCCAATGTCCAGGGTGGTCGTCATGGGTGCGAAGCACTACCTACCACCTAGATTTAGTACGGACTGCACCACAGTCCCGAAGCTTACCTTCCCCTTCTCTTATCACCCAACGTTGGCCGCCGTGCATATACAATTTGGGCTACCGCACCTCCGTTTGACACGAGTCTTCGCATCATTCTATCGCCTTGCTGCAAAGATGAACGAGACCACCGATCAGGACCAGGCTCATACCTGGCTGGACGTCATGAATGAGAGACGTAAGAAGCCTTGCACCACAACATAGTCACCAGGCTAAGGATGCCGTAGTGAATGTCGACATAGACTGGATGGATCCTGAATTCATCAAGAGCCTCCCATCAAAGCCGTATGACCAGACCAGCAATCAGCTATGGATGGGAATACAGCTCGCACATACGACCAATAGAGAACTCCTTGCTCGAACAGCACGAGAGCTAATCGATTCAGGGTGGCTAGCTGTGTACACGAAGATGGTGCGTCTCCTGTGATTCCCAGAATGCTTCGAGTGTGTCAAGTCATTGACCTCACCAGGGCACGATCATGTGCAAAGAGAACATGGCCCGTATCCGCGGGCGCGTGCTGGTTCAGACATCGCCAGCTCAGGCCTATGATGTGGAGGCTACTGTCAACCACGCTCGCGAGTATGCGAGGGAGTTCAAGATCCGTGGCATATCCGAGGAGCGATTCTGCATCAAGATTCCGGCAACAGGCCCTGGGGTCCTTGCCATGCGAAAGCTCTCGGCAGAAGGCATCCCAGTCTTGGGCACTGCTGTGTTCAGCGTCGAACAAGCGATTGCCTGCAGTCAAGCAGGATGCTTGTACATCAGTCCGTACTTCAATGGTATGTCTTACCACACCCTACTCAGCGATCGTTCTCTCATGTGCTTGTCTGACAACCCTGTAGAAGTACGCAGCCACGAAGATCCTTCGCTGTGGCCTGACGTCGAGGATCCTGCAGTTCAACATCCCTTCTCTCATCGAATTTACCAAATGACTCAAGCCTTCAAGCAGCTTCACGAGAAGACTGGGATGCCTCAGCCACTGATCAAACTTGCAGCGTATGTGCTAGATTGTCAATGACATCTGTCAGAATAGTTCACTAAAGATGCGTATAGGTTTCGTCATATCCGCGAGGTCATCGCAGCGTCGGAGCTGGGCTGTCATTCTGTCACGGTGTCTGCTGCCATGATGAGAGAGCTTGCGGATACCAATTACAGCAGAGAGCTCGATCGCGGACAGCATAGGTCCAAGTCTACGCCTGATCGCTTCTACGACTCTTTGCCCCAACCGTCGGAACGTCTGCGGACGCTTTTGGCTTCCGATCCTCTGACAAGCAGACCCGGCCAGTTTGAGCAAGCGGAAATCGATGTGGACTATCTCGCCAACAATGCCGCAGCACTCTCAGCAGCGCTCCATAGAGACACAGCAGGCCGGCGGCGTTTGGAGGACGCTATAAACATGTTCATCAAAGCAGAGGCCGCAAGCCAACAGCTCATCGAGTCGACTGTCCTCGATCCTGTCCGTGGGGACAGTGTGCTGTAAGAGAACCGCCTCGTAGCTAGGACTCAAGGCTGAGGTTAGTGTCCGTTGGAATAACCTAGGCACGCCCAACGAACGAAACATGAAGCTTTCGCTGTCCACGAGCCCAGCTTGAGGCTTGTCATTGTTCGCGCAACCCTATAAGGCAGAGCCCATGCCACGTAGGACCTGATAAGGGGCGTGCTGAAATAGGAAGCCCTTGACGGTACTCCACCAAGAGCTGTACGGTGGAGGTCTCGGCTGTTGCTGATCCCTAGGCGCAGGCATAGCTTGACAAACCACACTGTGGACGTCGTTGAGCGGTAGGCATAAGAGTTCCGTGCCTCTGCCAACATGATCGACGTGTTCTCGGTTGATAGACTCAATCAACGCCACATACTATTCAGCGATGTCTCAACGCACCGGAGTACGTATATCCTCTTCTGACCTCAATCAAGAGGATGTTGGTGCCAACAGGTAACTGACTCTATTCTCGTCGCACAGAACACCACCCTTAGGGCCCTCAACCACATCGCGCTGTCATGTCTCGACATCGAAGCCCTTGTCCCTTGGTGGCACAACAACTTTGGGTTCGAGATTGTTTCTCCCATTCGCGCCTTCAACCGAACGGATCACCCCGATGCCTTCAAATACATCTTCGTCTCCTATCCTGAGTCAATGAGGGCTGTCAAATTCGCGATTTTGACGACCGGCAATGGCGTCGGCATCGAAGTCTTCCAATTTGTCGACCCACCGCCCAAGCCGCGGCACAGAGAGCTTTGACTATGCTACTGTGGGCGTATTCCACATCTGCGTGACGGATCCGGACCCAGAAGCATTAGTGAAGAAGGCGGTGGAGGCGGGAGGGAAGCAGTTGGGTGGGTACATGGACTATAGCAGGTATGGCCACGAGGGTCACAAGGGCGTGTACATGCAGGATCCGTGGGGCAATGTGGTGGAATGTATGTCGTTGAGTCTGGACCGGGTGGCGACGGCAGGCAGGCACCTGAGTTGGTATATTGAGAAGTTGGAAGCGGAGAAGTGTGCCGCGAAGGGCAAGGAGGCCAAAGTGTAGCGCTGAGCAGCATCCTGCAAGTCTATCTCGCAAGGTGCCGAGTATGTCCGTGTAGAAGCTGATCGTTATTGACGTACCATCCTCGACCAGAGTGCTCCTGGGTGGAGATGTCCCTGCGTGGTAAGAGCGGAGACGACAAGCCCGAATCTAATCGCTTTCCTCATCCTATTTGGGACATTGCAGATAAGCCTACCCCTCCATGTCGGAATCTACACAGACGACTATACCGAGCGGTGCTTGATCAGACCATGACCCATCGATGCTGAGTGCACCTTATGAAGACTATGCTTGTGCTGCTATTATTGTTAAAGCCGAGGTTCGATAAGACTTGGCTTTGCAGATAACTCTCGCCTTACTTGAGCTGTTACTCGTTCGAGGGGTGGGGCATCGTCGGCACCATGAGTACCACGCCGCCTATAGTCGACGTAGCTGTCGTTGGCGCCGGCCTCAGTGGTCTACAGGCTGCACGATTGCTTCAGCAGAATGGATATGGCGTAATAGTACTCGAAGCGCGCAATCGTGTTGGGGGCAAAGCCTGACGAGTGACCGTGTGCGCAGTGGTAACGGGATCAGGCAGGAGTATGGCGCCGCATGGATCAACGATACGACGCAGTCGCGCATCTGGCTCTAGCGAAGGAATTCAACTTGACGCCGATCGTGCAGGCTGCTGGCGGGAAAGTGGTTGCGGAGGATCTTGATGGCAGTTGCGTTTTCTTCGAATACGGCAGCGTTCCTGCGGTGGGTACCAAGATTCCTTTCATATGTTGCAGCTGTCCTGCTGGCCGAGAGGCGGTGTGCAAAGCTGACTTTCGTGTGACTTATTGCAGTATCCTTCGCCCCAGGACAGCAAGGCATGCATTGACCTGCGCGATCACGTCGATCTCTTGACAACGGAAGCCGGAGGTGCTCTTGACGATCCAGCCCAGCGTCGCATGCTCGATAACATGACATTCCAGGCATGGGTGAGTCAACGCACGAACAATAATCCTCGCGCACAGTCGACTGCTGAGGTCTGGTCTCATGCAGTCATGGGAGTCGATCCCGCGAGGTCTCAGCCCTCTTCATACTCGATTACATCCGCACTAGTCTGGGTCTGATGTCCATCCGAGGTGATCTGAAACATGGCGGACAGCACCTCAGAATCAGACAAGGAGTGTCTGCATTTGGAGAAGGATTGCTGGAACGTCTTGAGCCGGGAACAGTCAAGCTGAATTCGCCCGTGCGCGCCATCACGACGCTGCCAGGTGACAGGGTGCAGCTGAGAACGATAGGCGGCAAGACATTTCTAGCCCGCCGCGTTATCGTGACGGTCCCAAGTCCAGTATATCGCACCATTGCTTTCTCTCCGGCTCTGCCAGCCGCAAAGACAGCATACGCAAACGCAACCAAGCTCACAGGGTACATCAAGTACCTGCCAGTGTTCTCTAAGCCCTTCTGGCGGGGCCACGGCTTTTGCGGCCTGGGACAGTCGTTTGTCGGCCCAGTTTGCGTATTCCGCGATACAAGTATTGACGCGGCCGACACACCTGGACCTGGCAGTGGTGATCCCGGCGACCGATCCCACAACTTTGCTCTGACTTGCTTTATCGCTGGACGTAACGCGCGACGCTTCGTTGCGTATAGTCCGGAAGAGAAGAGACGAGTCGTCATGCAGCAGATAAGTCGTATGTTCAACAAGGGTGCAGATGTGTCGGACCTTTTGATTGAGGTACTAGAATCGAGGTGGAGCAGCGAGCGATACAACGGCTGGGGCTGCCCGATACCGACACTTGGTCCTGGCGTGTATAACACGTGCTTCGATGCTTTCGTGGCTCCAGCAGGAAAATTGCATTTCATTGGCAATGAGACAGCGAGTTACTGGAGAGGATACATGGAGGGAGCTCTAGCATCAGCCGAGAGAGGCGTAGCAGAGGTCGAGAAGTGTCTTTGGGAACGTAAAGCATCGTTGTGAAATAGGTTAAATGCCCAGAATGCCGAAGTGTCCAGCAAAGAGTGATATTGGTCGTTGATGCTAGCGTTGGCGCTAATCTGGCGCTGGCTGGGCCTTCAAGATTGGCGTCGCGGCCGTCCCTTTTGCTGGGCACATGAGCGAATACCATCCACACAGGCTGTTCGGGCATAAACTGAGCGTTTTCAGCAGGGCCAGTTGAACCTCAAGATTTCGAGTCAGGGAGGGCTCTGAAGGCTAGAAATGTTCTGAAAATCGAGCCAGGAAGTTTCGGAGGAGTCTCACTTGAGCTTCAAGCCGCAAAATCAATCTATCATCAATTTGCCTGCCAGGGAGGTCGCTGTAAGAAATTTTGCGTTAGGTAGGTTAAGGATGGAGAAAACGCCCATGTCTTGTCTGAACAGCTTTGCCACATTACGCACCGCCATGGCTTGTACTGATGACGTCTGATATCTGTTGCGTCTGAGCGTCGCACAGAGACGGTACAGCATCACCCCCAACGCCTTGAGAGTTGAGCTTGCAGTCGTATTGCTGTTCACATTTTGACATGTGGACTCACAGCGGTAGAACATCATACTTGCTTCCATGCAGTCCATCGGACCAGTGAATATCGTGAGGTGACGTGGTTCTTCGGCTCCATACATCGCGTGCGAGTTCCCCAGCCAAGTCGAGGTTCAAGAAACCATGTCTCTCTTTCGCACAAAACCACGCAGTCATACGAGACTGAAGATCAGGCCGCACACATTCGGCTGCAACCACAAGACATGGCCACAACCACACGCAGCCCTTTGGATTGCCCTCTGCAGATTCTGTGAGTTCCAGATTCTCGATTGCCTGTTCTACGAGATCTTGCAACATGGAAGGTGATTGTCGAAGAACAAGCCGTCTGAAATGGATGACGATGGCATAGTAGTAGATGTGAGCGTAGATGACTAGGACTGTGGCTGACGACAGGTCCAGGTCGCTTGTGGATATCGCTTCCGGCGAGTAAAGAAGAAGTTGCAGCTCAATCTTATCGCTTTCAACTTTGGGACACGAAGTCTTTGAATTGGCGATTTTGTGAATGCTGAGCACGATCTGCAGCAGGACATGAGTGATACCATGGACAGGCTGTATGCAATCTAGCTCGTTGGGTGTATCAGCAAGCATCTGTTCGAGTTCATTGTCGACCTCAAAGTTGCCGAAGATTGCGAGACAGATGTATGTCTGGTAGCAAGCTCGAGCAACCGCATTGTTCCTGATGGCGGTCTGGTTGTTCCGGAACAGAGACCGCAGTGCGCCAAGGTGAGTACGCCACTCTCCGGGTTGGCCTCGTACTCCTTCTTGAAACAGGAAAGTCCAGATGGCTGCCCACACTGACTCGTCCTTGATGTGAATGGCGTTTTGCATGCTGTGTCGAAGATGGAATAATGCTAGTTGTCGGTGTCTGATACCGAGTCTCAACGTCCTGTAATCGCCGCCATCGAGATTCACGATGTTGAATGCGGAGGCTGCACATAAGCTGTGAAATATTGTAATGCCCCCATTAGACTAATTTTTGTCCGAATTCAGGCCAGCTAAAGCCATCGGTAGCAGCAGATGTAGCGACCGTCCCTGCCGGCTCAGAACTGGACTCATCGACAACGACAGCGAGTCGCGCCAATGACGAATAAGCTCAGACTGTTCCGAAGGGTTGGACAAGTCATCCAGATGCCGACTAAGGTCATGTGCTGATACTGCAGAGGGCGAAGTGAGCACTGTCATGGGAGACGCCCCAATCTCAAACCCGTTGTCGCTGATTAGACCGACTGGTGACAATGAGTCACTTGCAGGTGCAACCTCCGCCCTTTGTTGTTGCGACGGAGCCGCAGGCGCCTCCCCGCTGATCAATGATGAATACACGGGATCTGCGAGATCATTTCTACCGATGATCAAATCACTTGACGTCGGTATGCGAGTATTCATGTTGGGATTGTTCTCCCCCAAAATCGACTCTCGGAGGTCGTTTTCTCCCTCCATGGTCCTCCAGTCAGCTGTGTCATCATGTGCATGGTCTCCATCGTCCAAGAAGCTTGATCCCTCCAGTTCCAATTGCGTCGTGGCCGGGACATCAGTCTGAGGTTCCGTGGCAAGCACCGAAAAGAGAGCTTTAGATGACGGTCTGCGCTGGCTCCCGTGCCCTTCCAGACGTAGATGCTTCTGCAAAGACGCGACCTCGGCACGCGTGATGGCGGAAGGGTCGAGTGTACAGTTGGGACGAAGTCTGATCGCTGCGCGTAGCGACCCTTGGATGGTTCGGGCCTTGAGCCACCGGCTGCATCTGTCCAAACCAGACGAATCTGATAACCCTGACAATCAAGATTGGCTCGCAGGCAGCGCGCACAAGACGGACGCTACTCATCGCACTTGAGCCTACGTTCTCGACACGTCCAGCACCCAGTGAAACCTTTCTCCCTCCGCCTTGATGGATGACTCATGCCAGGCTGCTTTCCACCCGCAGAGTCGCAGGGTCTGCAACCTCCATTAGCAGCTCTCGAAGTCAACTCTTCAGAGTGTAAACGATAAGATGTCACGGCACAGCTCCATGGCCGAGCTCTTGCCGCGTTTCTTAACCATATACGGTGTGGTGACGCGCCACGGCCAGTAGTGCAGAAATAGGGTGGGGCGTTGCTACCATTAATTGACGGAAGCAAGGAGGCTGATGGAAGGAGAGGAAGTCGGCATGTATCTGTCACGAAGACCTGCCTCGATTACTTCGCTACTGTTTCTCTATCTGCCGATGAACAGTCAAGCAAGGTGGCCGGGTAGTCATGTGATTGAAATCGTAGTCAACTTCTGTGTTCACTCAGGTCGCTAAAGTGCTCACGTAACTGCCAACCTCTGCTGGTATGCGTGTGATTATGTTCCACCCACGAGTGCGCGCACGCAGAGCCCCTGTCTCGTCAGACTTGACTATGCATTGGAAGCAAGGACTCGGTCCCTCCATGCCTTTGTGGCGATGATGTCGTCCGAGAATGCAGGCCAGCTAAATTCAATACTGGCTCGTGTGGACTCGATTGACCATCCTGCTGTCGCGTCTGACAACAACGTCACGTGGTAGCCCCTAAATCTCAGTCAGATTGGTCTCTCAGACGGACTGGAACAGTACAATTCATTGGCTTCCCTAGCGGTCGTTTCGATGCAGCTATTCACCACAAGGCCAGCAAAGACAAGATGCGTGATATCTCGTTGGCGAAGACTCGTTGTGTGTTAGCTTCAGTCGGAAATGTCTCTACTTAGGTACCGCCCCAATCTTAGAGTGAACACTTACCTCCAATCCAGGTCCGTGTTCTTGAACGAGCTCTGGTTCCAGTGCTTTGAGATGACAACGTCTTCCGGCTGGGGTTCGAGTCCGCTGAACACTTCTGCTCCCCAGCTTCCTTCCTCGAATGCTTGATTACGCTGAACACTTTCGAGCATGACATTCAGATGCTGGAAACCGTAGTACTTGCCTTTCCGATACTGCTGGTGAAGGCTGTAATATATCGGGAATTTGGCACGGCGCGCGACACTGAGTGTTCGCGTGAGGTTGTCGATGGTATGAGCTTCTTGAAGAGACGCAGATAGGCCAGCATTCAGCTTGCCTTCCTCGTGCAGGAAGTCGTTATACACGTCTATCAAGATGAGAGCAGTGTTTGGCCTGCTGGCAGACATGTTGTCTCACCGTACTGCTAGGTCTTCACACTGTCGTTTCTTGAGCGTCTAAATGGTCGATAGAGCTCGGTCGCGAGGCATTGTCGAAAGCACAAGCTTTTTAACATTCCATTCTGCTCCGTGAGTGCTAACTTGAATTAATGTCAGAGTGCCGCCATCTTGCGGAGGGCATAAGCGGAAGCTCCGCCGAAGGCGCGCGAAGCTTACCCAGGCTTATTACCAGGTGCAGCCATCATGCTACGATCCAGGCTCTGGCACTCATGCAGCAGGGGTCCCATCACGATCGTCTTGTTGGATGTTCATGATGACCGCTGGTCGCGACAGAACAACAGGGCATGCTAAGGTGGAGCTGAACGCGCGAGATGGTCTAACCCAATGGCGTTAGTCCAGAAATGTACCTTCGTTCGACTTCCTCTGTAGATGCGGGCACGCGGTCTGCTGGTCTGAGTACTGACGGACTCAGTAGGCAATACAGAGACAGGCCAGATCAAGGGCAGCAATGATTGATTTAGTCATGCCTTCGCAAATGTCTGGAGGTGAACCTGCCATGTCCTCGCTTTGTCAGACAGAGCAGATTCGCGAAGAATCTTGGCGATGGTTTGTTTACTGATCACACCAATTGTCATCAACTGTGAACGGCGAGCCATTATCGCCCAAGCCCATCTAGGACGATGCTTGGCCAAGACGTATAAGTGCAGACTTCGATGAGTGCGCGAGCATGAAGACATGTCTGTTTGTGAGCCTAGCTGATTTGCGGCGCAAGTTGTCCGCCGCCGCCGCTCGGAAATGTTTCCTTGACTTATAATGACACCTTACTTAGTAGCATGCGGCTATTGTCGGGCTCGCAAACGTAAGTGCGACAGGGGATTGCCACGTTGTGGTCTCTGCAAGATGTGGGTCGCTATCCGGCATACTTCGACTACCCAAACCAGTACTGACAATCGGCAGAAAGAATCAAAACTGTTCATATGCAGGGTCAGCCAAGCTCCACCGTGTCTATACACAATCTTCGGTTACTAATGAGGGTCTGCAGTAGTCCTCTCCGCTCCGCCAGCACAGAGGCGGAGTCCCGCTGGCTTTTCGGAGGCACTAGTTCATCAGCCTCAGAGTTAGCGGTCGCATCGTTCCCCAGTTCTTACTTTTTGGATCGACCGCTATTTGAGCGGTACAAGCTTTCGATCTCGGCTAGGACCCTGGGACTGCCGCCGACAGTCACAGACGCCATTGCATCGCCGTTCTCCATATCAAGTGCCTATTTTGGCTGGGCTCATTTATGGTTTCCGATCATCTCCAAGAAACGCTGGTACGGTCAACATCTTAGGCCGCTGAGTCATCCTGAGAACGACGTGAAGCTACTACTGCTATGTATGAAGATCCTGGTGTGGAAGCCCGGGAAAGCAAATGAAGCCCGTCAACCACGCACGATGGAGTACAGTCTTGCTAAGGGTCAACTGACGGCCGCGGAGAGCACTGGTGCCATGTCGCTGCAGCTACTGCAGGCCATGGTTCTCCTGACGGTCTACGAGTACTCCCACGCGATCTACCCTGCTGCTTACTTTGGCATTGCTATGTGTGCACGGTACGCAACAGCACTTGGCCTGCACCAACAGAGGGGCAGGTTAAATCCAGTCCATGAGGCAGACCTGGATGTCGTGGAGGAGAAACGCCGTCTTTGGTGGTCCATCGTCATACTCGACACCATCATCTCAGCCGAAGGCACAGCATGTACGGAGTCTTCCTCGGAAGATATCTTACCCGTACATGATCGCTCTTGGGATACTGGCACATTCACTGAAGCAGATATGTACACTGCAGGGTCTCCCGCGAATACGAACATGGGCATGTTTGCACGCCTCTCACAGGCCTCTTATCTGTTAGCGAAAGTCATTCGCCACAAGAGCACACCCACACACGATGCAGCTTTTGATTTGGAAGAACGAAACAATCTTCAAAGGGCGCTGCAGTCATTACTGACCTTGACGTACAGGGAAGGCTCTACCGAGTACATGCCGATTTGTCCACAGACTGCACTCTGCTACAGTGCACTGGTCATCCTCAACTCCTCTGCTTATCCGGGCACTTCCTCTGTCAACGCCGGCTCAGCAGAAGATCTTGAACATACAGTTGTCGATCTGCTCATGCCAGTTGCTGACGAATCTCTGCTGAGCACAGAGCTACACTATCGGGGCCGGCCGTGGTCGCTTGATCGGTCCACGCCATTCTTGCTACGATGGAGCTATCTTATCGCGAAGACGTTCCAGGACATATTAACCCATGTTGGCGGGAGTAGCGAATCGCAGGCCGAGACTGTCCCCATTGCAGGTGATGATCAACAACGCTTCATCAGAGAACGAGCACTCAAGGGTTATGAGACCATGAGGAAGAAACTGTTGCTGTTGGGCTCACAGTGGTGTGCAGCAGATGATTATCTGAGGATGCTTGACGTACGGGCGGGCGGCAAATTCGGCTAAGTCAGCGCCAGCTATTCGAGGCAAAAAAATTCAACTTTTCCTACAAGCTTTGCCGCTTCGAGTTGTTGCTTTGGAAGGGATCCCGTGTGCTGTTGTTGGCCTCCAAGAGGCCAACCAGCGATCCAACGAAGTTGTGAGCATTAATCAGTGATGGTCTTGGCGACTCTATTCGGAAAACGCAATTATCCTTTTTCACCAGAATTCTGACCGACGGACATTCAGTGTAGCTTATATCCTAGAGCCGGCTGAGACCCAGTAGCTCGGGCCACAATTGTAATTGCCGGTACGAAATATGTGGAATCTGAGATCCTAGCATTGTTCGGTCCAGCTTTGGATATCAGGTGGTTTGCGGACCTCCGCCGACCGTTCCGCCACCGGCATCGTGGCACACACGTTGCGAGCCTTCCTGGGAGGAACGCTCAGTGACGTCGTGGTGGCCATTGCTATCAAATGCGGGTTCAAAGGTCTTACTGATACCTTTAGCTGGTCGATCATGGTTCAAGCACTCAATTTTGCTCACCGACCTGACGGGGGCAAACGCTCCATTCGCAGAAGTACTGTGGTACGAACTCGTAAAGGGCACGGAAAGTGCTCAAGAACGCCGGCCGGCTCTCCGCTAGTCCACGAAGTCTCAAAGAGAGCCGCTTCTGCAACCCAGGTGTCGCACAACGCCGCCTCAATACAGAAGACAATAAATTGCCCAACATGAGAGAGGTCCCGCATCTGGCTGCCGATGCTGGTACCACGATCGAGCTTCATTCGATGACCATCTTACCGCCAAGTACCAAGACCAACATCCGCGCTCAATGTCTGGAGTTCTTTGTGCTCGGTGTTGGATGGCTACACAGTCTGAAAGTCTCTTCCAACATGTAAACATCCCACAACACGTGGGCAATCCCTCTCATGATGGTCTTCCTGAGAATCATCTTGGGTGGCTCGAAGATCCGACAGCCTGGTTGAACAATGACGAGCACTGGGTGAACACTTCTCGAGCAGTTCACCATTTGGATGGTCCGCCACAGATCTTTGACGATTGCCCCCAAACTGGTGTCACTGCCGTCAGTCCGCTTGAACAGCCCCCTAGGACTACGAGTTTGTCGACGCAGCGCAGCAGTACCGCGACAACATCAGCATTGGATTCCGGCCCAGACTCTGGATCTGCTAGATCATCACCACCAACACAACAATCACGATCCGAGACGCAGCGTGTAGTAAGTGAATCTTTGACCTCCCCGCCTCCCTTCTGGCTATGTGACGTCTAAGCCTGTTCTTTCAACGATATCCCGTGCTGACTCATGCAGCGACGCCGAGAGCAAAACAGACGCGCTCAAAAGCATTTCAGAGAGCGACAGGAAAGCCATATGAAGTGTCTGGAGGACAAATGCCAGTCGGTTACCGATGCACATTCACGACTTCTCAGGCAGTACGAGGAACAGGGAGCTCTCTTGAGCAAATTGAAACAGCAAGCACATGGGCTGGAGGAGCAGGTGCGTCGGAAGACCCAGGCGAACGCTTCGTGAGCGCGGTTGTGCCGTAGGCACGGGCCAGATCGGCTTCGGATGGAGCAGTAATAGGTTGACATCACACTTCTACTTGCAGACGGGCCTCCTACAATATCATGCCGGAAAGTGTTTCCAAGGCCTTGAGCACCGGGATCATGAGCGACACACACTTTCTGACCAAAGGTTATGAAACGCTCCCGTCGCAGCGCCTCCTCAGTGTTCTTCCAGCCCTTGCACCCGTGGTCTGCCCTTCATTCACAGCGATCTGCCCATTCACCAACACAAATCGGATACCACGACTCAGCAGTTTCGGCTCGTCGAAGGTTGCCATATCCTGTACGGTCTCTGCATCGAACAACACCAGATCTGCTGCGGAGCCTTCCTTGACACAACCTCTGTGCGGATAGATGCCCAAGCGCTTTGCAGGGCGGGACGTCAGATGAGCTACCATCTGTGGTAGTTTGATCAAACCAAGTTCTCGCGAATAATGTCCTGAATGACCCGGTCAGATCGGTCACACTTGATAGCAGCTCCGATGGCCCGGCTAGGAGCATTGAAATGATGTACTTACCCAGGTACCTAGTCATGGTTCCGAATGCTCGTGGATGCACCTTCTCGCCATGCAAGATGGCATCGCTACCTGCCATATGCGTCCAATGCTGCATGATGGCTTGTACATTATCTTCGTGCCCTACGTGCATCAGGCAATTCGTAGCCAACTTGTCTTTCTCTAGAATCTCGAGGAAGATCTCCATGGCCGGCTTGCCCTCCTCCTCAGCTATTTCGGACACAAGACGACCAGAGTAATGCTTGATGGACTCATCGTGCGATATCTGACCCACTTGGATCTCCTCCCAATTAGTCGGAATGCCGTGACCGCCATCGCAACCATCAACTTCGACGGCTTTTTGAATGCGTGCTCGTGACTCGGGGTTGCGAAGATGTCTGAGTACCTCGCTCGAGCCGCCGGAGGACGTCCAGCTGGGCAGCAGAGCTGCGAGTGTAGTGCAGCCAGGCAGATATGGGTAGGTATCCAAGCTTACGTCTACACCCTTGTTAAGGTAGTCGTCTACCATGTCTAGGAGGACGTTGGCTTTTCCTCTATTCTCGGAGAAATTCATTGTGGCGTGTGTCAGATCTACAGCTTGTCAGAACATGCTGTTGCGTGAGAGGACGTGGTCATTTCTCACGAATTGGACACCTTGTCTGATCACCCAGCTCGAGCATCTCGTGGTAGCTTTCGACGGCACGATGGCCGTAGCTACGATGATGCGGCGCATAGAAGGCTCCGGGAAAGTCATCTGCCAGGACTTTACAGAGTCGTGCGAGCTCAGATGTCGAGGCATACATGCCAGGCGTGTAGGTCAGGCCACTGGTGGTGACAATCAGTGGGGACATCGCTAACGGTCCGGGCAGCTTACCTGGACATGCCGACAGCGCCTTCCTGCATCGCCTGGCGCAGCAATGCGATCTGATTCAAGATTTCATCATCTGTTGCAGGCGTATCGAATGGACCACAAGCTAGCAGGCGCATGTTGCCCTGCGGCACAAGAGTAGCAACATTGGTAGCCGTCTTATTCCTATCCAAACAGTCAAGATACTCGCCCAGCGTTCGCCACTCAAACATGCCTACATCTTTCAATGTAGTGCTACATTCTCCATCGCTAGGGTTCCCGTTCCAGCCAGCAATTTGCGTGCGTATCGCGCTCAGCTGTTCCAAATTCCGGATGGGGGCGTACGATATGCCGTCCTGGCCAACGACTTCGGTCTGATCTCATAAGCATGGATGTTCGGCATTTAGACGGCGAGATCATACGGTGCAACCTTGTGTTATCTTGGCCTCATGTGTTGGATGCGTCAAAAGATGGAGATCAGAATGAGCATGCATGTCAATGAAACCAGGCGACAGGCAGTAACCAGTGGCCTCGATGAGTTTGGCACCATCGTAGTCGATGCCGCCGGGCGGACCGATTTTGGCTATCAGTCCATTGTTGATCAGGACATCGGCTGCATATGGCACGGCGTTCTCGCTGCCATCGATAATGGTAGCTGCCATAAAAATGATCGGTGCCGTTGCCATGATGCCATGTTGCGGGTCGCGAGGAGGCACTCGGTCCATTAGAATATCGGTGTAGCAAGTACATGAGTGTCGCTGAAGGACTTGACCGTGTGGGTGCTTCCCCATGATCCCCCATTGATATGCTACAGTAGGATCGCCCCCACGTCTAGCCCCAACTTGCTCCCCCTTCTTCCTTATTGCGTTTCATGCAGTCACTGACTCTGTCGGCAGACTTGGCCAGGTAGTATATCCGTCTTCACTTTTTGCGACGTAGAACGTCGACCGATCGTAGTTCGTTAGAGGCAGTCCTTCAATGATCCTCCTCGGCAAATCCGGATTGGACGTAAACTGTCTTCCGAAAGCGATAGCGACATCATGCTTACTCTCCCTCACCTTGCTCCGCGCTGATGATGCATCAAAGCCACCTGCAAGTATCAATGGACCTGCACCACTCCAAGCATCGGTTGCAAAGTCCAGTGACTCGTGCTGTGCGGTATCGCGATCAATATTTCCAGAGATTCTGGGTTCCACTAGATGTAGATATGCCAACTTGAGGGTCGCCAGCTTCGAGATCAGATCTGAGAATTGTGGTACAGGGTCCTTCATGCCCATGCCTTGGAAGTCAGTGAATGGTGCAAGCCTTATTGCCGTTCTTTCGGACCCAATCCTCTTCGACACAGTCTGGGTCACCTCAAACGCAAATCTGGAGCGATTTTCAACCGTTCCACCCCATCGATCTGTCCGCTGATTGCACGTGTCCTGCGTGAACTGATCCACAAGGTACCCGTTGGCGCCATGAATCTCAACCCCGTCAAATCCAGCCTTGACTGCATTCTCCGCCGCAGAGGCGAAGTCATCAATGCATTGCAAGATCTCGTCTTCCTCCATTGCACGTGGTGTCGCGTGTCCTTCACTGATAGGCACGGCGCTACTGCTCACCATTTCCAGACCCTGCGCCTTGAGCACATGAGGTCTCGCTGCTCTGCCGATGGCCCATATCTGACAGTAGATGAATGAGCCTCGTTCATGCACTGCTTTGGTGACTTCTGTCCATTGCCGGATTTGCTCATCCGTAAACACGCCCGGCGCGTTGATGTCACGACCACGGGCCCTGGCTGAGATGAAGACCGCTTCTGTAATCAGAAGAGTGCCGGGGACGACAGCACGCTGTGCATAGTACTCTGCCATCATGCTGTTGGCGTTTGTTCATCGTCTGCGCGTAAGCGCGTCATCGGGGCAAGAACGATCCTGTGCAGAAGCCGGCAGTTACCGATCGTCATGGGGTCGGATATCTCAGCCATCTTTCGTGGTCCTTGTTTCACCACGCGTGGTCGACTCCGAGCGTTCTTAACCTCCAATTTATCCGTTCCACTTTCCACAGCTCGACGACGCGTCAAATTATGTCAGTCTAAGTCGCAGATGCACCAGTGGATGGACTTGAGTTAGTGACATAATCCTGCCAACAAGTGGAGCGGTGCACCCCTGGCGGTCGATAGGCCTTCTCACCGCTACCGACACCGGCGTGCGGGGGCTTTGGTTGATGCCGCTGAACATCTCCGAAACCGCGAGTATGGCAGCGGTACATGAATAGTGGTGATGGGCTTACACGCTACAACAAACTCAGGCTCTTGTTCTGTCCATGCCAGGTGTGCTGAAAACTCATCGCAATGAATTCAGCGATCTGAGATCCTGCCGCCAGCTAAAACAAAGTGCCCTCCCATCTGCCACAATGGACAAGCAACAACCATATACTTATACCACCACGTTCTCAAGTCTCCAGGGACGACCCATTCATGCAATGATGGCCGACACAGAGAAGACGAATGGCGATAATCATGTCTCGTCAACAACCACACTTGTGGATTGGGACGGCCCGAATGACCCTCACAAACCCTACAACTGGTCCATGTCCAAGAAGATCCTGGTCACCCTCGCCTCTGGCACTTGCACCTTCGTGGTGTCCTTCTCCTCGAGTGCCTTTGCTCCTGCACGGGGTGTCGCTGCTGCCCAGTTCGGCACGTCGGAGGTGGTCATGAGCCTCCCGGTCAGCCTGTTCCTCATGGGCTTCGTGGTTGGACCTCTGATCTTTGCTCCTCTGTCAGAGATCATCGGGCATGCGTCCCTCCTCGTCATTGGCATCATAGGCTGCGGTTTGTTCCAAGTGCCATTTGCTTTGGCTCCAAATGTCGGTGCTCTTTTGGTCTCACGCTTTTTGCAAGGAGCGCTTGGCAGTGCTGCCCTGGCAGTCGGCACTGGCATGCTCGCGGAAGTCTACGACCTAGTACCACGAGGTGTGGCTGTTAGCTCTGCAGCCTGCTGCATGAATTCAGCCAGTGCCCTTGCTCCGGTTGTGATGAGCTACGTCGTGGCTGACCTGACGTGGAGATGGATTGGCTGGATCACTCTCATACTAATCGTGGCGGCCGGAGCAGCTGGACCGTTCATTCTGCATGAGACATCACCAAAGATTATTCTTCTGCGGAAAGCGAGACGGCTTCGTTCAGAGACTGGTGATTTGAGTTTGGTAACGAAGTACTCCGATGACAAAGTCGATTTCCGCCAACTGGTGCAGAGGTATTTGTTCGTGCCCATCAGAATGCTCTGGACGGAAACGATCCTTTTGGTCCTGACACTTTATATGACCTTTGTCTGGGGCACTCTATACGTGAGTACCCGAGCCACTGTGACTTTCTTACCACATGACTCACCCATGACGCAGTTGAGTTACCAAATGTTCCCAATCTCATTCCGTCAGCGAGGCTGGTCAGACCCGGTCGCTCATCTGCCGTTCCTGTCCGTCGCCCTTGGCATCATCACAGCCTGGGGCCTCTTCTCGCTGTTCACTCTGACCTGGTACAAAGAGCGCGTTCATCGTGGCGCCACGCCAGAGGACCGCCTCCCGCCCATGATCTGCGGTAGCGTCATTCTGCCTGTCGCTCTCCTCTGGTTCGGCTGGAGTGGCGGCGTGCACTGGATGTCCCAGGTGCTAGCCTGTTTCTTCATTGGCTTATCCCTGCAGCTGATCTTCATGGCTGGCGTTGTATATATTGTGGACGTTTACGGAGCGAACTCCAATTGTGCGATGTCGATACAGGTCGTTGTGCGAAGCTTCGGAGCAGCTAGCTTTCCACTTTGGTGCCAAGCGATGTATAGGAGTCTGGGTGTGCCTTGGTCGTCGACTGTGCTGGCTTGCGTTGCAGCTTTGATGCTGCCGTTTCCTGTGCTGTTCATGAGGCATGGGAAGAGAGTCAGGGCTGCTAGCAAATATGCTGCTCCGGTGGTATACTGACCATTTGCGATAGATCCATGTCCAAGTCTAGAACTAGCGCTAGGAATCCTCAGTGATTTAGAATATCATCAATGATCGATTTGCTGTTCTCAATCCTGCCTCACATACGCACCTGTATGCGACAATAAGTGACTCAAAGGTGCACTGGGTATGCATCAATTCTTGTGCCCCGTCACCCAGCCCCAGACTTGTGCTATTGTGTATGGAGTCAGACGCTGGGGCTTGTGTAATGGCGTGGTCGACGTCGAAACGGTCAATGAGCCGTCATCCGGCCCCTCCAAGGTCTATCCGATATACTAGCACTGCTGTCATCCGGTTTTGGAATATACTTGTGAGACCACAATTGATGGATCGAGGTAAAGGCATTCTGTGACTCCCAGCTGGGCATACTGTTGCGATCAAAGAAGTAGGCCAAGCCTACAGCAGGCTCCCCGTGTGCCTTACTTGCGTAGCACATGTCCCTTTGCGGTACGATACTGTAGCTCAACTCGAGTGCTTGATAGAAGCAGGATTAGCATGCCACATGGCAGAAGATTCACCGTCCTTTTGCCGGAAGCAACTTGAAGCCCCAGAACCTTAAGATACCTAGACCTCAGGTAGCTCCCGCGCCTAGCAGAAATGTCATCAAAATTTGAGGTCGGGAGAGCATCGCGACGTGTCGACCTGGGCAGTGTCCAATGCTGCTTTACTGTGTACAAACGAGAACATGACAAGTCAGTGTCGTATGGTGTCATACCTATCGCACGGAATCGCTGACCATTCGCACTGGGTGATAGGTAACGAGTGCTGTGAGAATCACTTGGAGCACATGCAACCACGACACACGCTGACTTCAAGACTCGGCCAAGCAAACGCGAAGCACCTTCAAAGCTGAAGTAGGCGGAAGCGATGCGGGACTGCTTGATCTTCAAGGATGTTTGCCTGGTCTGCAAGTGACAATAATCTGGGCTTGTTCGGTGAAACAACTCGTGATTCGCTCTTGCTTTTAGCTGTGACGTCGGGGTAAGTGATAAGCCTGCCGTGCCTGCGCTCGCGATCGAGTAAACTTGAATACTACTGTTCTTTCCACACTGCTCCTACGACCATCAATTTCCTGCATAGGGCGTTTCTTGAGGGTTGTTTGCAATTCTGTATCATCAGAGCGCTCCCTGAGGTTGTCGTTATGGGGTCGGCCGTTAATGGTAAACCTACCAACGGCAGCGTCGTGAAGGTGAAATCAGAACCCAACGGTCACCCCGTGGGAGGCCTCTCAAATGGCATAGGGAGCTCTTTATCTACGATCAAAAGAGCAAAGCCGCCTACAAGGAGTTGGACAGGATGGCTCACAAGCAACGTCGCCAGACTCGCCGTCTGGTACACCATCATAACCGTCCTCTTTCGATGTCCATCCGACACGGGACTCATCGAAGACACAACTCCTCGAGTATGCCAGTCCTATCTGACGACCCGAGACTACGTCCAGCCATATCTGCAGCCGTACTACGATACATATGCTAGTCCTTACGTCGAGAAGGTCCGCCCATATACAGATCAGATCCATGGCAGAGTCATCGTGCCAGCAGCGGCCGTGAGCAAGAGCAATTACCAAAAATTCGCCGCTCCCCAGATCGATAAAGCGAGGCAGGCTGGAGCTGATCAATGGCAAAGGTCTGTTGTACCACAGATCCAAGTCGCCCAGGCACACGCCGCCAAATTGTATGATGCGAATATTGCACCACAAGTAGGCAAGGTGACCTCTTTGACGAGTCCCTACTATAAGCAGGCTAAGGATGCAACTGGATCAGTCTACAGGGAAAGTCTCCTACCGGCCCTGACTCTAGCACAGCCATATGCACAGAAGGGGTTCGCAAGTACGCAGGAATTCTTGACGGGCACAGCTTATCCTGCCGCTCGCCACAGCTGGTCAACCACCGTCATCTTTGTCGACGGAACATTGTGGCCCTTTCTGAAGGGACTCTACAGCGACAATGTTCGACCACAACTTGTCATGATCAGCGACCGTATCGCAAAGTATCAGGAGAGCCGCAAGTTGCAAGCCATCATCGATAATGCGGAGGTTACATCCGAAACCAGCTCATCCTTTGCTGATACGACCACAGCTGCCACGAAATCTGCTGCCAGTGCCACGGCCAGTGCCAGTGTCTCAGCGACGGATTCAGACTACGACAAAATCTTCCAAGACGAAGAAGAGCCTGCCCCAGAGGTCAAAGCCCCTGCACCCCAGCGACCGAAGCCTGAGCAGGCAGATAGCGAGAAGATGGCAGAAGAATTGCGCACCTGGCAGACCAAGTTCGCCATGGCTGCCGACAAAGGAACTGACGATCTTCGGGAGCGTGCTGGCGAGCTGGCGGCGGACATTGCCAAGACTGACATCGAAGGCCTCGGCAGAGGTCTGGAAACCGCTTTGCAGAAGACTATCGAGAACGAGCTGGACACTGTCAGGTCCAAAATTATTGCTGCGGTGTCGACTTTGCCAGATGAGGAAAGTTCAGAGGCTGAGAAGGCTGCTGCGGAAGACGTTGTCAAAACTATACGCGCGTCTGGACTCGAAATCAAGACAAGGGCACAGAAGGTTCGCAGCTGGGCTGAGAAATTTGAGAACGACATCAACCTTCGCATTCACAAAGCGGCTATCACCACACTCGAGGTGCTCGATGATATTCGTGATCTAGGTCTTCAGGAAATCGGCATGCGCTGGGCATGGATGGACGGTGTGACATACAAACACTGGGCAAAGTTTCATGAGCTTAAGAAGCAACTCAACGAGTGGCGTGACGAGGTCAAAGCTGTTGCTCTCGATCACCCAGAAGCTACTCAGGCCAAGGCAACTGCTCGGCAAATCCTCGAAGAGTGCATGGCCCTGACTGAGGATGCAGCGAAAGAACTTGTCAAGTTGAAAGAAGTCGCCAAGTGGAAGATCAGAGCGCATGACTCCACCGACGACTTCGAGCTCCGTGCTATGCCTGCAGCAGCCGCAAGTGTGGCTGCTGAGTTCTCTGCCTCGAGCGCAAGCTTGTTCGGTGATGCCAAGGAAACTGTTGCCTCTGCGGCATCGGGTGTTAGCAGTGCAGCTGGCGAAGCGGTATCCTCGGCATCTAGTGTCCTTGACCCTGTCACTGGCTACCTTGATTCTTTGGTCGGAGATGCAACCACAGGGGTGCAAAGCGTTGTCTCGAGTGCGTCATCAGTCGTTGCGGGCGAACCAAGCTACAGCTACGCGGGCTCAATCCGCGAGCAGATCCAAGATCTCATCGACGAAGCTTACGAAGGCATCTCCGAAACTGTCGTGGAGCTAGGCACTGCCACCGAGACTGTCAGTCTTGGTCTCGCTTCCAGCGCCTCTTCTGCTGCTTCAGCAGGCTTCGAGAGTGCTTCATCCGTGGTTCTTGGCACAGTTGGACCTGCAGAAGCTGCGAAGCTCAGCGCTTCGTCTGTCATCCTGGGCTCACCAGGACCGGCAGAACATGCTACCGCGTCTGCATCATCTATTGCCTCGGACGCCGGAGAAGCGGCACAGGATGCAGCGTCGAAGGCTTCCTCGATCATTCTCGGTACCACTGGCACAGGAGAGCAGATTGTCATGGCTGCGTCATCTGTTGCCTCGGACGCGGGAGAAGCTGTGCAGAACGCAGCTTCCAGTGCATCGTCAATTGCCTCAGAGGCATCCTCGGACGCAGTCTCGAGTGCATCCTCAGTTGCCTCCAAGGGTTCCTCCTTCATTCCTGGCGCTATGGCCCAGGATGCCCCCAAAGCGCAATTTCCAATCTTCGATGATTTCTTTGATGATAGCGAAACCGATTCGTACTCACAAAAGCTACAAGACATGGTCAATGGGGCCGGAGATCAATATGCTTCGGTAAGTACAGCACAAAGACCTCCCAAACTTTTCACCTTTCCGAGCCTCGATTCCAGGTGCATTGGAAGATAATGCTAACCAGTTGGCTCAGCTCACTTCTGCCGTCTCTGAAGCCATTTATGGCACAACACAAGGTTCAGTGGAGAGCGTCACTTCTGTGGCTGCTGCTCAGTACTCACAGGCGCTAGCAGCGGCGTCCAGTGTACTCTTCCCGCCGCCGCAAGGTACTGTTGAGAGTGTCGCTAGTGCGCTCACGGATCGGTATAATGAGGCAGTCGCAGCAGCGCGTTCAGCATTCGTCCCGAGCCCGACGCCAACCTTAGAAGCGATGCTGTCTTCAATGGTTGCACGTGCTAGTGGCGCCTATGATAGCGCCGTCAGTGGTGCGAAGGCGCGATATGAAGAAGGCATGTCGATCGCCTCTGACCAGGTCATCGGCACAACAAAGCCAGTTCACGAAAAGATGTTCGCTGCTATCCAGTCCGCGTGGGATGGAGCATCAACAGAGGCCGCCTCGAGGCGTGATGAGGCCCTGTCTGCCGCTTCCAGCCACTACTCATCTCTTAGCAAAGCAGTGTACTCAACGCAGGGCCCGATGGCATCAATTTCGGCTGTCGCAGCTTCTCGGCTCTCCGAAGCTCTCTCTTTAGCCTCAGATCAGTACTCTTCTGCTAAGGCAGCTGTTGGTGCTACACCTACTCCGGCTCATCAGCAGTATCTCAATTCTGCACGCCGAAGCTACTACGAGGCCATTGGTTACGCATACGAACAACAGCAGAATTTCGTGGCGGGAGCATCTGGAGCCCTCTATGGCACACCTGCGCCTGCGTATCAACGTGCATTCGACGCAGCGACTTCACAGTATGCAGTCGCTACAGCTGCAGCATCCGAGACTATGGCTTCTTTATTGGCCGCAGCAACCTCTGCAGCGTCTTCCGTAGCGGGAGTCTCGAGCAAGTCACCCGCTCAGAGTGTCCTAGATGAGATCCAGTCACAGTATGATGCAGCTGTTTCGGCAGCGTCGTCATCACTGCACGGCGCTACGGGCTCGGTCAGTAATATTGCGGTCGACAATTGGGCGGCTCTGGTTTCTAAAGCGAGCACCCAGGTTTACGGCACTCCAAAGCCGTTTTACGAAGAGTATGCATCATCCGCAGATGAGTACTACCAATCAGCTCTCACCCAGGCCGGAGGCGCGTATGAAAGTGCAGCATCCTCCGTGGGCGAGTATGCTTCGCAGATCACCAATATCGCAGGCGATCAATACTCTGCCGTGCAAGCCTACGTCTCGGAACTCATTGTAGGTAAGGAGCCAGATTTCACTGAATCTGTCTACAACCGCCTTCAGTCTGTGTACTATACTGGTCTCGCAGCCGTGCCGTCACAGGCCTCGAGCCTGGCCAGCGAGGCTTACGCATCCGGCGCATCGGTCGCAAGTGGGGTGACTGGAGCGGTGTCAAGCTTCTTCCAGCCGCCGCCAGCCTATACCGCTGCTCTGGACGGCTTCACGAGCAGCTTGGACTCCGCCGTCAGTGCTGCAAGTATTGCGGCAAGTGAGGCAATCTACGGCACACAAGCAGGCTATGCTGAGCAGGCGACGAAAGCGTTCGGTGATGCTGCGAGCAGTGCCCAGGACGCTATTAGCATCGCGTTGTATGGTAAGCCAACTGGCACTGTGGAAAGCATAGTCAGTGCTGCCGGAGACGCCGTAGCGGGCGCCACATCAGTTGTCGGTGATACGATCGAAGCCGCTCAGTCCGTGGTCGGCTCTGTTGCAGGAGATGTTGGTGCCAAGGTTAGCGAGCTCATCTACGGGCCAGAACAAGGCGCACTGGAGAGCGGTAGCTCTGCCATTTCAGCAGCACTCGAAAGTGCAAAGAGTAGGATCGCAGCCATGGCTAGCAATGCTGCCGAAGGTGGTTCAGGAGTCTACGAGGCCGTGGCAAGCTCTCTTGACGAGGCTGCGAGTGCAGTGAGCAGTACCGTGGCGGCTGCGACCGACAAGGTCAAGGACGAACTATGAAGTATTCCTTGATGGAATAAGGATATGGGAATGATGGACATCATGTGGGAGTGGTAATACAGAATGATGGCCCGTCAACGAAAGACCGAGGCTGTTTCCGCGTCTGGACGGTGGCCACGGACGGCCCGTGATATGCAATGGGGACGATCGGCCGTGACGTGTATTTGGAGGATCACCTTCCATTTGTTTGTCTATAGCGAGTACCGGGATACCAATTTCGAGTTTCGAGCGAGCAGGCGTCGGCATCAAACTACCTATGGGATACCTATTATGAGCTAGCAGAATGTCGTATGATTTTCCACTTCCACGGATCAGCCTCATCATCAAATGCGTGTTGTGCACAAGCAAGCGGCTGTGCACAGTAGTTGCTACATCAGCAGCTCAAGACGACGGTTCCGCGGAACGTTCAAGGAGTAGTGCTACGTTAAAGTTGTGCAAGTACATGATCGCGAATGATTATGCTTACAGCAAGTGCCACTGCCAATGCTTTGACGCGCCTGCCGTATATGGAAATGCCACGCCCTCCTGTCAGGCCTGCCACGCCAGTGTAACACGATCATAATGGGATCTCGCGAGACGGCTGAGCCGGAGTATGCTCCCCGATGATATAGATGTTGCGAAACTGGCTTGGCCTTGAAGATATAAATGTGTTCAACCGAAGCAAGGTTTCCAAGACTTCGCAGCATCTCGTTATCGACCACTCTTCGACTGCTCGACTCGTACTGACCCTTCCATTAGACGGCTGTGAAGTTATTAAGGCATACCTCGCGGTCACTCGGTTTCAGGAACGACGACAGCTCGCTACACTTCGTCCCGATGGCACAATTAATGGGAGGAAGCACGCCGTTCTACCCGGATCAGGTTGCTAGTTACTATGTCCTCTTCGTAAGCTCCCTTCCATCTGCACTGAGAATTCGTCAACGCCCCTCGTCCCGCTCCAGCTCCTCCACACCTTCCCAACGATCCAAACCACTGACAGCACTCCCATTCGCCACAGACTTCAATCCTAGTCCTCGGCGGCTACCTCTCCCTCCTCTTCTCGCCCGCTAACATCCGGAAGAACTACACGCCTGGGCGCTTCCAGAAGGAATTTTCGGATCTTGCTGCGCGCAGTGTGGGGGCTTGGTTCTTGACGTGTAGTCTTGTTCGAATGGTAAGTGTTCACAGATACCCATACCAGGCCTCCTGGTTGTGGTTGCCCCTAGGGATATGTTGTCTCTGACACAAATCTAGGGCTGTTTCTTGAACTGGGGAAACTTTGAGGGCGGTTTTGTGGGCTGGTACGATGCGAATCTGGTGACGCTTGCGGTTCCGGTGTGGCATTACACTTTGGAGAAGTTGGTTTGGGGGTGAGTTCGGCTCAGTGTTTTCGAGTCTCCCGGTTCCTGTTTGTAATTCGCTTGTGGGTGTGGTTGCGTTCGGAGCTGGTAGACGCTGGTGCTAACGATCGATGTTCGGCGCTAGATCACCAACAACTGCGTCTCTATGGGCGCCATTCACGTTTGATTTCCTCGGCGGATTGTGGTTGTGGTCTATTCGGAATGAGGTTCTGAGGCGTTGAATGGGGGTTAGTGTCGACCTGCATTCACTGACGAGTCCGCGGGCTGTACGGGCTTAGGCATATCAGCAGAGAAGCATGCTGTCATGTGAAAGGGGGAATATAGAGCATGGGAAGGGTCATCGAGGGGTGTGGCATTCTTTGATGGTGTTCGAATAGACTTTCTGGTTTTTGAGCGTTAGCTGTTGGGCAGTTTCAGGTGTGAGCGACAAACTGGCAAAGAAAGCGAAGCAACGAGATCCAGCAGATGAGTTTGACCGTGGTTGGGACTCTGCTTCTTGCTACTTGCTTAGTACAAGGCCTTGTGACAGTCAGCATGCGCGACCTTTCATCACTTCTTCTCTTCCTCCTTCTTCGGCTCCGGGGGTGGCGAAGGCAGCTTGAACTCGGGCGGAGTCTGATCAGTGCCGACACCGACCTGCTCCCAGGCGCTACTGCCACCTTCGAAATTCCTCCATGCTTGTGTCATCTCCAGCGGCTCCACCACGATCCGCTTCTTCTCCTCGTCGTACCGGATCTCCGTGTAGCCTGTGAGTGGGAAGTCCTTTCGCAGTGGATGGCCATCGAAGCCGTAGTCGGTCATGATGCGCCTCAGGTCCGGGTGTCCAGTAAAGAAAACGCCGAACAGATCGTAGACTTCTCGCTCGTACCAGTTGGCTCCGTCGTATAGCGAGCAAATTGACGGGACAGGCGTCGCCTCGTCAGCATATGTCTTGACACGTATTCTGCTGTTGTGTCGGACGGAGAGCAGGTTGTACACGACTTCGAAGCGGTAGTTCTTGGTGGGGAAGTCGACGGCTGTGATGTCTGCGACACAGGTGTATTCTGCGGCGGTGTGGTTCTTGAGGAAGGTGAAGACTGGGATAACGCCGGTCGGGGTGATGTAGATGCATAGCTCGTCTTTCCAGACGGAGAACTGTTGGATGTATTTGGGGAGGCAGGACATGAGATATTGGCCATATTGATGGAGGGCGACGGATTTGTCTTTGTGCTTGGAGGACTCGTCTACCACGGGGGCGGAGAGCTGGCCGGTGGCTGTTGAGGTGTCAGTACAGCTTGGAGTTGGTTCTTCGAGTCACGTACGGGGTCTGGGTGCTTTGCGCAACTCGGACAAGAGATCTGCTGGTGGTTCACGGAAGTTCTCCTCGGCTGGTCGAGGTGTGGAAGTGCTGAAGGGCCTGCCAGCCAGTGCCCGTGCCGGACGGGAGGCTGTCGTGAGCGCTCTCTTGCTGCAGAGACGCAGCATTGTCTGAGGTGCCGACATTGCGAGCGCTGTTAGGTGGCACAGCGTCTACAATATCCAGTTGGTATATGGTCGTCATGCAGTCGAGACAGAGCTCGAAATAGACGGGTTTAGGTCAAGCTCCAATTCCAGAAATGCCCAATCTGGACTAGCGCCATATGCTGCTGAAGTCTGAGGCGGCGAAGTGACTTCAATGTTCCATGCAACTCTCAGGCCATCTTGAATCATCGCTACCGTCTTAATTACTCCTCTTACATCGACTTCCCTGGCGTCTGATTCTCCGGCGTCTCAATTATTGGCCCTCATTGTACAAAAGAGAAACAAATTGCATGGAGAACGAGTGCCTGTTAGCAATCGAGAGGAAGGAGTCGCAGGTGGTCTTTACACATCCCACAAATCATGAATCGATCACAAGACACCGTCATAGACGATGACGAGGAGACATGGTGAGCAGCATTAATGATGATACACCGGATGGGATGATAGCTGACACGAGATTCAGTCCGCTCTGTATCGAAGAGTTTGACTTGTCCGACAAGAACTTTCGCCCATGTCCCTGCGGCTACCAGGTATGTACAAAAGCGCCAGACAGGCTATCAAGCGCATGCTTACCGAGGGTAGATATGTCAGTTCTGCTTCAATTCGTTAAAGACTACGTATGAGAAATCGACGTGTCCGAACTGCCGGCGGCCCTACGATGAGAAGACGATACAGTACAAGATACCGACAGCGGAAGAGTTCAAGGCGGACCAGCTCAACAAGAACAAGAAACAGCTGGCTGCGAAGCGGAAAGAGACTGAGAAGCGTGAAGTTGAAGCCTCAAGCCGGCGCAATCTGGCTGGTGTACGCGTCAAACAGCAGAATCTCGTCTACGTCATTGGCCTTGTCCCCAGCATGAAAGACGAGTCGGCTCTGCTACAGACTCTCCGCGGCCCTGAGTATTTCGGCCAGTATGGCGAGATAGAGAAGATCGTGGTTAGTAAGGCCAAGCCAGGGTCGACGACGCAAGGTATCGGTGTCTACGTCACATATGCTCGTAAAGAGGACGCTGCGCTATGCATCTCAATGGTCGATGGGACTGCCAACGGCGATCGCATGCTGCGAGCGCAGTACGGTACCACCAAATACTGCTCGGCTTTCTTGCGTGGCGAGATCTGCCAAAACAAGAACTGCAGCTTCCTGCACGAAACGGGCGAAGATGGCCAGCACAGCTCATTGCAGAACGAACCCCACGCACCCAAACCGAAGCCGACGCAAGCTATGGCCCCACCACCACGTCCAACGTCCACCACGCAATCAGTCTCATCTCAGCCCATGGCACGCCAAGGAAGCGACAATTCCGATGATCGCAAGGCATCCGCAGACGGTTCCGCTCTACCATCTAGTGTTGGCTGGGCGAATGGGCCTGCGGCGACCAAGGCACGTCTCTTAGCCAGACGAGCCGTGCTACACCGAGTCCCCAAATCACCCATTCCTCACTGGCATCTCAGAGGACAGAATCCAAGCCCAAAGAGGTCATCGCCGAAACACCTGAGCCTGAACCAAAGACCAAGCCAGCGCCAACGCCCGTGGCAGCCGCTAAGCCGCCGCCGAAGCCCAAGACTACTGATCCGGATCAACTGATTTTCGACCATGTGCTCAGGACGGTCAGCTCTGGTACGTTCCGCTTCACCTTCAGCGATGCATACTTGTCAGAAGAAGAGAAGGAGAGGATGCAAGACTTTCCTACACTCATCGACCCGGAAGGTGGCGCCAAGCGTCGAGCCATGGCGGACAAGGCAGCTGCAGAGCGGGCTGAAGAGGAGGCTAAAGTCAAATCAACGCTCGAGGAACAAGCCACAGCCACTGCAGAGGAAGCCATGGACGACGTTGACATGGGTGCCGGAAGCCTGGCGCTAGGTGGCGAGCCCGAGGACAACCCACGGACTGCAGCACGAGGAGCGATCTCGAGACCACCGGGTGTTGGTGACCAATTTGGCTCGCGCAGTCTCACACCTCAGCACCTACGACAACTCGCTCAACAGTCCGGCAACTTGCCCGCTCCGGGTCTACAAGCACCGACACAGAACACCGCTTTCGAGATGTCCGACTTTGACCGCAGTGCGCCACAATACAGCCAAGCTCAGTACGACCAGATCAAGAACCATCAACGACATGGCTCGCGGTACTTCAACAACGATGCCAAGTCGACACAGTCACGATTCCAGGGCCAACAGCAGCAAGGCTTCTACACGAGCGGCGTTCAGGGACCACCGCCTGGTCTCCCGACCTCCGGTACACCCCCAGTCAGTGGCGGAGGCATGTTCTCTCACGGACAAGGCTTCACCAATCCTGGCTTTGGTACAGCCAAAGACAATACTGACATGCACATGCGTGCGCGAAGTGGAACTGGTGCTGGTCCAGATGCTAAACGTGAGTTGCTCTTCTCTTTACAAAACAACCCCCTTCGTTCGTCTCCGCCGTCGTCCAACGCCCCTGCCTCCTCCGCTCTTGGCCACGCCAATCCGCTCTACGCTCAATATGCTTCCGTTGCATATCAGGATCCTGGCCTCGTCAAGCAGCGGAAGAAGGGGAAGAAGCACAGACATGCTAACACTTCCTCTTCAGGAGGTGTAGAGCATCTTGCCGATCCAAGCATCCTTCAAGCACGTACCGGTAACGCCGGCGGGCAGGGGCAAGGCCTGTACGGCGGGGCCAACCAAGGTGGGTACCAGCAACATATGAATTCTTACGGTGGTGGCGGGTATGCTCGAGGCTGGTGATTGATCATGACAAATCACGGCGCTCGGCGACATTGCTCATTATAATATCGATTTTCGTTTGGCGTTGGGGTGTGCAGAGAAGACCCATGGAGGCCTCTGCCATGGAGCTCAAAACATTCGGGGAAACATTCAGTCCGGCGCTCAACGAGAACACGTTCCATTCTCTCCCAAGGATTCGGCATGTGTCGATGGTTCACGACCTCATGTATGTTAGCATACCCCTGGCTACCTCTTGAGGTCTGCCAGCATCACAAACCAACAGAACAAGTTCTTACACATCTCAGGACCTACCCGGCTCCTGTCGCTGTTTCAGTGTACCTCGCCTTTTCTGTATGATAGAAACGTCCTGCCAGGCCACTGAGAGCATACCCGCTGCGGCCCACTAGACCGCCACTTGTTAATTGTTTTGGTCCTTTGATGTTCGTGCATGGAAGCTTACTGACTTGCCTATAGTCGACGACAGTAACTATCCTCCTCTTCCTGCGCCTGTGGATCCGCGTCCGCTTCACTCGAGAGTATCTTCATTTCACAGCAGAGCTTCCACGCCTAAAGTACCTCCTGGTTTCGAGACTCACGCTCATCCTCTATTGTCAGCGCCCGGAACCGGAGTAGCTACGCCCGAGAGGTCAGGCACGCCAATAGGCTCAAAGCTGGCGCGCACTGTCTCTGGTGCTGTACTGCCGGTCGTCCCAGATCTGTCAGCTGTAGTGCGGCCAAGCAAAGCACAGAAGGAACCTGCCAAGATAGAGCAACCAAAGGCTCCACCTGCCGACCAGAATGAAGCAAAGCCTAAGCCGCTCGCCACACAAACCACCACGAGTCTTGGGTCACCGGTTCCGAGGGGCAAGGACAACGGACCTGCCGAGTCCAAGAATGCGGCGACGATCGATGCAGATGAGGCGCTCACAGCCTCGCCTACCAAGAAGCCCGCACCCAAGTCTAAGCAAAAGGAGACATCGCCAGTCAAGCCTGCCAGCAAAGAGGCCACGGTGTCAGCAAAGCCCGAAAAGTCTACTAGCGCACCTGTAGTCCTTCCAGAGGTTCCTGTGACCGAAAGCCCTCGACCGTCGACTCCGGCCACGACCGCAAGCACCGATGTCGTACCAGGCCCGCGGCCTCGCACGCTTCGACTGACAACTACTGCAAGCACGACGACATCGAAGCCCGCATCCGGGACGACCGACCAAGTTACTCCGAACCTTGGCACAGCCGCAACCGAGAAGTCGACACTTGGCTCTACATCATCCGCCGTCCCTGTTCGAGATGCACAGCACTTCCCCACCCTTCCGCCATCCCGTCAGCTGTCGATTTCTTCCGCCGTGCTGCCGACGAGACATTTCGATGGGGCCAACGTGAGCACTTCGCGGCCAAGCACTCCCATGTCGGAAGTGTCGCACCCTGCATCAACACACACTCACAGTCGGATGATCAGCGAAGTGGCCAGTCGTAGCAGTACTCCGCCTTTGTCGCAGGCCGCGGGCGCTAGCATCGTGGGGAGTGCGCCTGAGCGGACCAAGACCAAGAATCAGCTGAAGAAGGAGAGACGGGAGAAGGCGAAGCTGGCTGAAGTCGAGGCCGCTGCTGCTAGAGGAATTGTGGCCGCAAGTCCCGCCAAGGCTGCTGTTGCTGAGAAGACGGTTGCGAGTCCCGCTGAGGAGGTAGGCCCGATTCTGGCGAGGCAGAAGAAGCAGAAGAAGGAGAAGGTCAAGAAGGCGAGTGAGACTGTGGCTGCTGGAAACGTTGCGTCCGCTAGCAAGACTCCCGGCGAGAAGGACATGCCTTCTGCCAAGGAAGACAAGTCGACGAAGCTGGTAGGCACCGAAATACAGCAAGTCTCCGAAGAGGTCCAAACCGCTGCGGACACTGGAGTCGAACTGAGTACGCCGACGAAAGCCACACCTTCACAACAGCCCAGCTCACCGCCCTCTCCAATTGAGGATGCGGGCCCAAGCACGCCAATGCCTCCGTACACCCTAGCGCAACTGTACGTCGACGCTGCTATAGCTGGCAACAGCCAAGCACAAAGTCCGGATCCCGACAAACTAGCAGAACTCCTCAACATGCACGCACCCTCAGCGAACGAGCTGCTCTCTGCAGTGTCAGCATCCTTCGAGAACGAAATGCGCCTAAAGGACCATCCCTTCGTGAACCCACCAAGCTTCGCTTCGAAGGAATTCAAGCTACCCGCGGACTCCCGCAAGGGCCAGGAATACCTGGACGCGCACGGGTATACCTCCACTTCTGCGTTCGGCTACCTCTACGTTCCGCGCTCGCAGCGTCGGGAGTTGTTGGGTGGTGGCGTGGTGGTTATCGGGGAGGACGCGGCTGCGGTCAACAGTGGTGCGAAGGAGGATCTGCAGAAGACTGCGCTCATTACGCCTTCTGGCACGGTTCTGCGGCATTTATCTTCGGAGGAGATTGATACGGTGCTGGATCTCGAGGAGCGCAGAGCGGTGTATCGTGAGCAGTGGGGTGAGGGGCTAGGTGGGATGCAAGGGCTGGATGTGAGGCTCGAGGATTCGGGGCCGAGGGGTCCGGATCATATTAATCTTGAGGGCGGGGTTGAGGAGCTTATTCGTCGTGGTGAATCTAAGGGTGTGGTCTGGGTGTACGAGGAAGGAGACGAAGAAGATGAAGATGACGAAGGGGATGAGCTTGATGATGAGCTTGAAGATGAGTTGTTGGATGAAGGGGATGAGGGTGTTGATGACGAAGAACTATTGGAGGAAGGCGAGGAGTATGAGTATGACGACGAAGATGACGACTTACCTCCGCTGACGCCTCACGATATCGCGGCTGCGAGAGCGGAGGACGAGTACATGGCGGCACAGGCTCGTGCTGCCGGGGCAAATGCCGCACAACAACGCCATGTATCTCAGCCTCAGAACAACAATGCTCGTCAGGGCGGGATGGAAAGTGGAGGTGCAGTGGAGAACAAGGCGAGGGAAAGAGCGGTCTACCTGCCGGCTTTGAATGTGCAGGAATTGCACAAGCGCATGTTGGAGACGCAGCGGGAGTTTGATGCGAGTCGGAAGGAGGTTGAGCGGTTGGACAGGGGTGGTGGAAAACGAAATAAGGAGGTTCAGAAGTGGGTTGGGGGGTTGGTCAAGGCTTGAGTCGTTAACTGCCTGCCCTGTACATTCGTTGTTGGACTCTGGTGTTGGAACTTACAGCCTGGGTAAAGGTGTCGAGGCGCTACGGCGGGAGCGCCGGTCGGCTGAACTGTACTATCACTGTTCTACCTGTACCTGTACCGACCCGGTCGAGCGCTCGCATTCAGATAAGTAGAAAGACCAACATGTCAGTGGCGCCTGCCTCTTGCCATGGTGCTTTCGATCCGGAACGCGAAGGCACGATCCCGCGTCATTAAAATAGTAGATCTGGCATGATTGTTGTTACCGGCCGTGTGTGTTCCACTCGGCCCACCAATCCTTTGCCGGCGGTCTTCTGCTCAGGCCCCACCGCTGCAACTCCTTCAGCTCATCTCCAATGCCTTGGCCCTCCTCCGTCGCCCGCCACAGCTCGAGATCAATGATTCCACACGTCTGGGTAGCCTCGTCCCACATCACGTTCCGCAGACCGCAGTCCACTGGCTCCACCCCTGCTGCGTAGACCGCCCTGAGGACCTCCAGGAATTTGGGCCGTATGACCTCGTGCACTGTGCTGGGTAACGACCAGTAGTTCAGTGTAAAGAGAGGTTGGCCTGGGAGGAGGCTCATCACGAGGTAACTGATGTAGCCGCCTGGTAAAGGGCCGTTGGACGGCTGAGGCTGTATAGTAGATGTGATCAGATGGGGGACGTGAGGGAGGTCGGCTTTCGTGAAGATCGACAAGGCTTTCAGCTCCTCCGCTGTCGTTGTGCTTGGGCCCGGGTGGGGGGTGTTCTGGGGGCGACGGTCGCCGCCGGGGATCTGGACTTTGATCTTCAGGATGTAGTCCTGCTCAATGCCGGGCTGTCTGCAGATGAAAATGATGCGTGACTCGGCGGGCTCGCCGTCGTGGCAACTTCTAAGCTCGGTGATGGGGCGTATGAGCTCGTATGTTTGGTTGTTGGGGAATGAGACTGACTTTGGAAGGAATGGCGGATGTGAGAAGGCTGTAGTGCCGTTTGTGGCCATGTCTGGGCTCGACGTGGGTCTGAGGGAGGCTAAACAAGGCAACGAGGCGATTCGTAGGCAAACGTGGTTGAGGTTGGTGGAGGCGAGTTGCTGATGTGGTGTCGCTCAGTACTTTTGTCTACATATATACGGGAAAGAGTGTGTTCGTATCATGCGGGTTACTGATCTATATACAGTCGAAGCTGAAGCTGACGTCGCCGACGCTTCGGGCTGATGGATCTGAGTCGATTTCCATTGCCGTTGTCGGTCATGGTAAAAGCAGCCATATCGGAGATAGAGGGTTTAGTAAAAGCGGCCGCGCAGCGCGAGCCCTGCCGAGGAACTCGCGAGTTCGTGACAGAGCTGCTCCTATTGGAGCGGAGGGATCTCGAAAAGCATCATTGACCGTGAGGAACAGTTGCAAGCAGCGACAGCGCATTCGGATGTCAGTCAGTACTACCTGACCGCGCCAACATGAAGTCGCAATCAGCCCTCACGCGTCGAGTATTTCGAGCTATTCTCGCGAATCGGCCATACCACTCCGCAAGCTGCCCACTACGGTGTACATCCGCTGCACTCCCTCACAATGCTCCGCCTCGATCACAGCACGCACGACGACAACAACGAAGGTCCTTCTTCGGAGTCGCCATCGGTGGATTCAAGCCTGATCTGGCTGCGGCGAAGTCCACCACAGACAATATCGAGACAGCACTAGAAAGATTATCAGAATTTGTAGAGGCGACCAGAGCGAATACAAGACCGCCGCAGGAAGAGAAACTGGTCGAGGCGATCCGTTTCTTCGTCAAGACTCGCTTGAAGGCGGAGCGGGGATTGAAGCGCAATGAGGTTTTTCTGGTCGCGCAGTCACTCAATCACTTGATACAGGAGAAATGGGTGTCAGACGATGACACTCCGAAAACACTGGGTGCGGCTGACCTGCTCGATGTATTGCGTGCACTGTCGCTGCCAGTGTCTGGAGAAGGCATTCATCGAAGCGACATACAAGAGCTCGCGAGAGCTGTGCGGGACGAACTCAAGCATCACGACGTCGCGGCTGAGGACGCTGAGATGTTGTTTGCCAGCGCGTTGGCAAGCTCTGGTGCTGCGGAAGAGGCTTGGTCAGTAATGCGGACGCTCAGTGTAGCGGAGTACGATGACGATGCTTGGACAAGCTTATGGATCGGCCTTGCAGCGGAGGGCAAGCAGAAACTGATGTTGGAACATACGGACATTCATGATTTCGACCATACCGGCACAGTCTCCTCGAGCGTGCTACGCTACCTGTGCAAGAATGGAGACCTACAATCAGCAAAAGAGCTGCTGCAGCTTGCTCGTGACGTTGGCGGTCTCCGAATCGAGGGCACTGCCCTGTCGACTTTTTTGCAATACTGCGTGGATGCTAAGCAACCGCTTCCAGATAAGGAGCTAAACAAGTCGGAAGTGACCCAACCTGGCGCATCAGGAGCATTTCTCAGCTGGCGGGCGGCACGAGGCGCAAGTACGCAAGAGCTTGCAGAGTTGATGCAGGAAATGCTTCAAAATGGTGCGGAGATTGACATGAGTGACATGAATCAGTTGGTCAAGTACGCCTACATTAGGAAAGATACTGCTCTGGCAGCCTCATACATCCAGTTGGCGCAGGAAGCAGGAGCTGTGCCTGACGCAGAGACCTACGCCTTGAAGCTGGACTACGACGTCTCTGCTGGAGATCTTAATGCGGCAAGGGAGGCATTCGAGGGCATGTGTATCCAGGACATGTCGACGACTCGTTCTGATGTACCGGCCCTGAACCGGTACATCAGGATGCTCGCGGCGCAGGACGCAGACTACCAGCTCATCATGCGTGTTGTTGCTCAGGTAGGTGACATAGAGGGGCTTGTGGAAGCGGAAACACTAGCTACTCTATCATCGCTACTATTACGACAAGACGACCTGATGGAAGTCTTCACGTTACTCCGACCCCGCTTGGTGCTTTCGCCGCTGCAGACCGAGCCAAGATCGCAGCCGTGCTCAAGGAATACATCGTCAACCCAGCTGTCAAAGACCAGAACGCATTCAATGCTTACGAGATGTTTCGGGGTGCCTTCCCCGAAACACCACGTTCGGAGCGCCTGCTCATCATGGACTCCTTCTTCGAACGCAAACGCTCTGACCTGGCCTGTCTCGTCTTCGCACACATGCGCATGCGTCAGGACGATGTGCGGCCCGATGACGAAGCATACGCGCAGTGTTTCTACGGCATTGCCAAATGTCGTGATGTCGATGGCTTGCAACAGGTCTACAATATGCTGAAGCTTGATGTGCGCGTCCAGCAGACCACTAAAGTCCACAACGCCATGATGGCAGCTTATGTCCCCTGCCAAACGCCCTTCTCGGCAATCATCGACCACTACTGGAAGATCCTCGATTCGCGCGAGGGCCCCACGCTAAGCACCTTCAAACTCGCCCTACGCGCCTGCGAGGCGTGGGTCGGCGCCGGTGGCGAGGAAGCACGACGGATCATGGCGCTCATGCAGAAATGGGACCTTATCATTACGAAAGACCTGTATGAGTGCTATATTGGTGCGCTTGCCGGTCAGAGCCAATTCGAAAACGTGATCGAGCTGATCGAGTGCATGGAGGAGGATATCGGTGTGCCGCCTGACGCGACTACCATAGGGACGTTCTACAATACGATTCCGTGGCAGTACCGAAAGGACGAGGTGGAGGCGTGGGCGCGGAAGAGGTATCCGGAGCTGTGGGAAGATTTGGAGGCGATGGGAGACTGGATTGATGAGGAGTGGGAGGTGAGGTATTTCAATATCAATCGGGATATCGAGGTGGATGATGAGTTGTTGTTTGGGAGGGGCGAGTATGATCCTAGGCTGGCGGAGAGCGTGAAGATGATGAGGATTGCGGAGCCGGTTGTGGTGAAGCAGACGGGTATGGACTGAGAGTAGCTTTGTACATGGGCGGCAGATGAAGTCCGTGTGCGCTGGAACGACAGAGGCCTCCTGCATGTGGACGGAAGGTCTCATTCGTCCTTAGGGCACAATCATGTGCCACCACTTGTAAGACACTGGCATCCGTGGCTGAGGCTGCGGCGTTGGCTGCCTCGTCTCCAGTTCGTCCCAACTCCTGCCCCACGCCCTGAGCCTCTCCTCATCGTCCTTCCCCTTCCCACTCTGCGCCTCCTCATCAAGACCAGCGACTCGTCTTACCATCGCCACGATAGCGCGCATGTGCTCTCCACCTCCGCTGTCGAGCCTTCGGTCCGAATCGCCGTACTGCCCGATCCAGTCGAAGCAGGCGTTTTCGTTGGCTATATGTCCTGACCATGTGTCGTAGGTCTCGTTGTCGGTCGTGGTCTGCGGGTAGAGGACGATCATGTCATTCGTGTCGGCCCAGGCGTTGTAGCCGGCGTGGGCGATGAAGAGGTCGCCGATCGTTTGGACGTTCATGGTGCAGCCGTGGAGGGCGAGGTGGAGCTTGCAGGGTCGTGGTGGTGGTGGGGATCGTGACCTCGGGCGCGGAAAGTGTCCATCGTCAGTGTGCGGTGCAGCGTGATGCTGCTGCTGGTGCCGCCGCTGGCATGTCTCAGGAATGTAGATGTATCCTGTGTCTGCAAGGCCTGGAGCTCCGAGAGGGCCGGTCTGCAAGAAGGGCGTGAGCGAGCCTGAGCCCTCGATTAGATCGTTACGCTCGTTGAGGTTGCCATAGAGCCACTTGAGAACAGCACCCGCTCCATCATAGCCACAATTCGAGATATATGGGCTGATGCTCTCGTTACATGGGCTGAAGCCTTCGACTTTCGAATCCTGATCGGTCGGCATGGCGTGTCCTGCATCAGCGAGCGTCACGAACACGACATTCTCTGCTTTGGTGAACTGCAAGAGCTGTAGATGGAGGAGATTGGTGATGCTTAGTCCAATAACATCGTCGAGTGCGCCTGCTTGAAGGTAGACGCGACGGTCGAGGAGATTGGTCAGAGGATCAATGCTGCCATCTGCACCGAAGGATTTCACGTTGGCGATGGGCTGTGTTATCATTGGTGTGGCGTTGAACATACAGTTCTGAAACTGGAACATTGTCAGAATGGACTATATTATGTCGTTGTGCGGTGAAGCCATACGTTGTCTTGGTCGCGAGCACAGTCGTAGGGGCCGCCGGCGAAGACGCCAAAGCCGGATTGAAAGAGTGATGAGTAGGCAATGCCGAGCTGGGCTGCCATGAAACCACCAGAAGAAAATCCTGAGACAGAGATCGAGGAGGGCTCGATATTGAAGCTTCCTAGAGGCCCTTGCGCAGAGATCATAGTGGACTGGGCGAGTAGAACGACGAGGTAGCCGGCGAGCATGGTCGCCCTTGTGAAAGCCATCTGGTGAGGTGGGATGTTGATTTGTGCTCGACTCGCAACGGATTTCATCTGTACATTCCAGTGCTAGAGGTTGCTGACGTCCGTGGGATCATGGCAAACCTCCACGCGATCAACCGATCAGTGGCACACATGATGCGAGCGTGAAAACACTCGGGTTGCACAAACAATGCAGAGCCGAACCTGCGGGTCTTGGATGTCAATACCATCATTTGCTACACCGTTGCTGCCTACGAGGGGTCATCTAGGCTCATGCGAAGGCGTGTTTTACCGTCGTGAAGAACAATTGGTAGAACGTAGTTCCGATGAAGCAAGTCTATCGCCTTGGCATTCTCGAATACCTAGGTACCTAGTAGTAGTCGTCAGACACTGCTCGTATCTCCGATACTACCGTTCATCGATCAATACATCCTAGCTTCAAGTCACTACTTGTCATCACTTTCTCTGGGCTGGCAAACCTAGTGTTCAAGGTTTAGTTTGCGCTATATCCCGCATGGCAATGCAAGCCTCAGCACGACGCTTCTGTCTCCTGTCCAGTGGCCTCAGATGACTTCGTTAAGGATGGCTACCTCGATGCACAATCAATCCACCCATTGAATGTACATATGAATCCCTTTCTCGTCTCACCCTTCATTTTCATCTATGTGGCGTTGGATTTCAGAACATATCTTTGGCTTGAGAAATGACCAGAGTAAGGGTGCTCGCACCCGTTCCTTGGAACTTACCCTGGTCATTTCTCAAGCCAAAGATATGTTCTGAAATCCAACGCCCCTTCCCGCATAACCTGTTGAGCCCGAATGGAAGGTACGCCAGGGGAAGGAGCTAGCGCTGAGGCGCTCCTTCCGCTGGGTCCTGGGATGTGTTGGTCGCGAAGTGGCAGGTATGACTCGAGGCGCTGGTATTCTTGCTCTGGCATCGTCCCGTTTCTTACACAGCAACCATAAGCTCCATCGACCGAGCCATCACCCATTGCATGGCTGCTGTTGATCGATCTGTTGCGCACGCTCACGATCTGATGCTATCCTCATCTCCTGCTCTATCCACGTATTTAGAATTCCCATGAGTCGCCTACTCCGTCTGCTCTTCGATATCAACCTCTTTAGGCGACGCTCAGTTTGTGCGGTTTTGTCCGAGCTTCTGCTGTCCGATGGCACTGAAGCCTACCAAGCCCGACAGTCGGGCTCACATAGTCTCGGCGGGACCGGTATTCTCGCCCAGCGTTCTCATATAAGGCAATAAGAGGTGGACACGAGTATCGGCGCGGTCTGCATTCGGCGAAGTCGATATGAAAACTGCTACAGTGTTCGCCAAAATGTTCAGCCTGCCGGACGTCGTTCCTGTGTGTTACGTGCTACCTGGACCCATACATCGTGTGCTGGCGCAGACAGATTGTGGCCCCACCAGAGGAAGTCTCTCAGGACCTGTTCGTGGGTTTTCCATGGTACAGATGTGGAGAACATATCCTGGTCTCGAAGTTCGGCCAGAGCATAAAGGTCGGCTCGGTCCCTCGTGATAGATCCGACGCCTAGCACCATCACCGCCCAGAAGCGGACCTTCGTCTCGGCTTCGGTCTGGCAAGATGACCAGGAGAACTTTCCGAGCGCGATGTAAAGATCGTTCAGCAGCCTTGCTCTTGTCAGACACGTGGGCGACAGGGTGAACAGCACCATATCGCTGAACACCAGGGCAGCTGCATGAATGACCGAAGCAAGTGCTTGCAGCTCACCTCGCCCATACGGATCTGGGTACAGCATGAGAAGCTGGTGCTGTGCGTACATGCGCATATGGACGACCAGAGAATAACTTGGTGATCCAGGACGCTCGCTTCGATACGAGTCCAGGGCGTTGACGGTGACTCGTGCAACATCGATGGCGGACCGAAGCCCGTGATCCTGAATCAGCGTAAATCCTAGGCAGCTACCCGTGGTTGCCTGGTTCCCATCAATACGCGACTCCTTGTACTGCTCAAGGATTTGTGCAGGAACTGCAGCCATCGACTTCCACATTGGGCGAATTCCACGTCTCGTAGCGATGAAGATGTCAAAGCTAATATTGTTAGAGCCACCACGATTGAAGCCAAGGATACTCACTGGTTCAACATCAGCCTCAGTGGGAGGTCTTGATCGATCGTGTCGGAGCCAATCCACGCATCACCGCCTTTCATCTCTACGACAGCATGGAGGAACTCGATGTCGTCGGATAAAATCCGTATCGAGCTGAATAACGATGCGAACTCTGCCATGAGTTCTGGTTCCACCCGATATTTGCGTCGCACGTCAGGTCTCTGCAGGCCCGAATGTGAGACCAAAGACATGAGTGCTGCAATGACCGCCGATTCGGGCGGCCCGTTGGCGTTCACAATTTGATTATTGACCCAAGCAATCGATCGCAAGCGGTGCGCCTTTCCGATAGCGATGATTTCGTTTGCGCTTTCTCGGTCTTTCATCTTTACATACTGTACGGTGATCGCCGCTGCCGCATCGATTTGATGCGACATCTGTTCCGGGGTATCAATGGCAGACCGACGGTAGAAGAATGTCGCCTGTTCTCGCGGGACTAGTGGCACCAGTGTTGGCCAGATCGAGGTTTGTGCATCATGAAGACCCTTTTGCAGCACTGTCGGAAGCTGTCCAACGATTGTCGTTCGAAAAGGATCTGCCAAATCTTGCGACAGTATACTCTTCGGGGATATCCTAGGAGAGCTGAGCAGGCCTGGAGACTGATCCTCATCTAGTATGGCATCAATCGGCGGCAGTGTCGGGTACCTTCTGACGGGGCCTCTGTCGGCTGGACGAGCTGGAAGCTCATATTCAACAACTGTACGGTCGGCGTTGGGTAACAAGCTCGATGGAACGTTGACAACCACCTCTCTGTTCTTGCGTGCGGATTGCCTGGCGGCATGAGCTCTCCGCTTTGCATCCTGGAGCTCCTGACTTCGTTTCGATTGCTTTTGATCGTGGAAAACGAAGAGGATCTCCTTGTGCTTGTTTGCAGCCATGCTGCTACAGCCAGATAGAATGGTGTGGATGGGTCACATGCTTCCAGTTGGACGGTCCGTTGGTCATCCCAGGACTGTGCGCGTGACAAGGTGGCCTTTGTCGACGTCGCCGCCGGACGAGGCTATGAGCTGATTCTGGGTGCTGGCAGCGAGGTCGCGAAGACTATGGCTCACACGGTAGCCTCAATGCGATCAGTAAACATACCAGAGCCCAAAGCTCATGTTTTCCCACAATCAATGAAGCGGACGAAAGACTGGACGAAGTCAAAATAGCACTTTGGATTACATAAGTGGCACGTTAAAATCCTGTCTGGAGTCAACACCCCACAGTCGACGTCGTTTTTGCCCGTCCGTATTCTCGTTCCAATCGTTTGGGTGCTTGGCTCACCGCAAGGGGAAGCTGGCTCGAGTAGCGCCTAGCCTTCGTTTAGACCACATAATCACACGCATCGCTATTGGACGGACAGGAGAATGCAGACGTGTGCGTTATTCAATGTTCAAGTTCGCTGCACCAAGCAGAGGGGGAAAGGTCGGGTTTGATATCAATGGTGAAAGCTCGAAGAGGAAAGTGCTCCAGTCGGTTGAAACCGATAGACCGATTAGCGAAGGTAAGCGAATGATTACTACGGGGGTGTCGGACGGCGTCGAGATAGCAAAGACCCGGAGCCTGTAGGTGTACCACGTTCTAAGAGCATGCTGCACCGAAATGAGAGCTTGATCTCTGGTGTGCGTGGTACCTGCCCTCCACGGCAGGTGATAAGGCAGTTCTGACTTTTCCCGTACTGCAGCCGCAAGCTAGGGAACTGATCGCAAAATCCGGCTGTCTGGGGAGGCTTGGGTGCGAGGCTTAGGTATCCGCATGCATGGTTGCAGAGAACGATTCGCACATGGCTCTCGTGGTACAACACAGAGGCTATGACTAAGTGCGGCGTAAGTGAAAAAGTAACATCAAACAGCGAATCGCCAGACGAGCAAATTCCGATGTCGGACTTTATGTCCGACGCGAGCCTAGGATCCGAAGCTATAATGAGACGCTTCCAAAGCAATTAAATGTTTGCCACGGAATACCGAGAAGGGCTTGAGAGGCCGTAGTACTGATGGCACTTCGCCACGAGTCCGCGGCTAGATGTGTCCTCGACGTTGTGCTCGTCGTCCCGGCGAATATTCGACAGCATGCTGGCGAAGTCTCCCAGGCTTCAAAAGGCCGCGGCTTCTCCCAAACGTCTTTCGCCGCGACTGAGTAGTCCTTGATCGCGAGAATAGTGGAGGAGAACTGATGCAGGCACTTCTAAATATGTGATGAGATGGTTCATGCCCTTCACGGAGTGGTATCTGTTGAGCGTTGTCGAGTTGGCTGATTGTTCCACATGGGGGCATTCTGGATCTTCGTATTATCGGTACAAACGAGCTCGACGGTTTGGTGTGACTTAGCCTCCTGATGGCAATGTCCAGAGCGTCTCGGTGAGCCTCTGTAGGGCTTTCGCCTGTTTGCTGATGCGAGCTTTTGCCCCATGACCGAGAACCAGGCTTTTCCCTCCTCGTGCTCTTGGTCAAAGACATCTGATTTCAGCCAGTCGTTCCGCCGTGTCGTTCATGTGTTAAGTCGCGACCACTGCAGGGACAGGTTTGCTTGTTACTGACTGAGAGCAGGGAATGCTGATGGTCCATGCAGATCTCATGTCACCTGTGACGCCTGATAGAGGACTATGACAGCATATCCTCCATAGTCGCCTCCATCGACTTAGGCGTCACGCTGAAACCCTTGAGAATGGTCTCCAAGGTATCGTCGTGGATCTCACACTCATTTGCGGCGAGCGCGTCGTACGTTCGGGCCCACCACCAGATCCCGCCGTCAGGCATGCCTCGCTCTTCGATGTAATATCGCTCGTGGCTGGGTCGGTCGACTATCTTCACCTTGACCTCACGGCCTTTGTGCTTGGACACGATTGCAGCGACTTCCGATAACGATTTCGTCTGCTTCTGAGACAAGTAGAACGTCTTGCCTGCCCATACATCGGATCGGGCAGCGAGAACAGCAGCATTCGCCAGTCCAAGGTCGGGGATGCTGGTCCAGCTGATTTGGGAGTCCCCTGCAAGGACAATTTCTGTTCGGTCGTCGTTGGCTACGTCGTAGTAGCAAGATACAGTGGCCAGCTCTCATTATAGAGTCCTTCTCGCACAATAGTCCACCTCAAGGACGATGCCTTGAGCCAGCGTTCGGTTCGCTCATGCGCCGTCATGACACGACTCAGACTTGGGTTCGCAAACGCCAGACTTGTGTAGTACACATGTCCGACCTTCGCCTGAACGGCCGCCTCCAAAACCTTGAAATGATCGGCCTCCCTACCAGCATCAGGATACTCATACCCGTGATCCTTCTGGACCCGAGCGCTTGAGATCAAGAAGAGTTTCGTGCAGCCTTCCAACGTCTGAGTCCAGTGCTCCACGGAGTCATCCCAGTCTGCTTTGCGCACTTGCACGCCCTTTGATCGAGCGTCGGAGAGCTTGGCTTCACCTCTTTGCGATGAGGTTGTGCAGACGATCTCCTCGGGCGATATGAGCTGTCGATCAAGTAGGGCGGACAAGGTCGCGAAGCCGAGCTTGCCGGACGCGCCAACGATTACTAGCATTGTGTCTGTACTGGAGGCGGTGCGTGTAGAACGTGGTGTTAGTTTGATTGCGGGTACAGCCTTGCATTGTTCAGAACCATATATAGGAACCGACTGGTTGGTCATCGAACGGACGAATTGTTAATGCCGCTGAGAGTTGCCACATTGAGGAGATCTGCGCGGAAGAGGGTCTACGCACGTGATTTCCGGCATGCGCGTAGTCATGATGCAAGTCATGCCTAACACATTTGTACACAGCGATGTTGTCACGGTGGATCAGAGTGAGATATAATCGAATATGTAGCATGACCGCGGAGTTGTCGCTCGTGTTGACTTCTTGTACCTGCGCCTAAAGCAGCGATACGTCATGCGGTTGGTGCAGAATATTTATATCCTTCGACAAATCCGTCCTCGAAACCTCACATACACCAGCTTAATTCGCCAGCATATCTACCGTTCGCGTCCACTTCTTACGCCAGTTCACCACCGCTGCTTTTCACCCACGACCATGACGTTCCAAAAGCCTTCGTCCGATCCGCCTAAGCATGAGATGGCATACTTTCCGGATATGACGACATCTCTGCCATCCGAATCAGGCGACTTCCGGAGAGTGCTCTGGACTGGTCTCTATAGCCAGCTGGTGCTGATGACAGTGCCTGTTGGCGGAGATATAGGTGATGAGGTAGGGTGATGCCAGGCTGCGTGCGCGAATACGGCTGACTTCTCCCAGAAACACACCGTCGATCAGATCCTGACATTCACTTCCGGCAAAGGGAAGGCCACAATTGCCGGAAAGGACCAGGAGGTCAAGGCTGGCGATCTGATCATTGTGCCCGCTGGGACACAGCACCAGTTCGTGAACACCGGTCCAACACCACTGATCCTATATACTGTGTACTCGCCCGCAGAGCATAAGCCCACAACGGTCCACAAGACTAAGGAGCAGGGCGAGCAGGAGGAGGACGACGGTATTGATGTCGCTCCGGACTGGTCTCGGCGGTCGAAGGCTGAGAACGAGAAGCTAGGTCTCGTCGAGGGTGAGGGTATGGAGAAGCAGTAGATTTCTGAGACAGAAACCGTTGCTGTACGGGCTTCATCTTTTCTTCTTGCTGACCACGGTCGTAAAACCATCTTCATCCACTTGCGGCACTACTTTCTCCTTTTTTGCGGTTGGCTGCGGAGCCTCGCCCATCTCAATGTCCTCATCGCTGAAGCCATTGAATTCATCGTCATCTTCGTCCCAGTCCGTCTCCTCGCCTTCGTCGTCCTTCCCGCGCACAAAGCCGGTTGACTCCTTCTTCCAACTCTTCTCCTTCTCCAAGTAGACCTGATATCTTGATTGCAACTCGGCGGTGTTGCCAGTGGCTAGCAGCTCGCATCCCCTCCAGATCGCCTGTGCTGTCTCTTCTGCGCTCCCGTCATCAACCACAACTTCGAATTCATCATTCAGTGCCTGTAGAAGCACTTCCTCAACATCTGCGGCATCTCGGAGCTGTCTCGGCGTGGATGTCAGCATCTCTGAAATGGCACCAGCGAGCCATTCTCTCTTCGCCGCTGCAATATCAGGAGAGCCGCCGAATGCATTTGCACAGGCGAAAGAGAGTGCAGGCCACGCCCATAATGCAAGCGCGACGTGTAGGTCAATTCGATCTGACTGTCCAGCTGGAAGCGTTGGTACGCTGTCGGTCATGTCGGCGGCTGATACAGCGACGGTCAAATTGGTCGCGACGTTTGCAATGACTACATACAAATTCGATGCGCTTTCTGGATCAAAGGCCTCGAACTTTTTAGTGGGGCATACCACGGGTCGGAGGAACGCTTCTCCGATCACGACCCTGCAGTGCAGTGCTGCAGTGTCTCGTGCTTCGCTTTTCGTTCCCCGTCCTGACAGTATATCATGTGTAATTGAATTCTTTGGCATGTGTCTTCTTAGCTCATTTCTCCTGGTCATCAGGTAGCTTGCGATTCCATACCACGTTCCTTGAAGTTGTCATTCGCTCGATAATAACACATGGTAAGCTCTCAAAGGGTTTCCAGCCTGTCGATGCTGATGAAAACTCTTCGCTTAAGCACATGGCTAACGACAGGGGTCCACCCTTGCAGCACGTCTTCCTGCATGCCATGCTAAGCCGTTAACTCATCCTGGTCACTTCTATTCAGGCAGACCACCGTCCAATCGCACGCTCACTAGTATGCTCGCAGACTGCACTTGCTATACGGGGAAGCCGACGACAGGCCGCTGTCCGGAGTCACTAGCTCTTTAACCATCTTTCCTGTTGTTCGTTTCATGACCTTCGCCAGAGAGTCCGACCTGGGACTCTCTTGCACAGCTCGCTCAGGCGACATGATGGACCAACTCGAAGTCATCGATGAGACTGGCGACATCGAAGTACAGGACGCGGATGTGCGTCTCATCCCCAGCCCTATCATGTGTACGCTTACTGACGAGAATAGTCCATCTCCGGTGCATCACTTTTCTATGATAGCGACGACGGCAGATCAGCAACTCAGTCTGTGACTTCGAGTATATACGACTATGAACAGCTACACGGCCGTACTTATCACGCTTACCACGGAGGCAAGTATATCTTGCCAAACGATGAGGACGAGCAGGAACGATGCGACATTATGTATCATGCCGTGCGATTATCGATCGGCAATAAACTTTACTTCGCTCCTATACAGGACCCTATCAACATACTAGATATCGGTACCGGCACAGGTCTCTGGGCTATTGAAATGGCCGATGCATTTCCAGCCGCGGAAGTCTGGGGCACTGACTTGAGTCCAATTCAACCAAGCTATGTCCCGCCCAATCTACACTTCGAAATTGCCGACGCCGACGAGGAATGGACTTACAGACAAAAATTTGATCTTGTCCACACCAGAGTCATGAATGACACCTCCTTAAAGGACTGGTCGCACTTCTACAGAGAAGCCTTCAAGGTCCTCAAGCCCGGCGGCTGGGTCGAGTCCCAAGAGTTCAGCTACCGACTGTATTCTGACGACAACACTATACCCAAAGACTCCAGTGTCATGTATTGGGAGGCACTCTGGACCGAAGGCGTCCAGAAACAAGGACTTCAAGGTCACTGCAATCCTGATCTGGTATACAAGCAGATGCAAGACGCCGGCTTCATCAACATAACACGTCTGAACTTCAAGATGCCCATCGGTCCGTGGCCAAAGGACCCTACGTTGCGTGAAGCCGGTGAGTATGGACGAGCAAACTTGCTCTTCGGCTTTTACGGCCTTAGCGTCAAGGTCTTCACGCAACTGCTCGGCTGGCAAGTGGAAGAGCTGGAAGTTCTGCTTGCAAAATGTCGGCAGGAGCTCAACCGCAGGGAGATCCACGGATACTGGCCAATGTAAGCGTTCGCGACAGGTAACAACTTTCTTGCTGACCTTGTACAGTTGGATTATGTTCGCACAGAAGCCGCCAAATGCCGGTCCCTGAACCTTGGGCGCCCTGCTGTAGTTGCATCTGTTACGCATCTACGAAGGGGCACGACGTACTCTAGAGGCACACTGTAACGTGCAATTGTTGAGGCCGCATTTCGGTCGCCTCAAGCGCTGCCAATAATGTGACACGCCAAGGTCGCAGTCCACGTGCGGATGACAGCCGTCAACTATAGTCAACTCGTCATCACCAAATGGCACTCGAGAATGCATAGCCGAATCCGATGGAAGCAGTAGCAACCATGCCGCTTGCAGTCGACCGAATTCAGCAAACGCTATGGAGCATGCGCGGATGTATCTCCACGCAGCCAATCATGTGGTGTCACCCACTAGCGTCCTTCGGCCCAGGTGTTGCTATTCACAAAGTACTTGCGTCAAGTCGGCACAGGGCAGAGAGCTCATCCGCTCCAGCGCCGGCTTCGGCCACTGAGTCGAATGTCAGCATTCGCACTCGAGCTGGGAATGCACTTGTGGCAGGGATGGACAAAGGCTAACCGCGTCGGCAAGATCTCGAGACAGCAGGGCAGCCACGAGGCAACCAGGCTAACCTGGAGACACATCAAGCGCCTGTTTATTTGTTTCGCAATCTTGCCCGAGGTCCTTTGCTATAGATACGAACGTAGTCGTCTGCGAGAAGACGCTGTTCCCGACTACAGCGTCCAGCACGTAATCCCACCAAGATGACACGCCTCAATGAAGGAACTCAATCCGGTACGCCGAATATGAATACCTTGATCTATCTCGAGACGAGGGATTGGGAATGAGACACGTCAACAGAACGATCTTGATGCATCGCAGTCTAGCTGTTTGCCTGTGTTTGGAAAGATTAAACCAGATCTCGACTCAACTGCTGACCATGAGCCGCGCATTCACTTTGAATTCGCCCAAAGCGAGCGCTGGCAGGTGACCGAACCAAGGCTTTTACGGCGTGTAGCAATGGTGGTGACAGTTCTCACCCCTTCAAGCAAGCGAGACTCGGTTAGGCTGTCGTGATTCGATGGGATCGATCATTCCCTTGACGATGGACCTGTAAATGCGTGACAGAGGCGACGAAGCGCCTGGTTGGGTATGCCATCGCCGTGCCCGGACTTTATAAGGTCGGCCAGGAAATGTCAAAGATGACGGTGGTAGAGCAACCATTAGTTTCGGAATGAGCTGAAATGTGTGAGGGAGATAGAATCCTGGCTCAGATACCTTGATGGTGAACGTGTCAGCGAGGGGTGAAATGAGGCGTTGCCTTGCAGTCGAACTTTTCAGCCGTTCCTGCCGGAACTCTAAGCGAAGGGCGTGGGGAGGGTAAAGCTCATGCCGCACGGCAAGTGCGCACTTGTCATTGTTATCACTGCGTGAGTCGCTGCCTGCAGTGCGAGTGCGAGAATATGGCAAGAACGTCAGCAGCCAAAAAGATTAAACAAATCGTCAGGCCACACCGTATAAGATTACGGTTAAGCACGAGGTGAGACATTTTGCATCTGACAATGCACGCCAACCCTGATGACAGATCTCCTCGTTGCCTAATTGTTTGTTCTTTTGCTGTCCATACTTCACGTTGCTTCCTGCATGCGGAATAACGCCAGGGACATAGCTTCGTCGAGCATCCCCGTTGTTGGCTTTCGATGGACAGTCAACATCCTCCCAAGACTCACCTGACCGTTGGGTCCTCCGGGAGATGGAGACCGTGCCCTATCCATGGCTTGGTCAGCTCCAGGAACAGTCAAAGAATTACTTCTCGACCTGAACAAGCTGTCGCTAGGCACACCAAGAGAATCCTTTCGTTGCGTCGAATCGCCACCGTTCATAATGGGCACAATTGGTCCGTTCGGCTTCCTCACTGATTGAGTAGCGTTGCTGCGACGCAGACTTCCCACGGCAGGAGAAGGAGACCTGGGTCTAGCCGGGAGCGGCGAAGTCGATCTGGGTGCCTCGAACCTTGAAGACGACACTGGACGTCCAGATCGCTCAGGCACGTCCTTCGTGGGCGCCAACTTCTTCGTCTCGTCTCGCATACGAGTCCAGAGGCCCATCATCCACGCCTGCTTCTCGGGCTCCTTCATGGTCCGCACGGGCAAAACTTCGGCGCCGGCCATCTCTCTGGTCGGCCATGGAAAGCTGACCGCCATTTCTTTGAGGGTCACGGAATCGAGCTGTCGGAGCACTATTCGGAGCTGTGGCTCGACGTTATCCACCCAAGGGAATGGCCAATCATCTCGTCCTTGCAGACGATCCGCTATCTGTACCATTGCACCGATCAGCCATTCGATAGCCACGTTGTCCGGTACGCTATTCGCCTTGTCCAACAGCCAGCCCAAGGTTTCTGGAGAGCCGGATTGATTGAGGATGGGAATACTGCGCTTGTCGTGCTCGCGCTTTTGCAACTTCAAGATAAAGTCGTTGTACTCCTTCATAGCGGTAAGTGGCATTCCGATGAAATATCCGTTATCAAGTGCGTGCACTAGCTCATCTCCTAGCGCCAACCCAGATTTGATGCCGCTGTTGAGGCCCCTTCCAGGCCAAAAATGTACGGTCATAGCAGCGTCTCCAGCGACAGCAACAATGGCATGTGGTCGCCTCAGCTTTGGCGTATCTTCTGGTGGCAACAATTGCACGCCCTCCTTCACAGCTTGGACCACAATCGGAATCCGCACGATGTTGATGACTTCGTGCTCCTTGAATCCAAAGAGCTTCAATCCGTCCAGAATCGATATCCAGAGTGGACTGTCACGGTTTTCGGAAGGTGCGAACACCTGCGATTCCTCGAACCCCTCGGGCACACTCCCGTCAGCCTTTCTCAAGCAGCCAGGTCGACCGAAGTGAACATATTGCCCATCTATCGATGTCATCTTGTCCCACTCCTCCTCGGTCAGTTGCATGTTCAAGTATCCACGGCCGTCATAATCGCTGGCGTTGAGCAGGTATCTCGTCTGGCCTAAAGTAAGGAAAACATTCAATGGCTGTGACCATGGCAGACCCGCTGGCCGATCGAATGCAAGGCCGAGCGCGTAGGATCGCCCACGTTCGTTCTCATAACCGTGGAAGTAGGATTTTCGAACCCATGATGCCGCACCATCGGCACCTAGCAAAACATGAAAGTCCTCAACGTCAGGCAGCTCTTCCTTCGTCATACCGCCTGTATGGAGAAAGACAGTGCCTTGAAGTGCGGGCCTTGGACATGCTTCAGAAACCGGTCCTCAACTTTTCGAATTTGGATATTCGCGCTTCCTGGCCACACTGGCTCCTTCTTGCCAGCAAAAAGCGCTTGGAATGCCTCCGGACTTAGCAAGCTAGTCACAGAGTCTTGGAGGGTCACGACCTGATCTCTTCTCCGAGCTGTGGGCGGGTAATCTGCATATTTTGTCCCATCCGCACGCGTCTTCCACACCCATCGTCGCTCATACATGTGCACCTCGACTTTGCCTTTCCCTTTCTCGGCTAAGGAGATCGCAGAAGCCAGCGCTGTCGGACCACCACCCACAATGCAAACTTTCAGTCGGCCTGCTGGATATTGGTAAGTCACTATTGGGCCAGAGGGTCGTGGTTTCAGATCTCGTTCCAGCGTCGGATCAAAGAAGAAGTCCATTACCTCTCGAGTTCGAGCATTGTGTACTTGGGTGTGCACTTTGGACTTGATCAGTATGAAGCGCACACATTGCAAAGGTGGATTCGCAGCAAAGGATAGATGTCTGCTCTCGAAGAGCTCTTCCTGGATGGCTGTCGCTATTGCCGGCACCGTTGAGTTTTTCGGGTCTGTGACAATACTGCGCAGCATTGCCATTGGCATCGATTCTGGGTGCATGCCAGCCATGCGAAGCAGGAAGATCCGCGCACGCTCGAGATCTGGTCGGCTGCCATCGGTACCCCAACCATCTTCGTACACTTGAGGGAACGATATCTGATCGCTCGGAATGGGCACTGGTGCGCGTTGCGGGACGAAGCTGCTGCGACGGGCAGTGCCGTTCGTTGTTGGAGGTGCCATGGTCGGCATCCTGGATATCGCCGTTTCGCCAATCGCTCTACAATCCTCACCACCGCCTCAAGACGTTCCTTCGATATTCCGCCACGCTACTCCCAAATACTGAATCCGGCTTGGATGGCGACACTGCACATGAGGCACGCTTGTTGGGCTATCGATGCAAGTTCTTTCACTACTACCTAGGGATTATTGGCTTCAGCTTTAAAAGAGGACTGTCTATGTGCGAAAGTCCCCAGGATGTCAAGATGTCACCTAGGTTATCCGAGATGGCTGAAACTTCAACACGAGTTCCTCTTTGATCACCTTCTAATCCAACACGAGGCCTGCCCCACTAAATATTTGCTAAGGCGAGTGAGGCCTAGAATTCAGGCTTGAGGCGACGATCACCATATGCAAGATGCATCACAGCATACTCGGCGCAGGCAGAGGTGCATTCACGCCTTCCCGACGCAGTGCTATTTCAGCCAGCAGAATCCTGTGGTTACAATTAAATCTGGAGTCAAGGTACGAACACATCATAGTCTGGGGGCCTAAACGCGTTACCCAAGCCTGGAAGGACCCCAAACCCCGCCAATGCAAACTGCCGCGGCTTGTCAGGCGCCACGCCTCAAGATAGACGTTTCAGGGACAAATCATAGGCTCTCGTTCATCTTGCTCTTCAGGGCAGTCTCAGCTATCGTAAACTTTGGTTGGATCTTCGCCAAACTTCGATGCATTTTTGGAAACTGCTGCGCAAAGCTTCATGACTGTGTAATGCAGTGCAATTGTGGCCCCATCACCGACTACTTTAGACGGAAAACCGTGAACTCAAGGATGCGAATGCTGTCACGGCCGAGACATCGGTACTAATTGATGAAGCGGCCATCAATGTCCCGAACTCCCCATCAACATTGCGTGACACTAAGCGAGCACAAGCGCGTGAAGAAGCTCGCAACCAGGGACACCCCTCGGGCTTCATAACGCAGCCTAGAATTCTTGGTGGGTAACCACGACTGTGGCTTCATTTCCTTGCCATCGTTTTTGAATATTCTCCTACGTCAGGGCTGAGGCTGTCGGTGCATCTGTTCCTGGGAAGAACCGCACGGCGCGGCCTTTGCATCACACGTCCTTCCATAACGAATCTGCTACCGCAACGACTCTCCGACACTCCAATCATCATGTCTCTCCGTTCCAAGAAGAACGTTACCCTCATCCGCCCAATACCCGCCTTCATACCGCGTGCTCTGGCGCTGGATGTTCTTCACGACCACAGTGAAGTCATCACACTCAACCCGCTGGTTTTATCACATCGTGCCATTGCCGCTCCGATCGATGCGCCGCCGGATGAGGCGCTGTCCAGATGGTATGAGATTACGGAACGCATTCAATTCATTCCGGGTCTAGGCAAGGCAGGCTCGTCAACAATAAACTTTAATGGCGTCTTTCACGATGTGCCGTGGGGTCTACAGACACATATATATGCTCCGATGAACATTGACATGAGGGCACAATACCGCATCGCAGGATCACAACCGGGTGTCGACCAGGAGCCTGCAATACGAGAGCTGGGTCTCGAGAAGCTGGGCGCCCCGAAAGAGGGCCTGTACTTACGAGCAGATGTTGAATTCAAGGCGAATGTAGCGCTTGCAGGCTTCGTGAAGAGCGAAAGCGTCAAAGCGATCGGGGAGATGGTGCAGCGAATGGTTCAACGAGCCGAAAAGCTGGACGCAGACGTGCTGCAGGGCATGATTAGAGACGAAAGAGAGGTCAACCTGGGAAGAGTGAAGAGTGCAGACGGACCACAGCCCCAACTGGCTTGGCAATTGCGGCAGAGCCAAAGTCAAGGATCAGTTCCCCATCTTAGCCAGACGCAGAGCATGCCAGTCCAGCAATGCGTTTCTGGACGGGACAGCTGGCCAACAGAGGAGCAAAAACCCCGACACGCCAACACTGATCCGATCGCACAGGAGTTGCCTTCGCCGCCGACCATTCAATATTCATCATTCGGAAGAAACGAGCAGCAACCACAGATTGCTTACCAGCAAAAGCGGTCGAGCTATGCGCCGCCCACACACGTTGTTGAACTCGATAACACCGAACACTCGGCCGGCTCTGAACAGAGTGGTTGGTCAGCGGGCATTGCCGATAACGGCAGCACCGATAGCAACGGAGCATACCCGTATCCAGACGTGCGTTCACCATCACAAGGTCGTTCGCCTTCGAGAGAAGCTGTTCAGCAGCAGAACACTTCGACCTACCAACATCAACAGCAAGCGCCCTCGCCTCAGCCGCAACAAACACAATCACAACAAAGTCCTTACGCGTACACATACAATCCAGCGGATTATCAAAAGCAGCCACAGGTGATAGCCCAGTCCAAACCATTCTATCCCCTGCCTTCTCAACAGCAATCCTACCAACAACAATACTCCCACTATCAACAACCGCAACAGCAACAGCCAGCCTACCCGCAGACTCGAGAGCCAGAGATGCGTGAAAGGGAGCGAGGCCAGAAAGTGCCACAATTCCAGGAAGGAAGGAAGTACAGTTTCGACGAAGCCAGATTACAGCCGGAAGCACTCAACGTGGGCAGTTTCGAGCGCAGCAGGAGGTGGAGTGGCGTCGGAGTTGGTGAATGAGGCGGTTTCAGCAGGGAACTCGTGGTTCGGACCAGGGCTGATAATACTGGTGTCCCTTCAAGAAATAAGCCCTTAGCCTGTGTTGGGACAACGTGCGGTCATAAGAAGATCGGCGTGTGTGATTGATCACGGCTACAAAGGACCGGTAAGAATTCATGAAGTCTTTGCATTGCCAGCAACCCTGCGTGGCCATACTTTTATCTTTGGCAACCGGAGCCAGATTCTGTATCTTGTAAGAGGGATCCACATGTGAAGAGCCGTTCCATCCCGATCCTTTAATGCTCAAAACATGATACAATCCTACACGTTCCAAAACGACGTCTTCCGCAGAGGACAGAGACCGTCTGACTATCTCCAGCATTCCACGTTCAAGCCGCCACCAATGGCTGTCAATTCGTGAAACCATTCGACGCTTCACTCACAACTCCTCACACTACTCCATAGCCGTCTTGCCAGCAGCGCCGGCTCCCTTGGCCGCGACGACCTTAGCAGCCTCTGCCTCACCCGCCGCAGCACCCTCGGCCGCTGGCTACTGCAGCTTCACCTGCAGCCGCACCTGCTTCTGCTACAGCACCGGCACCAGCAGCAGCAGCAACAGGAACAAAAACACCCCACTCCCCATTCAAATCATCCACAGTGAGCGTAATCTCATTCTCCTCGGCCTCAAACTCAAACTCCAACCCTTCCTCGATCGCAAAGCTGCACCCATCTGCACTCAATTTTCCGATCTTGGTCGTTGCGAGGTCGAGTGCTGCTACTGCTGAATCTGTATATCTCATTGTTAGTACACCTCAAAAACTTAAACCCATTCGAAAGGGTGGAAGCTAAGGGGAAGTGGCAACACACCAGTAACGTCAAAGATATAATCAATCTTCTGCAGCGTCGGCGTCCCACTGGTCGCAAACTGCACAATGAAGCTCGAGCTCTCGACCGCCGCGAACCCAGCTGGTGGGGCGGCGGGAGAGGTGTTTTCTTGGGTCAGGACTTGGCCTGCTTGGGCGGATTGGAATTCGACTTCGAATGCGCCGGCGCCTGTTAGTCCAAGGGAGGGATGTTAGCGCAGTTCGTGACGTTGCTTTTGTATGACTCTTGCAGGATAGTGTGGGGAAGGCCGGTACTAGACGCAGGCAACATGGTGAGAGAGGGGACAGCGGAACAGAAGACTCACAGTGGGAGTATATAAGATGTCCTGCTTGAGGTCTCCGCCGACCAGGTCGATGATCTCTCCAAATGACCCTTCGATTTCGACCTCGTTCTCTGCGCCTTCTCCTTCGGCGGCTGCTTCGCCTTCAGCAGCAGCGGCCTCAGCAGCAGCGGCTGGAGCCGGGCAAGCCGCTGCCGCTGCCGCTGCTCCAGTCGCGTTGGCAGCAGCGACCTCCTTCACTGCAGCCTTAGCAGCAGGTGCAGCAGCGGCTTCAACGGTCTTGACAGCTTTGACAGCAGGAGCGGCAGCTTCAGCAGCGACGACATGAACGCCAGGAGTAGGAGATCTCCTGACTTTCCTTACACGCCCAGCAGGGCTGGTCCTCACGCCAGGTAGGGATGAGGTGTTGGCAATGTCGAGGACAACGGGCGAGCGGGCGATGTGGCGGGAAGTGATTGAACGATGTTGGGGCTCGATCAGAGGTGCTGCGAGGGTGGTTGTGAAGAGGAGGGCGAGTGTGGTGATATGCATCTTGAGTGAGAAGGGCGGTGAGGGAGAGGATGATGTTGGATGGGAAAGGTGTTGGGTAATGTCTGGCCTGCAGATGTGATGTAAAAAGTTGTGTAGGCGAATTGAAAGGCCGTGCCAGCAGCCAAGGACCAATGCGAATGAAGGTGAAGCAACGAACGAGGAAACGAGAAATGAAGCGTGACAAGAACAGGCAGGAGAGGTCACGGAGCGGACATTTGGGAGATCGTAGAATATATGTCGACTTTGCGTACGCTTGCGATGGCTAGTACTTCTCCTGAGCATACGTGTGCTCGAGCCTTGGTGGACCGCCGTTGGCAGATGTTGACAGCCGCTGAGAACACATCCACGCCGTTGTAGCCGTTGACTCGTCATCGCCTTGTCTTGTGCTAGCGCATGGCGATATGTTCGGGATGCTGTAGTGGGGATGGGTTTGCCAGCATTGGCGGCTGTTCCTGAAACAATCCTCCAGTCGAAGGTCGGTGGTAGCTACGACCTGAGGCACGACCTTGTGTAGTGACGCAAGCAGTAGTGAGACTGGAGATCGAGCACATCACGCGACAAGAGAAGTGCAAGTCCAGCCGGCCGATGGACTAAAGGACGTCTGCTGTAAGCGCGCTCCGCATAGATGTGTTTTCACAATGCTCGGACTTTCCTGCCACTTGTCCGCGCAGTGACTTCACACCGGAGTAACTGCTTTTCGAAGGGAACTTATCTGTTCCAAACCGTTACACTTTGCAACGTCTCAGCGTCAAGCGAGTGTGCTTAGATGGCAGGAGCCGCTCCACGCCCTTCATAAGCTCAAAGCGATGTTTGCCAAGCATCTCCGCCGAGCCCGCGCCCAGCCAGCGCCAAGGTGCTTCCGCGTTTCGAATTTGTCGCCAAGGAGGCATCAAAGGCGCCGGAAGATGATCGCTACGGTAGAACAAGCTTGTGGACTCGTCTGAAGCCTTGTCGATCTTTGCTAAGCCGCGTTTTGAAGGCTTGGGCGTTTGGCTATGTTTTGGCGGAATGGAGCTGGGATTGCTCAGCAAGTTCGCATACCTAGGTAGCGATAGACGCCTTCAGCCGCCAAGTCTTGGGTCGATGATTCCTCTGACAATTGTGAGCTCTTCCTCGTCGACCTCACTCAGACTGAGTAATTCTAGTTCTTCGATGACCTTCCCTCCGCTATCGAACTTATTTCGTAAGATGGCTCTACACCATCTCCTTGGATCTGCCACGTCCAATGAGACACTGGCAGTGCTCAGTAAACGTCCACTGTCGCATTTCTGCAGCTCTCGCCACGAATCATTCCTAGCAGTGACGAATGGTGGCTTTCCGGGAAAGAAAAGGTCCTGAAAGTGCACGCGTTGACCCAGACTGCTTCTTGACGTGGACTGTATCGAGGCATAAAGCTCTACAGTCAACGCTCGGATGTAGATATTGCGATCCGCGTCCATGGGAACAGGAAGTGATCGAACTTGCTGACGAAGGCGAACTAATTCTGCTACTCTGAAGCAAGTGACCAGACGGTTGAGGGATTCCAGGTTGGGTAGGCACCGCGAAGGTGCAAGTTTTATGATCGCTGGGATCGTTCGTAACGTTGGTCTGAGGGCGGGCGAAGATGCCGATGACGGCACATACTGGACATTCGGGGCGCTTTGAGAGATGATGTTCGATCGCGGCACCCGAAAGGGTCGACTCAATGGTGTATGTGGCGACAGAGAGGGCGCCGCTGGTCCCTTCGATGTTTCTATGGCAGGAGATTGAGCTTCAGAAGAGCGTGTCTTTTGGCCTTCCCAAGAATCTTCCGACTTCTCGGCTGAGTGATTCGTTGTTGCAGGCGTAGACTGCGGTGGGGACGGGGATGAATCCCTCCCAATCATATCCTCGAAAAGAGAAGATTCATCCGAGAAATCGTCGGGCGCAGCACTCTCTTTCACGTCGCCCTCTCGTGCCTTCGGTCGTTCAACACTATGTCCTGAACGTGGACAAGTCGTCAGCATCGCCACAGCCGCCTCTTGAAAGTCTATGGTCTTGAGTGGCATATGATGCGAGTCCAGATGTTGAGCTGATCCTATGATACCGGTAGCTGGCGATGCGTTGACAAGTATCTCTTCGAACAGAGACGAGTCGTCTGAGAAGTCGTCCAGGGTTGTTGCCTCATGAGCATTGGCAGTGGTCGAACAATTCATATATGACGTTGAAGACACGAATCCGGATAGTTCGATTATATCTGAAGAGATATGTCAGATACCTTCCGCAAGAGGGTAGGGATCGGGAGGGTCACAGGGGCTAAGGGGCACGTTCTTCGAGGATGGGAGAGGCTTCAGAGTCGCCTGGCTGGTATGGACACCCACTTACCAGTCCCAGGATCGAAACGGCGAAGCTGAGATACTGTCGTGACCACGGACGTGATGGACAACGGCGCTGATACTGAGCTGGTAGACTGTCTGCCCTCGTCTGAGGTGGGTGATGTCTCTGCTTCGGAAAGATTGCTGTCGATGTCAGCGGTGCTCATAGTAACGACTGCATCCGCATCCGAGTCATTCTCTTTGTTCTCAATTGTCTTCAGCCGCTTCTGAGGTCGCTGCTCTGGGAGATATGGAGTGAACCAGCCAAGTTGTACGCTTGCCACAGCTGTTGGCGTCCTGACTTTTGGTTGTGCAAAGACTTCGTCTGGAACGTCATCTGGAACCTCGTCGGCGAGCTCGTTGATGTCGTCAATGTCAGCAGAGGAGCGGCGGCGCTTCAGTGGGGTGTATGGCTTCCAATTACGTCGCTTTGCGATGTCCTTGTGTCTAGCGAAGATGATGCGTTCAGCTTTGGCTATTATCAATTGTCTGTCGATGCCTAACTCAGTGGCACCCTCGTCGACGGAATGGCCTGCCAGAGATCCGCTGGCGTGTTCAGACTCAGCCTCGGAGTCGAGCAGATCCAGAGAGTCAGCAGTACTAGGATCGTCGCTGTCTGGCTGATCCTCAAGGGTCTCCAGAGGGACGTATGGGTAAAGTGGTCGCAACTGCGGTTGTCTGGAAAGCGTGTAGTCGATGATATGGGTTGCTGGCTCGACACAGGCCCAACCTGCCGCCGAGATCTGTTTGAGTCAGTAGCTACTACGGAAGGCGCGTCCGTACAGAGCACTTACCATATCGTTGGGTCGCAGACTTGAATAGACTCTTGCTGAGTGTACAGAACATCAGAAGGAGGCGAGGACTGCGACGATCATATACAGAAGAGCATTCTGTAAGTTGGGGGATTCATCGTGGCCGTCGCCCACGCCAGGCAGTCCGATGTACATATCACTTGACAGACGATCAATCGCACAGTCACAACTCATCAGAATGTGGCAGAGGCAGAGCTGGGTTTAGAAGTACAAGGCAGTATCAGATACTCAGAGGAGCTGCAAAGGCAACGTGCAACTCGACCGATGGGGGTTCGCTTGCTCAAGTGACAAGAGCTGAAATGGGGGATGCGGTTCTACTTCCCATACCATACATCACTGCAACGCAACATCTTCGAGCATCGAAGTCGTACTTCGGAAGGCACTACGGCTATCCTACTTCAACTGAACCATAGGCGGCCCTTGATATCCTTGTCATTTGTACTAGGTATCTAGGCTGTCGTGTCTGTCGTGGGCAATAGCGAGCGAAAGCGCAGGCTGTCGCAGTCAACGTCAGATTCCTGGAGAGCGTCATAGCCGCTGTCACCTGCTCATGAATGAAACGCGAAGGAGCGGTCACAGTGAAAGAGTGCCAGTGGATGGAAGGAAGGCAAGTGAAGGGCGACTTGTGGTTGATGTTTCGACCTGCCGCGGCTATTCCTCGGCATCTTCCAACCTCCAGGACTCGAATGTTTACAACCTCACGATCAATTGTTAGTGTTCGCATAGACGAAGTGCGCACCACTATAAGTGCTTGCCTGCGACAAACAGCTCTTATCGAAGTATGTCATACGAGCTGGAAGCAAAGAAGCGCAAATTCGACCGCATTCTCGAATCGTTGACCGACGGAGGCTCCTCGCGAACGCCGTTGAATGCACGGAATGGCACGTCGAATGCCACTGCGACCAACGGCCTTTCTGACGCATCGAAACGGCGGCGTATAACGCCTACTGCAATCACTAAGTCGGCATCAACGACGAGTCTCACCGGCCACTACCTTCCCTCTTCACGACCAGCGTTTCTGGAACGACTCGCAACTTTTCGACAGGTCACGCAATGGCATGTCCCATCGACAGAGCCGATCAATGCCGCAGTGTGGGCTAAGAGGGGCTGGATATGTATTGACCGGGACACGGTGTTCTGCGGGCCATGTAAAGAGCGTTTGACGGTAGATCTAGACCTGGAAAATGGCAGACTACACGAACCCGACGCCACAGACGAGGCAGCGGACGAAGAGGGCTACACGCTGACGAAGAACGTATATGATGCGTTGATCAAGCGCTACTCCGAGATGATTGTCACAGCACATGCAGACAGCTGTCCGTGGCGAAAAAGAGGCTGTTCCGAGTCCATACAACGCGTCGAAGGTCTTCTGAATACCAACAATGCTATCTTGGCAACGAAAGAGAGGTATAACAGCATCGCAACAGACCTGACCGAGGTCCCAAGAGTGTCATTACCAGACAAGTTCTCGCTAGAAGAGCTAGGCCAGACGACTTTCGACGACCAAGCAGTGTCATCAGATGCTCTTGGCCTGGCTATGTGCGGCTGGCAGCGGAAGTGCGCCGATGTGGTCGAATGCAAGTACTGCTTCCGATCGCTTGGTCTGTGGCTATACCGAGGCAACAGACCGACAATCGAGAAGCTAGATGCAGTGGAGAGCCATCTCGAGTACTGCCCTTGGCGAGACCCCAGCGCCCAAGACAGCGAAGTCCCGATCCCGAATCCTTTAATGTCAGAAACGGATGCCTCGGCCAAGACTGTCAAACTATCGGGCTCAGAACTGGTCTACCAAGCAATAGTAAAAACAAACGCGAAGAAGAGCGGAGCCAAGCGGCCTGCCACTGCCGTCACAACGGTGTCATCGGAAGACGGCCTATCGGAACAGACACCAGAGCAGCGCGAGAAGAGGACGCGCGATTTAATGAAGCGAATCAAGGAGTTGCGAAAGCCCTTCAATTTGAAGGCGCTATTGCGAAAGAAGGCCCAGGAGAAAGACAGACCCAAAACTGCGACGTGATGAGACCAATGAGAAATGGATGTGGCAGCGCGTCTCAGTGCTCGTGTACCCGTCGTGAACACCGGAGCATTCGAGGACGCGCTAGCCTTGGAAGGCTGTGTACAGTACCCGGAGGAGCATCGGGTAAAACAGGAGCACTCGGAGTCTTGCCGAAGCCTCGCCTGCTCGCAAGTGCCCGAAGATTACACTGAACTCATCCGTGACGGCGGCAGACGCGTGAGAGTACTCACGACATGCCTGAGACGACAACAAGCCCAGTAGAATCATTATTGACGGCTACAGAAGTAATATGAGATGCATTCTGTCCAACACAGCTGGAGTACAGAAACTCCCACTACCCCGGATTTTCATCCCGAACACGCGACGGTGAGCTCCACCAGTATCGATAAGGTGCCCACAAGCTATGACCTCACACGTTTGGCAGCGACGAGCTGATCTCTGGCTGAGCTGCGTCGCTGATGGCTGAAATAATCCGCTGCCCATACGAAGAAGGCTGCGGTTCTCTCCGGTGATGTACCGAAGTCCAAGGTACTGCACGTTATTGCAACATGAGCCGCCTTTTCCAATTGGATTAGCATGAATGGCTGCCCGAACTAGTGGAGAGCGCTTTGGAGGAGCGGGGTTCCACAATGCATGTGAAGATGGAGGCACAGCAATCTCAACAATTGCAGTGTTCCTCGTCGACAGCTTGATGAAGAAGCAGTAGAGCCATGGATGAGCGACAAGGGTAAACAAGTAGTTGACGGCCCAACGGCACTGAATAAGAGGTGCTGACTTTGGGCCTGCCGCGATGGGCGTAACTCAATGACAGGCGTGGCTCGCGCTTCGCTCTTTCCCCGCTTTGTGCCTGCTTGGTTTCGCTGGTCCAACGGGAGCAGGAACGGGAACTCGAGCTGCATCAACTATGCATACTTGTTTTCTCCGATCTTTCTGACCGTGGTCTACGTCCTCCGTATATGTCCTTGACATACCCAGGTCTTGAACACTTCCTGCTGCTGCTACAACTTTGCGACAACGTCAGACTCAGCACCTGTGCAGCCCACCTGAACGAGCTGACACCCATAGCCTGGTCACAACAACATCAAGCTACATCACCCTCGTACTTGCGATCGAGGCTTCCCCTCACCGCCCTCGGATAAGGCAGTCTGACCGCTCAGCACGCATACGCGTGCCACTGGCAACGAGCGAGCCCTCGAACCTCGTCACTGCCGTCTGGCACAAAGAGCAGGTATGGACGAGGCCGACAGCGTGCCTCGAGCAGCTGTCTACCATCACTTCCCGAGCGTCCTTGCTGATCAGTATCTAGTAACAACACCTCTCCGCTCCTGCTCGCCTGACTTCCGTCCACCATGTCTGCGAGTGGTACAGCCAACCGCGTCAAAGAGGGCGCCCGGTCCGCTGCTACCAAAGTAGAAGAAGCAGCTTCAGAAGCAGTGAACAACCCCGTCAAAGCAAAGAATGACTTCCTCCACACGCCTGTCATGCGGGCAGCTCTGCCATTCATCAATGGTGGCCTCGCTGGCATGTTCGCTACCGCATGCATTCAGCCCGTCGACATGATCAAGGTCAGACTACAGCTGGCTGGTGAAGGTGCAAGAGGCGGGCCAAAACCCAGTGTCATGGGTGTCACAAGAGAAGTACTTGCCTCAGGTCGGGTCCTCGACTTGTACACCGGCTTGTCAGCAGGTCTGCTTCGGCAAGCGGTCTATACGACAGCCCGGTTGGGTTTCTTCGACACCTTCCAGAACATGTTGGCCGACCGTGCAAAGAAGAACGGCACCCAAGTAACCTTCCTCGAGCGCGGCGCCGCAGGCCTCTCGGCTGGTGGTCTCGCTGCCATGATCGGCAACCCAGCTGATCTGGCACTGATCCGCATGCAGTCAGATGGTCTCAAGCCCAAAGACCAGCGAGCAAACTACCGCTCCGTGTTTGACGCACTCAAGCGTATCGCCCAGGCCGAAGGTGTGACAGCGTTATGGAACGGTGCTTACCCAACAGTCATTCGTGCTATGGCGCTGAACTTCGGCCAATTGACCTTCTTCGCAGAGTCGAAAACCCAGCTGAAGCAGCGGTTCCCAGATCTGAGCCCCAGTGCGAACACACTGACTGCCTCCGCCATTGCTGGCTTCTTCGCGAGTTTCTTCAGCTTGCCATTTGACTTCATCAAGACGAGGTTGCAGAAGCAACAGCGAGGTCCGGACGGCACACTTCCATACAAAGGCTTTTTCGACGCTGCTGGTAAGGTCATCAAAAATGAAGGTCCACTGCGCTTCTACAGAGGGTTTGGCACGTACTATGTTAGGATTGCGCCACATGCGTAAGTTCGATGCTCTGTCGCAAAAGAATTTTGGCTGACGTGATCCAGGATGATCACGTTGATCGTAGCAGACTACCTGAAGCTCATCACAGCTTGAGCGTCTTTCAAGGTGTTGGATCGAACAAGAGCTCCGGTGCAGCTGCTTCGAGGGGCTCTAACAACGAATCCAGGTGAGGTGAGCAAGTGACGCGTCCGCGAGCGAGGCCAGTTGTAGCATCGTCCGACGAGAGGAAGTCCGGCCGAATGCAGATGATTACGACGCCAGACAGAAGAGAAGGAACAAGAGATATGCTTTATACCCTGCTGCACCGAAAAGTATGACTTCTGCGCAAGGTCTGCAGTATGCCGAAGAGTGGGATGGAGAATGAGCAGTCACCACGAGATATAGCGGACGAGCATGGCGCATAATTGGGACCCCATAGTATGGCACATACACTAGCCACATAGATGCGACTAGCAGATGAATGCATGATCTAATACATGGAGTATTCGAGATTCAACCATGAAGATTTGCTTCAGCAGCAAAAGTGCATGATTTGACGAGACTCATTGTTTCCTCGGCAGCCTTGTGCTTGCACCATCAACGACCCAGCGGGATGAGACCGGTTTTGACGAGGTCTGGGGTTGAAGTCGGGACCGGCTGACGGATAACTGTCATGCCATCGGCGGTTGACAAAAACTACAGGAGCTCTATCCATGGACCGGGTGACTAGTCATTTGTTGCGGCCGGCTGACACGCAGTCTCACACGAGACCGGATGACCTCTCTTCGGTGGAGCTTATCTGTCGCCGGCTGACGTCAAGTCTCAGAGCAGACCGGTTGACTGTCATTTTTCGTGCGACTGTCGGCGGCATGAGTGCAGCAAGATCTGGAACAAGGGCCGCGCAGGACATGGGCAAAGATGACAGACGCCGGCTTCGGTGCATCGTGCTCCAATATGGGCATTTCTTTAGGCTCTTAGTCTCATCATCCGACGTTACTGAAGTCGATCCGAGTCGGGGGAATATATCTTCTCATAAGTGTACATTTATCCCATCAATGTGGATGTCCGAAGCAGGATACTGCACAACATCCCGATAGCAAGCATCGCAGGACAAACAACGCGCTCAAGTAAGTACGAGAAGACGAGAGTGCGGCTGAAGCCGTGGTGTGCACCAATACCTATGTCCAATACCTGAGTAGAATGAAGTTGGTGCCTGCTTGCACCTGTCCAGCCACACAAAATGCCGCTGCCATAAGCGATGCTGTTCGTCCGTCCATTGAGTCGTGATATTCGTTGAAGTCGTGATGAAATCTCCTTGCTCTAATCCTTCTGCCTTCGCTACCCTGATGGCTCCGCTCACGACGCTGCGGATATTAGGATGCTTTTTGTGTCCTCCAGCCTGCCTGTCTGTTCCCCGAACTTCAACTCAAGTCCTTCCGTGTCACCAGCCCGTTGCCCTGCCCTTGCCCTTGTCGACTTTAGTAGGCATCCATAAGGCATCATCACTATCATCATCGTCAGACTCTGCCGCTGCTTTGCCCTTCCCTTCGACGCAGGCTCCTGCTTCGAATTCGATCGCACCTTCGTTGCTACAGGCGACACCTTGGTCTGCTGCCGGGGTCTGATGTTCTTCCTCCACCAGATCATCTCCTGGGATCTCCCCTTCTGCCTTCGGTCGTTGTCCTCGGCATCCACCTTCGGAACCACCGCTTCCTCAATCATCACTTCTTGTCCGGGAAGATCATGAACCACTATCTCATTCGCTGACAATCTCATATCCACCCGCACCCTTTCAAACTTCTCCCCAATTTGAACGCTAGCCATTCTCGAGCTTGGCACATGCCACCAATCCATCGGCCTACGACTTCCCACACCCATCGCAAGTATGTCATCAAGCCAACTAGGGTTGTCCTCAGTGACGATCTCCTCAATCGCTTCGCACGACTTTGGATGCACCCACTCCAGCTGCCATTCTTGGTCTATCAACACCTTCCCACAGAACCTGTGCTCCCGAGGAAAATATTCATAGATAAACTCCTTCCTTTTTGTCAGCACTTTCATATCGAGTGCCTCGTCCGGAGTAGAGTTTTGCAATTCCTCCGGCACAAGGCGGACCTCCTGGAGTTCGACATCCTTCCAATACCAATGCTTTCCAACATCCTTCCAGTACCACTGCTTCGCTGCTTTCGTACCAGGCAACGCCCACTGATCTTCCGCAAGCGTGATGCTTATCGTGATTGGCCCGGAAAGAGGCACTTTTAGCAAGTAGTTCTGGCCAGCCTGGTCTCCCTCATAAAGCTCAGACTGTTTCCACGTCCACGTGCCGCCAGGCACCGGACACCGCGGTGGCGGTCGTGGGTAGCGAAATCTAGAAATGCGAGGTCTTCGGAGGTTGGCATTCGGGTGCTCCAGCGAGGCAAGGTTGTGGAAGTTCTTTGCAGATGAGATCATGGGAGGCGAGTCGGACCGACTACGCATACGACGAAGGCGGCGTAGACGTTGTGAGGCCGACTCTTGTGATGATTTGGTCGAACGACTTTCTTCAAGGTCGACGCTGGCCGGCTCAGGACTACTTGGAGGAGGCGTGAGTATAATTGTGTCCGTCTGCCGCGGCCGCCATTCGAGAATGAAGACCTCGTTGGGCAGCAGTGTGGGTGGTGGGCGGTGAGGCTTGACGAAACGATGTTTCGACCGCTTGTCCGGACCAGTGTATATCTCGCTTGGCCAGTATGGCACCTGGTCCGGTACAGGGTCGTCTTCTGGCCACGTTACCAGCCACTTTTGCTGCGTCTCCCACTCTTCCAGACCAGCCCTGTTTGCCTCATGGCATGGACAGTCCTTGTGGCACCCTTCCGGAAGCGGCTTCGGCTCAGGTGGTAGTATTAGGAAGCAATCGGTGATTTTCTTCTGTACAAGTCTCGACTGAGTCTCTCTTTCATCGCGCTCCGCCATCTGTCGAAGAAAACGCTTGTCAATAATGTCGACAGGATTGATGCTGCCGGATCGAGAGCGATGCCGGCGGCAGTAGCACCATTTCCAGTACTCGGGCAGAGTGTATTGATGGTGAGTCGTCACCCACATCTCGAGGATATGCAGCTTGAAGGTGTGGGCGTCGTTCTCGGAGCGTGGGTCTTTGTGCTTCCATCGCTGTGGTGATTCTGTCGAGTTCGGCGTGGACAAATCATCCAGCCAAGGCGGCGTTTTGCCTTTGACGTGGGCACTATACTTGGACTTGTTCTTCTTTTTCTCTTTCGAGGATAATGGCACAGGCTCTGTTTTATTCAAGGAGGGCGGAGATTTGGACGCGGAAGCTTTTTCATCCTCCTCGTGAGCCGTGTCAGTGGTCGACGTGGCATTGTCGACGGAGTTCGTGGTGTGAGCATCCGGATTCTCTGCTGCTCCAGAATGACCTTGCGCTGGCTCTCCATGGACAGGGTCAGTATCTGACTGGTGATCTGCGTCGTCGACAACATCCGGTACACGAGCAGGGTCCTTCAGAAACGCATCGAAGTCGAACACTTCTGCTTTAGGCTCGAGCTCAGGGTCACAACCAGTACGTGCCTCGTATGGAGGACTTAACCTAGGAATTCGCCCAGGATTGGGAAACACTGCCCCACGCTCGACGTCCAGTGCAGTATCCCTGTACTCGCCTGGAGGAAGGGAAGCCAGCTTGGAGACGAATGTGAGATCAACCACGTCGAAACCAATCAAGTGCAGCAACTTGTTCCTCTTAGCTTGAGCCGCCCCAAAGTCGAGATCGATCCAACACGCGTCGCGGCCCTGGGCAAGCCGGTCCGCAGGGTCACCGAAAAGCCTAAGAGCACTAGCATACTGGAATTTGCGACCGTTCATGTCCAGATAGCTGCTGTTCCACTCGTCCAGCCAGCCATCTTCTGCGGCCCACATGGCTTGTTGGTACACTCTCGATGCATCTTCGACGCCGAGCATGTAGCCTTCAATATCACGAATGGAGAAGTTCCAGTCGTATGCATCTCGATATTCCACAGCCAGCTTCTCGAGCGAATTCTGGTCGTTCCGCAGCCAGAGGCAGATCATTAGATCCTGCCACCACGTGTTCAACACATGGCCTAACGTTGCCATTCTGGGCAGACCGACTCCTATCGAATACCTCAGTAATCCATCTGCTTCAATGATGCGACCATGCTTAATGTACAGACCTGCAAGGCGAACCAACATGTCAAAGTAATAGAAAACGCTCTCATCTTCAATGTCGTAAGCAATTTCCTCATGGACTCCTTCTTTCAAACCGCCATCGCGATGCGAATCGAGAAGACGATAAATCAACTGCTCTGCCTCAACCACGTTGAGTAGCATCCCGTAGCAGAGGACGCCCTGCCGCGCCAACTTCCATACGCTGCAAGGATGCTGAGGTGAATGGTTCAACTTCGACTCAAGCAGCGGTAGAATGAACAGCAATGCTCCCCGATACTTCTTCCTTTTGATCAACAAGTCGATATGAGTGTCGATGATGAGAGCAGCCCTCCGCCTCTTCGTCGGGCTTTTCTCATCATGCCGATAATGGTACCAGTAGCTCATGGCTTCGTGAGAATACTGTAGAGCTGGCGAAGGCTGACCTTGTTCTTCCATTGTACGGGCCATCATATGATACAAACGCGTCCTGGTACGTTCAGAGATAGGGGATGTTCCGCAGAGGATACCTAAGATGAAGTCTTCAAGAGCATGGTACAAGCCTTGCCCAAACATGACCTGAGTCTCAATCAACCAAGAATGCTCGAGAAGTTTGTGGTAGCGGGTGTCATTTTTGAGCAGCTGCACGTAGTGCTTCGCTCCACGAAGCTCGACCGCTGCTCTTGAGTAGTCCGCTGGACCGTCTGCATGAACCATCGTGTGAGCGAGCCTAAAGCGGGCGTGTGCATAATTGTACTCGTTCAAAGCGGTTCGCTCAAGTACTGGCCGGCTCCCGGGGTGAGAGGCCATATCCTGGGCATGATAGATACAAGTCTGACCATGCTTGAGGATCTGAGCTCGAAACACCGCAACATCTGCGACGAAGGACATAAAGTTGAGGAGCTTCACGTCAGCATTTCCGGGGTGCTTCCGCACCATGTCGCTGAACTCGTAGATGTGAGGACCAAGGGACCAGCAAGAATAAAATCCATCTGTGGACCTCGTCTTCAGCCGCTGTAGGATACTCTCTGCCATAGCACTTCTGAGCACAAGCCACTCGTGCCAGGAATATCTCAGCCAGACATGTGATCGAAACCACGCATGCAGTGTAGGGTGGATCCAGACGTGGTTCTCAACCACGTTTGCTATTCCAAGACTTTCTAGCAGAGATAGAGATGGCGCCACTCGATCACTGATTGTGTTTCTGAACACCGACATGTTCTCGATGATATCAATCGGGATGCTCCATGGGTCCAAGAAGGACATAGCTGCAATCAGCCGGAGAGACCAACGGTCGCGATCTCCAAGGGCATCCCACAAGATCTCTCTGTGCACATTATCCTCTAGATCGAACTGGCAAAAGTCAGCCTTCCGTGACGCTGCCTTCCGATCTGCCAGTCTGGTCTCGAAAATCCTGACATAAGTCTGAAGGTTAACGTCCAGCAACTTCAGATTCGCAGCAATGATCGCGAACGAGAGTGGCATGTTGCCTGACAGTCCCATCAAACGTTCATAGACACTTGTGTCGTCGAAGCCGGGCCAAAGATAGCGCGCGAATCGTTGCATATCAGCATCACCAAGCCATCGTAACCGAATACTTGTTGCGTTGGCCGCAGCACGTAGGCAATCTTCGATTAGGGACGAGGACGTCATGATGATTTGTCCGCGAGTCGGAAGAAACCATGCTAGGGGTCTCCCTGGGCCATCGAGCTCATTATCGAGATACATGCCAACATCCGTAATCACCATGAGCCATTCTGTCCGGTGTCGGTCGAGATAGTGCTTCAAATTGTACAAGGAGTAGAACCAATGCTCTGCTGCTGGGAGATACGATCCCGTCAATGTCTGAAATGTCTCCAGGTAGGAAGGAATGAACGTTTCGAAGTTCTTCCCGTTGATGATGAGCAGGGTTCTTCCATCCTGAGCACATATCTCATTTGCCGCTTGGATAGCGATCGTACGCTTTCCAGCGCCTTCGCTCCCATGGATAACGACACTTTCAAACAGTGCTCCGTGAGATACCTCTAGGGGCGTAAGTGCCCGCTTGACTTTGTCCACATATTCGTCGCGACGATATAGTGGTGTATGTGACCGAATCCGTTGTTGAAGTTTAGCCACACTTATCTTGCGAGAACATTCAGCGTCCACTCCCTTCGAAGAGCATGAGCTGTCTGCTTTAACATCGATGCCTGTGTGCAGTGGCGTACCACAGTCTCCGTCTGCAAGCCGCCGCATCCAGGCCAAGCCGTGCCGTATGTGACGACCTATTGTCCTTTCGCATGATGCAAATGAACACCCGTATGGGGTTTGCCGGGTGTCGTGTTATCCTGTATCGCTGTCTCGGCTACTGCACAAATCCTGTCGCAATTTTGTCGGCATCCAGAGTATCGAAACCTCGTCGGCGTGGAAACGAAATCTCGTGACTAGGCTCCAGAAACCCCAGGTTGACGTGTGTAGCCGCTGCACCAAAGGTCCGCGGCTGGCTGGATGGCCCTTTGGTGCCTTTGGAGCAGTAAAGTACGCTTGCGATACGATAGGGCTGGAGGAGTGGAAACGGTTCGCTGGCGGTTCTGCACGCCAAGGAGCGGCTGATGAGTTTCATGCCGCTATAAACGATGGCGGTGGGGTCTGCTATGGATTGAAGCCGTTGTTGTACGTGTCTACCACTCTGTATTCAATTCCAATCGCTTGAAAATGCGTTCTGGCGCGGGTGCAAGAACCCAGACACAGGCAAGCACGACTGAGCTGAGTAGTCTCTTCATGCTGCAATAGCCTCAGTTAGCAGCATCGCACCTACTCTGCGGAGGCGCGCTTGACGTACTTCCTGCCGATCTCAACATCAAGCAAAACGCACTTGCCACTCGTGTGATCATATGAGCACGGTGCTACATGCTTAATCCTTTACAACAGCACAAAGTTCTCCCAGTCTCCTAAGCAATTCACTTTCCAGCAAATTATTCCAAGACACGCTTCAACTGCTCGATGGGCCAGACCGCCCGAATTCTGGCGAATACGATCAGCTGGTGTGTCTTCCGTGTCCAATTGTTGATAGCCTAGCAGTCCTTGTGCCAGGGCTGCCCCTCAATCCTGTATAACAGGAAGAAGAGATCCATCAAAGCTACGGAGAAAGCACAGGCCTGTTGACGTCTCGGCACACAGGCCACACGCCATACTGTTCGTTTCTTCGTGCAGGAGGCTCTTCATAAATCTATGGTCTTCAGCCTATCTGTCTGCTCTCCATTTCGTTCGTCTGTCATACATGCATGCAGCCCGCCCACGTGCTGTCTTTTCTATCTACCATATGTGTCGAACGTGATCGCACAGGAATGCTTTTCATGTAATCGTCTCCCATACCGTGGGCAACGAAATGCGCAACTCAACCCCGGAAATGCCTCCCAAGAAATCCAAGAAGGGTAGCCTCAAGCTGCAAGACATGAGCGCAGCTTCGTCGTCCGCGCCGACTCAAGCTGTGGCATCCCCTGCCACAGCGAGTCCATCACCAATCTCACCCATCAGCTCCCGTCCGGATGGTCGGTCGCCAGTCCGCTCGTTCACCTTCGACAGCGTCCTCCACAGATCGAGCACCAAAACTCCCTCACTCGAGCAGGCCGATCCAGATGCTGGCAATGTGTTGCGACAAACCAAGACCGCGCCAGTCATCAGCAAACGACACAAGTCTGATGGTGCAGTGATCGCACCAAGTACAACACCAACCGATGCTTTCTTCCAGAAGAGAAGGAAAGAGACAGGAAGCCTTGACCACTACGGTCGACATGCCAACGACTGGCTTTTTGGTGGACTGGGAATAAGAGAGACTGCCAAATCTATCATATCGCGACAGAATAGTCGATGAGGAGTATGGAAGTATGCGCCGCCAGAATACGTTTTCAGGTGCTTGGGTATGATGTCGGGGCGCACTCCTTAGGGTTTGAAGATAATATATCCTTCGGTATTGATGACAGGGTCTCAAGAACCAGCTTAGAGCTAGTATCTGAATCATTTTGAAAGGATGCAGTCACTTTCATCTGGCGAAAGTAGTGTGCTGGGCTGGATATGAATCGCCAGCAGATTTTGGAGAGAACAACTTGGTCCATACCACAGCAGGGTCGAGAAGATCTCGAGTCTGTTGCTCTGACATAACAGAGGTCTGTCCCAACGGAGGAGGTCCACCATCTTCGCGCTTGCCGCTTCCGTTGATATTGTTTGCGTCTGTCTGAATGACGTCTCTGAGGAAGTTGAGTGCTTTAGGGTAACGAGAGTACAAGCCTGGTCGATGGGGCAGCTCCATCTCCCGATCTCTCTCTGCTAAGCTGTGGAGTAGTTGGCGCTGGAGTTCCTGTATTCGAGGTCGATCAGTGTCATCTGAGAGTGCTGCCAGAACAAGCGCCGAGCTTAGCGCGCTGAATATGAACATCCATGTCCTTAGGGGCACGACACTGAATGATTGCATGTCAACGAAAGCTTGGAGGCAATCAAATGCTCCCTCTTTGCACATGCTTTGTAGATGCTTGCTCTGCTGATCCCAACCCATTCGTGCGCACGCCTTCATCAGTGTTTGTGACATGCACGACACCACAAAGCCTTGCGAAATCCGTAATGAGTAGTATTCAATCCGATCTTGGATGGTCCTGCAATTGGCACGATCCGCGAGTCGAGGTAATGCTTTCTCATGGAGGTGTCGAGCCGTCGCCAGAGCATCTATCTCTGTCTTCAGACTCGACCGCTCGGCTGTTGGATCAGGTCGCGCCGATATAGCTAGCTTGCAGAGGAGCAGCATGCAGTCATTGTACGAGAGATTGTTTGCAGAGCGTACAGGGGGCTCCTCATGCGTGACTTGTACCATCGAAGTCTTGCCGAAACAAAGAGCTAGGCTGTACTCTTGCCAGAGATATGACCACCAAAGCTTGCGGTGCCGAATATTTGTGGCTTCTCGAACGCGAACATCCATGTGCTCTTCGAAGTTCATGCCCTCCTGAAGACCGGCGAGATCTGCCATGCGACCGACCATGCCGAGCGTAGACCAGGCAGCTTCCGGCATGATGTCGTTTTCCATGATTCTAGACACCAGTAGTAAAGCGCCAATGCAATTCTCCTCGGGTCGACCAAGGTAGTCTGCTTGGCGAAGAAGTTCTTGAGCGTTGCGTACTGTATCAATTAGCATAAGCTTTAGCTCAGGCATTAGGCACTCACCATGGTCAGTCACGAAGCTGTCCCGCTCGGAGATAGATAAGTCGGAGTATTGTGCGCCTGTCGCGACGGTAGCTGTGAGAAGTGCTAGCCACGATAGCCGTGCGGCTCGAGCTCTTCCAGTAGAAGAGGCAAGGTCGTAAGTGAGTCGGCCACTACTCATGTCTTCGACATACTGACATACAGCTGCTTCGAACTCTTCCAGATCCGGTATCACAGGATACAGTGGATGGCAGATGGTCTTGTAGACCTCGAAGTACCTCAAAGCAGTCTTGTGGGATGGCAGAAGGTCCTTGAGATCGTGGGAGGCTGGCTGTGAGTATGGTACTGGTTCTATCGGCGCGTAATATCCTGTGTGCTGTGGAGGACCTTGCGTTGTGTGCGGTTGCCATTGCTGCTGAGGCTGAGGTCCTGGAACAACGTTGTAGCTCTTGCTAGGATATGCTATGGCTGGCGGCGCATTCACAGCGGAGCCCCAGCTAGGAACTTGGCCATGGGAGCCGTTGGACGGTGGTCCAGCGGCGTAAGTTGTGCTAGCAGCATGTATACCATCAAGTACACTTTGCGCCGTTTCTGAGGGTCTTGGTTTCTTTGGTCTTGGTGCGCTCGGAGACGTAGCTCCATCACTAGCTCTTGACCTTCGGGTACCTGACCGCGGGGCATCGTCGTTGAAGGTACAGCCGTCGGGTTGGCCGCGCTTTTCACAGTTTGAGCAGGGCTGTCCCTCGCGCTCGAATGCATCGCAGCGTATTTTCCGGCGTGAGCATGGCCCACAAGCTGTTCTACCACCTCGTGGTCTCGCAGTGGTGGACGCCATGGAGACATAGCCGCCGGAAGGTGGTTGAGCTGGCGGAGGGCTCTGGGGAGCTGGCTGTTGGGCCTGTTGAGGCGGCTCCATGGTGCGCAGTGTCGTAGGAGTGACAGACAAGCTACATGGTCGTGTGCGAGAGAAGCCGAGAGCTCAGCAGTTGCTCAATAGCTACGTAGAGCAAGTGCCGTCTGGCAGCGGACTAAGGCGAGCCGAGAGAAGTTTCCGATGCAACGCGCCTGCAGCTCCGTGAGAGCTTCGGTCTCACAGAAAGCGGTCTTCGGCTCAGTTTGGAATATTGACGGGTAGTGCAGGAGGTATGAAACTAGACTGCGCCGGGCACGGGCTGCTGCAGCTTCGTGCAGGGGGGAGGTCTCTGCACCAAGAGTAATATTTAAGGGGAGCACTGAGGTGAGGTGTGATTCTGGCAAGCTCTTTTTGCTCGGTTCGAGCTTGCCCCGCGACTGCCCGCAAGCGTGCGAATGGAATGGGGTATGATGGGCAGTCACGATACCACTCGAAGGAGGAGAGGGAGCTTCGGAGGAGCAACGGGATGGATGCCGGACACGGCGGGCGGTGCTCAGAATTTCGTCCCCCAGTGAGGACTGCTCCTGTGTGTCACCTTAATATCCGTAGCATGCCCGAGTCAGCGATCTGCTAGGGCTGGTCACGGACTGCGGTAGGACTCCTCCCGAAAGGTCAGCAACCTGAAGCACATCTGTCACCCCACCTTACCTCGGTTTGTGCCAATCGAAAAGCTTCGAAGCTTGGCGAAATTATTGTGCCTGTCTCAGTGACGTCAATTTCCACGAGAAAGCATGTGCCCCGCCAAAGACTATCCCCGGCCGCGGCGTTGGAAGAGTGTGTGCCTGAGAGCCTGTCCAAGTTTCCCATGGAGGGACAAGTCATCCGCAGGAGGACGCGATTATCTGGACCACATCCCTGTCTGTGTCGCGTCATGGCTCTGCCACATGTGATGTATAACATACACCAGTAGAACTGCGCTGACTTGGCCCTCTCCCTTTTGATATCGGACGCGCTTATCACAGAGCTGACATACGGATAAAGTCGCGACTACAATAGATGCCCATTGAGCTCAAGGACGACACAGATAACATGGCCGATGAGAAAGAAGAGGCTCAGCCTCAGGAGGAAGCCCAAGAAGTGCAGGAGTCAGATGATGTTCCCAAAGAGAAGGGCTCCGGTGAGCCTACTGGCAGATCGTATCGCATTGCGCACACTGACAACAGCAAACAGACGGCAAATGGTACACCAAGCCCGAAGGCTTTGGCAACGCAGCAGGCGATAAGATCCAAGCAGGTCTGGCGCCTGTCGGCAAGTACGCCGGCAAAGGCCTCGAGACCGTATCGGCGCCTGTTGGCTCCCTCATCGACCCTCTCGTCGGTGGTGTCATGAGAACTGGTGAGGCCTTCGGCGAACAGGCGAATGTAGGATTCGGCAACAAGGAAGGCGGTCCTGCGAAGCAGGCGGAAGCAAGAGAGAAGGAGGCTAAAGAACCATTTGGTGGCAAGGAGCAGAACGCAGACAATCCACTCGGTCTGTAGGACGAAATCGATGCCAGATAACGGCCTTGCAATGCATACGGGAGGTTCAATCATACAAGCGCGCCCACGGTGTTATTGCTACAACTTCCAGATCTCATTCCGCCGTCCTTCCTACCTAGCAGACTCTGCCCATTATCGGACTTCAACTTCCGAGGCCAACCCCCTCATCTTCTCCAACTAACATCATGGGTCAACATCACCATGGACATTCAGGTTGGTTCGTGACCCTGGTGGTATACTAATGAGCACTTTTCTCAATAGACTACCGGCTCACCTCATTCACCACCAACCCAGCTGTGCTCACGCCTGCCTATCGACCTTGCCACACGCCCTCTCTCATCTCGACCAACCCGACCTTGACGATTTGCCTCACCTACCACCCACTCATACCAAACTCATACACCATGGCCGAAGAGCCACCACCACCCCGCCCCTCTCGCACCCTCACCAACCGCGTCGCCATCATCACTGGCGCCGGCGCCCAAGGCAACGGCATCGGCAACGGCCGCGCCTCCGCCATCCTCCTGGCCGCTGACGGGTGCTCCGTCGTCTGCGTCGACCTCAACCTATCCCTCGCCCAAACCACCGTCTCCATGATCGAAGCCGAAGGCAAAGGCCGCGCTATCGCCATCCAAGCCGACGTGACCTCCTCCGCCGACTGCGAGCGCATCGTAACCACCACCCTCTCCACCTTCGGACGCCTGGACATCCTCTTCAACTGCGTGGGCATCGGCGGTGCGCCCGGGACCGCCGTCGACGTCGACATGGACGCCTGGGCCAAAGGGCTGGAAGTCAACGTCTCCAGCATGGTCCGAATGTGCAAATTCGCCATCCCAGCGATGCTCAAAAACGACCGCTCGTTAGGCATCCGCGGGTCAATCATCAACATGGGTTCCGTCGCCGGGCTGCGTGGCGGGACGCCGCACTTGCTGTATCCGACTTCCAAGGGTGCCGTTGTGAACATGACGAAAGCCATGGCGGCGCATCATGCAGCAGACGGCATTCGCGTCAATTGCGTGTGTCCAGGCATGGTCTATACCCCAATGATGTACGGACCCGGCATGAGCGAGGCAGCACGGGAAGGACGCAAGAATCGAAGTCTGTTGAAGATCGAGGGCAATGGCTGGGACATTGGCAATAGTGTACGGTTCCTGGCGGGCGAGGAGAGCAGATGGATCACGGGACATGTGCTGACGGTGGACGCGGGAGCTACTTGTGCGGTGGGAACGGATCTGCCGAGGAGTGCAAGCGTCAATGCATAGTATTGGACCTTCAATGAAACGGGACTCGTAATGAAGCGGATGATCCTGGGTATAACAATTCTTCTTCTGTTCAAGCGATGTATCCTTGTACGTTATGCCTTTTAATTTTGCTGATCCTTCCGGTATAACGTGTCCAAGCCTGGTACTTTTCCCCTTGGTGCGAATTCCTAGACCCAGGCTTGTCGAGCTCTTTGTGCCCGTTTTCTCCTCTGTGTGCCCGTTCTCTTTCATCGCTCACAGAACCACGCCGCTAACACTCAAGACGCCCCCAGTGCCAATCAGCTCCTTGACCACCTCAGCCGCCGGCTCCCGGTCCACGCCCAAGATCATAAGAGCTTCCGTCGGCTCCTTGGGTGTCTGCGGGGTTTGCGTTCCACTGTTCGTCGTATTACCAAACGCACTGCCCTCCCTCCTCAATCCCGCAAGCCGCTGATTCACGGCCTCCATGCCAGTCTTAGCTCCGGCCCCAAAACTTGCCGGCGCAACACTCATGTAGTTGATGTTCACCTCCTCCCTCCCCAAAATACTGCCCACCTGCCCGATCTTGCCCGGACTATCGTAATTATGGCAGATCAACAAGTGTCCCTCTGGCACAAAATTCGTGCTGAATCGATCTAACCGACTGATGAAAGGCGTGTTGTCTGAGCAGTACCCACTAATGACATGCTGACGGTCTGCCTTTACCCGCGAGCCGCCGTCCTTGCCATCCGGACCCAAGTAGCTATCATGCCGGCTCAAGCTCGGCGCACGACTGCTGCTGCGCGCCACCAGTGTGACTAAGCTGGAGAACCCGCCCTGTCCCTGTCCAGAGAAGCCCGGGTCACGGGATTTCTGCTCGTTCACGAAGATGCCACGCTCTTTGGCAACCATTTCGGCGTTGACGATGTTCACGTTTGACAAGCCATCGGAGATGGGTGATACGAGACCTTTGATGAGTGCCGCGAAGAGTGGTTTTGTGGAGCTCATCCCAGCCAGCTCGCCCTCGTAGATCAGGTCGAAGGTGTTGCGATGCTGGACGGTCTTCTCACCGCCAGGCACGCCGGCGATTGGCTGGGAGAAGTGTTGCGTGTACAAGCTGCCCATCTTCTCAACGAGGCGAACAAAGGGCTGCAGGGTTTTGTACTCCTTGGGCACGATGATGGGCGCGTTGACAGCGGAGCGGGGCAGGTCGCCGGCGAGGATCTGGAGGACTTGTTCGCAGACGTCGAGCGAGACGTTTTCTTGCGCTTCGACGGTCGATGCGCCGAGGTGGGGCGTGCAGATGCAGTTGGGATGGAGAAGGAGTTTAGTCAGGGCGCTGTCTGGATTGTCGGAGATCTTGGGTGGTTCTGAGGTGAACACATCGATGGCGGCGCCGGCAAGGTGGCCGGACTCGAGCGCGGCGAGGAGGGCGGGCTCATCGACGATGCCGCCTCGGGCTACGTTAAGAACGCGTGCACCCTTTTTGAGGAGCGCGATCTCGTCTGTGGAGAGCATGCCGCGGGTGGAGGCGAGCATGGGCGTGTGGATGGTGAGGAAGTCGCATTGTGGGAGGAGGGCGTTCAGGGATCCGACGAGCGAGACATTGGCCGCTTCGGCGACGGCGGGCGATGCATAGGGGTCCATGGCGGCGACGCTCATGCCTAGTCCTCGAGCCATGCGGGCCACTATCAGACCGACTAGAAGGGAGGTCAGTACCAGTTCGTCGGCTAGGGTCTTCTGATAGCCTTACCTTTCCCTAGACCGATGATACCCAATGTCTTTCCCTTGACCTCGACACCAACGAACTTGCTCCTTTCCCACTTGCCGGCCTTCATACTGGCGCACGCCTCTGGCACCTTCCTCGCCATGCTCATAAGCAGAGCGATCGTATGCTCCGCCGCTGCCTGAATGTTACCACTCGGCGAATTGACAACCACAATGCCTAGCTTAGTGGCCGCGGGCACATCCACATTGTCGACACCTACACCCGCACGAGCAACGACTTTCAGATTCTTGGCCGCAGCGAGCAGTTCCTTTGTGACCTTGGTCTCTGATCTGACGAGCAGGGCGTCGTATTGTGGAATGATCTCGATCAGTTGTTCTGGGGTCAGCTTGCTGACTTCATCTACGTGAAGTGTTTTCCTAAGCATGGACAGGCCATCTGGTGACAGCTTCTCGGGACATAGGACCTTGGGCTTGTCGACGTGGCCATTGGATGATGGATCCGACGTCATTGTCGCGTGTGGGTGAGGGCGGTGGATGTCAGGCTGGACGAACAATCTCGACTTACGAACCCGAAAGCAAGCAAGTCAGGCCAGCTCAATTTATGGAAAGAGCAGATGTAAGATCAGCAGGAGGACACTGGAGTCATTACCAATACCGCAGAAAATTGTTTTCAGAAAGCGATGTTGCGGACTTTGGAATCACTCGTTTGCTCAATTTTCACTGTGCGTGACAGGCTCCTTCGGTGCATGATGTCGATGATAATTGGTGCGCCAGAACGCGTCGTGAAGAAAAGCATGCACATGTTTGGTGGGATGGAAATGAAGCGAAAACCGGAGGACGCGGGGTGGCGCGAGTTTACCCCACGGGGCTCGTGCATGGCCTGAGTCTTCCAGGCTGTATATCGCCTTTGGCACAACAGAGATGGAACATGACACCATACGCATATACCAAACGAGTATTTTTGGGTCAACGTGCCGTCCGTAGCTCCTGTGTCCCATGTCTGAAATCAGCCTAATATTCAAGGGCCTCTGTGAACAGATTGCGAAGTTGTTCCCTCTCCTCATTCACCTCCTCGCTCAGATTCGGCGCCAGCATTAAGACTCTCCTTTGAGGTAACGTTCCCTCCACGAGCTCATCAATATGGCTCTCCGTAAATCCAAGCGGCTTCAAGCCGCGCGGCTGATCGCCCAAATCGACTAAGAATTTCTGTATAGCCTCGCCGAGCACCTCACCAGCGCTTTCCTTCTTCACTTGAGACACATCCACACCAAACGCTTCAGCCGCGGCCAAATGCCGTTCAGGATTGCTTGCACCGGTAAATTTGAACACTGCTGGAGCCGTTACTGCCACACTGACACCATGTGGAATGATATTGCTTTCAATCTGGTAGCCAGCGTGCTTGTAGCCAGGGTTCTGCCCACTGATGGGATAGCTCATACCGTGACACAGATGGACACCGGCATTTCCGAAGCCGACACCCGCCAGGGTCGCAGCAAGCAACATTTCGCTTTGTGCTTCGAAGTCGTCTGGATCTTTGGCTGCTCGCGGCAGGTACTTTACAGTGGAGTGCAAGGCCTTCAACGAGAAGATATCGGAAATGGGGTTGGCACCTTGATATGCAGGTCGGTTGATGGGGTTTTCTGGTCGAGGCGACCGCTCGTGGTAGGGAATGGCCGTCCATGATTCCAGTGAGTGACACAGAACGTCCAGTCCAGATGAGGCGTGGACGGCAGACGGCATGGTTCTCGTGTTGATCGGATCGCATATGCCGAGTGTTGGTTTCAGGTTGCGATGCGCAATGCCAGTCTTTGCCTTTTTCTCGACCAGGTCAAAGATGGCCGTGCCAGTCGTCTCAGAACCAGTTCCAGCCGTAGTCGGGACGGCAACGAGCGGAAGCAGTTTACCTGTGATAGGTAAGCCCTTCCCGAGCGGCGCATTGACAAAGTCCAGAAAGTCTGCATCTGGAAAACACGTGTACAAGTTCATCAGCTTAGCAGTGTCGATGACCGAGCCTCCACCAACAGCTAGGAAAGCATCAGGTTGGTACGGCTTCGCAAAAGCGATTGCCTCTTTGATCGATGAATCCTTTGGCTCGGTACGGCATTTGTCGTACACGGTGAACTCGATGCCTGCCTTGTTCAGACCCTCCACGACTTGTTTCATTGCGTCGAGCTTAGTGACGTTCGCATCAGTCACTACGCAGACTCGCTTTGCGCCCAGATTTTGCATGTCCATTCCGACCTCTTTGGTGCACCCAGGGCCAAATCGGATCGAGCTCGCTGCCATCTCAAAGGCATAGTCCTTGCTCCGCGAATGGTCAATCGGCGTGGCCAGCCGGCGACGAGCTTCGCCGAAGACGGCTGGTCCATGATGATGATTGGGATTCGAGTGGCAGGGGCAGGTTGGTGGATGTGTGAATTGTACAGCTCGTAGGAGCGAGGAGGACCGCTGTGCAGCTGTCCTTGCGACTCGGATTGCAGGAGAGAAAGACATGGCGCGCTGTCGGGCGGGGCAGTTGCTGCTCGGAGGGAGCTTCCACGGATGACCTCGCTGGTGCTGAACCTAGAACGTTAAATTCGTGCTTGAGAGGTCGTGATCTCCCTTAGATATTATGTATAGATTGAATACGGCGCATTCGCCGATAAATGCAGACGTCAAAGGCAGGGCTAAGCCATCTCTTTCCTCCCATAGTCCGGGGAAATGCCTTTACAGCTCCCTCCAACGCCTCCAACGCTCCTCCAACGTGGACCTCGGCATGCCAAACGCGACAATCATTGGTGAGCCCAGCTAGCCCAGGAAGGCGCCGCTTGAAAGGGCGTTCTTGCCCGTGCCGGTCATTGGAGAGAAGTCCAGACCTGCAGGCTTGGGATCTGACACGACCTCGAGCACAAGGTTGCAGTTCCTGACATCACTGTTGACGTGGTGTCGAAAGGTAGGTGATTCGCTTCGCTCTGTCAAGCAGAAAACATAATCATGCGTGAGGGGCTTCATGATCGTGACTGCCACATTTTACTAGAATTTGTACTTGATGAGTTCGAGCATCAAGTCTCTTTTTCGCCTTGACCAGATAACGAAGCAGGTTCCGAAGTACATCAGACCGTAGGCGCTGGCTTGTTTCTGTGCAAGTTCTTGGCAAGCTGACATCTATTCCAGGTACGCGACAATCTCGACGACTAGCAAGATGGATCAGTCAAAATGGAAGTTCAACCATACTATGCTGCGGGTCAAAGACCCAAAGAAGTCCATCGCCTTCTACGAACTCATCGGCATGACCGTGGTCCAAGAAATGCCAATGAAGGAAATGGGCTTCACCAACTACTTCCTCGCTTACGACGGCAAGACCTCTGCTTCGACCGGCAAACACTGGACCGACCGCGAAGGCGTCCTGGAGCTCTGCCATAACTACGGCACCGAGGACGACCCAAACTACGCCTCCCACAACGGCAACAAAGACCCCAAGGGTTTCGGCCACACCTGCATCTCAGTCGACAACATCCAGGCCGCGTGCCAGCGCATCGAGGACGCGGGCTACAGGTTCCAGAAGAAGCTCACCGATGGCCGTATGCGCTCGATTGCGTTTGCGCTGGATCCCGACAACTACTGGGTGGAAATCATCGGGCAGAATAGTGTTGAAGAGACGGAGGGCGTGAAGGAGACTGATACGCAATCGTATCGGATGAATCATTCCATGATTCGTGTCAAGAATCCGGAGAAGAGCTTGAAGTTCTACCAGGATATTTGCGGGATGACGCTGCTCAGGACGAGTGAGCAGAAGGAGGCGGAGTTCACGCTGTACTTCCTGGGATATCCTGGTGACTATGACATCAACAAGAAAACATCCAACGGTGTCAATCCGCTCGCGGGCAAGGAGGGTATCCTGGAGCTGACTTGGAACTATGGAACTGAGAAGGAAGAGGGCCAGGTGTATCACAACGGCAACGACAAACCCCAAGGTAAGCTATACACTCGTGAAAATGAATGCAAGGCTAATCATGCAGGCTTCGGGCACATCTGTCTGAGTGTCGACGACCTCGACAAAGCGATGGAGCACTTCGAGAACAAGAAGGTGAACTTTAAGAAGAGATTGACAGATGGCAAGATGAGGAACGTTGCTTTCATTCTGGATCCTGTGGGTTGCGCTTCCATTACGACCGCTGCCCGTGCTAATCATGCTTGCAGGACAATTACTGGGTCGAGATCATCCAGAACCAGGCTATCAAGAATACTGGGGTGTAGTATCGCCCTGGAGCCAACCTCTTTGAGCAACTTGCGGACCACCTCGTGCACAATGTTCACCCGGAACGTTGGCGAAAAAACCCTCGCTATTGAGTCTTTGTACTATCACAGCCGAGAACGCCGTTTGCTGGCATTCCGACACCCGGGAGGGCAGGTTCGCGCACCACTTCCTCGAGCAGTCCTCGACGCGTGCCATCCCTCGATAGATTCAGGCATTCCCTTAGGAGGAGCCTTCTGTAGCATGTTAACGAAGAGCGTTGAACCTGTGCAACTCGACCATTACCACCGATGACCTCTATGCTGCTGCTGCCCCTGTGAGTGGCCGCTCTGTCAACCTTCGCGATGCCGACCTCCCTCACATGGCAAAATCGAATTCCGCAAACCCCTCCTTAAAAGCCTCCGCCTCCGCCTGCTCAAACGCCAACTCCTCCGCCTCCGGCATCAGACACGCCCGCCAATCAACCCTATCCTCCAATTGCAGTATCCCCGCCATGACCTCCCGCCCAAACTGCACATTGAACTTGCCTTCCTCGGGAATTTTGAAGAACATAGACGTCGTCTCCCCACCATCCCCCTCCGTACCATTGGCCTCCTGATCCGCCTTCTCGACTGGATTTGTCGAGGGCCGCCAGATCCACACTCTGAAGAAATTGTTTCGCTCCTCAAGCAACTTCTCTGGGTCGCAGTCCTGAAAAGTGCCGTATTTTCGATTCTCCGCCGCCAGCTTGAACGCGCCCTGCACCAGGCCCCTCTTGATCTTATCCGCCTCGACGGGCAGCAACTGCCAATGAAAATGTCGAATGCCGATCCGATTGACCTCATAGCACACCGTGCCCAGTTCGCCATTCGCCTTGGCGCCGACCATACGATTCAGCGCTTTCCGGTACAGCGTCATCTCGTCGAACTCGGTCTGGAGCTCTTCTTGGGGACGGCGGCCCTGTGAGATTTCGTCGAAGGCGTGGTACATGGGGATGATGAGGCTGTGGCCGGAGAAGTTGGTCAGTTGGGGGAAGGTGGTTGATTCCGGGAGAGGGCCGCGGAGGATTGAGAGAACGGATTCGGAGCCGATGGAGACGACCATGTGTTCTTTGAAGTCGGCTTTGCCGACGCACATGAAGCAGTCGTTGGGATTGGAGGAGTGCTTGTCGAATCTGCCGCGCTTACGGCCATGGCGGTGGTTGTCGTGGCCGTTGTAGCGGCCGTAGGCTTGGTCTTGATCTTCGAGGCGGGGTCTCTTGCGAGGAGGGGAGCCGGTGAGGAAGGGGAGTTTGGTCCAGGTTTCTGCTGGTGGTGGGCGGGAGGTGTCGAGGGTAAAGGCTGATACCCATTCTTTCGTGGGATTGGAGACGCTGGCTAGGCTTTTGAAGCGGGTGTATTTTGGTTCTTCGAGGGAGTCGTATTCTTGCTTTTGTTGGAAGACTTCGCGCTCCCACATGCCGGAGGGGCTTGATGAGAAGTGGTACCATGGCTTCAGTGCTTGATTGAGCTCGGCGAGGGATTGTGCTCCTGCTTCGACGGCGACGCCTTCAGGCAGGTCGACCTGTGAGAGCCTGTGAATATTGGCCGGCCATTGATTGGTGAGGAGGATGTGAGCTGAGTGAGCACCTTTGAGGCTCTTCGTGTCTTGACTGAGGAACAGGGGATCAGTCTTGCCTAGGCTCTGGGTCACGGAGGCCTCGTTCTCGACCAGCTTTCCGCCTACTGTGACGACTCGAATGCCTTCAGCAGTGGTGAACGTGCCCTTCCGTCCAGCATAGATCAGATTCGAGACCACTTCATCTGAATTCTCCAGCCTCTCAGCAACCTTGGTAGGCAGTGCTTGGTCTCCCACTGAAAAGTATGTCGGCAGCGGCACCTTGATCTCGCCGTTCAGGAGGCCGCCCAGATCAGCTTCGGTGGCTGCGTCTTTCCCGAATACATCGCCGATAATGATCGCAAACGAGAATGACTGTTTCGTATGGAGCTTGGTGATCTTGGTGAAGGCATGCTGGAGCTGACCTTGGATCGCACCGACAACCAGCACTTTGGCTGCCCCCATCGTGCCGCTTTCGACCTCTAGAGGCTCCGAGTAGACTGGACACCTTGCACCTATACTGGGATTGCTCTTGTCGTGCTATGGTCGAATCCTATAGCGGCAAGAAAAAGGTCGGGACAAGAGTATTGCAGGTGCGAAGAGGTCTTCATATAGGGCCGAAGTTTCCATTACAGGCTCCATAGTTGTAGTGAATGTTCATCATAGTCCATTCACCTACTTCGACTTCGATCTCAACTTCGAGTGAAAGATGAATTCGAGGTTGCGTCTTGGCGCGTTCGCTCGATCTCGTCTACACTGCACGTGATGAATTCTTGTCATTCAGCGTTCCCTGCCCAGGTGGATCGTCTGCGGGGAACTCAAAAAAAGTCGTAGGTCAACTCCAACTCGACGAACGTCAACGTAAAACACTTACAGGACTCTACAGCGACAGCGATCACGTATGTCAGGCTAGCGGAGCGCTCGAGATCCCTGACGATGCTGCCAGACGTCCATTTTCGGTAATACCGCACTTTGCGACAGCCCGAGTCGCCATCATGTCAAGAGTGTCCCGGAAGACGAAGCCTACGCCGTCCCAGAACAAGCATGTCTTCGAGCCGTTCTCTAGGCGCATCGCACGCCTCAAGATTGACCCGATACACACAGTCAAGGGCCGAACGCCGCTCGACGACGGTTCAGACTTGTCGTACAGCTTCTTCCGAGTTGCGCTCGACGAGTGGTCTTCCCTCAACCTGACGACTACTTTCACCAGTTTCCTGCGCAGTGTCAACGGCATCAGCGAGACTTTGCCACAGCTACTGCACCATGCAGACACCGTCTTCAACCTACTTGTACAACACATCGAGAAGCGAGATGCGTTGGCTCTTGAGCCGTTGCTGGATTTGACGGCGCATTTCGCCCATGATTTGGGACAAGAGTTTGAGCAATATTTCGAGCGACTCGTCACTCTGATTGCGAGTGTTGCTGCCGGTAGCGAAGCCTCAGACGTTGTGGAGTGGTCTTTCACATGCCTGGCATGGATGTTCAAGTATCTCGCACGTCTGCTGGTCCAGGATCTGCGACCACTATTGACTATCTTCCGGCCATACTTGACCTCGCGCAAGGAACATGTATCTCGTTTCTCAGCGGAGTCACTGGCTTTCCTGATCCGGAAAGCAGCACTGCTCTATCCGAAGAACCAAGTTCCTTTGACTACTGCCATATCCCATCTTCTAGAGTCAGCAGTCGACCAGCCTTCACAAGTGGGTGTCATGACTTTGTTGACCGAGAGCTGTCTTGGCGTCGATGTCGAACTACACGCTGGAGCAAGGCATCTTGTTCAGTGCTTGCTTTCGAATGCTTCGAGTGGGAAAGACCAGGCCACGGCGCAGACCATTGTGAGTGGCGTGCTTATCGGGCTTATCCATGAGAGTGATGGTGCAAGCTTTCAGCCAATCGCGAAGCAAGTCTTGGACTTGGCTAAAGTCGCGACCGCCGGAAATGATACCGACAGAATCAACTTTTCGGTCAGCATGTTACAAGTAATTGTCGGAGGCCGGAAAGGCATCAGGGTGTCAGCCTGGAAGGACATTATAGCCACCTTTATTGACCTGATCAACGCTGTTAACAGCAATGCAACCGAGCAGACAACACAACAGAGACTCCTCACTTCGGCCCTAATCCTCCAAAATGCTCCGGCTGGTGGTCTTCTTCCGATGGTAGGTTCTCTGCTCGATGCCTCAATCAAAAGCCTCTCAGCCACCTGGTTCTTCACTTACTGCACCATGGTGGCGAGTCTGGGAAAAGAACGATTCCAACAATTCGTCTTACCGCACCTCCAGAACTTCGTCACGTCAAACTTCTCGGACGACGAGACTGCATTACTCTTCACTCTTGACCAGTTGCGTAAGCAGGAAGCTATTGTGGTCGAAGATGGAGCATCGAACAGTCTCAAGTCGCCCAAGGTCTGGGACGAGTCTATTGCCTCGCGCTTGAAGGATGCCACCAGTGGTACGCTGCCTGATGCATGGTTTGTAGGCGTTTCTCGATTGCCGCACAACGTTCGCCTGTCCACGGATAGATCAACGCTCTTCCAATGTATGAAGCAAAGAGTGATCCGGCAGCTCCGATCGGGTAGACTTGAGGATCTCAAGTCTCACATCATCGCCGGATCATTCTTCGAGAGCGTCGTCGACCTTGCATCCGACCCATCAGAGCTGGCGGACTTATTCGACGAGCTGAAAGGCGTACTTCTGCAGCTATGGTCACTCACACCTTACCTTCGAGCCGTCAACGCCCTACTTAGGCGACACCCCGGAACAGTCAACCTTTTCGGCTCAGACCAATACCAAATCCAGGAAGTACTGGTGTCTAATCTGCTGCTTCGGTCCACTGACGTCCGAGAAGAATCGCTGATCCTCCTCAATTCGATTGCACAATCAAGTGGAGATTCATGGATGGTACAAGTGCTCGCGAACTTGCTATCGATCCTACGGACACCATACATACCGGCCAACGCCCGCACAATCTCGATGCTCATTCGGAAATTGCCTCAACAACAACGGGCTTCTCCCAAAGATTCTATCCTAGAGCTCGTTATTCCGAACTTTTGCTTAGGCATCTTGTCACGATACCACGACCAGGCAAGGAGAGATGTCTGTCGAGCCCTAGGCGAGATGATAGAAGATTCAGCACTCGAGGATACCATAATGGACATACTGGTGTCCTGGCTGATCACTCCCGCCATCAAGGACTTGCCAAAGCTTAAAGATGTTGCCTCACCTGTTACATCGTCCGCATTCGAGGACATGTCGCTTCTGCAGGCACGGAGCGCAGCAGAGGCCATCTGCAACCAGTTCGAGGATCCAGCAGGGCAGCTTGTAGCAGATGCTGAACTCGAGCATCAAATACCAAAACCTGGGCCGCCTCCACAGGGCAGGAAACTGGCACTTGATGTACTCACAGAGATGGTGTCGCTCGCCGAGAAAAGATCAAAGTTTGTTACGCCAGTATTCCTAGATGCACAGTTTACAAAGAGTGTTCACGATGCCACACGCTCAGACTCTTCGACCTCCTCGCACACTTTGAGCGCCGAGGGGTCTAATGAGGATTGGTCACTGTCGGAAAGGAAGGCTTTCATCACACTATTCGCCAACTTCAAAAATCCTCGGGTGCTCTACCGTGCTACTGAAGTTTACGACAAGCTATTCGAACTTCTCGCAAACGGCAATGTCGATATCCGGAAACAGGCTCTTCTGACCATCCTTAAGTGGAAGAATGCGGCATTGCAGAAGCACGAGGAGGTGCTGCTGAAGGTCGTGGACGAGAAGATCCCAAGCACGGAAATCGGCGTCATCCTAAACGCTGAGTCAGAGGACAACCCTGTGAAGACCGACGAACGAGGCGACGTCCTCCCAGTTCTGCTGAGACTTGTCTATGGCCTACTTGTCGGACGCTCCGGCACACACGGGTCACAGGAGTCGCGAAGGAAAACGTTGCTTCGGATGCTTTTCCGCATGCAGCCTTCCGAGATAGCTTCGTATCTTGAAATTGCCATCGGCAAATTGCAAGACGTGCGCTTGCTTCAGGATGGAGGTCTTTCCATCGATGCCCTACAGCACGAAGTCACGACTCCCGATCAGAGATACGGATTTCTGCGGATGACACTATCCACGATTCAGACGCTACAGACCACCTTTGCGCCATTCGGAAATCAAGTTATCGAAGCGATACTATACTGCACAATGAGATCTTCGACGATTCTTGAGTCTCTGCCTGAAGTCTCGAACAGCCTCGAGAGATCAACACGACGTACGGGCCTCGAGTGCCTGACAAGCTTGTTCGAGATCAGAGCAGAGATTGAATGGACCGTGTACATGCCGTTGATCTACTCTCAGTTACTCATTCCTCGGCTCGAGTCCTTCGCGAATGACAACATACAAGCAGTGTCGGTCCAGCTGCGTCTAGTTGCTCAATGGTGCTCAGATCCCGACTTCGTCAGCTTTCTGGTCAGCCATGATGACCGTTTGCTCGAGTCTTTGTGGCAGATACTATCCTCCACCAGCACGAAGCCGGAGGTCAAGGTCTTCATCCTCGAAAACATGCTGCTCCAGTTGCTCGGTCACGTTAAGGAACAGCATCACGGAGCCACCATTGGCATACTTGAGCAGCACCAAACGACGATAGTGCTAGCTCTTTCGAACAACCTGCAGGCCGCACCGCCCGCCGATGTCCTGAAGAGTATCAGCACAGTACTGCTGGAGGTTGCGCCGCATACCAAGTCAAATGGTAGCAGTGAAAGCATTATTGGACTGCTCATTGACTTGGTCATATCCAGTAAGCATAGGCTGACCCCAGCAGTGAAGTCGAAAGCACTGGCGGCAATCAACGCCCTGCTCGATGCAGAGAACTCTGTCTCATCTGGCGGTGTTGTGAACAAGCTATTCAATGCTATCTCCTCGCTCTTCGACTACTTTAGAGACTCGGCGAATCGACTGGTACTAAGCAAGATCTTGCAGAGCTTAGCTCGAACCGATCGATCCATCGACCTCGCAGCCAAATTGTGCTTCGACCTGAATTCCATGTCTCCCGATCAATTGGACGAGCCAGATTTCGACCGCCGTCTGCGAGCTTTTCAGCGATTGGCGACTCTAGAAGTGGATAGTGGTGGCTTGGTTACGTGGCGGCCTGTTGTGTATAATTTGCTCTTCTTCTGCAAGGACGAGGACTTCAACATACGATCTAACGCGGTGTCAGCACTCCGGTCATTCATCAAGAGGGCCTCTGGCATGGATACACTGTTAAAAGGGATCGTCCTGCAATCCGTGCAGAAAGGCATTACGCACGACTCCGAACTTGTTCGAGCAGACTTTGTTGCTCTATTCGGGCTGCTAGTGGAGCATTGTGAGGACCCGCGATTGATTGCTTTGAGACCATTGCTCTTTGGCAACGACGAAGAAGCAAGCTTCTTCGCCAATGTCCTGCACATTCAGCAGCACAGACGACTCAGAGCAATCCGACGACTCGTCAGCGAGGTCGAGAAGGGCACTATTGACGCACAAAGCGTTGGTCAGGTCTTCCTTCCTCTCCTGCAAAAGTTCATCAAAGACGAATCACTGGACGAATCCGCTCAGGGAATGAAGGGTCAGAGCCTTGCGGCTATGGGCACGCTTTTACAGTGGATTCGATACAGCCAATTCAAGGTCATCTTCAAGCAGTATAAGGCCGAACTGGAGAACGAAGATCATCAGAAGACCGCGATCAAGATGCTCGGTCAAGCCACAGATGCCGTGCTGCAAGCTTGGCAGGACAGAAATGCTGCAAAGGAGCAGCTCTCACACCTGGCAACATCTCTGCCAGAGGACGCTTTGCTTACTCAAGATATCAAGGAGCAACTGTATCCAAAGTTGGCAGATTTTGTCCACTTCCGTGATGAGGCCGAGATGAGTGCGAGACTGCCCGCCGCGATCATCGCAATCAAGCTGCTCAAACTACTACCAGTTGACCAGTCCCAAATTCTATCAGCTCCGGTTGTGCTAGATGTGGCCAACGTCCTTAAAAGCCGTACGCAAGAATCTCGGGACGCAGCTCGTGGTGTGCTGATTGAGATTGTTGGTCTCCTTGGTCCCGAGAGCGTGCAATTTGTGCTTCGCCAGCTTCGGTCTGTCCTTCAGCGTGGCTATCAGCTGCATGTGCTATCCTATGTCGTGCATGCGATTCTCGTAAAGATGGCGCCGGAGGCTCAGCTAGGTGACCTGGACTATTGCATTGAAGATCTCACTGCAGTCATTATGGACGACACCTTCGGCAGTGCTGGGCAGGAGAAGGACAACGAAGACTATATCAGCAGCATGAAGGAAGTCAAGAGTAAGAAGAGCCCGGATACCATGGAGCTTCTCGCTCGGAGCACGAGTCTCGATCATCTTGGTCAGCTCATCAAGCCAATCACTGTTGTGCTCACAGGGTTCCTGCGAACGAAGCAGGTCAGGCAGGTTGATGAGCTGCTTCGCCGCATCGGGGTCGGTCTGGCAAGAAATCCTGCCGCAAGCGAGCGAGGCCTGCTGGTGTTTGCTTTCCAATGCATTCAAGCATTTTACCGCGAGAAGGCGGTGCCCAGGCTCGCCGAGAAGACGACCGATGAGAAGAATAGAGAACGCTTTTTGCTGCAAAAGCCAAGCGCTCGTGGAGAAGGCACACACTCAGCCAACCTGTTCAAGATCGCACGGTTTGCGATCGATCTCGTACGCTCAGCATTCTTGAAGCATAATAACCTGATGACACCGGAAAATGTTCATGGATTTCTTCCAGTCATTGGTGACGCACTCGTGGAAGGCCAGGAAGAGGTCAAGATATCGGCGCTGCGACTTGCTTCCGCGGTTGTTAAGCTTCGGATGCCAGAGCTTAATGAGAAGTGTCCTGTCTTCGTCCTGGAAGCCGTCAAAGTGGTCAGGAATTGTACGCATACGAACGAGGAAGCCGCTCAAGCCGCGCTGAAGCTTATTGCTGCGATTTTGCGTGAACGGAAGAGTGTCAAAGTGCGGGACTCTGATGTCGCCGAGGTCCTCAAACGTATCACACCCGATCTCGAAGAGCCTGATCGCCAAGGCGTGACATTTGCCTTCATCCGAGCGGTCTTGGCCCGAAAGCCGTATCAGCTGCCTGAGGTCTATGAGGTCGTCGACAAAATCGCCATAATCATGGTTACGAGTCATTCGGCTGGCGCTCGCGACGTGGCCAGAGGTGTGTACGTCCATTTTCTGGTCGAGTACCCACAAGCAGCCGGCCGCTGGTCTAAGCAGCAACGTTTCCTCATCAAGAACTTGGAGTATGACTACCATGAGGGTAGGCAGGCGGTGATGGAAGCCATCAATACCTTGCTTGCAAAGACTTCTGGAGAGATCACACAACATCTGATCGCGGCCTTTTTCATTCCTATCGTCCTTCGCATGGCCAATGATGAGCACGAGGGCTGTCGTGACTTGGCTGGTGCGCTGCTCGGTCAGCTCTTCGTCAGAGCTGATGTCCAGCGCTTGCAAGGAATGCTCGAGCCGTTGGAAGGATGGCTTGAACAGAGCGAGAACGAAGCGCTGCTAAAGCTCAGTCTACAAGCCTTCAGTGTGCTGTTTGCGCAGCGGGAAGGGCTGGAAGAGCAACTGGTGCTGTGCCGGATGCGTATTGCAACGATCCTGGGTTCATCATCCCACGAAACCGAAACCTTGGAGGCGAGGATCCAGGCACTTCGTCTCTGGGCTGTACTTGTTCAGACCCGGCCATCGTCCACGATGACGTCTAAGTCTGAGTCCATCTGGAAGCACATCAGGACTCTCTTGAGCTTCAACATACCGGAGCGCACGCTCGCCGCGTCCCTTGTACGTTCATTCCTAGAGGCGTGTCCGGCCAAGTTGTGGTCCAAGTTGCCGCTCATCAACTCTCACGGCTCGGCGTGGGATACGACAGCAATGCAACTCCTGCTGCGGAGCTGCGTGAGAATCATCAAGCTCAACCAGGGCGACCAACACCTCAGCGACGAGGTTGTCACCATCACCACTCTTATAGCCAATTCTGCACCCACCAACGGCCTCACCATATCCGTCAAGAGCGAGGTTGATAGCACCGAATCAGCTTCAGCTTCCGACGAGGACGAGGACGAGACTCCCGCACAGCCAACCTCAATCCCCGCAACGCGCTACCTCCTCGACCAGCTCGCATACGTCCTCCGCCGCGAGCTGCCCAAACACACAACGGCGACTCTCTTCCCGAAAATGACCGCCCTTCAACTCCTCACGACTCTCGTCCCAACCCTACCCACCACTTCCCTGGCCCAACAACAGCTCACAATCCTCCTCCTTCCCCTCCTGCACCTCACATCTCCAACAACCAACGCGCCCTTCTCCGCCGACCCGACCTTTGCAGCCTCCTACAACACCTTGACCACATCCGCGCAGGAAGTCATGGGCCTATTACAAGAACGCGTGGGTGACGCAGCGTACATGGCCGCGCTAACAGCGGCATCGAAGATTGCGCGGCAGAGGAGAGAGGAGAGGCGGCGAAAGCGCGTGGTGGAGCAGGTGGCGGATCCGGAACGGGCGGCCCGGGTGAAGCGCATCAAGGGCCAGCGGACGAAGGAGCGGAAGAGGGAGGTTAGTGGGGTTATGGGGTCCCGCAGGAAAGCAAGAGGTTGGTAGCACGAAGCAGTTCAGCTCATGATGCGATGAAGGTACGAACGGGCGTCTGGGGCAATGAATCGTACTTAGGTATTCAAGTTTTGTGATGCACTGCGAAGGCGTTAGAATGACGGTGAACATGCCCGCGACAGCGCCGAGGAAAAGTGTGACAAGATACCCAAGGTAGACAAATGGTCTAGTGTAGAGAAGTTTCATTTGCTCTTTCCCGACGAGAAGAGGCAGCAGGCGGACCAGACAGCCGCGATACGTAATTCGATCACTCGTGGTCGTTGAATCCTGGCTGTGAGCGTATGACAAGTTTGGAGGCTATATTGATACAAATCTAAGCATCCTGAGATGGGTTGTACATTCGCCTCTGTTCGAGTGAAAAGGGAGGTTGAAGACAGACGATGAAGGCGGTGGTTGAAGGTGAGTGTTGAAGGTGGCGGTTGAAGACAAAAGTTGAAGAGAGACAGTGAAGGCGGCGGTTGAAGGTGATAGTTGAAGGTGAAAGTTGAAGATGATGGTTGAAGGCGGCGGTTGAAGGCGGTGGTTGAAGGCGGTGGTTGAAGGCGGTGGTTGAAGGTGGTGGTTGAAGGTGGTGGTTGAA